AGATTAACTTGGGCCCTCTGATAGCATAACCCTAATCACGCGCCCACGCTCTAAGATTAACTTGGGCCCTCTGATAGCATAACCCTAATCACGCGCCCACGCTCTAAGATTAACTTGGGCCCTCTGATAGCATAACCCTAATCACGCGCCCACGCTCTAAGATTAACTTGGGCCCTCTGATAGCATAACCCTAATCACGCGCCCACGCTCTAAGATTAACTTGGGCCCTCTGATAGCATAACCCTAATCACGCGCCCACGCTCTAAGATTAACTTGGGCCCTCTGATAGCATAACCCTAATCACGCGCCCACGCTCTAAGATTAACTTGGGCCCTCTGATAGCATAACCCTAATCACGCGCCCACGCTCTAAGATTAACTTGGGCCCTCTGATAGCATAACCCTAATCACGCGCCCACGCTCTAAGATTAACTTGGGCCCTCTGATAGCATAACCCTAATCACGCGCCCACGCTCTAAGATTAACTTGGGCCCTCTGATAGCATAACCCTAATCACGCGCCCACGCTCTAAGATTAACTTGGGCCCTCTGATAGCATAACCCTAATCACGCGCCCACGCTCTAAGATTAACTTGGGCCCTCTGATAGCATAACCCTAATCACGCGCCCACGCTCTAAGATTAACTTGGGCCCTCTGATAGCATAACCCTAATCACGCGCCCACGCTCTAAGATTAACTTGGGCCCTCTGATAGCATAACCCTAATCACGCGCCCACGCTCTAAGATTAACTTGGGCCCTCTGATAGCATAACCCTAATCACGCGCCCACGCTCTAAGATTAACTTGGGCCCTCTGATAGCATAACCCTAATCACGCGCCCACGCTCTAAGATTAACTTGGGCCCTCTGATAGCATAACCCTAATCACGCGCCCACGCTCTAAGATTAACTTGGGCCCTCTGATAGCATAACCCTAATCACGCGCCCACGCTCTAAGATTAACTTGGGCCCTCTGATAGCATAACCCTAATCACGCGCCCACGCTCTAAGATTAACTTGGGCCCTCTGATAGCATAACCCTAATCACGCGCCCACGCTCTAAGATTAACTTGGGCCCTCTGATAGCATAACCCTAATCACGCGCCCACGCTCTAAGATTAACTTGGGCCCTCTGATAGCATAACCCTAATCACGCGCCCACGCTCTAAGATTAACTTGGGCCCTCTGATAGCATAACCCTAATCACGCGCCCACGCTCTAAGATTAACTTGGGCCCTCTGATAGCATAACCCTAATCACGCGCCCACGCTCTAAGATTAACTTGGGCCCTCTGATAGCATAACCCTAATCACGCGCCCACGCTCTAAGATTAACTTGGGCCCTCTGATAGCATAACCCTAATCACGCGCCCACGCTCTAAGATTAACTTGGGCCCTCTGATAGCATAACCCTAATCACGCGCCCACGCTCTAAGATTAACTTGGGCCCTCTGATAGCATAACCCTAATCACGCGCCCACGCTCTAAGATTAACTTGGGCCCTCTGATAGCATAACCCTAATCACGCGCCCACGCTCTAAGATTAACTTGGGCCCTCTGATAGCATAACCCTAATCACGCGCCCACGCTCTAAGATTAACTTGGGCCCTCTGATAGCATAACCCTAATCACGCGCCCACGCTCTAAGATTAACTTGGGCCCTCTGATAGCATAACCCTAATCACGCGCCCACGCTCTAAGATTAACTTGGGCCCTCTGATAGCATAACCCTAATCACGCGCCCACGCTCTAAGATTAACTTGGGCCCTCTGATAGCATAACCCTAATCACGCGCCCACGCTCTAAGATTAACTTGGGCCCTCTGATAGCATAACCCTAATCACGCGCCCACGCTCTAAGATTAACTTGGGCCCTCTGATAGCATAACCCTAATCACGCGCCCACGCTCTAAGATTAACTTGGGCCCTCTGATAGCATAACCCTAATCACGCGCCCACGCTCTAAGATTAACTTGGGCCCTCTGATAGCATAACCCTAATCACGCGCCCACGCTCTAAGATTAACTTGGGCCCTCTGATAGCATAACCCTAATCACGCGCCCACGCTCTAAGATTAACTTGGGCCCTCTGATAGCATAACCCTAATCACGCGCCCACGCTCTAAGATTAACTTGGGCCCTCTGATAGCATAACCCTAATCACGCGCCCACGCTCTAAGATTAACTTGGGCCCTCTGATAGCATAACCCTAATCACGCGCCCACGCTCTAAGATTAACTTGGGCCCTCTGATAGCATAACCCTAATCACGCGCCCACGCTCTAAGATTAACTTGGGCCCTCTGATAGCATAACCCTAATCACGCGCCCACGCTCTAAGATTAACTTGGGCCCTCTGATAGCATAACCCTAATCACGCGCCCACGCTCTAAGATTAACTTGGGCCCTCTGATAGCATAACCCTAATCACGCGCCCACGCTCTAAGATTAACTTGGGCCCTCTGATAGCATAACCCTAATCACGCGCCCACGCTCTAAGATTAACTTGGGCCCTCTGATAGCATAACCCTAATCACGCGCCCACGCTCTAAGATTAACTTGGGCCCTCTGATAGCATAACCCTAATCACGCGCCCACGCTCTAAGATTAACTTGGGCCCTCTGATAGCATAACCCTAATCACGCGCCCACGCTCTAAGATTAACTTGGGCCCTCTGATAGCATAACCCTAATCACGCGCCCACGCTCTAAGATTAACTTGGGCCCTCTGATAGCATAACCCTAATCACGCGCCCACGCTCTAAGATTAACTTGGGCCCTCTGATAGCATAACCCTAATCACGCGCCCACGCTCTAAGATTAACTTGGGCCCTCTGATAGCATAACCCTAATCACGCGCCCACGCTCTAAGATTAACTTGGGCCCTCTGATAGCATAACCCTAATCACGCGCCCACGCTCTAAGATTAACTTGGGCCCTCTGATAGCATAACCCTAATCACGCGCCCACGCTCTAAGATTAACTTGGGCCCTCTGATAGCATAACCCTAATCACGCGCCCACGCTCTAAGATTAACTTGGGCCCTCTGATAGCATAACCCTAATCACGCGCCCACGCTCTAAGATTAACTTGGGCCCTCTGATAGCATAACCCTAATCACGCGCCCACGCTCTAAGATTAACTTGGGCCCTCTGATAGCATAACCCTAATCACGCGCCCACGCTCTAAGATTAACTTGGGCCCTCTGATAGCATAACCCTAATCACGCGCCCACGCTCTAAGATTAACTTGGGCCCTCTGATAGCATAACCCTAATCACGCGCCCACGCTCTAAGATTAACTTGGGCCCTCTGATAGCATAACCCTAATCACGCGCCCACGCTCTAAGATTAACTTGGGCCCTCTGATAGCATAACCCTAATCACGCGCCCACGCTCTAAGATTAACTTGGGCCCTCTGATAGCATAACCCTAATCACGCGCCCACGCTCTAAGATTAACTTGGGCCCTCTGATAGCATAACCCTAATCACGCGCCCACGCTCTAAGATTAACTTGGGCCCTCTGATAGCATAACCCTAATCACGCGCCCACGCTCTAAGATTAACTTGGGCCCTCTGATAGCATAACCCTAATCACGCGCCCACGCTCTAAGATTAACTTGGGCCCTCTGATAGCATAACCCTAATCACGCGCCCACGCTCTAAGATTAACTTGGGCCCTCTGATAGCATAACCCTAATCACGCGCCCACGCTCTAAGATTAACTTGGGCCCTCTGATAGCATAACCCTAATCACGCGCCCACGCTCTAAGATTAACTTGGGCCCTCTGATAGCATAACCCTAATCACGCGCCCACGCTCTAAGATTAACTTGGGCCCTCTGATAGCATAACCCTAATCACGCGCCCACGCTCTAAGATTAACTTGGGCCCTCTGATAGCATAACCCTAATCACGCGCCCACGCTCTAAGATTAACTTGGGCCCTCTGATAGCATAACCCTAATCACGCGCCCACGCTCTAAGATTAACTTGGGCCCTCTGATAGCATAACCCTAATCACGCGCCCACGCTCTAAGATTAACTTGGGCCCTCTGATAGCATAACCCTAATCACGCGCCCACGCTCTAAGATTAACTTGGGCCCTCTGATAGCATAACCCTAATCACGCGCCCACGCTCTAAGATTAACTTGGGCCCTCTGATAGCATAACCCTAATCACGCGCCCACGCTCTAAGATTAACTTGGGCCCTCTGATAGCATAACCCTAATCACGCGCCCACGCTCTAAGATTAACTTGGGCCCTCTGATAGCATAACATTAAAGGGAGCCTGCCTGATCGCAGACAGACAGAGTCTCCCGCCAAATAATGAGACATCATGACTTTGCCTGTCCCCATCCCCACCCACACCCGTTTTCAGAAAAACTCCCGTAGACCAAGCCGAAAACACTGTTATGGTGTTTATAATTTAGTCATTCTGGAAATCTTAAACAGCAGCGGTTAAAGTTGTCTATTCTCGTGCTTCGGAAGCATCGATTTCGCAAGTCTTCTTTCTTGGTCTTTTTGCCATCACACTCCGCCGCATCAACTTGGAAAAGTCCCAGCTCGAATAGTTCATCGCAGAGTGGACAAGCCATCGCGTCTGAAAAGGCGATAAGTAAAGGTTTTGTCATTTTTCTACTTACCAGGCTATTCCTTCGGACAAGCTGAATTGCTTGAAACATCCTGAACTTCTTTCTACACAAAATAGGCTCATTAGTAGGCTTTTTTCTCCTTGCTTTTTTCGTTGACAAGAATTACGTCCTCCGAGTCGCTGTCTTAAAGCAGATCGAATTCGCTCTTTAGATAAATCAAAGTGAGCTCCGGCAGGATTCTGAAATTGGAGAGGGCGTGGCGATACTCGTCGAATTCTGCTGACCAGCGCGCTTCCAATCATCCCAAAGCCTTCCTGCTTCTCGTGCTGCGCGATAAAGGCGCTGATTTCGCGAACGTGAAAGCCCAACGCGCCCAGCGACTCCACATCTGATCGATCGCGACTGTCTACTCTGTCATTTCTCCTTGAGTCGGTATCTGTAAAGTGAATTGACGTTATCGTCGTAGCATATGAAGGTGCCGGGGATGTTTTCCATAGCGAAAAGAGTGTCTCGAATGAGATCCGGTTGAGAGACGTTCAAGTAGCCGCCAGAGCCCGTTGCTTTCGCAGGTGTACTGAAAACAAGTTTGGATAATTCTTTGTGCAGAGAAAAGCGACCTTGATAGAGTATTTCTTTTGAAGTTGACAACGAAGCCTGCGTTAATTCTCTCGGCGTCGATCGGCCGCGATCTACTTGACGAGATAGAAGTAACCGTTACACTGTTTTGCGAGAGGTTCTCTTTGTTCCGATCGTTTCGGCTAAACGCTAACTTGTCCATCGACATGACAGACCGGAAGGCCGAGTCTTCGTCTTCCTTCGCGCTGTCCATGTCTTTCAGGAACTTAAGGACGGCCGCATAACCTGGGCGCCATACACCCGTTAATTCCTCGTTTGATTCCTCCTTTAGTAATCATTCTCAATATTCGTAAAAACAAAAGGGATGGCTTATTTCAATGGCCAATTCTGAAAATACGAATAAAAGAATATTTTGAAGAAACCGAATTTATTAAAAGAAAAGGAACCATTTGCCAATTAAGGAACTTCCCAGCAACCTTTCAAAAGTGGACCAGTTTCAACGGGAGTTCCTTAAATTGGCCAGTTAGAATGATCAAGCGTAGAAGAGAGAGGTCAGTGCACTGAAGGGAGTTTTTGATGACGATGAAAGTAGCGCTGGTGGATATTGGAAGTGCTGCCAGACAGAACATGCAAAAAAGGTACAGAATCAGATCAAGCCTGGACTGGGCGGGTGACTTGCCGCTTCTTCTCCCGCTCTTTGCGCCGCTCGGCAGAGGGCTCCGCGTTCTGGTCGCCTCCTTCGCGGTTGTAGAAGATGCAGTACTCTGAATTGCGCTCAAACTTTGAGCCTCAAAGGAAGCCTATCAAGAAGAGCTGTCTTACGGTCGGAGCGGAGATAATCCATCAGCGCTTGTTGGCCTTTTTTCCTGTTTTCTTGGATCGGTCGGACGAAGTAGTTCCTCTTCACTCTCAGAATTTTGAGCTTCTTCCCGAATAGCACTGGAAGCTGCGGCGGAAGTAGACTCAGCAAATTGCCCTGCAAGATCCAAATGAAATACGATTCTAAACGATGAAATAAGGTTCCTGTAAATAAAGCTCTGTCAAATTGTCCATTATTGCGATTTCCGGCGGAATGAGCGTTATCTCGTTATCTCTTGCGAAAAGAATTTGAAGTCTCTTTAATTGGGCCACTTTTGAAGGAAGATGGTGGAAGTCGTTGTCGGAAACGTACAACGCGCGCAGCGACTACAAAAATAGGAAAAACGCGACTGACTGAGAGTTACCTTAGAAAGGAGCTCGCAAACTGTTTCGTTGAAGTTGTTTTACGTCAAGTCGAGTATTTCGAGCTTGGCGAGTTTGTGGAAGCTGTTCGGCAGGCGCTGAAGCTTGTTCATTCCCAAATTGAGATTACTCAGCTCTTGCAGCATAAACAAGGGCTTCTAGAAAAGAATCGCGCTCTTGAATTCACCTCCGACAAGTTTCCGGGAAGCTCGACGAGCTCATTGTTGAAGCAGTTGAGCAGTTTGAGATTCTTTAAGTTTGTGATCGAAGCAGCGAGCTGTTTGAGGCCGTTGTGCGCGAGAATGAGCTCGGAGAGGTGCTGCAGTTGGCTGAAGTCGGAAGAAATCTGCGTCAGTTGGGTGATGCTCTTGTCGCTGAGAGAAAGACTGTAGTGTCTGCTTTTCTTGTTTTCTTCAACGATTTTTGTGACATTGCTTGACATTCTAAAATGAAGACGAATGATAACAGCTTCAAAGCTTGTAAAAATCAACCATCACAGCATTCAAAACATCTAGTAATTTTACAAGCTTGGGCCTTGATTCCTTGGTTAGTTATCTTTTTGAAGAATAAAGTTTGGACGGTTTTTTAAGTCTTAAAGTGATTCAGTGGGGCCAGTGCTTAGAGCATGCCCTGATGAGTGTCGACCGCGTGCTGGACTGAGTAGTATCACTGCATCAGCTCGGGACTCTGTTCGTACTGCTCCCAAGCGCTCGTCCCTTCCGTCAAGTTGATTACTGCAAAAGCTTCGATATATAGAATTCCGTCTTGAACGAATTTACTGTCTGGATCTGTCCATCTTTCGTCAGGATCGGTGTGCACCTTGCTCTTGATGAATTTGCCCTTTTCGTCGAAGTATTATTTGGCGATATCGCTCATCGGCTCGGCCACTCCTCGGAGCACTTGCTCCAGAGTCGAGACGATCGCTCCGGAGTCCTTCACTACTGCGTCGGGCTCGCTACTGCTGTTGTTGTAGAAGGCGAGAACGGGCACTAAAAATGACTGTTCTTTGCCAAAAGGAACAAGTAATTTACCTTGTAAGTAGTTTTCAATGACACCCTTGAGCTCTGGCTTGCCAATGCTGACTTCGACGTCTTTGTTATCGATTCCCCGAAATTTAAGATAGGCCCTTACTTTGGCGCAGTAAGGACAGCCGAAATACCCAAATAATCGCATTTTCTTGTACGAGTTTCAATATTCAATCGTTCCAGAGGAATCTTTGATTATGTAGCTTCTATCTTTCGCCAACACTTTTCTCGATTCCTTCTCGTTCCAGAAGACCTTTTAATCGCTTTAAAATCACCTCGAATCCAATCGTTCTTTTTACCTGGATCGAGGATAAACTTGCAAAAGGAACGAGTCGGCGAAAAACGATTCGATTCATTGAAATTCTTAAAGTAGAAAGGTGATTATTATTAATTTCAAATTGTCCCTATCAAGTTCGGACTTGATTTCAAGAGAAGGAGGAACGTAATCGTATACAATGAACGACAAATAGGAACACTGCGACATTGAATGGCTTGAGCTTCAGTATTTTGACTATCAGTCCTCCGACCAAAAATCGGACACAGAGGGAGCCAATGTAGAAAGCCTTGAATTGAGCTGCATCAGCTGGAGAAAGACCAAATTGAATTTCGATTTATTTTTGACTGAAAATGAAAAAGGTAAGAAACCCAAATGTAGCATTCGTCCCCATCGCCCAGCTCTTGACGATTCCGGCTAAAACTTGCATCACAAAAAGCGGGTTTTTGGAAAGCACCTCTGTTTCTGAAATCATAGAGGAGGACGATTCTGGTGTCTTTTCGACTTCGTTTTCAAAGTGATTCTTGAGCACCAGAGTCTTATCTATTTTTTCTTTTTCTTTCTTCTCATCCTCATTTCAAAGACCTTGGGAAGAAAGCCAAAGGGGTTGAAAAAACCAACAGTGAAGCAGCATTGAAGCAGCAGGGGTCGACTCACCATGCTCCGATCCAGTCAGAGCCGTTGGGATCAACCCAATCTGGGGCACATTCATAAGTGAAATTCACCCACAATGAAAGAACATAACTAGCAAAGCTGTAAGCGATCATCAGGCCAAACAAGATGCCAACAAAGCTGACGCCGAAAAGGACCAACGACTGCCCTTGTTTGCGGCCATTTGAATGATTAGTGTCATTTTGATCAATAAATGGCTGTATCTGAGGAAAAATTCATGACTTTCATGGCATAAACAGAAATATTCGTCGAGCTTTCTCCAAAATATCTCTCGATTGTCGTAAAAGCTGCTCTTGTAAAGGAAGTTTCGGCGACGCTTAAACACTTAGCCAGACATATTGCAAATGTCGTAGTAGTGTCATTGATAAAGCTTGGCATTTTGATTTTTGCGGATGGAAATCAACGTTTGTATACCATCGCTAATATTTGATGTTTGTTCGTAACCAAAATGACTGGTAGTTGATCTGGAAGCCTCTCGACGCGACCAAGTTGATGTCGAATTCATAATTTTCAAAAAAGAATTTCGGGGCACATATCTGAACTTCACAGTGCTAATAATAATCAGCCAACTTTGCCCAGCTCAGAGCTTTTAGAAAGAATAATCCCAGTGCAAAGAACCAAGTTGCCGATGCGATAATTGAAGTCTATAAATGGCCCATTTAAAATGGGCCATTTTCAATCTCCGAAACAACCACAAAAACACAAAAAAACCACTTTAGGCCTGATAAAATAAAGAATAATTATCGAAAATTTAATTGACAAAAAATAATAAGATTCGGTATTTCTTTTTTGGTAATTCTTGCACGTCCGCGAAAATCCTTTTCCTTGATTTCACCTGAAAATCATTGCTAGTAAGGGATTCTCGGATTTTTGGTTACAAAAATCCCGATTCTCGTCGACCCCCCCTTAATATTCTAAAATAATAATTATTTATACCAGCGGCTGACTCTGACTGTACTTCTGCGTGTGTGTACGAGCTTTCTTCTGCCAACTGTCTCGATTCCAGTATTCCTCAAAATTTTACATCCCAGATATTTTAATACAAATTGTATTCGTATTATTCGACTTTAGTTAATATTAAATCAGCGAAATAAAATTCTTCGTTTTTTATTTTTATTTTGCTCAAAAAAAAAAACAAAAGAGAGAGACTCAGTCAGGAGCAACAACTTTCAACAAAATCTGCATCTTTTTCGTCAACAAAGCAACAATTTTTATATCCTTCGATTTTCGCAAAATCACAAACAGCCCAAATGCAATCCAGCAGACAACGAAGAGATAACTAAAGTTCAAGCTCTGACCAGTTTGCAAAATGTTAATGAAAGGAGCGAGAACCAAATATGAGCCAATGACAGCGATGATGGCAGGGATGAAGAGGGGCACGGCGAATGAGCGACCAACTTTGTCGATCGGATGGGTTTTGCGGAAAATAAAAATTTTTGTATACTTTTTGTTTACCGAGGTATGAAAAATCCACATGCAAAAGCTAAAATAATTGATGAGCGAGTTAATATCTCCAGACAACAAAAGCAAGTTTCAACTTGCACGATTTGCGTAAAATCTGCTGTGTATAACTGGGTCGCGACGGCCGGCGAAGTCAAAATATTTTCCACTCCCAAGATCGAAATGTATAAAAAATTGATCAGCAAGTAAAACCCAGTAATTGAACACAAACTGATCACAATCGCTTTCTAAAATTCCTCTGCGGTTGCTTGATTTCTTCAACAACATATTTGATGAAGAGCAACAAAATTTCGTCTTTATCAGTATTTTCAAACGGACGGTGCCGATACCTAATTAGTACCCGGTTTAAAAGTCAAACATTTTTTCTGAAGTGTAAGAAAACTCCATTTACTGTCCGAATACAATCAATTTCGAGCAGTGCACGGTGCTGTGCTCAGAAAGAGTTCCCGAGTGCGGCGCCTGGACACTAAAGAAACAGCAACCTTTGGCCGGCTACTGCTATTTGAAGCAGACTCTTGATATTGGTCAGCGAGACCGGGTCGAAAACGACCAGTACGTTCTCCAAAACAGCGATTTCAAGGACCACTCTCCAGAGTAAGTTCCAAAATTTATCAAACTCAAGCTTGCCTCGTTCAGTTCTTCGCATTCCACTTAAAAGTCCATACTACGCTTCTCCCGAATACATCTTTAATCTGGTCAACCAAAGCGAGTGCAACGTTTACGAAGACGACGAAATCAAACTCACTCTCCTCAACGAGTTTTTACAAACTATGGACGAAAACACCTGGTATCTTCTTCCTACTGCTTACACCATCCAGCTCATTCCAGAATAAAAACTTTATGAAACACAAAAGCATTTTAAAATCAAGAAAAACGATTCTTCTGTCTTCCATGATTTCAATTCTTTATTTTCGAAAATAGAGATATATTAAAAAATAGAAAACAGAGTTAAAGGGGAAAATGATGCTTGAAATTATTTTTCTTGAGAAAAATTGATGAGCTCCAAGATAACGTAGATAACGTCCTCTGAAAGAGTCGCTGAAACATGTAAAAGAACATGGCGCTTACTTGATTTCTCGCGGCGAAGAGTCCAATCAGTCTCGTTGATCATGTTGTTCACCGCGAAGAGGCAGCGGATCTGTACCTCTTTTCCTCCTTGTTTTTCTTCGAGAAGCCGCTCAGTCCATTCCAGCGTAGTTTCCGATTTCTGGAGCAGCTCTTGGCCGAGGTTTTGTTCGCTCAAGCTGACGACCACTTTCATCAAGCTCGCGCCAAAGAATTCGTCTCCGTCTGTCAGACTCGATCGGGAAGCTGTGTCGAAGAGGGAGAGGTAGGCAGACTCTTGCTCGGGATAGTAGTTTCGCGAGAAATTGGCAATACAGTCAGTCACGATTTCGAGTGTTCCGCTTGACTTGGACGACTGGATCAGCTGGCTGTTTGCCGCTTGGATCAAGACGGGCACCTGAGAAGAAATTTTTAGACTTTTTATTGGGAGAGGAATTTTACAGAGTTTTGCCCTTTTCGCTCAAGGAGATTTTCTCGATAATCTGGCAAGCAACGAGAATGACTCTTTCGCTGGCATGGGTGATGCACTGCAGGATTAAACCGATTTAATTGTGGTCCGCGATTTCGAGCTAAAGACGACTTGAATTTCGAAGCTTTGAAATAAACTTACCAGCTGTTCTTCAATCCGAGCGCGGAAGAGGATTTCCTCAAGACACGAAATGATTTCCTGGAATTTCTCGGCAATCTAAACTTGTTCCAACAAATTGAAGAGTCCGTTCAAAGATGATTTTTCACGACGTCGTCTTCACAGTCCAAAGTCGATGGCGCTGCCAAGTCGCAGAATTCGAGCTCCTCGTCGACGCTTTTTGTTGAATTGCTTATGGCGGAATCAAAGCTATCTTCGTCGTAGAAGTCTTGATCAATGATCATCTGGTACGACTTCAGTGTCGATTTCGCTCGTTGGATAAGTTCTGGTGGCGCTTGCTCTCCGGATCGTATTTTCTTCTGGACAGAATTTGAACTCTCTTTTCTGGTTCGGCTCCGTCTTTTCCAGCGTGTCTAGAAGCTCTGAATATTCGTTGTAGAAGAAAATTCGAGCCCTTAACTTACCTTTGCTCATTTTCTTTCTCAGTTCCTTGTCCCTTTTCTTTCTTAGATGCTCATCAAAGAAGAGCTTGCCGACGAGACCAGCGCAAATCGTGGCAAGGGAGAAGAAGACAGTGATGACTTTGCGGATTGAGGGCATTTTGCACTGATACAGCTAACCGTTAAAAACGCTTGGGAATAAGGACTTGTTTGCTTGAAGCCCGGTACCTATTCTATCAAATCTGGGAAACTGATAAATCAAAGCTGCAGTTCGAAAGACGGGTTCGACAAGAAGAATAAAGTTTGTTTTGTATTCTTTAAAAATTCTTCCCCGCCACCCCGAAAAACGACTCCGATCGGCGACGGAAAAAGCAGTCAAGGCGTCCGCGGAGTTGCAGAATGAGCGCTCGATGACTCGTAGCATGGTCGAGACGAAAACCGCGCAGGATAAAAAAATTAAATCCTTGGAGGAAGAAAACGCCTCAAAATCAGCTACAATTTGAGATCTAATGCTCCACTTCGAGGCGCTGCAAACGATCAACAACGAAAACGAACTCAAGGTAGCAAAAAGTGCCAAAGTCTTCGATTCTTATCGATTCGGCGATAGATTTGAATTGTTTTATTTTTAAAAGCTGGAGTGAACCGCTTACAATTATTTTTCAGGATGGAAGTGTCATTCTTGGCCAAAAAGAGCTCGTAAAAATCGACGCAAATAACCTAGAGAGAAGAGAAATCTTCACTGTACCTACGTGTGACATGTCATAGATCACCTTATTTCTTCTAACAAACTCACGGATAGGTTTTATCCAATGAATAATGTTTCTTGTTAAGAACTGAACAGTCTCAAATAGACCTCGTTTCGATCGGGATAAAAAAGAAAGCGGCGAGCAAGAAAGACCTTGCTAGTGTGCCGCGCTGCTTTCAAGGGCGATATCGATATACTGAGATCGACCTTGAATTTCCAGCCTGACTTCAGCGCTCGTTCTCACCAGCTTCATAGCGGCTCGGCTTCGGACGAGCTCGAATGCAACATGAGCATTCTCGACCTTGCTGTCATCGGAAGAAAACCGTTTTCAAGTTCAAAGTTAATTTTCTAACGATAGAAAGATGACCAAGAAATGCTAGAGAAGCTTTTCCAAACAAAAGGAAAGCACAGTTCTCTTCATTTAGGTACGATTTTCGTTTTTACTTATTTGGTTATAATTTTTATCTTAAAAATCTGGAGTCTATTCAAAGTTCAGTGATAGCAGTTCTGAAAGAAATATTCAAAGAGTTCTTCGTCTTAAAAATAACTCATTAACGAAGCTTTCAAATCTGAGACTAAATTCATCTTTCTGCAAATAAAACAAAAGTCGATTCTCGTTATGATGGTGGCTTGCACTTCGGAAACTCGCTGGATCGGCCGGTCCGAAGGCAGCTTGCTTTCCCATTCGCGTATTCGTGTAGCATTGCTCGCATTAAGTCGAACATGAAGTTGCAGAAGTCCTCGTCGACGCCGATTGAGCGGTAGAACTCGGATCGCCCCATAAAAAGATATGGCAAGGTGCAGGTTATTTCTTGCTTTAGCTGTAGAAGGAATTCGAGACCCTGCACTGCTTGGTTAAAGTACCTTCGATTGAAAATTTGCGTTATCCGCTGGTTCTATTTCCTCCCGCAAGTGAATGTTCAAGAACTCCTCGTAATATCTTTTTTGAATTTTTCGTAGAAGCGAATAATGTTATCGGCGACGTCGAAGGCTCTAGTGCCGAATTATGAGTTATCGTTGTCAACCAGCAGAAGTCTTTCCTCCATCGATGTGAAAATTTTTCCGTCTTTTGCGTCGTTGTGGCACCAAACGTCGGGGAGGTTGTGCCCACCTGGACATCGTTCATGAACTCGATGAGGCCATCGGCTGAACTGATGTTGAGGAACTCGCCCTGAACTGGAAACTGTCCGATTCGCTCCTCGACCCATTCCTTTTAAAGATTATAGAAAAAATTATAGAAGAGAATCAATTTTGATCAAACCTTTTCGGGATAAGTAGCTGTTTCGTAGTACGATCTGATCGCTCTCGTGTTCCAGGGCCAAGCGTGGCAGCAGTTCGTGATCGGCCTTGGACTCTCTTCTTCGCTGATGATGTGCATTGAATTTTCCTGACGACCGGTACGTCTGTTGAAAGGTTGCTTATGGCTTATCAACTGTTAAATCAAAAATCAATTCTGGATCAGGGAATAAGGCTTCGAAAAGACGATAGAGCGGCTGAAAGACATTTTCTTCCCGAAAGTCATTGCCCTTCCGCAGTCAAAACGGTTGGAATTCGAAAGGGTGAATCTGGAGAATCGAGGCTTGAACAGTATTTAAGTTTTCTGTTCATCCATTTTGATTTCGAAAGACATTTCTTGATTTGTCTGGTTAGACTTTCCTTGTCGTTTTTTTTTGTTTTTTGAAATAAATCATTTTTAGACTGATTTATAGATCAGCCGGAGATATTGACTGAGGTCTTGAAAAAGAGCATTAGCGGAAAAGAAATCAAGGAGGAAAATAACCATCAAGAAGAAAGCGCAAGATCCGAGCATGAAAAGCCAATTTTTTCATTTGATCAAATAAAGGAATTCGAAAAATGATTAAAAAGATAAAACCGTCTTTGATCGATTAAATTTTCCCCAGCGCAGTGCTGAAATTCGCGCGCTGATCCTTTTTCTAGCGATCAATTCTCGTCATTTGTGCCCCTTTCCCCGTCAATAAATCTCCGCAGCGTATATAATCTTTGAATAAAGAAGCACTCGCCATGGATCCAGGTAAAAAAAGAGCTTCTAAAGCGCGAGGGATCGCAAGAACTCATTCTAGAGAACTTGGATGGACAAGTTTGCCTTCGAGAGCCAGTTGTCAAGACCATGCTGGATCCGAGATTCGAGGTATGCGGGAATTTTTATAGTGGTCGGATTGTTGAATTAGTTTTGGGTTGTCGATTTTTGTGAAACCGCTTTGCGGCTTGGATTTTAAAAGAGCTGCTACGCGGCTTTTCTTCGAATTCCTATAGCAACACAGGTTGGCGAGCCCGGCTGGTCACCTCTTCAAAGTTGAAAATGTGATTTTAAGCAAGCAGATCGGCGAATCAGAGCGAAAATGCTGTTTGAGAAAACGACACTGATCAAGCCAGACGGCCGCTGCTTCGAGGAGCTCAAAAGAGAAGTCATCGAAGAAGGAAGGAAAATTATCGAAATGGAGATGAACCTGCTCAACATGAAAAGACTCAAGATCTCGGAAGCGGTCGGGCAGATTATGACTTTTTGCATCGACAATGAGCGTGAGTCTCTTTTCTTTCGATGGAAAACCTGTGACGAAAACCTTACTTAAAGTCCTAAAACAACTGGATCCTGACTCAGGTTCCCTGACTTTCTACAGAAGCAATTGATTTTTTATTCTTTTATTTTTCAGAAGAAGATCCGCTCATTAATCGAAGCCGGAACAGCTCGAATCCCTGGATGAGTACGCATCTCTCTGTTCTCTCAATTTTAAAAACTCTTTTTCAGCCCGGCGAGAGAGATTTTCCGAATATCTTCAAGCGCTGATGATGTGCAAGAGCCAACAGGAAGACGCTGAAGGAAAAATTGAAAAAGCGCGAATTAGAAGCTCAATTCCGAGGCGATCGGGGTTGAGGGCCTAACCATTCATGACTTTATCATGGATCATAAAATGTTCATGGACCCGAAGTTTATCTTCAAATATATTCCTTAGATGAATACTTATTCATTCCTTCCATTTTCTGTCGTTTTTCAATTTCAATTCGAAGAGCCCATTCCGTCGAAAAAGAGCGTGGAAACTCCAGCAATGTCCTTGCCAACTGTTTAAATTTTTTCATTTCTGAAATAAAAAAATACTTGTTCCGAAAATAGTGTTAAAAAAGTTGAGTCAGAGTGTCAGTTGACGAGGGCTCAGGTTGTTTATTGTTTGTTCGAGTGAGGACTACAAAAGGAGAAAAAAGAGAATGAAAATGACAAACATCGGTAATTGTTATTTCTTAAACGAGGATTTTTTGTGGCGCAAGTTCATAGTCAAAGAATATCTTTTAATTTTAGATATTTTCGGGTCAGAAACCTGTGTCGTGAACCTGACTCTAGATCCGTTAATAAGCATCTTTCATTAAAGCTTTTATGTTTCAGAGCCCTGACTCAGGTTTTTTACACAGGTCTCCGACCCCTTTTGAAATCAAGGAAGAGACTTTCTCATGTGTTCAATTTCTAGCGCTTTCTTTTCCATTCAAAATCCTGGCCCGAGGAACCAGTCATCTTCAAACACCCACAAATGATCCTGCCAGCGAATCCTTTAACTCCCACGTCGACGGAATCCTCGACCAAAACCAATCGCGAGAGTTTCAAAAAATGACGCAGGAAGAAAAACTCTTCAGTTTGGAAGAAATCTTCAAGAAAATGGACGCCGATGAAAATGAGGAAGTTGACGAGGACGAGCTGCAGCAGTGGATGAGATATGTCGAAAACAGATTTGTGTTTGAGGACACGGATGCGAAGATGGAACAAATGGACTTGGACGAAGACGGGATGGTCTCGATGGAGGAGTTCAAGGAGGCAAAGTACAACCCAGGAATGGTTTTATCGACTCTTTGTTGCTGAAAACGAGTGAAAAATGAAAAGCTAAATTTTTATCAAAATCAAAACAGAGCGAATTTACAAAGATCCCTCAATCAATGCAGCCACAGCTATGTACCAGAAAAAGAAGGATTTACGAAGATTCGCTGCTGACACGTACGTTGCGTTTTTAGCTGATTCAAAAGATAACTCTTCGGGAAAAAGAATCATTCTAGTTGTTCGAAAATAAGAGTATTGATCATCGTCCTTTTGTTCAGAAACGAAGATCGCCATCTCTCCCGAAACGAGTTCACCCATTATCTCCATCCTACGGGGCATGTGGAGATGATGGAAGTGATCGCTTTGGAAACCTTGGAAGATCTTGATAAAAACAGCGATGGGTACATCGATCTTGCAGAATATCTTGGCGACATTGGAGCGAGATCGTTCTCTGACAAACCAGATCAAGAAGAAGAGACGATTCTTCCGATGGGCGATGACGAGTTCGACGAAGAACCAAATACTTGGAAAGCGCCGGGAATCGACGATGATTGGATCGAAAATGAAAAGCGCATTTTCAACAAAGAAAGAGACATTGATGGCGACGGCTTTTTGAACATGGCCGAAGTGATGCTTTGGATGAATCCGCCGGTAGAAATTCTCGAGGAGCCATAATTTGTAGCTTTAGGACTTAGGACTTCGATGTGATACAATCTGAGGCAGATTATCTGATCGCAACTGCCGACCGTGACGGATCTAGCACGCTTTCCAAACAAGAAGTTTTAAAAGGAACCGTATTTCTTCAATTTCATCTCGTCTCGTTCATCACTGATGAATTATCAGTTAGAGATGATAGTTAACCGCGGTTAACGACGGTTACGCATGAGAAAGAATAAAATCGTGGTTAACAACCGTCAAACAGAAGAAAAACTGTAAAAATCGGTTTATCAGAGTGAAAATTAACCGTGGTTAACCGCGGTTTATATAAAATGCAGCCGTTAAATCGCGGTGAGCCGCGGTTTTCTGATAAAAGGATATAATTTTGGTAAACAAGGAATAAATTAAAGATATCTTATAACGCTGAGAACAATGAAAAACCACGGTAAACCGCGGTTAACCTGAGTTTTTTTGAAGAAAAACGGACAAAAGCTTATGATGCCTTCATTGAATCGCCAGCTACTCACTGGGGAAGCTCCCTTCTTCATCATGATTCATGACGAGCTCTAGAATCATTTTCAAACTCTTCTTTTTTTCAACAATCGTGCCATTAAAATTCTTCAAAATAAACAAGCGTAGTTTTAAAAATGTTTGTTTTTTAATCCTGTCCGAAAATTTATTAATTTATTTATAATTCAGCTTACGTTGATGGTACTTTTGACAGGGGAGAATTGACAAGACGCCGCGAAATCTGTCAAAACTGTCGATCAGAAAATGAAAAATTGAAAATGTCAAGTCGAGTTTACATCCAGTAATGATGACAGTACACATCCGCTGGCCCGGGTAAAATCGCTGCGAGGAGATTTTTGTTTATATTTTTTTATTTATGGCTCGTGAATGCAGTGAACAGTTTCGAAAAAGAAATGAGGATCAGGAAGCACCAAGGTCATTTTTAAATTAATTTCTTTGTTTGAGGAGTGGTCGAGTTGAAGGTGAAGATGAAGGTGGTGGCGTTTTTTTTTACTCGCTTATTTCAATGTGGAAGAAAAGAGTGGCTGGGTAGAGACTGCCGCCTTCTTTGTCGAAAAGCGGGATTTGCCGGTAGCCGGGGACGATGCTGTCCATTGGAAGGTACGAATTTGCCAGTTTGTCGTCCTAAGTTTGGTTGAAAGAGGAACTCTAGAGATGTCTCACCTTTGTTCCGACATCTTTGTCCTAGACCAGAATTTCAAGCATCGATAGCTCGGGGAACCAAGTTGTCAAGGTGAATTCTTCATTCCAGCAAGGACTTAAAAATCGTCAAAAGGGAATGATGGATTCGTTTTCACCTGAAGCCGTTGTTGTCGATGAATTTGGTCGTCCTTGAGTTCTTCGGACTGTCGTCGACTGGAGGACCAACTACGCGGATTTTAACGTAAGGATCGACCACCTCTCCTTTGTTGTACTGCTTCGGCTTTGGCAACTGGCAGCCTGAGATGATCTTGAAGACGGATTTAGAGGGAATTTGACAGAATAAACGACCTTGATTTTGTATGAAAAGGGCTGGGAGCGGGGGAAAGTTGAGTTATCGTTGATGTCAAAATTATTGTTGTGGAGAGCATCTTCTCGCAAGAACTCGGGCTTGAGGACATAGCCGGCGCCCTGGTTTTGTTTGAAGCGAGCTTGGTTGATCAGCATTTCTTCACAGGCAGTTTGGTAGTTCAGCGCCACTAGAGTAGCCGTTATTGGGAATCAAGGAAGAGAACGCTTACCGATTTGGCATCCGTAAGCCCAGACAGGGATCGGATTGTAATTTGAAGAGTCTATTTTCTTTTTGTTGGGGTAAATTCGGATCAGCTGTCGGGAAGTGTGGTTCAGAAGTGCTTTCTAGAAGAGCAGGGATGGAGAAAAAGAGTGAAAAAGTGGCTTACTGATTGGTTCTTTGCATAGGAAGAGCAGACTTTGTCGTCGATGGAACTGATGTGGCGGTAGTCCGAGTTTTGCTGGGCATCGTCGAAGTCTGTTAAATGACGGGATTGAGTGTAGATCACCAAGTCTGATAGATCTTTATGCAGCTTGATCTTTTTCTACAGAAAATTAGTTCAGAAAACGCCAAAACAGATAGAAACCAAAAACACACAAACACAAACGCGCGCAATATTGAAAAAAAAACAAGAAAACGGTACTGTAAATTTACGACATTTACAAAATAAAAAGTCAGTCCCGCTTTTCGCGAGGGCCCCGGAAAACGAGAGCTTCGGAAGCGAAAGCTACTCGTTTTTGAAGAAGGGCGCAATTCGGGCGACGAAAACAAGGAAGAGATTTCCTCGTCTGTCGAAGTCGACTGAAAAGAGACTGATTCTAGAGCCGAGGAATAAGGGGTTAAAAATGTTGCTTACAGGGGCGGTAATGGATTTACTAGTGGCGAGAAGCAACAAACTCGTCTTTCTAACCTGGTCCTTGAACTAAATCAAAGTTTACTTTTCTTGCGGTTAATAAGTGATTCTTCCCGAAAACATTCCTCAGGGAAAAAACAAACAGTGACGTTCGAAAAAAGCAAAGTTCAAAAAAAAACTCTCTTTGTGTAATTATCGATTTGTGCTTCCTTTGTTAGTTCAGAAAAAAGTGAGACAAATTCAAAGTGCAAGAAGAGCAAATATTTTTAACCTTGGAGCTTTTTAAGCTCACTCTTCGGGAAGAAGAGTGTTTTCGCCGATTTTTACGGTTTTTACGAAAGCCAAAGCTTTGTAAAATCCTAACGCGGATGGCTTTTCTTCTGAAGTACCACTGTACTTTAGTTAGTGTTTTTCAACCATTCGGGGAACGACTATTGTTGATTCGAAATTATAAAAAAAACAGGTCGGGCCTAAAGTTAAACTTACGGTCTTTTTCTGTTTCTTTTGGTTTCCAGCTTCTTCTGCTGCTGGAACACTTCCATTTCCAACTGGGCTGTCTCGATCCTTCCCTTGTGCGTATCCTTCTCCCTCGTCTTCTTCTGAAACTTCATCGTCGACGACGAAATCGTCATTCTCCGCCTTGTTCCTCGTCGAATCTCCCGCTGCTTCCTTCAATTTCTTTCCCTTGATCCAGATTTTTCCCTTCATCGCCTCGGGAGATGGAAGACAATCTTCATCAGGATCGACTGGAGCTCGAAGCAGAAGGTCTCCAAGGATTTCGACCATGTATTTGGCCATCTTTTGCTGCTGGGGAATGTGGCAGTGGTTTTCGAGCGAAAGGCAGACTGGATACTCCGATTTTTTGAAGGCGTATTGGCGGACAGTTGTGATCACGTCCTAAAAAAAGATTAAGAGTTAAAAAAAAAGGTTGAGACTTTACCTTGAAGCTTATTTTCGAGGTCCTGGTCCAACCGTGGTAAATAATCGGCTGTCCATTAGCTCCGTCCCAGCAGTCAAGTTCGACGCAGCGGCAACCTTTTAACAGGGCACTTTTGTACGCTTCTGTGCTGCTCGGCCCTGTCAGCTGGTCGTCTAACAGATACGTATTGTGACTGGAAGCGATCCAGTAGTCCGTCATCGGTCGGCTCATGTCCTGCATCTTTTCGTAAGAAGAATCGTCGATCACTTTTGCCGAACGAATGTACATGGCGAATCCGTAGAGAACGATTTCAAAGTTTGGGTCTTCAAGATTACTCTCCGTCGCTAGAATTGATACTGGAGCTTCAGTAAAAAAGAAAAACTTACCTGTCGGTTCAAAAACGCGGACCATTTCCTTGAGTTTCTCATCCGTCAAATTTTTGTAAAACTGGTATTTCTCCGAAAACTCCCGGAACTCGCAGACAGCACACATGTGTGCTGTCCAGGTCGTTCTTCAACTTTCGAAGCTCTCGTTGGGCACTGAAAAGATTGATAAACTACGGTAGATAATTTAAAGACAAACTTTTGTAGGCGCTCCTCTAAATTGTCATATTCAGCTTCCTTCATCATCTTGTACTCTTCAAGACCCTTGGCGTGAGTCTGAGCCTGTTGCTTTTCGCCTTTGATGCTCTCGACGGCCTATGTGAGCATTTTAAGATGCTGCTCTGTCTGCTTTGCTGAGGTGATCTTCTCTGCGAGGACGATCTCGAGGACGTTGCATCGCTCCTTCAAGTCGAACTTTTTGACTCCTTTGACGATGATTTTTCCTTCAGAAGTCAGTTTGACTCGACTATAGATACAATTTACGCGACGTAATCACCTATAAGCATTACCTTGAAGGGCCAGCATCTTCATCTTCCTCGGGGACTTTCTCAACAGGAGATTTTGTCGCCTTGACTGGTCCTCTTGCAGTTCCAGCGCGCGCTCCGACTCTAGAAGATGTAGCCGCGGTGAGGGTTTTTGTCGTCAGCGTAAGGTGCGGGAATGGGAAGGTGAAGAGTCTTCTCTAAAAATTGAAAATTGCGTCTTTCTCTTTCACTCTGTTCCAGTTTTTGGGATAATCAATTTGATTTTCGCGCGCGCCAATCAGAGCAAAAAGAGCGCACCAAATTTTCTTCTTATGAAGAAGATATGAAAATTTGACAAAAATGGAGGTGAAAAGATAAGTTTGCTTGGAAAAAAAAACATGAAAATCCAATTAAAAAAGCCGTTCAAAAGTAAAAACGAAGATGAGCTATGCATTATATAGCCTTCTCGCGGGGCTTCAAGAGCGAACAAGGGATAACACGGAGAAAGGCGGGCGAGCAAAGGTGCGCCGTTGAAGCCATGGAGGGCGAACAAGGGGGCGTAGAAAGCAAAAGAAGGAAAGCGACCAACGGATCTTGGTTACAAAAAGCGAGTGACCAAGGGAGGTCTTGTTGGAGTTTAACTCAGCGAGCAAGGGAAAAATGTTCACAAAATGTGGGCGAGCAAGGGGTTTGGGTACGTTAGGTGCAGTTATATAAGGTCACTAATGGTGTCGCCATCTACCACAGTCCACCCAATTTCTCTTGGAGCTGGCTCGTTTTCTCGCTAAAAGAGGCGATTAACTTAGTTGGCAGAGAAAATATTGAAAAATTTTGAATTGCCAGGTAAAAATACTACAATTTCTTCAAGATAAAAATTTACCTGATCATCAGTCGAAGCATTCCGCTTCTTAGCAGTCGAGGATTGAGCTTCATCTTGGAAACGAACTCGTCGGGCACTTTTTTCAGGATCATGTCGAGGTCTTCCTGCAGCTTGGAGCTCATGTTTGCGAAGTATAGAAGGCGGAACTGAATAATAATTATTGGTTTTCATTCAAAGTTATCATATTAAGGGGGAGGTGGTCGAAAAATTTTTTATCGACTAACTAAGAATGAGGAAAGAAAGTGAATAAAAAACTATACAAGAAATTTTCATCAACTTTGAAAATCTACAACCCTTATTCGAAAAGGCGCGCGAGCCAGCTCGGCCTGGTCCCTTAAGCCTATTTCCGAACCCTACCCCTAACACAGGGTAGCCGAAAGGTAACCTTAGGGTAGCCAATCGATAAATAGCCCTTCAGTTTCTTCCGTTTTTCGAAACTCAAAATCACTTCGGTAAGAGACCTTATTCTTTGACCCCTGTTCCATAGATGGTGCACCCTGGCCGGCTAAGAAGGGGCGACAGATTCATTCATGATTTACGGCCGAATTTCGATCGTAAGCCCCTTTGATATCTCTATTTTTAACCTTAAGGATATAAGCTATGAATTTGAACTTTCGTAGCGCCTAAATGCGAAGTAGTATCATTTTCACTTCAAAAGTAATCCTACCTAAAAATGCACGCAAAACTCAAATATGGTACTCTAAAAAAAAATTTTATTGAAAAATTTCCTTTTAGAGCGATTTCAAATCTTACTCTCTCGATTCCTGGAATTTTTTCCACTAAATCGGTCCAGTTTTTTCGATAAATAACTTCTCTTAACCCTTATCTACAAAATTGACGGATCAGTTTTCCCTAATTCTGACCGAAACCGATTTTAGAGCCATTTCCATGAGGCTTACCAAGCGCGCGAATAGTGTAAAACTAGACTTTTACTGTACCTGTTGTTGTTGTGAGTTGGCAAATTGCTGAAGAAGGAGCTGTTGCTGGAGGAGTTGGATTTGCTGGACGCTGAGTTGCGGAAGCTGGAGACTTTGGGGAATAGCTCGGGCGAGATTGGCGGCTTGCTGCAAGTTGTGCGCGTTCATGATTTGGCTCTGCTGGTGGAAGGGTTAAATGGTTAACAACATAAATATGAGTAAATATGCATTTTTGTTAATGTGTCGATTTTCATGTCAATAAAAAAAATTTTCAATATGGAAAAATTACCGAGTTAAAAATTTCGTTCAATAGCTAAAATCAACCATTTTCGAAAAAATTTTTAAACCGAAGTCAAATTCCTTGATCAAAAATAGTTCCATAAGTTCATATTTTTCTTAGATGAATTTAAAAAACTTTTCGCAGCCAAAATCCTGACTTTGCCTGTTTATAGATTCAGCTGAAAGCCCGTAAAATTATGAGGCGACTCCAAAACCGTCAGACGATGACGTCATCAATAACGCTAGAAGTTGGCAAAAATGACCATTTCGGGAAAATTTTGAGTCAGTTTTTGGGGTGCAGGGCGGCCACGTTCTGCACTCAAAATTTTCGGAAATCGATTCTTTGAGTTTTGAGGATCATTTTCTCTATTGTCGTAAAATTCTATTTCGACTCCTTGACCCTCAAAATCGACTTTTAAAAGCTTGATTTTCGGGCTTTTTAGCTAAATTTGCCCATTTTTCGGTCGATCACCAATCTTCAAACCCTTTTTCTTAGTGAAACCCTTAACATATCACCATACACTTGTCGGTGCCCTTGACAAGGGTCTCAGCTAAATTTTCAACATAAAAAATTTTGATCAGTTAAGGTCATCATAATGATATCCATGTTTGAAAAATATTTTCACTTTAACCTATCGTTGCGACACCCTTAAGAGGCCTATGAGCTTGTTTTCCTTCTGATGCCCTAGAGCAACTATCGAGCTACAGAATTATCAAAAAATGTTTCAAAAATCTTAAGGGGATCAATCCGATATCCGTGTTTGAAAAAGTCATTATCACATGACGGAGGGGTCCTTAACTTCTCAATACACGGGCGGGCGACTAAGCGCTCAAAACACGGGGTCGGGAAAACCGACCACCAAGCATTATTCAGCCCGCGCGGCGCGCCAAATTCGGAGTGTGAAAAACAGCGCCGACTATTTTGATCTCTCATTCATATTTCCGTCGAGATAATAAGTTTAAAACTATACTGTTAGAAAGCCCGAACACTCAGCTATTTATTCATGTTATTATCAAGGAGAAAAAACCCTTCAATTTTTCAATAATGAGCTCGAAAGAGGTCGTGTGCAAAGCGCCATCCCTCTTGACAATCTTCACGAAACTTCGCAGAGTGGTTCGGTTTGTTCATATAAGTGCACATTGCAAAAATTAGCTCAAACGGATTACAACCTTTGAAGTAATTGAGGGCCAAAGTCGCCGTGGTCGGTTTTACCGACCACGTGTATTGAGAAGTTAAGCTTAGCTGAAAGCGTTAAAACTGATATGAATCAAGTAACATCGTAAAAAAATTCTCATGCAGAACGCCATTCTGCATTTGCAGAACGCCGTTCTGGCAGAACGTGGCCGCCCGTCACCCGTTTTTTGGGCTTTATTGACGGAATTTTCTCATGTTCTATAGCTCAAATTGATCCATATGAAAAACTCTACTAAGGTTTTTGATAAGTTTTCATTTCCTCGAAATTTTTTTCGGGAAATTCTAGAGCCAAATTCTTCGATTTTTTCCTAATCCGTAAAAACCTTTGTATAGTTTTTAATAAGCTTTCATTTGCGCTATCAAACACCGAAAAATTCAAGCAGGAACACTGTTAAAATAGGACTCAAAGTTTGGGTTTTGGAATTTCTGACGTCATTTGTGACGTTATTCTTTGGAAAATTTCGAAAACGACTTGGTCGAATCTACCCAAAATTTGACGGGCTTTCTGTAGGGCTGAAAATCTGACAATGTCAGAATTTTGCGAAAAACCTGAAAATGGCAACATGGGCAACAAGGGCAACATAGGGCAACAAGGGCATCTGAAAAAAACAGCTTCAAGTCTCCAAAACCTGAAAATGGCAAGTTGGCTGAAAAGGCTTGAAAATGGCTGAAAACATGTTTGTTGCACTTGTTGCCTTTGTTGCCATTTTCAGGTTTTACCGAATTTCGCCTGCAAAAAGTTTTTTATAATCATCTTACGTCAACTAAAAGTTTAGTTACCTATAACTTAGGCTATAAGTTATAAGTTATAAATAATTTTTACATAACTGATAAGCCATTTAAGGGCCTTGTTATAATTAATTGGTCGCTTTGCGTTTCGGCGTTAACAGAACCGACATGATAAGATCTTTTCAAGTTTCCTTTAGCAAAGTTCTCTTCCTTGATTCCAGAGTATATTCTTTTGAATACAAATCAATCTATTTTTAAAATTTGAAAAATTTCATTCTCGGAAAAATGTAAAACTTAATGCTTTCAAAAACAAAAACTTCATTCAAAATATAATTTTTACCTTGGGAATGTGAATCATCTTCTGATTCTTCATAGCCCAGAGTCGCAACATCCGAAGCAAATCCAGCGTCCATTGACTCTTCTTCTTGAGGAGCAGGAGTGTTGTCTTCTTCAGCGGCTGGGCTAAAATTTCTGAGTTAAATTTAGGGATCACCCCCCCGTTTTGGCCATCTTTGACTGGGAATTCAGCCGATTTGCGTTCATGAAACCAGACGTACAAAAGCACTTCTAAAAGCTCAAGTACTATCCGCTATTCTCTTGCTCAGAGCAATCATTTGCTCAGGGCAAACCAACTGAGTGGTCGATCTTGGGTGAAAGACGATCTGTAATTGAATTTTTATTTGAAAAAAGCTTTTCTGTGTTTCACAGGAACGGACTTATCACTGTCCAAGTCCGGAAGTCCGGTCCATATATTTTAATAGCAAAGACTTACTCGACTTGCCTCGATTTTCTTAAAAATATCCTGATATTCAGAGTATTATACTCTCCCATACTTGGAACTAGCTTCCGGAGGAGATTCATAACTTTTCTCTACTTTTCAAAAGTAATTACTCAAGTTCAAATGTGAACCGAGACCAGTGTTTGAAAAAATGATGAGCGCGAGCCGCGAGCGAGCGTAAGCGAGCGAGGGTGTAGGGCGGCCACGTTCTGCAGCAGTACGGCGTTCTGCAAATGCAGAATGGCGTTCTGTAAGTACAGAACGGCGTTCTGCACTCAAAAAATATATTCGCTTCGCGCCTGTTTTGAAGGAAATCTCAGAATTTCTTAAGTCAGGAGTTACTCTTTAAGCTTCGCTGGATGCTGATCAGAATCAAGTTACATCGTAAAAAAAAATCCTTATGCAGAACGCCATTCTGCATTTGCAGAACGCCGTTCTGGCAGAACGTGGCCGCCCGTCACCCGCGAGCGAGCAAGCGCTCATTCTCACTCACTCACGTAAAATTTCAAGGCCACTGCTCACGCTCACTCGCTCAACTTAAAATTGCGAGATCTCTGCTCGCGCTCACTCGCGCTCGCTCACGACCTTTTTTTGTAAAAATAACGTCCGATTTGCGAAATCTTTCCTGATTTCATTTTAAGGGCACTACCGTCGATTCCCCCAAGTTGAGCCTTGAATAACTCAGGACTTAGTTATCTAGGCGGTCCCTTTATCGGCGTATTGAATAGATCAATCCTAGATCTTAACCTTAACAGAGAGGTTTCTCAATTGATTAACAAAAAACAGCTAAGTTTCGGCTTGAAGTCAATATCTTTGCCAAAATGGCCTAAATAAAGGCTTGAATAATCTCAATAGTTGTATCCGATTTTCGAATAAATTCTTGAGCATAAACACATAAATAAGAGACGAAATGAAAAATTCAGTATCGTGGACTCTACGGAAGCTTTCCGAATTATGACATCGTTTACATTGATAACGAAGAGCCTTCGTAATGGATGGTCTAATTATGAGAGTCGCTAAATTCTCAATCAAAGTCCTAATAAACTATTCCCGGAAAAGTTAATCAAGAAGAAAAAAGGCTCCGGTTTACTGAGCGCTGCTGAATTCGTCGGTTTGCTGAAAACGTCGGTTGCTGAAAACGTCGGTATGCTGAAAACGTCGTGTAACCGAATTAATTTCTTTAAATTGAATTATGATTATATTTTCAATTTGATCGCCGTCTGCCCAAGATCGCCGTTTGCCTAAGATCTCCGTCTGCCCAAGTTGGTTTCTTACCTGTTACAGAGAGGGTGTTCCCTATTGAAATGGTCGAAAATATCTGATTTTCGACCTGGTTCGATCGCTCCTCGTGGTATCGGCTCGTCAGCGCGGCCCGGCTTCCACTGACAAATCATGCAGCGTCTCCAGGGATTATGAGTGTTGTACACTCGTCTTAGCCAGGAAGCTAATTCCTCCTGGGACGAGAAGGTCATTTTGACTCTAAATATACAAGAAAAACGATATATTTTCGAAAATTGATATATTTAAGAAGGGGGTCGACGAGAATCGGGATTTCTGATTCCATTTTCGCGAAGATGCACCAAAAATGGTCAATTTTTTTACAATTTTGTTCATTTCGACCCCTAAATCTAATTAAATTAGACTAATTTTTATCAAATGATTTTATGCTCAACAGATTCGGGAGAATCAGTAGATTCCAAAAATATAAGATTCATATCCTGACTATGTGTATAAGCGAAATTACGATCATTCCTGGAAAAATTCTCGTCGACCCCCATAAATAAAACGGAAAACATATTTTGTGCGGCGATTTTACAGATAAATAAATTGACTAGTACAGTCATAGTTAAGAAGGCGACGCGGCGGCGAACGAGTTTGGCAAGAGATCTTTTTGGGTTGGGGCAGGTATAAATACACGGCGCAGATTACCAGCGCCGCGCCTGTCACAAACGAACTCTGTCGATTCAGTTCAGCACATTTTCAAAAGATGGATTCATTAAGACGAGAAGCCGTGTCGTTGCGGCTTTGGAAAGCAAATTATGAAACTGTATTGAACCGTGCCTGTATTTGGAAGCCGAAGTAGATGACGGAAAGGATGGTGGAGACGATGATGGCGATGCTGGATGCGAAGCCCTTGAAAATGTTGTCCGCGTACTTGATGACGACGGCGATCAACAGGCCCCCAAAAGCCTGGTTGAAGACCACAGCCAGGGCGATGCCGTTGAAGCCAAAGAAGATTCCCTGAAACAGTTTTAGCACGAGAAAGAAAAACCGAGAAAGATGAATTCGGCTTTTTAAAATCTCAACTTTTCTCAAAAGAAGAGTCGCTTACTTTTTGGCAATTTGTTCTCCGTCTTTGGCGATCATTCCAATTCCGGCGAGAACGGCGGCAAAAGGCCGAGCTGTATGTTCCTCAGCCAAATGGAGACTTGTCCTGTCTTGAGGATTTTCTCAAAAAGACGCCGGCGAAGCCAGAAAAGAGGCAGGAAATGAGGACTGCGGAGAAGCTGTTTCTTCAGCAGGGCGACGGAGAAAAAGCAGTCGTCAGGATTTTCAGCTGGTAGGAAACTGAAAACATCGATTTGACTTTTTCCTTGATTTAAAAACGGGTGACACTATTTATTAGGATCAAGGAAACGCTCGCGGAGCCAGTTGGGCTCGGCAACCTTAGTGGAAACTCTGAGTCAGGGTTCTAAAACAGTAAAATAAAAAGCCGCGTAGCGGCTTTTTTTAAAAACGAAGCCGCAAAGCGTCTTCGCTAGTGAAAGTAAATCATTTAATGATTTAATCATTTAATGATCCCTTAATAAGGGATCCCCCTGATTTCGCCAACTTTGACCTCTATCTACTTTTTTGAGCTTACGTAGGAAGCTGGTTTTGGGCGCATTAGAAAGCCCGCGTTAGAAGGAGCAAATTCTGGTAGAATCAGCTTGCCAGCATAACATTCGCTTATGCATTACAGGCCGTCAAAGTGATTAAAGTTGGCGAAAATGGCTATTTTTGACCATTTTCAAATCGTATCTACTTTTTTTGGGGCTTTTTAATCACCAATATTTTTGCTTCTATAGATAGCTCAGAGCCTAAACTTAATATTCTGGTAGAACCAGCATAATTGGATGAGTGAAAAAAATTTTCCTAGTTGTAGAACTTTTTGGAGCCATTTTCGGCATTTTTTGGTGGTTAAATGCTCTCTAGCGCCAACAAATGGCCGAAGATTCTAGTGCGGATATCATATTCGTAATCAGCGCATTCTAAGCTTTCGATCAACCCCTTACTTGTCCTCTTTTGATAACGATGAAAAATTGAAAAAATCGCGATTTTCACGCTAAGTACAAATTACATGCATTTTCTCAAACCTTGAAGGCCAAAATTTTTGGGATGCATTTATGTAGAGGGTACTATAATATATCAAAATGATCCTCAGAACACGAGGCATCTAATGATAGGCGAAAATGAGCTGCGCCAAAGTTTTGAAAAATCGGGGGTGATCCCCTTGGAAACTTTGGCGAAGCCGCTTTGCGGCTTTTTATTAAATAAAGCCGCTAAGCGGCTTTTCATTTACTGTTTTAGAACTCTGACTCAGGTTTTCTACTCAGGTTGTCGAGCCCAGCCAGTCAGACAGCAATGAACTTGCTCAAACAAATGCCCAGAAATCAAGTAGTTTAAAAATGAGTACCTTGAAAAGTAACTGCTGGAAGATTGGAAACCGCCAGATAAAACAAGTTGTTCTGGACGGTGTAGATGAAGCTGGGAACGGCGACTTTGAGCGTGTCCCAGGGCCGGTTGATGATCTCGCTGCTGATCTCGCCGTAGAAAGAGAGCACATTGCACTGGAACGGTTTGAAGGCTGGAAAGGTACCTTGTGGCTGCCGACGAGGAAATCAAAGAAGAAGCGACGATTTTTAAGATTTCGCAAAAGAACACTGCTGCGGTATTGAAGAACTTGTCTCCCTAAAAACTTTGCTTAGGAGTTGTTTTTAAATAAAGAATCACCTCGTCTGTTCGTGCTTTGCGCATTGCGAGCACCAGGGAGGCATTTTGAGCGACTAGAAGGACGAGGGCGAGCGTCTTGACCCATTCCACCCCGCTCGAGTCTGAAAACAAAATTCTCGTTTTTTGAAAAAAGCTTGCGGCGATTATCAGGTTTTAAAAGCGTAAAAATAAAATCTTTTTACGGTACAAATTTTGAGGGATGAGAGTACAAAATATGCTAGCGCGCGAGAAAAATATAACTGACTTCTTTATTTTCTCTAATTTACGCATTGTTCTCTTTTCTTTTTTTGATTTCTTTTTGAATCTTGTAATCCCTCATTTGATTCGCCAATGAATGAGGCGACGAATCACCAAAATCAGCGATTCTTTTCAAGAAAAACTGATTTTTATAGATAAGCGAAAAGGAGTAAATGAAAGCGTTATGTTCAGGCTTATTTTTGATACAAAAAATGATTCATAGAAGCAAAGTTACGCGAAGAATTATTATTATTTAATATTTGATGTTGAAAATAGTTCCCACGGAAGATTTTTTAGAATTCATAATTACTAAATTACTTGAGTTCTCTGTCCTCATCATTTTGTAATTCATTTTCCTCTGGAATTCCCGACTCTGGCTTGTCCTTTTTATTATCTGCAAGTTGCAGTGCAACTTTATCATTTGCCTTCTTATCAGCTGCAGTTCCCTTTGGAGCCATTTTTAATCCACTTAGTAAGTTTTCCGGTCTTTTTCAGTCTCTTACTTATTTAATTTTTATTCAATAAAAATTTTCATGTCTCAGCGCATCAAAAGCAAAGAATTTGTCATTTTTTCGTTGTTTAGCAGATGTTGCAGAATGGGAAACAGTGAGAAACAAGAGTGTGTTTGTGCGATAAGTGGCAGTGTAGAATAAATGTTTCTAAAATGGATTTGTCAGGTGGGATTAAGGCGAGTGAGTTGAATTCGTTGAACTAGTTAATTGTGATTGACGCGGATAGTGTATCCGTGTCGGGCGACGACATCCTCGGATTCTAGAGCCTTTTCATGGTTCAAAAGATATTTCAGAAATTTTCAGCTACAGTTAAGTCCTGAACAGCAAGATCAAACTGTTGGGTCGTAATTGCTTTATCAGTAAATCGTCTCCAAATGCTAAGAAGTACGATTGCCTTGATAGTCTGTCCTTGAACCTCTCTTTCGATCACAACATTGAGCGCGTTCTTGTGCTCTTCTTGCTGGGCACGCGCGTGGGCGGAAATTCCAGTGGTCTGAAATGCAATTTTTAGGTTTTGAAATCAAGGAAGACTTTCTTACCAAATGGAGATATCGATTGCGCCAGTTTTTGGATCCATGATGGACTGCTTCAGTGCCTCTCGGTAGAGCCGAACAGCTTCTTCTACGTCCATTTTGTCGACGACATCCGAAAGACGAGCCTTCGCATGGGCCTCGGAAAGTCGAATGAGTGATTCTAGTTGACGCGGGTAAGCGCAAATTGCTTTTCTATTCGCTCCGACTTGTCGCATTTTGATGTAAGAATTGACAAGCTCTGTTTTTGCCTCTACATTAAGCACTGGTTTGACCATGGCTCGGGCGTAACCGAGGTAGTCTCTCAGCAACTTTTGGTCGAGATGTTGTTGATCATCGTTCATCACATCTTTTCTGTCGGTATGATACAGTGAGACCAAATATGCGGCGAGTTTTCGATCGTAAGCTTCGTCCTTTGGATCGAGCACCAAAAAGATTAGATCGAAACGCGACATGAGCGTGTGCGGCAATTGGATGTCTTCCACGATTGTTTTGTTTGCGTTCCAAGCTGATTCGACGGGATTGGCAGCGGCGAGGACAGATGTACGAGCGTTGGGGCGACAAATGATGCCTGCTTTGGCGACGGATAAAGTGCAGAATTCCATTACTTCGTGGAGGACGGAGCGAGTAGACTCAGTCATCTTGTCAAACTCGTTAATGCAGCAGATACCGTTGTCGGAAAGAACAAGAGCTCCAGGGCCTGGAGTCCAGGCTATTAAAGGGATATTCGTCTCTGGATCGTTTTTGGCAGTCGCAGGGTTTCTCACTGAAGTACTTTTGTCACTGATTGTTGAGATCTGGGTCAGATTCTTGCGTCAGATGTTCATGGTTTTCTGTCACTTTTACAGGCCTCGACTGCTTCTTACTGAAATAGAAAGCTTCAAAATATGCTTCAGAGAAAGATAAACCTGTAAAGCTCTATTGTCTTTGCGTAGTAGCGGTACATAAATTCTGGATTCATCCATTGAGCAGCAAGAGCATTGGCATTAAAAGCAATTTGGCGAGGTTTATCGTTATTGTTTCTCGCCCATTCGATTTTCTCTCGAAGGTCGGATAGATCTTCTTTAATTGGAATGAAGTGCTAGAAATAATCAAACGAGAGAAATTTGCTTCAAGCGCTTACCACCCATGGCTTCATATATCTATACCACCACTCGTAATTCATCGACTTTTGCTTAAGAATCACCGAGTCCATTTGCATCAACAATGCTGTTCGATAAGGCGCAACAGTGCCATCCACAAGGACTTGATACTTAAACTTCCCCATGTCAGGATAGGACACGTGTTTCACTTGCTCGCCATATTTCTTCGGGTCTTGACCTTTTTTATTGTGCAGATTCCTCGTCAGTCTGGCGTCGACGTCCTCAGGATGTTTCATCGAAAGTTCACAAAGTGTTAGGCGGGAAGGATTCGAATCTCGTCCGCGGAAGTAGCCCCGTTCTATCTCATCCTCCCAAGGAACAACTTCCCCTACGAAAGAAGAAAAGATTAGAATGTTTCATGGATGATTTGATCTCCGAAATTTTAGACGCGATTCAGAAACCTGAATTTTCACCTGATATCTGTTCAACGTATTGAATGTCTTTCCTCTCTCGAAACAAGGCATGCCTCGTGTTCTTGGTCTGATCCCATGTCGGAAGCGCAATGTCTGTCGTGTTATCGGATCCGCACCATGTCAAAATCGGCTCAAAAGTTCTTGATCTTTGATGACAACATGAGCAGTCGCTTCACCGTGTCCTCCCGCTGCCCATTTCCTTTCCTTCTTTTCTTCCTTTTTCCATCTTTGTAAAGTCGGTCTAGATCAATTTCGCCAAACTGGGCCAAATCTTCATCCAGCTCCTCGAAGTTCGAAGGACAATCGAATTCTTTGCAGAACTGCTCCAAGGTTGAGGGGCAGTAACAAGACTCGTCGTAGATTGGCTCGGGAAGAATTTCTGAAAAGAAAAAGATAATTTTATTTGAAGTCACGTTTTATGATCGTACTTCTCAAAACTAGCTGTTTGTTGTACCGCACATTTATTATAAATTTAATTATAAATTTATTATAATGCCATTTGGAGCGGATCCGCGCATCCGATATCTGAAGAAGATCGACCCGTCAAACTTGAAGCCAATCTCCTTCTCGACTTTCACGTCGGCGTTTTTTTTGCCAGCATCTCCCACTTAATGTCATCTTTCTTCTTTCTCTGTTCTTCGTCTTTTTGTTGTCTGAAAATTTTTCTTTTTCTCAAGTCAAATACAATTTTTCATCGCGAGAAAGACTTTCCAAAAAACAAACTATAATCGGAAGATACCTCGATTGATAGTATGAACCCATCCCGCTTCTTGGACGGTTCTGCTCGTAACGTTTTTACCAGTTAGAAAGATACAGTAATAACGAACGCTTATCATGTTATATTTTTTCCGCGGCAGTGACGCTTCGAAAAACTATAATTTACAAACTTATTCTTCGATACCGTAGTTTCGTTTTTATTCAATATCCACAAGGGCATTTCGCACAGTGACTTGTTGAAATATTACCAAATTGCCAAAAAACTTGCATCATTCCAGAAAGGGTTGATTTTTTCCTAAAAGCTTCATCTTCTCACTCCTTGTTTTTCCACAGCTGTATTTTTCCTGTACCTCTTTTTCCACGAAGTAATCCAGCAAAAACAGGCCGTATAACATCTTACTCAAAATAAAAAACACAAAATAAAAAATTCTCTATGCAAAGAAGACTACCTCTACAAACGTTTCCACATTTTTTTGACCAACAGAAATCAGAAATTTCAGCAAAATTGGGACTTTTTCGTCATTTTTCGTTAAAAAGTCCGATTTTCAAACGCGATTTTGAGGGTGTTAGAGTCGAGATAGACCCCCAAAAAAAGAAGCCTCAAAATCGTCTTTTGACCTATAGAATCCATTTCCGGGGTCAAAATTATGAGATTCCGAAAATAGATTTTTCGAAAATTGTTGACGGGGAGGTCCTTAATTGACGTCTAATCAACTTATTGAAAATAATTACGAAAAGAAACGGGAGTATGTCTTAATTGAAGCCATTTCCTAGAGCGAGTAAAAACCAAAAATCGTTTTTAGGAGGTATTACCTTAAAGCTCACCGCTGGTTAGCCATAATGACGTTGTGTAATTCGAACATTGCAGTTTTTTGAAGGTACTTAAAAATGAGCTGGAGCTTACCTCACCTGTTTCCGGGCTGACCAGTTTAGAGGGACACACATTTTTAGACAAAAATCTTTTCCGACATAATGACAAAAAATTTGAAGATTTTAAATATTATCAGCCCCCTCCTATTTCCAGATACGTCGTTGAAATCATAGCCTCTATTTCTTTTTCTTCTTATTCTTCGGATCTTTGACGATGATGAATCTATGTATTCTAATTTATTAAAATATGCAATGGCCTTAAAAAAAGTGTGTATGAAAAGATATGCTGCGTTTCTATCGTCACTTCCAATATCAATCAGAATAGCTGATTAGACTGTGGATTAGATTAAGCCACGGACGGCTTAACTCCTTTACCAGGAAAATAATTGCACAAGAACGAAAAATCACTGGCCGTCAACAATAAGCCGTTCTATTGAAAATAAAGGGTCTGGAATTTGACTCTGGAAATGAACGATCCGCGCTCCGCAAGAACCTATTTCTCACGAGGCCGTAAAATCTGAACGGATCGAGATTTTTTCGAGATTTAAACAGATTCGGAAACCTCAAAGTCTCTTCTATAAACTGATCGAAAATTAAAACAATTTTCAAACAGGAACAATGTGAAAAGTGCCAGTTTCTTTCAAATGACATTTTCTCCATAATTTCTCATCCAAATTTTTTGAAAATTAGACTGTTATTGGGATCTTAGATTCGTTAGACTCCCTCGTCCCCTAAGGTCACTTGCTTATCTAGATCGAGCTTTGCTCGGTCGCCGCCGTGTATTTCTCTCCATTCGGTAATTCACGCAGTTCGTGAATTAACCTCTATTTTACTCCAGCTCGAAATACAGACGTCAAAGATACTTTACTCGTTTTCTTCACTCGTCCAGATATAGAGAGCAGGCAAACTACGCTAGAAGTGGGAGATTCAGCAGAAGCTAGGATCCCTTCAGTGGTGTCAGAAGCTAGGATCCCTTCAGTGGTATCAGAGTAGTCCCGTTGGAGAAAAGGTAAATTTTCCGCCATCGACAACCGAAGTTTCGCAACTTGGACGCTGATTGGCCGTCAGCGGAGTCGAGGGGAACCGAATCACCAACCGCCACCGCGCCGCCGGAGAAACTCCACTCAGAGAATTTTCCGCGCCGCACCACACCAACACCACCCCGAGCGAGCGCCACCACACGAGCGCCACCACGACCCACGCGCCGAAAGTCGCGCCCACGCAACCACGCACGCACGCCGGGGAAAACCTAAAATACTGAGAAAAACATAATTCTTTCGCCACTTTTCACCAAAAATCGAGAGAAGTTTACGAAGAATCGACCCTTGGACCAGACCTTGAAATTTCGACAATCGCTGGACAGAGAAATCGTCGGGCGTTTGCGCAAAAAGGCACCTCAGCTCATCATATTGCGACTTTTAGTCGCAGTATTTTCTGAGGGCCTGAAAGGTAATCCAAGGCCCATAAACCCTTACTGCCGATATATTTCGAGCTATGGCGGCGAACAAATCACTGCTAGAAACCGTCACCGAAATAAGAAGCATAAACGATCGAGTAAACTACCTCGAAGAACAAGTGCGAAATGACGAATCACTAAAGCCAAGCCTAGAGCCCTTGATCACAGAAAGCAGAGTAAAATTAGAACAGCTCAGTACAACGCTTCTTACCTGCGAGCTCGATCAAGGAAAAGACTCTACGAATGCGACAATGAGAGAAGAAGCATGGGTGGCCACTACCTGGTCTCGTCACGTCCAAGACTTGCCGAAGCTGGACGCCGCATGCAACACATCTTTCAACACCTTCTTGGGCAGAGCCGACATTTATCACCGCGCCTACGTCCGCGACAGACCTTCACGTGAACAGCCTTTCATCGCAGCAGTGTACAGCCACTTCGACTTGAACATCGAACGCTCACTTGGAACCGAATTTCTGAATTGTCAAGACTGGAAATCGGCCAAGGCGCTGCTAGAGAAATCATTCGCCGCGAAGAGTCACTACTTACTGAAGCTAAGCGAAGTTTTCGACGTCGAATACGACCATTCGAAGCCGTTTGCACACTACACCGCCAACGTCTTGCAAAAGATGAACGAGGCGAAGCAAGCGACTTTGAACTCTTACCGACAAGAGAAGTCAGCCGACGCCGGGGTCGATGAAATATTTGACATATTCTCGACGATGATGCTGTACTTGAATCTTAGGAAAGAAGAACCAGACGTTTTCAACGCAATCCTTCCAAGCCTATCAAAAGTTTACGATATCAACGAACTCTGCCGTCTCGCCCAATCCACAAGACAGAATCGAGTTGACAGCGCGACCGTCTCCCAGCACTTCAACAGAAATAAGAACAAAAGAAGAAGAATGCTAAGCGCGCCAGCAACGATTCTAAGGATGGGAAAGACGATAAACAACCAGAATCCAAGAAGATAAATACGACTAAGAACGTTGAAGATTTCCAACCATTCGACGTTCACTTTTACACAGTGAAGAAGAAGCGACCAGGAAAGGCTTATTTCGCTTCGGCTACCATCATTACGGGCTCTAAAAGTTTTGACGTATCGATGGAAGTCGACAGCGGAGCCGAGTCCTCCTGTCTGTCCGCTGCTTACGTTCCCGACGAATTTCTCCAGATGCTGAAGCCCTGTCCCTTCAAGGTCACCGGTTTCAGCCCAAATATTCCCGCCGAGCAGCCGATGGGTATCCTTCCCTGCCGCTTATCATTCAATGGTGGCCCTGCATTCTCCCTGAATCTCACCATTATGCCAGGCAGTAAATACCCAAGTCTACTGGGCCGCGATATACTAGAGAATGCGATGACGGACAGCTTCACAGTCGACAATAAGAATCGTACTCTCTCATTTTGCTACAACGAAGCCTTCACACAAACTGAGACTCAAGTGGTGAAGCTGGACGGAGTGAAGCGGACCAAAATCAAGAAATACTTGACTACTAGATCAGCGGTCAAGGATAGCGATCGATCCCGCACTCAACCGCCACCAAAAGTCCCAAAGCTGGACGCACCTAACAAGAACGCAGCCAGGTGCCCCATTCAGCTAGCGAAGCAAAAACTCGGAATTACCCTACCAGCAAACGCCGACCCGGGGCAAAAGAAGGTGGTCGCCGAGCTGTGTTTGGATTTCGACGACAGATTCGGCTGCGACGGTCAAAAAATGGGTGAATTCCCATTCGAGATCGAAATCCCGACTGATGGTACGAGTCGAAACATCAGTCAACACCCTATTCCGCAAGCTTTTCATGGCCAGGTCACTGATCACATCTCCGAACTGCTCGATACGAAAATAATAGAAGAGATCAAGGACCAGAAAGGGTTTAATAGCCCCGTTCTGCCAATCCCTAAGAAATCTGGGGAAATGCGCTTCTGCATCAACTACAAGAACAGCTTGAACAAATGCCTCTCCGACAAATCCGACCCATATCATCTTCCGAGCATGGAGGATACGATCGCGAACATTGGACCGGGCAACAAGTATTTCGCCACAGTTGATTTGCGGAGCGGATATTGGCAGTGCCCTATTAAGAAAAGCGATAGGTATAAGACTTCCTTCCAGTGGGGTGGGAAATCTTACGCCTTCTGCAGATTACCTTTCGGTTATCGATGCTCGGGGAATATATTCTCGCGCGTCGTAAACACGATTCTCGACTCAAGCCCCACCAGGAAGAAGATGCTTTCTTATATCGATGACATAGTATGTTTTGGGAAGTCTTTCAGCTGCTATTACAACACTCTCCGAAACCTATTCATCGCGCTCCGCAAGTTTAACGCTAAACTCAAGGGCGAAAAGTGCTCTTTCCTACAATCAGAAGCTCACTTTTTGGGCCGAATCATCAACGAAGAAGGAATCAAACCGGACCCTGCGCAAGTCTCCGCCCTTCGTCAGATGAAACCCCCACGCTCCCAAAAGGAGTTAGCTTCATTAATCGGGTCATTGAATTGGATCCGAGGTTTTCTAGAAACAAAAATGGGCGAAGCTATTTCATCCGGTTGCTTCTCGAGCAGAATGAAACCCATAAACGATGTTCGAAATTCGGCGAACGAAACAAATTGTTTCAAGTGGACCAAAGAAGCGGATTTGGCGCTCAAGGAAATTCAACGACGACTCTCCGAGACTCCTGTCATAAGCTTTCCTAACTTTGACGAGTCTTTTCACCTCTACACAGACGCGAGCCTGTACGCAGCGGGTGGTGTTCTGCTACAAGAGTATGGCGGGAGAGTGCACCTAGTAAGCGCGATTTCCCACACCTTCAACAAAGCTGAAAGAAAATGGAACACTTCAGAAAAGGAAATGTTTAGCATTGTCTGGTGCTGCGAGCGACTGGAAAAGCTCCTGAAAGGTAGATTCTTTCAGATTCACACAGACCACAGATCTTTGATCTTCCTACACAAAAAGAAGTTCAAGAATTCTAAAATAAGCCGATGGCAAAGCCGATTGGAAGAATTCGATTTTCACATTGTCTACATCAAGGGATCAGAAAATCAATTCGCCGATTTTATGAGCCGCAGACCTGGCGAGGACGACAAATCACTTGGATACGACTCTGAGTTTCCCGTTGGTCGCGAGTACGAAATCGACAAGAATTCACCAGTACGTGTCTTCGTCCCTTTCTGGAACGAAAATCAGTTTCCGGAGAAAATCACTTTATCAGAGGTGAAGATACATAAGGTAAACGTCAAGGCTATCGCGGCGCCAATGGAGATTCCGTTGGTGTCAGCGAATTATAATAACATTCTGGACTATCAAAGGGAGGACTCTGCTCTGAGTGCAATCATCACTTTTCTGGAATCTGGTAAGGAGCCACTGGACATAAAATCGCTGGTGAAGGACTCCGACCACCGACAATCGTCTCTACTCAAGATGGAAAAAGCTCTGTTCCTGGATAACACTACCGGGTGCTTGATGTGTCAATTCAAATCTGGCGCGCGGGCGGTGGTACCGGAAGCGGTAAAAGTCACTTTCTCTTTCTAGCTCACGACTTGTCCGGTCATCTGGGCGAGCCGCGGACTTTAGAGCGATTAGAGGACGTTTGGTGGCCTTCATTTCAAGACGATGTTTCTAACTACGTCCACAGCTGCGTCCCTTGCCTACGCAGAAAAGGATCTGCTGGAACTCGTACCAAACCGCCACTTGGAACCCTTCGTCGTGGAAAAACAGCTGGCGAATCGATTCAGATCGATTTCGCTTGTATGCCTCCCGCTGGCGGATTCAAGTATTATTTGGTGGTGGCGGACACTTTCTCTCGCTACACTTGGTGCATTCCGACGCGGTCCGACACTGCTATCTGCGCTGCAAAAGCGCTCATCTACAAGGTCTTCCTTCCCATGGATTTCTTGCCGAAACATCTACACAGTGACAGAGGTACCCACTTCTGCGCAAGCGTGATTGACGAAATGTGTAAGCTTAACCAGATAAAACATACAATAAGTACCGCATTTCACCCTCAATCAAACGCTTTCGCAGAAAGAGCGAATCGGACTATCAAAAACAGTCTATTCTGCATGGTCAACTCATCTTCCGGTCGAAAAACTTGGGCCGACTGCGTTCCCCACGTGATGCGCGCGCTCAATAGTGTGAAAAACAAAAGCACGAAAATTTCACCGCGAGAAGTTTGGTTTGGCCGAAAAAGTACTTTCACCCACTCTACTGGCGCAGAAATGACAGCGGAAACACCTCAGGTGTTTGGTCTCAATGTTGGAGCTTTAGCGAAATCGGCGGAAGCCATTGTGAAAACTGCGATGGAAGCTGCTGACCGAGCCATGGAGCACAGGCTGAAAAACGAGCCTAAGCCGAGACCAATCCCGCTGGCGCTGTCGTGTACATTAAGCGAGAAAACCTGACCGACGCTAAAAGCAAGAAGGAACGCTGGGTAGGTCCCCTGAAAGCCGTTTCGAGCAACGACTGGGTCGTCATGGTCGAAGATAAAGGACAACGTGATTTCATCCATCGAGAACACGTGGTTCACGCCGCAGAACGAAATCACGACTTACGCTGGATTGATTACTACGAGGCCGAGTACGTATTCCCACATTTAACCGAAATCGTTAAGTCGAAAGTCCCACAAAAATCGCCTGTTCCTACTTCCAAACCGATGGAAAAGTCCGGGTCGAAGTCGCATGGGGGAGGAAATCTTCTCAGGTCGCGTCGACTCCGATGGTTGCTATGGAAAAACCGCCAAGATCATCTCTATCACCTATTTTGGAAAGTAGACGCCGATTGGACATGGAAAATCTGGGAGATACAACCGCTACATCTATTTTGGACTCGTCGGTAGCTCCAGCCGAGCCGTCAGATCGCTGGTACTCTGGTGGTACTCTTTATGAAACTGCCGAGGACATGTCAGCTGATGCTACAGCGATTTCGGAGGTTGCTGCGCCCGACAATAGCCATATGTCAGTCGATAAACAAAATTCAACAGTAGTTGAGGGCTCAGCAACTGAAAACAGCAAGAAAAGAACCCGTCCAAAGTCTTCACCAGATCGTCAATACTCAGCCGGCGCCGATCCGAATGCGACTTTAACCGAAGTTGGAGCAGCTCATCTCCCGAAACATACAAAACGAGCACACCGTGAAACGAGGCCCGTCGAACCTCTAAACATCGGCACAAACTCGGGTCAGTCATACGACTAAGCGCAAGTACTGCCCCACTCAGGTCCCCTATTCATCGACCGGGGCCTGAAAAGGTACGGAAATTATCACAGTTTACCGTCGCCGACGTATTTTGAGTTCTTCTACATGTGCAGCTACTCCTTCATGTCATCACCGCTCGGACATCACGAAAACTTCGCATCTGATTCAAGCTTTTTCCCAAAAAGGGTTTTTAACGCGAATCAGACTGCCTCGACGTTTCGAACCTGCCATGTTACTCATCTTACGCTTATACTCCTGCAAAAATCACACACTTTGGCCTTAGAGGACGTTTCAGTCTCATGGGGGGTATTGGGATCTTAGATTCGTTAGACTCCCTCGTCCCCTAAGGTCACTTGCTTATCTAGATCGAGCTTTGCTCGGTCGCCGCCGTGTATTTCTCTCCATTCGGTAATTCACGCAGTTCGTGAATTAACCTCTATTTTACTCCAGCTCGAAATACAGACGTCAAAGATACTTTACTCGTTTTCTTCACTCGTCCAGATATAGAGAGCAGGCAAACTACGCTAGAAGTGGGAGATTCAGCAGAAGCTAGGATCCCTTCACTGTCTTGTAGAAAATCGTCAGCTCTACAATTCCTGTGTTTCAGATTTTTCATTTGGGCTTTCAAAAATTATGTGCGCTCTTTTGAAAAGAGAGTTATTCTCGCCCGCACCAAGAGCAGCGAGAGAAATATTCAGCGGAGAGGCGCGAGAAGAAGTAGCGCTCTTTACAAATTGCGATGTAAAATTAATGAAAGCTTAAAACAAAAATCTGAAACACAGGAATTGTAGAGCTGACGATTCTCTACAAGACAGTCTAATTTTCAAAAAATTTGGATGAAAAATTATGGAGAAAATGTCATTTGAAAGAAACTGGCATTTTTCACATTGTTCCTCTTTGAAAATTGATTTAATTTTCGATCAGTTTATAGAAGAGACTTTGAGGTTTCCGAATCTGTTTAAATCTCGAAAAGTCTCGATCCGTTCAGATTTTACGGCCTCGTGAGAAATAGGTTCTTGCGGAGCGCGGATCGAGCGAGCGGCGCTGCGCCGATGTATACCATTACCCTTAAAAACAACTTAACGAGTTAACAGTTAGACGATGCTTGATGCGCTCAGAGACGAGTAAATCGATGTGAAAGCAAGTCATTTTGATAAGAATCATGGGATGTTTACCTTTCTTGATCGCGGCTGAGTTGTCAACTTCTCAAGATCGACTGGCTTCAAATCTGTATCTACGCAAATATAACGGCCAGCTCCGATCTGCAAATTATCAGCTCTTTGGAAAAATAAGAATCAAACATAAATTAACAATTTTCTTGAACAATCTAAAGAAGCAAAAAAAAGCAGTAGTATTCTCATTTTAAAACTCTTCGATGGCTATTTCTAAAGTGTTTATTTATCAAATTTCGATACTGTCATATCTCCAGGCAGTTATGAATATGAGTGTTTGAAAGCCGCGCTAGAATCATCAAAGTATCAAGGTCATATCGAGTTCGCATTAAAAAATCGTTACCAACGCGTCGGAGACCTCGACGCGATGCTAGGTGAAATGAGTTTGGTTTTCATTACATTCGTAGTCGACAAAAGCGCGATCTTTTGCAATAAAAGATCAAAAGACGAGGGTTCTTGAAAATAGAAATGTAGGTAGAAATAACAACGGTAATCGCCGGGGCAAAGGTAGAAGTCGCGAAAAAACGATGGTGATTACTATGAAAATATTGCGCGTAAAATAAAGTTTTTATAGGGTTGTTTAAACTTTTTTAAAATTGCTCTTTCGTAACTTTAAAATGAACCTTTTTCTTAGTTTAGAAGATTTTGAGAACAGCTAGTCTTCAAAAAAGAAAACAAGCTGAGAAAGGAAGAATATTTCGCAACACGTTCTACCCCCGGTAAAAAAAAGCATAATAGTGGCTCGTCAAAAATTTGGTTAATGTTGCACAGGCTGACGACTCGTTAGAAGGAATGGCGTTCGCTGTAAGAATGCGGTAAACGTTTGTCTCAGCCTAATAGAGTTACTGTCACGGACAATCGTCATGATCTGATTCCTCAAATGCTCGTGTACAGATGGACAAATTTCATTTCGACATCATGAAATTTACAAAAAAAAGTTCATGTTCAATATTTTGTGATAACGAACATCTGTAATCCCGAAGCAAAAAAATGTTGACGTTTATAGAATCATTTCGGCATGAAGACCGTTACGTATCATGAAATCGTGGATCTATATTTGAATTAGCCGATCTGAGTGTACTTTGAAATGACACGTTCGATTAGAATCTTGAAAAAGATGAACATATATTATTTCCAACTTCACGGTTTAGAAGGAACATCTCGGTTTCGTTCAAATAATTCAGCGTCCATATCAAAATGTTACCAGCGACAATTCCGATCAAAACCAACGTCATTGCCAATATAAAAGTCAAAGTGTCTGGATAAGAAAGAAGACCAAATATAAACATGAAAATCTTAAGTGTTTTGTTGATTTCTTCAAGTGCACAGGACTACGATTCATTGGCTGGCGCACTTGGCGCGATATCCCTTGAAGAGTTCGCATTGCCAGACGAATTTGTTGCTGAAACTGACCTTGAGGAAGCAATTAATAAAGCTCTCGATGCCCTCGTTGTCGAAGCTACTGAAAATGAGGTCGACGCAGAGGTAAGATATTTCGGGCTAGCTTCCGCGACGACGACCACTACAACGCCAGGAACAAATACAACAACTCAATCTCCGGGAAGCGGTTGCTTTAAATGCGATGCTATGTCGATGACTTTATGTGCCGTTTCTGGAGTGTTCGAAACTTGTGAAGGAGAAAGCAGCAGCTGCTTCATCGAAGCCCGAGAGGTTAATCAACAGCTGACCCAGCTCTGCACTGGCTGCAAAAATCCACAGGCATGCTATAATTTACAACAAAGTAATTTTATAGGAACGTACCTACACCACCAATGCAAACCTCACTATGCTCAGCAGCAGGTTGGGCGGTGGAACTCCTGGTTATTCAATTTTCGGGAAAAACTCTCAACAACGAATATATCTTAGGTAACAATTCGATTCAGTACGATTTCGCCGCTCAGAAAACGAATCTTGTTGCTCGTGGTCACTTTGATAATCCCATCTCTTCGTATTCTGGTTCAGAAGCAAACCCTATCGGACTCGGGAACCCAACTTGGGCGGTCCATGATGAAACAAGTTCTATCAACATGAGGATGGATCCGTCTTTTCTGGACATAACTCAATGGAATCTCTACTTTGCGTCTTCGAATGCATCACCAAACGATTGTGTTCAACGAGGAAAAGATCACCCAAAAGCTCTGCCATTCGTGACCATGAATTCTGACAATGAGAGCGTCGCGATTTCTCCAACAACTACTGGAAGAGATCAAAGACGTAAGTTGCATTTATTCCTACATAAAACTAAAGTCTGCTCTTAGATATGGTATACTGGGGTGTTCTTGGAGCCCCAAAGTCATGGTGTAAGTCTGATTTGAGGCAAATTCAAGCTGAAATACGATCGGGTGGAGCTTCGAAAGTTATGCAGTAAAGACATGCGTAGTAGTTGCTTGCTTTTATAATGTTTCTATATGTCAAATAAATTCACTCCGAAAATTTTCCTTTTTTTTCGGATTTTATTGCGGAGAACTTTGGCGAGTGAAAAGCGTAGAAGACAGATTGATGCTTAAAAGTTGAATATATTTTTCTTTTTTGCTTCTGGTTCTGCCGCCATCTGGTTGAGTTCGCGGACGCCTTCAAGCACGTACCTGACTTCCGCTTTTGCCCCGCAGATTTCTTCAGTGAGCGCGCTGACTTTTGCCTCGAGCAGTTCTTCTTTCTTTTTACAGTGGTCCCGTGCTTCAACTTGGGTCAGCTCAAGAAACACTCCGTGTCCAAAATTCACAGCAACTAGCTCACAGTTATCGATTTCGGCATCGCAGTAGAAGTTATTTCCCAAATCAGCCTTTGTTCTTATATTTCCTTTACGCCCACTGGAGATGAATTTTTCCATCGTCTCGAATAACCGCCGATATTCAGATTGCTCTTTAATCACTTTGTCACGGTAGATCTACAGCTCTCTGATCTTCGGACGGAGATTAAAGTTGACATGCTTTTCGAAGGAGGTGATCTTTTCACTGCTCATGATCTAAAAGAAATACTTGAAATCAACAAAGAGAATTCTTAGTTTCTAAATGTATTTGAACCGAGGATACAGTTCTAAGGGACAGGGCAGTAAACAAAGCTGAGCTGACATCAATTGCAAGTCTATAAATTTGTCTAGAATTTGAAGTCTTTATACTTCTTGGATTTCTGGTCGGAGTTGTTTTCCGGTTTTTTTTTTCTCTTTCGATCGCGAGCGGTTTTGTTCAAGTGCTCGGCCATTATATCACTCAAAAATGTTCAGGCAAAGGCCTTTCTCCTAAATTTTCCTCATATCCAGTGCCTCCACCACCGCCTCCAGAGGTCGCCGAGCGACTCTGGTACTTGGAGGCGAGCGCCGCAGGATCCAAGTCAAGATCTTTGGGGTTGATGGCGACTTCTCTGCCTTTAGCGGCCTTGAGATTGTAGAGATGATCGGTACCCATCATGCCCTTGCCGACAGCCGCCTTCTTCTCCTCGAGAACTTGATAGAGTGGAGGAGGGTTGGACATATCGACAGCCTTTTGAGGCTTTCGTAGTTCCATCGGGGTGTCACTTCCGGCAGGAGGAGCCTCTGACGTGATTCCTTCAAGTTTTTATTATGCTGATAATTTTGACAAAAAGGCTTACCGCTGGGAGTCATGAGACCATCAGCGATCTGAGAAGCAGGATTAGCTTGAGTAGGGACACGAGTTCCATCCTGGTCTCCCTCATCTTCAGATTCTTCCTCAGAGCCTTCGTCTGAGTCGGACTCGTCAGAATCGCTCTCCATCTCGCCCCAAAGAGCTTCAGAAAGCTTCTAAGCTTCGTATCGAGTGTCATCAATATCAACGCCGAAGACATCACCATACAAAGGTCTTCCTCGCTCGTCGACTAATGCTCGCTAGCCGAACGAGCAGCCTGAAGGAATGGGTGCGTTGAGACCGGAGTTTTAAGATTGGGGTAGCTAGGGGGAGGTCCGTATCGCTGCATGGCAATAAGCTATGGTGGGGGGGACCTTGTGCGCGTTATTGCCTGTTTGCGATCGATAATTGAGCATAAAATTATCTTTTAGATGTGATTATTATCGACCGTTTCCTAGAGGCATTCCTAAAGCGGTTCGTAAATCATCCGTCAGCTCTCCGGGTTTCAACTCCCTCAAGCGCGTCTCATACTCTTTTCCCTTAATTGCACCGTTTATCATGCCACACTATGCGCTGAGTACCTCGTAGTAGAAATCTCCATGGCGGGTCATCTTCAGTTTAGTCTGATACCTGAAGAAGGCATCGCGAAGCTTTTGGTAATCGAGGTCGATTTTTCCGAGCTTTAGTCGAACTCGCTGTCGCACTTTTTTCTTCGTCGATTGTTCGGCTTCTTTTTGTTGAAGCGCCTCTCGCATTTCCATGATTCCAGAAACTCGGGGAGCTCGAATGGGGGCTCTTCAATACCACGCTTTGCGGAGAGATATTTTCGCTGAATCAAGTTGGGTGAACTTGTTCTAAATCATATCTAGTTCACCTTGTAAGACCAATGACGTGGTACAGGGACGCTATTACGGCCAGATTTTAGGAGGACAGGAAGCTTTGGATCCATGGCTAAATGAAAAAGTTTAAAATGTTTGGGGATAATATCTTACAAGTAACATCGTGCATTTCAATAAGATCAGGTCGTTCGACAATCTGCTTCAACTCGGCAACAGTCAGCCTTGATTGTTTTTTGAGCTTCTTCTTTGAGAGTTTTTCCTTATCATCACCCTTTTTGTCGTCATCATCCGAGTCTTCCATCATGTTATCATTCTCGTGGTCGACTGTTTGATAGCCTGAATATTAATTAGCTTCAAAAGAAGTCGTACTGAACTACCTGATTTCTTTTGCACTTCAGGCATCACCATCTCCGCTGCCCTAAACGCCTCGAAGACTCTTTTGAACTAGATGGATCCAAATCCGGCTCCTCGGCAATGTAGTCAATTTCAAAGCCCTTATCTGTCTTCTTTTTCGCGTTATTCTTGTCATTTCCAGAGTCGTTACCAGTCTCATGACCTGAGTCATTTTCACTGCGCTTTTCCTCTTTTCTTCGCTTTTTCTTGAGCTTTTTACGTTGAGCTTTCGTAAGTTGCTTGCCGTTTTCATCGATAAGAGCTACTTTTGGCTTTTCAGGAGCTAGGGCAGTCAGTTGAACTCCGATTTGACCTCTGGAGCTTCTTGCGTCCATCTAGCTTCTTCCCTCGTTCTTTCTTCGCCGCGCGTTCGCCTTCGCCTTCGCCGTCAACAGGAGTCTCTGGCTCCATCGAGTCTTTTTCTTTGTTAGAGGCTTGATGAAGAACTTCTGACTTCATATTAGAAATGGCTTCCGCTACATCTTCTTCGGACATTCTTCTTGAGCGGGTTGTTTATCTGCCTGCAGCTGCGAAATGTCCGGCTTGATGTCAAATACGGGGGTACTAGATGGTGGAGCTTCTTGTCCTTTCTCAGGCTCTTGTTCTTTTTCTGGCTCATCTTCTGCGGGAGGCTCCTGGCTCGATGGCTTCTTTGACTTGAAAACAGGCAGTGAGGCAGCAGCTTGCTCGGGTTCAGCTACGGGCTCTTCCACAGCTGCTGTTTCCCGCTCTGCCTCGGGTTCAGCCGGAAGTTCTTGGCTAGATGGCTTCTCAGTTTTGAAATCAGGCAATGAAGCTGTAGGCTCTTCGGCAACTGGTACCTCTTCCTCTTGCTCGCGCGCGACTTCTTGGCTCGAGGTGACTTCTGACTTGAGGTCGAGAACGGGGGCTGCTTCTCATCCCACAGGTGCTTGTTCAGGAGCTGCAGCGGCTTCTTGCGCATTCAGGAATTCAGTCAGTCTGAAGATAAGTAATTAGTGGAGGCCCACCGTGGAATTGTATTTAGAGAAACCCTTACCTTTCTTGGAGATCAGCCTTCTTGCCTTTTTGGTCAAGCCCATGTGTCTTACAGAGTTCTTTTAGGTCCACAACCCGAAGTCCCTGGAGATCGGGGTGAACCATTCTTAACAAATTTGCATTTTTATCAAGTTGAAGTTATATTAGGTAATTATTGAAGGCAAATGTGGCACAAAGATGAAAAATTTGAAGAAAGAAAATTTGGAATGCAGAAAAGCGGATTAGGTAAATACAAAGAAGTTATAAATCATCAACGACTTCAATGACGATGCCTTCTGATGAGAAGTCCAGCTGTTCAGAAGATGACTAGAAAAAATAGAGAACGATCTTGGAAAAACCCTTCCAGTGTCGTGGGAAGGTATCTCATAAAATCTTGCAGTAACTCTACGCTTATAAAAAGCACGGCTGTTACAAACAGTTGACCCATCACGTATATCCTCCGACGTTTCGTGACTGCTTCGATTTTCGAGCCTTCTGGGATAAACGAGATCGCGAGGTCTTCGTTCATTTTGATTGTGAAGTGCCTTTTATATTTGAGCCTTCCATGGATCACCTAATGAAACCATTGATACAAAGCGAGTTTGAAACTCTTGTTTACCCTTTTGAAAAGCTCGAAGGTTGTGTAAACTTGATCAAGGCTACGCGTCGTCGAATTCCTTCCTGGTCTCTGAAATCATCGAATTCCCATGAACATTTTGATGATACGCATGCAGAATCTGAACCAGCTGATAATTTATAGTCCATCGAAAGAACTGATCCAAATTAAATTTGCCGCCTTTGTATTTCTGGAATGAGCTCTGGATGAAGGTCGAAAATCGTCTACCCTCGTCGGGGATCGATGATGAAGAGGTTTTTATCTGTTTCTAATCGCACATAGCTATAGATGAATTTAAAAAACTTTTTGCAGGCAAAATCCTGACTTTGCCTACTTTTATATTCAGGAGAAAGCCCGTAAAATTCTGAGTCGACTGGACGAGACTCAGACGAAAACCGTCAGACGATGACGTCATAAATGACGCTAGAAGTTGTCAAAAATGGCGATTTTGGGCAAACTTTGAGTCACTTTTGGGCTTTTTGACGGAATTTTTAATGTTCTATAGTTCAAATTGATCCCTGTGAAAAACTGTACTAAGGTTTTTCATGATTTTTCATTTCGTCGAAATTTTTTTCGGAAAATTCTAGAGCCAAGTTTTTCAAAATTTTTCTTAATCCGTAAAAACCTTAGTGCAGTTATTAAAAAGCTTTCATTTAAGCTATCAAACACCGAAAAATTCAAGCAGGAACGCCGTTAAAAGAAGACTCAAAGTTTCGGCTTTTTGTAACCTTCTGACGTCATTTGTGACGTCATTCTCTAGAAAATTTTTAAAACGATTTGGTCGAATCGACTCAAAATTTTGCAGGCTTTCTTACGGGCTGAAAATCTGACCACGTTAGAATTCTGCTTGCAAAAAGTTTTTAAATTCATCATAAGGAAATATTCAAAGCGTACCTAACAAAAGATCGGAAAACTGTGCACCGCTCCAATTGTTCGCTGCATTCCACTCATTGACCCCCGATCCGGAACCGATTTCAACTGCTAGACCAGGCTTTTCTTTGGAAATAATCAACAAGCGCTACAAAACATACTACAATATCTGACTTCCTTGCCTAAACATTTATCCTGAAGTTCCTTTTCAATGCCATCAAGAAAGACAAAAGAATCCTCAGAAGGCTCATACACAGAATCGGTATAATCATACCATGCTGAATAATCTGGCGTTGGACGCATTCTTAATTTTTACCATATCAGTTTTATTGAAATTTACAAGTTGCCAGTATTTTAAATTTTCAGAATATCTTCTTTCATCCTTGATGAAATTTTCGGCAGTCCGAGTGAGCTCCCAATCTGATGCAATCTAAAATGGAAAAGACGTTAATTTAAAATCATAGTAAGGCGACAAAGGCAGTGAATAAAGAGTATAAAAGTGAGGTGATAAGTGAAAATGTGAACTATATACAGTGAGAAAGAAGGAAAGGGGTTTAGTATTTTTCCTTCACCCGTGGGTCGCCTTGTTTCAGAAGAGTACGGTGTCTGTCTTTGAGGTTGATATTCGTCCTCGTCGTATCACGGAAAGACTTGTTCCAGATCTTGATCCAGTCTTTTCCGTATTGATCGAGGCCAGCAATCAGCTTGGCGTCCTCGTCCTAAAATAATAACAATTAAAGATTTAAATCATTTATTAAGAGCTTACTTCAGTCCACTTCTTTCTTTTCTGCGGGGCAGGGGTTGATATAGACCTTGTTGCTGCCCGCGAAGCTGGTCGGCTTGACTCCGCCCGCGAAGCTGGTCGGCTCGACGCTGCCCGCGAAGCTGGTTGGACTGACCCTTCGCTGGCTGACTCGTCAGACTAAAGTGAAGTTAGAGTACTTTTTCATGATTTCAAATCGTTACCTCTTCTCGTTGATTCGAATCAACAGGAGTGTCTACTCTGCTCTCGTTGCTATCTTTAGTAATGATATAAAAGAATTAGTTGACTATCACTATGATGGTCTCATGAAAATAATCATATTTGTGAATTTACAATTTTATATCATTTCCTGAATCGATGTTTTGTACTCCGCGAAGAACTGTGAATTCGAAGTCTTTCAAAGGCGATTCGTTAATGAGTTGTAGCAGTTTAGACAGCTTGATTTTGTTTTTGACGGAGCATTTCACACCGTTGAAGCAAATCAGAATATCTCCAACACGAAGCCCAGCTTTATCTGCTTCCGACCCTGGGACAACCTCGCAGATGTCGATTCCTGTTTCGCTCGATTCTTTTTCTCGAAGCCTGAGCCCTATTGGGCGCTGAATGTTCTTTGCATCTTTGAAGATGAATGTTCTTTCAACATATACTTCTCGCGGATCTCTTGTCTCCACGGAAGAACTGATGCTTCTCGGAGGCTTTCGAGCGACAGAAGGGATTATTTTTCGATATTTTTTCTTCATCGGAATCGACTTTTTCTTTGATTTAGATGGTGACTTCTCTGGTGATCGTAATTTGGTTAGCTTCGGCATGCTGGCTGTTGGCGATCTATTTCTTCTCCGAGGACGACTTTGCGGTCGACGAACTTCCTCATCCTCGCTCGAGTTCAAGAAGCTCATGCTAGCTGTTGGGGATCTATTTCTTTTCCGAGGAGGACTTTGCGGTCGACGAACTTCCTCATCCTCGCTCGAGTCCAAGAAGCTAGAAAGATCAGCATCTAGTGGCATCGCTGGAGGTGTTAAATTCTTGCTGCACGTTGGTTCGTCATGCCTCAGTTTCGCACTCTTTTCTTTGGTTGCTTTCTTTTGACTTAGCTTCATCTTTCCGACGCCTCTAATTGGACTGTCATTATCAAATGCAGAAGACAAGTCCGAAATCTCGCTCAGGGCATCTCTTCCTGGACGACGAGCAATGGTGATATCCAAAGCTGGCTTAAGAATCGTCGGCTTTGAAGCGCTTTTCTTAGGCGGTACATTTTCTTTCTCGTGCTTGCTCCTTTTCGCTGCGTGATCTTTCGCGCTTGCTTCGCCCTGCGCGTTCTTTTCAGGAGTCTGAAGCTTTCTCTTGTTTGAGGTGGGAAACATAAATTCGCGAACGTCCTCTCTGTCAATTGGCGCGGGTGGGGATTGATCATGTTCAGGCGATAGTGCTTGTCGATCCTCCGCAGATTCATCGAACAAAGCTTGCTGCGACCAGTTATGAGCTGACTCCTGCTCTTCTCGTGGCTGCGAGCGTTCCTGACTTTGCGATTTGGAAGATTTAGACTTCGAAGGTCCCGGCTTTTCTTTTGTAGGCTTTTCCGCTACTGGAAGACGCTTTTTGAAACGGCTTGATGATCCTGGAACGGGCTCCGAAAAATTCACATTGGGTACTTTTGGCTCCCAAGAAATCGCATTTTCAAGTTCTCGATTCAAGGGATCGCTCGAATCTCGTGCAGGGTTTCTTTTTGCAATAAAAGCCCTTGCGAATTCCAGACGTCGACTTATTCCGCCAGCTTGTGCTTTGCGACAGGCTTCAGCCAACGATTTTTTCACCTCTTCACGAGTTGGTTTTGCTCTCGATCTCGGCATTTTTCTGTTAACTCTTTTTGCTGTTTAGCCTGATCTGCTTGCTTGTTAATCTTCTTTGTTTCAGAATTCCTCGTCGGCGATTTGAGCTTCGCAAAGTAATCGTCATCTAAATCCTCGTCGAAAGTCTTCTGTGTCGCTGAGGCTTGCTCCAAGGTTGGAGAAGTGGGAGGCGTAAAAATTTTTCGTTAGTCCCTTGTAACTCTTGTCGAGGTTGAATTTGAGTTGCCGATGTTGACTCATGTCGAGCTTGAGTTGCTTGTGTTGACTGTTGTGAGTCGAGAACAAGCGCTGTGTGGTTTAAAAGATCGCTCGCTCGCTGAGTCTGGTTCATCTCTTCTTGCGACTTTTCTTCTTGAGACTCTTCGGCGCATAAGTTCTGCACATCGTGAGTCCTTCTTGTTCTCCCTTCAGTCTCTCGTAGCGTCTCTCCAGAAACCTGTGACCAGGAATCTTTTGTTTCGACCTTTTTGATTTCCCTGTCGTATCTCCCGAGGACGCCATGATTATCTCCGGGGTATCCATCGGTTCTTCCTGATTTTCATTGAAGAGGCTTCGACGAAGCTTTCTCGGGGGCTGTGGAGGTGAAGCGGGTGCTGATTGATCAGTCTTACTGGGCGTTTTCGGTAGACTCTTTTCAGGCGTTTTGTAGACGGAGGAACCTTGAGAGGAGTTAGCTTCTTCTTCGTCTTGCTGGGAAATCTGCGTAGTATCAATTGGCTGCAGCTCATCATCGAAAAGTTCTCCGCTGACGGAGAGGGAGATCTCTGGATCCGAAGGCACCTCATCATTGAGTAGTTCACCACTGACTGATACGGAAATTCCAGCGATCCCTTCTTCGGATCCCAGAGTATTCTCAGAGACTTTTGCTAAACAGAAGGTAAGGATTCAGTAAAAGAGTCAATAACTTACGAGATGGTTTGACAGCTTTGTTTTGCTTCTTTTCCGCTCTTGGTGTTTTAGGTGAATGCTCTGTGCGATTCTTATCTGGAGTAGCATCAGTTGTGCTTTGAGAAAACTCAGCAGCTCGCTCCATCATCTCATATCGGCTCAGTTGAGAAAGTTGAGTTTCCTGAGTTCCCCAGCCATCGGGGCTCTTCTGAGATTGGAGAAGCTCCGCTAACGGTATTCGAGGGGAAATCTCAGTTGATTCCTTCGCAGAACTTGTCTTTCGTTGCGGACTCGGCGCTATAATTCGAGTTTATTTTCAATATTTATTTGATCGATTACTTGGTTGGTCGGGATCAAGATCTGAGACCAGCTTCGAGTTGGATGATTTGTTAGAAGTCTTCTTCGGCGATATGAAGTGGGGTGAAGGCTGCGAAATCTCAGCAGCTCGTTCCAGCGGGGGATATCTACGCGGAATTGCATGAAAATACGTCAGCTGGCTTTAATTTTACCTATTTCTGATGATTCACCCTCGTGAATGAGACGCTCTCCCGAATTATCATCCGACGAAGGGAATTCATCACTCTCTTTTAGTTTCATTTTCAATCCGATAGCGCACTGTCTGAACAAAAAATATGGGATCCTTTCTCTACTCTTTTCGTAGAGTCTGCCCTCAAATGGCGACGGCCGAGCAGCAAAAATGAGAAAAGGATTCTCGAAAAATGAGTATTTTCAAATGATGCTCCGACTCGCCTTGATCGCAGTCTTTCGATCAGATAAAAATGATCGTTTAGACATGGACGAATCAAAAAGTAGATAGAATATTTTTCGACATGTTTTTGGATATTAAAATTGGCAGTAATCGGTTTTTTTAAAAAGAAGGACTCGTTGCTTGAAACTCCTTGAGGCTCTTTTCCATTTGCTCCGCGCGAAATATCACTTCCGCTTCTTCATCCAACGCCGGTTTTCGCCATTTTCGAGGAGATATGTCCGCCAGTCCGCCGAGAATCTCTCGCATAAAATAAGGAGGGACGCGTTCGTTATTCTCGACGATGTGAGCGAATCCTCCGCCACCGCCAAATTCGACGGCAATATGACCTAAAATCAATTCATCTTTGGTTTCTCATCATTTTCTCACCTAATTTTTGAACCTTTTTGAAATGGCTCATTTCTTTCATCGTGTTTATCACAGCCTCGTTGATTGCCCACATGTCTTCTGCATCTTGAAACGCTTTCTGGAAGTACATTGGCCCCATTTCAGCCTCCTCCATGTCGATTGGAACGCATTCCGTGACAAAATGCGGGAAACCCTTCGTCTTCGTCGCTAGAGCAGTTAGCAAGGAACTAATCGACACTGGAATTAAGAGAAGCTGCTGTAAGATGGTGAGTAATTGCATAGCGTGTCCATTGCAAAAAATAGGTTCAGTTGAGAAAAAGCTTTGAATTGTCCAGGCATTCCACCGAATTTGTTTGGCATGCCACCAAATGTCAGGTTGACCGAATGGATTCTGAAATGTTTATCAAAAATAAAACTTGAGATGGACTTCTACCGGTGCTCCTGCCATGCCGGGCATATGTGCAGAGTTCGCCAACATGAGTTGAGGCGCCATGATCATCGGCTGCTCGGGCTCTTCGGCTTTTTCGACCTCTTTCGCATTCCTATTCTTTTCTACATTTTCCAGTGTTTCGATTCGGAGGATCGTTTCACGAAGAGTCTAGATTCAAGATAAGCATAAAAATCATCATCATTTGTTACCTAGATAAAGTAAGGCATGGCAAAGTCCTGGATTCTGTTTCCCCACGATTGCTCGAGAACAACGTCGGGTCGCATGAGGTCGTAACAGGTGTAGAGGCAGGCAGCAATGGAATGAGGAAGGAAAAGAACAGTTCCACGCTGGGAAAGGCGGCAGACAGCAACAAGTCGACAACTTCGATCATCGTCAGCGAGATGCTCTCTGCTGCGAAGAGTGACGCGCATCTGGGCTCGAGCTTCTCTCGGAAGCCGGAAAGGCGCAGTTCGGGAAAGAGGCGCTCGAATTGCTCCACCAAAGAGTGGAGGGGCTCGTGAGCGAGCAGCGCCGCGTACAAACTATGCGACACCTTCATCATTTAATCGTTCGCCGTGTCACTAGTCAGAAGCGTTAGGAGTCCTGTCAATAGATTCGATTGGACTCACCAGAAATCGACGATATATTTGAACAAATAAACGACTTCGGGAGAGGAAGAAGACAGCCGCGCTAGTTTCAAAATCGCCTTCGAGGTTTGGCCGATTTGTTTTTCGCTGGAAAAGGTGACTTCTTTGTTCAAGAACATCCAGTGCTCGTGCATTCCCGACTCGTTGTCCATCGTTACGTCTGGAATACACTAAAACGATCAAATTGATGACCACTGAAAAACAGCCGTTTTTACCTCGATGGAATTGTCGATATCGTAATCGAGGTCGAAGATGTCCTTTCCAGAGATTTCCCACTGCGTCACTTTTCCAGCAGCGTTTCCTGCAGCTGCGAAACTGAGAGGTTCATCAAAATATTCGTCAGGGGCGCTAATTGACTAAGAAACTAGATTAAACTTTCAGCTTTTCGAGTGTAACTGTACTTGTCTACACTGTAGGGGCACTTCTGAATTCTTCTTTTGAGCAGCATCGCCGCGTGTGGACACATGAAGAGAAAGGACTGGCTGGGAGGATTTTCTGGTAAGTCGTCCGGCAGGTGGTCACCGAACACTGCGAAATCGTTACATTTTGAATTGAATCTCTTTTTTACCTTGTGCTTGAACATTTCGTTCTTGAAGGAGTTTCTGCGTTCTTTCTCTAGCAGCTCATCATCCTCGGAAAAGGCACTTGATTTGGCAATGGAGGCAAAAGCTGTTCGCAATTCTGAGTGATTTTATCTTGTCCCAGAGAGAGTCCGCGAGCAGTTAGCCCTGTTCCAGCTCGTTGAGGAAGGCATTGTGCGCGATGATCACTTCGTTCAGGTCATTTGCTTTCTCGACCTGAAAATGATCCAGTTTGGTGCGACCAAGAAGGACTTACCTTTTCGGCGAAGACTGCCCAAGATGTCTCGCTGATTTCGAAGTGAATGTAGTACTGCAGCTGGCCGATGAAGTGGATCATTTCGAATTGCAGAATGTTGCTGATGAAGAACACTTCCTTCACTAGACAGTTCATTAGTTACACTAATCCTTGATCCTCAGTACCTTCGCTTATTTCCCGCGAGCCATGCGTTCGAGCGATCCAGAATTTCTGAATACTCGATTCCGCTCATTTCATTCTTTTCTAAATATCAGACATCCTTTTTGATTGTTTTTTTTTTTTCAGTATCAAAGAAGAATTAAGAGTTTTGTCTTGACGGCTCTACAAAAATAGAAGGTTAGAAAAGTAGACGATGGTCCTCGAATGTCAAAGAGACGGGAAGTTTGAAAAATACAGTTAGTCGTTGGATTGCTGCAAAATGATATTTTTGTCCTGCTCGATCTTCTCGGTCGAGACGGTTTATCAAGAAGAAAAACGGGCAAAAGCTTATGATGCATTGACTGAATCGCCTGCTACTTACTGAGGAAGCTCCCTACTTCATCATGACGAGCTCTAGAATACTTTTTAACTTGCAGTGCTTCAAAAATTGTGCTATAAAAATGCTTCAAAATAAACAAGCTGCTGTTACTGCAACAACGAAGAACAGATAAATCTTTCAATTTTTGAAAAGTGTATTTCTTTATACAAATAAATAAGTTAAATTCGTAACCACTCAAGTTTCACTTCATTCCGAAATCAAGCGGCCGCGGGAAACTCCTGATCCGAACCGTTTTCTCGTTCAGATGTCGCTAGAGTTGGTTCTCCGCGGGACTTGACTTGGGAAAAATATGGTTTGATAGTAGCACAAGCAACGAGGTAAAAGAGAATATGTTGTTTTGGGAGAGTTTCAATTCTGAAAAGAGAGTATTTTTTCTTTCTCAAGGAGAAAGGAGTGAAGTCATTTTGGCACCAGAAAAGAAGGCCAAAATTGTTTCAGTTAAAAACATCCTAAATAAATAAATGCTTAAGAATTGACAGTTCGATCCTTAACTCCGCAACTGGAATTCGACAAAAATTGTCGAAACGTCATCATGACCCCCATCTTTGATTGGTGAATAGCCTAATTATCAATCATCGATTGGCTCTATGAGTTGACGTGGCTTTAGTTCCAGTTGCGGAGTTAAGGGCCAAGAAAAGGCAAAGTTGAACACCTCAAAAAAGGGGTCAGAAACCCATTTGTTCACCATTAGTTCTTCAATTTGAATGAAGTCAAAAGTAGGCCTTGGAAATTTCAGTAGAGAAGAAAAAGTTGATAGAAAAAAGGACGAGAAGATACGAAAAGAGAAAGGCGAAGAGAGCATGTTGAATCTTGAATTTTTAGACGGAAGTTTAAAAAAGAAAAATGATATAGTGCCGAAAGAATAAAAGTGCCGAGGTCGGACACAACAGAAACGATGACCGTTACGTCGTCCATTTTGCCGCCGGTGTAGTGGAAGCCGGCGCTTTTGGCGGCGAGCGCGAAGGGAGAAACGTACGATTTGTTGAGCGCGTTCTTGTGCGCGCGCGAGGCTAGGCACTTTGCCGTGCGCTCCAGGTCTGAAGAAGAGGAGTTAAAGGGTTGAAAGGGTTGAGGAGGCAGACCTTGAGTGTGGATTTGATCGGCGTGGGGAAGATACGAGAGTTCCTGGAGTAGCACTTCGTCGGGGACGTTGTCGAACAGACCATCGGTAGCTGTGACGATTAGATCTCCCTGGAAAAAATTAGGTTAGTAGAGCAATTGATCAGAATACGTCGTAAACCCAGATTCACCGATTCAAAATCGCGTATTCAAGAAAAACATAAAACTTTTAACGGCGCGTCCAAAAGACAAACCACGGGACTTTCTATCTGTCTTGAAAACTTACCGGGTGCGTGACGAATTTCTTTTCGTGTGCATCAGACGGCATATCAGCGATAAATCGCAGACTTGGCGGCGCATAAGCCAGTTGCTTAAAAATCGTTTATGGAAAATTTTAACTGATTTCTGTACCTTTGGAATGTTAAACTTGTGCGTCTGTTTTTCACTCCTGTCTATGATTTCGCCGTTGCGGACAATTAGGTAGCCCGAGTCGCCGAGATTCGCCGTCGTCAGGATTCCCGTTTCCTGCTCGAAGGAGAGGATGCAAACTGTCGATGAACCCACGATTTGGAAGTTTTTCTTTTTGTTCAGCAACAAAAGCTGAAAGAAAAGTGTGCTCATTATCTTGTCTCTCATGGTTATTGAATACTTTCTGAGCATCAGCAGAATCTGAAGATTCTTTTCATGCACTTACCTTATTGTAAGAGTCGTCGATGAGACGCATGGGATCCTCTTGCTTCTTGTTGGCCATATGATGGCCCATATCTTTGCAGATTCGCATCAGGGAGGAGGACTCCTCCTGGAGGAGAAGACGGAAGGATCGAACCCGCGATCCCGCCAGCCTCCCACGCCGTCAGCGATGCCGATGTAGTCTGAAACGTCGATGAGAAAGAGGTCAATCGGAGGGGCTTACCTTTTCTACGACTGTTGGTTAGAGCGAAGCAGGCATCCTCGCCGAACTTCTGAATGGTAGCCAGAGCGCTTTGTCCAGAAGTGCATCTGATGTTTTGCGACACTTTCGAGAAGCCAGCAGCTGCCCAGTTCAGTTGCGAAATCTTCACAATTATCGGTGGCAACGGGTCCTGAAAATAAAATTGGTGAAAATGAATCAAAATCAAAATGGATCATCGATGTGTTTATGGGTGAATTTATTGACAGTTCTTTTTATTTTCAAAAATCAGACAGTGTATCTCGCGTCAAAGGGAGAAATGAGCCTTTCATATTTTATGCAGTCTTTGATCCACTTCGGTTTCGCCAAAATCAGCTTCTTGTTGCTCTTGTATTCGCTGATGCTTTCCTTCGATTCGCAAATTATGTGCGACAAGAAAGGTACTTCTTTTTTCTTAATGAGGTTTTTCAGCTTCCTTTCAAGGTTATTACGAGTACCTTGACTTTTCCTCCTCTTTCTCGAATCGCCGTGGCGATCTTTTTTCTATTCTTCAGCTTCTCGTCGACGATGAAAATGTAGGGCGCAAAAAGAAGCTCCTTTTCTTTGATTTTTGGGTCGAGCTCGAAGTCCTGCAGAGAAGAGTCCTCGTTGTTTTCCATCGTTTTCACCCACTTTCCCATTTTCGTCATCAGTTCACAAATCACTAAAAATAAGTAGGAAACAATTTGATAATCCGACGAACCTTCAGTTGGAGCTTTCTTTTGAGCCTCCTCCCGTAGCTGCGGCTTCAGAATCCTCACGTCCTCGAGCTCTTCCTCCGAATCCGGGATCGTCTCCACCACTTGCTCGCTCGTATCAGATCCACTTGTCCAGCCAGGATCACTTTCAACTTGCGGCTCTTCTGTTTCGCTTTCGTCTTCGTCCGAGCTGTTAACTGGCGCTAATGAAAACTCCTTCCAAGGCAGCTTTGTCCGCTGAGAAGATTGAGCGAAGACCCATTCTTTTTTCATTATCTTTCCTCTTCCAAGGAACTGATTGTATTTCGGCGTCCCCGCGACCGAGCAAATCAGATGAGTGACTCTGCCAGTGACATCGCGCTCGTACTGGCCGCCCATGTTCAAAACTGCTTGTCGAATGTTTGATCGCTCCGGGTTAACGAAGCCGGACAAGGCAATCGTCATCCCCCTCATGATTTGATTGAACGGAAGCGCTGGAGCAGGCCTGGACGAAGTCTTCTGTTTTTTCGCAGGCGAGTCTTGAAAATTCGCAAATCTCTTTCTTGCCGCTTCTTTCTTTTTCTTCTCGTCTGCTTGGACGGTGTTCTTGATCATGTTTTGAAGCGCGGAGTTTGGAATGGTGCGAACTTGCGTCGTTCGCTGGATGATCGGAGAAGAGCGATTCGAAGAAGAGGATGGCGATGTTATCGAAACTTGGGAAGACGTGGAGGGCTTCAAATGGGAATGCTTGTTTTTGAGAGTTTTGTTTCCCGCGTTCAAATCGTAGTTGATCTTCATTGGTCTTTTTGCCGGTTTTCAACTGTTTTCATTTATCAATGCTTTTAGGAATGAAAAACCAGAACCTGTCGTCGATGATTTTGTAGCTCTTGCTCGAAGTAGAGATTTCAACACTCGAAAGCGCAGATCTGTCGAGAAAGTCGTTTCCGTCGAACTCTTCTTTCGAACTTTTCTCTTCATTCTTCTTTCTCTCCGCTTCTTCTTCCTTCAGTCTCTTCAGAGCATTCAGCTGTTTCTGGCGAATCTTGCTTTCCTGATTCACAGTCCGCGAAGCTGGGATTTCGCTACGGCAGACGATGAATGTGATTCCGTACGGTTTCGTTTTGACGTGCGGCTGGGCGATGTTTAGGCGCAGTTTGTCCCATTTTTTGTCGCGATTCGCTTTCAGGAAATCGTAGTTGGTCGATAAATGCACTTTGCGCTCGTTCATTCGGTTCCGGCAGTCGACTGGGCTCATGAAAGTGCCGGACAGAAACGCGAACCACTGACGTCATTGAATGAAATAAAAAAAAGAAGAGTAGTACCTGATTTGGCTCGTTTTCGTGGCCAACTTCGACTTCAAAAGTCGCCGATCCGGCGTTTCCAATGTCGATTGCTTGAATTTTGAACTCTTTCTTGAACTTGATCTCGACATGGCCTTCTCGATCGGCAGCAGGAACCAGCCAAGCTTGTCGCTTTTGAAAGTCGATTAGATTTTCCGCTGGATACTTTGGCGCCACTTCGTTCGAGCGATCCAGAATTTCTGAATACTCGATTTCGCCCATTTCATTCTTTTCTGAAAATCAGACATGCTTTTTTTTGATTGTTTTTTCAGTATAAAAGAAGAATTTAGAGTTTTGTCTTGACGGCTCTACAAAAAAGAAGGTTAGAAAAATAGACGATGGTGCTTAGAAATGTCAAAGAGAGGTGCTATGAAGTTTGAAAAATACAGTTAGTCGTTGAATTGCTGCAAAATGATATTCTGGCTTTGCTCGATCCTCTTGAGAGCGTCGTGTTCAGCTCGGAGTCGCTCTGCTTGCAGCTTTTGTTCTTCGATTTTCTCGAGCAAGGCTATCTGAATTTTGAAATCGATTCTTGGTCTACTAGCTCGTCGGTTCTTACCTTTTCGAGTTCGGCCTCTCGTGTGACTGCTTGTAATTTGGCGCGAGCAGCGATCGCGATCAGTTTTCGTTGCTTCACTTGCTCGGCTAGCTTTGCTGACTCTTCGGAAAAGTCTTTGAGAATTCGCTGGAGGTCCTGGACGTCCATCACGAATCTGTCGGTGCAGGTCTTTGCGTTCTCTAAAGAAAAAATCAGATATGGCAGAAACATGAGGACCTTACGGGCGGAATCAGCTGATTTAGAATCAACGACTCGAATTTGCGAGATGTCGTCCATGAAGAGCCCATAGCTCTCGAGAATGGCTTTTGAATCGATCTCTTCCATGATTTCTTAACTAAACCCGACGTTTTTCGGTGATGATTTGGTGAAACAAGCAAGTAGTTGAACTCTCGAATTAAGGATTTACGGAAGGAAAAACATGAAAGGGCAATTGAAATTGAAAATTGAAGCGGAAATCACAGGTAAATTAACAGGATAGAACTTTCGACGTTAGGACTGCTTTTGCGACTAAAAAAAAATCGTTTAAAAGCCGAATAACTTTTTTAAAACCTGAAATAGCTTGAAGAGTTTCAAGATAACATCTGCTCTCGTCAAGCCAGGGCTGAAATATCCTCCTCAGCTCGCCAGAAGATTGATTCATGATTTTCACCGCTGTTTCGACATCGTCTTTTTGAAGGGCGAAAAGAAAGCCGGAGAGAAGTTGGTCTACTTCGGAGAAACCGGATTTCCGCAAGTATTCGCTCATTTCCGCTGGTTTCGACCAGCTGTAGAATTTCGATCGCAAGAAAGAAAGATTCTCGGCGAGAATTCCGTGGTTCTCCGCGTTTATCAATCCTACCAAATTGAATCTTTATAACCAAAAGGCTCTTCAATAGAGACGAAAATTTTTACCTTTTTCCCGCGCCAAAGAGGCCATTTTTTCAACGACTTCTTTTGACTCTGTTGAAATCGGATTAAAAACGCTTTTTCTTTGAAGAGAGACTCTATCAGTCACTTCAGAAATCGAGAAGACTTCAGAGAGTCGATATCCCAAACACGGAGCGACGGAAATCGAAGGCAAGGAAGAGTTTAGCAGTTTTTCTTCCAAGTCACTCAGTTCTCGCAGCAGTCTTTGGAGATAAACGTGCCTTTGGGTGGAATATAACTCGCTGAGCCACACTTCTGAAGCTGGAAGATATTTTTCCTTGGCGGCTGCGTCTTCTGCTGCTGCGGATTCCAGAGCTGCAGAGAGTTTTTCACTTTCGCCAAGAACTTGAAAATAACTAAAAGAAGAAGCGCTTTGGCTACAAACCTGAAAGTTTTAATTGAAGGTTTTTCATCGCAACAATTTCAAGATCTGCATTCATCTTCTCTTCCAATTCTTGCGAAAATTGTGCTCTTTGAAGCTCCAGCTGCGAATTCAAACACTCGATCCGCTCCCTCAAATTCTCCAGAAACTTCTCGCCCAATTCCTCTTCGAATTCCTCCTTCACCTCTTCGTACAGTGCTTTTACTGACTCATCGAATCGCTTCTCCAGCTGGGTCAGCTTAAGATCATACTCGGCCTTGACGCGTGCTTGGGCGGCTGGAAGATTGGCGCTTCTGTGTCGCTCGATGTAATCGTTCTCGCCGCTTTTTAGCTCGTCCAGTTGCTTTTTCAATTTGTTTTTGTAAAAGAACATCGAGCAGACTACGTTGTCCAGTTCTAGCGAAGAGAAAGAGTCGTCCTCGAAAGCGCCAAGAGCATCTTTTGGAATCGAATCTGAATTCGTCCTCAATCCCCCATTTTTGTCAAAGCAAACTTACCATTTCGCAAGTCGATTAACGCCGAAAGCTTTCCTTTAATCGACTGCAGCTTTTCAGCACGATCTTGAAGAGCTTCAACTCCTTCGAGATCTTCAAGACAAGCAGCGCTGTTTTGCGAGGCCTCCAGTGTCACTTCGACGTTTTGAATGATTTGCTCGACTTCTTCGAGTTTCTGGAAGAGCGCCCACTGGAGGGAGAGCTGGTCTTCGGCAGATTTAAGGGATGTGTTCATGGACTTGTACTGCAGCTTGCAAAGTTGGGAGAAAGACGAGTTCAGTTCCTCCATCGCCATTCTCGTCGTTTGCAAAAGCGTCTCGATGTGAGAAGCGGATTCTCTTTCTTCGTCTTTAGCAGCTACGGTAACTGTTCGCTTGCTCGCCAAAAAGGAGCCCGCCGCAGCGAGTGAAAGAGGTTTTACGATTCGATATTTCCACATTCAGTCCTGAATGAAACAAATTCAAATTCAGCCGACTCAAGTTTTATTAGATTATTTTTGATAATTACAGTTTCAAAATTTGTACATTTTTTGAAGGATCAGAATAGCTTTATCATATTTTTGTAGGATTTTACGTAGCTGGCGGCAGTTTTCAGTTTCCAAGACATATTCTGAAGTCTATTTGAAAACAAAGAAATCTAAGCTCGAGCTACCATTTTACTATTTTGCCTCTCTCGAGCAGCAATGAGCAAACTATCCACGTCTGTACTTGGCCCGAGAACGGCCACAGCCGGGTCAGATTCTAGTAGCTTCTTTGCCATTCTTTTAACGTCCTCGATGGTAACTTTGTCGATTTGCTTCACGATTTGATTTGGATTCTGAGGCGCGCCAAGAGCGACCGTGTCTTTCGCGAAGATTTCCATCATTTCCGCCTTGATCTCCAAGTCGCGCAAATATGAATTCAGGAGCTGGTTTTTCGACTGCATCAGTCCTGGAGAACGCATCCAGCCATCGTAAGAGCCCTCAACAAAGAATAAGGGCTTACGCTAAAAATCCACTTATCCTTACCTTCGATATCCTTTCCAGCATCAGAATACCATTATTAACGGCCAGTTGTTCGCAATTGTCGCCTCCTTGGCCGAAAATAATAAAACTGCCCGCATCCTCAAACTCTTTATAAATCGCCTTGAAGTGGTTCCACAAGTTCTGCTCCATCGGATTCGCCAAGATCTGCGTGCACAAGAGACTGGTGATTCCTTTCCCCGGGCCGCCCGATTCGAAGTAGCTTTGGCCGCCCAGCATGGCGCGTAATACGTGGCAGGTGTAGCGATCTGGGTCGTTGATACTCGGAGCTTCCCAGGCGATTGAAGAGTAAGTTTGTGAATTGCTCTCGTCGCCGAGAATCGAGAACGAAGATGAACCAGAAATCAAGTGCGCCGCTCCACCCGTCCAAACTGCCGGTTCGGATGAAAGACTGAATATTTAATTCGCACGATAAATAATCTGGACAGTTTACCTTGATTGAGAAATCCCAAAAGACGGATCTACGGCCAAAGAAAGAAGCGGCTTGACTGATTCGACAAGCTCTTCCATTTCCATTCCCACGGCCACAATGACGGGGTCTTTTCGGAAGTAATTTTGGCTTCGAAAATCAGCGATCTCTCTAGCTATTTTCAGGCTAGAGCCAGGAATTCTCTCGTGCATGCTTCGCTTGATTCCAAGACCACGAGTCGAGTGATTGAAGCCTGCATGAATAGCCAACTCGCAAATTTCATTAACTCGGACAGCTTCAAATTCGTTATGCTTTAGTTCATTTTCCACCGAAGCCAGGGCTTCTTCAATGCAGTTCTCAGTGAGCATCGGTTGAAATGCCGTGTCGAAGAGCACTTTGATTCCCTCTGAAATGTGCTTGTTCATGATGGACAAGGCGTAGATCGTCGTTTCATGGTCGCTTTGAGCGTCGAAAATTGCCCCGCATTTGTCCAGATAATCCTGTTTTCAAGGTTTAGAAATCATTGAAATCAAGAAAGAGAATCCAAAAGATTGAATTTTAAAGTTTTGACCCGTTCCCGAATTTCATTTCTACTTTCAAAAGAGCTGCATTTCCCAAAAGCGAGTGCTTGGTCAAGATGACTGATTCCAGGAGAAAAGGCGCCAGTATGCCTCGATCCCGCGGCAAAACACAATCCAACAGTCGTGTGAGTTCCATGTCGAGACGGGCGCGTGACCAGAGTCAAAGAGCGAAATTCGTCAATGGGAATCTTTTTGATTTCGGTCTTGAAGGGGTCTTTATTGAGTTCGACGAAGGACTCGTTTTCAAACTTCGCCAAAGAGGGAGATCGGAGGGCTACTCGATTGTTCCTGCGACTACTCCGCGAAAGAAAAGACGAAAAAACGCGACTTCGAATCATCTTTTTCTGAAAGAAGATTCATCAGAAGATAAGTGGAATTGGTGAAAGGTGTATTTGACGAGGAAAAAAGTTTGAACAAGTAGAAACGTCGTTTAGGTAATAAATCGTTTTGACAGTGGTTTGGGAAATTACGCAGCAGCGGTTTCAGCAACCGGCTGGTCTTCGGGTTGATAGACAGAGGCTGCGTTTTCCGGACTCAGGAGTTGATCCCAGTCGACATTGACGCTCATGACCTCCTTTTCAAGCCAAGCTTTGTAGCGACTCCCGAAATTCGGCGGCAGGCGAATCTTGAAATCTGATTTGAAAATATTTGCGGGCTTAAAAATGTAACCTCATTGAACTTGGCGATGTGTCCAGTTTTGGTCCACTCCTGATCTTCGGGGAGGTAAACTATTCTGTTGAAGGAGGAGCAGGTCTGCGTGATTTTATTCTCCTCTTGAACTGAAGACTCCTTGTCCGGCTCTGCGTTGAAGAAAGCCCAGTCGTCTGTCAAATGATGGCGCACCATGCTGAAATTATCGAAATTGTTTCAAAAATCCAAAAACCCAAATACCCGTAAATTCCGGAAACCACGTCCATATTATTTTTCCTCCACTGTCTTCCCAAAAATCGCGCGTGAAGCTTGATGACTTTCAAAACGTAGAGTTGGAAAACACCGTGTTTGACCAAAAGCGTCTTTTTGAAAATGTTGGTGGCTTTGTACTTGACCAGCCAAATGACGCGCCAAGGCTTTCCTTTCATGATTTTGACGAGTATTCCCAGGAAACAAATTGAAGAGAACATGTTTCGCCAGCAGTAGGGCATCTGCTCCTCTGTCGCTCGTTCTATCAGTGCTTGGATGATTGGCAGCCCTAGAAATTGCTCCTTTTTTAAGGCGAAAGACGGTCAATTACCTCGAATAGCATTTCGCAAGTCTAGCTTTGGAATTTGATTTCTTTGAGTTACGAAGACCGTCATGTTCTGGTTGAAAAACTTGGCGATTAGCGGAAAGCAGTTGGAGCCGTACAAGTGATGGGAAAGATATTCAAATTGGTGGACGTGGTTGACTTTGAGATGCTTCATCAAAAGCAGGATAAATCCAGAGATTGCTTTTGTCACGATTTCTTTGTGGCGGCTGACGTCGAGTCCGATCAGCATGACAGGAAGTTTGAAGAGCTGCGTTCCTTCTTTTTTGGGTTGAGAATGAATTTATAACAGTAATTGCTGCCCGATTTCTAAAGCTTGTGAACCCTTCCTAATTGAATAGAATGCGGCCCCATCTGATCCTGCATGAATATATCGCTTTTATTCGCAGTCGGCGCCGCTGCCAGCAATAATTTCAACAGCGAAATCACGTACATCGATAGATTCTGCCAGATCCGCTCGTACAACTTCTCGATCGAAGAAGTTTCCTTTTTGTACGGTTTCGTAAGTTGGTGTTTCTCCGTTTCAGCCCATTTTTCACGCTGGACATCGGCAAGGCTTTTATAAATGTATTTGTCCATGATTTTCATGCTGTTCTGGATCGGTTTCGGCAGTCCGAAGCGATTCTGAACCGCGGCGAGCATTTGCGCCTCTGTTTTTGGATATTTGAAGCTGTAGTCGAGGTATTTCGAGCGCGCCATTCGGATGAAGTCGTCCATCTCGCTCAGCGTCACTTTCGGCTTCCAGGGAAGATAAGGATACGTCCACGTGGCCAGAGGACTGTCAAAGCTCGGGCCTAGAGAGCTCTCCGACTCTCTGGACGGGCTGGTCGGCCGCGAAGACGTCAAACTCGGCCTTCTGGAGCCGCGACCGAGCGTGGGAGCGGGAGTAGACGGCCTATTCTCCGGATTTTCGTCATCCAAATTGTCGAATTCGTCTTCCAGCTCGCTTGTATTCCGCTTTTGATTTCGCTGAAGCTTGGGTCTGTGCTGCGGGCCGTTGTAGTCAATCTGCCCTTCCGCCATGTTCATCACCATTGTGTCGATGTGAGTCGTCACTGGCGTCAGTTCTCGCATGATTTCAGCAGGATTCTCGATCTCCGGAAGTCCTGCTTCTCGCCGCTTTCCGTTTTTATTCTTGTGAGCTTCGTTCAATCCACCGAAAGTCGCCAATGTTAATTTCCACATCAGAAGGACAGCTTTTTTTCATCGGAATTACAGGAGCTAAAAATTGCAAATGAACAAGTGGATTATCGATTCATCAGCTCTTACCTAACGACGACGAGTTAACATCGACCAGAATCATCAACAAATCGTCGATGTACTCGACCGAGTGTTGCAAACTCTCCTTGAAAGAAAAGTGCACTTTCTGCCACTCTTCGCTGTCCGACGGCGCCGGCGGTCTTCTCAAAATTTCCACGATCGTGTAAACCACCGAAAAGAGCAGTCGAATGAGCACTTGATGTCCTGAGTCGTCCTCCATTGGTGCTTTCAAAATATCCTTGCACTCGGCGAGCAGGAGGCGCATGAACTTGTGAAAGTAGTCCAACTTGGTCAGATGGTAGCTGCAGTTGCGGATTTCGTGGATCAGCTCCGCGTCCAGTTCTTTTTGCTCTTCCGGCGAGACGTCTTTCTGCGGATTGTCGATCGTCTCGTTTCGCATTTCCAGAGTGGTTCCTCCTTGAAGCCCGCAAAGAAGAACTCGGCATCCTTTGATCTGAACTTCGACGTCGTCGCTGCCGAGCATCGTCGCCGCCGCAATCCAGTACTCGTCCGAACCAAAGACATGCTGTTCTTGAAGCTCCTCGGCGGCTTTTCGGTTCAAAGTGAAATCCGTGCATTCGACATAAGCGTACTGCTCTTCTATCTCCACCAGCAGACTGTCACTATCGGCGAACTCGAAATCCATCTGGTTCGGAATTCCAGTGTATCCCGGCATCGCGATTTCTCGAACCCGATTTCTCAAAAATCTTCTAAAAAACTCGCTCTCAGAAGAAAACTATAATATGAATTGTTTGGATAGCAGCTTGGATTGAAGAACTTTCAGTACTCGTAAGTTTTATCGCCTATTCTGACATATTGCTTGCCAATTAGAGGTTGGTTATTGAACTGCGCCATGCACACTTTTTGGTGCAGATCTGAATCATCCCCCCGTACTTAATTTTATTTAATAAAGAAATCTTGCTTTGAAAATACCTTTCTCCGAGAATAGAAATTGCAGGTATACTAGTGTTGATCATTTTAGCGGCTAAATTTGAAACATCCTTCTTCGTCACTTTCGCCACTTCTTGATAGAACTCCTCTGGCCTCTGAGGATGTCCGTAAACGAGAGCTTCGCGGGCGAAATCTTCCATCATTTGAGCTTTTACTTCCAAGTGGCGCATATTGCTCATTGTCCACTGGTTGATCGCCGTCTGCAGCTGCGCTTCTGTGAAATTTCCCTGAAACGGTAGTTAAGGCTAGCTGTTAGAAATATGGCTTGCATGCCATCTGCATGCTCAAGAGGCGCTAGAAAAATCGGAATAAATAGAAACAAGAATCAAAAACTTTGTCTAAATCTAATATGAAATGAAAATACAATTCGCTTAATTCCGGACTATGTTATTCTTTATGAAATGGAGCGCCAAAATGGCCTGGTTTTTTCCAATTATAGCATGGTATCTTTTAAGAAAACTCACATTTTCCAACTGTTTCATCACATTAATACACGTCTGATATCCTTGCTTAATATTTTCCTTCTGGCACATTCCATAAATTCCAAATATTCCAGAGTCTTCGAACTCTCGATAAAACGCCTAAAAGCATTCATAAAAAACCACAGTGAAAGAAAAACCTTGAAAGCTGAGAAATTCTGTCCAACGAGCGAGCCCAAAACTCTGTAAAGAATCGTAGTCAATCCTTTTCCAGCGCCGCCGGATTCGAAGCTTCTGCCTCCTCCAAGAAGAGCTCGGAGAACATGAGCAGTTGCTCGGTCTTTGCTGTTGTAACTTGGCGCTTCCCAGGACATACTGAATTGCTTCGTTAGTTCACGAATGATCGAAAAAGAGGCTTACCAAAAATAAGACTCGCTGATTTCTTCTCCAATCGAAAACGAATTGACGGCCTCTTCGTTTTGGTGAACAAAGCCTCCAGTCCACTGCGACAAATACTCCTTCCTTTCTTCTTTCGTTGTTTCTCCCCAAGTCGGATTTTCCATCAAATGAATATTCTTCGAAACAGCATTTTCCAGCTCGTCGGGAGTGACTCCAATTCCAACGAAGGAAGGAGGCGTCTGAAGATAGCTTCCTTTTCGGTGCTGAAGCAGGTGCTCTCCCCAGATTTGAATAGTCTCGGCATTGGTGCATTCGGCGATCGATTCTTCTGGCATCATTCGTTTTAGTCCGATTGTATTACCTCTTATTGGGATCTTAGATTCGTTAGACTCCCTCGTCCCCTAAGGTCACTTGCTTATCTAGATCGAGCTTTGCTCGGTCGCCGCCGTGTATTTCTCTTCATTCGGTAATTCACGCAGTTCGTGAATTAACCTCTATTTTACTCCAGCTCGAAATACAGACGTCAAAGATACTTTACTCGTTTTCTTCACTCGTCCAGATATAGAGAGCAGGCAAACTACGCTAGAAGTGGGAGATTCAGCAGAAGCTAGGATCCCTTCAGTGGTATCAGAGTAGTCCCGTTGGAGAAAAGGTAAATTTTCCGCCATCGACAACCGAAGTTTCGCAACTTGGACGCTGATTGGCCGTCAGCGGAGTCGAGGGGAACCGAATCACCAACCGCCACCGCGCCGCCGGAGAAACTCCACTCAGAGAATTTTCCGCGCCGCACCACACCAACACCACCCCGAGCGAGCGCCACCACACGAGCGCCACCACGACCCACGCGCCGAAAGTCGCGCCCACGCAACCACGCACGCACGCCGGGGAAAACCTAAAATACTGAGAAAACATAATTCTTTCGCCACTTTTCACCAAAAATCGAGAGAAGTTTACGAAGAATCGACCCTTGGACCAGACCTTGAAATTTCGACAATCGCTGGACAGAGAAATCGTCGGGCGTTTGCGCAAAAGGCACCTCAGCTCATCATATTGCGACTTTTAGTCGCAGTATTTTCTGAGGGCCTGAAAGGTAATCCAAGGCCCATAAACCCTTACTGCCGATATATTTCGAGCTATGGCGGCGAACAAATCACTGCTAGAAACCGTCACCGAAATAAGAAGCATAAACGATCGAGTAAACTACCTCGAAGAACAAGTGCGAAATGACGAATCACTAAAGCCAAGCCTAGAGCCCTTGATCACAGAAAGCAGAGTAAAATTAGAACAGCTCAGTACAACGCTTCTTACCTGCGAGCTCGATCAAGGAAAAGACTCTACGAATGCGACAATGAGAGAAGAAGCATGGGTGGCCACTACCTGGTCTCGTCACGTCCAAGACTTGCCGAAGCTGGACGCCGCATGCAACACATCTTTCAACACCTTCTTGGGCAGAGCCGACATTTATCACCGCGCCTACGTCCGCGACAGACCTTCACGTGAACAGCCTTTCATCGCAGCAGTGTACAGCCACTTCGACTTGAACATCGAACGCTCACTTGGAACCGAATTTCTGAATTGTCAAGACTGGAAATCGGCCAAGGCGCTGCTAGAGAAATCATTCGCCGCGAAGAGTCACTACTTACTGAAGCTAAGCGAAGTTTTCGACGTCGAATACGACCATTCGAAGCCGTTTGCACACTACACCGCCAACGTCTTGCAAAAGATGAACGAGGCGAAGCAAGCGACTTTGAACTCTTACCGACAAGAGAAGTCAGCCGACGCCGGGGTCGATGAAATATTTGACATATTCTCGACGATGATGCTGTACTTGAATCTTAGGAAAGAAGAACCAGACGTTTTCAACGCAATCCTTCCAAGCCTATCAAAAGTTTACGATATCAACGAACTCTGCCGTCTCGCCCAATCCACAAGACAGAATCGAGTTGACAGCGCGACCGTCTCCCAGCACTTCAACAGAAATAAGAACAAAAAGAAGAAGAATGCTAAGCGCGCCAGCAACGATTCTAAGGATGGGAAAGACGATAAACAACCAGAATCCAAGAAGATAAATACGACTAAGAACGTTGAAGATTTCCAACCATTCGACGTTCACTTTTACACAGTGAAGAAGAAGCGACCAGGAAAGGCTTATTTCGCTTCGGCTACCATCATTACGGGCTCTAAAAGTTTTGACGTATCGATGGAAGTCGACAGCGGAGCCGAGTCCTCCTGTCTGTCCGCTGCTTACGTTCCCGACGAATTTCTCCAGATGCTGAAGCCCTGTCCCTTCAAGGTCACCGGTTTCAGCCCAAATATTCCCGCCGAGCAGCCGATGGGTATCCTTCCCTGCCGCTTATCATTCAATGGTGGCCCTGCGTTCTCCTTGAATCTCACCATCATGCCAGGCAGTAAATACCCAAGTCTACTGGGCCGCGATATACTAGAGAATGCGATGACGGACAGCTTCACAGTCGACAATAAGAATCGTACTCTCTCATTTTGCTACAACGAAGCCTTCACACAAACTGAGACTCAAGTGGTGAAGCTGGACGGAGTGAAGCGGACCAAAATCAAGAAATACTTGACGACTAGATCAGCGGTCAAAGACAGCGATCGGTCCCGCACTCAACCACCACGAGAAGTCCCAAAGCTGGACGCGCCGAACAAGAACGCAGCCAGGTGCCCCATTCAGCTAGCGAAGCAAAAACTCGGAATAACCCTACCAGCAGACGCAGACCCGGGGCAAAAGAAGATGGTCGCCGAGCTGTGTTTGGAATTCGACGACAGATTCGGCTGCGACGGTCAAAAAATGGGTGAATTCCCGTTCGAGATCGAAATCCCGACTGATGGTACGAGTCGAAACATCAGTCAACACCCGATTCCGCAAGCTTTTCATGGTCAGGTCAGCGATCACATCTCCGAACTGCTCGAAACGAAAATAATAGAAGAGATCAAAGACCAGAAAGGGTTTAACAGCCCGGTATTGCCTATTCCTAAGAAATCTGGGGAAATGCGCTTCTGCATCAACTACAAAAACAGCCTGAACAAATGCCTCTCCGACAAATCCGACCCTTACCATCTCCCAAGCATGGAGGATACGATCGCGAACATTGGACCGGGCAATAAGTTTTTCGCCACAGTTGATCTACGAAGTGGATATTGGCAGTGCCCTGTAAAGAAAAGCGACAGGTACAAGACTTCCTTCCAGTGGGGTGGGAAATCTTACGCCTTCTGCAGACTACCATTCGGTTATCGATGCTCGGGGAATATATTCTCGCGCGTCGTAAACACAATTCTCGACTCAAGCCCCACCAGGAAAAAGATGCTTTCTTATATCGATGACATAGTGTGTTTTGGGAAGACTTTCAGCTGCTATTACAACACTCTCCGAAACCTATTCATCGCGCTCCGCAAGTTTAACGCTAAACTCAAGGGCGAAAAGTGCTCTTTCCTACAATCCGAAGCTCACTTTTTGGGCCGAATCATCAACGAAGATGGAATCAAACCGGACCCTGCGCAAGTCTCCGCTCTTCGTCAGATGAAACCCCCACGCTCCCAAAAGGAGTTAGCTTCATTAATCGGGTCATTGAATTGGATCCGAGGTTTTCTAGAAACGAAAATGGGCGAAGCTATTTCATCCGGTTGCTTCTCGAGCAGAATGAAGCCCATAAACGATGTTCGAAATTCGGCGAACGAAACAAATTGTTTCAAGTGGACCAAAGAAGCGGATTTGGCGCTCAAGGAAATTCAACGACGACTCTCCGAGACTCCAGTCATAAGTTTTCCTAACTTTGACGAGTCTTTTCATCTCTACACAGACGCGAGCCTGTACGCAGCGGGTGGCGTCCTGCTACAAGAGTATGGCGGGAGAGTGCACCTAGTAAGCGCGATTTCCCACACCTTCAACAAAGCTGAAAGAAAATGGAACACTTCAGAAAAGGAAATGTTTAGCATTGTCTGGTGCTGCGAGCGACTGGAAAAGCTCCTGAAAGGTAGATTCTTTCAGATTCACACAGACCACCGATCTTTGATCTTCCTACACAAAAAGAAGTTCAAGAATTCTAAAATAAGCCGATGGCAAAGCCGATTGGAAGAATTCGATTTTCACATTGTCTACATCAAGGGATCAGAAAATCAATTCGCCGACTTTATGAGCCGCAGACCTGGCGAGGACGACAAATCACTTGGATACGACTCCGAGTTTCCCGTTGGTCGCGAGTACGAAATCGACAAGAATTCACCAGTACGTGTCTTCGTCCCTTTCTGGAACGAAAATCAGTTTCCGGAGAAAATCACTTTATCAGAGGTGAAGATACATAAGGTAAACGTCAAGGCTATCGCGGCGCCAATGGAGATTCCGTTGGTGTCAGCGAATTATAATAACATTCTGGACTATCAAAGGGAGGACTCTGCTCTGAGTGCAATCATCACTTTTCTGGAATCTGGTAAGGAGCCACTGGACATAAAATCGCTGGTGAAGGACTCCGACCACCGACAATCGTCTCTACTCAAGATGGAAAAAGCTCTGTTCCTGGATAACACTACCGGGTGCTTGATGTGTCAATTCAAATCTGGCGCGCGGGCGGTGGTACCGGAAGCGGTAAAAAGTCACTTTCTCTTTCTAGCTCACGACTTGTCCGGTCATCTGGGCGAGCCGCGGACTTTAGAGCGATTAGAGGACGTTTGGTGGCCTTCATTTCAAGACGATGTTTCTAACTACGTCCACAGCTGCGTCCCTTGCCTACGCAGAAAAGGATCTGCTGGAACTCGTACCAAACCGCCACTTGGAACCCTTCGTCGTGGAAAAACAGCTGGCGAATCGATTCAGATCGATTTCGCTTGTATGCCTCCCGCTGGCGGATTCAAGTATTATTTGGTGGTGGCGGACACTTTCTCTCGCTACACTTGGTGCATTCCGACACGGTCCGACACTGCTATCTGCGCCGCAAAAGCGCTCATCTACAAGGTCTTCCTTCCCATGGATTTCTTGCCGAAACATCTACACAGTGACAGAGGTACCCACTTCTGCGCAAGCGTGATTGACGAAATGTGTAAGCTTAACCAGATAAAACATACAATAAGTACCGCATTTCACCCTCAATCAAACGCTTTCGCAGAAAGAGCGAATCGGACTATCAAAAACAGTCTATTCTGCATGGTCAACTCATCTTCCGGTCGAAAAACTTGGGCCGACTGCGTTCCCCACGTGATGCGCGCGCTCAATAGTGTGAAAAACAAAAGCACGAAAATTTCACCGCGAGAAGTTTGGTTTGGCCGAAAAAGTACTTTCACCCACTCTACTGGCGCAGAAATGACAGCGGAAACACCTCAGGTGTTTGGTCTCAATGTGGGAGCTTTAGCGAAATCGGCGGAAGCCATTGTGAAAACTGCGATGGAAGCTGCTGACCGAGCCATGGAGCACAGGCTGAAAAACGAGCCTAAGCCGAGACCAATCCCCGCTGGCGCTGTCGTGTACATTAAGCGAGAAAACCTGACCGACGCTAAAAGCAAGAAGGAACGCTGGGTAGGTCCCCTGAAAGCCGTTTCGAGCAACGACTGGGTCGTCATGGTCGAAGATAAAAAAGGACAACGTGATTTCATCCATCGAGAACACGTGGTTCACGCCGCAGAACGAAATCACGACTTACGCTGGATTGATTACTACGAGGCCGAGTACGTATTCCCACATTTAACCGAAATCGTTAAGTCGAAAGTCCCACAAAAATCGCCTGTTCCTACTTCCAAACCGATGGAAAAGTCCGGGTCGAAGTCGCATGGGGGGAGGAAATCTTCTCAGGTCGCGTCGACTCCGATGGTTGCTATGGAAAAACCGCCAAGATCATCTCTATCACCTATTTTGGAAAGTAGACGCCGATTGGACATGGAAAATCTGGGAGATACAACCGCTACATCTATTTTGGACTCGTCGGTAGCTCCAGCCGAGCCGTCAGATCGCTGGTACTCTGGTGGTACTCTTTATGAAACTGCCGAGGACATGTCAGCTGATGCTACAGTGATTTCGGAGGTTGCTGCGCCCGACAATAGCCATATGTCAGTCGATAAACAAAATTCAACAGTAGTTGAGGGCTCAGCAACTGAAAACAGCAAGAAAAGAACCCGTCCAAAGTCTTCACCAGATCGTCAATACTCAGCCGGCGCCGATCCGAATGCGACTTTAACCGAAGTTGGAGCAGCTCATCTCCCGAAACATACAAAACGAGCACACCGTGAAACGAGGCCCGTCGAACCTCTAAACATCGGCACAAACTCGGGTCAGTCATACGACTAAGCGCAAGTACTGCCCCACTCAGGTCCCCTATTCATCGACCGGGGCCTGAAAAGGTACGGAAATTATCACAGTTTACCGTCGCCGACGTATTTTGAGTTCTTCTACATGTGCAGCTACTCCTTCATGTCATCACCGCTCGGACATCACGAAAACTTCGCATCTGATTCAAGCTTTTTCCCAAAAAAGGGTTTTTTAACGCGAATCAGACTGCCTCGACGTTTCGAACCTGCCATGTTACTCATCTTACGCTTATACTCCTGCAAAAATCACACACTTTGGCCTTAGAGGACGTTTCAGTCTCATGGGGGGTATTGGGATCTTAGATTCGTTAGACTCCCTCGTCCCCTAAGGTCACTTGCTTATCTAGATCGAGCTTTGCTCGGTCGCCGCCGTGTATTTCTCTTCATTCGGTAATTCACGCAGTTCGTGAATTAACCTCTATTTTACTCCAGCTCGAAATACAGACGTCAAAGATACTTTACTCGTTTTCTTCACTCGTCCAGATATAGAGAGCAGGCAAACTACGCTAGAAGTGGGAGATTCAGCAGAAGCTAGGATCCCTTCACTCTTTAACTGGCTTTCAAAATATCAGTCTACCCCGCTAATATTGACCATTCAGGAGAAAATATTTTTTTAAAGCCTCTTTCCTATAACCAGCTTGACAGGCCAGATCTAAGATTTCCTTGTCGCGAATGAGCTCATATTTTAGATACTTCAAATCGTTATCGACATTTTGCAAGGCTTCGGAAAGCGTTTCCAAATTCACAACCGGGCGAAAAACCGTCTCCATCAAAAGCTGGACGCCTTCTTTTAGCGCTCCTCGTTTGATGCTCAGCGCAAAGATCGTCGCTTCCTGGTCTGTCTGGCAGTCGCAAATTCCACCGTTCATTTCCAAAAACTCTCTGACTTGCGTTCTCGAAGCAAAAGAATCTAGGGTCGCTCCAAAGGCCATTTTCTCGTCCAAGTGGGCGACGCCGTTTGGAATATCGACTGTATTCCGTGCCCCAGCGCGCAGAATAATCGCAATTGTGCAGTAATTTCCGTGAAGAGCAGATCGAGAGTAGAGATTCACATCGGAAGCTTTTGCTGAAAGAATTCTGTTTTCTAGGGATGAAAATTTAACCATGCGTATTTGAAAAACATCAATTAATCAGTGGGAACCGTTTTAACGGGAAAATTCTTCCGGGTGCCAAATTAACGGATTTAAAATCACATAACAGTACAAAGAAGTGAGTAAAATCAGTTAACTTTGACACCCCTAGAGCATCAAATCCATTATCTTGGCACCCGCTAGACGAACTTTTCCGTTAAAATGGTAGCCCTTTAATAAAGGACCTATATAAATTCGTGGAAAAAACTACATCCCTTTTCCTTTTTCAACCCTAAAAGGATCCGGCGTTTTCGACGTAAATTCCAGTTTTTCAAAACCAGCCAACGGTTCCCTCAGCGCCGCCTGATTCTTCAGCCTTTTGCAAATCGACAAACTTCTTCCAAAGACTCTCCTCATCGCGATTTTCAATCTTCCCAAATTTCAACGGAACCAACTTTCCTCTTTAGCGTCGCGAGAAAATGGTGCGCTCTTTTTGCTCTGATTGGCGCCCGCTAAAATCAATCCGAAAAACTGGAACAGAAAGAAAGAGAGAGACGCATTTTTCGAATTTTCATTTTTTTAGAGAAAAGACTTTTCCAAGAAATTTTCTTTACTTTCAGCCGAGAGAATTATTAAACTTATAACACTTCATTTTTTTTGAACTTATAAAATTATTTTATTTTTCATTGTAATAATCATTGATTTGTCGTAAAGCTGCGTGCGGCTTTTCAAGATTTTCATTTTGAAAAAGCCGCAAGCGGGTTTTGAGTCGTAGTTCAACTCAAAACGAAGTAATTCGAATATTGTTTTCCGGATTTCTCAGCTATTGGGATCTTAGATTCGTTAGACTCCCTCGTCCCCTAAGGTCACTTGCTTATCTAGATCGAGCTTTGCTCGGTCGCCGCCGTGTATTTCTCTCCATTCGGTAATTCACGCAGTTCGTGAATTAACCTCTATTTTACTCCAGCTCGAAATACAGACGTCAAAGATACTTTACTCGTTTTCTTCACTCGTCCAGATATAGAGAGCAGGCAAACTACGCTAGAAGTGGGAGATTCAGCAGAAGCTAGGATCCCTTCAGTGGTATCAGAGTAGTCCCGTTGGAGAAAAGATAAATTTTTCCGCCATCGACAACCGAAGTTTCGCAACTTGGACGCTGATTGGCCGTCAGCGGAGTCGAGGGGAACCGAATCACCAACCGCCACCGCGCCGCCGGAGAAACTCCACTCAGAGAATTTTCCGCACCACACCAACACCACCCCGAGCGAGCGCCACCGCACGAGCGCCACCACGACCCACGCGCCGAAAGTCGCGCCCACGCAACCACGCACGCACGCCGGGGAAAACCTAAAATACTGAGAAAAACATAATTCTTTCGCCACTTTTCACCAAAAATCGAGAGAAGTTTACGAAGAATCGACCCTTGGACCAGACCTTGAAATTTCGACAATCGCTGGACAGAGAAATCGTCGGGCGTTTGCGCAAAAGGCACCTCAGCTCATCATATTGCGACTTTTAGTCGCAGTATTTTCTGAGGGCCTGAAAGGTAATCCAAGGCCCATAAACCCTTACTGCCGATATATTTCGAGCTATGGCGGCGAACAAATCACTGCTAGAAACCGTCACCGAAATAAGAAGCATAAACGATCGAGTAAACTACCTCGAAGAACAAGTGCGAAATGACGAATCACTAAAGCCAAGCCTAGAGCCCTTGATCACAGAAAGCAGAGTAAAATTAGAACAGCTCAGTACAACGCTTCTTACCTGCGAGCTCGATCAAGGAAAAGACTCTACGAATGCGACAATGAGAGAAGAAGCATGGGTGGCCACTACCTGGTCTCGTCACGTCCAAGACTTGCCGAAGCTGGACGCCGCATGCAACACATCTTTCAACACCTTCTTGGGCAGAGCCGACATTTATCACCGCGCCTACGTCCGCGACAGACCTTCACGTGAACAGCCTTTCATCGCAGCAGTGTACAGCCACTTCGACTTGAACATCGAACGCTCACTTGGAACCGAATTTCTGAATTGTCAAGACTGGAAATCGGCCAAGGCGCTGCTAGAGAAATCATTCGCCGCGAAGAGTCACTACTTACTGAAGCTAAGCGAAGTTTTCGACGTCGAATACGACCATTCGAAGCCGTTTGCACACTACACCGCCAACGTCTTGCAAAAGATGAACGAGGCGAAGCAAGCGACTTTGAACTCTTACCGACAAGAGAAGTCAGCCGACGCCGGGGTCGATGAAATATTTGACATATTCTCGACGATGATGCTGTACTTGAATCTTAGGAAAGAAGAACCAGACGTTTTCAACGCAATCCTTCCAAGCCTATCAAAAGTTTACGATATCAACGAACTCTGCCGTCTCGCCCAATCCACAAGACAGAATCGAGTTGACAGCGCGACCGTCTCCCAGCACTTCAACAGAAATAAGAACAAAAAGAAGAAGAATGCTAAGCGCGCCAGCAACGATTCTAAGGATGGGAAAGACGATAAACAACCAGAATCCAAGAAGATAAATACGACTAAGAACGTTGAAGATTTCCAACCATTCGACGTTCACTTTTACACAGTGAAGAAGAAGCGACCAGGAAAGGCTTATTTCGCTTCGGCTACCATCATTACGGGCTCTAAAAGTTTTGACGTATCGATGGAAGTCGACAGCGGAGCCGAGTCCTCCTGTCTGTCCGCTGCTTACGTTCCCGACGAATTTCTCCAGATGCTGAAGCCCTGTCCCTTCAAGGTCACCGGTTTCAGCCCAAATATTCCCGCCGAGCAGCCGATGGGTATCCTTCCCTGCCGCTTATCATTCAATGGTGGCCCTGCATTCTCCCTGAATCTCACCATTATGCCAGGCAGTAAATACCCAAGTCTACTGGGCCGCGATATACTAGAGAATGCGATGACGGACAGCTTCACAGTCGACAATAAGAATCGTACTCTCTCATTTTGCTACAACGAAGCCTTCACACAAACTGAGACTCAAGTGGTGAAGCTGGACGGAGTGAAGCGGACCAAAATCAAGAAATACTTGACTACTAGATCAGCGGTCAAGGATAGCGATCGATCCCGCACTCAACCGCCACCAAAAGTCCCAAAGCTGGACGCACCTAACAAGAACGCAGCCAGGTGCCCCATTCAGCTAGCGAAGCAAAAACTCGGAATTACCCTACCAGCAAACGCCGACCCGGGGCAAAAGAAGGTGGTCGCCGAGCTGTGTTTGGATTTCGACGACAGATTCGGCTGCGACGGTCAAAAAATGGGTGAATTCCCATTCGAGATCGAAATCCCGACTGATGGTACGAGTCGAAACATCAGTCAACACCCTATTCCGCAAGCTTTTCATGGCCAGGTCACTGATCACATCTCCGAACTGCTCGATACGAAAATAATAGAAGAGATCAAGGACCAGAAAGGGTTTAATAGCCCCGTTCTGCCAATCCCTAAGAAATCTGGGGAAATGCGCTTCTGCATCAACTACAAGAACAGCTTGAACAAATGCCTCTCCGACAAATCCGACCCATATCATCTTCCGAGCATGGAGGATACGATCGCGAACATTGGACCGGGCAACAAGTATTTCGCCACAGTTGATTTGCGGAGCGGATATTGGCAGTGCCCTATTAAGAAAAGCGATAGGTATAAGACTTCCTTCCAGTGGGGTGGGAAATCTTACGCCTTCTGCAGATTACCTTTCGGTTATCGATGCTCGGGGAATATATTCTCGCGCGTCGTAAACACGATTCTCGACTCAAGCCCCACCAGGAAGAAGATGCTTTCTTATATCGATGACATAGTATGTTTTGGGAAGTCTTTCAGCTGCTATTACAACACTCTCCGAAACCTATTCATCGCGCTCCGCAAGTTTAACGCTAAACTCAAGGGCGAAAAGTGCTCTTTCCTACAATCAGAAGCTCACTTTTTGGGCCGAATCATCAACGAAGAAGGAATCAAACCGGACCCTGCGCAAGTCTCCGCCCTTCGTCAGATGAAACCCCCACGCTCCCAAAAGGAGTTAGCTTCATTAATCGGGTCATTGAATTGGATCCGAGGTTTTCTAGAAACAAAAATGGGCGAAGCTATTTCATCCGGTTGCTTCTCGAGCAGAATGAAACCCATAAACGATGTTCGAAATTCGGCGAACGAAACAAATTGTTTCAAGTGGACCAAAGAAGCGGATTTGGCGCTCAAGGAAATTCAACGACGACTCTCCGAGACTCCTGTCATAAGCTTTCCTAACTTTGACGAGTCTTTTCACCTCTACACAGACGCGAGCCTGTACGCAGCGGGTGGTGTTCTGCTACAAGAGTATGGCGGGAGAGTGCACCTAGTAAGCGCGATTTCCCACACCTTCAACAAAGCTGAAAGAAAATGGAACACTTCAGAAAAGGAAATGTTTAGCATTGTCTGGTGCTGCGAGCGACTGGAAAAGCTCCTGAAAGGTAGATTCTTTCAGATTCACACAGACCACAGATCTTTGATCTTCCTACACAAAAAGAAGTTCAAGAATTCTAAAATAAGCCGATGGCAAAGCCGATTGGAAGAATTCGATTTTCACATTGTCTACATCAAGGGATCAGAAAATCAATTCGCCGATTTTATGAGCCGCAGACCTGGCGAGGACGACAAATCACTTGGATACGACTCTGAGTTTCCCGTTGGTCGCGAGTACGAAATCGACAAGAATTCACCAGTACGTGTCTTCGTCCCTTTCTGGAACGAAAATCAGTTTCCGGAGAAAATCACTTTATCAGAGGTGAAGATACATAAGGTAAACGTCAAGGCTATCGCGGCGCCAATGGAGATTCCGTTGGTGTCAGCGAATTATAATAACATTCTGGACTATCAAAGGGAGGACTCTGCTCTGAGTGCAATCATCACTTTTCTGGAATCTGGTAAGGAGCCACTGGACATAAAATCGCTGGTGAAGGACTCCGACCACCGACAATCGTCTCTACTCAAGATGGAAAAAGCTCTGTTCCTGGATAACACTACCGGGTGCTTGATGTGTCAATTCAAATCTGGCGCGCGGGCGGTGGTACCGGAAGCGGTAAAAAGTCACTTTCTCTTTCTAGCTCACGACTTGTCCGGTCATCTGGGCGAGCCGCGGACTTTAGAGCGATTAGAGGACGTTTGGTGGCCTTCATTTCAAGACGATGTTTCTAACTACGTCCACAGCTGCGTCCCTTGCCTACGCAGAAAAGGATCTGCTGGAACTCGTACCAAACCGCCACTTGGAACCCTTCGTCGTGGAAAAACAGCTGGCGAATCGATTCAGATCGATTTCGCTTGTATGCCTCCCGCTGGCGGATTCAAGTATTATTTGGTGGTGGCGGACACTTTCTCTCGCTACACTTGGTGCATTCCGACGCGGTCCGACACTGCTATCTGCGCTGCAAAAGCGCTCATCTACAAGGTCTTCCTTCCCATGGATTTCTTGCCGAAACATCTACACAGTGACAGAGGTACCCACTTCTGCGCAAGCGTGATTGACGAAATGTGTAAGCTTAACCAGATAAAACATACAATAAGTACCGCATTTCACCCTCAATCAAACGCTTTCGCAGAAAGAGCGAATCGGACTATCAAAAACAGTCTATTCTGCATGGTCAACTCATCTTCCGGTCGAAAAACTTGGGCCGACTGCGTTCCCCACGTGATGCGCGCGCTCAATAGTGTGAAAAACAAAAGCACGAAAATTTCACCGCGAGAAGTTTGGTTTGGCCGAAAAAGTACTTTCACCCACTCTACTGGCGCAGAAATGACAGCGGAAACACCTCAGGTGTTTGGTCTCAATGTTGGAGCTTTAGCGAAATCGGCGGAAGCCATTGTGAAAACTGCGATGGAAGCTGCTGACCGAGCCATGGAGCACAGGCTGAAAAACGAGCCTAAGCCGAGACCAATCCCCGCTGGCGCTGTCGTGTACATTAAGCGAGAAAACCTGACCGACGCTAAAAGCAAGAAGGAACGCTGGGTAGGTCCCCTGAAAGCCGTTTCGAGCAACGACTGGGTCGTCATGGTCGAAGATAAAAAAGGACAACGTGATTTCATCCATCGAGAACACGTGGTTCACGCCGCAGAACGAAATCACGACTTACGCTGGATTGATTACTACGAGGCCGAGTACGTATTCCCACATTTAACCGAAATCGTTAAGTCGAAAGTCCCACAAAAATCGCCTGTTCCTACTTCCAAACCGATGGAAAAGTCCGGGTCGAAGTCGCATGGGGGGAGGAAATCTTCTCAGGTCGCGTCGACTCCGATGGTTGCTATGGAAAAACCGCCAAGATCATCTCTATCACCTATTTTGGAAAGTAGACGCCGATTGGACATGGAAAATCTGGGAGATACAACCGCTACATCTATTTTGGACTCGTCGGTAGCTCCAGCCGAGCCGTCAGATCGCTGGTACTCTGGTGGTACTCTTTATGAAACTGCCGAGGACATGTCAGCTGATGCTACAGTGATTTCGGAGGTTGCTGCGCCCGACAATAGCCATATGTCAGTCGATAAACAAAATTCAACAGTAGTTGAGGGCTCAGCAACTGAAAACAGCAAGAAAAGAACCCGTCCAAAGTCTTCACCAGATCGTCAATACTCAGCCGGCGCCGATCCGAATGCGACTTTAACCGAAGTTGGAGCAGCTCATCTCCCGAAACATACAAAACGAGCACACCGTGAAACGAGGCCCGTCGAACCTCTAAACATCGGCACAAACTCGGGTCAGTCATACGACTAAGCGCAAGTACTGCCCCACTCAGGTCCCCTATTCATCGACCGGGGCCTGAAAAGGTACGGAAATTATCACAGTTTACCGTCGCCGACGTATTTTGAGTTCTTCTACATGTGCAGCTACTCCTTCATGTCATCACCGCTCGGACATCACGAAAACTTCGCATCTGATTCAAGCTTTTTCCCAAAAAAGGGTTTTTTAACGCGAATCAGACTGCCTCGACGTTTCGAACCTGCCATGTTACTCATCTTACGCTTATACTCCTGCAAAAATCACACACTTTGGCCTTAGAGGACGTTTCAGTCTCATGGGGGGTATTGGGATCTTAGATTCGTTAGACTCCCTCGTCCCCTAAGGTCACTTGCTTATCTAGATCGAGCTTTGCTCGGTCGCCGCCGTGTATTTCTCTCCATTCGGTAATTCACGCAGTTCGTGAATTAACCTCTATTTTACTCCAGCTCGAAATACAGACGTCAAAGATACTTTACTCGTTTTCTTCACTCGTCCAGATATAGAGAGCAGGCAAACTACGCTAGAAGTGGGAGATTCAGCAGAAGCTAGGATCCCTTCACAGCCAAGAATTAAACTTTTTCTGTTTCAGACTTGGGATGTCGGGAATAAACACTCCGATGAAGGAACTCTCCTTAGAGTTTTCCTTCACGGAGTCGACCAAAGAGGAGCAGACGGATGAAAAAATGAATGTCGACGAGAATATGCTCCCAAAGTGCACTTCCGACGCGGAAATTCAGCCCAAAAGAGCGCTAGGTATGATTTTTTTCTATTTTCAAACTCTGATGAAGTATTTCAGTGTTCGACGATGTGCCAGAGCTTTCTGAGGATGAGGAAGTCGATCAAAATTCGAACATCAATCTTCCGCCGCCAGAGCTCTCAGAGGAAGAAATGGAAATCGAGGACAAGGAAAATCTCAAGCCTGCAGATCTTCCCCAGCCAAAAGAGAAAATCCTCATAAGTAAGTTCCCATTTCCAAGATAATGAAAAATATTAACAAATTCTCTTTCAGAGGAGCCAGATTTTCCAGCGCCAGCGATCGAAGTTCCCGAAGAGCCGAAAGAAAGCCGCATTTTGTCGCCAAAGAAAGGCGTCAAGGTGAACACTGCGCACACGCCGAGCTACATGCGCGGAACGGCCAGTTCCAGCGCCAAAACGCCGAAAAAAGGTGGAGAAAAAGTGCCGGAAGAGAAGAAGAGAGAGATGCCGAAGCCCGGCTTCTCGACGAAATTCAGCAAACCAACGACCAAGAAGTATGGCATTGCTGCATCTCTTTGCAAGAAAGAAGCCACCAAGCCGGTCGTGAGCAAAGCTGCTTCTGGCCAGTCGAGTTCTTCGCGCTTCGGTTTCCAGCCGCCGAAAAAGCTCGCTTCTCGCCCAGCAACGGCTCCTTCGAAACCTGTTGCCCCGAAGCCGACAGCGATGAAATCAAAAACAGAAACAGCTGCTCGAGGACGGCCAACAGTCGCGACAAAAACAACGACAAAATCAAAAACCGTCACCGCGCCCAAACGACCAGTCAGTGCTCGTCCTGCTTTTGGATCTAGCGCGAAGCCGGCCAAACCAGTTGTCAGTTCTCGACCGGCGAGTGCGAAACCAACGGTCGATCGAGCGAAGAGCACGCTGACTTCGCGAGTTGGTACCGGATCGGCGCCAAAGCCAAGTACGATGAGTGCGAAGAGTTCGATTCCACCGCGGCCAGCTTCAGCCAAGCCACGACCGGCTACTACTTCAACTTCTGCCAGTCGATTTGGCGCAGTTGCAAAGACTGGCGTGAGTAAAACTGAGAGAAAGCCTGGTGCACCAAAAAAAGAGGAAGCGAAGAAGGTCGTCCAGCCGACCTCTTCAAAGGTGAAGCCAGGTGTGGTTCAGCCAAAGGTTGTCTCACGATTCGGGCAAGCTTCAGCTTCCAGCAAGAAAGAAGTGCAGAAAGTTAAGCCAGCGAGTAGTACTGCACCAGGAAAGAGCACGGCAGCGACGATTCCGAAGCCAAAGATTCCGTCTTCGACGATGGAAAAGTCTGAAAAGTCGAAGCCGCTTACGGCCAAGGCAGTTGAGGTTACTGAGAGACTTTTGAGCAAGACGCCAAAAACGCCTCGTGATAAACCAGCAGAGTCGAAGACTCCTGCTTCTTCCTCTGCATCTATGAAAGCGAAAACACCAGTGCGACCGAAAACTCCAGTGGCGAAAACACCAGCTAAAACTCCTGGAAAGATGAGCTCTAAGACGCCCACTGGAGCGACTGGCAAGAGTGCGAAGAAAGAAGAGGCGAAGAAGCGTCGTCGAACTCGCTACTCGATCACTCAAGAGGCGACGGAGAAAATGTCGGAAGCGTTTTCGAAGTGTGCCAAGAACAGAGTCGAAGCGAACGAGTCGCTCTTCAAAGACTTGAACGAGGACGACCAAAACGACGCTGAAAGCAATTTGGTGGTGCAGGCGATTGAAAACCTGATCCAGTCGGCGAAGGAACAGAACTTGCCAAGCCACAACTTGCTCGATCTGTTGACAGGAATGAGAGACGATCTCGGCGAAGATATTGCCATGGTCACCTGCTACTGGGCGGCGAAAATCGACGTCTTGATGAAATTAGGTAAAACTCATTCTTTCTCCGTCAATTTATCATAAAATTAAAGGCTCGAAAGCTTGTGAAATCAAAGAGGAGCTCGAAACAGCGACAAAATCGAATCCAATCCCAGCGTCCGACTTCGCCAAGCTCAAAAAAGAAACACTGGAGAAGATGTCTGAACCTGGATTCGACGAGCGAGGTGCCACTCCAGATCCGGAAGCGACAATTCCGCTCGAGGACGATGAAATGCTCGAGCTTTCGATCGTCAACATGCCTCCCTTCGAGGAACCAGCTCCTGCTCCGACAGTTTCTGTTGAGGCGCCTACTCCTGAGCCGGAATCATTCGTTGAGCCAATGTCTACCGAGCAAACACTGGCCAATCTGACCGAGATGAACAACAAGCAGGATGCTACCTTGCTCCGCTTTGTGGTAAGTTTCAGTAAAATTGGTCCCATCTGAGTTCATTTCTAGGTTCGAAAAACCAAGTGCAAGGATCTCTCAAAATTGATCGTCACTCCAGTACGGCGATCAAAGCGGATCGCCAATAAAACGCCTGGAAAGACGCCTGGCACTCCGACTACTCGAACTCCCAGAGCCGAGGTAAGATATTCTTCTTATTGTTCACAAATAACGATTCTTATCTAGCTGGACATCACCGATCTGAAAGAACTCCACAACAACACCGAAATCGGTTTCTTGGAGAACCCAAAACTCAACCTCGACTCCGTTCTTGAGTGATTCATTCTCGCCATTTTCACCACCTTCACACAAAATGTATATACTCACTAATAAAAACTAACGTTCACTTTTCACATTCCCGCACCCAATTTCACCCCTGCCAAAATCTACTGTTCACATTCCCGAATAAAATGGAAACATTTTAACATGTGCAGTAAATTCTGTCTCTTTATTTGCATCTTCGCATTTTCAATTAGAAATCCTAGAAATCGGTTTTGGTTGAATTCGAAAGGATGAGTCAGAAAAAAGCGCGTACATTTGATCTCCAAGCGATGCTTGGAGAGACTCTCAAGACTGCCCAAGAGAGTAGCCGTGAAACTTTAGCCCGGCGAGAGGAGGAGGAGAAAAATCGTCAAAAGTCGGCGAAAAAACGGACTGTAAGCGAGGTTGAATCAAAGCCATCCAAACCTGCTGAGCCGGCGCCAGAATCTGACGGAGAAGATGTTGGTCCTGCTCTTCCTCCCGGCTTCGTCATTCCTAACATGCAAGAACTCGCTAAAAAGTCTGAGGAAAATGCGAAGAAAGAAGAAGAGCAAGACTCTGACAGTGACTCAGAGTCAGATGATGAGGTATTTTTAGTCGGTTGAATCAATTCTTACTTACTATTACTTTAGCAAGACAATGAGCGAAGAATGACGCTTCCGATAACTAGTCGCATTGCGCTCAACCACGGAAGTAAACCAGTGCAAGCACTTTGCCTTGATCCTCCGGGCGGGCGACTTTTAACAGGAGCAGATGACTACAACATGAAATTCTGGGATTTTCCCGGAATGACCAACACTTTCGAGCCATTCCGCTACATGGAGCCGCAAGAAGGCTATCACGTGCGAGACTTGTCGTATTCCGTCACCGGCGACAACATTCTAGTGGTGACTGGATCGATGCAGCCTATTTTGTACGACAGAGACGGTTTTCTCGTCGGCACTTGCGTCAAAGGCGACAGCTACTTGATGGACTCGTCGAAGACTGAAGGGCATCAGGCGATGTGTAACGCCGGCCAGTTTCATCCTTTTGAGAGAGAATGGATGGTTACCTGCGCCAATGATGGAACCATTCGGTAAGCTTAGAAAATGGGGAAACAAAGATTGAGATTTTAAGGCAATGGAATGTCGAAGATCGGGAAAAAGACATGTTCGGCTGTATAGTAATGAAACAATACGACTGCAGAAAAGTGCGAAATCGACAAGGAAAGCGGGCGACTCCTACTGCGCTCACTTACTGTCGTCAAGGAAAGCTGCTGGCGAGTGGGAACGACGATGGCTCAGTTCAGATTTGGGATCATAGAAGAATCGTCTCTCCGAAAATAAGAATTTGGAACTGTCATCCGGCGGGGAGAGAATAACCTGCTGTACTTTTTCGTACGACAACACAATCGTGGCGACGAGATGCCTCGATGGAACGATGAAGCTCTTCGATCTCAGAAACACGAAGCAAGCGCTCTTTGTTAGGGACAACTTGCCGGCGCGTTATGACGGAACTAAAATTGCGTTCTCGCCGAATGACAAAATCATCTGTGTTGGAACTTCCGGCGAGAGAGTCAAAAAGGGCGTTCAAAAGCCCGGGGAGTTGAAGTTTTTCTTGAGAGACGACATGTCCGAAGTCAAATCTGTTCCGGTAATTTTCTAAATTCTTTATAATCGTCCTTGAGAATCGTTTTAGTTGCAATCGGGATCGGCAATCGGAATTTTATGGCATCACAGAATCAATCAAATTATCTATGGAACGTCCGATGGAAAAGCTTGCGTCTACTTCGATGAAAAAGTGTCTCATAGAGGGGCGAAGCTATGTGTTTCGAAGCGAAAGAAAGCTGCAGAATTCGTGGAAATGGACGCCAATGTCCACGTCGTCGTTCCTTTCCAACCAAAGAACTTCAGGGAGCCGAAACCATCTTCCAAAGAAACTCAATTTGTCAAGGTATTAATCAGTGCCTCCGCAGTTTCCTCTACTATAGAATTTAGGCGAGGAAAAATGCTCAAGCTTCTCATGCGCCAGAAGCACCGCTCAATCCTACAATGGCTGGTCAGCTCGGTCGACTCAATGCTCCAAATGGGACGCTGCACAAGTTTATCGCCAAAGAGGTCTTTCAAGTTGACGTTTCTCTTTTCAAAAGTGAATTCAGATTGCAATGAAAACCTCAGATGACGATCCAACTTTGATTCGTCAGAAGATTCTCAGACACGCCTACAAAGCTGAAGAAGAAGGCAACCTTATCAACGCTGCTTATTCACAAACACAGCCTGTCAACGTTCTAGGTGACTTTTCTTTCCTCAATCTTTCGCTTACTAAAATTCAAGCGGAGCACAAAACGCTGGAAGACGAAGATGCAGAGTTCAACCAGCCTATGTGGAAACGAATGAAATATCAAGACGACAAGAAGAAGGGCAAAATCGTCGTCGATGAAGAAAAACTTGTCTGAATCTCATTTTCTAGTCTTATTTTCTGCCAAACGGATAACACGAATCATTCTTCATTACTTTTAATCCTTGTTGATTTTGATTTATGATTCGGTTTTATTAACATTTCTTTTTGGAGGAAGAGTTGAATGTACATATCAATCAGAGGTAGCAACTATATGAACTATTTTTACATATCGATTCGTGCAGGGACGTTTTCAGGCAGGAGATATTCATATGGAACTCTCCACGATTTGTTTCTAAAATGCAATCAGCAAAACGGGATGATCCAGGAACAAACCGTTCGTTAATCTTTTTTCCAATATCCTTGACGTCCTGGGTAAATTCTTCAAGTATCTTTATAGCGCTTTCCTCTGTGAATAGCTTCATGGGAAACTCGCCCAGAAAGACCTGAAGTTAATATGTCAAAAATTTATTTGACTCGAGGGCGCGTACCTCGTCGGCTGGTGGGGTTGACAATGTGTGCGAGACGGCCATTTGCGCGCACATCAGGTCTTGATCTGGCAGCGTGTTCATTATGTCTTCCATTGTCACCTTTTTCGGGGCTCAAAATGAGCTCCTCCCTCGGCATAAAGTTAACTATTTCAAGCCCCTTTCCTTATCTTTGTCAACTGGAGCTGGCTGTCTGAGAAGAACTGGATGCGCGGGTGGATTTCCATAGATGTCGAACATGGGATTTCCTTCTGCGGCGTGTTGAACACTCGACATAAAGATGATTCCAGTGAGAAGATGAATTAGCTCGTCCTGAAATGAGTGGAAAGTGCGTCTTTTCATCGCGATCTCTTACCTTTGTGCTGAGCTCGTTTGGTAGCTTGTCGTCATCAGCGTACGCGAATCCAAATTTCTAAAAAACAATCATTTAACTTTCCAATTAGCGATTAGTGATTGTGGCTGGCGGCAGATGTTGGAAGTGCCTAATGGCGACCATCTATCTTCACTAACCTTTGACTCCTTCATGAAGTCTTGTAATTCGCTGTCTTGGACAACATCACCGTCGCTCTTGTAATACAGCTCGATGATTCGACGCGTGTACTTTTGATCGCCGACCAGTAGAGCAGCGAGTCGTCTCGGTAGCCGTACTCTTTTATCTATTGACTCGTATTTTACCCATATAAGCATGTCCAATTTACCTTTGAATCAAGAACTCCCGCTTCGCGAGACATTTGGGCACGTCAAAGTCCTCAATCGACCACTTTTTGAAGCCTCTTTTGAGAAGTTCAAGATGTCCCCGCCGCCTTGGATACATAAATAAACTGGCATTTCAATCAATCTGTAATTACCAGTGGACATGACACGGTCAATGGTACCTCCGGGACTGATCATGACTCCCCTAGCATATGAATCGACAGCAATGATATGCTAGACATTGGCTTATTATTAAAAGAAGAAGAGCGTCCGTATTGACTCAATACAGATGCTCGAGAAGAGCGACTCCCGGAAGTAACTGAGCGTACCTGCAGATGAGTGAACATGAAGCGGAAAAGAGGATGATTTCGCGAAACACGGCGGCGGAGTGCGATTGCAAACGGCTCCGTCACCATGTGCGTGAACAACAAATGCTCATTCAGTTGCTGGATCTGAAATAAAATGATTTTGTTTGAAAGTTTCTTTTACAGATTCATCAACTGACTGAACATACAGAGAATGAGCGGTGCCACGAGTGGATAAGTACATCAATCAAGAATTAAATCAAGACGAAAGTCCGCTTGCATATTAATCAGATACCTAGAGATGTGGTTTTGCCAGTGTTTGCCCCTGGGACGCCTTCCCCCATTTCCCGGCCGATGGTGTTCAGCGCGAGGTGGAAGGGTGTATGAGTGGCCAGCAACTTTCTGAGGGGGTGCACGATGCTCAAATTGCGGATCATGGCAACCACAAAGGGCTCGGGCGCCAAGTGACACCGGAGCAAATGTTCAGTCACTTGTTGAATCTGACTCGGCCTGAATTAGGCAAGCCCGCAAATTGGAATTTCTTACCTGTCCGTTGGCGCTGTTGAAAAACATCTTCGCCAGCAACCACGCGTTTGGTGGATCTTTTGGGGTGAACACGGGATTGTTTTCTTCCTTATTCGAGAATAATTGAATCGCCAGTGGCTCGAGGAAGCCTTCATTGTTACAGTAAAGGACGAGCAGGGGCGCGCAAGTGTAGTTTTTCGTCTAATGAGAATCAATTTCAATTAGAGTCTGGCGGAAGTCACATAATTTACCTTGAGTATTGGGTGATCGCCGCACGGGATTCCTTCCAGATAGTTCGATAATAGCTGGATAATAATAAAAACACGGTGATGAGTTTGTCAGATGACCTTTCTTTCAGAAGATCACTGAACCTCAAACTTTCAGTTTAAATTTGAATATAAATAAGTTAAAAACTATTCCTTCAAGAATCGAGTTGTCTACCATGAAGATGCGGCCATCGAGTAAAGCGTTCTGATAAGTGACTCCACTTGGGAGGCATTTTTCCAAATCAGCTGTTGTGATGGAGTAGTACTTTGGAAGGCTCTTGAAAACCCTCTGCACCCCGGTTGGTCTGAATATTCGATTCAAAGGACAAGTGGGGAATCATTTCTCTTACCTGCATCCATTGATTTGTTGTCGGGCGAATTCGAGGTCGGATCTATAAAAATTAACTATTTTGATAAAGATGGATAGTAATGGGTACCGCCAGTTATGCCAGCAGTCGTGATTGATTTCCCGATTTTTCATCGTTGGAATAAGCAAGAGTTTGTGCACATCTTCCAGCGAGTCGAAATTTCTAAAGATTCCCACGAAGCGATTGAGGAGCAGATTTTTGAGACCAGTCGCGCGACAGTTGTGGAACTCGGCATCGCGTTCGGCCGACCATTGCGAGTTTCTTGGAAGATCTCTGTGCTGCTCTGCTTGGAGATGCCCATTCAGGCCGTATGTGAGGTCTTCTTTCTCTGGCTCCGCTCGCCAGCGATAGGTCGTTCGCTGTTTTCGGAGATATTCTTCTCGGAACTTTCGTTTGACTTCAAGACTATCGTCTTGTGGGAGATATGCGGTACCCTCGGCGGTCGTCGCTCCGTCTGTTACCCATTCGTAGAAGGGGAAGAAATATTCTTTCGACTTTTCGGGGTTTACTGAGTTCGCGATCAAGGAAAAAATAGGAGAATTTGAAAACCCGTCCTTCATAATAACTTTGACATACTCCACATACCAATCAGGAGAGAGCCCCTTGTCCTTTATCACTAAAAAAGATGCTAGAAGAAGAAAAAAAGCAGGTTCTTACGAAGTTTGCAGAGAAGAGGCGTTCCAATATTCTTCATTTTGATGATGAACTTGTCTGAATTTCCTCTCTCAAAGTCATCGCGAAAAAAGTTATCAATTTTTGTCGGTTTCGTAGAACTGTCCTCGCCGATCAGTTGAATCTTCACGTCTGCATCTGTGCCCGCTGCTTTCGTGTTTCCAGTTTTGACGACGACTTTGTAGGTGATCTCTTCGGCGAAGGGGTCTCCGAAGTCGATCGACTTGGTCTTGCTGTTGATGCAGTAGGCTAGTCTCTTCATCAGTGCCATGTACTGGCTCGCTTCTTCCGTTCTCTTCTGCGCGGTTCGCTCCTCGGGGAATCGCCAGCCACAAAATTATCAATTGTCGCGGAACAGCGCCGCCGCTGCCAGCTCAGAATCGTCGACGACGCTCTCCTTCCCGTTTTGGATTCAGTTCAACTCCCATTTAATTCATTTATCAAAATTAGAATTAAATTGAGCCCCTCTTTCAAAGCAGTGTATACTTTGCCCTGCTGATAGATCAAATAATGATTAAATACTGAATCGACCTTTTCTTTGGCCCAGTTTGATTCAAAAACGAGCCTTTTTCTTGACTCTTGATTTGCATGATAATTTCTAAATGATCATTATCGCCAATTCAGCTGCTGAAGTTCAGCTGAACTCTGTCCAAGACTCAAGACAGCTTAGTCTTTACTTTCCGATGAAGAGATGAAATCCCGAGTGTCATAATCGGATGACAGGGAATAGGAAAAAGTGCTCATCCGCGATTCCATTCCTTTCAAATTAGCCTCGCCTAGAAATTTCTGATGATGCAAAAAGAGCTAATGTTATGTCTACTGCTGGGAAATAAATACAGTATAGTTCGGGACGGTCAAATTTGTAACTGACAGAATGCGCAATTATCAGAATACAATTTTGAGGCAGACGATCTTTTGAATATTTCATGATTTCAGGTTCATTGTCTGAATCTTCTCGCAACTACGATTTTCCCAACATAAACAATACTTGGTTCTCATATTGGCCTACGTACTATCCAAATAATGAACCCAAAATAGCAGCAAGCGCCGCGTGGGTTAGTAAATCCTTGTACCGCTTGTTTTGTATTCTACCGGAGGGTGAGTTGCCAGGACAAAAGTAGTAAAAGCACGGTCGAGAAGAAATCCATGTTGAATTTTTAGTTTTTGAAGATGAATTTATTTTTGCTTGTTTTCTTGCTTTTCACTTCGAGTGCGCAGACGCTAAAAGGCCTGCAAACAAAATTGCTCGCTCTTCAAGCCAAAGCGGACAAGAAATTCAAAGACTATGAAGTCGCCTTCACCATGCTCGGAAAGAGATTGTTCGCCGTCGAAGAGAACCTCTCCAAATCGCTGAAGACTATCGACGAGCAGCAGGAAAAGATCGACAAATTGATCCACGCGCAGCTTCTTTGCGGCTGCTCGAACGATTACAACACCGAGAACTTTCACGGAAAACGGCATCATGTTGGCGTCAATCTTCTTTTGGACTTACTTCTGGAAGGGAACAACTTTTCAAAGACCAAAAAGTCTGTTTCCACGCCAACTACGACAATGAAAACGACCACGACGAAGAAAACCTCAACAACTCGGAAAACAACAACGAGAACAACGACAACTACAACAAAACGAACTTCAACTACGAAAAGAATGACGACCACGCAGCCGATTCCCACAAATCCACCTCAAAATCTGGGCGGATTCGATATTGCAGAAGAAGTAACGACTGCCTCCACATCTGACTACGAAACTGACGACTCCGGCGAAGAAGATAATGAGGCAAAATGCATCGAAAAAGCGAACATAAACGCGTTCGTCATGTCAAAATGGAAAAACACGCAAGAAAATCTGTTTCAATTCAACGGAGATGTCATCGCGCAGCTTCCGAGTACTCTTCCTCCCTTTTCGATTTTGATGATTAAATTCGACCCGCCTCTCGTTGAAATCGAGACTTGGGATGCGGACGCGACTCCAGTCGACAGAGAAGGACAGTACTGGGCCTTTGCTCCCAAGTATCGCGACAAATACGAGACTTTCGCCGGAAAAGAGTGGAAATTCAACTTTATGGGGAAGCTGGAACAAGATGCGGAGCCGAAGAGCGCTGGATTCTTTTGCGACAAATATCCTCTTCATGGCCAATTCGGCGAGCCAGACCCAGATCAGTCGACAATCGCTGAGTTCTCCCAGCAATTCACGCGCAAAAAATACAATCCAACTATGTGTTCTGCCGCTGTTTCTGGAAAACCCCCGTCGAATCCAAGAAACACGGAGCCGAAATGGTTGGAGGCGTCTGAAGGAGAAAAGAACTTTACAAAGGGCTACGAGCTCAACGAAGTACTGACCAAGTCGATTTTGTTTTACGAAGCGCAGCGGGCGGGACCACTTGGCGATGAGAACAGAATTCCGTGGCGCGGGCATTCTACGCTCAAAGACGGATGTGGCGTCAAAGCGAATCTCGAGGGCGGCTGGTTTGACGCTGGCGATCACGTCAAATTCGCCCTTCCCGCCGCTTTTAGCGCTACTCTTCTGGCTTGGGGAATCTTGGACTATCACCCGGCCTACACTGCTGCTGGCGAGCTGGAGAATGTGGTTTACTCGATCAAGTGGAAGCTGGATTGGTTGATGGCGGCGCATCCGAGGTTTTTGAACATTTTTTTCATCGAAAATGAAGCATTCTAGCCCGAATGTTTTCTACGCGCAAGTCGGCGACGGTGATCTTGACCATTCTTACTGGGGCACGCCGGAGAACATGAAAATGAAGCGACCAGGATAGTTTTAACAATAAATATCATTTCTTATTATCAATATATAAAACCGAAAAAGTGTACAAACTGACGACGAAAAATCCCGGAACGGAGCCAACAGCAGAAGCCGCAGCAGCAATGGCGGCGGGGTCGATTATTTTCCGCGAAATCGACGCCGAGTATTCCACAGCTCTTCTCGGCCACGCGATGGAGCTTTTTGCATTCGCGGACAGATACCGAAAAGAGTACCACTACTCCATTCCCGAAGTGGCTAAGTTCTACAAAAGCTGGAGTGGATACAACGACGAGCTCTGCTGGGCAGCTGGCTGGCTCTATCGCGCGTCGGAGATCGAGTACTTTTCTGAAACTGCGAGGGGCTACTACAAGTCCTTAAAATGCAATTACGCTTCTTCATCTATCAGCTGGGACGACAAATCGCTCCTTGGTCAGTCTTTTTCCTTCCATATTATTAAAACGACTTTGTAGTGCATCTTCACATGGCTCAACTGTTTCCAGAAGACGAGTCCTACCGCAAAAACGTCGCTCGCGAAGCCGACGCGCTTATCATCAAGCACAACAAGACTCCGAAAGGCCTTCTCTTCAATCCAGAAATCTCAAAGTGGGGCTCACTGCGATACGCCTCCAACTGGGCTTACTTTCTGCTTGGCGCTGCTCGACTGGAGCCAAAACTTCCCAACCATAAAGAGTACTACGAACTGGCGATTGGTCAGCTGGGCTATGCTCTTGGCGACACTGGGCGGTCATTTGTCGTCGGTTTTGGGAAAGATCCGCCGAAGCAGCCGCATCATCGCTCTTCTTCCTGCACGCCCGGCGAGGACTGGTACCGCTTATTGCAATTTTAGGATAACAAACGTTCAGCTCATCGATGGGCAACGATGCAAGTCGACCAAATCACTTCACCCTTTATGGCGCGCTCGTTGGCGGCCCGAATGGAAACGATCAGTACGCAGATGCTCGATCAGGAAATGATTTTTAATTTTCAACTTCTTATTACTGAACATCCGTTTTTGAAGTCAGTTGAAAGACTACATCGCGAATGAAGTGGCGATCGACTACAACGCTGGCTTCCAAGGCGCCATCGCTGGCTGGAAATGCTTCGCGATGAAAGAAAAGTGCTGGAATTTTTGAAAGATTGAAAATTTCAATAAATAATTGAGCTTTTTTTTTGTTTATTTGAACTTTTGAAATATGAGTATAAATTCTTCTATTTTTATAATTTTTTGCAAAACTTTAAATTTTTAGTCATGAAATCGTGGTTAAATTCTGCCGCTCGAGAGTTTCATTGCTGCAAGATTCGATTTGGCCGAGCTCTTTGAGCGATCGAGCTTGCGATCTTCTCGGTCGTCGCGCTTGACTGTGAATTTTGAAGCCGATGAAAAAAGCGGCCAAGTTTCCGCAAATGGCAATGACGAGAAGAACGAGCGGAAAGTTGGTCACTAGAACGAGCCATCTAATTTGCTGCCCGAATTTTGTCAAGAGGCCGGGATGATCGACCGCTGAGAATGTTTGGGAGAGCCAGAAAGCTAGAAATTTTGGGTAAAAAGGGGGGATAAATGATTATTACCTGGAATGATAGTATTGTTCTTCGGCTTTCCCGGGTGGAAATTTTTGCTGACGAAAGTGTTTAATTGAAAGCGCTTTGCTGCTTCCAGAATTATCCCCGTCATTGGCTCGACTTTTATGAACGAAGAGTGTTCTTCGATAGACGGCCTGAAAAATGAATAAGAGCTTCGGCTCTGCGTTAATTCACTGACCTGACGTTGAACAGATTCTCGAGCCCTTTAGCAGCGTAGAGAAAATGAGGAAGCGAAGCAATTAGCGGCGCAGATTCGCCAAACGTCAGCTCCATGCAGCTCGACAGGTCAATCATCCCGTCTCGATTCGTCAGTCCTCTTTTCCAATAGCCCCGGTTATTTTCCTTCTTCAGCTCTTCCAGCGGTACGTTGTAGACGTCCACCTTGATTTTGCTCACTCTCGATTGCTCCGTCCTTTCAAAATACAAGCTCCGACAAAGAAGATCGACGAAAATATCGAGTCGGCTGGCATTTGCTAGTGGGGGGACCATGGGCGAGTTACTATCAGAGCCTTGAAGCGTGAAAGCATCTGGACTGAACCAGATATCAGAAAGGTCTTTTCGCCCGTTCCAAGAGGTGATTTTTCCAGTGTCTTTTACATTTTGCTTCGAGGATTTTGGCATTTGATTTGATCAAGCGATCGGCTTTCTGCATCATTTATTTTTTGAGAAAACAGGCCGGGCCATAGCCGCAAGCGGCTTTCCAGTTGAATTAACGGGCCAAATTTTGTTTATGCGAATTACCGCACTTGCGGTTTTTCGTTATCGAGTTTTAGCGCGTGTACCCGATCAACCGGATCTGTGAGAAATTCAAAATCCTTTCCTTTCCAGACTTTGCTTCAAACTCAAAACTTTTGGATTCATTTTGATTCATGAAAAAGCCGAATTCAGTCGTGTCAGTTTGCCCGTACGACTTGAGCTTCTGCAGGACGGGATCCGAGTAGCCCCAGATTACGGATGTAGGGCGCGTAGGTTCTGCATGCAGACCCCGGGTCTGCAAAATGCAGACCGCGGGTCTGCACATGAAAAAATTGTAACAGAATTTAAGATTAAACAGGCGCTTTGTTGCGCTCCGCGCCTGATGTTAGAGAAAACTTCATTTTCTAACATTTCTAAATCAAAACGGGCCAAAGGAGCCAAAATTTTGATCGTCAATGCAGACCCCGGGTCTGCATTTTGCAGACCCCGGGTCTGGCAGAACCTACGCGCCCGACATCCCAGATTACCTCTTCGATCGAGTGCTTTTGGATTAGGCTCCAATCACTTGGGATAAACGAGCGCGCCAGCCCCTTCATAAACATGTTCATCTTGGCCAGGCGCTTCTCGACGACGAGGAACGGCACGTTGATGTGATAAATCGTCTCTTTGCCAGTCACTTTGCATTTTGGGTCGTCCTTTCTTTCAGCGAATTTCTGCTTGTTGCGATAAAAGACTGAAGCACTAGTTGAATCACCAAAGGACTGATTATTGATTCAAAAAATGATCCGGGCTCATTTCTTATTTAGTAAAAAATCAAACGGAAAAGAAAGGAGAATCTGCGAGAACAAACCTGAGTCATTCTCCTCTCTTATGTCAATTTTCTTCACAAAGTTCGCGAAGCAATACGGCCCGATTTCAGCTATCGCCGGGGTCAACCCTTTTGCCACTTCTGTCGGATTGGTGATGTTCCAGATGTAAAAGTCGAAGTTGGAATGGATCTTTGCGCCCTCTGGATTTTTTGGTTCCTCCCAAATCTGCCACAAAAGTCCGTTTTCAGAAGAAAGGTAGAATATTTTGTGGATGATCCAGTTGCAGGCCAGCGTGCCGATGTCTATGCAATCAATTTACAGTCGAAGAGGACTGTCTTTCTACCTGTAATGTAGAGTAAGAAGGAAGCAACGAGGATCAACAGCGACAAACATAGCAAAATCCAGAAGCACTTGAGCATTGGCTGCTTTTCTAAATTTCAGAAATCGAAATTCTCTCCAAAAATCGGTCAACTTTTACAAAACTTGGAAGCCATTAAACTCGAAAAACATTGTCTCATGCTAAAGAAAAAAAAGGAGAAAAGGGAGAGTTGTCTCGTTCATCTCTTTGGCGACGAAAATATCGATCCCATCAAAAAGGCAAGTTTAGGTCGTTGCCGCGAAAAGAGCCTTCATTAGGCGCTAATTAAAAACGATGCAGACGTCGTCATAATTATCCGATAATTCTGCAATATGCTGGCAAAGGGGAGCGTTAACGAATTCGAGTTGAAATTACTTTACTTGCTGCTTTCATTTCATCTTCCATTATTTTCCGCAGGTCATCTCTTTTTCCGAGTCTCAAAGTAGTCAAGATAGTACTAAACGATTGGAGTACCTAGCAGCTATTTTTGTCAGGAGCTAATCCAGAAACAAAAAGGTCGAAAGAGAATTTAAATTCAAGTGTAGCTCGAGGCTGCAAATAGCATAATCTGCGACAATGATTGAAAGACGGCTTCTTCGAAATTTGAATACCTGAAAGTTTCTGCGTGTTTTTCATTTTCTCTTTTCGAAAATAACCCGGCGGAAGTTCTTTTCAGACTTTTTAAATACAAAGCTTCTGTTTAGTCGATTCCGAATCTTGTGATTTCTGCAGCAGTCTATCCGGAGCTCGAGATTAATCAAAATCGTTTTTACGCTTTTTACGAAAAGATAAGTCACATTCTTTTTTAACTCGCCTTTTGGGCCTTTTTGCAACAATTGCGTAAACTTTTACTGAAAAACGCATGACGCCTTTTTTGTTAAAAGGTGTTCAGTTTCTTTTCAGTTTTAGTTCAATTTGAGTTGGCTGATTCAGTCCAGCGATTTGCGATTTGAGTCAATCGAACTTTGAGAAAATTGAGCTGGAGAGGATTCTAGCGTCGATTTGCTTGCTTGTTGTCGTCTGGGTTGAGTCTGTCTGAGTTGAAGTTGTCTCACATCAGCGCTTTTGTCAACAATGTCAGTGTTGTCAATAAATTATTGAATCAAGGAAGCCTTCGTTGTGTATTTATGGAAATCTGCTTTTATCAATTTTGGTAAGAGATCGTGAATTCAGTTCTTGCGATTACTTTCCATTAAAAGTTAAAATTTTTAGAAGCTCAGATTTTAGAAAGCTTCTTTTGCAACTTTCGACTTTCTAAAGCTGGAATCAGTAGTCAAACCAAGAACCCAAAAATGGACAATACTTTGGCTTGACTATTCCATGCTAGAGCAACTTTATTCTTTCAGAAAAGGAGCTATCTTGACAGAATAAAACTGTTCTAGCATGGAATAGTCAACCTGAAATACTGTCTATTGCTGGCTACTTGGTTTGACTACTGATTTCAGCATTAGAAAGTCAAAAGTCGCAAAAACAGTTTCGGCTAAACTTGCTCCCCAGTAGCCACGTGGGGCAGTTCGATCCTACGTGCCGCTAAAAAGTGCCACGACGGGCGGACCGTACTGTACCGTACCACAAGCCTGTCTGCGGCTTCACTAGACCGAAAATCGAACCAGGGGATAACCAATCGAGGGGCGCGGATCGAAAGCGGCGGCGAATGGGGGCGCCGCGCGGGGGTGGCCGAGCGGCTAAATCCTCCTTCGCCGCGCTGCCCCGGCTCACTTCGACCAACGCAGCCCAGAGAAAAACTCGCCCAACGACTCTCTCGATCTCCCCATTTTAGCGACAATCCCCATCTTTGAATTAACAACGATACCCCGAAAATAGAGAAACCCCGAGAAGACTCAACGAAGCTTGTTTTGAAAACAGAAAGAAAACAACAAACAGAAAGGTAACTTTATTTTCACTCAAAATTATTGCTTTTGTATTGAATTATTAAGACTGAGTTATTTAATTCTAGATGCTTAAATCCCTCCTAGAGCAATCAAAAAAGCCTCTAGAACTCTTGATTGTCTGGATTAACGAATTTTCATTCAATTAATCTTTACTCGATGTCTTTTTTCAGAGAAATGGATCTGAACTACCGCGAATCGGACGAAGAAGTCGTCAAGATCGAGCCCAACTCTTCGATGAGCATGGACGGCCAAGACATGACATTCGGCCTCGGAACCGGCCTCGACCAGCTTCCCTTCGGAGCCATTCCCAGTCAACAAGCAGTCGCGCAGCCAGCACCCCGAACCCCAGCCAACCCTACTGGCGGCAAGAAAGTGTCTGGGCGAGTAGAACGAGCTGCCAGAATCGCGGAATTATTCGACGCTGGATCTCCTCGAGTCCGACTTGACCACTTCGTCTACAAAGGTATTTAAAAAGCGGGTGAATGCGTCTCATTTTGACGGCATTCTTGAGCCGACCGAGACATTGAAAATTAGTAAGAAGAGTAGCAAAAGTTGCGTAGATGAGTTTCATAATCGATCGGCTCAGGACTGCGCGATTCTTCCTTTTTTTGATGATGAAAATGAAAAGGTGGGGCGGGTCGGCCCGCACGCAACAGAAACCGCACTCCGCGGCTTAAAACCATTGAATTAGTTTTTCGAATTGAAATGGCTCTATTCCTGCCCCTTTTTAATGAAAAAAAAAATGTTCTGAAGCGACAAAGTAGGCAGTCGTAGGCTCGGCAACCTGTGTAAAAACTGAGTCAGGTCCTGGATCGTAAATGAAAAGCTTTTTAGAACCCTGACTCAGGTTTTCTGCACAGGTCGCCAAGCCCAGTCCGTCCGGGCTCACCCTCCCCATTATTTCGTTTTTCGATAAAATCGGTGACGAGCTTAGTTTTAAAGATAACTCAAAAGAAGTAAGCTAATGTTAAATTCAGTCGATGACAATCCGGTCTTCGACGCTGCTCGAGTCTTTCTGGACGGCGAGTGTCAAAACCTTGTCTATTGCTGTGACCCGAAATGCGCCGAAAAACCCACCTTCAAACGATTTTTTAGGCAAGGGTCACAATCATCCCGCAAAAATCAGGTTTTTAAAACCGTTTTATTTTTATGTTTCTCCTTTATTACTAACCTCGTCGTTTTATTTCGAAAAAAGACAAAAAGAACAGATGATTTCATTATTTTTATTTATCGAATTTTTTTATTCATTCAAATCACCGTGATTTTTTTAATTCAAAATTTGTGCTGGTAAACTCTTTCGCTTGTGCTGGCAAGTTTCTTTCATTTTTCGTGTTTCGAGCTTCGAAAAAGCTCCAAAAACGAAGAAGAAATTTACCAGTACAAGCAAAATCGAAGAGGAACCAGCTGAAATGCCAAAAATCGAGCTTTGAGTCCATAATCGTTGAAAAAAAGGTCCATTTTTTTGTGGCCCTTTTGACCAGTGGTCTGCGAGATAAAACACCTCACAAGGGTAATTTTCTGCGACACCACGTCAATCGCCATTCACAGTTCAAAATTCAAGCCCTGGGATTTATTCAAAAAGGATTCTAGTGATCCTTCGGCAAGTGCATTCAAACGCGGCCCGGGGAACTTGTCCTCCCAGCGATTGTACCTTCATAAGTTCACGATGCTCACGCATCATACTCGCCACCATCAAGGGTCGGGATTGTCTGCTTTTCTGGCTCTGTCCTTTTTTCACGAGTATTGTGACCCTCCCTTACTGCCCCTTCAAGCCCGGCGCTGGCTTGTATAAAAAGCGCTACTATCTCAAAAACTATCTTCTCGCGGCGCATCACAACTGTAAACATCTCAAAATTAGATCGATCTGTAACAATTTCGAGTTGGGATTAGACTCGACTTCTTCCCTTTTTGTGACCCGGATCAAGGGCGACCGATAGTTCGAAGTTGAAGCGGCATCACCAGAGAAACCATTTTTCGCAAATGGAGAAACTCTTAGGCCCGGCTTTGTTTTTCACTTTTCATGATTGTGTCCCTTCGCTAAAGGGGCCAGGAATCCATGGCTCAGACTAAATTCGAAGCTGAGCACAACATTGAGGCTCGGCGAATGTACATTCATCGAGGGAGCATGCTCCGCCATCACAACCGGCAGCACTCGCTCGACAGTCAAATTAGACTCAGTGAGATTTTTCTAGGCCTGGGATTTTGAAGTAGGATGATTTTGATCCTTTCTAGTGGCTTTTCGAGCCCTCTGGCCAAATACTTTCACAAGAGGAACATGATCGGCCACCACAATTTCAATCATCACGGGCGAGAAATACTCGGATAGGGATTGACTTGATCTTTGTTTAATTTTGTGATCCTCCAAAGTGGGTTTTGTCAAACAACGCTCAGCAAAAGTAAAAAGTTCTCTTTTAAAAAAGGGAACTTTTTAATTCACCACGACAGAAATCATTTTCGAAAAGATCAAAAGATTCTTCGTAAATTGGCAGGAACGGGTTTTTCTAGTGGGCTTGGTTTTTTGTACTTTGTGATCCTTTGAAGTGGCTACGATCAGACAAAAAAAGATGATCAGCCAGAACAAGTTCCATTGCCACAAATGGATGTTTATGAAACACCACAACAGAAACCACCTCCCGAAAATTTCAGAAACGGATTTTATGTGTTTTGTGACCCTAGATTAGAGGATATAGAGCAGACAATGTAGCGGCAATGACACTTAAAAAATCGACAATGCTCGGCCACCACCAGGCCAACCACCGATTTATATCCGGTAGAGCTACTGTGGCGAAGCCCAGACTCGTTTTGGGATTTCAGTTTTTTAGAAAGAACGTATAATTTATTGTGACCCGGAATCAGAGGATACCGAGCTGACAAAGTTTCAAAATTCATGTTTCGAAAAGCGACAATGCTTGCCCACCACGAGTCCCATCACCGACTTGTTCCCGGGAGGGGTGTTGGGCGGCCCCGTTCGAATTTCGTTTTGGGATCGCAGTTTTTGATACAATGATTTTTTGATTGAATCATATTTTTATTTGAAGCTTTATTCTTAGTTTACTTTGTGACCCAGAAGTAGAGGCTATAGAACTGACAGCAGTTCCATGTTGATCAAAAAGTCCTACATGCTCAGCCACCACAAATGCAACCACCGATCTGTGCCCGGCAGGGCCACTGTGGCGAAAAGATTTGTTGTTTCGGGATTTCAGATCTTCGTATTCATTTCTTTTGAGTACTCGTTATCAATGAACTCTTCCAAGTTCAAATTGTGACCCAGAATTAGACCATATAGAACGCGCGGTAATAGACTGAAGCTCAGCAGGTGGGACATGGTCGGCCACCATGAGCGGAATCACTCGGAACACGCCGGACTCTCGAAAAAGCAAATCTTGATATGGGATTTCAGATTTCATATTCTTTTCTTTTTGTGACCCAAATTAGAGGATACAGAACTAACAACATAAAAATGATGCTCAAAAAGTCGAAAATGATCAGCCATCATCAATGTAATCACGGATCTGTCTACGGATCTCGCTGGACTGTCGAGAAAACGGATTTACTCCCGTGTAACAATTTTAGGGTAGGGTGGGTTGCGTCATTTCAGCGCTGCGCTCCCGGTACAATACCTACCACACCGCCCGCAGCAAGCGCCTTTCTCAAAAAGCGCCATCTCTATTGGATTTTACGCTCGCTGCGGGCAGTGTGGTAGGTATTGTACCGGGAGCGCAGCGCTGAAATGACGCAACCCACCCTACCCTAAAATTGTTACAAGGGAGTAGTTTTGGGATTGTTAAACCTTTTGAGCTTGTTTTCTGTGACTCTTAGAAAAGCGGACTTCAGAAAGAAATGTCTTACTTTCACAAAACTAAGATGATGGCCCATCATCGAAATCAGCACAAAGATAAAGTATCGGATTTCAAAATTTCTTGATCATCTTTTTCGTTGAGTATTTTTCTCATTATTTTGTGACTCTTTCAAAAGTGGATATCAAAAAGGACGGAAAAAAGGCAGCGTATATTTTCATAGATTCACGATGATGCGGCATCATAACAATTGCCACGACAATAATAGTGGACTTAACTGGCTGGGAAAAAAACTCGTCGCGTCAGAAGTTTGGGATTAGGAACTTTGAATTATTTTCATGTGAAATACATTTGAGCGTTTCTTTTTTGTGACTCTTGGAAAAGCGGATACGAGTCAAAGAAAAATATCTTATATCTCCACAAAATTGGTTTTACTGGACATCATAAATACCACCACAAGAAAGATAAATCGATTAAATCAGTTATGGGTTCGAATATTTTAAATGTTTTCTTTCCATGATAAATTTTTGAATTATCATCAGAATCATTATTTTTCCGGGAGTTTTTTAAAATGAATTTGTGACTCAATCAAAGCGGATATCAGAAAAGGCCAGACCATTCGCAATTTTACATTCACAAATATCGAATGCTTCTGCATCACAAAAACCACACCAAGAATCAATCGGCGCCGACAGTTTCGGATTTTACTTGATAAATTTTTTTTTCAATAAGAAAACTCATTTTTGTGACTCTTGAAAAAGCGGTTATCGAGGCATGGAAAACGGCGTTTTCAAATTTTTGCTGCACAAAAAAACAATGCTTCGGCATCATAAAATTAACCACGATTATTTTTATTCGCCACCAGTGAGGGATTAGAGACGAGTGACCCTTTCGTAGCGGCTGTTCGATCGACCTTCGATCGAAATCGTCGAAAATTTTCATCCACAAGCAGAAAATGCTTGGCCACCACAAGAACAATCACACTTTCAAAAAAACAGGGGATCGCTTGGGTTGACCAACGAGGGATTGGTCGCAGAGAATATTTGTTTAAAAGTTTTAAATTGAGTAGAAGTCAGTATCAATCCTTTTCTGACTTGATTTGTGACTCTATTGAAGTGGATATCAGAAAAAGATTCTTCGATCGAAATCATCGAAAATTATCATCCACAAACAGAAAATGATTTGCCACCATAAAAATCATCATACGCCGAAGAACTATCAAAGTAGTTTTCTTGCCCAAGAAGGGAATCGGGCGTAACATGATCAGTTGTCTTTCTCTTACCCTAGAATCAATGATAATTTATAAATCAACTCATACGTGACCCTTGACCTAAGAGGGGCTCGATATATCAAGCCCGCGAAGGATAAAATGATGCGCCACCATGAAAACAATCATTTAAATTACAGTGATAGATTTCCATTTGCAGGAAGGGATGAATTTTCTTGTGACCTTCTTCAGTGGCTATCGAACGGACTGTAAATCGCTTAGTTTGAATCGTTATGCTATGCTTGCTCATAACAGCAGAAATCATAAGATTTCGACAAAACAAGTGCGGATTTTATGAAGAATTTTTAAAAAATTATATAATATATTGTGATCCGATAAGGGGCTATGACCCAACAACCGCTTGCGGAATGAAAAAACATAATATGATGGGCCACCACAATCGTAATCACGGTAGAAAAATGGTTGAATTGAACATTGATTTCAAAGCAAAGGGATTTTTATAGAATCTCATCATCTTTTCGTGATATATTGTGACTCTTGAAAGCGCGGTAGATACGAGTAGGCGTGGAACACCTGGTAGAAATCCTTATGTTCAAAAGCAGAAAATGTTGCTTCATCATAAGCACAAGCACGAAAGCATAAATGCTAATTGGAGAGTTCAAGTTCGGGATTATTTTTGTGACTCTTATAGAGGAATTTACTACAAAGCAATTCATAAGTGTTCGATGATGCAGCATCACAGAAATAACCATTTGAAAATAAATGGCTGCTGCCATTCAGGCTTTCGGGTTTTATAGCTTTTCAATTTTTTTCTGTGGTCTTTTTGTGACTCTTTCCAGAGGAATAGACAACAACAGAACACTCACAATTCACAAGAGTTCGATGCTAAAGCATCACAGATGGAATCACGTGAAAGTTAACTCAGGCTTTTGGGGTTTTAAGATTTTCAAGAGGAGATTTTTTGTGGTGTTTTTGTGACTCTTGCTAGAGGAATCTTCGGCAGCGCGAAATTTACACTCAAGAAAAGTGCGATGCTACAGCATCACAGATGCAATCACGCGAAACTTAATTCAGGCTTTTTGGGGTTTAGGATTTTCCAAAGAAAGCGGTTTTCATCGAAGACAATCATTTTGGGTTTCATACCAGGTAGTTTTCCAAAGTGAAAGATTTTTTCTGTGGTCTTTTTGTGACTCTTTCAAGAGGAATTTGCAACAACAAAACTCTCTCAATTCACAAGAGTACGATGCTAAAGCATCACCGATGTAATCATGTGAAAGTAACTTCAGGCTTTTGGGGTTTATGATTTCTCGGAGTGGGCAATTTTTTCTGTGGTGTATTGCGACCCTTGCTAGAGGAATATTCAATCGTTCAATTCACAAATTTTCGATGATGCAGCATCACAATAATAATCATCACGGGAGAAATAAATCAGGTTTTCGGGTTTTAGGATTTTTTGAAATCTTTTTTTTATGATGTGACCCAGTACAGTCCCTACATTAGATCTTCGATTCACAAGGCAACAATGCTGAGGCATCATAAAGCTAATCATTCCTCCCAAAAAGCAGCGAGAGCTCAAACAGGAAAGCGGGATATTGTGATCTTTGGTAGAGGCTTCCAGCGTGGTTCCAGGGGAATCAATTCGATTCATAAATGCACTATGTTGAAGCATCATGGTTACAACCATGCGACAACAAAATCAGGCCTTTTGGGTTTAGCTATTTCTTCTGAATTCGGGATATTGTGATCTTTGACAGTGGTTTTCAGCGTTCCAGCCATAAGAGGAAAACTTACATTCACAAGCAGACGATGCTCAGTCATCATGACCGTGAGCACGGGAAAGCTTTGGAGAAAACACTTTTTAACTGAAATCATGATTTTCGTGACCCTTTTAAGTGGATTGACTAAGAGACGAGAGCATGAGCCTTTAGGTCCTCATCGAAAGTCGATGCTTAGACATTCTGACACTCATCACGGTACTAATTTTCAACGTAAAGGCGAGGATTTTTTGAAAATGACGAGACTTTTCGGCCCAATTTTAATAGACGGGATTCTTCGAGACTGAAATGATTGTGACCCAAATTTTTAGTGGAATGGAGCGCAGAAGAGCTTTCAATACTTTGAAGCCTCAACGCTCAAAGTTCTATCAGCACTCGGATAATAATCATGGCACTTATTATCGGTTCTTACGGGGCGTAGGAACGGGATTTAACTATTGTGACTCTTTTCAAAGCGGAATGAGGCCAAAAGGGCAATATAAAGCTGATAAAAGTAACATGGAAGTTCACAAGCGTAATTTCAATTCGCACTCGGACCATAACCACGGAACGAATATTGTTCAGTCCGAAATGTTTGCTAGATTAGAGCGGGATATGAAGAATTAATCTTTCCTTCTTATTGTGGCCCTTTTTCAAAGTGGAATGAGACCCAATGGCACTACAATTCATACATCCGCTATGAGACAGCATCATAAGTGGAATCATTTTTCGAAATTGGAAAAAGGCTTTTGGGCTTTTATAATGAGATATTTTTGTGTACCCTTTCGAAAGCGGAATGAGACCGAGCGGAAAAGATATTCACAAGCACAACTTCAATTCGCACCATTTTCATAACCATGGAACGAATATGATGAAGTCCAAAGTATCCGGCAAATTAGAGCGGGATAGAATCTCAGTCTTGAAAAACACCATTTTCTTACTCATATCATCTCATATTCATATCATCACTGTCTCCTGATTTCGATAAATCTCGATTGTGACCCCAACTAGTGGCTACGCGGGTGGTTATGAAAACCTTCATAACAAGAAACTGAATTTCCACAAAAGAACTATGGTCACCCATCACAGGAATAATCATAAATCAGCCGGGGATTGTATTTGTGAAATTTTTGCGAGATGTTTTGTGACTCTGAAAGTCAATCTGCTTGCCGATTTATCCATAAGGGGAGCTTGAATCGACACCACAAAACTCATCATTTGTCGAAAGAATGGGAATTTAGACTTGATTGTGACCCATTTGATAGTGGCATTTCTAAAAAAGAGATTTGCCTCAAGAAACAAATCTCGATTGAAAGTGAGAAAAAATATGGCTATTACATCCACAATAAATCTTTTGTTGGACATCATACCATCCATCATTTGCCAAAAAAAGAATAAAGTCGGGGTTGATTTTTCATTTTTTTTTATTTCGAGGTTGATTGTGATCCATTGTTAGCGGACTGCATTTCAGAAACAGAGCAATTTACAACAACAAAAAACAATTTTTGCAGCATCACAAAAAACACGGCCATTTTGAAAAAGGGATTGAAAGTAATTGTGACCTTGTAAAGTGGCGTGGACGTAAGAACAAAATCTAAAATAACCAAAAAACTTCACATGTCTTCGCATCACATCGCTCATCATTCGCAAAATACAAGGAAAAAAGCAAAGGGATGAATTTTCAATTCATTGTGATCCTCTAAAGTTCCCCGTCGACTCAAAAACTAGACTTGCATCACTACCGCCAGCATATGAAAAAAGTAATGACCAGAGCTCAGATGGGCGAGCTTCTCGGCCCGCGTCTGAAAGCTTTGATTCGCGAAGGGAAGGGGGATGAAATTGTATTTTGTTAAACGATTGTGGCCCTTTCTAGCGCTATTGATGTTCGATGTAAGAATCCAGCGATAAATGCGAAGCATACGCTCTCCCATCATGTCGCTAGTCACCTGAATATTCAAAAAATTGGAAAAGCCAACACGGCAATTTTGCTAGAAATTGTTCGAGCCTCTGAAGCGTATCAAGAGTTGGGATGGCTTTTTTCGCTATCTCTTGTTTTTTTAATTGCGGATTTGATTTTTAAAATTGTGATCCTTTGTCTAGTGGAGTTGATGTAAGAAAGAAAAACCCAATAATCCATCACCATAGTTTCCTCTGCCATCACCTGATAAATCACCGTCGAGTTTATATCGCAAGAGGTACTAATGTCGAAACTTTGCGTTTTATGTTGCAAGGGAGGGATTATTTTTGGATTGGTTGTGACCTTGAATAAGTGGCTATCGCACTGGGTGCTCAACCTTATCTTTGCACAGAGGACTAATGTTGCAGCATCATCGAAACAACCATAAAGGAACGCGGATGAAAGATTTTTATTGTGACCCTCAATCAGTGGTCATCGCACGAGTACAAATAAGATAGTTTTAGATTCAAGAGCTTTGTTTCGCCACCATCATGCTAACCACGTCGATAAAAATCAGCGTCCCAACTATCGAAAAGAATGGATATCAGTCATTAAAATTGCTAGTTAATTTTTGTAAAAGGTCCCTTTCAGCGGGTACAGATTGTGATTCTCATTCAGTGGTTATCGGGCGAATGCTCAGAACCAGTTGGTTCTGTATTCATGGATTCTAGGTCGACACCATAGTACTCACCACATTGAAAAAGAAAAACAGTGCTCTAGCTGCAAAAAAGAATGGATATCAGTCAATCTTATTCCAAGTCCCGGTGATTGTGACTCTTTGTAAGCGGGTATCAACATCGAAAGCATTCGACCGAAAACTTTCGATTGCATAAAAGCCATTTTATGTCGCATCATGACAGTAACCATTCTTCTGAAAGGGATCGAAATATTTATTTGAAATTTCGAAGCGTTGAAGGTTTATTTTGATTGTGGCCCTTTCAAAGCACGAATAATTACGACAATGCTTCGATGCTCCGCCATCACTTTTCTCGTCACGTGCACTCAAGTTTCCTAAAGTTTCCTTCGAAGAATTATAGCGTTAACGAGCTAAAGAGCTTCGTCTTAGCTTGGGATTAGATTATAGCAATTGCGGGTGATTGGGACCCTTTTCGAGCGGTTACAATTCGAAAGCGTCGAAGCCTGTTTTCTTCTTCCATAAAAATTACTTTATGAAACATCACAAAAACAACCATTTTATGGAATGGGACTATTTTTGGTCTGTTTATTACATTTGCGTTGATTGTGACTCTCCGAAGCGGGATGAAGTTGACTGCGAAGCCTAATGGCCGAGGCAACTTCGTGTATCTCCATCATGGCCAAATGATTTACCATCACCTTTCGCATCACGGGGTTCCAGAGAATCTCGAGAAGCCGCTTTACAAATGTAACATGAATGACTTCAAGTCAATTTTAGAAGGGATTGAATTTAATTGAACTAATGAGATTGTAATTACGGATGACTTGACATTAAGTGAAATTGTGACTCTTAAAAAGTGGCATAAGGGCGAACGGGATGCTAAATAACTTCAATATGCCCCGACACCACTCAAATAACCACACTAATGCTTCTGAAAGAAAAGGCGGGATTTAAATCAGCCACTCTGCCTTACTTACGATTTACTTACGATTGTGGCCCTGTTTTAAGAGCGTACGATTCTAGGAGCACAAATCGAATGGTCGAGGGCATTATCTTTAGATTCCACAAAGGCCATATGATGAGGCATCATAACTGTAACCATCTTTCTGATCCCTCAGGTGGGGATCGAATTCATAATGGGAGTTGATTGTGACCAAGCTAAAGTGGACTTTCGGAAAAGGGAGCTCCTTTCAGTAATGATATGCTTAGGCACCATTTCTGCAAGCACGAGTTCCTTCCTTTTGCCAAAAAGTTCAAAGTCGAAGAATTGAAAAGGCGTTTACCAGGTTCGGACTTTCAAAAATTTGAGCAATAAGGATTAGATACTTTTTGGGATGTATATCACACGCAGAGTTTAGTTCGGTAAATTGTGACCCTTTGAGCGCTGGGAGGCCAGGAAGAAAGCCAGATGTGGCGATTCAGAGGCGGCATCACCAGCGAAATCATTTGCAGCATGCCTGCATACTTTGCAAATGATCGGATTCCTGAAAATAGTCATCGGTTTAAGTAGATCATTTTCCAAGAGGAGCATCGATCAAAAAATAACTCGAAGACAATATCACAGAGGCCATTTTATAAAAATACTTGGGTATATTGTGACCCTTTTAGCGCGGTAAGGCAAGCGAGAAAGCCAGATGTGTCGCTTCTGAAGCGGCATCACCAGGCACATCATTTGCAGAATAACTGCGTTCAATGGAAATGATCGGATTCTTGACATAATTTTTCGTTATTTTTTGCGGATGATTGGGATCATTTTCCAAGAGGAGCGACGATCAACATTAATAACTCGAGAATGATAAGACATCATCACAGAAATCACTTCATCAAGACTTACTTAGAATGGGATAGCCAAAGGCCCCACTTTCGGGACTGATTGTGACCATTTTTAGGGGAGCTACTATTCGAAATTTAACGTACACTAGGATGACAAGGCATCATCATCGAAACCACTGTCCACATGGTACTCCTAACTGTTGTCCCGTCAATACGTTAGTTTGGGTTCTTGATCGTCTTCGATTTCTTGTCTCTGATTTCCCTCCTTCGTTTGGTTCAGTTCGATTGATTATTTTTGCTCTTACCAAAAATTTATCTTTTTTTAAAGTCTCAAATACCGAAATCGAATACCAACCAATATTTTAAAGGGTTCAATTAGATAAAATATTAAAAAGTCCACTGTCAAATCCCATACCAAAGCCAGTCAAGCCAAGAATGCTCAGCAGCAACAACAGCAATTGGCCTCACTACAGGCCGCCCAAGCGGCTCAAAATCTTCCAATGCCTGGCGTCACTGGAATGCCTGGCACTTCTGGACTGAACATTCTCCCTCAGCAAGTGCTGCCAAAACCACCAAAGCAGCCGAAACAGAAGAAGTCGCCAGCTGGCGGAGTAAAGGCAGCACAGATGCAAGAGTTTGTCGCGATCTGCTCGGATATCATGACGAAAGTGTCCAAACACGAGCTTCCCGGCGACTTTTGGACTTCCGAGGAAATGTTCGAGTTCGTCTACGGCCTTGTCGAGCGACAACAGCGCGGAGAACCAGTCACTCAAATCACCATCGAAGAAGCGCTCGAGTAAGTCTTTTCCTCATCGAACTCTTTTATCAATTTTATTAGTAAACTGAAGACACGCCACGAGTTCAAAGAGCAGAACATTCTCGCCATCGAAGACGGAATGGCGCCTCCGACCAAGAAAATGAAAGTGGCAAACGACGAAGACGTCCGCACCATCGTCCAAATCTGGGAAAGCCAGCCAATGCGGATTTCGCTCGAAGACCATATCTTCCCAAGTAAGACTCTTCAATTTTTGAGCAACACTTTCTATCCTTCAATTTAGTTGACGACTACAGCCAGTTCTCTATCTCCCGAGTTCGATTGGACGGCGAATGTCTTGGCTTGATGCGATGCAATCATCCTCTCTGCGCCGAAAAGCCACTAGCCGACCGACTTCACAAGTAAGCTTGGATGATCTTGTCATCTGTTCATAATGAAATTTAGGATTTGGTTCTCCTCGCGCACCGGGCAGCCACACAAGTACTCGGTCCGTCGCCACCACGAGCAGTGCCACTTCGGAAAGATGCTCTCTCGATCTCAAATCATCGACGCTGCTGCCCTTGTGATTTCCGACTCGCAGCTTCCACTCGATAGCTGGTCCAAGCCATCATTCAAGCACTTCATCTCCAGCTGCGGCCAGTCGACCACTTTCAACAAGAACACGATCTCCGTCGAGGAAATCGTCGCTGCGATGCGAAAAGCGAATCGACCTCTTTCCGAATCTCATCGAATTGAGCTGATCAACGCTGGAAAAGCGATTCTCATCTACGAAACGGATCCAAACCGGGCTGAAGTGAAACCAGAGCCAATCGAGAAGCCGGAAGAAAATGACGGCATTCAAATTGAAGAAATTGAAGGCGGAATCGATGATTCCATGGGAGAAGGTAAATTCTAGCTCCATTTATGCTCGCTAACGTTGCTTTTTAGACATGCCCTTGTCCGATTTGCTTAACCAGCCACCGAAACCGCCTGCTCAGCTTTCGCTAGCCGCAGTAACTTCTGCATCTGGCGATGGCGGAGGAACTGCCACACCATCTGCGGCGTCAGGCGGGATGCCAACTGGTGCCACGGGCACCTCCAACGCTGCAAAGGCTCCACTTCCTCCCGGGAGCGCCGCGGCGGATGTTGTAGCTGCTGCGAAAGCTGGTAACGCTTCTGCTTCTGGTGGTGCAACTGGGGATCCTCCCGGCGCCGAAAGTGACGACGACGACCTCGAAGACGAGGATGAAGAGATGGAGGACGAGTCCGACATCCCGATAGACCAGGAGATCGTCAAATATCCTGGGAAGTGCACGGACCTCTATGCGGTGTACGAACGCTGGGCGCCGATTCTGTCCACAGAAGCGAAAGAAAAGCTCGTGGCGGACTTTTCTCTGAACGATCCTCTGTACCAGAAGCCAGAGGACATCGAAGACCCGGAACTGCGACTGACGATTCGAGACGAATGGGTGACTGTCTTCCCTGCCTGGCTGGCCAACTTCAAGCCCATGAATGCGAAGGACGACGGCTTCCAGCGGATACCACTTTCGGACATTCTGGCGATGCGGCGAATGTACAGAACTGAACTTCAAGCCCGCCGCGCTGTCCCTGCGAAATAGAAGCAGCTTTTTCAATTTAAATTATTCTACATGTAAACACATCCATTCGGATTTCACACTGCCTTTATCCTGCTTGCAGTTATCTTCTGCCGCCGCTGTATCACAAATTAAAAAACTCGAAACTCAGAAAAAATACAAAATTGAAAAAGAAATCAACCGATGACTCGTTCTCTTTTAATCGCCACTTGAAGCAGTTCATTGAAATCAATTTATTCGGTAAGAAGGTAAATGTAAATCTCAGCATTGTCTCGTTTAACTCGGAATTCACTCTGCATCGGTTCGAATATTTCATCAGGCCAGTCTGGATTTTCTGATGATTCTATGAGCTCGTCGATTTGCGCGATCTGAGTAAAAATAGTGAACAAAGCGTACTTCAAATAATCACCGTTTTGAGCGAGGTCTTGTCAAGAAACGCCATCAGAAACCATTTTCCACTGTCCTTGCAATAAATCGGGCTTCCGAATTCTTCAAAGGTTGGAATAAAGCCAACGCCTTCTCTCGGTGGGTTCCGCGGATTCACTCGCAAAATCGGTCGTCGTTCCGCCTCGTCTCGATCTTGGAAACGGACGTTGATCTTCGCGAAGAAACTGTTTTTCGGATGATCTTAATTTTTCGCAATTGATTGAATGGTCAGTCGACTCACTGAGAAAGTAGTGCTCGTATCTATACGATCCAAACAGCACACAGTCTTCGTTTGCTTCCTGCATTACCTTCTTGTTGTACATTGTCAAGTCCGCGATGGGAGTTATTCTAAAACAGTGTTCCTCTACGATTTCAATTGAACTTACGATGCAGGACGTTCGAATTCTTCGACGGTTTCGAGAAACATGTGTGTTTCCATTTTCTTGGTCGACTTCACTTTTACGAATTTTCCATGAATTGGCCCAGTTCCTCCGTAAAAAATGTAGATTTCCCCGTCGGCGACCATCTACAGAGTATAGTTTTATTTTCGCAACAATCCTTCACCTGCTTGAATTTGTCTTCGATATCTTTTGGACTTGAATTGTGGTTGAGGTTGTCGTCTTTTGGAAAGAAACCGGGCATATAGTGGAACATGTGGTAATCGCATTCAAGCACTAGAAAAAACAGCCTAAATGGACTTAAATGTTGACAGTATCTTACAAGTGGCGAAATCAGTCTTATCAATGAGAGCTCCCGCGCAACCAAATCTGATGCCCTCGTCGATCCTCGCAATTCTAGCGTAGTTGTTCAGCATTTTCTTCTCTTCGTCTCCACGCCACGGGAAAGAGTTCTTTTCCATTTCATCGCGATCGGTTAATCTTTCGTTCGTGTACTCTCTCTTTTGTACCTCGGCCACCAAGAAGTCAGAGCAAAGCAGCTGGAGAAAAGAAATAAAATTAAGTTTTTCATGAAAATGGCAAATTATGACTAGTTTAGAAAGAAAATGAAGATGTTTAGCTTTTTCGTACAAAAAGCGCAAAAGATATCAGATGCTCTAGAAATCATCGCGTTTGAAAACGGAGATTTGAGAAAATCAGCCGATGACTCGTATATTTTTCAAACTCGCCACTTGAAGCAGGTCAATGACAAAAGCAATATCCGCAACATTCAAAAAGCCGAACTATCATGTTGAAAATTCTTGTTGCACTTTTATTATTAAAAGAATCAGAGCAGCGAAAATGCAAAAGCATTTCAAGAAGATATTTTTACAGAAAAAAAGCTTTGAAATCAACGAGGAGTCAGAATCAGCAGATAGATTTAACGGAAAACGACCAGTTCTTGTTCTTGACAGAGTCCAGATGGGGACGAGAAGTTCTTTTCGACAGTCAGGATAAATGCGCGACAAGTTCTTATGGAATCGGAACGCGTTTATTTTTGAGAAAGCGGTGCAATGCTCATTTTTGCTCGATTTACCACGGACTCAAAGGCGACAACTTTCTTTCTCCGACGATTTTTCTCACTTCACAGAATCGAGTCCACATTCAAATTACTGCCAAATCGGCAGTTAATTACGCAGTCGAGGTTTTTTAATTTTCTCAAATGCACTTTTCAGACCTTTTTAGAGCCAAAGAAGCGTTCCTCTCAGAACTTGGTGCGTTTTATCAGTCAACTTTTACAAAAAATCAATAGAAGTCAATATCGCGGGTTCAATCGAAAGATTCGAGCTCAAGGATGAAGTGAAATTTGACGACTCGAAAGGACGGTTCTTCTTTGGAGGAAGCTCAGCGAATATTGGAGCGTCGGTCATTTTTTCGAAGGCAGTAATTCGCAGAGATAGGTCTGTAAACAAAGAAGAACTCAGCGAAAACCCCGGAGAACTTATCTTCAGCAATGGAGTAATGAGAGCTGAGGAGAAACGAAGAGTGTTGAATCGCTTGGTCGCGCATTCAAAGTCGAAATATCCTTCCAAAGACACGTGTCCCACAATATTCAAAAAAGCGAACAAAGGAGTTTCTCCGAAAGAGTTTCAAAGTCCAGTCGTTCGAAGAGTCGTTATGAAATGCTGGAACTTTGGAAAAATCATGGACAGAATTAACTGCCTCAATCGCGAATTGGAGAACAATTTTATGAAGCGACTTGAACAGACGCGCTTTGAATCGTTAAATCAAAATCGGAGAAGAATGAAGAGTCTTTTCCAGTCGTTCGATGGTCTTCAATGCGATGGAACGCTTCTCACCATCTTTCTCAAAAGCATCGATTCTAAGAATTACCTCTTTCCTTATCTCATGCTCGCTGCGGATAAAAACTGCGCCCTGGCACTTCTAGTTCTCGCGAAAATCCACGAAAGTTCCGGCGATCTACTTACGGCGGCGATGTACTACAGCTACGCAGCGCAGAAAGCTTTCGAAAGAAGACGAGACCATCCCGAGCAAATGGTCTTCGTCGACGAAATTCGACTAAACGATGAAAAGGCGCTGGATCTTTTCGAAGGCGAGTCCGGCGGCGTCTACAACTGGTTGCTGGATCAAGCCACGAAAGGCGTCCAGAGCGCGCAAAATCACCTGGCGAGCGTCATCTACCACGGAAAAACTGGCGTCAAAAAGAATCTTTCCAAGGCTTTCAAGTTCTTCCAACAGGCGGCAAAATCGGAAACGACGGATCCAGACGCGACTTACAACCTTGGATTAATGAAGATGAAAGGTCAAGGTTCTGGAAGAGACATCGAAGGAGCGGTCGAGGACTTTCAAAAAGTGGTGGAGAGCAGTGCTCATGCTCCATCTCTGAATGCTCTGGGACACTACCATTTGCAGGAAGAAAAGAACGCGGAAAAAGCAAAAGAGTATTTCGAAAAAGCGGCGGAACTGGGCGACCCTGACGCGATGCACAACCTTGCGATCATAAACAAGCAGAATCTCATTCCCAATCAGCCGAGAGACGATGTCTACTGCTTCGGCCAATTTTATCGCGCCGCTCAACGAGGCCACATTGAATCCGCTTATCAGCTGGTGCTCTTTTATTCCGACGGAATTCCAGGAAGTTTACCGGTTGTTCATAAAGACGCGGTTGTTTGGGCCAAGTTTGTTTTATCTGGAACCTCGGTGGAATTGCGCCAGACACTTCAGAATGGTTTGAAATTCGCGAAAAAGCAGCCAGGAGCGAGATAAAGATAGAATTGACATATTAATTAACCTTTATGAATACGGCTTAAGATCTTGCTCAAGCACTTTCTTTCTGCTTTTACGGTTTGAGCGCGATCGCTTCTTCTGATTTGGGAGCTTTCAATGCTGCCTTCTTGATTAGCGAAAAATTCAACAAAGAAGCAGATTTGGACTTGAGATTTTTAAAACTAGCGGTCGAAAACACAACGTATTTGCCCTACCGTCAAGCTCAAACACTTCTCGGAGAACGACTGGGTCCGGAAGAAGGAGAACGGCATCTCGTAGCGGCGGCAAAAGGAATGTGCCCTCGAGCAATGTTCAGTCTCGCTTCGGGCACGCGGGAATTATCGTAAGTTTTTTGAGACGCATTTATCTTGAAGCAATTTGAAATTGAAAGGAATTCGAGTCTGAGCGAGCTTGGACTGCTCAAGTTCAAAGACGACTACCGACGAGTTCTTTTGAAGCGCTGCGCCAGGGTATGAAAAGGGGTTGAAATGATGGCTAATGGATTTAGTGGGGAAATGAAGAATCGATACCTTGTCAAATCTATCTACTGAAGTTTTACCTGCGAGACTACGGTCCACTTGCGATGAAAGTTTCCGGAGCAGCGATGACTGTTTTGTTTGTTCTTTCTTTAGTTGTTCGGTATTTCTGAGACAGAAAAAATCGATCGAATAATAAACTCTCAGAAGCACAAGAGTTTTCTCTCTATTCAGCGAATAATTTTGTCGGACAGACCTGAAACATCCGCACTTGACAATTGAAAGAACAGTTTATCGGCGAACAACTTAAATTTGTTCTGAGAAATGATGAACCATGGAATTGTAAATATTTGCGGATGGAGCGCGAATTCGGCTTTGACTTTTTTTCGCAATTGAAAAATAGAAAATGGAAATAATTTGCGCCGGTTTTCCGAAAACTTCGTCGAAGAGCAGTTCTTCTTGTCTCCGGTAATTTGAAAAAAAGGATGAAGAATGGTCAATATTTAAGGATATACCCGATAAAATTGAACTTTCTTAGCGCCTTAATACAAAGTCGGATCATTATTATTTCAAAAGCAGTCCTACCTAAAATTGTGCGTTAAATTCAATTCTGGTACTTTTTTGAAAATTTTCATTAGAATTTTTCTCTCTATAGCGATTTGAAAACGAACTCTCTCGATTTCTCGAAATTTGTCCATTGAATCGCTAAAACTGAACCATGTTCTGTATTAAAATAATGCTGAGCTACAAAATTGATGGAAAAAAATTCTTAAACTCGATCGAATTTTCATTCTGATGTTTTCCTCTTTCATACGCCTGTTTTTCTTCTCTGCGCGTTTTCTCGCGTGCTACCAATCAGAGCGGTGCGCTCAACCACGCATTTTCTCTCAGAAAAGAGGAGTCGAGTGAGTGAGCGCCCAGCGCGCCGCCCTGTAGAACTTTTACGCGCTGAGTAGCCCTCAATGAAATGGCTCTAGAATCGGTTGTAAGAGGGATAAAGGAAAGGTAAGCCATCAATATTGTAGATAAGGGTCCAAAGAACTTATCTATCGAAAAATCTCGACCGATTTAGTCTAAAAATTTCGAGTAATCGAGAGAGTAAGATTTGAAATCGCTCTAAAGAGAAAATTTCAACTGAGAAAATATGAAAAAGTACCAGATTTGAGTTCTACTTGCTTTTTTAGGTAGAATTGCTTTTGAAATAAAAATGATCCTACGTCGCATTTCGGCGCTATAAATGTTCAATTCTATCGGGTATATCCTTAATTTCAGGACGCTTGGTTTCAAAGTAGCGGATTATGTCGAAACTACCGAGTTCTTATCTGACGTCTGGGTCGATTACTTGGAAGGAAGATGCCCGATCCGGAGGGTGATAGAAGAATACAAAAAGCACGGCTTTCAAGGTAGATTTTTCAAGAAAAAAGAGGTGCTATCAGAAATTTAGCAAATCAAGATATCTACTGCGAACGTTCGTAAATTGCGAACGCCGTTCGCAAAATAGCCTTTGCGAACGAGGCCGCCCGCCACCCGGTCTGTCGGTATCGAGTATTGAATCCTAATAAAACAATCTCGGAGATACACGAAAGAATTTCCCAATCCATTTATTTATTGTTACGTCAATCATATCCTGCATTGAAGCAAATGTTTGTCCAGCAGATCTCATGATACGCACGCGCTTGTTTGTTCGAAAAATGACCAGTCGGCTGGGATCTCACATGCATCTCGTTCAGTCACGATAGAACTATCGAACATCTCATGCTTCTCATCGGTAATAAACGGAGACTCAGGTTATCAATGAACTCATGCAATTTTCATGCAATTGATGCAATTTCCAATTCTAAGTGGGCCTTAGGCGATGTCATTCTTGAATACTTAGAATTCTATTTTATTTTATACAAGAATTTATATGTCTTTCGCCAAAAGACGCTCAATAAAGTATTCTATTGACGATTTAAAGCTGTAATTCGAAATATTTATTAATAAAAATCAATACCTATTTCTATGATGGTAATTCTATGAAATTCCGCTTATTCTTGAGGTTTTTGTAGAGTAATGTCAACTTTATTAGAGTTGAAATTGGCAAAAAGCAGTTTTTATTCTTTATTCAAAAAGCGCCATCTGGCGAGCGCTTGTAACATTTTCTGGACTAGTCGACGAAGAATGAAAAGAGTGAAATCAATGGAGGGCGCAGCGCGATTGGCCGGGACGGTGGGTGCGCGGGCGTGGCGCAGACTTGCGAAACAACAAGCTCATCGCTTTTCGACGCGAATTTCCACTTTTCTCTTCATTTTCGTCCCGAAATGGACTAGAATCGAGCCGCGCGAAAAATCTAGGAGACAAATTTTTCGCGAAAAAAAGAAAAAAGAAGAACTTTTCTTCCGTTTTTTTATAAAAAAAGGTTCCATGATTACTACGTGATTTATGGCTCAACAGGAGAGGCTCATACTATTCTGAATAAAATACAGAGATTTTGAAAGAAGATTTATTGGCTGAAGAAATTTTTGGGAAAGAAGACATAGAGAAAAATAGATTTGTGGTCCAATTTTGGTTTTCCTTTTGACGTGAAAATGGGTGTTTTTGATAGATTGACTGTTAGAATAGGGATTTTCTGTTTAGTTTATAAAGAATCTACTTAGTCTACTAATTAAGTTTATTTGAAAGAAGAAAATAGCGATTTCGGAAATTTTAAGTAATAGCTAGGGAAACTCGATGAAAAATGAGCTTTTTTCTGGGATCAGTAGAGAGGGAGTATAATACAGTTTTAGAAAGCCCAGAAGCTGAGGATCATTTTGACTATTTACAGTGTGGGGTTTGGGTCATGTCCTGGGGCGTTTTTGGGCGTCTAAAGTCCGGAAAATGGGGGTAGTTCCAGAAAAGGGATTAAAAAAGTACCGGTAGTCCATCCTAAGAACGAGCGGCTTGGCTAAGTTGTAGAGGAGGCTCCGGCGATTCAGAATCTGTATAGAAACCTATTGGGACCCCCACATTCTAGAGGCGCTAGAGGCTCTAGAAGTTGAGGAAGTTACCTCAAAATCGGTACTTTTTTACGATAAATTGCGCTAAGGGTTATATTTTTATCCGAAATAGTCCTCAAAACGTTCCAATCAATTTTCGGATGTCAAAAATATCGTTTGGGGTCATTTGAGGTCACTTAGGGTCATTTTTTGAGGAAAAATAGAATTTGGCCGAAACTCTACCCGAATAACCTCAAATGACCCCAAACGATATTTTTGACATCCGACAATTGATTGGAACGTTTTGAGGACTATTTCGGATAAAAATATAACCCTTAGCGCAATTTATCGTAAAAAAGTACCGATTTTGAGGTAACTTCCTCAACTTCTAGAGCCTCTAGCGCCTCTAGAATGTGGGGGTCCCAATAGGTTTCTATACAGATTCTGAATCGCCAGAGCCTCCTCTACAACTTAGCCAAGCCGCTCGTTCTTAGGATGGACTACCGGTACTTTTTTAATCCCTTTTCTGGAACTACCCCCATTTTCCGGACTTTAGACGCCCAAAAACGCCCCAGGACATGACCCAAACCCCACACTGTAAATAGTCAAAATGATCCTCAGCTTCTGGGCTTTCTAAAACTGTATTATACTCCCTCTCTACTAATCCCAGAAAAAAGCTCAATTTTCATCGAGTTTCCCTAGTAATAGCCGGTTAACTTTGCCCTAGATTCTACCGTTACGGTAGTACCGTATCCTTCACTACAGTACTTAGTAGCTGTAAGCCGAAAGACAAGACAAGCCGGCTTAGCCAACAGGCCAAAATTTTTAATTCCCCCTCAAGTCTTGAACCTAACCATTTACCCGCCGACTTGTTGGACTTGGCCCAACTCGTCAAACTCTTCAAACTTGCTTTATTTCGAAAGAATCCATCCCTCTTTTCTTCTCCGGAAACAGTTGTTTCAGAACAGAAACACCTTTCAGCACCTTTTTTCCAGAGTTTGAAAAAATACTCACGTGGTGTATTTTCATGTTGGAACAAAATTAGACGTCATTAGGGATATTTAAGGGATTAGCTTTAGATTCTCAGAACAGTACTTCGAAACTAGAATCTTTTCAGACCCAAGAAACAGTTATTCAAGAGCAATTTGTTTAGAGAGTTTTGATAGGCAGTGATAAATATTAAGAGTTTTCTTTTGGAAAATTAAATAATTGAAAGCAACAAGAAATGAGCCGCAAACAGTCAATTGCTCTCACAAGACAGTTCCTTGTTACACGACTCTTTCCCAATCTCAACTCGCCCAAGGAGTACGACAGCAACCAGCAGAAAGGTACAGTAACAGCCAAACATGCTCCACGCATCGAGGCGATCAATATTCAATTCACTAGCTGAAATAAGCAGCGGAAAGCCAATTACGCGATTTTTAATCACTGTTTTCTTCTTTTGAAAGAAAAACAAAAACGCCATCGCAGTTGGCCGTATTTTCGACCCTTTTGTGAGTCCTCAAAGCTTCCAAATTGACAGCAAATGAGAATGGCGCCCTTCTGCTTTTATAGTCATCAAATATTAAACAGAAAAAATAGCTGTTAGTGCAAAGTGCACTCCTTGTTGTTTGCAGTCCGCCCCACAGATTTGTCGCCTATCAATATTTACAGTTTATGCTCCTGAGATCGAGCTGACATGTGACAGATCAAGGGTCAAAAACTTTTGCACCGCGAACTCAAGCTGCCAGGATTATCGCAGAGTTTGCAGTTGTATCTTTTTAATTTTGGGAAAATACAAAAAGGGAAAAATAGAATCAGCCCTCGTTTTATCCATTTATGAATCTATCTTTTCAGATCGTAAACATACACTGACCGATGTCTTCAAGAAAACATACGCAGTATTTCCAAATGCGATCGATTTCGCGCTCGTCCAGGTACAGTCCACTACAGTAACTCAATAAATTCACCAATAAACCCACCACTGATCCATTTTGATTTTGATTCATTTTCACCAATTTTTATTTTTAGGATCCGTTGCCACCCATTATTGTGAAGATTTCGCAACTGAACTGGGCAGCTGCTGGCTTCTCGAAAGTGTCGCAAAACATCAGATGCACTTCTGGACAAAGCGCTCTGGCTACCATTCAGAAGTTCGGCGAGGATGCCTGCTTCGCTCTAACCAACAGTCGTAGAAAAGGTAAGCCCCTCCGATTGACCCCTTACTCATCGACGTTTCAGACTACATCGGCATCGCTGACGGCGTGGGAGGCTGGCGGGATCGCGGGTTCGATCCCTCCGTCTTCTCCTCCTCCCTGATGCGAATCTGCAAAGATATGGCCAACAAGAAGCAAGAGGATCCCATGCGTCTCATCGACGACTCTTACAATAAGGTATGTGCGTGAAAAGCATCTTCAGATTCTGCTGATGCTCAGAAAGTATTCAATAACCATGAGAGACAAGATAATGAGCGCTTTTATCTTTCAGCTTTTGTTGCTGAACAAAAAGAAAAACTTCCAAATCGTGGGTTCGTCGACAGTTTGCATCCTCTCCTTCGAGCAGGAAACGGGAATCCTGACAACGGCGAATCTCGGCGACTCGGGCTACCTAATCGTCCGCAACGGCGAAATCATAGACAGGAGTGAAAAACAGACTCACAAGTTTAACATTCCAAAGGTACCAAAATCACTTAAAATTTTCCACAAACGATTTTTTTCAGCAACTGGCTTATGCGCCGCCAAGTCTGCGATTTATCGCTGATATGCCGTCTGATGCACACGAGAAGAAATTTGTAACGCACCCGGTAAGTTTGCAGACAGATAGAAAGTCCCGTGGTTTGTCTTTTGGACGCGTCGTTAAATGATACTTTTGTGTTTTTTGATTTATGTGTTTTCTTGGATTTGCGATTTTGAATCGATGAATCTGGGTTTACGACGTATTCTGATCAATTACAACTCGACTGACCTTATTCTTTCCAGGGAGATCTAATCGTCACAGCTACCGATGGTCTGTTCGACAACGTCCCCGACGAAGTACTACTCCAGGAGCTCTCGTACCTTCCCCATGCCGATCAAATCCACACGCAAGGTCTGCCTCCTCCTTTCTCTTTCAAGCCTTTAACTCCTCTTCTTCAGACCTGGAGCGCACGGCAAAGTGCCTGGCCTCGCGCGCGCACAAGAACGCGCTCAACAAATCGTACGTTTCTCCCTTCGCCCTCGCCGCCAAAAGCGCCGGCTTCCACTATACTGGCGGCAAAATGGACGACGTAACGGTCATTGTCTCCGTTGTGTCCGACCTGGGTACTGAAGTGTAGCTTCTATTTTTAGCTTTTTCTTTTTCTAAAACTTCCGTTTAAAAATTCAAGATTCAACATGCTATCTTCGCCTTTCTCTTTTCGTATCTTCTCGTCTTTTTTTCTATCAACTTTCTCTTCTCTACTGAAATTTCCAAGGCCTACTTTTGACTTCATTCAAATTGAAGAACTAATGGTGAACAAATGGGTTTCTGACCCCTTTTTTGAGGTGTTCAACTTTGCCTTTTCTTGGTCCTTTAGGATCAAGCTATCAATTCTTCAGCATTTATTTATTTAGGATGTTTTTAAATGAAACAGTTTTGGCCTTCTTTTCTGGTGCCAAAATGACTTCACTCCTTTCTCCTTCGAGAAAGAAAAAAATACTCTCTTTTCAAAATTGAAACTCTCCCAAAACAACATATTCTCTTTTACCTCGTTGCTTGTGCTACTATCAAACCATATTTTTCCTAAGTCAAGTGCCGCGGAGAACCAACTCTTTCGACATCTGAACGAGAAAACGGTTCGGATCAGGAGTTTCCCGCGGCCGCTTGATTTCGGAATGAAGTGAAACTTGAGTGGTTACGAATTTAACTTATTTATTTGTATAAAGGAATACACTATTCAAAAATTGAAAGTCTTGTTTTTGATTGCTGCAGGAAATAGTTTATTCTTTGTCAAGAGCAAGAAGCAGGCGAAGTTAGTAAAGGAACACCATTTAGCCTGAAACAAAAGATCGAAATCGGTTGGTTAAAGCGAGAATGAGACTCCAACGGATGGATTCCAGCCACACGCTGGAGCGAACCTGGACAGAAGTCCACGATGGATTGAACAACGTCTTCTACGACCGCGGAATGGGCCACAAGCGATACATCGAGCTCTACACGCATGTTTACAACTACTGCACCGCTGTGAACAAGCCTGCCATGCGAAAGCCGCCGATGAACGGTTCGATGGAGTTCGTTGGCTACCCACTTTACCAGCTCGTGCGCGAATACCTCGAGGAGTACGTCAAAGGCGAGAATCAAAAAGCGCGAAAGCAAATCGACCTTCTCGAGTTCTACGCCGTCTCTTGGTCGAATTACTCCCTTTCTGCGAAGGTCTTGAACGGCATGTGCGCGTACATGAACCGCTTCTTCAAAAACAAGCGCACGAGGCGCAAAGCTCCTTTTACGAGATCAGAACAGACGATGTCTTTGTCGTCACAGATCTGGCAGTGAAGATCTGGAACGAGTACTTCTTCCGCAACGTCTCCGGCCGACTGACGACGCTGCTGATAGAACAGATTCAGGAAGAAAGAAAAGGAAATCAGATCAATTCTTCGCTCGTCAAAAGCGTCATCGACTCGTACATCACTCTTGGATCGGCCGTGTCCGTCGGCGAAGCAAAGCCGCCGCCTGAAAAGACGCTTTTTATTTACGAAAATGAGTTCGTCAATCAATACATCGAAGAAACAGTGAGGTTTTACAAGGTTGAATCGAGACTCTTCCTCGACAACAATCCGGGAATAAATGGATTGAAAGAATTCCTCAAGAAGGCAGAATTACGGCTTGATGAAGAGCAGCTCCGATCTGAACGATATCTTCATTTCTCGTCGACGAAGAAAGTTATGAAGGAATGCGAACAGGCGATAATTGGCGATCATCGAGATGTGCTCGTGTCTTCGTTTGCTCCCTTGTTGGATAACAGTCAGACTTCGGATCTCGCGAGAATGTACAGATTGGCGAAACGAGTCGACCAGGGACTCACGCCCATCCGCTCGAAGTTCGAAGACTTCATCGTCGCCTGCGGAATGAGCATCATGGAGTCCGTTGGAACGAACCCTGAGCCGAAAACCTTCGTGAGCCGCATTCTTCACATCTACGAGCGTTTCTCTCGCATCAACCAAATCTGCTTCGACAACGAGTTCAAGGAAGCACTCGACCGCGCCTCGACAAAATTTATAAACAAGTAGGGCTGCAAAAAGTGCAAGCTTGCAATCTTACTCTTTTTCTTTCATTTAGGAACAAAGCTTGCGAAGAAAAACCGACATTGTGTCCTGAATTGGTTGCAAAATATTGCGACAGTCTTTTGAAAAGATCGAATAAGTCCATTGATGATCCTGCGACTGAGGAGAAATTCAACCAAATAATGATCGTCTTCAAGGTTTTCTTTCTATAACTCCTTTTTATAATTTTTTTTTGATTTAGTATATCGAAGATAAAGACGTCTTCGAAACTCATTACTCCCGTATGTTTGCGAATCGCTTGATCAAGGGCACTTCCGGATCCGATGATGCGGAAGAATCTATCCTTCAGAAACTCAACGGTAAATGATGCTCAATTTATCTTGTCCAAACTTGCTTTTCAGATATCTGCGGATTCGAATACACAGCGAAGTTGAACAGAATGTGGCAAGACATCAACACATCTAAGGGAACGACGGAGAAGTTCAAAATGGCGATGCAGGAGGAAAACATCGATCTTGGAATCGACTTTTCGGTGAAACTTTTGAGCACTGGTTCATGGCCTCTGACAAAGGTTCATCCTTCATGATCATCTTGTTGATAATAGCAACTGTTTAGGCTTTCAGCATGGAGCTGCCAAGAGTCTTGTCGAACTCGCTGCAAACTTTCAAAGAACATTACGACAAAAAGAATCCGAGAAGAGTGCTAACTTGGCTCTGCTCGCAAAGCAAGGTGATTTTCGAAAGAGAAAGCAGCAGTAACGGTCTCTTTCAGGGAGAAATAACAGCAAACTACGCGTCCAAAAATTATGTTCTCGTCGCTTCTACCATTCAAATGGCAGTCTTGCTTCTCTTCAACCACGAAAATCAACTGACAGTTGCTGAAATCTCGAAAAGGCTCGCTGTCGATGCAACGCTGATGCAACAAGTCGTCTTGGTTTTGTTGAAACATCAACTTCTTTGTCTCGGGCCTTATCCTTCGCAGCCGGAAACCGAGGGATGCGAGAAGCTCCCTGGTAAAGACGATTTACGTAAGCTTGAATCCTTTCTAAATTTTATAAAACTGTTTTTTAGTTTCTTACAACAAGGACTTCTTCAACAAGAGGACGAAAATCACGATCAACGTCACTTACAAAATCGAAAGTGGAAACCAAGAAGAGACCGTTACGAATAAAAATATCGAAGCCGACCGAAAACTGCTCATTCAAGCAGCAATCGTGAGAATAATGAAGACCCGTCGGCAAGTCAATCACCAGACTCTCATGGCCGAAACGACCGCTCACTTATCTGGGTAAGTTTTTTGCTTGGAAATCAAGGAAGAGTACTTGTAAATTTTCAGGCGTTTCAAGGCTTCAGTTCAAAAGATCAAGGCCTGCGTCGAAACTCTCATCGAAAAAGAATACATCGAACGAGTCGACGGCAAAGATATCTACACTTACGTCGCCTAAGATCGCACTTGTTCACTATTCTCTTCTCGTTTCTGTATGTTTTCCTACCCAGCTGCTTATTCGTCCTTTCATTCAACACTTAAACACTCTGCCACGTCCAATCTTAGTTCAATTTATTTTCTATTGATAAATAAACACGTAAAGTTCAATTCAAAACTCAGAAAACGCTTCTTGAAGTGATTTTTTTTTCAAATGAAATATGTTTTATTTGCTTCGAGTCACATGCAGCATTATTTGGAAATGCCATATTGTCGGTACATTTGATCGATAGGATCTGTTATTGAATGGAGATCAGTTTCAATATCAGGGACGTTCAGTGAGTCTTGCGAGGCCGTTTCCTCCACGGCGCGTTGAATCTCAGCTGAGCTTATCTTGCGTCTCTTTTTCGTCTCTGCGTTAGATGATCCGCTTGTGGCTGATTCCGAGACGAGTTTTTTGTTGTCGATGCTTCGAACTCTTCCGTTGCCCTTTCTCGAAAACTGGCAACCGAAGAAGATCATCACAACCATCTTTCAAATAAGTTGACGAGAGTTTTACTGACACTACCTGTTTGAGGAAGATAAAGCTCTCAAGAACAAATTGCTGGGCGGGCATGTCGTAGAAAATAAGCAAACCAGCTTTTTGTCCTGCTTTACTCGTTATTTTCTGAAGCCTAGAGATCGTGTAAGAACGGGCGAATAAGAAAGAAATTACCCTAAAGCCGTGTAGATATCGTCGCCATATGCTTTTGCGCCAACCCAACTTCCGTGAAGCTGACCGATTCGACAGATGAACATGATGAGAATAACTGGAACAAACTTCAACTTTGTTTTTTCGACAAAAATACCTGGAATGCAAGAAAGCGAGAGCCAAAAATATCGGAAAATCTCCAAATCCGTGAAGACTTTTCTTTTGATAAATCGCTTTACCAAAAAACCATTCATCACCAGAAGCACAAAGCAGAAGAGAAGCTCAAGAACGTCCAGCCAGAGGACATTATCGTACATAACTACCGATGAATTATATTTTCTGTTGGATTTGAGGATTAATTAGGTACCATGATGGGAGATTCTTTTATTCGCCAAGACGTTCAAATTGAGCAGAAAAAGCATAAAAGCCTCGACGCAAATCCCAAGAACGAGACCAGACGCTTTTTATTGCTTCAAACAATGAAATCAATGGATAACTCTGAATCTTATAAAAGCTGTAAACAAGTCCCTATCGTCATCTTCTTTCGCTGATCTCTCTTTCTTCTGTTTCCTACTTTCGTAAATTCCCGTTTACCATTAGCCGTGTAAAACTAGCAGCCTCTTGATCTCTCTCTGACTGCTCAGGCAAAGCGTTGAAAGTGTTTTTATGTGCTGAGATGAGATTTGCCATTACGTAGATCGTAAAGACTTGTCGAGCTCTTTAACATTGACACGGCAATTATAATTATGATTACAATGATGATGATGAGGTGTTCTCTTGAAATTTAATTTCATCAGTGAAAACTCCGGCAGTGAAGATAGAGTATCAAATTCGCAATTATCAAGAAAATGAAGAGCGCGTTGAAAACCGGCTTATACGCCTCCAACTTATTATTCAAATCGTACCCAAGCGTAATCGTGTTTGTAAAATAATCAGCAAACGTGAGCTTTTCTGATTGATCCGTCGACGCCGAAGCTTCTTGCATGTTCTTTTGAAAGTAGTTTTGCAAGTCCGTCCATCCTAAAATTGTAAATCGTTGTGAAACACAAGATAAGATACCTTTCTTCTTTATGAAATCTTCAATGTCGGAATGTTGAAGCAAACTGGCAGTGAATCGCTGACCAAGAATCGGGTAGCTCACTGAAGCATTCAAGTTAACTCAGTTGAATCCGCAGGGATCCGCTTGGTACTCTGATGTTCCGGATTGGCGGCCAAGAAAAGCGTGAAGATCTCGAGACTTGCGGCTAGCTTGAACCAACTACAGCCTTCGGAGAAGAGAATCTTCCACGCCACGCAGAAAAGGCCATTTCGACAAGAGCAAGTGCTATTTTGCCGCTTTGTTCAAGATTCAAAGAGAATTTTCCGCGTTTGGAAAATCTGCGTAATAAACTTAGTTAATTTATATCTTTTCCTGTGGGTAAATCCCCCTGACGAAGAGCGAGGGATAATTAAACTTCATCAAATCTACCATCGTATTCAGCGAGCTCAGTTCAGCGTTAATCACTTCTTTCCTCAAGCGTGCACCAATTCCATGCTTATTAAATCGACTCGCTAAGTAGCATGTGCACAGCACCTAGTACAATTATAATTTTATTAGAGCCCGAAAAGAAATACACTCACTTCAAGGTGCCGTTTGATGTTCGAGTTGTCGAGCTCGAACATTGTCGTTATTTTGCTCTCTCTAAAAGAAAATGAGAAAAATTTTTGACCGAAATTTTTTAAAATAAAAAGGAAAAGATGCAAATAGTCTGAGATCCTTACCTAATGACTGTATTCTTGGCGACTGTCTTTTGCTGAACCCGTTCCAATCCATCCCTTGAGTTTTGACTCAGCCTTTCTGTTGTCAGCCCTTTTCTCCGAGCTCTATATTTTCAACCCTTTTTATCGCGAAAATACTTTTTTTGTAATTTACCTCAATCGATGTGCCGACATTCTCTACTAAGAGGAAACAAGTTCTACTCTCTTTTATTTCTTGGATAGAACCTCTCTTACTCTATCGCGCCAGTCTGAACCGCTGACAAAATAAAAAGTGACGGGTGGAATGATTCAATAAATTTATTTTAAGCTATTTAGCCATTCAATAAAAATCACTCACTAGTATATGAGCTCGAGTCTTTTTTGTTGGCCAACATGGGTAAGTAACAAGACGCGCCGCGGGTATCTCTTTTCAGAAGACGGGGATCTACTCCTAGATACAGTCTGCGAGATCAGACCAGAGGTGACAGGGCGAGGATTAAATGTGGCGAAATAAAGCGCGGCCTGCGGTTAATATTCTGAGCAGTGTTGGTACATTAAATCTGCATCTGCTCAGAAGCATGCAGAATGTGACTCATTGCCAATAAAGGTTTTTTATTAATTTGTTTATTGCGCTAGTCTATAATCGGATTACAGTGCGTACAGATGGGAAACAAGCTGATTTCCAGTATCCATAAGCAAGTCCATGAATCCGGTGTGTGGAATTTCCGCGTAGTTGTAAGACTCCAACGTCAAAGAAGCGCTAATGCTGTCTTCAGATGATGTTTGGTTGTTGAAATGAGACTCGATTTTCCACTGGAGATAGTTGGGCGCCATTTTTTCATCAGCAACTTAAATTGGATTACATTTTCTTGTTCTGAATATAGCGATTAATACAATATACATACTGTAGGCTTAGATAGATAGCGATTCTATCGTGAATATCTTCTAACTTAAGCTTTTAAATTCTTATTTTCAAATAAAAATAACTAACTTTGTCTTCGCGCGAGTTATATATAGAAAATATACCTGAGAGATCTTTCTTCGTTTTCCTTTGATCTTTGGAAGAATAGATATTCTTCCGATTGTTCTTGTTCATCGGAAAAGCTCCTTTTCGCCTGTTTCTGAACCAGGTCTTGACCGCCTGGTCTTTCACATTGCCCAGCTCAGCAGCAAGGGCCTGGATTTCCGCCGGAGTGGGGTACTGTTCTTTCAAGTAAAACTCCTCCAGCTTCATCTTCTGGGGAATGCTCCATGTTATGCGTTTTCGCCTCATGGAGGATTTATTGTCTAAAGATATTCGAAAGCGTGTGGTTCTTTTATTGAGTTAGAGAACTTGATGGCGCATAACCGGTAGCGCCAACCAACCATGTAATTAAACGCTGCGATATGAGGACTGTATTTCGAACTATTTTCGACAGCTCGTCCATCATTCTTTTATGATTTCAATCGGAATATTTTAGCATCAATATGTTAAGAATTCATGTAGCCACAGATGAATGTCCGACATCTCCGCTAGAAAAATTTACAGTGTTTTCGAATCGCCCGCTGGGCATGTTGCTCGAATATTTTCCCATCCCCTTCTTTCCATTTAATTTTATATCGCTCTTATGGCTTTTGAAAGCTGTTACTGATGTTGAGAATATCAACTGTTCTGGTCAGAGGATCTGGCTTCTTGTCGTTGATTTTTCTTTTTCTCTCGGCAGAGCACGCGGCGAAGAGTATCAGTTATGCCGTGACGAAGAGGCCGAAAGAACTGCTGCTAGAATTGGGGCAGATTGAAAAAGACTTGGGACTGCAGATTGACAGAGACATCGCGTACACACTCGAGCATGGAGGACTGGTCGAAGGAGCAAATTCAGCGTACAAAGGAGTCTTGTTTCATTTGGAACGAGTGCTGCACATCATTCCCCAAGCTGACGAAATCGAGGAGCATCACGCTGAGCCAACAAAAGCTCCAAAATTAGAAAATGTAATTTTATAAATATCATCGGCGGGCTCATCTTTTTTTAGACTGGAAAAGCAAAGTCTGAAGAAGCAATCGAGAAAGAGGAAGAAGAGGATTTATCTGACCCGTCGGTTTTTCCGGAAGAATCAACTTACGGCCCAGAAGTTTTGCACCCTCACAATTATAAATGGCTCCTGAATCCAGTCAACAAATGCAAGCGAGAAAAACCTCTTTTCGTTGTTTTAATTAGAAGCCAAGAAGCAAACTATCAGCTCCGAGAAGCAATCAGAAAGACGTGGTGTTCAAGAGAAGAGAAGTCATCAACCTTCAGCTGCGTTTTTCTTGTCGGACGAGATCATACGCTGCCCAAAGAGAAGATCAAGCTCGAGTACAGCCATTATCACGACATCTTGATGGAAGACTTTGAAGGTAAGCCTCTTCTCTTCTGTTTGTCTCTTTAATTTGATTCAAGACGGCAAAGACATCGAAAAAGTTCTGATGGGACTCCGCTGGGTAGAAAAATATTGCAAGCAGCCCAAATACCTGCTGAAAACAAACGATGATGTCTGGGTCAACATCGATCGCTTCAACGACTACTTCGAATCCAACACTATCGACGAGCACTTCTTTGGGGGGAAATGTGTGATGGAGTTTCCAGACAGAAATCGAAAATCGAAAAAATATATTTCAGAAGAAGAATATCCCGCGAATCATTATCCAGCTTCCTGCAGGTAAAGCAGTTCTCCTTTGCTTGATCTACTTTCAATCGTTTTTTATAGAGACAGTGGATATTTGATGACAACGGATCTCGCCGGTAAAATATTCGAAAAATCGCTGGAGGTGGTTCCTCCAGTCAAATTTGAGGACATTTACTTCGGCTTCGTTCTTCATGCTCTTGGGCTCTTCACAGTAAGCATTTTTAAATCATTTCATTTGTTACTCCTCCCGAAGCGTTCAACCTCCGGATTCGACTTTGGTAAATTTCTTCTTCAACGATCCTGCGAGTACAAAACCAACGCGTTCACGATCACCATTGCCGGCCAAAATCTCCAGTCAAAGACAAACAATCTCCAACAACTTCACGAGCGAATACTCAAGTGTTAAATCCATCTATTCTGCAGGGCTGGTAAATTCGCGTCCTAAAATCTGTCGAAAATTTTTAGTGCGCTAAAATTAGTGCGCGAATTCATTTTGTCGAGACTTTAGCGACTTTCGCGTCTCTTTCGCGTGTGTCTCGAAAACTGTCGAAAATGATGGCAGCTGATTGGCCCGCCAATGAGTGCGGGCTCTTTAATTCTGACGAATACGTAAGTTTGAGAATTTCAAACTTCGTTTAAACTAGAATTTCAAAAAGTTTGGTTTCAATAAAGTGGATAAGAAAATCGAGGGCGTAAATTTCTAATATGTAGCCACAAAAGACTTTATCAATCTATTTGATAATTTTATTTATAAATATAAAATAACAAATATAGGGAAAATAATTAGCAGGGTTCTTCCTGCTTTTTCCCTTTCTTGCCATTCTTCTTCTTGTCGTCGTTCGACAACTAATCTTCGATGTCTTCAATAGTCTGCAGCTGGAGCAGCCTTTTGCGAGTTGTTAATATAATTCTTTATTAACAAAATCATATTTATTATTATATATTTCTTTTGCAATTCAGAAGGGAGATCTTCTCCCAAGTTCATGCTAACACAGGGATGGAAATATGAGAAAATTTTCCAGCGGCACCGGCACGGCACGGCACAACCAAAATACCCGTGCCGCGGCACGGTACGGCACGGCACAAAATTCCGAAGTGCCGTCAAGCCCCTTAAATTAACAAATCAAGGAACGGGGCTGAAACGGCCCGAAGGGCCGTCAAGCCCCTTAAATTAACAAATCAAGGAACGGGGCTGAAACGGCCCGAAGGGCCGTCAAGCCCCTTAAATTAACAAATCAAGGAACGGGGCTGAAACGGCCCGAAGGGCCGTCAAGCCCCTTAAATTAACAAATCAAGGAACGGGGCTGAAACGGCCCGAAGGGCCGTCAAGCCCCTTAAATTAACAAATCAAGGAACGGGGCTAAACGGCCCGAAGGGCCATCAAGCCCCTTAAATAAACAAATCAAGGAAGGGGGCTGAAACGGCCCGAAGGGCCGTCAAGCCCCTTAAATTAACAAATCAAGGAACGGGGCTGAAACGGCCCGAAGGGCCGTCAAGCTCCTTAAATTAACAAATCAAGGAACGGGGCTGAAACGGCCCGAAGGGCCGTCAAGCCCCTAAAATTAACAAATCAAGGAATGGGGCTGAAACGGCCCGAAGGGCCGTCAAGCCCCTTAAATTAACAAATCAAGGAACGGGGCTAAAACGGCCCGAAGGGCCATCAAGCCCCTTAAATTAACAAATCAAGGAACGGGGCTGAAACGGCCCGAAGGGCCGTCAAGCCCCTTAAATTAACAAATCAAGGAACGGGGCTGAAACGGCCCGAAGGGCCGTCAAGCCCCTTAAATTAACAAATCAAGGAACGGGGCTGAAACGGCCCGAAGGGCCGTCAAGCCCCTTAAATTAACAAATCAAGGAACGGGGCTAAAACGGCCCGAAGGGCCGTCAAGCCCCTTAAATTAACAAATGAAGGAAGGGGGCTGAAACGGCCCGAAGGGCCGTCAAGCCCCTTAAATTAACAAATCAAGGAAGGGGGCTGAAACGTGCCGTGCCGTGCCATGCCGCTGTGCCGTGCCGTGCCGCTCAGATTTCCATCCCTGTGCTAACACTGTTGGTAAAAACACCCCTTCCCTCGCTTTTAATTTTGATTGCAGATCTCCTCCTAATACATTTTACTCATAAAAATAACAATGCTATATTCTTTAGCCTATATACTTATAAATTATAATGGATATAAAAACCAAAAAAACTTTGGGAGGAGTTCTTCATTAGCAGTTATCAGGTAAGCGTGAATTTGGGAGGAGACCTCCCTTGTGAATTATCAAATAAATATGATTCTGTGAATAAAGAGTACTGAGAAGAGCTCTTCTTGAGGACAGCGATGAGAAGTTGTCGGACGACGACAAGAAGAAGAACGGCAAAAAAATGAAAAAAAACGTGAAGATCCAGCTGCGGATGGCCCTGCTATAAAAAAATTAAGGGAGAAGACTTCCCTAGGAAAGCTTATCTTAGCTCGTCATTTAAGGACCCCCCGTCATGTTTGACGATTTTCGGGAATCGATTCTCCGAGTTCTGAGAATCATTTTTCTCTATTGTGGTAAAATTCTATCTCGACTCTAACACCCTCGAAATGGAGGTTGAAAATCGAGATTTTCGGGCTTTTTTCGAAAAATTTGCCCATTTTTCGTCTGATAAGCGACCTTTAATCCCATTTTTGGACTGAACCCCTAAATTTTCTTAAATCAAGGTCATCCGTGAGATATTAATGTTTGAAAAATATTTTGACTTAAACCTTTCGAAGCGACACCCTTAAGAAGTGCACGAGCGTTCTTTACTATTTGGTGCCCTCACCCAAATATATACAACAATATTTTAAAGTTTATATTATATAGTTATAGTATAGTTTCCGTTTATTGAAAGTCTTCCCTTGTAAAAAATCGTCTTCCATGAAGTTGTCCTCCGAGAAGAGCGCGCCCATTTGTTGATGAAAAAGAGCCTCTTTTTTCGCGACTTTAGCGCTGAAAAGCTCTCGAAAAGTCACTAATTTCCCCGAGTGGAAAAATTAGTGTCATTTTAGCGCACTAAAGGCGCGAAAGACGCGAAAGTGTCTCTAAAATAATATTAGTGCGCTAATTTTTTTTTCTTCGAGAGATATTAGTGCGCTAATTTACCAGCCCTGCTATTCTGTATTATACTTTATGATATGTTTGAATGTTCAAGAAAGCTGTTTCAAATTTGAAGCATGTGATCGTCAAAAATCAGCGGGATCTCGTCCGTCAGAGAGGTCATCGTTTCGTTGAAGTAGATTCTGAAACAGTTTCGCAAATAAGATCAGCAATCGGAGATTACCTAAACGCTTCTTCAAGCTGATCATACGTAGCTCGCTTGTCTGGTTCTTCGACAAAACACGCCATGATGATTGAGTGGATTGAGCTGAGTTGGTTAATACTTGATACGTTAACTAACAACTTTAAAAGTTACCGAGCCATGACTTCAGGCCGATGAAGTTTTTCTCCGTTGTCTATCGCTTTGAGCACATCGTTCCACTTTCGGCAGTGCGAGTATGGCGTTCCTCCTCTGAATTCAAATTGCGATAGTGAAGCAACAAAAGAACTTACCTGGTGAAAAACTCCCAGATAGTGCAGCCAACTGACCAGACGTCCGACCAAACGCTTTTTGAGATTTCAAAGTTTTCTGTTGAAACTTGAAAACAAAAAATAGTCTCTTTTCAAAACCCTTTCGTGAATTCCATGGCTCTGAGAGTCTCCGGAGCAAACCAGTACATGAAATCCGAGAGAAGATTGTCGCCCATTTCGTCCGGCAAAAATTCTAAAATGTGAAGTCCTTTCACTCCGTAGGCGATTTTGAGCTTGTTGTCGCCGCTGAGAAGCAGCGTCATGCATCGAAGCTATAAATTCGACTTGAAAATGCTCAAGAATAACTATTAAAAACCTCTCTGACGACAATATCCGCGCTAGATAAATGCTTCATTCCAGCTATCAAGTCCTTGATCCAACCAAAGACGTCTTTGTAAGTGATGATTTGTAACGGGCTGACGAGAAAACTGAGCATTGAAGTGTCAGTGGCTCCGTCGTAGACAAAAGAAGGGATGCTTTCGTGGTCGAAGATGATTCCGAAAATTGGAAAAACGACTTTTGAGAAGTTCATTTCGCAGGTTTTCTTGGCCAGCTGAATAAATTATTGAAATCAAGGAAGAGTCTTTCTTTAAAAATACCGAAAAGATGAGTTTGGAAAGCTTCTTTTTCATCAGAAAATTATTCCTAATCAGCATGTCCTTTTTGTTGTTGCTCATGTCGTCGGTCTTCTTTTCCGACCAATTGGACGACCAAAAAACCGGTTTGCCGTCGAACTTGCCGTAAATCATTCTGACTCCATAAGCAGTTCCTGATAGTCGCCATGGACGAGCATTTTCCACGTCGTTTCGAAACATCAAAAACCGCGAGACGAGTTCTTTGTCGATGTAATCGTGGACAGACTTTTGAACTGTCTCGTTGTGCATGTGCGAAATTCGCTGCAAAAAGAAGGGAACGTATCCGGTCGGTTTTGCATCAGTTTTTTCAAGAAAATAAGTGAGTTTTCTTTTCACCCATATGTCCATGTTTCTTTTGGCATTGGTGCGCTCGAAGAAAAACAGCATAATCAGCGGAATAAACAAAATTTCAAAGACCAAAACGGCCACTGTGACGTAGCGAGTACTAAGATGCAGCGAAATCGTTACGTTTATCAGCACGCAAGTCAGAGCTATCAAGAGTAGGGAGAACAAATGAGCGACGACTACGAGTCCGCGCTGGTGGTAGCCCTCTCGGATCATCCGCCTGTAGCTCAAGTAAATAGAACTCGCGAGGATGCAGATATTGATCGTCTCGAAAAACGCCGACACCCATCCGAAGTACTTGAACGTCGCCTGGTCCAGTCCCATGATAAACGATCCGTTGGCGTAGCAATAGGTGCCAGAATAATCTTGCCTCGAAAGAATGACACAGCCGAGGTCGTATTGTGGGACATCGGGGACTGTGATACCGAGTTTGAGGAAACATCCGATGCTGAGAAAAAGCTGCAAAACCGGGACGAAAACGGCGGGAACCATGGGAAGAAGCGCAAAGTAGATAAATATCGGCTTGATTCGAACCAGGTCAACGGCGTCGACGTCGATTTCTTCCTCGTCCTCGTGCTTTGTCGCCTCCTGGAATCTGCTGTTCATCAGGCCGGTGAGAGTCCAGTTTCCATTCCCACGGAAAGCGGGGCCAGCGCCTTAGAAGATAGTTACCTTTATGAATTGAAAGAGTGAGTACCTGCAATGGCGATTTTCAAATCTCGTCTGTCTTTATTCGACGTTCGGATGTAAGTGGCGAGCCTGTACGAGTAGATGATCTGCCAGAAACTGAGAGGCATGACGACTGTGAAGATGAACCAAATTTTGGAGAAAGGGAAGCAGAAGTGGCTCGGCACAAGTTTCAAAATGTCGAAAATGAGGAGAACGACCGCGGCGATGACTGAAGCAGTGCAAGTGTAGACGCACCAGATGTAGCTAGTTCTGCTGAAACGGACATTTTGGCGGTTGCAGACGACGAGGGTGTATCTCTCGACGCGCACTCGCTTCAAGTAAAAGGGCAGTTTCCGGCGAATGAAGCTGACCAAGCAGCAGGCATTAAAAATCAGCACAAAAACAAGAAGCCCTCCAGGTAAACTGATTCTGCGCCACAAATGCACCAGGTCGTCAAAAGACAAGTGCGCGATTTTCGTGCTTATCTCTGAAATGTCTGCGCCCATTGGACTTTTGGGGAAGTAGACGAATGCTACTGGCATCGGGCAAAATTGATATAAGTTGAAAAAGTTGGCATCGATTTATACGCGCACGAAATTTGCTACTTATAACTTTATCGATTTTACGGAAGGGAAGATGGTGGCGTTTGGAATCTTTATTTGAAGAATATTTACAGTGAAAATAACAGGAGAAATCTAGTCTTTTGGTGACTTAGAGTTCATTAGCCGAGGATCTTGGTTGTATTTTTGCGAAAGTCGGTCGATCAGGTCCTGGATATTCAGCATTTTCGCCGGCTGAATTTGATAAGTTTCAATCAATCAGAAAAAAGTACCTTTGCCGTAGCTAGAATCACATTCTTCTCGCCGTTATTCCACATTGCGTTCATTCCCGAAACGCCGCGGGAAAAGTCCCGTCGACGTTGGCTCCAACTTGAGGCCATTTCTTCATTGAACTTTGCTTGGCTCCTGATCACGGTGGTTTTATTTCATCTCTGATTGAAAATTCTTACCTCTCCGCGTATTCTGGCAATGCAGGATTGAGGGAACTGTCGAAGCTGGAGTGCACCGCGAAAAGGGATGAAATTGGGATTCTCATTCTCGTTTTTCAGAAATGAAAGCGCTCCTTTTCATAAATCCAGATAATTTTATGTAAGGTTGATCCACCAGTGCCGCCCAAAAATTGATTTCATTCGAGAAATATTTATAAATATCTTGGTTCACCCAACGTGGTGAGTTTCTAAGTTCTATTTTTCTATTTGGAATAGTTCGGTGTTTGGTGGGTACTTGGATTGATGGAAGTTTGATTAGGGAGCCGCTTGCAAATTTACGAGTCAAATACAAATAGCTGTTTACTGGAAGCGCGGCGGATGCAATATTTGCCGACGGCGCCAAGTTAAACTTTAACTTTCGCCGAGCAGCGACGCCCAAACCCCGCCAGCCACATCATCATTATTTCAAAAATACCCGAGAAATCATTCCAGAAAACGGAAATTTTCAACTGGGCAGAATTCAATCGTTCTTTTTGCGATTTTAACTGAAGGTAAAGCTGGCTACATAACGTTTGAAAACTTGCTGAAACGAACGTTATGTTGTCCCTACCTACAGTTAGCTGCGCCACAATCGACAGTACATATTCGAGAGCAAAGAGCTAAGTCTCCTTAGAGAAAGCCAAAAGTGTAAATTTTAACCTGCTGCTGTCAAAATGAGGCCTTTAATAATATGGAGATTTTTCGAAAGAATTAAGGGTGTCACTGCGTAAACTTTAACGAAAACGATTCTATAAAGATCATCTATCTTGAATCAACTGTTCGTTGAGGATCATTTTTTTCATTTTTCGATTTATTTACAAGGTGAGAATTAATATCTACGGAAGTGAAGACTTTGTGGCAGAGTTGAAATTTGTTTGAGACGAGAACGAGGAGTAGAAAAATTGTAAGTTGGTCAGTTAGCTTGCTCAATAAATATAAAGTTAACGTAGTTGAAGTGTGCAGAATATTTTCAAAGCTAAAGCGCGTTGGTGTTGCCCTCGCAGCCGGTGACGATGGCGTCGACCCAGACGCGCGCCAGTTCGGATGATTTCGCTGCCAGCACCAGACGCCTGCTCGAAGTGGTGATGACGATTCCAATGCGCCGATTCGGGGCTTTGAATTTGTTGCTGTGATCGATGAAAACGTCGGAGATCTCGGGGAAAAAGATCACCCCGTTTGGCTTCTTCTCTTTCTCGCTGCTAAAAATTGAAGTTAACAAAAAAGTCTCTAGAATTATTTTTCTTAAAAATTTGTTGCCCGCTTATAGAGTCAGTTAAAAAGTGACTTTTCGGATGAAAACGAAAAAATGAACTTTTTTAAAAAACGCGGCTCTTTGAACAGCGTTCTTTCCGATCGCTCAGAAAGAACCTTCTTCAAGCAGTTGATCAGATCAGAAGAGCTTCACGAGGAAATATTCCAAAGACTAACGGTAAGCTCTGTTTTTGGGGCCATCTATTAAACCAGCTTCAGACAAATAAGTTTTGGCCCTTTCACGACTACGGACCGTTTTTTGAGCTGGAATATATGAACCCAAACTACTACAAAGCTGTCGTCCAGCTTGTCCTATGGCCAGGGATTCGAAATCCAAATACTAAGCTTTTCTGTCGATTTTTCTTGAACCCCTAAAAGACCCTGATTGTTCTGATTTATGTAATCTTTCACGCGCTTGGGATGTCCAGCCACGATTTACACTTTTTATTTTACCTCATTCTTCCGACTTGGTTAATTTACAAAATATTGGACATCGTCAAATACTGGGACTGTGAGTACTCCTCCTTGATTTCAAAAAAGAAAAAGGGCAAATTTAGTCCGCCAACTGGTGATAAAGAAGCTCGAAAATACGTACGAATTCAGAGTCGGCGACAATGTTACTCATGAAGGAGATTTAAGGTAATGGAACTACTCTCTTTTCTTGGGATTATAATTGGTTTCGTAGCGATATTTATATTCGAATAGAAGCGCTGGATGGAGCAGATAGCAAACTATTCTACCGACTTATTTTAAATGGATACAACGTAAGCGAACTCAACTCTTCTATCAATAATTCTTCAATTATTTCAAGATCGAAAAATATATCCTGACGACGATGACAAGCAAAAAGAACGACTTGGACAAAATCGGCCGCCTTATCGCTCGTAGAGTCAATTTAAATTACTTCGGTAAGATCATTCTGTTACGAGAGAAGGAAAAACCAAATGTTTCAGATTCCGGAGATATCTCGAGCAAGAACGTAGTTCGCCACATCGAAAATGTCAAGAGAAAGAAAGCTTTCGTCTCGTCTCCCCGCCCAACAAGGCAAACTCGAAAGTCTGTTTTCCAAGGCTTCATGGTTTAATCTGTATTCATTTTTTCTGTAATATACTATTCACGTGATTTTTAAAAGAAAGTTTCTTTGAAGAAATCTATACAATCCGACGAGGAAATTATTAAATTGAACCCCTTAGAATCCGATCAGACAGATTATAGACGAATTTATTAGCCGAGCGTTAATTCAATTAAGAAAATTGTTTCTACACCCCGAATCAATTAATTACCTAAACCACTGAAGCGATCGTGTCCGGCGATCGAAGAGGACCCATCTGTTCTTCCATCGCTTCCACGGTCGTCGCTTCTTCCTTGATGCCAGCTTCGACAGTTTTCCCCGAATCGCGTGGGGAGTAATGTCGAGAGAAGCTGTCACTCGTGGGTTGTGGCCTTGAGCTTCCAGATGAGTTCTCAAATCCAGATTTGGACTCGTATTTGCGACGTATCTGGTCATCGGGCGATTTTCTTTTCTCCTTGAATCTCCTTCCGGAGAAACACTAGAGCGCATCGTCACCTGATCGTTTCCGTACTAAAAATAAAAGTAAAAAATCAAAATCGATCGCCGCGAAAATCACCTGTGAAGCAGACGCGCCGATGTCAGAAATTGACGGATTCGAGCTTGGGGGCATCGAGTCCTTTACTGGCGAAATGACGGATTGATCGAAGACCGAGTCAGACGGATTCCGCCCGCTTTGAGAAATGCCCACTGAATTTGACCTCGTGTGGTTGGTAAACGTCGAGTTCGCTCGAGGATAGCCGGGAGAGGTCATTCCAGTCGGCTCTTCGGATGCGCTGGCCAGAGATCGCATCAGTCGTTCTTTTTCTTCCTGCACTTCCATTAGGAGCTTTTTCATTTCTTCCACGTGCTTTTCGCTTCAAACAGAAGAGTTTGAGGAGTAACTACTAATTGATTTGTATTTACCTGTCTTGCGCCTGGGCCAGTTGGCTCGCGCGCTCAACGATCCAATTCGAGTTGGCAGTACTTCCGTAGCTGTCGACACTGAGCACGGAGCCGCCGTCATATGAGATGCCGCTGTTGGAGCGCGCGCGGGGACGTCGCACCCGCGGACCGGTGCAGTACGACGGCGCCTTCCGCTGGAATCGGCTAATCATCTGTTTCTCCTCGCGCTGCAGTGCGATGATCTGCTCATCCCGCTCAGCGTTCAGCCGGAGCGTCTCTTCCCGCATCTCCGCGTCGAGGACCACCAGTTGATTCTGAAAATGTCGAGTTAAATTGAATCTAATTTATAAGCGGCAATAAAATCTATTTTTCTGACGTGAGCGTGAAGAAGTAAAATCAACTGATCTCAATTAAGCTCAGAGCAGATGCAGCCTCGTAAAAATCCATCTTGTTTTTTCCGTAATTATCGTTTCCTCTTTTCGTTGTACTCACTTTCAAAGCGTCCATCCGTCTTTTACGGTCGCGCAGAGTCATTTCCAGCTCTTTGGAGATCTCGTTGTTTCTTGCTCCACAAACGTTGTTTTCCAACTGAGCGCGTTCAATTTCAAGCATGTTTTCTTCCTCGTGGAGTTCGCCGGAGACAAGTGCTTTTTCCATTCGAAGCGACTGGAGCGTCTCGTCGAGCTGCCCTTCCAATTCTCTGATGCGGTCTTTGATCGCGCAGGGTCTGTCTTTCATCGAAGCTATTTGCGTCATCCTTTCTTTCTCGCGCTAAATAGTGGATTTTTATTTTTCCTATTTTCCCAATTATAAAAAATGAAGAGCGACTTATATATTTTCATTTTGAAAGGAAGTCATTTTCGACTTCCAAAAACGGCGAAATGAAAAAATAAAGAGCCAAATCTGCAAAAGAATGGATCAAAGTCAGCTGAAGCCATTTGGGGCGCAGACAGAAGATTAGAGCAAATGTTGACTTACAGCAGCTTCGGCGCGTTCGTGATCAAGGTCGATTCGGTTCTGCGCCTCGAATTCTTCCAGCCCGTAGATCAGATCTTTCCCCGAGCGGTGCGACAAGAGAGATGAAACAGAACCCTGTCGCTGACGGTGGCTGAGGCCCATACCATAGCCAGATGGTGGAAGGGAGGCCATTTCAGACGCTGCGTCAGAATTTCGCCGATGCCGCGATCTGCCTCGCTCTCCGCCGCCGTAGCCAAAGCCAGAGCAGGTCGACATGCTGTCCAAATTTTGACGATCTAAATTTGAAATTCAAACTTTGATCTTGTTCTAGCGAGTGGATTAGATAAGCCTTGAATTGCGGCTCCGGACCCCACCCGTGTAAAATTCCTTTGTTTGATATTTTCCCGAGTACTCCGAAATATTTTCCGCCTGAGTGGCAAATCCCGTCAAATTGACCGCATCGAGAAAGTATTTTGCTTGGAAAATCTCGCTCGATTTAATCCGCCAAAATCTGTATTTGGAAAAGAGCTCTGGAGCTGGCACAGGTTCTTAAAGATCCATCAAGTTTGCTATTTTTAGCTAATGCTATCGCTAAAGGGGTCAAAAGGCTCTTTTAAAGGGATCGAGAGCTTATATTTTCCAAATTACAAAATAAATGGCCAGAATCGATTAATCAGCTTTTTCCTTCTGAAAGAAATATAAATCCCTCGGCGAAAAAAAGGTCACCAAGGAGGTCAATTTTTCAATTTTCAAATATTCACTCAATTAATATTTATCAAGGTCGCTTTCAATATTCAAAATTCTAATTGGGAAGAAAATGAATAATGTGACCGGGAAAAAACGGGAAAGCGAAACGAAGACGGTCCATTAAAAGTTAGACAATGACAGATTATAGAATTAAGCCCGCGGGAAAGGGAAAGAAGGATCATCCGGGATGAGGATCGGATTTGATTCCTATTTTGGTCGCCCATTTATCGGAACAAGGCCAAGTTTTTAACAAAGCCTTTTGAAAGACTCACTGTTTATTTTAATTATGACAATTTGCAGTCGTTTATTACTAGTTGCCGTTTTCTCCTTTTTTCTCTCAGGACGGCGAAGTTAATTATCACACCTCTGGGAAATGGACTGACTCAGCTGTGAGCCCTCTGTGACTCTGGTAGGCTTACAACTAATTCTCAACTTTCTCATTGAAAGATTCATTTTCTGAATTCATCATCCCTCAAGAACGCACTTCCTTCTCAAAATACCCCAGTTCCCAGTCCACAGCCAGTGAATAAAATAAACAGTTTTGGGCTTTTTTAAAACAGTGCAAATTTCAAAATTGGCGTTTCCGGTTTAGTAAATTTTCAAAAGCAACAACTGACCTTTTGACCTGGCCCGGATGTTGGCAGCTCTGTTTCGAGCGTTTTGAAGGCGAGACATGGCATCTTTGCCAGATCCGATCGGTCGGTCGACAGAAAGAGAGCGGTGATGGGAGGGTCGATGGTGGAGTCCATGCGAGGTCGGTTCGGGCATTCGCCGCGGGGCAGGGATCGGCGGAAGATGGCAGGACTCGGGAGTGACGATCACTTCCTCGTCCGAAAGTTTGAGTTTTTCTTGAAAGTCCATCGAGTTCACTCCAGAGTCGGTTTCATTTTCTTTCCCCGGCGAGTGTCCTAAAAACAACCCCTTTGTTAGCATTTTAGCTTCACAACCTAATAAAACACACCGTAAAAACTCACCGCGCCGCGCTCTTTGTAATCATCAAAAAACGGTTCAAATTAGTTTTCTGGCGAAAAGTAAACACAGACTCTCTTCAATTCGAAATGGGAAGAGGGTGAAGGCGAGGTTAGTGTTTGCGTGCGGCCGAGCTTATTCATCCCACTACAGTGCGCGAATTTAGTCAGATGGAGACACAAGATTTTCCCAAAGCTCTCAATCTGCAATTATTTTGAAATTGTTTTTAATTGGACCAGGAGCTCATCTTTAGAATGCATCAAAATCAATAGAAAATTGAATTACTCTTCAAAAATCAATACACTTCCGTCTTGGATTCTTACCTAGCTTGTAGCTAACTCTGTCCCAGATTTCGCAGGTGTTTTCGCTCATCATCGTTTTCTTCGTTTATTATCACTTTGCCAGCCCTTGTACTGCTGAGGGGGCCGGCTGAGTTTGAGAAAATTAGAGAAAATTTTAATTTATCTTTCAATTTTCTGAGCGGCACGAGCGGAGGTGAGACGGACTCGACGGCGGCGTGGAGCGTGCTCGGAATACGGTCCAGGGCGCCCTCCCCTCTGGATCGCAGAGAGAGAGAGGCTGACCAGATATCCCGCCGAACTTGGGCAGAGATCTCGGCGGGGATCAAGGTCAACGAGCAAATTTACTCAAGCACTAATCTTCTTCTGCCAAATTTCTGGGTCAATAGGGGGCAAGGAAAAAGAAAGGAGGGATGATAGAAGAAGGAACAATCTGGCCTAAGGGGCAATATGGCCCATATTATATGGGGGACCATTCACTTTCTCGTATATTTTGATTGAACCGGATCCTTATCATCCGTTGAATACACAAACTTATCGATCAAGTGAGCGTGAACTGGTATATTTGTTCAATTTTAGGGGCCCCATAATATTGCTTATTCAAACTCTGTGGGAGAGCGTAAAAGTTTAATTTGAATTCCACTTTGGCAAAAGTAAGGATCGAGTAGAGCCGAAAACAAGCCATTATTTTTTGAATGAACAGGTGCTTCACGTGGAAGTAGTAACAAGCTAACAGGCTATTGTTTCTCGGCCGATGACAGCAACTGTCCAATTCACAGAGCTCCTTTACAACTAATTTCAACAGCTCTCTTTGAGAGCTCTTCTACGCGTGGTGCCAAACCGAACCGGGCGCTACAGCTGCTCCACTTGAAAGGCAACACATTTTCGAAATGATAGATGTTAAACATTTTACGCGGTCGCTGAATTATTGATGCTAATTTACGACGCGGGCTAGAATTGACCATTGTTTAGCTAAGTATCCTTTTCACTGGAGAAACACTGTAATTTCGAGAAGATAAAAGCCCAATTTGTCATTCGATTTTTTACTTGAGTGGACATTTCTGTAGATTTTGCCCTAATTAGACCTCTGATTAGTTTCGACGGGTCACTGAGTTTAATTTTAAAAAGAGAAAAATAGAATCAATGAGATTTTCTTTGATTGAAATTTATTTTAGCAAATTTTCTTTTAGATTCAGAACAGTAAAATATCAGTAAAGTAAGAGTGTTAGGAGGTAGACAGGTTCTTTAGTTGACAATAATTGTTCCCTTCTGAGCGCGGTTGGAAAAGTTGTTGTTTCGAGTTGAAAGGTACTGATGGACACCGGGATTCATTCGCACAATGTTTCCAGCGAAGTATGCTGGGGCGTTGTTGAGTTTATCGTTGAGAGCTTCTTTCTCTTCCAGGGACTCGCCAGCGCAGTCTTTTTGGTCGGAGCATTCGTAATAACCAGAAGTGGCGAGTTGAAGCTCGAGATCTTCGGTGTTGTTCAGTTTCTTGATAGAATCGGCGGCGCTCCAGATCCATTCGGCGAACATTTTTGGCTCTTCGGAAAAGTCAGTTTCGGAAATTTCAGCGAAACAGAGGGCTCTCGAGAAGACTCGGTGTTCGTTCATGTCGTCGTACCATTTTCCTCTAGAGTCGATCATAGCGTAGTGGTCGATCTCGCCAATTGGAGGTCGTTGATGTCGGAACTGATGGAAAGAAGCAGTCTCGCCGGAAGAAAGAGAAGCCCAGTCAGCAGCCATTCCAATTGGAAGATCGCCTCTCCATTGACCGTTTCGAGTCCAGAACTGAACCAGAGCATCGTTGTATTCTTGAGTGGTTGGCTCCGGGAGATTCATCTTTGCAGCTTCGCATTGCTGGACGATTTCAGGGAAGGAGCTGTCTCGGACAATCAAGGCTCGGAACGTGTGAACGGTTCCATCTGCATCAGTGTACTGGAAGTAATCTTCGTCGAGCTCATTGTTCGGGAAAGAAGGAGTGCCAGCTGGGATGCTCGCGCCGGGGACAGTGATGGGAACGATGTTGGATCTGTCAGTTCCTTGTCGCCCTTCGCCGTCGGAGTTGGGATTGGTGTTGCTTCCTTCCCACTGAATGTGTACCAGATCGTCTTGGTTCATTTCGAGGATGGTCGGAGAGAAGTCGTATTCAACAGAAGGAAAAGCTTGAACGATGTTGCCTCGGCGACCGCGAACGCCGAGATTTTTGATGATTTTGTCGGAAGGAACGGATTGTGGTCGAGGCTTGAGCTGGAAGATGTGGGATCGATCTTGGAAGACGCGGCCGGTTTGGGCGGAATCGAGGGCGAGTTGAAGTCGAGCGCCTCGATAAGTGACTTCCGGATCGTCGTGAGACTCGAGTCCGGGAAAGTAGGCTTTGCGGTTTTCGGAGGCGAAGTCGTCGACGTAGTCGTTGGTGGTGATGTTGTATCGGATTCGGAGAACGCATTCTTGGGATTCGAGGAGGCTGTGGAAGTTTGGAAGCTCCCATTTGTAAGTCGGAAAGTAGTCGGTGTCGTCAATTTGGCCAAGGTGGTTGGCGCGGGACCAGGGCGCTTTCTTGCATTCGGGTGCTTCTTCCAAAAGAAGACATTTTTCTTGCGGAGCTGCTCTTCGGCCTTCACCAGTTCGGTAAGGAATTCCCCAGATGATATCGTTTTTGAAATCGGAGTCTTTGGCAAGAGCGTCGCAGTCATCTTTGTCTTCGATTTCTTCAAAGATGAATTTTGCGTTGTAGAATCCGACCCACTCGCCCCCGAAGTGCTCGCACTCTTCTTGGTTGTTGTATTTGCTGTAGCCGAGAGTTGTGTTTTCGTCAATTTTGTGGACGCACTCGTATTTCATGTTTCTGTTTCCATTCTCTGCAGTGAGGTCCTGGCATTTTTCTGGCTCCGAAGTGAGGACCGCAATGTCTTTCCAGGGATTAGGATGCCAGTAAGGATAATAGTCTCTCTCTTCTGGGCACTCGTAACCGCGTCGAGTTCCTCCAGGATTCTGTCGAGTGTAGATCGCGCCGCCTCGGACTCGGCCTTCGTTGCCAGTGAAAAGGCCGTAGTTTCTGTCTCTCTTGTAGCAGGAGTCGTAGTACTCCCAAGACTCGTGCACTCCTCGTTCAGCGTGATCGTTGTCTGTCGTATCTTTGCGACGGCGTTCAGCATATTGCTGCTGCGATTCATCGTTATTTGGTCGGCGGTAAGCAGGAGTATTCGTGTTGAGTCCGTTTTGGATCTTGGTGGAGGAGGAGTCCTCGCACATGTACTGAAGAACGATCTGGCAGTTGACCCAGTTGGCGTCGTTTTCGTCGCGTTTGCCGCAGCCGTGCTGGTTCCACCATTCAATGGCGATTTCAGAAGCAGCCTCGCTAGTGGACTCGAAGAAGACAGCTTTGCTTTGTTCATCAGCAGTTTTGGCGGCTGTGTCGAATCTATCGCCGACGTTGTAGCCGCCCTCGTTGTTGTTCTGAGAATCGAAAAGGCGATTTGCGTTTCGTCGGCCCTCGGAGTTTTCGTTGAGCCGGTTGTTGGAGCCCCTCGGGAAGTGCATGTAGACATCGGCCAGAGCGGTCGAAGCAAGGAGCGAAGAAAAAAGTTTCATTTTTGGTTGTTGATTTTGGTTTTCAGTTTTTGTTATGAGATGGAGAGCCAGGCGCGCCGCTTTTATAAGAATTTAGGCTCGTAAAAAAGTTGATTTCGCGTAAATTGGATCTGCGTCAGACTAGACTAGCGCAAAACGAAAAATCGTCATTAGAAATGACCAATTTACGCTTTTCCTTGTTTTATAATATTTATTATTTCCGATTTTTACGCTTATTGCTGACGTATAAAGTGAGTCCTCTTCTGACTTTTGTCGATGAGCTTTCAGCGCGATGAGGACAAACCGTCGAAAATTCCGTCGATGAACTTTTTCTTCCAATAGAATTTACGATATCAAAAACTATGAATTCTAAAATCGTAAAACTCCCGGTCAATAGATGCTTTGGCGACAAACTCTTTCGCAAGAGGTTACCGAATTCCAGATCAATTCAGCGTGGTGGCTCTATTTGCGGTGAGTCCTCTTCTGACTATTCTATGGCAACTTTATAATCTGGGAATTCTTCATGCATTTGATCATTCATAGCTTTTGACAAGTAAAAATGAGAAGAGCTCTGAAGCTCGCAATCGGCATCGCGAGTTTTGTCGGTATTTTTTCAGTCATTTTCTTCCCAGGTAAAATACCCCTTGAATTGTTCAGCAGAGAGGATTGAATTTTTGTAGCGTATTTTGTTGGGCGAGAGAAAACAACAACAACCGTTTCGCCTCCTCTTACGACAACAACGATTGAAACAACAACCGAGGAAAGCTCAGGCATGATGCCAGAAGAATTGAACACTTTTGAGCGAAATCATGGAAGAGTACTGGGCGCAGATTTCTGAAAATATCGATTCTCAATGTATCATGTTAAATTGACTTTCTGTTTATTAAATTTTAAAGAAAATTTATTTTGAATAGAATCAACGGAAGGCTGTTTATCATGAGAGAAGGAGAGGGTCACATGATGACAACTTTGTGAGAAAAAGTCAAAACTGAAAAGTGTTAATCTCTTTGTCCCATTTGAATTTTCAACTCTTTATTTATCTTTTCGCTCTCCTGACGAAAAATATAATTTTTAACAAATCACATTCAAATTTTCTAAATCTAAATCTATTCCTCGTTGATATCAAAATTTTTATATATCGATTACTAGTATAAACAGATATGCCTGTATCATTCGTCAGATTAGAGCACAGGTCCCGTCTGGCCACGTCAGACTGGAGACAGTCGAACACGAGTTCGAGCACTGATTCAATTTTAACCGTTCCATCGACAAAATAAGGCGAGACTTATCTCCCGAGCACGCCTTATTCGCGGTCTAACTGTATTCCAACAGTGCAACAGTGTCCGGGCAATTATCCGGCTCATCTTGCTAGTACACAGCTAGGTAGCGATATGCTGTCGTAAAGCTTCTTTCTTCTTTTATTTATCTTAAAAGCACACTAAGGGGATACTTTAACACGACTGAATTCATTCAAGCTCTTTTGATCCTTCAACAGTGTGGATTCTCTGCGGTCATAAATTACTGTCAGATGAGTAGTACTTGTGAATAGGTTTGAAGAATACTAAGATTACTGAACTACTGAAGCTAGTATCAAGCTTATAATTGATTATCGAGTACGCTATCGACAAATTAACTGTCAATTATCGAACTGAATGAGCTCCCTATTTTGATAAATATTGTAATTACTATCGATTTCTTCAATTGTGACTATTTTAACAATTAAGCGGAATATATACGGGGTCATTCTGGCGCTGAATTGTCCCTATTTCATCATCTTCAAACTTCGAATGGAATAATGGAAGCGTCGTAGGTTGAAAGCCAAGGAATCGTGTGATAAAACATTGAACAAGAGAAAGGAGAGCGAGCGCACTTGAGCGCGTTGTGGCCCGCTGCTGGTAGCGTTAACGCTATTTTGCTCGGAGCCTTATTTAGGTGAGACGCACGCGCGCTGCCCCTTCTTTTCATCATTCACCTTTTTTCTTTTGCTTTGCGAATTCTAGAACCCCGCCCGCGGCAATTCTAATATTCTTGCTCTGTTTTGAAGACGACCTTGACGAAGAAAAGAGACGAGAACTTTAGAGAAGAACAAAGAAGCAGAACAAAGAAAATGGAAAGCGCCGAAATTGTAAAGTCCGTCAGCGGTTTTACATGCCTCTGGGCGGTGAGTTCACTTTATAAATTGTCACCGACCGGTGTTGACCATAAACAACAATTATCAAACTCTTAGTTCTTCAATCATCAATCAATATTCGGTCGACCTTCTACTGAAAACCCTTACCCTCACCTAACAGGCAATTATCTTGTCAACAGCCGTCCCTAAAGTTCATAAAGTTCTGTTTTTCTCCTCGTAAACAGTCAGTTACTAAATTCCTAGGCCAGTTATCTACTGAAACAGAGTGATAAAAAGGCCAAAATCAATGACAATGAATCGAAACCGTGAACTCAAGTGACGCAGCTCGCTTTCTTTTCATTTTTCCTGTTTTGAAATTGGAAGTGGAAAGCAGCGCAGTTCATAAAAAAACCCTGATGATGTTGGAGCTTTATCACCTTGTAAATTTTGCATTGGCGCAATTTGACACTGGGACAGCGTCAAATTAAGTCAGCTCGAAAACATCATCAGTCATGTGATGAGCAGTTGATGAGCTTGATCGTTAAAATCGAGCTAGAAGATCTATGAGGGTCAAGCGAGTCCTCAAAACAACACTCCTATAGAATTGAAGTTGTTTATATAACAAGTTGTTACATAACTTAGCCCTTGAATAGTATATTCACCCTACTATCCTTCTTTCACAGGGAAAAGTCAGGCACACTCAGTTTAACACTCAGCGTTTAGTTATTATTCTTCGCGGCTCCTTTTGTCTTCCGAAAATGCGCCTTCTCCTCGGAGATTTATCAAAAGCTCTCAAAGCACAAAAAAGTGGATCTTTGCCTCCGTGCGTCTTCAATTTGCGCCGCCTCCTGCGCCTGGAGCTTTGCTGGATATAACTTGCTGTACAAATTAAGGGCGGATGACCCTCTAAATGAGTAAGTACTTTTTTGTGGAAAGCCGTTTTTTTATTGATCCGTTCTGTCATAGTGGTTTTTAAACTGCAGCCACAGCTTGAGCGCCCCGTGGGGAGATTTGACCTAGTGATCACTTTTTGTGACCGCCGCGGGAGGCACGGTTGAATTTTAAAATCAGTTGTCTACTTTCCTATCAACTTTCGCCAGGCCTCTCGCTGGGTTCACGGTCGACAGTTTTCAACTCGAAGATTTATAGCAACTGAATAATTCAAAGTCGTCAAAATAAGCTACTTGGCTTTAGTAGATTCTTTTTCAAACAACTACGGTCATTGAGTCACTCTTTGTCCATGTATACGGTCTTATATTTTGTTTTAGGCCGAACGATTTCGCTTCGATTCCTCTATTATTTATGACTGGTTTCTTTACGCTTGACACAATTGTGTGTATCTACCTCCGCGAAGAATACGGTGCTGCTACATACCAATATTTCGGCCATCATTTCGTCGCTATTGTTGGATTTTACAACGCTCTTCGATACCAAGGTACTTTCTACCAGAACAGAAGAAAAGATCGCTTTCTGACAAGTTAATGCCGAGCGAGAAAAGTCAGACGGGTCAGAACTAAGCCTCGGCTTAGGATAGTCCCGTTAACTCGGCGCTTGATTAGTTGTTTTGCCTTGAAATTACCGCCGCGGCAACTGGATGGCCCTAAACGCTCCTTTTTCATCGAACTAATGATGGGTCAGTTGGCAAGGCTAAATTTATTAATTCAGAATGTCTTTGGTTTGCCAACTACCGCCTTCTGTCCGAACTCTCGACCCCGCTCATAAATATCAGGGCGATCATGAACGCCTTCGACCTCAAGGAGAAGTATTCAAGCCTCTATTCTGCCAATCGAGTCTTCACCATGCTTGCCTTTTTCACCTCCCGAATTGCCACCATTCCCTATTTCTGGATCCACTCCTACAGAAGATACGACGATCTCTTGAACTGCGACTGGAAGATCATCGCCATGCTCTTCCTCTCAGGAGTTGTACTTGATTTCTTAAACATACAGGTGAGATTATCAATTTTCAAGATTCGTTTTTCAACTAAAAATTTTTCAGTGGTTCGTCCTTATCCTCAAAATCGCTTCCGTCGAGTTCAAAAAGATCCCCAAAATCGCCAAGGAGAAAACAGAGACGCTCAAAATCTCGCTCCGAGAAAAGAAAGACAATGTTTATCAGGTACCGTACACATCAATCACCCAACGGGCATCCTGTCATCTCACTCTAAGCCCAAATCACCGAGGATATGCCCTCCCTTAGGAAATAATCTTAATCAAGCCCTGACGGAATCAACCCATGCGCCCTCGAAGTTTAAGTTCGAGACCTTCAATGCTAATTACCTTCATTTTTAGACGATTCAAACAGCGAAAACCGACTTCCGGGAAAATGTCTCTTACCGAATCAACCGAGTACGAAGACGACTATCAGCTCTACGCCCCGAATAAACCTGAAGTCAAACTATTTTTCTATATTTTCTTCAACAGTTCCTCCTCACCTGTTACCACACGAGAAGTCAAGCTTTTTAACTTTCATAAAAATATAAAGAAGGTGCCAACAAATATTCACGACAAAGAGCGAAGTTATCAGTTTGCCTTGACGGACTTTTCAATAAATATAATAACAATACGGAGATTTAAGTGTGAAAATATGTAGTGTATTAAGTTGGAAAATCAGGCTCGCACCATTTTAAATGTTCTTGGAAATGTTCTTCTTTGAAAAATCGTAGGAAGCACTGATCGCAGCCGAATTCGCGGGGAGCATCGTGGTCAAGCATGTGATACTTCAGTAGGCAGAGGTCAGAGTAGCACTGGCCGCAAGTTGAACAGACGTAGGGTTCTTTTTCGGTTCCATACAGGGGCTTTCCAGGCTTCTTGTAGGCTTTGTCGCTCGAACAGGGAAGAATTGTTTTGTGATTATTGAAGGCTTCTTTTGAATGAAAGCAGATGTTGCAGAGAGGGCAGAAATACAGTCCATCTAAAGACCTGCGGAAAAAGCGGAAGACAATGAAGAAAGAGTACCTTGTGTCTGTTGAAAATGACTCTTCGCATTCGGATTGTTGAAGTCTATGCCCAGCTGCTGTTCGTAAACATCTCCGTATCTGACGAGCAGTTCTTCGCCGCGTTTAATTGGCCTGATCGTCCGGAAATAGACTGATTGTTCGTATTGGAATGCGTCCATATTGTGTTCTTTCTACCAAAAGAAAAGGTCATTGAACTGAAATAAGACTGACGACTTGCCTGATTTCTAGCGCAGTTTACTTTCGAAAGAAAGCAGCAAAGCTCTTTTACGCTGCCATCGACGAGGCCGACCACGTCTCCCTCGTGTCCTTGCATGACTTTGTCAAAGATCGAAATTTCGGAAAGCACTTACAATTTTAATTGCGTACCGTATTCATATCTTTGACCCAATTTCGATACCTTTTTTCAAACGACCTCTCTCCGTGTTCCGCTTTTTGGATTCTCTTCTCCGAAGTCGTCGCCATTTCCAGATACTCGCCTTGGTAAGGGCCAAACACACATCGCTCTGGAATATCTTCCTTCGCGAAAACTCCATGGCCCGCGACAGCTGATTTAGACAGCTGCAGGCGTGAAGGAAGGGTCTCTCTGATTCTGTTTTTGCTCGCTTTACTCGGCGTCCCCGATTGTATAAATGTAATCGGGTGCTGAAAAAATCTCTAGTTAAAAATTCACAACTTCGCCTCTCACCCATTTGCAGAACTCTCTAGGATGGTACCAGTCTTGACAGTCATAGCAAAAGTACCAGTATTCTTTAGTACTCGCCTTTTCCATCCGTCATATCAACCGACAAGACTGTGAGTAAAATAGAAGGCTCTGATAAATGCCGCTAATCTCGAAATACAAATTCATGATTGAAAGTTATCTAGAGATCGGAGGCCAAATTATGCAAGAAAATTCTAGGATGATCACAAAATCATGATTTCAACAGGTCATCTTCCGACCCGCCAACTAGGTAGTTTCAGGGGTGACCATTTGGGCATTGGGCATTTGGGCGAATCGGGCAATTTTCGGGCAAAAACGCTTTTGGGCGGGCATTTGGTCGGCTCAACGCCTGAAAATAGGCTGGGCAACATTGGATAAGTCGGGCATTTGGGCATTTTCTGGGCAGTTGGGCACCATCGGGCAGTTGGGCAAATGCCCACCGGGGAAATCCATGAACGTGGGCGTTTTCCTGCCCGCTTATTGGTCGTTAAGCTCGCAAACAAAAAAAATATAAGGAGAAGGTTCTGCAAGGGTGTGTGAAGTGGACCTCTATGGTTAGCTGTCTACCTTTGACCTCCTGATCCTTTTTATGAAATTATCCCCGCCCTTAACTCAACCTTTTTTTTGCGGAGATGGTTCTGCAAGGGTGTGTGAAGTGGACCTTGAAGGTTAGCTGTCTACCCTTGACCTCCGGATCCTTTTTATCCCTCATTCTACCTACCCCATTTTTGAGCCCCTTTTTCGAGACGGTTATGCAAGAGTGTGTGAAGTGGACCTTTAGGCTGCTCCCGCATTTCCCAAAATCCTGGATTTCCCAAATCCTGGATTTCTCAAAATCCTGAATTTCTCAAATCGCCAAATCAGGATTCTGCCGATTCTGGATTTTGGGAAATGCAGGATTGGGAAAAGCAGGATTTTTAGAAATGCAGGATTCAGCTGAAATTTCGTCGAAAACAGTTGTTTTTCTCTATCTGTCAAAACTAAAATAGAATGTTTGGGCTTCTTTCGGCTCTGGTTCTTACTAGAGTCTTTGTTCACAACTTCTGTGAATTGATTCTGGTAGAATAGAAGCTGTTCTACAAACTGAGACTATGGGTTAAATGACTGGATGGAGTGTTCATCCCTTTCCGGGCGCTCGAAAATTTCTAGCGCATATTTTGGGACTTCAGATTCTCATTATTGATCGAAAATCTTGTCCGATTCAGACGACTTCGGTACCAAAATGATCGCCGATCTGGCGATTCTAAATCTGTTTCATATTTGCAGTTTTAAAAGGGCAATCAAAGGGTTTATTTTTCTACCATTACATCTAGCAATATATGAAATTGGCAAATAACTGATGTCTCCAGGGAATTAAAAGGCACGAACTAAAATAGGGAAGTAATAAGCTAGGAAGTGACAGCGTAGGAGCGAACAAGAAAGTATCATACACGAAAGGATCAAATAAGAAAGTATCATACATGAAAGTATCAAATTAAATAGGATCATGCATTAAAGGATCGAATTTTTTTGGAACCAATAAGATTGCCGTATAAGGCCTACCGGCCTATAAGAAACCCATCCTCAATCATTTTCAAATGTATGCCCGATCCAATCTTGCACGATACTGGCTTGGATCTTCCATTATAATTTGATCCTTTCGTGTATGATACTTTCTTGTTCGCTCCTACGCTGTCACTTCCTAGCTTATTACTTCCTTATTTTGGTTCGGCCCAATTAAAAAATCCTTTGATAAATTTTGTTTTCAAGTTCCACCAAAATGTACATTCTTTTGGGTCGTGCCTGTAACAACAACTAAATCTATTTTGGAACTTCCAAGTTCAAAAACCGACTTTCAACCGATTGTTTTCGCAGGGATTAGGAGGCGCGACTTTTTGGAGGTGACAAATTATTCGGAAGGGATTTTTCAGCGCGGAAGATTCTGACTAAGAAGAATCTGGGTTGGATTTTTAAACCAAGCAAGTTTCTTGCTTTGCTAATTCAAAAGAAATAAAAATCCTGCATTTCCCAAAATCCAGAATCGGCAGAATCCTGATTTGGCGATTTGAGAAATTCAGGATTTTGAGAAATCCAGGATTTGGGAAATCCAGGATTTTGGGAAATGCGGGAGCAGCCGGACCTTTATGGTTAGCTGTCTATTCTTGACAACCTGACCGATCTTTTACCAAATTATTTTTTCGACCCCTTTTTAAATATATTTCAAACCATTCAAAAGGCTTTTTTGGCGAAAAAATCTGTTGTCACTTCAACTGAAAAGTAAAAAGTGAAGTTTTAACAAGCGCAAAATGTCGGAAAAATTTTTGCCCGAAAAATTGCCCAAATGCCCGATTGGGCATTCTGGGCACATTGGACCGGTCGGGCATTTGGTCGGCCCGGGTCTTGATTTTTGGTATTGGGCGGGCAATTGGTCGGCCCGACGATAATTTTTTGCCCAAATGGTCACCCCTGGGTAGTTTGTCCTTTAAATTGCCAGGGTGTAATTTGATGTCCTGCTACGAGTTAAGGATAGGAATAAGAAGCGTCAGATGAGACCCATCTTTCTCTGAGAGTATATTTTGTAAGAGGTTTATTTTGAAAGGGAAACTTGAAAAACATTGATTGAACTTGTAAATACATCTTGATGGACAGTACTTTTTGTTTTTCATGTAGAACAGACTCGAGAGGGGCAATTTGTGGTAGTGAAGTGTTGGGGAGAATGCGGAGTCCTTTACATGCGTCTGCTGCAAGAAAAGTAAAAATAGACATTTACATGTGTGAAAAAAGAACGAAAATTTCAGGAATAAACTCGGAGAGAAAAACAAGTAGGATTTAGAAAGCTTTTACTTCAGTCTTCGGCACACTTTCCGTCAGATCCATCTTCTCCGTCTTAGGCTGGAGCGCTGCGTCTGCGTGGAATTTCACATCTGCGTCGCCATCTTCGAGCAGTTCTTCTAGCGTGGGTTTGATCTAAAGTTCAGCTTTGATTCTCACAATTCTGGGAAGAAAACTACCTTTGAGTCGAAGACTTCAGGGCCGACAACTTCCTCCATCTTTGCTAGAGTCTTTGCAACATTGAAGCGGACATTGGCTACAGGATCTTTTGAGAGATTTTTGATTGCTGGAATCAGATCTTCCTCAACTGTCTCCTAAATCATTCAGTCAGTAAGAATACTGTGGATCTTTCTTACTCTCGAAAGCACTTCCAAGAGCTGGTTGACGCAGAACAGCATCGTCATTCGCTTCAAGTAATTTTGCTCTTCTGATAACTCGAGAACTAAAAGAAGGAATAATTGATCTATTTTATGTGCTAATAGTCCAGTACCTTTTGGAATCACGACCGTCTTCGCCCAGTCAGAGCCAAAAGTCGCCACTAGTTTCTTGACACTGACAGTAGCCGCTTCTCTGATAGCATAAACGTGATCCAGGAGCCAGGAAAGGGACAGTTCTCCAAGTCGATCATCAAACATCTTTCTTCCAAGTTGCTGAGCGAGGAGAGGCATGTGCTCAAGAATCGCCAGTCGCACTCGCCATTTGTTATCAGCTGCGAGTTCTGTGATGGCCGGAAGGAGCGTCTGTGACAACTGGTCGATTCCGATAACGTCATTCAGCGCGGCCAAGTTGGAGATGATATTCAATCGAACATCCGGGCACTTATTCATGCAAAAAATTAGTAGAAAACAACTTTGGATTACCTCGTCTTTGAGCTGCGTGAGGAAAAGCGGCAAAAGATTCTCAATAGTATCGTTTTCTCCCAAAATCGGCGCCAAACTCATTATAACACCCGCCAGCGAAGTTTTTACATGAGGATTGACATCGTTGACGAGCTCTTTGACGAGGGGAAGGATGTTGTTCATGACGACTTCGGCTCTAGTTGAATCTGGAAGGGCATCACAGAAGAGCTTGATCTTTGAGGAAGCTTGTGCTCGTACTTCTGACTCGTTGTCTCTCAAAAGCGCCTGAAAAGAAAGAGGACTAGCGAATGAGCTAAGATGACAGAACTTACAGTAAATCCAGGGATAAGATCTCGGACAATGAGTTCAGCTCCAAAAGTCTCCTGGAGATCAACAATCGACTGCGCGACCATGTATCGGACTCGCCAAGATTTGTCTCCGATGAGGCTCTTCATCGTCTGAGACAGTTCATTATCTGTTGTTTCGTTGTCCAAGAGTCGCGCGATTTCTACACAAGCTGGGATTGACTGGAGGCGAACAGAGTCTTGATCGTCGTTTGCGAAATGTTTGAAAAGCGGAATGATCTCTTCCTAAACAAAACACGCCTGAAAAATAACGAGAAAAGAAAATATTACCTTGATAATGGTGATCGCTGCTGCTGGGTCAGTTTCGGCCATTTTAGCGTGAGTAGCGGCGGCAAAGGGGCCAAGAACTGTGGCTGCTCCGCGGCGCGTCATCGGTGTCTCGTCTTTTGCGAGTTCTGTAAACATCTTTCGCAGTAGATTCTGGTTGTCAATGCTCGTCGCTGGCAGCGTTTTGTAAGCAACTGGGAAGAGGGAGCAACTTGAAGATCGGCCAGTAAACCATTCGGAGGCTAAGAATGAGGATAAATTCAGAAAAAGGTGTTTGACTTACTAGCAAGGCGCTGGATAAGTGGAAGGAAATGCTTTTCAAACTCTTCTACTGACTGTTTTTCGGCGATGACCTTGAGACTTTCAATGGCCTTGTCTCTGACGACTGTTTCTTCAGAAGCGGCAAGGGACTCAAGTGGGCTAATAAGGCAGTGGGCATGTTTAGGTCCGCCGACGAGGTCGACCAGCTCGCATAATTTCTCCGCAAGAGCGCTCAGAATCTCATCTTCATCATAAATCGTGTCTGTCAAAAAGGGAATGAGCTCGGATCGTGTTCGTTCTTCGCCCAGCGCCAACGCGATAATATTTAGACTTTTGATGGAGTTAAGCCGATTCTGGACATCGTCGTTTCTGAGCTCGTCGATCAAGACTGCGATCGGGTAAAGCTGGTCTTCCTCTCGCGTTGGCGGCATTTTATTTCTGCTCTGAAAAGTAAAAATCAATACATACCAGCAACGCGGGAAAAGGTGAGTCATTACAAATATATGATATGTTGCCATAGAAAGAAAGAACTTTTTTGTCAAGGTTGGGTGGCAGTTTTTTAAAGGAAATGTTATGAAAAGACATTCTTAAGTAGCGACATGTATAATTTGCCTAGAGTGAGCTTCTTCGGAATGGTTCATTCTTGACGAGGAGAAAGTCTATTCCAGCTCGTGTGGAGCAGATGGCTCTTCGTCTGCGTCGTTGTAGATGTTCTCCGCCATTTGCCAGCACTAGAATTAGCTATCAGACGACTGCAAGAGCCCTGTAAGAATACCTGGAGAATGTTATCTTCGGATACAGAGCAGACAATCCAAGGCTCGTTGGGATTCCAAGTAAAGTCGGAAATCTTCGCTGTGTGGCCGCCATGAATGAAGAGAAGCTCAGGTGGTCCATCCTAAAAGACGATCAGATTCTGAATGAGAAGACGAACATTTACGTCAGCGTCTTCGGGAGTTTGTTCATCACCGATTTTCGAAAGATCCCAAACATGAACTCGTCGGTCGGTGCCACTTGAAGCCAGGATTGTTTCGTTATGAGGAGACCATTGCACCTATTGAATTATTTGAAATATGAAGACAAGGAAGAGATTTGACCTGGAAAATTTCATCCTTGTGCGACTCAAATGCGTGGAGCTTCAGTCGTAGATTACGCATGTCCCAAAGAGCAACAGTTTTGTCCGCGCTGCCCGTGGCGAGGATGTATTCTGAATATGGGTTGAACGAGAGGCAGTTGACTTCTTGAACGTGCGCTTCAATCTTGTGTGTAGGCTAAAAACCGGATAAAAACTGAAGAGGAAATGTTCTATCACCTTGACGTAGTTCTTTTCACGAGTGTCCCAGATCATCAATTTTTTGTCATCAGCTACAGAGCCGAAGATATTCTCATGATGAAGATGCCAGGCTACATCCTCCACAACACCGGCTAGAAAATACATTTAGACTGCGGTAGCAAAGAAGTGACTTACTGTGTCCACTGTAGATTCCCATAGCGTTGAGTGATTTGGCCTCTTTAGCTGCGCCTTGAATGTCCCAGAGGCAAATTGTATGGTCATCTGATGCGGAAAGAATGTACCCTTCCTAAAAATCAATGTTATTAACTTTCAAACGGTATTTCTTAGTACCTTATTGACGTTCCAAGAAAGGCCGTATCCCTCCTTCGAGTGTCCCTTCAGCCGGAGCTCTGGATTGCATCCCCGTTGATTGTCAGGAATAGAAGGATGCTTTGTGTAGTCAAATACAAGAACGTCACTGGAAGGCGTCTTTGTCGCGATAATATGCGGATTCTGGGGCATGTAGCGTGCTCTGTTCACTTCTCCCTCGTGATTGATTCGAATCTGGACTTCGACTTTTCCGGAAACGGAACCGAAGCCGCCGAACTCGCCTTTTTCCGAATCATAGTTCGATGTGTCCACTGCGGTGTCTTCAGCTGGGAGTTGAACTGAGGCAATAAGAAGGTGGTTCTGTTCGTCGGAGGTGTGTGTTCCGAGAATAAGACGATGTGTTTGGTAATCGCCGGACTCGGTTACATCTGGAAGCCACTGGGCAGTTAGCGAGGGCCATTCAAGAGCATGTGTAACAACCAGGTCGTAGAGAAAAGGCGTATTTTTCTTCCAGACCTTGTATTCTAAAATCTCTTGATAGTCGATAATTCGACGGAAATACTCTACCTTCACTGATCAGTCGCTCTTCAGTTCCATCGTCATTCATTGTCTCTGGCATTTTGCCTCGTTTCTGAAAAAGCAATACTCAATTTCGTTGAAATGGATTTTTTATCGAAAGTTAAGGATTTGAACGGCATTTGTTTGAGTCCAGGAAAAGTTCAGGAGCAGAATAAAGGAAAGAGTGGTTAAGTTAAAGTTAACTGACGTTCTGGAGCGGACATCTTTAAAATTTGTCACAGGAAAGGTGCTGATTCGAGCAGCTACAAAGAGGGCTGGAGGTTAGTTGTTTTCGTCAAGTGCAGCGGGAGACGGACTTGTCTCGATGAGGGCGCTCACGCCGTGGAAGATACTTGATAAGTGAGGATTCTTCTTCATCTGGTGGAAGACGGCCTAAAGATAATGAGCTCTTTTACGATTCACAAAGACCTCTTACCAAGTAAAATTTCAACAGTTGAAGTCCACTCCTTGAATTTGATCCCCGTCCCTTGTTCCAAACTCTGACAGTCCTTTGCTTTCACAGAAAGGCTGTAGTGACTCAGCCAGAACTCCAGAAGTTCCTGAAAATATGACGTTAAAACTGAAGAAAATTGATGAAATTTATACCTGATAGTTTTCTAAAAGAGGCGTTCCATTGGAATTCTTTCTCTTTGACAGATCTGATAGGTAGGAACCGAGTCCGTTTGGAATTTGTCTGGCGGTGATCATGAAAACAAGGGAAGTATTCAAACAGGAAACATTTTCCTGAAAAGAGAGGGTTAAAAATACGCTCTCTATCTTGATTTCGATGTTGGCTGAAATTACCTGGTTGAGTGTTTCTGGAGTAATAAGCTCAATGAGCGAAGCAACAAGCCTAGCGCGGACTTGCTTTGAAGACATGTAGTGAAGTAATTTTGACTTGTTGAAATCGTAGCCACTGCGAAGAAATTTGTGATAAGTGAGCGTCGCACAGCGGATGAACATGTTACTGTCAACGAGACTTGTTTCTGCTAGGTTCATGAAGCGCTTGAAGCGAGCGTTTGAACCAATCGCTTTTTCGAACATCTCAAAGGCCTGTTCGTTGAATTTCATTAGCTCAGCGAGCAGGTCAAAGTGGCCTTGTGACACCTAAAGAGTGAGCATTGATTTCCTACTCTTTAGCTTACTTCTGAAGTTGTTTTGATTTCCAGTAGTAAGTGGAGCAAATGATCGAGAATTCCACGGTTCAGATAGAACGTCTAAAATGAACTAGAGCCTTCAAAAGCGTTAGAAAATTTACCTGGTCAACAAGGCATGTAGGCCCCCTTAAAAAGCTCTCGACAGCTCTGGCGATCCAAAAACGAAGGGTTGAAGTTTCTTTCGCCTCTTTCATTGCAACGAGTATGTTTGATAGGAGCCCGCGCTCACCCTCCCCGCAGTAGAGCTTTTTCTCGAGCACATGCAGAACTGAGGGGTTCGGTTCTGTGCCCAAAGCGGTGCAAGAATTAATGATTTCAAGCAACTCCGGTTTCGATAGAAGCAGGTATTTGTTATCGTGGTGGTCGCATACGGAGTGGACCAGTCGCAAGAATTGCACTAGGAAATGCGTGAAAGATGTTGATCAATTTCGAGGGTACCTTTTAAGGCAGTATCTGCGCTGCAATCATCTGTAGGCGGGATAGCCAGCGGCGGCTCGTCAGTGTTATCAGACACCCAGATGAACGTATTGAATAACTAGAAAGAAAGTTACTTCAAAAGAAGTTACTCTTCGTTGATTTCACCTGATTCAGTCCGATAATCAAGCTTTTCTTCCAAACTTGCGCCTGGACAATTTCCTTGTGATTTCCACACAGCAACAAGGTGAGGATGAAGAGAGCTTCGATTTTGTACATTTTTTCATTGTGCACTTTTAGCTTGTGAAGAGCAGAAGTGGAGGGATCTCTGGGCTCCGCCTGGGGCGCTCGGAACTCAATAACTTCTTGCAAACTCGCTCTGAGCAGATGGATGGAAGTTTGAGTGACATAAGTTGTCGCCACCCATGACTGTAAGAAAAATAGTTTGCGTCTTGTTCCCTTGAAAAAAGGGGCCAAACCTGCAAGTTCTCTAATTTGTTCCAAACGTTTTCGGCCTCGTCCAACGGCCTTTTCGACAAATTAATGAGTCGGTCAACAAACTCCGAATCAGCCAGCGAGATCAGAATTTTTTGATTCGCATCGCTGATCGCATGGTTCGTCGAGTTGAGCAGCCATTCGTCGTGGGCTTTTGAATTAAATTTAAAAAAGGACCTGATTCAAATAGGCTGTACCTTTGAGCGTGTCATTTTCAGGCTTGGCATTATCATTGTCGGACATAACAACGGCAATAACGCGGCATAGAAAAGGAAATTGAGCGGCTGTACATGACTAAAGGAACCATTTTCAAAACAGATTGGTTTTTATGAATAGCTGACCTGAACGACATCTTTCAGAATTTGAATTTTCTTGAGCTCAAGCATTGATTTTGTTTTTTGGGCGAGAACATCTTCTAACACTGTTGTACACTCGATAAAAACGTCATGATGACTTGCAACGGGAATTAAAACGAACAAGAAATGAATAAACTGCTCATCGTTGACGACGATATTTGAAGAAACTTCCACCCAGTTAAATACATAATGAAGCACTAGAATCTCACTTAAAATCGAAGCGTATTAAAAGTTGCTTACGTTCAAAAGCTTTTTTGACAAATTTGAAGTATGGGTCCCACATCGGCGCTGGTCCCTTTCTCAACTTGCTCATCAATTGCATGTATTGAGTTTTGCAATCGTCATTCTCCAGGTGTTGCATACATTTGTTGATCGTCTAAAAAACCTTACTGATTCTGTATTAACGACTTAGCCTACCAGCAGCTCCTGTAAGGTGAACGTTCTATTGGGCCTCCTGATCAGCTGGACCAGCGACCTGACGAGATCGTACCAGTAAAAGAAGTCGGCGCAAGAAACTGGCTTGGGATCCTCTGGCGCGCCTTTTTGCAACTGATGGACTTGCTCTTGCAAATCCGCCAAATCCCTCAAAAGACCTCTCTGTCCATCTCGATCGGTAAAGTGAATTTCCGACATATCCAAGTTCGATTTAGCCACGGCATCCAGCCGCCTCAAAATTTCAAGGATAGTTTTCAGCGTTTCATGCCGCTGCTTCGACGTCTCGCTTGAGTCGATGTGGAGACGGTCGTTGAAATGAGTCCATCGCTTTGATCGTCCAACTTGTGCCTGGCAGCGGAAGAGCTCGATTACACTTGAAAATATTTAATTGAAATCAAGGAAGAGTGCTTTTTCTTACTTTGGAGGTTCTTGATAGTCCGCAGGTTTTTCTTTCTCCGGCGTTCGTTTTACTTCTGGTTGTCTCCGCTCAGGCCTTCGTGGCCGAGAGAAGCCCAACTCATCTCTCGTCCTAGGCATTTAAAAGGAAAAGATGGCCGCCGCCAGATTTGAAGATCTGAAGGTTTTTCGTAAAAAGATTTGTTTCTTTGAACATTTCGGAAGGAGAATAAAGCAGAACAGAAAAATGGAATAAATTCCGAGAACATCGCAGTGAACATCGAGAAAGCGAAGAAGCAGTGAGAAGAAAAGCGAGAAAGTTAAGTTGAATAATACTATCTAAAGATCTGGGTCGCCAACTGAAAATTGAATATTCATACAGAACTTGAATAAACTTAAAATTGAAAAACTGGTAAGCTTTGAATCGGTCTCTTATTCGTTCGGGTTTCGCCCAGAACGATGCGTGTACATGAACTTTAATCGATCGCGAAGTTTTTCGGGGAAGTGGCGAATGAATTCGCGCACTTTTTCCTTCAATGTATTTGAATGGCCGAATTCACCAATGTATTTGTATTTTATGTGGTAGAGCAGATCCGCAATGGCGTCCACATGAGTTAGCTCGACCTTTGAATTTCATTTATAAAATACTGAAGACGTCTTTTTGCTCACCTGTTGCCCGATTTGATGGATCAGCTGGTAAAGTTCAACAACGACTTCTGACAAAATGCGCGTTCTCTCTTTTTCCAGGCGCGATAAGAACGGGCTGATCAAGTGTAGAATGAAAAGAAGCTGCGTCTCAGTTCTTAGAATTGGCCGAACCTCGTTCTTGAAATTCCAACAGTAAAATCAAAGCAGCTGATAAAAAAACTACCTCTAAGAATTTGTGCAACGGCGTCAACTGTATAATCGCCATGTGGGACCAGCAGGCGTGCACACACGTGATCATTCTCGCTTTTTTGCGAGTTTGACGATTCTTTGTTCTCTCAAAGGAAAAAAACCTGTTCTAGCTCGTCGTAAAACTCGCTGCCCCGCTGCCTAAATAATTGTCCGACTCGCGCTGCTCCTCCGGGGAGAAGGAGAAAAATTGAGAGGGGTAAACGCCGTCAGGAAGTTGGTGCGGAATTTGAAGAATTTCGGGCGAGTTGAGAGCTGTTATTATTGCTTGATTCACGACTTTGGAGTATTCGTAGGGCAAATGCGCGATGATCATTCCAAACGCATTGAACCACTTTAATTATTTATTGAAGTCGATTCTTTTCTATAGATAAACTTACCTTTGGAATATCTTCAACGGGAATAGGTGAGTCTGGCTTGACAATAAGATCAATCAAGCTCTGCGTGACCTTTTGAATCGAGCAGGGCAGCGTCATCACTTCTATACAACTGGCGAATACCGTCAAATTCACAGAGTTAGTAAACTCCATGTATCGCCAGTCAAGATTCAGCGAGTCGAACTCCCTGTCAGGGCCGATTGCATCAACTCGCATGACCAGACGACCAAGAAGATGCATCCAATAATCTTCGTCGGGAACCCAGTTAGCTTCTGGACGGAAGTTTTCCTCCGGAATGGCCAAGTATTTCTCACTCAGAGCCCAGTACGCCGGGCGGACTGAGTCGAATTCTCGTATGATTTTCACTGCGAGGAGGCGCTTTTTCGCTGCTGGCAGTTGCGTGAAGCAGTACAGTGTCTGGTAGACAAAGGTGAGTGGCTGGTGATGGAATCTGTAAAGAGACACGAATCGGTCGAGAATAGTCTCTAAGCATTCAGGATTGGTTTCGATCTCTGCTAGCTCCATTTCAAGATATCGATGGATGAAGAGGTCGATGACGGGGAGCATTCGGAAGCAAACATTTCCGAAATAGACTGGCAGAGGTTTTACGATTGGTTCTTGAGGCTGTTGAACTTTTGACGCGAGGATTTCGAAGTTGAACGATTCGGGAAACTGGTGGTGGTAGTTCAAGTGATATCTAGGCAAATAAATGCTGAAGAGAAAGCTACAAAATGGACAAACCTAAATTGATCTTCGTGATTGAAATGGTCGGTTGGAAAGGTGTTTTGCAAAAACTGCACTCGCTGGAGAAAAGGATTCTCTCCCCCGTCTGCCTTGTCATTGAGCATTAGCAGTTGCGCAACAATGAGAGTGTCTGGCGAGTCGCACGGTCGAAGAACCAGCACATGGATGAACTGATCGAACGGAATCACGTGCTGGTCCCAAATAAGATGCAGAAGATACTGAATGTATTTGTGCACTTCGTCCTGGTTTCTGCTGATTTCTTCAACGATGAAATCGGTAAATGTTCTCAGTTGATTCCTAAATGTCTTGGGCTCCATCGCCTGTAGAATTCTGTAGAAAATTGCAGGAAGTTTCGTGGTCGATGCTTGAGTCCACATTGGCTCCAGCAGCTTCCAAATAATGCAAAGAAAGACGGGCGTTGCGTTGGGATCGACGAATCGTTGGATCATTTCTGATTCGTTTTGATTATTCGCCATCATATTTTGAAAGTGCATTCTTTCGTTTTGCACGACTTGAGCTAGGTTTGGGATCGCGTTGCTTTGCTGGTGCTGCTCTAGGTACATTCTCATTGTATCCGGCAGTCTCCTAAGAGTCTGATACGGGAGCGTCAGGGGTGTTCGTCGAAGAATGTCTTCCAGGAATTTGTCGTACGAAAGCTGCGTCGATTGCCCAGCTTGATCAGCCATTGCCACTTTCGACCCATTCGCGACGGCCATTATCAAGCACTTGTTGAGTTCTTCACAGTCGGAGACAATTTGCTCAGGCTGATTACACAATTGAATGGCCCACAGTTCTCTCCCATGCGGGTTCGTGGTGAAAATGCGCTGGATCAAGTGAAAGCACAAGTCGCGAATGGAGCTGACCATTTGGAAGTTGTTCATTGTGTTGAGACAGTTGAGCAAAATCGAGTGGGCTTGATGGACGCTACCGATGTCTACGTGATGTAATCTGTAGCGTAAAATTTCGACGGTAATGTGCAGCTGCGGCAGGTGCCCGCTTTGAATGCACTCGTTCAAGGACGGTAGTGGGTTCATAGTTGGTTTGGACTTGATTCTTTCAGCAGTTAGTGGCCGGAAAATCAGCCCTTCTGTCTCCGTGTAAACTAGAAAGCGCGTGTAGGTGTTCACAAGGGCCGGAGAAGGGTGGATTTCCTGCGAGCGCGACTCTTGAAACAGCTGAGAGAGGATTTTGCGCGAGAACTCAAGTTTTCCATGCATGGTGATTCGATCGAGCATGTCGACTGACATCGGCTTTATCGCTCCGTGCGCTTGAACAGGCGCAGCTGGGGTCGATCCGGGCATTTCTACGACTCCCTCACCCGTAAGACATGCCATGACGCGGTCAAAGGGGGAGGAGAGGACGGAGAAGACATTGATCAGAAGCAAAAGACGGTAATCGCTGGAGAAGTTCAACCCGGCCACATGTGATTCGATTTCTTTCAGTTTCTCTTTCTGAGCCATTAAGCAGCGGGGGATTTGGACGGCTCCTAACTCGCCTTTGTCCACTGCTGCGCGCTGGAAATGAAGGAAGATGCACAAGGCCGAGTATCGCTGAATGAAGTCAGGAGAGTTTGGCTCTGGACTGTCGAGGGACGAGAAGAGCACATCGCTGTATAACTCGTTGAATAACTCGATGAATTGGTTGTTTGCCTCGCTAAAAATTCTCTTCTGGTTTGGTTTATTTCGCCTTTTTACCTTATCATAGCTGCCATAACAGCGGACATGTACTGTAGCAAAAGCCACATGATTGAGTCCCTGTTTCGAACAATCTGTTCCTGCGTCACTTTTCCTGGTTTTCCCTTCTTCTTAATTTCGGCAGTCAATGCCCTTAGAATCTCTCCAAGATTGATGTGCTTGTGCACGAGCATTTGAATGATCGGAACTTGGAGGTGCTGCCAAATGACTCTTCTTCCCTCCTCGTTTTCGGAATTGGAAGTGATGATGTCCATCAAGTATTTGACGATAAAAGAGGCGAGATTATTCTTCACCGGCGTCGTTGTCGGACCAGTGCTCATCGACATGATTGTCAAGAGCATTTCGTACGAGTAACGATGCGAGAGAACGTAGTAAAGGAGGCGATATTGCTGCTCATACTGCGAAGGATGGAAGGGGATCTTGACGTTGTCGGTCGATTCCCAAGTGAATTTCTCCGGGTGGACGTACCAGAAGTTCCAGAACTTTCCCGAATTCTTGCATGTAAACTGTCATTTGGTATTCTCTGTATCTTTCTTGATCTTTCAACTAATTTCGCTAAATTTTAAAGGAGGGACCGTTTCCTTGAGCTTGGAATGATTGTATCGCACCATTGGAAGAAGACTGTTTTTAGCTTGGATGGTGATCATCGCCGCTAGCGGACGAAACGACGCTTCTAGCTTGGAGATATTTTGACTCAAGGTCCAACAAGGAGGAGGAGCATCTTTTTGTGTATGAAGGCGACGTATATCATTGAGGGACATGTACGCAGGCAGGAGATTAGCGTCTCGGTCTAGGAGGCGATTCATCACTCGGGCGTGTGCCTGAAACAAGAATTGACGTCAGTGTAAAAGTGAACAGGAAGTGATTTTCAAGCGCGTAGAAACTTATTTCTCTGAGCTTTCAAGCAGCTAAGTTAGCTCTTATTTCTATAATTACCTGTATTGCTTTTCTGTTGACTGTATGGTTGGCTGGAATTCGCGGAAGCTTGTTAACGATGATAATTAATATCCTCTGTATAGCCTTGTAATTGACGACTTCGACAATTTCTCCGATCAAATTAAAAACTGCAGTCCAGTGATAAGGTCTTTTTATCGAAAGTTCGTCGCTTTCAAAAAGCTGCTCCGAGAGTTCCTTCAATCCCAAATCCGAGTACTGGTTCTGGCTCGATCGGAAAGAGCCGTTTTTCACCATCATCGTCAAAATGTAGAAAATGAGTGTGACATAGCGAGGGGAGGAAAGACTGTAGATGTAGTCGCACAGCCACTTGATGACTTCAGCGCGTTCTGGAGAGAGCTTGTTTGGATCGGCAGGGTCGAACTCGGGAAGGCTTTCGTAGAGCTCGTGGAACTTGCGCACACACATTTGAGCCTGCGTTTCTCTGAAATTTTAAGATTCTAGCGCCCTTCATTTTCGTTTTTTTCTAACCTGGATTGGGTGGCAGCGGCGACATAGGGTCCGAAAACTTGAATAACAGTTTCGGACCTCAGCACCGATCCAAAGATATTTTTCAGACGCAACGAAATGTTGTTCTCTCCATTGACATCTGGCGACATTTCCGTTTCCATCATGTTATTCTGAACATCCTCCGCCGCTTGCTGCTCGACAGCTGATTGTCCTGTGTGTTGCTGACTGTTGTCGAACATTCTTTCTTTTCAGCTTCAATCCTCTCTCAAAAGTCTCATCTAAATGTAAAAAAAACCGTTATTTTTTCAGATCATCTGAGATTTTCAGAAATGAGAAAATCGATTTTCTGAACTGAGAAGAAGGTAAATTCGGATCGAAAATAGAAGTTGATAAAAGAATTTCAAAGGGTAAGTCAGTAGCCAATAATTTCATGGAAAAATCGGGCGCGGACTTTGAATTTCTCCCGTGAGCGCGAAAACTATCAGAAGATAAGAGTACTTTAAGGCTTCTATCAAGCAGATAATAGGTAATTCTTAAAAAATTTTTTGGCTTCAAAAACATATTTTTATCGAAAAATTATTAAAATAGAAATTTTTCAAAGCAAAATTTTCCAAAGAAAAATTTTCAATAGATCACTTCTCTTTTGAATAAAACTAACAGCTTGTTAGTAGGAGTACTGTATCCTCGCCAAAAACGCTGGCTGGTGAGTCCATCCCCGTAAAATGCACTTTAGGGTAGCGCGCTACTATTGGGCCGTCGTACGCGCCAATCCAAATTATCGGAAAAAGTGAAAAAGCTTTATTTACCACTTTGCGCCACTCTCTTTCATTTTTCATCCCTTCCAAAAATAGAGAATCAGAAGAAATGCATCCGAAGAATCCCTACAAAGACGGAGTGCCTCAAGAATTTTTGGGTTCTTGGTTTTCAAAAAGAGAAAATAATTAGTTTTTCTTGTGTCAATGACAGTATTGAAGACCAAAGCAAGTAGGTGGATCTTTACAAAAACGAACAAGAAGCAAGAGAGTTTTTGCATTTGAATGAAAGTGGGAAGATTCTAGTGCTGGAAAGTCGCCAAGCAGATTGGTTCATTACGAAAAGGCTTCTCAAAAGGTAGAAATTGAGCTGTTTTCTTGACTGTAAGAATGTGTTCTCTTGTGAAACTTGCGCTCGGCAACCTGTGTAGAAAACCTGAGTCAGGGCTCGAGGGAATTTTCGAACCTTGACTCAGGTTTTCTACACAGGTCGTCAAGCCCAGCTTTCAAACTTTGGAGCTAAGGGTCTAAAACTCTCCCTATATAAAGTACTTGGCCATGTATTATAGACATTTGCTGTCTAATTAAATTCTTTGATAGGCATTCATCGAAAGAGTTCAACAGTCACCCTGTCAATTTTCATCCGATTTTTTGATTTTTATCTTCGAAAGAAGCTTTTTTTCTGCTTTTAGCTTATTACTTTTTAAGGGATTTCAATATCGACATATTGGAGGATGCGCGTCACGGATCTATTGTCCCCGTTCTGCCACTTAGGATCGGTCAAAGTCGATTTTCTAATTTTAAGTTCGTTTCTAAATTAGAATTTCTAAGTTGCTGTAATTGATTAAATAGTAACAAGAGAAGATCTTTGGACGATTGATCGATTTTGATCCCTTTCGGCGAGGCTGAATTTTTTATTCAACGCTTTGGACTTTGTAACTAAAGTGTTGGCTCTTGATCCTCCTGGCCCGCAGTCCATTGTCGCGCTGGATGTTGGCTGCGGCCCTTATGGAATTATAGGACAACTAGCCGCCAAGTTATTCAATTGGCAAGTGCGATACACAGGCACGGGCGGCTTTTCATTTCAAAAGAAAGGTTCAAAGAGAGAGAGGGACACCTTCTTATGCCCCTTCCGCTTTTTTTATACTTGAGAAGTTCGAAATCAAGCCCGAAAAACAGAACCAGTAGAAGAATCAAGGCGACTTGCGGCGAAAAATATCACCGCAAATAGCGAAAATGATGTTTTGGTGGCGAAAGAGATTGAAGATGTCGAAGAGGTGAAAACAAGGAAGAGGTCAGGCGAAAATGAGAGTCGGAAAAATGTTGTTCTTTGTAATCCACCCTGGTTTATTGGAAGGAAAGGGGTCAAGAATCAAGATAAAAATGGCAAAGGAGAAGATTTATTTCTTTTTTCAAGCAATTTGAATTTTAATTGATCCCGGAAAACAGCGACGATAAAAATCACGAGAAGGAAATTACCGGTGGCGAGGTCCAATTCGTCGAGCATCTAATAAAACAGCATCAAGGAAAAGGGGTCACACTTGTTCTCGCCATTGCAAATAAAAGATAAGGATCGATCTTCAAATCTTCAGATCAAGTGAAATTTCGAATTTTGACGCCACCACGCGGCGTCACAGTCATAAAAAATAAGCTTTGGAAAGTGAGCCCAAGTTAGCGTCAGTCGACGCCTTTTGCTTCCTCATCGGTCGTAAGAAGTCCAGCCTGCTAATCATCAAAAAGGTTCATAAAATGGGCGCGCACGCTGAACTCACCAAAATGCGGCAAGGAACCAAGACGAGATATTTCATTGGCGTCTCCTTCAAAGAATTCGAAAAGAAAGAGACATTCAAACCGAAGAAAGAAAAGTGCTTCTCAGCGTCTATTCAGAACAAGGAAAAAGGAGAGATAAATTTCAGTTCCTCGGGCCTCTTGGGTCGATAACCTGTGTTAAACAGTGTGTTTACACCCTTAGTCAGGGTCTGAGGGATCTTTATTCGCGGGTTGTGAATCACCACTTCCTTTCGCTGTAAAAAGTGTAGTTTCAGAGCTCGTTCGGTCTTAATGAAGATAAACGAGCCTTTGATCCCGTAAGGAAAGAGAGTAAAACCTCCTTCAGAAGCGCAGCTTCAGCGAAATTAAATCCGAGCTATTAGAGATAATGAAGAGACGGGAGTTGAATCCGATTATCGCTGCGAATACTGGAGAGCTCTTACGATGCTCTGTGTGCGTTGTGAATCGACAGGAAGGGTCAAACAACTTAATTTTTTTCAACAGAACAAATTTGCTTTATTTTCCCTTGTTTGACCCTGTGGGAAGTGGGCCAATCGCAAAGAGAAACGTAAAGGTTTATCACCCCCTTTTCCTTTATCTACAAAAGCGGAGGGGACGCTGCTGCTCAAAAAGAAAGCAAATGACGATTGTAAATTAAGTGTGATTTTTGGGAAGAAAACTGATTATAATGAAGGCTCCGTTGCGATCTTTTATTGTAAAATTAGTCATCACCAATTTTAGCGAATTCTTGATTTTACGATAGAAAATAGATATCGGTTTCTATGGGTATTTTCAGCCAATCAAAAGCCGCCAAATCCAACAAAAATCTGCTCACGCCAGTTTTTAACCAGTGGATAGAGCAGCCACTTTAGAATGTGTTTAGATTAAATTATTATTAATTCAAGAATTCTAATATGCTTTGACATTGAATTTTGAAAGGACTGGTGATCTAAGATCGACGTAGTGATGTTTTTTCTGTCCTCGCTGGATAAATAATAGACAAGAGATGCGGAGCCCGATCAAGTATTGATGGTATTCAACTGCTTGGTGGACGAGTTTAAGAATTTACCGGTCACTTCCTCTTGAATATTGACCACTGGCCAGTCACTAAACACGGGCGACGGCGATTAAGACTGACCTTTTCCCTTCTAGACTGGAAGAGAGAGAATCATCGTATCTCGGAGAAATGGGACAAGAAGAAAGAAAGAGAGAAAATGGCAATTCCGATTTGGCGAATTCGTCCCTCTCCATCGCGAATTAGATTCTTCGGATTTCTGGTTCTCTTTCTTGTTTTCACTTCGTTTTGTTATTTATTTCCGGCTGGAAGTTTCGAAGCCCGAGCTAGCTGGTCAGGACCACAGGTAAATAATACCTCAAAATCTTCATGAAAATAATGATTTAAATCGCCAGAGCGACACTTCAAAATACTTCCAACTCGACAACAGAAAAGCCTTTGTACCAAAGAATGATCCAATCTTATCCAACGAAGAGTTGCGCCTTATCCGAGATCGTCTTTTTTCCGACGATCAAGTTCGAAAATTTAATCATGATGCTTATCCCGCGGTGACCACTGCTTTGCTCATTCAAGTTCACAACAGACCTCAATTCTTCAAAGGTAAAAAATCAAGAAAACTATGAAATTTCATAGCTTCTTTTCAACCAATGAAAATGGCTAAAAGAGGCCTTCAGCCAATCAGAACGTGAATTTTTATTGTAAATTGTGGATTTCTGATTGGCTGGGCGCCTTCTAAAGCTATTTTGATTGGTCGATTATGAGCAGAATTTACAGTAAAGCTTGTCCCTTGTACTGATGTAAGTAGCTACTGAGATGTCCCCTATTTACATATTTAAAGCCTTTTCCGACTAATGACCTGTCTCTAATATCTTATTAAGTTCTTCTCGACAGTTTGCGCGTCGCCGAAAATATTCATCGCGTCGAGTTAATTATTTCTCATGATATATACAACGACGAGATGCAAAATCTGACATCTTCCATTGATTTCTGCCGTGTCACGCAGATTTACTTTCCTCTATCCGCCTCGTTTTACAGGGATCAATTCCCTGCAGATGATCCCAACAACTGCCAGAAAGAGAGTGAAAATGCGAAGAAGGTGGAGAATTGCAGGGGAGAAGCGGATACTTATGGCAATTTTAGAGAAGCTAGAATTGGTAAGTCTGAGAACAACTTTATTGCGCTTTTGATTGGCTAAGAGGGGAAATCCACCTTTCTTATTGGCTGGATCGAAAAATGAAGGTTTCTTATTGGCTGGCTGTAGAAATCGAGGCCTCTGAACCGAGGGATGCAGCCATTTATTGGTCCAAATCACCGATATTTTTCTACCGTAACAAATATCCCTTTTCAGTGAATATCAAACATCACTGGTGGTGGAAGCTCAATTTCTCTGCCATCCACTTCTCCCATATCGAAACCTTCGTGCTGCTAGAAGAAGATCACGCTTTGATGCCAGATTTCGTCGAAATCATCGACCAAATTCAATCCTTCGCGGCGGAGAAAAACCCCACCATTCGCCCACATGTTCCCTTTATCACCACTCTGGGGACATACAAGGCGAAAATGACGTACAACCAGAGGGACTGGCAGACGGTAATTTCCTCCAGCTTCAACTCGGGCAAACACAACATGGCGATGATTTTGACAAAGAGCTTCGTCGAAAAGTTACGATCGCCGCCCATGGTCAAGTTGTTTTGTGAATACGACGATTACAACTGGGATTTTTCATTGTTCAATGCAGTTCAAGAGAATATCAAGACGCTACGTGTTTATATGCCTCAAATACCTCATGTCTTCCACTTAGGTAAAATTCATTGCGCCAAGACCATGGAAATTTCTTATCACTAGAGAAATATCTATACCTAAAATTTAAGTTCTGTTTCGACCAATTACAGCGCTTCAAAACGCCTTAGTCCAATAAGAAATCCTATTCTATGGAATCAGGGCTTCTTATTGGAGAGAGGCCTTTTTTGAGCAATCTGATTCGTCGAAATAAAACAATGTTATTTTCAGTTTTATGTTGTTTCTCATAATTTCTCTGCTCTCAAATTCATTTTAGCGATCTAAAAATAGGTATACATTTAGCTTGTTTGGTAGAGAAAGATTACGGAAACCAGGGCGAATCGCTGTGGATACCCTTAATCGTGTCTTGGAGCTCCAAGATGAACAAATTTTTGAAAGTAGTCATGATTCTCTAAACACTTATTTCTTTTAAAAAAATAATTGATTCGTCGTTGCTAACCAGCGTTCATAAATAATTAAAGGGGACAAATGCGGCCTTCATCACGATAAAGGTGACTGCAGCGCGGCGAACGTCGACTCCTATCGCAAAATGCTCAAAGGCAAGGTCAAATGTCAACCTTATTGCTAAAACTACTCAGACGAGATTTTTTATGACCTGTCACTAAAGACCATCGATATTTTTTCTTCCCGCCAAATTTTACCAGCTGGAGGCGCGCCACAGAGAAAGTAAAGCAGAAACTCAAGGCACGGGTTTTCTATAGAGAGATATTTACATGAAAATTCTCTAAGAAGAAAAGCTAGAAATCCCTAAAAAGCCAAACGGCGGCTGGGGAGACCGGCGCGACCGGGATCTTTGCTACTTTCTCGTCAACAACGTCGATCCAAGTTCATTACGCCTTGACCAATTACCCTTTCTCCAATCTTAATTTATTGACAGCTACTATTTTCTGTTCCTTCACAACAAAAAAGACAAGGAGGAATTCGTTAAGAATGGTTCTTGCTAGAGCGATTCTGGGAGTGTCGCTCGCTTATGCAACAAATCAGCTGACAGACGATGAAGATTTCGGAAATCGAGGGGAGGCTTCGGGCGACTACGACCTTGACCGCGAATACGACGAGATCCCCGAAGCTTCCGGTGACTTTCAGCCGATCACTAATCAAGTAATTTGCCTTTCCTTTTTTCGTTTTAACGAGCTCGCGGATTATCCCTCTTTTGAATCTACTCGATCAGTTTAAAATGACTTGAAAGGTACTCAACAACCCAAATGCCAAGTCGGCTGAAATGGATGAGCCGAAGAATATCTTGAACGCCCTCGAAGACGACCTAGCAGCCGCCGAGCAAGAGCCAAAACTGTTTTTAGGAAAGTTTCAAAATTTCAAATTCAAGAATCTCTTTTCAAAAATGAAGAGCCAAATTTGAAACGACTGAAAGCCCTTACTCTTGGTGTCGCTTGTTTATGTTGCCTGACCCTTCTTATACTTCTAGGCTGCCATAGGTTTAAGAAAAAGGATGAAGGCTCTTACGCCGTTTATCAGCAAGGAAAGAAGCATATAGCCTGATATCTCCTTGGCCCTTTTTTGTGTTCTTTTTAATATTGTCCCGAAACATCTTTTTGTACAGTCTGCCATTTTCCTTCCCTCATTTCTCCTTGAATACTCCTTCTTGTCATCCTTTTTAAACTTTCATATTTACTATTGTACTTATACTTCTTTATTGATCATTCAAAGTAACACTTCTTTTCAAAGTAAAGATTTCATCATTGCGTTAAACCATTTTTACTCTTCAAAAGCTTTCAAAAGTATCTCAGAACATCATCTTTTTGTTGATCATTTATTTCTTTGCCCTTATCCTTTGCCTAAATAAATTTTGCACAAATAGAAGATGAGTTTTGTTCTCTTTCCCAAGGTTCACAAAATGCGGTTTTTACGGCCTCTGATTGGCTAGAGTGACCAATAGGGCTTTCTTATTGGTTCAAAAGCCCCTTGATTTGAAATGGGTATCGGATATTTTGCACACAATTATTCTAGCAGGAAACTCTTCCAGGTCAATATTTGCATGACTTTTCTCTGCTGAAAAATTTGCTCTACTCCCATCGAGTATTTGACTTTTCAGAGTAAAATAATGCATTGTCGCATTTTACGAAGTTCGACTCTTTTAAAAAGCAGCCTTCCAAGAACAATTCCTTCTTTTAGAAAACATGGAATATCAGCAGATCAGCAGCATGAAGTCGCTTTTGAAATGGCAGCATCAAACATTCGTTTTGGTGAAGGTGTAACGAAGGAGGTCGGATTCGATTTGAAAAATATGGGGGCGAATAAGGTTTTGGTCTTTACGGATGCGAATTTGGCGAAGCTGGAGCCGATGCGAGTTGCGCTTGATAGTTTGACGAAGGCACAGGTTCCGTTTGAGGTTTATGATAGGAAAGGATATTCAAGTTTCCGCGTAGAGCGCGCCGGAGCTTTTCATGAGCAAATTTTCTTAATCCAACGAAAAGAGTTTTGATTGAGCCTACAAATGAATCGATGGAAGACGCCATTGCCTTCACAAGAAAGTAAATATCTCCGAAAATCATCTTTCTTCACCCCCTTTTCTAGCAACAACTTCGACGCATTCCTCGCAGTTGGCGGTGGAAGCGTCATGGACACGGCCAAAGTCGCCAATTTGTACAAAGTCTATCCCGAAGCTGACTTACTCGACTTTGTCAACGCTCCGATTGGAAAAGCGCTCCCCGTTCTGAGAGCTCTTCATCCACTTATTTGCGTCACGACAACTGCTGGAACTGGATCTGAAACGACGGGAGTGGCGATCTTCGATCATGTTCCTCTTCAAGCAAAAACGGGCATTGGAAATCGAGCGATTAAACCGACTCTGGGGCTGATTGATCCACTGCATTTGAAGCACACGCCAAAGGTTTGCTACGTTATTTATTTATTATTTATTTGAAAACGGTGATGATTGTGAACATTCAGTTTTATTTTAGAAAATTTTAAACACATTCGTTATCATTTTAGATGGTGAGGGGTTTCAACAATTGTAGGGGGTTTTGATTCATTTTCTTAGCTATCCGTAGAGATGCAAAGGCTCTGTTATATACTGTAACCATCAGCTGTTTAGCAGCTGCCGCGACGCAGCTGATTAAATCGACCTGATTTTATTTATCTTTGAAGCGCTTTCTTGCTTTCTGGGTTGTATCTCATCTAAATAATTTTTAAAGATGGTGACTTCCTTCACTGGCTTCGACGTCCTCTGCCATGCTTTGGAAAGCTACACCGCGATTCCCTTCAAATCTCGCCCTGCTCCTTCTGATCCCAAGTTCCGCCCCGCCTACCAAGGTTCCAACCCCGTGTCCGATATTTGGTCTCTCCATGCTCTCCGAATGTGCGAAAAATACTTCTACAGGGCTGTCGCTGATCCGGAAGACATCGAAGCTCGTGGAGCTATGCACCTTGCTTCTGGCATCGCTGGAATCGGTTTCGGCAATGCGGGGGTTCATCTTTGCCACGGCTGCTCGTATCCGATCTCTGGCATGATCAAGGGCAGGGGATACACGCCGGAAGGATACGAAAGCTGCGGAAAAGACCTTGTTCCCCACGGATTGTCAGTGACGATTACTGCGCCAGAAGTGTTTAAATTCACAGCTCCAGGATGTCCAGATCGGCATCTAGAGGGAGCCAGAGCCTTGGGAGCAGATACAAGAGGAATCAAACAAGCTGATGCGGGGTTTTTTCTCGCTGATACAGTGAAGAAATACATGTACGACTTGGGCTGCCCGGATGGGTTAGGAGCCATGGGATTCGATTCTTCTGATGTTGATCAATTAGTCACTGTAAGAAATAGAAAAAGTCTATCCAGTTTTCAACGATTCTAGGGCACGCGTCCGCAAGAAAGAGTAACAAAGCTCGCTCCAAGACAGTTCACGCCTGAGGATCTCGGCAACATCTTTTCCAATTCAATGAAGAATTACTAAACCAACAACTTTCTTTCTTATTTACAGAGTGACAGTTCCAGATTCAAATAAAACCATGATTCACGAAACATGCTCATTTTTATTTATTTTTGTTTATCGACCCCTTTTTGAGAAATTGTTAAACTCAAACTATCAAACTTGCGTTGTCTTAGTTGAGAAATCGCTGTGTGCCCAATTTGAATCGAAATCGTCCGTGTGTGAAATTTGAGCGAGTTTCATTGGTAGGTGGCCAAAGGCAGTGTGTGTGTGCCTCAACTTGTCAACCGCAACGGGGAAAAATTGAATCTGGAGCTGACAAAAGAGGACTAAGAAAATCTCAAAAAAGATGGAGGCAAACCAGATCTCGCGGGAGAAAAAGAAGCCAGAACCTATCAGCATTCCTGACGGACCTAGAGTTGTAGTCAGCTCGTCTTTGGCGACACCGGATGTTAAGAATACTCTCCCGACGCCGGACGCGATGAGACTGTATAATCAGAACTTGGAGGGAGCGGAGCATCCACTGGTTCCAAGAATTATCTCTAGGTAAATGCAAGCAATCAAAAAATCAAATTCTCCTCATAAGAATCGATGAAAAAGTCTTTTTGAAGAATTCGTTTTTTATTGAGAATAATCGCCTTTCATCCCTTTTTCTTTCTTTATTCGCCAACCAAGCCTGGGAAAGAAATATTTTGATAGCCCTGAGCGGCGGAAATCTTCCCTTGAGCTCTCCTCGCACGCGGTGATTCACAAATAAGAGCCACTTTTGACAACAAGGGACTCTTGCTAATCAAAGAACAATTGCTACTAAAGTGACTAAGACGCGCAAAAGCGAGGATGAATGTTGAAAATTTTCAAGCCGAAGTGAAAGTTGAAAACTTAGATGAAACCATCATTGAAGAGATCGAAAACAATTCAGCAAATAATTTTAGCCTTGCTTCAAACAGCTCGAACAGCAGCGAAGTGAAAAGAGAGCCAGAAACTGACCATCCAGAGATTCCGGTGCAGCAAATTCAGGCGATTTCTTCCGAAGGACCGATGATTAGCGCGATTGATTTCACCGCGTCGACGAAGAATTCTATCAATCCTATGGTGCCGATGGGTGCAGGTTCTCAACCTTTTCCTGTCTCTAGAACTTTTTTCCTCCGAACTTTTGTTGTCCGGGAATGACCGGTTTTAACGCACAAAATGGATGATTCCGAAGATAACATGGAAGATCTTTTCAAAGATCTTTTTAAAGAAATCGAAGACTTTCGAAATTCACAATTGCAACTTCGATTTCAGTATAAACGTAATTTTCCGAGACACGTTATAATGGATAGGGCTCTCAATTTCAATCTACGAAAGGCGTTATTTCCGCAAAATTTCTCAATTAGTCGATACGCCTTTTTATTGCCCCTATTTTGTCATTTTTCTATCGTTGACGAACCTAAAAAAGTGATGTCTGAGCATTCCACGAGTCACCCCGGCGTCCATCAATTGCCAACGCAACCTATCGATATGGACACTCAACTTGAGGTTCGACAAGAGTCTTCTTTAATATAGTATGACCCCCTCATGTTAATTTTCAGGCGAAGCTGGAGAGAAAGCGAGAAAGAAACCGAGCTGCGGCGACGAAATGTAGACAGAGAAAAATTCAAAAGATTCAAACCCTCGAATCGCATGTTCAAGAACTTACAAGTAACTTATAGTCACTTTTATTCCTCTCTTACTCTTTTGATTAGGAAAGAACGAGGAGCTGAAGAGCCAGAGATACGAGCTGAAAGAGCAGTTAAAGCAGCTGGAGATGAAGATCAACGAAAATCCCCAACTAAGGTCTGTTAAATTTCTTTGAAAAATGAATACGAACGTATTTATATTTGAAGAGAGCAATTTGTTATGACTCACGATATGCACATTCATCGGCCGATCAGCGGTTAGCGGCTAACCGTTAGCCTTACCTCATTTTCTTGAAAATTGAAAATTCAATACTGTCTTCCTAATGTACCAATAAATGATATGACCTGATCAAGATAAACCATTCTTTCAGATAAACCAACTGTCAGTAGTTGTTTATCTATTGTAGTTTTCTGCAGGATTCTATTGCTTATGCATTTGATTGTAGAATGCTTCGAAGTTCGAAAGAGCTCAGGAGGGCTCTTGCTCGAGCAAATTCAGAAGCGACCAAGGGCCTCCGATTCGGCGGATTCAATGATCCCTGGTGGTCAGGCTCAAAGTGGAATCGGGACGACAGTTTCGCCATCCCAGACAAGCAAAAAGACAAATTTCCGATGCTCGATGACCAGGGCGGTCCTCATCGACCATTAAAGTAAACCCAGCCATAGAATTTCGAGGATAACGGATATTTTTTCGCAGGAATCGAGACTGGGCAAAGCGAACAGACCCAAGAGGAAAAAATCTAAGAAAGGCGAATCAATACAGCGTTGAATTTAACGGACACGCGCCCAAGCCGTACTGGGTCATGGAAGGAGTTGATAAGGAAACGGGCGAAAGGGAGTTCTTCGCCGGTTTGCCAGCCAAGCCAATTTGGAGGCAGCCCAGCAAAAAGCAAAGAGTGAGTAGAAGATAAGTGTTTCGTAAGCCAATTCTTTCAGGAAGCGATGATCAACACACACGAATACGACCACGAAGAAATACCCGTCGAGTTCATGCACTACCACGCCAAAATCAGCCAGGAATACAACCACCAGATGAAAGCAGTGAGAGCATTCGCCTTTGAAAAATACGTAGAGCCCGTTTTGGTCGAGGAAGAAGCCATAGCCCAGTGCCAGCTATTCGTCAGACAAAATTCGTCAACTATTGAAGAGTTCAAAGCAGCGAAAATTGAAGCGAAGAAATATCCAGTTCGACACGATCGTTTCCTGAACTGGTATTCTTTCTCCAAAGACAGAAGGGGAGCCAATCTTGTTCAAAAGCAAATCCAGCTGATTCAATCAAAAGTCGATCATTTGGAAGAATTGAGGGGCAACGCTGGAATGCCCGCGGAATATAGAGACGTTAGCAGAAGAATTGCTTGGAACGAATTTAGAGTAAGACCGAATTTAAAAGAATGGTTGATTGTAAATTGCGAATTCTTAGAATGAATCTATGAAAGAAGAATTTATGCAAAAACTTGAAACTTCTGAGCTAAAACGACTTGAGCGCGAAGAACGAGAAGTTGAAAGAATAAGAAAATATAAAAGATCGCTGGAGAAGAAGCATAAAAAAGAGTTTCAAGAATGGACTGCTGCTTCTAAAGACTTTTTGGTAAGAGAAATTCGATTGGCAGAGGTGAATGTTCGTTTAGCACGAAAATAATGTCGATGATAAAATTCTATCTGCTTTGGAACGACCAACAACTCATAATTTCCCCGTCGACGAGTTAGGAAGACCCGATTTGGACTCATCAAAGATTCATACTGCCGAGCGTAATTTCCGACTCACGCCGACAGAGCAAGAGTACTTCGTCCTCCGAAAAATGCGAGAAGAACAGCGTATTAAAGGAAACGTCGATTTAGCGGAGCAGTTGACAAAGGTAGGGTCAGTTCTATCCAGTCAAGAATTCACGCTTCTTTTTTCAGCAATTTTCGGACGAAGAACTTTTACAAATGGTCGAAGAATTTGAGCTCGCCCATGAAGAAGCCGAAGCAGAAAGAGCCGCTGAAGAAGCAGAATCCACTGCTGCTGAAAAATCTAGCAATTAGTCTTCTCTCTTCCTCTCTTCTCAAAATCTGAGTCTTTTAGAATGCAAAAACTGTCCATTTTCAAGGGCATTTCCCAAGACAAAAACGACGTCTTTCACGATCCAAGTTTGCTCCTCAGCTCTGCCGTAACTTACGACATTTATTACCACGGCACGACGTCTTGCAAAGGCACTGGCGACAAAACTGATGCAAAAAGAGCACTTGATCAATTCCATGGGAAATCTTCTCAAAGTACCATTTCCATCAATTGCCGGCAAATTGTGATCAAAAGTGGACTTGAAGAAATTTTCAAAGCAAATGTAAGATGTTTCAATTTCTTTTGGATGTATTTCTTTCTTTAGCTTTATGATATCAGCTACTCAGTCGTGCTAGAAGGTTCCTTGTTGTTTGCAGTCAAAATGGGACCGAAAAAGTTTCAATGGCATCGAGCAGAATCAAGAGAGATCAACAGCGTCAACAAATGCATCGGACAGGTACCCTTTTTGGCTTTTTCTTTTCTCTATTTTCCTCTTTCTCTTTCTTTCTTCTTCACTCTTTCTTTCTCCCACCAGGCGTTCGATCTTGCCTACCACCTCTGGTGTGGCAGCGCCCAAAAACAGCACGAAACTCATCACGCTGAAATTCACCAAATCGAGTCCAGGCTCAAGAGCTTAGAGAATCATTATCGTGCTCTGCGTAGAAAAGTCGACGACTTGAAAACGCACCAAAAACATCAATTATCGATGGAAGATACGGTCATTTCTTCAGAGGAAGAAAGATTGGAAATTCCCATTTTGCCCTTCAACCGGAGTAGAAGGGGAAGTCGTGCCTCTGGTCTTGGAATTCTCGGAGGTAGCCTATTTACTGATGATTTCTTTTCATGCCGAAATAAGGTGATTCTTCATCCGATATTGTCTCCAGCTCTGGAAGCGAGGAGATTCCATCATTTCGGCGGCCAGACTGGGTAGGCACCAATGAAATGAATCTACCGCCTGGTCCGGGCCCGACGCTGCAAGTCCAAGTTCCATCTCTTAATCCTTCTCCCTCTCCATCACCAACACCAAGCTCAAGCCTCCTTCCTTCAATTCTCAAGAATCGAATGGGCTTATTCGATCTCAACAGAGACAACTCTCCGAGGAAGAGTCATAAAAGAATCACAATAACTGACGAAAACCCGCAAACTTCTGAAGACGGAATGCGCAGAAGAAAGTCGTTCTCAGAGAGCAGTGGGATGACGAATAGATTCATGGGCCCAACGCATATCGGAGGCAACTTGGAAAATCTCAGGGAAAACATTTATTCGGACGATAATTCAGATGGACTTTCAAATCTAGGGAGGGCGAAGGTAAGAAGCAGAGTTCTCTTCATTGATTTCTTCAGCGATCTAAGATTCCATCGCCGTTTCCTGTCCCCTTAGCTGAGGCTGGTTACTCATTCGATCTTCCAGGAAGCCCAGTATGCATGGAGCAAAGAACTTCTGAGTGTTACAGACATACTGAAGGAAATTGTTCACTGAGTCACTTTTGGTAGTCGAGGGAAATCCTAATTCAACCAAATTTATCTAAGTAGTCTTAGAGCTGTAAATTTAGCAATTTTGGAAAAGATGGCTACTCAAGGACAATATATTGGAAGCATTTTCAGCGCCTCAGTTAGTAGTACTGAAAGAGGTAGAATATGAGTGACTTTGGGCGACTCAACACCTAAAAATTAATCCTCGAGCTAAAGCCGCCAAGTACCCACAGCAAGCTGCATTACGGGATCAGTAACTCACTCCCCAGAGAACAATTCGAAAAGACTCCCAGTTGCTTGAGGAATTCGCAAATAACGGACATGATTTTGACTTTTTCGGGACTGGTTTATATTCAAAGCCTTTCTTTTAATAGGAAGACGCTTTGAAAAACCTTTTTTGAGCCATTCCAGCGCGGAATAAAAGCGACGAAAAACTTATCCTAAAAAACGATGCTCCTAAAAAATCAAAGCTCAAAAAGCTTATGTCAAGCATGAGCCTCAAGAAAAAATAGACCAACTCATCTTGAGGTCCTTACTTTCTTCTAATTCTCACCTTACCTATCTTTTCACCACTCTTCACCTCTTTTTCTACCTATCTTCCTCTTCATTTTCCTTTTCAAACGTTCCAGGAAAGCTATTTTTCCACAAATTTGAGATTTCTTCTTTAGGTAGTGAGCAATGTCGGAGAGCTCCTACCCTGCGAAGCCTCCTAGAGAGGTAAGAACAGACTTTTTCGTTATAATTCTATGGATTCTATGATTAGGAGGAGAATCGACCAATGTTGATTGACGATTCTGAATTCCAAAATGTTGACACTCATTGTAAGTCGCAAAGACTTTTTGTGCGTCTTTAACTTTTCAAAACAGCCGGAGTCGGATACACCAGAGAGTTCTCTTCACAGCCCGAGCTTCGTGGAGAAGAGGACGATGGATGGAGCGCGTCTTTTGGTCAAATCTTCGCCGCGCTCTTCGACGATGAATTTTGCATTGAGAGGTAAGGGGACGTATTTGACCTTGTTCACGCGGAAGCTCGTAGATTCTCAACCTTCAAATCTGCCACTTCTGCTTTCCTTCTTCTCACTCTTTTCGTCCAAAACTGCACCCAGCTTCGTCTTTTGGTTCTTGCTCGAAACAGCTACGCAGGTAAAATTAATGCTTCTTTCTCGTTTTTCATCCCTTTTTTAGCTTTGGAAAACAGTGGTCTCTGGGGCGTTTTGATCTTTTTCATGTCGATTATTATCATTCTTCTTGTCATCGCCGCCGTTATGCTCTTCTTCATCAGGTGAACATCCTTTTCAATTTGGAAATTGAACTATTTTTCTCCCAAAAAAGTATGCTGCCAATTGATGGCCAGGGTGGAACCAACAGAAAGGCCTTGGTGAGAATGACGATCATGCTCGCAGCTTTAGTCAGCGTCACATGCCTCCTCAATGTTTTCTGCACGACCTTGATCTTCGCTGAGTCCAAAGAAACTATTTATGCACGGATCTAAATCTTTTCTATAAGAAGTCTTTTAAAAAATATCAAGTTCGATCCTTTTCCAAAGCTCCGACAAAACCCTCTCTCCGAAATGCTTGAAGTCAACGACGACTAACTTTGACAACGAAAATGAAAGCGACTGCTGAATGAACCCTGATGACTGTACATTAACCTGAACCCAGATAGATACTGGCGTTTTAGTTCCAAATTACCTGTACCTGTTTAGTTTTTATCTTTTTTTAATTTCGAATTTCCCGGGAAATAAATTAATCATTAGACGTCTAAAAACATCGTGAATTCAAGAATGAATCGTGTTTTAAAGTTTTCAAGCAGTGTCTCAAACAGTTTGTCCAGGAGATATCTTTCCTCGTCAGTCCTCAATTTGTCGAAATCGTCAGAAAATGTTAGTTCGACGAAATTGGCCGAACTAGCAAAACGAAAACGCCTCGCTCAGAGTCGACAAATGCCTAAACCGGATATCAAAGAAGCCCAGCTATCGATGCAGATGCAAATTAAAGGATACAAAATATTGTAAGCTAACTTTCTTATCGAGCCCACTAATATTTGCGCTCCTGAGTTTTACTACGCAGAGCCGAATCATTCCTACAGCCTTTGTGACGTTTTTCTGAGTCATTTCAAATTGGGGAGGCTTGTTTTTAACGAGAGTGACGGAGAGATTTTAGTATTGCGATGTTTCTTTTTGGAGTTGTACACGCGCTGAACTTGTGGGAGTTTAAAATTCTCATTCAAACGGAAGAAGAGCTCATACGACTTGGAATTTTGCCGCCTTTTGAAACTGAAAACAACGAAGACTCTTGAAATTTTAAAAATATTTTTATTTTCAAAGAGTCAATTATATTTTTTCTCGTAGAATGTTCAAGTCAAAGTTCAACGACAAGAAGTTCAAAACGAATTGCAGAATATGCATCAGCCGACTGAAATTGGTCGAGAAAAAGAAGACTGAAATGGCCTTGAAAGCCAGGAAAGAGATTGCTGATTATTTGAAGCTCAACAAGTACGATCGAGCGAGAATAAGAGTCGAGCATATTATCAGAGAAGACTACAAAGTCGAAGCCTTGGAGATTACAGGTACTTTGAATTCTGATTGGTTGAAGCGACGGATAAGCGCTTTTGATTGGGTCCGACTAGCTCTTATTTAGAAATGTTCCTGGATTTGATTCTTGCCCGCGTGGGGCTGATTCAAATGAGCAACTCCATCGATATTGGTCTACAAGAGCCGATCAACAGCATCATCTGGGTTCAGCCGCGCATCACCGATGACTGCGCCGAGTTAAAAACAGTCGTAGATGAGCTCATGAAGAAATACGGCAAGGAACACATCCAGCAATGTCGCCAGGGAATGCTCGACAAGCACATTTCGACCAAACTCCAGGACAAGCTGAACCAGCACTCGCCGAAGAGGTCGCTTGTTGAGAACTATCTAATTGAGATTGCAAAGAATTACAACGTTGAGTTCACTCCAGGTATGAATTTTATTCAGTACAGCTTTATGATATTCTCAGCTTCGAAAGCTTTTTGTGAGAGTTTGTTCTCTTCTTTGATTTTATTCAAGCAACTGAAGCAAAATTGATGACCACACGAGCTAAGGCAGCATTTTTTGTTTTGATCTTCGTTGAAATCTTCGTAACAGACGGAACAAGGGTCACTTTCGGTTCTTTCTTCAACAAATGATTGTAGTTTGTTGAAATTTGCTTCAACTTGAGTTTTAGCTTCTCTAATTTTTTTGTTGTTTTTAGCAATTTTTTGATTTAAGTAGTCCATTGTCATATCAATTTGGGTTAATTTTGCTTGAGTTTTCTGAATAGAATGGTCACATTCAGTCTTCATTAACTTCAGGTAACGTTCTTGTCTTCTATGGAGTTCAAGCTTTGACCCGGGGACTCCACAATGAAATGCTTATCGCTGCATATTCTTTATTAGCTCTGTTGGATCGTAATGGAGCTCATCAAAATCTTCATAAAAATTATTTCCCCAGAATTCCATTTTGCGTTTCACAAGATCTTGTTCTATTTCGAAGAGTTTCATGAGATCTGAATACTTTTCCTTGTTGATCTGCTCCTTTGCCTTATCAATAATCAGTATTGAATTCTCTTCGTCAAGAGTTTCCAATTTTTCGTTCAACAACTTCGTCTCTTCCTCTTTTTCGTTTAGCAATAAATCCACTTTCCCTTTCAAATCTCGGAATTCTTTCGTTCTCTCGTTTTCAGCGATAGTTTCTTCCTCGTCAGAGCATTTTTCATACGCTTCCGACGTACTCATTTTTTGAATAAAATCCAATTCTGAAAGGATGCAATAAGATTGCAGATATTTGCAGATGATTGTGAAAATTAAACAAGAATTATTTACTAAGATATACAATTCAGATCAAGCGGCTCTCCTCGACGATGGCATTCCGGATGAGGTTCGTAATGGTCCCGTTCCAGGAGCCGGTTTGAATCACTAGATTTTTCATGACGATCTTTCAAACAAACAATCTCATTTGATTGTAGATCTCCTTATTCCAGAATATCTGATCATATTCTGTGCACCGTCTCTTGTTAACTAAGCATTAGCTCTGCTACTTACAAACATCTCTTTCTGCTTCGAGCATGAGTAGAAAACAAGTAGTGAGCCTGGTATTTATTCATCCGCATCCAAAGAAAAACCACATTGGGATCATTTTGATCAGGATAACAAAAAGCCTCCTCCTGGCTAAGGATCTCAACTCACTCCCTTGTAGCTCTTAACACTTTCTTTCTGATTAAATTCATCATAAAGGAGGATATTTATCTCGTTCCGAGAAGTGGGGAGGATGATAATGATGGTGATCCTTTCGACAGTGGCGACTTGAGCCAGCAACTGCCCTACCTGCAAGCGCAACAGCCCTACCCGCCTCAAGCCACTGGACCTACTGAAATGTCCATTTACAATCCTGGACCGATTGATCCAGCGACGAATCTGCCGACAATTCCTGGAGGACCTGCTTCTCCAGCCTATCCGGGTATTCCACCAACTGCATCGATGAGATTGCCTTCTGATAATCTTCCTTCTATCCCAGGTAGAAGATCTTCCTCGCCCCAGTGCGCCAATTCTTATCTTTCAGGCGAGCCGAAGAAAGACGCCGGATCCCCTGGAACTCGAGGGATGCCCGAACCAGCGCCTAAGTACACGGATATCATGAACTCTCCCAAAGTAAATATAAACCTCTTCAAATTCGAAACACTTTACAAGAGCTGTGTGAATTTCACGCTAATCATTAATAATTAGGAAGAAAATGTTTACGAGTTTGCCGATGAGCAAATAGTGAGTTTGGGTGTCAAACAAGCATCATGTTTTAACTTTATCAATCAATTACAATTACAATCAAAACAAGAGAAGATCAATGTGATTATTGCTCTTTCTTTTTTGATTTTTATACAAAGTGGTGGTATAAAAATTGTAGTCTGAATCCTCGCTGATCGTTTTACTAATCAAATCATCCAAATTTCCAACTCATCCGGACTAAATTAACTCTCCGCCGAATTAAATGAATCCCAAAAATAGTACGACGATGTTGCCCCAGCCGAAGATGACATCATCCCCGGACTTCCCTCCATTCCCAGCAATGATCCAACGCCAAACGCTCGCCAGAACCAACCAGAGGACGACGATTCTGGCGATGATTTCGACGATCTCGAAGCTCGATTCAAAAATTTGCGAAAGTAAAATGCTCCTACTTTCTTGTTCAATTTCCTTCATTGAAAACAAAACATTCATAACACCGTAGTTCGACAGATAAAATTAATAATTCCCTGTGTTTGATAAATATTCCTGTGCAAGAAATAACAAAATCAAGTTCTTATAAAATTCATTCTCGATTTCAAACGATCAAAAGATGTTTTCTCTTTTTTGAATACATCTTTTTTCAAGATAGATTATTTATGGAGAGAAGCATTTTTTCTATCTCTTTTTTATGAAGCAGTTTTCGTTGATTGCAAGTTCAAAAGTAATGAACCGTCGCTACCGGCGCGCACTGCAGGGATTTTGACATGATTCCAAGCTTAGCGATGACCGTTATCTCGGGATGTAGGAGCCCATGTCCGCGATTGCGATATCAATTTCTTAATCCGAATAAAGTCGGCGGTGGAGTTTTTGGATAGGCGCGATGATTGCCGCCGGGCGGTCTCCCAAGAGGACATGTCAATCAATCGGCACTAGAAATCAGTCAAATATACCCTTGAGTGCAAACGATGTTCTTAAAACCGCAGTAGAGATGCTCCTTGGCGCTGGAAAATGATTAGCACGGGCAATATTTTCGGGGTGTTTGCGGCGCTCTGTGTCTTTTTCGCTTACTTTTTCTTGGAACTCGAGAGCTTGCAAATTGACAGAAGCTCGCTTGAATTCGGTAGGGCTAGCTCTTCGCGGCATTTGTTAAATAAAAATTCAGGGCAAAAAATAGTGCTGGAAAAGGTCGATCTTGATTTGACCAAATTATCACCTGAATTCCTGGCTTCGAAAGAATTCCTCGAAGACGACGAAGTAGACGACGGAGAGGAGTACTACGACGAAGACCCAGATCAATCTCTCAAAACTGATCTCCCAGACGCGACAGATGTGTTATCAGGCTCCCCCGAGCCCGATTTCGAAATTCCCTACGAAGACGTCAGCGAGGACGGCACGTGCAAGCCAAAAAGGCATTTTGTCTTTCATAAAAAGGAAGAGGGGATCATCTTACGGCGCATTTTACGTAGCGAGGATTTAATTTGAGCTTTGGTGACCCTCATCAAGCATAAATGCGGCTCAACGGCGTTCCGTTTTATCTTTCAAGCGTATGCGCACAAGCACAGTCTGATCGGGGCTAACTCCATGATCGGGCCATTTCTGGGCGGTTACCCGGGGCGCTTCGACCCCCGCTTCGTCGGAAAACGGTAAATTAACCCTTTCATCGCACTGCCAAGACAACTTCCTATCCTTTCAGTTACGTTACGTATGACTACTCTGCCAGTCATGTCCGATTCGATGCAGATGCCTTCAGAAGTGTTTTCCCGGAAGACACGATCTACTTGACTGTGATTAGATCGCCGCTAGAACATTTTGAAAGCACATTCAACTTTTTTTACTCAAGACATCATACGCTAAAATCTGCTATGGAACGGAAAAATGACCTGTGTTGCTGGGGAATGCCCTTTGCTGCCGTTTCTGGCTGGGACTCGAATCCTATCGGTAAATATCCTTCCTAATCCGGAGTGTTACGTAACTTCAGAATACCTGCGCGCCGCGCCAGAAAAATGGAACATGTCGATTCCCTGGGCCTCCCGCGGCCGAAACTTCCAGGCTTTCGAACTTGGCTGGGACGTCGACAACGAGTCTCAGGAATACATTGATCATGGATTGCGAATGATGGAAAGCGACTTCCATTTGGTGATGATTTCTAATTACTTTTTCGAAAGCCTCGTTTTGTTAAAAGACGCGCTGTGCATGGGAGAAGGGATCGGATCTATAACCAAGTATATGTTTACAGCAAGAGTATGCTGATCCCTGGCTCAGACTGGATCGATTTGTATGTTCCGCCGACCAAAGTCAAGCACTATGAGCACGCGCCCTTCACACCTGAAGACGTTGAAACCTTCAATTCGTTTTTTCACCAAGATGTTGCGATTTACAACCATTTCAACAAGACTTTTTGGCAGAGGGTTGACGCTTACGGGCGGGATAGAATGAAGCGCGATGTGGAACATTTGAAAGAAGTTTACAAGCAGTGCGCGGAAAAGACGATTGACTGCTCGCATAAGGGTCACGAAGCGATCAGGAAGGAAATTCCGGAGAAAGTGCCGAGTGGTTCGGTGGAAGACCTTTTGATGTAAGTTAGGCTCATCAAAAAAGGGATGAGATAATATTTTTAGGTACATGAAAGAAAATGGAGGAACCTGTGATTGGGGCAAGTTCCCAACTCTTTGGAAAAAATATATGACCAATAGTAAGAAAAAGACCAAGAGCTAATTGTCAGGAGCATAGCCAAACTGTTCATACCTTACTTGTTACTGTATTGCTAAATGTACCATGAAATTCTAATCCCTTTCTTCAAACAAGCGTAAATAAAAGCCGAGTTCACTAAGTAATAGTAACTGCAGATAACAGTATTGTCTGATCAGCTTAGTCCTTTTACGCGGAAGTAAATGCTCGAAATGATCAAGGGACGAAGCCGCAAGTGGCCCAAACTGTTGCCTTTTCTAATTTGACAATGGGCCGTGCTCGTCTGATTTAGGACGGGGCAATAAATTCAAAAGCTCGAGGAAAGTTACTTTTTCAACCTGTGCGCGGCGAGATCAGTAAAAGGAGGCCACAGTCCTCAGAAATCCACAATTGCTCTTCCGTCGATGACGGAGCAAATTTTGCTGATTGCAAGTACTTCAATGATGAATCGCTTTATGCCGCTTTGGGTCTAATTGACTATCACGGAAATCTGGAATTTTTTTATTTTTACTCTGTTGTAAATTCTTAGCTTTTGCGACATTTATTCCCGAGAAGAAACAATAGTAACTTTTACAGGTCAACCTTTACAGTAGTAAAGTTTTATTCTTACTGTACAAAATTTATTTTCCGCGATAAATAATCGAGTTCCCCATAAATCGCTTTTACCAAAATATCAAAGTAACTGCGCTCTATCGGATAAGTAATCTTCTCGATTCTCAATGTTCGATGACCCCTAAGTGTCAATAAAAATGTTTAACGGAACTGGCGACAATGACGGATAACGGCCGTATCGAGGTCCCGACGCAGCGGGTAGCTCCTCCTATGTTCCACGGCGTTGACTTTGGCCACGTGACTTCCGTCGCCGGAGCAACGGGGTGCCCGGAAATCGAGGTTTTATGCTCTGCTGGGGCTCTTCTCAACTGATAACATTGACTTTTCTGAGAAAAATAAGTTTATCAACTACTCAGCATCAAATTTAGAAATCATCATTTTCAACCCCTCTTTTTCCATTTTCGCCCGTTAGTGTAACATTTGTCAGATGCGGAAAAGCTGCACGTTTTTGCGCTAATTTATGCATGTCAGACTGCGAATTAATAAGTTAAGAGCATCATCGCGAAAAGCGACTAATTCAGGGGCGGAACATAAGGGACTCTGTCGGTGCTGAGTCCCTCCCCTCAGCGGCATCGATTTCTGATCAAATGTGACGATAATCTGAGTTATAAGAAGATTTGGTGGAGCTTTTTTGCTGACGACTTCAAACCTACCCCTGCTCTTTCATGTCGTGAATCCTTCTATAGATTATATTTCCAGAGCTATCCTAGTGACTAGAATTTTCAGGCCTTTACCACCCCTTAGTAAGAAAATTTTTATTGGGCTGAGAATATCTAATGATTTTTTATTATTAAAAATTTCACGGAAATGCATGGTCGATAATCCGAAATTCAGATTTATGCAAACGAGGATTGTTTTATTGCGAGTCTGAGTGCCATAAACACATCCGATCGGTCTAATTTCGAACACTCGCGCATTCGAAATTTCCCTCCCTGTCCATCGATCGCGAATTATAAAAAGTCCAGAAAGCTAGAGCAAGGAGAATTGCAATTAGTAGTCGTCACACCCTCTCAGCTTACGCAAATTGGCGAAATCAAACAAGAACAAGATGGGGACACTTGAGTTGATCTTTCCGACAAAAAATACTCCCCAAAACATATGGCATCCTGTCCGATTTCGAAGACTCTTTCAAATAATGAAATTTGCCTCGGCGTATCAAACCACTTGAGCGGAATTAAGTGAAACTTATGTCCGTCTGCTACTAAACCAAATTTCGGTACACTTCTTTCTTGAATGATATAGGCAATATTTTCTATATTTTCATCCTTGATTTACTTAGAAGTTCCTCGACACAAGAAGGCGATAAATAAATCCGCATATTTCAAGTAGCAAGAATCGAGGCCTTGTTTTATTTTTATTGACTTGTTGTTATCCCTAGTCGTATTTAGAGCTAGTTACTTAGACACACAAATCTAATGCTCGCTTAGCCAATTTCGATCCGTCTTCGGATAAGTGACCTGTCACTAATGATTCCCCAAATCTCACTTCTCGTCTCCCATATGCTCTCCTAATATCCTTACACATCGCTTTTGAATATGCAAATGACCAAGTAACTCAACAAATAAAGAAACACCAACTTCAATTTGTGCATAGTAAAGTATATTATTTACAAGTTCAAAGGGGAGAAGTAAGCATAAGAAACAGGAAAGAAAAAAAGAGTCTTTTTTACATAGTCGGGAATTCTGATACTGGTCGTGGTGGTTCTTCGCAGGCGTAGGGAGTCGGAATGTCCGAGCCAGGCATTGCCATTTGCTGGCTGAAGTGAGGATTCATCATTGGGTGGCCAAGTTGTTGGTAGGGAAGAGGAGCTGGTGGGTACTGCTGTCCAGCGTGGTGCATCGAAACTCCCATTCCGACTGGGGATTGCTGGTGGTAGCCAGTGGCGTTAGAATGATCCGGAGAAAAAGAAACTCCTCCTTCGAACTTTCCTGCTTCGGGTGTTGGGTAACCAGGTGAGCCGATGTTTCGATGCCCTTCTGGAGAATCAGCGAAGCCAGAATCGTTGGCGATGCTTTCGTAGTGAGACTGGGTCTGGTTCTGGTCGAATGTGTGAGGTGGAATGTGGCCACTTGCCATCGAGCTTGGTGGGACTTGCGGGATGAAAGAGTTTGGATCGGCCTGTGGAAACATCGAGGCGGCGTAGGGATCGTTCATTCCTTGCATGGGGTTCATCATTTCGTTTCGCATTCCAGGGGGCATGTCGAAGTCTACTCCTTCTTTCTCGAGCATGTTGGTAAGGGCGTAGATGTAGGAGTAGGCGAAGCGAAGAGTTTCGATCTTCGTAAGTCGGGACTCGTCGGGGTAAGTTGGCAAGACAGCTCTGAGCTCGTCCAAAGCGTCGTTGAGACCGTGCATTCGATTTCGCTCTCGATCGTTGGCCTTGCATCGGCGGACTTGCTTGATGATGCTCTTTGGGTTGTCTGGAGACACGTCTCGGCGACGTTTTCGACCACGACTGGCTTTTTGAGGAGCAGGAGCAGCTGCTTCTGGGGTAGGAGTGTTCGGCATAGGCTCTGTTTTTGGAGTAGTGTTCATTTTGTTTTCTTGGAAAAGCTTTTTTGTTTTGAGGACTGTGTTTTAGTTTTTGATTTTTCCACAAGCAATATTGGGAGTTTTATGCGCCGCGGGGATAGCGCCTCCAGCGAGGGCGCCAGGGGCGGAGGATTGGACGAGGATCCACGGGCACGCGCTTGCTTAGCTGAAACTCTCGCACGCCACTCTCAAAAACCATCGATCGTAAAAGAAGAAATGAACAAGCTTATCTGTGTATAAAGTTATTTCTTGGTAGATTTGTTGATACTCAAGGGTTGCTTTTGCGTAGAAAAGACTAAGAGCATGATTCTCTTTTTTATACTCTTCTAAGCCGGGATACTGGTTCATTCTTTGAGATTAACAGTCTTCAAGATATATTATGATTCCGTAATTGTATAATTGTTGCACCAAAGAACTTGATTGAAAAGTGTTATATAGTTATTCCGAAAAAGGTAAGATTTCTTAAATATATATTCTCCTTGTTTCGGAAGGAAGCTATGGTGTTGAACCATCTTGGACATCTTTACGAGGTGTAGATGCCTATCACAGCGGGAAGTGGTGACAGTGGCCCGGTTTATTGTGACACGTACAGTGCTATTACCGCGAGCTCGAGCAAATCTGACTTTGATATCGCCACAAGATCAAAACGCGCGCCGCATCGGGTGCAATATGTCGACTACTTTTTTCAGCGAGAACCTGCCGTACTACAAATCGATACTTTTTTCCCTGCTGAAATTGAACAAAAAGAGAAGAAGAGGGGACACACTTTTGTTTCTGACTGGTGCACTTTGATCTATTCCCCGCTGAAAAATTAATGATTTCATACTTTATCAGTAGCTTGGCCAAGGAAGAATTTGAAGAATCCCTATTCTTCGACTACATGAACAGGATACTCCTTTTCGTGATCTGGTTCTATTCCTTCTGATTTCTCAGGATCAAAAAATCATCCACGATTTCAACTCGCGCTTTCAGCTTTTCAGTTGATTTTTTCATGATTTCGGCCCAGTTCAATTTGTAATTTTACTGAGCCGACGTTTTCGAAAGAAAAAGACTCAAAATGAAGCGGTTCAAAGAGAAAATCAACGGATCGGATCCGAACTGGTCGGTAATTGGAATCGGAACAATCGGAACTTCTGAGTTCATTTGCGGAAAATGCATCAAAATCGTTGACGATCCCGTTCGAACAGCTTGTTGCGACTCACTCCTCTGTCGACTTTGTGCTCTTTCTGAGAACAATCCGTTTGTTTGTCGGTACTGCTACTGTATCTTCACGGCGGATGAGCCACTGGAATACAAGGAGGTCTCAAAGTTCTTTCTGCAAATTCTCAATTCGACAGTTATCCAGTGCTCTACAGATCAATGCAAGGCAAGTGAAAAAGAAAGCTCCCTTCTTTTAATGTCTATTCAGGAGAAATTTGCATATTTTCGCCGAGAAGTGCATCTTGAATACAAATGCAATGGCCACAAACGGTAGAGTACCGACTTTTCATACTGGACTAGTGATTTAGTTGCGAGCAATGCCGGGAAGAGTACATCGTCAAAAACAAGCACATCTGCGTGCGAACTGTTCGATCTGTCATTGAAGAAATCGAAAATGACGCTACTGTAAGACTCTTTTTTTAATAAACGGATTGCCAGTGATTTTTTCAGATTCCTGCCGATCTGAAAGAAAAGCATTTTTACGAGTACATGATGAAAATGAGCGGCTATGCGAAAGGGCCAAAGCCCTCGAAGTTGTCAATTGAAATGATGAATGAAAAGATGGATATCGAGGGCGCTTCTCTTGTCGAAATCCCAGCATCGTCTTTTTACAACGAAATGGAAGTAGCTGAGAACTTCGATGAAGGAATAGAATCATCTTTGCTTACAGACAGGTAAATAAATTGAAATGATAAATTTAGAATAAAACAAGTGTACTCTAGCTTTTCTGAATTGACGATATAGATTATTTGACGTCCCCGACGACGGCGCAATGGATACCGAGATGGACTTTTCAGACTTTGATTCAGAACTGGATTTATTCTTTGAAAATGGATACAAGCAAGAAATTTTATCCTCCCTGCCAATTAGTTAGCAAACAATAAACTGCAATTTCCCATGCTATTTCGAACAAGAGCGTTTATTGACTCTCCATAATTTCCGGCAGTAACAAATCTGAGCAGGAGCAGAGCACGAGCAGGAATATTTTTGTTTATCCGGATATTTAGTAATCCCCGGATCAGTATTTGCTTCAACTTCCTGATCCATCATCATATTTCTTTCGCCTGATTTCCTCGTGTGGTTTTTGGGGAGTCGGAATCGATGCGCTAAATGAAGCTAAACTAAATTTCTCGTCGTTGTTGTCCTACTAGATAATCGATTATTAGAAACGAAGTCTAAAATTTTGAGGTCTTTAGGTTGATTAGACATATCGACGATGATGGAATGCGATACTCTTTTCTGGGCTCGCCAACCTGTGTAGAAAACCTGAGTCAGGGCCTAAGGGATCTGCGTAGCCTGACTCAGGTTTTCTACACAGTTTTTCGACCCAGACTTGAGGTTTTCTTCTCAAAAATGTTGAAAGAGAGAGTACCTTTCCTGATCCATTTCAAATTGGATTAACATCAAAGCCCGCTTATTCCTACAAACTCCAGGGGCCCCTCTCTTATCATATCCCCTTCCCTCTTTATATTCGCGGGTATATTTTAATTTAATAATTTCGCCGCGGGTGGCTTTGCAGCTGAGGCGGCCGTGCCCAATTGATGCCGCGCGCTCCCTCTTTGAGCTTGCTCAGGACTCACCTGCACCCCCCGCTGAATGTTACAACCTTCAAATAAAAGATATAACTCACTCCATCGATTGGGGGCGAGGAGATATCGGCAGAAATGTCATCATATCCCGCCGGTACCGCCACAGGGATAAACTCGAAACAAATCTAACTGATATTAACGCCCCGCTCTCTAGGATGCCAAGTCCCTCATTTTAATTGAATCAATTCTAACTGAAATATAACTTATATTATATAAGGTTCTCAACTAGAGAGCAGGAAAATGAACATCGGTAATGCCAAGCTCAGCAGGTTAAAAATATAAACTAATCGTTCCCCGGCGCCAGATTTGTCAGAATATGTCGCGGAAAACATATGCCTAGAGAGACCTTCATTTTTGAAAAAGAAAAATGACAGACTTGCCGTTGAATGAATTAATTCCAAATGAATCGCGTCAATTTTGAGGAACTGTCGAAAATGCTCGAAGTGATTGTTGTTCTTCTTGGTGATCGATATAATGAGGATATTCTGAGTCGCGCTCGGTGAACCTGCCAGTAAATCCGCCTGCTCGCCGACTGATTACGCCACGTGAGGTTCCGACGATTATCCACTAGAAGTAACTAACGGCCGAGAGGGATTTTCACAGCTTTTTCAAGATACTTTTTGAGACAATATTTGTCGGTAGACTCTTTCAAGCGCTCTGTTTCAAAGATATTTTCAGTTGCAATTTGCAATTAGTTTATTCTTCAGGATCAGATTTATATTTCATATCCGAAACAGATTCTTCGCCGGAGCTTCGATTTGAACAGTCAAAAGTCTTGCCAGAAGCCAGTGCTAATGTTCCCTGCCTCAATTTCCACATATTTTTCGATCTAAAATATGCTTAACGCTTTTCCCTCATATCATCTTTACGTTGGGCTTTGATTCAAAGCAGCCATTTTGCTCATTCGTTGGAGTTTGGAACGAGCATCTTTTGCGTTCTTCTGCTTGCTATACGGAGTTGCTGTTCGGACATCGTCGATGACTTTGGAGCGGAAAGTTGTTAGATCCTGAAAAATTGGTTCCGAAGAATTTGTTTTCGGCAAAAACCTGTTTTAGTTCAGAAACATCGTTTTCAGTCAAAGTTCTTTTTCGTGTCCTTCGTTGACTTTTGCTTGAATGTATCGCCTAATCAATAAAAGTGACAATCGAAATGAAAATTGTGAACCTGATGAGCTTGTGGATGACCTCTTGGTAGACTCGTTGGCTTTCAGAAGGTGTAGTTTCATTGTTTACTCGAGCAGCGTTGTTGTCAGGCCACCAGGACTTTCCGATGAATGTTTCAAAGAGATCATAGATTGGCTCAGATGTTGGAATGATGTTGAAGGGTGGCGGCAACGGACTCAATCATGAGAACAAGAGAGCTTGTTGACTTCTTACCTTGATTCTTCAAAATAAGTTAGCCAAAGCTTTGACCTCGCGAATTTCCATTCAATATCGGCGTGATCAGCGATGAATTGGTAGGAATTGTTCATCATTGCGATGAGTACATTGATCAAGACGATGACATTGATCAGGTTGTAGACTCCGAACATAGTCGCGCCAACCCATTTCGTGATAAAATGCTAGAAAATAACCCCTTTTCGTCGCGACTAGACAATACCTCTGGCTCAAGGTCTGTGACATATAAGTTCACAAGACCGAAGCAGCTCCAGTAAAGCGATTCCATCGCATGAAAAAGCGTCGAAAACGCATTATTTTGCTTTTCGCACATGAGGCCGTAACAAACCGTCGTGTTTCCATAAGTTCGGTGGCCCTCGTGAACTTCGTATTCGTGAACGACTTTGTGCGGACTGTCGCCAGTGTAGATACCCGCGTTTCCGTATTTGTAGTACAGTTGGTTCAGCCCATTGGCGAAGGCAAAAAGGACGAGGAACCAGATCATGAGGAATTTTGAGATGTCAAACAACATCCGTCCGAGGGAGATTTGAATCGGGCCCATGTGCACATTCGAGTTAAAAAGATAAACTGAGGGGGGATTAATTCGATTCAGGGGAAAAACTTACTGAGTCGAAGAAAACTGAAAATATTCGCAACAGAAAAGAGCGCCTCTGAAATGAGTGTTGGGTGAAGCGGGTCCCACTCCACTCTGCTCAGTCGATGATCGTGGGGAATATCTTTGTGGAGCAAGTAGGCGCAGAGTTTCGTTGAAATCGTAGCGAGGTACAAAGAATTCATGAAGAAGTCCATGACGTTCCATCTGTCGTTGACGTAATCATTTGCGCCGCCAGACCAAAGCTGTCCGATTTCCGCGGCGATCAGGGAAATTATCCAAGGAAGGAGAATCCATTCGATTGTTGATGGTGGAGGTCCGGGATCGTCCCCTGCATGGTCGACTTTGACTTGCGAGGCGAGGACAAGGAGAGCAAGAAACGTGAGATAGGAAGCGGTCCCGACGATAAATTTCATAAACGGTCGACAAATCAGCTGTCCAGCGGATGATTTTGGAAAGAGAATGTGAATAATGCAGAGCATTGGCCAAAATAGCCCGATGAGCAGCGAGTAGAGCAACTTCAGTCCCCAATGCATTCGCCTCCAGCCATAAACGCCTTCGTACCAAAGAGTTGAAACGAGTTGCTGGCAGTTGGGCTGAGCGACGAAGTGTTTTTGATTGAAATGGACGGCTAGCCGAAGGGCTGAAAGAATTCCGCTGTTTGGGAGGGCGTCGGTTTCGTCTGAGTAGTTGAGGATTGTTTGAAGTTCCTTGCTGCTGCGGGTTTGGTCGAGGACTTCTTTCGCGAAAATCTGAAAAGAAGATATTCGATTGTCTTCAATTTTAACTTAATTTTGACTAACCTCGCATTGAACAGAAAGCTCTTCATAATCGCTCCTGAATTCATTCTCCACCTGGCTCAGCTCTCTCAACTCGAAGCTGAGCTTGAACGCCGTTCTGATGGGAAACTCAGAGCTGAGCGCAATCAAGTACGGACAAGCGAGAGCTTTGTAAAGATTCAACCGCGATTTGGAAAATCTAAGCGAGTCTTTTGACATTTGACTGATGCACACTTCGCAGCCGCAGCGAACATCGTGCGGTCTTTTCAGACTTGTGCCCTCGAAGAGGAGCAGTTTTAGGATCTCGTAGTTGTTGACGTGCGCGGCGAGGATGATGGGCGTCATTTCGGAGTCGTAGTCGGACTCGGTCGGACCAGTATTTGTCGACAGATGCTGGAATTAGGAGTTGTTTCAGGATTTTTATAATTTTCAGATGGCTTTGTTCAGAAGATGGTGATCCGGTCTGGGCTAAGAGCGAGAGCCGGACGAATATCGACTGATGTGTGGTCATTTATGGGTACGTTAGCACGGATCAAAGCGATTTGCCGCCAAGTCCGCGACTCTAATTCGCAGCCAATCTTGTAGTTACCTCATTCCGAGGGAAAAAAAGGGCGTGCCCAACCATTTTTATCAACAATTATGGTTTTTGGTCATAAATATTTTTGACCTTTTTATGATAATCAATCGGATTTATGGTGTTTGTAAAATACTAATTATGATGGTTTGTTGGTTTATTACTGTATTTACCTTGCACATTTTTTTCTGTGCCTTCATCTGAATCAAGATCATTTTCACCACGGAGACGTTTTGCTTCCTAATCGCGTAGAGCAGCGTGTCAATCATCGCGATTTCAAATTTGACCAGGACTTCTACCATCGCCATCTTCGAAAATATAGTATTTTCAGGCTCAAGACACAATAACGTACATTATTAGCATCAGCGGCGATAAAGAGAGCGCTTCGGCCAAGCTCATCTTTGCAGCTCGTGTCAAAGTCGTCGTTGTTGTTTTCGAGGAAGTCTTCGACTTCAGATGCGATTCCGCTTGAGACTATCGCTAGAAATTCGTTTTCTTTTTCACCGTGGCGTTCATCTGGGTGTCTCATTTGCTTGAAAGAAGTTTAGAATACGATATCGTATGTATAATCGTTACAACGCTTTTAATCCAACAAGACGAATGTATTTTCATAGAATTTCATCAATTACTGCGATAAAAAATTCCATACTTACATGAAGTTGAATGATGTTATGATTCTCACTATCTTCCAACTCCCTCGTTTCCGCCGTCTTCCCTAAAGTACCAGACTGAGTCTCATCGCCATCAACTTTGACAAAAGAACTCCTCCTCGAATAATTTTTCGAGGCCATGCTAGACCGCTGGGTGTCGATCAAATTTGAGATTCTCAGAGATTCTCTGTTCAATTTTCCGACAAATTTAGGCATTTTTCAAGGCTTTCTAAGCAAATGTTTGTTGCTTCAAAGAATAGAACTTTGTTCAGAGCGGAGCAAAGTCGAGAAAAGAATGACATTGAGCCGACTTACCCGGTAATGAAGTGCCCATCGATCGAGCTGGCGAGGGACTGCCGATGAATACAGTAGAAGGTGTCTGAATCAATTTCCTCTTTTTGTGAAAAGAAAAGAGCGAACCGTTTTCTGCGCCTTGAGCATCTTTGTTTGTATATTCTGCCATCCCTTTGTCATCTTTCTACTCTATATATTTCTCTGACTTTGAAGAAACAATCCACTACGTCCACTTTGTGCCTCTGTATGTACGCATGTGAGTTGATCTAATTCATGGATTCTGCGGCGGGATTAATTAAAACCCATTTTGCTAATGGAAATTATATTTAGTGCACTGCCAAGTCTCCTCCCTGCTTCCCACTGTTTGTCAAAAATAAATAAATAGTTTATTGAGTGTCTTTTATACAGTAATAGTTTCAAAATTCAAAACGGCAAGTCGGTATGGAATGGAGATGTCAGGCTCTTGGCTAAAAAAATTGGCTCGAATTCCAATAAATCCAGACTTGGTTTTACTAATTTCCGAACTTGAACGATTTCAAGAAGAGAAATTGTTCAATTAACGTACTCTTTGTTGGTGTCTGGCGAGAAATCTCAGCCGAGCTTCGTTCTTCTTCATGCGAGAGTATTTTGGACATTTCTTTCGAATCCGCGCCGGGCTCACTGCGCGACGACTTCATCACTGCTGACTTTTTGCGGAAGTTTTCCAGTTCGATCTGGTCGTTGTGTTTTTGGACGTCCCTGGAGAGATTTTCAGAGGATTTTTCAAAGGAAAAACTTGCCTTTGGATCATTTCTTGTTCAGCTTGTCGGTCAAATTTTTCCTTGTCACTTAGGGACTCGAATTTTCGGTCCCTAAGAGGCAGTTTGTCCTCCAGGAGATGCTTTTCCATCGCTGCGGCGAGTTCTTTTTCTGTCATTGGATTTCTGAACTGGTTCGATTGAGGGATGAAAAGGGGCAACAGACCTTAGTGAGAGCTTCATAACTTTTGTCTGGCTTGTTCCCATGTTTAATTTTGGCATCTGAAAGCTGGAAAGTGATGTTTTTGAGGAAGACGAAGATGCTGCTTTTTCCGATTCTTTTTCTTCGTCTTTTTCTGGCTCGATAATTGGATCAACTTGTTGTCGTAAATACTCAATGATGACCTAGAATTTGATAACGTGATGATGAGACTGTGTTTGTACCTCAAATCCTTGTTGTACGATTTCGATTGGCGGCGAGGTTAAATGTTTGTTGGGTTGTAATTGAAGTCCATTAAGCTTTTTCAGTTTCGCCAAGCAAGCAGGAAGACGTTTTAAAAAGTTACCGCCTTTGTTTTGATAGATACAAGCAATAACAAAGCGGAATCAAATGATTGATTTAGTATCCCATTCCTAGAAGCAAGTCTTCAAGTTTATCTGCTTGTTGAATATCTGGCGGGAGTTCTGTTAGCTCGTTGTTTCGGACATCCAGCCAGACGAGATTTGGAAGGTCTGTGAAAATGCAACCGGGGAGGGAGGTCAAACAGTTGTTTTTCAAGTGGACTTGGCGGAGAGTAAGCGGAAACCAAATCGGACATTTTGTCAAGTGGCAATTTGCGAGGTTCAGTTTTGTTTCTGTTGTTCTAGTTTTTTCGGTAAAAATGAAAATGAGGGTTTTCTTACTTTGAACGGACAAGTTCTCTTAGCTCTTCGCCATCTCTATCGCGCTGCATGTTTAAAAAGGACTTCAGCTTTTGACCCTGTCAAACAGAAATTGCGTGAAATCTGCCTCTCTTCGCGAATAAACAAATTATCTCTTCAATTCCGCCTGTACTAGAAACTTTCGCTTTTTTTTAATAATTTGCTTGTCTCGTGTTATTTATTGAAATTGAATCGCATTTTGGTCGTCTATTGTTCTTTGTAAAAAGAAGAGCTTCAAGACTTCCTGGACAACACAAAAAAGGCGACGCTAGAATGATATGCTTCTTTATTAACAAGTTTCTGTACAAAAATGTTCAATTTCTTCCTCTTGAGTACGAATCAATAACGCCGTGGCGCATCATTTCTTGCTGGCAGATCTGTCTGATTTTCTCCCTCGGATCGTCGCCAAACGCGAGCAGGACCGGATCGACTTGGCGTTCTAGCGCTTCCACCTTTTTCTTGAGCATTTCGTTCTCCCGCTGAGAGGTGCGCAACTGCTGCTGGACGAGTCGCAGTTGATAGCTGTTATCAGTTTCTTCGAGCGTCGACAGTTTCTCCGCGTTTCGAGTCGAAACGGTTTCCAGGACAGAGATTTTATGGCGAACCAGCTGGTTGAACTCGGAAAAGTCTTCCTTGATTCCCGAAGTCGATTTTTCCAACTTATACAGGCGCTCTTCGAATTCTTTTGAAAGCGCCGCCCTAGAATGCGAAAAGAATGATAAGTTAATGCTATAATTTGAAAGAATACTGTGAGTCAAGCGTCGTTTTCTGAAATTTTCGCATCGCATCGCCCTGGTTCAACACCGTCTTTTTCAGGATTTCCTGCATTTCCTTCAGCTTCGACATTTGTTCAAGAATTTCTCGAAGCTCCGCCCTAGAATTTTTTAAAGAAGAAAATCCTGGAAATTTTACTTTGTAGCCGAGTTTCTAGCAACTTTATCGACTCGATCTTCCAGATTCGGTACTTTCAGCTCGAGGTCGGAGAGCACTCCCGTCAGCGTTTTTATCGAAGCGTGTTCTTTGTCTACTTGGTCCCTGACATTGAGAAAGCGGACGTGCACTTCATCGATTCTCTTGTGAGCCTCGTTTATCTGATCTTGGAGCGTGCGAGCGTCGACATTCGCCTTTTCCGCGCGAACTTCCGCCGCTTCCTAAAAAAATTATAACTTCCTTGCTTTCACCCTTCTTCTATTCGATTTTAACGAGACTTTTTTCATACAAAAGAATACCTGTAAGATCATTAATCGTAGTTCTTTGATTTCGCTCTTCTGAGATTGAAATTCCAGTCTTTGTTCGTTGAAAGCTCTTGAATTGAAACATCTCTTATTATCATTTTCAGAAACCGAGATTACCGTATAATATTTTCAGTTTCATCTGTACATCGTTTCGCCTCTTGCGCCAGCTGCAAAATCTGATGGCCTTGGTGCGACTGCGTCACATTCAACATGTGCTCGTTCAAAATCAAGGACATGGTCAAATTGGAGTTTTCCCGAACTCGCTTTCCTTGCAAATTGTGATTCTCGATGATTTCAGAAAGCTTGTTTCGAATCTCGTCCAAGTTTTCATTGTTGTAGCGCTGGTAGTTGATGCGATTTTTGCTCATCGTCGTGATTGTTTGATTCATTTTCTGGGTTACTTTTTCGCCGAGCTCGACGAATGCGTGATGCAATTCGTTGTAGGACTTTTCCAAAACGCCAAAAGCACTTGATTTTCCTCTTGTTTCCAGCTGTAGGAGAGATTGTTCCTCCTGCAAATCTGCTAGAGGCTTTTTTTGCTCCTTTTATTGGGTTATTTTTGTTTTCAAGGATCGAAATTAAGCTCACAAACCTGAGTAGAAAACCTGACTCAGGGTCTGAAAGATCTACACGGCTTTCCAGACCCTGACTCAGGTTTTCTACTCAGGTTTTGAGAGCCCGTTTTGTTTGTTTGAACCCATTTCCCTGAATCGCTTCAGTTAGCTGTTCAATCTGAAGGTCAAGGAGCAGCTTCTCGGCTGATATTTTGTCATCAACGTCTTGCATCTGACCTCGAACTTTTTCCAGCGCCTCCTCTGTCTTTTCGCTGACCCGGCGATTGTGCTTTTCTAGCTTTTTCTTGATCGTCTCGTTTTCCCGTGAAAATTTATTGTCGAATTTTGTCAACTGAGAAAATCATTTCAGGAATGATATTTTCAAGTTTATTCTTACTTGATTTTCTAAGCTTCTTATTTCAGCACTTTGGTCGAGTTTTTCGAACGACTGGAGGAGTTTTTCATTTTCATTTTCGACTTTTGCCGTTGCTTTTTCTAGCGCAAGTTGGAAGTCTTTTTCTTTTTCGGTTATTTCTTCGTTTATTTTCTTGATTTTTTCAGCAATTGCGATTTCTGTTTTTGTTATTTCTTCCTTAACATTTTTCGACGTCGCTAAAATTATGAAAATTTTAATATTTTGGGAATCAGAGCTGATTTACCAAGGCATGAAGCTTTATTTTCCCTGATTGCTTCTTTCAAATCCTGGAGCTCTTGTTTTCTCTCCTGATGATCAGATGATATCTTGTCCATTCGCAAGGACAAACGTTCGTTTTTACGATAGATTTCTTTCGCCAGCGGCTTGTTTATCGGATAGCATAAATTGACATTGAACGGTTAAAAATTATTACTTATTGACAATAAGTTATTGTTATGATTATTTACGATTCCTATGAGAAGGTCCTTTCTTTTGTGGTTCCAAAATGTAAGACCCCACATAAAGTTCCCGTGGCGAAATTGTCGTGCAGGTAAATTCATAGTTTTGATAAAATAAAGCTCAAATAATAAATTTCAATGTGTAAAAAAAAGTTTAATTGGCGGTTGAGTCAACGACCCAGCACACCTGAGCCGAGCATAATTGCCAATCTATCTGACCACAAACTGTCTCCCATGAAAACGAAAACACCCGAATCAGCAGATCAGAAGTCTGAGCTTTTCTAGTTCATTGATTTAGTTATTCCGATTCCTTGAGCTCCTCCGCTTGTCGAAGAGCGTCGGCAGTGGTTTTTTCGAAGGTGGGAATGATCGTGTTGTTGAGGACGTTCATGAAGTCGTTCATGTCACGACGTGCCTGGTTGACTAGCTGGACATTTCCAGTCACGCAGTCGCGGATGTCGCTGTCCGTGGTGCATACTAGCTTTCTGAAACGAGCAAAAATAAGCTAACTTTTCTTGCAATTGCAATTAGTTTTCGAATTTTCAAGAAATTTGGGGTCCTCAAGGTGACCAAATTTTGGTAAAAAAATCGAATTTTTTGGTCAAAATTTTATCAAAAATTATAAAATACCTTCGTTTTCGTCCTTGAACGGCCAAAATAACGACCAAAAAGACCCATTTCATAATTTCTCTTTTTTCATAATTTTCAGCTTTTCATTCTTATCGTCTCTCTAGTCCCGAAAGCTGTCAAAAAGCTGTTTCTCTCTAATCTTCAGCGTAAGGATTTTATGTTTTTGGTAAGTCGGGCGTCGCCTCTACTTTTTGGCTCTCATTTTTACGCTCACTCAGAATCTATGGCGCACTTTACAACTCCCACACTTACGCTTGGTTAGGGTTGCGCTCGCGTCTAAGCAAAATAAAACCAAGATTCCAGAGCTGGGCACTTAGACCAGCCAATGCCAAAGGCGAAACTCCTTGTTATGGTGATAAATACAGTATGTTTCGATGATATGATAATACCAATTATCAATTGGAAAGCGAGCTCTAGAATTTGGCTCTGCACCCTGTGTAAAAAACCTGAGTCAGGATTCGAAAAGCTCAAATCGCCGAAAAATGGCATTTCAAATCCTGACTCAGGTTTTCTACACAGGGTGCAGAGCCAAATTCTAGAGCTCGCTTTCCAATTAATAAAATTATCATATCATCGAAGCATACTGTATTTATCACCATAACACTTAAGGACTTTGGCCTTTGGTATTTTCCAAAGGTCAAGAAGCTAATCAGCAGCCGTCTTCTATGTTATTATTAGCAGCCCGCAGGGGTAAATTAATCAAAATCGGTCTTTTGGGAAAACGTTGTCCATCTGGCTACTACTCGAAAAATCCTATTTTTACAAAGAAAAATAATTTGCGATAATGTACATTTTAGGTAGGAAAGAGGCTGTCATCGCATCATTCGGGAATTTCCCGATTTTGGCCATTTTTCCTCGTCGCGTCTGCTGACAAGGGCGATTAGTGATTTTGTGAAGTATTAATGAAATTAGATTAAAAGAGGAGAAAAAAAAGCGAAGAAGGCCTTTTTGAAAATTGAAAAACTCAGCAAAAAGATGATGTTTTTAGTGACCGGGGCTTGTCTTGCCTTTTTCGTCCTGCTTATTGTCATCTTACTGATGTGCTACTGTAGGCTCTACTACGCCTGCAGACAGGAGAATCCAAAGGAAAGACAGAACTATCTTCACAAGAAATTCAAGTAAGTAAATGACACATTTCAGATCAAAAACGAATTCATTTTTTTATTAGCATAAAAGAGAAAAGGTTAAGGGTGTCAGAAGAAGTTAATCAAGCTTTTTCATTTTAAAATTTTACAAAAAAAAATAAATTGCAATTCAGATTTTCGCATCTGTAAATTTATGTCATCAGGTTGTGCGCGCGGCTCTAGCCATTATGTTTCTTCATTTTATTTTTTTACGCTAAGGACCCACAGTGAGGGACTTTAAATATACCTGTGGTCGCTGATTGCCATCATTTAATCGCGTTTTTTTATCAACCGCTAGAATCAACTTGGTTCAATCTATTAAACGAAATCGAACCACTCCTTGGTTCTCCTATTTTTATTCAGAAATTTTCTGAATTTATATAATTTCCCTCATTTTCTAGTCGATCTTTTTCAGATCGACAAAGTCATCACCTTGTCCTCATCGAGTAAGCAATGAGCGCGCCAAAAGAGGGATTCGCGGGGCTTTCGCAAAGAACACAATGACTGGTCTCCTCATTTCCGGCCCTTCAAACAACCCTTCCCCGGAAGTGCCAAAGAAGACCTCTTCCAACCATCTGGACTCGGGCACAACGTCTCGCCCAGTTCCAGTCAGATTCAACAACAATCCACGTTTCATCTCTGTTTGATTCTGTTTTCAATCGAAACAATCTTTCATCTTGCCAATTAAACGATTCGAACCACGCAGGCAAAACGTGAGAAGCAGGATGAAATAATATTATGTACTTGAGGTTGACAAAATAATTAATGCAAAAATTATGCAAAGATCGAGATTATACTTGACACCGGCATTCTAGGGCCGTCTAGTCGACATTTCCACTCTCCAATCCAATTTTTAATTAAATAAACCTTTAATTTGATAAAGTCTTTTTGCGAAATCATTCATCGAGGAGGCATTTAGACATTCCCAGCTGCTATTTTAGCCACTGGGTATAGAAATAATGTTCTAAAGCAAAATTATATAAAAGAGAAAGAGAATCGAAAGAAGACCAAAATTGAAAAAGATGATTTTCTTATTGACCGGAGCTTGTCTTGCCTTTTTCATCCTTCTTATTGTCATTATACTGTTGTGCTACTGTAGGTGCTACTACGTCTGCGACCCGAAGAATAGGATGGAAAGACAAAACTATCGGCACATTCGATTGCTCTTGCTGTTAGACTAATTAGAAAAATATAAAACTAGAATTCCAGAATCTTGTTTCTGCAAAAAATATGGTAGTTTGGCCAATGGCAACTTAACAACAGTCCAACTCACTTTTTCACGATAACTAGGGTAACTCTCCTTTGCAAATTATTTTATGCAACTGAACTTGAATTAGCATATAAAACAATAATTTATTCAAGAACCTAAGCAAAGAAGCCATACAAGAAAAACGTCAAACACGTTATCGCGACTGCGCCAATATTCGCAGCGCGCTCCCATTTTTTGTCTTCGACGATCGAGAAGCCTTCGATGTTGTATTTCACTTGCTTGTTGGGGTCGACTTCGTTTTTGAACCAGCGTCGTTGGATTCGAGCGCGGAGGCCTTTCTTTTCTTCCTGCTGGATTTCCACTAGAAATGAAGGGTTATTTCTAGTGCAGCTAGAATTTCAAGAATTCAAGAGCGAATGGTTTGATTTAGATTGAACCAATATATGGGTCGATATAAGTCATGATAAGAATGATTGCAATCATTATCAGGGGGATATAAGAGGGAGACATTGAACCAGATTTCAATTTGAATTTCGAATAGAAATTTCGCTAAAAATTTTGATTCCTGAAGAGAATGAGGAATAAAATGAAAAAACGAAAATAAACGAATTTGACGCACCCGTAGCCACTAATCATCGAAAATCATTAATAAATATAAATCATTATCTATTGACTACACGATAAAATATTTCATCGAATTATTATTTTAAAATGAACATCTTCAAAATTTTAATCACCGTCTAATTTAGAAGCCCACAGCAAAATGAATAAACAAAAAACCAAGTTGTATCTGCACCACTGTCAATCTCAGTTTGAAATGAAAATACAACAACACAATAAAAAAAAGTACCTTTGGGTGAGACAATTTCTGCCATTTCGTGTCGTTGCCTTGAAATTGCCGACATAGAAACACGGGGCTTTGGATGGAAGCGGCTCCAGAAAGTTAGACGACGAATCTACAGAATTTGTAATTAAATAATGATCAATTATCATCTCTTAGATCGTGTTTAGCAATAAACTCACATATTTGGGGTGAATAGGTGGTGTAAGTAGTGACACGACGGCAGTGACAATCGCAACAAACGCGGATAAAACCAAAGCAAAGTGCAAATAATGCACCCTAAAACAATGATTACACGATTCAATATTTTGCACCTGCCAAAACATAAACGTGCTAAACTTTAAACATAATTAGCTAAACTGGTGTTTACTTGACGAGCACCAATGATCTGCTATCAGCCTCGCCGCAACCGGGCTCGGCAGATGTAAATTCAAGCATCATTCTAGTGCAGCCAACGATAAGGCCAAGTGTCATTCCCCAAAACGCGCCCGGCTCGTTTGTCCGCGACCAGAAAATCGCCATGGTAAAGACCACAGCGATCGGCGGGCAGAGGAAGTTTGAAACTGACTGGATGTAGACAAACAGCTGTCCACTGTTGGAATTGGCGATGAATGGGAGCCACAAAATCGAAATACCTAAAAAAATTTTCTGCTGCAAAAAAAAGATTGACTTACCGATGAGGACAAGCATAAACAACCTTCCAATCAAAATCAACTCCAAGTTTCCGGCTTGTTTACGGAAGCGCTTCCATATATCCATCGTAAACAAGGTAGAGCCAGAGTTAAACGTCGCCGTTAATGATGACATCAGTGCCGCTGAAAACAAAATTAACCCAAAACAAGAAATGATCAATTTTCAAACCGAGCATGACTGCGAGCAAAAGTCCTTTGAGCCCATTCGGCAAAATGCGCATTACAAGCGTTGGATAAGCCACATTTGTACAGCCACTTTCAGTGCCGCAAAAGGCCTTGCAAGTTTCCGCGTTTGTGCAAGCAATTTCATCAGGCCACAAAGCTCTAAAATACCCGATTTACGACTTCCTCAATGGCGCGATTTCGCGGCTACCTTGAAATCATTCCTGGCACCATCATCAAAAACACCGGGAGTACTTTCAAAACCGAAGCGCAAACACACCCAAGTTTTCCATGACTCAAGTCCTTCGCCGAAAGCGTTCGCTGGACAATGACCTGGTCCGAGCACCAGTACCAAATGGAGCCCACCGCCATTCCAAAGACGACACCGGGCCAGGGGAAATCTGGATCATCGGCCGGTCGAATGATGTTGTTCCAGACGGCGGGTGGGTACAAACACTCGTCGGAAATTTCCGTGCCGTTGACGATCAAGTTGTTGTCATTCTGCGGCGCAGAGCAAGGGTAGTCCTTGGAAAACAAACCACTGAAGCCTCCGTCAATTTCCGCCAAACCCATGAACAGAAGAATGAATCCACCAACAACCATAATAATTGTTTGAACTCCCTCCACGTAAATGACCGCTTTTAATCCTCCAGTAACGGCGTAAACAGCAGTGATAGCAAGGAGGACAATGACAGAGAGATAAATATCCCAGCCCAACGCGACTTGAATGAAAATAGAGCCGGCGAATAAGTCGGCTGAGATTTTGGTGAAGACATAGAGGAGAAGACTCAAAACGGCCAAGAAGCTTCGAATTCGCTGGCCTCCAAAACGCTCTCGCAAGTATTCGGGCATTGTAGAAATCCCTCCGGCAGTATAAACGGGAAGAAAGAGCCAGCCAAGAACCAAGAGAATCACCATCGCGTTCCATTCAAAGGCTCCGACGGCGAGGCCGTTCGCAGCTGCTGTTCCTGCTAAGCCAACAAAATGACCCGATCCGATGTTTGACGAAAAGAGTGACGCAGCTACTGGAATAAAGTACATCGATCGCGAGGCAAGAAAGAAGTCGCTCGCTTCTTGATCAGCCCCGGCTTTCTTCCGCTGCCGATTTGAATAAATCGTGACTCCGAGGCCGGTGAATATGACGATTGCAAAGTACCCACCGATAACGCCATAATCGGCAGCGTTCAAACTGTCGTCGTAATTTTTCGTGCTTGGTGTGTATTCACTACAGTCATCGCCTGAAATATAGGTTGATCCCTGATGAGCTGAGCTCGGAAGCCTGTGTAGAAAAACTGAGTCAGGGTCTGAAAATCTTTATTGAAAAGTGACCTTCAGACCCTGACTCAGGTTTTCTACACAGGTTCCCGAGCCGAGAACTTCGCAAATTGTGAGAAAAAAGTCTATTTGAAAATCGGTTTCAACGATGTTTACCCCCGATAAATCATTACTACTATCAAGAAAGTTAGTTACCTCCAGGACTGATTGGAGAGAGATAATCCATCTCTTCGGACTTTGTTTTTGCCCACTCCCCTCACAGGAGAAAAAACAGAAAGAATCTCTTTCCTTGTCAAAAAGTCTTTTTGACACTTGATAAATATTGAGGAACTTATGAAGCGATTTGCGAGCGACATTGTTAGAGCGAAGTGATATTTGCCGATGCAGGCGGTGGACGAACTATTTTAAACATAAAATTTTTTCGATAAAAGATTTACTATTTTCACCGGGCAAACTTTTTTCTTGCTGAGTTCTTATATAATTTCCACGCTATCGGCGAAGTGGAATTGGTGAAGCTTTTATTCGTTCTTATTTTTGTACAGAAAAGTGCAGCGTGATTTTGAAAGTTGGAAGCTTTGAAGAAAATATTGCAAAAAGAAGGGACTTTTAAATTACTGGTATTCGTAGTCATTCATGTAACGTGGTTTTGTTCTGGGCGGAATCGGTCTGAAGCTGTCGGATCTGGTCGTATCTTGCCCGTGAGGTAGCGTTGTCCGGCCAGAATAGCTGGTTCCAAGAGTGTTGTCCGAGGGCATGAATCCATGTCCGTCACTTGGTCTTCGAGAAAGTTCAGTCGAACATTGCAAGTTATTTTTTATACCTGTGCATAGGCATTGATGCTCCTCTAGTTTTGATCCCGGAAGAGTAATCATAGCCTGAATCTTTGCGGCAGTTTTTAACGGCCAACACAATGCCTACAATCGCGCCAATTAGCAAAATACTCGCTCCAATAATGGCAACGTAGAAAATCACTTTGGGCAGGCCGAGTATTTTCTCGGTCGCAGTCGTCGATGCTATCGTGGTCGGATTCGTTGATTCGGTTGTTTGCGGTACCTTTTTCGTTGTAGATTTGGCTGTTGTTGTCTTCGTTGTCGTCGTGGTTGTTGTCACGATAACGCACTAAGGAGAAGAAAGAAGGGATGAAAGAGGTGGGGGCTTACCTTTCTGACGCCGTCGATTTTCTTGCAAGCCTGGCCACTAGGACAAGGGTTGTCTCTTTTATTACATTGTTGTATGCAAGAATCTCCGTCCATGAACCAGCCTTCTTTGCAAGAACAACGGAAAGAGCCTGGCTGATTTGTGCAGACTTCCTAAAACAAAATATCCCCCTTTCTATTTTTTGAAAAGAAACTTTACCGACTCGGCGCAGGGGTAGGTAAAAGCTTGGCATTCGTCGATGTCTTCACATCCAGTGATGAGATCTCTGTACCCGGGTTTGCAGTTGCACTCGTAGCTTCCTAGCGTGTTGGTGCATTGGGCTCCCTCGCCGCAGGGATCATTCCAGCACTAGAAAGATCGATCGAATGATGAGTTCTTCAAGCGAGAAACTTACCTCGTCAATGTCTTGACAAGTTCTTTTGTCTTCTACGAGTTCGTATCCCCTTTTACAGGCACATTCATAATCGCCCTCCGTGTCCTTGCAGTACCCATTATCATCGCATTCATGCGTCCCGGTAAAACACTCGTTGATATTGAAGCATAATCGTCCATTCCTCGCCAGCTCGTAGCCACTTCGACATGAGCACGTGTGACTGCCCGCGGAATTCTCGCAAAAATGATCGCACCCGCCATTTTCGTCCGCGCATTCGTCAATGTCCTGGCAAACGTCCGAGTCCTCGAGTTTGGCGAATCCGGAGTGGCATTTGCATTCAAAACTTCCGAGGGTATTTTGACAGTCGCCGTGCTCGCCACAGGGGTTCCTCTTGCTAAAAATATGAAAAATAAAAAGGGAAAAGAAACCCAAAAATGTTACCATTCGTCAATGTCGTAGCAATTTTTTCCGTAAAACAGATCAAGTTCAAATCCATCAGCGCATTCTTTGCAGTGATATGAGCCCTCTGTATTTGTGCATTTCCGATCATCAGGACAAACCCCTAAAAATAATTGACAGTTTTGCGTCCAATAAAAATCTTTTATCAACAATTAAGGACCCCAAACGAACGCTAACCTGCATCAAATGAAAAAACATCCGGTTCTTCTGTACATTCATTTCTATCAACACAAACTCCATCGATCTTTTCATATCCTTCTTCGCATCTCTTTGCTTCTGCTTGTAATAACTGTAATGATAAGACGAACAGCAGTCTCAGACTTCTGATCATCTTCTTTTCTAAGAATATGTCTCTTTTTTCTCCCGCTTCTTTTTTCTTTTTATTTCTTTTCGGCTCTTTTTTGAATTTTATGTTTTTTGATGCTCGTAATTCCGCTCGTGCTCTGCGCTCTGTCTCTTGGTTTGATCGTTTCTCACCTATGACAGGAAAATGAGTATCGAGGTGATTTTTTGATGATCACCAATTATAGCAATTATTTTTTCGGTCTTTTTTTTCAACCCTCCTCTTTTGATCGAAGTGATATTTTTCGGAGCTAGAGCTTCAAGTAGGCCCCAAGGCACAACGAAATTCCTTCGCAACTGTGAGAGCGAAGTGAAAATGTCAATTATTCAATGAGGGCTTTGGAATAAGTCAATCGACGGCTTTAGTTGTTTGACACTAAGTTTACTGAATAAGAGTAGCGTGTTTTTACTACATGAATTATCAAGTTTATGATGTAAAATCCTAATCAGATCTGGCAATAAACAAGAGTGGAGACGACTGATGATTGAAAATGATTGAATGAGCCTGTTTTCTCGAAAATCAACATTGTGATGACCTTATTTTAATTCGCCGAAAGAAGGAGTGATCATTTCTCAAGTTCTTTCACAGCGAAAATTAGGGTGTCACTATGTTAACTGGAGGAATCTACTGAATTCTGATTCTGAATTGTATCGGTAAAGATTTAACGTAGTGACACCCTTATTTTGCTCAAAAATCACTCTTTCTTTTGGCGATTTCAAATAAGGTCGTCACTCTGTCAATTCTTCGAAAATAAGCCAATTCAATCATTTTGAATAAATTGATTTCGGAAAACAAAAATACTAACCGTTTCAGAAGCATTTCATTGATTTCCTGAAGAGCTGATTCAAGATGAAAAAGAAATCTCTCAAGTGGACTCTTTGGGACCTGGGCAAGGTTGTAATTAGTCGCGCGGAACGATAAACGATTGAGCTGCTGGGGCTTTATTTTTTTCGTTGGCTGTTCAAGTCTTCAAGTCTTCATTGTCACGGCCGCTTTGTTCAAGTCTAAGTGACGCACCTCCGGAAAAATTTTTCTTTTCACAAAACTGGAGGGCTTCATAAATACGCTCAGCATTAGCGCGTCTATTCACGACCAAAGTTGATTTTTCGCCGTGGACTTGGCTCTTTTTCTTTCAATTTTTAAAAGGAAATACTGCGTTTGAATGAATTTATTGAATAACATGTCATGCATCCTGCTCTTCTTCTACCCTAGAATCGTTCAAGCGTACCAGAACTTTGCACACGGCGCGCGTGCAAACCCCTAAATGAAACTTGGCGCGCGATACAGAAAAATGATCCTCATGCCGAGTTCTACCTAACCGTATAGGTTTCATCCCTTCAAAATTATTTTCAACCCTTTTTTCTATCAAAATATTGGTACCAGGCCCAGACTCAGCTTTTCCCCACAGGTAAATTATCTTGAATCTTATTATTATGCTCTTTTATTAATTCTGATTTCTTATCAGTGATAACTTATCAGCAATTAGCAGAGAAAGCCTATCTCCAGCTCCCCAAATTTATAAAGGCAGTGCGCTCCAATCAGCGGGGAGCTGTACTCAGAACGAACCAAAAAGGTGATTCTCCCCGCACCTTCCATTTTTATGAGAAATATTTCGTCAGATAGAGAACTCCGAAAAAGAAAACGCTAGAATTTCCTCCAGTCTTTTTAATTGATTTCTTTCGAGAGAAAAAAGTCTATTTTTTTTAATTATTTTGATAAAAATACTAAATTTAATTAAAAAATTCTCGATAAAAGACATTTTTAATTCATTTATTAGCATTTTATTGTTTAAATTGATATTCTTTTATTTTCTTTTAAATTTTGAAATCGGCGTTTTTATTTGTTTTACGCGATTCGTGTTTTCAGAGTTCGTAATTTTTTATGCTTGGGCGTCAAATCGTGAAGCGCACAGTTTCGCGGCAGAGCGAATTTCGAGAAATGTCGCATTTGGCGGACAGAGTCAAGAATCCAGATGTACAGAAGAATGTCTGGGTCGAGTTCGTCGGTCTTGCCATGGAGAATCAGGCGCTCAACGTCGGCCAGGGTTAGTAAAGAGCATATAGCGGCTTTTCTAGCGTTTATTTGCTCTGTCTGTAATAACATTGTATGTGCTTATAATGAGCAAATTAAGGATTTCCGAATTTCCCGCCGATTCAGCACGTGATGGACGGATTGTCGAGCATTCCCGTGGAGAATCATTTGAACAACCAGTACACCCGTGGATTTGGGCACGCCCCCTTCATCCAAGCTCTTGGAGATTTTTACGGACCCCTGTTTGATCGAAAATTGGACGTCCACAACGAAATTTTGGTCACGGTCGGAGCTTACTACTCTCTTTACGCCGCTACTCAAGGTATATTTCGACTGACAGCAAATTTTTTTAGCAAGAAAAAATTCATTCTTCATTGTTCTTTTCAGCTCTGATCAACCCTGGCGATGAAGCGATCATCATCGAGCCCTTCTTCGACTGCTACGCCCCAATGGTCCGCTACGCCGGCGGAACTCCCAAGTTCATTCCTCTTAAACCAGCTGGAAAAGCGAACGACGCAAACGACTGGAAGCTCGATATGGATCATTTGCAGTCGCTGGTTACTGACAAGACGAAAGTGATCTTCTTCAACAATCCAAACAATCCGCTCGGCAAAGTCTTCACTCACGAAGAAATTCAAGGTCAGGAAAGAAAAGGTTGAGAAAGAAATTGAACGAAATTCTAGCGCTCTGCGATTTCTGCATCAAGAACGATATCATCTGTCTGGCAGACGAAGTTTACGAGCATTTGGCTTACAATCCCCAGCCTCATCTCAGGTAAAGTCGTTCAAGAAAGAGCTGAAAACAGAATGTTTGTAGAATTGGAAACTACCCGGGAATGTACGAAAGAACGATTACCATGGGTTCGGCAGGAAAGACCTGGTCTTGCACTGGATGGAAAATCGGATGGTCGATTGGCCCACCAGATCTCATCAAAGCCATGCAGGTAAGTAGCGCTAGAATTTGTTATTTATTTCATGCATTTATTATAGATTGTCTGGCAAAACTCAATCTACACCTGCGCCACTCCGCTCCAAGAAGCGTGCGCTCGATCCTTCCGCCTTGAAATGGAGCGTCCCTTCGATGGACACCCAAAAGACAACCCAGACTCGTACTTCAGAACTCTTACCGAAGTCGAACTCAAGCCAAAGCGGGAAAAGATGGCGAAAATCTTGGAAAGCGTTGGAATGAAGCCGATCATTCCCAATGGCGGTTACTTTATGATCGCTGATGCTAGTCCCTTGGCAAAGATTATTCCAGAAGCGGAACTAGATGATTCCAATGATCCGTGGGATTATAAAGGTACTGGCCCACTGCTCAATCGATTCTTTTATCGCTTCGTTTTCTAGCTGTTCGCTGGATGTGCCGCCAAAAGAAAATCGCCGCGATTCCCAACTCCGCCTTCTACAGCGAAGGCCACAAGAAAGAGTACGAAAACTACATCCGCTTCTGTTTCGCCAAAGACGACGCCACGCTCGATAAATTCGAAGAAATGATGGTCGCAGGCTTCAAGCAATAAAAATACCTTCTATTTATTTAAATTTCCTTCGCGTTCAACTATTCTATTTCATTTTTCTTTTCATCACTGTACTCCTAAAAGAATCAATTACAAAAAGTCAAATCAGTTCCAAATAAAAATCATACCATGTCGTGTTAAAAATCGATTTGCTTTCTTGTTTCACTTCACATGCAGAAGATTGAGCTCGGCAGCCTGTGTAAGAAACCTGAGTCAGGGTCAGAAGGCTCTTTAGTAAAAAACTTCTTATTAAGAATTATCGAAAAGGAACAGAAACAGCTAGAAATCTCCAAGAACTGGACGCAGCCGTGTCCAAAATGACGGAAGATCCGCAGTACGACAATTACCTGAAAATCGTCCATGAGAAAGTGTGTCTCAAAAAAGACCTGCAGGACACGTACCGTTCTCTCCAAAAGAATCTGGCGGTCAATCCAGATCCGCAAGAAAAGGCGGCGCTGGAGAAGGTCATGGACGACATCAACAGAGCGGATGATTTGATCATTTCCTACCAACACAAGATCGAAAAAATTCGCGAAACGAAAGAATCGCAAATGCCCCAGAGAGCGCAAACCATCGAAAGTAATTTCAATTTCTCGTTTTAAAAAACTATTCGTTTCTTAGTTCACCTGCACAATGGAACTTGCAATGTGACGTCGCACCAAGAAAAAACGATCGAAGAAGTTTGCAAAATGAATAACCGCTTTTGCTCGATTGATCTTTCAAAAAGCCATCTTGAAATGCACACTTTTGATTCTGCTGGAAAGAAAGAACGGGTAAATCGAAAGTTTTCAATTCTCGTTCTTCATAAAAAAAACTCTTCAGAAATTAATAAACTGGCACGAGACGTCAATTAAATACGCAAATTCGGAGCTCTGGCTGAAAACAACAGATGAGGCTTATTTGCGAAGCGTTGCTCCTTACACTCACAGTTTCGTCGTCAAAAAGAAATCGAGGAAAAACTGCTCTGTTTGCGGAAAGACCTTTTTGTCCCTCCCCCGAAAGCTCTGGAAGTGCACGTAAGAACTCAAACTTTCAACCCTTTTTCGACTCTTTTTTCAAGCTATTCGGATCCTGAGAAGAGAAAGACCTGCGGGCTGATCGTCTGCACTCAGTGCAAAGACAATAACATCACCAAGCCGTGCATATCGGTTGACGACCCGGTCGGAATTTACAAAAGACAGGAAGAGGAAAACAACGATTTGGACACTTGGAAGGCTTCTTCTGAGGAGGTCAGTTTTCCAGCTTGATTTGGGGGGTTTCTTCTTATTCTACAGACCCAAAAATGAGCGTCTGCCTTCGGCAAGCTATGAAGAAAACCTGAGTCAGGGTAGGAAAGATCTTCTACGCAGCTTTTCGGTAAAGATCTTTCAGACCCTGACTCAAGTCTTCTACACAGGTTGGCAAGCCCAGACTCAGTATTTTACACAGATAAGCACACTTCTTTTTTATAGGTCAAAGACTGGAACCCAGTCGGTCAAGGAACCTGGGGCGTCGTCTACAAAGCCAAATGGCATGGGCCAGTTGCGGTGAAAGAATTAAAGTGCAAAAATCCAACGGACGAAGAAGTAAGAATTTTCGAAAACGAAGTTCGAATGCTGCGAAAAACCAGACACGAATATATCATCCTTTTTATGGCATATATTTGCGAGCCGGAAAAGAGTAAACTTGCGATCATTATGTCTTGGTGCGAGAGGTAGCGTGGATTCTAGTAGAATTGATGATAAAGGAGGGTTTAGTTCGCTGTATAAAAGGATGCATGTCAAGTGCGAGAAAATGACGAGATTGGAAGCGATCAGTATAGCCAGCCAAATCGCACAGGTAAAAAACTGAAAAGCTACAATTTTGCTTTTTCCCTGAAACTACATTTTGGTTAAGAATTTCATTAAAAAGACTATCGATGAATTACCATAAGAATTTTTTGGCCGAAAAAAATTTTTTTGAGATAAGAACATATTCTGAAAGCCCAAGTCGAAATTAGTCGATTCCCAAATTTCTAGGGCTCAATGACGTCAGTATGACGTCATTTATGATTATTAAATGTCCGAAAAGGCTCCTAATTCATGAAACTTTGGAACGCTTTTTGAGGCGGTTTTTGCTGGAAATAGATTTTCCTATTGATGGTATGTTGTTCGCCATCAAAAACTACGTAGGGACCCGAGGTTTATTTTTCGAACCGGCCGGTTTCAAAAATTGAACCGGTCGGTAATGGTTGATATTCAATGGTTTGATCCCGGGTCCCTACGTAGTTTTTCATGGAAAATCCGAATCCGCCGAGAAAAATAAAATTAAAAAACGTTTTCGGCTCGAAAAAGCGTTCCAAACACAAAATTTCCAAATCAGCCCAATGACGTCATAATGACGTCATCTGACCCTAGAATTTGATGATTCTGTATAACTTTTTACGGGCTTTCAGAATATACCAATATCTCAAAAAAAATTTTTTTGCCCGAAAAATTCTTATGGTAATTTATCTATCATGGATGTTTGTCTAGGGAATGGGCTATCTCCACTCAAAAACCGTCGGAATCCTCCACCGGGATCTCAAATCTGCAAATATCTTTCTCCAGTCCGACGCAAAAAGATCCGTGAAAATCGGCGATTTTGGTCTGGCAACGACCAGCGCCGCCCGCGGTTCTTCAAAAGGCGGATCTTTTCGCGACAAAACTCTTGGTTCAATTCCATGGATGGCTCCAGAACTCTTCAGAACGCCAGCTCCGTACTCGCACGAGTCGGACATGTACGCGTTCGGATGCGTTTTGTACGAAATATTTGCTGGGGAAATTCCTTACGCGGCAAAACCGGATCTGAGGCAAGAGAAGATTATTTTCCGCGTTGGTGCTGGATTGATGAAGCCCGATTTGACGAGGCTCAATCCTAGAGAGGTAGAGCAAGGAAAGTTTTGAATATAAATCTAATTGAATGATTCAGGGAGCGGAGAAAATCGTCGGCGCAGAATCCTGTCCGGATGAAATCCGCGAAGTTATGAAAAAATGCTACGAAAGAAAACCCGAAAATCGCCCAAAGTTCGAAGTCGGAGAGCAAAACCTTGTCGAAATCTTCAACACTCTCGAAGCACGCGAAAACGAGGAAATCAATCGAATTCATCAGCAACAGCGCGCTCAAGAAAGACAAGTTCTGCGCTCGCAATCGTTAAATACTGCACAGCACTGCTACTACGGAACTAATAATTGAACTAAATTTCCTGATTTTCCGAATCCTCAATTCTTTATTTTTGTTCAATGTAAAATAATTTGTCCAATGTTCATTCCTCTTGTTTGCTACTTCTGGATCTTTTCTTTCAATCGAGTTTAATTACATGTTAATGACCTAAAAATGTCCTAAAAAAATCCTTCTTTTGCGCAAAAAACTGTTCATTCTCTTCAACTTCCAAAGCTGAACAAAGTAAAATAAAGTTATATGAAACTTCTTCAAATTTACGTTTCCTATTCTTTCTTGAATCAAACATCTTTCTGAAAGGGATGAGAAAGAGAACTCGCGGTTCAAAAAGTTTTGACCACGATGGGACTCGAACCCACAACTTCCTGATTCGAAGTCAGACGCCATATCCATTAGGCCACGCGGCCAGCCGAAGGAGGCTCTGTTCTAGTGCATCATTATTCTTCTGACTCATAAACCTTTAATATTCATTAATAAAACCCTTTCTTATAGAAATGGGACGAGTGAAACTGAGTAAGGAAGAGCGTTTCGTTCAGAAATATCTGAAAAGGAATGGGCATTTGGAAGTGCTGAAGGTTTTTGAAAGAGGATTGGAAGAAAAGGGAAAGAAAGGTACTGTTTTATTTTTAATTATTGAAATAACAAACTGTAGTAGAGCGTCAATCGAAAAAAGCCAGCTCAGAGGAACCAAAGACTCAAGCTAGAAAGAAATTGGAAGAGAAGACACAGAAGAAGAAAGTGAATGATGAAATCAAGGAAGAAAATGAATCCTCGACTTCAAATGGTACGAAATTTCCCTTTTCAGTGTCGTCAATGTCTTTTTTAGGCGCTATTAAACCGTGAAACTCAGCTTTGCAATACAGAAACCGCCTGAGAGAAAGAAAATAGAATTGGAGCCATTGAAAGCGAAGAAAAGGGCGCATAAAGAAGAAGAAATAGAAGCTGAACCGAAGACTGTCGACATTCCAAAAGATTTCATGAAAATTGCCAAGCGGTTTGGATTGCCAGAAGAGCATCTTGATTTTTTCTACGAGCACAGAACATCGTTCAACTGGGAATATAAAGACAAGACCGATATTCATTGCACAGAAAGAAACTGCAAATTTACGACTAGAATTAGTCAAAAATGTCTTCATGATCATATGATTTCTGTTCATGATTATACAGAAGTAGCGTGCGGCCATGTTGACTGCTCTTATATTGCCTATTCAAAGACAAATCTTAATCGTCACAAAGCCCATTTTCACGGACATGGGCAGAAGCCAACTGCATATGGGTACCATTCTTGCCCGTATCCATCATGCAAAAACTCATTCAGTAGGCTTCTTTTTCTTCGCCGACATCTCAATGTCCATGAAAATAAGCTTCTTACTTGCAGTTATTGTCCATATAAATGTAACCAACCTCAAGAGCTACATAACCACTTGAGTCAGCACTTCAATATTAAAAATTTTATTTGCGATAGTTGCTCTAAATCATTTACTTCGACCAGTGAATTAAATAAACACACTCGGACAGTTCATTCTACTGAAGATTTTGAATGTCAAGATTGTGAATTCACAGCGAAAGCTTATTACGACTTTAGAAATCATAGAAATATATGTGAGAAACGTCTTCTGCACTCGAGAATTCTCTGAAATCCGCAATAACGCCGTATATTGATAAATATTATTAAAACTCGTTAAGAATGTACTCGATGAATGTAGAAATTCCATTTGAAACTGAAAGACACGCAAAAATCGCGTTGAATTCAGTTATTCAAGACGAAGAGCCTCGCGCTGGAACGCATATTGAACGGTAAAAACGAAAGCTGAAGAACTGCCCCTCTTATCTTATCTCTAGAAAAATATCTGTAGAAAGGAATCTGCTGAAAGTCTCATGGGAAGCCGAAGAAGCCCGTATTCTCAGAACCTCCGCCCAAAGCCTTTTACAACTGCTTGTTTTAGTGACGCAAACTATCGAACAATTCGACGGTCTCGAGTGAGAACAACCATCATCTTTCATTTCTATTTCAGAATTTTAAAATGGAACGGACAGAAAGTCGGAATCGCTCAAAGCTGCGTGATTTCTACAAATCGCAAGCGCGTGAAAACGCTGAGCTTGTGCGGAACCCGCAGTTTAATCTCGACTCGAGTCAGTTTCAAAAGGATCAGTTTATTGACGGCGTTCTCCGGCAAATGCCCCTAGCTGCGTTGCTGCAGAAAGAGAGGGAAATTGGAAGAGAAATAAGCACTCTCGATCAGAGCATGCAGAGCTTGGTTTACGATAACTACAATAAGTTTATCAAAGCAACAGATACCATCAAACAAATGAGGTAAATACACTAATCGAGAAACCAGTAAAAATTCCCAAATAAGGGTCGACTTCAAGGACATAGAAAAATCCATGGACGAGCTCGTCTCCGAAATGTCCCAAATCTCCAAACTTTCCACAAGCCTCAATTCGAAAATGAAGCCCTGCCGCGAAGAAGTCGCCGATCTCGTCGAGCAACAAGAAACTCTGACTAAAATGCAGTTTCTTTTCGAGCTCCCAGCAGAGCTGAAACGAAAAATCGAAGAAGGAGACTTTGAATCGGCGGTGCAAGATTATGTCAAGGCGAATTCGGTGCTGAGGAATTACGAGAATCACCCTTCTTTCAAATCGATTCAAGAGGAATGCGAGCTGGAGTACAAGTCTTTACTGGAGAAACTTGAGGAGCCATTTTCGAACGTCGATAGCAAGGAAGAATTACTCATTCGCTGCATTCGGTTATTGGGAAAACTTGAGATTGAAAACAAAACATCGACCCTCGCCCAAGAATTCTTAAAAACTCGGATCAAAAAATCAACGCAAAGAACAACAATTTGGAATCTTTTTCTGCTCAGATCAGTGCCGTCCTCGCAGAGATTTGCGTGAGCATCACTTCATTCAAAAACATCTTTCAATCGAAGAATTTGGAATCATCCCTTGTAGCACAGCACGCTCATCAATCCTTGAAAGGTCACGTGAACGATATTCTCGAAGAATTAACGGATGATTTTTCTGAGATTCTCGTGACCAATGATCTCTCTGATGACCAGCTTTCGACGTCCCTTGATCTTTGGTATTCCAAGCTTTCCGCGACCGCCCAAATCTTGCCAGAACTCAACTTGACCGGAAGATCAGAAGAACTCGTCGTCAATCAAGCGAAGATCCGACACGATTCGATCAAAAAATCGTTGTTTATGAAGCTAGAAGAAGAAATCTTAAACATCGAGAAATCCGAGTCTCCTGGAGCAACAAATGCATCAATTTTAAATCTGATTCAAGAATCGCAACACCAACTGGATAAATTCTTCACGATGTCGAAATCATACAGCCAAATTGAATACTTCTTGGTCGAATGGAATGACATGACTAAAACTCTCCGGTAAGCTTGCATCTTCGATATGTATTCGAACGAGAATTCTAGTGTCGATGCAGTTGAACACATCGCATCATTTTGCCAGAAAACTCTTCAGACAGCTCATCCAGCTCTTCTATTTCCCCTTTCTTCTTTAGCAAGTATTTGGTCAGAAACAACCGTCGACCAATGTATCGAACGCAAGGATCGCCAAACCGTAAATCGATTGAAAATCAGCTTCAGTCAAATTTGCTCGGCCGCGCTGAAAGAGCTCGTTCTCATCAGAGGTTGCCACTGTGCTGAACTTATTCATCGGAGCGTCATGGCCAAGGGTGAGTCTTCCTAGATTTCCAGACAATCTAACCAGCTATGCTTCTGTAGACTGGCTGAATACATCTGAGCCACGAGGACCCCGACCGATAGTCAAAACATTCATCGACGAAATTCGAAAAATAGACGAAGAATGCTCAAAATTTATGCGCCAAGGTGTTCGCCCAGCCAAATCGACCCGCTCTGGCTCCATGAGAATCGAAACCCTTTCCCAGCGCTCTAATTTGAATATTCAAAGACTCTTCACGGACAAAATTGAAATCTACGATGTTGTGCAATCAACAACGATTTCAGTCACATCTGGCATTATTAAAATTGCGCTGAAGGCGATGCTCGAAAGTGTGAGACTGAAGACTTTTAGCTCTTACGGATTACAGCAGATTCAAGGTAAATTACGATGGAAATGGAATTTTACAGGCCATTTTTAGTCGATTTATCGTGTCTCCATCACATTCTCTGGCGATATTGCGAAGATGAAAGTCACATGAGCACAATTTCGGACGAAATTCTACAATCTGCGGCGCTGAGAGCGCTAGAAAGAGAATTAATGGAGGCTGATGTAATCGATCTTATAGTCGAAAAAGCTCAACTCGCCTGATCTTTTTTGATTTTTCCATGTTCTTCAACTCTACATCATTCATACTCATTCAATGTGCAATCAAAGTGTGTATTCTTAAAGAAGTTCTGAAAAGCGATGGCTTAAAATAGGGTTGTTAAGAAGTTTTTGCAAAAATGAGATGATATCGGTTCGTCATCCGTTGATTGAGAGCAGACCTACTCCAACATTTTGCGATGTTTGCTACGAGTTCAAAAGAGTTCTATTTTCCTCTTTTTTCCTTCTTTTTGAACCCAAGAACAGTAATAAAATTGCATTCGGAGTACTGTACAAATGCAAGTCGTGCAATCTCGTCTGCCACAAGCCCTGCAAAGACCTAATCAAGTTCAGCTGCCAGAATCAGCCTCAAAGTGCGAGGGTTAGTTTTTTACTTGTTGTCCCTTTTTCATCCGTTTTTAGGAAAATCAGCAGTTGATGAAATCACCTCCTGAAGAAAAATTCGACACGATCAGAAGGACTTTCTCTAATCCTCAATTAGCCAGTAGACTGGAACGATACAATCAGACAGTAAAGAACTCTTTCGTCATGCAACTGCGGAAGGATTACAGTTTTACTGGCTACATTCGGGTGGAATTGGAATTGACGAGACCGATTACAGTTTTGGATGGAAATTTGAACGAACCAGAAGTGAAATATCTTCCGAAAAATACAGTCAAAGCAATTTACCTGACCAGCCAGACAACTGCTAGTCAAGTAGTCAAGGCGCTTCTTCAAAAGGTAGAAAAAGAATCACTGATTTTTCACTAAAATGTAACTTTTCAAGTTCAAAATCACAAACGACCCGCGAAAATTCATGCTCTGCGAGCGAATCCAGAAGGGTCGCAAGGGAGAAAGCCACGTTACTATACGGTTAGTAGAACAATGACCACTTTAGCTCAATTCCCGCTCCACTTGAGAGCGGAGAGATTCAGACTTTCTGAAGTATTGAAGTTTTAGAATCAGAATTCTATTTTTTCAGGCCAATGACGGAGCTGGAGAGACCACTCTTTCTGACACTGCTTTGGGGAAGTGCCCATTCCGGTCATGGCTTTAGGCTGAAGGATCAACAAGAGGACACGCCGGATTGGTACGACTTTGAGGTGAGAGATTGCTGAAAGAGTACTGTTCTATTTTTGACAGGAACATGAGCTGACGCAGTTCCTTCGCTTGTACGAAGAAGAAAAGCAAAAAGCGCTAAATGAAGTGAAAGAAGGCTTCGAAGTCCGCCGCTATCAGATTCACAAGATTTTAAAAGAGCGGAAAGAACCGCTCGTTTCTCCGCTCTAATTCTCAGTTATCTCAATTAACTTAAAACTTTCTGCCACATTCCCGTATTTTCACTATTTTCTTCACGATTTCTTTGAATAACATGTCTTCCAATCCTCCTAAAACATTCGATTTTATTAAGAATGAATCGAATTGTAATATTTTTATATTTTTTAATATCAATTGCTCGCGGAGAAGCAGTTCTGGACCTAAAAAGCTTCAACGAAAAGAAGCTGCAAGAGTATGAAGTCGTTTTAGTAAATTTTTATGCCGATTGGTGTCGATTTTCTCGACAATTACATCCGATTTTCGAACAGGAAAGGATAATGACCAAGCAATAGCCGATTCTCAGACCCCCTTCTTCTATCCTCAAAAAGACCGCCACTGTGCTAGAAGAAACCTACCCAGCTGAATCTAAAAAGGTTCTTCTAGCAAGAGTCGATTGCGAAGATCAACAAGACCTCGCGCAAAAATTCCACATCTCCAAATACCCAACAATCAAGATATTCCACAACGGGCGAATTCTCAAACGAGAATATCGCGGAAATCGATCTCCAGCTGAGTTCAAAAAGTGAGTCGTTCTCTTCCATGTCTTCAGTGAATAAATGCAATCAGATTCATCGACAACATGCTTGTTGATCCAGTAATACAATTTACATCGCTCGAACATGCAAAACAGCTCGAGGACCAACGGCAGAAAGGAATGCTCATTGGATACTTTGAAAAAGAAGATTCGGAGACGTACAAGGTCTTCGCAAAAGTCGCCAATGTTCTCCAGGACGATTGTGAAGCCATCGTCGGGTTTGGCAACGTTTCTTATCCGGAACGACATACAGGCGAAAATATCGTCTTCAAAGATGTTGAAAACGGCAACGCGGTAATTCAAACTAAATTTATTTTCCTTCTATCAACGTTTTCAGCCCGTTTCGGAGGATGTCTTTTTGAACGCGATGCGAAATTATCAGCTGTTATTCGATTGGGCGCATGATAAATGCGTTCCAGTTGTGCGGGAAATAACCTTTTTGAATGGAGAAGAATTAACTGAAGAAGGACTGCCATTCTTGATACTCTTCCACAAGAAAGAAGACACCAAATCGTTGAAGGAATATTCCAACACGATTTCCCGCACACTCATCGGCCAGAGAGTAATTCTATCTTATCTTTCATAATTTTCTAAAAGAAGACTAGAGCAACATAAACTTCCTCCACGCAGATTGCGACCAGTTTTCTCATCCCCTCCACCATCTTGGAAAATCTCCCGCCGACTGTCCTCTCATTGCTATTGATAGTTTCAAGCACATGTATCTCTATCCAGATTACACCGAAGCGCACAAGGATCAAAAGCTTCTTCAATTTGTCAAAGACCTGAATTCCGGCAAGCTTCATCGAGAGTTTCATAATGGACCAGGTAATCTAACGTAAAAGAGCCAGTTTCAATTGAATTTAAGATCCAACAGAGAAACCAGATGAAGATGCTACTGAAGGTATTGAAACAACTGACAGTAATCCTAATTCTGTTGCTTCTGAAACTAAATCAGAAAGTACAGTCGCTCAAGAAGAACATCAGCCAATTAAAATCGAACCTAGGGAGAAGGGTAACTCTTGGTGTTGTTCAGTTGGTGTCAAACTTTCTTAATAAATATTCTCTTCCATGTTTTCAACAATCTTTTCAGCCACAATCGCGTTGGAAAAAGAGTCAGTCTTCAAGAAGCTCAAGCCGTCCAAGCATCGCCACTCGTTCCCAAAAGGCGAGCACGACGAACTGTAACTGCTTCTGTTAATGCAGCGGCACAACCATTGCATGCGTTATTCTTTCAAGAGTTCTTACTCACGGTGCTCAAAAAAGGTGTCAGCCGGAAAAAAAGCCAGCTTGTTTCGATAGTTCTACTTCTGCTCCAAAAATAACTGCTGTTCCAGACCTTATACCAATATTTCTTCTATCAGCTTCAAGCCTGAAAGCTTTATGTTTTTATCAATTTTAAGTTTTTCTGTAAATCCAGCCACTGACCAAAAATGCTGTTAGTCTTCTTCATTTCAATACTCGCAAATACTTTTTAGTTTGATCAATTAAACAATAAGTTTAATACTGTTTGATAATTACTGTTCGAGCAAATGTTGTTCAATTTATTTAATATAAATTCTTATTCTATTTAAATAAATGCATTCAATAAAATTCATTCAAGCATATCAAATAAACTCATTGAAGATATAAAAAAAATGATGTGACATCGTTTTCGGATTTTAAAACATGGAAAACCTCGGCGAGAGTGAATTGCTAGGAGATGACGGTGATGAAGATGTCTTCGCATACAATCAGCTTGCTTTTGGGAGACTCAGGTGCAGTTTATGATGGAGAATGATCTGTTGAATTTTGCTGTTTTAGGCTGGCGGAAGATTCTAATTTACCTACGCAGCTCTACAAACACGTCCAAGTCCGGGTCACCTACAAGCTTGAAACTGTAAGTTCCGCTTATCAATCCTACCTTATCATTCCAATCAGAGTCCTTCGAAACACGTGGCTTATCAAATCGAATTTGCCTCAGTCTCCCGCCCGTTCCAGACGCGCTACTCCTCCCTTGAGCGATTCCACCGGCACATGTGTCGACACTATCCGGAGTTGCGAGAAGAAATTCCATTTCCTAAAAGCGACTTCGAAAGAACTTCGATCAAGCGGTCATCATGAAGAGGATAGAATTGATTGCGTTGTACTTCGACCACATTCTCAACGGACGAGACTTCAAGTACAGAGATTCTAGTACGCTGAAAGACTTTCTCATCCGAGACTTGAGGGAGAAATATAGAAGCGCGCTGAGAAGTGAACTCTTTGAACGTAAGAATCAACAGACATTCCCTTAGTCTAAGAATTCCCTTCAGAAGCTCTCAACAATCTGATGCCAATCCTAGACCTGCTGGAAATTCTTGAGCTCGTCTGCGCGGATCGCGTTACTGCGCTTACTCTAATCTGCCTCTGCAACGCGAAATCGGGCCAAGTCGACACTGCGAAAATGTTCTCGCAAAAGACGCTGCAATTCATCACTTCCAATTCAAAAATATTTTCCGGGAAAAAGTACTCTTCGTTGATTTCAGAGGCGATTTCGGTCGCTGGCAAAGTCTCAAGCCATTCTGAGCTAAATGCGTACCAAGGTATGGCTTCCTTTTCTCAAATGGCTTTTTACAGTCATTTTCCAGTTTCCTCTGAAATGGACGATGCCGGAACTCCTCGGTCAACTATCTCCACTACCGCCTCTTTTGCCGAGGAAATTTAATTAACTGATATATAACTAAACTTCTCTTTTGTCCCTTCTTCTACATCGACCTTTCATTTTCCTATTCGAACAATTTTTAGTTCAAGTTCAAAAAATCTAAACAGATAATCTTTTTTCATGTGTGATTTTTCAAATACATCATCGGGCTACATCATTCAATTCAACTTCCAGCTCGATTTCTTCATGAATGAGGACATCGACTTGACCTTTCTTTTCGTATTCTTCAATTTGCTAACAGACAAAAGTGTGTTACTTTTGGGCGTGATTGTGGACTGACTTTTGACCTTGTTGACTTTTTGAGCATATTTACTCAATCGATTTTTGCAGGAGCTTGAATTTTATTCATTTCGAACTTCAGGCAGAGAATTTATGAGGAAGCTTGCAGCTATTGTCTCCCTTCTGGGAGTTTTTCTCCATTCTTTGATTTTCTTCGCGGTATGTTGAAATTTGAGCTTGAAAATGAGCTTGAGTAGGGTGAAAATGCGCCAGATTACAGAACTCGCTCGATCATCGCCACTGTAGTTCGGAACAGCTACAGAGTTGCTAATAACCTCCGCCGATTCTGGTCCCTGGACATGGGACTTTGGTGGATGCGCGAAATGACTCCTCCTCATAAAAACGCTCATTTCGACTCAGTAGAGGAGACGATTCAGCTGGAGAACTTTGAGATCTTTGTCTGGAGGCACAAAGACCTCATGGACGCGCCAGATCAACCGGTTGTATTCTTCTTCCACGGCGGAGGATTTATGATCGGAGACATTCCACTTCATCGGCGTTTTTACTCGTCCATCGCTGTTGATTGAAGGGATCCTAGCTTCTGCTGAATCTCCCACTTCTAGCGTAGTTTGCCTGCTCTCTATATCTGGACGAAGGAAGAAAACGAGTAAAGTATCTTTGACGTCTGTATTTCGAGCTGGAGTAAAATAGAGGTTAATTCACGAACTGCGAGAATTACCGAATGAAGAGAAATACACGGCGGCGACCGAGCAAAGCTCGATCTAGATAAGCAAGTGACCTTAGGGGACGAGGGAGTCTAACGAATCTAAGATCCCAATACCCCCATGAGACTGAAACGTCCTCTAAGGCCCAAGTGTGTGATTTTTGCAGGAGTATAAGCGTAAGATGAGTTACATGGCAGGTTCGAAACGTCGAGGCAGTCTGATTCGCGTTAAAAACCCTTTTGGGAAAAAGCTTGAATCAGATGCGAAGTTTTCGTGATGTCCGAGCGGTGATGACATGAAGGAGTAGCTGCACATGTAGAAGAACTCAAAATACGTCGGCGACGGTAAACTGTGATATTTTCCGTACCTTTTCAGGCCCCGGTCGATGAATAGGGGACCTGAGTGGGGCAGTACTTGCGCTTAGTCGTATGACTGACCCGAGTTTGTGCCGATGTTAAGAGGTTCGACGGGCCTCGTTTCACGGTGTGCTCGTTTTGTATGTTTCGGGAGATGAGCTGCTCCAACTTCGGTTAAAGTCGCATTCGGATCGGCGCCGGCTGAGTACTGACGATCTGGTGAAGACTTTGGACGGGTTCTTTTCTTGCTGTTTTCAGTTGCTGAGTCCTCAACTACTGTTGAGTTATGTTTATCGACTGACATATGGCTATTATCGGGCGCAGCAACCTCCGAAATCACTGTAGCATCAGCTGACGTGTCCTCGGCAGTTTCATAGAGAGTACCACCAGAGTACCAGCGATCTGACGGCTCGGCTGGAGCTACCGACGAGTCCAAAATAGATGTAGCGGTTGTATCTCCCAGATTTTCCATGTCCAATCGGCGTCTACTTTCCAAAATAGGTGATAGAGATGATCTTGGCGGTTTTTCCATAGCAACCATCGGAGTCGACGCGACCTGAGAAGATTTCCTCCCCCATGCGACTTCGACCCGGACTTTTCCATCGGTTTGGAAGTAGGAACAGGCGATTTTTGTGGGACTTTCGACTTAACGATTTCGGTTAAATGTGGGAATACGTACTCGGCCTCGTAGTAATCAATCCAGCGTAAGTCGTGATTTCGTTCTGCGGCGTGAACCACGTGTTCTCGATGGATGAAATCACGTTGTCCTTTCTTATCTTCGACCATGACGACCCAGTCGTTGCTCGAAACGGCTTTCAGGGGACCTACCCAGCGTTCCTTCTTGCTTTTAGCGTCGGTCAGGTTTTCTCGCTTAATGTACACGACAGCGCCAGCGGGATTGGTCTCGGCTTAGGCTCGTTTTTCAGCCTGTGCTCCATGGCTCGGTCAGCAGCCTCCATCGCAGTTTTCACAATGGCTTCCGCCGATTTCGCTAAAGCTCCAACATTGAGACCAAATACCTGAGGTGTTTCCGCTGTCATTTCTGCGCCAGTAGAGTGGGTGAAAGTACTTTTTCGGCCAAACCAAACTTCTCGCGGTGAAATTTTCGTGCTTTTGTTTTTCACACTATTGAGCGCGCGCATCACGTGGGGAACGCAGTCGGCCCAAGTTTTTCGACCGGAAGATGAGTTGACCATGCAGAATAGACTGTTTTTGATAGTCCGATTCGCTCTTTCTGCGAAAGCGTTTGATTGAGGGTGAAATGCGGTACTTATTGTATGTTTTATCTGGTTAAGCTTACACATTTCGTCAATCACGCTTGCGCAGAAGTGGGTACCTCTGTCACTGTGTAGATGTTTCGGCAAGAAATCCATGGGAAGGAAGACCTTGTAGATGAGCGCTTTTGCGGCGCAGATAGCAGTGTCGGACCGTGTCGGAATGCACCAAGTGTAGCGAGAGAAAGTGTCCGCCACCACCAAATAATACTTGAATCCGCCAGCGGGAGGCATACAAGCGAAATCGATCTGAATCGATTCGCCAGCTGTTTTTCCACGACGAAGGGTTCCAAGTGGCGGTTTGGTACGAGTTCCAGCAGATCCTTTTCTGCGTAGGCAAGGGACGCAGCTGTGGACGTAGTTAGAAACATCGTCTTGAAATGAAGGCCACCAAACGTCCTCTAATCGCTCTAAAGTCCGCGGCTCGCCCAGATGACCGGACAAGTCGTGAGCTAGAAAGAGAAAGTGACTTTTTACCGCTTCCGGTACCACCGCCCGCGCGCCAGATTTGAATTGACACATCAAGCACCCGGTAGTGTTATCCAGGAACAGAGCTTTTTCCATCTTGAGTAGAGACGATTGTCGGTGGTCGGAGTCCTTCACCAGCGATTTTATGTCCAGTGGCTCCTTACCAGATTCCAGAAAAGTGATGATTGCACTCAGAGCAGAGTCCTCCCTTTGATAGTCCAGAATGTTATTATAATTCGCTGACACCAACGGAATCTCCATTGGCGCCGCGATAGCCTTGACGTTTACCTTATGTATCTTCACCTCTGATAAAGTGATTTTCTCCGGAAACTGATTTTCGTTCCAGAAAGGGACGAAGACACGTACTGGTGAATTCTTGTCGATTTCGTACTCGCGACCAACGGGAAACTCGGAGTCGTATCCAAGTGATTTGTCGTCCTCGCCAGGTCTGCGGCTCATAAAGTCGGCGAATTGATTTTCTGATCCCTTGATGTAGACAATGTGAAAATCGAATTCTTCCAATCGGCTTTGCCATCGGCTTATTTTAGAATTCTTGAACTTCTTTTGTGTAGGAAGATCAAAGATCGGTGGTCTGTGTGAATCTGAAAGAATCTACCTTTCAGGAGCTTTTCCAGTCGCTCGCAGCACCAGACAATGCTAAACATTTCCTTTTCTGAAGTGTTCCATTTTCTTTCAGCTTTGTTGAAGGTGTGGGAAATCGCGCTTACTAGGTGCACTCTCCCGCCATACTCTTGTAGCAGGACGCCACCCGCTGCGTACAGGCTCGCGTCTGTGTAGAGATGAAAAGACTCGTCAAAGTTAGGAAAACTTATGACTGGAGTCTCGGAGAGTCGTCGTTGAATTTCCTTGAGCGCCAAATCCGCTTCTTTGGTCCACTTGAAACAATTTGTTTCGTTCGCCGAATTTCGAACATCGTTTATGGGCTTCATTCTGCTCGAGAAGCAACCGGATGAAATAGCTTCGCCCATTTTCGTTTCTAGAAAACCTCGGATCCAATTCAATGACCCGATTAATGAAGCTAACTCCTTTTGGGAGCGTGGGGTTTCATCTGACGAAGAGCGGAGACTTGCGCAGGGTCCGGTTTGATTCCATCTTCGTTGATGATTCGGCCCAAAAGTGAGCTTCGGATTGTAGGAAAGAGCACTTTTCGCCCTTGAGTTTAGCGTTAAACTTGCGGAGCGCGATGAATAGGTTTCGGAGAGTGTTATAATAGCAGCTGAAAGTCTTCCCAAAACACACTATGTCATCGATATAAGAAAGCATCTTTTTCCTGGTGGGGCTTGAGTCGAGAATTGTGTTTACGACGCGCGAGAATATATTCCCCGAGCATCGATAACCGAATGGTAGTCTGCAGAAGGCGTAAGATTTCCCACCCCACTGGAAGGAAGTCTTGTACCTGTCGCTTTTCTTTACAGGGCACTGCCAATATCCACTTCGTAGATCAACTGTGGCGAAAAACTTATTGCCCGGTCCAATGTTCGCGATCGTATCCTCCATGCTTGGGAGATGGTAAGGGTCGGATTTGTCGGAAAGGCATTTGTTCAGGCTGTTTTTGTAGTTGATGCAGAAGCGCATTTCCCCAGATTTCTTAGGAATAGGCAATACCGGGCTGTTAAACCCTTTCTGGTCCTTGATCTCTTCTATTATTTTCGTTTCGAGCAGTTCAGAGATGTGATCGCTGACCTGACCATGAAAAGCTTGCGGAATCGGGTGTTGACTGATGTTTCGACTCGTACCATCAGTCGGGATTTCGATCTCGAACGGGAATTCACCCATTTTTTGACCGTCGCAGCCGAATCTGTCGTCGAATTCCAAACACAGCTCGGCGACCATCTTCTTTTGCCCCGGGTCTGCGTCTGCTGGTAGGGTAATTCCGAGTTTTTGCTTCGCTAGCTGAATGGGGCACCTGACTGCGTTCTTGTTCGGTGCGTCCAGCTTTGGGACTTCTCGTGGTGGTTGAGTGCGGGACCGATCGCTGTCTTTGACCGTTGATCTAGTCGTCAAGTATTTCTTGATTTCGGTCCGCTTCACTTCGTCCAGCTTCACCACTTGAGTCTCAGTTTGTGTGAAGGCTTCGTTGTAGCAAAATGAGAGAGTACGATTCTTGTTGTCGACTGTGAAGCTGTCCGTCATCGCATTCTCTAGTATATCGCGGCCCAGTAGACTTGGATATTTACTGCCTGGCATGATGGTGAGATTCAAGGAGAATGCAGGGCCACCATTGAATGATAAGCGGCAGGGAAGGATACCCATCGGCTGCTCGGCGGGGATATTTGGGCTGAAACCGGTAACCTTGAAGGGGCAGGGCTTCAGCATCTGGAGAAATTCGTCGGGAACGTAAGCAGCGGACAGACAGGAGGACTCGGCTCCGCTGTCGACTTCCATCGATACGTCAAAACTTTTAGAGCCCGTAAAGATGGTAGCCGAAGCGAAATAAGCCTTTCCTGGTCGCTTCTTCTTCACTGTGTAAAAGTGAACGTCGAATGGTTGGAAATCTTCGACGTTCTTAGTCGTATTTATCTTCTTGGGTTCTGGTTGTTTATCGTCTTTCCCATCCTTAGAATCGGTGCTGGCGCGCTTAGCATTCTTCTTCTTTTGTTCTTATTTCTGTTGAAGTGCTGAGAGACGGTCGCGTTGTCAACTCGATTCTGTCTTGTAGATTGGGCGAGACGGCAGAGTTCGTTGATATCGTAAACTTTTGAGAGGCTTGGAAGGATTGCGTTGAAAACGTCTGGTTCTTCTTTCCTAAGGTTCAAGTACAACATCATCGTCGAGAATATGTCGAATATTTCATCGACCCCGGCGTCGGCTGACTTCTCTTGTCGGAAGGAGTTCAGAGTCGCTTGCTTCGCCTCGTTCATTTTTTGCAGGACGTTGGCGGTGTAGTGTGCAAACGGCTTCGAATGGTCGTATTCGACGTCGAAAACTTCGCTTAGCTTCAGTAAGTAGTGACTCTTCGCGGCGAATGATTTCTCTAGCAGCGCCTTGGCCGATTTCCAGTCTTGACAATTCAGAAATTCGGTTCCAAGTGAGCGTTCGATGTTCAAGTCGAAGTGGCTGTACACTGCTGCGATGAAAGGCTGTTCACGTGAAGGTCTGTCGCGGACGTAGGCGCGGTGATAAATGTCGGCTCTGCCCAAGAAGGTGTTGAAAGATGTGTTGCATGCGGCGTCCAGCTTTGGCAAGTCTTGGACGTGACGAGACCAGGTAGTGGCCACCCATGCTTCTTCTCTCATTGTCGCACTCGTAGAGTCTTTTCCTTGATCAAGCTCGCAGGTAAGAAGCGTTGTACTGAGCTGTTCTAATTTTACTCTGCTTTCTGTGATCAAGGGCTCTAGGCTTGGCTTTAGTGATTCGTCATTTCGCACTTGTTCCTCGAGGTAGTTTACTCGATCGTTTATGCTTCTTATTTCGGTGACGGTTTCTAGCAGTGATTTGTTCGCCGCCATAGCTCGAAATATATCGGCAGTAAGGGTTAATGGGCCTTGGATTACCTTTCAGGCCCTCAGAAAATACTGCGACTAAAAGTCGCAATATGATGAGCTGAGGTGCCTTTTGCGCAAACGCCCGACGATTTCTCTGTCCAGCGATTGTCGAAATTTCCAGGTCTGGTCCAAGGGTCGATTTTTCGTAAACTTCTCTCGATTTTTGGTGAAAAGTGGCGAAAGAATTATGTTTTTCTGAGTATTTTAGGTTTTCCCCGGCGTGCGTGCGTGGTTGCGTGGGCGCGACTTTGGGCGCGTGGGTCGTGGTGGCGCTCGTGCGGTGGCGCTCGCTCGGGGTGGTGTTGGTGTGGTGCGGCGCGGAAAATTCTCTGAGTGGAGTTTCTCCGGCGGCGCGGTGGCGGTTGGTGATTCGGTTCCCCTCGACTCCGCTGACGGCCAATCAGCGTCCAAGTTGCGAAACTTCGGTTGTCGATGGCGGAAAAATTTATCTTTTCTCCAACGGGACTACTCTGACACCACTGAAGGGATCCTAGCTTCTGCTGAATCTCCCACTTCTAGCGTAGTTTGCCTGCTCTCTATATCTGGACGAAGGAAGAAAACGAGTAAAGTATCTTTGACGTCTGTATTTCGAGCTGGAGTAAAATAGAGGTTAATTCACGAACTGCGAGAATTACCGAATGAAGAGAAATACACGGCGGCGACCGAGCAAAGCTCGATCTAGATAAGCAAGTGACCTTAGGGGACGAGGGAGTCTAACGAATCTAAGATCCCAATATGATCGTAAAGTGACAGTAATCACAGTCGAGTACAGAAGAACTCCGGAAGTCGAATACCCCACTCCCTTTGATGATTGCTACGATGCAGTCGAATACACGATCAAAAACGCAAAAGAACTCAACATCGACGCGTCGAAAATTGTTCTCACTGGCGATTCTGCTGGTGGCCACCTGACGCTGACTGTAGGAATGCATCTGGCGGCGGAGGGAAGGAAAATTGCGGGGTTGGTTCCAATGTATCCGATGACTCAAATTGTCACGGGAAATCTGCCGAGCTACACGTGAGTGATTTAAATAACCCGTGATTATTGATTGCTCTTGATTTGGTAGAACTGGAGAAGAAGGCGGACTCATTACTGCGCAAGGTTGGGCCTGGGCTGCTGCTCTTGCTCTTTGCGGAAGAGACGGGTACGAGACGATTATGAATAAACTCCGGGTAGGTCCTTTTTATTCTTCCTCCTCCTTATTCGTCTTAGACTCGTGAAACCTACCACGCAGTCAAACAAGCGCACCCAAAACTCATCGCTGAAAGATTCGGCGAGTTCGACAAGACCATTCCTTCATTTGAAAATCCTCAAGTGGATGAAACTATCATCGCGAAAATGATCGACGCGAAGGGTTCTCCACTTTTGGCCCCGGAGAGTTTTTCAAAGCCATGCCAAGGACTCATATTTTCGCTGCGGAACATGATGTGCTTTATGATGATCAAGTCGCGTTTACAAAAGTGGCGAAAATGTTCGGATCGGACATTCAGGTAAGTTAGAAATCAAAGAAAAGACTGTAAAGAACGCTTTTAGATGACAACTTGGAGAGGCGCTTTTCACATCGAGCAGTCCTTCTCAAAGTTGTGGAGCGGAAAGAGCATCATGAAGTCTTGCGACGAAAATATTCGACTGTATGTCGACGCCATCACTGCTTTCCACAAATAAATCGAGGCTGACTCCATGATCTCACGGACTTATAAAGATGCAACATCGTAACTGGCAGACGGTCTCCCAAAGTTGTGTGGAAAGTGTGATCAAAAATCTTGAACCGGAAGGTCTCGCACACATTGAGTCGATGGAATTCATGATTTTGTTCATCTTGCTCAACTTTCCATGATGGAGATCATTTAGAAGCCTTTTTAGCCACCATTTTCGCCTTAAGCGCGAGGATAAGTCGCTAATAATCATAACTCTGGTGAATTCGATCGATAGTTGTTATGAAATCTGAGGGCTAATTTATGAATCATGGAGTTTGATTCAAAACAAGAAAGGCTGAAAGCTTCTCAATGATTATATTCAAATCTTCTTTCTATACATCTGTTAGGAGATATGTCACATATGCACAGAAGGAATCTCAAAAGTAGCAACTTTCTTTTGTTTCAAGAAAAGAATTTTTCATAGTTATCCTGAGGGGGAGATATTTGAATTATGATCATCTCTCCCGTCTGAAATTCGAGATAATTATAATAACTTACAGACGGAAAGTGCTGCCTGCCGGGAGAATGATGATATAGTCGGCGAAAGAAATAAATTATGATTACCAATCATTACATGTATGTTTATAAGATTCGTATCCGATCGAAAAGTTTGAGGCAAAAAAGTTGAGCTTTTACTTCAATTGATTCTTGATCTATGATAACATTCTTCGTAATAGAATTTAATTTAACGTCAAAGAAAGTCGAGACATCTTCTGAATTCCATTAGAGTTGCCATTTGTAGTGTGGAAAATAATTACAATTTTATATATCATATTGAGATACATACTGAATGTTACATAGAGAGCTTAAATTCCCTGAATTCAAAGCATCTCCCGTTCCCGTGCTAATTCAGCTGCTTATCTGAATTCCAAATTTCATGGCTCCTTGCCGAAAGTTTTCCAGTGCGTTTAATGATGGTGGAAGAAGGTAGAGATATTTGATTCAGCTGGCTTCAGAAATGAATTAATTTGTTGTATTTTTGACACGCAGACAAGCTCATTTCACTCTACCGAATCTCCTCGGCTGCCAATTCAATCAAGTGCATTACACGAAGACGGCCCAAAAGGGGATTAAATTCTCCTCATCTGGCTCACATGATCGGTCAAAGACCGAAAGCACATCACAAAAGAAATGAGCATTACCAAAAATATTTAATGATTTGCGATATTTACAGAATAGAAAGGAGCCTTTCCGATGCTTTAAATTTATATTAAGCTTCATTAGTTTCCAAGAGGCAGATTATGAGCGCAGATGTATCTGTTTCCGGGTCAGTTTTATTTTCAGCGGATGTGAAGAATTGAAAGCGCTGATCGTATACCAGTAATAACAATATACCGAGTATTTCAGAATCAAAACCCGAGAAGCGCCGTCACTAAGGCACTGTAAGGTAACTGTAATATTATTACTGCTATACGAGCATTTACGATAGAAAAAGATGATATGAAAGAAGAAAATAATGACGTCTTCTTTTTCTTCCTTAGTCGGCTTCTCCTTGATAAAAATTCTTGACTTTGAGCCTCTCAATATTGTTTATGCCAGAATAAACGTAAAAACTACGTCAAAGTGAAGAGAACTGCTAGTCGCACTTTCGAATTCCATTGACATTGTGGAAGAAGATGGAAGATCCTGTTTCGTACGTGATCCATATCATATTAATATCGAATCCAAGGGCGACTTATTAAGGAAGATGAATAAGGGTTTTCTAACCAGCCGAGCTCTTAATCCTGATTAAAAGTAAGAGGACTGTCGGTCAAATGACGCCAATATTAAAGACAATTAGCATTTCAATTTAAAAATATAACAAGCACGTAACCTTTTGCGATCCTTACCCAATATTGACGCAAGTTCCATTGGGTGCCACAAATGGTCCATTATCATATTATCTTCATTTAGCTGAGAGCCTCACATGCTTCAAGAATACGGAAGCGGATCCTGCAAGCAAAAATCAACATTATTTATTCTGATTTGATTCGTTTTCCAATGCCCTGCTTAATAAAATTTCGTGCAGATGTGTTTTTCAGGAGGACTGGATGAAGAATTCTTTCAGGCGGATGTAGTCAGTCGATATACCTAGAACTGAAACTGGGTTAAGAATCCATATTAATATGATACTGTATAATATAATATTATTAATTTATCTGACTAATAGATTAATATTTTATTCAATAATTATTATAATATTTAATATTATAGTAATATTATAATTATATTATTACATATTAATTATATGGTTAATAATCCATATTATGACACTGTATAATATGATATTATACAGTAAGTCTTCATAAAAAATATTTTGGATGCAATAAGAAGAAAATCTCTTTAAAACCTGCATAAATCTTAGGAGATTTCTATTCAAGCCGAAGAGCTTGACAGTATGTTGGCGACTGCGGCCTCTAATTACAGTAATACAACAATCGAGGCTTCCAAAAGCTCAATCAGAGACAAAAAGAATTCGGTCGTAAGAATAATTTTTATTATCATTCAAATTATAAAAATATTTATAAGAAAATGTACAGGTGATCTTTACAGTTACAGCATTTAAAACAGTCTGTCCACAGAGAAATGAGATAGTTCGTTGCAAAAGCAATGTCTTCTGATTTGATAGCAGACTCGTTCGTTGATGATTCCATAACTTAAATGAGAAGCGATCATTGTATCGCATTTGGCGCAAATTTTCATCGAGCAGAATTTCGGAAGCTGTCTGCTGTGAGGAAGGGAGGCGGCTTTGACTGTGCTGAGAACGACGAGGAAGGCGGTGAAAAGCTTCATTTCTGTGTTTTTTTGGCAAATATCTTTTGTAAGAGTAATCAAGCAAGAAAAGCATTACGCTCGTTTTTATACTGGCCACAGATGGCGCCCGCGCTGAGGGACAGAATGTGGACGACCCACTGGAGCGCTCTCTCTGTGTCGAAACTACTGTGTGCGGTGGTAATGAAGACAGAAACATACGCGTTCATGTTGAAATTTTAATTAATCAAATTGGCGCGCTGGAATAAATTTGAAATCGGTGTCAAAGATGAATCAAAGCCGTTTATGAATGGACAGCATCGAGCCTGTAGATAGAACAACGAATTTGTGCTACCTCAACCTTGGGAGTACAGTTCTAATAGTACCGGTACAGTATATTTTCACAAGAACAAAAGACTGGTCATTTTAAATTCTTGACTATTATCAAAGCTCATTTCACAAGTCCACTTCTACCGAGTCCTCTGTTGAATATAAGATACTGTGCCTTAGATACATCTAATACGGTCATCAATAGTTAATTAAACAGTCATTAACGAAGATGCCTTGACCCTGTTCTTCGCCTTGAAGGATGATCTCCTGCAAAGCCGCGAAGGATAAGTGAGTCACATTTGAACGAGAAGATTAGAGATTAGAATCGTCAGATTAGAAAAAGAATCCGAAGAATGGAGATGGGCTTGTCTCTCCGCCTTGAAATGCCAATTTTCATCTCTCGTTACATCTCCTAATATAGAACACACGGAAGAAGCGCGCGGAAATGTGCCGGAATCGGAAGCATTCTCAGCTACGCGCCCTGAGTCATCAAAAAGGAAAACTTGATTTAAAAATTCTCGATTTCTTTATAAATAGGTAGCTAAGCTTGATGATCAATTCCAAAAAAGGGAACAGAAGATGAACGCTCGAAAAGAGCATGTGCGCCGGCTGAATAGGTACTAATGAACCAGAGCTTCCCTAAATTGTCGACTAGTAGAAAAGTACTGATAGAGAATTTTTAATTCATAAGTACTTCTTCAGAAAGTCTTAAAAACACTTGTCGTCAATTTAAGGAAGGGCTCTCTGCTACGTGTCTTGTTACTGTAATGACACGGACAAATACTGTATCTAGTGAGCTAGAAGAGACCAAAGATGTACTATCAAAATGTGTTCTTGGGGCTGTCAAAGCACGTCAGAATTTGCTCATAGGTCTGGCAAAAGACAATGATTACGGTGATCATGATGAGTTTAATAGGATTGGACAGTACGGCGGAAAATATGGCGAGAAGTGCCCACCAATTCGAGGAAATATCAAGAGACGTCATGGACGAACAGAAAGTCAAGGACAGGCTGTATATTTAGTATGAACTTCATACTGTTCTTGCTCATGATTTTCTCTCTTCCATGATTTCAAAATTTCCGAGGCCCTCGCCAAAGGCTTCCTGCTTTCCTCCCCTCACTGCCTTTTTGATTTCCGTAAGAAAAAATCCTTGTTGACACGATTTTTCACGAATTCAGACAAGTCGATTCGTTTCGGAAAAACTCTCCAATTGTCGGAAACGCAATCGTACGACGTCCTCAAATCACATTTTGGATGATGGCTCAGAAGATGAGGAAGGACTAAGAGTGCGCTCAGCTTCTCGATCGAGCGAGCTTGTTGCATTGCGAGCTTATTTTAGCCTTAAAGAGATTTGAACAGAAGTAGCTTTCTTTTTTGAACTTCCTTGTTACAATATCTTTTGCTTGAATATTCATTGCCGAGCGCACTTACAAGATATCGAAGCGATGGTCAACGAGATCCGCCAAAACGAAGTTGTCGTTCGCGTTTAAAAATTTACTCTGCTTCCATTCAAAGTCAATTAACAACTCAATACACATCAGAGATCAACTTGCAGACTAGTTTTTATTCTCAAAGTGTCTCGTGAGTAAAACATTTCCACCTCATTTTGTTGTTTTAAATCCTTGTTGTAGCTGGACGTGAAGTTCCTCGGGTCGTAGCGAAGGGATTTTCTATGACGGATTTAGGAGCTGGTCGATTGAGGAATGAATGCGAGGCGATGGAAGATCCAAGACTATTTGGCCGTTCATTTTTTGTGAAGAAGGGGGAGCGCCCTGTGTTGGGCCTTGGGGAGTCCCGAGGATGTAGCCCTCCCCTCTTCGGTTAGTCTAAGGGTCAAGGAGAGCTCTTAGGATTTACCCCCTTCTGCCTGGACAATTTTAGCCAATGCTAATTGAAATTTTGTGAACGGTTCCTGATACTAGAATTACGTCTTCTCCTTGAATTTCCGCTACGTGACCGTCGGATCAAAATGAAACCGCTGTGTGGAATTGAATATTTTCCCAATAAATTTACCGCATTGCGCGAAAGAAATGTATTATGTATAAAATTCTATATAATCAAAAGCGGGGAATTCTCCAATTCTTTCCTGAGAAGGAGAATCAGCGCGGAAGTGATTCCGATTAGGACATAGGCGATATTCTCCTGGATTCCTTCGTCGCTGTGGCTTTCGTCTGTAGACAAGTCGACAATGAGGAAATAGATGACAACAAGGAAGGAAATCAAAGAAATGAGAATTCCGAAATAAGCGGCGGCGATTTCCACTTTTCTTCGTCGGAAATTTCTATAAATCGCAGTTCCCTTTATTCGGCTTTAAATCTTTTGCGTCAGCGAAAATTATGGAACTCTATTATTTGCGCAATATAAATATCTAAGCCGTACCAAAATCAGAAGAGCGCAAGTACCAATAATGGTGATGATGGTAATAGTGACAATTCCAGTTTGAGTATTGAAAAAATTGATTGTTTCTGTAATTTCAGCGTTTTCAGCAGCATCAGCGACCCCTTTTGAATCTATTCGTGTATTCATATCCAATCATGAATGAAAAATACCTCTTCCAAAGTACCTCCCCCATCTTGTAATTCCGCAACAGGCTCATCAACACCTGCTTGTGCTAGAATTTCATTCGAATTCGCAAAGTTAACGTTAACTTGTGATGAAACTTCTTGCCTCCTAAAAAAGGTTTTCTTTTATCGTTTTCAAGTTATTTTTACGTCTTTGAAGAGAGAAAGCTGCCAGTAATCTTCAACGGAGCAACAGTACTGCTTTTAGCAGTAGAAGCGGGTGTGGAGGTTTCAAGATCGTTTCTTAGGTCGAAAAGTTTCAAGAATGGATTTGACTCTTCCTCTTCTGGAAGTTCGCCGCAGCCCTCTTCAGTGGCAGTTTCCGGCTCTGCTGTTGTCGAAGTGATAATACTAGTTGTCGTTGTTGAACTGGTCGTGGTCGTTTCGACAGTCGAAGTCGATGTTGCTGTAGTGGAGCTGGAGGTTGTAGTCGCTGTGGGTTTGATTGGCTGTACTTGAGTATTTCCGAAACTCACGATGCATTCAGAAAAGAGCGTTCCTGTAGCAATATCTTCAACGCAAAAACAGTAGTGAACTGCCTTCGTCCTTCGCCATCAAGGCCATTTAAACTCGTGACATTTGAAAAGTTGAATTCGTAGCGATTTTTGGCATGGACCAGGACAAGAAAACTCTGGAAAAAGAATATTCTGAAGAAGGGAGACATTCTTGCTTTTTTAAATTTAAGGCGAAGAAGGCGGCTGCTTTTTGTTGATTTTTCACGTTATACACGTAGTTTTATGGGTTTGACACGCTTTCGTAAAAAGCCAGTTTCAGTTCGCAGATTGCATAAAAGAGTCATTCTGAAATTATTTGCATATTTTTGCGCATTCGAGTTTGTTACTCATTCAGTTTTTATCATCATTTTTGCGGCTTTCTTTAAAACGGGTCGCAGTTGCCAGCGGCCGCGGTTTTTACGAACGTGTCGACCGGTGCCCCGCTAAGCCTCGTTGCAAATAAACGCCACTTGTTGGCGCCAAGAGCTGCTCCACCACCAGCGTCATACCTTACCGCGTTCGTCGGTGCTCTGCCGAACGCCCCACGTGATTTTATTTCGCCTTATTCAACTACCACACCAAAATTATGCCTCGAATGCACCATGCCGCTATTCAAAGAAGTTATTTGAAAATTAAGGGTGTCACTACATCAACTGTTTTTCAGCTTTGTTTAGAAAAAGCCCTCTAAATTGCGGATAAACCCGCTTTTAACTCGATACTCCGCATGTGGCTTTCGCAAGTTGCAACAAAACTCCACGAGCTAATCCTCCTCTCTCACAAAAACCCTGCTTCTCCGCCCTTTTCTCACTCATTCTATTTTTCAAATAGAATGCGTCCCTTTTTTATGTGTTTGAAAAATAATTGCTCGATGGCCCAATTTGGGCATTTTTCAGTGGCATTTTGGGTCAACGAGAAAGAGATAGATTTCAGCTCTCAAGCAGCGTTTTGAACTCTTTTTTGGGTTCAAATGATGGCTTGGGGCTTCTAACACGCGTTCTTGCTTTTTAGAGAAATGCAGCTGCAAGAGCAAAAACGTGATAGGCACGTTCAAGCTGAAGGGAGAGACGAACTTCGAAACCAAGTGCTTGGGAACGTTCAAAAATGAAAAAGGCGTCAAATTCGATCGCTGGCAAGTTGCCTGCTCCAATCTCAACGAGGTTTGTTGATAAACGCCTCTCGGTTTTTTCGCCACCGGGAAAGGCAAATCTTTCGAAATTAAGACTCAGGCTTCTCCCTGCTCTTAGTTCAGGATCCTGTGTAGAAAACCTGAGTCAGGGTCCGAAAGATCTTCAACGAAAAACAAAGCCGCTTACTTTGCGGCTTCGGTTAAAAGAAAGCCGCGTAGCGGCTTTTCGTTAAAGATTTTTCTGACCCTGACTCGGGTTTTCTCCACCGATTTCTGAGCTCAGTCTCTTTCATGAGTTCTTCCCTACTGTTAGGACTCTCCTTAGGAAGCTCAAGAAAGATTCAACTTAGAAGCGATTAGATTTTCGATCGAGTCAGCAAGGCATGCCGCATGCCCCTTTGTCCAATTTCCCCGCTCTTTCATGTCAGAAATCTCATTTCCAAAAGAGCATGAAATCGGCATTTCGCTGTGGGAAGGTTGCGCATGACGTCAATTCTGACCAATTCCAACCCAAACTGCCCTCTTTTTCCAGCCATTTCTTCCCTTTTTCTTTTCAGAGAGCTGACTTTGTGCCCAAAGTCTGGCCGTTCAAAGATGGCTCTGGCAATTCCATCGTTCACGTCAAGCAGCCACCATCAGACAAGACTTGCAAAAAGGGCCTGGCGAAGATTTTTAAGCGAAATCGAGTGATCAGATGCGAACATGACGAGAGCAAGCTGACGGGCTGCCAGTGCGGCGAATTTAAAGACGGGTAAAATCACTCCAATCCCTTCTTTTTCAATGATTTCTAGTATTTCGAAATCGATGAACACGGCGAAGCAGGAAAAATTGGCCTTGACCGCGACTTGTGCAAATACAGAATCAGCTGAGAGCGAGATCGAGACTTGGAAACTTCACTGTGATTCGAACGGAAACGGAGTCATCGATAATGATGAGGAGGCAAAGACCGTCTCGGTCAATACTAAAGCAAATGAGTTCTATTGCAAAGGTACGCAAAGACCAGAAAAGATATTCTTTCATCGAAAATTAGTGAAAAAGACGATCTCGGAAGGACTAAAATGCTCAAAACCAGCTGGAGCAACCTGCTTGTGCGACGATTTCTGGGACCATTTCGACTACGAAGTCGACTTTAAAAAAGAGCACAAAAAGGGCATCAAGATTGTGACTGAATGCGTCAGCGGAAGTTTTCGCATGACACTTGGAAAATCACAGCAGAAAAGGATGGAAAAGAATGTGGTATTTCGATGGTGAAGAAACTCAAGCACGACAATGAAAAGGTAAGAAATCGAGAATCATTTTTACGTTCAATTTTCAATTTTCAGGAGCGATGTTTGAGCAAATTAAAGAGCGACATCAAGACTTTCGTCAAAGAAAATAATATTGCTAAGTTCTGTTAAAAACTCCCTTTTCCTGATGTACTTATTGTAACTCAAACTTTTCGCAAAAAGCAATATGCTCAAGTTCATTTCCCATTTTTATATATTTTTTCATCTTTATGTGCTGGTCATTTCCTGATAATAAAAACAAGTGTGGTCTACACTACAACGTATTATTCTAGTGCAAAGGTAGTCTGGAAAGCTGTCTCCTTGAATCTAGGAGTCCTAGATATTCCCAGAGGCAAGATTAATGTTTTTGTCGATCTTTGGAACTAAAAACACTATATGAATTTTGATGGGTGCAAATTTGAGAGGGTTTAGCGAAATAAAAGCTTGCATCATTTGGCTCCAAAGGGCCCTGAAGGCAGTTTTGCTTGGTGGCAAGCTCGAATGCATGTTCAGCAGAGTGCTGGGAGAGCGCTTTGCTCGGCGCGATTTCGCCGCCGCTAGGGAAGGTAGGGCAACTCCTTAACGTAGGCATTGAAGGGATCCTAGCTTCTGCTGAATCTCCCACTTCTAGCGTAGTTTGCCTGCTCTCTATATCTGGACGAGTGAAGAAAACGAGTAAAGTATCTTGACGTCTGTATTTCGAGCTGGAGTAAAATAGAGGTTAATTCACGAACTGCGTGAATTACCGAATGAAGAGAAATACACGGCGGCGACCGAGCAAAGCTCGATATAGATAAGCAAGTGACCTTAGGGGACGAGGGAGTCTAACGAATCTAAGATCCCAATACCCCCATGAGACTGAAACGTCCTCTAAGGCCAAAGTGTGTGATTTTTGCAGGAGTATAAGCGTAAGATGAGTAACATGGCAGGTTCGAAACGTCGAGGCAGTCTGATTCGCGTTAAAAACCCTTTTTGGGAAAAAGCTTGAATCAGATGCGAAGTTTTCGTGATGTCCGAGCGGTGATGACATGAAGGAGTAGCTGCACATGTAGAAGAACTCAAAATACGTCGGCGACGGTAAACTGTGATAATTTCCGTACCTTTTCAGGCCCCGGTCGATGAATAGGGGACCTGAGTGGGGCAGTACTTGCGCTTAGTCGTATGACTGACCCGAGTTTGTGCCGATGTTTAGAGGTTCGACGGGCCTCGTTTCACGGTGTGCTCGTTTTGTATGTTTCGGGAGATGAGCTGCTCCAACTTCGGTTAAAGTCGCATTCGGATCGGCGCCGGCTGAGTATTGACGATCTGGTGAAGACTTTGGACGGGTTCTTTTCTTGCTGTTTTCAGTTGCTGAGCCCTCAACTACTGTTGAATTATGTTTATCGACTGACATATGGCTATTGTCGGGCGCAGCAACCTCCGAAATCACTGTAGCATCAGCTGACATGTCCTCGGCAGTTTCATAAAGAGTACCACCAGAGTACCAGCGATCTGACGGCTCGGCTGGAGCTACCGACGAGTCCAAAATAGATGTAGCGGTTGTATCTCCCAGATTTTCCATGTCCAATCGGCGTCTACTTTCCAAAATAGGTGATAGAGATGATCTTGGCGGTTTTTCCATAGCAACCATCGGAGTCGACGCGACCTGAGAAGATTTCCTCCCCCCATGCGACTTCGACCCGGACTTTTCCATCGGTTTGGAAGTAGGAACAGGCGATTTTTGTGGGACTTTCGACTTAACGATTTCGGTTAAATGTGGGAATACGTACTCGGCCTCGTAGTAATCAATCCAGCGTAAGTCGTGATTTCGTTCTGCGGCGTGAACCACGTGTTCTCGATGGATGAAATCACGTTGTCCTTTTTTATCTTCGACCATGACGACCCAGTCGTTGCTCGAAACGGCTTTCAGGGGACCTACCCAGCGTTCCTTCTTGCTTTTAGCGTCGGTCAGGTTTTCTCGCTTAATGTACACGACAGCGCCAGCGGGGATTGGTCTCGGCTTAGGCTCGTTTTTCAGCCTGTGCTCCATGGCTCGGTCAGCAGCTTCCATCGCAGTTTTCACAATGGCTTCCGCCGATTTCGCTAAAGCTCCCACATTGAGACCAAACACCTGAGGTGTTTCCGCTGTCATTTCTGCGCCAGTAGAGTGGGTGAAAGTACTTTTTCGGCCAAACCAAACTTCTCGCGGTGAAATTTTCGTGCTTTTGTTTTTCACACTATTGAGCGCGCGCATCACGTGGGGAACGCAGTCGGCCCAAGTTTTTCGACCGGAAGATGAGTTGACCATGCAGAATAGACTGTTTTTGATAGTCCGATTCGCTCTTTCTGCGAAAGCGTTTGATTGAGGGTGAAATGCGGTACTTATTGTATGTTTTATCTGGTTAAGCTTACACATTTCGTCAATCACGCTTGCGCAGAAGTGGGTACCTCTGTCACTGTGTAGATGTTTCGGCAAGAAATCCATGGGAAGGAAGACCTTGTAGATGAGCGCTTTTGCAGCGCAGATAGCAGTGTCGGACCGCGTCGGAATGCACCAAGTGTAGCGAGAGAAAGTGTCCGCCACCACCAAATAATACTTGAATCCGCCAGCGGGAGGCATACAAGCGAAATCGATCTGAATCGATTCGCCAGCTGTTTTTCCACGACGAAGGGTTCCAAGTGGCGGTTTGGTACGAGTTCCAGCAGATCCTTTTCTGCGTAGGCAAGGGACGCAGCTGTGGACGTAGTTAGAAACATCGTCTTGAAATGAAGGCCACCAAACGTCCTCTAATCGCTCTAAAGTCCGCGGCTCGCCCAGATGACCGGACAAGTCGTGAGCTAGAAAGAGAAAGTGACTTTTTACCGCTTCCGGTACCACCGCCCGCGCGCCAGATTTGAATTGACACATCAAGCACCCGGTAGTGTTATCCAGGAACAGAGCTTTTTCCATCTTGAGTAGAGACGATTGTCGGTGGTCGGAGTCCTTCACCAGCGATTTTATGTCCAGTGGCTCCTTACCAGATTCCAGAAAAGTGATGATTGCACTCAGAGCAGAGTCCTCCCTTTGATAGTCCAGAATGTTATTATAATTCGCTGACACCAACGGAATCTCCATTGGCGCCGCGATAGCCTTGACGTTTACCTTATGTATCTTCACCTCTGATAAAGTGATTTTCTCCGGAAACTGATTTTCGTTCCAGAAAGGGACGAAGACACGTACTGGTGAATTCTTGTCGATTTCGTACTCGCGACCAACGGGAAACTCAGAGTCGTATCCAAGTGATTTGTCGTCCTCGCCAGGTCTGCGGCTCATAAAATCGGCGAATTGATTTTCTGATCCCTTGATGTAGACAATGTGAAAATCGAATTCTTCCAATCGGCTTTGCCATCGGCTTATTTTAGAATTCTTGAACTTCTTTTTGTGTAGGAAGATCAAAGATCGGTGGTCTGTGTGAATCTGAAAGAATCTACCTTTCAGGAGCTTTTCCAGTCGCTCGCAGCACCAGACAATGCTAAACATTTCCTTTTCTGAAGTGTTCCATTTTCTTTCAGCTTTGTTGAAGGTGTGGGAAATCGCGCTTACTAGGTGCACTCTCCCGCCATACTCTTGTAGCAGAACACCACCCGCTGCGTACAGGCTCGCGTCTGTGTAGAGGTGAAAAGACTCGTCAAAGTTAGGAAAGCTTATGACAGGAGTCTCGGAGAGTCGTCGTTGAATTTCCTTGAGCGCCAAATCCGCTTCTTTGGTCCACTTGAAACAATTTGTTTCGTTCGCCGAATTTCGAACATCGTTTATGGGTTTCATTCTGCTCGAGAAGCAACCGGATGAAATAGCTTCGCCCATTTTCGTTTCTAGAAAACCTCGGATCCAATTCAATGACCCGATTAATGAAGCTAACTCCTTTTGGGAGCGTGGGGGTTTCATCTGACGAAGGGCGGAGACTTGCGCAGGGTCCGGTTTGATTCCTTCTTCGTTGATGATTCGGCCCAAAAAGTGAGCTTCTGATTGTAGGAAAGAGCACTTTTCGCCCTTGAGTTTAGCGTTAAACTTGCGGAGCGCGATGAATAGGTTTCGGAGAGTGTTGTAATAGCAGCTGAAAGACTTCCCAAAACATACTATGTCATCGATATAAGAAAGCATCTTCTTCCTGGTGGGGCTTGAGTCGAGAATCGTGTTTACGACGCGCGAGAATATATTCCCCGAGCATCGATAACCGAAAGGTAATCTGCAGAAGGCGTAAGATTTCCCACCCCACTGGAAGGAAGTCTTATACCTATCGCTTTTCTTAATAGGGCACTGCCAATATCCGCTCCGCAAATCAACTGTGGCGAAATACTTGTTGCCCGGTCCAATGTTCGCGATCGTATCCTCCATGCTCGGAAGATGATATGGGTCGGATTTGTCGGAGAGGCATTTGTTCAAGCTGTTCTTGTAGTTGATGCAGAAGCGCATTTCCCCAGATTTCTTAGGGATTGGCAGAACGGGGCTATTAAACCCTTTCTGGTCCTTGATCTCTTCTATTATTTTCGTATCGAGCAGTTCGGAGATGTGATCAGTGACCTGGCCATGAAAAGCTTGCGGAATAGGGTGTTGACTGATGTTTCGACTCGTACCATCAGTCGGGATTTCGATCTCGAATGGGAATTCACCCATTTTTTGACCGTCGCAGCCGAATCTGTCGTCGAAATCCAAACACAGCTCGGCGACCACCTTCTTTTGCCCCGGGTCGGCGTTTGCTGGTAGGGTAATTCCGAGTTTTTGCTTCGCTAGCTGAATGGGGCACCTGGCTGCGTTCTTGTTAGGTGCGTCCAGCTTTGGGACTTTTGGTGGCGGTTGAGTGCGGGATCGATCGCTATCCTTGACCGCTGATCTAGTAGTCAAGTATTTCTTGATTTTGGTCCGCTTCACTCCGTCCAGCTTCACCACTTGAGTCTCAGTTTGTGTGAAGGCTTCGTTGTAGCAAAATGAGAGAGTACGATTCTTATTGTCGACTGTGAAGCTGTCCGTCATCGCATTCTCTAGTATATCGCGGCCCAGTAGACTTGGGTATTTACTGCCTGGCATAATGGTGAGATTCAGGGAGAATGCAGGGCCACCATTGAATGATAAGCGGCAGGGAAGGATACCCATCGGCTGCTCGGCGGGAATATTTGGGCTGAAACCGGTGACCTTGAAGGGACAGGGCTTCAGCATCTGGAGAAATTCGTCGGGAACGTAAGCAGCGGACAGACAGGAGGACTCGGCTCCGCTGTCGACTTCCATCGATACGTCAAAACTTTTAGAGCCCGTAATGATGGTAGCCGAAGCGAAATAAGCCTTTCCTGGTCGCTTCTTCTTCACTGTGTAAAAGTGAACGTCGAATGGTTGGAAATCTTCAACGTTCTTAGTCGTATTTATCTTCTTGGATTCTGGTTGTTTATCGTCTTTCCCATCCTTAGAATCGTTGCTGGCGCGCTTAGCATTCTTCTTCTTTTTGTTCTTATTTCTGTTGAAGTGCTGGGAGACGGTCGCGCTGTCAACTCGATTCTGTCTTGTGGATTGGGCGAGACGGCAGAGTTCGTTGATATCGTAAACTTTTGATAGGCTTGGAAGGATTGCGTTGAAAACGTCTGGTTCTTCTTTCCTAAGATTCAAGTACAGCATCATCGTCGAGAATATGTCAAATATTTCATCGACCCCGGCGTCGGCTGACTTCTCTTGTCGGTAAGAGTTCAAAGTCGCTTGCTTCGCCTCGTTCATCTTTTGCAAGACGTTGGCGGTGTAGTGTGCAAACGGCTTCGAATGGTCGTATTCGACGTCGAAAACTTCGCTTAGCTTCAGTAAGTAGTGACTCTTCGCGGCGAATGATTTCTCTAGCAGCGCCTTGGCCGATTTCCAGTCTTGACAATTCAGAAATTCGGTTCCAAGTGAGCGTTCGATGTTCAAGTCGAAGTGGCTGTACACTGCTGCGATGAAAGGCTGTTCACGTGAAGGTCTGTCGCGGACGTAGGCGCGGTGATAAATGTCGGCTCTGCCCAAGAAGGTGTTGAAAGATGTGTTGCATGCGGCGTCCAGCTTCGGCAAGTCTTGGACGTGACGAGACCAGGTAGTGGCCACCCATGCTTCTTCTCTCATTGTCGCATTCGTAGAGTCTTTTCCTTGATCGAGCTCGCAGGTAAGAAGCGTTGTACTGAGCTGTTCTAATTTTACTCTGCTTTCTGTGATCAAGGGCTCTAGGCTTGGCTTTAGTGATTCGTCATTTCGCACTTGTTCTTCGAGGTAGTTTACTCGATCGTTTATGCTTCTTATTTCGGTGACGGTTTCTAGCAGTGATTTGTTCGCCGCCATAGCTCGAAATATATCGGCAGTAAGGGTTTATGGGCCTTGGATTACCTTTCAGGCCCTCAGAAAATACTGCGACTAAAAGTCGCAATATGATGAGCTGAGGTGCCTTTTGCGCAAACGCCCGACGATTTCTCTGTCCAGCGATTGTCGAAATTTCAAGGTCTGGTCCAAGGGTCGATTCTTCGTAAACTTCTCTCGATTTTTGGTGAAAAGTGGCGAAAGAATTATGTTTTTCTCAGTATTTTAGGTTTTCCCCGGCGTGCGTGCGTGGTTGCGTGGGCGCGACTTTCGGCGCGTGGGTCGTGGTGGCGCTCGTGCGGTGGCGCTCGCTCGGGGTGGTGTTGGTGTGGTGCGGAAAATTCTCTGAGTGGAGTTTCTCCGGCGGCGCGGTGGCGGTTGGTGATTCGGTTCCCCTCGACTCCGCTGACGGCCAATCAGCGTCCAAGTTGCGAAACTTCGGTTGTCGATGGCGGAAAAATTTATCTTTTCTCCAACGGGACTACTCTGATACCACTGAAGGGATCCTAGCTTCTGCTGAATCTCCCACTTCTAGCGTAGTTTGCCGTCGCCGACGTATTTTGAGTTCTTCTACATGTGCAGCTACTCCTTCATGTCATCACCGCTCGGACATCACGAAAACTTCGCATCTGATTCAAGCTTTTTCCCAAAAAGGGTTTTTAACGCGAATCAGACTGCCTCGACGTTTCGAACCTGCCATGTTACTCATCTTACGCTTATACTCCTGCAAAAATCACACACTTTGGCCTTAGAGGACGTTTCAGTCTCATGGGGGTATTGGGATCTTAGATTCGTTAGACTCCCTCGTCCCCTAAGGTCACTTGCTTATCTAGATCGAGCTTTGCTCGGTCGCCGCCGTGTATTTCTCTCCATTCGGTAATTCACGCAGTTCGTGAATTAACCTCTATTTTACTCCAGCTCGAAATACAGACGTCAAAGATACTTTACTCGTTTTCTTCACTCGTCCAGATATAGAGAGCAGGCAAACTACGCTAGAAGTGGGAGATTCAGCAGAAGCTAGGATCCCTTCAGTGGTGTCAGAAGTGGGATGAAGCAAGTGACCTTAGGGGACGAGGGAGTCTAACGAATCTAAGATCCCAATAGCATGCAGTCGCTGCCTGCCCTTCGCTCAAGGCTTCGATTACGTTGGCCACATGGTGGAGTCCGAAGATCGACGCCGATCTTGGTGGTGCAGCACCGCCACCTTCTTTTATTTCGACTCAAAAGAAAGAATTATCCATTTGCGCCTCATTCTACTAACTACACTCCTTCTTCACGAGTTCTTAATCTTAAAAAAGGGAAAATGTCCGGAGCATTTATCTACGGAACACCAAATTTCGTAGACTCGGAGCCGGAATTCTCTGAACCCGAGGAGATCGAGCACGATCAAATTATTTTCACCAAGAATCCGAAAATTGAGAGAGACAGCCAGATGACAGACAGCAACTCGAACTTTCAAGAAGAAGAGGACATGGAATTGATTGATTTAAAAGAGGAGACAGTCGATCCAGAAGAAGCACCAGTCGTCATAAAACAAGCAGAAGACGACATGCTCATACCTTGATTATCGAGGAGCAAGACGATGGCGACGATGATGATGTCGAAAAGATTGAACTTTTTACGACGGCCCAGCGAGCAAAATCCGAAAACAAAATTCAGGTCATGAGATTTTGAAACCAATTCGATGTTCGGTCATCAAAATTGGTCCGCTGGCGAAACCGGAAACAGACGAAGAAGAAGAGGAGGTGCAGATTGAGGAAGAAATGCACATTGAGAATGAAATCAGCGACAGGTGAGACTGATTTTTTCATCACATGATGTCTCAGACGTCTGAGAATTTGATTTTTCATGCGAAAGAAAATCACCTGATATTTTAACTTGGCTTGTAATAGATTAAGGCAAACCAGCTGATTGAAATCAGGCGATTTTTTGGTCTCTTCCATGATTTCATTGATTTTTTCAGTATTTTCTTTCATCTGGCGATCTCTCAAAAATGAAGAATATCTGTTGATGTTGAATTATAATCTTTATTTCAGGCCTCATGTTTGTCCTTACAAAAACTGTCACAAATCCTACAAGAAAAAGCTCATCTTCGAGGCCACTTGCGAGTTCATACTGGAGATCGACCTTATGTTTGTGATCACGATGGCTGTAGTAAAGGTAAGGGCGCAAGTAAGAACTACATGTTGCTAGAACTCAAGATCAAAAACGGTTATCCATATAAACCATAAAAATGGGTTGAGCGTTTCTCTTGAATTCCTTGCAGAATGATGCAAGTCGTCACAAGACGGGCACTTTAGCTTTAGGCTTTTTCAACCGACGCATACTAAGTATTTCGTAAAAGAAAAGACCACGTAACTGGTTTTCGGAGTATTCTTAAGTCTAAAATTCGTAATTTACGTTCTTCTTTTAAAACGAACGCCCGCCGCGGGCCATACTGAGGCCACGGCCAGAGTCTCAGAGACGCAGTCAAAATGGCTTGCTTTATCTACGCTAGAAACGCTAGCTTCTTATCACGAGTTTGATAAGCATTATTTGAAATTCGATGATCAAAATCGAGTATCACCAAAAGTAGTCTTATTCTTAAGTTTCATGAAACTGACATGAAATTGATGATGAAGTTCATCATGCGAGTCGTATGATGAATTTTTGAACTAGAACCGTTCATTTTCAGATTTTCACGATCCGACGAACTTTCGCGCCATAAAAGGGTTCATACTGGCGAGCGGCCCTTCCAATGTCCAGTTTGCGAGAGAAGATTCATTCGCTCCGATCATTTGACTAAACATGCCAGGTAAGAGACATCTCCTCAAACCATGAAAAAGAACCTTTTGACCGAGGAGAACCCGGTTCTCCCTAAAGTACTATTTTTGCCTTAGGCTCGTATTTTGCTGTTAGAAACTGTTTACAAAACTCGCGATCCTCGAGAGAACGCTGCCCTTGAGTTTTGTTTCAACCAAAAACTTCTACTAAAAACTTGAATTAAGAACCCATCTGCATCTTCCAAAGTATCTACCAAGTTGGCACCAAGTCGTCGAGGAACTGGAGCGGCTTTCTGAGCGATTGAAGCGGACGAATCCAGGGATCGTTCCTGGACAGAAGACGGGACTGTACTATCCTTCATTTGCTTTCCCGCCGCATGTGGACTTTGAAGGCACTGGCTCAAAGTAGACGTTCAAATTCATTTCTACAAGTTCAAATGCATTCGTCCCTATATTCTACTGTTCCGATTAATCACTACTAGGTTCTTGAAATTACATTTTTCTCGGGTCTGGACGTACTGAAACGTATCTTTCTCGAAATACTATCATCTACTCAATTGAATAAACAAAGTGATATTTCTTAAAAAATAAAGATTGACGAAATTTTACTATTTATTGAAAAATCAGCAGTTGAAACACTTGATGGTTGAAGTTTGGGGCTGAATCTTGGCCATGTAGTTGAGAAACTCCCACTGTTCGAGGCTGCATCTTCCTTTGCATCGGAAGCTTTTGACTGTTCCCAGCTTTGGAGCTCCCCGGTGGCGCTTGAAAGTGAGGTGCTGGTCGAAGTTGATACCGAAGGAAGAGGAAAAGAAAGCGGCGATGAAGGTTTTTATTCTCATTTTATGGAGAGAGCTCGGTTTGGAGCTGGTTTTTATACGAATGATGATGGCGCTATGAGGAGCACTTACTTACGGTGCGAATTCATGCCCGACAGATGCTGGACGTCTTGATAGTTTCTCACTATGAATCATAAACGGTGATTACCATACATAAAAGAACTGATCGTATCACAATTGAGTATCTTTTATTTTGAATAATATACAAGAATATATAAATTATATGCACCAACAGTTCTCCATCTCGAGATAAGTTTTTTCTTTCCGCCGCTGAGTTTTGAGTTGCTGTGTTTTGGTGATTTTTTGGTTTTTCTCCAAAGTTGAACTTTTTCTGAAACTTTTGAACTTTGTACCTTCATTTTTTCTCCATCTAAAATTTTTAATTAATTTTTAAAGCAGAACACGACGACTGACTCAGTTGTCTCGTCTCTTGTTAATATTTAGAATATCCTTTTTGGTGAATATTTTATGAGGCATATTATTTTGTGCATATTAAATATACAATAGGAAGTTGTCTTGTTCAAACATACCGTCTGGAAAAAGGCCCAGTGGCCATTGGATTTCTTTCGGATGGAAAATCGGTTTCATGAACTAAGGGGCACTTCTAGACTGCAGTGGTTGTTGGCGGCGGAGGTGCTCGAACTCTCTTTCGTAACGGTGTGTAGACTTTGATTGGCAATTACAGGATTGGCGGAGGAGGAGGCGGCGGGACTGCTTGTTCCATTACCAGTACAGTAATCGAACTGCATCAGACAGAAAACCAAATCCGAGCTGAAAGCAAAAATTTGAAAAAATCAACAATTTCGAACCCTCAATATCAGATTTCAATTTTGCAAACGGCCTCTGTTAACCCTCTATCACCTCGTATATCTATTAACGACGGCAATAATCGATCCCTTAGGATCCTACCAGGAAGCCCCTGTATGCATGACTGTACCTGACAAGAGGAAAATCAGGTGTTGGGGCAGTAATGACATATCTTTTGAAGTAGGGTTGGCTACAGGCGACGAAACATCCCGGAATCTGAAAAATGGAATTGAATTACAATTAATTGATCGGCTGCAAATTGAATTGCAGAATCATTGCTTTACCTGTAGATTCCAAAGCAGAGCAAGTTGTATTGCTGTAAGGCTTTAGTGAATAAGTCGCCATATCGACCGCCATCGCCGAGTTGGGCGAAGGGGCCGTCGAATAGCGCCAGCTGGGCAACTCGACAGCGATCTCGGTTGGCCAGTGTTTGATCTAAATAATTATTCAAAATTGTTATCCAAGATCTGTCTAGAAATAGAAATACGCCCCTTGCATAAAAATATTATATAAAAAATGTGTCTCTCTGGCGATGAATAATTAAAATCGGGGTCAATCTCATGGAAACTGGCATAAAAATGACTTACCATTTGATGGACCGGGAAGGAGAATCCCTCCTTCTGCCAGAATCTCTTCGAGATCATCAGTCGCGCCGCCCGTGATCATCGTGCGGATGAGGGTCAACGCGTCAGAGTTAAAATAAGTGGCTGAGACGAGCGAGTCCAGGACAGAAATTGCGAAGGCTGTTCCACAGGCGAATGGTTGAGTCAGATAGAGCTCCGTTTCCGGGTCTAAAAATGGGTTACGAGTGGCTTTTTCGGTTTCCATACCATCGTCATCATCTTGGTCGAGAAATTGGACATTGGAGTCATTTACAAGCTCAGTTATCATGGGAATTGAATAGCCAGACACAGCTCTCGTTCCAGGAAATCGCATCGACTGAAAAAATTACATTACTCAAGATATTCTAATGTCCATTAACCTTAATATTTAGTGACGTAAGGATGGATTCTCTATCCTGCAGCGACGGATCCTCCATCATCTGTCCGCCGGCAAAGTTGATAATGGTCGATCCGGTGTTGGAGTGAGAGCACAAAATGACACACATGTCGCACAGATTGACACCAACTGCTCTCAAGTCGGTTCTACTCAACGGCGAGCCAGGCAGAACCAGGAGCTTTGGAAAGCAGGTCAGCGTCTCCCACTCTTTCTGAATGTATTTGACGTCTCCAAGAAGCACGATCGTCTTGAGCTCGTGGTAGTGGAAGTTGGAGGCGCGGAGAGGCATGACGAAGTTGCGGAGGCCAAGTAAGGGAGTATCAGCACCAACACCTATTTTTCGAAGATGAATGAATGAATTGAGAATGTAAAGAGGATAGAGGATAGATTATAGACAAATGGTGAATATTCGAATATGAAGGTAGAATCAATGGGGCATATAATCTAACGTACCCCCCCCCCTAGCTCGCTCACATTTTGTGAACATTTTTCCCTTTTTCGCTTAGTTAAACTCCAACAAGACCCCCCTTGGTCGCTCGCTTTTTGTTACCAAGATCCGTTGGTCGCTTTCCTTCTTTTGCATTCTACGACCCCTTGTTCGCCCTCCTTGGTTTCGACGGCGCACCTTTGCTCGCCCGCCTTTCTCCGTCATTTATCCCTTGTTCGCTCCTGAAGCCCCGCGAGAACGCTTTATAACGCGTAGCTCATTTTCTTTTTCACTTTTAAAAGGCTTTTTAACTCGTAGAATGGTCTCAAAATTCGATTTTCATGATTTTTTCCAAGCAAACTTATTTTTTTTTATGCTCTTTCACGTCCATTTTGACAAATTTTCATATCTTCTTAAGGGTACTACCTTCGATTTCCCCAACTTCAGCCTTGAATAACTTGAATAAGAAGAAATTTTGACACTCCATTTTAAGTAAACATAAGTACTCGAAATACATGGATTGAAACTTTGAGACTGTTTTTATAAAAAATCAAATGCCATTTTCCTCGAGAGTTGCAAATTTTGATTAATTTTTCCGAGCTGAGCTGAGCTGACCTGACCTGCGAAAAAATTTCTCTGAGCTGAGCTGAGCTGAGCTGGCCTTTTTCAGAGGTCATTGAGCTGACCTTTTGTTTAAGAGAGTTGAGCTGAGCTGAGCGGACCCTAATTAGAGCTGAGCTGAGCTGTTTTTACTGTTTTTGGTAGTAAAATTGTATTCAAATCATTGAGCTGAGCTGAGCTTAGCTAAGTGATAATCGTCTGAGCTGAGCTGAGCTGAGCAGAACTTCTTGCTCGAAAATAATGGAGCTGAGTTGAGCTGAGCTGAGTGAAAATTGTCTTAGCTGTGCTGAGCAGATCAGATCATTTTCCAAAATCACTGAGCTGAGCGACTGCTCAGCTCACTCAGCTCAGCAAATTTGCAACTCTGGAACCAGTGTCAACATGAGGATTCGACTATTTTGAGTATAAATGTACATATAAAGTCAAACTATCAAGTTTACGGCATAATACAGCGTTGCTACAAGATATAAAAATTTAACTGGACGCTTTAAAAAGAGGAAATGAAGTTTAGTTACTGTCAAAATATTCATGAAAATGAAAAATATAGTTCCCTATGAAAAGCTTGAGTCGAAAGTACAGTAAGAGCTGTAAGAGCGACCCAAGCCGAGCTAGGCTTTGGCGGTCTCGCGGCGAACAAGGGATAAATGGGTGAGGAGGAGCGAACAAGGGCGCGCGAGGTAAAAAGAAGGATGGCGACTAATGGAGCGCGCTGAAACAAGAATGAGAGCGAGCAAGGGGACTTTGATAAAATTTAACTAAGCGAGCAAGGGAAAAATGATCACAAAATGTGAGCGAGCTAGGGGGGGGGGGGGGGTACGTTATCATATGCCGCATATCGGATAAAGTATTTTGAGCGTTACATAATGCTTGCAAAACAAGCTGACTCAGTAAATGATAAAAATAGACGAAGACAAAAGGTCAATTTCACGAACCTGGAAGACAAACAACAATGTGCCCCTGCAAGTTCAACTGGGCACACTGCTCCTTGGTGAGCGTCGATTCAGATAAACGCCTCGGCTTGGACCAATGAAACATGCCCGTCGAGTCGTAGCGCATGTCTTCTTTGGCAACTTCGTCGAACTGATGCTTGACGACTTTTGCTGAGTTGTTGCTGCTGGTGTTGAGTCCTCCATACGCGTTCAAATGCTTCGTCAAGCTGTTTGAGTTGGTGAGAGCAGGGCGAGGCACAGAGTTCGAGTTGACGTGGTTGACGAATTTGAAGCCGTCAGAACCGTCGCCAAGCTCGTGCTCAGAACTCTGCGCTTGAATCTAAAAAGATAAAGGATGATTTTAGGTCTTTTTTTTGGTCACATGACAAATTTAAATCTTTGAATAATGAATTATACTAATGGAAAAAATGACGTAATAAACGATAACTTTGCTCATGAATTTTTCAAGCAAAGAAAGTAGGAAACTTTGTTACCTGATGATTATCCGTGTATGATCTGGCATTGACTTTGATGTTGTGCGGGCAGTTGCAACGGCGGATCTCTTCCAAATCCGTCACATCAATGTGACACCGTGCGCACCACACGTTCGCCCGTTTGACCTCTTTCGCGCTCTCCGCAACGAAGAATCCAAGACATCCGGGCTTGAGAGTAATCGCCGATCCTGGGTTGATCAGTAGTTGCTGCCCGCCGCCTGGCTTCGACACCTGAAACATTCCAAGCTCAATATTGACTCTCGTTTACGATCATTTTTTTTTGACGCGCTGTTTACGGTGCCGGATTTTGTGGGTAACCGCAGCAAGCTGGATCCAGTGGATCTACTAACGAGCATCCGTCTAATTAATATTGATGATCGATCGGCGACACAAAAAAAAATAATGGAAAAAACATAATACGAAGAAACCACCACGGTTGTGGTAGCGCCGCAAACTTAATAATCCGCCTTGACAGGTTGAGTCAATTCAAGTTCAAGCAAAATTACTTTTGAAGATTTTTGCTGACTTTTCAATAAAGATAAGCGCCTGTCTAAGTGAATCAATGTAGGTCAAAAAAATTTGACCAAAAAATTGCCAAAAATTTTGTCCAAAATTAAAAAAAAAACTCCGGAATGAAAATTTACCTGAACAGCAATGAGCAACAAATTCAACTTCTGGTAGCAAATTTCGCAGACTCTCGGAAAACTCAGCCCAGCGAACGAATAAGAAAGTTTTTCCGTGTACATTTCTGCCCCGACTCCGGCCAAATAATGCTTCTGCCAGGAGTCTTCGTCAATTTCGATCGTCGATCGCATCGAAAATAAGTTCGCCATAAGAGAACTGAAGCCAGGAGCCAGGCAAGACTAAAGAAGAAAAATTAGTACGTCCCGACGTTCGTGTGGTAAAAAGAAACGATAAACGAGACCAAAGGAGTGATAATCGGCCACTTTTATGATTTAACGCGAGAGCTACTGGTAGTAATTTTTTGGCTTACCTGCGCGATGAAACCGAGCTTCAACTCGGCCAGGCAAATTACTGAGTCGCCCATTGCAGCCGACCAGGAAGGAATGTTGAGCAAATGAGCCTGAAGAAGAATTATCAGAGGATACCTAGTACATATGGATATGCATTTGCCGCGGGCAGACTGTGTCTACGACGATTAGACGAATAATCTGCTGGATTATTGAATGAAAAAGGGAAGGAAAAAAAGAAGGAAATCGACGTCTTTTCATCAATTCGGCGGCCGAGGACTGACGGGATTCATAAATTAAAAGTGTCTCGCACTTTCTTCGTCAAAAGAAATGATTCTGGGAGATCAAAGAGGGGGATTAAGGACGACTTAGTGATTTGTGGCAAAAGTTTGAAGTGTACCTTGTTGTGATGCGCAAGGACTTGAATAATTATTCGCGCGCGGGGTGAGTAGTTCTTGATCGAAATGACACGCATGATGTTTGAAGCGTCTTCGATGTCCGCATCCTGACAGTATCTGAAAAGAAAATGGGGGTTACTTGGAAACAAAGAGGAAAAGGGGTTCATTTCGAACAGTGACGTCGCCACTTACTTATTCGCCAGAATCACACACCCATCTGCTTCTTCCATCTTAACACGTGATAAATCGTTCGAATTGAGGACCGATCCTTCGAAGAATTCCACTTGTGTAAAGTGCCGTTTGAAAAGCGCTTCGAGCTCGAGATTCGGCGGTACCACATGAATGAAAACGACTTCTACATTGACATCGTCTCGATCTTTAGGAAACAGGGAAGAGATGGTCGAATTAGCGATTTTATACCTTTGTGAAGAAAGTCTTTCAAAAAGTACGAAACGGATTCGAGCGTAATGTGGCCACACACGATGAGATGCTTTCTTCCGGAAACGGAGGTATAACTGCCGCCGTACTTTTTGCGATTGCCCATAAGCTCGATGATTTCCGGCACATACGAGGCAAACATCGCCAGCCCACCGAAGATGAAAAACACCATGAAGAAACGGCCCAGCGTCGTCTACGAAATACCATCATTTTCCATAGTAATAATATTTACAAAATCGTAAATTTGTCGAAAATATAAGTTATAGGCTATTAATCCGGATTACAAGATTTCAATCTTGGGAAGAGAAGCAATAACTTTCATTTATGAATTATAAATGAAAAAAGAGACTTTCTACGGCTAGTGAACTTTATAAAAGCAGTCTTTTATAAGATCAGCTCTAAAAAAGACGTATTTTCTTGGGCAATTTAGTAATATCTTCTTTCGTACCTTGGCGCAGATATCACCATAGCCGACAGTCGACATGGTGACCATCAATAAATAAACGCACTCCCAGTATGTTAGGCTGACAGAATTGGAAAAGTCTGCCCATGGGTCGCCCGTATTCTCGACCAAGTGGATGAAGCCGGCTCCAGTGAGCCAGATTGAAAGAAAAATCGACACCAGATTGACCAGTTTAATTGATTGCGACGTCTTGAGGATATTTACAAACTGCAGGATCTCGCTGAATTGCAGCAGCCGCAGTGCTCGGAGAAAACGCAGGCCAAGCCACGTGCGGTTCAGGTAGACAGAAACGAACACAGGTGGGACGGTGAAGAAGTCGACGATAGAATTGACCTCGAGCCAGAACCAGAGCTTAGTGCGGATTATGGTAAATCAATCGAACCCTCCTTTCCTAAAAGATGGTCAACAGTCGGCTGTTCTTCTATTCTGGGCTCTGCAGCCTGCGTAGAAAACCTGAGTCAGGGTCTGAAAGATCTGAAAAAGAGCTACAAAGATCTTTCAAACCCTGACTCAGGTTTTCTACTCAGGCTGCCGGGCCAAGCTTCTATCTTTCTATCAAATAATGATGATCATCTGTGAATCCGTTCCTTGTCATTTGCCGCTATAAAACGAAGCCCAAAGTAGAGTAGAAAGAATATATTAAAAGCCATATCAATCTGTAGCGTCGTATCGGAGTAGAAGTTTTTACAAGTTTCGATCGGATCAGATGAGTCGATGAAGTAGATTACCAGAGCGCCGATACTGTTTTATGGTGATTTTGAGTGCCGCTCTTTATTTTCCAGATGGGAATTAAGTGCTTTCGATTAATTGAAAATTGGAAGAAAATCGAGAATCACCAGTTGCCTGAGCAGAAAGACCAGAACGACGAGAATCCTGCCCGTAAGGGTTTGGGCGGAGATCATGACACCTGCCCAGTCCTTCACCGCTGTCATCCATCCCACCTCTGCCGCGTTGGCTTTTGACGCCGCTGCGTCCCCATTACGATCCTGAACACGCGCCACTCGTTAATATTCAGATGCGGATGTTATGCGTTACGCCGTTCCCGATTTTATTTTTCTTCTTTTTCAATGACAAGCGTTTATGTTTTATATATTAGCCACGCGCGCATTTTTAACCCATTGCACATTAAAACCATTTTCTTGAACTTTAATTATAAGGAAAAGCCGCTTTGCGGCTTTGTTTTAAAAAACCAAAATATTGGTCGTAATGTAGAAATAGGTTAAAAATTTTAACCTATTTTAATTCAAGTGGAAAAAATAAAAGTTTCATGGCGAAACTATCTAACTCTCTTGATTCTCAACTCAAGAAAGAGAATAAATAATTCACATGTGCTCTCACCTTTTCGCCAAGTCGAGGAGGAATTGTCAATTGGCTTCGAGTGACGTTCTGGAGTCGATACGCCGCGCAGCACATGTAATTGAACGCGCGCTGAAACAGTCGGATTCGAAGTTGAATGAAATAAATCATGTTGAAATTGACCTTAGGAAACTATTGTTTTTATAGCATTAACTTTTAAGCGACTGCGAAAGGAAATTGAAGCTTCATAAAACCTTCAACTTTTTGACAAAAAGAAAATGATTAATGAACTCGTTATTTGCTAATTAGAATTTGTTGATTGTCGAATCCCATTCCCATAGTAAAATCAAGATCAGCCCGCCGACGAAAGTGACGAGCGAGCTGGCAAGGAATGCGTACCACATGCGCACATCTTCGCAATTTCTGATCTCCGGGTCAATTTTGATATATCTCTCATCTAAAAAAGCGCCGCCAAAGCCATTTAGGAAATAGTCCTCGGAAAAGTCCTCCATCCTCTCTTTTTTCTCTCATCCGATCTCCATTCCTAATCTCATAAAAAAAGGTTGAAAAGAAGAAAGTCGCGATTTTCTCGAAAATTCGGGAAAAAAAAAGTTGTCTTCCTTGATTTTTTGATTTCCGCGTCTGGCAGGGGGGACCGCGCAGAATACGTTTCAGGTTTGCTCCGTTTTGCCGTTTTGGAATTTTACGACCGCGAAAAAGAAAGGAAGCCTGACACTCTTTCTCTGGCTTTTGCTTATCAAGCGCGTCTGGAGAGACGGAGATTTAAGTTAATTGATTCTAGTTGGTCATTTGAAGATGAAAGTTTCTGACAATTTTATTTCGCGAGGAAGGGAGTAGTCGGCAATTAAACTATATTTTACTTCTGAACTATCGCCGCCACGGCCGTGCGGAATTTTATGAGCGACTGCAGATCCTTCCTGACACGGGAATTAGGGCGCTTTAGTCCAGTGAGGAAATTTTACGACAGTTTTATGATGCTCTCAGCACATTTTTTTTCAGGAAGGGATTAAAGTTGCCATCAACTGTCAGGTAGTCTAAGATTCAAGGAAAATAGTAATTTTGGGGACCCCAATTTCTGATCAATAATTTTCGTTAGAATTCCGATTCAGCTGAAGTAAAATAACAGCTGAAAATCGAGAAGCCGCTTGCGGCTTCGAGTAACAAAAAGATTAAGCCGCGCGAAGCGCGGCTTTTCCATCTTCGTTTGCTCGAAGCCGCAAGCGGCTTCTCGATTTTCAGCTGTAATTTTACTTCAGCTGAATCGGAATTCTGGCGAAAATTTGTCAGTCAGAAATCAAAATAGCTGTACAGCTATTTTCGCTATAAGAAGATGATATTATGTAGATATTTCCTTGTGACCCTTGCTTATTAGCTGAACAGATGTTCCACTTTTGATAGTACAATAATGAACTTTTGTAATAAAAGGATCTGTGTTAATAATAATATAGACTGTACTTGGTATTCCATTGAGCCAGGCATATAAATTCGCTTGGCGATTTTCGCCGAAAGCGAAAGCGAAGCGAAAGCGAATCGAAAATTTCGCTTTCGCCCCCCGTTCGCTTTGGGTTTTCGAACGAAATTTATATGCCTGCATTGAGCCTTAAGCCAGTAACTCGTTTGTTTTCGCCTGAGGCAGGGCAATTATTGCCCGCAGGCATATGGCCTAGGGCGGATTACGACGCGATGAGAGGAAGGGCATTACTTTCGAGCAAGGATTTAGATATGGATTGAGCCCGGGTCCTGTGAGAGTCGTTTTCCTGGATGATCCCCTGGTTGGCAGTGCTGTACTCGTTGCAACATGTGCACTCGGTGTTCATTTGGTGAGCGAAGTTCTTCGGGTCTCAGAAGTTCTCTTTGCGAGTCCTCTTTCGCCTTCTGACCATAATTTGGATTGACTGCCCAATCGTCCTCCCAGCTGCAATAAACAACGCCGATAAACCGATAAAACACCAGTCTAGGACAATTACAATATTACACCTTCAAATTCGAATCGAAAAGAAATGCCAATCGAGCGGAAAAAAGGAACCAAGGTGCCAGCTTTCCAAAAATAAAATTGCTATTTTTGCAATAAAAAATACAAAAGGTTTTTCATTTCGACTATTTAATTATTAGTTTTGACGCTGAGACACATCCTTAGAGTATTAATTTTATAGCGCAAAACCACAATCATGAATTATCGCGGGAATATACGATCTCATAATTTTTATTAAACAATAAATGATTCATGAAAATGCTCCTTTGGCAGAAATTATCAGAAAAGAGGTCAAAAAGCGCCTATTTTACCTAAAGGGTTAATTTTTCACAAAAATATTCTTAGTTTTTCTCAAAATTCGCTTCAAAATCCGATTTTATCTTAAAAACACAAATTTTTACTCATTTTAGCTCGATTTGAGCCCTCTTATTATTTCCGCAACTTAATTTTGGGACCTGGCTATTTTTCAGTTCTGTTCATTTTTTCTTCCTTGATTTCAATCCTTGATCTCTCTCTCTCTTTTTCTCTTTCTCAGTTTGAAATTCTTCGAATTTGAGAGCGGATGGGCGGTCGTCTTCGCGGCACAATCAAGTGCAAGTTCTCTTGCTGAAAAATTGACATTTTGGGCGAGAATTCGGAATCGGATCGGTGAGCTTCTGTGATACAAGTAGGTGACCGTTGAAAAAATGAATAATTTATTAAAAATTATCGACTACGTCCCAGCCCCTGCGAAGCTCTCGGCCGCCGCCGAGCGGTGTGCGTGCCCTAATCGATCAGAGTCTGAATCCTCTCTCTCTTTACTGATTTTCTACAGTCGAAAAGCTGCTTCGTAAAGTAACAAAATTTATAGATTCTCTGTTTTCGAAAAAACGGGGCTAAAAACGTGAAGCTTATCCAGCGCGTTAGGAAAAAGGGCGTCAATCCCCCATCACTCGCCCGCGGCTGCCTCTCGAAATGCTCTATCCATCTGTCCATCTAGGTGCCCAATGACCACAAGTATGGATATGAGGCCATTTGCATCACAGATTTAGGAATTCCATGACGATTTTCTTCCTTGATTTCTCAATCGAAAGAGGGGATTCGACGAGAAAATTAAAATATCGGTCCAAAATTGTCGGTGAAAATTATAAAATATAGCCCAAGATTGTCGACTTTTCAAAGTATTTTGGATTACATGAGGGCTCGGCACGAAAATCTGCGAATAAAACCTGAGTCAGGGTCCTAAATGACACCTTATAAAAAGCCGCGCGCGGCTTATTTAAGAACGAAGCCGCGAAGCGGCTTTGCGCAAATTTCGCGGCTTCGTTTAAAAGCCGCAACGCGCTTTTCTTTGAGATCTTTTTGAACCCTGACTCAGGTTTTCTACGCAGGCTCTGGCTAAGGTCTAGCTAAGGGTAAGGGTCTGGTTGCTTGGAAATTTGATTGGCTTGTTGTAATGAAGCGAATATCTGATAGGATGCGGAAATTGAAAGTAAGTGCTGACAGGGTGGTTACTCAAGTACAGTAAGCTAACGCGTAAAATGTTGGATAGCGATTCGAAAATTGATCGAGAGACGACAGGCGCTTAGCGCCAGAATTGGGACACGGCTTGGCAAAAATTAATTCAAGTACGGGATAAATAACAAAGTAGACTTGATGTTTTTGAATTCTGCTTAATTTATGAAAAATCAAGCGACAGCAAAAATAAACAAGCAACTTAGCCTGAATTTTTAATTCAATCTTCTCGAGGACAAAAAAGACGAAAAGAAGATTCGCAGACCATTAGTGACCATCATCCATATTCCGAGTCTTTTGGAACGAGTCCCTTGGGATTTGATTCCGAAATGAATAGACTCGATTTGAATTGATAATCAAATCAAAAAGCCTTTCTTGGTATTTCTATTATCATATCAATAATCTACAATTATGCTCGCAAGAGTTTGGACTTAAGGGTATCCTACCGTTAAACAAGGGATCCATATTTTTCCAACAGTATTTTGTCAATTTGAAAGAGACTGTAAATCTAAAGAAATCTGTGATGTTTTCTTTCTCCAAAATAAGTTGTTTTCTGATCGGTCTGTAACTGACAGTACTGCCCCACATGAGTTACTGAGTTACGTTAATCACTAGATTAATCGATCACCCGTCTGATCGAGCGACGCGTTGCAAGATCTTACTGTCAGGAAAAAGACAGTAGAGTATTCAGGAGCTACTGCATTTGCATGTCTGATTTGCGACAAATCACTGTATTGTTCTCGTCTGAGAGAATCTTCCTCTGAATACCCAACCAGCTCATTCATTCATTTAAATTTGAACGAACTTAATTACAGTCGGCATACAAACAAAGACGGAGGAAAATAACTGTAATTATTGACTGTTCTAAAATGGCTTACTGAGCCACTTTTTTCCCAGGTTTTTTGAGCTTTTCGGCTATTTAAAAATTGACAATCTTGGGCGATTTTTTCGAAATTTTACCGACAATCTTGGACCGAAAAAAAAGTTCGAAATTTAACCCATATTGACTAAAAAACCATTTTCGGACAATTATTTTCATCCTTTTCGCTTTTTTTTCTTTTGCGGAAGCAACAATTTGTAATTCCATTTTTTCTCTTGAGAAAAAAAAGTAAAATGATTCAGTTTATCGATCAATCCAGCGCGCGAGGAGAGAGTCGAACCCGAGCGCGCTCCGCCCTCCCTTGAGCTGCATAAAAATTCAATTAATTTTATATTAATACACTCTTATTAAGAAAATTATTAATCAGCTGTCTTTTTTGCCACTCTCAAAGTTCGAACTTCGAATCAAGTGTCAAAATCAAAATCGTTTTTGGCAAAAATAAAAAAAAATGTCACGTGACAAGCTGAGCCGGGGATGAACTCGTCAACGTCGACAGAAATCGACGTATTTTATAGCTGTTTATACTCGGATATAATTTGACGTACGCAGCTAATCCCGTTTTTCGTCCAAAATGGAGCATTGAAGATAATTTTTCCTGGCTATTTTTGAAGAAAAGGGATGTTTACTAGGGCGGGCGTGTACTGTCTATAAAGTATTGGACTTGTACGATTGTAGCCGTTTGAGGAGTACATTGAACCGATAATTGCATGAATAATGAAGTATCTAAAAATGAACTTGAGCATCTTTCTCTTTTTTTTCCTTTAATTTATTCATTGCTGCCAACAATAATTGTAAAGATCATCATCAAAATGAATGAGTTTATTTTCAATAGTAGTAGTTTCAAAGTAGTTTATTCGCGAAAGTAAGTGAACAGTTCTTTTCGGCATCCTTATCGGATCTACGAAAGTTGAACAGTCCAATGTCTGGTCTTCTTTTTCGCTCTAAAATCGGTACTGCTCGCATTGAGCATTCATTTCTTCGATTTCTGGTCGCTTGTTCGAAGTCGTCTTTTTTAGAATGCAGAAGAATCGGTGCTTCGTTTCCGGATTCACGTAAATTGCTTGGATTTTCCAGGCTTTTCCGATGCGGATTCCTGTAAGTGAGTTTCGACACGGGTTCTTTGCTTGTTTTTTTACCTTTTGCAGCAGTTATTTCATCGTAAACAACATTTCCCAAGTTTAGCAGCGTGATTCCTTATACAAATGGATCTCTTACCAAATTTCATAAGATAAGGGGTCCCCCCTCGCTATTTTCGATGCAAATTTAAGTGCCAATTTTTCTACTAGAATTATCAAAAAATGGCCATCTTGGGCCCGAGTCGTCTGATTTTGTTAAATATCGTAGGGATACCCTTAGGATAAAAGCCATAGGGGCCCTTAAGTGAGTTTATCGGAGAACCATTCCTTGATAATTTTCGTCAGCAGCGTTGTTCTCTTCTATGATTTCAATGGCGCTCTCGGCCCACTCGACAAATTTCTCTGGCTTCGGGTATTTGAAAAACTCCTCGCCAAAGGCAGCCGCTAATCTTGTTACCAAGCGTTATTTATTTTATTATTTCTTACCGATAATGGACGCTAGAAAGAGCTTCATTCAGACTCTCCTCTGTTTTTCTCTCCTCTGGTGGAATTTAAAATGAAATGGAAAACGAAACTAAATGCTCCACCACGGCCCTTGATTCCTTTTTTGAAAACTCTTGCTAGTGAAAAATTCTTGAAAACTTGACAAGGATGATGGTTTGAAAGATCGAGTTTTGCTGACTGTCGATAAGCCCGAAAAACTGCCCTAACGAGGAATTCCCACCTGTGGCGCCCACTAGAAGGTTCCAATGCGTTCAATCATTAAAATAATAAACAGCGTTGTTTACGGCGAATCAAAACATTGCGTCGCCGAGTTTAGACTTGAGGCTTTGCCTGACGATATCGCTGGGTTTCATCTCATTAGTAGAATGCAAATTGAACGCTTTCGAATTTATTATAATTAATTAAAAAAAGACAAGTTTTTTTATTTTATTTTTGAAATTTTTCTCAGCTTTTTGACTTTTTGTTCATGTCCGAGACAACTTTCAACAGAAAATCCAAGGTTTCTCGATGATGATCCGCACCGTCGTGTTCTTCTTCTGTTGATAATACAGTTATTTACAGTCATAATAGTCGTAAACCTCCCCCAATTGATTTTGGAGTTGACTGTAGAAAACTGTATACCAAGTCCTTCTCCCTTCTCTATTTCATTAAACAACTCATGCAGGTTTTTCTTCGCCCTAGCAGCTTTCCAAAGCAAGGCTTTTTCATGATCTACTTACATTTCAAATTCAGAATTCAACTTTCAGAATATAGACCACTAATCATCATGTAGCAAAGTCAGCTTTGCCTTTTCTTTGTCATTTTCGCCCTCCATGTGCTTGAATTGGACTCCATTCTCTGCCTTTCCTGCTGCAAATAATCCAAGAAAGAAAATAAGTAAAAGAATCCGCGGCATGATTTCTCAAATCAGCCCACATCTACAGTTCCTAACTGTCTTATATGGCGAATAATGAAGGCATAAGATATTTATCAGGCCATTCGTCAGTCATCGCTGACGCCTCCGACAAAGTGTCACTTATATCGAAGAAGAATATAGCTGTTAAACGAAAGACGCGGAATGAGCTCGGGTCAGGACTATTTAATTCCATTTTAGAATGCTGGGGTCTTTTGAGGATACAGAAATATATTTCTATACATGCTTAAAAATTTTCAAAAACAGTTTCAGTTGGACCGGAGGAAGGAGGAGCGGGAGTAGTAGGATTTATTCGGATTGCGGCGTTGACCTCGACGGAATCCTCGGACGCGTTTTGGGTGGTTCCAGCGGCGTTTTCTTGAGCCACCGTCTCCGGCACCACCTCCGGCGTTGATGCCAGAATCTAAAACGGCTCGTTTAGCGGAGAATCAAGACTCGACGAGAGGAACTTACGGCTACAAAGGATGCTAGTGAAGCTATCCACAGCAACTGTTGGATTTCGAATATTCGCCGGAATCACTGTAATTGTTCTGTCGTCTTTCGTCCATCGGAAATATTTCTGATTAGGATCTTCTTGGAAATACTTTTCTTCGAAACGAGCGTCTGGAATATCGTTGCCATTAATAGAAAACGGCTTCCGAGCGGCAACGATAAAGGTCTTGTCGCAAATGTCTGTAAATGTTCCCTTGCATTCCCCGTCGAAGGCGGCGACAACTAGAATTTGTTGAAGAATAGAGGTCGAATTACTATTTTAAGCCGTACCCTTTTGGATGACTTTTTCTTGGAAAACATCGGTAGTTGGATAAGGGGGTAAATCCGACTTGCCCTCGACTTCCTCGATTGGTTCTTTTTGAAGTGTTTGTTGGGCTGTCTCTTTTCAATATATCGAGTTTAACAAACACTTTCCTAAGAAATCAGGAATCGAGATCGACGATCCGTATTTCAGATTGATATCCTCCTCGAATTCTTCTTTGAATTGCTCGAAAAAGTCGTTGTAAAACTCCGCTTCGTTTCTAGTCACATTTTCGTCGATGATCACTTCGATCAATTGCTGATCAACGTCTGTGCAAGTTTTGCTGTTGAGGTCTTCTACATTTGGCTGACGAGAACGAGTCGAGGCTTTGACAAAGTTTTCGAATTGAGGAGCACTTTGCAGGTATTTAGAGTAGAGAATATTCAATGAGAATTCGTTCATGTCCACGATCTGTAGTTTCTCGGTACTGTAGGGCATTGTTCTATCATCTGTCTTGAGAATATTCTGAATATTGCACTGATTCTCTTCCCCGTCGGAAAGATAAACAATTGCCCTTTCATTAACCCATCTCTCTGCGAAAGACTTTGAGATAGTTCGAGTCATGTAATAAGATGCGTCGATTGCTGCTTTGTTCAGAGTGGCTTTCTCAAGCTTGCCACTTTTGGCAAATGACACGCTTGAGATATGATTTCTCGCAGCGCTTATTATAGATTCAACGCAGCAGCCCTTTTCGCAGCGCTCAAGGGTGCATTTTTCCGGAATTCCAGTGCTTAGTTTGTGACCATCGTAGCTGTAGACTTCTCGGAGGACGATTTCGTTGGGGAATTGAGGGACGCTCAGAAGAGTTTTGAAGAATTGAAGGAGTTTTTTTTTTCGTTGATTGTTGAAAGAGGAGTTTTAAGGACCAAAGTGTAGTCGACCAAATGAAATTTGGAAGAGTCGAAAGACGCGTTGTCAAGCGCCAGATCTGGTCGAGAAGTGCAAGAATCTGGATCTTCCATGCTTTTTTCCGCCCCACGAATGTGATTCAGCGAAGCCCTGTCTTCAGACAACCAGACTTCAAGCTCGAAACCAATTCCACTTTCTTGTGGGTCCGCCGCGTTGTAGCTCCAAATTACTCCAGTTGATGATTGGAAGAGTTCTCCACTGGCGACTTTCTCTTCCCGTGAGTTTTCAAAGCGGAAAGTGAGCTTGATTTTAGGATACAAAAGTGATCGGCGAGATCTAGCATTGATACGTTTTCTGAGACAATCGGCCAAGAAGATGTTCTCCTCGTCGTTGTCAGACTCGCTGCTGAGAGTCACTTTGTTCAATCTAGAAGCATCCCATTCTTCCATCCAGTAAGGACATTCTCGTGCGCCTGATGTACTTGTGGAAGTTGTGCTTGTGGTCGTTGTTGTTGGAGCTGGTGTGGCGGATGGATCCATGCATTTCCAAGAGTCGTCTCTGTTGATGATCTTGACGGGCTCGGAAAGGTCGAACTGTGTTGTTAATTCGCGCCATCGCGAAAGAAGGATCTTGTTTTCTACGCTAGAAGCGATCATATCCAGTCCACCATCAGATCTCGTCGTGACCAAAAAGTAGTCGATGTCACTTGACATTTTGAAGGGGACCGGACTGTTGTAGCTTCGTGGGTGATCAGCGAAAACGATGATAACGGGTTTATTCCTTCTATCGCCGTACATTCGCTCAACAGCGCCCAGTGAGCGCTCAGCATATTCAATCGCGGCATTCATGTTGACAACTCCTGGTTTAACTCGTTTCTTCAGCTCCTTCATGAAATAGTTGTTCTTGCTTATTGGCCAGATCATTCTGTTAAACTCCTCTACTGGGTAGAACTCGCCGGGTTGAGCATCAGGATCAATATCCCTATCACCAGTTTTTGGCGAAGCGAAGATAAGTTTGCTTCGAGAGTAATGTTCCAAGTTATCCATGAATCGCATGTTGATATCAGCGACGCCAAAGTTGAGATAGTTCTTATTGTGATCCCGGCCGAGGTTGGAATCAACAACGATGACCAAGTCAACGCAGTTGGTTCCCTTTGCAATACTCGGAACCTCCGTTGTAGTGGGAGTAGTTGTTCGCTCTGTTGTTGTGGTGGTAGTCGTGGTTGTTGTGGTCGTTGTTGTTGTTGTCGATGTTGTTGTCGTGGTGATTTCGCAGTGTCCTTTGAGTTTGTTCATAACAGGAATCGACTCTAGAATCGCTTGTTCCGTAAGTTCAGGAACAGATCTAAATCATCATCGTTGAAAAAATCATGTGAAACAGATACGTACCGTCTAACAAATCTATATTCAGGGCCAGAGGCAAGTCGCATCAGCTGTTCATGCTCATACGTCGTAAAGACAAATGTCTTTGAATAGAAAATGCTCGAATAGGATGAATAGCTAGTATAGGAATAAGGAGAAGTTGTCGGTCCTTTGATGATCATTTTGACAACTGGTTGGTTCATCAAATGCTGGTTGGAAGACGTAAAGCCTTCTTTTTCTAGGACAGAGTGCGCAAAGTCCAAATCCTGGAAAAAATATTCTTGAAAATGAAAAATGAAAGGGTTACTTTTTGGTAGTCGACTGGTCCACTGACGGTTGGGCGGTAGGAAGTTCTTTTGAAGTGCTGAATAAACTCCTGAATCGGCATCATCTGGATGATTTCCTCTTGGTTCATCACGAGGCTGGCTTTGCAGTTCTTCAAGTTGTGGTACAAGCTTGTGTCCTTCGCAATAAATTCACGGACATCTCGGTCAAGTTCATCGGCAACATAGACCATAGAAGTGCAAAGATCATTGTCAACTTGCGGTTCTTCCTCAACGCACTCTAACAAGTAATTTTCGTACGTGTATGGGTTGCGGAAAGACAAGAAGTTTCCAGAGTCGTCTTTTGGACAGCATTTTTGCTGCTCATCAGCAGGCACATTCTTGAATTTAATTTACATTGTATCAGCTATTTATCGATTGTCTTTCTCTTACCGCATATCCGACAGAGGAAAGTTCCCAACCATATCGATCAAGATTCAGGCTCATCTTAGATCCACTGTAAACCGGACATCCATTATAGTTAAAATTCTTGTACGATAAAATATCATAGGAAGAATCAGACCCAGATCTTCTAACTCGAATAGATGGACAGCAGTTCATTGAAGGAAGATTGTCCGACTCGATGGACGAGGTTTTTTCGAAAAGACCTAAAATGTGAGGAATTCATTTTTATTAGTTTTTTACCTTCCCATCCTCCGAAATTGGCGTAGTGCAGGGCAGATTCTTGGAAGTTTTTGTGATCAAAGATTGAGTCCGACTGGCCGGTGCAGCTTTAATTTGAGAATAAAAATATGAGATAATTTGATGTTTTCTTACCGTTTTTCGTAGTCATTCAGTGAGGCAAATTTCATCTTCTGCCACTGATACTCGGGAGAATCGATGTCTGTTGTTCCAATAATCCAGCGAGATTCGTAGATTTCCCTCAGCTTGACGAACATTTCGCAAGCTTCAGCGGTGGACATTTGGGTCATTGGCTCGATTTGGTGGGTCTGGTCCTGACGAATTGGCCATGGATCATCGTCAAATTTGGACGCATCTAAAATCCTTTAATTGAGAAAAATTTGAAGAAATGATATACCTGTAATGACGAATAGAATGTTTTCTTTCCGGTCGTGTACCCATCCTTGATTGTCAGTTCGCTCAGCAAAGTTGACAAGATCCTTGAGCGTTGTGAAGAAGAACGTCGTTCCTTCAATCGCAGTCCTAGCTTCTCCAAACTCGTGTTCCCAGCTCTGCCAATCCTGCGATAGATCGCTTGCGAGTGCAACTTGATCTCCGTAAGGCGTGGTGATGATATTCAACAAATGCTCCTCAAGTTCAGCTTTTCGAGCATCTTTCGAAGATCGTTTGTACTCGGCTGCAGTTTTCTCATAAATTGGTTGTCGGAGACGAGCTGAGAACTGTGTAACAATCGCTACCGAGTTCTGGTTGGAATTCGACTGGGCCCATTCTTCGACCATATCAGCGACGGAAGAAGAGATCTTCTTTGATACTTCAACGCCGAGAGAAGTGACAGACTCGGAGTTGTCCAGGAAGATTGTGAGATCGCGACCAATGTCACGAGAGCAGGAGCATTGAGGGGAGATTTGAGGTCGATCAGTGGTAGGTCGAGTTGTTCGTGGTGTCGTGGTGATGGTAGTGGTGGAGGTGGTCGTGGTCGTGGTGGTTGTTGTGGTTGTAGTTGAAGTCGTTGTAGTTGGTGCTTCTGTTGTTTTCACCGTGCAATCGTTACAAAACTCTGGTGCAACCCGACGAGCAAATGCTTCCAAGTAGATATCGTACTCATCACCTTCAATAACCTTCATAAGTCGATCAGCAATGTCCGACTCAATATCCTCCAAAATATTGCCGAATGGATCGATAAGATTTCTTCCTTCCAATCCTGGGGGACCTTGCTCTCCTGGCTCTCCAGCGTCACCTTGAGGTCCAGCTGGTCCTCGATCGCCCTCGAAATCGCCTGGGAGACCTGGTAGACCCTTCTCTCCTTTTGGTCCTCTCGGTCCAGGCGGACCGCGTGGCCCTTCTGATCCCATCTTTCCCGGAGCTCCTGGTTCGCCTGGTTTGCCATCGAGTCCTGGTATACCAGGCTTTCCAGGGGAACCTCCTGGTCCGGCACGGCCTCTTGGTCCATCTTCACCTCTTGGTCCGCGATTGCCTCGTCGACCCTTGATTCCATCTGGGCCAGGTAGGCCTGGAGGACCGGTGAATCCACTTGGTCCTGGTGGTCCTTGAGCGCCAGAAGGACCCTGAGGACCCTCTTCTCCCTGCGATTTGATAGACTCCATTCTTGCCGAAATAGTCACGCGCGCGGAACATGCGCATGGAACTTTCTTTTGTTCAATTTCCCAACATTGCGCCGTCTCTTTCACTTCGTCGGATAATCTAAAGAAGAATATTCATTTATTCATCCAACCACCCAACTAATAAGCATTAGATCGATCTTCTAAAGTACCGGAGAAGAATCTTACCTTGATACAATTGTGTTCATATAAGACTGAGTAGCGTCGACTGTCTTGTAAGAAATGAGCGTTTGTTGACTCGTGAAAGTTGGGTCGAGCATTCTGAGGATTTCCGGGAAAGAGCAGTCTTCGGGGTAATCGTATCTATTGCCACTTGGGACGCATGGATCATTCATGGCAAAAGCAGTCACTTTCACCGGTCTATCGAGATCTCCAACGAGTTCTTGGTTGATGATCTGTCTCAAGTCGGCCTTCTCACTTTCAATCCAGAATCCATTTCCACCCGCCCACATGTTTTTCGAGTGCTGGCCATTTGTGAAAATAAGCAGCTCTCGGTGCTTGTAAGATCGGCTGTCAAAGTCAATGGCAATATCATGAATGGCCTTGACAAAGTCGGTCTCGTAGTTTTGTGCTTCGAAATTTTGGTAAAGAAATTGAAGACCAGCTCGAACTCGGTCTCTCGCAAACTGAGCGTTTCTATTTTGAACAAAGGAGAATTCAGAGAGCGAAACTGCACGAATCACTTTCTCGTGAAATCCGATCAGTTCAAGTCGGAAATGATGGTCACGTGAGAAGACGCCCTCGCGAGCGAGTCGTTCGACGATGCCGTTGATGAAGTTTTGCGGAAGTTGCATCGCCAACTCGTCAGAGTTCATGCAAGAAAGGTCGATGGCGATAATCATATCGACGTAGCAGGTCTTCGAAGGGTCGCTGGGGACAATTGGGAAGGCAGGGCCGGAGTAGGAGCTTGGGAAAGAACTGCTGCTTGAGTAGCTTGGATCGTCAGCAATGTAATTGAATGGAACTGGTTGAGTAAACTTGCTGCCGCAAGGCTTTGGAATTTCGCGAATAATCGACGAAGAAATCTGTCGAGAAAGCTTTCTCGCAGCATTTGAAGTTTCCCAGTATCGACCCTCGCGTCCCAAGAACATCGGACAAGATGAGATCTCATCGTAGTTAGATTCTGGTCCGCACGTTTTTGATGAAAAGAGCCGATTAATTGCGCCGGAGGATTCTTAAATAAAATGAAAATGATGAAAATAGACATAATTTTATCAAAGCTACTTTTTCTCAAAATAATTAGACGCCTATATTTACGCAACTTCTATTTTTGAATTTAAATATATTCAAAAACTCAAAATACATACAGCTCATAGAAATTGAAATCATAGAAGAGAATCTCAATTCAAGAGAGCTCTTTTGACCCCCTTTTTCCCGAGCTTCCTTATTCCCGAAATATCAGTTTTCGATTTTCCAAAAAGACAAACAAATATTCGCTACGTACCTGTCAACGCACACTTGAGTCCACTTTCAAGCGCTCCCCTCGCAGCGCGCCCAGGAGCCGCAGTGGGAAAATCGTCGAGCACAATCATCGCCGTGTGCGCAAATGGCTGCTCCTGACAGTAAGCCAACTCGTTTTGAAAGATTTCCAGCTGGCCGCGCTGGACAGTCACTTTCAATTTGCTCGACATGGTGACCAGCAAGGCGAGTGGTTGGCGATTGTTGGCGGATTCGCGCTCCAGGTCAGATCGGACGAAATCGAAGGCGGAGAAGAAGTTGTCGATTCCTTGACGATCGACGGTAGCTTGAATGTTACTGCCAGAGTTGGGCCCGAGAGTGAAGGTCTTCCAGATCTGATACTCGTTTCGTTTCGTATCATCTTTCCGGACGCTTCGAATCTAAAGACCCCTGAATTTAGGCTGAGACTCTTGAGAAACTACCTGAATGTTGTATTCGTTCCCAGTGTTTCCAAGCTCTTGATGGAGGGTCTCAAGAAAGTAGCCATAAAACTCGCCCATTCGATGAGCTTCCTTGTGGTTTCGAAGTCCGAAGTCATCCTCGATCCAGAGTAGGTAAAGAATAATTGGCTGGACGGAGCATTCTTCTGGAGGTGGCGTGATGATGGGTCGGTTTGTCGGAATTGGGGGAGGCTGAGTGACGTTCTGACTTGAATCACAAGTGCAGAAGATTTCAGCGTCGTTCATGCACACTTCGCTCATGTATTCAAGCAAAAATAGGGGTTCAAAATGAGCTCTGTCTATATTTTTCAATTAGGGAGATCTCAGATCTGATGTATTTTTCCACATGAATTCACCAAAAAAATTATGTTCCCGGCGTTTTTTAATCAATAGAAGAATCTAAGGAGGAAATGACGACTTGAATAAGCCTCATAAAACTTTTGTACTTATGATTATTATGTTCATCAAAAAGTCTCAAAAGAATCTTTTCCGAAAAATTTACATAAGAGTTTCAAATTGCTGATTATCTTCACGAAATCTTCACCCAAAAGTTTACATAAAAGCTCGGAAGAATCTACGATTCTGTCAAATTATTTCTTATATAAAAGTTCCTAATTGACTAGAATCATTTGGAACCCTGAACGAAAACTCGCCATAGGCACCAGCCTGGGCCAAAAGGCCGGCCAGGCCCAGAAGTAACGTCTTCATGGGAAAATTCTCTTGTGCGGCGGATTGAGCTAGAAATTCCAAAAAATTGCCAAAAGTACAAATATTGGTATTTACCTCAGTCCTAAGCCAAGCACAACAAAAAAAAGAAGCTGGTCAACAACTCTTTTTTCGGAAATTTATTCCGGCGTTGCAAAATCGCAGTCTAGATTTTCTTGAAGGCAAATATTAACACGTAAAATATTTCATTCACGGTTTCCGATTTATTACAGAGCGCTTTATTTTGTGGTGAAAATCTATTTGCTCACCTGGCGGGCCCATCAGACTCTAGGCGCACCATCTTGTCCAGATCTTTATTTACAGTTACAGGGCTCCGCAACCTGTGTAGAAAAGGTCAACCTGAGTCAGGGTATGAAAAACCATAAAAGATAATTCATACCCTGACTCAGGTTTTCTACACAGGATGAAGAACTAAAAAGGCCACGAATTCTCCCCTAAAAATGGGGGAGAATACCGTCTTTGGGCAGTTGTTTTTATTCATCATTTCTATTATTCATTCTGTATTGACAGAATCATATTGTATGTTTCTATATTGACGTACTATCAGCAGAATTGCGGCAGATAATTGACCAAGAACTGACATTCTTCTTCACGCGGGCTCACGCGCCCTCCACTAGAGGACTCTTTCAGATCCTATAAATACTGGTTCTGAAAATAAAATCTCAAAAATAGAAAATGAGGTTTATTTTCTTCCTTGTTATTTTTCTGCTGAACTTTTCGGAAACTTTTGGTCGATCCTTTGATTTATGCAAACTGCGGCTTTCTGCGAAGAAGTTTCCATATCTTTCAAGCATGTGCAGATATCGAAAACCAACATACAGGAGGTCGAACCAAAAACCTGCTTGCAAAAGGATGATTTACGCTGGAAAGACGAAGCGATACGTTCATGTTTATAATCCTTCCAACTGCTGAGAGAATCTTCTTTTCTGAATCTTCCACTTACTTTATCCAATTAGGAGTGTAGCACTGACGATGACTGTACAGTCGAAAATAATCTGAAATATTGCTGAATTAAATAAAATTTTAATAAAATACGAAAAAAATAAAAATCGGATATGTTGTGATTTGTTCAAGAGCTCTGATTCAATCTATTTATTGTTTTGGAAGTCCCTCTGTTTACGACTCGGCGGTTTTCATAAAGATCCGTAGCACTGGCATCTAAGCTGCTGAATGCAGAAGAGTCTGCAGCGGAGTGCCAAATTTTAGCCGAACATGCGGCTCTTTGGATTTTTACTGGGCTTGGCCCTTGGGAACGGCTTTCAGAGAAAAACATGTTTTCTTTTATCAGAGACCTAAATTGTCAACTAGATTTTCAGTTCAGAGAAAAAGCCAAAAAAGACAGCAATGTGGCATGGGAAAGTATCAAATGACCCCAGGTATCCTCGAAGGAGCAAAAGGAAACTACAAATCAGAATGGGATTCTGCTGAAGACCCATCATTGCCTGCTGTCCCTGATTACGAAGAAATCTTTATCTACGATCAGACTCCAGTTGGTCGATCAGCGGATACAGAGACGAACCCAGTAAATGGAACAGTCGGTGATTTCGAGAACCCAGAGTTTTGGGACATGACAGGAGCTGAAGAAATCGATGGTGGTCGATTAGTTGGGGGTGGTTTGCCCAGTGGACCAAGTGGTATCGGAAAGGTTCAAATAAACTTCTCATTATTTGAAAAAGGGAAAGTTTGAACCAAAAAACAGGCCCAATCGCCAGAATCGTCGGCGGCCAAGTCGCGCGACCATTTTCTCATCCTTGGCAAGTTCGAGTTCGCGCTTGCTCCGGCTTCGCTTGCACTAGAATGTGTGGAGGAACTCTTGTTTCTTCCCAATTCGTTGTTACCGCTGCTCATTGTCTTCCTCCATTTTCTCAGTCTGGAATCATCACTCTCGGTGCTCACGAGTACTTTGGCCCTGGAGCTGTCAATATTTCCATCGCTGAAATCTTCCCTCACCCAGGTACGCTTCTGATGATTTTCTCCCTAGAATAAAATTAAGGATGGGACAAGAAGAAGCGAACAAACGACATCGCCGTCGTCCGACTTGAACGACCAGTTTCCTTCAATCACAAGATCCAACCCGCTTGTCTTCCAAACAAGGACTCTTGCTTCCCCGCCGGCACTGCCTGCGTTGCCTCCGGATGGGGCTACATCGAAGAAGGTGGACCTCGATCAAATCTGCTCAGAGAAGTGGCAGTTCGACTCATGACTACTGATCATTGCAACAAGCCAAATTACTACAATGGAAAGATTCTCGAAGGCATGCTTTGCGCTGGATACAATGAGGGACAGAGAGACGCCTGCACTGGTAAATTCTAGAGCTAGCTTAGCTAGAGACAGATCTTCTTCTAGGTGACTCTGGCGGACCACTTGTGTGCCCACTTCCCAACGGCAAATGGGTGCTCGCTGGTGCTACTTCTTGGGGAGTCGGATGCGCTCGACACCAACGACCAGGAGTCTACACCGATGTTCGTCAATTCTCGGACTGGATCGGATCTATCATTCGAGAATACCCAGACGTTGTCGGAGATTGCCCAACAAAGGGCGTCACTGGTTTCGGAGCCGGACGAGATTGGTCCTTCCTCGGAACAATGCCAAAACGACCTCCAGCACAGATGCTTTTTGATACTTCTGATGGACGAGGATTGCCAAACAAGCCACCAAGTGCACCTTCCAGCGATACCCACGGTAAAGTCACCATAATAGCCTAAAGCCTTCTCTTAACATCTTTAGATTTGATGGACATGTTTGGTCAACCAGTCAAGAAAACAACCACAACTCGAGCTCCTACAACAACCAGACGAACGACAACAACAAGGCGCACAACAACAACGACGAGAAGAACGACCACAAAGGCAGCCGTTGTTGATGACTACAACATCCTCAGGTAAAATTAATTTTTAACTAGCTAGATTTTCATTTATTTCAGCGACTTCGATGAGCGATTGAAAGCTTGTGACGGATTGAAAAAGAAAGCCAAGAAGAAGTGCATCAAAAAACTCGCCAAGAAAATGAAGGAATCCAAAAAGAACAAGAAAAAGAGCAAGAAGAAGAAGAAATCTCAATCGAGAGGAGAATTCGAGACGATGGAATTCGGCTCTCGAAAGGAAAAGAGACAATATCGACGAGAAATGAGACAGGCCTGGAGAAACTGGGGCAATGTTCAAGGTAAGAGACAAAGAAGAATCAATGATCGCGATTGAAATTTTTAGAAGAGGAACAAGTCCGTGACTCTGGATTTGAAGTCGATCAAGCTTCCGCTGGAGACGATGATAATGCTCTTTTCGCTGGATGGGATTTTAACTAACTTTTGTACTGTCACCAAAACATGCCATAAAAGAAATTTTTCGCGATGTTTCTTTTCTGTATGACTTTTTCCTAGCATTTATCATGCATGAGTAGTGGGCACACATCTAAATCAATTAAAATTAACGATTGCAAAGTGGAAAATCAAATAATCTTTGACTTTGTGAGCAGAATTCGTGAAATTTTAAGAATTATTAATAATGCAGATAGAAGAGAATAATATCAAAGAGAGCGGATGCTCAAAATTATCAAAACAGCCTACTTTTATGCTAGTTGCGATGGCAATTATGTCTGTTTACTGTATTTCGTGTATTCTCATGGTCATTATCTTGCCGACGGTTCTTTTAATGAAACCAATTGAAAATGACTCATCCCCGACAATTTCGACTACAACAACGACTTCACTTAGTACAAATCTACAAAAATTCAAAATTTTTTCCTTCGGCTCCGGATGGGATGATTCTCTTCTCCCACCTGTTAGAAATGGTTTCATGCAAAAATATGTTTACGCTCGTTATGATTTATGAAATCACGTGAAACTATACTTTCGAAATGCCAAGCGCGGAGATTCAAGAGTTATCAGTCCCCGACCTCCGTTTGGCTGATGTTGGTTATGCATTTTTAAAAGGAAAGTTCTTTCTGCTTGGCGGTCACAAAAGAGGGCGTTCGATTGCGACAGTTGAAAATTGTGAATACAAACTACTCACAGAAACACTTCCTTTGAGATTTGACCATTATGCCGGAGCAATGGCTGTAATGAATGACAAAGGTGATAAAGAAGCATTATTTCTTCGATTTTCATTTGAAATTGAAGCTTATATGTGTTGGGATTATTATGGTGATCATATGGATGCGTGTATGACATTTGACGGTCACGTAGCAAGGTATTTTTTAATGATATTAGATTAAAAAAATCATTTAAGTATTCTTGATGCAAAATCAAGATTTGTTCACGATTGTGGAGTTATGTGTGCGAAAGATAATTCAATTTATGGAGGCGGAGGAAGATTAAATACGAGAGAATTTGAACAATTTATCGACAATGAATGGCATTGGACAGTAGAACTCAATCATCCGTATGAAAACCTACCTAGTAGTTGCCTTATGCTAAAATTTCTTAGTAACGAAAATGGTCTAAGGGATGCTTCTTGCATCACAGTTGATGAAGGTGTTTTGTTTCTATCATCGCGGAGTATCGGAACATACTTATTTAATACCGAGAAAAGATCATGGAGTTACGTCGGCAACCCGGTCAGTAACTCACAATTGAAAGCATATTTATTCATAGAAAATCAGAACACCTACAATCCGACAATTCGATACATTCATGGCAATATTTGGGCATTTCAAGGACATCATAACGACTATAATGTTCATCTTATATGGGATGGAAATTCAATTCAAGAAGGAGAAAGAGTTTATCTTCCGGAAAAATATAAAATCATGTTTCCAATAGTCATTGATGAAGATGAATACAGTCATATTTGTTGATCAAAAATATATTAAATAAATCATCAAAAAGAATAGTTTAATCAGAACTCGAATAAAAGAAATTTATTCGAGTTCTTTAGAAACATTCTCAAGTAGCTTTGGATTGACGCAGTGATTGTTTGCATCGCATTTGAGCATCGCTTCTTTTTCCTTCTTCGTCGGTTTGAAGTCGTTTAGTTTGTTTTGCTTGATGAAGTCGACCTTTTCAGTGTAGCTTTCCATCGCCTGCTTGGTAGTATAGTCCTTGACCTTTTTCCACGACTTGTACTTTGCTTTTTCATGCCAATCAAGCATGCTTGGTTTCTTTTCTTGCTCGAATTTTCCATTTTCCGTCGCTAGAAAGTATCGATCTCAGCGTCATACAAAAGTCTGACCTTGTTTGTAAAGCCCGTAAAATTCCTCGAGATCCTTTGGCCGGAGATTTGGAATATTCTCTTCAACCCATTTCGAATCCTCATGGAATTGAATTCGTAGAGCGTTTATTTCATTTATTGTGCCCATTTTTTAGCTCTTGGTTTATGAATTATGTGGGTTTTGGAGACAGGAAATGATTTTTGAATCAAAACCTTTTTTCTTCCTTGATTTCAATTTCATTTTTAAAAGAGAGACAATTATTTGTTTTAAATTTTATTTAACAAAGCAAAAATAGGTCGATACTGAATATGTAACGAATGTAACGAATGTAACGAATGTAACGAGTTTGCTGACAATGTAACGAAAACGGAGACATGTTGTTTTTTTGTTAGCTGATTCTAGAAACTTTTTCTAAAGAGCGATCTTGGGGAGTTTTACTTTATTCAACAATTGAACATATCGAAAAGAGCAAAAAAAGACAAAAAGAATGCAGAATAGCATAAATATGGTAGATTCGTTTTCCAAACCTGCTCTGAATGATTAAAAACGCCCGCTCCGCGGGTAAATTTGTAGGAAACTCAAGGTGATGAAATAAGATAAACAAAAAATCTCTAGAATTTTACTGACAATGTAACGAGAAAAAGACATGTTTTTGAGTTTTCGTTACATTCGTTACATTCGTTACATATTCAGTACCGTCGCAAAAATATACAGTGTATTTTCATACAGACAGCATTATTGGAAACTAGTTATTGAAATTAAAACTGCAGAAATTTTAGTTGGGAACTGTAACAGTTTTATCTTTTTTAGTTTTTCGAATATTAGGTCATCACTTTTCGCAAAGTGTAGTTTCTCAACTCTTTACAAATGAATCATATTCGACGGGTTTTAGCAATTGTTTGAAGAAAGCTCAGGGAAGTTTTTTTTCGTTGACATTGTCGACATCATTGACATCGTTGACCATTGTGTTTCTTTTTTGCTTCGGCTGGAGGAATTATTCTTTTTCGTCAAATTTTCTTGCAGCTGAAGTTGATTCAATCGGCCAGTCGGTTTTTTAGTAGAAAGGGTTAGTTAGGAAGGGGTCGAGACTTTAGCCCCACGTTCGCGGGTTCCAGGGGTTGAGCTGCGGCTGCGGCTGGGGGATGTAATTGGGCTGGTATCCCCAGTTTTGCTGATGGCCCCAGTTTTGCTGCTGTTGGATGGGCGGCGCTCCAGAACAGGTGCACGGCACGGAGGTTATAAGCGGGCAACTTCCATCGCACGTAAGCTTGTGATTAAGAAGACATTTGTGCACACTTCCAGCGGGGAAGAGACGCCCATCTGATTCTCCCGGCGCACGTGCCCAGAAATAAGCGTCGTGGTAGTTCATTTTCGACGATTTTGACTTGCAACGCATTCGGTTGTTTTTCATGCTGATCGATTTCATGATTCCTTCAGCTGTTTCTCGATCGAGTAAGCCATTCCCGGACTTGCCACTTCCTTTTGGAGCCTTGGGGCCTGGACCAGCAAGACCTGGGTTGCCACGAGGAGCTTTGTGAATCGCCCTGATTTTCCCAGAAGAGGTTCGCGAAGGAAGCCCAGCATTTCCACCAGCGCCGAATCCGTTCGCCATTTTGAGCTGTGGCATTCCGTCCATCGGGGCATTAGCAAGGGTATTCCTTACATTTGCGTTGAGGAAAGGGCCTTGGCTTGACCAGCCGCGGCTCACCTGCTGCTGAACCCCGAAATCAGTCGAGTACAGACCGCGGCGGCCACGTGACATGGCACTTCTGCGACGTCTTCTGCCACGAGCGTCCACGGGTTTCTTCGAAGCAAAGCCCCATCCAGGATTGTTGGATTTCTTAATATTCGGAGGGTCGAATCGGCACTCAGCGGCTTCTTCGAGCGTGCTCTTCTGCGAAAACGCGCCGCCATTTCTCCCCGTATCCATGATGTAGTGAAGATTCGTCGCGCAGGAGAGCTGGCGGGCGAAGAGCTCGACCGTAGTTGAATTTGAGTAGAAGGCGGTGTTGATGGCGAAACCGCGAAGACCCTGAAAATTGGCTTTGTTAGAGCAGGCGTGTTTGGAAAGAAACAAGTTGTAAAAAGGTCGCGAGTCGGTTTTAGAAACTCTTTTCTTCAAATAGAAAAACAAATATGAACCAACTACTCTTTTTTCACGCTGCCTAATGCAAAATGATGCTAACTCGAGACTAAGCACTACATGCCTATCTGGTTAAACACGTGATTGGCCCGCCTTTGAACTTGTTTAGAAAGTTTTTTTTTCGTGCGGGCAGATGAGCCTCGCTCAGATCTTTCGGCAGCCGAATTTATCTGTCTCTTTTTCGCGGTTGAAAGTTCACTTTACCTGGAGTCGGACTAACGTCATCGAAGCAAATTCAAGGTGAGCATCGACCGAGAGCCAGACTGGATCGCCAGCGTCGAGGTACACCCACGATTTCTAGGGAAAAGGGATAAGTTTGAAAGGGAATGGAGGGAGGTACCTTGAGAGCGTTTGTCATCATTTGAGCTCGGCGGAGAAACTCGTCGAGATAGATTCCGTTCTCGTAGTTGTATTGTTGGTTGATTTCGTCGAAGGTAAGTTGGAGCAGTTTTGGCTCGAGAATGACCAGAGATGGAATGTCCAAAAGTTGCTGAAAAAAATGAGATACAAAAACCAGAACTCATTAATTTTTATTGTAGCTAAAGAGTTTTTGTTACTAGAAAATTCGAATATCTCAACATAGGATGATTTTGCCTGAAATGGTCGTCGATTGACTGAATCTTAGATTTTGCTATAAACTACGAGAGGAGATGAGCTATCAAAGGACTTCCGCCGTCAAGCGGATTCAGAACTAGTCATGCTCACATTTGATTGATTAGTGTCTAATCATAAGACGTTTCAATTTACCTTTTTGTACACGTTGAGTCTCTCGTCGTAGCTCTCCCAGTCCTCGTGAATCGGCTCCCCATCATAAAAGTTCAGGTCATCTTGATTCAAAATGAGCTTGTACCCAGCTGGCCGCATGGAAATAATAACCGTCGGAATCTGCCCACGACACGCCATTACTTTGATGTCCTTGAAGGTAGCCTGTTCTAGCGTTCACAATTTGCGAGAATTCAAAGTTCAAAACGACCTTTTGTTTAATCAAAAAAGATTGCTCCGGGGACAGTTTTCAATCAAACAAAAATTCTAAAATTCAAGGTTCAAAAATTCAAATTCCAGAGGCATTTTTTTATGTAACAAAAATTTTGAAAATCAGGTTTTTTTTCATGAAAACTCATTTTTTTCCTCAAAAAAAAAATTATAAAAAACTGTACATTTGAAGTACTGTAATTGAAAAACTGAAGGAATTGGCACGGAATTGGACACATTTCCGCGACGGGTTAAAAATTATTTTCTTCAAAGAAAAGCATTTTCTGAACTAAAAATTGGTCTTGAGAGAACGCTAAACCCAGGGTTCGGTAATTTGAGCTCACGCTAAAACTCAAGGAAACAAAGCTTGAGACTCACGTTTTTAATTTGAGTTTTGAGAACTCAGAGATGAGAAATCAATTCTGGCGATCCATGAGCCAATCAAGGAAGCGCTCGCTTAATTTGAGTTTTGAAAACTCAAAACTCTCAAATCTCCCAAAAACTCAAAACTCTCAAAATCTCAAATCTTCTCAAAATGATTTCTCAAGTCACTTTGAGTTCTCAATTTGAGGAAATTTGAGCGTCTAGCCAAAATGAGTTTTAGCTTGAGCTCGAATTACCGAACCCTGGCTAAACCAAAAATTAACATTCTCAAGAAAAAGAAGTGCTCTCATCAGAAAAATTTCTAGCTTTCTATTTCGACAGTAGGGTGTGGTCGTAGCTGGCTCACCTGCGAAACACTCCCGTCGCGGTTATGGAAAAGACGAAAAAGGTGTGCTGGGAAAGCTGAGTTAATTGCGCGCGAGCGGGTTAAAAAATTTCAAGTGCTTCCGCGCTTTTGAAAAAATACGAGGGCACTTGGCGAGAGTGAAAATTTTACGCGGTTTTGGAACGAGCACAGCGCATCATTTTACGAAAATTACTGGTTCTTGCCTGGTTTTACGGTTTTTTTGGGCCGAAAAAGAAACTTGCTTTTTGAAGAAATATTAGTTTTAAAAATAGCTCTTTCACCTGAGCATACTTGTTCCTTGAAACAAGAACTTTTCAGTTTTCTCAAAAAATATATTTCTAGTGTCCTTTTGAAAAAGAGTAGTCTTAAAATAAAATCTCTTAAAAAAAGGATCGTTACCCAAGAACGAAAACGATAGGGTTATCAGTTGTTATGTTGGAATGCGTCTGTTCGCTCGGCAGGTGATCAGATAACGCCATGTCTTATCAGCCAAGTGTCAGGGGCCATAAAATTCCAAAAGCTTTTTGAAGCTTCCCTTGTTTTAAGAAAAAATGAGCGCACTTAGAAAACCTGACTAATCTACGCAGCCAAGCGTCATTAAGAAAACCTAGCGGGCTCTTATCACTTCCGAAAGTCTGAACCGGGTTCAGCCAAAAAATAAAAAACGCTTTCCTGATCTTGGACGGGATCGCCGCGCAGCCAGAAGGCACCTTTTTTAAGCTCCTTGCCAGAATCATCGTTGACGCTAAATATGTTTTTAATCGTAAGCTGCGCACGCGATGATAAGAGGAAATTATTTTGAAACTATTTTTAGAATGGCTAAATTGCAGCGAAAAATTCCGTAAAGCAATTATTGGTTTTCGAGTTATTTTGAAGGGGTTAAAGAAATTTAACCCATTCAAGCTGATGAACCATAAAATTGGCAAACCGAATTTTTGGGTTGCACCCGAAATTAAACCGAAAATATGGTTTACCAATTTTTTGGTTCATCAGCTAGAATGGGTTAAGTTTTTTTAACCCCTTGAGAATAAGTATTCCACTTTTTAGTCGTCTAAATCTTACCCAGTTTTGATGAGTCCAATCGAGTCTTTGCCCAATTTCGCCGTGTATTTCTTCTGGCACCTCTTGAGCACCTCGTCATCATCTTTCAGTTTTGAGATGGCGATGGTAGTAGGAGCGACTGAAGGAGTGTGTAATTTAGATGCATTAGAAGCTGGTATTAGCCCTCATCCTCTTACAAGAGATTTTCTAATCCAGCTTTGCGCGATTAGCCATTAGCCCCTTTTTCTAAGTCCCTGTCCAAACACGCGCTTCTGCTGGATTTAAGGTACTACCCCACGAGTTCAGAAGCGTGCATGCTACATCCAACATGCTAAGCGCTGATTGGATATCGTAATTCTAGTTTCCAATCATCACTTTTTCATGATGAAAAGCTTGTTGTCAAAATATCTTTTCCTCGGTTGAATAATTTTTAATTATTCAATTCACTTTTTCTGTTTTCACCAAAACAGAAATAGATTTTGTTATAAATTATAAGATAGAAGTAATAGTCGAAATACTGTAATTCTCATTTTTAACTAATTTCGGCTAAAATTCCAATTTTTCTTGCAAAAAATCGAGAAGCTTCTTGCGGCTTCGAGCAAAAAGAAAAAGAAAAGCCGCGCTTCGCGCGGCTCAATTTGTCTTTTTTTTGCTCGAAGCCGCAAGCGGCTTCTCGACTGTTAGTGTAAATCATGATTTTACCTGTTGTAGAAGTTGCTAACGCAAGTTCTTTCTCCATCTTTTCCCTTTTCAAAATCGTCAGAATTCCGACAACTCCACCAACAAGAACAAGAAAAACAATCATGCAAAAGCATTTTTTGGAAACTGCGGGTTTGGGCTCGTCCTCTACGATAACGCTGTCGGGTGGCGAGACTGGCGGTGATATTCCAGCTTCTTGCGCTTTGGCCGCATGTTTTGCGTCCATCAGACTGTCTTTTCAAGTGGCTAACAAAGCTGCACCAGGTTCTACGAGTAGTGTTTCAAGTATTTTGGAAAAAACGTTTTCTTCTATCTTTCTAAATTTGACAAAAAAAATAAAAAAAAAAGATAGTCGTCAAATTTTCGGATGTTCTTATTTATAAGCCCTCTCTGTGCCCGGTAGTTGTTAAGAGATTATCTCAAAAAGATTATCTGCTAGCTTGCAATTTTTTTTCTTGAGAGAGAAGTTATTTTGCTTTCTTGGCTCGGTCAAGCTGCCATCAAAGGATTACGCCGCTCCCGCTACTAGAAACGCGCTCGAATCAGAGACCTAAGCCATTTTATGATTTGAACGTAAACGCGGCCGAAAAATTTGTCAGCAGCCGAGAAATTTATTATATCTCATTTTAATCTCGTGTTAAATAAATTAAAATTTTATGCTTAAACCACGTGGCTTGCTGCTTTTGATTCGATTGCTACTGAAATAACGCATAATAAAATCGAGCTGTTCTCAGTTCAGAAACCTGTGTAAAAGCCCGAGTCAGAATTTCTGAAAGTCCTTTTTTGGAAAAAGCACAAATATTTTTTTAATTCTGCGGCTATTTTTGGGACCCTTTGTTTCAGCGGGTTAAATTGGCTATTTCGAGTTATGGCCGTGGTGGATTTCAATGAACTTGAATTTATAATAAGAAATTTCAAATTTTCAAATAATGAATTTGGCATGTGGAGCTGACAGAGTGGCGGTTTGAACGTGCGCTCTTGTCTTCAATTGAATTAGCTGATATGCTAAGTCATACAAGAAAAGACTCAAAATTTAAGATTTTGAAAAGCGACCGAAAATGTGCCCGCAATAGGGACGTGTACGCGGTTCCATTTCTGAATTTAAGAATTACCGCTTTTCTGAACCGGTTCAAAAATGAAGGAAATAAATTGGCCGCGGTTTTAGGGAGAAACATTTATGTTAGAGGTTCTTTAGAGAGCCGAGCGTGTTTATTTTAAGAAGAGCAGTCAGCATCATGCGTCGGCGCATCAATTTTGATGATGCAAGTCGCAGAAGAGGGTGTTGATAAATTTTACCAGAAAAAGCATATACAGCAGATTCGCCTTTCAAAGTTCCGAATTCCGCGCTCCCGGATTTTCAAAAAAAATATCTTCTTTTAGAAAAATTTCGAAAATCTAAGAATAAAAATCACCACTGATGATCTAAAATCTGGCCCCGGAAATCTGTGTAGAAATCCTGAGTCAGGGCCCTGGCTCAGGATAATCATCTCTACACAGGTTGCAGAGGCCAAATCTGATTTGTATTGGAAGATAAAGGTAGATTTAGTAGAGAGAAAAGCATATTTATGTTAGCAGGAAAAGTGAGTGATAGGATATAAAAGGATAAGCGCTTTATCTACCCGTGTATATCTTGTATCCATGCATACTCTTGGTGTTTCAATACACGATTAGCTTTACGCTAAATTCGTCGTCTAGGAAGTGCGAATCGCGATAAGAAAGTACAGTAAGGGGCGAAATCCACGTATGCAAAGTCTTCAAGGAAGTTTCGGAAGCCCGCAAAAAGGTGACGGGTCACGTGCCATTCGCTTAATTTAAGGAAAACGCATCCTGGTAAATGCGGTAAGAAATCGGAAGAATCGCATTCCTGGAGAAATTCATTTCAGAAAAATGTCAGCAAAAACACGAGAAGGTGAACTGCAGTTTTTCTAAAGTGAGTCTGACTCGCGAGCCACGTTGAATATTGAATCAAATTTTCAAATCTGGCCACCCAAAGAAAGGGAAAATTGACAGGTCTCATCAACTTAGTTTTCTATAATTTTGGCCTGATTTAAGGGTGGAGACATCGATATTTCACATTTTTTATAAAAAAATTAGGGTCTCCAAAAATCAATTTTCGAGAAAAGCGCATCTGAAAGTCCATTTTTATCGATAGCTGTCCCCTTAATTTAATTTGATCAGATTTAAAAGAGTGGACATCGATATTCAAAATTTTTTTCGAAAAAATAAGGGTGTCTAAAAGTTAATTTTAGAAGAAAAATTGCATTTCGAAAAGTCCATTTTTCATCAATAGCAACCCCCTTAAGGGGGAGGTGGTCGAAAAATTTTTTTTTCGATTTTCAAAATTTTGATTATTTTTTGAATTTTCCATAAAAAAAGGAGCATTCAAGGTCTCAGGCTATGCAGTGCATAGTATGCACTCTTGGTCCCCGGCTAAATTCGTGGCTTTCTTGTTAGAAATTGTTTGGTAGTCAACGTAATACTCTGTTGCCGCCCAAAACACGCGACTATCGCTTGTCCATTCTCAACCCCGCGTGGCCGGCGCGTGCTAGAAAATGCATATCGCCAGTGCTGGGGAATGCTCAAGCACTTGTTTTGCATTGTGGTCTTGTGAAATTCGCGCGAACACGACTTTCGTAATCATAATTTTTTTTCGCGACCGACCAAATGACAGGAAATTACTTGACGAATCTTCAAGATAAAATTTACAAAACAAGATTAATTTTCCTCAATTGCTTATTTAGAAATTGAACTTGGTAACCTGTGTAGAAAACCTGAGTCGGAGTCTGAATGATCTCTAATGAAAAGCCGCGTAGCGGCTTTTTTAAAAACAAAGCCGCGAAGCGGCTTCGCCAAAATTTAGAGGGTTAATTTGCGAAGCCGCTTTGCGGCTTCGTTTAAGAAAAGCCGCGAGGCGGCTTTTTAATGAAGATTTTTCGGATCCTGACTCAGGTTTTCTACACAAGTTGCCGAGCTCAGAAACAAAAATTTAAAAGATAGAGAAGTTTTTGTTGACAAAATAGGAGCTGAATTGCATTACTGAAAGGCCCTTTTCAAAAGTTTACTGACCTACTTTCAGTTTCTATTTTCATCTATTTTACGAAATTAGAAATTGAATTCAGGTCATCCTTTTAAAAAGCGGGATTTTTAGCTAAACACAACGCAACGCATAAATTAACGGTTTAGGAAACAAAAAGCTGGTTTCAATTCCTCGAAATTCAAAATCGAAGAAATTCTAGTGGCGAAAAAAATACGTCGGAAAACGAAGGGTGTTGCTGGCGCATATGCTCTGGTTTGAATTCAACGTGCGGAAAGTAGAAAAGCCCCGTGAAAAATCCATTCGGAGGAGGACGTTGTTTTTGAAATAAAATTGAAAAGTAGGCAGAAAATATGATGAAAATTATGTTAGAAAGATGCGACAAATATTTCAGATATTTCCGAAGCAGTAACGAAGATTCCACTGACGATCGAAATTGCAGATTGAAATTTTGATTTGAAAAATAAATAAATGTAATATTTCTTTATAAAAACAATTTTTTCCAGTAAAATATCACAAAATTGCAGCGATTCTTCTTAAGGGGACCCCGAACGATATTCCGATTATATGAAAAATCCCTTAATTTCAATAGTATATGAATATATGGGATTAAAAGTGATATTTTGATTAACAGAAAATATCATCCTGGGTCCCCTTAATTTTAATTGGAAATAAGCATTAGAAGCCCTTAAAAATAAGCTTCCATTTTCAATAAAATTTGTTAGCCATTCCTGTTTGATGATAAAAAAAGTCTTCTTTTTCTTCAAATACAAATCTCTAGTCGATCGACTTTTCTAGTGACGATCAATTTTTTATCTTTAAAAAAAGGTATTTTTTACAATTAATTTCTGATGTTTCTTCGTGTTCCAGCAAAAGGTCACGAAGAATTTTCTTCTTTTTTTCTCTCTTTTTGGTATTTTTAAAATGGTCAATGTCAAACTCCGGGATGAATTTTCAACGGAGGAGGAGAGAAAGAGCACGCGAGCGCGAGAATTTTCCTCCACCAGAGGGAGAGCGCCATCTGCACCGCCGCGGAACTTGGTGCAACTTGCACCATTTTTTCCCTTAGAAGCGAAGCCGATTGGACAGAGTGGAGGGTGGAGGAGGTGGACTTGACTTTCTTTCTAGCGCGCTGTCAACTTTTGAGATTGAACATGAAGTTAGACCATCACCGCGACTTTCCGGTCTAGTCAGCTCGATGATCTAGCTTCAATTATGAAGTTATTAAATGATTGGCAAGGCAATTATGAAAAAAGAGAAGGGGGTAATTATTGGAGATTTAGACGTTTTGCTATCAATTATTATCAAGAAAGTCTGAAAATAAAGATTATTAAAGTCAGATGATAATATATAATATAATATAAAATTATAGTCAATGGCTTTATTTCTATGTTGTTGTTCATGGTGTTTTTTTAAAGTCAACCCTTTCTTCCTGCAAAAATACATATTACCTCGTCAAAATTTGTTCTTTATGGTTTTTGAAAATTGATTGGAAGAAGGAAAAATTATATAACTAGAATTTCTCCTGCTAGAAATTATCATCGACAAGCAGTATTCTGATGCTCTTGTTATTCCAAGAAATACCGGGAGTAACCTTCAGAGAAGAAGTGTTCCACAAGAAGTCGCTAAAAGCGATGACCCCTGCTCATTTCTTAGATAAGAGAGTAAATTCTGCGGTTTCTGGCTCATTTCTTTTTATCGCTCGTTCAAGTACTTCTTTCCTGACTTCCGGCGCTTTAGTTTTACTAAGTCCTTTTTCCAAAGAATTAAAAATGTTGTTAATTAGATCAGCTTCTAGATAGTTAAGAAACAAGTGATTTAATGATTTCATTTAATTTATAAGCCCCTATTTCATTATTTTGTAAGTCCGAAACTAGCTTTTTCCTGATTTCACAACAAACCCCGTACGTTGCATATTTCTTTCCCCAATATTTAGGTTTACAATAAGGAAGGTCGGTTTCAATAAAAAAAATTAGTCTTTTTCGAAAATTGGATCAGAAATTAAATTTGGTTTTTGTTCGAAAGTTCACCAACTCGCAACTGTTCCACATAATGCATTAACGTAGAATTAACCGTGAAAATATTGAGTTGCAAGAAAAATGATTCGTAAAGGATTTTACGATTCGGGAAGGATCAAAGAGGGATTAACGATAACAAAAGCAGAACTCTCAATTTATTGAAAGAGCTGCAAAAATCGAGAAGCCGCTTGCGGCTTCGAGTCAGCGAAAACATAAGCGGTTTTTTTTAGTTTCTTTAACTCGTAGCCGCAAGCGCCTTCTCGATTTTTACTGTACGTAGTACTGTTTTCAAAAAGTAAGCTCTGAATTATTTGAGCAGTTCAAGTTTTGATAATAACCTAGGGTAGAACCCTAATTTGCTTATTGTTAATTAGCCCCTTGAATATTTTATGAACAGAACTCAAAAGGCCTAAACGTGGTTCGAATAAGCTGTTGACGGTCATTACAGAAATGTCTGTTGCAAGCCTGGTTTTACATCTGTAACGGAAATGTTTCCTTGCAAGACTTATCACTAAATTTAGACATAAACACGCTTCGCATTCTATAATTTAGAGCCCAATTTTAAGCAAGAGTCAGGCTTTCTTCATCGGTGGTCGAAGCAAGAAAAGAGGCTTTGAGCCATTCTCAGCCGCAAATCCGATCAGATCTTGAAGCCCAAGTTCAAAATTCTCTGGACAAGCACTTGAGAAAAGCTTAACGAAAATTCCTTTTAGAAAAAAAAAAGTCTGATCGTCCACTTTTTTCAGTCCGCAAAAGAGGCGGTCAGACATACGATTTTAGACGAGACGGAGGAAACGCGCTAAATGGGCTTATCGGAACATAATAATGACAGTGTCACGTAAATGTTACTGTAATTTAATGTGTCGCTTACGTATGTGGATTTTGAGTGGAAATAAACGCTCTAGTCGCAATTTCGGTTTATTAGCGCGGCGAAAATTTCGCAAAATGTCACAAGGGTTTCGAATTTGCCAGCGCCGCAGTTCTAAAACTAACACTTTTGCCCTTTCCAGCCCCTTTTTCAGGCTCAATACACGTCGTTAAGAGGCTCTAAGAGTATCAGCATTCAAATTTTTCGAGACGACTTTTTCTTCATATTTTTACAAGGCAAATTGATCAATTTAGAGTAGCATAAAGTTGAGTTCTATTGAGTTTGTCTTGAAGTGATGTCGAGAATAATTGTTTATCGATAAATAATTAGATCAAGAGGAAAATATTGACGAAATTAGATGAGCAAAGTGCTCAGATTCTATATCTGTTCAAAACTTATTTTTAAAGTCAACATGAAAACAGATGAGATAAATAGTAAAAAACAAGAAAACTGTCGATTTTGCTATGATTCTCGATAATTTATCATCAGAAGAAACGCCGCTACATCTGCAAGATTTTGAGCTGATCAAAGAAGCAGGGGTCTTCGGAAATACTTTCGATGCAGCTGATGGTAATTGATGGAATTCGGGTATAAATGGGGGGAAGGAAGAGGGTTTGATCATTCTGATTTTGGATAAAATGAAGCTGAAAAAACGAAGAAGAAGCATTATTTTGCGATGATTAGCAAAGTACTGTTTTATTTTCATTTTGTAAATAACTATTATTCAATCCATTTCCATTTTCGCCCTTCTTTGCTACAACCTTCGAATAAAACAAAAAATCAACGAAAAAAAAACACTATCCGGCAGCGATTTGCATGACTTGATAACAGCAGGTAATGGTCCAGTTACTGGACTCTATCAATTTTTTAGATCCAGTTTTATGATTGCAAATCCAGTCCAACGCACGACTTGTGCCTTTTATACTTGTCAAAATAAAATATATCTTTAAATAATAAAGAAATTATTAATTTTTATTTCTCAAGGATTCATACACTTTTATCCAGCTCAAAACCGAGCTTGGAAGTTGTCTCTCTTATCAAATCCGTCGTCGCAAAACTTGAGCAAAACCGAGAATCGAAATAAGCATTTGAAATGCGATTCCTCGCGGATGTTATGTTTAATTAATGCCGCGGCCTGACATCGGAATTTCACCGAGTCGCGCCGCTAGTCAGATTCTGCACGTAAGACGTTCTCTGATGTCAGCCCTAGAAACTCGCATAATACTTTTCCAGGAACAAAGCGTGTAAAATCTATCACGTGCTTCTTTCCTTTCCTAAAAAAGAGATGACTGGCCTTCTCAAAATTGCCGCAAAAGGGGGCGAAGCTGTTAGTGGAATTTTATCTACCGCAAATTCAGTGAAGCTTTATCTTTTCGAGTCCACTCTCAAAAATAAGTGGCCTACGATTTTAACGGTCTACGACTCTACGTTTTCTTTTCTCCATTACTTCAGTTACGCGTCTCAAAGAATGGTCTTTCAGCCAAGGGGTTTTTAGAAACGCCTTTGTTGATCAAGATTGTTCAGTAGACTGTTTTCTAAACAGTAGGACCATTCTTTTTACAGTGCTTTTCTTGTTATTGACTGAGGAGCTTTAGGGTGTCAACAACGATTTTGGGCATATTTCCATACACTTTTACAGAATTATTTTGTCGACTCATAAGACAGACCCTTCTCTTATCGTTGTTGACACCCTTAAATGAAAAGCCACGTAGCGGCTTTTTAAAAAAACGAAGCCGCAAAGCGGCTTCGCCAGTGTTTAAAAATAGATTTAAAATATCTTGTTTTCTAAAAAGCCGCTACGCGGCTTTTCGCCTAAGCTATTCAATTTTAAGAATCTTTTAAAAAACTGACTCAGGCTTTGTTATTCATACTAATATTTTTTGAATAAGAGCGTTTTTGAAATTGAATGCGTGAAAAGTACTCTCCCATCTGTGTTTTTTGAAAATGGGCGATAATGTAACGTTTGGACGATGATCGTGTCATTTTTTAATTATTTGGTGTGTTCGTTTTCGATTAGGGCGGCGCATTCGACCCCTGGCAAATTGAAGCGAACAGCTGAAAGCGCTAAAATGCACAAAAATGACTAAAAACGGCACGGAGTATAAATTATTCAAAATTTGCTGTCTTCACCATCCGCTACCAAGCCGCGTACTTACTATCTTCTTTTCTGTTTAAAACTACGGTATGAGGATAACTGAAATAAGTAATCAGTACGTTATGTTTAATCCTGGGTTCCGTTAGAAGATTCTTGGGGCGCTGAGTCCAGCTGCTTCAGATTTGGGCACAGTAGACTCGGCGGGGGAGGGTGACGCAGCGGGGCGCAAAGGATGCTGACAGATAAACTACAACTCGACGGACTAAAGGTCAAGGCTAATCAATGAAGATAGAAAATTTTAGCATAATGCTAAAAAAGGTTCGATTTGTAGCTGAATTCCGGTTTAGCGAAAAATAATAGCTAAAAAATTACTTTCTAAATGATAAATATAAGGGTGTCACTAATCTAATTCCTTGGCTATTTTTTCTAAGGCAAAACGGGTCTTCTCTTTCCAATCCACATTGAAATAGATATTTAGCTTGAGTAAGCCGCGTAGTTTGGACAGAAAGCGTCAATTTCATTCCGGCTCTAGTCCCCTAGTCCTTAGTTAGTAGCTAGTCCTCAGTCCGGCCGGATTGAAACTTGAAGTCTTGAGGTGTCTCTATCCAAACACAGGTTCACCTGATTTCCGGAAGATCCTCCTCCTTCTCATTTTATCCGGAAGCTGATTTTGTCGCTGCTAGAATGAATGAGCTGGTGTTCAGCAGATCTCCCGCAGAGTGAAGAAAGGGATCGATAACTAGCCCTATCTCTTCGGAGATTGCGAGCCCAGACTAGCCCAGCACGGAGCCCAAACTGAACTGCAGATTAACACACTTCCGTTTACGCGTCGATACACCTCTTTACTAATTGCTCTCTCTTCTCACGTGATCTCTCTGAGAAGAGAGAGAGTCCTCTCTATCACAGGGGGGAGAGTTCCTTATTGGAAGATAGAAATTGTGATTTCGTCATTTGAGCTGTTCTAAGAGCTAGTTTTAAAAGTTTTGCGAACGAGAGGTCCACTTGAGTTTTGACATTTCAAAAAGCAGTTGCAAAGTGCCACCAGGGCTGAGCCCCGCTTTCGCTGAATTTTTGTTACTAGAAATACACGCATAAACATATTTTCGTTTATTTGTAAACGAATTATATTCAGAAGTCTACTTTTGTAGAGAAATTTCAAATTTTGTGTACAAAGTTGTTGAGAAATCCCGTTTTAGGAAGGATTGAGCCAACGGTTCTTATGTTAATTAAAGCAGGAATAAATTTGTTTTTGAATGAGGATCAACTTGTTTTCGCGTAATTAATCCCGCTCCGAGCAGGGCGAAAAAAGTCGATAGCTTCATCGAACTTTTCCTCTTTTTTCTCGCACCTGTTAGTTTTTGGGGAGACACCCTTAATTGCCTTTCTAAGAAAAATAAGTCCACTTGCGAGAACAAATGGAAATATCTTCGTGTTCCATTTCTATTTCTGTGGCGATCGTACTGACGAATGTTTATCACGTTGTGGCGAGATGAGGTGGTCGCTATTCTCGTCCTCCTAAACGACGAAAATATATTCCACGAATATTTTTGCGGCTTCGTCGTTTTTTCTCAAAATGGTAAAAACTGAACGGAACATGCATGTCGTTTGATTAATAGCAGTGAAAACAAGAAGAGTCGTCTGTGATAATCAAAATAATTGAATTCAAAAATGATCTGCTAAATCTACCAGAAGAACAATGTTGATCCTTCATCAGGCATAATCGACTATTTAGGAAATAAGGGGGCAAATGTAAGTATAATTTAAGGATTTCTATTTGCTTTTGTGGGGATACCCTTAATCTTTTCGAGGTCTACTGGGGCTAGGAATAGGGGAAATCGCTCATCTTTTTTTTTAAGGGAGGGATACCCTTAATAATTTTCTTTGTATGAACTTCTGAGAATGCTGATTTTTCTTTAGTAATTAGTTAATAGAATAAGTTAAATGTTCCATAAACTGTCATCTGATAATCCCTGACTCTTGCCCTTCCCCGCGGCGTGTGACCAATCGGACGCGGCGTACAGCTCGATGGCGCGCGCGAGTAAGTGCGCCACCGCGTGGGCCGAATCCGCTGAAGCGAACGGATTTCATTGCCCCGGGCTTGTGAATCAGAGCTGCGCGAAATCGAGCACGAGAGAATCATTCGAGACTAGTGCGATTGCATTCACGGGCGACAGAATTATTAAATCTATTCCGGAACGATGGACGGCCTCGCAGCGGAAGACCCAATGAACCGCGCGCTCACCGCTCAGAAAAGTAAGAACGCGGCAGTAATTAACCGTACCTGCTAATTAGGAAACTGACAGCCTGGAAATTTATGCTTTATCAAACACATAAGCGAACACAACAGACCAAAAACCCAGAGCTCACATTCAGATTCTGCCCTTTTTTCCAAAACCAGAGCCTGGGCTCGAAAACCTGTGTAGAAAACCTGACTCAGGATCAAATTGAAAAATTGAGATGGCTATTTCGGCAAAGCCGATTCGCGGCTTCGTTTTTAAAAAAAGCCGCAATGCGGCTTTCCATCACAGCTTTTTTTTTTCCAAATCCTGACTCAGGTTTTCTACACAGGAATAAGAGATACAGTAATTTTTGGATCAAAAAAGATCTTGAAGAAAAAATTGACTGCTTGATTTTTGATTTTGGGCTCTTTTGAAAATTGCCGTTTTTCATCAAAAAATATTTTCAGATTTCTACTCGGCCTTGGATTTCTCTGGACAAGGATCGGACCTGGGCCACAGCGGAGTGAACCAACTCGGAGGAGCCTTCGTCAACGGCAGACCACTTCCTGACTCGCGAAAGGGTTCAAAATCCGACACAGCTAGTAAAGCACGTCCTGTTTCTAGCGCTGATCTTATTTAGTACCGCAAACGTTGAGCCCCGGAGTTATAATTTATTTTTGTCCGTCTGAAATTTTCAGCCTCAAAATTTATCACTAAACGGATCAAGCTCGTTATCAGGCTGCGTAAAAACGTGGCTCTAAATTATTTTGAAAATTATTTTTTCAGTAAAGAAGCATCAATTTTGGCTCTTACAAAACTGAGTGAAGGTCGACTGGATAATATCCCAGCGGGAGGGGCTATTATCTCTCACATATCTATATCACCTTGGTAGAATCACACGTATTGTGCGATTTATTCCTTTCCAGTGGTTTTTCTAAGCCTCACTCTGGGAGCTTTTTTTCCAAATTGAAGCCAACAAATCTGTTTTTATGGAGTCAAAATTGACTCTGGACCTTTCTTGGCAACCTGTGTAAAAACCTGAGTCAGGGCCTGAATAAAAAAAAAGAAGCCGATTTGAAGGTTTATCTTTTTAAGCCGCTTCGCGGCTTTGTTTTTAAGAAAAGCCGCTGCGCGGCTTTTTGTTAAAGATCGTTCAGACCCTGACTCAGGTTTTTACACAGGTTTTCGGTCCAAGAGAATGTGCAAAATTGACGAGAACGCTTTTTTATGAACGTATCTACGTAATTTGGAGAAAGACTTGTTGATTGAATGCTTGAATCTAAACAAAAAATGAACCCAAATAATAGACCCGCCAGAAGATCGTGGAACTGGCGCATTCCGGAGCTCGCCCCTGCGACATTTCACGAATTCTGCAAGTCAGCAACGGCTGCGTCTCCAAAATTCTAGCCAGGTTTGCCCTACTTTTTCCCTTTCGCCTTTCTACTCCTTCCCAGGTACTACGAGACCGGCTCAATCAAGCCAAGAGCAATCGGCGGCTCCAAACCTCGAGTAGCAACGCCAGAAGTCGTCGCGAAAATTGCAGACTACAAGGAACGTGTGTTCATAAGCTTAGCTTGCTGTGCCAATGAGGACCAGCAGTGACCTCCGACGTGAGTTATCATTAGGCTGCTTTCTTTCCCCCTCCGGCTGCGTAAAAAGAACTGACGCAAGGGATAACTTTTTACGAAATTCCTCCAAGTCCAAAGCAACATAGAATTGCCGAAATGAATTTTGAGCACGTCATTACCAGAAAAAAAAGCCAAGGGTATTTTTTCCTGAATCAAGTGGTAATGATTTTTATTCAATGAAAAGCCGCATGCGTCTTTTTGGATAAGCATAGATTAATTTTCTTTGGAGATTCTCGTCAGAACTTGAATTTAAGGCACCCAAATTAGCGATTAATAATATTTTTAGCAATTAATTAAGGTCCAAGGTGGGGCTTTAATCGGCGGTGATATATTTTTGATGATCAAATAAAAGGGCGTAGTCTGCCCTTTTTTGGCTGGTGATAGATTAAGAAATTCGCATTCCTTTCGGACAACATCGAAAACGAATGCGCCCTTCATATTGGGTTCCATCCGAGCGTATGGCTGAATTACTTCTGCTCGGATTGGGGCGAAATCAAAGCGAAAAGAAAAAAAAAGACGAAAGTCGATTCGCGTCCTAATTACCGTGCAATCGCTAATTCCTCCTAATCACTGTGTCCTTTTCCTGAAGCACGATTTACGAAACGTCGGGAGGAGGATCAGAATTCCAAGAATGCATTCCGCAGATTTTTTTTAAAAGAATCTCCTTTCCGGAAATGCAATGGGAAAAAAAGAAAGCAAGAAAAGCACAATTTTGCCTCCGAAACTAACCTAAAATTCTCCTTTTTCTTCTTTGCTTCGTAAATTATCATTATTGAACACTGATAAAAGCGCGAGTGTCCATCAATCTTCGCTTGGGAGATCCGCGATCGTCTGATTCAAGAAAACGTCTGCAACTCCGACAACATCCCTTCCGTAAGTCCTCCCTACCCCACCTCTTCTCATCCCCATCTAGGTATCCTCGATCAACCGAGTCCTCCGAAACTTCCAAAACGAAAAGATGGTCCGCGAGTCTCCCCAGAGCTCGCTCTCCTGGTCTCCCGAAGCAGCCAATTCTAGCTGGCCCTTCGCGGCAAATTCCTCCTTCGGCGACGTTGGACCCACTTCTGCTGATTCCACAAAAGGTAACGAAAGAAAGAGGTCAGCTAATCGCATTACCGTAGTAAAGAAAGTAACAGACTTACGGTTTCTACTTTATTTTTTGACGCGTCTACTAATAACTTGTTTGAGCTCAGTCTACCCTCCAAATATTTTTATTTAATCGCATTACAAGCACTCAAACAGATATTCCATTAGCTCTCAGAGAATTCAAATGAGCCATCGTTTTAACACCCTTCTATCAATTTATCAAACCTTTTTTCTTGGAACAGGTTCTTGTTTGAGCTAATTTTAATAATCATACTATTCATCCTTTTTTTTTTGAAGCGCGTATCCGGTCGCGCCGCTACGAAATCGGAAAACGCTGCTGTAACAAGCCTCTTTTTTTCTGTTCTCATGCTCGTCGTTAAAAAGTTTTAATCGATGTTCGCCGCAGCGTGCGTTTTTTGAAGTTTTTACTAATTGACTTCTGATTCTCTGAGAAACAGGATTGATGAAAACCAGGTTACAGTAGTAATCAATCATCAGCTTAAACGGAAAACCTTTCCTAACCGGAAAATGATGTCCTGGTGTTTTCCCACGCAAGTTCACTTAGAAAAAATCGATGGATTTAAAAGTAAAGTCTGCAGGCTTGGATTTGACACTGTAGGAAGGATGAAAGATCGCATACTCAAAAAAGTACCTTGCAATTACTGCCAATAAGCACCGTGGCAAATTGGCATAATTAATCAAAAGCGAGCTACTAATTGTCGGTCACGCATATCTGTCTATAATTCGCTTTGTTTTTGAAAAACTGAAGGGGTACCCCCTTTAGTGTCGATTTTCTGTCATCGGATGCATTCGAGCATTTTCGCGCTACTCTAGCAACTGTACACTGACATCGGTGCCAGCGGGTGCCGATTTCGAAAGAAGAGCGCAGAATAAGAAAATGAAATGAATGAATAGTAATAAGGATGAATTATGTACATTTATTACAGTCAGAAAAAATGAATTAAAAACCAATTTTAAGACACATCTGCCTCGTCCATCAGTACATCTGACGAAGATAGGGTGAAAGAAGATCCAGACATTCAGGTAAAAAATGGTTAAAAATAATATTACGATTCTGGTCCCCCGTAATCCGTGTCTTGTTGGTAAAAAATACAAGATCGGCTTTGACGGGCAGACGCATTCTTGAGTCAAGAATTCTAACACTTCACTTCGTCTTTTCACGAGAACTTGTAGGCACGACTTCAGCTAAAACGAAAGCTTCAGCGAAATCGAACTTCCTTCACTCAGCAGCAAATCGAGTCGCTGGAATCGGAATTCGAACGCACCCACTATCCTGATGTCTTTGCGCGGGAACGACTCGCGTCGAAAATTGGCCTGCCGGAAGCTAGAATCCAGGTAAATACCTGCTCTTATCGTGGGAGGGGGGTGCTAATTATGATCGCCATTTTGGGTTCCAAGGAATTGACAAATATTTTTCAGACATTTAAGGACCCTACTAGAGATCCTGAAACTTATCTTGAGACATTGAAAGACATTTAGAGACATCTAAGGACATCTAAGGATATCTAAAGACATCTAGGGACATCTAGGGACATCTAAGGACATCTAAGGACATCTAAGGACATCTAAGGACATCTTAGGACATCTTAAGACATCTTAGGACATCTAAGGACATCTACGGGACATGAAATTCAAAATCTTGTCTAACCGAACTTGTCTGACCGATTCAACCGCAAGTTGAAAAGTAATGTCAGACGACATGAATTGATCTCTGAGACATGTAAGCTTCCTCCTTTCATCTCCGATGTTCAGGTCTGGTTCTCGAACCGCCGCGCGAAGTGGCGCCGCGAGGAGAAAATGCGAAATCAGCGGCCGAATACGACATCCGCCGCACACTCGAACAGTTACTACCCGGCAATCAAAACAGAACGTAAGTGAACGTGTTCCCTGAATCTTGCGTCAAACACTCTTTTTCAGATTCCACTGGAAGTAGCCCAGTTTCAGGCTATCCTGCCATGTCGGGCGGCATTGGCGCTGGCATTCCTAATCCGTCGGCAGCAGTCAGTGATGTAGTCAATACAGGAGCCTACTCTGGCATGCATTCTATGGCTCAGAATTCTGTAAGTAAAAAAGTTATACAACCAAATGGAATGTCTTAAGACGTCTTCAGATGTGTAACTGAGCTCGGCAACCTGTGTAGAAAACCTGAGTCAGGGTCTGAACGATCCTTAACTTCTCATTACACGGGCGCGCGACTAAGCGCTCAAAACACGGGGTCCAATTATTGGACCACAATGCATTATCCAGCCCCGCGCGGCGCGCCAAATTCAGAGTGTGAAAAATAGCGCTCAGGACTTTTGGCTCTAATTGACGTTTCCGTCAAGTAAAAAAGCTCGTAAATTCATTGCTAGAAAGCTTGAACCTTCTTTTATAAAAATTTACAATTGCAAATCGAAAAATCAGCTCTGATTTTCCACCAAAGAGTGAAAGAGAAATCTGGCGCAAAACGCCACCACTTTTGAGTTTTCATTCGAAATTTCTCACAGTGGTTCGTTTCCGTCTTGTCAACTCACATTACAAAATTCAGGTCAAAAAGATTACTAGAATTGGAATTACAGGGGGTCAAAGTCGCCGTGGTCCAATGATTGGACCACGTGTATTGAGAAGTTAATGAAGAGATTTTTAAGACCCTGACTTAGGTTTTCCACACAGGTTGCAGAGTCTGAGGTCCAAATCGGAGCTCGAAATAGAAAAAAATACAGAAAAAGAGTCCTCCCCGCTATGAATACACAAATTCTAGAGCTTCAAAACGACGCACTTGTGATAACAGCTAAGCTTTACTTAATTTGCTATCTTTTGCATCAACAGCACTTAGCTCCCACTCAAACCGGTCCTTTGAAAGAGGCTTGGATTTTTGTGCTGACGTACCTTCTATTCAATTTTCCCCTTTTTTCTAATTATTATCTTTTAGAGTGGCGCGGCTTACGATCCGTCCTACAGCTGCATGCTCAATTCTGCATTCAGCTCATACTCAGGCAACCAAGGTAAGAGAACAGATTTTCTAAAAGAACGCTTATTATTTTGTTTAGCTGATTTGCTGCAGAATCTGATGACCCCTGGTCTCTCCATGGCGCAAAATTTGGGAAGCCACCAGTCTCACGAGCTCTACTGGCCCTACAGATAAACAGCTCGGCGAGTACGTTTGTTTATTTAATGTTCATAACAGTACATATACATATACAGTTGTACATAAACATTCTTGTCCGAACTAGCATCTTTTCTCACTGTTCAAGAGTAAATGAAAAATGAAAAATAACGCTTGGGAAATTTCAGCGGAAATTCGTGACGAATAAAAGACGGCCAAAATGAGATGAGCCCCTGTATTTAGTACCGCAAAAGGTTTTCCTGAGACTCGCTGCTGAATATTGAGTGGCTCATTCATTGCAGGTATTCCAGACTTTGGCGACTACCGGGCTATTTAGGGCGAAATTGAGCATTTTTCTGTCTACTTTTTGCGGAAAAACAGGTGTTCTGGGTCTATTTTTTCTCCATTGGAGCTTGTTTTCATTTTTATCAAAAAATGGGCTACTCCTGGATCGCCCAGAATCCTGGATCGCCCAAATCCTGAATCGCCCGATTTCCTGGATCGCCCGGATCGGGGGATTCAGGATTCTGGGGGATCAGGGATTCTGGGGGATCAAGGATCGGGCGAATCAGGATTTTGAATTATTCAAAGTTTCAGTTAAAAATTTCTGTTTCCTCTTCAAAAATAATACAATAAGAACTTTACTGCACGATATTTTTCATTACAATAAATAAGTTTGGGGTTCTCCACTTTGTGTCGGGGTCAAAACTTCGCACCTGGAGAATACGGACAGGATCTCCAGCCGAGCAAATAGGATGCAAGAGCCCGCCGACAAGCGCTAACCCCTGCAGAGACTGCTCCTGCGCAGAATCGGAGCTACACCCGGCACGAGATGTGTAAGCCATTGAGTAAATATGATCAAAGGGCACATTAACCCCAAGATCAAGACCAAGCTCAGCTGCGGATAAGCCTCAAAAGTGAGGATAAGGAAGACTGAAAAATGGAAATGTATAAAAATTTGCTCAATGGGGTAATTGAGGGCGTAGATTTCGATTTTGAAGTAAAAATTGGCGTTCAATGTCAAATAAGCTAAGAGCAGGATTTTTTATAAAGATTACTGCCCTGATTTATAAAGGTATTATCTGGATCATGAGGGGCATTAATCGCTATAATAATTACTGCCTGCTGGAGCTTTTATCATAAAAAGGCGTTTGATCATCTAAGCACAGCTTCGTCACGCTCTCCATATCTTGAGAAAATACCTTAAAAAATTTGGGCAGTAATCTTTGTAGAATCCTGCCCCAAGAATATTGGACATTTAAAGCCAATTTTGACTTCAAAATCGGATTCTACTCCCTCGATTACCCCACTGAGCGAATTTTAACCAATTTCTATTTTTAAGTCTTCCATATATTCTTTTTTGAGGCTTATTCGGGGCTGAGCTTGATCATGATCTTGAGCTCAATTTGCCCTGTGAATCACAGGCTGTGATCATATTTACTCAATGGCTAACACATCTCGTGCCGATTGCAGCTCCGATTTTGCGCTGAGAGCAGTCTCTGCAGGAGTTAGCAAATGTCGACGGGCCCTTCCATCCTATTTGCTCGGCTGGAGATTCTGCCCGTATTCTCCAGGTGCGAAGTTTTGACCCCGACACTAAGTGGAGTGTGCCATAAATTTGAAACTAAATAAATAGAACTTTCAACTAAGTTTTACGGCTATTTTTGGACGGAAGATTTCAAAAACCGACTTTTCTCATGAGGCAGGGATTAATAATTCATTCAATCCTCTTTCATTATCAACTCAAAATTTATTTTCAAAATCTTCGTGTGAAAATCCTTGATCGCCCTGAATTCCTGGATCCCCCAGAATCCTGAATCCCCCGATCCGGGCGATCCAGGAAATCGGGCGATTCAGGATTTGGGCGATCCAGGATTCTGGGCGATCCAGGAGTAGCCCAAAAAATGAGCAAAAAGGAGAGACAGTCGAAACCGGAGACTGTGCGATTAGTACTAATCTCAAAAAGAAGCGTCATTCAATTTCGCTGAGATGGCTCAATCTGTCCATCCGGCTTTAACTTCACGGGGCTACTCGGAAAAGGGGATTGAGAATCATCATCGCAAGCGCACAAGCGCAAAATGTTAAAGCTCAATTATACTGAAGAATGCGCGCTGTCATTGTAAATCCTTTCTGCTGACGTGCGTAACTGTCTTTCGAAATTTAATAAGTAACTAATAGACTAGTCATTCTTTGAACTTTTGAAGATTGTATTTTGATAGATAAATGAACTGTAATTGCACTGGCAGGAATATGCAAAAGAAAGTAAGTAAATGAAAAAAATGATATGGAAAAAATAGGGTCGATAAATTCACAAAATTAAATATTGAAATCGTCTTTTTTTCAGAAGTTGAGCTGCTCGTTTTGAGAATTCACGCTGTTCAGCTTTTGCCTGTTGTTGGAGAAGCTTGTTGCTCCGTTGTCTTAAGATTTTTGTTACAAAATGTGGAGGGGAAAATGATTACCGGGGTTTTTGTCAGGAATTTCGTCGAGCCAGGCTTGAATGTCGGAGAGTCCTGAATATCTTGTGTTAGCATATCTTTTTTTCACCCAAAAATTACCCTGAATTGGCGCCGGCGTTTTAGACTGAGGTATCTGATTGGTGCCATAGGTGGAGAAGTTTGTTCCCTGAATGATGATTTACGCTTCTGTTGATGGTTTGTTTTACTTACTTGGTTGTTTGTTGGGCTTCGAAGTCCAGCGGGAAGGGGCATTGGAGACATGGACGGCATTGGGACATTCAACTGGCCAGTGTAGGTCGGGCTCATGTTAGTGATGTCATACTGGATTGGAGGTGGACTCTGGAAGCCGTTTTGCTCAGCGGAAGTTCCAGGCTGGGTGTTGATCCAATCGCCCGTTCGCATCATTGAACTCTGTTGCTGGACTCTGTCATAATCAGGAAGCTAGAAAAACTGCTGAAAAAGGGCTGGCAAACGGAAGCGCAAACCTTCAACCATTGGCCACTTCCAGATTTTTGATAGTAGCCGTTGTTCTGAAGAGCTCGCATTCTCTCTTCTGGTGTTGGAGCGTGATCCTGATTTTTTTGGAGCGTCACCGTTGGCTGCGAATTTGTAGCGAAGTTGATGGGCTGCACTTGCGGCTGAGAGTAGCTCCCCGGCGGGAGAATGAATTCCTCACAGGGTGGCATATCCATATGATCTGGCAGCGGATGGGCAGGCTCCATTCCCTGACAAAAAGGTAAAATTCATCAAGAAAGCTTTAGTTTACCTCCAGAATGCCGCGCTCTTGAATGAGTTTGTTGCGAGCCTCGCCAACTTCAAGCTGCTTTTCTGAAAAAATCACTAGTCAAAAATTGCAATCAAGGAAGAGTACTGACCTTTTTCTCGAGAAGATCCAGAGCGCAAAATGTGGACCAAAAGATCAGGACGGTTTTTCATAAAGAAGCCATCTTTGTGAACATAATGGCTGAAGTGATTTGGGTCGCTTCCAGTTTCCTCGCGTCGTTTTCTGAATTTTATTTAGGGAAAAAATTAGTAAGAGGGAAAACCTGAAGCCATAAAGATTTAATTGACGAATGAAGCTAGGAAATTCTTTCGTCTGAATTGGCGCCTTTTCCTCCTTCGACAGTTTCAAAAACTGGTGGTCGAAGGCTTCGCGCTCGATGATAAAATGATCCCCTTTCGAGTTCCAGTTGATCGAGTCAAACGACTCGTCGTTGAGGACTTCGAAGAGCTTGCTCACGAACGGCTGAATCTCGCACTTGCCAAGTGCTTCCTGAAATTTGTTAAGATGCATCTAACGGATTGTTTTTCTACCTTTTTCAAAGCAGCTTTGGATCCCTTTGGCGCTCTTTTTGTGAGAGCTTTCTTGCCAGTTCCTCTTGCTTTTCGGACAGGATTCTTCCTCTTCAGAAGCTGTTTTTCGGTAAATTCAGGGTCAGAATCTTCGGATTGATTCTTCGCTGTTCTTTGGCGGGTGCCTCGTCGATTTCCAAATCCTTGAAGCGCCTTAATACTTGTTTTAGAAGTTAGAACGTAGTTCGATGATTCTTACAGCTGTGGCGATATTGGCGATCATCACATTCACTTGGGTTTGAGTCGCATCCATTGTGATTTGATACTCGTAATCGTCCACTGGCTCGGTCTTGACCTGATCCATGAATTCTTCGAAATCATCGTAATCTTCAGGCTGGTTTTCTTTATTCGAATCCGGCCGGGCGTTGATGGGACTGTCAGACTGGTCGACCTCAGGTGGAGTTGGTACGAAGCCGTCGCCAACCGCGTTTTCTTCAGGAAGGCTGTCAGAAGATTTTGCTTTCTCGGAAATTTTCGGCGAAGGATTGGTCCTCGACCCATTTGATGCGTCGCCCAAAACAGCTGTCGTCTTCGGTTGGAGGGTTTTCTGCTCAACTGGCTCTGTATTTTTACAAACTTGAGTTTTGGGAGCAGACTTTTCTTTGGGCGTTTTCTTTGGTGGCTTCGATTCCTTCTTGGCTTTTGGCTCTTTGGTGGGCTTGGTTTTCGCATCCTTCTTAGCCTTTGGCTCTTTCTTGGACTTTGGTTCATTCTTAGCCTTCTCCACTTTTGCGCGTTTCGCTTTGGCACCCACTCTTTTTCCCTGTAATCATTCAATAACTGAAATCGCCCTATGCTTTACCTGAGGAATGTCATTAGACGGGACAGTGTTACCAAACGGCTTTGGAGCAGTTCTCTTCCTTGTCGTCCGCCGGAGAGAAGCTCCTGCTTGCTCCTCTTTTTGCTGAGGGCATTCGTCAATGTTCCCCTCGTCTGAGTTCTCTTTTTGATTTCCACCCTTCGCTGAAACTTTCATAATTGATGAAAAAAGATCGATTCCGAATAAAAATGAGCTGACAATAACAAATTTGCTCCGGTTCCGCCACCACTCTAGAGAGAAATTCCACGCCGGAACTCAACAACAACGCGAAAAAGGGATGTTCCCAAGTCTCATAGACGCTTTTGGCGATAAAACAGTAAGTTATGTAATAAAATTTATGATTTTGGAGCGTCTCCCAGATGATAAAAGCCGTTTTCGTGTTTTTATGTCTGCTAGACTTGACTGTAATTCAACGGTGGAAATAATTTTATTTTCTTGCTGGTCTCAAAGACTGGACCAAAACTGTAATTGCTTGTTATAACTTTATTAGTAGCGTGAATAAAATAATGCAGGTGAGAAAGTGAAGTTGGCAGTAGTGAAAACTTTGAATCAATAGGCGATCTTGAAATCGGTCTGGAAGCTCTTTCTCAAGAGTTCCTTTCGTCGAGCAAGATTGTCTTCCTTGTCTTCATCTTTCTCGGAATGAATCGAGCAGGAATGAGCGGCTCGGACGAAATCAACGACGACTTGGAGGAGATTTTTGGCGTTAATCAGCATCGAGTTGATTGATGTCGATTCGATTTCTTCGAGACCTAAAGAAGACTTTAGCTACTGTAAGTAATAATAGTAGTGGTACCTTGTCTCGCGTAGACTTTTGATAAGAGTCGCAGTTGATGTCTCAGCGGTTCTAGTTCTTCACTCGCCATCTTGAGCTGTTTCTTCAGTCGGATGTCCCGGCAGCCTTCCAGCAGCGGAATTCCATTATCCCTCAGCTCCACTGCCGAGAAACAAAGCTTTTTAGCCGCGATAATGAAGTCCTCATCAGATTGGCATGGCCCCTTCCCTTGAATGTACCACATCATCCCGGACATCGTGTCCTGCATGCTCTTCGCCACCGAGACAACATCAGTCGAGCCACTTGATCCCTGAACGTCAAGCTTTTCGAATTCTTGTTTTGCTTCTTTTTGGATCTCTCGGAGCTCGACGATGTTTTTGTTGACTTCTTCGATTTCGGTTTCGTCGATTCTATCTGCGATTTCTTCCCGAACCGCCGGTAGTTCATCACCTGACTCGTATTCGTAAATCGACTTTTCTGAAGATTAAAAATGATTAGCCGTTAATTTGATTTTCAATTTGTGGAGCTAATCGTCGATTAGTAATCGAGCTTGTAGGCATGAATCATAAGCTGTATGTGATCATAACTAAAGATTTATTATCAATATCGCTCGTCTAAAAATAAAAAAAATCTATAAAAATGGACAAAACCACAGTCTTATGGTTCCCAAAATTCATATGAATTCTGCTGCTTCTCACCTATATCCTCTTGGTCCGCATAATTATCATCGATGAACGACACATGCAGGCTCTGGTTGAATCTGAAGCTCATATCCGAGTCACGTGGTGTCGTCACTGTGCTAGATTTTCTCGAAGATGTTCGTCTCAATCGCTCCATTTGCAGCTTCATCGCATAATAACGCCACTTGTATACAATCGCCTTTGTCCGCTCATTCAATATTAACTGAATTTGGGCTTCAGGCGAACCTACAGTAAGAAACGAACCTGTTCATATTTGGCCTTTGCTTCATTTGTCAGTGAATTCTGCGCTGCTTTTGCCTCAAGTTCGCGTTGATAAGCATTTTTTACTTCGTTCAGTTGTCGTTCTATCGCCTTGAAAAACAGCTGTATGTAATCTCATTTCATTACAGTCAGACTTACAATATTCTGGGAAGCTCCATCGTCAGCCTTCTGACTCTGCTGCAACAACTGGGCCTTGGCCTTTGACAACGCCTAATAGTAGGAGGTAAAAGCAACAAAGTAAACAAAAGGCCAATCAAGCAAGAAAGACGATAATTTTAACCAAATTCAAAATGATCTGAATTTTCAATTACCAATCATCCAAAAGCTAAATAATTCATTTGATCTTACCTTCGAGGTTTTCTCAAGTTCCTGGCGAGCTACATCGTTGTAGTGGCGTTCCTCGTTTAGATTTCTTTCTAGAGCTCGTACTGATGACCTGACTTTCTCATGCTTGTCGGTGGCGCTTTGAAGCTCAACTTTCATCTGGTTTATTTTGGTCGAAGTTTCTGTGCAGATTTTTTCAAGTGCCAGGATTTGAGCTTCCTTTTCTTCCATTATCTTGTCTTTCTGTCTCATTGCTGACTCGAGCGAAGCTGAAAAGAAAGTGTCACTTGGGGAACAATAATAGGAAGATACTGTAGCAACCACTGCATTAGCTTACTTACCAATTTGTGAAGTTTGCTCCTGAAGTGTTTCTTCTAGCTCAGCGATTCGTGATGTGAGGACATTGTGATGCGCATCATTTTCTGAAGGGAGTTTAAAGTTGGGGAGATGGAGGAGGGATGAATTAACCTCGTTGTGCTTTTATCAGAGCACTGTGATTATACTGTAGTAAATCATTGAAGCTCATGAAGCCTGGCAAATCTAAATCGTTCGATGAATCTTGATGTTTATTGTTGTTATTGATAAATTACATGTAAGTCGAACGGTTGGGAAGACAGAGGAGTTGAACTGAGTGTATAAAACTTATCATCAAGGAAGAAGTTAAGAAAATTTATATACAATCCAGTTAATCATAGATTTATGGTCCGGTAAGGGACTCCCCTTGTTAGTTTTTTCCTACTTACTTGATCCACTGCTTGAATTGGTGCTTGTAACATTGTTATTCTGCCTCGTCAGTGATGAAAAAGCAGCTGCTCTATTCAGCACGCGCCTGGGGGCAGAGGGTTCCGAATTTCGCTCCGAAAATCGAGCGCCGGTTCGAAAAGTTCGGAAATTTCGGAACCCTTCCTGAGTGAACTTGAACTCGATTCTCTCTTTTCTCTCGTCGCCCCTGAAAGCCCACTTGGCGTTGGAGTTTTTCTCATGCTCTCTGTTTTCGGGAAATTTTAAAATTTAAGATTTCGGCCAATCAGATTTCCGGACAATTTCCTGAACTCGTGGAACCTCTCCTCTCCAAAGAAGCAAGCTCTGCGGCCAAATTTCGCGTATTCGGGGGAGTGAAGGTTGAATCCCCAAAACTTCCTCTGAAAATCGCATTCTGGAAAATCGAGTCAAAAATCTCGAAAAAAACCTAAACGTTGATTTTCGCGATGATCCATTTTGCGAGAAGACATCTTCGTCTGGTTCGAGGACAATGAGATCGATGAGTGATTTATTCTCGGCGAGAAGGCCGAGGTTGGTTTCTTCCGCTTCCGTGAGGTTTTTCTTGAGCTGGAGGATGATTCGCTCCATTTGATCGACTTGCTTCTTGAACTTCGAATTTTCATTGTTTATCTTCCTCTCCACCTTCCTCATCGATTCCAAATCGTTGGCACATTTCTGATGCATTCTATTTTCATTTTCAAATCTCTCCGTCAGCACCTTCATTTTCTCCTTCATCTCTTCAAGTTCAATTCTTTCTGAAACAAAAAAAGTCGATTTTTGAAAAACTCAATTTGCTTTGCAATTTTCAATTAATCATTGAAAAGAAACGCAAATAAGAAGAGATCGGCGAATCGATTCTACTAACGGACGGGTGAATTTTGCTTTTTACGCCTCGTGGCTCATCAAGAATCCGATTTCGCGGTACTTTTTTTTCGCATAATGGTTCAATATTAAAAAATAGTACCTAGTTCATTTTGCTCGAAATAGTATCGTTCAGGCTCGTTTTTGAGCATTTTCGTCAGCTCGATTTGATTTTCTCCAACATCATACAACTCATTCAGCGTATTTGGACTCAGGGCCGGGCTCAGAAACCTGTTTAAAAACCTGAGTCAGGGTCAAAATTGCCGTCGATGTACTTTTTGAAATCTGGCGAAGCGGGGCTTCTTTTGAAGCTTTTTGAGAACCCTGACTCAGGTTTTCAAAACAGGTTGCCGAGCCCTGACTCAGGGAAAGGTTGAAAATGGCGGTAAGGATCTCCCCAGTCTTCTCAATCGTGTCAGGATCGTCAGATAAGGGTTGAAATGAACCAGCAGCTTGGCAAAAACGAACAAGTTCTTCATGACTTTGGGAAAATAAAACAACTCCGACTTATGATTTGATGAAAGAATTTTCCATTTTTTCGGATGTTTCATAATTTTTCCTCATCCTCTCCTAAAGCAGCTGCAAAAGTAACTTTTGACGATTTCACGGCTAGTTTGGACACGAAACTAAATAATTTCTCGTCGCAGTTTTGGGCAAAAGAAATCAGAAGATTCCATTTCTCCCGATTTTCGATTGCTTGTAGTTTTCCTGTATTGAGGTATTTTTCGATGATAAACAATTCTAGCTCTTCCCAGCTGGCTTCAGAAGCATTTGAAAGGGACTCGGAGAAGTACTCGTAAAATTGACGGAAAATATGCCCAGCTAAAAAGAAGGATCAAAGCTTTCATTTTGAATTCTTCTTATTTTTCTTGATCCTTGCCTAAGTGAGAAATTTTCAAGGGCATCGACCCCTTTTTTTCTTTTTGCTCTTCTCTCTTTCTCTCTTTTTAAAATCTTTCCGTTACTTTTGAAATTTGTAAATTTGATGATTGAAATCAAAGAATCATAAGACGCTGTTTCCGGTTCATATTTGACGCGGTCTCAAATCAGAGCACTCCTCATAAACAACCCCCTTAGAGTTCCCCTTATTCCCCGCGGACCCCCTAGGCCCTAGGGGCTCACCCAGGGGTCCCCCCACCAGACCCTCCCCCCGATAGTCCTCATTCCTTGATCTGACCACGGGTCGAATTTCTAGTGATATGGAATTAAAAGTCTCCAGCTCGAATAAGCCCTTTCTTTGGATAATAATTTATTGATTATAATTTTTTCAACAAAGCCTTTATTGATTTTCCTTGAAACACAGACGCTTAAAGTCGAAAAGTGCAAATGGATGCTTCTCGAAGTCATTTTTCAATTAGTCACAACCTACAACTCGTAAGCCTCCCACCAGGTGCTACTGAGCTTGAGTTCATTAGTAGCTTCAAGTTGAGTCTGTCCGACAGAGAAACAAAGTTCTCCCAAAGAATGACAACGATGATGTTATCGTTTGAATTGATGCAACTGCTCAGCGTCTTGGAATGTCTTCATTTTCGTCGTGTCTTGTTTGGTTGGTTTTGTCGTTGAGCTGGGAGCAGGGTGGCTCAACTCAGACTACTCTCGCACTCGACCCTCTGTTCCCAACGCTGATTGGAGCGCGCACCAACTCGCCCAATCGCGCCAACTCGCACAAAACCAGCATCAAATCGACGAATTTCAAAAAAAAAACAACCAGAGCAGAGCCATTTCCAGCCCCGCCCCGGCCATCTTCGGACGATGAAGGTATGTATCCAACACTATCATCAGCAATTCAACTGTGGGTAAGTAAAAGCTAAAGTTGTTGAATTCAACAACTCGAGATAAACGACTCGCATTTATGCTTTTTTCGGTCATTTTCGTGTCAAATTTTCTTCATCCCTTTTTCCAATTAACATTTTATCGTCACTTTTATACAGTAAGATGCATTACAGCTCGATTGAGTCATTTTGGAACGAATCCAATGCGCCGAAATTAGCACAAACGAACCACTTTCTTGAAAGTGAAATCTCCAATGCTTGATTTTCTTCATAAAATCGATAAATTTTCTTTTCTATAGAAATGATTTCAAACTTACTTTTTTCAGAATTTCTTGTAGAAAAGGTGAATAGATGAATCTTTGAAATAGGAATTCAAAATCAATATTTGCGTAATATGAATTCAATATATTCAAATAATGTTACATTGATTAATTTTAGATTGCTATAATGTAAAGCCGCGTAGCGGCTTTTCTAAAAATAAAGCCACGAAGCGGCTTCGCTAGAATAACAAGTTCAAGCAGAAAAATATTCTAGCGAAGCCGTTTCGCGGCTATATTTCTTAAAAAAGCCGCTACGCGGCTTTCCATTATTGCTTTTTTGGACCCTGACTCAGGTTTTAACACATGTTGTCACGCAGTAAAGAAGCCAACCCGAATTATGTTGACTTCATGTATAATTGCACACAGTTTTCTTGAAACCAAGCAATTAGCTTTTGATGATTTGATGAGCCAAGGGATTTTTTATGATAAAATAAGGCAGGAAAGAAAAACTTGTTGAAAGAAACACTTTGCGATCGTAAACTTCCCCCGGGCGACCCTGACCGTCCGATTGACTTGGTGCTTCTGCGATTGAGCTTGATGCAAATCGAAATTTCTAGCAGAATGCGAAAAATGCCGTTAATCTGTTTACGACCATAACAACGCTGAAAGATCATTCTTTTATCATCGATTTTGATCAGTAATAACAACTGTTCATTTAGTTCGACTGTAAGGTCTGCCAAGTTCTACAGTTTTATTTGCCAGCTGTGGCGAAGGAAATTGTATGCTTCAACTGTGAAAGAAAATTTAACATCACCAATAACAGGTAAAATTGTCAAAGAAGGGAAAAAGAAAAATGAGAACTCGAGCTGGAAGAGAATAGCTCGTTGTGTCCAATCAACCAAAATCGATAAAAGAGACCGCCATTGGGATCAGTGATGCGACAAAAGAAACAAAAAACAATTCAGCGTTTGCTGAAAATGACCAATTGTTTGTTTGAATTGAAGCTTGAACTTGTAGTCGTTTTTTTTCGCCGCTGTAGGAATACAGTAACATCAGGATCGAAAATTTTTCCAAGTTTTCAAATGCGAATTCGCGCAAGATCAATGTTTATTGATCGACTCATTCTCAAATCGACATAAAATGGCCTTTTGAGGTGACAGCTCGCTTTTTATGGCGGCTCGGGTTATTGTTACAACGAAACTCACACCATTTTTTTCTGCCTTAGCAGCGTCTTTTGATTGAAATTACAGCCCCTTCCAGTTGAAATTGATAATAAAACAGGGGGTCCTCTAGTTCACTCTTGACTTGATGCATGTGTCCCCTAGTTCATCCCGCCCACGCAGTAGCGTTGCTAGGTAGACGATGATTTAGGGGACACAAGCATCAAGTCGAGGATGAACAAGGGGAAGCCCTATTTTATTCGATCGTCAAATTCTAAAGCTAACATCATTCTAGTTTTCGTAGAACAAGTCCAGTCGAATCATCCTCCCGCCCATCTACCCCACTGCCAATCACAAACGGAAATCCACATCATGAAAGCAATGCATCCCAAGAACACGCACAACCCTACGAATTTATCCCTCCAAAACCTCCCGTCGATAGGGTTCGAAATCAGCTAGGCGAATTCACCAAGGCCAAGGAAGAAGTTGAGAAGAAAGAAGAGCCGTCTCTGAAAAGAAACTCGCATATTGAAACGAATGGAACGGATCACGAAGAAGAAGAATATCACTCCAATACAAGTACAGAGGATGTTTCCAAGCGCGGTCGAAAGGTTTCCTCCCATTTTAGCGCCATTTTTTCAATATCAAAATCTAGCGCAAGAAAACCGAGCGTCTAGTCCAACTAGAGCAGCACGAACTCGAACAATCGAGCCAGAAACGAACAAAGTCCGAATCCTCTCCCTCCGTCAGTTTCCGCAACTCGCCCATGATTCCCACCCAGCCCCATCCAAACAACACTTGTGGCGGTTGCGCGAAACGATTAAATACTATTCCAGATTTTAAAACAACGACGACGAAATGTATCGACTGCATTCGCTGGTTTTGGTGAGTCAAAAACGCTCTCTGCCTTCTTATTAGGAAATCTTGTAGCGTCCAATGTACGGAAGACTTTTTAATGAAAGAAGAAGGCAGCGAATATTTCGTCTGCAAGGTCAAAAAGCGCTGCAATCCAACAGGTCTCCTTATCCTCTCCCTCAAAACATTCCCTAACTAAAAATTCAGCGAGAGGTCGAGCCAGACTCAAACACTCCCCAGACAAAGCGGAATCGAAGCCTAAGATCGTCAAGAAAACAATCAGTTCGGAACCGACCGCGAACGGGATCAAAATACGCAACTGGGCCAGTCGCCCTGTAAAAAGACGACCAAAGAAGAGAAACAACTTTCCAGCGTTGGGGACGATCATCTGTTGCGATCACGAATGGTGTACGTACACCTTGACAATCACAGCTGCAAATCAACGGAGGGCGAAGACCTGCTTGAATCTTCACACAAAAAGATGCCTTGAAAATTTCAAGGTCAGAAACAAAAACATGCTCGTTATAATGATTTTTGTAGAATGGTCGGCGCTTGGACTACAACCCGAATGGAAAATCGACGTATGTTGCGATCAGTAAATTCGGCCTAGGCCACCAATCGGCGATAAAAACTGAACCATTGGCGAATATTCAAGGCCAGTATCACCAAGAACAAACGAGTAAGCTGCCGGAACAAGTGCCACTTTTTGGACTCAAGAAGGAAATCATGGACGAAACTACAAACATAGAAGAAATTGATGAAGATGATTGGTCGACAGATGAAGAAGGTGGCTCGTCAGCAGATGAAGAGCAGCAAAGGTAAGAGAAGACTAAGCAGCTGATCTGATGAAGAGTTACAGTGATTCGCCACCGTACATGACCGAGCTAGATATGCTGCCCGAACCCGCGACGCATCCAGAAGTTCCAGTGCCCGTGAATGGCGGGATTCCAGTGCCCACAAACGGCGTCCTCCCCGAGCCCGACCTCGTCAACTGAACGATAGCTGTCTCTATATAAATCTATTACTATTCGATTTTCGATGCAAAACTCAAAGTTTTCAAAGTTTTATGAAAAGTATAAAATACATGAAATATCTCATTTATAGTTCAGTTTTGTTGATTTCAAGATCAGTAAAGTTTGACAATTTGGTTTCTTGAAAACAGAGATTGGTCAAATTGATATTTGCAACTTAAGTGTTCGTTGATTTCAGGAGAAAAAAACAATCAGAAAAGTCTCAAGATTTCATCTTCGGATAATTCGCCCGTAGCCCGTAGCGAAGCTTGTAATCGCGTGTGATCTTCCTACTTCCTGAATCGCTAAGCCAGACTCCATTCTGGGCCTATCTAAGAACATGCAAGTGGAATGTTAATAGTTATGTCAAAAAGGCACCAGTACGGGCTCCCTCACTTTTGCAGATGCTTCGCGACCGCAAGAATTCCGCCGCTCACAAAAGGCGCACTCCGCGATAATTGAACTGCTGTAATTGTACGTAATCACAGAACCAGGCTTGGTGAGAAAGAGCCTTTTCACGTAAGTTGTTGATTTTCGCGGAAATGTCTCTCGATTCTAGAACAAATCCCTTGATCCCACTTTGTTTTTATTTCAACTTCAGTCTTTCAAAAATCATAGAAGGCTTCAAAGGTCCAGCGCCAACGAAGAAAAAAGGTATGAAAGGGTTGAAAACGGAGCTTTTGAATATATTTTTTTCAGAAAGAATAAAGGGCTAGAGGTCAGTGCCCTCAAAAAATGCTGAGAACGGAGGCAAAAGATCCGTTTGCCGACCTTCCGGGGTCTAGGACTGGTTCGAGAGCAGGGTTTTTTTATTATGAATTTGTACAGTAATTATTGAACCGGGAAACAGACAAATGACACTGACAGTAGATGGTGCCATCACCCACCGGAATTCAAATGTATCAATGTTAAGCTTTCGAGGGAACAGTAAATATCAGAATTATTCCACAAGGGATCGCTTGGAAAATGAACAACAGCGCGTAAGTACTCCTTTTTTCAAGCCTGTTCTATCATCATTTCAGCTTGACGCTGCTCCAGCTTTCACGATGCATCCGCATTCGACATTTCGCATCATTTGGGACATCGGGACTGTGATCATTTTACTCGTGAACGTGATCTTCATTCCTTATCAAATCGCGTTCTGCACGAGGCCGGAGCAACGGCGCGCGTACATTCATCTCTTCGCTTTTTCCGACTTTTGGTTTTTGATCGATATTCTCTTCAACTTTAAAACAGGTAAAAAAACTGTCAAAAAACAGCTTTTAACCTTTTTTAGGATTCCTGAAAGAAACAGCAATAGAAACAGAAGTCGTCTTCGACCCCGACGAAATCCGCGAAAAATACATCAAAGGCTGGTTCATCATCGATTTCATCTCGTCCGTGCCTTGGGATATTTGCCTGGGCCTGCTGCTTGGCACTGAAAATGACTCGAAGATCTTCCTGAAGATTTTGAGAATGGTGAAGCTTCTCAAACTCATGCGGCTCTCCAGATTAACGAAGACGCTCAACCAGTGGGAAGACGTTCTCAGGTAGGTTCAAATCTCTTTCTGGGTAAAAAATTAATTCTAGCTTTCAATACGGAATTACAATCAACGGAACGGTGGTGAAGTTCTTCAAGCTGATTTCGTACATTCTCCTTTTCATCCACATCAACGCTGTGATCCTCTTCCTTGTTCCCTCAATGATGGATTTTCCCGCGCGAGAATATGACAATACTCCGCTAGAAAATGTTCTTGGACCTTCTTGGCCGTATTTGAGAAAGTTGGAAAACGAAGAGCCATTCATTCAATACAGGTGATTTTTCTCCGTCAATTGTTCTGACAACATCTCCTTTTAGTTGGTCATTTTTCAAAGCCGCATCAAACATGATGGTCATTGGATATGGTCGAAGCTTTCCTCTGTGTTTGGTAGACATGGGGATCGTCATGTGGTCCATGTTCTCCGGCTGCTTGGTCTTTGCCATCGCCATTGCCGAGATTACATCCTTAATCCATGCGTTGAACACCTCCAGCTCCCAGTACAAGGTACCTTTCTCTAAGAAATGGTTGAAAATAATGTTTTCAGGAAAAAATGACTGAAATGGACGAATACATGAATTTCTGCAAAGTCCCAATCGACCTTCGAAATCGCGTGCGAGACTACTACGAGGTTCGCTTCAAGGGAAAAATGTTCAACGAAACCGACATTCTCAACGAGTTGAATCCGCTTCTTCGCGAAAAGATCGTCAACTTCAACTGCCGGGCGCTGATTAAATCCGTCGAGTTTTTGGCGACTGCTGATCCGGAATTCGTGGCCGAGCTGATCAGTCGACTGCAGTTTGAAGTTTACTTGCCAGGAGATGAGATAATTACGGAAGGAGAAAAGGGCACTCATGTTAGTCTTTTCCTTTAATTCGTGAAATGAACATGTTTGTAGATGTACTTCATCAGCCAAGGATCCGTGCAAGTGAAGACGAAAAAGACTGGCAAGCCGATCATCCTCTCGGAAGGCGATCATTTTGGCGAAATCTGTCTTTTCGCTCCTAATTTGCGTCGAACTGCATCAATCGTCGGCCAACACACGTGAGTACCGGACTTTTTTACTTTTACTTTTACTTTTACTTTTTGTGGCTTGACCAATGAAAAGACGAGAGTCAAACGTAGGCGGAAAAGGAGAATTTTGGTTGGCCAAGGCATAATTCGATTGCTCTATTCATATCAATTTTTCAGCGTGCATGTTTACACCCTTTCCTCATCCGACTTCAACGACGCCCTAAAATGGTATCCCGGAGAAAAGATCGAAATCCAAAAAGTGGCGATTGAACGAATGGACATGTTGCTCAACGAAATGAAGCGAAAAATGGACGGACCTCAAGGCCGAACCTCGCTAAGCGCCGAAGTCATTTCCGACCTTCAAAAGTACCGAAACGTCCTCCAGGAGCAGAATCGACAAGCGCGGGCTAGCCAATCTGAGTTTGCTCAAAATCGCAAGTCGAAGAACAAAAGCAGCACTGCGAAATCGTTGCTCAGGCAGATGAACGACAACGAATCCATCAACGGTAAGAACTGAACATTGAGCTTCAACCAACTGTTTTCGTCAGTGAACGTTCTGGCAGAACTGACGAAGCCGAAGGCGCAAGAAATTTCAACGTTTCAATTCAATGAAGGATACGAAGATCAACCATCGTCCAGTGATGAAGAAAACTAATTGCTCTGTGCTGAAGAATTTTATTCAAAACTATCTATTTAATAAATTTTATTTATTTATCCAACAAAACAGAAGGTTTCCTTGCTTCTGACGAATCAAATTGCTTTCTTTCAACCTACATGTTGATTGAAGCTTTTGATTCGCTAATAAAGGGAACCATCTATTTGTGTCCTGGCAAAAGCCTGAGTCAGGGGGCAAAGGAGCTTGGATGAAAAGCCGCGTAGCGGCTTTTTTAAAATCGAAGCCGCGCAGCGGCTTCGCCGAAATTGCAACTTAAATCTGATTTTGAACTAAGATTCAGATTGCAATCTCGGCGAAGCCGCTTTGCGGCTTCGGTTTAAAAAAAAAGCCGCTACGCGGCTTTTCATTCAAGCTCCTTTAGCCCCTGACTCAGATAATTTCAAAAAAATTTTTGCGGGTCCGGAAATCATAAAAAATCTGAAAGTGCAGTTTTCTTCAGCTCGTCGAGACGAGTCGAATGATGGGTCAAACTTTTGATGACTCCAATGATTAACCGGTTAGCCGGCAATTTCCCGGAAAATACATTTCCGGTCGCCGTTTTTGTTCTAGAAATGCTAGAATGACAAAAAAAGCGGAAAACTGGTCCTTGAAGTTAGTTCTTCTGTGGGTGAAAAAATGAGAATCATATCTCTAACCATAAGATGCTTATCACCAAAATTCTATTTTCTTATGAAAATGGGACCGAAAATTAGGAAGGTGCAGCAACAACGAAATACATACAAAATTTAGAATTTTTATCGTTAAAAAAAGTTTCGCTATATATTCGACCAATATCTTTTCGCCCACAGTAGAACTGATCATAAGGATCAGTTTCCGGGTTCATTCATCATCCTTTAAGAACAAAAACGGCGACCGGAAACGTATTTTCCGGTAACCAGCCGGTTAACCGGTCAATCCTTGGAGTTATCAAGAGTTTGACCCACCATTCGACTCGTCTCAACAAGCTGAAGAAAACTGCACTTTCAGAATTTTTACGATTTTCAGACCCGCAAAAATTTTTTTGAAATTATCTCAGGTTCGTGTCTGATTCAAGTTGGAATTTCTCAGACAGACGCATAAACAGTCTTTGAATTAAACAATTCAGTAGCTCAAGTGCTTTTGTTTTTGAAATTCGCAGGTGTTGTTTGAAACAAGTTCTGTGTTACTAGGCTCCATGGAACAAGTTTCAACGTGAAGTTTTTGCATAAATTAAGAATTAGCGTTTTATGCTAACTAGGCGCGCGGAGCTGTCATTCACTTTTCAGTTGGTACAACTTTAAAACTAATCATGCATTTTTTTTCACATTTGTCTCTCTAGAATCCGCGCTATTTACAGTAAGCTTCCAAAGTCCTGCTACCTAGCGATTTGTCGATCGTTCTTTCGAATGTCCGAAAAGAATGAATTGTCAGGTAAAAATCATCGGAAAAAAACGGGTTTTAATTTTCAGCGTACTTCTGGGTCGCGACAGGACTTTTTGTTCTTTCGATCATAATCGTCATCATCTGCACGATTTTGAACTTCAAGCACGATGATTCGGAGCAAAATAAAGTGATGGATGTTTTGGAGAAGAAAAGTAATGCGCTGATCAACAATGTCAGGAAGGGTTTTTCGACGATTTGGTAATGACTGGGCTCGGGAACCTGTGTTGAAATCCTGACTCAGGATTCCTGAGTCAGAGTCTGAAAGCCGCGGTTTGAAATTCCGGCGAAGCCGCCTCGCGGCTTCGGATTTTTAAAAGCCGCTACGCGGCTTTTCTTCTATTATCTCTCAGACCCTGAGTCAGGTTTTCTACACATGTTTTCGATCCTGTGGTAATGAATTGTCGGCTATTTTAAACGCAAAAAAAACCTGAAATAGCAATACTTCTTCCCAAATGTCCAACAAGTTCAAATCCGCTTATTCGATGCACACTTGCAAAAGCCACCTCTCGGAAATAGAAGAAAAGGATTCAGAAGAAAACCTTCCTGATGAAGCACCGTCTGTACTGTCACATGATGTGATTGAAATTGATGTGGATCAAGTGGAGATAACAGAAGCGGAAAGCGTGGCGAACATTGGATGCGGACCGGAACGATTGTCTTCTTATATTCCCATGTTTAGTTACTATTCTTCCAAGCAGAATTCTGAGACGTTGAATAAATAAAAATGTCTGTTGAATTTAATTTTCTGGATTCCAATCTAGAGAAAGCGTTTCATTGAATCACAGCAGGGCTATCGGCTCAGTTGGTTCGGTCTAAGAATTTTGATTTCGAGAATTGGCTTCGACTGATTTCGTTTTCCCTATTTTGGCAGGAGTCAGGCTGTTATCAGGCCTGTGATATATTCACTTTTTCAAAAATTCTGAAATCGAATTGTGAAAGGGCGAAAAATGGATCTTAAGAGGAGAGATGAAAGTTCTTTCAATCCTTCGTGGGCTCAAACTGGATATTGCATGGAATGTGACGGATTCAAGGATGATATCCACTGTCTCATGAAAGAGAAAATAACAGTTTGCTTCGAATGATAAGGACTTTGAATTGATCTTTTATCATCTGTAACTAAAAATAGCTAAACAATCAACAGCTTGTTCTGCGTAACATTAATTGAAATGTAATTTCTTTCGAAGTCCGTCGATAGCTACAAGAACTATCCAAGTTCATCTTATGGCGCTCATGCTTTTACTAAGAAAAAGTTCGAATGCCCAGCAAATAAGTGTGGTGCTGAGAATCTTTCTCCTCGAGGCTTCTTCATCGGCTCTTGTTGCGATGATGCCAAGAAGAAACAATCTGCAGGCCTGGGTTGACTGCAATTTGCAAATATTTCGAATTTATGTTTTCAATAATTGCTAATCCATAGTTGAAGAAAAAGCTGCTCATCTTGGCGTCGTCACAAAAAGATTCAAGGAAGCTTGCGCTGACTCTGAAAACCTTGAGAAAGCACTCAAAAATACAAAGGTGGATGTTGAAAACTTGAAGTTCTCGGTCCAAGCTGCACATGACTTATTGACATACGCAGGTACTATATTTATTTATTTTAGCTTGCTCCCTTTTAATTTCAGAACGACCCACTTGCAACGTCTGCTTCGAGTCGTTCAACGACAACGATCGTCAGGAATCCACTCTTCTGTGCGGCCATGTTGCCTGCTACAGCTGCTTGGCGAAACTTCTTCAGAAGCACTGCCCAACATGTCGAAAGGCATACACCGCCGAGCAGATCATCCGGCTGTACAAGAATTAGATTCTTCCTGCTTTTCTCCGAATCTCAGAATTCGTCGAGAATAAATGAAAAATACAAAAAAAATCGAGTTTATTGAAATTTTTTTTAATAATAGGGAAATCCGGTATAGATTCTAAGGAAGCAAAAAAGTTACAGTATAAATTCTTGGACCGGGGGGCGCGGAACGCTAGTATCTACAAAACCACGAAGTTTCCATAGACAGATCGTTATCGCAAAAAGGAAATTCTAGATCTGCCGCTGCTGCGCCAAGTCGCGGAGTAGCGGAGTTGCCAAACGCCGTGGCGGTGGTGCTGCTGCTGCATATTCTAAGTGAAATTCGGCTTCCTCCGATGACGGGTGCTCCATCAACTTTGAAGTGTTTCGCCTTGGCCACTTGTGCACTCTTCAGATTCACTTTTATCAACTCAGCGCCAGTTCCCCGGACAGCTCTTGGGACACCTTATGCCACAATAATTATCAAAACTAAATGAAAGCGAAGAAATCAACAATCAAAACCTTGAACTACCGAGAAGTATTTTTTCTTAACCTTATCGTTTTGACTTTGAGGAGACGAGTCAAGTCTCAATCCCTTTCTGGTTTCGAATTTCTAATCCTCTCGGGTGCTACTGATTTCAGAATAGCAGGCTTACATTCAATAGAGAAAAAAGCAAGGTAGATGAAGGTAAGCATTTTTATTTTTTAGTGAGTAGAGATCAAGGCAAGAATTTTTTCAAAAATATTGGTGAAATTTGAGTACGACACCCTTAATTGTGTTGAAGCCGCAAAAAGGTAAAATTGATTTGTAGCCTCTCATACTTGCATCGTTCATTATTTCTGCTGATTGGGTCACAGCCGAGTATGACACAACAACAACAACGTATTGGAAGCCATGGACCACAACAACAGCAACCACAACAACAAGATGGCCCCTATGGACCACTACTTATGGTACCAACTCATGGGATCCATACTTTTTGAACTGTGGAGGGTGGATTACATCGCCGCAGACCTTGACGTCTCCGAATTTCCCAGCCAACTATCCGGGCAAAGCGCGCTGCAGCTGGACCATCAGGCTAGATTATCCATTTGACATCGTGCCAAAAGTATTTGAAGTAGAATACGAAGATGATAGAAAATTACGCCCAAGATGTCGTTCTGATGGTCTTAGAATCTTTCACAGGGATAGAAAGACTGATGAGTACCGCAATACTATTCATTGTGGGTCAAATTCGAATTGGACTTTCCAAGCAGAGGTGTCAAGAATCGAGATGAATGACGAGGAAGAGCAAGAAAGGGTTTTGACCTGGGGAAGAGTTCCCGTCGTTGGTCTTCCAACTCTTCATGTGAAAGGGGGATACTGAATTGTATAAACGGGCCTGGCCTTCCCTTCGGGTCGGCTTGGCCCAGTTGCCGACTGAATTGTATAAACGGGCCTGGCCTCCCCTTCGGGTCGGCTTGCCCCCGCCGTAGATTGAATTGTATAAACGGGCCTGGAATCGGTTGAAGACCTGTTAAAATGATTCCGTTAGAGTTGAGAAGCGTTTTGATATACATATTTCGAGTGGTCGTCATTTGCCCAAGTCGTCATCTGCCCAAGTCGTCATCTGCCCAGGTCGTCATCTGCCCAACTTGGGCAAATGACGATCTTGGGTGAATGACGATCAGTAATTGAATTTCAATTTCAAAAAGCTTTTCTGTGTTTCACAGGAACGGATTCATCACTGTCCATGTCCGGAAGTCCGATCGATATATTTCAGAGTATTATACTCTTCCATACTTGGAGCTAGCTTCCGGAGGAGATTCATAACTTTTCTCTACTTTTCAAAAGTTATTACTCAAGTTCAAAAGTGTACCGAGAGTTGGCTGCCGATTCACTCGGCCCGAGTACCCTCGGTTCCACTGGGACTGTTCCACTTCGACATTTTAATTCAATCAATTCAAATTAAATTTCATTCAAAGTTCAGACTAAACACAAGACCGACTTTAGCACCTTTTTCCGGCGCCAAGCGTTAGAAAGGCGTATACGCGCAGCTTATTTAAAATAGGCTATAGTTGGCGAAAACTCATTACACGTTGCTTTTCGAAACGGTGCTTATGTCCCAGATTCTAGCAGACGAAATTGTTTTCTCAACAAAAACTGTTGAATTTGAACTGATAAGAGGCCAACTTCCTGCGAGTAGTCTTCTCGCAAGTAGTCAGTTAAACTTTTATCTTGCTGCATTTTTCTTAAATTTTGAGTTCAATTGCATCGTCATTCACCCAGGTCGTCATTTGCCCAAGTTGGGCAGATGACGATCTTGGGCAGATGACGACCACTCACATATTTCAGCATTTTGTGAATATTTAGAGCGTGAACCGCCTTGAACCGCTGTGATCCGGGCGGTCAACCAAGCGGTTCGGTTTGAAAACCTGTTGAAATGATTCCTTAAGAGTAGAGAAGCGTTTTGATATACATATTTTAATATTTTCTTAATATTAAGAGCATGAACCGCCCTGAACCGCCGTGAACCGAGCGTTCAACCAAGCGGTTGTGTTCGAAAACCTTTTCAAATGATTCCTTTTGAGTAGAGAAGCGTTTTGATATACATATATCAGCATTTTGATAGTATAAAGAGCGTGAACCGGCTTGAACCGCTGTGAACCACTGTGAACCGCGCGGTCAACCAAGCGGTTTGGATCGAAAATATGTTGAAACGACTTGTTATGGAAAAATATGCGTTTTGATATACATATTGCCGGATCTCGACCCTTCTAAAGGCTTGAACCGCGACGAACCGCCAGAATGACCGGCTGGTTCTTAATAAACCACCTCGATGAATTCAGTGACTCATAAGCTTCAAGAAAAGCTATAGATCGTTATCATAGCACGCCTAGATCAAAAGTTGAAATTCTTGAATTTTCATATTTGGTAGTTTCAGTCAACTTTGAGGCGCTAGAAAATCTCAGAGGTAGCCCGGATCATGAATTTTTTTTCAGTTATGAGAAGAATAGACACTCAACTATCATATCATGAAGTTTGAGCAAAATCGATATGTGAGATGCCTGCCAAAAGTCCCTTTGACTGACATAAGAGCATTATTTCTCATCAAAAATTGACGAAAATTTAGCTCAATATTGAAGTTTTGAAAAATCTGCTAGTGAAGTTATTCCTTGTTTTGTTTGACGAATGTTACCCATAAATGGCGCGCAAAAGTACTCAAGGGTGAAGAAAATCGATTTAAGCCGCGATAAGCCTAGGGATAAATTATCCTAAGGGATACACGAGCTTGAAACTCTGGACTGATGGATATAAAGAATTTGCCGGCTTCAAGTTGGAAATTGTCCCTGCATATCCGAAATACTATTTGGATAAAATTGACGAAAAGATTCAAGTAATTACTTTCGAGTTTGATGTTTTTTTGAAATTGCTGAGAATCAATTTTAGAACATTACCAATTCTCTTCCAAAGAATAAATTCGGCCGGAACACAGCATTTTATAGACGATTCAACGCTAAAATGACACGGGTTTTGGGAAAATTTGACTCATCGAACTTCGAAGATCTCTGCTACGAAGAAAATGGCTTCGAATCAAGGCAAGAAATCCACACTGATTTTGGCACCGAAAACCTTTGCAATGCAAATCTACAGCTAAACGATGCCATTAACAATTTTGCTGCAAACTTTGCCTGCGATGGACGAGGCAAACTTTTTCGAAAAATGACCCGACATGCTAGAAGAACGAAAGAATATTTCATCAAAAATTTTTGCTAAAAACCGAAATACAATTCTCTTTTCGATAATTCGTCTTGGCGGTCCTTAATTGCTCGAATTGAACTTCTCAAGAAAAAGAAAAGCGCTCGTCGCAGGTGCAGATGTCTGTCCGCTGTCACCTCGACTTGGCGTTTTTCGATGGAATAGCTCGATTTTGACTGCCGGAACTTTAATTGCATCCCAAGCGCGTTCCTATTTCTCCCAATCTCCAAATTGCCTGTTTGGAGTTTCCGAAGCCGATTTCGAATGACGAAATGAAAAAAGAATTCTCATTCGATTGGCGCCTAACATTCCTGCCTTGGCGACCGAAAACAACTGTCCGGGAAATTAAATATAAACCACTTCTTTCCGGAAACAACCGTTTAGAAATAACGCTCCAGGGAGATATTTTTTTAATTCGGAGAATTTGATTTCTTTGGAAGTTTCGTGCAAAATTACTCATGGAAATGCAAATATTCAATGTGCAAGTTTTACGTCTATTTGGTTTTTGAGAGTCAATAAAATCTGAATAAAAGCAGAAAAGATTCTTCACTTTGCTTTACAATATAAAAGGCTGCACAACTGGGAATATATTTTGCATTATATCTACTGAGTGTTATAATCTGTTTGATATATTATACTATCAAATATTCCCTTTGTTTTTGCAAGAGAAATATCAACGGAGAGTCGTACTCTTTTTGTGACTGTCTATCCGATTGTCAGGGCGCTTTTTGCGACCGTATTTGCAAGAAAAATGATGAAAATGAAGAAGCTACTCATCTATCAAGAAGATCATCAGTCAGAACACAACCGAGACATGGACCGAGAGGGTTGCCAGTCAGTGTTCAAACTTCAAACACAGATACAGTTCCATCGATTTCAAGAGAGGTCCAAATTCGAATGGAAGAAGAAGAGCATGAAGACAAACCACCGACTTATGAAGATATATTTCACACTGAAGCTGAGTTTTGATGATCAAATACTCATTATTTTTGTGCACTTTTATTTAAATAAAAATCTTGTTCTTCGACTTTTTCAGCTCTTGCAAATTTGTCATGGAAATTCAAATATTCAACATGTATTTAACGTCTATTTGAGAGCCAATTAAATGTCGATAAAATGAGAATTGATCCTGCACTTTGCTACAAAATAAATGCCGAAACCGGTCCTTGCGATTCCTTTATCTTTACTTTTAATTTTTATCTTTTTTATTTTTGTCTGTCTTTTGAAAAATGGCTGTTGCAAGTGTTTCTACAAAGAAAAAGAGGAAGAAATAGATGAAAATGAAGAAGTTGCTCCTCGATCAAGAATACCAAATCCACCGAGAGGATTACCTGTCAGAGCTTCACCACTTCCAACTTCAAACGCAGATACAGTTCCATCAATTTCAAGAGAGGTCCAAATTCGAATGGAGGAAGAAGAAGAGCGTGAAGACAAACCACCAGCTTATGACGATTTGTTTCACACTGAAGCTGAATTTCGATGATCAAATACTAATTATCAAAAACAACTGAAGAAAGTAGTGAAAATGATGAGCCACGAGCATATAAAGACTTATTCGAGACCGAGAAACAATCCTAAAACTTGTCGTCTTTTCCTACACAGAAAGTGCTCTAGCTGATGATATTTAATAATCAATAAAACTTGAGTGAAAACAGAGTCGCTACACAGTATCTAATTTGTCAACCAGAGAAAATGGCAAATGATCGTAGTTGCTGTTGCATTTTTCTTGCTTATATTTTCGCGCCAGTTTGGATGGTAATTGTCGCGCAATATCTTAATATTAAATATTGGTTTATCTGCTGGGGATACTGCTTTACCGCAATTCTTTTTTGCGACTGTAAACCGTGGTGTTGTCTGCCATGCAAGTGCTGTAATGAATATTGTGACATTGTAACGAGGATGCTAGGCTGGAAGAGAAAACCTAAGACAAATTGTCCGGACATACATGGACTAGATGATCGGGCTACTACTCAGCTGAGAATATCTCCAGTGACAGTGCAACCGGGAAATACGAACAGAGATACAGTTCCATCGATTTCAAGTGAAGTTCAAACTCGAATTGAAAACGAAGCTGATGAAGCGGATGATAAGCCACCGACTTACAACGAAATATTTTCTGACTTCTAAAATACCTGGTATTCTGTCGATTGTAGAGTCAATTGCCTCAATAGAATTTGCAAACACTGTTCACGTTGCTCTGCTCCATTCTTGGAAACCCGAATACCCTTATGCGTCTAATTTCAGGGATGGCGTTTTCGTATTTTCAAAAGCTGCAACATCCTGCCCAGTGGGTGACGCCCGGTCAGCTCCAGTCGGAACTACCGGCCATCTCTATTTCATCAATCCGAGCGAATTCCAGCGATAATTGTTTTTGCTTTTTTATATATAAAGAAGATAGCGCCGGTTGTTTTCAATTCCAACTGGAATTTTTAGCCAACACCCTTGATTAGGAAACCGAATTTTTAGACGCAAAAATGAGTGTTCATTACAGTCAGTTTTGTTTATTTCAAATCATAGTATTGAAAATCACGATCAAAGCTATTTACAGCAAATAGACTTTAAGTCCTCCTTTTGTCGGATTTCCGGTATTCTAAGGAGAACGGAATTATGCAAATATCTGGCCACAAAGTAAGGAGATGGCGGCGCGCGATGAGTGGCGGATGATCCCTGTGCCATTCACAGCTGAGCGCGCGGGTCACCGCGGTCACCTTTCAAAAGAAAGTCGACCGGTCAGTCACTTCTTTCTCTTTCTTTTTTGTTAGATATTCAAGTGGCACAAACACATCTAGCGGCACCAAGTTTGAAATGGAAAAGATAGACAATGCAACGCAAATAAATAAATTCCCGAGTAAACCGCCAATCTGGTCGATAATCATTCTAGTGCCAGTTACAAATAGATATTTTGTTTGTTTAGGCTTTATTATCGCCAGGAAAGTTAAAATAAAGAAGATGAGTTAACCTAAAATCATCACGTTGGGTTATAACTGATAAGACGTCTTCCAAAAGCCTCGAAGGTTTGTCCGTCTCAGGAAAACATCCCCAGATAAGCATGTTTTAACAAAGTGGCCGCTGAGCAGTTCCATTCAAAAGCGTAAATGTACCGATTTTCGAACTGAGTCAGTCAAATTGAGGAATTGATTTTGACGCGTCGAGGAATCAAGGGTCAGTTGCTTGCTTTATGCTGGTGCGTTTTTTACGATTTCAGTTTCAAAAAAGAAGAGAAGGGGAGAGAAGTTTAAGATGGAGGAAGTAAACAGAATCGTCAAGATTATTTCGATTGTTCTTATGATCCTTCTTTCTGTCACTATTTCAGGAAATGGGTATTTTTCAATAAAAAATTCTGAATTAAAATCTTATAAAAACCCATTTAAAAAGCGTTCATATTCACACTGGCAGCTCACTACTGGATTCACAGGAACATGTCCGAATTCCCGAAAAGTTGCGCACCATCAATTTTGACATCTTTCAAAAAGAGAGTTTGATCCAAATTACCATTCCTAAAACCTCCTTTTCCGACTTGAAATCAGCGTCAACCCAGTCATGTCCGTCATCATCGTCAATTGAAAATTGAAAAATGAAGAAAAATGATCAAATCCGGAAGCTACTGTAAAAAAACGGAATAAATTGAAGAAAAATGTTTTAGCAATTTGGCATTTAGCTTAGCCGGTTCGCAATAAATGAGAAATGCTCAAGAAATAACTTGAATTTTCTGATTTTCTTGGTCATTGATTTATTCAATATTACATGATAAAATCAAGTTAAGCTCGCTTATAGGCGCCTCTGCCTGTAATTAGCGGCTAGTAATGGCTCCATTCGGAAGAATATGTTTCTAAGTATAGTTGAAGCAAGTCAGAATAATCGTCCGTTGCGAAAAATCGAAGAGCGATTGTATTAACGTCTCCTTAATTCGCCACTTGACATTGATTCGAGCTGCGATTATTCCAGCGAAACATTAAAAATTATCGAGAGTCGGGATAATTTAGACTTACACCGTCTTTAATTTTCCACCTCCGGAAACGCGCCCCATTAACGATCGAACGCGACCGTTAAATCAACAACACACAAGCATCCTCAATAATCCTGACACCCTTAATAATCAAAACTAACCAAGATATTGGAAAAGGTTGGTGCAAGGCGAAGGGTGTACCCTTGAGTCTTACTGGGTTATAATTAAGGGTGGTTTAAATAAACAAAACTAAGGCGGTTAAAATAAATTGCTCAATTTCCAATTTCCGGATTAAAGGATTTCCAACGATTCCTTGAAATTCTAAAAGGATATTTTCCACAGAAAAAATTATCGTATTCACACCCTTATTTTACATCATCATTTGGTCAAAAAACCCCTTGCGGATTCGAGAAAAACCTAGAAAAGCCGCAATCTGCGCGGCTTTCATTGAGAATCTCGAAACCGCAAGCGATTGTTTAATCTAATGAACATGTAAAATAAGGGTGTCAATACGTTAATTCTCGCAAAAAGTCGAGAAAATCTTAATTTTGATAATAATTCAATATTTATTGAATATTATTAATAAATTAGGATAGTCTCGACTTTTTGGGAGAAATAACGTATTGACATCCTTATTTTATTTAAAAATAGTTAGTAGGTAGATCCTTAATCGCTATTCTGAGTAGCGTATTCCAATTTTTCCAATTCCTATTCTTTTAGGTTGATGAGAGGAATGATCCCTCAGGTGGTAAAATAATCTGCTAGCAGCTGGAACATAAAGCGTTCAAATATTCACTCAGCATTAAACACAGCCTCAAATATTTTCATTTCGCAAAAACTAGTGTCGGAAATGGCGATTTTCGGATGTTTGAAATGAGTTGACCACCGTGAACGGGCGGCGGAAGTTAGGACCACGTGGTTTGTCTAATGCCACACTTCTGCGGTCGCTTCTGGAAGAACAAGAATTTTGTGTCAAAAATGAAGAAATGTTGAGAACTTGAAGGTTCTTTTCCTCCTTATCAGCGGCGCCTTGATGAATCTAAATCACCCCTCAGCGGGTGCTTATCGCGTCTAATGGGTTCCGAATCCTGCTCAGAGCACCACCGCCAAGAGGAAGTCCATCCACGTTAATCATCAGCTCGCGAAAATTACGGCAGAAAAACGCGCGCAAAACTATTCGTCTCTTCAATTCTAGCGAAAAATAGAATCGGCCACTGTCATGAATTTAGCTCATTTTTGTTGGTTTCTTACAGCCGAACTTGGCGGTGGTGCATTCTTTTTTTTTGGTGGAGAGTTCTTCTTTCTGATTCGGTGGGCGTTTTCGTGTTATCAGAAGATTTTGCGGTCCCCATTTTAACGGATTTTCTAGAACAAATTTGTTTACTTAAAAAATTTTTTTCATTTTCTTTTTACTGATAAAATAAAAGGGGATTGTAAAAAGAAAAATTTCAAATTTTTGAAAAATAAACAATTTTGTTCTAGAAACTTTTTTTTCATCAAATTTCTATATTGGCGATTTTAACGGATTTTCGACCCGAAAAATAATGTCAAAAATCCGTTAAAATGACTCATTTTAAATGAGACCCCTTATTTCAAATTGAGCACCTTTATCAGCAGCTAGAAACCCTTAAAACCCAACTGTCCCGAAACAAGCTGATCCTCCTCTTCATTTTATTCATTTGAACCTGTTTCTTCCAAATTCAAATGAGCGAAGAATTCGCTGCGAAGGTATGAATATTCCGTTGTTCAACTAGAAAAAGAAGGCTGTCAACTCTCGAAGGAAAAATTCAAAAATTGAGAGGGCCGGGGCACTTGTCCTTCTGTTTTGGGCTCCTTTGACTTTGGAGCGAACACAACAAATGTTTTTTCTTCTTTATCACACATCTCTTTTGGTTGTGGTTGTTTACGCTTTTTGAAGTGCATTCAAAATTTTTTCTGTGACTTTTGCGGTTCTTTGCTTTTGTGTGCTTTTGAGTACTTGGAAGGATGAAAGTGATGCCTAGAAGAACTGTGGCGAAGGTTAGGGCCTGATAGGGGTGATAAGGCTTGTGTACTGTATACAAATTCTAGCGTACCAAACAACAATTGATTCCTTTTCATGAAGGAGACGCCTTGGGGTGGAAAATCGCTTCCGCTAGGAAGGATTTACTTTGCTTAGATTTGTGGAAAAAAGGGTTGACGGTCAATTCCAGAGATTGAAAACCCTGAGTCAGGGTCTAAAAGATCTCTAATGATAAGCCGTAGCGGCTTCGCCAGAATTTAAAAATGAATTGAAATGGAATTTTGCGAAGCCGCTTCGCGGCTTCGTTTAGAAAAAAGCCGCTACGCGGCTTTTCATTAGTAATTTTTGAAACCCTGACTCAGGTTTTTACGCAGTCCGAGGTCAGCATTGGACTTGAAAAATTGATTCTAGACGTCTATTTTATATGATAAGTTCAATGAAAACGAGCTTGGAATTGACCGTGAATTTCGCGAAAATGTGGTTGATGACGGGAGCTGCTCCAAGCTGTCGTAATTGCGCGTCTAAGGAAAAGTTTCGCCGCGGTTTTGTCAAATGAGTCCTATTTTCACGATCTCTGCGATTCCGTCGTAAAGCAGCGGCGGCCAGTCAAGTGCAGTCTAGTCCGGTGCAGTATGCAGCAGCTCGACACCACACCGCCGTCTCCTCCACCAGGAGTAGCTCCAGTGTTCTTCCAACTGTAATGGAAGCGACGAATCAAGTGCGGAATCCATTACTTTGAATTAACTAGGCATACTGGACATCATTCCTTCTCAAGAAACTTTTGAAGGAACTTATTTAAGATAATTTTAAGGGGGAAAGGGTCCCGAGAGAAGAGGAGCCCCTAACTTTCGCAGAAAACCTGAGTCAAGGTTTAAAAGATCTTGAAGGAAAAGCCGCATAGCGGCTTTCTTAAAAACAAAGCCGCGAAGCGGCTTCGCAAAATTTCTTTTCGAGCCAAATTTCAAATTCTGCCTCGGAAGGTTACTTTTGCCAGAATTTAAAATTTGGCTCGAAAAGAAATTTTGTGAAGCCGCTTCGCGGCTTTATTTTTAAGAAAGCCGCTGCGCGGCTTTTCATTCGAGATCTTTGTGACCCTGACTCAGGTATTCTTACTGGAGAAAAGCTGAAAAGTCTAAGGAAGAATTTGAGCCTCCATTATTTCGTTGAAGCTCAGTTCCGTTAATGACATTAGTCGGTTAGTGTCCGTCCAAGTTCGACTACGGCAGAATAGTAATCCAACTATTCTGGCGTCTAGTAGTGGATAACTCGGCGCGGTGGTGCGGAGCGGCGACCGCAAATTCTCCTGAGAAGGTTGGTGGAGGAGGCGCGCCGAGTGCGCTGTCCAAACCAAAGTTAAATCCAATTTTCACCTTTCCCGTTTAGACGACACTTGTATAAACCACGATGAAAACGTTCCACCAGAAACGCGAATTTCACGTTTTTCCATTTCCAAAACTTACTTTTGCTTCTTCGCGGATAATTCATAAAATAAATCATTCCAGGTTTTAGGCGCCGCGGAAATTTTCTTACGAATTTGACAATTTGATAAAGCCCAGGGAAAAGGGAATTCTAGTGTAGAAAATCTAATTCGATTCTGAAAAAATTCTTCACTAAAAAGCCGCGCAGCGGCTTCGAAAAATTACCATTCCAATTTATTTTAATCTGTGTAGAAAACCTGAGTCAGAGTCTCAAAGATCTTTACTGGAAAGCCGCGTAGCGGCTTTTCTAGAAAACGAAGCCGCTTTGAAAATAACCATTCCAATCTATTGTTTTAATCTTGGGAAGCCGCTTCGGGCTTCCTTTTTTAAAAAAGCCGCTTTGCGGCTTTTCAGTAAAGATCTTTCAGACCCTGACTCAGGTTCTCCCGCCGAAATTGAGAGGGGCCTCTGATCGAGTTTAACTGTAACTGGCAGTACGTATTATTTTCAGAGAGGAGCGTCGTCTGAAAGACATGAGTGGTAAGTGGTAAGTAGTGAATTCGATTAATGCTCTTCTGTTTCGAGTGGATGATCCGAACACGTCTCAGATGAGGCGACAAAAGCCACATCCGTAAGGAGCCAGATTGGTATCCTGTGGAAATCTACTTTTGAGGATCTGTTAAATTAGCAATAAGCGGCTAAACCTGTTTAAACAGTGTTAAACATACATTAAGGGCGGTACACTACTTGTATCAATATCAAGTCAAGAGGATCTATCGATTAACAAAGATAGGCGACTCGGAGTTGCTTGATTCGATTTCTTTTTTGAAGAATGAGCTTTTTGACGGTCAAAATGATGAATTGTCTTTTATAAAATTGAGCTAGAATTCATAAAAAATCAAAATTTCTATTTTCTTTAAATTTTTCTTTCCCCTGATAATCGATTCGAAATAGCTAGTCAGAGAATCTTTTATCTCCTTTTTGGAACTGCTAAATTACCAACCATATCGAGCGCGTGTCATTTCTGGCTCCTTTGGGGGTGATTAGCGTTATTGCGAGAGGTTACGGCGGATGTAAAACAATTCCAACGTGGAGCTGGTAAGTGTGACACGCGTGCGCGCGCTGTCCGCAGATCGGCGCGGAAAGTGGAGCAAGAGCGCCACCGCGCGCACGGGCCCGCATTGGTCAAGGCTTGGAAGGAAGGAGAATCGCGCTCGCGCGCCCCCACTTGCACCGCCGATTTCGAGCTCCTCCGAGATTTCACCCACGCGTTCATCTCTCCCGCCACTTCCTCGCTGTCCAGATCCCTGACCATTCAAACGCATAACGTGTACCCTCTTCAACGCACACACATTTAGCGAAAAATATTAAACCAAAAATTTTTTTCTTTTGTAAATTTTCGAAAAAAGGCCAAGAAAGAAAGACTTGGATTCAATAAGAAACTAAGAGAGTACAACTCACGAAAAAAGCGAGAAGTAAATAGAGACTTCCCTCCTCATGGCAGCTGCTCAGCTGAACATGTCCCAACTGGACCAGCATTCCGTCAAGGCTATGGTAAGCCCTCAACCCTTTCTCTTTCCTTCCTTACACCTTCCGAATTAGCTCCTTCAAAAACACATCTCCGAATTGGAAAAGTACCAACAGTACAATGGCGAGAAAGCTGACTCGCCCACCAATGAATCTGGCAACGATTCGGGCTGCGAAAATTTCTCCGACCGAAAATCAGACCACGATTCTTCCACAAATGCTCGGTCAATTTCGCCGATTTCCGACGAAGAGCCAAAGATGAAGCGATCTAAGGTACTCTATCTTTATCCTCGGCCTTGTTCTTAACCTTTTCACCCAGCTTATTGACGTCGTAAATGTTGATGCTCCAGTCAGTCAATCGCGGAACATGTTTTCAATTCGAAACCTCATCTACAGTAAGGACACTTCGGACTCCGAAACCGACCAGTCAGAAGATTCCGGCAATGCGGCTTCGAATTCCAACGGCTCATCTCCTCCTCGACCTTGGTCACCTGACCACGAAGTGATGCGAAAACTCAAGGCTGATCTCTCCACTACTTTGCACAGCTTCGTCGATACAGTCGTCTCCGATGTCTGCAACAAAGTCTCGAGCAACTACAAAGAGAGCCTGCGAAACCAGCGAAAAGCATTCCACGAGCACCGACTCCACCTCCACCAGGAAGATCCAATGGACACCGTCGACACTCGCCAAATCATCGAAGACGCCAAGCCAATGCTCACCGCTGCTGCTGCCGCTGCTCAAAGCACAATCTCATCAGCTTCTCCTTCGATCGCTTCTTTCGCCGCTCATGCTCAGGTAGAGAAACTTGTTTAAAAGTCAGAAGATAATCGGGCATTTAGCGCGCTCAGCAGCTCCAGCAGCTCACTTCGCGACATACTCCGTCTGTTCCAACTCCGCATCAGGCGATTCTCTCACAGCACTTGGCCGCTCGAGCCACTCAGCCGCAAGTTTTCCAACGGTAATGATCATCACTTATTTCTACTGTTAGATTGATGGGTAGGACATTTCTGTAGAATGAGGGAGTTTTGACCAATAAGAAGCTTGCGATTCATTGTCTAGCCAATCAAAAACAAGCGTTAGTTATCTGAGCCAATCAGAAAAAGAATTAATTTTATCCACCAATCAAAGTCCCTTATATCCAAAAATGCCCTAAATATCAACTCATAGCTACTCAGCTCATATTAACTGTTGATTACAGTCAATCTTATAGAGAAGCTCCTCGCCCGCTCGGCTACCCGTACACAGCTCTTCAATCAAGCTACCCATACAACCCAATGCTCAACTCTGCCACAGAAACCTACGGTCGCCGACCCTGTAAGTATTCATCTCGCGAATTATTACGGTCTTGCAAATAAATGGGATTAATAAATCGGACAAGAGAATTCAAGGGAGAGATGATCTTAACCTATAAGAATTTCGCGGCCAAAGTTGATTTGGAATTTCATTTTCGCGCATTCATCCAAATTACCCACTGCGGCTCACGTTAAAGGTCATCTCATTTTTGCTCTTTTCCAGCTTTGGAAGTTTCCAGTCCTAGAAAACCGACTAGAAAATCTAACGTGTCGAACTGAAAAGTAGCACATTCATAATTCCCCACCTGTAGAATAAAAACGAGGCGCGAAATCAAAAAATTCGCGAGAATCGCGCATCCCTCCATCTTGTCCAAGCCCTTGTCAATTATACTGACACAGCTGGCCTCCGTTGAACAATCTTGGAGGCCCCGTCACGTTACAATTTTGACAGAATTGAATTAGACGATAAAATAATCAGTTTCTCCCCTTCCCTAGAATTATCTCATTTCAGAAAACGCTAGAAATAAAAATAAAAGAAAAACTTCTTAGAGGTCAATTTTTTCCTAATATTTAACCTGTCAGCATCCAGCGGCTCAACCCAGAATCGCGGTAACATGACTTTTGTTTACAAAAAGTTGGCAGACGTGGCAAACAAAATTTCCCACTTCTCAGCGCGTTTTTTTTCTTATCTCGCTTTCTTGAACTTGGCGAAAACGTGCGTTCAATTAGGCGTGTCAGGATTTGAGTGCAAGTGCGTCCGCCACGGGTTAAACCAAAAATACCACCGCTGGGCTGAGTTATCCAAGTGGAAACAATCTAAGATGGAATTTGCGATTTCTTCCATGGTCAATTAGAAATTGCCATGCTCCTTAACCGGAAGGAATTTTCAAATAACCACCCGTTATACCCTTAATTAACATTTTTTTTCAAGTCTTGTCGATCGATCCACTCACTGGGCGGATTAAATCGGAGCACGAAATGTCCGACGAACAGGCGATGATCTTCGGAGCGGCTCATCCGCAAGAGGGTCTCACTCCTCATCACTTGAAGAAGGCGAAATTGATGTTTTTCTACACTCGATACCCTTCATCAAACGTCTTGAAGACTTTCTTCCCGGATGTCAAGGTAAATTTTGTTTGATAAAGAAAGCTTATTTCAGTATCTTGAATACTGGAGAAGAAATCATAAATTTATTTTAGCAATCGATTATTAAATTTTTAAATATTATAAAAATAAACTGTATTCAAAATTTTTATGATTTTTCGCCCGAAACGGCCAAAAAAACTTTTGTAAAAATTTTTACATTTGTAAAAATGATAATCCCAAATGTCTGTGTTTCTGCGTTTTCGTCTGAAATTCTAGTTTTATCGCTGAAAAATCCGCTGCACGCGTCTAACAGAGCGCTGCGGTCGGCCAGTACGCCGACTTGGACCACTTTGTGGTCGGCTTGGTTGAGCTGGCGATGTTCTGAGACGTGCAATGTGGTCGCGGGTGTAGTAGCGCCTCCTCCGCTACTAGACTCTTGCGCGAGAGGAGCTCGTAACCGAAACCGCCGTGGAGGAGGAGGAGTGAAGACTCTCTCCCCCACCGCAACTTCGCTCCCGACCGCAAACATACTCACCATGCAGAATTATCGACTCAATAGATTGTTTTTATTTCTACGTTCTTACAAAAGCGCCTTTCACTAGAATTTCCACCAACTGTAACTTCTCCTATTTAGTTTAACCGGGCCACAACTTCTCAACTCATCAAATGGTTCTCCAACTTCCGAGAGTTCTTCTACATTCAGGTAAACATTTTGACCATTCTCTTCCTTGATTTCAGATCAGCTTAAAAGAAAAGCCGCGTAGCGGCTTTTTTAAAAAACGAAGCCGCTAAGCGGCTTCGCGAACTGAGCTGTCTGAATCTACCAAAAAAACTGGCGAAGCCGCTTTGCGGCTTCGATTTTAAAAAGGCCGCTACGCGGCTTTTCATTGAAAATCTTAAAAACCCTGAGTCAGGTTTTCTTCACAGGATTTCGAACCCATTTTCAAATGAAATTACTTCACTGACTAACCATATTCTTTTAGATCGAGAAATACGCTCGACATGCTCTTTCCGAAGGAATTGAAAACGCCGCTGATTTGAAAGTCACCCGAGAAAGCGAGCTCTTCAAGGCGCTGAACAACCACTACAATAAAACCAACGAATTTGAGGTTTTTATCCGCGCCCAGTCGGATTCAGTCACTAGCCACCGCTTAATATCTTGCTCTTAAGGGTGTCAACATCATCTTCATTTTCATCAAAATCGATGTTAACACCCTTAAATTCGCTTTTCTTTTCATTTCATTATGCTTCTTTCCACGAAAAAAAGACTGAACCCGCTCGGTTAGCGGTCCAACTTTCTGGAGCCAAAAATAACCGTCCTTTTTAGGTGCCAGAAGAGTTCCTTGACGTCGCTCTGATGAGCCTTCGCGAGTTCTTCGTAAACATCAAAGAAGGCCGCGACGTCGATCCCTCGTGGAAGAAAGCCATTTACAAGATCATCTGCAAAAGTGACATTGAAATTCCCGACGCATTTAAAAGCGCTACGTTTTTGACCGATGTGGCGCACTAGACCTCATGAGACGAGTTTTTAAAAAAACGAAATCTTTTGTACATTTCAATTTTACATTTTTCCGCCCTTTGGGGAAGGCGCGTTCTGCCCTGAGGGTGTGTGTATATAGACTCTTATACATATTTACGAAAATTACTATCTTCATCCTGCCTCCTGCATCTTTCGCGCGCCATTTTCGACTCGGAAAATGACTTTTTCGAGTCGAAAAACCGCGGCGCAGAAAACCTATTCCCTTGGAAATTAAGGGTATCACCCTTTAATCTCCAAGGGAAGCTTTAAAAAGGACTCGACCATCAAAAAACTATATATATTCCGAAAAGTTTGGAAATTAGACAAAAATTTCTCAAATTTCGCTCATCTCATTTGGTCACGTGGTCCCCTTAAAAAAAACCTCTCGCCACATCGAAGCTCCCTTAGGTTTAAAAAATTTAAGGGTGGCGGGGCAAAGCCGTGCGCGTTTTTAATTTTGCGTTTTGTACAGTTCAATAAATATTTTTTTCATTCATTCGTTCGTTTTCGTCTTCTTTCTTCATACAAATGGTGCAAAATGAATGGTTCAAAAAATGGAGCCAATTAAGAGAACCTTTAAATGAAATTCTTTATTTTGTAATTTTGAGGCACTAGAATTCGCAATAACAAATATCGTGCTGCTAATGAGGAGGAAGGGGGCTAGAATTTCAAGTGACTTTCAAGCTCCTGCAGACATTTGTGAGAAATCGGAAGAATTCGCGAAAAATGTGAGACACTTTGTCGATACGTGAACCGCCCGTACTTAGGAACGAAAATTTCGGCGCTCTAAGTGAAATGAGCGCTCGAGAAAATATCGTATTTTTGGACTTAACCAAAAAATGGAAGTGGATTTTTGGATGACCAATTAGATTGCTGCATTCGGCCTGCTGGCCAATCAAAATTCTGATTCATAAAATCACTTCCATAACTTGGTTTGACCGTTTTCTTGGCAGAACCAAACAATGGAAGTGATTTTATGGATCAGGGTTTTGATTGGCTGGTAGACCAAATACAGCAGTCTTATTGGTCATCCAAAAATGCATTTCAATTTTTGGTCTTGTTCCATTTTCTTGGCTCCTCGGACATTTCTTGGGTTACTTTTTGAAATAATATTTTGAGGAGTTTCTCTGCTCCATCCCGTGGCTGACTAAACTAACTGACCGTTTCCGACGTTCGTTTACTTTTCAGAGTCAACGTGGAGCGCGCTTTCCAGCTCCTTATCTTTATCTTACCAAGTACCTATCCCAGCAGCGCTAGATTATCGCGCCGACATCAGAATTCAACCCGCTCTTCAATTTTTCCAAGGGTTGATTTTTTGATGGAGCTGATATAAGATGCGCTTTCCGGCGAAAGTAATTACGCCCTGTCAACGAGTGAGAGGAGTTCACGAAGAAAACGTGCACGCGCGCATCAAGAAGTCGTGTGACGTACTTATTACGCCCAAGAGGAGCTCGAAACACTCAGCTTGGAATTTTTTCAATTTGCCCAGCGCGACCTGCTTTTCTTAAATTTTCTTTTACTGGACTTTTTTAGTGCAAAGGTCAAGTTGTTTAAATTATGATTATTTTATTAATAATTAATAAGAAAATTATATATTAAAATATATAATAATTAAAATAATTGAAAAATAATTAATTTAATTAATTTAAAGTTAAGGATAATTTACTTTCAATAAAATTTAATAAAATTAAAAATAAATTTACTGTTCAATAATTCGGTCAAGTTCCGTTTTTGGAAATTCTCAATTACAATAAACTCTCTTTTTTCTTGCTTCAAAAATTCAGTCAGAAGACTGCTGAATTCGCGCTCCATTCAACAATGAATTACCCTGCTCCGGATTTCGAGCCTGCGCTTCGAATTCAGTTGATTAGTAATGGAGTAATTAAAGAAAATTCAAAACGTGTTATTGCTGTTTTCATTTTATACAAGAAGGAATTTGAAATTTATAAACAGAGAAAAGGTTAGTTTCCGGAAATCGTCGCAACTTCTGGATTTGCCTGCCAATCGCTGTGAGCTTTGGCGGCTGCGCTTTCGGCCAGCCAGTAATTGTACCCGCCGTTTTTGCCGTCTTCCGTCTTGAAGTTCAAAACATTCGTGTATCCTTAAGTTTAACCTGTTTAACCCCCTGGCGCGTGAATTTCCTTTTCTCACCGAGTTCCTCGAGAATCTTTTGCGCGACGGTGCTTCTTCCTCCTGATCGACAAGTGACAATTATTTCATCTGAGAGGGAGGGCTTTCTAGCTCCAAATCGTGATTCGAACTCATCAGCAGGGAGTTTAAAGCTTCGCCAAATTACGGATAAAGGGACATTTGCTCCCCACGCGGATTCGATGTAGCCAGCACTGACCTCTAGAATGTTTTGTTAGAGGACAAGATGAAGACAATAAATGTGCATTTTGCTTTGAGAATTTATATACATTTTCTTGAAATTCAATGAATAAATCGAAAAAATCAACCTAATTTTAACCTTATGAAAGTTGCGACTCAGTGTGTGAATTACTGATATAGTCTGTAACATCTTATGTAACCATTAATAATAACGTATACGATTAATAATAGTGATTGACTTACCTACTGGAGTTCTGACATCAACAACGAAAACATCTGAATTGAACCTAACAGCGCTCAAGTACGCGAAACTAGCCAAAAGTCCCGTCATTTTTTTTTAGTCTGGAAAGTTTGCCGAAGAAATTCTCTTTTTCAGGTTTTCTCGGCGAGTGAAGGACGTGTTCGAAACCGAGAAATTTATGAAAGTGAAAATGGAGCGCTGTGGCAGCGGAGAAGCGCTTCTGAGGAATAAATGCGTTGGGACAGGGAGATTTATTTGGTTTGCTGACGAGGGACAAAACAATTGTCAATCGATTTACGGAATTCGTAAATATTCTTCTTTAGAACGGTTTTTGCTTTTTCGACTATTGACTGTTGATAATCCTGCTGCCTTGAAATTCAACTTGAAATTGATTATCAAAGTCAAAACACCTTGCTTTCTCTTCCTACAAACAACGATATCCAAAGACTAAAAGGAAATGCCCCGGAAGGAAGCAGAGACAAATTGTCAAGGTCAAAGAAAAGTGCAGTCTTGACTTTTGGTATCACTTATCTAGGCTCGGCAACCTGTGTCAGGGAGTAGAAAACCTGAGTCAGGTTCCTGGAAGACATTCAATAAACCTTCTTCTAGGATCTGGACTCAGGTTTTCTAGACCCTGACACAGGTTGCTGAGCCCAGATGATAAAGGATTATAGTGGGGGCTTATGTTTATTTCTACTGTATAAGATGCCGGTCCTTGAGAAGCATGTTTTATTCGAAGGTTCGCCCGACCTTTTCTTATAGTCTAACTATCGTCAATCATAATAATTATCCGGCGTAACACTTTCAAGGCGCCTTTATAACTACTTTTTAAGCCGCTAATTTATGATGAAGGAAAAAAACTAAGAAAGGTTATTTTCACATAATTATCTTCATAACGATCTCAGAGCTCTGCATGTGCAAAATCAGCGAGAAAAGGAAAGCGACGTCGAGTTACGCAGAACGTCGACTGAAATTGAATCCGTAGCCGTTTTTCGCCGCCCTTTGTGCTACGCTCTTCAGAAAAGTATTTTTAGCCTGTTTGCTGTTCGAAGACAGAAAAAGGAAGAAGAACCTGGAGAAAGAGATCTATTGATGATGAATTGCTGAAATGGAGATTCTGTAAGTCCAGACTTGGAAGTCGAAGTCGAGCAAAGTAGTAGCATCCAGTATTCATTAAAAATAGGCACTTTATTTAGGCACAGGATACAAAAGAATATTCCATGTGAATCCCTCCCCATAAGACCAGCTTTCGATAGCCAGAGAGGTAAAAAAGGTGGTATTTTTAAAGATTTGTATTTACTGAATTTTTTCGTCAAAATGATAATGAGTAGCATTCTAGCATGAATTCTAGCATTCTGAAGTATTCTTAGAAGTCATTAATGTATCCAATCGGAAATGCAAGATCGGAAATGAGTCTGTCACACTTAAGCCCATCAAAGTTATGGCAAAAGGTGGTGGTTGGTAAGCAGACTTTCTTCAAATTTACGAGAGCGATCACCACTTCAATTAAAATAAACTGCTTATATATTTACAAAAAAACTAAGCTAAATCCAAGTCTTTGAACTTTCAGAAGTAGAAAAAGCAGACCTTTCTTTTTCTAGCGCCAGTTTTTTCAGCATCAATCGCAGCTTTTCGCCTTCATCTTCCAATTCATGAATTTTTCAAGGTCAAGTAGGAGAGTATTCCTCTGCCGTGAAATCATACAGTAGCTCAAAGTTCGAGACAAACGATCTTTGAAAATGTTTACTAGCAGAGTATCCGCAATGAACCTTTTCCCCGCAATAAACAAGTAATTAGCCGAGCAGATTATCAATAGGCTCTTCTTTGCTTTAGAATTTTGACACGTGATTAAGAAATCAGCTGGAGAGCGTAAAATCGACTGGGGAGAGGGAGAAGAGCCCCGTGTCTGATGGAAGGAAGCACGAAGCAATGAGCCCAAGTTATGGCGGATTCAGATCTTTTAACAACCCTGATTTATTTTGGCATAATTAGAGTCTCACCATAGGATGGCGCCCCTCAAGGTCACAGGTCTTTTCAAAAGTTTGCTGCACATCCTTTAGGAAACAACCGCTGACACTTTTGAAAAGAACTTGATACTGAAAGAACCTTATTTAATGGGAACAATTATTTTTTGATTGATAATAATTGAATAAAAAGAGTGAAAAGAAAACAAAAAATCAAGGAAGAGAATATGCCCGGGAGGAGCTTGCAACTGTAAGTTTTTGAAAGCAGCGTTAGGGTTAGGCAACCTGTGTAGAAGACCTGAGTCAGGGTCTGTCAGACTCGGTCTAAAGAATTGCCCGTGGTTTTTCAGACCCTGGCTCAGGTTTTCTACACAGGTTGTCGAGCCTGGGTTAGGGTTAGGGTAATGGTTAGGGTATTTTTGAGAATAAGGGTGTCAAGTCAATTGTTTTTTCCCCTTTTCGTCAGTTTAGTGAAAGTTTCTCTGCTCCATCTTTTTTGCGGTATTCGCTATTCGAAATTTTGGCTTCTCTACTTTGTTCTACTTTGAAATAATTGAATAATTCTTAATTATTTTGAGCAGCAACCAAGGTGTCTTTTGAATTCGGACATTAAGCAGTGATAAAGTAGTATTGACCCCCGAGGGGCTCTGGAGCAGCCGTAACATTATGAGCTGCCGCAGAGAGCTTTAAAAAAAACTCCGCCTAAACTCCAACAACGCAAGAAAATAAACCCAAGTCGTATTTTTTTCGATCAGAATGCTGCTTTCCCTCTGACTTGAAAGCTGCAAATCAGAGCAAATCAGCTTTAATTGCAAATTACAGACTAGGAAAACAAAGGGAGAGAGAAAGAAATAATTTATAGAGAAAACTGGAGCCAAGAAAATGGTGAACTCGTCTGACGACCAGAGCTTCAGTTTGTCAAAAGTCAGACATGACGTCAAAAATAACTTTGGCCAGCATAGAAGGAAGGTTGCGAAAAGTAAAATTTTCAAAGCTGGGAGCGATGAGAGTAATAATTAGCCAATTAATAAAACTTGGTCCTGGGTGTCAAGCACTTTTCTTTCATGATTATTGACTGCTCTTGGTAGTTAACTCTTAGAACCGTCCTTGTTTGGAGGCAATAAATCATGAGTAATAAAATAAAACCGCAAATTTTATGTTCATCTGGGGCAGATTAGAGGACTGCTTATGCCCGCTTAATGTCTTTAATTTTCGTCTTTGAAGAATCAAATCACAGATTTTTTGATTCTTTCGCCGATTTTTTAATCGGCTCGAAAACCTGTGTAAAAAAAACTGAGTCAGGCTTTGAATGAGCTTAAGGGTATCAACAACGATTTTGGGCATATTTTCAGACTCTTATTCAGACCCTTATTCGATCGTTGTTGACACCCTTAATTGAAAGGCCTCTCATTTAGATTCTGACTGTAACAGTTACAGTAACCTAGTAGACAATCGACTGTTTGCCATTTTGTCTTTTTCTTCCGTTTCTTCATTCATTCCTATTCTCTTTGAAGCCCAAACGGTTTTCTTCCCATGTCAAAATTGCCATAAAAGAGGGTTAGAACTGACCTTCGTGCCCATAAAAGAAAGAGCAAGAAGTGCCCCGGTGGTTAGAGTTTTTGGGAGAAAAGCGACAATGAATTCAGTTACGCTTGGTATTAGGAGGGACGTAGAGATCAAGCAAATTCAGGAAAAGGTCTTTTTCCACTTTTTTATTCCGTTTTTTGATCAAAATAGAAAGAACCTGACCTAGACATTTGAAAATTTTGGAATTCCAGTCAGGGACCAATTAATTTACTTTTTTTTTTGAAAATAAAATTTTTGATTCCGCTTCAGGGAAGATATGGGCAAATAAATTTGTTCAAGGAGATTTAGGACAAGGAAAGCTTTTGATCATAAATTAGAGAATTCTAGTGATAAATAGAAAGTCAGACTAAACAAAGAATTTCCACTACCACCATCGCCATTTTTACAACGAAAGGGGCTTAAATTTGTCAAGGGGAAATTGAGAAAAATGCCCAGCAGAATTGATGAAATTAATCAGACTCTTGGGTATTTGTTAACAAAATTTGAGGAGGCTGATCTTTTTTTGACACTTTTAGCAACCAAGCGGTGAGAGCACGGCTAGACACGCCAATAGATCCTGAATCCACGAAAAGAATCAAAATATCGATATGCGGCCAGGTCTTCGTCACGCAAGAAAAAACAGTAGGGATGGTTCTAACAGTCATAAATAGCGATTTTAAGATAGTGACGCCCTAATTTTTGCGTATGAGAAAATTTATCAGAGAATTTTTTTTTTCAAAAAAGTAACCGAAAAAAACTTATAGTAAAACTCACTAGTCAGTGAGTTGTTTTTACGGCGCTTGTCTATCTGCCTAATTGATCATTAAATTTTTGTGGGAACCAGGCGTCAACAGCGCGGGCACGCAACACCCGCCTCTACCGCATGCTCACGGACAAAGTAAGTAGAAGCGCCCTTATGCTGGCATTTACTTTTACTAAGCCGTAAGCGTCTTTAGAGCCTGGCGGATGGATACGATGAAGCGCAAGATGTCTACTTTTTCGATCGTCATTTACCTTCATTCCCGGCGATTCTGTACTTTTATCAGACTGGCTTCATTTGGAGACCGCTAGATGTGCCAATGGGATTTCCGGTTGAAAAAAATTCTCTCTTCCTTGATTTCAAGATCTCATTTTTTCAACCAAAGCAGAGGTCTTTGTCGAAGAAGTCATCTTCTACGGACTCGCGGATCGAATTCTAGCGCCGCTAGGGGATGAAGACAGAAACAAGCAAATTCTATTCTGTATGGGCGGTAAAAGAACACTTTGTGTCCAAAGGTCAGTTTCTAGCGACTCATTTTCATTAACAAAATAAGCCGCGAAGCGATTTGGAATTTGTTCGAAAAGCCCGAGACGAGTTTATTAGGAAGCGGGTCAGAATTCTCAGATTTCAATAATTGATGCTCCCGCTGCTGATCCATTTTGAAAGCAAAAGTCATAAACGTCCTGTCAATATTCTTCATTCTGCTATCGACAATCAGCTTTTGCTTGGAAACGATTCCGTTTTTTCAAGAAGGAAACTGCTACCCTGGAGTTGATAAAAACGGAACTCCTGTACGCTATCAGATGAAAGACTACAACCCTGAAAGGTTTCTTGGCACTAGAATTTTTGAAGAGACTTTTCTAGCAACACTTTTCCATTTTGGGTGATCGAGACAATTTGCATAACGTTCTTTACGATCGAGTACGTTTTACGCTTCTGGTCGGCGCCTGATAGGTAAGCTTTTTCCCCCTCCTAGCGCTAGAATATCTCCTAGATGCCGATTCGTTCCCGAGTTCATGAATCTTGTCGACCTAGCTGCCATCGTTCCCTACTACATCACCATTATCTTCGACGCAAGCATCAATAAGACCGTCCTTTGCATGGATGACAAGACAAGTAAGTTTGCAAAGATTCTTCTGAGAGCTAATCTACAGCTGTGATTTACAGTATCTCTTGGTTTTTCTCCCGACTTTTTCGAAAAGTAAGAATGAGTATTAAAAAAATGTTGTATAAAATTCGTCGTGAATACTGTATTCAAAAAGTATTATTGAAAATTGCAAATCTAAAAAATATTTTTTAGCGTCTTCATCAAGGTAAATATCACAGTAGCTGCCCTAGAATCCTAATAACAATAGATTAACCAGCTACTAACCTTCGCGAATTAATATAAACCCTCCATCACCCTAACTTGCTGGAATTCAATCGTTTTCAATAAAAAATTGAGATCAACAAGGACTCATAAATATTTCAGCACTGACAACGGTAGTTTTCTCATGATCCTGCGAGTCATTCGTCTGGCTAGAATAGTCCGAATAGCGAAATTATCCCGCCACTCCCGAAATCTCTCCACTCTCATAAAAACAATGAAGACTTCGCTCCGTGAGCTTTCATTCTTGATGCTATTCTTCATTGTTTCGATGGTTTTGTTCGCGACTTTTGTATATTTCTGCGAAGTTGCGGATAATCCGAATATGTTTCCTTCGATTCCAGCGTCGTTTTGGTGGGCGATTGTTACGATGACGACAGGAAGGGATAGATAGAAAAAGGAAAATGACCTTTCTTTTATTTGAACAGCAAGATTATCCATCAAAAGTCGGTTATGGTGACACGTATCCAATCACTGCACTTGGCAAAGTCGTTGGATTTCTTTGTACGATTTGTGGTGTCCTCTGTATTGCCCTGCCCGTGCCTTCCATAGTTTCAAATTTCCACAGGCTATACCAGGTCTAACTTCATTCAACTGAAACGGACTAACATCAATCTTAGGAGGATCAAATCATGAATCCACATGGGAACCATAAATATAAAAGTAAAGACGAAGAGGTTCGATGCAAGGTAATTTTTCAAACAATCGCTTCGTTTTTTGACTATATTTCTTCAGTTAAGAAAGAAGTTCCTGGCAGATGTATGAAAATTTTACTGAAAAAAGTTCAATTCTTGTAATAAAGTACATATTCACAGCCTTACCTCTTTTGAACACGTGACTATGAGGTATTATTTCGAAGCGCAATTATTCCAACGCTGACTAAGAGAGTAAAGCGTGGCATATTTACTAACTTTCCCTTTTTACGATATTTGCTAACGACCAAAATGGCGAATCGCCAAACGTAAAAACGCGAATCACAAGAAAGTCTTTCCCTTTTTCTATCAGACGAGCTACTTTTGTCAGAATACAACTAGGTAGAGACAGAATAGAGTCATGGGGGAGCCCATGGATGTCGATGATCAAGGAAGGCTTCTGCAAGATAATTATATGGACACATCGATAGAGGATTATCATAATGTACCTTCCAACGTTCTTGGAGCTTGCCTAAGAAAATGCGTTTTAATGGAACCATCCACAATTGAGTAAGTGAAGACATGTAAGAAAATCAGTTAAAAATTAAATAAGAATCGATGTCAATGGATATGAACTAATCCAGAAACACAAGCTTCTCTTTCGAACGATGGAAAAGACCAAGAATAGTTCTGAACCAGCTGATGAAACCACTGGCTCGATATTCCAGTTTCCACGAGATCCGTTTCAAAAGGTCTATGCAGTAGGAGCAACGTATTTCGACGAAAATAATGGTGTCATCCAGAAACTTGAAGGGAAAATATACAAAGTCAAAGTAAGGATTACCCTAGCTTTCTGCGTAAAAATTATTCTAGGAAGCGAAAGTCTTGTTTGATTACGCTAATAGACAGAGTATGACCGCAGCGAGAATTGAACTCGAAGATCGTGGCGACAAATTTCAATATTTCTTCGGCCCCTGTCCAATTGGCTGTTGCTCTATCGAAGTAAAATTTGTACTTGGCAAAACGATGCAAAGAGCACGTCCACAAGCGGAAACTTTTGAATCTTGTCTTCCACTTCATGTTGGCCGAACTAGATACCGCCCAGATCATCAAGTGCAATATATTCATAGTCATCGCTTTGTCGAAGACATAACTATAAGAATGATTCACGGAACTGACAATAACATCGAACTCAGTGCAGCTGTTGACGATTATGAAGTAAATGTTGAACTAACGCCAGTTAAAAATATGCATCTTGGCGTATACTCTGGTGGGGAACACATGCATGAATATAAAGTCACTTTTCCTGATGGCAGGCCGAATATCTCTCAAAGTGGGCAGTACTCTGCGATTCTCAACATCAGTGTCACTTACGATAATTCAAGCAATGAGGAGCAATCCTTTAAGGACAGCAAAAAATATGCGGAACGAGTCCGAATCGATGGACTTCCCAATAACTATGGAAACATTCTATCATTTGACATTTCGCCCAAGATGATCGAAGAAAAGCTAAAAGAAAAAAATGTATCCATAGAAAGACAAGGCAAGACTGCAAGAGAATTGACCTTCTTTATCGACCGATCTGGAACAATGGTTGGTCAACCACTACGGGAGGCAGTTTATGGAACATTGTTACTTCTACGAAGTGTTCTTCGAAAAGACGATTCTTTCAGAATTGTTTCGGTTGGTTCAAGAAGTGAATACTTGATGCTCAACAACAGGGATGAATTTACAGCAAGTGATCTACACAATGACCAGAACCAGAGTCCAGTCGAAATTGAGATGAGCAGATTTACAGCAAACATGAACGAAACAAAGCTGTTAGAACCAATTCAAATTGCGATAAATCGACGAACAGAAAAAGATCGAATATTCATTCTCATCACAGATGGACTTTTTGGTCGGCCAAGGCAGGCTCAAGGGAATAATGATGCGAATTTTCTTGCAGATGAGTTTGAAGAAACGAGAACAATTATTGAGCATGAAACCGCGGGTACTCGAGCAGGAGCCTTCCGTTTTTTTGCAGTTGGAGTTGGCAGAAACTCAAACCAAATGGGATGTGACGAGCTTGCAAGAGTCGGCAAAGGAAGTTTCATTCACGTGCCTTTGAGACATCGACTTCAAAGTGAAATGCTCAAACTTGGTGATCATATTCAACTCAATCACTATGAGCTGACAGACATCAAGCTAACTGACGGAGAAGGAGATGATTTAGCTGCCTTTCCAGGTAGAGAATCTGTACTTTTTCATTATAATTTATAACTTTTAGGTCCTGGATTAATGCTAACAAGGGACAGTTTACTACCACAATGGGAACTCTTTGGACTAAATGATGAACCATTTAAACATCTTATTCGAAATGGTTATCTGCAATATCTTAGCCGCTTTCAAAGTCTTCAAATTTATGGCAATGATCGTGTGCATTATCATCTTCCAGATCTCACGCCACAGGAAATCAAAGATAATGTAAAGGTCATAATAGAAATAAATTCTCAACACTTCATTGATATCGACATAAGGTAAGCAATATCTTTTATCCCGATTCTTATTGTTAATTAAAGTGATGCAGTTACTTTACTTTCCAATGTCGAAAAAAATGTAAGAAACAATGATGCGTTATTTCCATTGAAAAGTTATGGTTATCAACAATCTGCCTTTTTGTCGAGTTTTAAATATCCAATACCTGAAATCAACGGCTACGATCTTCTCACAGAGTTCGCCTTGAAGGTACCTAGCAATAGAGATATTTTTAAGTTATATATTAAATTCAGACCAAAATCATGGTCTTTAAAAAGACAAGTTACGGCTGGTTCGACATGAACGAAGGAGTGGCAAAGAATGTGATAGATCAAGCAAGGGCTAATGAAGAGGCTATCAGGCCTATGGAAATTCAAGAGATCTCTGCTCAAAATTACGATGCATATTTTGGCTCCGGCCGACAAAACCAGGGTTTCGCGCACAACGTGCAAGTTGGCGGAGTCGGTGGTCGCCCACAAGGAGGAGATTATGCTGGTGGAAATCAGGGAGTCCCTGGACAACGACGTCCGACTTTCGGAAAGCCCCCACCAGCGGGAGGAGCAAGTGCGATGCGAAAACATCGGAAGCAGAACAAATACGGCGTCAGATACCAGAATACCATTTTGCCCAAACCGACCTACATTCCTGAGGACAAGAACTTTACTCCTCTTCTTCTTCAAGGTAAGAAATTATAGGCTCTGTCCAACATTCTCTAAAACTCTCTAGCTGATCGTACCTGGATTTGGAGAAGCAAGCAGCAAACTTGGGAGCAAATCAGAAAGTACTTGGCCTTCGAAGAAGATATTCACCCACCTATGCTCGTCAAAGAACTCTTCAAACAAAACGGCAAATTTGCGGCGAAGTTCAACTTCTCCAGAGAAAACGAGGCCCAAGAACGAGACGATGTGATTGTGACACTATTCGTGTATGCAATCTTCGAAAAACGCTGCGAAAGAAAACGGTCAGTCTTTGCTCTTTATTATGATTTATTCAAGAAAAATTCTAGGGACATCTGGTCACGCTCCTGGCGCGATACGCTGGCAACAATGAGCAGCAAATTTGGTGCAAAAGAAGAGGATGTCAAAGCTCTCAAGCAAGAAATTCTCCAGTTCATCTACAAAAAAGGCCTGATTCTTCCAGAACGCTACTAAAATCAACAGTTCCATGATTATCCTTGTACATAATTTCAACTTTGCTACCAATGACCAATTATTTATTTAACTCCTAGCGTTTTTCAAATAAAAATAAAGTTCAAATTGTCACTGTTGTAAATATTCCGTTATTGCCTGATTAATAAACTCAACTCTGAAGCTCAGCTTGAAAAGCATTAATCCTCTTGTTTCAAAAAAGCGCTTTGTTTGGATCTTGTCTTTGTCAGATCTGCTGAAAGAAACAAACTGCTAAGAATTAAGGAGAGCGATTTCGAATACTTAGTAATCCAAAAAAAGAAAGCTAATTATCAAAGAAAGAGAAAGCCGAAAACACGGGGCTTCTCATGTCTTCTCAGCCAATGCTCAAAGATCACAAACTCAGGCGCGTTTCCCAGAAGTAAAATAAAAGCCGGACTTTATTCTTCTCACTCATGGCAGGGGACAGCGAGATTTTGAGAAATCTAACAAGCTTGAGAGATGAAATATTTCTGGTTCTTTCTACACAAGCTAAGGAGCGAGAAAATCAACGAAGAGAAAGAGAAAATGCAAAGCTACCACTATATAAAAAATCAAATCTCGGCTTCCAGAATCAGAATCAACGAAACTTGAGAATTTCTCCGACGCCCGAATTTCCTTCGACTCGCAATCGGAAGGTTTCAATTTACTCAATTATCAATTCAGGAACGTCATACAATCACAGCTAAAATTTTATACAGTTAGAAAATATGCTTCACAATTCGCCAAGAAAACCTGAGTCAGGGACTGAAAGATCTTCGAAGCTTCTTATTAAAGATCCTTTAGACCCTGACTCAGGTTTTATGGACAGGCTCCTTGCTTAGAAACTGTCTGACAAATCGAGAAAAGCTGCTTTTCAGAAAAAATGCGTGCCATCCCGAAAAGTCAAATCCCAAAACCTTAATTTCTGTCCCCATTGCCCCCACTGTGCAAATACATATTCGAAGAAATAAAATTATTATAAAATTTTATTAATTAAAATAACACATTGGAATACTTTGAAGAAATGGCAGTGAACATGAGGATTGTCTACGATTGAAAAATAATTTATAAAACTTCATCTTTGAACGCAGCGTTAATTTGTCCAGAAACACTTGGAACGGGCGATTTAGGCACTTCGATCGCAGAAGCCCGGGGAAGAGCCTCAAACTCTTTGAGTCGAAGAAGCTTTCGAAAATAAGGTAGAGCTCGACGGTTTGTCCAGCCGTAGATAAAGCCATTTGTGATGGATGAAAGTCGCAGTGAAGTCATTGTAAAATCGACGTCCAAAGGTGCTCCACCGTAGAGCCAGCCAAAAGAAGTAACGATGAATGGAATGGATAAAACAGCTTGAAAGCCGACCGAGATTGCTAGAAATCATTGTCACTAGAATTTCGCAACGAATTAACTTACCAAGGCGGCGGAAGCTCAAATCTCGCTCAGTCGGAAATCTTTTGATGATGTTCTGGTGAGTTAGATACGAGCAAACTCCGTTGCCAGCAATTGATATCAAGCTCATAACTGCAGGAATGACAAATGCGAAATCTTCGTGCTCAGATCGTAAAAAGCCTGAGCAAATGCAAGTAGCAAGTGAAAGAGAAAGTATTGTTCCGATTCCAAGCCCGGCGTCGAATGTTAAACCAGCGACATCACGTGAAGCTAGAATCGTTGAATCGCAATTCTACACTTTCATTCTGTACCTTGAAGTCTGTAAATTCCAATAAAGCTCAAAGTCACAGCCGGAGCGGTCAGCAGAGCAATTTCAGAACCGATGAAAATAGCGTCGCCAATTCCAGTAATCACTCCTGTTATTCTCAGCGAAAGGAGGACATTACCAACGAAAGCGTTCAAAAAATCGAAGGAAAGCAGAATCAGGACAAATTTGAGCACAAGAAGAGTTCTGTATTGCCCTTGTTCTCCAGCATTTAGGCCTCTTTTTGCAGAAATAGCCCAAATAAGAGAAAGAGTGGATCCAAGCAACCAGATTAATGAAGCGAAAACTTCAATAAAAATATGTTTAATTGTTATTTTAAATTTTTTTACCAAGTAAAACAACAGTAGCTCCACAAGGCTCGGGATTTGAACACAGGCCCATGTTTTCTGTTTCTTCCCTTTTTCAGTAGAATCTCTGTTCGAGGCGCATTGTTTTTTGTCTGATTGAATGGTCGCGCTTTCAGCGGGGCGTTCGCTTTAACAAATTCGTTTTGTTTGACGAGGCCGAGCTTGGCCGTGAGCCGACCAGCATTGAAGTTTTTTTTCTGAGCTCAAGCGCCCACGCGCCGGATCATCCGACTGATGATTCTTCTCTCTTTTTCTTCTTCGATTTTGTGCAGTTGAGATTTTTTTTTCTCGGATGGAAACGCTGGCGAGGGTAATTTTTGCAGCTAGAATTATTAATTATTGAAGCTCTGAATAAGTAGCGCGTTCAATTAATTTTGGGAAGATGCCAGAGTGCTGTGACTTCAGGCGAATTGTGTTTTTTTAAATTATCAGAAGAATTTTATGAAGGAAACCTCCTTATTTATTAAAGTAATAATCTTTTACAGATTTTTGGCAGTAATTTATTAAACTAAAAAAGTTGTAATAACCAAATAATTAAAAAGTGCGAAAACAAGGAAGAAAACTTTGCAGAGGAGAAAACTTTCCGGGTTCTCTTTGAGCTTCACATTTTCAAACAGGGTTTGGAAGATGAACACTCGAGGATCTGGTGGAGTCGGAGTCGGTGGAGGCACATACGAGGCGCATTTCACTAGAAAAAGATGAGTTTTTGGTCGATTCGGATTTTTGATCGCTTACCAGAGGCTACAGTCATTCCATCTTTTTTCAGCGCCATTCCTTCCGGACAATTTGTCTCGCTATCAGCGCTTTTTGGGGGCGGAGAAATGGGCTTTTACTACAATTAAGACATTCCTCTGCCCCTTTCCTGTAAAACATGCCATGATTTCGAACAAACAGGCTCCATTTCCGAGCATTTCTTTCAAAAGACAAGTAATTTCCCGACCCAACTTTGTAAAAAACAAGCTGTCCTTCTATTGCCGCCTTTTTCAAGTTATACTCTCCCTCTTGTCCGAATTTGTCGCCGTCGACGGGCTCAATGATCATTTTGAAACAGCAAACTTCGTCCTCGAAAATGATCTTTTCAGCCGTCGTCGTTGTCTTCATCGACGGGGTTGGTGCTAGCGTGCTTTTGAGTTTTTGGAAAACGACTCCTTCCCAAGGATTTTCTTCGATTTGAAACATTTGGAGGGTCGTTGTTGTTTGCGTGTTGAAAACGGAAACTGTCGAAGTTGTCTTGGTTGTTGATGCTCTTGGAGGGACGAATTCCTTGATCAATCGAAGACGAAAGGGGCCAAATGGTCTGTCGATGTTAAAATCTAAAAATGAAGAAAGAAAATGAGGTATTTATCTTTACCCGTGAGAAGACCAAGAATACGATATTGCCCGTCTTTTCCGATTGGACAGTATATTGGGCTGCCAACATCAATATTTTGAAAAGTCCAGAATCGTAACTCGCGAATTTTCGTTGAAAATTCAAGAATTTTGCCATCTTCAAGCAAATCCAAAAAATATATTTTCAGATTGAGAACACTAAGTGGCTCGTGAATTTTGGGATAATATTTTTTCGTTCTTTTTTACAAGATTTTCAATTTTTCACCGAAAAATTACTTCGTTTTTTTTTATAAAAATCGCTCCTGAATTCGGGATCTTCTTGTTTTGTAAAGCAAAATTGCATTCCCTCAAGTCTCTTTTCCATCGCGTTTTCGATTTCGCCTTGAAGTGGAATCAGGTTATTCTGCCAGCTCTTAGTGGGTGTCATCCAAATGATGAAAAATCCATCATCTCGTTCGTTGAACCAAGTCATGTTCGATTTATGAGAGCTTGACTTGTGGACCTCAGAATAGTCGATTTGAGCGTATTTGAGATTGATGAACTCCTCAAGGTCGTGAGAAGTCGACTTTTTGATACAAGACGATACTAAAAAATTCAACAACCTAAAATATTTTGATTTCGGTCCTTACATGTGACGAAGGCGTAAGACTTTGTATTGTACATCCCAGTAATTGGTATCACATCCGACAGAATAAATCCATTACAACCAACTGAAAGCTCTGAGCCAGGAAATCCAGAGAAAAGTCTACCAAAGCGCTGCTTTTCAGTATTCTTATTGATCGGTTCCCAATGAGTATATTGAGTCGTTTGGGTAGTCGTCGTTGTTGTCACTTTCGTCACTGGAGTAGGAGCTAGTGCTGGCTTAGTTGTTGAGGCTCTCGGAGAGGCGAATTCGTTAATCAATCGAAGCCGGAATGGTCCGAAAGGCTTGTCGATGTTGTAGTCTGAAAAAAACAATTCAGAAAAAAAAACACTTGGTTTTGTCTTTACCCGTAAGTAAACCGAGAATTCGATATCTTCCATTTTTACCGATCGGGCAGTAAATGGGGATGCCGACATCATAATTTTGAAAAGTCCAGAATCGTTGCTCCCGCATTTTCGCCGAAAATTCTAGCTCTTTCCCGTTTTCTACAAGCTCGAGAAAGTAAATTTTCAAATTGAGAATTGCGAGATGGCCCTGATCGTTCTGATAAAAGTTGGTTTCTCTAAATTCCGGGTCTTCTTGTTTCGTAAAGCAATATTGCATCCCCTCAAGTCGTTTTTCCATCGCATCTTCTATCTCGCCTTGTCCTGGAATCAAGTGATTTTGAAGACTTTTCGTCGTTGTCATCCAAATGATAAAAAATCCATCATCTCGATCGTCGAACGAAGTAATGTTGCCTTTCTTAGAGCTAGAGTAGAACTCGGAATAGTCGATTTTTGCTTGTTTAAGTTCCATTAATTCTTGAAGGTCTTTTGCACTCGACTTTTCGATGCAAGATGAAACTAAATAGGTTTTATAAATACTTTTTATAAAAGCTCTTACGAGTGACGAATGCGTTGGACTTTTTCGAAATCATCCCAGTAATCTCTGGTATCTCATCAGTTAGAATAAATCCATTGCAGCCAGCAGAAAGCTCTGAACCAGGAAATCCAGAGAAAAGTCTCCCAAAGTGTTGTTTATGACTGTTTTCAGTTTGTGGTTCCCAGTGAATGCATTGCGTTGTTTGAGTTGTCGTCGTTGTTGTCACTTTTGTGATCGGAGTCGGAGGTAGACCCGCTGCCGTTGTTGTTCTTTTTTGAGGACGAGTGTAATCAGTGATTTTGAAGATTGAGTAGCGACCTTTGTTTTTGCTTGAAGTTGTGTCCAAGAGCCCGATGATTTTGTAAGTTGAAGAGATGTCATGATGAGCGCAGTAAACTGGAGTTCCACAGTTTGTGCCAGAGAACTCCATCATTTCAGTTTCTCCTACCGCCTGTACTTCCAAAAATGCATCTCGAGACTTTGTCACGTAAATGTGAAAGTACTCTAACTCCAAAAACTTTATCATGTCTACCGCTGAAGCCATCGACAGATCGAGATCTTCTAGCGATTTCAGTGGAGTCTTGATGAAACAGGAGAGTCTTCCCTTGCTCTCGTAGAATCTGCTGAGCTCGTCGGAGGTCGGTAAGAAAATCATGTTATGTTGTTTCCTGATTGAATGTAGATCTGATCTAAAGATAGACAGGCCGTTTGGGAGATTTTCTTGAGATGAGAGATAAGTTCTGAGTCTCTTATCCGGCGAATAATGGAAAAAGGACCGGTCAGCGTCGAATTGATTTCTCAATTTCAGTCGTTCTTCGATATCGAGAACATTTTCTCCGACGCACTTTTGCACTAAAACTCTCTTTACTGATCCACCCGTAGAAGTTTTATCTTACAGGTGATGAAGGTGGAAGAGTCAAGCATAATTCCTCGAGCTAGGATTTTAGTTTCACTGGGGCCATTTTCAATCAGCTTTGCATAAAGCTGGTTCGATGCATGTTCTGTTATTTTTTCGATAGTCTTCGTTGTTGTCAAAGATGTTGTCGTTGTTTCTGTTGGTTGGGGAGTTGGTATTGAAAATGATGGCGGAGTTGTTGGTTTGGCGTATTTGGTGATAAGTTGGACTCGGTGCGGCCCATTTCGTCGGCTTCGGCCTTCGATGGAAAAGAGGCCAATCCAGGGCTGGTAAATTAGCGCACTATTTTCTCTCGAAGAAAAAAAAATTAGTGCACTAATTTTTATTAGAGACTTTTTCGCGTCTTTCGCGCCTTTAGTGCACTAAAATGACACTAATTTTTCCTCTTGGGGAAATTAGTGACTTTTCGAGAGCTGATCAGCACTAAAGACGCGAAAAAAGAGGCTCTTTTTCATCATCCAATAGGCTCTTCCCGGATGATAGTTTCATGGAAGTTGATTTTGTTCAGGGAAGAATTTCTTCAAACTGAAACTGCTAGATATATAAAAATCAATGCATCGTAAATATGACACAATTTAATTTTAAAAAAATTACTTATTTAGTAACAAATAATTTGAAAAGAATAAAAGTCAACTTTTGTTGGAAATTCTTTTTGTCGAGTTAAATGATGAGGTAAGATAAGCTTTTCTAGGGACAGGGTTTGAAATCTGAAAATTTTGCGTGAGCACGGGGCTGCTCAAATTTCAGTGAGCATGAGCACGCGTGAGCACGGGGATGCTAAAATTTTCGTGAGCATGAGCACGCGTGAGCATGCTCATTGAGCTCACTCACGTGCTCATGAACAGCTCATGCTCACGTGCAAATGAGCAGCTCATGCTCACTTGCTTATGACTCATCATAAGTTATGAGCTGCTAGTGTGCCTAGAGTATTTTTATAATTTTAAATTAAAACCATAATAAAATTAAAATCTTGGATAATTTGGTCCTAAAAGGTCCTAGCCAATGTCAAGCCCCTTCAAAAATCAAGGAATGTGCTCATGAGCACAGAATTTGCCCTCCCAGAGATCAATGAACATGAGCTCACGACTTCGCTCTATAATATGTGAGCATGAGCACGCGTGAGCACGAGGGGCCTAGAATTCTGTGAGCATGAGCACGCGTGAAAATTAGGGAGAAAACCTCCCTAAGAAAGCTTATCTTAGGCTAAAAGTCTAAGCTTATCATTCGAATCCAGCACAAAAAGAGTTGCAAACAAAAGTTGAATTGTATTTTTCCCTATATAATATAGGCTATATTTGTTACTTTATATTTATAAAGAAAATTAACAAATGAATTGACAAAGTCTTTTTTGACTTTATAATGAAATTCACGCCCTCAATTACCCAATCCACTTTATTGAAACTAAACTTTTTGAATTTCTAATATTAGCGAAGTTTGAAGTTCTCAAACTTACGTATTCTTTAGAATTAAAGAACCCGGGCTCATTGGCGGGCCAATCAACAGCTCTTATTTTCGACACTTTTCGAGACACACGCGAAAGAGACGCGAAAGTCACTAAAGTCTCGACAAAATAAATTCGCGCACTAATTTTAGTGCACTAAAAATTTTCGACAGATTTTAGGACGCGAATTTACCAGCCCTGGGCCAATCAGCTGATGAGTCCCGCTTGATGGCAATTTACAGTAAAGAGGATCGCCACATTCGAATCCTCGTATATCCTTGCTTGGTTTTACTTCACAATAGCTGCCATCCGCGCTGATATGAGAAATTGTTTGCTTGTGATGCAGCGGGAACATGTCGTTCCGCCTGATTCGGAAGATCATACAGTCCAAAGAAACACCACTTTTGAGGCGAGTTCGAAGGTGAGAAGCAGGAGGAATGCGAAGGATGTCGTTATGTACCTCTGTCGTTCTATCTTGATTTGATCAGATTTCATTAGTCCAATAATAAAGTACCTGTTCGAAGGATGGCGAAATTGCCCTCAACTTTAGCTCCATAAACATCCGCGCTTTCCAAACCTCTTTCGGGCAAACGCTCCTTGGTCGAGTAGTCGACAAACAGTTTATGGCCAAGCATTGCTTTCTCCAAAATATCCCGATTGTTGAGAGTCGTCAGATCCGTCGTGGTATCATCTGATTGTGTCACGCACTCTTTCACTAGAATTAAACTGATGCAAGTGTTGCTGGCTTCTTTGCCACTCACGGGTCATGAAGGTATTCCGATTGTACATAAACCCATTTATTCTTGCTGAAGCAACTTGAATTGGCCCATTTGAGTAAATTTTTGCTAAGCGGAATTTCCGGAACCAAGTCGTGTCCATTCCAGCTTCGACAAAAGCCAAAATGAATAGCTTTATTAACTCTCTCATTTTCAAACCAATTTTTATTTTAACATAAGACACAATTTAAACTTTTCTATCTAGAAACATCAATGAAGAGCGAAGAATTACTGTAAGTAAAAATCAGCATTTATCAAAACTGATAAAGTTCGATCGATTGATGAAACAAATCAGCACCATGTCGGAGTCCCCATCAATCAATTTCCAGCTTGTACGAATTAATTGCATTTACAGACAATCGACTGTCAGATTGCCAAAAAAAATCTTCACCAGCATAACGAAAAAAGAATGGCCTGGCATATCATAGAGAAACTGCTTGAAGAAGTTGCAAAACACTCGACTTTTGTTGGAAAAGTCTGGATCACGGCGATATTCCTCTTCAGAATCGTCGTCGTTACTAGAATTTGCGACACAGTTTATCACGACGAGCAGGCAGCTTTCCGCTGCAATATCAAACAGCCCGGTTGTGAAAACGTCTGCTTCAACGATTTCAGCCCAATAAGCCACGTGAGATTTTGGGGATTTCAAATCATTGCCGTTGCTTTACCCTCGATCTTGTTCATCGTTTACGCAGCTCATGAAGTCGGGAGGAAGATTTCACGACCGGCAGGGAATCAGAAACTGGGCACGATAAAAGGACCCATTGGAAGAATCGGCAGTCGTCTAAGAACCCATGCGCGATCTCAAAGAAACTCAAAGTATGTTTTTTCAATGAAAAAGTTTTTAAATAATTTTAGGCCAATAACGGGAAACAGTCTATTCGAGCAGAAACCAAAGAATACGAAAGATTATTTCAAAAAATTTTTGAAATTTCTTTTCTCGAAAAAACGCACCAGAAGAACTTTGGCCAAGCAGAAGAAGAAGTCGATTGAAGAAACCGCTGGCCAGGAGGGCGAAATCAAACAGATAGAGCTGAATCTCTGCAGAGGATACATTATACAGTCGGTTGTCAGATGCGTTGTTGAGATTTTCTTCGCTTTCTTCCAGGTACTTTTTTTATAAGTGAGCAGCTTTTTCTATTCCTTCTTTTGTAGTACCGACTTTTTGGATTTGAAGTCCCGGAAGTAGTTAAATGCAACCTCGATCCTTGCCCAAACTCTGTCGACTGCTACATCTCTAGGCCAAAAGAAAAACGAATCTTGTTGATCTTCATGTTTTGCATCTGCATTCTTTGCATCTTCCTGAATCTTTTGGAGATTGGAACATTCATTTCATACAGGTTCTCTCGCTCTATTGCCATCATAGAAGGTTGACGAGTTTTTTTAGCGTGGAAAGATATCTGGATGCGCGAAAAGAACTTCGAAAATCGGTGCGTGTGGCTGATTTCAACCCTGATAAAATTGTCCGGCGGTATTCTGTCGACCTTCTCAGGTACAGTAGCAAATCAAAGAAGTATTTATAATATTATCAGAGATGATGATGATCACAAAAGCAAGTCGAAAGATTTCGGAATCGGTGATGGCTCAAAGCAGCATAAAATGTACGCTAAATCGTTTCTTCACCCTGATGGTCCTACTGTAAGAAATCCATATTACAAGTTATTCATTAATGATCTTGCTGTTCAGAACCATCAAGAGTCTGAAGAAGAAGAATATCGAAGGCGCATTGATCTCGTCCATTCCGACAATTATATTTAGCATTTTACTGTTCACAACATTTCTTTAATATATCTTTTATTGAACATTTATAATCTTGCTCCAACATACCGTGGGTTATTTACGGCCTCCATGCTTAGGCGAAATAAAATGATGCCCGAGTGATAGGAACAATAATTTTCAAATTATTTATGACCCTTTTTCGAGCGAGTTTTCCGCGCCGATCCATAAAATGACATTCCCGTCCAGTGTCCAATTAATTGAAATCGAGGAAAAAGCTACAATTGCGAATGAAGATAGAGATTGCGAATTTGGCGGCGTTGGCGCTCGCCTCGACCGAATGCCAGAAGAATTGGGAGAATACAGTGAACGAGTTGCTTCAGGACTCGAGGCAGCTGACGAGTTCTGTCGAAGCGGCGATGATTGATGGGATGAGTGGGAATTACGTCGCTAGAATCACCAGTTCTATGGCGGCGGTGGAGGAGAATATAAAGAACTGCCCGGAACTAGAATCTCTCTTGCCGAAAATAACAAGAATTGACAACACAATGAACTACTGTGCACCAGAGAGTATTCACGATTCGATGAAATTGTCGCGAGAAAATATCGTTCGGCAACAAGGAAGAGTACCAAAAATTCATAATTCGGTAATCATCGGGATATTTTTATTGACTCACTAAAAGACCAAACCGATGAGCTCATCGGAAAGTACGAAAAAGCAATGGATACCCTCGATGACCTCAACCAAAAGTTATGGCACGAACTCTATCCGGCCGTGCCCGTCTCAGCTGCATCATTAATCGAACAGGTAAGTTCGGAAAATCATCATCATTCTTCCTTCATTTCCATTCCAAGAGCGAAGACTTGCTTGCTCAAATGCGAAAAGTTGTCGAGATCGACTCGAGACAAGCGCTTGATATTTCGCGCATAATAAGAAACGATGCAGAAGGAAAACTGAAAGAAGCGGAAGATGATTACACTAGAATCAGTCATCAAGTGGACATTCTCATCTACGAAATCGAACCGGTTCTTGAACTCATCGCTGTCCAGGGATTCAATAAGCTTCTTTGCGGCGGAGGTACCAGGAGTCCTCGCCCCTTGATATCATCAAACCGGTAATTCTAGATGCGAGAGAAGGCACTTGTGATGAAAAATGCGGTGGTGTTCTTTGCTCGCACTGTGGCGGACCTGGATGTGGTGGAGCAATCGACGATGCTGGGATCTCATCGGAAGCTGTTGATGATGTGGCTAGTCTTTTGGAGGATTTGATCAACAGGTCTCGAATTTTATTAAAGAAGGTAAGACAAAATCATTAGCATAATCATTTCATAATTTTGATAAGATAAAAGAAGGAAACTGGATCGAAGAGTCGAAATCGGCAAAGGTCGTTGCTGAACAACGCCTGGCGCAGGTAAAGTTAGAAAATAAGGAATCATGATCCAACAGTCAAAAGGCGGAAAGTAGAATGGAAGACATTTTCGACTGGATTCAAAGCTTCATTGATATGCTCAAGCTCTTCAACAGAGTAATCGAAAATGACAACAGCCCCGGAAGCCACCTGAAGATCCTGAACGAAATTCTCACGACACAGCTTCCTTTTGTGTAAGCTCTGAGAAATGCTTTCGAATATTACTTTTTTCTAGCGATCCATCCATCTGTCGTGAGCTCGAGCGGCTAAATTTTGGGGGAGAAAAGCCCTTCAAAAAGCCGCGAGCGGGCGAATACGCCAGTGATGCATTCTATACTGCAGCGAAAGCGGCAAAATTGAAGTTCGCAACCGAAGGTTTGAGAAAACAGCTTAATGAAATTTACGAGCGCGTGATGATGCTGAACAGGATCTCCACCGGTGCAGCTGGAGGCGACTCTGATGACCCAGAGGTGTGTTCAACTCATTGTTTTAGCAATTGAACTCAATGAAAATACTCAGATTCAACGATTGAAGGATCAAATCCAAGACGACCTGGCATACCTTGAAGAGCTCATTCGCCTCTATCCCCAAGAAACATTGACGAAGAAGCAATACGAAATCCTCAGTGAAATCATAAACGAAATCAACAACGACATCATCATGGCTGAGACTCTCGCCGCCGATGCTGCTCTAGAAATGGAACCTGTCAAGACGGAATTTGATGAAATAATGGCAAGAGAGACAGAAGTCGTGGGCTTTGTTGATGATACCTTGGAAATCAAGGGGTAAGCCCGACCAAAAAAAATGAATTTTTTAACTCAAATTTCAGAATCGTCGACTCTCTTGAAAATTTCCAAGAAGGATTCAACAACTTGACCAGAGAGATAGAAGCATACACCCAACAAGTCGAAGGTAACGCACCCCCTCTCTTGCCGACTCTTAATTTTTCAAGACTTGAGGAACGAGCTAAACATCAAGCGGCAAAGCTATGAAGAGGAGCTTGCCGAAGTCAAAACTCTTACTTTACAAATGGTAGCGATTCGCAAAGAAATTCACGAATACCATACGAAGAAGGATCCTCGCTCAAAATGTAAAGACTTCCGATAAACTTCCGAACTGTAAAATAAACTACTCCACATCTGACTGATTTTTTTAATGAGAAATATAAACAAAAAAGATCTAAGCTGCGAAAATCTGCTCGCCATAAAATGCATCGATTCCCAGAAAATCCCAAAATTCGATCGATGAAACCCTTTTCAGAAAATTTTTCGCTGTTTTTCCGCGAAATTCCTCCGTTACGCTTAAAAAAGCGCAAAAAAACGCGACCACAAGAAGAATGGATGACTGTTTGGGGTTGAACCCTAATCTTTGATCTCACAGCGCGTTATTTAGGTACTTGAAAATGTCCCTTGTGTTTTCATATTTTAGCCTGTGTGGGAGACGAAATGTCGGCGGACATGCAAGTGCTTTTGAATACAGCGCGAAATTTTCGACTTTGACCATTTGAATTTCTAATTGTCAAGGGCGCGGTGTGAACAAAGAAGAGGGTTGAAATATTTATGATAAAGGGAGCGAAGCCTTATTTGCCTAAATAACACGACTAGCTGGTATTTACACTTATATGGGGGCTATCGTGGCTCTCACGATTATCACCGTCAGGGTCACTGGCCTAATTAGGGGGTCATTACATAGCTACAGGGTCACACGAGCGAGCGAATACTGAGAATTCAAACAAAACAGCATCTTAGCAAACAGCGGGGAGGCCGTTTATTTCGCCGAAGAGGGGCCAGAAGGTGAAAATCTGATCATCCAAGTGGGGGGCACTTGAGTCTCGAGCGATCTTTATCATCCTCTGAGCCCCTCTGTGCCGTTGAACACACAGCGGCTAGGGCGGGCCGTTGACCGTAAACGAGGACGAGGAGGCTTTTGCTTAGTGAAATCACCCTCCCATGCAAAAGCACCATGCTCAAGCTCTTGTTTCCACTTGTCGCAGTATTGTAATCAGGCGCCTCAAATGCTCAAAATGGAATTTCAATTCCTGCTCCCAGGGATCAAATCTTGGTTTTCACGGTCAATGGATTGCGGAAGTCCATTTCAAAGACGGACGCAAGGTCAAGGAAAACGGACAGTCGTGACAAACGATTCAGGTCACGTGGGACAGACGAGACAATGAGTATGGAACAAATCGAATTCGTTTGATCCCGCCGCGGCTAAGCGGTCTTGATGTGCCGAGCAATAATTAGTAAAAACTGCGCGCGCAGCAGGGTACGAAAGTGCCCTAAATCAGTCAATACAGTCAGGGCTCAGCCTTCTTTATAATTCCCAGACGCCGAAAAATTTCTGATTTGATGGGTTGGAGAAACCTCCTGCTGGGATTCGTTAATTCGAGAAACGGAAAAAATCATAAATCAGTCTTTTTTCATCAAAACGAAAGAAGGAAGTTTAAGGCTGAGGATATCCGATCTGGGTGCGGCGGGTGGATAATCGATGGGTATCCTCTTGTGATGGGCCCCTTGAATATCGTTTCCGGCTGCCCCCGTGACTGATTGACCAGAACCTCTCAACGTCTCTCTTGCATAATGCACAAAACAGAAAATACGGCCTGATGACCCGGATGTACTAAGTAGCGCGTACTTTGTTTCACCAGGCTAATAGTAAGATGGTCTAAATCCCTCCTCGCCTTTTCCCAGCCGTTTCCAAAGCGGAAACTGCCGTCTGGGGTCATCCCTTATTGTGTGGATACCCTCTCGGGATTATTATTCGATAAACCCTTCACCAGTCGCCCGAGTACACAAAAAACTCAAATAATAATCCTCAGATCCTGCCGACTACAGACTGGCGCCCAGACAAATAATTCTACACTACTCAGAAATAAAACAATTTAGGCCCCGATCGGAATAATTTACAACCCTGCTTGAGACCGAGCAATTTCGAGGCCACGTTTGACGAGTTTGGTGACGATTTGTGACTGATTCATTTTGATAAAAAGCGATCCTCGCCGGAAATGGGGCGCATCGTAAATCCGGAAAGAAAAAGCGGTGCTTATCGAGCCCACGGGATGAGGAAATCGCCAACAGTGGATGGACCGGGCCAGATAAGCTTAAGGGCTTCCCTGCGATTCCCGATTGTTGCGTTTGATCATCAGTTTTGCAAGCACTTCCGAAAAGCCCTGGGAGATAGCAAAATTCTAGCGCAAGAATGTTGCGTGACATAACTTTTTCTTTGAAAATCCAACTGATGTCGCCGTTTTTACCAAATAAATGGTCATAACATGCAAATGGGTTGAATTTGGATTGAAACTTTGAAAGCCTAATTTTCCCAGCAGCTGATCTTGTTCCTGCCCCAGCTTATGGAGCCACACTAAAGTGCTCCAATATTCATTCGCGTCTTTGTTTCATCCCCTCTTGATTTTTATTCACCGGCGTGATTCCCTGGTGGGCTCAGTGTCTCCACATCAAAGCGCGGATTTAGATATTTCAAATCGCTCCTTATGCGATTCGCGCGATATTCCAGCAGGTACCCACGTCATCATCGAGTCCTAATCCTCAAAAGAATGATTTCGACCACCGAGGGCTCAATTAGGGATTTGCGAGATTTGGGGCGGCCCATCCTCACAATCACAGAAGGGCTTTATCGAGTGTATGGGGCTGGGAATCGGAGATTTTCAAAACTTTACCCTCGCAAATTTCAAACACTATCGGAGAGATGAAATTTGACAGGTTGGTATTTACTCGATTAGGAGGATTAAGAACGTTCAGTTTCCGATCCATGAGAAAACTGAGGCTCCGATTGGCATCCTGTGCAGAAAACCTGAGTCAGGATTTGAAAGAGCTGAACTCGAAAGTATGGTAAAGACATTCAGATGGCAATTCTGACAAAGCCGCTTCGCGGCTTCGGTTTAAAAAAAGCCGCTGCGCGGCTTTTCAGTTCGGCTCTTCCAAATCCTGACTCAGCTTTTCTGCACCCTGAGCCCAGAGTTAGGGTGGGTTGTATTAAAAGATCGAGCTATACAAACAAAAAAAGGATAGTTTACCATACAAAGATCTCCATCGAGTTGATATTTACCCAACTTTTTTCCGCGAAAAAAAAATCGGAAATTCAACAAAAGCGGAAATTCTGAATTTGTTTTGCGCGAGCACTCACTTGTGTACTCTGAAAAGAGGTTTTGGAAGGCAGGGACCGAGCGGCAAATTGAAACTCGCTGAGCAAAGCATTTCCGTTTTCTGGGAACGTCGACAAACCACATTTTCCGGTGCGCTCGCCTCACACGAGCCGCTCTTCTTCCCAAGCTCCTCTGAGCGGCTCCGGCTGTTTAGGCTTTGGCGACATTCAAAAGGAGCCGTAAACAATGTTAGAAGGCGTCGAATGTCCCCAAACATGGCCACAGAAGCATGCTCGAGTACATACACCCTTAGTATGCCTTCTTTTTCAAATTCCAACATTCGAATTTCGAAAAAAGGAATAATCCTCACCAAGCACCAAAATATGCACAAGTTCCCATGGTCGCCATTTTCGCATTTTTCGAGGCGCTCGAATTTGGATTTTCTGGGGAGGATTACACCTCCCAGTTCCGCGAAATACACGCGATAGTTATGTTTATAAAATTTTAAAATATTCGCGACGTTGAACCCTCCAAGCCAAAATAAACGGCCTAAATGGCTAAATAGGCGGCGCGGAGTGGTCGATAATTGGCAGCTTTGGCGGAAATCGACCAGCTAACCGGAAATATTGGCGCTTATCCACAAATAATACGCAAGAAATTAAATATTCGATATTGTAAACAGCTGAGCTAATTAATCATTTTCTCAAGTGAAACTAATCGAATTTCAGCAATTTCTAAGTATCGAGTTGATTTTTTTTCCTGAACTGGGGGCAAAAACCTGTGTAGAAAACCTGAGTCAGGGTCTAAACAATCTTTAATGAAAAGCTGGTTTTTTTTGCGCTATTTTGCGGCTTTGTCGAAAAAAAAGCCGCTACGCGGCTTTTCATTAGGGATCTTTCTTTTCAGACCCTGACTCAGGTTTCCTACACAGGTTTTTGCCCCCAGCTCAGGAAAAAAAATCAACTCGATCCTTAAATTTTAGATATAAATAGATTTGACAGTCGTTTACTCGAAGAAACGCATTCCCATGGGAATCGATCAAGTTCTAGAGCTGTCAGTAGGAGTAGTAGCATCTCCCGGAGCGCATCGAACACCTGGGTCACCTTTGCCAGTGCGTTGCATCGACCTGCATTTTTTCGATTTTGAAAATTAGGGTCAGTTTGTGCTCTAACGCTTAGGTTTGTTGTTTGTGGCCTTTACGGGGCGCAGGTGGCAGACTGGCTCCGCCACCGCAAATGGTCTTTTACGGAACTTGCGCCAGTTTCCGACTTCATTTCCGGCGCTCACCCGTTTCTGATCCGCCCCAATTTTCAACACATAACACCCTTTTTTCATATCGCTTCCCAAAAATTCGATTATCAAAAATTTCAAAACCGCTGGAGGAGAAAATTTTATCACAACTAGAAATTGCCACGCGATTTTAATCACATGCAGAAAATGGCTCAAATGGTGGCCTATCTGTGTGAAAAATGAAAAATGCTTGAATCAGCGCCAAATATCGTTATCGTTAAAATGTTGATTTTACACTGACAATTACGTAGGAAATTTTATAGTGCAACAACAGGTGCATAGTTTTTTATGGGAAGATAAGGAAAATCCTTCTTTTCGGCTAAACCGTTGGTTTTCCAATAACCAGGCCTTCTGGCCGAATAACTGCTACAGGATTAGACAGACTGGTAGGTGTTTGAGTCTGTCCAAAAATTGGAGGCAGCTGTCAACCCTCTCCCCAGACTCCAGAAAATGGATTAGCTGCACACGCGCTGCATGCGCCCCCTTAAGCACTTCAGTATTGACTTTCCAATACTGTAAATTGGATTCCGGTACCAACGGAAACTGGATCTATCCAAGCCCCTTGGCATTCGATTTTCAATTCGACCACTTGGACCTTTTTGATCTCAAGGAGCTGGATTCGTCAGTCTACGAGCTGTCTGGTAGACACAACAGTAGACAGCCGTTAAACTGTCGGATTACTGTTGTCCGAAGGCGAGAAGAGTATTTGACAAGTCGACTTTGACTTTTTGACTCTTTTTGTTGGCGATTAAACTTTTTCGTTCTTTCGATATTTGTTTGGTGGCTCCACAATTTGGAAACCAAAAATTGCTGTTTGCCCCGGCCTCAGACAATGTGTCAATTGAGGGGTTTAGGAAAGAATGGAAGCATAGCATAACCACTTATTAGCTGTTGCAATTATCGGCTAGCGTTTCCGCTTCCGAGTGTTTTCCCTCATGCCTATCAAAATTAAAATTAAAGCCACCAGGGCCTTTTGGCTCATCAAAAAAGAGAGGCTCATGTATTTTAGGACAGTCTCTTTTTATTGAAAATCCTCAGTCAGGCTGAAAATAATGAGCTATAAATTTCACCTCCGATGCCAATATTTTTCCACGTGACAATCCCTAACACTCTTTCTCCTTTCTCCCTAAAATAGTAGCAAGTTCATAAATCCGCACCCAGATTTCCCAGTAAGCAATTAATACCTGTGCAACTGTGCATATAAAACACGCAAACAAAGGGCAATTAAATCCGGCGAAAAATCCGTGGAACCCCCTCTGAAAACAGCTTGTTTCTAATTGTTTACTAAAGTACTAGCAGCCTTTGTTGAAAAGTTTTTATTGTCAAAAAATTTCAAATATTTTGTTGTTCGAGAAAAGTTTTAAGCGCACTCAGTGGCGAGTGCCAGCTGCTCAGAAGGGGTTGTTCTTTTCAGCAGCTGTGAATGCGAAACGAACGGGCTCAGGAATCTTTGCCAGTTATTTTTTTGGAACAATACTTTTTCTTGCATTTTTCAGTTTTGAATTTTCAGTGTTTCGATTTTGCGTCAATTTTTAATTTTTCAGTTGCCAAGCCGCAAAATCCTGAAGCGCCGGAGCAGGTGTTAATCCCGTTCGATCGAGCTCAAAGTCATACAGTAACACCTGCTCCTCGCGCCTGTAATTGCTGATTAGTGCACCTCGTGTTTAGTATCGACGCCTCCAATCTAGAGCCGTTAACGTTCTTTGATCCGATCTTTGCAAAGGGGCGTGCGCGAACATCTACTGACCTACTTGCTAAATGGCGGATTAGACATCAAATTTAAGATTTACAGGGATTAGATGCTTTTGATCCTCGAGCAGTCGTGTTTGATTTTTGCACCTGGAGTTGCCGAAAATAGGTTAATTTTGAACTGAATTAGGGAGGGGCTAAAAATAAACTTGATAAAGCTAGAAAATTAACCCCCCAATTACCTTTTGACCCTTTTAGACAGAAAAACCAATTTTTGGTCGGATTTCGAGGCATTTTCGGACAATTCTAACCCCTTTAGTTTTTGATAAACTTAACCCTTTCCAGCCAGAAAGACTTTGAAACCGTGGACGAAAGTTTAACCCTAAGCCTTCAATTAACCCTTTTAGACCAAAAGGTACATTTTGCTTGTTTTTCCAAAAGCCTGAAAGTGCACATTCTAATCCTATCGGCCAATCTAACGGGGTTAGTACGGGCATTTCATCTAAATCTGTATTTATTTTCGAATCGGCCCAGTCCGAGAGCACAGGGAGCTAGGCACCAAAAAACCGGTCGGTCGCCAAAATAAACTTTGCCCTTTCAAATTTCTCCCCTTTTTTGCTTGAGCTTGCGCAAGAGCGCGTTTGTGGTTCCTCCGGGTTTCACCAAAGAGTGTTTCACCAAGCACGTGACCTCTTTGAGGACAAAAGGCGAGCTTATCCGGTAGTGAGCCACTGGTTTAGGGGTGAAGCGAGATTTTGAGGTCAGCGTCGGAAACCCACCCTTCCACTTCCGTTTTTGAAAATCGATTCCGAGAACTTCTCGGCTCAAGCTGATCCCGTGACACTGGCCGTGACCATAAAGGCATGATCGTCTAGGAGACAAACCGAGAAGCGGAACCGGAAAGCCCGCAACTTTCCGACATAATGACGAGCTTATCTTCCGCCGGGCGGATAGGCCCGTTGATGTTGCCCAGCTCGGTTTTAGAAATCATCGTTACTTTTAGAAAAAAGCCCAGAAATCATCGTTTGACACATTTCGGTCACGTGAGCAGATCAAAGGCGAATAATTTTCACCACCGAAAAGAAGGGGGTGAAATAATTATATGGGTCCTTACCACCAAAAATGAGCAAGTACCGAACTTTGGCCAAATTCTTAGCAACATCCAATTGAGCTCTTCAAAAACGGCTCATCCCCCGGAATAAATATAATAAAAAGATTTGGGCGTGTGAAGCCCATATGCGTATTTATTCATTCAACAATCGTCAAAATCGTCCTGCGGATCCTTAAAAATTGCATTTCCGGTTTGCCGAAATTCCGGAATGGAATTTCCAACTTTACTTTTTCAAATTCAATATTTATCGGCGACATTTGTTTGATCGAATGAGTTTGGTGGCAGTGGGAATGTGTCGTTCGGTGGGCACTGAGCCGACGGGTTAGTAGCATTACTTGAAAAATGCCTATTGCCCTACCTGCCCAAAAAGCTGGTTCAAATCGCCCGCCAGGATCTTTGCGCACTTAGTGTGGTACGGCCGCTCTCTGGCGCCGCGGCGAGACCAAGCCAAACTAAGCACGTTAAGCCAATCGATAAGCGCCCTGGGACGCCTGTGGCCAATCTTGCCGAGCGTGGGCGGCAGCTGCGCGCAAAGTTTGAGCGCAACCCTGGCGCGCGAGATACCCCAGCACACATTTCAAAACCAGTGCCAACGAGCGGAAAGCCACAGAAACTCCAATTCACAATTTACAACCAACTTGTTTCATATTTTAACAGCTTTGGAAGATTTATAAAGAGATTCCAGCAGAAGCCTTCAGAAATAAAGAACCAGAAAACACGGCCAGTCCACTAAAAATACTGTAAGTACTTTTAAAAAACTCAAAAAGTTAATATTTCCAAGTTGATCCTAGTCTAAATTTCTATAGGCCCACTTTAGTCTAATGCGAAATAAGGGTAGTCTTCCTTGATTTCACAGTCTCACATTCTGACCATTTTCAAATGTTTTTTTTTAAATCAATGTTAGAAAAATTTTAATAGTAGTATTTAAACACTATAAAAGTTATACAAAATATAGTATCATAATTATATGGCCATATATAATATCATGACTCATCGAAATCATCAGTGTCAGGATGGCCGAGCGGTCTAAGGCGCCAGACTCAAGCCCTATGCTTGCGCTGTATCAGCGTGCCGAGTGTTCTGGTCTCCGATTGGAGGCGTGGGTTCGAATCCCACTTCTGACACATATTTTTTCATCCCTTGATAAGTAACGAGTTCCTAGTCAAGTCATAAATTGGCCTTGACGGGCGAAACCAGGTCAAATGCTGCCTCACACGTGTTATAAATAGCTCCCCCGCTGGGTGACATTCAGGTCACCTGGCCTTGCGCCTTGGTCTTTAGCCTTTCTCGATTTTTAATTTATATTTAGCCGCAAATATTGCAAATATGGCGTTGACCCCCATCCGCCGGCGTCTCCAGCTGTCCGACATTTCCTCCGACGGCTCTAGCCTCGGCCTCAACCTCTCAGCCATGTCTGACGATGTCTTCACTCCCCTTCCTTCCCTCGATTTGCCAACCGACTCGCCAAAGATCGGAAGCAACAATCGTGTCCGCAGCGTTTCATCCCCTTTTGCCTCGCCACTCGCCTTGGCCAACCACAAGACAACGCTCACTTCAAGTCCACTCAGGCCATTGTCCGGCTCATCCCCCACCAAGGGACTCAAAGGCCTCGGCTTCAAAGTCGTCCGCAAGCGCCGATCGACCTTCAACGATTTCGCAGTGTCCAAGGCAAAGAACTTCCGCACCTCCAGCCCGCTCAAGCCAAAGAACAAAAACATCGTCGCCGCTCCATCTGTGCCCGATAGAGCCGCTGTCGACGACTATGTTCTCAAAGAGGTAAAGAGCAGCGATAACAACACACAAAAATACAAAAAGATAAAAGCGGCGTTAACAGATTTCTAACTGTATTGTTTCAGGACAACCTCTGCTCCACCCTCGATAACAGCGAGTCTTTCAAGAAGCTCGAAAGCGCCGATATTATCATCAAGCGACCGCGGCTGAAACTCGGCCAAAGACGGGCTCCTCGGCCAGCGCCAGCTGATCGGGCTGCCGCTCCTTCCAATCCCAACGAGTCGCCCATTTCCTTCCGGACCAAGTAAGCAAACCCTCCAAGCGAAGAGGAGCACCCTCCCCCACCCCGTAAACAAGGCGTCTTTGTACCCCGACCGCAGCGGCTCTCTTTGATACGCATCATTGAGGTCACTTTCGCCTTTCCCACCTTTACAGTCCCAATTTACAACTAGGTCACGTGCAACAGTCACTAACGCGTTATTTCAGGCGATGTCTGAGCCTCCGCTCTCCCACGAGCTGCGCCTCCCGGGACATCCGAAGACGCAACAAATCCGTCAACGACTTCAACATGCCGAAGAAGAATTCGATCGATGCGATCAATCCGCTCATGGATCGGGGCGATCTCGTCGGCGACTTCTCCAGGAAGCAAGCTTTGCCCACCACAACCGCCGGTCGACACTCCGACTTGAAATACATCTCCACCCAGACGATGGTCGACATGCTCCAAGGCAAAATTCCAATTGGTAAGTTAACACCTCAGCTTTTGCTTGTTTTACTCAGAATTTTGGACAAACACTGGCCAAAAGGATAAGCCCCAGCGCGAGTGTAGAATTTCACTAGCAATTTCTCGCTCAGCTGGAACGTTTTCAAAATTGATAAAACAAAAATTATTATAAGATGATTGTGATCTTTACGCTCAATTTAGACTACCTCATTGTTGACGCCCGCTACCCGTACGAGTACAACGGCGGCCACATCAAAGGCGCCAAGAATCTCTACACCAAAGAACTGCTGGAAAACTACATGTACCAGAAGTCGCCATTCAACCCGAACCCAAAGCCGTTGAAGAAGCAAGTGATCATCTTCCACTGCGAGTTTTCCGTCGAGCGCGGCCCCGCTATGCTCAAGTACCTGCGCAAAATCGACCGAGCGCGCAACCAGTATCCCACTCTTGACTTTCCCGACATCTACCTCCTCAAGGGCGGCTACAAGCAACTCTACCTCGACTTTACCTCTGCCACGGACGTCCACAGCGGAACCTACGCGCCGATGATCGACGCCAAGTACACCAAGGAGCTCCGCCACTTCCGACGCAAGTGCAAAACCCTCCCCGCTGGCAAAATGCTCGGCTTCTGAGTTGATCTTAGAAGCAAAACTTTAAAATACATGAAGTTCAACTAATTGCTATTTTCATGTGACTGAATACTGATACTGAATACTGTTGATTTTCAAACTTCGAAAACGCAAACTTTCAAACTTTACCAAAAAAATTCTCCTCCTTGTTTTCTGAAAATCAGCGGTAAATCAGCAAGTTTCTACCTCTTCTTGTAAATAATTTCCTTTTGTGTGTCTTTTGGTTTCTTACCTCTTACTTGTACCCAGGATGACTTTTGTACTTCAACTTTACAGAACTGAACCAACTTTAGCATCAAAGTTACCAATAAAACTTTTTTTTCTTCGATTGAAAATATTCTTCTTTTTCTTTTTGCAGCTACTTGCAGGCCACAAATGGAAATTTCAATATATAACAACGAAGACCCTCGGACGGGACTCGAAAAATGAATAACCAGAATTAAGGACCTGCAGGTCGAAAACGCTAGAAACAAGGAATTCAGAGTGTTGTACCACCCAGTGAACTGGTAAAAGCAAGGCAAGGATGGTTCAAGTTTAATAATAAAATCACAGTAATCCGTGGGAATAATCATTTGCGGGAGCAATTGACTTGCAAATCGGCGGAACATCTAGCCGCGATTTGAATTTCAAGAGGCGAAATCCTCGCGAGTACAAAACCGAAACCGCCTCATCCGGTTTTTATCCACTGTGAAAGAGGTCACTGCCCCGTCACGCTCAAAGCCTTGCGCGGAACAAAATACACATCCCCCGAGTCCGGTAAATACCCTTACACCGATTGATCCACGGGCGATTACTTCTTCTAAACCTAAACATCGCATAATGTGCCCCATATTGGGAGGTTCAATAGGCTCGGGAAAATAAAGCCAGAAATTGTGAAGTTCATCAAATATCTAAAAAAGGGTTGAAATCGACCCCATGGGCTCAAGAACCTGTGTGGAAAACCTAAGTCAGAGTCTGAGAGATCTTTTATGAAAGAAGAGTTTTTCAGACCCTGACTCAGGTCTTTACACAGGTTGCCGAGCAAGGCGACCTAGAGAAGGACCTTTGGTATGACTCGAAAAAGTTAAGCCTCTTGAAACGGTATTTTTATATTTTGAAAATGAAAGATTTGTTGAACTTGTTCTTGACAAATCCGCTTCCTCATTTCGCCGGAACACGGCGCCAATTTGACCGGCTGGTATTTGGAGAAAAATTTAAATTCGAATATTTTTAATCCGCTTTACTCGCGCTCCCCGGCGTGCGAAAATTGTCAACCCCGCGCACTCGCACTCTCGAAAAATATTTAGCGCTTATCTGCAACTTGGTCTTGCGGTTGTTTATAATTCCAAAGATAAACAGGTTATCCGTGTTAGTGAAACTTGACAAAATTTTCGCGGGCTTCACAGCTTGCTCGGGCATTCTTCCGAAATCCCTCTTCAAACCAAAACATGAAATATTTTGATAAGATGATGTAAGCCCTGCTTTTTTGAAAATAATTATTAGGCAATTTTAATTTCCTGCAAAAACTTTGAACAATCAATTTACCGGTTACAACTGTAAGCCGAGCATACAGTAAGATAGGTTGGTTTAAATTATTCTGGTGCTTTATTCTGAGAACTTTCGCCAGTAAATAAATGAGGATTTCGTAGTTTTATCGATGCAACACAAGTGACAGTGTGTATTCTCATGTCTCCATACGTTCCAAACGCCTTATTGCATCCCTCACAATGGTAATACTCTATCTTCTGATGGAATCGTTGGTTGTGGGTAGTGAGCTTGTCTGCCGAGAAGAACCATTCGTCACAGTGCGCTTCTTCACATTCGAAGAGCTGGATGTTTAGATGACGGAGGACGTGATGATCGTAGCGGTTTGTCTTGAAGAGGTATCTGAAATTCGGGTAAGTTGATGGCCTTTGCAGAGCTTTCTCGAGATAAAGACTCTGTTCCATGAATCTCGGGTTCAGAGGATTTCTGCGCTCGACCAATCAGAGGCAGGATGGAAAGATTCTTTATCATGAGGAGCTCCTGTAAGAATTGTGTTTACCTGGCTCCGCAAAATTTACAAGTGTCAAGGTCATTAGAATGGATTCGCCGATGATACTCGCGTCTAGTATTATCCCTCAGAACGCCATTACAGCTCTCGACTTCGCACAGCATTTGATCGATTTCGTCCCTTTTAATCATCTTGCTGAGTTTTTTTCTCGCTGTTCCATGAAACTGGCTGCTATGTTTGTTCAACGCTTGTTTACTGTATCCAACATAGTGGCAGTCTTTATGCTTGCAGGGGTGGGCGCCGTAGTCATGGAATACTTGGCAATGATAAGTGAGACAATCCGGTTTGTGCGCTGTCCGGAACGTGCATCCTTTCCCGGCTGTGCAGTGGATTTCCGGGAGTTCACCACCTTTATAGTCATCGAATAGACTTCGGACATGGTAGAGGATCTTTATGTTTTCGCGGGGCACGCCCATTTCTATCAGTCGATCCCAATACTCGGCTGGAACTTCGGTCTTGACGGAGAATGCTCCCAGCTCGCTTTGTATAGTTTAATTATGAAAAATTAACGAAAAGATACGTTGAAATTTTACTAATATGATAATACTCGAAAAATTTAAACCATTGCCTTGTTTTCGTGCTTTCTTTTTCAGGCATTCCCTTTTTTGAGCCCTTATTTATCGGAATCAGACGATCGACGATTTCACCAGCGTCGCTGCTAGAATCCTCCAAATCCCGACGTTGGGGAGGACGCTGAATAGCAAAACTCAACTGGGTTGTAGTTTCGGCAGGTTCGGAATCTGGCAGTTCGCAATTTTCTTGCTTCTTTTTCTTCTTGTGTTTCCTCTTCTTTTTCTTGATTATTTCAACTGTTCGTTCAGTTTCTTGAGTCTCGGGGCTGGGCTCTTTTGATTTTTTCTTCTTCTTTCTTTTCTTGCGCCTTTCTCGTGATTCCTCTTCATGATCTTCTCTTGGTTCGTGATAATAGTCGACTCTGAACTCTGCTGCTGGCGTTTTCTTGTGCTTTTTGAGTTTTTTCTTCTTTTTCTCTGGCGCTTCTTGATCTATTTCATGATCTGCGTTTCGCTTTTTGCCGCTTTTGTGGTCGATTTCTGGAGCAAGTGGGGATTCGGACTTCCTCTTCTTTTTCTTTTTCCGTTTTTTGTCCGATGACATTATTTCTGAATGATGGAAATTGGCAGATTTTCCATTGACTATCAGTTTTATCAGTACAATCACGAGTACAATAAATAAATTAACGACAGAAGGAGGTATTTTCGAGGTAATCTTGCATTCTAATCAAAAACTTTATGTACAGTGAATTCGTATATACTATAGTCTATTCAACCGAGCTCCAGAATTCTTCGAGAATACGGGCTGTTTCTTTTGCTTGGGGGAGGAAAAAGTGATGGTTTCCGGGTAAAAACACTTCAGTCGTATTCTTCTTCTTCCTTATTTCTTCGCTGAATTGTTGAACACCAGGAATATCAAAAAGTGCCATAGTTGGATTGTTTGGATCAACGCCGCCGAATGGGTTGCTATCTTTGCCGATTATTCTCAATATTGGCATGTCAAGGTGATCTAGCAAATATTCGTTTTCGGACGCTAGAAACGAAGGGTAGTTTGGAATCAGCATCGGTCCATTGAGGCGAATGTCTCGGGCGAAATGACCGCCAGTCTTTTCTTCGTTCCATTTTACGCCGCGCTCGAGCCAGAGATCTTGAAATTCCGACGGAATCGTACTTTTTTGGAGGCGTTTCTTGAGCTCCTCTCTTGAAATAATCTTGGGATTCGCATCTGGCTTACTATCAAAAATATATATTTCCCGATCATCTAGAATAAAGCATTACCTGTGATAAGTTCCTTCTAGCGCTTTTCTCTGCGTGAATAAATACATATTGTTGGCGATTGTTATGACGCCATGAGCATCAAGAATAGTAAAGCTCTGAACATCATCAGAACTGACCGCTAAACTTGGCGTCAACGAGTTTCCAGAGAAGCTGTGTCCGACGAAATGATACTTTCCGTAGTCCATCCGATCGAGAATTTCAATCATGAACTTTGGCAGTTCTGAGTGACTGTAATTCCAGGGCCAAGAGACGTGGTCTGAGTGTCCGTGACCTGGGAGGTCGATGGCGAGGACTTCAACGTCGGATCTTGTCATGTGAGAGATCATCGGCTCGAAGACTGCGAGATGATCCATCCAACCATGCAGGAGCACTGCACTAGAGTAAGATACAGTTACAAATAGTGAGGAAGTAATAGTATACCGTTGCGGCGCTCCCTGGTTCCAAATTTTGTAAGCTACATTACCCCAGGTGCACTTGAGAAAACCCTCTTTCGCGACTCGATTCATCTCCTTCTAAGAAAGAAAAATTGTTCAATTGTTCGAATAATTGTACTTAAAATTGAAGAATCAGGGAAAAATTGACAGAATAAATTAAGCTCGTTCAACTGAGTCCCAGAATAGCTCGATTTCTTTCGCTACATTTTCTGCTTGTTCGAGAAAGAAATGATGATTTCCAGGCATAACGATGTCTTTGACGTTTGGTTTCTTCGACAACTCGTCGCTAAATCTCAAGCATCCTACAGCGTCAAAATCTTTCATGTTTTTAATTCTAGGATCCAATCCACCATACGGCCTCGGACTACCGCTCAGACTTTCTTCGCCGCTTATTCTCAAGATCGGCAACGTCAACTGTTCGAGTAAATGATCCTCTCTTCCGAGAAATGCCGGGAAGTTGGGGATGAACATGTTGCCGTTCAACCTCACATCTCGAGAGAAATGACCATGAGTTTTTGCTTCATTCCAGCGGACTCCGCGCTCTAGCCAGAGGTCTTGAAAGTCAGGTGGGATGGAACTCTTCTGAAGGCGTTTTTTCAGCTCTTCTCTCGAGTAGATTTTTGGGTTCGCGACTTTTTTGCTTTTCATGCTTTCAAATAGTTCGTTCTTTTCATAGTGTAACACTTCTTTTTACAGTGATCCTTTTACAAGCATTTTTCCTATGGTAACTTGCCTCGAGATTCTCCCTCTGCGATTTTATGTACGTATCGTCTCTAACTGTCAAAACACCGTGTACATCGAGAATTGTAAAGCTTTGAACTTCGTCGGAACTCACCGCCAAGCTTGGTGTAACCGAGTTCCCTGAAAAACTATGCCCAACATAATGATATTTCGTGTAGTTCATTCGGTCCAAAATCTCAAAAACGTATTTCGGTAGTTCGGAATGACTGTAATTCCAGGGCCAAGAAACATGGTCCGAAAAGCCATGGCCCGGTAGATCAGCTGCGAATATTTCAACGTCTGTTCGTTTCAAATGCGAAATAAGGGGCTCAAATAAACCAAGGTTGTCCATCCAGCCATGCAAGAACACCGCGCTAGAATAAGTAAAAAGGGGCATAAAAGGCTGCAAAACCGTTGTTTCTTCTTTTACTTGCCTTCTTTTACTGCTCGACTCATGCAACTCGACTCTTCTAAGAAAATACACTAATATGCTTGAAATTCCATCTGATTTGGAACAGCATTTCAAGCTTGAAAAGATAGAACTTTGAATTTTATTCTTGTTAGGGACGACACACGAAATTCATTTCGAGGGCTTTAGTTGAAGCTAAATTTTGATGCTTTCAAATTTAGCAGGAAAGCGTCAGAATACTAATAAATAGATAAAACATACTTATGAACTTCCGGAGAGAATTTGCACTTTTAATAAATAGGAAAAGACGAAATCTACAAGTAACCTACTGAACTTAACAAACTATTGTCTGGGAACGGATAGATTTGTCTTTGTTGGGAATATTTTTACTATGAACAGGTGACAATAGAATTACGTTAGCAACAGGTATGGTACAGGCAGAAGACGTTTTTATTTAGTGTTGAATGCGTCTAGTAGACTCGGAGAGTTGGTGGAACGGAGGCGCATTCTTCTTCGTTGAGGGTGTTGTCGATGACGCCTCGGTAGTGAAGAGTGACCTTGGGAAATCGGGTAAAATATCGATGGAAAATGGGCGATTTACCTTTCCAGTCTCGGGGTCGATGAGAGACATAGTGTGCTTTCGCCAGTGCTCTTCCATTGGTTTTTCGGTCTGACCTTCGAGGGGCTTGGAATAGTCGAATTCATCAACTCGGTCCTGGAAAAGAAGACATCAGGATATGATCGAGAAATCAAGCTTTACCTGGAAGTCCTCTCGGGCGTGCGCGCCTCGGGATTCTTTTCGAGCGCAAGCAGATTCCATGGTCATTCGAGCGTTGATCATCAAGTTCTGGAGTTCGAGAGATTCGATCAAGTCAGTGTTCCAGATCTAAATTGATTTCAATCAAGGAAAATGCCAAAAGGAAGAAATTTTACCATTCCTCGGTCATAGACTTTCATGTTCTTCATGTCATCGTAGACTTCCTGGGTGAGTTCGCAGCCTTCTTCGAGGGTATCAGCGGTTCGGAAGACAGCAGCGTTGTTCTGCATAACCTTCTGCATTTGAGTTCGGAGGGCAGCGGTGTTGATCTCACCATCGGCCATTCGGATCTAGGACGAATAAATGATGGTTAAAATAAAAATTCTCTTACTCGATCAATGTTAGCAATAGATTCTTCACCATCAGTAGGCTTGACTGGAGTGAAGTCATCACCAGGCTTGCATTCTTCAGTGATGGTATGAGCACAAGCTCGGCCAAAGACAACCAAATCGAGAAGAGAGTTGGCTCCGAGTCGGTTGGCACCGTGGACGGAAGCGCAAGCAGTTTCACCAGCAGCGTAGAGGCCGCCGACGATCTTGTCGTTGCCGTTCTGGTCGAGGGTGAGGACCTGGCCCTTCCAGTTGGTGGGAACGCCACCCATGTTGTAGTGGACGGTTGGGAGGACGGGAATGGGTTCCTTGGTGACATCGACGCCAGCGAAGATCTTGGCGGTCTCGGAGATACCAGGAAGTCGAGTGTTGAGCTGTTCGACTGGAAGATGGTGGAGCTGGAGGTAGACGTGATCCTTGTCCTGGCCAACACCTCGACCGGCTCGGATTTCCATGGTAGAAGCTCGGGAGACAACGTCTCGAGAGGCAAGATCCTTGGCAGTTGGGGCGTATCGCTCCATGTATCGCTCACCCTCGGAGTTGATGAGGATACCACCTTCACCTCGGCAGCCTTCGGTGATCAAGCAACCAGCGCCGTAGATACCGGTAGGGTGGAACTGGACGAATTCGAGATCGGAGTTGTAAAGACCAGCACGGGAGACCATGGACATACCGTCACCAGTACAGGCGTGAGCGGAAGTGCACGATTGCCAGGCTCGGCCGTAACCGCCAGTGGCGAGGACGGTGTTCTTAGCGTTGAATCGATGGATGGTTCCGTCTTCCATGCAGATGGCCATGCAACCAATGCAGTTGCCCTCGTCGTCCATGATCAAATCGGTGGCGAAGTACTCGATGAAATAGGCGGTATCGTAGTAAAGCGATCGGCCGTAAAGAGTATGGAGAAGGGAGTGACCGGTTCGGTCGGCGACACAGCAGCATCGATGGGCCTGGCCACCCTTGCCGTACTTGAGAGACTGACCACCGAAAGCTCGCTGGTAGATCTTTCCTTCGGGAGTTCGGGAGAAGGGCATTCCGTAGTTTTCGAGTTCGATGACGGCATCGGGAGCTTCTCGAGTCATGTAGTGAATGGCGTCCTGGTCACCGAGCCAATCGGAACCCTTGACAGTGTCGTACATGTGGTACTTCCAGCTGTCTTCTTCCATATTGCCGAGAGCGGCGTTGATTCCACCCTGGGCGGCGACGGTGTGGGATCGAGTAGGGAAAAGCTGGAAAAGAGAGGTTGAAAGAGGGAAAGGTGAGGATAGATTTTTACCTTAGTGATGCAAGCAGTGTGGAAACCAGCTTCAGAGAGACCGAAAGCGGCGCGGAGACCAGCTCCACCAGCACCGATGACGAGAGCATCGAATTTGTGGTCAATGATTTCATAAGAGTTGGCAACCTGGAGACGTTTATTAGGGAGGAAAAGGGGATGAATGAACTCTGACCTTTTGCTGACCAACGACGGAGGAGGATCGGCCGGCGAAATGAAGCCCCCGACGAGCGACTTTATGGATCATCCTCTCTAAATTAATATTTTTTGCTCTTTTGTAGATTTTGATTCCCCTTATTTTTGAAACCGCGAGGACTGAAAGCGCGCAAGAATGAGGTAACTGTGACGTAATTCATTGACAGAATATGCTGGAGATCAGCGCCGCGAGCAGTAAAGGCTTTACTGTAAAGCGAAGCTCGAGGACCAATCGATGCCCCGGGAGAATCGGAAAGAAGAAAAAACGGTGGTGGAGTTTGTTTTGCCGCGATTTTTTGACAAGATAAATGAAGAAAATGGGTTCACGCAAAGGGAGTAAGGCAGTAGTGATAACTTGGAAGTTATAAGAAGGTTATGTAAGAGTATGATTCTCTTCGTCTTTTTCGCGTAATTTCAAGTGCAGCGAAATCTCATGATTCGACGATGTTTTTCCTGAAAAACGAGTTAACTGACCGTTTTATAAAAGGAAAGTGAGCCCAAACCTTTAAAAAGCGCTATCCACGGGTCAAACATCTGCTCAGCGTAAATTTCTTTGTGTGATTTTTGACTGATGATTCGGTAGACTTCCTCCGACGTTCCGGTTTTTTGAAGATTGAGGATAAAGACGAGGTTTGTTCGTTTGGCGATTTTGCGAAGAATGTGCATGAAGGAAAGAGGAGCATCTTTGTTCACCGCGAATTGAGATGCTGGGTAGAACAGGTTTTCCAAGCCTTTTCTATGGTTTTTAAAATTATATTCAAAACATCATATCAACCGCTATCTTCATTTCCGACTTCAGTACCGATGAAAAACCCTAGCCATGAGCAAAACAACCTTCAAATTGTGATGCCACAACGTAACTTTGTTAATAACATCTTTTTGAAGCACATTCTACTGATTCAAGTTTTGAAAATTAAAAATTTGATGATCCGAAATTACAGAGCTTTGATCCCTTCAGTATTCTAGAGATACTCAAAGAAAATCAAAAATTCAAAACTCGAATGACAAAAACCGCAGCGTCTCGGCAAATGTCCCCAGCGAGTAAACATTTACGTTCAATAAAGCATCGTCGTTTTTCGGAAGAAAAAGGCCGCTGTTCAAAGTTTCGCCGATGCAAGTCGCGAATCTCGCCGAAAACTCTTCCATGATTTCACTCATCAGTTCTTTCACCATGTCGTGTTCTCCTTCGTGCTGCGAGAAGAGTACGATCTCTCCGGGAGTGAATCCGCCTTCGAGGTAGTCGTTTATTCCTTCTTCCAAGCATTCGATTTTTTCGGGATCTTCTGGGAGCAATTTTGGTGGGCGGAGGAATTCAGAGTTTTGGAGGAAATAATCGCGCATTTGAAGGATTTGCTTGATTGTCAAATTGCATGACTCATCTAGCTAGAAATAAAGTTTTATCGAAACGCCTCAAAGTTCTCTCAGAAGAACCCTGAGTCAGGTTTTTACATTGCGAGCCCAGATAATTTTTTTGTAATAAATAAATTACGAATATTAATCATAAGATGAGTTCTATTATTAAATAATGATAATCTCAGAAAAATAATTTATTAAAAAAATATTTTCATAAAAATAAATTAACCTGTGTAAGCGAAGCCCTTAAAAAATCAGCAGCATTCTCTATTCCTTTATTCGCCAATGACTGTATATCTTCATCTTTCAAAAACGGAAACTGTCTCTTATCAAAAAACATTCAATTTTTCTGAAAACTCTTGAAGAATGGTTCGCGCGGCGCAGAAGGAAAAATATGACTCATCGCGCGCGCCAGTTACGTAACACTTCTGAAAAATTGAAATTGAGAGAAAGATTGAATAAAAACGATGGAAAGAGAGATACAGTCGGAAATCGAAGAATACAGGGCGAAATGCGAGGCTTTGAAGAGTACTTGGCTGGCGGCCAATCAGAATTTTCTTTACTTTCAGGTTTGCTAAATTTATTTTTTTTTATTTTATCAATTTTTTACTGAAGAAAATGGCATCAGAAGATCTCGAGCAAGCGAAACAAATCATGACCGAATCGCAGCTAGAAACCTGGGAGAACCTCCGGAAGCGGGATACTGTCACTGAAGGAAGAAGGGATAGTTACAGTGTCTACGCCAACGGAGAAACTATTCCAGAGCCAAAGAATCAAGAAGAAGAGGAAGAAGAAAAGTCAAAATTCAAGCTCGTGAAAAAGTCAGAAATCGACGCGCTAGAATCTCGCCTCCAAGATCTCAACGGCAAAATACAAGCGATCGGGGATGTTGATTTGAAAAGAACAAATTGTGAAATCGAGAAGACAGAGAGTTCCATTGAAAATCTTTACGCCTTGCTAGAATTTGAAAATTCTATTTACGAAAGAGAACTGGAGAATTACTCGGAAATTGAGACGAATTTCAGGGACCTAGAAGAAGCTGTCCAGGTACAGAAAAGTTCATTTTTTTTCTCCAAAAGAGGGACCCATTTTTCTAGGATCGAGTAGAAGAACTTTCTTTGGAATTCAACGCCTCTGAGAAATTCCGCCAACTGCGAGAATACGACGAAATCATCAATCGAAACAAACGAGCTATCCATGAGCGTCTTGAAAAAATTCGAGAATCGCGAAAAAGCCAAAAGCGCGAAGCAGAAAACGCTCGAAAAGAAGCAAGAATCGCCGCACTCGCCCGGAGCGAGTTTCAAAACATTCCAGAAGCGAAGATGAGCTTTTTGAACGCGTCGCATGCGAAACAACGGCTGGAGATCATTTTGGCCACGGAGGTTTCTTCCAGGGAAAAATTGGAGAAGGTCTTTTTGGATGATAGAGCCGGAATTGAGGAAAATATTAACAAAATGCTCGTAAGTTTTTTCAGGCTTTTTTTTATATTGAAAATGGGTAGATTCGGCCAGCGAGGGCTACTTTGGGAGGTATATTTTCAGTGATAATTTTCAGATAGACGCGCACGAGCGAGAATCCGCCCACAAAGAAAAACTCGACAAGCTCGAACAACTCGTCGCCGAAGAAAAACAGTTCCACGAAGCCCAATCCATCGAGCGATCCTGGCATCAGGAAAACCTTGAGAAGCTGAAAAAAGATTATCTTCGGAAGAAAAAAGAGAAAGAAGTGAAGATCAAAAATCTAACTGCCGAAATTCATTTGTACAAAAACTAAAAGTACCTGTTTGAAACAGGCTGTTTCTTCAATAAATTCAGAAAAACAAGAATCGCGGGTAACGATTTGATGTTTTTAGAATGGACGATCCAGACAGTTGGGATGAGAACATACACGTCCCTTACGAGTTTAGTTTTGACGGGATGAAGCCAGATCCACGAGCGAAATTGCGATCATCAGATGTCGAGCCATTAATTAAGGCGCTAGAACAATCGGATGTGCGAATCAACAACCACTTCCCGATCAACCTGTCGGAGAACGACCAATTATACACGGAGCTGGTGAAATTCGTCTACAACAAGTCCAAAAACATCATCGAAACGCCCGACTCCTTGGAAAACGTCGGGATCAATTTGAACGAAGATCAAGTGAAAGACATCACCTACAAACTCACCTCCGTCATTTTGAACACTTCCGACCCTGTTGACGAACTCAATAAGCTCTCCCTACGAGACCAGCCTTCGAACGTCTGCGGCCGCATTTTCGCCCGAGGCGAGTACCTCTACACTTGCAAGGACTGCGGCGTTGATCCGACCTGTGTCATGTGCCCAGCCTGTTTCAACGCTTCCGAACACGTGAACCATCGTTACAGAGTCTCGCGATCAGGGGGTGGTGGAGGAACTTGCGATTGTGGCGATCTGGAAGCTTGGAAAGAACATCCAGCGTGTCGGAATCACTCGAAAAAGGCCCAGACAGAAGTTTCTGATGGAGACAAAGATCTGCGAAAGAGAATCAAAACCTTGTTCGCTCAAGTTCTTCGACTAGCTGTGGAAATCTTGTACTCTGATATTTGCAGAACCGACGATGTTTCTGGCGCTTTAAAATCGATCATTGAACAGTGGGAAGTTGTGAAAACCGAGGAGGAGGAATGCGCGTTGATTTTATACAACGACGAGGTGCATTCATATGACGAGGTCGAACGAATGCTCAAAATGGCAGTGCAAGCAAACTCCGAACAAGCCCATACTTACGCAACTCACATCGACAAGAGAGGAAGAACCAGTCTTCTTACAGGCAGCCGTGAAAAATGCGAAGAGGTGCTGAAAGTGATCAGAACTGGAAAAGACAAATTGATAAAAATCAAGCTCCTCATCATCGATTCAAACATTCTAGCGCTGCAAGAAGTTGCATTCAAACTACTGAGCTGGATGAATTGGCTCTCGGGAAAGGGGGAAATTTTCAGGATGGTGGATTGAAATCATGGAAGAGAACTTCTTCTCCAAGTTTTCCCCTTTCTTTATTCTATAAAAAAAAGCTTGAATTATTAAAATCCACTTGAAGAATCGCTTTTTGTGACGCTTATCTATCCTCTGGCTATTCAAAAAAGATAAAAGTTCGTAACGCCGAATTCTGGGAATACGAAAAAGATCAACCTTTTATCACACACATCATGATCTCGGACATTGGCACCTGGAAAGCTGTCCGCTCAATTATGATGAAAAACTTGCTCGAAACAATGCTCAAAGATCCCGAAAACAAAATGAAAGTAGCTCAGTTCTTCACAGAGCACTATCAAACGATTTACGACAACTTCTTCCACCGCGACGATCATGATCAGCAATTTTCATCGAGCTCGATTTCAGTTCAGATTTTCACCACACCGACGGTCGTAAAAGAACTGATGCAGTTCCACAAGCTGTTTGAGAAGATCGGCAAAATGACGTATGACTGGTACTTTCCGACAAACAAGACTTCCGGAATGAGGGATCTCAAGAATCTAACAGAGAGAAGGCCGGGGAATCGGAGCAATTGCTATCCGATAGACATCACCTACATTCTCCACAACCCGCCGGTGACGGAAGACGAGCAGTTCAGAAAAACCATCAAGGAGGGCATCTTCTGGTTGCTGGAGATGTTCCGACTCTTCGAAGCGCGCGAGGGCGTAAAATGGTCCCACAAGCATCACGTCGAAGAAGAACCAGACTGGGAGAACTTAATGACCTTCATCTTCTCCGCTCAAGGAACTTATACAAAACTTCTCCAGTGGGCGCGACGCGACGAGTATGTTTCAAATTACTGTATCGAGACGATTCTAGCACGGTATCTCGAAACAAGCAACGATGAGTTTCCTCCAAAGTCGTTCAACAGAAAAGTTCTCAACCAAATGTTCAATTTTATTCCGATCGATGTCCAGACTAAAAAAGTTCACATTTACAATATGTATTCGCGTATATTTACTTATTGCATGTCATCGCCAGAAATCTCTTCAAAATATAATGAAAAACAAATTGCCTACAGGTAAATCCGATCATAAGTAAGAATACCGTCCTTATCAATCTTTCTAGTTGCCATAAGTCGATAGAATCTCTTTGCGTATCAGCCCAATCCAAAGCTGGTTTTTGGAAGAAAAATGGGCAGAGCCACCAGTTCACGATGTTCTACTATTCTGACCAAAGATGTAAGCGCCTCCTCTTCAATATGGATCTCCAAGCTGCTCAGGTTCGTTCCTTAAAAAATCCCTTTCTCACTCTTTTTCCTCCAGTTGATGGTGAGTCAGCAAGACCCGAATGAATTCCTTGCCATGTTCATCGACGCCGTCGGACTCAACAATGCGTGGTTGTTCAACAACGATCCAGAAATCACTTCAGCTTCGATTTCCGAAGATACGAAATTCATTAAAAAGGATCAGTTGCTGAAGCAAATGGCGAAAGAGTCTACTTACATGCCCAGTTTGCTCGATGAATTCCTCTTGATCTTAATCCGCATTATCTCTGAACCTTTCATGGAAAACTCGACAATTTCAAGAGGGCAGCGGGTTCGAAGATCGTTGATTCACATCCTGGCACTTGATTATCTTCCGTGGTCGAAAATCAAAAAGAAGCTCGATCACCAGTGGGACGCCGACGTGGCTTCAGAAGCAGAAGAACTTCTCGAAGAGCTGAGCCAATACAAGAATGTAAAAGGAGTTCGACATTATTCCCTGAAAGCAGTTTACGCAAAAGAGTGGGACCGATTCTACATCGGCTACGAAAACGCGGAACAATCCAAGTCACTAGAACACGTCAATCACTTGTTGAAATCGGAACCGAAAGGGCTCAAGGACACCATTTTCATTCCTAAGAAACGTTTTGATCACCGAGCTCCGTTTGACAAAGCCCTTGGCTTGCTGGACTGTGATTTGTTCAAGAAACTGACAGGTCTTGTTCTAAAGCTGGATGATCCACTTGCTTCAGCTGTTGAAAAGCTTGGATATCTTCTAGCTCTAGCATTATTACACGGCCGTGGCGGTTGGATAAAAGAGCAAGGGGTAGACAAAGAGCTGGCGAAATGGGGAGACGAGAATTCAGGAGGAAAGACGACCTTCCCATGGCTAGAGTGGATCCAGAATCAAGTCGGGAATGCATCAGATGGCGCCGCAAAGGCAGAAGACTCGAAATCCGAGTGGAAGAAACGCGCCGCCGCTTCCCGAGCAGCTCTCTTGGCAAAAATGAAAAAACAGCAGTCCAATGCAATGAAAAACTTCTCCCACGACATGACAAAAAGTTTCGAAGAAGAAACGTCGGAGGAAACAATGGGCGAGGAAGACAACGAGTTTCAGGTCGCTCCAGAGATCACCGAGTTGTTTCTCGACAGGGATGATAAGTTTTCGATGTCTAAGATCAACACGATCGATGATGTCTGGACCTGTATCTTGTGTCAATCTGATTCGCAGGTGGAATCTGAGTCTGATGATCCACTGCTGATGCTTGGTTATTTCGAGGAATCGACTGTCCTCGATCGTTACAAAACTCGCGAGGAAATTCTCCACGACCACGAGCTTTTTCTCGACCACGATTGGGCCCGACCTCTTGATGCCAAGTGTGGAACTCATTTGACCACATGTGGTCATGTCTTGCACCACAGTTGTTTTGAAAAAAGCCTTGAGATCGCGAAGAACCAGGAGAATCGCTATTCGCAGATAAGATTCCGAGAGGGAAGCTGGAAGTTGCCAAAAGAGTTTACCTGCATGCTTTGCTCAAGAATATGCAATACAGTCATGCCACTGATTGATAGAGCGACGCACAAGAGGCTTAGATTCGAGCCCAAAAGGAATATCACCAGCATTGCGGAGAAACCAAAGACAGTCGGGCAGAAAATCGACGCGATGAAAAAAGAAGAAACCTCGACAAAAATGAGCAAAGACATAAAATTCTTCGAGTGGCTTTCGGAACTTCAAGATGAATTCGGATTTCCAAAGAAGCATCAGCCCCAGAATTATGTCGTCAGTCTCGGGACAATCGACATGGGAGAAGCTGGCGATAAGACTTATAAGGAGAAACAGTCAGCAGCTGATCTGAATGATAATGACGAGGAGGAGAGTACCGTTGACGATTTGAACAGAGGCTTTGTTGAGGAGAAGAGCACGGTTGGAGAAAAGTCCACTACGAATCACTCCTTCGACTCTGAAAATTGCGATGAAGAGTCAATTGGCAGCACGGATTCGGACGCGCCGAGAATGTCAAAATTCTCCCGAATTGTCCACACTTACCGTGACATCCACCAGAACTACGAGAAAAATGGAAACGGTCATTTTCAAACTGCTTCGTACTCAATTGCCGCTGCGGAAGCGCTGCTGCGATACGATAACAAACCGCTGATGGGTTCTCTCCCTGTCAGAAAAGACAAAGGGCTGGAGTTTCTGATCCGAAGCGCGCTGTACCTTTTTGGCAGTGCCGAAACAGGAAAAGCTGAAGATGAATATCTCTCATCAACGCGACAGGAAGCCAGAGTAATCATCAAAAACATCATCGCAGATCCGCGAATGACTTACGATGTCCCGGCACTCCTCACTCTTGATCTTTTCCACGTTTATCTGACTCTCTTACTCGACTTACCTTACCTCGACCATCTCAAGGTAAAGACCCTCCACACTTTCTATTAGTAAGCGCTTACTTCTTTTATTGTAGCCACTTCAACACCAAAAAATTGCAGACAAGTTCTTTTTCCGTCTTATTCTCGCTGCCCAAATCACCCAAATCGCACTTTTTACCTCCAACTCCATCATCTTCGAGGAACCTGAAGTCTTCACCGAAGTTGACGATTGCCAAGCATCGGTCTTCGCCTACCTGGTCTATCAACTACGTAGCCATTACAGAGGCCTTGAACCGCTGCACGTATCGCCGTTCATGATCTACCAGCACTTTATCCAATGTCTAACGCCGTTCGTTCGAAAGGTCTCTCTGTTGCTCATGTATTTGAATCTTCTTGAACCGCCACCAGAGCTGTCTGATGGAAGGACGTCTTGGGAGTCGATGTGCCTCTGTCTTGGCATTCCAGACTCACTTTGCGAGCTGTTCGATGCTGATGGTGGAGCCCTAGAGGTAAGAAAAATATCATTCGAGCAAAGTTCTGAAAGAGTTATAGCCTTACGCCGAACGATGGATAAAACAACTCATCTCGAGGGAAGACAAGTTTTCATTGAAAAACGCCCTCAAAGATGTATCCTTCCCGCAGCTGATCGAAATCCCATCACTAGCTACCTTGCCATCTGACTACAGAAATGTGCTGACAATGGTCGCTGAAGCCAAATCTGAGCCGATAACGGTAGTCAATCAAGAGAACGAGGAAAATTCTGCAAATAATGCCGAATCGAAGAAAACAAAGTCGAATCAACAAATCTGTCCGGCAATTAAAAATCCCGCCGTTTGCCTTCTCTGCAACAAGGTCGTTTGTGTCCTGTCTGATTCTTACAGCGAGAAAAGTAAGTCCTTGAGTATTCCTCTTATGAAATGAAAAATTAGTTGACGATACCATCTACGGTGGCGGGTTACATCATGCAATGACATGCGGCCGTGGCATAGGACTGTTCATGCTTGTCGCATTTTCCGACCGAAATGCATATACCGACGCGATTTTCCAATTCTGCTCCGGCGTCAAAATCATTCTCCGAGATCCCGAAGTAGTTGGAATTCAAAGCGATATTCTCTTGCGAGGCGATCTTTTCCGTCCGAGAAATATAAAACCAGTCCAAGTTGGGCTCGTTAACTTTGAGTAAGTAGAAAACAAGATCTACTTTCTTCAATCGCTTTTTTAGCTTGCCATACGTTGATTCACACGGGGAGCCTGATCGAGGACTCAAATCTGGTGCCAAACTTCTTCTAAGGTACTTTTCGAATTCAAACCATTCTTTGACGGTTTTATAGTTCAGAAAACTACGAACGCCTTCGGCGCGAGTGGCTAGCTCACGAGATCTCAGATTCAGTTTCCCGCGAGATCGAGCTTAGCTCCAGCCGAACTCACTTGATGTCCAGCCATTGGTACTCGTTCTAGCGTTCTTTTCAAACTTCACGCTTCACTTTTTGTTCAAAATTACCTTCTGCCTGATGGATTCAGTTTTCATGTTTTCTTCTTTATCTTCTTGCTAATAAATTTAACTTTCAAATACTTTCGTTAAAAAATGTGTCTTTGAAGAATGGCTTACAGGCCGCCGGCTAGGTACTCTGGCAGTACGCCGGCTTTTCCGAATCCACACAATCAGATGCCGATGGGCGATGCGACACCAGCGCATCCAGTTTACAACGACTCTGACCAATTCCATGGACAAACGGGAGAACGAAGGTTTTCGAGAGAAGAAGACGATCATCGAGATCATGATCGAAGTCGGGATAGAGACAGTGACGATTCAGAAGAAGACTTGGAATTGAACGAATTTGTTGACAAAATAAAATGCTTCCAATCAAAATCTGGTAATTTTTGAAATTTTAATACTTTACTAATTGTTTGTTTTAGCCAAGAAAATACGTAAATTGAAAGAACAACTGGCCCAGAAAAACGAAATAATCTTCAATTTACGAAAAGAGCTGACGAAAGCCCAGGACGAGCTGAAAGCCCAGAATGCCTCAGACCCAGACCTTGAAGAGCTGCAAATAATCTCCCCAAGCAAAAAGAAGCGCGCAAGAAGGTCAATGAACCATGCGTCCAATAGTTCAAATTCTGAAGAAGAAGTTCTCTCCAGCGCGAAAATTTCATCTCGTTCGAAGAAAATCCTGAAAAAGGATGAAAAACCCAGCACAAATATCAGTACAAGTTCGAATGGAAATCAGATGCTGGCGTCAAAACTACTCAACCTAAAGCCCAAAGAAACATTACCTCTTCCGAAGAAATCTCGTTCACAGGCGGACAGAATTTCGACTAAAAAGCCCTCTGTTAGTCGTTCTCGCCAATCTTCCAAACAAAAAACTCAAGACATCTCCCAACACTTCATCAAAAAGTCCTCCAAGATTACTCCAGAAAAGTCGGCTCCACCAAATAATTCGTACTCGCCGTTAGAAGACATTGAACTAATCGACTCTTCCGAAGACGACGACATGACGCAAATTTCATTGCTCCACAAAACTGGGAACCAAACTGATACTCAACATTTGATGAACCCGTCGCCAGCAACTACAAATGGAATGAACAGTCGGCTAGGAAACTGGCTCAAGAATGTGCAGGAAAACGCAAAGAAACGCAAGCACGCTGCTAGTCCTAAACCAGCTCGACAGTCACGGTACTTTCAAATTTTTCCTCATAATTTGAAAATATAAAAATAGGAGCAAAGCCGACTTGGAGTCGATGATAGCTGACGACGACGAGACAATGTGTCAAACGTCAAAAATCTACAGAGCTAGTTCCAAGTCACGATCTCGATCGGTTTCTCCAAAGCCCAGCTACTCCAAGAACGACGTTTCGGCAGAGGAGCTACTTTTCGGAGGAGCTAGCCAAACACCGAAAAGAGAAGATTCCGATACAGAGGAAAACGTAATGGCGCAGAAAAAGAAGCAGCGATTCGTTGGAAATATTCCAGTGGACACACAAGGGAGGAGAATCAACGAAAAGATAAATTTCGGAGAGGGTTCAGCTAAAACTATTATTATTGATTCAGAATGAAAATTATTCTTTTGAATAATTTCGATATTTTAGACTGTTTACAACCCTTGAAAGATTTGATCGAACGAGCCAAGTTCAACCGATTGAATGATTCCGATCTGTTCCGCCAGCCTCCCTCTCCATCCCTCGATGGCAGTCAGTGGGAGCCTCGTTATCCCGAAAATAATTTCGACAATTTCTGGTGCACGGATGATGATAAACGATTGCCAATTTCAAGTCAGCGAAGGCGACCTCATATTTGATTTATACATATCAAATTTCACGCTTCACTTTTTGTTCAAAATTACCTTCTGCCTGATGGATTCAGTTTTCGTGTTTTCTTCTTTATCTTTTTGCTAATAAATTTAACTTTCAAATACTTCCGTTAAAAGATGTGTCTTTGAAGAATGGCTTACAGGCCGCCGGCTAGGTACTCTGTCAGTACAAATAGACAGGGCTACAAGACTCTAGCCGAGTTGCCTGATGATATTCCCACATGGACGACGAACTCGGGCAAATCTAACAGTAATAAAAGAAGACGAATGGCAGATGAAGATAGTTATTTTGACGACGACGATGATGATCCACCACCACCAAGTAAAACCTCATTCTTCCGCAACCAGATTCCTGATTATGCTTAATCTTTCTTTAGCTAAATCAACATACGATCCCTTCAATCCAACCGAAGACGGTTCGCAAGCTGCTAATGATGACGAAGATGAAATAGACCCCCTGGACGCTTTTATGGCCGAGAACAATAAAAAAGCAGCGATCGATAAGAAAAATATCGGCAAATCTAAGCCCAAGCAAAGAGCAGTTAGAGAAGACATCGAGAAAAAAGATTCAGAGGAGCAATTTTACGACTACATAAAGGTAAAGATATTCAATCTTACTGATGATCACGAATTTACTTTATACAGGCGAATCCCAACGCGGGAAAAGCCTTCACACATGCGGAAGAAGAGGCTGAAGAAGAAATCGTTTACGACGAGTATGGAAACGCCACAAAAGTCAAGAAAGAGATTGACCCTCTACCAGTGATCTATCATTCCGAAATCAACTATCCATCATTCCAAAAGAACTTCTACAAACCCCACGAAGATATTCAAAATGCGTCAAAGAACCAAATCAACAAACTTCTCGGAGAACTCGGAATTAGAATCGCTGGATATCAGCCGCAAAAGCCCGTTTCTTCCTTTGGACACATGGGATTTCCTGATCGGCTGTTGGAGAGGATACGAAAAGTGGGATTCACAGATCCGACTCCGATTCAGTCCACGGCGATTCCTCAGATTTTGGGTGGAAGAGACGTGATTGGAATCGCTCAAACTGGATCTGGTAAAACCGCTGGGTTCGTGTGGCCAATCATCTATCACGTGACAAAGCAAAGACCGCTCAAATACGGTGATGGACCCAGAGCGTTGATAATGGCTCCGACCAGAGAGCTGTGTCAGCAGCTGTACGCCGAGGTGCGAAAATTTTCGAAAAACTACGACTCCGTCCGCGTCGGAATCTGCTTTGGTGGAGGGAACATGTACGAGCAAGGGAAAGAATTGAAGATGGGTGTCGAAATTCTCGTCGCTACGCCTGGCCGTTTGATCGATCATGTCAAAAAAGGAAACACCGAACTCTCGAATTGTACCTTGATTTGCCTGGATGAGGCTGACCGAATGCTGGAACTTGGATTCGAGCCTCAAGTGCGCTCGATTTGCAACCACGTCCGTCCCGATCGACAGTGTCTTTTCTTCAGCGCTACTTTCAAGAAGAAAATTGAAATGCTCGCAAATGATATTCTCAATGATCCGGTGAAGCTCACGCAGGGGCAAATTGGTCAAGTGAACGAAAATGTCACGCAGACCTTTAAAATTCTCGGCCAAGGTGATTTATTATTTCTCAAACGAGTGATTGAACAGTCCTAGAACAAAAACTCCACTGGTTACTTACCAATATCGTTCCGTTAACGGCCGAGGGATCTTTGCTCGTCTTCGTCACGAGAAAAGCTGATTGTGTGACAGTCCATGAAGAATTGAAGAAAAATGGCTTCAAGACTGGAGTTATTCATGGAGACATGCATCAGGTTTTCAAAATCACTCTTTCTTGTTTAATCTATTTCAGGCGGAACGAAATGATGCAATCCAAGCATTCAAGCAGCGGAAACTCGCGACTTTAATCGCCACAGATGTCGCTGCCCGTGGTCTTGACATTTCTCACATCAAAACTGTAATCAACTACGACCCTGCTAGAAATTATGACACTCATGTTCACCGGGTTGGTCGAACTGCCCGAGCTGGAAATACCGGAACGGCTATTTCTCTGTTTACTCCTCAAGATACTGAGTACGCAGGCATCGTTGTCCGGTCAATTGAGACAACAAAACAGGTGATCATTAACTTCTGAAATCAAGGAAGACTAACGAAATTTTAGCCTGTTCCTGATGAGATGCTCAGACTGGCTATGCGAGATCCAGGCTTCAGGATGACTCGAGGCAAAGATGGGAAGAACATTGGATATTCAGACAATGATCGTGGTGGATTAGGGTCTGGCAGTGGAAACAAATTTGTTCCAGAGTTCGTCGAATATAGAGCGCCAGCAGGAACAGCAAAGAATCCATACCTGGAGCGCCCACCGCCGAAAGATCCATCACTTGCCGTTCCACCACGTAAGATGTGCTTTTGCCCAACTTTTAAAATCAAAAAATTTATTAAGAAAATCGACCGAAGCCGATGGGTTCGGGCGCAGGAAATCCACCACAGGGAGTTCAAGGAGTTTCTGGTGTTCTTCAAGGACAAGGAAGCTCCGTCATGTCCGATCGAGCGATTGCGATGAGAAAAGCGATGCAAAGTCGTTTCGGGCGATCATTTGTGGCTGGGAAAGCGGATGAAAAGCCGAAAATTGAATACACGGATCCCAGCGTGCGCCCTACTCTTGACCAGCTGTACCAAGAGCATACTACTGGAATGCCAGCGGTGGCGCCGGCTTTTCCAAATCCGCACTATCAGATGCCGATGGGCGATGCGACACCAGCGCCTCCAGTTTACAACGACTCTGACCAATTCCATGGACAAACGGGAGAACGAAGGTTTTCGAGAGAAGAAGACCATCATCGAGATCATGATCGAAGTCGGGATAGAGACAGAGACCGAAGAGATCGGGACCGTGACAGAGACCGAGACCGGGATCGCGACCGGTACGATCGAAGAAGAGACGATCGTGACAGAGACCGTGATAGAGATCGTCATCGTGACCGCGATCGTGATCGAGAGAGAAGATCTCGATGGAACTAGGAAAATTGTAAACCCAACTTATTCTTACTCTGCCAAAACTCATTTCTTTAACATCTAAGTAAAATTTTATAAACTCATTACTCCAGTCACTGGAGCCCAATCTCTCAGCACACATGATTTAGAAAATGGCGGGTGCAGTGATAGAAAATGTATCTTCGAAAAAGCTCTGGATAGGCGGAGCGGTTATTTTCGGCTTTGCCGTACTTGGCTTTGTCCTGGGAGGGGTCTACATCACGAGCAGCCCTAATCGTGCGGATGAAAATATTGCTACAGAGGTAATCTTATTCTTATCATCAGAAGTTCATTATTATTAGTGCTGGGATGCATCCGGCGATTTTGAACAAGACATCGGCATCATGCCTTGGCACCCAGAAGATGCCGCAGTTTTACCTTCCCAACAATGCCGCGTGCTTACCGATGAAGATCGAGCAAAAGTCCCTAATTCTCAAAATGAAAAGATCGTCTTCTCACTTCACATTCCTGTCAATGGCGAGGTTCTGACCCGCTGGTTTAGCTACATGCTCGTTCTGGTGTATCCAGAACTCAAATCACTTGCGAAACCGAATGCGACCCAAATCTGGTTTGATGCTAAATGTGAGTATTCAGAAAAGATTAAAAATAAGAACGTAACGGCCGTTTAGTCTATCACCGAGACAATCCGAATGAAAAATGGTCGCTCAGTCACAAAAAACATTTCTCAAGAAACTACAATTGCGAAGAAATGAAATTTCCTGGCGGCGTAGACTACGCTTGCCAACCGATGAATTTCGTCGAACTGGGCAGTGTTCCTCACAAATACTATCTCGTCAACTTCAAGCTTCGTAAATTCGACGCAGAGGGAAATCACATCAACGAAAAAATCGGCATCTTCAGCCATGTCAACATGCCAGTAATCTATCAAAGTCCTGAATTCACCAAGTTGTGGCTCAGTCTCCAAACCTGCGTTTTCTTCTCTCAGTGGTTCTTTCTCGTTTGGTTTGCCAATCGAATTTCGCAGCTGAGAAGGCCAAAGACGCTCATTGAAAAGTCAATTCTAGCGCTTGGAATTTCGATTCAAATTGGAAACTTTCCTGTTCAATGGCTGGCGCTTTTCATGGAAGCGCCTTGGATGCTGCTTCTTTCCGACATTCGACAGGGTCTGGCGTACATGACTCTCTTTGGCTTCTGGTTGATTTTCATGAGTGAGCATTTGCTCGACAAGCCACATCGGGACAATTTGAAGAACTACGCTCTCCAGCTCTGTTTTGTTCTCCTCTGCGGGCTTTCCATGTTCGTTCTTGATTGTGTCGAGCGAGGCTGGCAACTGAAAGATCCTTTCTGGTCGGTTTGGGACACTGTTCACGGGCGAAATGCAGCTCATGCCATGCCCATTGTTGGAGGAATCTTCGGCGCGCTTTACTTGGTCAACTTGAGCGTGATCATCTTCAGAGTGAGCTACAACTTGTTCAAGCGGCAGCAACACTTTGTCGGAAAACTCCATGCTGAAGGACTGATCTTACGTTTCCAGGTAGAACGAGTCCTCTATGATTTCAAAATTTTGAATAAAATTTAGATCATCATTGGATTCACTTTCTTCTGCGCGATTGCTTCTCTTATCGCCTTTTACTACAACGAAGCAACTGATACGCCTGTTATCATCAACAACCATCATATTCAAGTAAATCTACAAATAGAAATCCATCTTCAAAGAGACCTTTCAGGTTCAATCAGCTATCTACACAGGTCTCTACGTTTTGTGGAATTTGTATGTCTTATCCGTGATGCTTCTTTACGGTAAATCCTCCTCTATAAAACAATCGATACCTTTTTTTCAGCTCCGAGCCACAAATTTGGCTCAAACGCGGATTTGTCCGAAATGGCGCCTTTGAATTCCGAGGTTTCTTCTGTTTCCGGATCTCGAGTTGACTCCCTCCAGTCAATTTCCCATCAAACTTCTACGCGCGACGATATGCACTTGCTAGCTACGCTCACTGCTGATAAAACAACTGCTGACTAACAAAGTTTATTGCAATTACAAGACTCAAAGTAACTTCTCGCTCAAAAAGCCTTTATGATGACATGTATCGAATCGCAAAAGTACTTCACTCTCATTTATTCCTTTCCTTCCAGCATTCTTCCCGTACTTCAATACCTTATCCCTCTCTTTTTTTCTGTATCAATAAATTCACTAATTCCAGAACATGAAAACATTCACGCCTCACAAAGAGTTGGTCAGAGCCTAGTTTAGTCTAAATATTTCTATTGATCTTGTTATTTTCAAGAAAATGCCACGCATGAAAAAGCAGAAACGAAGTCATATACAGAATCTTCGACACGGAATAGAAATGAGGAAAAAATATCCTGAACGATATCAAATTGTGCACTTCAAATGCAAAACCACAAATGAATCCTGTTTGCAAGTTTCTGTGAAAACATGGAACGATATTATCGGGAAGATTGTCGAAAATGGAACTGACTTCAACTTAACTGAAGTGAAATACTCACTTGCTTTCACAAAAAATGTTTTGCCAACCGAAAGCGTTCTGAAGCCACTTTCTCAAAAATGAAAAAGCTCTGACAACTGCCGTTTTTGTTCGCATTCAAATCTATTCGTTTATTCTCACGCTTATTATAGTTTTTTATTCAACATTCGAACAATCTCAATATTTTTTTGCTTTTAAGAATGCCTCGTCGTCCGACCGCTCTTGATGACGATGAGCAGCTTCTACGAGAACAAGAAGCATTCCTCCGGAAAAATGAGCCGTCCGCGAAAGTTGTTCGAATGAAAAAAGAAAGCACCAATCTCGAGCAAAAAGAAGAAAGAATGGAGATCGATGAAGTCCAACAAGTCCTGTTTGAGATTCAAGAGAAAATGTCAATCGTCGAATCTGAAAAACCAGCTGGTCATCCCGACGGATTTCCGAAAGTCTTTTCTCTCGGAAACACTGATCAAATTGGCGGAAAGAAGAAGGGAAAGAGTCTCTTCAAGCAAAAAATGGAAGAGAGGAAGAAAAAACAAGGAAGAGTATCTGAAGCAAGGGCACCACCGAGACCGATTCCTGTCAGGTCACTCGTGGAGGATGAAAAAATTGGCCATGAAAATGCGGAGCGTCTTGCCAAGGTAAAGTTTCCTTTCCGAGTTAATAATCTATCCTTTTTCAGCTTTCTATGGAAGAGATCGAGGAAGAAAGAAAACAGCTGCTGGCAAAACTCGATCCATCAATGCTCGATTTCATCAGAAAGCGAAGATATCAAGGCAGAACTTTCGACAAAGAAGGAGCGAAGGTAAAACTTCTCGAGGAAACTACTTTTAAAACTGAGCATGGAACGGATGTGAAAGTACCACTGAGAGGTGTTGATCAAAAGTGGGTGAATTTTGGCCATGTCGAGCCGGAGAAATTGGAATGGATGCAAGATATTGAGATCAAGGAGATCAAGGGCGATGTGAAAGTCAGAGTTGACTTCAATGGAGAGGTTGTCAATCCTATCAGGTAAAGGAACTGTATAAAGCTCCTGTAAAACTGTTTCCTAGCGAGATAAGCTGGCGAGAAGGCCTTCACCACCATGGTGACGAAGAGCAAGTGCCTGGTTATTCGATGCAAGAACTGCTAGGTTTGAGCAACTCACGGCTCTTGCAACAACGACAGATCGCTTACAAAGCGTTGGAGGGAGTAATTCGTAATGCACGGCTCCAAAAAGGCGACAGAACTCTCTTTGTCGCGCCCAAACTTCTCCTGCAAGCTGGATTGGTCGTTGTTGTTCGCAGAGAACTCGACAGTGAAGCCCTTCAGTCGCAAGAAATGGCCCTACGATTGCTGCACGCGCTGATTGGCCCTTTGGATAGATCAATCGAACACGTGACTGTCAAAGCTTCCTTTGGCGAGTACAAAGCATTCGACGAAACCGACCACGACTCACTCGGCGACGGACTTATCGAGCATTCGGCCAAGGACCTGATCAGCGCTCTACTAAATATGCAAATTCTAGCCCGCTTCAGATTCTTACTCCAAAATCCAGCATCGTCTGGTGATGTCAAACTTCTAGTCATTGAAATACTACAAGTTTTCGCCGGTCATTCCTTGACAACAGCGAATAGAATTTTTGATGAAAACTTTCTCGTCGAAGCACTGCTCCCAGATATTGCTTTGATGGGAACTGAACAATCAGCGAAACGACTGCGAGTTTTTCTCCTGATGATGAGAAACGGAAAGAACTTGGCGAAGAAACTAGCGGACAACGAAAGCTTCATGGGCGTTCTTTATTCTTCTTTATTCGGTCCCTGTGATTTCCGAAAAGTTGGAATCGAAATCGCTCGATGCTTTGTCCAGTTCAGAATAAATACCGACGTCTTTATGAAGATGATTCAAGACTTTAGCAAATCACTGGAGAAATACGAAAGCCTCGTCCAGGAAGTCTTCCTTTGCTCCGAAAGAACTATCGAACTGTATGAAAGATTTCGATCAATTGCCTGCTCGACTCATCCGCAACAAAAGTCGTATGTCCACTTTGCCACGACTTTGCTAAAACTATTTCGCGAAGGAAAAGAAAGTCACAAGTACTCGCCGGTTCCAATCGAGCTTTTAGAAGTCTCATATCATCCTGATTCCCTCGACTCGCTTTGGGAACAACTTGATAAGCTCAGAGCTCCGAATTCGAATGCAAGGCCTTTGCCAGCAGTCCCTCTTGGGTTGGACGTTTCTTTGATGGAAAATTGCAATGAAACAGCGAGCTACCTTGATTATTTATCCGCACTGATCAACGTTGATCGAATGAAAGCAATCGAATCGATCAAGAACTCTCTGGTTCTGGACATTCTAGTCGACGTAATCGACGTTCTCAAATTGTCACACGAAACTGAGCTCTTGATCGTCTCTATTGTACGACTCGGCTGTCAACTGAAAACGCTCATAATCGACAAATCATTGGAAAACTTCGTCGCGCGCTGGCATGCTTTGTCTTTTCGCGCATCTCTTCTCTTACCTGTTGTTTATTCTGAGCTTCAGCTCCAGTTCTACTCCAATTTCTTCGACGGTTCTCTCTTTTCATGTTCATCAAAAAATAACCCAGAGGGCTTTGAATCAACATTAGAAAAGATTCTGCCCGAGCTGTCTTCTCTCAGAGGTCAATTTCTCGCAACAGTGCGACAGTTTCTCCCGCCAACAAGTTGGGAACGATCGCGTCAGTTTTTGACAAGAAGTGAGAAATGCGAAACTTTGATAATTGGCGGACCTGGGTTGACCCCTTCACTTCCGAGTGACATCGTTTTTATGAAATTGATCGAGCTTGGGACGGTCTTGAGCGCTGGAGACTCGAATGTTTCACTTGAAGATCACGCGGATTCATCAGGTGACCAGTCTTTCCTTCTTCATGACTTTAAAATTAATTTAGAAGCGATCAAATCTCTCCGTCTCGCGCATTTTTGCACAACATTCAGGAAGAACTCCATCCCTGGTGTCCAAGGTTCTTCTCTATTTGTTCGACTTGCTTTGGTATTCCTCTGTCCTCCAGAAATCTCAATGAGTGGAACGATTCTTGACCTGATTCGGCCTCTTCTGAAGCTTTCAGTGCAAAAATCAACTCTTGTTCACAACTCGGTCATCCCCATCGCGGGTAAGAATAGCTTTTTTTACCAAAATTGAGTTTTCCTTTAGATTGTCCTTCCTTCACGGATTTTTACATTAAACTTCTGGACGCATTCGAAGGGCATGGCTACTCAAACTCGCTCTTTGGATCGGTTCTGATGATTCCGTTGATTCACTCGACTGAATTGAGGCTCATTCTCTGGGGCGACAAGCAGCCAATCTTGCAGACGATTAGAAACGATTTCACGAACATTCTTCTTCCTTTTGAAGGTATGAATTAACGAATGAAAGCCCAGATAAAAGCCCAAAATTCAGAATACATTCGGATCCCAGAAACGAGCACCAGACTTGTCCAGCTCTACCTTGCTGCCATTGCTTCAAAAACAGTCACAGTGCATCGAAACGTTGTACTCTACTGTTTCGCCGTGTACCAAATCAACCAGTTCTTGATGAACCTCCAAATTGACAGGAATCTGCGCGAATCTATCCTCCGCCTCGTCCTCAGCGCTGAGAAATCTCTGCAAAAAGACATTTTGTTCTTTTCAAAAATCAACAAGGAATTCCCTCACATCGACCACAAAGAAGACCTCGAGGAAGGACCGAAGAACTGGATTATTTCGACGATAAAGAAGAATCGACTCGAAAGCGAACTTTTTTGATGTATTAATTTAATATTATAGTGATAATAATATGCGGACATGGAATTGCGTAGCTCAGCAGAAATAAAAGTTTTTCTGTCATGTTTCCGCGGGTGGGTCTTTCATCGACATGCCCCACTCAAGAAGCTCAATAATTTCTTCTTTGCCGCTCGCTTCCATCATCGGCGTTCGACCAAAGTTGTCTTTTCTCTCCGGGTCGCATCCTTGCGAGATCAGAAAGCGAACGATGTCTTCCATCCCTCTCGCGACAGCAATATGCAGGGCAGTTCTTCCATCATAATTCGCCGCGTCCAGGTCTGCTCCGCCAGCATGCCAGGCAGTTATTGCATCCAAATCGTTTCCAACGACGTTCATCATCAACTCATTGCACGTCTGTTGCTGGGAGCACTTAAGAACGGCGCCAGCGTTGCGGAGCATTTCGATGATTTGAAAGTGCTTGTTTTTTATCGCTTCGTTCAGTGGAGTGGCACCAGTGTGATCTTTCTTGTGAACTGGGCAGCCGTCAAGAAGCATTTCTTCCACCAGCAAATCGTGTCCTAAAATTCAATTGCTCCTCAATTTTCATTTCCTTCGTACCTGCTGCGGCAGCGATATGCAGAGGCGTACGGCCATCATAGTCCGTCATCGAGTAATCTCCACCATCCTCCTTCAGTTTTTTGATCGACTCAAAGTTGCCCTCCTTCGCGGCAGAGCAAAGCAAGCACGGAAATAAGGACGCTTTGATAAGTTGAATTTCTGCTTCGGTGGAAACTTTCATCGCGTCTGCGACAGATTGCAAAAAGGATGAATTCGAAAGGCTGAATTTGGCAATGTCGGCCTGTGTGAGCTCGCCGCGAATATTCGTCTCCAGAAGTTCTTTTCGCTGAGAAGCAGTTAGACCTTCCAAGCCAAGAACGTAGCTTAGTTTTGCCAAGGCAGCTAGAAATGGATAAAAACGATGATTTTTTTCAAGTCTTGTACCTTCAGGAGTCATGTCAGCTCCAAGAACACAGCCAGCTTGGGCAAAAGCAGCTCCAGCTGCATAAGCGCTAGAAACGATTCCAGTCTGGCACTGGGAAATAATGACGATGAAAACTCCCCTCGCGATTGCCACTTTGATCTCTTTTATGATATCCTCTCGATTGCTTGGCCCGTTTCCAGCGCTAGAATCGTTGAGTTGAAAGTGTATTCACAAAACTCACCCATATGATTGAAAAACGACCCCGCGAATCGGTGGCTGGAGAAAACTGCGCACTGTGGTGGCAGTTATCGATGGAAAGATCCTCAACAGCGCGACATTCGGATTCCACCCGTGCGAGATGGAAAATTTCGTGGGCTTCTGACTTCGCCAAATTAGATCCCAGTTGCAGTTGATCTCTGTCCCCATTTTTATCAGCGGCTCCATATTGTAGCTCGAGAAAGCGTGAAAATCTTGCGCGTCCGTTTTCATCACCCGATTTCCCCGAAACAGGCGGCGGTTGAAGTAGAGGCCGACTTCTGGAATGATCAGGGTTCCAGCGATGACAAGAGCTCCTTGGAGATTGTCGATTGCGTCCGTTCTCATTTCTGCCATTGGTTTTTGCGCTCCTGTAACTACGACTGGCTTTCCTAGCTCTTCCATCATGAAACTGAGCGCTGAAGCTGTGTAGGACATCGTATCAGTTCCGTGGACAATGACGAATCCGTCGAACTGCTCGTAGACGGAGAAAATGTCCGCGGCAAGTTGCCTTTAAAAAATAATATTCTTGAATATCGAGGCTAGTACCTGTATTCCAAGTAGCTCATGTTGGACGAATCAATCAGCGGGTCGTACTCGTAAATTGTATAAACCACTCGTTTAGTGTCTCCAATCTCATCCTTCATTTCTGGAAGCACAAAGGTATTCTTCCCCGCTCTCTCATTCAGATTCTCTTGGAAATATTTCTCATCGTGCAGTAGGTTGATCTCCGGTACTGCGGTTTCCAGGTATCCTTTCAGCGGCTCATACGCACCACTCTCATTCTTGACCATGCACAAGGTTCCTCCAGTGACTAGGACGAGTACAAAGCTCTCTCTGACATTCGTCTCGTCCAAATCGGACGGAGTTGGCGGCTTTGGCAAGTCTTGCGCATCCGGCCTAAACTTTTTCATTACAATCTTGGCAAGGTGCATTTGAACGCGGTGCTAACGTTATTGAATTGCGCCTATTAATGTCGGTTTTCGCGGCTGTTATCGAAGGATTCCAACAACTTATCATCTATCTCTGACGTAAAAAGTGAGAATATATGCTGTGAGAAAAGGGGCAAGGGATGACAAATAGTGCATAAATAGCAACTTATTTCTGTCTACCAGAAAAATGTCTCTTGCTGTTTACCAGTGAGAGGGTGGGAACGACGAGCTATACGAAACTGTTGAAGCCTGACTACTAATTGAAATTGAATTCCGGGAATTCTCAATGCTCCCCCTTTGCATTTGGTTACGTAATAAAACTAAAGCGTTCTATTATTTGTTGCAAAATAAACTTTTGGCACTAGAAACGCCGTGAACTTACATCCACCCTCTGAGCGTTTTGTAAGAGGGCCGTTCCAGTCTGTTCACGTATTTGAATGCCATTGACTTTGTGCTCATTGTTGGATTCTCAAAGAAGAGCTCTTATGTAACTTCTCTGTGTCTAAAAATGGGCTAAGACCTCAGCGATCAATTATCTGAGCCCCTGGGCCAATTCTGTTTCCCATAGAGTGGGGTGTGGCGCTCAAGGTTTTCGGGTACCGTAAACGATGGCTTTTTCGAGGCCTTCTACAAAGGGTCACGTGTGCGCGCCTCATTCGAATGAGCAGTCACCTGATCGATCCGCTTCGCACAAGGCGCGTTCTCCTTCTTGCTTCTAGCTCCATTTCTCAAAGAAAAAAGGGTTGATTGATTGAGTACGCTGAACTACTAGTGTGTTCTGAGATAATCACTTGTCGAGTTATTTGCCCTGAGCAAAACCGGATAAAGGTATGGGGCCATATTGAAAAGAAGGTTTCAAGAGACACTCAATCTGACTGACAGACTCTCCCTTACGTACCTTGACTGTAAATGTCTTCTCAAAGTATTATTGTTATTAATAAACAGCTGAAAGCGTTTCAATTTCGTCTCGCCTTCAGACTTTATTTCTCGAGGTTTTTGCTGGAAAAACATTTTAGTTATATAATTATACGGATTTGTCAACGCCCAGGTTCAATGAAAAACATTGATCTTGGGCCAAAAATAAAATGGGAGTTGCCAAAATAAAAGCAGATGTTTATGAGTCCTAAATTTCAATGAAAATCTCTCCTGTTTACATTCTTTTGTACGTGTCGATTATCTTCCTCCGCAAAAAAAAAAAAGAATACGAAACGCTCAGTACAGTAAAATAAATGTATTTGTGAACAAAAATAATAAGATTTCAGTAATGGGAAAAGATCAATCGTTTAAAATGACTCATGAGAAAGTCGAAACGGAAGTTGTTGTTGAAAGAGAGTCTAAAAGTGTATTTTAGGGAGGGATCAAAAATTACGACTTACGTTGACAACAAAGCTTTGCATTCATGGCATCTGGCAAGAAGATATGTTCAGAGTGGTCTTCTTTCTGAGGAAAAATTAACTTCTGCTCAATAAGATTATACTTTTTTGAGACGTCTTCTCCACATTCGTTGGCGCTTGTCATCCCAAATACAAAACCTGGGTTGCTGAATGTTTTAGAAAAATGATAAACAGGATCGTCTTGAATCGTAATCATTACGGATCGTACAGGAATCGTAATCGTTCAGTAATCGTAATCGTACTGGAATCGTAATCGTGCAGGAATCGTTCGTTTTTTTGTATGGGGGAAAAAGCTAGAGGAACTGATAAATTACCTGGACATTCTTCCATGATGGCGATTGGTGAGAGATCTGGGCACTTGCACTCGTATCCTCCCTATTTGAACAAAATGATTGTTTGAAAAAATATTTCGTTTTTTTACCATCTTGTTGAAGCAGAAAGCAGTTGGGTGACACATGTTGCTTCCATCGTCGCACTCGTCGATATCGAGACATCCTCGGATGCCCATACCATCTCCGCTGTAGCCTTCTGGGCAAGAGCAAGTGTAGTCGTTCTCGCCAAGTGGCATGCAAGTAGCCAGTGGATGGCATTTGGTTGGGCCGTTGCATCGCTCGTTGAAGATGCAGTCGAAGGTTCCGAAGAGATTGTTGCAGAACTCGTTCTGGAAAGACTGGCAGTTGTGGGTTCCTTCCTTGCACTCGTCGATATCCTTACAGCCTCGGTTCTTGTTTCCTCGCTCATCTCGTGAGAGCTCACCGTTACCTTCCAAACCGGCTCGGCACTTGCACATGACGTCACCGGGCTGAGTTGGGTGGTTGTAGCAGTCGGCGTCGGGGTCGCACTCTCGCTGGGCCATGAAGCAAGCGGTTGGGGAAATGGTTGGTGGTGGCGGAGTGGTTGTCTCTGGGAAGCAGAAGAACTTGTCGTCGGGGCCAGTAGGCATTGGGTTGTCGATGCAGATCTCACCGTCGGCACAGTTGTCAAGCTCGTAGAAGCACTCGTCGATGTTGATGCAGCCCTTAGGAGCAGCGCTCTGGCCGGATCGGACATCTTCGTAGGATGGGATAGCGTTGACCAAAGTGTGGATCATTCCCATGCTTCGGGCACCATCACCGTTGTTATCGAGCAAGTATTCGAGACCAGAAGCAACTCGTCGCTTTCGTCGCATACCATCACCGAAAGTGAACTGACCATCACCATAGAGACCGTCCTGACATTCGCAAGTGTAGCCAAGCTCGTTGTTTTCATCAGGAATGCAGGTGGCAAGAGGATGGCAGTTGTGTCGAGAGAAGTCGCAGACGCCGAGTGGATCTGGATCGCTAGTACAGTAGAAGCTACCTTCAGTGTTGATGCAGACGTCAACGACGCAGTTGTGGAGGCCGAGCTCGCACTCGTCAATGTCGACGCATCCTTCTGGAGATTCGTATGAACCCTGACCGTAAAGACCTCCAACAGCGGCAAGTCGATTACCCTTTCCATGGAAACCTTCGGCACAGAGACAGTGGTATCCATCTTCGGAGTAGTCAGCAACGCAAGTAGCATTGGCGTGGCAAAGGTTATCAGCCTGGCCGCACTTGTCGACGCAAGTGTAGCTACCATCAAGATCAGTACAATCTTCTTCAGCCATGCAGCCGTGGTCGCCAGTAATACATTCGTTGATGTTCTGGCATCGTGGTTGCCCGTAAAGAGAGTGGACGCATGAGGCGTAGCAGTGAGGATCTCGCTCGTGGAAGCACTTGAGCATGCAGATATCTTCGTAACCTTGCTCACATCCGCAGGCGAACTCTTTTCGCTCTGGCTGGATGATGGTGCAAACACCTCGCCATCCGCATGGTTGGTCAACGCAGATCTTGTTAGGATCGACTTCGTCTGTGCATTCAAATGAACCATGAGTATCGATGCAATAATCGTGAGCAGCAGTCAAAACACCATCGCAAGCAAGTGGGTTGATGCACTCGTCAATGTTGAGGCAATCAGTGGCGAGGCCAGGATTGTTCTCTTCAAATCCAGGTTCGCACTGGCAGAAAGCAATGTCCTTCTGGGTGGCATCAACGACACATTCACCTCGCTTGGCAACAGCGTCAGTAGCACCACAGTCCATGTTGTCACAAAGACCAAGTGGATCATCCTCGGTGCTGCACTCAAAGCCAACAGTAGCGGCGAGATCAGTGACAACTGTGTTAACACACCAGCCACCAACTGTGCCACAGTTGTTAGTGGAAGCATCAGCACACTCGTCAACATCAACACATCCAGCAACACCATCAACAGTGCCTTCAGCCATGAGGCCTGCAGCGCCGCAGTCGCAGTAGTATTCGTCCTTGGCAGCACCTCGAATAAGGCAGCCGAAACCGTTGAGAGTACACCAGTTATCCGGAGCAGAGCAAAGACCGTGTGGATCAGCAGAGATGTTGCATTCGTAGCTACCTTCGTTATCCATGCAGATGCAATCACCAATGCTTCCAGTACAGTCGGTGGTTCCATCGTTGAATGAGTCACAGATGGTTATATCAGTACATTCATCAACGTTGACGAACTTCCAGATGCCGTCATCAGCAAAAGTAGTTGTGTCTTGGACCCATCCGGGTTCAGCAGTGCAGACAACAACGTCTCGGTTCTCAAGAGAGACATCAGTAGAGCAAAGAGATTGTCCAACTGGGCATGGACCGTTAGCAGCGCACAACTGGAATGGATCAGCGTCATAAGAACATTCAAATCCAGAACCTTCTCGGTTGACGCAAACTGGTTTGTAAACTGGTGGAACATCAGTAAGCGGATCGTATGGGTAGTCAATGCTATTAGTACAGTCATGGATGCCTTCCGCGCACTCATCGACATCGACGCAAATGTTACCACTGCCGCCGGCCTTGATGACACAGTTTCTGTAGCAGAAAGTGTAACTGGAGCCGCACTGGTAGAGACAGTCATCTCTGTAGTTATCCTTGCAGTGGCATTCGTGATCCCAGAGAGCACCTGGCTTGGGCATGCAGTTAGAACCAGCGTTGCAGGTATGCTTGCCTGGCTTGCAGACACCGTATGGATCGTTGATACAGAGGAAACCTCCATCAGTATCGATACAACCCTCAGTAGCTCCACAAGTATGAGTCATCTCTGAGCATTCATCGACGTTGACACACCCCTTTGGACCAGCATGGTAAGCTGGAGTGAGTCCTCGGCCGGCCTGTTTGTTTCCGTTACCCTTGTATCCGGTTCGGCAAACACAATCGTATTCACGAGGAGAATATGGGTTAAGAATACAGTCAGCGTTGTCATCACAGTCGTTGTCGAAGCATGGGGTGCTATGTTCCCAAGCAGTGACATCACTATCAGCTGGAAGACAGACATGAGATCCTGGGAAGTTGACGCAGATTTCGCCTGGACAGACACTTGGGTCCTCGCATTCGTCGACGTCGGTACACCCCTTAGGTCCCTTGGCAGATCGAGCATCATCTTCGTTGGGCTTGTTGTTTCCGTTTCCGAAATATCCATCGGGGCACATGCATTCGTAGCCTCGCTTATCAGCGCTGCTTGGAACGCAAGTAGCCAGGGAATTGCAAGTGTGAGCATTCTCTCGGCAAACGTAATCAGGATCTTCCAAGCACAAGAAGCCACCTGGGAAGTTAGAGCAGATCTGTCCCCATCCGCAAGCATGGTCGTTTTCGTAGCACTCGTTGATATCGAGGCAAAGAGGGGAAGCACCAACATTGACGCACTTCCATCCATCAGCACAAGTATGAGTAAGGCATGGTTCGGCTTCTGGGACAAATGGTGGGTTTGCAGTAGGGTAAAGAGTGTCTGGGTTAGCTGGATCAGATGGATCAAGTGGACCGGATGGCTGGCCGATGACCATGATTGGGTCAGTATCCTGGCAAGCGAATGTACCGGGCAAGTTGAGGCAGAACTGGTTGACCTCACAATTGTTGTTGCCAGTCATGCACTCGTTCTCATCAATACATTTGTATCCCTGGTAAGTTGGGACGGCCTGGCAAGTAAATCCGGCACTGCATGGGTTGGCAGCGCAAACGTTGAAAGGATCACTATCACCGAGACAAGTGTAAGCTCCGTCGAGGTTGAAGCAGTACTGGTAAGCAGAGCAATCATCGACGTTAAGTTTGCATTCATCAACATCAACGCAGCCCTTGGCTCCTCCGTAGGCAACGCCATCAATTTCAGTGGATTGTTGCTCCTTGCCATTTCCTTTGTAACCAGCTGCGCAGATGCACTGGTATCCAGACTTAGCGTTATGATCGGGAACACATGCGGCAAGATCGTCGCAGTCGTGAGCGCCATAGCTGCAGACACCGAAGGCATCACCAGTGTGGATAGGGTTGGCGCAGTAGTAACCGCCGTCGATGTTTCGGCAGATCTTGTCAAGAGAGCATGGGTTAGATGGAGCAGCACACTCATCTACATCAACGCAGCCGCCAGCGACAGGCTTGCCACTGCCAGTGAATCCAGAGTTGCAGACACAATCATAACCGTTGGCAGACAAACTGTTGGCAACGCATGTAGCATCAGAGTGGCAGAAGCTACCCATGCAGGCGTTTGTAGCGTCGTTGAAGCAAAGGAATCCGGGGTTAGTATTGAAGCAGTTCTGAGAAGCAGTGCAGTCATGAGATCCGTCGAAGCACTCGTTTCGGTCGACGCAGACAGCCTGGTTATTTTTGACGTCGCAAGACTGAGTAGAAGAGCAGGCGTGGTTACCAGCTGCACATCGATTGATGGGGATGGAGCTTGGGATGCAAGAATAGGATTTGTAAGAGTTTGAGCATTGGGTTCCTGCAGGGCAAATGCTTGGATTCAAGCACTCGTTAGTGTCCATGCATTCAGCAGCGCCAGTGGCACTGTTGACCTGGCATTGAAGTCCAGTCTCACAAGCGAATCCTTGGCAAGGATCGGCAGAAGCGACACCGTAGCAGTGGTAGCTACCGATGTTGTTGTAGCAGATCTGGCCGTGCTGGCAGTTGTCCAAGTTGAATTTACACTCATCGAGATCAACGCAGCCCTTTGGTCCTCCTTCCAAGATTTCGCCTCCAGTAGCATAAGAGTATTGTTTCTTTCCGTTTCCTCGGAATCCTTGCTGGCACTCGCAAGTGTAGCCAACCTTGTTGGTGTAGCTGATCTGGCATTCGGCCAAGTGGTGGCATTCGTGCTGTCCAGTCTGGCATGGGTGTCCAACGTTTGGCTCGGAAGTACAGGTGTAGCTTCCAGGAGTGTTGTAGCAGAACTGGCCAGTAGCTTCACAGTTGTGCATTCTGAGCTCGCACTCGTCAACATCTTTGCAGCCCTTTGGCCCGTTGTTTCCAAAGGCAACATCGAAGACTGTTCGGCTGAACTGGAAGTTACCGTTTCCATACCATCCGACGTTACAGACGCAGTCGTATCCGGCCTTGGTGTTGTATGCTGGGTAGCACTCGGCATTAGCATCACAAGTAACTCCATCGCATCGTCCAAGAGGATCGTCGCTTGGCTGGCAGCTGTAGCTACCGACAGTGTTGACGCACTTTTCGCTGTTGGTGCAGATGTTCATAAGTGGGAAAAGACACTCATCAATATCAACGCAACCGATTCCATCCTGGTAGAAGAAACCAGCTGGGCAAGCGCAGAAAGCAGAACCAAGATCAGCGGTGAGAGTACATTCGGCACCAACACCGATGCAGACAAGACTGTTGGGGTTAGTAGGATCGCAGAGTCCGTTTGGATCTGGGTTGCTTGCATCTCGGCACTCGAAGGAACCTTCAGTGTTAACGCAGTCTTCTCCATCGGGAGATCCGACACATGGGGAAGTCAAACACTCATCGATATCGACGCAGGTTGGCCCAGAAACGTCGAGCTCGAATCCGGCGAAACAAGTGCAAGTGTAATCGGTCTTGGAGGCACCAACGACGCAGGTACCGAATTGACCACATTTGTGAGCGCCAACGGCACAAACTCCGAATGGATCGGCGGAGTCATCACAGACGTAAGAGCCAGGAGTGTTGACACAAACGGAGTCTGGGACGGCAGAGCAATCAAAACTACCGTTATCGCACTCGTTGTCATCAATGCAGCTTCCAAGTGGACCGCCAGCGTTGAATCCAGGATCGCAAACGCAGATGAAGGTTTCTCGGTTGTTAGCGTCATCGGGTTGGCAAGCTCCGTTGAGGAAGCAAGCAGTAGCTCCGGGAGCTCCTGGAGCGCAGACTCCATATGGATCAGCATCAGCGCTGCAAGCAGCACCGCCGTCAGAGTTGACACAGTAGACAGCAGTTGGGTCGCTACCATCAGATGGAGGACAAGTAAGAGCGCCGGTGGCACACTCATCGATATCAGCGCAAGTGAAGTCGGAGTCCTGTTGGTACCCAGCACCGCAATCGCATGTGAAAACAGTCTTGTCAAGAGGATTAACTGAGCAAGATGCTGGGGCAATGCATGGATTGGTACCAGTGCAAAGACCGAATGGATCAGCATCAGTAGAGCAGGAGTAGCTTCCGTCATTGTCAACGCAGACAGAAGCTGGGACAGAATCGCAGATAGTTGAGTCCATTTTGCATTCGTCGACGTTGACACAATCATTGAGGGCCAAATCAGCAATGTATCCATCCTTGCACTCACATACTGGAGACATAAAATCTTCAGATGGGGTACAGTCAGCATTGACAACGCAAGCAACATCGCAAACGTTGAATGGATCAGCATCGGTAGTACAAACGTAGCCACCGACTTGATTAATACAGTTCTGTCCGGCAGCACATGGGTTAAAGCTACCAGAGCACTCGTCAATATCGATACACTCGAATCCCTTGAGGTTCATGGCAGGAATACAAGCAGACTTCTGGGCAGAGCATTCCATCTCACCAGCGGAACCTGGAGCGCATTTTTGTTCTGGATCTGGTTCACCTCGGCAGACGAATCCAGCTCCGAAGTTAGTGTTGACACAAAGCTGCTTTGGAGTACAAGTGTGAGTTCCTTCAAGGCACTCGTCGACATCCTGGCAAGAGAAGCCAGAGTAGACATATGGGTTGGGAACGCATTCTTGAGTAGATTGGCAAGTTGATGTAGCGCATTTGTTGAATGGATCGTAGTCTCCGCTGCAAGAGTATCCACCGTTAAGGTTGACACACTGCTGGTGGGGAGAGCATTTGTCTCTGCCAGTGGCGCACTCATCAACATCGACACATCCAGCAGGGTTTTGTTGGTAAGAGATGCCATCAGACTTGCCGGTTCCATAGAATCCAGCCTTGCAGGTACATTCGAAACCGGCCTTGCTATCAGTTGGGATACAAGCAGCAAGTGGGTGACAGTTGTGAGCGCCAGCAGCACAGACTCGAAGAGGATCGTATCCAACAGAGCACTCGTACTTACCAATCTGGTTGACACAGGTCTGTCCATCAACACACTGGTGAGTTCCAGCTTTGCATTCATCGATGTCGACGCATCCCTTTGGTCCATTGGGTCCATAGGCAAGCTGTCGGCCATCCTGTCGGTTTCCGTTTCCGTGGTAACCGTTGATACAGTCACAGTCATAACCTCGCTTAGCGTAGGAAGGTCGGCAGATGGCCATGGCATGGCATTCGTGGGCACCGAAGGCGCATGGACCTTCGTGTTGAAGACAAGTGTAAGAACCGGGGATATTGGCGCAGTATTCCTGGGAGGTACACTTGTGCTCTCCGGTTGAGCACTCATCGATGTCGTTACATCCCCAAGTACCAGTCCAGTCGACACCCCAGTAGTATCCAGGTGGGCATCGGCAAGTAGATGACATCTTATCAGCAGAAACTTCGCATGTAGCTTCTGGAACAGAAGCACACTTGTTGTTCCAGCCCTGACACTTTCCGAATGGATCGGGGTTAGAGTCGCAGTCAAAACCACCATCAAGGTTTTTGCAAACCTCGAAGATGCTGCAGCTGTTCAAAGACTCATCAGCACACTCGTTGATATCCTCGCAAGTTGGGTTGCCATTAGCAAGGGTAGTGAGCGAGTAAGTAGTGGCGTCGCTGCAAGTGCATGTGTAGACAGTCTTATCGGTAGCATCAACCTGGCAAAGATGGCCGATTCCACATGGGTTGCTGGAATCACTGATATCAAGACCGCAAAGGTTGAGTGGATCATCAGCAAGATCGCATTGCGAAGCCTCACCAATACCCTCAATGCACCAACCAGTGGTACAGAAAGCTGGGCAAGTGACTTCATCGACACATTGACCAGTTGTAAGGTCATTGACGTAGTGAGTTGGGCAGACACAGGTTCGAACGTAGGCATCCATATCGCCAACAGCAGTGCAGACAGCAGTATCAAGATCACATCCGTCAGTGCTGCAGATGAAGTCTGAGAACTCAACGGCAGTCATGCATTCGTATGATCCAACGTTGTTAACGCAAACATCACCAAGACCTGGGCAAGGGCTAGCCATCATGTCACATTCGTTCTGGTCAATGCAAGCTCCGGTCAGATCAGCGGCGTATCCAACGTTGCAAGCGCAAGTTCGGCTGAGTTTGTCGTCAGAGACAAGGCAAGTAGCACCCTCTTGGCACTCGTAGTTCTCACAAAGACCGTAAGGATCTGGGTGAGTGGGATCTCGGCATTCGTAAGTTCCAACAAGGTCAACGCAGAAAGAACCAACTGGGCAATTATGAGCACCAACAGCGCAGTTGTCTGGGTCAGAGCAAGTGTAGGAACCGTCAGTAACGACACAAGTAGTGAGTCCCATTGGATCGTCAGCACATGGATTGTCCTCGATGTTGCAGACGTTATTGGGATCAGCGACACCGATGCAGTAGTGGCTACCAGCAGAATTAACGCAAGACTGGTGAACGGTGCAATCGTGGAGGCCAAGATCGCACTCGTTGTCATCAACGCAAGCGTAGAATGGCGAAGTAGATTGCTCGTAGCAGGAGTATCCAACTGGGCAGAGACCAGCAGCGGAGCAGACCTTTGGTGGCGCAATCTCCAAGCAGAGGAATTTACCTTGGTTGGCGTGGACGTTGTGGCAAACTTCAGCTTCGGGGATACAGTTGTGAGTTCCTTTTTTGCATTCGTTCACGTCCTGGCAGCCCTTCTTGCCTCGTTGCTTATCACCAAAGAAGTCGTTGGCGGTCATCGAGTTACCATTGCCGACGAGACCGTCCTTGCAGATACAGTCGTATCCTCGGAAAGCATCGCTGGGGACGCAGACAGCGTCGTGGTGACATTCGTGATTACCAGCGGCGCAATAGCTGTTTGGATCTGGCTCTGATGAGCAGTAGAATCCACCTGGCTGGTTAACGCAAGTTTGACCAACGCACTGGTGAGCTCCGGTCTTACACTCATCGATATCGACGCAACCCTTTGGTCCGTTTGGTCCGTAAGCGATCTCTTCGGAAGAGGTCAAGACCAAAGAACCGTCGGAGACGACGTACTGAGCATTTCCGTTACCCTTGTAGCCGCTGACGCACTCGCAGTCGTAACCTCGCTTTTTGGAAGCATCTGGGATGCAGATTGCCATCTCGTGGCATTCATGAGCACCAGCAGTGCAAACGTGGAAGGGATCTGGGAGAGCGGAGCAGACGAAGGAGCCGTAAGTGTTGACGCACTTCTGGCCGAGCTGGTTGCAAGTGTTGTAGACAGCGCACTCATCAACATCAGTACAGCCGGGCATGCCGACTCCGGTGTCGTATTTGAAACCGTTGCCGCCGAAGCCTTCGAAGCACATGCAATCGTATCCTTTTTCGTTGTTGTCTGGGACGCAAGTAGCAGTGGAAACGCAAGCGTGAGTTCCATCGTAGCAAGCGGCCCCAATTGTTCGAGAACCGCCCTTGGTGGCCTTGCAGTGGTAGCTACCGACGGTGTTGATGCAAGCTTCGTTGTCGGTACAATCGTGTCGTCCAGTGAGACATTCGTTGACGTCCTCGCAGTGCTCGCCGTCACCGGTGTAACCGTTTCGGCAAGTACACTGGAAGCTGAACGCTCCTCGTCGGAAAGTGCACACGGCATCTTCGTGGCAATTATGGGTACCAACGGCGCATCGTGAGGCTCGCTCAAAACCGAAGCTCAAATTCTGTATACCAGCATTGGCACCGTTGCTGGCAGTCCCAGAGGCGCTTTGCCCCTAAATCAAGAAATTAGATTTCCGCTAAAGATTTATTCAATCTCTTAAAAATCTCTAACGAACCTGCACTCCTGCTAAAAATAGCAGTAAAGGGGAGGCCTTCATGCGTGGAGTGGTTTTGCCTTGCTTCCGAGCTAGAGATCCGAGTTTATATGCGTTTTAGATAAGCGCCGTAGATTGCGATAGAGATGCGACTTGCTGCGATTTCTGCGGAAACCAACGTTAAGCTGACTAAAATCGCGGTTTTTGTTTAACAAACTTCGATTGGATTTTATTACTTAGTAAATATGACATTTCGAGTTGCTTTCTAGCGCATGTTATCCTTTTTAGATGTAATATTTACTCAATAAATGTATAAAAACGAAACGCTTTTTGATAATTTTTGAAGGAAAAATGATTTTTCTCTGGCTCATTCCATTCCTTGCCGCTCAGGTAATCGAAGAGAAAGAATGCATAACTCCGCCGCTGATTACCGACTTTGATCTCGCCGCGTACTCTGGAATGTGGTGGAGCTTAGCGTCCTATCCTGCAAGATATCACATTGAGAATTCAAGATGTGTGAGATTATTCTACGACTTGGAGGAGGACAGCGACCGGCTTTATGTTAATAACACTTCATTGAGGCCAGATGATGAGGGAAATTATTACTTAGGGTGGAGTCAAGGTGCCTGATTAATTATTTATTGGATGAAAATAAATGACTTACTTCAGGATACGGTTATCAACAGTACTCTCGACGGGCGCCGAATCTTCTTTATGTGGACTTTAGAAACATTTTTGACCCCGATGAGCTGATCCGTCCAAATTACTGTAAGACGGTCTTACTAAGACCTCCATATTTTTTCCCGAATTTTTTTCTATTTCAGGGGTCTTGGAGACGGATTATGAAGAATACGTGTACGGAAGCAACTGTAACTACAATGGCACTCACAGCAGCAGATCATTTTGGTTCCTAGGACGAGAGAAGGATTTCGCCAATTCAGAGAAATTTCAAATGTTGCTGGAAAAAGCCACAAACGACTGGGGATTGAAAGAAGAGTTCCTTGAATATCGCAATAATGACAACTGTACCTTTGACTACATACAGGATGAATAAATTATCGTTAATGATCACGGAGGCCGAAAAAAAGGAGCAATTAAAACATTCCCCGTGCATGTCCGATCTGCTGGCCCGTATTATCCGAGCGATTGATACAGATTTAAATATTTATAATTGAAAAACACTTAGGTCAGTGAGGCGCGATATCGGATTTTAATAGCAAATATTCACATGATATCACAATGGCCCTGAAGTGTCCGTTCTTCTGCCTGAGTGGATTCAGTACAGTCGCTTGATATCGGTCAAACCAAGCCGCAAAAATAAGTTCCAGGGTTTCCTTGAATTTTTCATCTGAAAGAGATAAAGAAGGAGAGTTTCTAGACACCTGTTACTGTCAAAAAGAACCACGGTACCGTCCAAGCTTGAATGGTAGATAACCATCTAGCTAGTAGCTATACCAGAACGCACTGAAGCTTGACCGTAAATTGAACCGTATCCATGAACCGTAAACCATGAAAAACGAAGCCCAAATCTCCAAGTCATAAACACTACCTTGACCTCGAGAAAGAGAAAACAAAAATAAAACGAAGAGTAATTATTTTTCAAAACAAAAAGGAAGCCGGGCAAAATGGATAGAAGCTTGACGAGGACAATAAGGCGGGGATAATAAAAAAACTGTGTGTTTTTGTTGTTGAGGGAAGAAAATTATTCTTCCGAGATAATGCGCAGAGTATGAATAGAGACGTACAATTATTATCCTGCTTGAGTTTGCTTCTCTTCTCGTTATTGATATTTTGTTATGTTGGATTATTTGAGCATGCGGGTTCGTGGTCGAAAATAACCTTCAGGTAAGAATGATTTCAAACCACATTTCATTAAAATTTTCTAGCACTGGAAGATATCCAGCCCCAAATTTTCTCCGAAAAGCAAAAGTCGAAAGTCCAAAAACTCCAAAAACTACACAGCCCGAACCTCCATCTTTCTCGGAATCGAGTTACTCTGATAATGAACCAACAATCCTCTCTTCTAAAAAATCTGTCTCAACGATTCATCTTCGCTCTCCACCACCGAAAAACCCAGATCCTCCAACCAAAAATGAAATTATTCAATTCCCAGTGAATTCGACGATTCAAGAAAACCACATTTATGAAACTTTTGAAAAAAGAAAAAAGCACCTGAATTTCGTCTGCAAGCGACTGCGACAAGTCGTGGATCTAAATCAAAATAAAGCGGACAATTTCGACGAGCTCCAACAATTTCAAAAAGATCTTCTTCAGTCAAAAGAAGACGATAAAGCTTGCAAACCGATAACTCACCCAGCCGGGCTGTTAGATAATTTATTCAAAAGCGAAGGTATTCTTTTTACCTGGACTCAGAAACCTGTGTAGAAAACCTGAGTCAGGGTCTGAAAGAGCGGCTTTTCATTTCAGCTCTTTCAGACCCTGACTCAGATTTTCTACACAGGTTGTCGAGCCCAGATTACTACTCTCAAATTCGGGGATTATTTCATTTTAGATTATAAAATCCGAACTTGTCTACCGACCAAAACTGGGAGCACAAGCTGGTTGAGGACACTCATCTCGCTAGAAACGTACCATGGAAGCAAGAGCCCAGACCAGGTTCGCGAGTCCTGGGGTTCTTACAGCCAGAGAATGTGGAAAAACGCCTGGCTCCTGGAAGAGCAAGTCAAGACAAAGACAGGTGATCAGGGATGGATGAGTTTGATGACTGTGAGGCATCCGATGGCGAGACTGTATTCGGCTTGGAAGGACAAGTTCAGAAAGGGGCAGCCTTGGTTGAAAGTCATTGAGAAGCAGTTTCAGGTAGGAACTACTCAACGAGGAGGAGTAGAAAAAGCTAAAATGTCTTGTTTTTAGTACTATCTTTTACGACTTGAACGGAACGACATGTCAAACGCAGCTTACGAGTACTCCTTCGAGGCATTCGTCGAGCTGGTTGCTTTGACAGACTTCGACGGGCAGCGAGATCGGCACTGGACGTCCATTCATACCTATTGCAACCCGTGCGCCATTCCTTACGATTTCATCGTCAAGCAAGAATACGGCTTTGAAGAAAATGACTATCTCCTGCAAATTTATGACCAAGAAGGAAAATACCAAAATTTGAAAAGCATCCCGAAGCGTTCACAGTGGGGACATCAGCTTGACGAGAAACCAATCGAAGTTGAAGACATGCTGGAGCCGTGGAAAGACATCAGCAAGACGACAATCAAGCAGATTTACAAGACGTTTTATTTAGACTTTGTCTATTTCAACTACAGCATCGACGAATTCATAGCCGTCGGGAAAAACGGTAAGCGTCTATTCTCAGAATAACGAGTCTTCAATATTGACATCATTTTAAGATGACGGGGTTCTTGATGATGTCAAAAAGACAATGAAGACGAAGATAAACGCGCAGAGCTCTAAAGTCAAATGGATGGACACCAATCACTGCAGGGACAGTTTTAATGAAGCTTGTCAGTTCACGGAAATGACTGGATATAGGCTCAACTGCAAGGGTTACAAGCGGCTTTCTTTTTCTACTTACGAAGGTAAAAAAAGGTCTATTTTAGGAGTGTCGTCACGAATCGACAAAAAATACCGAAAAATTTTGCGTAGGCGGCTACTCGGCCGCTGATTGGCCGGCTAGCCAAATCCAGGCTTCTGATTGGCTGAAAATTTTCACGCAAATTTTTCGTAGTTTTTTGTCGATTCCTGACACCTCCTCCTATTTGAATGGTTTTTCTCGAAAATTTGCATTAAAATTATGCAATTAATCTTTCAGAAGCAGAAGCATTTGCGTGCGCAGACGAAGAAATTACTGGCATCGGCCTCTCAGCCGGCCAATACTGCGTCTCTTCGATAGAAGGATCTTTAACGAAGACAACCGAAAAAGGCCGGAGTAGAAGCTGGATTAAAAAGGAACACCCCGTTCTTATTTCTAAATAATTAATGCCCTTTTGAGCTGTATTTTGTATCTTTTTGTACAGAAAAGTCTACTTTTGACTGTATATAAAAATATAGATAAATTATTTTCCAAGTCTCTTTTCTGCGGTTGAATTTGTTTTCGATATTGAAAATAGTCGAGAAGAGAATTGAAGAGTTGAGGTGACGTCAGATGGTTCTGTAAAAGACAGGGCTTGCATATAGTTACTGACTCTTCGGCTGCTCAAATAATATAATTCAGACGTCAGAGTTCGACATTCACATTATTTAACGCAGCAAGAGTTGAGCCTTCGCGCAGTGCGAAAAAATCGTTTCTCAGAAGAATCAGATCACATTAGATTTTTTTTATATTCAGACAGATAGAGAGAGCATTTTGTCGGTCACATCTGCACATCGCGCATTACAGTAGATTACTGTACACGCGGCACAAAAAAAGGATAACTCAGATTATCGATATCATTTGCATCAGATATTTTTGTTCAGAGAATGATTTAAAAAATCAGGTTGATTTGAGAAAAACAAACATGCGAAAAGCGATGTAAAATGGGGACATGCTCCTGCTTCAAGATCAAAATTACGTTCGAAATTGGAAGCCACTCGGTAAAAAAGTGAAAAAACACGGGATCTTAGGGTCTTTTTCAGCCTGTTCCAAGAAATAATGAAATATCAGTCACGGAAATCGAAGCAATTCAGCAAATAAACAACCATCTCATCGGTAAGTCGTTCTCCTTGTTGTCTCCAAAAAAGAGCATCATTAAGGAAATGAAATTGAAAAGATCCGTAAGCTGCTCCCGTCAGAATATCGCAAGTCTCGCCAAAGGTTTAGCCGCATTTTCATTTCTTCCTCGATTCTGAAATTTATTCTTTAGCGAAATTGAGTCGCATCTGACGACGCTCAAGAAGATCGAATCCTTTATCCGTCAGGTATGGAAACGGCGAATACAGTACCTGGTAGTCACTTCGTACTTTTAAGACAAACGCGGAAAAAATGAGCTCTTTCTTTCCGAGCGCGCATCATAGCGTGAACAACAGCGAGCTTCCAAGGAGAGTAGCATCAATTTTAAATGAACAAATCATGATTTTGGTTAGCTATCAAAAAAAAGCCCTCAAATCTCCACGACAAAATCACTTTGCGCATCGCCAAATAGAGAGCGCGGCAATACATCCAGCCGCCTGTTTTTCCATTACCCAAGGCCCGAAATTTTCAAGGAATGGGTGGAACGCCTGGCTGGTTTTATAATCGGAACAACGAGTAACCCATCCAGGTCGAGTGTAAAAGCTTCACGGCAGTTTCATCTGCGCCTTTTCTGATTTCACCGTCGACGCCAAAAACTTTGAAAAAATATCACTCTTCGTTTACTCCTGGACTTCGTAAGTGCCTGGACAACCTGTGTAATAACCTGAGTCAGGGTCTAGATTCTAGAATACATCAAACAAGAAGCCCCGCAGCTGCTTTTTCAAAAACAATGCCGAAAAGCAGCTTCGCTAGAATCAGTAAAAGGATTGGATGGGCAATTTCAGACCCTGACTCAGGTTTCTACACAGGTTTCCGATCTGATAACTCAGATCTTAATTTGAGAGGCCAGCCGTTTTTAAAACCATTTCAGAATCGACGCCAAAGAAGTGGTAAAAATATATTTACAACTCGTCCAATACAGTCTTCTCTCTTTACATACTTACAGTCATAAATACAGTAGTACTTATTCATTTGAATAAAGAGAGCCGCTATTCAAGAGCATTCTTCTCTTCGTTGATTTCAAACACATCAGTCATCCAAATCAGCACCGCAATAAACGTACTCGTACAGAGAAAGAAGATAGAACAAGGATATTCCTGTTGATTTACTGTTGGGAATATAGAATAAGCAATATCCTTTTTTTTATTTCAAACATTCCAAGCACCAACAATGTTAATTATGCAAGCCAGGTCGGCCTTGTCCAAAGCCAAATGTTTTTTGTTCTCCTTCGAGTAGCGAATTGACTATCATAATGGCAATAAATTTATCAATCAAATATTTTTATGCTCACTTTTATCGACCAGTACAGGGCGATGGCTCCAGTGGGAGGGAATAAAAGTAGAAGAAGTAAGGAATAAAGGCACTGAAAAGAATTGAAATATACTGACTATGCTCGGAAACCTGTGTAAAAACCTGAGTCAGGGTCTGGAAGGTCGAAAAAGCTCCGGACCTTCCTAATCTTTCAGACCCTGACTCAGGTTTTCCACACAGGAACTGGGCGAGCTTGAAAACCTTTGATTTGCTGATATGCTGGAATAAAGAAAGCTCTGGCGGGTTGATTTGAATGATTGAATTCGACTTCGTTCCGACTGATACTCTATTTGAGCAAGAGGTAGCTCCACATTGATCCGAAGAAACTCTTGAACTTCGTCCAGAAAGAGGAGCACTTTCTTGTTGTTTTCGCTTGATTTCTTCGTGAAGGCGAGAATGCTTGCTTTCCTGGGCATTTTCCGCGAAAGCTTTGTCGAGTTTCAAAGGAATAATCCTCGATCTACAGTAGTTACAGTGAAAAACTTTCCTCTACAGAACTTTGCCGCCATTCTTCCATCATCTGTGATTTCAATTTTCACTGAAGCTGTTTCTAGGAGCGGATCATCAGGTGCTGAATACATTCAATCAAACATAAAATATGCATAAACCGATTGAAGTGATCAAAAATACCTTCGACGCGCAGAGCTGGAGACTCGTTTTCAGATGCCATTGATGTCTCTATGGTCGATTGATCTGAAAAAATAAATCTCGGCGGCGATGCCAACGTGGAAACATGGCTAGAAGAGGCGCTTGAATTTTTCATTTTCAAGCACCGAGGTTCACTTCTCGACAAGTGTTATTAGACTAAATACTTATACTATTGCTACATTTTTGGCTAGAAGACGGACTCTGTTAACAAGTCAAATGCGGACTGCTCGAAATACTCAACCCTCAGAACTCATCTTCCTATAATGATCGACTGAGGCGTTCCTGATTGGCTAAGAAGGGGGCGGGGAGAATTTAGAGCATTTCATTCGCTGAAATGAAAGAGCGCCACCTTTTTTTTGACAGCCAATCAGAATACGCAATTTATAATACGGTTTTTATGGGTCGATTGAAGTGTTTAGCCCAGTTTCAGATGCATTTTGACTTGCCTTGAATTTTCTCTGAAGGTTGTTTGTTTCCCATGCGGGTTGTCCCTGAGCGGATTTTGATGTCTCTCAAAAAACAGTTTTCGAATGAGGAACGACAGAGACCTGACAGGGGTCAGAATCATCGTTCAACCTGTTGATGGTAACAGTAGAATAATTTATTCGCTGGAATAAATTATGCAGCCCAGGAGTGAAGATTTATCAAACCATCTGTGTTTGTCCTTTCTAGCTAAACAAGCCGCCCGCTCGCTCTTTTTTTTTATTTCGTTTTCTTACTAAATTTTAATTTTATCAGCGGACCGAATTTTGCTTTGAAACTGAGGCATTTTGTATTTGCGAAAATTAACAGAAGCACAGAAAAAGTGATTATTTACAGATAGCGCCTTCTTTCCCACATCGGCACTCATTTTTCCCAACACATTCATTCGGCCAGAAGCCCCGGACATTTCTCTCATTCTCGCAGTAGATCAAGCAGAGTCCCTTGCAAATCGGCTGCGCAAAGTTGAACTTGCTCGTTTCGCAACCGCAAGTCGACTCTGGCTTCAAGCCCTAAACAAGTGATAAAACAGTACCAACAAGATTAAGAAGCACTTACCATGCAGTTGCTGAAGCCCATTCCGCACTGATTTGTTCCTTGCCTATTATTATACGTTGAGCAAACTTTTTTCTGAATAAAAATGGTAAAAAATATATGAAAATTTAGATTACCGATAAGGGACTCCATTTTTCTTTGAATCTACCGATGATATTTCCTTGTGGCGTGTAGTGACAGACTGTATATGTGGACAAAAGAACCGGAGGGATTGTATTTGGAGGTTGTTTTACTGGAAAAACCTAGATAAAAATTTAGGGTGAGAAATCTTGGCGAACGAAACTAGCATTAAGTGACGCTATAAAGTTAAAATTGAGCTTACCGCAGTACCGCAGCCGAGCTCAACCGAGTCCGGCCAAAGCAGCTGTGTCAAGTGCCCTACGGGGTCATTACGTCTTCGGCCCCTTTGCGGCGTCCGCGGGTTGAAGTAAAAAAGTTCAGCGTACCAGCGAAATACCGATTCGCGACAAGGATGGCCATTTTCTGTAAGATCCCAGGCGATATTTTCTCCAACATTTTTCGCACGGAACACTAGGGAGAAAATTCATAAACTGTACATTTTTTTCCTTGATTACTTGTTGGGGAGTCAGAGTGTGGCCAATTTTTCGTCCTCTGTCTGGTGCTATTTGGCGTTTTTGGCGCGCGGGATTTCAATTCTGTCGCCCACTTTTGAGCAGTTGAGGCAATTTTCGTGTTCCACGTCATCGGTTTCAAATTATGAAGGGCTCGGAAAAAGTTGTGGTAGTCCAGACATTCCTGGTTGAAAAACGAAAGGTCGCCAGAGTTCAGTGATCGTGCCATTCCCATTTCATTCGTGGCCCCGAACTTCGATTGCCCGGGCTGACAAGATTGCTGATTGCACGGATCGCGCTGGAAATCTGGTCCGGGACATCCTTCAAATCCTGGCTTTCCAGTGGAACAGGTTCGCCTTCGTTCTTTCTTTCCTCCGCCGCAGTTGACGTTGCAAGCGCTCCATTCGCCCCAAGAATTCCATGCAGGACACCACTGACTCATCGTGCAAGGTCGCTGGTTGTAAGGATAGCTGCTTTTTGGCTCGTTCTTGCAAGCGCCGGAAATGCACGTTTGATAGCTGAGTTGCATCCCTCTGCCGCATGTTTTTGAACAAGGACCCCAAGGACCATATGATCCAAACTGCGATCTTTGACCAAATGGACATGGAAACCTGTTACAACCTCTCGGCTCTTGATGCCAGGATAGATATTGCCCGGTTCTCGCGTTTTTCTGACAGCCATCGTTGCAGCTTCTCTCTCGGTACTGATGACCGCCTCCACAAGAACGGGTGCAGCGGGACCACTGACTCCAAGGAGTCCAACCCTTGTGGTTTTTCGGGACTGGTCGTGTTGTCATTGGACGTCTGGTCGTTTGAGGCATGGTTCGGCGGGTTGTTGGAGGGCGACGGGTTGTCCTTGTTGTCTTCGGCCGAGGAGTAGTCAGCTTGAAGCTGGGAATTGGTACTTCTCGGACGCTGACTGGCCTAGAAAGAGCATAAATTTACGATACACCGCCGAATAAAATAATCATGAGGGTAAAAAAGGCTGGCAATATTCAATAAGAAGGATTGAATATTAATATATAAAAATTGATAAGCATCAAGTATAATAATTGTATTATACTTTTTGTTTGACTGCTTTGGCGACTTCTTCGCATTCTTCTTTGGCGGTGGCGTTGCTACTTTCCTATTATCACAGCTTGGGCATTTTCGCTTTTCCATCCACGGCGTTTTGTTGCTCTTTGACCAGAAGACCTTGCAATCGCCCTTGTTTCCAAGACACAGTCGCTTTCGAATTTGTTCGCAAGAGTTGCTGCACTCTTGCCACTCTCCCCAGCCGGACCAACCGACTGGCATCGAGAATTTCCAAGGATACCATCTGTAATGACAGCATGGCTTGAAATCGATCAGATCGGCTCCACCCTGGCAGCAGATTTTGTCCTCGTCTTTCGTAAACACTCGCGTTCCAAAGGGCATTCCGAGCTTTCTGTTGTTCGCCACATTTACTTTTATCGACGGATAAGCAGGGTTGTTCAACTCTGAGCTTCCAACGTACAATTTGAATCCGAAAAACTGATTCTTTGACTCATTGCAAGGAGCACCAAGGATCGCCCATCGGTCGACGACATCACGGAGTAAGCACAAATACACTTCGCGGACAAAGGGGCCGGTGGGTTTTTCGTAAAAGCTGATGAGCTCAGTTCGCATGTTTTCATGAACGGGTTCGAGTTTGTTGGTGATCGTGTAGATTGCGCGCCCTTTTACGGAAACTTCCACCATGTAAAAATACTAAAATCATGTCAACATGTTACTAAGTCATTAAAAAATTTCAAGTCACCTTTATCGGTCCATTTCCGAAGTAGTCCATCGAAGGCCCGAGATGTTTCTGTCCAGCGGACTTGACAAAAATCGACAAAAATCCTGCATCAATTTCATATCCTTCCAAGTCTTCGTTAGCTTTGTCAGGCTTTCCTTTCTCTATTAGTTTCTTGACTCTCTCTTCCAGGCTGAAGACTTCTTCCGCAGAGATGGCTTCAGTTTGATTCTGGAAGCACTGACTGCTCTCTTCATTTTCTTAAAAAAAAACGATACAATTTTAGATGGCTCAAAACTGAGGCTGAGCTCAACAACCTGTGTCAGGGTTTGAAATGTCCTTAATGAAAAGCCGCGTAGCGGCTTTTTTAAAAACGAAGCCGCGAAGCGGCTTCGCAAAGTTACCAATCAAATCTTCCTCTAAATTCTTGCGACCTTTCAAACGCTGACTCAGATTTTTACACAGGCTGCTAAGCTCAGAACAGAGGACATTGAAATTTGAACATTTGAAATTTACCATTGCAGTATTCTTCTTCTGATATATACAGTGGCTCTAAATGAATAGTATCTTGATATTCTCGGCAGCTAGTAGTAATGGGAGAATCTTCTGAGAACTCTTCATACTGTACTTCTGCTTGAATTTCTACAAAAAGCGCTAGAAAAAGGAAACTCAAACTCGCCCAAGCTGTCATCGGGCGAACTGTCTGAGTTGTAGAATGATCTGACTGAAAATTCGCGCAACGGCGGACTTGAGCCTGCGCCGCCGCTAATCCGACCGCAACGGCTCGACCAGCGGAATCGAGTTTAGTTCAACTGCTCGAACGTAACTACGCAGAATGTTCCCGACAGGTGCGGTCCGCCCTCAAGAAATCAGAGCCTTCTCTGTCTTCTTTTGTCTCTAGAAAACCACACGAACTGATGTGATTGATTCAAGCGCCCCACCGAGCGAATGATAATGAGCAAACGAGCCTCAGAATTCTGGGTTTTATTATGAGCAGTTGTAGCTCGTGTATAAATAGTTTCGGATCACGATGCAGTTTTTAGCCTATTTTTGGATATCTTCTTGGAAAATGATTTCTTGCTCCGAAAATATCATTTTAACCGCTTGGTTCAACCATTATATTTGGCAAAATATGCAACTCATATTGAAGCTTACTATTAAGCTCGCGCTCTAATACAAGCTTTTGGTTGGACCCGCGCTCTAATTGAAGCTTCTGATTGGGCGTGCGCTCAGATTCAAGCTTCTGATTTGGCGCGCGCTCGAAAAGAAGATTTTGATTGGGCGCGCGCTCGATTTTAAGAACTCTTATTTTTAAGAATGATGAGTCTACTGTTTATTTATTTCATAATTATCAATTCATCAGAAGACTTTTGAAGAAAAATTATGCAACATTCAGCAGTTTGTAAAGATCGCTTTCCAACTTCTGAACTACTCAAGAAGATTAATTGAAGAACTTGAACTTTTTATTTGAAATCTTTCTCGTTCTCCACCAGTATTCAGTGGTGCACCCAGGCCAAAATCCCCAGGCTCGCTTTTTCGGATCTCCTTTTTGATATCGACTAACGCAGTTTGTTCTTGAGAGGATGCAACTTTCTATTCGATCATTCCACTCCTTGTTCCACTCATCAACACTTGTTAGAATACATTTCTTATTAAAAAAGAAAAAGCGCTTACGCTTTATCAGTAACCATGAAACAGTCTTTCCGTTCCTCAAGAAGCGCTTTGATGACATTTATTATAACTTGCAGCTGGCATTCTAAAAGAATATTTATTTGAAATAGCGATTCTTCCTTTCTACCGATCATAAATATCTCGGAATTGTGCCCTACTCCTGTCATCGGGCCTAATATATGGACAAGATTCGGCACCTTCTGATAAAATACTCCCCAAAAGGTCCTTTTCTCATTTCCTGGTTTCAGCATTTGAAGATGCGCATTGTCCTTAATGACAATGAATTCAAATTAAAGATTTTAGAAATACTTTTATCAGAAAATTAAGATTCGCGGCAGAGTTGGTAAAAAAGTATACTTCACTCGCCCTTCAGAATGAAGTATACTTCATGAAGTATACTTCAGGGCGTTGCAGGGCGTTGAAGGGCGTGAAGTGGAGGGAGGCGATTTTCTGGCAGTTAGATTTTCTGGCAGTTAGACTTTCTGGCAAAGGCGATTTTCTGGCAATGCCAGAAAATCTAATATGCCAGAAAGTCTAACTGCCAGAAAATCGCCTCTTTTGATTTCACATCTATAGTTAATGATCCTGGAAGATAAAAAAACGGAGAGAAGAAGAGCTCGGAATTCATCTTCTGATTCTTCTGAGAAATAGTCAGGCGCGCGTGGGCGGCGCGCTCCTCCCTTATTCGCCGCGCTGTGCTCGCCTGAATTTAGTTGATAAATCAACGGTTTTTTTCAAGCGGAAATGATGAAGATCAGAGAAGAATTAACTGCCAGAGGAATTAGAGAAGAATTAACTGCCTATAAAATTTTGCCCAATTCGCTTAAAACTTATGAACTGTGTTTCCGCTTTGTTTCGCCTCCAAACTTCAACCTTTCGTATTTAATGTATGATGCGTTTTCTTCTCTCTTTCGATGCACAAACCGTTGATAAGTTAAATGTTTCTATTTTTTTTCAATTTTTGACATTAAAGCTTTACGAGTTGCGAAACTAAAATACTGTCTATCATTTTTAAATTTTAATTCAGAATTTCAATTTCAGAAAGGACTCAGTGTTGAAAATTGACCATATAAAATAACAACGGGGAGAATATTGAACCCGTTATAATTGTGGGCCTCCAGAAGAATTTACCCGTTATAATTGTGCCCTTTCTTTAATTTAACATGATTTTGAACTCCTCGAAAGATATTGAAGAACTTCCTGCCAGTATTCTTCTCGCAGACAACAAAGAAAGCTTCCGAATTCTAGGAACTCGATGAATCAACAAAACGACGTGCTCGATTCCATCTTTAGGAGCTCCAACGAAGAAGAAAAATATATAGGAAAGGAGTTTCGAATTTTCTTTTGCAATCAATTTTTTCACTTATTGGTTTATTTTTCAGCGGCTTCAATTAACTGAGACGTTACAAATTTACCGGTGCAAATGCGTCAAATACAGTGCTGTGATTGGCTGAATTAGGGACACGTAGTCCTTTGAAAAATGAAAAATCGCCATAAATCCGAAATTTTTTGAGATCTCGAAAATCTGAGATGATACTGGCATAGAGCTTGAGATTCTCCGTCGATACGTATAAAGATGTCTTGGGCTACAATGTAACCCTTAGGCGCTAGAGCAACAGCAAGTTTGCCCCGGTAATTTTGTAACGGCTCTGACCTATGGAAATCGTCCGTAACGAATGTAACGAGTTTGATGAAAATGTAAGGAGCTTTTTTTATAGAACATCAGAAGTCTTCTTCGTCGGAAGTGGCGAGTACTTCTTTTAATTGGCGCATCAAATCGTCATCGTCTTTTTATTATTTATCAAGTTATTCTAATTAAATACAATTAAATAAGAAACCATTATATACGTGTAAACAATCCTGGGATATCTGCTTTTCTCATTTCTTCGCGTTTTCGCAATTTCGCATTTTCCGCCTTCATTTTTTCCAGCTCTTCCCGTAACTCTGCGATCAACTCTTCATTTTGTTCTTTTTTTCTTTGAATGGTTTGACGCCGTTTATTTGCTATATCAGCATAGTAGCCCTAAATATTCTGCTATTTTCTTAAAGAAACATACAAGCATTACCTTAGGATCATTTTCTCTTTTTTTTCGATTTCTTTCTTTAAGAATTTTCTTTTCTTTCGCAATTTGGGCTGCCAAACGCACTTCGGCTTCAGTTTTCTTCTTTTTCTTTTTTGGTGGGGAATCATGCTCGCAATAGGTTGATTTTTTCGCATTCCGCTTCACTTTTGCGCACAAACTACGCGTATTTTGCGAAGATTCGGGGCGCTCATCTAGAATAATTAACATTCTGCTTGATAAAACTAAACTTACGATCCGATTCAGAATCTGACAATGAAAGATCCCGCGTTTTGCGCTGTTTTGCGGATTTTGCGCTGCGAATATACTTCCGTGGCTGCTTGGGTTCAGATAGAACCAGCTTTTCGGGACTAGTTCTGTCATCAAAATTCCGGTAAGAATCAGATGTTGGACGAGAACGATTAGCTTGTCCGGCTTCGTCATTTTCTTAAATGAAAGTCATTTATTTTTTAAATATGGACAGTTACCTTGCTCCGATTCTGAAGACGAAGGACGATTTGGAAACTGTTTTCTGATCGTTTCATCTATCTCATCGGTTTTATCCAGAAGTCGTTCCCAATGTATTGGAGATGGCGATTTTTCAACTAGAAATATTAAATTTTTGATATTTACATTTTTGATATATTACAGTTTTCAGGCTCACGATCCTCATTGTCCGACGGTAAAGAGTCCACTGGAGGTGGGTCGAACTCATGGATAACAGCTGGCACATCGACTTCATCATTGCTCGTCTCCTCATCGACTCTTCTTTCCACTCTTTGAACTGGCTGAGCGATTGGCGCCGCAACTCTTCTCAAATCGAATTCTCCTCCTTGCTGAGCGAAAGGATCTGGGTCAACTTGCTCACCAGCTGTTTCTTGCTCATCGCGAACTGGGGACATCACAGGCATTGCTTCTTGAAACTGGTATGACTAAATAATTTTTATTTTTGTATAAAAAATAGTAACTATACGTCAGCTGTTGATTCTTTAATCAAATTTTGAAATACAGCAGTTTCTGGTTGCGTGGCGTTGTTGATAAAATGTCGGAGTTTCTGAGTAGATTTCAATGACTCGGCCTTTGATCTGGCCCTCATCAAGCCGAAGCCGACAGAAACAATTGCTTCTTCGATTGAGCCATTTTCTGCGCATTTTTTGTCAAATCTTGCTAGCTGCTCGTAGCGTACAACCGCAACTAAGGCGCACAATCTGTCATTTTTAGTACTTTGCTGGCTGTTGCTCTCAAGCTTAGCAATTTCCGTACTGAAGCTTTCACTTTTAAAGCCATTAGCAATGGAGATGACCGTAGATAGCTCTGTCGCATTGTTGATTCCTTGATCCACCAGGGATGAGTTCTAAACATTTAATTTTAGTTGGAATCGCATCTTCACGAATTCGATGTTTTTACAAGATTTCCCATCGAAAAAAAGGTAACTTACCATGATTTCAAGACTGTTATTAGTCAAGAATTTTGAACCATTCCTCGCTCCTATCGATAATGCAAGGGCCCATGAACTAGGAGGGAATTTAGCATCGTCATTCAAGTACGTCGTAGAAAGATATCTGTAGAACTCATTAATCTCGTCTTTGATTAGTGGTGTAGACAGTTCATCAAGTGTTCGACGCAAAAGCTGCATAAATGTGTCGTAGAATGTAGGTTCGGTCAAGTGAATGAATGGGATCGCATGGATGAGTGCTTGGAGTATCTTTCCATTTTTCTCCCAGAGTGCCAACAGTCCATGACTTTGTAAATATCTTCTAACACTCTGTAACCAATGAAAGTAGCACCCAACCATGCGTAGATTCTTCTCCGGCCATGTTTCGCGAATCGAATTTCTGAGCCCAGGTTCGAAATCGGACGAGACAGTTGTAAATTCAGAATCAGGACAAAGTTTCTTTTTGTAGATCAATTTACAGTTTTTTCAGGAAAATCGGCTGCTCTGCTATTCAAAACTACCGAACGGCCGATTGTGGTCCTCATCAACGTTATTACACACGACAAATTCGCTGCCGAACCAAGTAAGTTCAAAATTTTCAATATTGATCATTTCCTTTAAAGCCTCAAAGACAATCTTGTAGCCTTCTTTAGACTGACCCTTGAGAATAATAAAGAATCTAGGATTAACACTATCATCTCGGTCTCTTGATCCAATAATGAGGAGTTGACGGTAGCCAAACTTCTTTTGCTGGCCTTTCGTAAAGAATTTACCGTCAACAAACCAGTGTTTTGAAGAGGTCAGCATGCGCAAATCGTGTTGAGTCGCAAAAGCTAGAGCTTCATCCCATATCGGGCTTCGTTGTTCCGGCGAAAGAAACTCATTCATTAGAATCCATTTTGTTTCACCATCGCCTTTTCGTGATTTATTAATGAATTATTACTTTTCAATGTTCGTTTCGTGAAACAAAAATGATGTCCTCGTTGTCTCCACCTTACCCCTCATCTTTCGAATCGTTTTTAATCAAGCTACATTTGGTTTAGGTTCCATCCGACTAAAGACAGTAAAGTACAATGCAAAACACGAGCACGAATATGTCAATAACTTCAAAGTCTTGCAAAACTCGTTCAAAAAATGGGCGTAGATAAGGTTTGTCTTCATCAAAATTATAACTCTACACAGAAACAAGAAATTAGACTACGTTGACGCGCCACAAAGTTATGAAGCAGATTCTGAAACCTTCGCAAGACACAATATTCTCTGCGAGAAGAAAGGACTCTGGACTCTGCCAGCTGATTATCCACAGGTAAAGCGTATCACTCAGAACTTTCTTTACAGTTATTCAGACAATTCTTGAGTGCTTCCAGCGAGGAAGAGAGACCGCCAGTGATAATGCTATCATTTGAGGCACTCCGACGCCAGATTTGACAGATTACACGACCCGTACTTATGGCGAGTTCGCTGCAACATCTCAATACCTGGCGAATTCACTGAAAAAGCACGGACTTATCAGTGGAGAAAGCAAAATTGCGATCTACTCGTCGAATTGCTACGAATACGACGCAGTAATCATTGGAGGATACTATCAAAATATATGCAATGTTTCGCTTTACGATACTTTTGGTGAACAAGCAGTCAAATACATTCTCGAGCACGTAAGTTTACAACTTCTTTACGAGATTATTTTTACTTTTTCTTCAGATTGAAGCTCCAATCTGCTTCGTTCAAAATCAAAAGAAACTTGACCTCATTCTCAAAATCAAGCCTGCTCATCTTCAAACAATCGTTGTGTTTCGAAAATTCAAGAAGGTCAAGTCCTCCAATTATAAAATCATAAGTTTCGACGATTTTATTGCAATCGGAAAAGACAGCTCGTTTGATAATGTTCCGCCGACTTCTTCAGGTAAAAATGATAAAAATAGGGGCGATCATTTAATTTCATTATTCAGACATTGCTACGATCAATTACACATCCGACACGACTGGCGATCCGAAAGGCGTCGTCTTGACTCACAAGAACATCTGCACCGTCTGCTGTGGCATTACAATCTTCTCGGTTAAAGAGCCTTGGAAAACAAGCGACGTCTGGTTCAGCTATTTGCCGATGGCTAATATTTTTTTAAACTTGTTGACGTGCCCGACATGGATTATTATGCGCGCGAAGGAAAAGGAGAAATCTGCTTCCGTGGCGACAACGTCATGCAAAGTAATTTCCTTTCACCACTGTCAAGTGTCTCACACTTCGTTCAATGGTTTAAAAAGTTTTTCGACGCTAACTATCAGGTAAATCAAAAAGAACGCGAAATCCTTTTTCAATTCTGATTTCAAAGGGAGAACCTCTTGGTCCCGTTCATGCGAGAGCGAACGCTGGTGTGACTCCCGCTTCAAATTCGCTGCAGTTTCTACAACAGCAAAGAAAGCACCCGCTCGAGCTGGAGCTCCCGCTGCTCGGGTCCTCGAAGCCCCAAGAACTCCTGCATCGTAAGAGAAGCCGCTTGCGGCTTCGAATTTATGTTAGTTCAGGGAAAGACAAAGGAAAAAGAAGAACGCACGGCCTCTGCTTTTCTACCGTATCAAGGATGTCCCAAGCTCTAAAGGATAATTCAACTCAAGATTTAACTAAACTATATTCACTGTCATTTCTTTCGTGCATCTGTGCTCGGTCAAATAAATCACTTTCCTAGTACTGTCATCCAGTCTTCCAAGCGTCGAGGATCAGGAACTGTAGCGGCCTTTATTTTTCTTTCGTACTTTCTGGAATTCTGAGCAAGACGTCTCATCTCCTTTTTCGTGAAAAGATTGCCTCTTTCCATGCTCGAAAGTTGTGAATCTTTTTGAACTTCTCCACGAATTGTCTGTTGACTTTTTGGGCGAATTTGGTTCCTGTTGAGCATGGACACAGTCGTTGCGTACTGTAATCGCTTCTTTTCGAGTGCATCGTTCTTCAGACATTTATTCATGTGAATGTCTACTTTCGACTCTAGCTTTCCACATCGCCAATTGCTGAGCTCAAAAAAACGAGGAGATTCCATATCAACAACTTTTGCAAACATCCAAATCTTCGTTGAACAGCGGAATGAAGCGTCTTTCGAATATGATTGATTTTCACACTCGACTCGCATCTTGAAACGGAAGTCAGGATCGTCGTTTTTAGAATGCAGAATCGTTTTCTTCGCTTTTCTTGCTTTGAAAGCAAATGATCTGGAAGCAACTTTGACGAGGAAGGATGCATTGTTTTTTGAGTTTCGTTGAATCGTTACCAAGGCAGGGTTTTCGACAGTACCACCAATGTTTTCTTACACGTTTTATAAAAATTCATTGACAAAGGCCACTTTTGACCCATTTATTCAAGATTAATAGCTGTAGCAAACATAAATCAGCTTCTTCCGGGAATTTCTGTGTTAATCACCCGGTGTTTGCATCTGATTTCGAGTACTTGGTCACAGTGAGCACCCACTGAGATAATGGCGCACGCAAATGCTTTTTGAAACTGAACTTGTTATAAAACTATCCTGAAAATTCTTCCTCAGAAGGTGGTGGAATCGGTGTCAGTTTCAACATTTTTCTATCCGCATTCTCTTCATCATCCTCCATTTTCTCAGAAAAATCAAAATCTAACTTTTCAGCTGCCTGTTAACCCGTTTGTTACTCCGAAAATAGCAAGAACGAACTGTGGATGCTGCCCTCATTCTATTTTTAGCGCAGAAATTTCAATTCCAAATTCGTCGTCTTTTTTAGCGCCCTGAATAGTCGGCTTTTAGATCAAACGCTCCCGTCGAAAGGTGCAAACTCCTGCTGAAACTGCTCCGGAATGAAATTTGTGTGATAATCACCAGTTTTTCGAATTTATAAATGATTTTATTAAAAAGAGTTTTTTGCAGAGTTTCAAATAATATGCATACTAAAAAGGCGATTTTCTGGCAGTTAGACTTTCTGGCAGTTAGATTTTCTGGCAAAGGCGATTTTCTGGAAGTTAGATTTTCTGGCAGTGCCAGAAAATCGCCTTTGCCAGAAAGTCTAACTGCCAGAAAATCTAACTGCCAGAAAATCGCCTCTCTCCGTGAAGTGTACTTCCGCCCTTCCCTCTACTTCAACCGCCCTTCCGCCCTTCACTCTACTTCAAATTGGTTCTGTCGGCCATCAGAATCCATCCGCCAGAATTTTTTCAAATTTCGCGCTTATTGGCTCACAGGCGCCATGATTTAAATCACGCTGATTGTGGCAGATGAAGTGGCAGCTAAAGTTTTCGATAAGAACCGATAGCTGAAGTATACTTCAGCGCGTGAAGTATACTTCAGAGCCTTTTCGTACTTCACCGCCCTTCAAGAATGAAGGGCGCCCTGCAGATTTTTGAAGGGCGGGGGGAAGTATACTTTTTTCCAGCTCTGATTCGCGGTCCAATCAAACCCTGTTGCAAAAATAATCACATCGAGTTCATGCTGAGTATCCTTCGTGACAATCCCATTTTCGCTCAGTTCAATAATTCCAGAGTTGTCCAATTCGTAGCATGGCTCATTGAGAGCCGAGTAAAACTCGTCAGAAATCATGATCCTTTTGCAGCCAAGAAGAAAATCAGGAATCATCGCTTCTGCGACCCGTTCATCCTTGACTTCTTTTCTGACTCTCTGGGCATTCTGTTCACACATCCAGTTGTTGACTCCAAGTTTCCAGAAACGCAAGAGAAGGAAGTATCGGATCTCTCGGTAGATGAATTGAGACCATCTGTAAATTATTCCAAATGGGAATATCGCTAGAATGCTTTTAGCGAAGTATGAGTATGCAAATTGATCTCGAGGCAGAATAAATGCTGGGCTTCGCTGAAAATGAACAAGCTTTTTAACTTTTAAGCGACGGAGAATTGTGGGTAAAACTTGGACAGCGGATGCTCCAGAACCGATGATCCCAACACGTTTCTCTGTCAAATCAAGATCCTTTGGCCACTGGGATGTGTGAATCTTCAGTCCCTTGAAATTCTCGAAGCCTTGAATGTCTCCCCCAGGGTTTGAAAAGTCTGAGCATGAGCACTGAGCATGCTCAGCGTGCTCAAGCTCAACGAAAATTCCAGCGTGTCGTGCTCACCCGTGCTCAAGCTCAATTAAATCTGAGCATTCGCGGTCCATGCTCAGTCAAATTTTGTGACTTTTTTCAAACCCTGGCCTCCCCAGTTTGGTCGATGAAGTCCCCCAGCGCACGAGATCAAGATATTGAACGTTTCTTCCGTTTTTTTGCCTTCTTTTACTTTTGTTATCTCCCAAAGTCGAGCTTTGTCATTCCAAAAAGCACGAGTTATTTCCGTCTCAAATTCTTTTCGCGGCTTTTATCAAAAGAAGTACTAAAAAAGTTATAAAATAAAAATCTGATTTAGTTGCCCTTCCCCGGGTCAGACGTTCGAGAGTAGCCTTGGAAGAAAGCTAAGGGTCCATTCTATCGACACACCAAAAATTGGTTTTGCACCTTGATGTTATCAGTAGTATCTGATGCCTCAAAATTGACTGAAATCGTCAGATACGAAAATTCAAGATTTTCAACTTTTGATAAACGCGAGCTATGATGACGTTCTATAGCTCAAATTGAAGCTTAGGAATCACTGAACTCACTGAACCGGTTTTTACCGAACCAGCCGGTCATTCTAGCGGTTCACCGCGGTTAATCGCTTTTTATTGAATATTTTCACTCAAAAACGAAATAGAACCATGAAATGAGTCAATTCAGAGCCTTCTGGTGTTTCAACTCGAGCTAACCGAAGTTAACCGGACGGTTGATAAGGCGGTTCAAAGCGGTTCAGGCAGAAAAATGATCGGAAATACAGCAATATGCACATGAAATTGCTCCTTATTACACGACGATCATTTTGAACATATTTTTGAACCGATAAAACAAACCATGTGGTCAATAAAGCGGTCCCGAGCGGTTCATCGCGGTTCACGCTAAAAATAGTAAGAAATATCGCAAGATGTATATCAAATTGCTTCTTATCTGAGTACGAACATTTTAAAAATATTTTCGAATCGATCGAACTAACCAGGTCGATAAGGCGGTTCAGGGCGTTTAATCGCGGTTCAAGGTCAAAAATTAAAAATTGAAAAACAAAAAAATGAGACATTTTCTATTGATTGCGCCTGTAGGCCTGCTTAAACAATTCAGTCTGAGACGGGGCCAAGCTGACCCGAAGATGAGGCCAGGCCCGTTAACACAATTCAGTCTGGGACTGGGCCAAGCCGACCCGAAGGGGAGGCCAGGCCCGTTTACACAATTCAGTCTGAGACGGGGCGAAGCCGACCCGAAGGGGAGGCCAGGCCCATTTACACAATTCAGTCTGGAACGGGGCCAAGCCGACCCGAAGGGGAGGCAAGGCCCGTTTACACAATTCAGTCTGAGACGGGGCCAAGCCGACCCGAAGGGGAGGCCAGGCCCGTTATCACAATTCAGTCTGAGACGGGGCGAAGCCGACCCAAAGGGGAGGCCAGGCCCGTTTACACAATTCAGTCTGAGACGGGGCCAAGCCGACCCAAAGGGGAGGCCAGGCCCGTTTACACAATTCAGTCTGAGACGGGGCCAAGCCGACCCGAAGGGGAGGCCAGGCCTATTTACACAATTCAGTCTGAGACGGGGCCAAGCCGACCCGAAGGGGAGGCCAGGCCCGTTTACACAATTCAGTCTGAGACGGGGCCAAGCCGACCCGAAGGGGAGGCCAGGCCCATTTACACAATTCAGTCTAGGACGGGGCCAAGCCGACCCGAAGGGGAGGCCAGACCCATTTACACAATTCAGTCTTGGACGGGGCCAAGCCGACCCGAAGGGGAGGCCAGGCCCGTTTAAAAAATTCAGTCTGGAACGGGGCCAAGCCGACCCGAAGGGGAGGCTAGGCCCGTTTAAACAATTCAGTCTGGAACGGGGCAAAGCCGACCCGAAGGGGAGGCCAGGCCCGTTTACACAATTCAGTCTGGGACGAGGCCGAGCCGACCCGAAGGGGAGTTGAGACTCATTTATACAATTAAGCGTGAGACGGGACCAAGCCGACCAAAATGGGAGGCCAGGTTCGTTTACACAATTCAGTCTAAGACGGGGCCAAGCCGATCCGAAGGGGAGGCCAGGCTCGTTTATACTATTCAGTCTGCAACGAGGCCAAGCCCACCCGAAGATGAGTTGTATGAACGGGCCTGGCCTCCCCTTCGGAGCGGCTTGGCCCAGTCCCAGACTGAATTGTGTAAACGGGCCTGGCCTCTCCTTCGGGTCGGCTTGGCCGAGTCCCAGACTGAATTGTGTAAACGGGCCTGGCCTCCCTTCGGATCGGCTTGGCCCCGTCTCAGACTGAATTGTGTAGAGTGGCCTGGCCTCCCCTTCGGGTCGGCTTGGCCCCGTTCCAGACTGAATTGTGTTAACGGGCCTGGCCTCCCCTTCGGGTCGGCTTGGCCCCGTCTCAGACCGAATTGTTTAAGCAGGCCTACAGGCGCAATCAATAGAAAAAGTCTCATTTTTTTGTTTTTCAATTTTTAATTTTTGACCTTGAACCGCGATCAAACGCCCTGAACCGCCTTATCGACCTGGTTAGTTCGATCGATTCGTAAATATTTCAAAAATGATTGTTTTCAGAAAAGAAGCAATTTGATATACATATTGCCATATTTCTGACTATTTTTAAGCATGTACCGCGATGAACCGCCCTTGACCGCCTTATCGACCACCTGGTCAGCTCGATCGATTCGAAAATATTTTTAAAATGTTCGTACTCAGATAAGAAGCAATTTGATATACATCTTGCGATATTTCTTACTATTTTTAGCGTGAACCGCGATGAACCGCTCGGGACCGCTTTATTGACCACATGGTTTGTTTTATCGGTTCAAAAATATGTTCAAAATGATCGTCGTGTAATAAGGAGCAATTTCATGTGCATATTGCTGTATTTCCGATCATTTTTCTGCCTGAACCGCTTTGAACCGCCTTATCAACCGTCCGGTTAACTTCGGTTAGCTCGAGTTGAAACACCAGAAGGCTCTGAATTGACTCATTTCATGGTTCTATTTCGTTTTTGAGTGAAAATATTCAATAAAAAGCGATTAACCGCGGTGAACCGCTAGAATGACCGGCTGGTTCGGTAAAAACCGGTTCAGTGAGTTCAGTGATTCCTAAGCTTCAATTTGAGCTATAGAACGTCATCATAGCTCGCGTTTATCAAAAGTTGAAAATCTTGAATTTTCGTATCTGACGATTTCAGTCAATTTTGAGGCATCAGATACTACTGATAACATCAAGGTGCAAAACCAATTTTTGGTGTGTCGATAGAATGGACCCTTAGCTTTCTTCCAAGGCTACTCTCGAACGTCTGACCCGGTGGGAAGGCACTTCTAATCAGCTTCTAATCACTTTAGTGCTTTTTTTCTCGTCAAAAAACACCCAAAAAAGGTGTCAAAGAGACTCATTTCGAAAAATCGGCTAGTGCAGTTTTTCATAGCTTGTCTTGATGCATATGTCCAGCAAGTTTGGTTAGATTCGGCCAGAGAACCTTGAAAATAGAAAAATGGTGCGGGAAGCCTACCCTATATAATCTCCGAGCCCAAAATAGTAAAAACAACTCATCAAGTAATTATGAATTTCTTCGCCTAGAGAAAATAAATGACTCCAATTCGATTTGGGAAAGAACGAAAAAGAGTACAAGTGACTAGGAACATCGCATCCAACTCCAGGATAAGTATTCCAGTACCAAGCTCCGCCAATTTTCAATCCTCGTTCGATTACTGTAAAGTTCAGTCCCATCATTTTGAAGAAATATGCAACGATCATGCCAGAGAATCCTTTTAAGAATTTAAAACTTAGACTTAGATGTGGGTTCCATATTATGGAAGAATTCTGGCGACTTTTTCTTCCTTGATTTCAATGACAAATCCATTCCTGCTCCAACGACTACGAACCGATATTTCGAAGACCCTTTTCTCTGAGCATCGTTCAAATGATACCGCGTTCTGAGCAACCATCTCAAAAGCGCCACTATTACACAAAACCATCCATAATAATGAAAAAGGTTTACAAGTAAAGTGATCAACCAGTCCATAATCTATTTTCTCAATACAAATTTTCGGGATTCTTGTAGACGAGGTATGCTTTTGAGTCAATATTTGAAAACAAATTATTGTCATTTATTTGTCTTCAGATCATAATGCTCATCATCTGAATCAGAGTTGCAAATTTGGCTTTATTTTCGCTGAGTTGAGCTGAGCTGAGCTGAGTGAGAAATTCTCTGAGCTGAGCTGGCCTATTTCGGAGCTCACTGAGCTGAGCTGAGCTGAGCTGGCCATTTTCAGAGGTCATTGAGCTGAGATGAGCTGAGCAGACCTTTTTTTAAGGTAGGTGAGCTGAGCTGAGCTGAGCAGACCCTAATTAGAGATGAGCTGAGCTGAGTGAGCTGATTTGAGCTATTTTTTACTGTTTTTTAGTAGTGAAATTGTGTTAAAATCATTGAGCTGAGCTGAGCTGAGCTGAATGATACTTGTCAGAGCTGAGCTGAGCTGAGCAGAACAGATGATGTTCGAGTATAATTGAGCTGAGCTGAGCTGAGCTGAGTGATTATTGTCTGAGCTGAGCTGAGCTGAGCAGATAAATTCATTTTGGAAAATCAGTGAGCTGAGCTGAGCTGAGCGACTCAGCCAGCTCAGCTCACTCAGCTCAGCAAATTTGCAACTCTGTCGGCATCTACATCTACAAAGTCTTGAAGCAGGACCTAAAGCAAAAATAAATGAACTTTTCTTCAGAAGATATCTTCCAGCTGAACATTTTTTTCCTTTCTTCAACATCTTAATTTGCAAATCTGACAAATCCGTTACTGTAATACCTTCATGCACCCTTTAATCTCTTGATGGCAGTTTGCAAAGGCGATGATTGACTTCACAACTAAAAAAGACGGGAAGTCTCGTTTTGCTCCTTCTCGAAAATGAGCACTGTTGATAAAGATATTTTGACAAAACACGTCGCTTTCGGACTTTTAGTGATGGACACGAAAGATTACGAGTACCAGAGATTCAAGAAATCAAGGAAGAGATTTTTGAAAAGCCTGGCGAATCTGAAAATCGCCGTTGAAAAAGCAGATCGCAAATCCTGCGATCCTAACAGGAAATAGATTTATCTTTCTTAGACTGTACTTTCTGTACTTTCAGAGCTTGTTGATACAGTATCCTCAGATGAGCGCTAGAAAAAAACATGTTTCCGCCCGGGCTCGAACCGGGGACCTTTCGCGTGTTAGGCGAACGTGATAACCACTACACTACGGAAACAACTGAGAACGCTCCTGCAAAGCGTAATTATCATCTAAATTTTCAAGACCATGGATTAGTTCCGCTCTTGGTTCATCCTTGCTTGGGTTATTTCCAGGTAATTTTTTTTCATGCGAGAAATTGACTCTTTTTCCTTTCTAGCGATTGATAGAAGCCAAAAAGTGTATGATCAGAGTTTCAAGGAACAATTCGCTAAAGTTTGGAAAGAACGGGAATGGCTAGCTTTGCGAGAAGCGTTCCAGAAGGATAAGAAGCGATCCCGGTCGTTTGAAAATCGAATTAGGGAGATGTACTACTTTCTAACGTACGTAGGGTGTTCCTGATTTGTTTTACTGTACTGTTAGCCATGCTGAACTTGCTTCGTTTGAGTTCTTCGATGCAAAGGATTTTCATCAGATAAGCGAGGAGCTGCATTATGCTCGGGCTGGGAAAGAAGTTTGCGATCTTCTTCGTTTTCAAAGAGGTACGTATTGATTCTGATGATAACGGCTATGATTAGGGTGAGGGATACGTAGAGAATGATTTTGATTGGGTCAGTTTTTTTTTGACTAATGAGAAACTTGATGGAAAAATTCGTTATCGTCAGAACCCTGTGTAGATCTGAGATATTCAGATGCCCTAGAATCAAAGATTTTAAGGCACACTGCCTCATCAAGTTCCGACGATTTTCAAACCTCCTGAGGAAGAAAACCATCGATCGCAAGATGCACTTTCTTCGCACCTAAACGGTGAAATCTTCTATGTTTTCAGCGAGTTCGGTAAGTTCTAGCTCAGCTTCTAGGGCTTCATACTTTTTAGCGGCGTTCAAGGTCGATGGTATTCTTTCTGATATGCAAGGTAAGGACGATTTCTGGCGAATCTTTCTCCTTCCCGCTAATTCTAGTGGATGTTCTTTGCACAAGCCGAGCTTCAGATTTCCTTCTCGATCGAGTAAAAATGCTCCAGGATCTGCTGACGGAGCATGAAAAAATTATGGACAAAATTTTTCTGACAATAAATCGAGATCCTTCTTTTTAAACAATTACTTTTTTTCGGTTTTAAAATGCACGAGACGAGCGACTGTCAGACAGTAAAACCAGGCTGGGCAGAGCAGGTACAGAAGGATTTTTTTGTGTGAAGTTTTTTACATATACCGCGGGGACCAGCGATCTTGACGGTAAAAATAAAGGAGTATTTACAGTTCATTTTGGTTAGTTCTTCTTTCATTCCCATCTTGTGGGAGAAACTGGGTCTTCGTTTGGTTGAGCGACTGTCGATTGCAAAAACGCACGGAAGGAGGGTGAACGGGGATTGATGCACAGTGGCTGTTGAGGGCCGCAGGGCTGTGAGCGGATAAATTGATACATCGTTTCTGAAAATGAAGGGGTGATATCATACTAGGACGGAAAAGAGAAAGGGGCCGGAGGTCGGCGAAATTCGATCCAGCGCGCCGGATTAGACGGGAAACAAATTGAACCTATTTTTATCCCAGCGAAAGTTTATAATAATTCCCCTTTTTCGGCCTTCTGGAAAATTATAGAGCGGCTCCTTACCTTTGGCTACGTGTAAGCTTGGAAGGCGCAGCTCAAATTGATCGGAGAACACTTGCGCGGGCACTGGCTCTGTATCCCGACAGTATTGTCTGTAGCCGGCCAGGCTCGACGAGCAGCACGTACACATACATGAGTGGAATCGAACTCGTCCTTCGTCGATAAACGGGCTTCTGAGCGCTTCTTTGGCCGAGATACGCTCGTGGCGGTTCCAGCAGAGCAGGCGATCAACCAACTCCACGGCCGAGATGTCGTGGGGCTCTGAATCAAGTTGCTCAATTATTAATGAACAGTGGCTAATGAAAAGAAAGTTCACGGCGACTCTCTCTTACCAAGACAACTTTGCGTCTGGAGAATACGGAGGATTTTGTTTTCTGATCTTTTCATCGAAGTTACGTAGCGTTTTGCACTGTCGAGTCCAGAAAGGGCGTTAATTGTTGGAGAGCCGATTGTGTTTACCATTAGTTTTAACTGCTCGGGAAGTGTGTTTGCCTATAAAAGAATTTCATTAAAAATTTTTAATTATTTTTTTTTAATTAACAAATTTAATTAATAATTCTTAATAATTTTTTGGATAAATAAATTTTATTAAAAATTTTTAATAAATTTTTTCATAGATAAATTAAAGAAATTTTTTAGTAATTTTTTTAATTTATAAATTTGATTTAAAAATTTTAATAGATTTTTTTAATTAATAAATTTTTACTAGAAATTTTTCATTAATAATCCTGAAAAATTACCTGGAAGGCAATTCTGCGCGTGAGAAGCTCCAAAATAATGCACCCAACCGACCACATGTCCACTTCCTCGCCATAATGATCCACGCCCATCAGCAACTCCGGACACCTGTAATATTGTGTCACCACCTCTGTCGTCATCGTCACATTGGGATTATGTTCCTTCGCCCGCGCCAGACCGAAATCGCAGATTTTCAGCAAGCAGTTTCCATTCACCAAAAGATTTCCCGGCTTCAAATCGCGATGCAAAATATCCGCGGCATGGAGGTACTTGAGCCCGCGTAGAATTTGATATGTGAAGATTTTAGCGTGCTCGGCGGTCAACGCCTGTCCAGAGACGATGATTTTGTGGAGGTCGGACTTTTATGGATCAATTTTATTATGCTAGATCAAATAATGCTCGGAAATTACGGGAGCAGGAGATATAAGAGGTCTTTCTCATGATCGCCTCGGCAAAACCTGAGTGAGGATATGGAAGAGCTTAAATGAAAAGCCACGTAGCGGCTTTTGTAAAAATGAAGCCGCTTGCGGCTTCGTAAATATCCTAATTCAAGTCTAGAATTATTTTCTGTCGAAGCCGCTTCGCGGCTTTGTTTTGAAAAAGCCGCTACGCGGCCTTTCATTTATGCTCTTCCAGACCCTGACTCAGGTTTTTTACACAGGTTGCCGAAGCTATTCCTCATGATTTCTAGATTTTTTTAACCCAAGATTGCTAGTGGAACTTTGAAATTTCAGCCCAAGATTGTCGATTTTATGATTTGTTTGATTGAAATGACGGTGATGTAATTTTTATATAAGATCTTGAAATAACAGCATCTGTCTATTTTTCTACAGTTCCGGGACCTCAATGATGATTACAATATTCCGGCCAGAATATCCGGGTAGGTAATAAATTATATTCTGGGTCAGCCTTGTGGAGTTATCGTTTATTTCGTCGATTTGTATCGAACTGGCGGCGAAATCAATAACGCATATTTTAGCGAATTAGTGTTAGCTACAGCACAGAAGGCCGCCGGTGCTTTTTATTCAAAAGTGATCGTTCCATTCTGTATCGAGTCGTTTCAATTACTATTGTAATTGTTCTCGAATGTAGAAATTGATCCATTCCTGCATAAGTGGCGTGAGAACGTACAACTCATCGAAAGCTTCCACGGAGCAGGGTAGAAGAACATCGCGAGCAGCGAGTACGTTTTCATGGCGAAAGGAACAGAGCATCCGCAACTCTCGGAAAACTCTCTTTTCGGGGCTCAGTTTTCATCAAACATGGAAAATTCCGTTTCGATTTTTACGCTGTCCTAAACTTATCTACTGGACATCTTTGTCTGGGCTCGGCAACCTGAGTAGAAAACCTGAGTTAGGCTCTTGAAGAGTTTAAATGAAAAGCCGCGTAGCGACTTTTTTAAAAACCAAGCCGCAAAGGAGTTAAGAAAAATCATATGGTTTATTTGCGAAGCCGCCTCGCGGCTTCGTTTTTAAAAAAGCCGCTACGCGGCATTTCATTTAAACTCTTCAAGAGCCTGAGTCAGGTTTTCTACTCAGGTTGCCGAGTTCAGATCTTTGTGTAGCCGTGTAGAAAGCCTGAGTCAGATTCTGAATAGCTGAAATTAAAAGCCGCGTAGCGGCTTTTTTAAAAACGAAAACGCTTTGCGGCTTCCACAAGGTTTTAAAAGATATTGAAATAATAATATTGCGAAGCCGCTTCGCCGCTTTGTTTTTAAAAAGCCGCTACGCGGCTTTCTATTTTGGCCTGCTAAGAACCTGACTCAGGTCTACGAGAGACCGTCTATCGTCTTGGCGGGTCCTTATTTTATGCTAAGCGATAAAGGAGTTTATCCAAAGGACTTCGGCGCTATTCTACTGTTTGATCCTCCCGCTATTCACGGACGGCGGCAGCGGCAGCGGCTCGCTGCAATTTTGGCAAAGGATGAGAGAAAGAGCGTCAGATCAAGTGTGAGCCCCGGACCTTGGCAGTGACGAGGTTTTGAAAGACGTGTGGCATTTTCTTCAGCGCGACTCGGACATTTGTTCGTGGATCAGTCACGGCCCTGAAATTAGAAATTACTTCTTGGGAGTTCTTTTTAGTAGTAGATTGCGCATATTACTCGGCCAGAGCGCGGTGGGCAATTCTGAATCGATTTAAAACAGCTGATCTCCCCCGGGAGACTCTCCCAGTTTTCAGCCAAGCAATAACACTTTTTCTCCTGATCACTGCATAATTTTCCCGAGCGCGATGCATATTCTATTTTCTGGTAAACAATACACTAATTTCTGATTCAAAATTGTTAGACTGGGCTCGGCAACCTTAGTCAGGCTCTGAAAGAGCTCAAATGAAAAGCCGCGTAGCGGCTTTTTTTAAAAACGAAGCCGCGAAGCGGCTTTTTATTTGAGGCTCAAATTTTGAGCTCTTCCAGAGCCTGACTCAGGTTTTCTACTCAGGTTGCCGAGCCCAGTTGTTAGAAGTGAGTAAGTGCGTGCCTGAGAGCCGTGCACTTTTGGGCACAACAGACAGGCTTGGGGCGGCGTTGCCAGGTCGGCGCATACTTGGCGCGCATTCAAGTAGGGATTGATATTTAGCGCGGGCCGGAAATTGGCTTACTCTTCATGAAAACAGTAATTTTCATCTTGCAATTCTCCCCCTTGTTTTCAAAATTTTTAATGTATAAAGCCGATTTACCAGACGATTCCAAAGGCGCCGTGCCCAATCGGCTTGTCAATCTCATTATGCGTTTCGTAAAATCTTCTGTTGACACTCTCAAAGTAGTGATCGCTCAGTCCTTGGGAGAGGTTTTTCATCGCGCTCATTGTTTGTTGCTGCTCTTCATGACATTAACCCAGCTTTGCCAACTTCGATCTCCGTGAAATTTTTTTTTTCAGAAATCTTCGATTTTTTTCTTTTCACTTCTCTTGATTAATGATTGAAGCCTTCTCTTCTCTTCAGCGAATGTTTGGTGTAAATATCTCCAGATAGTAAGAAAAGACGACGAAGAGGAGAGAATTGAGCAAAATTGGGAGAGTCACTTGAAGATTACCCGCTCGCCGGCGACACCAGAGGAGTAGCCCAGGCGCCATCAACCGACACAGCCGCTAACTTTTATAGAAAAAATATGAAAAGGGAACAATTACTAGCTCTAATAATAAAAACCAAGTGAACTGACTCATATTTAATCTAAGCAAAAAATAAATTTTATTATTATTATTATCAATTTTTTTCTCGTTTTAGATAAGTTCAAGGAGAAAGAACGCAAACCAGATATAAAAACTATATAAAAATTTTTGTATCTTTCGATAGCCCAGATTTGCCACGACTCTAAGTCAGCAGTAGTCATGTTCCTACATGTAGGAATCCAACACTGAAGCCCTTTTTTACGACACCGGGTGAGAATTGACACGTAATTTAGTTAAAAAAACTACTGATTATTTCCCTTTTTTATTTTATTATTTTATTTTTGGGTTGTTGCTTTGGTGTTTTTTTTGTATCATGTTGTTAGATCAAACTATTTTACGGTTGTTTATTTCTCTACGAATACGATGTACGTCGGAATATATCCTAGTTGGGACAAGACGTCTCGTTCGTTCCGTAGATCTCGATTTTCCACGGTATGAGACGATCAATATGTCTGCAGCTTTCGTTCATGGAGGCGTTTTCCTTCAATGACTGTTTTGAACTTTTACGGCAGTGGCTCAATTTTAGAAGAAGAAGGTAATGATGAAACTTGCGAAGGGAAAAAAAGGGAAAGGCTTTGTTCGTAATCTTTCAACTCGTTGAAAATTGGAAGCGCCTTCCAGCTGCTCGAGGTGGCCTCGAAAATGAGGAGGCCGTGTTCTATTGCGCGGCTATTGGAGCGAGAATGGGGATGAAAGGGAGATCGTCCAACACGGACAGCACAGTGCGCAGGGCGCTCAGCATCGGACGGGATTGGATCGATATTTGGCAGACCCCCTACCAGAGGAGCTTGATCGGCGGTGGAGAAAATATAGACAAATGACCGCATTTTATTGTGTTCAAAACATAATTTATATTGTTAAATAACGCTTGAAAATGAAAGTTGTAATTGTAATTATTTTTAAATATGGATAAAATTAACGATTATGTAACATTTTACAATCCTATTTGTAGGAAAAGAGAACTGATTGTCTCACAAACAAACCATAAGCCTGGAAAACGCTAGTATACCGGGTATATGTACGGCCGGCGCGGTGCCATGATTGGCTTAATCGGTTCTAGCGGGCCCCGCTGCTGGGCAGTTCCGCGGGGTTAGGATTGCGTGGCCTAACTTTTCAGATACTCTTCTCCTCCTCTACCTCTGCCATAAGAGAGACGCTTCATAAAAATGAAAAACCTCGAAGTTTTTTCGACTCTTTTGGCCTCGGCCGCTGCCCGAACTCATATAAAAAAGAGCATCATTGATAATCGAATAAAATTCGACAGAGATGTGCTCTTTCACGGCGATGCCGAATTTTGGGAAGACTACGATGATTGGGATCCGTACACGGATCTTGATGAAGACGAAATTCATGATATCATGAGACGAATTGCAGCGCACATGGACGCCAATAAGGACGGATACATCGATCAAGGGAGGGTTGAACTTTTTTTTATTGATATTTTCTTCTCTTTGAATTATGAAGCATACTTATGTTTAACTCGTAAAACAGAGGAGCTCACGATTTGGACTCTCTTCTCCATGCACAACATCAACGCCAAGTGGGCCCATGAAGAGTGGGACGACATCGACAAGCATGGAAACAACATGGGCATGTCCTGGCAAGATGTCTGCAACGAAGAGTACGGCTTCCAGTTTGAACAGTCCGTCGACCAATACGGACCTCGAGAAGTCGACGAGTTCGACCCCGACAACGAGGAGTACTACGAGTTCAACCGACGATACAATCGAAACCGAGCGAAATTCGAGGCCGCGGACCAGAACACCAACGGCTTCCTCAACCGAGACGAGTGGCTCCACTACAACAATCCCTTCAAAGTCCAGGAAGTCAAGGACAAAATGCTCGAAAAAGTCATGGAGAAGATCGACACGGATCGTGACGGAGCCATTTCTCTGCAAGAATACCTCAATGATTGGAAAATCAGAGTAAGTCGAATTGGAACATTGCCTTTTTGAACTTGCCTTGGGCGTATTTTACTGTAAATTAATCCTTTTTAAAGCCATCCGATGCTGATGACGACGCACTCGAATTCGATGTTGATGAATTTAAAGAAGACCTCGACCGAAACGGCGATGAGATTCTTGAGGGCGATGAGCTCATTTATTGGGTATTTTCAACTGCCACTTCGACTTTTATTTATTGAATTCTACTAGCTTGATGCGGATCTCGCTGCTGATGCAAATGATGAAGCTCTTCATTTGATGGAAACCTGCGACGAAGATGGAGACGAGAGACTGACAGCTGAGGAGATCGTCAACCACTACGTAAGATTCCATACGATTATACAGTAATTACGAGTATACCATTCAGGACTTCTTCATCGACCACGAAGTAATGGAGCACGGAGAAACGCTGCGAGATTTCTACTACCACGACGAATTCCGAAAATAGATCCGAATATTCCTGCCAAAATCGCCCAATCAATGTTATTTGCTAAAAACCTACTTTACGCGCTTCCGCAGTTTTAATAAATTATTTTCAAGCTCAATTTCTTTTTATAAAAATTTAATCAAGATCAGGCAAATCATCGGGAAGTGGAGATTCCCGGGGAGTGTTGGAATCATGGAGGAGTTTGTCCACATGAGCGAGGAGTTTGTCAGTTTCGTTCTAAGAATAAAATATACGCGCACATCCAAAAGGTCAATCATGACGTACGCTACTTCGAGAAAGCCGGAGTTTGCGTCTTTTCTCGGTTTCCATCTGCTTTCGCTCCTCTTCCTCTCGAGCCCGCTGGACATCCTCTTCGGTCAGACATGTACCATCCTTGAAGATCCAGGAGAAAAATTTATCATCGACCTTAAAAATTGACGTCAGCAGAGCAGGAGAAAATGGAAGATACCTGAATGTGTCCGAGCAAACACGTCGCCTGAATTTGCCGACACAATTTACATGGGTTCAAGAAGAACATCCTGCTCCGCGGCGGAGCCCTGGCACATTTCGGGCATTTTACAGTCAGCCAGAAGATTCCCGTTTCCAACATGGTTTCCAATGAATCCAGTTTTCCAGCAGCCTTGTCGCGCAAAACTTGCTGTCGGTATTCGTGGAGATGCGGCTCTACCGGCAAAAGTAAACGAGGATGAAGTCAAAAAATAAATCGGCGAAGCATAATCTTACCGGCATCTTTGTCAAATGGCTGCAACACGTGTTTCGCCTTCTTTTCTTTCAGCATGGAAACTCTTCTTTCCTTTTCCTCCTCGCTCATGTCGTACGCCTCGGGCGAGCGCTTCTCCTCGTTGCCCCAGCATTCGTAACGCCAGCCTACCATCGGCACATCCTTTTTCATCATTCTAATTGCATTGTCGAACATTTTTCGATTCTCAAGGCAGCGCGATTTCAGCCAGTTGAAGCTACTATCCATTACTTTTTTGATCAATGTCTGTTCGAGCATCTCCGAACCTGCATATTTTTTGTTTTGCTCGATAACCTAAAGATCTATGGATTCATTAACCCGTTGAGTACTGCATTAGACCTTTTCCCACCAAGACATATTTTCAAACTGCATGATATAGTGCTCGGCTGCATCCCATTGTCCCCGTTCCAAATTAATGAAGCAATGATGCGCGTGGACGAATGAAAGAGTTTGGACGATGTAGTGGAGTCCGTAGTTGATTTGGTCCAAGGTAGACATTGACTCCATGAACTTAGGGCGCAGTTTTATCGAAAGCATCGAGTGTCTAAAAAAACAAGGTAGGGTCAAACAGTTCAATTTTTTTTCAACTTTCCAAATGTCAAAATTGACAATGCCAATTTCCAATGATTTTGGAATAGTCAATTGACATGAAAAATGATCGATATTTTAATAAAAAAATCGTCTTTAGTGACAAGTTTTCGATATTTCAGAAATGCAAGTCTACGATTTGTCGATATTTATCGCCCAAAAATTATGGGGACCTGGAAGATGGAATGTAAATAAAGGGAAAAGTGAGTCAGAAACTAGCTACTGTTGCTGGAACACGCAGCAGATTTAAATTTAGGCGGAGCAGATCGGCGGCCGATCTGGTCGTCTTTGCCTCCTAAGAATTTTGTCAAGAAACTGACCTGGAGATAATCGAAAGCGTTTTTTCTTCGTCCTCAAGTACGTTCCAAATATCAGCAATGGCATCATCCGTTTTTGTCAGCAACAAGTCCACATTCCCGCTAAACTTCACCTTGACATAATCAACAAATGCCTGAGCATGGTCGTTCCAAATGTATTCTGCGTATTTTGGCGCGTGGAAATTTGGCGTGTCATCCTCTTTTTCGGAATAACCGATTTTGTTCATCTCTTCTTAGAAAAAAAAAATTATGTTCCGGGCCTAAAAGTGTCTTTGGGAGTGTCACGGGCATTTCTCGGGTGAAAAAAAGGGATGAAAGAAATTTGGCTCGAACAGCTGTCTCCTTGCAGGACCTCGCGCTCTTTCACACGCCTCGGGCCCAATCAACGAGAAATGATTTCAAAAAATTCTTTTTTTTTCGATGAAATGAATCGATAAATTCATCATCTTCTTAACTAGACATCATTATGTATCTAACTTGTCCAGTTTCAGAAGTATCGAACAACAATAGTTAAATTTATTATGTGAAACTGTACAGAGAATCGAATAAATTAAAATAATTGTTATCTTGCTGTCCACCTGCAGATCTTTCTACTTCATTCGTGAAGAAATTTTGGCTCGGAAGGGGGAGCATAAAACTCGCTCTATCAACCGGTTGTTCCATGAAAGGCACGGCTTTTGAAAATACGGAGCAGACGAGAAAAAGTACTGAATATTTTATTGGTAAAAAATTAAGGGTGTCTTTCTCTTATGAAAAAAATTTTTCAAACAAAAAGTCAGCCGTTATCTCTTAAAAATGAATGAATAAAAACTTACATCTTGCTAGTAACATCGTTTCGATTTTGCCTGAAAAGGAAGAAAAGCTCCAGCTTTTATAGCCAGAGTTTCGATCGCTCGAGCTTATCAATGAAAAACGGGCGCAATTTACCATTTCGAAGGGCGCCTTTGGTGAATAATTGACGAGAACGTGAATGTTAATTCGAAGTAATCTTATTCCTTTTCTGGATGCTCAGCTGATTTTTTCTCGATTCTGACGGTGCATAATTTATGTCTCTTTTCTGATTTCAGATGTACTAACTAAGTACCTTTTTATTTTTCTTGGAAACAGCAGTTTCCAAAGTTTGATAGATGGAAGTTATTTCGATAAATCATTAATCAAACTTAGTCAGCCACGAACTCTTCTTACTGTAGTCCGTCGTACTGTAGGTTCGGAGAAGCCTCGATAAAAGACGTAAGTACCGAAAGACGTAGAAGCTACATTTTTAAACAAGTTCGAGCTTGAATCAGGTGTATCTTCAGACTTAAGTAAGGCTTCTTAACCTGACATTATGTCCTGTTAATAATTTGTGATACAGTCTGACTTTTGTCGTTGAAAGTCAGTCTTGCCGAAATCAATTATCAGCCAATTTCGGGTCATTAGGTCTGTCGCTCAGCTCAGCTCAGCTCAATTATTTTCGAACAGGATCAGTTCTGCCCAGCTCAGCTCTGACAATTATCACTTAGCTCAGCTCAGTGATTTTAATACAATTTTACTAATAAAAACACAGTAAAAAACCAGCTCAGCTCAGCCAGCTCAGCTCAGCTCTATTTTTGCTCAGCTCAGCTCAGAGAAATTTCGACTCAAGTCAGCTCAGCTCAGCTCAGCAAAAATAAAGCAAAATTCGAAACTCTGATTACAGTAGTCTTTTCTGTTTCTTGACTAATTTTCTTCTTATCCATCAAAAGGTAATGCAAGAATTCTCCGTCAAAATATAAGAAAAAAGTTTAATCTCCAGGCAAAAACAATTACGATCAGTCTGATTAGTCAATTTATCCTGAGCGTAAATATTTTCCTTCCGAGGGTGATACCAGCGCATCCTTGTCCGGCATCGCTGGGGCGGGAACTTACGCGCGCGGAGCGAAAGACGACCGCGCGGTAACTCCGAACAGAGAAATTGAGAGAGGATATTTCCGATGGATTGGCAAGGGCGAAAGCTTATGAGTGCTCCTGGGCCGACGCCTTATCGGCAGCCAATGATGGCGAATCATCAACGAATGCCACAGCAAGTTCCGCAACAAAGCTTCGGAAACGACCTTGGTTTGAGAATAAACGACCTTGACCAGCGAGTAATCCTCACTGAACACGCTAATCGCGCTGCTCTAGACGAGGTTTACGCGCTCAGGGACAGCATAAGAAAAGAAATTTCCGGCTCAGGAGATTTGTCAAAGCAAGTCAGGACGAATGTAGATTGCATTGCGGGAATCAATGTTCGCATGCGAGGAGTAGAAGAAAGGACAGATGACCTGATAAGAAGAGCTGATGAGTTTCAAGGTAAAGAAAAAACTTTTGTCTGGGCGATTGCGAATAATATTTTCTTTGACGAGTTTTCGAATAATCACATTGACATGAACTTATGAATAAATTAAGGCTCAATAAATCGTCTTGAAGGGCAATTTCTTCGTAATGAAGGAACCGATGCAAAAAAGTCAGTCGCTCAGTTTTGCTTGTCAATAATACTGTAGTAGTCGATGGAATATTTCTTAGAAAGAATGTCGATCAAGCATTCGAAGACATTATTTTTGTCTAGAAATTAATAGTAGATGTCAATAAGACTTTTTTCTGACGATATAGAATTCGCACTTTTTGCATCGATGAAAAAGGCGATAAAAGACTTGGCAATGATGCAGCCTTGCGAGAAGCCACTCAGGCCAGACAGCGAGTGGATGAACTCAGCAGAATTTTGGACCATCAGACGAGGATTACTGATGCTTTGAGCCACGAGATGAGCTCGATGAGAGGCAGAATCGACTTGTCGGATCTGCGTCAGCGGGATAATTCCAGCTCAGCGGCTTCGTTTCATAATGAAAAGGTCGAGTTGAAGAACACCTTCCAAGAGTCAAGCCAAGAGTCTCGAGGCCTAATGGACTTGAAATTCAAAGAAATTCACAATCGAATATACACCATCGAGCAAGAAAATGCCGAAAAAACTGCAAAGATATCAGGCGTGTTCTTTAATTAAAAATGATCTTACAGAGTAGATCAGGTGATCTCCTTTGAAAACAGTCTAAGACTACGAAGGCATGAATAATTAAGAATTCTTAAAAGCATTGGAAGCAGAAAACAACCAGATCAGGAATGAACTCCGAAATATGAAGCCAACGAGGGAAATCTCCATCACACAGCCGGGGTTCCAATTTTCGAGCGAGCGGCTGAGCGCTGGAGCGTCAAAATTCTTGAGCGGAGCGAGCGGTTGAGCGGCTAGTCAAAGTAGAGCCGTGAGCTGAGCGAGTTGACTTTGAGCGCTCAACCGCTCAAAGATCTCAAGTTGAGCGGAGCGAGCGGTTGAGCGGCTAGTCAAAAAAAGAGCCGTGAGCTGAGCGAGCGGACTTTGAGCGCTCAACCGCTCAATAATCTCAAGTTGAGCGAGCGAGCGGCTTAGCGGTCTTGAAAAAAGACAGTTGCGCTGAGCGAGCTGAGCGGCTGCTCATCGCTCGCTCACCGCTCAACAAAAATTGGAACCCTGGACTTAGCCATCTGAAGGTTCCAAGCGATCTTTGGAGAATCGTTTCGAGCAGCTGGTCAAAGAAGTCGACCAATGCTTTGGCGAACTTGGCCGACAATTGCAACGAGAAAGCTCGGCTAGGCAAGAACTTGCGACAAGGATGAAAAGCTCAGTTATCAGTGGCGAGTCCCCGGAGATCGAGGAGAAACTGTCGAAGATAGAACATTCAATTAAAGAGCATCAGAAGGTTCTCTATTCGCCCGGATTTAGGAAACGCATTTTAAATCGTTCTCTTTCGCAAATATTATTTTTTAGAAAAATTAAACGGTATTTTTAAAGCGTTCAAATCAGGGCCGGAAACTTCGCGAAAGTATCTGGCGACTTGGATTTATCAAAACTCTTTGAAGAGTTGGATAAACTGAATGGAAAATGGAACACTCTAAATGGACGACTTGATGATTTTGGAACCAAACTGAGGAAAATAGACCAAATCGAAGAAAAATTCAATTCAGATGTTAAAATGATCAGGGCAAGAACTGTAACATTGGCGGAGGACATCGAAAACATTGTGGCAAACCAAGATGCCATTCAACCAAATGCACCACAAGAAAGCCACAAACAGGAGGACCACTCGGAACCGGTGGTCGAAGAAAGGCCAAGACAATTACGCTCAAAATCGATGATTCTTGAACAGCAAATGCTCGCAGAATCCCTCGGAGAATTGAAAGACAACGTCCACGTGATCGAAAACCAACTGGAAGAAAAACAAACGGATTTGAACATTTTCAAGGACCAGCAAAATCGACTCAAGGAAAATTTACAAGAAAAGATTCGAAGTTTGGAGGAAAAATTGACCGAAAGAATTGAAAATATTCTCTCGCAGCCGCCAAAAATGTCGAGAACTGTGAGCTTGGGACCCGACACGGGAGACATCAAGAAGATAAAAACGGATATTGGAGCTTTGGAGGAGAAACTGGAGCATTTTAAGAACTCGATGAAGCCGCTCGTTAACGAATTCCGAACAGGAAATCTGATGAGCCCAGCAATGACCGCACTTCATGACCAATTAATTCAAGTCAAGGGCGAGACCGACAATTTGCGCAAAATGTCAGACAGCAATCGACAAAAAGCAGATGCTCAATCGCATGAAGTCAAAATTCGTTTGAGGACGCTTCAAGATGAACTTGAACGAACTCAGAGCAGAATTGACGCAAGAAACTCGATCGAGGATGGAGATGACATCGATGTAATCATCACTGTTGATGGAAAAAAATCCAGCACAGAATCGACTCGTCAAAAGATGATTAACCAAAAGCTTGAGAGTCTCTCGGACTTGGAAAAGAAGCAAGAACGATTCGAAATTCTAGTGCTGAAAAAGCTCGACGAGCTGCAACGATCTGGCAAGCCTACTACCGGATCTCTACCGATTCAGCAGCGAGAGGAGAAGATCAAACAGCGAGAATACAAGGGAGAAATTGAAGAAATGTCGAACGAGCTTTCGAAAATTTGGAAAATTCTCGGCGACTTTAGAATCGAGCTCAAACGAAAAGAGCTGATCCACGAGGATCCATCAAATATTGGTGCTCTTGCTTCCGCGATAAATGAACAAATGAAGAGTGGGAAGAAGGGAATGGGTGGAATGAAACGAACGCAATCTACCGACTTCGACTTTACCGTCGACTTGAGCCAAAGAATCGAAATTGTGGAAAAGCAAATTCAAAAACTCGGCACTGGTAAAATCTGGAAAGCGGTTGAGGCGATGGAGGATGATCAAAATGACATCGATAAGCGACTGGCTCTGGTAGAAAGAAAACTCATCGAGGTAGAAGACCAGTCCGACGTGAGGAGCACTTTTTCCGCGAGCTCAAAAAAGTCTGAAAAGCGAACCAAAAAGCTCAAGGAGGAAGTCGAATCATTAAAGCACAAAACCATCATCCTCGAAAACATGCTCACAGACCTCAAACACGCGAATGAAAACCTCGAAGACTCGATCAAAAAGGCAAAATCAGCAGCAACGAAGAACGAACTCAAGCGTCTCGCGACCGAGGTGAATGAGATCAAAACAAAAGTGATGGAACCGCTGACGGTGAAGTGCTCTAAGATGCTTGTGGAAATGGCGAGAAAAGACGACCTCAAATCGATCAAGAGCCAAATTAAAACGATGGCGGAAAGCGTCGAGAAAATATCTGAAAGAGAATCGGTCAATATTGACGGTCAACTAGCAAAGATTGATTCTTCGATCCGAAAAGAACTGGCTAAGTGCTTGACTCAATCAGATCTTGAGGAAGTAATTGATATAGCTACTTCTGCCCGAAAGTCTTCTGCAAATGTTCGCCAAGAACTCAACAACTTCACGAAACGAACCAAAACGCGTTTTGAAGATTTCACCCAAAAGATCGACGAAATTCAAGTAAAGACAAATGAAGAACTTGGAAACTTTTTCAAGAAAAACACCAATCTCGGTTTGATCAAATCAATCGACGAAGTGCGCCAATACTCAAGCGATCTTGCGGAAAAAATTGAAATCATAGAAGAGGCACTCGACGAATTGACGAGCAAGAACGATGGGGATCTCCCTAACATTTCAAGGACCAGTTCCAAGCTTTCTCGCCTCTCGCATTCTGACTCGAGGACGGCTTTGAACGATGTCGCACCGTTTTTGGAAGATTTGGAAGGGCTGAAATCTCAATTTGCGGATCTAAAAGACAGCATTTCAAAAACATATGTCTCCAACGTTTCTTTCTCCGAGAAAGTGAGGAACTTTGACGAAGCCATTGCGACTGTAGATGAGCTCAAACAGATACGAGATATCTTCGAGGCGCAATCCGCTTCAGTTCGATCAAACAAAGATAGCGTCAGCAAAGCGTTGAAGGATGTTGAAAATTTGACAAAAACCGTTCAAGTCTTGAACGATTTTGAAAAAGTCTTCGAAAAGGGGGTCGAAGAAAAGTTCAGTCGGGTGTTTGATCGACTCTGTACGATCGAAGACACTACTGTGAAAAAATCCGTTCACGATGATGTCCAAGAAATGATGGACATTCAAAGAACCGTTTCCCAGACGAGTCAGATTAACGAAGATTCGGTGAGGTTGATGATCAAGGATTACGTCGACTTGGAGATTGAAAACATACGAAACAGTCTCAAAGAAGTCAAAGAAGAGGTCAAATCGCAGCATAATTTCCGCTCATCAAAGCAGGAAGAAGGAGAGTCGTTTGATATCAATCATGATCTGATAGAAGCGATCGAAGGAGGAATGAGAGAGTACATCAATGGCAAACTGGATCTTTATGTCACCGTAGCGGAGCTAGAAACTGCTGTTGACGCGAGAATCGAGCGCGGTGGTCCTCCATCTGTCTTGACTCACAATTACGAAAGCAGTGATCAGACCGGCGCCCCGTCTAGAGATCAAATCGTTAACGCTGTCGAGGAGTGCGTCAACAAGCAAACCGACCAGCTTGTTTCACTCTTTGTTACGAAAGACAAGCTGCTCGATTTGCAAAGAAAATTAGATGAGTTAGATCTTCAAAGAAAGAGAGAAACGGTATCTGAGAGTTCAACGAGTTTGCGCTCTCCAAGCACTGCGTCAACAATCACCTCTTATGAGATTAGCGAAAAGTTGGACAGCAACATCAGGGATCACATCAAATCCCAAATGAAGCATTACATAACCACGTCGGATATGCATGGGCTTATTCATGAGGTTCAACGACTTACAGAATCGCACAAGATGTTGACCGACTTCAAATACGACATCCAACGACAATTGAAACTAGACGAAAAGAAAATATCCCAACTGGAAAATGCTCTTCTCGACAAATCGGAACAGCGTCTTTTATCTTCTTCAGCAACAGCTCTAGATCCGAGCATCTCGCTGAAAATTTCCAAGCTTTCGGAAAAAATTGACGACATAGAAGACTCACTCAAGAACCAAGCCCTCCTAAAGCCGAGAGATGACACTCTTTCGGATGATTTCCAAGACTTGAAATTGGAATTCTTGCGGCTGAAAAAACACGATATTTTTGAAAAGATCAATTCTTTCGTAACCATTAATGATATCCGTGGACTTGTGGTTGAGCTGTCAACGATTTCGAAAGATTTTAATGAGATGAAAGAGAGTATGAAAACATCCGAAAATGCGACGGGGTCTGTCAATGTTCTCGATGACACGGATATTTTAGGAAAGGATGAACTGGATACTTCTCTTTATTGAAAACTTAATTATTCTTTATCTCGTGAAAAGACGACGTGGAAAACATGATCAACAGCAAGATCGAAGAAATCTGGCCTATCGTTGATGAGATCGTGGTCAAATCTATTCTCGAGTACAAGGAAAGGTTCTTTACTTCTTATCATTTTCCCATGATCATGAATTACGAACTAAAATAAGCCCTTTGAGAAATATTCTGACGACAGTATGCGAATCGTTGCTCACGAAGAAGTTCAAAAATTCGAGCCAGTGTTGGAGTCGATTGTTGAATCTATTGAGAGTTCTCGTCTTCAATCGCCTGTTCCTGACGAAGCTCCTCAGCGATTAAATTTATCAGATGAAGATCTTCTTGAGCTCACATCAAAAACGATCGTGTCGCAGGCACTTTTCAACGGGCAGCAACAAATCCGCCGCGAAGATTTCGAAGAAAACATGAACGCAGAACTGGCCCAAGTTCAGAGCGAACTTGCGCTCATCCGTCATCAGCTGGGCCAAGGTCAACCTGATGTGGTACCGCGGCCGGATAACGAGGCCTTGAAAGGGCTATCAGATCGCCTCCAATCCGTCGAAACACGTATGACGGCCCTCGATGCGCTGTCTCAACGTGTTCACGATTTGGAATCAGAGCCGGTTCTCTCGGACCGTCACGGTTTCATCCAGAATCAAACGAACCCGTTTTCCGACTCGCCCGAGTCCGTTCAGAATCAAGCTCCGGGGTTGGGGGCTAACGATACGATGGAAAGGAAAATAATCGCTTTGGAAAGACGTCTTGATGATGTTAAAATGCCAAATATAGAACAATGCCTCACGGAATTGAAGTCATATTTCGAATCAGAGCTCCAGAAAGTGGAAACAACAACGACCTCCCTTATTACTGAATTCCGCGCTTTTTCTCCACCAATTTCACCAGAACAGTCTGACAAGTCGCTGAATAACCAACTCCCTCAAGAGCAGCAGCAGCAGCCGCAAGATGCTCATAGAATAAAAGGAATCATCGATGAGTTCGAGCTCAATCAGTTCGAGTTCCAAAACTCGATTATCAAGAAGATCGCCGACGTGTCTGACGACTTGAATCAGAAGATAGACAAGGTGAAAGCACTCACGGAGCTTTCCAAATCATTGACCGAGGCGGAGAATAAGAACTTTACTCCGGAGCAATTCAGCGTCCGCAACATGGTCTACCAGACTGAAAGATCGCTCAAGGGCGAAATCAGCCAAAAAGTAAGCGTCCTCGGAAAGACCGTGCAATCGGACAACTTCGCGATCCGAGAATTGATCAGAGAAGAGCGCAAAAAGCATGTTCGCGACATGAACGACCTTGAAAAACGACAGGCAGAAGTCAAAAAGGAATTCTTGGAGCTCATGTCGAAAGTCAACAAGGACAAGAGTAGCACAGTAAAAGCTACTGAAAAGTGCGAGAAGAAGATCAAGGGATTCTCGTCGGAACTGAAGCAGACTATCAAAGCAACAAGGGCGAGTCTTGATGAAGTTGTTGAAGCCTTCCGGGATGAGCTTGGGCAAAATAAGATCGAGCTCAAGAATTCCCTAAAAGGAAAAAGGTCTTATTCTCTTTAGGCGACTTTTTGTGGAAAAACAAAAAAAAACGGCTCTGAGAGATTATAGAACTAAGTTTGATCTACTCAAAGACCCTTTATGGTAAGCTCTAGTATTTACAGGCTCGGAGTTATTCAGGGCCAAAGTTGGGGAAATCGAAGGTAGTACCCTTAAGACCTTTTGAAAGATACGATCGAGCAAAGTCTTCAAGGAAAAATCGCCATAGACAGATTATTTGCTCGGCAATGCAAAGTTGAGACCAATTTTGACCGATTCTCAAGAGAAGTGAAAGGTAAAAATTGAAAATGAGAATCGTGGTATATATTTACTTGGTTTAACTTTAATTCCTTTTAGCGACGATCAAGTTTTTCACGGATCAACTCGAAGAATCCGAATAAAAAACGCCTCTTTTACCAACATTCTGCTAATAAACAAAAATCTACCTTCTTGAAAAAATCAGTTAATTGGATAATTAACGGATTCTATTCGCATTCCACATGAGAGCAATTTGGTTTATGTTGCCAATTGGAAAGTAAATCTCACGTAGAGAGTATTCCGAGGCTCTCAATTTTCTCAATGACGTTTTCTGCCGGTAAAGGGCGGCTTGGTGAGTTCATTTGTGTTGTGATTTCTTCTCCCTGGACGTAGTTCTTGAATGATACTGTAGTTTCTTCCCTGGGGTCGGCAACAGGAGTGGAAGACCTAAGCCAGGGTAACCCTGCCAGGGTTCTGAAAGAGCTTTGATGAAAGCCGCGTAGCGGCTTTTTTAGGAACGAAGCCGCAACGCGGCTTCGCCTAATAATTATTCGAGTCCATTTTGAACTTCTGGCGAAGCCCCTTTGCGGCTTCGTTTCTAAAGAAGCCGCTACGCGGCTTTCATCAAAGCTCTTTCAGAACCCTTGACTCAGGTTTCCGTCTCTGGTTAGGATTCTAGAACACTTTATTACATGAAAAATGTTGTTTTTCCAGGAAATGATAGCGGGCAATAATTTACTAAAAAATTAGAAAATGGATAAGTTCAAAAAAATCGCCGAAAAAGTCATTGACGACTCTGCTCCAACGAATCCACAGCTAGTTGATATCGTAAATATGACAAAGATGCTCAAGGTAAGAAAAGAAAGCGACAATTATTGGCGAATAATGATTTTAGGAGAAAGAACAGTTCATGAAAAACCTTGCGAATGACCAAAGAAAAAACATTGAGCCAATTATTCGCGAACAGCTTTATAAAGATGCAGGTTTGTCTGCTTGGAAAATGAAAGTCGTAATTTGTTCATAGTGGATATTTTAAAAAGAGTCGACGACGAGTACGAAAAAATCTACGGCAAAGGACTCATTGGAGCGATTTTCAAGCAGATATGCAAGATCTTCGGGTTTGGAGATTCTGAGGCTTACCAGAGCTTCAAACTTGACGCCAAGTGAGTAGCTTATTTTAACGAAAAAATGACCGGTCTCCATCTTAGAACGAAACTCTTGGAGTACAGCTCAAAAATAGCCAACCAAGAAATTGAAAATACAGAATACCTCGGTCGCAAAACGACGACACTGATGAGGGGAAGAGAAGACACCGACGATTACCTAACCATGGACGGCTTCACGGGCGAAAGTTTCGATTCAAGAGGACGGAAACGAAAGACTGCAAATTTCACTGAAAACTTGCTGTCAAGCCTCAATCTTCTGAACAGAAAAAGCAAATAAATAAAAAGTTTTTCTCCGAAACTTAATTTTCTGCGAAAAAGCGCTTTTATGAGCTTTTTTTTTAATTGCCCATTATCAGACATTAAAACTATCATAAAGACCGGATCATCAAATAATAACATCCTTCAGATACTTATTTCAAAGAGCAAAGTACCAGTGTTTTTTCGAGCCACGTGATTTGCTTTCGAAAAGGGAAAATCATCAACATTACGTCTGATGATTCCCGCCATTAGGTCATTTTTTTCGAGTATGTTTTCAAGTGCTCGAAACTATGGAAGATTCTGACGTGAGGAGCTTCGTCGAGAGTTTGAGTACACAAAGCGGGGACGTCATCTCTTAATCGCTGTCGTATTAACTTTATCAGATTCTTTGCTGGCTAGAGGCTACGTAAGGGAGTGTCCCAGCGTCAAATGTCGTTTTCGGGGGCGTATTTTTTGACGGAGCCTGCTTGCTGTAGTTCTTCTTTGAACTGTTCCTGCAAGGTTCTTTATTTAGCATCTTGAATGAGGTGCTAGTGCCCCGTTTCTTCGCTGGATGGAGTCCAGAGCTAATCCGTGCTAAGCTAACGCCACGCAGGGTACCTCAACCCTCTGCATAAAAGTACTCAGCAGTTGAGAGAACGGTCAAGGATCAGCAGTCAAACCTGACTTCCCCTCTGTCCAGTGGATCACAGAGAGAGAGTGGACATCAAAGCTCTAGTAGCGCTCCGTGACGCCACCACTCAGCGCCGATCCACGGTTCATAATCCAGCCGAAATTGCCCCCACTCCCTCACAGAGAGCCTCAGATAGGTATCTTCCGGATTTTCTGAAAAACGAAGTAATCAACCAACAATCCTTCAATCAATCCTTCAAGAGAATCCAGAAGAATCTTGATCTCTTCGCTGAGCTGTAGTCAAAACCCTGAGAATCGAAGTCACGAAAAAATGAACATGAAAATTTTAACGATGCTAGTTTTTACAAGTGCTGTTTCAAATGCTTCTTATGATTTTACCGGGTAAGTTCAATTGCAGTAGGCTGTACCTTGGGGGCTAAAACCGATCGGTGAAGGGTTAGGGTTAGAGTTCGGGCCAAGAATAAGGGGGTACTCACCATCAATTTAATTTGATCGAGAGTGTTGATAACACGATGAGGTTCAAGCCTCTGATAGTTGTTGATTTATTGGGCAGACATTTGGGATCGTAGCTCATTTTCGATGTCGCGATTATCGCTAAAAATAGTCTGTCGCGCTTCTTAAAATTATTTAATTGATAGTGGTCTTACCTATTAGGTGAATAAAACCGTTTTTAGAGGATCCAGTGGCAATTCTATCCCTTCGCAGCGCTCTGGAATGAAGCATGATGAGCATTCAGACCGGAGAATTCATCAATACGTGAATAAAGCACAAACGAGAATGTTGAGGAGAAGTACTGACGTTCGCTTTCTCAATGCGACGATAGAAATCGACTACAAAAGTGACAAACGAACGCTGGAAATGTTCTTTGAATTCGTAAACGGGGAAATTCGAAGCCACAAGGAAGATCTGGAATCAGACGAAGACATCAAGAACATGAAGAAATACATCCAGCGACATGTCGACAGCTACAAATGGAATTACATGAGCAACAACGACAGTATCGCCCGAGGAGTGCTCAAAGTATCACTGGACTTCGCGGACGCGCCTTACTTGTGCCACAACGCCACGATCATCATCTTCAAAAATCGACTCTCGGAAGTTTCCGATGAAATTGATCGCATTCAACAGCGATATAACGAAACCTACCACAAGAATGTCGAGGAATACAACAAAATGCGGCTGTATATGCGCAGTCACTCGTTCAACTACAACTCCAATATTGCTCAGATCCCAAGGAGCGAGTCGCCAATTAATTTGGGAAGTTCGAATGTTCCTTCAGCTTCAGTTAGCGACTACGAAAATTTGGCAGATCCAGCTGATCCAGCTTCTGTTCAGGATGAGATTTGCAATGGTAAGAACTCTCAAGTTGAATCAACCGGTTTTAATGTCAACGTTTTTAGGGGAACTCAATAAGGCAGAAAACCAAGAAAAATGTTTCGATGCTCGTCGGAAATTCGGGCGCGTCAAGTGCTCCCTCGCCTGCAAATTCGCCGTCATCCCTAGAACGCGAGAGATAAAGCTAACAAGCGTTGAGTTTTCTTGGACTCGAGCTTGAGGCTCGTTGCCTTCGTAGTCTTGATTTGTCGCGATACCGCCAGAGCCCAATGCCATGTTCAAAACTCATTGTGTTACTTTCTGAAAGTTCATTCTTCTCATAAAAAATTCTTCCTTTAAAAAAATACCCGTTCTAGGTCTCTTCTGTACAGATACAGTATCGCGCGACTAACAGCATAAAACAACGTTTTCCACGAGACCTAGCGCCTTAAAAATCCGAAATGCACAAAAGTTCAAAGTCGCTTGCTACTACCCTTTTGGAAAAAATTAATATTTATGTGATTATGATTGTTTTACTTCTTCTCAGACGTTAATTATTGCCACTCAACTGCGTTTAATGGACCAGCTTTATTCTGAGCGTTGACATTTTGAGAGAGCGCCTATTTATAATTTCCCCTTCCGGAAAGATCGTTTTCACACAGAATAAATCAACGCCCTTGTAAATAAAAAAAAATACGAGTTGTTTTTTCTCACAGTCGAACTTGTCCCGCAGGTTGAACTATTAATTTTTTACTACAAGAGTTCTCAAATAGGACTAAACCAATTTATGGAAGTGCATTTTTGAAGAACCAATAAGAATGCTGTATTTGGCATACCGGCCAATCAAAATACTTATCCATAAAATCAAGTGCATATTTTGGTTTTGCCCCCAAAATAGAAGTCAAAAATTTTGGGTCGAACCAATTTTTGGAAGGGATTTTTATGGAAAGGGTTTTGATTGGCCGGTAGGCCAAATAGAGCAATTTTATTGGTAATCCAAAAATTCACTTCCAAAAATTGGTTTAGTCCAAAATGTTCAGCAAGGAAGCTAAACTTCTATAGACTAAGTTACTGGAGTAGCAATTGAACTTCTCATTTGAAAGAAAGATCCTTCGCAAAGGTTCATCCTTTTGGATGAGCAAACTTCAGAGCCGGTACTATAAACTTTGCAAGAGATAGGCGCAAGTCGGAACTATAACCATGTGCTACATCCGAAAAGACCCCTGCCGAGCATCTTTGCATCGCATAGAATCAGTCGAGAGATTCAATTCTACCAGTTCAACATGTCAGGTAAATCTATCCAAGAGCTATTTTCTTCTGAAAAAATAAAGATTCGGAGATCTGGCGAATCGTGGATATCCCACCTGTTGTGTCGTCTACTGAAGGCAAAGATGTGACAATAACCGCGAAAATCGCCGGTCCTAGCGAAGGGCCCCAGCCAACTGCTACTTGGATCAAGGGAAAATTCTCTGAGCTGAAAAAGTCAGCGCGCCTTGCTCTTGGCATCAACGAGGAAAAGCAAGAAGCCTTTTTGACGATCAAAAAGGCAAAAATTTTCGACGAGGGGAAGTACACCCTCAAGCTCAAAACCGGCGATCAGGAGGTCCAGACAACTATCCAAGTCAATGTTGGAAAGCAAGAAGTTTCGAAGCCAGCAACGGTAACTTTTGTTATAAGCTTAGCTGCCAGCTAAAAATGCTTGCTTTTTAGGGCTCTTCAAAAAAGGTATCACGCGAGCTTAACTTAATAAACCCGATTTTTATAGATGATGGAATCCATTGTCTAGTGATGATGAATATTTTTTGTAAAGCGCTTACAAAAAAGCTTTCATTTGCTTAGCATACTTACAGAAATGTACAGTGGCTAATCAAGAATTGGACCCTGCGATTCTTCGCAAAGAAGGCCACTTTATGATTAGCCACTGTAATAACAGACTATAACTAAATGCATAGGAGGCTGCTGGAGACGCAGATTCATTCAAAAAGCGAATGCGTCGCTATATGAAATCGGCCAACAAGGCCATCGCTGGAGATCAAGGTGACGTCTGGATGGAGCTGACGAAAGCCTCACCAAAGGACTACGCTGAGATCGCCTTCAATCATGGAATCACTGGTAATTAATCGCGCGCACACGCAACGAGTCATTAATATCTGTCGAATTGACACTATTCAGACCTCCGCGGAATGCTCAAACGTCTGGCTGCTGTCAAGAAGAAGAAGAAAGATGGCGAAAAGGACGATAAGGCGAGTATCTTTTTATAAACAAGTTTATTTTTAAATTTTGAGTCTTCCTTGATTTCAAAACGCGCTTCAGGAAAAATTAAATTCAAACGACTTGCAGCACCCCGTCCTAAAAAAGGCTCGACGACGAGGAACGCTCACTGGCGAAGATATGAGTCAACTGCCGTACGACATAAAACTCAAGTGTGGAAAAGCGAAGAAGGGCCAGGACAACAGCGCGGCGCTCGATTTCCGGTAATACTTCCTTTATGATTGCACTTCCGCGTCATTGACGTCAGCTTGTTTCGCTGAAAAATGATCGTTTAGACAACAAGACGCTCGTTTATCATAAAAATTATTGAAAAACAAGTTTCCGAAACTTATTCTCTTAAGATCGCTTCTGAAACACGTCGGAGCATTCTCAAAGAAGATGGCTCATTCTCTTTCCTTCACCGTCGGCGACCGAATAATGCTAGAAGTTGAAACCTCAAACGAAGTCACCAAGGGCGAGTGGCAAAAGGCCGGAAAGAAGGTTTGCGAGAACAACCGAATCCGCATCATCCAACAGGGTTGCCGAAGAAGATTGATCATCGACAGCTGTATTTTGTCCGACGATGCGAATTTCTCCTACGTCTGTGGAACTGAACGCTCAGACTGCGAAGTCTTCGTTCGCGATCTTCCCTGCACCATCATCGTTCCTCTTGAAGACACGCAAATGATCGTCGGTCAGCAAGTCATCATGACCGCAAAGCTTTCCGTTGCTGGCGCAAAAGCGAGACTTTTCCACGAGGGCTCGGAAGTGAAGATGAGCAAAGACGTCACCTACTTCGTCAAAGATAAACTATTCGAGTTCCGAATCGACAAGCTCAAATACGACCACGCTGGTTTCTATCAATTGAAAACCAATGGCGATGAATGCCTAGCCGAGTTGATCGTAGAAGACAAGCCAATCGACTTCTCTTCTGGTTTTTCCGATCTTACTGTCAACTGCACCGAGTATGCGGAATTCAAATGCCAGGTTAATGATCCTGAAATCGAAGGAAGATGGTACAAAGATGGAATTCCAATCGTCGAAAGTGAGAGAATCAAGTTCGTAAACGACGGATGCTTGAGAAAAATCTGCATTTACGATGTCCGAACCAGCGACATTGGCGAATACGAGTATCGATGCAAATCTGGCAAGACCGAACTTTCGATGACTGCTTGTTTGGATGCGATCGAACTTGTTGTTGAAAAACCAAAGGAACCACCGAAAATCTATTTGAACTTGAATGAGAATCGCGAGGTTTGTGTTAGAGCAGGTTGTAAACTCGTTGTTGATGTTCCGATTACGCGGGACTTGCGAGGAAAAGATGAGCAAGTGGGAGTGAAGACGAACAAGATTGAAACTCACGTCGGTAAGCGAATTCAAGGCGGAATGGTTTACATTAGGGTCGGAAATTTCAGGGCCATGATCACGGTAGGCGCCGATATTTTTTTGGGTGGACCTTTGGGAGGTACTCTTCAAGAAAAAACACATGGCCCCCGGTTAACCCATCATCGACAAGCAAATTTTAACCCGTTTTTGAAAATGTCTATTTTTCAATAAAATTACGTATTAATACTATTTTTAATGCTTTTTTATGCCTGTAAAATCAATAAATTTATATTAGAAAAAATTATTAACCCCTTTTCGACATGAAAAAATTAACCTATTTTTTCAAAAATAGTTTTTTCTTCAAAAATAACATATTAAGTAATCAAAAATGCATTTTTGTGCATAAAAATTCAATAAAAATAAAAAACACGCCCATTTCAAGGGCGAAAATTTAATAGAAATTCTAAAAATCGCCCTTTGCCGACCTTTCATCCTCTCTTCTTCGTTTTTTCGCTCTCTTTTCTCCTTTTTCTCCTCTTCTTCCTCTTTTTTCGCCGGCGCGCAACGAGCGCGCCTCTTGGCCAATCAAAGCCGGGCAGAGCCTCGAGAGCTCGCTCTCAGCGCCTCGCTCGGCGGTCTGGACGGTGGTGGTGCAGCGGCTCGCAGCGCTGAGCGCGCGTTAGCGCGCTGCGCTGCGCAAGCGCTTTTGCGTTGGCGTAGGCGTTTTAGGCGTAGGTTCGCGCGTATAAGCGAGATTTTTTCTGCCGGCGAGCTCAGTCTCCGGACTCACGCCGCCCGTCTCCCCTAGTTTCCCCCCCTTTTTTTTAATAAACTCTTTGAGTTAATTATTAAAAGGGTTAATTATTTTTTTAACCGAGGTCAGTCCGGTGACCCGACTAATCTTTCGGCAGGCAGCCCCTTGAGCAAGGGTGCAGGAAGTAAATGCCCCCGATTGGACACCCCTAGGCCACCCTCACCGGATAGATACTCCTGAAAGATGGAGGTGCGTGGGGGGTAGGGCACGAGCGAAATCTCGAATTTCGCAGTATTGCCCGCAACCCAAGCCCAAGTCCCACACTATTCCGGCAACCCCGACTCCTGATGCCACCGGACCTCTGGCATCAGGGCCCTAAGGGCCAGCAGAGGTATCTGCCCCCAGGCGAGGCCGCTGCCCTCTTGTGGAGTGAGGGCGTCCCCCCAGACAGGAGTCACACCACCTTCGGCATGGTGCCTGAACGCTGGGAAAAAGGGGAAACTACGCGGATAACCTGGGGGAGGGGGGATACTCTGGTTCTAAGGGTTCAAGTCGGGGGACAGGGTTCCGGGGAGACGGGTCATGACGTTTTATTTTTGAATCTTGTTTTTATGCGTTAATTTAGAGCATAAATATATAGTCGTTTATAAAGTGATTATATATTTAACTTTAATATGCATTTTAGCAAATCAAAAAATAATCGTCAGGGATTGTTTAGCTATTTATTTCGGTTGTTTAACCACTGAAATCGAATTTGAAGAGAGCCCGACTCTTGAAATTGTCGATGAAATAAATGGCTGGCATGACCAAATAGGCAATCAATTCATTTTTCAAGAAGAATGATCGTTAGGTTAAGATTTTCTTTAGTTTAATTATCGATCATTCATAAAGACCAAAAGGAATGAGTTGATCAGTTGAAATTATTCTTAGTTTGAACGAACGATCACTTATTAAAAGACAGACGAAACAAGAAGACTTTCCAGGAGCTGATGTATTTCAAGATCTTTTTTTACAAATCATCAGCATCAAAGGCTCATTTTTATTAATTTTACCGTAGAAGTTATTGTTATTTATGTGCATTCAGACAAAATTTTTTTCTTGTTAATTAACAAGTACTCTTTTCAGAATCTTTTCGCAATGTTCGTTGAATCCGCCTCGATTGAAGACTTCTCGGTTGTTGCTGTCGAACTCTCCGAAGAAATTCGATTTGAGTACATTTGCGAGCTTGCCGACCGGTCGCTTGAACAACTTGCAGCTGATGTTGCAAAGAAAACTTGGGAAGAACTGCAATCAACCGCCCGGACCATTTGCAATTCACTTGCTCAGGTTGCAACTGAAGGTAAAAGATCTTATAGAAATTTCTGTTAAGTAAACATCAAACTAGACCCTGATTTCGTTTTCCCGCAGAATCATTGGCACGGCGAGAAGAAAAAGGCGTACGATCGAAATGTGGGTGTTCTTCGAAAAGCGCTTCGTAAACTTCCAGAAGATGGAGTTGTTAGACTCATTCGTGTGTCTGTCGACAAGGAACCTTCTCAATCAAGAAAGCGCAAAACAACAACGATTCGTGATCTGCCTGATGTTGACGAACTAACAATCGATTCATTCGCTTTCCTGGAAGACAAACTGAACAAACACCAGCTGAACGCGATTTTGATGATTGCGAACGCACAATCTTCTTCGTTTCGAGAACTTCAGCTGAGAAAAGTCGCGGAGATTTGTAACGAGACGCCGCCTACCCTAACTGAAGAAGAGACCTTGTCATCTCAACTCGAGGAAGTTGTGATTTCTCAACCGACTTCATCATATTCTCAAGAGCTGCCAAAAGAAAAGGTGTCTTCAATCATCGACCGAGTTGATCTGAAAGAAAGTTGCCTGCTTCTGAGCACCGAGAAGAATATCGCGCCAGCGGTCATCAATGATGTAATCGTTGAAGTTTTCCAGAACATCCCTGATGCAATCATCGAGCCTTTTACTGATCGATCTTTGCGAAATCATCTCCCGCTCGTCCAGCCACTTCAGCATCAACAAGAAATTGTTTTTATCGAAGAGGCAACAAGTTTATCGATTGGCCTCGACAGTACCACCATCAGTGGGATCGAGTACAGCAGCCTTACGATTTTGTCAAGCGACGGAGACTCGCTGTTTTGGGATATCAAGAAGGTTGCTGACCATTCTGGCGCTACCGTTGCTGATCAGTTCAACTCGAAGATGAAAGAGTATCCGGAAGATATTCAACGACTGATCGCTGAAAAGACTCAAAGCCTTCACAGCGACAGGGCTCCAGCAGCGAAGAAAAGTGTGGAAATTATCAAAAAATCACTTGATAAAGTCTGCGCTCGAGATCGAGTCTACATACCTTGCAGCATGCACATCCCGTTGAACTGCGAAAAGGGTCTTCGAGCTTCGATGCCAAAGGATATCCTCGATCAAGTGGCCCTTCTAGAGAAAGTTTTATCATCCCATCGCCTGCATCAAACGAAATCCTCCAAGGGAGCTGACTTCTTGACATTCCTGAAAGCGAAGAAGCTAGGATCCGAAAATGTTCTTCTCGAATCTCTTGCACTCTACTCCAATGTCAGATTCTCCGTCTTCGCGAAAAACCTCGAAAACGTACTGATCAATCTGCCTTACATTGAAGAGTTCTTGTCACGAGAAGGCCACAAAACAACTTCGAAGTTCATCACTGACAACAAACAAAGGTTCCAAGTCGAACTTCTCGCGGCGATCTTTGTCTACAAAAACGTCGTTGCTCCTTGGTGGGAAAAAGTTCGAGCGAAATCTGATGTCGAGTACTATGAAACGCTCAAACAAGAGCTTGACCTCACTTTCGAAGGCATCATCAGTGCTGCAAGTCCTTTCATCGTCGTGAGGAGCAAGAGCAAAAATCTGATGTTGCAGAATGACGGAGAAACCACCTTGTTCAAGGCAGTTGCTGACTCCATTCAGAAGAACAACTTCAAAGAACTGAACGACGCGATCAAGTCGAAGGCAGAACTGGTGAAAAATGTGTTCCACAGATTCCGTATCCAAGACGACACGACTCCTCTTATCGGTGAAGTGACATGGACAAATCAGCTTGCCGAAATGGTAATTGATAATAGAGAATTTCTTAAATGATAACTAAATTAATTTAGTCAATGGGTGCTCTCAAAAGGATCTATGGAATCAGATTCAACCTGAATCATGAGAATCTTGCTCTTGCCGGCAAGTCGAGTTACAACCGACCGATCTCTTTCTGGCGCGAGCGCGATGCTTCGAAGATCGAGCAAGTTTTCAAACGCGGGACGCTCAAACGGCTTTCAGATGCGCGCAAACGACGCAAAGAGTCCGCGGATGCAGCCCAAATTGAAGCTGAAATCAAAAGGCAGAAAAAGCACAAAGAGGAAACAGAGCGAGAAACAAAACTTCTTGCTGACATTCACGATTACATCCCAATGAATCTTGATTCGGTAATTCATAGAAAGTGTTACAAATTTAACCAATTTATAAAGGCTCACTTCAAACAAATGAAAAAAGCATTTGACCGTAAAGCGAAAGTGACGACTTCAGCAAAAGAATTCCGCGCCCTTTGCATCATGAAAATGCGTGAATGCTTCGACTTACGACAGAATAAAGAAGCAGGCGCATGGGAAGACAAAAATCCTTCAAGCAAGGAGATTGATGCATACAACTCTTACTTGCTGATTTTTAGAAAATAAAGAAAGAGAACTAGAATTATTTGATCTTTTCTTCTTTGTCAAGCTGTTTTTACATTTCAGGGCAGCGGTTAACGACTTAAATTCAATTTGTTCGGGAAAAAGAAGAAAAATATGAATTGATATGTACAAAAACCATTGTAACAATTATTTATGAGTATTTTAGTAGAAATAAGTATTTTTTTGCAATAGGGTAAAATTTTACCTTCCGTTTATGGGTTCTGAATATATTTGTCTTAAAGTTTATTGTGTTTCTACGCATAAATAATAAGTTTAAACAATATAAAACATAATTTTTCGAGTAAAAAAAACAATTTTTTTGAAAAAAGGTTTAATTTTTGCTTCCGATTATAGGTTAAAAATAAATTTTTGGAAAAAAATTCTGATTTTTACGCATAAAAAAGGAGAATAAACAATAAAAAACATAAATTTAGCCTAAAAAAAGCCATTTTCCAAAACAGGTTAAAATTTGCTTGTCGATGATTGGTTAACCGGGGGCCATGTGTTTTTTCTTGAAGAGTACCTCCCAAAGGTCCACCCAAAAAAATATCGGCGCCTACCGTGATCATGGCCCTGAAATTTCCGACCCTAGTTTACATCGACGAAGAAAACGCCGAGATAACTTGGTCAAGACAACTGCGGGGCGATCTCGATGGCGATGGAAAAGTTGACTTGAACGAATATCTCGAGCCAGAGGTGATTCCTGAAGATGGGAAGCACGTCCACTCCGATAATATCCCGGACAAAACTTCGATGATTCTCCATGACGCGCTGCGAACTGATGCCGGTCGATACCAGCTCGAGGTGAAGACTGAAACTGGAGTCGACAAAATTCACTTTCTCGTCCGAGTCATTGATGTTCCCGGTCCACCAACGCAGCCGAGGATTTCCGAGCTTGTCGGCGAGTCTTGTCGGGTCGATTGGGGCCCTCCTCTTGAAGATGGCGGCTGTCTTATTCGAGGTTATTTGATCGAAAGAAAGAAAACCTGCTCGACTCGCTGGATTCGACTTAACTCAAGTCTTCATGAATTTCATAACTTCTTTGCCGATCGAATGATGGAAGGCTCCGAATATGAAATCCGAGTAAGCGCGGTCAATGAGTGCGGAGTCGGCGAGCCCTCGATGAATTCCGAAAAATTTATTCCCATGGAACCAACCTCTGAAGTTCTCGACTTCTGCTCCTCTGACGTCACCGACGGAACAGTCAAGCTCAACTGGATGGAACCCCTGGACATTGGATACGCTGGCCTTGACGGATACGAGCTCCAGCACCAAGTTCTCAAGGGCAAGAAACACGATGACGACGCACTAAGTGCCACTGAATGGGTCGACTCAAACAACCAAAAACTCTTGGCTCCGGAGGCGATGGATTTTATCTGCAAAAATCTTGAAATCGGCAAGTACTACGCCTTCCGAATCCGAACTCGAAATATTGCTGGATCGTCGAAGTGGGTTTACTGTGGCCCAATTATTTGCGCCTTCGCTGTGATTGACCCAAAGTTGCTCATCCCGAAGGAATACAAAAATCCGGGAATTTTTGTTCGAAAAGGCGCTCGACTCAATGTCCTCATTCCATTCGAGGGACGACCGCTTCCTCAAATTTCCTGGAAAATGCTTGAGCCTCCAAAAGAAGGCTGGGAATTTCTCGAAGCATCGATGAAGCCGTTAGAGGACTATGTGACTATCAAGAACAATCAGACTTCCAGTCAGCTAACTATCAAAGAAACTCGCATGAGCGATACTGGAAAATACTTCATCAAACTCTCTGTCGGAGACGTAGAAGTCGAGTCCGAAATAAACGTCAACGTTGTCGACATTCCTGGAGAAGTGAAAGAGCTCAAGATTGTCGAAATCGTCGGAACAACTGCTGAGCTCTCTTGGAAACCGCCTTTGAGCTCTGGAAACTTGGACATCCTCGGCTACCGAGTTGAAAAGCGCGACAAAAGATCAGGAGCTGATTGTCCCTGGTTCATGTGCTTGGAAAAGACACGGCAGGAGAAGTGCTTCATTCATGGCTTGGTTCCAAACAACGATTACGCTTTCCGAGTTACTGCGATCAACGAAATCGGCCAAGGACCCCCTTCGAGTACTGATTACGGAAGAGTTGACGCAACGCCTTACGATTTAAAGCTGAAGCCTTATATTTCCAAGTCATTGGAAAAAGCTCCAAAGTTCACGACTCCTCTGAACTCTCGATCGATGATCGTCAATTTCGAAACAACTCTTTCCTGCAGCTTCGAAGCCTACCCGCCGCCGAAGATCACTTGGCTCTGGAATAAAGTTCCGATCGACAAGATGAATCCACACTTCATGATGATTTCCCAAGGCGGAATTTGTCAACTAAAACTTCGCCGAGTCAGATTTGGCGATGGCGGAATTTACTCCTGCGTGGCTGAGAATGAACTTGGAACAGGCAAATTCTAGCGATTTTATGATGATAACTTTTCTGTTTAGACACAGTAACAACAAAAGTCGACGTTCAGGACCCAGAAGCGAGAATGATCAAAGCCGTCTGATTTTTATTTATGCTGAATTTTCACTTAAAAATAAACATACTTAAAGTTTTGAGAATCTCAAATTGAGATCTTCCTTTTTTAAAATCATCGCAGAGCGGAAGTAGAGAAAATGCGCCCAGTCTCGCAGGTAACAATTTTTTTCCCTATTTTTCATGAGGCTTTGTCTAGTCTTCTGCTGTGACGACCTCTTCGGTTGTGAGTTTCGAGCATTTTCTCAGTGAAACTATTCCTGATTCTGAATTGGATTCGATTCTTTCGAGACTAGGTGTTGCTCAGCAGTGCATGGACATTGTCGTCTGTCAGCTTCTTTTTGAAAAAGACGGAGAATGGGAAATTCAAGCTCAAGGAGCACTGATGCTTCTCAAAGACCACAAACGAAAGTCGTATTTTCTCATTTTGTCGTCGTCATCTGGCGAAGTTTTGTGGACGCAGGAGATTTACCACCGATGCAACTTTAGCCCTGTTGGGCCATTCATTCAGTTTTCTGGTGATGAGTGTCAAGTTGGGCTTAATTTTTCAGACGAGGAAGAGGCCATTCGTTTTGGTAACAAAATGGTGAAACGGTCCCATGGTCTGTTATCGTTATACTGTCGTAATTACAGAAATACTTAAGCAAAACGAAGGACCAAGAAGCGAAAGAGTCGCAGTAGGTCCAAACGGTTCAATGAAACAGGAAACAGTTTTGACAACACTTTTCTATGTAAAATGCGTCTTTACAAGTTTTACACTGCAAAAAAGTGCCCGAGATTGACGAAAGTACGGAAAGAAAGATCTCTCTTGGAGAAACCCAGAAACCGGAAAAGCCCAAGATGCAAGAGACTGAGAGTATCAATGATGAAGATGACAGTATGAAGCAGGAAACATCAGTCGTTGCCCTTTACGAGGCTCAAAAAGGCGTTGCTGTGTTCAAAGAGTCAGGCGAAAAGAAAAAGAAGAGGAAAGGTTTCTTCAGGGGAAAGTCTAAATCGAAGTCAAAGTCGAAAAGAAAACATCGTGGAAGATTAAAGCTGGACATTAGTGCCCCTACTGATATGAGAAGAACGGCTGGCTTGGCGATGAATCCGAACACTGGAAGAATGGAACTGTCCTGCGAAGATGAAAAAATGGCGCAAATTCTTATTAATATGGGCATCGTTGGAGATGATCATGAAGCTATGACTGTAAGTAATGAAGTATGAAGACATGAAATTGTTGGCTCTCGAATGACTGCAAAAACACGAACAGGGTCTAGCGTAGAAAAAGAACGAGTATATTTTGTAGTGCTCCGAGGAGCAAGGGAGAACGAAGTGAGTAAAAGTGGCAGCGCGCTCCGCATATATACGTTGCGCGAGAAAAACATGAAAATAAGATCGTATCATGATCGGCTTCTTCGAGAACCACGACAAAATGATGTTTTTAGCTTTTGAAAAACAAACGAAAAAGATCGAGAATTGATTCGGCTATCGAAGAAAGCGGTAAGATCAGTTAGGAAGAAACCTGTCTAAAAATATTAAGGTGGAATCGAAAAAGTTCTGATGGCAACACAGCAGCTCCCGCAGACCCCTCCAATTCTTGAAGAAGAGAAGGGACGCCTTGTCATTTCAGGTCCAGTCGCTGGAAGTGTGACGAAAAATGGCAGGGCGTTCAAATATGAACAGCCAATTGATATTCAGAAAAAGGTAAGTTATAAAAAGTAAATCAACTGGCATTTTCTTATTCAGAAAGTAGTGAAATCGAAAAGCCCCGGATTAATAAAGAAGGTCTTTTCCAGGCAAAAAAGTAAGACCCGTGCACCGGCACCACCAAAATGCACTGTGCCACCTCCACCCCCTCCGCCAGCACCGTCAGCTGCTCCGCCACCTCCAGCGATTCCATCAAAGCCAGCACCAACCGAGGAAAAGCCGACACTTCTCCGTGAGCTTGAAAGCTCGCAGTTGAATTTGATCCAAATGATTCAAGGTAAAAATTTTTACCAAGCCACGTATCTACAAAAAATATAGAAGGTCCGCAGCTCCGTCACGTGAGCGTCACCGACAGAGCTCCTCCTCCACTGAGTCCACGCTCTAAAGTCATGAAAAATCTCCTGGAGAATCCAAAATCAAATCTGAAGCATGTCCCGACCCCGCCTCCGAAACAGGCTCCAGTTTTCGGGGACTACTTTCTCTCGTCGCTAGAAAAGCAGCTTCAAGAGATCAAAAGAATGACCCACTCCGATAGCGAGTATGAAAATGAAAATGAGCAAGATGATGCTTGGGATGAGGAAATTTTCTTTTAAATCAATACCAATAAATAATAAACTAAGAATTCGAAATCGGGGAAAAATACTCTTCCTTGATTTCAAAATTGATCATCTTTTTTCACGAAGGCAGTGTTTATTCTATCTCACTTTGATGGACAAGAATTTCACTAGAAAAAGAGAAAGAAACAGAGAATTATCACTTCAGAAAGTATTTGTACAGGGAGTTTTTAAAAGGGAAAGAGCAGTAAAATTGACTTGAAGTCTAAAATTAGATGAATGAGAGAGATAGAGTTAGGACTCCTAATTTAGGAGGAATTTCCAATTAACAGTAGTCGGAAAAAATAATTGAGAAAAGCAAAACATGATAAACGTTTCATAAACGAAAAAGGATCAAAACGAAATGGGCGTGATTCATCTCTTGTCCTGAGACTTGAGAAACTCTTCGCGTCTTTTTAGCGCTTCAACAGCGGTGAGCTGGTATGGAATATTTCCGTGGATTACTTCCAGTCTTGGGTCGCCGTTGACACCGATTGCCACGTCTTCGTATTCGATTATTGCGCTGTCAGCTTCTATTAGGGGAGTTAATTCTTGAAGGGTTTGGAGACCGACCTTTTCCAGTTCTTCTCATGCTGTTTTCTAGCGCCGTTTGGGCCATGTAAATTGCGAATTGAGTCGCAGCGGCGCTGACGCACGAAGGAACCAGATTTCCTATCATCATTTCTGGGCTAGAAAAAGTACTTTAGTCGCTGAAAAAGAGGATTAAAACATACTTGGCTCTGTTTAAAACAGCTCTGACGCTGCCAACAGAGAACTTCGACGTGCCGTCATCCATTTTTGGAATTTTCGATTTCACGGGCTCTTTTTGGCCGAGTTTTTCCAGCCGTTTGCCACCGGGGCTTCCAGCTTTTTTACCAGGCATTTTTCCAGAGGAGGAATTTTCTGTCACCGATTTCGCTGTCTTTTTGGGAGATTTTTTCAGCGGCTGATCTGGATCTTCCACGGCGCTTTTGTTCGGCGTTTTCGCCTTCCAGAAGTCGGTGATTTTTCCCTGGTTTTTTGGCGACTCTTTTACAGCGCCATTTTTGGCCATCTGAAGAATTAAATCGTAAATTGGAGTATTTGTGGCAAGTTTTGCATACATTTGGTAAGTGAACTTTTCCAGGTTAATAAAAATAAGCTTCACGGTAGCTACTAGCGCTGAGTGCGTAAAAACAAGCGGCAGTGAAGAACTAGTGCATCTATTTTTGTGTTTCTGCTTGTGTTATTGCTCGTTCTTGGCTCTCGGCAAGGTTCATGCTCTTTTTGGCGAGCTCTGGGGCTTTTGGCGAGTTGAGTGAGTATTCTTTGAACGGGGGGCGAACAATATCGCCCTGCGATGGAACTTCTTGATTTCTAGCGAGCTCGAGGGTCGCTTTCCGGCCGTTTTCAAAGCTCAGCTGAACGTTTGTCCGCGACGGATCGCATAGCATCTCCACCAGACCCTTTGCAGTCTTTTGCTTGTCGGACAACGTCTCTTCTTTATTTTCACTTTCATTTGTCTCGATGCTCATTTGTTTCTGGACAGATGGTCGGTTTGTTTCTGTATCCATAGGCTCTGGTTTTCGCGAATTTACGGCGGGCTTGATCTCCAATGATTCTGGCTCATCAACAGACGCTAAAATCGGAATTTGAAAAAGGCAAAGTTGAAAGTTGAAAGTCGAACCTTGAGTTCGTTGACGCATCTTTTCTTTGAGCGATTCGATGTCGGCAAATGCCTAAAAAATGAATGTTTAGAGAAAATTTCTCTTTAACTGTTACCTTGGATTTGGCAAGCGCTGGCGCAAGCTGTGGTTGCTCAAACGCAAGTATCTCGGCCATATCTCTATTTGCTGCTTTTTGCGTATGCTTCAGCTTCATCGCTCGTAACTTCAACGCCTCTGCTGCCGTTATTCTACGCGGGAGCATTCCTTGGAGCTTTTTCATTCTTGGATCGGAAGCGACTGCGTCTGCCATGTCGTCGTAATCGACTGTGAACTCGTTCGGCTTCTTCGACAAATGGTGCTGGAGGCCCATTTGGAGAACATGTGCGACGAAATGCTTGGCCGCCAGGGCCAGGTGAGTCGCTGCCGACTTTGAAACTTCATAATCTCTAAAATAGAAAAAAGCATGACTTCCACCGCCTTTGGAAAGCCTCCTACTTGTATTTTCTCGGTCGCTTGACATATTTCTTGTACAGCTCTTGAATGTGATCCTGCGAGATCATCGCCTTGTTCGCCAAGTTCTGAATGAACTCTTCTCGAATTGCGATTTCCATCGCCAATTCTTCCTCCGTCACGAGTTCTACTTCCTCCTCCGATTTCATTTCCGAATCCTTCGGAACAGCCTCGTCCACCTCCATTTCTATTCTGAAAAGAGGAAAAAGTGAGAATCAGTAAGAATGAATGGTGATTTTTTTGAACAAGGAAATTATGAAGAAAATACAGCAGGGAACCAGTATTGAATCTCTTTGGCTGGCGGGGCGTCAGCCCAAACTGTCCCTTCCCGCGCCAGTGTTTCAACCAATGAGCAAAATCGTAGCGAGCTCCAGCCCAAGTCGCGTTCCACTGAAAAGATGCGAGATTAGCATCTCTCGATTCCCTAAAATCTACCTAAAGACTGGGAGACCATTCCATTGTGTTTGCTCGAATACTCGACCAGTTTTGCCGCATCGTCTGAAAACTCGCCCGGAACAGCTTGAACAATCGCTTGGGAGCCTTTCCCGATGACTTGGTAGCCTTTTCCGAGGCTTCTGAGCTTTCCAAGGGCGGTTTCAATATCGGCCGGTTCTGCTTTCAGGTCTTTCGCGATCGTAGAAAGAGCGATCAAGCCTCCAGTTGCATCTCGGTAAGCCATGCAATACTCGACCACGCGCACCGAAAGTTCGTAGTAGAAATCGCCCATTCCAAGCACTTCCGCCCAAAATCCCTTTGAAGATGAAAGTGGATCTACTCCTATTGCAGCGCACATTGCCTAAGAAAGTTATAAAAAATGAAAGAAAACAACAAAAAAATACTCTTTCTTTCTGAAAATCGCGGCTTCTCGATTTTTTTACCTGAAATTGCTTTCGGAAGGCCGGATTCTTTCTTATTTCGCTTCTGTGATTTTTTGCAAAATGCTCGAGTCTCTCTTTGAAGAGCGAAAACTGCTTCTCGACATGTTCAAAATCTGCTTTTTGTAATTCTTGAGCTTTTTCGGCAGTTTTTTCTTTGATTTTATTGCGATCTTTGATTCCGGCGATTCCGCGTTTTCTCATTTTCTAAAGAAAAATCTGTTTTTTTGTTGGTTTTGGCAGTTTTGAAAAGAAAAATCGTCGAGTTCATCAAGTAAACAAACAAATTCTAGGGGGTAAGCTTTCGGGAATTTCTCTAAACATCGAAAATAAGAAAATTTGAATTCGTTTATTTTCTACTCGCAGCGTATCAGCGGCGCGGAAAATCTCCCAGAGGAAAATCGATGATTTGCTTTTCCCAGAAAAAAAATGGGATTATTTTTCTTCAGAGAGAAATTTTGGCGAAAACTATTTTATTTTTTTCTCATAAATTAAAAAACAACCCGCCTATTCATTTAAACATTATTACTTTATTTGTAGATTGCGCAAATTCTGCTTTAGTTAGTTTTCTAGCGCAAGATTTAATGATTAAAAATTGAGAAATTCCTCATCAGGCCTTTTTTAATCAACTTTTTCCATCACTAGAATGCTCAAAAAAACTTCCAATGGCACGGAAAGTCGTACCTTTCCCGCCCGAGGCCCTTCCAATCCGCCAGTACCTTTACTACATCGTTGCCCTTTTCATCCTTTTTCTTGAATCGAGAAGATGAAGCAGACCTTTGGAATTGTTTCCACAACGGCGAAGAGAGACAGATGCCAGCCCTACAAGACGGTTCAATTTCAGTTTGTCCAGGAATGCGTGTCAGAAGCTCAAGAAGAATTGAACTTTTTGGAAACACCAGGTTTTTGGTCGATTCAAAATAGGATGCGGCCTCTCCATTATTTTTTGCGTAAATCTTTTTGGCTGAATTTCTTTTGGTTGTATTTAGCCAATCAGATACTTCAAAAAGACATCTAGCCAATGAAAAATGGGGTAATGGCCTCTTATCCAATAAGAAAAATCTATAGACATTCCGAGCCAATCAGAAATCTCAAAAAAATTATTCGTTTCTAACGCTCAGTTTTAGGATTTTCGGATTTCTACAAGGGCCGCGTTGCAGTTTCTTGGACGATCATGACGAAATCTAAACTCGAACCGATCGTACTCATCTTTGAAGATTTCTACCTGCCTTGTGATCTCGGTCATTTGGTCATCACAGAGGGACTAGATGAGTCGCAAGAAATCTGTGGAACTGACGACAAATGGCCAGCCATAATAGGTACAGTTTCATTTCACTTTTCAGTTATTGGAAACAATTCTTCCAGGGAAAAGTACGAACATGAAGCTGTCAATCCAGACAAGTCGGTCAACAATGGAGTGGAAAATGAAATTAGGCTTTCGAAAAGACGTTCTCGGCGCCTGTGGCAAACTCGTCAAAAATTACCCGAGATCGATAAACCCTTGCATACAAGACGAAGCTCCTACTAAACCGATCCGGACAAAAGGAAAGATTCCCTTCAAAAATCCTTTCGGAAAGGTAAGAAGCAACATTCTTCAACGATTTCATTCAAAACCTTTCTTTTTCAGAAAATACCCAAAAAAGTGCCGAAAAAAGACGAACCAGAACTAGAAGAAGAAGAAGTCGAAGGAACGAAAAGTGCCGAGGAAGATCCGAAGATTCCCAAGAATTCGAATCCCAAGCCAACTCGAAAAACAACAACGAGGAGTACGACAAAAGAGCAAAACATCGTCCAAGGATACGACCCAATTCATGAAATCGGAGCAGAAGAATTGCTCAAATTTCAAAACGATCTGGACACCCGTTATGTAAGTATCTTTCGCTCATCTCTTCTTATTTCGATTCTTACAGTGGAATTTGGACAGTAGAAATCACCGGGAAGAAAAGGCTGACATGAGTTGGGCGCTTTGGATTGTTCTTTTGCTGATAGTTACTGGAATAGTGTCGATTATTTCGTTCTACAGAAGGAAATTGAAGAATCTTCATGTTTTGCAAGAAGAAATGGAGTTGCCGGAAACTTCGAGCTCTAGAAAATTGAGAAGATAGCCGATTATTCGAATTCACATGATTGCCTGTAAATTTCGCCAAAAGCCAAAAAATAAATGATGAAAAAAGTTCAATGAATTTGAAAAGCAAACATTTAAAAACATCAAAAATGCTCCTGAAGGTGCCAAGTTGGCTTTATTAGCTTTTCAGATTTGTAAAGAAAAAAAATGAAGAGTAATTCGTGGCGAGCATGAATGCGAAAAACGAGAAAGGCGAGCATGACGAGCATGCGATCCTCTTCCACGGGATCACTTATCTTGGAGCGACGCTGGTCGAGGACGCACGGGACGAGAAAGCCGTGAGGAAGCAGATTGAGGATCTTTCTGATGAAGAAGGGGGCTTCAATGTGACGGTGTCGATTCCTTCCAGTGCTGATGGCATTTTAAAACTTCTCGAGCCAGGATCGCTTACTGAAGGAAATGGATGAAAGTTTGAATCTCGGCAAAGTTTGACTGGTCGACATTGTTTTTTAAAGCTTTTGATTCGCTAAAAAACTGGTATAAAATAATTCGAATCCATTTGAAAGTGACGTCTTTTTACCTTTTCCGAGTGTTGCAATTTGTGTCGCATGAAGCGAAGCCGGGGCTTATCGGCTTCACGGAGAATTCAGACGGCGCTTCGACTTACCGCTGCCATGTGCTCAGATGTCAGATTCCTGACGCGGCAGAGAAGATCATGTCCACCGTCTCACAGGCTTTTCGACGTGTTCCTGTGAGTATACTCCACTATTACTGCTACTGAACTCTCACGTTTTTAAAGACGACATCTGTAACGCTTGAAAACAACACGCACAATCTCGAATTCAACGTCTCTCTGGAAATTCACGAAGAAGAAAACGGAAAATTCGTGCCGGTTTTGTTCGACAAAGAGTCGTTCAAATTACGCCGCGGTTTCGAAAAGCGAGTCCAAGTTACGGTGAACCAGACAGCTGGATTGGTGCTTCCCGTTGAGCGATGCTTCGGGCTGCTTCTTTGTCCGGGAAGACTGGCAAGAGCCGCGGATATGACGTTGTTGGACATGGAGATGTCCGAGTCAAAGGTACCAAAATCTCAATCCTAACCCTTTTCCAATTTTAGGACGTCCATTCGGCCATCGGAACATGGGACTGTGCCCACCCTGCGCTGCGTCTTTTGAACACAGAATCGAAAGGAAATTGCTTCTTCGTTTCTGCTGCTGTCGATCTTGTCTTGTGCGGAATCGCCGATCCAGTCCGTTTTCTGATAGAGACAAAAGTTCGTGTTTTTCCACAAGAAGAGAAATGGCTCCTTCGAGGATTCAAAGCTAAGCACCAGGAAGAGCAATTCTTCATGAGCGTGATCGAAAGCAGGCAGAGCTCTGGCGCTGCGAGTTATACTGTCAAATCGATTGAAAGCAACACATCAAGAAATCGAGCTCCAGAAATGTCTCTCCGGGTGAAGGACGATGACGACGAAGAACCTCTCTCCTCTGGCTTCGGAGCAGTGACACTGGAATGCTCCTCAGAGCGACTGGCTTGGTGGACGAAGGAGCGTATCTCCGGCTGGACGGAGAAAAACGTGAGGCCGGAAGGAATCGACGAAATCATTGTAAAATATGGTGTTCCTCACGCGCTCAGGGGAGCGATTTGGCCTCTGCTTGCGAAAATTAAAGCAGATAAAATGGAAGAGCTGAAAGAAGCGTTCAGAGTGTTGAACACGAGGTGGAGTCCTCATGATCAAGCGATACAAAGAGATATAGGAAGCGTTCAAGAGCAATTCTCATTGAAAATTTCCAAACTCATTCTTCTGTAAAAAGTGTTCTTGAACATTGAGAAGGCCGGACATTCCCCGCTCATCAATACTTTCAAGAATCCGGCGAAGCTGGCCAAGAAGCCCTGTATCGCGTCTGCAAAGCTTACTCCCTTTACGACTCCGAAGTTGGATACTGCCAGGGCCAAAGTTTTCTCGTTGCCGCTCTTCTCACCGTACAAATGCCAGAAGAAGAGGCTTTCGCTCTTTTTACAACGATCATGCATGAATACCATTTCAGGTAGTAAGCGCTTGGTGAATTTATTTAAGACTTTATATAGGGGTTTATATTTACACTCATTTTCCGAACTACGGCTTCGCTTTTGGATTCTTGAGCAACTCGTCGAATCTGAACTTCCATCGCTTCATACCCACTTCAAAGATTTAGGTCAGAAATAACAATATTTTCCGATGGATTTGACCAAAAATTATAATAGGAGTGGAAGCGCACATGTATTCCTCACAATGGTTCCTGACGCTTTTTACCGCTAAGTTTCCTCTTTCGCTCGTTTATCACGTGATCGACTGGTTCTTGTTGGAAGGGCCAAATGTCATCTATCGCCTGGCGCTTGCTATGCTTAGGACTTGGAGAAGAGACCTGCTTTCTTACGATTTCGAAGGTAGGATTATCTTCCTCGATTTTTTCCACTTGTATTTCAAAAGGCGTTCTTCGATTCTTCCGCGTCCATCTGCCTCGCCAGTTTTTGGATGAAGCTTCTGTCATTTCTTTGATAAACGCTGCCAAGCAAGAAAAACTCTCAGAAAAGAAGGAGCAAAAGCTCAGAAGCGAATGGGAAAAAGCCCAAGATGCTCGAGAAACTCCTGCTCAACGACTAGAGCGAGAAAATAAACGGCTTCATTCGAAAGTACTCCGGCTCGATTTTGAAAGCGACCTGGTAAATTAATAAAATTTCAAGCCTTTCTCCTATATTTTTGTAGCTCGTTCAAAATATGATCGAAAAGGAAAACGCTGCCCAAAAACAGATGGACAAGCAAATGGAAGAATCGAAAAGAGTAAGCGCGGCAAAGTGTGATTATTCTTGATTTTTGCCTTTCAGATGGGACGCGAATTAGATGCGCTGAGACTTCAGCTTCAAGAAATACGACGCGAGCGTGATAACTTTTCACAACAAGTGGAAAACTTCAAAGAAGAAAATGAAGAACTCAAGGAGCTCTGGAGAAAGTCAGCAACAATTTCTCCTCTCTTCGTCTAACGATGTGTTTTTAGGGAAGTATTGAGAAGGGATACTGACGCTTCCGAGCTCCGCAACGATATTCTTCGTAAAAACGCATTGATAGCCGATTTGACAGCGTTGAACGAAAGGAATAAGAAGCAGAATGGAGAAGGGGGCTCCTCTCGTTCGTCCTTTTCAGAAAATCATGCAGTCTCAGATGGCGCTGTAGAGCTGGAACTCGCTCAGACTAAAGTAAATCATCCCTTTTCCTCGTTGATTTCATTGTCGATTCTTTTCTAGGTTCGCTTGGTTGAGATTCAATGCAAAAATCAAGACCTGGAACACACAATCCAGGAGTTGGAGAAAAGCCTTTCCGACGCTAGAAATACTTGGATCAACAAACTTCAAGCCCGAGCCTTGAATTCCGTCAAGAAATGATCAAAAATCTTCATTTGGTGAAAAATAATTTATCAAAAGGCTGCAATTTATGAAGCAATTTGCAAATCCCGAAATTTACCTTGAAAAGAAATAACTTCTGTGTATCGTGGAATTATTCCAAAATTAATGATAAATCAAATTTGTAATCTTCACTGGTTCCATACTTCGTTCATGTCGCTCAAATGTTGCCTGTTTTCTGCTAAATCTTTCTGTTTCAATTTCAAAAAATGAAAATCATTCAGCTTGATTTCATCCACAAAAGTAAAGCTACAGTTACTTAGAGTTGTTTAGCAGCTCGCCACCATTTCTTCATTTATATAATTCTTTTTATATTTTGATTCAAACTTAATGTTTGGTGACGCCTTTTAGACATGACAATAAATACAGTATTCATTCTTAACAAAAATTTATAATTATTTGAATTTGCGGTTTACGGAAAACGTTTGCCGCATTGTGCTCCTGGATGCGGTAGAGGCGGTAAATGCAGTGGCACATCCTAAACTGGGCAGGTCGCTTTGTCCATCCGCGGCCCACTTTGGGATGTGGTGACTCATGCCATTTCTTTTGCTCTAATAAGAGAAAGCGTTTCTGGAAGCGGCCGCCCCTGCCCAGTTTGGGATGTGGCGGCACCTGCCCAGTTTGGGATGTGCCACTGTAGTGCGTGACGCCTACGCATGTGGTGGGTCTCTCGCGCGCCCCAGGTGTATATCACATGTGCGTAGGCGCCTTGTTCTTCCACCTCGTTGTTTTTTCGGAAACCGCAGTTCACTTGAGTGAATCCATTTAAGGGATCCCCCCCTGATTTCCCGAACTTTGACCCCTATCTACTTTTTTCTGGTCTTACTAATGAGTATGATTAGTAGCGCATTTAAAAGCTCGCTTCAGAATGAACATATTCTGGTAGAATCAGCTTCCTATCCTAACATTCGCTTATGCATTAGAGGCCGTCAAAGTGATTAAAGTTGGCGAAAATGGCCATTTTAGACCATTTTCAAATCGTATCTACTTTTTTTAGGGCTTTTTAATCACAGATCTTTTTGCATCTATAGAGAGCTCAGAGCCTAGACTTAATATTTTGGTAGAATCAGCAAATTTGGATAAGTGAAAAAAAATTTTTCTAATTGTAAAACTTTTTGAACCCATTTTTGGCATTTTTTTGGAGGTTAAATGCTCTCTAGCGCCAACAAATGGTCGAAAATTCTAGTGCGGTAATTATTTTCGTGATCTAGGCATTCTAAGCTTTCGATTAACCCCTTATTTGTCCTCTTTTGATAACGATGAAAAACCGAAAAAAATTGCGATTTTCGCGCTAAGTACAATTTACATGCATTTTCCCAAACTTTGAAAGCCAAAATTTTGGGGAAGCATTAATGTAAACGGGTACTATAATACATCAAAATCATCCTTAGAACACGAGGAATCTAATAATAGGCGGTAATGATCCACATCAAAGTTTTGAAAAATCGGGGGGTGATCCCTTAATCCGTTCATCATTTCAGAGATGGATCATCAATTCAAGGTGCCGAAGGTGCCCAAGATTCCGAAGATTCCGGTCGTTGTTCCGGTGTGGCGCCCGAGTAAGGAGTTAGAGAGAGAAAGGAGGAAACAAGACAAGAAGCACGAGAAAAAACTGATCTTTGGCAGTCCCATCTACGCACCCATCGAAATACGATGGCTGCATTCTAACCTCAGTCTCATCGACGAGCTGATCGAGACGATCCAGGACGAAGACTTCAGGAAGATTCGTTACGCGGCAGATCTTAATATCATCGCCGCTTATCGTCAGTACAATTTCAAGGCATCGACAGATGCAGACATCAAGCCACTCAATCAGAGGAATGAGTATGCTGACCACAAGTTTGTCAAAATATTGGGCGGATATCTTGTTTCTCTGTTCTCTGAGCTGCCCAAAGGAACATGTAAGAACGCTCGTCCTTCCGGACTTCTTTCTTAATCTTTCTTTTAGTAAGTGAGTTCACCAAGATAAGCTACAAAAAAAAACTTGGTCGAGTCCCTACGTACGAAGAACTCTCGGACAAGGCTGTGATGAACCTGGTCAACTCGTTGCGAAGAATGCTTGCGGAATACGAAATGCACGCCTCGAATTTAGACCCATGCATGCGCGACGAAGAGGGCATGGCGTGCAAAGAGCTCAAGGAAATGGAATTGTTGAGAATGATGATGCGCATCATTCTCGATGCATTTGAATCGATCTACCAGCGAATTCAAGTTATTCAGTTCAAAATGAATAAAGAATTGTCAAGTAAGTCAAATTCGCTTTCTAGGATCAAATTGATCTTAATTTGACTGATCAAAGGTTTACCAAGAAATTTCAGAGGCTATTGATGAACAAAATCGGCGAAAAACTAACTACTTGATCGCGAACAAGACGATTGAGGATATCAGAGATTCGTTGCCGAGCACCAAGATCTTCAACGATTACAATCACATGTACAATCTGATGCCGAGAGTTCATCTTATTCGAGCATACTGGGTATGTTTTTTTGCTATCTTCCTTGATTTCACGACTCTTTTCTTAGATCCTGCAAGATTACACAGATGTCATCTTGCACACACAGCATATGGCGGCCATGGAGTGGGAAACTTTCTACTGGAAAGGCGACAAAAAGTTTCATGATGAATGCTTTGCGTACAACATTGAATCGTTGATGAACATGCAGCTCGAGGCGTACAGACTTCTCGACGACGACAACGGCAAAGTGATCGAAAACCATCTCTACAATCGCGAGCCAACGTACGGCCTTGACGGGAACTTGACAAGTTTCGATCGAACGGCGAGAGCGCTCAAAAAAAAAATTGACGAACAGATGAATCCACCTTGGGGAGACGCAGCCTTCAACGCGCCTGATCGAGTTCTCGAGCTTGGGGACTGGTCTCAGTTGGAGAAGGCAACGGACACGGCGCTCAAGACCTTCCCGATCAGTTTGGTCGATTTCGGAAATGAAAAAGACTTCCAGGCGATCACATACAAGCTCCTAGAGGCTCAGACAGACGCTATTCGAAAGGAAAACATTGAGATCTTCGAGCGGGAGATCAAGAAGCGAGGCCACGAATGGTTCCACGATAGAGTGACCAACAGGGACGAGTACAAAACGACCCTGCCGGCACTTTTTCTGAACGATCAGCATGACATGTTGAACCTTCTGAAATACATTGATGACAAGGAAGAGGAAAGCAATCCCTTCAAATTAACCGACATGTACACGAAGATGGACGAGCGACGCCGCCTCTGGGACGATCTTCCTGAACAGTGGCATCTCCTCAGGACCGAACTTCGGAGTCTAGTCAGTTTGCGGAACGGCCTGATCAAACTTCCTCTTGGAGCAAAGACAGCCAAAAAGTTCAAATTCAGACTCGACACGATTTGCGCCAATGTTTTGATGGAGAAAGCAAAGATGCTTCGAATGATGAAGGATGACGAAGGTTGTGATTCTTGCATCGATTTGGCGACAGATATTCTCGAAGAAGTTCACAACTTGAAGAATAAGCACTTGAAAAGGCGGCTCAACTTGCTGAACATCATCACGCTCGAGAATCATCAGCTCATCATTTCGCTATTGGAGAAGAACAACATTGAGAGATCGCACATGTACGAATTGTACAGCGAGTTAGTCGATGAACGTGAGCCGTACCGATTGCTGATCGGTTCGCCCGAAGGAACCAGGTGGTTTCGAGCAAGTGCTGCGAGCAAGATCGCCTTTTTGCTTGGAAATATTGCGCTGAAAGACAACTCAGAGTTGTTCAACGATAAGGGATTGTTCTTTGGCCTGGAGAATACGCAGCTCAGTCTCGACTACAAGACAACTGAAGAGGCTAGAGGCTGGTTCAAACGAGCGTGTAGGACTGCGGAGCTCTGCCGACCTGGAGATAATTTTCAAAAGAGAAAGTGCTACTATGCGATGGCCGAGCTGAACGATGAGTTTTTTCGACAGCACTCGACGTTTTTCTTCCAGAAAAACACCGCAGAGCAGACGCAAGCTGATCTGGATGCATCTGTCCTATCCCCACCGGGATCAGTCACCCAAGGAAGCCAGCTTACTGCTCGTAGTGAGAATAGAGAACTGGTCGATTGCGCTCTCAACGCGATTGAGAAGTACGGTCAAGCAATTGTTGCTGGTCACCGTTTGGACAGAATGTGTCTCTTTAAAATCATCGAGTTAGTCTTCCATGTTGCCGATGCCCTTGGCGAGCCTGGAGTCATGCAGCAATCTGTTCACGATAAGAGCAGGATGATTTTCGCTCGTTTTGAAAAGACGATGAACATAATTCCTCCAGAGCAGATTCTGACGATCATCACTCAGATTCTTGGTCGATTGAGCCACCGATGCAAAGACTTCGTCACTGTGTGCTTCAAGATCACCCTGAAGATGACGAAGGTTTTCCCTTATCAAATGACCTGGTACTTCCTGAACTTCTCGCAACACGCGAAGGAATATGAAGACATCCGAAAGAAGGATGAGAGAGAGCTTTACAGAGAGTATCAAAATAACATTGATTTGTGGGAAAGAAAGGGGAAAAGAGGAGCGAAACCAGTCCAGACTGCATGGAGCGAAATGGAATCGAAAAATTTGCGATCAGCTGTTGTTCGTGGGAGAAAAATCTACATGACATTAGTAAAGAGATTAATATCTGTTGATGAAGAGTACAAGCGAATCTTCAGGCATTACTCTGCCGCGTGGACCCTAATCAACGAGATCATCAACCATAACTTTACATCGTCTGGCAGGCCAAGTCTCCGTTCAATGAAAGATAAGGTGAACCTCGCATCTGCTTCTGTTAAACTGCTCGAGAAAAAATTGCCGGAAGACTTCAAGGTTCTCATCCCGACAAAGGAGTTTATGCGACCAAAGCAGCGTAACACGCGGCTTCTAGCAGACTTTGATGTAAATTTCTCGCCGTTTCAAACCACGAGCTCATCTCGATCAAAGCAAGGGAAGAAACAACCGGAAGAGGATATCGAGCAAACTGGCGAAGAGTTCTGCGCGATGCACAATCTCGATCATGGAGCTGACGACGACGAAGAATACGAAGAAAATCCCGATGATCCAGAACTTGCTACTGTAATAGATTTCGACGATTATGGAGAGTTTCCAGTGTCTCCAGAGGAACATCATGAACCAGAGGAAGACATGGACGGTGATCCGAGTACGTATGACCCGCCCATCGACACTGAGAAAGACACCTGGAAGAAACCCTGGCATCCCAACCTGGTTTTCATCACTTCTTTTCTGGACGAAATACTCCAGTTGTCTTCCCAGCAAAAACCAAAGCGACTCGTCTTATTGGGCACAGATGGTAGGGAGCACAGCTTCTTGTTGAAGAGAGGCGACGATCTAAACTTGGACTCGAGAATCGGAGAGACTTTCGAGCTATTCGACTATCTTCTCCGACACGATGAAGAGTCCCGTGATGCAGACATGTCTATTCGATCGTACAACGTATTGCCGATTGGGCACAAACGTGGAATCATTGAATGGGTGGACGATCTATGGGCTCGGGTTCACAAATAATTTTGATTATCTCTTAGTTGTTAGAGAATTGATATTGAACCTTTTAAAAGGCCTTCAAAAAGTGCTTGCAAGCTTATTACGAGCGCCGGGGCTACACAACATCCCAACTTTTTTGGTCACCGCCTGAGTTTTCCGGCGATGGCACTGATCGAATGAAGTCCTTCGAAGAAATCAAGAAGAAAGCTGGACCACCAGTTTTCCACGAATGGTTCCTCGAAAGCTTCCCGACTGCTGGGGAATGGTACCAAGCCAGGGAGACGTATCAAAGATCACTGGCAGTTACATCGATTATTGGCTCTATCATCGGCTTAGGTAATTTATTCATCATTGGCTCGAGTTGATATGTTAATTGAAGGAGATCGCCACTGCGACAACCTTCAAATATGTCAGCGAACGGGAGAAGTCGTCCATATCGACTTGAACATGATCTTCTTGAAGGGAAGAAATCTCAAGGTGCCTGAGATCGTGCCTTTCCGAATGACAAGGAACATTGTCGACGGACTCGGTCCTGTTGGCGTCCAAGGTAAGTCAAATGTTAATCGAAAACACTATTTATTTTTAGGTCTTTTCCGCAAAACAGCTTTACTAACAATCCGGATCGCGAAAGACAAGGGAAAGCTGTTGCGTACAGTATTCTCGCTTGTTCTCCGAGATCCCACCTGTAAATGGGAAAAGATCAGAAGCAAGAAAAATGTGCTCATAACCAGCAGCGGAAAGGACAGGTCACAAGAGTCGCCAATCGTTCTCATGAAAGAGAAGAACATGATGAGAGAGGATCGACAAGCCGGTAAGATTTTTTTGTCTTGACATGCTTGTTTTAGCTCATTTCTTTAGCTGAAGACCTGACTGATCTTCTCAAAAGAGTCTATTGCTACGATCCGGAGACAAAGAAGATCCTGCCTCCCAGCGACTACCTCGATTTGCTTGTCCAAACTGCCAGCGCGGACGAAAACCTCTTCAAAATGTACCGAGGTTGGGCGCCACACATGTAACGCTTCCTATCTTCTCACTTCCAGTTAACCCAGACCCCTCAAAATCTCACCAAATTCCCCACCCTTTTCAACAAGTTCAACACCTAAACAATCCTGACAATAGAACATGTTAACTGCCCCTCACTTCACGTTCCTTACTGATACATTTATCGTAAAAGTTCAAAGAATAAATTTTACCCAACACAATCATTGTACACTTTTTATGCAACCTCATGCATCTTTATGGTATCATATGAATGACGGAAATCATTGGGCTCTTCACAATTTTTTCTCTACTGCTAATTGAGAGATCTTTCGCTAGAATGATAAGATGAGAATTCTCTGTGTAGCAGAAAAGAACGACGCTGCAAAAAATATTGCAGCTCAATTGAGCAATGGTTCAGCGCGGAATGAAGCAGGGCCGAGCAAATATAACCGACTCTATAAGTTTTACTCGATGTTTGAGGTAATGAATCGGAACTTAGACTGCAACTAGTCTTATTGCAGGGGCACCAGGCAGACTTTGTGATGACTTCGGTAAGCGGGCACATGCAAAACTACGAGTTTCCGATCCAGTTCAAAAGCTGGAGCTCGACCCCGCCAGACGCTCTCTTTGACGCACCACTCGTAAAGAATGTCACGAAAGACATGGTGAAAGTAAAGCAAAATCTTGAGCAACAGAGTCGAACACACTCGGTCCTCATCATCTGGACCGATTGCGATAGAGAAGGAGAGAACATCGGTGCAGAGGTTCGAGACGTCTGTCTTCGAGCGAACAGAAATCTTCGGGTCCTTCGAGCAAGGTTTTCTGAAATCACTCAAACGGCCGTTCGGCGAGCGATGGCTAATCTTGTCCCGCTCAATGTGCTCATTGCAGAAGCAGTCGATGCTAGACAAGAGCTGGATCTGAGGATCGGCGCTTCTTTCACCCGACTACAGTCTTTATTCCTACAGAACCGATTTCCAACTCTTGTAGACAGATTGGTCAGCTTCGGGAGTTGTCAATTTCCAACACTGGGCTTTGTCGTCGAAAGATGGAGAGCAATCGCGGAGTTTCAGCCAGAGAAGTTTTGGAAAATCGAAGTGCATCACAATAGAGGCGGAATGAACACAATTTTCACCTGGTCTCGTGTTCGGCTCTTCTCAGAACGAGCTGCGGCGGCGATTTTCGAAGAAATCGAGGAAAGCGGAAGAGCCAAAGTCACGCATTTAGAATCCAAGCCGAAGTCAAAATGGCGTCCCTTTCCACTAGAAACAGTGGAGCTCGAGAAGAAAGCGCGAATGCTGGGATTAACAGCGAAAGATATCATGAAAATCGCAGAGAAGCTTTACACTACTGGTTTCATCTCGTACCCGCGTACTGAAACGAATATATTTCCTAAGTCGCTGGACTTGAAGCCGATGGTGGAGGCGCAACAGCGAGACCCGAGATTTGGAGCCTTCGTGACGGAGATTCTTCAAAATGGGATCGACCCGAGGAATGGGAGGAAAACTGACGAAGCGCATCCACCGATTCATCCGCTCAAAGAAGGATCAGGAAAGGGCCTTCAGGACTTTAATAATGCCATCATGATCATTTTCTGAAGCCTTGAATAAGGATTAGTTGGGGCCGAAGCGAAAGTATACGAATTCATCGCCCGTCGATTTCTCGCGTGTCTCTCTCGAGATGCACAAGGCTTCGAGACCACGTGCAAGTTGGAAATTGCCGAAGAAGAGTTCACCGCAAAAGGGTTGCTCATTTCGGACCGAGGCTACTTGGAAGTTTATCCTTACGACAAATGGTCTGACAAGACTCTTCCCCAGTATCAATTTAATGAGGAATTTACTATCACAAATGCGGAATTCATCGAAAGTACGACTACTGCTCCACTGTTGCTTTCTGAACCTGATTTGATTGGTTTGATGGACAAGTATGGCATTGGAACCGATGCTACCCACGCTGATCACATTTCTACAATTCAACAAAGAGGATACATAAAACTCACTCGCGAAAAACGATTCGAACCGTCTCCCCTTGGAATCGGCCTAGTTAGTGCTTATGAAGATCTATCGATTCCTCTCGCAAATCACCTGCTACGATCTGGACTGGAAAGGGACCTGGTGAAGATTGAAAATGGCGAGAAGCAGCGAGATGCAGTTGTTCGAGCGCAGGTCAACGCATATCGAGAGGCGTATAAAAAGGCGGAGGAGAATTTGAATCGATTCGGTGCTGTTATAGCGCAGAGCATGGGCGTTGCGCGTCAAAATGATCGTCCTTTTGAACTGCCGAGAAATCCAGCTGATAATTCAGTCGCCCGTTGTCCTCGGTAAGTTTAAGGTTGAGAAAAAGTCTTCATTGTTTGATTTAGATGTCAGTTACCAATGGTCGTAAAAACTATTCCGAATGGCAGCGTTTGTGTTTCATGTACTGGCTATCCAGAATGCAGAACAAGCGGATTCTTACCAAATGGTGGTAGAATGCTCGCTCGTTTGAGAGCATGCAACTGCAGCGCTGGATTTCATGTCGTCAGATGGAGCTTTGAGCCTGGAAGCGTGCCCAGCCACATGACAGGAGAGTACGAAGGATGCTTGGGATGCGATGATACGCTCAAAGAAGTGATAAGAATTTCAATAAGAGAAGGGGACGCAGCTAGGAACAATCGACGTGGAGGAGGACCACCACCAGGCCCTGGACCAGGACGTGGGGGAGGAAATCAACGAGGAAGAAAGCGAAAATCCGACCATGACTCAGGTCCAGGCGGTTCTGGAGGAGCAGCCGTAAATTGCGGCTGCAACAAGCCAGCAAAAAAACTAACGACGCGAAAAGATGGTCCGAATAAAGATCGCGACTTCTATGTCTGCAGCGATTTCCCAAAAGTATGTAACTACTTCCAGTGGGCCGATGAAGTCCAGCCAGGCAGTGGTGGTGGAGATGGTTCGAGAAATCCGCCAAAAAAGACGAATAATCCTCGAAATAATCCCGGCCCAAGCTCTTCTACTGCAACTGCGGCCAATGTTCAATGCGAATGCGGAAAAAACGCCATTTCACTGACAGTAAGAAAAGATGGTCCTAATCAGGGAAGGTAGTATCTTTCCAGTTTGCGGTTTGTTGAATGCTTTTTCAGGCCATTTTTCAAATGCCCCGACAGCGAGTGTAACTTCTTTCAATGGGGCGACGAGATGAACCAAACATCTTCGAACTTCAACAGCAGCAGTTCTCGTGGCAGAGGTGGCGGTCGTGGTGGAGGAGCCAGTCGAGGCGGAGGCCGTGGAGGAACGAGAAAACCACCCACTTGTGGCCATTGCGGCCAAAGTGGCCACACTCGAAGAGGGTGCAAAAATTGAAACGTAAAATATTGTCTTCACACTATCACAACACATTTTTATACTTCTGTTGTACTTTCACATTCCTGCCGGATACTATCACTTATTTAACTATCACGCGGACGGTAAATAAATTTCTTTCTTCGAAGAATGTCAGACGCGGAGTTGTCCCAGTTTTGCTCAATCACTAGTGCATCTCCGAATCAAGGAACGTTGATTTCTTTACGCAGAAAAAAGTTTAAAAGTTGAAATGAACGATTACAGCGAAAAAGTACCTGTCTCGTTTTCCGACATTTGAATCAGCAGTTGAATCTTTTCTGGAGAATCCTGAGAAATCTCCGATTCGGCCACCTGATCAGCCCTACAACGACATTTTAATTGATTCTCCGGAGAAGAAGAAGCTGATAAAGGACACGACCGTCGCTGGAAAAGGGCTGAAGAGGAAGGTTGAAGAGCAGTTGAATGCTTTTTCTTCAACTGGCAAGCTCGGAGGCTGGAAAAGCGCGCAGATGAGCTCGGAGGATTTGCTATGTTTGGGCCGGGTCGCGAAATAATTTGGGTTTTTCTTGTTTTCATTCAATTTGCGATCAAGGAAGAGTCGAAATTCAAGCGCAACGAGTTTTGATCAAGCAAAAAAGCGAGGACTCGTCTTGAGACGACCAGTTCTCGTCTCATTTTACGACGGAAGTGTCAAAGCCTGCCAGAAACAAACAAGCGAAATTTGGAACTCGGCGGATTACTCGTCGATATTGAAAGAAAATGTGTTGTTTTACCAAAACTCTGTTTCTTCCAACGACTACAGCGAATTCATAAGGGTCTATCGACTTGGGAGAACGATTCGGAATGATGAGTGGCCTCATGCAGCTCTGGTTGATCCCAGAACAGGAGCTCTCATCGAGGAGTTTTTCGGGGAACAAGCAAGCGACTCTGAGAGGTTTTTTGAAAAACTGACCTCGATTGTAAATGAAAAATGCAGCGAAGATTTTGGGAAGAAAATTGAAAAGAAGAGAAAATTCGGCTGGGGGGACAAAAGTCTAGCACCGCCCGAGGGCCAGGATACCACACTCGCTACTAGCCAAAATATGGGGGCGCAACGGAGCGCGCCCGCTGAAATGAAAAGCACTTCCTTAGGACTCCTAAGTTAGGAGGTTAACCCGTTAACAGGGTGGTCGATTTCGCCTACGCTTTTGCTTGTCGATGATTGAATGAAATCAAGGATCCGAGGATGTGATTGGCTACTCGTTTCCACGCGTGCAGGTAAAACCTGCACGCCTCTGTTAACGGGTTAAAGAATTGATAAAGGTAAAAGCTTATTATCTGAAGATAAATTTCAAAGGAATTTAAATCAAAAGAATTGATACTAATAATTAATAATTACTCTTTAATTTACTTAACGAAATCACTATAAATTATATGAGTATAAATTATTACAGTCTATAATTAAAAGTCTATAAATCAAGTTTGTTAACAAATATTCACAGAGCAAAAGGAATAATGACTGGATGATTTTTTATCTTCAGTATTAATCTTTATTGATTCAATGATCCTCTAATACGAGCAGAAAGTATTAAATCTAATTGCCCCTTACCACGGGGCTTCGCCCCTTAGGTCCTAAAATGCCGGGGTCTAGTCTAGGGTTACTTAGGGTTACCTTCGGTAACCCTAACTAACCCTAGCCTATCCCCCTCGGGTGAAACTGTTCTGTCATTTTGCGCGGTGCCCCCTAACCCTAACAATTAAATTAAGTCAACCACTAATTAAAGCCAATCATAATTTTAATAAATTCATTTAGTTGCAAAGTCCATGACTCATGGACTATGAGAGTGAAGTTGGGAGAGAGAAGAGAAGGGATTGTGAATTGCCAATTCAGAATTGGGCAGCTCTCCAGCGAGAGTCTTGCTCGAGAGCGCTACTCAGCGAGGGCCTGTATCGCGGTGTGGTAGCTTGGCCAGGAGTTGGTGCTAGACTTTTGTCCCGATTCCCAGAAAATTCGATGAAATTACTGATCAAACTGAAGACGAGCAAATTGCTATTGGTAAACTTAACTAATTGAAACATTTCAATGATCATCATGATGAATTTTCATTGATAAATTTTCTAGCGATTGCTGCATCGATGAAATCTACGAGCAAAAAGCCCCGCCGAGCAGCGGAAAAAGAGGCCGAGAGTTTGAAAGAGTTCGAAGAGCCAGAAATGAACTCTGACTTTGAATCAGTGAGTGAAGGCGAGGACGAGTCTGATGAGGAGAAGTCGTGTGGCCATGACCCTGAACTCGCCGCTCAGGGAACAGATGAACACCAAAAAGTGACCGATGAGTCCAGCCGAACTTCCGCAGTTTCAATTTGTTTCCAAATTCGCTCTCCAGAGGTACTTTTCGCGTCGATTTCGGCTTCATTAACTGCTTCCTAGAATAAACGCACCATGATCAAAATGCTCGAGACAGCAGATGCAAGTAGCCTGAGAATGACGTTGTTGAACATGGGCTACTGCCAGACCGAGTACGAGCTGATCAGAGCGTATCCAAAGGAAGTGATGGACCTTTCAGAAGGACGAAGCCTCCAAGACTTGAAAATCGTCAACCAAGATTCTTTTCTGATTCAGAAGAAAAACTAATGCTGTTTTACTGCCTTCACAAATAAAACAAAAATCCACGAAGCCAAATGTTAAAGAAACTTTGAAAAAATCTGTCTGATAATTTCAAGTTCTTTTTGGAATATTCTCTCTCCAAAGTTCACGTCGTTGATTTATCAATATTATATTTACCCAAGCAATCAAGACTATCAGTCCTAAAAAGCACGGCCGCACGTGCTTTCCTAAACCGGAAAATAGAGATAATCGTCAGCTAAAATATTCTCAGGAAAAATTTCAACAATGCCTCACTTTTGAATAAACCTGGACAAACAAAAATTTTGAACCGCAGGGGGCGCCCGCGCCGGACGCTGATTTTGATAACTTTCCAGACATTTTACACGATTTCACGAAGAAAGAAAATTGAAGAAAAATAAATGAAGATTTTGATCTTTCTTTTTGGCCTTTTAAATCTATCCAGAGCAGAACGAAATAAGTTTTATAAACCGATTCGGCATGAAGAGAAGCAAGAAAAACTATCGGACAATAAGCTCAGAGCATATTTGGCGAAGGCGAACGTTTTACTCGGTTATGACAAACCGGTTAAGCCGCTGATAGAGATTGATGATCTGACACCTCCCTGGGAAGATGAAGAAGCTTGGGATGCTCTTGATCCAAAAGAAAGGAAGTGGTTCAATCTGGATTTAGCTAAAATTTAAAATTGTGCAGTAGAAGCTGCTTATTATTTAATTAATTTTAGTAACATTATTTTAGTCATAGAAAATCATATTAAAAAAGCGGATTTAGGAAAGTCACTCTGGATAATTATTAATTGCCATTGACGCGTTAGCAATAAAACTGCCTCCTGAAATTGAACCTGACCGAAGATGGCGTCTAAGAAAAGATTTTTACGCGCAGCAACGTGAACAGGCTTGTTGACAAATTTTGTTTATTCGCTTTTTAAACTAAAGCCTAAGATTATGACTTGGAAACCTCAAGTCACGCTCCACCAAAATATTTATAATTTGCGCCTTTTTTGATGAGTAGTTGCGATGGCTTCAATTTAAGGATTTATAAGTTATAATTTTTCAACGGAAAAAAGGATGATGCTCGGGAGAAAAATAAACGAGCGGCGCAGATGGAAATTAACGAAAGAATGCAAGTGCAGGGAAAGTTTCTTGAAATCCTTCAGGACAAAGGAAAACACGTCGCTTTCTACTTCATTTCGCAGTTTCTCAAATTCAAGGAGAAGCAACGGCTGCGCAAAGAAGGAAAGTCTGTCGAGCCCAAACTGGTCAGAGAAGGACGCGGGCCGACTGAAAGACCAGCACTTGGGAAGCAGCCGCATTTTCTCTTCATCCTCGCGGACGATATGGGCTATCACGACATTGGATACCACCAGGCGGAGATTCTCACGCCTTTCATGGACAAACTCGCTACGACGGGCATCAGACTCGAGCAATACTACGTTCAGCCCGTTTGCACTCCCACTCGTGTTCAACTTATGACCGGGAGGTATCAAATCCGATATGGAATGCAACACGGAGTTGTTCGCCCGCCTCAGCCTGATGGAGTCCCTCTCGACGAAAAACTCCTTCCCGAAGCGTTGAAAAAATGTGGCTACAATACGGAAATGATCGGCAAGTGGCACTTGGGCATGTTTACAGAAGATCATTTGCCGCAGAATCGCGGGTTTGATCATTTCATGGGATTCTATACCGGCTCCCAGGATTTCTTCTCGCACAACAAGTGCTTTTCTGGAATGTGCGGTTACGACTTCCGCGAGGCAACAGCTGGCCAGCCAGAGGTCATCAGATGGGACTTGAACAACACTTACAGTACTGGCGTCTTCGCGGACGAACTCGAAAAGCGACTGAAGAAAATGGATCCCAGTGAACCTTCTTTTACTTATTTATCCTTCCAGGCCGTCCATTCCCCGCTACAAGGTTTGATTTTGGAATAATTTAGGGGAAATAAGAATGTTTCTTTTTGTTTATTCGGAAAGCATATTTTTAGACCTCCTTGAGAATATTACTCTTCAGCGCCAACGAATTATCTAATATTGAATAGGATGTTTAAAGCTTTACCACAGCATTATTTCTTGATGGAATTAAAATAATCATTCAATGATCATCTTTTCTAGCCCCTCGAAAGTTCATCGATCAGTACCGAAATCTAAAGAACCGTAAGCGACGAAACTACAATGCAATGGTGACAGCAATGGACACAGCGATCTACAAAGCTGTCAAAGCTTACAAAAAGTACAAATTCTGGGATGATACCATTCTCATCTTCTCCTCGGACAACGGAGGTAACCTCAAAGCTGGCGGCTCGAATTGGCCGTTGCGAGGAGCAAAAGGATCGCTTTTCGAAGGTGGAGTCAGGACAATCGGCTTTGTTCATTCGCCTCTTCTTCCGGTAACGAGAATGGGCACTGTTTCGCACTCGTTGATGCACGTGAGCGATTGGTTTCCAACTCTTCTTCAGCTAGCCGGATGCAAAACTACCGATTATGGGGGAAAACCACTCGATGGTGTATCTCAAGTGCGCCAACTCTGGATCGGCGGAGAAAACGACCACGCTCGAGATGAAATCCTCCATGGCCTCGACCCACTCAACAAAGTTAAGAATACTGTCGATCCACGACCCTTTCCGATCCTCAAGAACAGAACCTTCTCCGTCGACGTAGAAGGCGCATTGAGATGGAAGCAGTGGAAGCTGATCACCGGCTCAATCAAAATTTCAGAACAAACTCGTTGGTCGACTCCGCCAACAGCGATGTACGGCGGAGCAAAAACAATTTTTGACAAAGTTGAGTTGCCAAAGATTGCTTACATCGACGACCTCAAATTAGACGTGGACGAGAAATCACTCGAAGAAACGATCAAGCTGAAACGAACAATGAAGCAAAGAACTCGTCGATCAGAAAAGTCAGGAATAGATCTCGACGAAGAACTCGAAGCAGATCTTTCATCGAAAAGGAAAAGGGCTCAATATTTTAGTTCTCTAAGAGAACTTATCTTTCTAGTATTTCCTTTTTTCTCTTTATTGAACCCTTGAAAAGTGATCTGCGAAAAACCGCCGCAGAAAGAGAACAAGAAATCAAAGATAAACAAATTCTGAAAAAACTCATGAAAAAGAAGAGCAAAAAATCTCCGGTGAAAAAATCCTGGCTTCGCTCAACAACTGCGAATAAGCAAGAAAAAGAAATCAAGAAGACCAAGCTTGTTCGTCTCTACAACGTCGTCGACGATCCCTTCGAGCGATTTGAGATTTCAGATGCTCATCCGCAAGTTGTCAATGTCATGCTTACAAAATTGGCGGATTACTACGACGCGTCAGTTCCACCACGATACCCCGCGTACGATCTCAGAGCCGATCCTGCTCTTGGCGATGGAGTTTGGCGACCCTGGAGATTGACCCCAGCTCAAATGAGCAACATGACAGCTGAGGAGAGAAAAAAATACTCGCAAGAAACTCATGTAAGTTTCAAAGATCAATGGAAGAAACAAAGAAGACATGTGTTTTTTCAGGGGTTAAATCGGGTTTGTATAAATATTAAACTTAGGAGATGTTTAATCACGTGGATGATGGAAACGGTATTCGCCTCCAATTTATGGAGAACTTGCTGGAAGCCAGGAATCGGATTGATAAAAAAATTAATACCAAGAAAACCAGAATAACCGAGAACTGAATATTAATCCATTCAAAGATCGTCAATTAGGCTTAAATCGGCTGTCACCGGTCCCGGAACCTCCCCAAGTCGCAAACGACTAGATGAGCGAGAAACTCGCGAGCTTCGGAAAAAGTACAATTCTGCTAAAAAAGAGGTTTTCATTACCTAAGTCTACCGATTTATAAACTTTTTTCCCAGGCCCGAGAAATTTCAAAAAGAAACAAGCTCAACTCAAGACGTCGGAAATCACGAAGAGAATGAGTCAAAAACTACCTGAAACTATCTTTTGAAAGTTCACTGTAAATTTTATCTGTAAATTACTGGTAATTGATATTAAATTTTTATTTTTCACGTCTTGTTATTTGATCAAAAGAGAGAAATCAGAATTAAAACATCTGGTACATCAGTTGAGGATTAACATTGCTAATTGGGCCCTTTATCGCGGGAGCAGGGACATTGAAGTCGCCATCGAAACTGAAATCAAGGATGAGAATCTGAGAAGACAGAACTTCTTTTACCTGTGAAAAGTATCCGCCCGTCGCTGCATTTCTCGTAATTGCCGGAAATTTAAAGCTTGAGCAAAACCCAAAAACGCTACAATAGAAATCTTCATTGCAGAGTTTTTAATTGGTAATTTTATTTATTTCTGTCGGCGGTGAATTTCAGAAGAGGACTTTATTGGCGCGTTGAAGAGCGGCCCCTAGCGAGGAGGGTTAATTTTTCATCGCGTTTTATGCGTCGTATTGTTCTGAACCTTCTGGGCGCTGCAGATCCCTTTTTGGTAGATTGCGATCTTTAATCATAAAAGTAGTCGACTTGTCAGGAGGCTGAATAAATGACTGTTCAAGCCGACCTGATTTCCTATAGTAGATTAAACAATAGACTATTAGTACGATCCATCATTCTCTTTGAAAGAATGAGTGTAACAAAGCTGAACTTCTCGTCCTTGTCTTTTGAATCATAAAAATGGTGATTCCTGGCCCCGTTTTTACACAAAAAGGAGAGCAAATACGTCTCTCTTGTGCACAGGAATATAAAAAATAAGAAAATTTTTCGGCCCCGTGTGCTCAGGCTTGAAAAACCACACAAGAAAAACGCTCAAGTGGAATTATTGAAAAGAGATCTTGCTAAAAGAAGACCAGAATGGATCAACAACAATATCCACAACCACCGCCGCCTCAACAGGTTCAAGGGCAACAGGAGGCTCAGCAGGAGATCCTAGAGCCGTATGTTTCAGAAGACAAGAGATGCATGTCGAACTCGTGGAATCAGCCACCAGGAAAGATTGAAAAGACATCGAACGTCAATGCTCTTTCTGCTAGTTAATTTTTTATCGAATAACAATGAACTGTTTTGCCAGACTTTCCGGACAAGGGCAATTCATTCTCAAGTTCATTAAAAACAGTTCATGCGCTTTTAATTAAATGCACCAGAATCTGCTCGAGGTAAAGATTACCAGTAAGTTCAGCTCGAAGAAATTTCTACAGAAGTAGCCCGACAAATAATTCTAACAAATGCTTTAACACATGCGAAACTTTAAGCCAGTCGATGTATTATTCAGCCAATCGAGTCAGATAATCTCGAGCTACACATGGAGAGAGATGCATTTTATTAATCTCTCATCTCATCCTTTTGTCCCGACATTCTCAAGAAGATAGTAATGCAGATTGCATGAAAAATAAACTCTTGATCCTTGTCATCCGATGATATAAACTTAAAAATTAACCATGCCGCCACTTTCCCTTAGTTCTGTCAATTGAGGACCTACATGCGTTTCAATCACTAAATACAGGGCCAACAACTGGAGAGCTCTGCCCAAAGTACGCGTGCTATGGATGCTGCAATGAAAAGGAAGCTCTGAAGCATTTTGCATCTGGAGATGCTTATGGGCATTACGGACCGTATCAGTTTTCTGGATGCTCAAGTACTGGACAGGAACGAGCCAAAATGAGCGAAAAAGAAATTTTATGAACATGAACTTGAGCTTGAAAATAGGTCGACAGAACCAACTCCGGAGGACTCAGTGAACAGTGCCATACATTCATCCAAAACAACCACTGTCTTTCAGCCTGTAGGTAAGAGAAAGACCTTCAATAATTAAGAAATTAAATCAATTCAAAATATCAATTCAATCAATAGCCCCAACGTTTATCTTTGGTTTGCATCGACAGGAAACTCGCGCCACGATGACCATCTTCATGGGATGAAGGCTTGCACGAATTTTTGCAGCGACTTTTACAATTCTTGCAAGAATGAATACATTTGCTACAACAAAGAAGGCCTTTCGGAGTATTTCATGGACTTTTTGGCCGGAAATCTTTCTGAAGAAAAGGACTACAAGATCTTCCACTGCGAAGGGAACTACGAGTGCCAGAAGATTCAAGATAGCTTGATTGCCAAGCCACTAGGTACAGTAAATTCTAAAAGAACTGAGTCCCAAATCGGAACATCTGCTGACAATCTGTTTTAAGATCTGTCGCGTATGACAAGCTTGGGCCTAAATATGAAGGCTGATACTCAGTCAAGGGATGAAATTGAAAATTTTTGCTCAAAGTTTTCATTTGGAATGTTTGAAATGCAAAAAGAATCAGGTAAGACAAAAGCATTGCCTTTGGAATGGGTTCAAAATCAACATCTTCCATTCTTAACGGATCATTTAGAATTGAATTTATGACGGAGGCAAACAGGTTCAATTACTACTGTTTATTTCAGATCATGTTTGCATCGATCCCAGGGGAAAGTTCCATCATTAACGCTGTCAAAGCAAGGGAAGAAGTTTACAACGGGGCTTATCCAGCCGATAAAAGGTCAATAAGAAACACGGCCCAAGTTTTAATCAATCTTTAGATCATTCCCTGTAACTCAAGATTGTCCCACAGGACTCTCAAAAGGAGCAATAATTGGTATTTCTGTTGCCGTCACTGCTGGTGTTCTCCTTATTGCCATTTTGATACGGTTTTCAATCTTTTTCCATATCCATTTCAAGCAAAAAGCATCTGATTTAATGATTAATGTCACTCAGATTGAAAATCTGGAAGTAGGTATTCTTCTTATGCTGTAGGAAAAAGGATGATAAAGATGAAGAATACACAATGGGGAACCAGTAAGATACAGAATAAGGTTCAAAGAAAGAAAGAACGAAATTCAGGACTGACTACGATCCGTCGACCAGAGCATCTCAAAGATAGAAGAAAATTACAATGACATAGAACTGATTTGATTATTGAATAAAAAAACACGCCCCTGTCAATAATTCTCGTTGCGCATTATAGAATTGAAAATTTGATTCAAATGAAAAATGACTCTACCTGTCTAAAAATCTACATTCGTCGGAAAAATCAGTTGACCTGGATAAAATCGATCATAATTAGACACTATTTTCTTTGTGACTAAACGGGAAAAGCTATATAATAAATAGCTGCTTCCGCTGCAATCACATTTTAGACTTTTCGAATTTTTAAAATGGGTTTCTATTATCAATCTCCAAAGTGAGTCTATTTTTCACCTCCGAGAGCAAGTTTTAAGAGATACAATTCTAGCTTCAAGCAGGGCTTTTACTACGACGAAAAGCAGAAGCAGGGCTTCTACTACCAGAACGGATTCTACTACGATGGTTTTTACTATGACAACGGCAACCACGGCAAACCTGCTGATGGTTTCTACTACGACAACGGATTCTACTATGATGGCTTTTACTACGACCAAAAGCAACAACAGCAGGGTAAGTCTTATGAAATCAAGGAAGAAAACATGATGAAATGACTAGGATTCTACTACGATGGATTCTATTACGACCAGCAGGACAAGTTCAACAAGGACAACAAGGACTACTGGTACAAGGGTGAAGGCAAGGAGCGCATGCTCGAAGCCATCAACGGCATCAGAACCATGGTCGACCACTACGTCTTCCAGAACCAAGAAATCGTCCCTGGCAAGAAGGTAAGCCCCCTTCCTATTCTGATTCTCAACACTCCTCTCAGGCCGGTGACGCTATCAACTCCATCGTCGCCACTGAAGTTTGCCGACAAGTGATCAAGCACTTCACCAAGAACGTCAACCCCGACGAGTTCTTCGAAAACGGCGGCGACGAGGAAGGCCTTGCCGTTTTGATCGCCAACGAAGCCCAGCGAAACCTTTCTCCTGCTGTTGACTTCACCAAGGAATGGAGAGCGAAGGGATCTGAGGCTGAGGAAATCATGACTGAGGTAAAACAACATCCTCAATCTCTTCGACAATAGATTTCTAGGTCACCAAGGAGCTCGTGCCCTTCTGCGTCGTCTGGAAATCCAAGCAGGAATTCACCTCTCCCAACGACGCTCAAGAGAACGCCCTTCAAACCCTCGTCGCCAAGCGTGCCGTCGCCGAGGCCAAGTACGCCTTCGCCAACCAGACCGCTCCCGACATTTCCCCCAACGAGGCCGAAGCCGTTGCACAGTCCAAGAAAATCGCCGACGTCCTCGCTAAGAAGGCCATCGACGAAATTGGTGCTTAGAAATAAAGCCATCTTTTTTCATTCTGTTAATAAATATTTTTATTTGAAAACAAAAGTCTATGAGCAGTTACAAACATTTTTTCCCCATTTGCAAGACGACAAGGAGATTTTGTTTTTCATTTAAGAAATTTTGTCTTATAGACTTTGCTTCAAATCTTGAATTTTCATTTTCGCCGAATAATAATCTAAAAAAGCTTTCAAACAATCACTTCAAAAAACTTCTCGACCTTTATGGACAATGTGAAAAAACGGCAAAGCTTGAATTCTCGTGTACCATTTGTTCAATTTCTCATTTTCTTCATATTTGAATTTTGGATGCAATTCCATCTGAATCAACAAACCGTAAACGAGAAAGTCAACCCAGGTCATATTTGCGCCGGTGAGATATTCGTTCTCGCCGAGAAGTTCGGTGAAATAGCTGTATCCCGCGATCTTTGCGTTTTCAATTGTTTCTTCTTCAACATTTTCGGGTTGGCCCATGAAGGTGGGGATGACTAGCTGGCTGACGAAAGGCACAAGGGTTTCGTAGACGTATTTGACAATTGCATCGACTTTAATTGCTTCTGCTCCGTCAGGGTTCATGGCTAAAGGATGAGCAAATGAACGACTAACAGATTGAGCGATTCTTACATTTCTGTTGTCCAAAATTGTCAATTAGATATTTTGAAATCTCCACTGATTCAGTAAACGTCATGTTTCCATGAACCAGTTCGTTCTAGCTGTTTTCGGAGTGACAAACGGGTTCACAGGCAGCTGAAAAGTTAGATTTTGATTTTTTTGAGAAAATGGAGAAGAAAAAGGAAGAAAAATCGTATAGAAAAATATTGAAAATGACAGCGATTCCACCACCTTCTGAGAAAGAATTTTCAGGAGAGTTTTATAAAAAGTTCAGTTTTAAAAAGCATGAGCGTGCGCCATTATCTCAGTGGGTGCTGTCTCACGGCCACGCGTGGAAATGAGTAGCCAATCATATGCCCGGATCCATGATTTCACTCAATCACAGACAGGCAAAAGCGTAGGCAAAATCGACCACCCTGTTAACGGGTTAACACAAAAATTCCCGGAAGAAGCTGATTTATGTTTGCTACAGCCAATTATCTTGAATAAATGGGTCAAAAATGGCTTTTGTCAATGAATTTTTATAAAACATGTAAGAAAAAATTGGTGGTACTGTCGTACTTTTTACCTTCCAGGATCACTAACTGTAGATTCAAAATCAAAAGAGGCGATTTTCTGGAAATTAGATTTTCTGGCATATTATATTTTCTGGCAGTGCCAGAAAATCGCCTTTGCCAGAAAGTCTAACTGCCAGAAAGTCTAACTGCCAGAAAATCGCCTCTCTCGGACGGGAACAGTATGCTTCGGGTTTATTTTCAAAAACCATTCTTCCATTTGCTCTTGTTTTTCCAAGTCAATTTGGACGAATTCAATGCTGAGATTCTCGCACATTTTCGCGACCATGATCGTAGTTCTTGCAAAAGCGGATAGTCCACTTACATACATTTTCATTTCCGCTTCTTTTTTCGTTTCTTCATTAGTAGTATCTTGCCCAGATAAGGAACTGTCGCTTGACTGCGATGCTGCTTCATTTTTTAATTGAGAATTTTCAAAATTTTTTTCTTGTTCTGAATCTTTTTCCAAGTCTTTATTCTCTGGCGCGTCAAGTTTGGCTACGTCACTTGTCGACTTTGAATTATTGCACCCCATTTAAAAAATCTCTGTCCTCATTAAAACGTATTTACATACGTTTCCGCGTGGCTAACGAAAGCACTAACTTGTCGGTTGCCAGGGACGATGGATTTTGGATTGTGTTTTGTTTATTTTTTCGGAAGTACAGTTCTCGGAAAATATTGTGCCTAGGCTATTTACAGTGCGTAAACATAACAGTTTCAGTTTTAGTAACATATAAAAATATAATTCTAAAAATTTACAATTTCTATTCTTCTGGCGCGGCTTCTTCTGAAGCTGCTTCGGCTTCTTTCTTTTCCTTCATCATTTGTGCAACCTGAAATTGAAATTGAAAGATACAGATGATTATTTCTAAGATACCTTCGCCATCGTTTCCTTGAACTCGCCAACTTTCTTTGCAACATGTTCGATAGCCATCATTCTGTGGATGAATTCTCGGAGAACAGCGAGATCCTCATCGGGATTCTCATGATCGTGCGCGGGATCGATGACAGTTTGGATCAAGTTGTTGAAGATGAAGAAATCCGCGATGCAGGGTTTCTCGCCACCAAAGAATTGCTTCTCGCCGAGTTTTTCTTGCGCCTCGAGTTTGGCGGCCTTGACGAATTCTCGGTTCTCATCCGGGATTGGAATACCTCGCATTAGTGGACCCTAAATTGTTATGTTCGGAGCTCGTTAAAATTTGCGATATTGAACTTACCACAATCTTGATAGCAGCTTGGAAGCATTTTTCTTCGTCAAATTGAAGCAGTTCGTTGATTTCTTCCTGCTTTTCAATCGCATACAAGGAATGGTCGGGGCAGAATGTCTCGACCAAATATTTGGCGATATCTCGAGACTGACCAATGCATTTTTCACCGTGTTTCATTCCTGGGACAGTTCCATTGGGATTGATCTTGAGGTACTCTTCTGCTTTGTGTTCTTGTTTCATGAAATCCAGAACCTGAAATGTGTTAAATTTAAAAATAATGACAATAGTCAACCTGAGTATCGTAGTCGATAGCAAGCTCATCAGCAGTACAAAGAACGGCTCTAGCGAGAGGAGAAGCAATGTTGATGTAAAGAGTCGGCTTTTCGGCCTTGGTGAAGTTGCTCTTGACAGCAAAGAACGCTGAAATTCCGGTGAAAAAGGTCAACTGCAATTTGATTTACCTTTGTGGACAGTTGAAAAGAATGGAAGAGCAAAGATTCGCTTGGCCCAGAGTTTGAGCTTGTCGTGTTCGCCCTGAGAAATTACCTTTAGATGGGCTTTGTTGTTGTTATCTTTACCTTGCGGATGAGTGGGTGAACATCCATTTGCATCAACAAGCTGAAAACGAGGAAATCGGCCCAAGTTGGCTTCTCAGTTCCAAAGAGGAAGTCGTTATCTCCGAGAATATTGTTGAAGTACTCGTATCCATGAACCTTGGCAGCTTCAAGATCTTCTTCAGGAACATCCTCTGGTTTTCCGTGGACCAAAACGGGGAGAACAATTTTTTTCCCGATAGGACCAAGAGTTTCGTAGGCATATGCAACAACTTCTTTGATTTTCTCGGCTTGTTCGCCGGAAGGGTTCATTTCTTGGAAAGCATTAGGAGAAAATATGGGAGGAAGAGCGTACCTTTGTGCTTGCCGTAGTTGTCGATGAGATATTTGGAGATATCAACAGTCTCAGTGAGCACAGTATCTCCATCAACAAGCACGGGGACGGTGTGATTCGGGTTGATTTTTAGGTACCAGTCTTCGTTCTGTTCACCCTTCATCAAGTCGATTTCGTGGTAATTGACCTCGACATCGCAAGTCTTCGCGACCATTATGGCAGTTCTCGCGAAAGGAGACAACTGGTTGACGTACAAAGTCACCGATTTCGAAGCCGAAACGACTGTTCCATTTTCTCCCTGGACAGCCTTCACTTCAGTTGTCGAAGCGACGGCAGCGTTGGCGGATTTCGAAGAGTTACAGCCCATGTTGATATTCTATTCTTGATTCTCTCTGGTAAATGATTCTGTTGGTCAAGCGTAGACTCTTTTGAATCGAAATGGCGCTGTTCAAAGCTCAATGTTTGAGAATGCCCAGGGCTTCAATGTTTCTTCTGGAAGTTTCTACTAATAGCTGTTGCTAAGGGATTTTATGACCAACTACTGGAAGATATGAAACTGTCTGTGGATCAAGCAGTAAATTGAAACATTTCATGTTAACATTGAGGCGACCATGATTCATTTAAGATTCTAACATGCAGAAAATTATTGAAATTCTTCATCTTATTTTATGAACTCATAGATTTGACCCGGAAGATACAATTTCAATAATTTTAATCACTAAATATTCAATTTTAATCCTGCATAAGGGATAGTCTATGAAGCAGACTACCCTGTTCCAATAGCCGCTTATCGGAAGTCGTGCGTTCCGGCATATCCGTAACCATCAGCAACGTAAACAACGGACAATATCAAACGCAAATAGTTGGTGTTCCTTGACCCCGATTCTCGAATCTAGCCGATTGTCGTCGAATTCACGGGCTATTGGAAAACAATCAGACAATGTATTTTAACAACGGTTGCTGAGTGTACTGTAGTTTCGTCGTTAATGACGTTACGCGTCGTTAAATTGTAACTATTCTACTTCAAATAAAACGATGGAATTGTCGGAGAAACCCTTGAAATCAACGAGGAGTTTTTGGGTTGATGATGTCATCAGTGAGATTGAATCTTGAACTTGATTCTTGATGATCGTTTTTTAAATAAATATAAGCTCAAGAGAGGCCAGATTAGATTAAAATGCTTCTTTTTCAACTTATTTCGATCGCATCCGCTAGAAAAGCGTTGATTATTGGCGGGTCGGGAGAATTTACGTCGAATCTAGATGTCATCCTCAATAATGGAACGATTGAGCTATCCGATAGAGAAGCAATGAGCGAACTTGGAGGAGGAACAGCCAAGTCTTATCAATGGTAAGAGAGGTTTTCTGCTGAAGAAGGTATTTTGAGGCATTGTTCCGTTCTTTTCCGTGGAGAGCCCTACATTATCGGCGGTTTCCCAACTGCCTACTACGAGCAAGTCATCAAGTACAACGGATTCTACTGGATTCAAGTCGAACGATTACCAGAGCCGATTTTCGGCCAAATCTGCAGTGTCTTTGACGATCGGATTTGGGTTTGCGCAGGAAAGCACATTCTCGGTAAATCTTGAGCTTGAAATTGAAAGTTTGATTGATTTTAATCAAGGTCATTCGAATCGCAAATGCTTCCTTTTTGATGGAGAACACTGGAGTTCGATGAATTCCTATCAAGCGAGATCGCTAAGACCAGCTGGTGCAGTTTTACAAGACGGATTTTATCTTATCGGTGGTGCTCACGAATCAGGAAACAGCTTTTCTTTCTTCGCACTAATTTAGGAGGTTTTCTCGAAAAGCTGAACAAGACCAAACGACGCCTCTGAGAACAGTCGAGAAATGCACCCTTACTGGTTGTGTTCAGTCCTCTCTTTATCCCAAACCAAACAATATGGCCTCTGCAGTTTCTGTCAACGGAACCATCTTCGTTTTCGGCGGCTACGATGGAGAGGACCTTCTACGAGAAATCTACAGTTTCGGAAGCTTCAGCGCAGGTATTCAATTTACCCGTAAGATCATCATTACTGGCATTTTACAGCCTGGCGTCACGTGGGAAACCTCAACCGTCAACGAGCAGGACATCTGGTCCTTGCACTCGGAAAGTCGAACTTTCCGATCTTTTTGATTTTCGGCGGAAAGAATAAAAATGGAGAACCAAAGTGCGAAATTTTCAACCCACTTGTTTCACGAAGATCTCAAGAATTTTCGATTCCAGAGCTGGATGGAAGGAGAATTGGCGCTTCTACTGTTGTTCTTGAATCTTATCCTTGAAATTTCATTTCTCGAAATAAAGTGACTTTCATCAGTAAAAATTTTCTATCTCACCGAAAATCAGAACCGCGGTACTTTTCTTGTAAATTATCGAGTTTTCTCGCGGTTTCCACTATTTTCCCGTCCCCCAATTTTCAAGTTTTTATTGGTCGAGCGCGCCAATAGTGAAACCGCGCTCCATTCATTCCGATTATCTGTCCCCTCCGCTCCTTTTGTTCCAAAAACTAAAATCTTCAAAATTCTAGAGTAGAAAGAGAAGCAAGAAGAAAAAATGGTGTTGGCAGATTTGGGAAGAAAATTGACAACGGCCCTTCGTTCGTTGGGAAATTCGCCAGTAATTAACGAAGATGTTCTTAAAAAATGCTTGATGGATGTTCAAAGAGCCCTTTTAGGAACAGTTCTATTTGTTTTTCGATTATTTTTCTGATGAGTCATCAAAAATTTCTCGTTTCCGCGCTCAAAACGCGTTTTCCAGCTCTAGAATTTTGAAAAAAAGAGGCCGATGTGAACATCAAGCTCGTTAAACAACTCACCGATGGCGTCAAAAAGCAAATCGACCTGGACAACATCGGTACCGGCCTCAACAAGCGTCGAGTAATTCAAACAGCTGTTTACAAAGAATTGTGCAGAATTTGCGACCCCGGCGTAAAACCATGGAAACCGACGAAGGTTCGTTTTTCCGCCGTTTCTTCTATAAAAATAGATTTAGGGACGATCGAGCGTCATTATGTTCGTCGGTCTCCAAGGTTCCGGTAAAACGACGTCCTGTATCAAATTGGCGTATCATTATCAGAAAAAGGGATGGAAGACGGCCGTCGTCTGTGCTGATACTTTCCGAGCTGGTGCGTACGATCAAGTCAAGCAAAACTGTACGAAGGTAGGTTATCTCTTTCCCAACCCTCTTTTCATCCTCTTCTTAGGCTAGAATTCCGTTCTACGGTTCTCTTACTGAACCAGATCCAGCGGCTATCGCCTACGATGGCGTGGAAATCTTCAAGAAAGAAAAGTTCGACATCATCATCGTCGATACATCTGGTAGACACAAACAGGAAGATTCGCTATTCGAAGAGATGTTGCAAGTCAATAATGCTGTGGAACCGGATAACAGTGAGTAGAAAATGAAAAAGAGGAGAAATGACGGTCATTTTTTAGTTATTTTTGTGATGGACGCTTCTATCGGTCAAGCTTGCGAGTCTCAGGCGAAAGCGTTTAAAGATCAGGTAAGAAAAAATCTTTGGAACTTGATCATAATTCTCCGATTTCAAGGTCGATGTCGGATCCGTCATCATCACCAAGTTGGATTCCCATGCAAAGGGTGGTGGAGCACTTTCAGCCATTGCCGCTACTCAGTCTCCGATCGTCTTTATCGGTACAGGAGAACACATCGATGAGCTGGAACCTTTCGAAACCACGAAATTCATCAGAAAACTCTTGAACATGGGCGATATAGAAGGACTCATCGACAAGGTGAATCAACTGAAGTTGGAAGACAATGAGGACTTGAAGAAAAATCTTCAAAAAGGACGATTTACTCTTCGGTAAAGCATCAGTACTTGACCAAAATTAAAGCTTTCCTTTCAGAGACATGTACGAGCAGTTCCAGAATATTTTGAAAATGGGCCCGTTCAATCAAATTATGGGAATGATTCCTGGATTCAACGACTTTATGAATAAAGGACACGAGCAAGAATCGACGAAGCGCTTGAGAAAACTCATGTGCATCATGGATTCCATGTCCGAGGAAGAACTCGATAGTCCCGAAGGACATAAATTGTTTAAAAATAATGACGGTAAGCAACGACAGGATTTCTCGCCAGTAACTTTTGGTAGATGGATCGAGAAGATTAAGAAGAGTAGCCAGAGGATCGGGATCATCGCCGAAAGAGGTTTTTGAGCTGATTGATCAGTACCAGAAGTTTGCCCAAATGGTCAAGAAAATGGGAGGAATGGGCTTGTTCAAGAACGGTGATCTTTCAAAGGTACGCTCAACAGAAACTTGATCGACTTATGAGCTATTCTCGTAGAATATGAATATGCAGCAAATGAATCAGATTAATGGACACATGGCAAAAATGATGGACCCACGGGTTCTCCAACAAATGGGTGGAATGGATGGACTCAAAAAGATGATGCAGCAATTTAATCAAAGGACCGTTTCCGAGATTTCTCCTTTTTTTTCGTAGAATGCAAGTAATTCAATTTTCAAACGTTCAAAAGTGATGGAAGTGGAAGACCCGGCCGCGGCGGAATGGGCGGTCTTGGCGCATTAGGCGGACTTAACTTCAAATAAACTATTTTATTTCATGCTCTTGCCAGCTCTCAAACTTGCAGCTTTACACACAGTTACGAACTAGCGAAAAAATCCATTTCTTCTTCATCTCCCCAGAATAACAACGTGGCAATATTTTAGTTGTACATAATTCCTTCGTTTCAGCTTTTTCTGAATATTTCATAGAATATTTCTTTCTGTTCCGAACATCGTCGTTCTTCAGTCCGAGTTTAAACTCTTCAAAACTGTAACTGTGTGTTTAATTTCAAAACTAAAGCGGGCTTTTTAGAGAAGATGGTTCACTGGGTAGGTTTGGAATCGAATCCAGATGTCTTTTCGGATTACATTCACAAACTAGGAGTTGGTCCTCAATGGGTAAGTCTGCAACCCTGAGTTCTACAGGTTACTAAAGTGATCGTAGATGTTCACAGACGTCTTCGGATTCGACCCAGAACTGCTCATCATGATTCCCCAGCCCTGCAAGGCCTTCATCTTTCTCTACACAATCACTGAAAAAGCTGAGGAGCTCCGAAAATCACAAGAAGAATCGATGAAGGATCAACCTCGCCCAACAGAGCCATTCTGGATCAAACAAACGATCGGAAACGCATGTGGCACAATTGCTATCATCCACGCTCTTGGCAACTTGACCAAGTCGGGTGAAATCAGCCTGAGCGATGGAATCTTCAAAAAGTACTTGGAAGACATTAAAGATCTCAGCCCAGAAGAAGCAGGAGAGAAGTTGGAGTCGTCGGAAGATTTCGCCAACTGCCATGCGGCGATTTCAACCTCTTCTGGAAATCAGACTTCCGCGCCGACGGCCGAGGAAAAGTTGCAGGATCATTTTATCGCCCTTGTCGAGGTCAATGGAACTCTCTATGAGGTAAGGAGGACCAAAAATGGTCGAAAAACGACGCTATCTTTTAGTTCGATGGTCGTAAGAATCGTGCAATCTCCCACGGCCCGACTTCTAGCGACACCTTCACAGCTGACGCTGCCGCCGTTTGCCAAAAGTTCATCTCACAAGATCCAACTGGAAAAAATTTCGCTGCCATGGCCCTTTGCAAGGATTAAAAATGAAAGAAAGAAACACTACTTATACTTCACTTCACTTATTTTCCTCACTTTGTCCTGCTCTTGCATGTTGATCCTCTTCGTGCATTATTGATAGAAGAAAAAAATGTGTTCAATGATTCTAGAGTTCAATTTGTTTGTTTTTCTGTGTGAATCACCGCTCAGTTTAGTTTGAACCTTCCTAATCGAAACATCGATTTAGATAAAAAAAAAAGAAAGAAAAGATGGATGATCTTAACGAAAACGCCGAGCAGGGATTTGTCATCGACGAAGTCAACTCAGTTATCAAGGTATGAACTAGCGCTAGAACTGCTTTGAGCGTTCTTTTAGGAATCAATCGAAAACGTCGTCGGCTCATCACAATACGAAAGCGTCAAAATCGACATGTGGATGAACTCAATCATTGAGCAGTGCATCGAAAACTTAACTAAACTCGACAAGCCTTATAAAGTAAGATATTACGGTAAATGCTCTCCTAGTCAATTTTCAGTATGTTGCTACTGCTGTCATCATGCAAAAGACCGGAGCCGGCCTTCAAACTTCTTCATCATGCTACTGGGACAGTACAACTGACGGTAATTCGTTACAATTAGCTCTTCTTGACATCTTCTTTCTAGGATCCTGCACCGTGCGATGGGAGAACAAGACAATGTACTGTATCGTCTCAGTCTTTGGACTCAAGATTTAAAGAACGACTCCCCAAATCAATGATCACTTGACTGTAGTTTTATATAATATATATCTATATTTTTATTACCCACTGTGTCTGTATTGATTGCTTTCTTACAGTAGCTGACTGTTTGCAGTAGTAGAATGCATGCGTTTTTGAAAGGAGGTAGCGGAGTGACAGGTTCTACCGGTGGGGAGAAGAAAAAAGCACCTCCTCGGTGAGTTTTTTTTTGGAATCAAGGAAGAGAACGAGAGATTTAAGGGTCCTCCCTTGGATTGAAAAGTACCGGCCTAAGGGAGTCAACGACGTATGCGCGCAAGAAGAAGTCGTTGCGATGCTCAAAGCCGTCCTCATCGAGGGCAAAGAGCTGCCAAATATGCTTTTCTATGGCCCTCCGGGAACGGGAAAGACGAGTACAATTCTGGCGATGGCGAGAGACATGTTTGGAAATTTGATGAAAGAGCGTGTTTGTGAGTTGAACGCTTCCGATGAAAGAGGAATCGCAGTCGTGCGCGAGAAGGTTAAAAATTTCGCCATGACGACGGCGAACTCGCAGCGAGCTGATGGAAAGAAATGCCCGAACTTCAAGTTGATCATCTTAGACGAGGCGGATTCAATGACCAAAAGCGCCCAGGTACGTAAATACGGAACTCGATGCCGTTTTTGAATAGCGCGTTGAAATAACTTACCATCAAAAAGTCATCAAACGGAAACTTTTCAGGAAGCGCTGAGGCGAACAATGGAAGTCTATTCAAAGGGGACCCGTTTTTGTCTTCTTTGCAACTATGTGTCCAGAATCATCGACCCCGTATGTATCATGTGACCCACATCAAGCCCTTTGAATATTTAATGGCTTCAGATTACCTCGAGAACTGCGAAATTCCGCTTCCGACTTTTGCCAAAAGAAATTCAATACAATCAAATTCGACATATCAAGGAAGTCGAAAACGTTAACATTTCTGAAAACGCCGTGGAAGAGCTCATTTCAGGTTTCTTTCCTAAATATATCGAGCGATTAAAATCGATTCTAGTGGCTGCGGGAGACATGAGACGAGCTGTAAACTTTCTCCAATCGCTTCATCGTCTCCATGCGGAGGAAATTACGCCTGATGACGTTCGAGATGTGGCAATTCTCTGTCCTGATGGAAAGATTAGTGAAGTGGTCAACTCAGCGCGGAGCAAGTCGTACGACAACTTGGTCAGCAAAGTTAAGGGGCTTCTCCAGGTTCTCTATTTCTTCCCCTTCGTCTTTTTCAACCCTTTTAGGACGGCTACCCAGCTTGCCAGTTCATGGAACAGCTCATGGACGCGATTATTGCCGATGAAGGGATCGAAGACGGCCAGAAAGTCAACATCATCAACCAAATCGGAAAGGCGGATCATGCGCTGACCGATGGCTCGGATGAAAATGTTCAAATGATGGCGATTGTATCGGTCCTTCAGCGTGAACTCAGCCGATAGAAAAAAGAGAAAGAACCATTTTTCCATTTTAGCTCAATTATCTTTAGATTCACTGCCTTTAAAAATCCACTCACAATATAAATACATGTTTTACTGAAAAATTCTTGAGTTGACCTTTCGTTTTAAAAGTTGAAGGAAAATTTCGTGAATGTACAACTCTCTATCAGTATCTATGGCAACGCGCGGCGAAAGAAATGTTTATCCATTTGCACCAAACAACTCCATTTCAATTCAGAGAAGAAAAGTGTGAGAGAGACAGACAATCGGAAGTGCCAGCTGTGAGCGTTGAAAAAAAATGCCCGACACAGACGACGCGTTTTCGGACTCTGATCAGTCGTTTTCAGCGCGTTCAAAAAGCAGATCCCCGACCAGATCACCCAGTTACTCCAAAAGTAGTAGGAGGGCGACGGAACAGTATTCAGACTACAGGTAAGCGCGCTATGGAAGAAAATGTCCAGTCTTATTTTGAAAGCATTTTTTTGCAAAAATGACTTTCTGCGCTCGTTTCTAGAACGATTAATTGACAACTTTTTTTCGCAAGAAACGGTCATTAGTTCGTAGAAGGAGCCTCTACTTTTCATGGGGTTTTGGAACAAGTCTAAACAGACTACGCCCAAAAAACACTCCCCTGTGGCTTCCCCAGAGCCACAGACTGATTATGAAACCACTTTTGTGTAAGTCAACTGTTCACTAAATGTTTTTATTGTCGTTATTCCAACCTTCTTCATTAGCGATACCGACGTCTCCAAAACCCGCAGCCCAAGTCCCTACACGACCGATGACGAGACCCGTGCACCATCGATAGAACCATCCTTCGCGCCATCCATCAAACGTAAAAGCAACCAGTCTAGTAGTATTAAAAGGAATCGGTTTCAACTTCTCAAAGTTGATCAGCTGTCATCAGTAATTTTTCATGCTTCAGGCCATCTCTCTCTCTCTCTCTCTTTTGTAGATACAGGAGTATATTCCTCGCTAAGTGGGCACTTGAGGCCTCTCTCTCCGGATTCAGCATAAAGTGCCTTGAGCCATATGTATAAATATTTCTCCATTTTTCCCCGTTTTAATTATTAAGCTCTCGGCCCTTCTGATAGTTTCCTACTATCAGAAGAGCTAGAACTAGTCAGAAAAAATATCAAATGAGAGTTGAAGTTCGAGTCGCTCAGCTCGAGCTCATGTCAAAGCTCAAAATAAAATACCCCCTGCTAGAGAAAATACAAGGCAATACCCGCCCAGCAAGGGATTTTAGCAGAAGAGACTCGATTGATACCAACTTTACGGAGATTTCATTGCGCTCAATTGAAAACCTTGAGAAAAATTGCTCAGTTGAGAATAGGCAAGAGTTCATCAAACAAGAATTTTCTTACAGTAGCGTTTTTGCAAATATTTGACGGTGTTTTATGAACTTGATGTTTTTTGTCTTGAAGAGAGTGTATCTCAGGGCTCTTCAAAAAGCGAGCACCTCGATTTGCCCGAGAATTTCGAGCAAATTCCTATTTTGCCGCCTCTCGAGAAACGCTCTTCCACTCCCTGCGATTCTCCTCCTGTAACTCAGGCAGATTCAGGGTACAACACTTCGAACCCTCCATCATCCCTTCCTCCGAAAACTCTATCTCCTCAGTGACGGGTCAAAAGAGCCTCAAAACGACCATTTTGAGTCTATTTTGCGTCTCAGGTTTTCAACCCTAAGAGAAGTTTTTCGCAGAAATAGATGAAAAGTGCCCGGATTTTCTAGAACGGGAAAGTATTGATGAAAATTTTCACGACATTGAGAGTGGTTTATCTACTCTGATGGGGGGTTACGATTCGCTCGATGATTTTGAAACCGATAGTAGAAGTAGCCACTCGAATGCGCCAGCTGAAGCCAACAGAAGTCACCTCACCTCGGCAGCAAAATCGAATGTAAGTTTCTCTTTCAACCTTTTTCCATGAAAATTTCCGTTGACTCTTCCTGGCCTTTACAATTTAAATTAAATTGAAGTCGTTTTAAATTCATTTTTCCCTCGAAAATTACCTCTACTTTTAACAGCAAGAAAAGCTACCGAGCATAACATCCAAACGATCAACTCCTTACGGAAATATAACCACTAGAAATGGGTATATAATGGTAAGAATACATGTAATCAAACATCTATTTGAATCAATCAATCATTTTTGCGTTGTCGATTTAGCCGCTCGATTTTGTCAGAAAATCATTCCTATGTATACATGCTTATCGATAATTTGTGTGCACAAATGAAGTCCGCAATAGATTGTTTGTTGGCAAGTCTTACTTTTCTAACTTTATGAATTTCAGGTTGGCAAGCACAAGAAAGGCAAAAAGGCTTCAAATACTTCACTAAACAATTCAAATTACACGAAATTGGATCCCGTCACGGCGCGTATTTTGTCAGCGCAAAAGAAGAAACGCAATCAGACCCAGAACGAAGCCGGTCAGATTCGCATTCGCAACCAGCAGCTCGAGTACGAACTCAAGGTACGAACTCTTTCAGCAACAGTTTTTAGTCGATGCTTCAAATTTTTGATTGTCTTCCTTGATTTCAACAAACCCCTTAGTCGCTGAGAATCCAGTGCATTCGTCAAGAAAAAGCTCTCGCTGGATTCGAAAACACCCAAAGCGCTCTTCCTCAAGTGCTCCAGCAGTACGAGGACGACAAGCGCGTACTCAAGGACCGTCTGCGCAAGGCCAAGGAGTCCGAGCGACGACTTGAGCGCGACAAAAAACGACTCGAGGATGACAAGCACCGACAAGACCGAAAGATCAAGGACTTGAAGCAAAAAGTGAAGGCTGGCCATCTCGATGAGCGATTTGAGCTGCAACAGAAGCTCACTGAAGCTGAGCAGGCCGCGGAACAGGCTCTGATTGAGCTGGAAGAGGCCAAGAAGAATGCGCGACTCCAACTTCAAGGTACGCTTATTTCAGTAAATCGCAGTCGCCAACCCTTTGTTTAGCTCTTGAACGAGAATTGAAGAAGGAAACCCGCCGCCGAGTCAAGGCCGAATCCTCCGCCCAAGCTTCAACGGATGAAGTCGACCGCCTCCGATCCACGATCAAGGAGAAGGAGCGACAACTCGGAGTTCTCAATATCTACTCCCAGAAGCGAAAGGCCAAGTCTCAGTAAGTATTTAACCAAAACAACAAATCATGCTGACACTTGCTCTAGAAGATCGCCACGGCGACCACGGGATCGCACGGAATATGTTTTTAAGTCATTCGACTTTAATTCAAGCTTTAAGACTTTTAACAGGTGCTTTGACCGCATTTACCAACCCGCAAGTCAATTATATTTTTCTACCGATTTGAATAATTAATAACTGATTTCAATTTTTTCAGCAACACGTCCCTTGCGTTGGAGCCCTCTGCCTCTCCACGTCCCTATTCCAAGCGAGAGGAGCGACCTGTGCCAGCGTTCACGACTCCCTTGCCCGCTGCGAGCTCACCAAGACCTCAAAGCCAGCCAAAGGTGTTCATGACGGAGCCGGAGGAAACCAAGATCTCCCTTCCCGTCGCCAAGCCTGAACCCGTCGTTGAGCAGCGAGAACCAACCCCAGAGCCATCTCCTCTTCCTCCTTCTCCAGCTCCCGCTCCCACCAACGAGGAGAAGACCAACGACATCCTCGACGATCTTTTGGGGCTGAACACGAAGAAAGAAAAAGGCACGGATTTGAAGCGCAAGCTTTCTTTTAAATTTTTACGTAGATACAAGGTGTAGTTTCTGTAACTCAGCAAAAAACTCGGTGATGGTTTTCAAGTGACTGATTACCGAATAAATTTTATCACAAATTATTGAGTCTCATTAATCCTTCAAAAGACCCTTCCCCTCTTCCCCCAGCATCTCCCCAGCTCTTGGATCTCCCCGTCGCTAAAGAGGAGAAAAAGACCATCCCCAACTTTTTCGATGATGAGCCGGATGAGAAAAAGGATGATATCCTCGCGGATTTGAGAGATCTTCACGCTCAAGCACCTGCAAAGGAGCCCGAAGAGAAGAAGAATAACATCCTCAACATCTTCGACGATGCTCCCGAGCCCAAGATCGATCCTAAGGAGAAGAAACAACAGTCCGTCTTGGACGATATCTTCGGAGACACGCAGAAAGGTACGTTGAAATGATAGCAAGGAAGAGAACCTAAACTCGATGATTTAGAGAAAGAAGTTGATGATTTGGACGCGTTCTTGGGAATCAAGCAGGAGAAAAAGAGCCAGCGGAAGGAGTACAACTTTACTCCCTCCGTGAATAACTTGCACGAAGGCAAGGCTGCAAATGGCTACGAACCGGCACCTAAGAAAAAAGGTGCAAGGACGCTCATTTATCAAAACTTAATTCATAATAAGTACTCAGCGCATGCTTAATTTAATGTCTTATCGAGTCGATAAAACATCATCCTCTTACCGAATTCAAGTTCATCTTTTCATTCTATTTTATTTTAGAAAACCTGATTGACAATCTTTTTGGAACAACCGGTACGTCCCCTGTGAAAACACCCTCACAATCATCCAGGATAGGGATAAGAATCACTGCTATTCTTTCCCTTGCATAATTTGAAATTCATCACATTAGCCTTCAAATACCTTTCAGTAGTAGTTTTCATCAATCAAAATCACAAATTGTTCTCAAGCAAAAGTTGCCAAAGCAAAGCTTATTCTTTGCTTCGCTTCTTTTTCTACCACGATTCATGAGTAATTGATTACTGCTATGAAAAATTCCATCCATTATAAAGTTTCTTCTCAGACTTTGATGAAGATCTGGAATATGTCTACTGACATTCGAGAAAGAAATTCTCATCCCTTGCGAAAGAAAGAACTCAATCAAGGACTTTTTGTTTTGACGAATCCATTCCAAGTTGCCTCATCGCCCGCGAGATCTGATGCCTCCCCCTCAGCGAAATTTATAATAATATTTTTATCATTTATACTCCCAGAAAGAATTATGCTGAAATTTACATTTTTGTACAGCGAAACATTTTATTTTCATACACTGAACAAAGAAAATACAGAAAATTCATTTTCGTAAACGATTTGTGTCTGTCTTTGTGTCTCTTTTTCTTTATGCAGCAGGGCCGAATACAGGGCATATTAGCATCTCAAACGAGTGATGGGGAAATATGTTCGAAACTAAAGCCGATCGATTTTCACTCCAGAGGAGGGAATATTGTCATCACGCAGAATAAAGTAAGAGCGGTTTCAAATCCGAATTCAGAGCACTTCCAACATCAAATTTGTCCATAGGTAGTGTTAGATCTATAACAGAGTCAAAAACGAACTGAAGGGAGCAATTTTTCTTAAGCTCTTCAGGAGCTATTTCCGCTTACTCGTTCAAATTTTAAAGAAAATGCAGAGTTTCAGACTAAATCAAAGTATTCACGAAGCAATCATGAGACCGTCTTTGACTAATGCCTTGTCTTCTTTAGATTGGTCTCTGGAGCGTTTGAGAAAGAGAATCTTCTGTTCGGCAGATCATGTCGAATCGTCGCGGTGATCGGAGAGCCCGTGCGGCCGCGCCTATTCCTGATGTTAATTACGGATTTAACGGACTTTTTTATTTTACGATTAATGTGAAAAGGAACACTTTTAATCCCAACAAGGTTACAATTGATAATCATCGGCGACAGTGGAGTGGGGAAGACGAGCTTTATGGATCGCTTCGTCGATTCATCCCAGGCGGAATTTCGTCAGAGCTTCAATCCGACCGTGGGTATCGATTTCAAAGTCAAAAATATTCTCGTTGATGATAAGCGCGTCAAGCTGCAGATCTGGGATACCGCCGGTCAGGAGAAGTTCAATTCGATCACAACTGCGTACTACAGGTTCTTTCCCACTCCCTCCCAATTTTCAACCCTTTTCGTAGAAGCGCAAGGGGAGCAATAATAATGTATGATGTTACTCGACCACAGACATTCAAATCAATAGAAAAATGGTACCAGCTTATGTCTGACCATGGCAGAGGAGATGTAGAAGTCGCCTTGGTTGGGAACAAATGCGACTTGAACAGCGACAAAAAAGTTGACTCCAAGCAGGGAGAAAGCACCGCGACAGAGTTAGGCTGTCATTTTTATGAATCTAGCGCCAAAGGTTAGCTAATAACGAGATTCAAATTTTGGAGCTGGTTCTTTAGACAATTTAAATATCGAAAATGTATTCATGGGCTTGGTGCGCAATATCCTCGTGAACATGCCCCTGGAGCGACCGCCCGACGCCGCCGGTGATAGAGGATCGACGGCAACTCTGAGTCTTGAATCGAAGCCCCTCCCCAGCGGCGGTTCTTGCCCCTGTTGAGCGAAAAGAAAAAGTCTAATCGTTAATCTATTCTATATTTTCCAATTTTCCTTATCTCATCTTCAAAACTACATAAATTTTTGTCCACCACTTTTTTCTCTGTAATTTGTTGCTACTGTATTTCCGACTGGAACAAAAAAAAAATGAAGATAAAAAGAATGAAACCAACTTTTCAAGTAGCAAAATCTATTATTTTCATTATGCAGAGCTCTATTCTACCACACATGTGACATGTCATGCCCGTAAATTAAATATCTTTCTATTCCTGGACCCTTTTCTCAAAGAAAGTCTCATAGAATGGTTGATAGAAAGTACTCTGCCGAGGAACTTGTCTCTGATGGAGTCAGCAAGAAGGACATCGTCAATGAGCTCCATGGTAGGTCGAGTGCAGCTCGAAAATTCCTAGTAAAAGAGCTCAAAGTACGGGTGATTCTTACCCACACCTTTAAGGTTTTTTACTTCAATTTCCGAACATTCATCGATTTATTTTCATCTCTCTCTGTCTTTGTTTCTCGGAAAATGATGTTTTGCCCTCGGAAGGGCTGTTTATAAACCCTCCAGATGAATCATTATTGTCAGTAGCAGCACCTTGTGGCTGAAAAATATTGTTGTGTCTGTGGGAATCTTGGGGAATGTGTTATCAGCGCAAAAACCCGGCTTCAAGCGAATTCAGCGCTATTTGATTATGAGAAGGATCATGCGCAGTGCGGATTAACACGCGATCAAGCACCTTCCAGGGTTGTTTTTTCGCCGTTTTGGTCGGATTTATGTTCGTCTTTCTAAGTTCTATTTATAGCTCATGGGGCGGAAGCCTTCCTCCTCGAAATGAAGGTCCTTGGTTCTGTCAAAAACGTGGCTAAAAAGCCAAAAGAAGATCTAATCAAGGCTTATGAAAAGATGTACGAAGATGGTGCTTTCAAGGTTGCTTCCTAAAAATCCATCAAACTGCTTTGACAAAAATTCTAGGGCTCCGAAGCTGACGTAGAACTAGTGAAGCAAGTTGCGACTGTCAAAGTGACTGAAGAAAAGAAAGACGATGGACCACCTAAGTTCAAGAAACGCATCATCAAGAAATCGCCCAACAAAGATGCTCGCCGACCCAACAAGGGCGAAAAGATCGGCTGTTATTACATTGGAAGGTTGGACGGCCCCGATGGCAAGATTTTCGATCAGCTTCAGCCGCAGCGACGAGGAAGTCAGACGCTGAACTTTAAAGTCGGAACTGGACGGGTTATTCGAGGTTCGTACTTGAGCGACTCAAGTTTACCCAGTTTTTTCGGATAGAAATGGAATCAAACCCCTATTTTTCAGGCTGGGATGAAGCTCTACTGACAATGCAAACAGGCGAAGTCGCCGGAGTGACCATCGAGCCCGAGTGGGCGTACGGAAAGAAAGGCCAGCCTGAAGCTGGAATCGGCCCCAATCAAACTCTTTACTTTGAAATTACTCTCGATAGAATCGGTTAACCCGTTTCGTCCCTGCTTTCCTGGACTGCCTATCTATTATACAGTGTAACTCTAATTTTCTTTATCATGACTTTTTCGGCTTTAAAAAAAGTCGAGAGAAATTACTGTTCTATCCGCATAATCGAGCTGCTACCAGAATTTCGCTAGAAGAATAAATTGTATCTTCTTCGCCAATAAAGAATTTCTATCTCAAAAAGTCTGCGCTAGAATGTCGGATTTGGGGATAGTTGACGATCAAAGTGCCTCATACTTGGACATTGATGATATTTTGATGACAGAAAACAAGATCTCCTGCCGAGCGAGATACGATCTTGTAGATCTTGAGCTCCGAAGGTACCTCTTTCCTCATTCATTCCTGCCTGGAAATAATGATTTTAAGAACGGCAGAGGACTTCCATGAGGGAAAGAAAGTGGATCTCCCAATTTGGATGGCAATGAGGCTCAACGAATTCTTCCGCCACGAGATTCCAAAACAATACAACACTCATTTCCAAGGCATTTTGAATGCTGATCCAGAAGTCGTAAATTTGCATAAAGAGGGTCCAAAATACTTTGCCATGGGACTGCAGGTTGGTAGAAACGCACTTCAACAGCACTTTTTGAGCGCGGGAATTTCAGTTGACGAGTGAGAACTTCGATTTTGCTGACGACGAGGACATTATCAACATGTGCCAAACTCTACTTCAAGCGTCGGCGCGGCGAGTCAGCTGGATTAGCGATATGGCCGCCGCCGACCATTATCAACAGTCGAAGGTTGATTCCAAACTCGACGATATGGAAAAGGTATTTTTGGAATTTACAAGCTCGACAAGTTCCCATGGCGACTAAGTCAAGAAAAATGCCTCGCTAGCATTTTGATGTTATATTTGGAGCTTTTTGCTAAATTACCATAAAAGGAAATAATCGTACTCTTCCCTAACCAAATAACGACAATTGTTACGTAAATGGATTGTTTTACGCGCGTTACTTTTATTGTCGATTAATCTGATGTCAAATATTATAAGGTCTTGCGAATCGTGGGTCGTCCAGCAGACTTTTTTGATGGCCATGTCTATTTTTATATTCGCTTTTCTTCGAAGAATCGAGAGCGAAAGAATTTATGAAGAAGATTCTTTCTAGGAACCCTAGGAATCACAGGTGCGGCCAGGATTTAGTTCACGATACTCGTGACACGATTAATTAAATGACGTTTCTTGGAGAGTTTCCGATGGAAATCTACCCCAGTAGTTTTACAAAAGAATTTGGCGGAAGTCATAAACTCGTTTCTAACGCCCAATCTAACGAACGCGAGTACCCTTTATCCGAATCATCTTCACGCGGGCCCAACGGCCCACTTGTTTCTTCAAATAGTCATTTTTGGCATTTGTCGTTTCAAGAAGTCGTTCGAGAAAGAGTTCACGAGTGAATAAGATAGTTTTATGTGCTTTATGTAATATATAAAATTCAAAATTCTAACCATTACGATTCTCCTCGGTATCAGCACACTGAAATTTAACAAACTTTTTATTCATGAAAACTTCAGGAGATGTACGCGAAGGCTATCTCCGAGAGAAAATCATGGGAAGACTGGACTCGCGGTATGTCAAACAGACTGACGGAATCGAAATTCATCGCGAAATCAAGGAAGAGAAAGCGCGATGCATTAGCCCAAAAGAACAACTGAAATCAAAGTATTCTTGCTGACATATGAATATACTCGCTTTGAACTGCCCTTTACCAATTTTTTGCTTATAAATATTCGTTTTTCATTTCTACCTTTTAGAAATCAAATCAAAATGGCTGCAAATTTGCCTCCTGGTTGGAAACTGGCGCATTCCAAAAAGACCGGCCGTCCGTTTTACTACAACCCAAAGTTCAAAATCTCCGTTTGGGAGCATCCCCAATACTTTGAGCGATATGAAATCGACCGAAAAATAAAGAACACGATCGTTTTACGCAATGAAAACTACAATTTCTGCTTGGATACGAATGTGCTCATTCATCACCTGGCGTTTGTCGATTGGGTTCTTGACTTGTGCAATGAGTTGAAGAGGAGTTATGTTAATGTGCCTTACAAGGTGTGGGAGGAACTGGATAATGTTCACAAATATTCAAATAAGGAGGAGACGCGTGAACTGGCGAGAAAGGCGATGAAGGGGGTGGAGAAGTGGATGAGCCTCAAGGACTCGAAGCTTTTCATGGAGTCAAAGAGTGATTTTGATAAGGCGCGGGCTTCTATTTACATGACGATGTAAATATGACTTAGTAGCAATGTTACGTTCAACGTTAAAGCCACGTATCATTCACGCACTGATTTATGAGCCAGGTGTATCGGCCGTTTCTATTAACATTTATATTATAAAAGAATTTGTTTAAGCAACGATATTGCGTTGTTGAAATCAAGGAAGATTAAGTTACACCAGAGTCGTGCACCGCAAAACCCACCGCTTGACTAAGCCCTAAAAGAGAAAAAGTGATGAAAAAGACTTGTCCAATGATGAAAAGATTATGAATTTCTGCAAAGTGAAACTAGTCAGCACTCGACGGAAGCCGTTTTTCATCACCAACGATAGAAATTTAAGAGTCCGCGTGATCGCCGATGGGATCAAGTGCTGCAAGCCGGAATTCGAAGACATGCTAGAAGCGATTGCCATAAAGACAGACAGAGAGCCTTCTACAGCAGAAGGTGTATCCAGAGAACTACCGTCGTCGACCTCGACGATTTCTGAAAGCTTGAGTGATGATGCGATGGAAGTGACAGAGTACCAGCCGCCAGATCCGAGAACAGCGTTGCCTAGGGAAATTCTAGAGCAATACTGGGACGAAGGAAAGAGAATTCTTATTTGGATACTGGTTGAAGAATTGAAGAACTTTTTTTCTTCAGCGTATCCAGGTCGAAGTGATCAGCAGTTGATTGAAATCATGAAGGAGAATCTCGGACACAAAAAATTCAATCTTCTTTGGGGCGAGCATATTCGAATGATCGGAATTCTACGGCTATGGCATGAATACGACGAAGTTATCAAACTCGACAAGGATAATTGGACTGTTAACAAATATCATGAGTAAGTTATTCAATCCCATGTACCATTTTCATAGAATTTAGAAACGCAAACCGCCTTTTGGATTTTGTCCAAAAAACTGCAAGCGTCGAAGATGAGCTCGATCTCGACGACCAAAGCTGGATCGACAATCTCTGCGGGATAGCTGAAGTTTTCAAGCATCATCAAGCTGTAGATAATTTTCTCAAAAAAATCGACGCCCAGTTTTCCTAGTTTGAAAACTCTTCATTTACTTATTTTTTCACTTATTCACCTTTTTGCTTCTTGATTCCCAACCTCGTTCACTTCTTCTTTTCTGTCACTCTTCAAGAACATCAATTCACAGCTTCTCTGATGGATAAACTTTCAGAAGATGTCATACTATGATCGGGAAGCCTGGTTGCGAAATCTTCAATTAAAAGAAGGCGCGGTCGTTCCTGGAAAATTTCCAGTTGGATTATGTTTCTTCAACAAGTAAAATTGACCATGTTTTCGTTTGAAACTAACTTCGGTTGAGGTGCCGCCGTATTCGTCCCTATCTACCAGCCTTCATGGCCAAGACCGGCAAAATCGCCTGCCTAGCATGCGGCAATGGGCCAGGTTCGTATGCCAGTCAAACTGGAATCGTCCCATTCCACGATGATGAATGGGAAGTCAACCACGGTCCGACTACGATCAAGCCGCCGACGATCGAAGATCTCCACGACAACGAGATATCCAACGTTACTTCATACCCACCACTGGTAAGATCAAACTCAAGTCGATTTTCAATTAACATACTTTCAAGGGAGTCGTAAATGACGACGATGTTTTCTCTCACACCTCTCTCGGCTCAGAGGTCAACGATAAAGTTGCTGAGAACTCTCATCGATCTCGTCTCAACACTGAAGATGACGACAACATCATGGAACAAGACTCAGCCCAGAGCTAAAGACGAATCCTCTTCCTTTTTCTTTTCTCGCTCATTTCCGTTTTTCGCTCTCAGAGACTGGATGATGCTTTACTGTTCAGTCTGATAATCAGCTGTCTTAATTTGATTCCTTGAACAACCAACTGTTCCCTGTGATGAATGATCATCACAGGTTGTGATGAGGCTGCATCCAATTACCAGAGTGTTCATTCTTTATTGAAAATTTTGAGTTTCTTACACTTAGCAACATATTCCATGTATTTTTATACAGCCTTAACATTCATATTATTTATTGAAAAGATACTTGTGTTTTCTCCTTCTCTAACTAAACCTCTCCATTGAAAATATCTGACAGATACAACCTAAAATAAAATTCCAACTTGAAACTCGACACTTGTCTTACTTTCTAAAGCTTTGGAGCACCAACTTCAACGGCGCGTTTTCGCATCGCACAAGGCCAAAAACGACACCTTGGTCTTATCCTCTCATCTCGTTTGACGGCGAAAAAACTATTGTTTTTCGGTTTTCGATCTCAGCCGAGCATTTTGAAAATGATTCTTGCATAAGGTCGCGATAGTTCGTCATAGCAACTTTCGCAGGAAAATGAGCATTACCGGCTGAAAGTATGTTCTGTTAGAAGCTGCATAAAAACAGATCCAAGGAAGTGGAGATTGAAGGTCAAAAGAAAACGTGAATTAAAACCGCGGCCGAGCAGCGCGACATGTCCCCGCAGTCAGCAACGTGGCATTTAAGTGTTATGATTTTAAAAGGTTCGACAGGATTTAGTCGTGTTACTTTTTCGAGCATGGAACATCGATGCAGCGTGTAGTTGGTTACTGGATATTTGACCAAATGTTTAAAAACGATCTCATAGAAACGTAATAGCTTCTTATTCCACCTATTTCAACATCTTTCATATAGAAAATTAACCCAGAAGCGGCTGTTGTCCATTTCTTTGGTCGTTGAATGAAAAGCCGCGTAGCGGCTTCTTTGAAAACTTAGCCGCTAAGAGGCTTAGCCAAAATTTTCTTCTCAATCTTCGTTTCAATGTTTTTATAACCCTATCCCTGAGTCAGGGACTCTGACCCTGTTTAAAGGTTTTCAAGGAGAGCATCTTCAGATTTCAGTTTCTTTTAAATTCTCTAGAATCAATGTTGACCAACCCTTTTTTGAAAGAAACGAGTTCAGTTCGAAAAGGACCGTTTCAAATTTCACAAAAGAGGCTTTAAACTTTTCAACTTGCAGAATGGACGCGATGCACATGCAGCAACAGATGCTGGAGAAGCAGCTACTCAAAGCGGCAGAAATGATGGAGGAGCAGATCGACTCCGAAATGAAGAAGATGGACGAGCTCGACGACGACGACATTGAATCGCTCAGACAGAAGCGACTCAAGGCCATGCAGAGGGCACATGCGGCGAAGCAAGTAAGTATTGTAATTTTCAGCTGGCTTTTCGGATCCGCGCAGCCGCAAATTCTAAAAATTCTAATTCAAATTCTCTTTGAGAGTTTTCGCGGTTAAAAGAGGAATATCATTTTCCGACCTTCTCTGAGTTCAAATAGAATTGATCGAAAAATGACTGCTTTAGGAGTTCATCGCCAAAGGTCACGGAGGATACGACGAGCTTCCCTCAGAAAAAGACTTTTTCGACAAGATTAAAAACTGCAAACGCGCTGTCGTGCATTTCTACCGGCCAACAACTCTCCGCTGCGAGATATTCGGTAAGAGAACTCTACATACAGACCGTGTTTATTTTACTCCTTTGTAGATAAGCACCTGGCACTGCTGGCGCCGAAGCACGTTGAAACGCGATTTGTGAAGCTCAATGCCGAGAAGTGCCCCTTTTTGTGCGAGAGACTCAACATCCGCGTCATTCCAACTCTCCTGCTCATCGTTGACGGCAAAACACAGGTATTGTCATTTTCTGCCGTTAGAAAACACGCGACGCAGACCGCGGTATTCCTTTTCCAAAATTGATAACCAGTGATAAGGCGATTACTTTAATTGGAGGGGTGAAATGGGGACGGCCTGATAGAGGAAGTCGAAACTCTAGTCTGATTTTATAATAACAATAATGAAACTAAATTGGAATATTCAACTTTTTTTCAAGATTTATTTATGAAATAAATTTTTCGAGAAATTTCTTCCTCCAGAAAAGCAAGCTTCAGAACTGGAACTTGTTTCATTATATATAAAACGAAATCATATTTTATGAATGATCTTCTATAAAAGCTTCTGCTTATATGCTCTTATTTGCCGAAAGGGGGCGCAACTTGCATGAGAAATTCTCGGTGGGGAACTCAGAAAATCGCGGTACCCCGGTGAGTTACTAAAGATTTTTCGAGATAAGCAGATGTTGATCAAAATTTAACCATCTCTTATCGATATAAGTTTATTTTCAAATACTAAAAGAAAGGGTTTATTTGCATAATTTTGAAACGTCAAAACGAATTCCGAGACTGAGGCAGCTTGGGCAACTGCGGTAGCAAAGCAGGCCAGTAAGAATGAAAACATAAACGCGGCCTCTGTTTTTCTAAACTCAGACCGTCAATCTGCCACAAGAGTCCACTCCTAGAAAGGAGCTTTAGTAAACTTGGCCGCCAAGCAATAATTTCAGCCCTCTTATTTTCAGGGTCGCTTAAATTTGCATTTGATCGTTGCTGACAATGCTAATTACGATATTTTTAGGAAAAAGTGGTCGGCTTTGATCAATTAGGCGGTCACGACAATTTCAGCACGGAGATGCTAGAATGGCGCCTCGGCGTTTCTAAAGCGATTAACTACCGTGGCGACATATCCCAGCCACCAGGTAAGCACACCACTGGCGATTATGAAATAGCGCGTTCAGAGAATTCGGCATTTAGTACTCTTCTAAATTTAACGCCAAATTCCATCCAAGGCAACATTCGTTCATCAACCCCTTCTTTTCAGAGGACAACGCGCCCGTAAAGAAGAAAATCCTCGGCCGACGAATTCGCTCCAACGATGATCCAGACACTGACGAAGAATTATTCGGCGACGATAATTAATATCTTCCTAACCCACTGTAGCCTTGCTTGTAGCCTGTTTGCATGTTCACTCGTTTTTACACTTCACATTTCTTAGAAGAATCTTCTATCCGTATATTTATCGTAACCTCACTTTTTTTACGAACTTCACATTCCAAATTTCAAAAAACAAAAAGAAAGAAAATACATGTATCAATCCTTTTTCAACCCTTGTTCGTTCGATTTACAGTTGTAATTTCTGGGAATTATGAATTTGAGGCGTAAAAAAGGGAGTTCACCGGCGCATAGCGTAATCGTGTAATCGCGCGTTCAGGTGAGCATTTTTTCCCTTATTGAGCCGAAATTCCAGGGTCAGTTTCAGTTTTTTCTTCAGAAGAGCGGTGTGAGGGGAAAGTTGTAGAGAAATCCTACTTGACTTAATGATAAGTGAATCGAACCCGTTTCCTCTCTTCTCAAGCTAATTTGGTGATTAGAGAAAGTCGACTACGGTAATTTGAAGCTCTTGGAAGTTCACCTGGTCGGGTTCTTGCGGCTCAAGTATTAGCCGATCAAGCTGAATCAAGGCCACTTTCTATCGAGGACCGAGGCACTTATGCCGGTTTTTCCACCGAGTAGACGCAGCTTTTTCTTGATTGAGAATAGTCAAATATCATTCATTTCGTTGAACCTTTCTTCTTTTGAAGATGTCGAAATTCGGACGAACGGGTCGGTCGTGGAACCGGTCATGGCCGCACTGGCTGGTGCTACTCTCGGTGGCGATTATGTACTACACCGCCTGGGCGCAGTCCCTCAAGATGCTTTCTGCGAAGAGTAACCCAATCGTGTTGGCACTCAGCAGGGGATTTTAGAGCGGCCCCGGCTCCATTCTTCTATTCGCCAGGTTCCATGAATTGGAATGTCGATTTTGAGTAACTAAAGGAGACATTCTCTAGTCTAGACTAATTCATCAAAATTGCACCCATTTTCCTCCAATAAGATTTCGCCCTTTCATCCTTCTAGCCAATAAGAACCGCTTAAAATCCCACTCTACAGCGACTATTCTGGACTTTCTGTAACAGCTTCTTACTACCTCCTCATCGATTTGGCCTGCACTGGTGTTATTTTTTGCTTTAGGTAAGAAAAACCAATCTTGAAGAAATTGGAGAAAGTGCTAGAAAACAAAAAGAAACGCGTGTAAAAATGCATGTCTGGTGTAGAACACAGCTTTGGCACATTCTGACATGCATAAGCACGTGAACTTAATGACGGTTATCAGAATTACCATTCATTTTGCTAACCACAACCAATAATAATTTCAACGAGTAGAAAGGGAGAGGATGAATGAAAATGACATTCTCGGGACCAAATTCTGACCCCCATGTTTCTTGTGCTTTTCTGAAAGCCCGTGATCTGGCGAGTCGAATGGTATAGGTAAGAGGTCTTAGTCATCGATAATGACGTCATAGGGCCACTGTGATTGGTTGAAACCGACCGGGACCCGTAACTTTTAAGTTTGTCTATAAAAATATATTGATTTTGGGCTCATTTTAAAGAGCAGCTCGAGATCTATTTGCGGAGCCTATGTAGGTCAAAAAGTTCCCAGGGAAAAAAATTCTAGAGCCACCTAACCACGTGGTGAAAAATTGAAAACCGGTTGGTTCACCGAGATTTTTAGATCCGCAAATAGATTTCGAGCTGCTCTTTTTAATGAGCCCAGAATCAGTATATTTTTATAAACAAACTTAAAAGTTACGGGTCCCGGTCGGTTTACCCCATATCCCTCTTCAATCACCCAGAATGACGTCATTATCTATGACTCAGACCCCAAAAAATACACCATTCGACTCCTTAGATCACGGGCTTTCTAATAAGCATGAGAAACTTGGGGGTTAGGATTTTGCCCCGAGAATGTGATTTTACTTCATCGTGACTCACCTCGAAAAAAGGTATTTACTGTAATTATCACTTTTCTCTCAGTGACACTGTAATTATTCTTTTTCTCATCACTTTCTCCTCCTTGAAGTTAATACTGATTGTTGTTTCTTATTGAATGAATGATTGATTTTAGTTACTGTCATTAATTACGTGATTAATTACTCTAGCGCGGCGTGAGCTACTAACTCCACAGCGTAGCGAGACGTCCTAAATTTTAACCCGCGCGTGTCGCGCTCTTCGATTTATCGACGTGGAAAATAGCGTCTCATAATTGGACGGGTTCGCGCGTCCCCACGCGCTCCGCCTTGCCGACGGACTGTTAAAATTTTTCTCTCTTTCTTTCCATCGACAGATCGACTTCTTTCTATAGCGAGAATTCAAGAGCAGTCAAGAATAAGCAGGAGAGAGTGTGAGACCATGAATACCGCGCTGTCGGTCAAATGGTATTGTCTGGAACATGCAGGAGAGGGTTAAAAATGCGACTCACGCAATTCATGTTGATCTGGGTTCAAAGACCTGCGTTGAAAACCTGAGTCAGGATTCAACTCACGTTTTCTACACAGGCTGAAGAATCCAGATGTTTAATTTGACCTTGAATTGACCCCAAAAACAGATCCTACCGGCCCGATTCCTTCCATCCGCTCAATCTACATTGACCGAGGCGAGTGTCTTGCCCAACCTATTGGCGCCACAATCAACAACGGTACTCGACCAGGCCAACTCGTTGCCAGCTCCGCCATGGGTTTGACCATCTTCGACTTGTTTCGCGAAATTATGTCGGAGAAAGATTTGAAGTATTTCCTCCTGAGTCACGGAATAACGGATCATTTTGATGGAAACTCGTTGGCGCTGCGTTCTATGCTCTTGTTGATGGATTTATCCGGCATTTTGCGGCTCGATTTGACGGAGAAAAATGCGGAAGAAGACGCAATCGAAGAGGTCGTAAATGAAGACGCACATGCGGTGCTGATGGAAGAAGACATCAAGCAGGAATTCATCTCTAATTCAGATGGCGAGGCGAGCAGCCACACCTTTGACTCGTCCGCAATCTCCGACGACATATCAAATGAAAACTTGCATTCCACGACGATAGGCAAGCGGTTAATGATCTTCGGAGCGCGCTAGTTTTTCTAGGAGCGAGTTTTCAAGTAGTAACCGCGCTATTTCGCAAATACGGAGTATTCCTGCCGATGATCTTCAAGGTTCCCGAAAGGTCAAACAAAACACCGCTTTTACATAGTACCGAGATGTACTGCGGTTACCTAAATTCAGTTCTCAGGACTAAGACTTCAATTCTTCAAAGTCCGGAAAACGACCTTTTTCTTCAGATTTTTTGGACAATTTAGACGCTTTATTGTAGAAAATTGCGAAATTCAGAGCGAGATAGAAGCAAGTATAGTAATAATATTTATCCCGAAACCGTAAATACAGGCAAGCTTTTCCGACAATGCAAAGCGTCACGATGCGGTTGCAATACTGTGTTCCCGACGATCAAGGATAAAAGAGACCATTATATCAAGAACGGTACGTTCCCTTGCAAGCGTTGTGATTATAAGGTACTGGGTTTCTATAAACACGGAGTAGCTGCTCCTGATTTTTGAGAGCGCGGCGAAATTAGATGTAATTTGGAGGAAAAAAGGGGACTTCCGTCCAAAGGTCATGTGGTTTTTTTTTCTCAAGTCTCAATATTCTAATGTGATATCATCGGTGACTATTACGGCGCCGCGGGTTTCTAGCGGCAAAATTTCTTCGGTAGACTTTTTCTTAGTCTGTCTCAACATCTGTAATTTGCCATTAACATGATTTCAAGGGGCGCGGCTTTCGACAAGAATAATTCTAGTGCAATAATCGCGTAATTTTTAACGAACTGGGTTAGATCCGAAACCCGAAATATTCACCTTGTAGCCTCTACTTACTCCCTGCTCTTGACGAATTGAGTCTGCTTGCTCTAACCCAAAATTATCGCATTCTCGTTAAAATAACCCAATTAGTCACTAGCACTTCGTATTGCCCTTCATTTTTCGACTTTTGCCTTTTCCAAAAATAGTGCATTCCTCCGAAATTAGAAATCCAAACTGAAAAGGCTTGGAGCGAGAAGAATCTTCGCGATCATCGCCAAACTGAGCACCGAGTCATCGTCGAAACTCCAACTCGCTATCCCTGTCGATTGAGCAAGACTGGCTGCTACGATGTCTTCCAAACCGCGCGAGATCGAAACGAGCACGAAGAAATGGTAAAACACTATCAATGCGAGCCCTGTGGCCTTCGTTTTCACAAGCTGACAGGACCGTGGATATATTTTGATTGAAAAAATGGTCGGATGCTTGTTGATATCTCCATCAGCACCATTAAAAAACGGTGTTGTGATAACAGATCGCTCCCGCGATCGTTCGTATTACGAAAGATTCGAAAATTTATAGAATTTGTGGTGATAATATACAGTAGATTTGCGGCCGAGAGAGGTTAATTCCTCGTGCGATTATTGAAAGCAACATATACAAGTCCGTCCTTTTCATTTTGAACTCAAATGAAACCGTTAATTAACATAATATTCTGCGTCGAGTTTCACCCTTATTTTTGGGATGAATTCCAATGGTTACTATAGTAAGAATTTGGCGATGTTATTGCTGAAAACCAAGAAGTCACTTGCGGCTCGAGTGAGAGAAGACTTAAGCCGCGCATAGCGCGGCTTCTCTGCCTTTTCTCGCTCAAAGCCGCAAGCGGCTTCTTGATTTTCAACAATAGCATCATCATATTCTTACTATAGTAACCATTGGAATTCGACCCAAAATTAGTCAGTCTGGAATCAGACTCGCAGTGTTTCAATGTTCATAAAATATCCGCGATACAGAAAGAAACGCACACCAGAAAAACGACGTTGACTGTAAATCCTACATCTGCCCATTTTGCGATAAAGTGTGGCCACTTGAACAGCGCGGCGACCGCCAAAAAATGAAAACGCACATGTTGAGCTGCGAGAATCCGCGGAATTTCGTGTGCGATGTCTGCGGACAAGGCTACAATACAAAGCGCCATTTAAAAGGTAGTGATTATGCCTGCCAAATATTCGTTCAGCGAGGGTAATCGCTTCGTTCGCTCGTCTTTCTCCAGCCTTGTCATTAACCTTCCCGGAATGCATGTTTGAATTCAACAAAATCCACAAATCTAATCACTTTTTCTTCCTTATTTTTCGAAAGAGCTCAAGTCCGCTTTTAGAAGCAAGGGTAGCTCTTGTTTCTAATTGCCACTTTTCTGCTTCAAACTTCTAATTTGATCGATGGCAAGCACTTGAACGGACCTACTCCTTGGAGGATTACGGTTGAGCACTAATTAAGCTATCTCCGGGTTTATCGGTTGATAAGGTACTCGCTTGTTACTGGCACTATGTGCTTCTTTATCATAATTATGAAAAACATAGGCGCGTAAGGATTTAACTTAAGTTGATTGAGATGGTAATTTTGGCGAAGCCGCTTCGCGGCTACGTTTTTGTACAAGCCGCAACGCGGCTTTTTATTGAAGCTCTTTCACAACCCTGACTCAGGTCTTTACACTGGTTTCTGTGTCGTAGAATTTCGTTTTGAAAGTTGGCTAAAGAAATCTAGAGCACCTGTCAGTCCACAGTGACGAAGCTCAACGACGTCGCGATAAGGCCCGCGCCTCGCGATTGGAACTTGGACAAGGGCTCGCATTCATTCCAATAGTAACTCCCTAATTTTCTAGCGCACATGCAACTTCACACTGAAGAGGGCCAAAAGCGCCGCGAAGAGACCCACGCCAAGCTTCTAGCACATGGGCAAGGGGCTCCGCATTCATTCTTTTTTTCGCCTCTCGGTTCCACTTATTTCTAGTGCTTGAGATATTCGCCAGCACCATCATCAAACAAATAGTCAAAATAGCGACCAAATAGATCCTTGTCAAAATGTAGGTCAACCCTTTTCTTTCCCAAAGCTGGTCAAGGGTCGAATTTGTCAATGGAATCAATCAGTAGAAGAATTCAGAGTGAATTCCAGCGCTGAATTCTTCCATTTCTTCTCTCCCATTTTTCGAAAATAAAAATGAATGCGCAAAAAGTGAACTTCGGCGGAAAAATCCAAGACGATTTCCCTGCACGATGTGCGATAGAAATTATACTACGAATCAAAAGGTAAGTGCCGGATTGAATAGTTTCTATATCGCTTTTTTCTCTCTCTCATTTTTTTATCGAAACACAATCAGCGGTCGACATATTTTCACGTGTTTGGCGGTCAAGTAGCGCGCGTATTCTAAATGTCGACTAACGTGCACGTGGTTCTTGAGCTGGAGACTGTTTTTATCGCTGGTTCATTTTTTGGGTTAGACACAAGTCTTGCCCAAATCCATTTTTTACATTAGAATCTAAATTTTAAGCGAAAAAAGATTCATTCTCATTCAATTTTAAAGCGATTTAAAAGCCACGTGACATAACATACGTGACCTCAATTGACCTCTCGTGACCCCAGATGACCTCAAGTCCTTTTTTAGCTTCGATTTCACATGACGAGCGCCCACGGCATCGGAGAGAAGCTGGAATGCCCACTCTGTCCACGAAAACTGATGACACCGAACAACCTCTCCGGCCATTTGAAAACCGTCCATGGTCGCGAAAAAGTCACGAACAAATGCTTCCTCTGCCACACGGAACATCCCACCAAAGTAAAGGCCATCGCGTGCGAAGTGGCGCACAGAAAGGAAAGGTTCGACCAAATGTCAAAGCTATCATTTCGCTGAAAACGCACCCCCGCGTTCTTATTTACTGATAACGCGCGAAATAACATGCGATAAGGGGCCTGTTCTTCAAGTTACGCAACATTGTTATCGTAATTTTATACAGTTATAACACAAAATTTACAGTGAGATTAAATTCTTTTCATCATTTTTTGAGAAAGCAAGAGTCGACAAGTTAAGGGTTCCTCGGGGTTAATGAATTTTAAGTGAACATATTGACACCCTTATTTTCTGGGCTCGTCAAACAGTGTAGAAAACCTGAGTCAGGTTCGGAAGAGCTTTCTTCAGAAGCTGGCTCAGATTTTCGAAACAGGTTGATGAGCCCAGAAAATAAGGGTGTCAGTACGTTAACTCAAAATTCATTCACCCCGAAGAACCGTAAACTTGTCGGTAATTACTTTAATTATTGAGTTTCTATGTCAATTTTAATTGATTTAGCAGCGTTTTCAATTCATCGCGTCTAAGTGTCAATGAAATTGAAGCTGCTGTTATGATGATAACTTTGAGTAATCAGCGACCTTTTGATGATATTCAATTCAATATCGAGTTCGCCAGAACATGACGTGGCGAATTCTAAAAAAATAACGATGGTTGAACCAGTTTCAGGCGCACGCAGATGGAAATGTCGAAGGTTTTCTTGACCCAAACGACTTTTCGTATCCGGCAATCAACCCCGAAACCGGCGAAATCGAAAATGTTCAAGTCAGTGGCAGCGAACTCGGCGAAAATTCAGCGCTCTACTAGCTGAAAATTAAATTATTACGTTCTACTGCACCTTTCTTTTTCAACTTGTACAGTTTTTATTATATTTTCGCCGAAGTGAGGAGAAAAATGGCCGCCGCTCGAACGTAATTTAATGAGTTCGTGAAAATATACGCCCACAGCTCGGTGGGTATTGCGACGACTCATTGGATTTGACAGTCGGATGATCGGATGTGAGATAATTTCGCCGATTCCGACTGTTGATCAAACAGATTAAATAATTTAAAATTCTACGATCATCATCATCTTTCTTTAGTCTATGCACAAGATGTTCTCGTATAAGGTCCAAGAATGTCATTAAAATTTCGAAAATTCGATATCTATTCAGTAATAAAAATTGAGTTAAAGAAACCAATAGGGTTTAAGAATTTAGTGTGCTGATTATTAAATTCTTTATAGGCGGAACTCGAAAATTTACGACTGTATCTTTACTATAACAAACGCTGTATCTATTGAAAACTCATTATATGGAGAATCTGTGAACCACAAAAGCCCTGGTTAAAGTCGGCAATCTTCGGAAAGCCCTGTCGATTCTGAAACGCCCTTCATTTTTGGAAAACACCACTGAGTTTCCAATAGATACAGCGTTTGTTATTAGTAAAGATACAGTCGTAAATTTTCAAGAACGCAAGTTTCGCCCATAATGAATTTGATAATCAACGCACTTAATTCTTTAACCGGATTTGTTTCTTTAACTCGATTTCTATTACTGAATAGATATCGAATTAGCGACATCGATTCAAATTCTCCTCATGACGCCCCGCTGCCGCAATTCGCCAAGACAATAAATAAACATCAACCTTTACATTTGTTATTTTGTCTCGCCATATTTCTTGAAATCGAATCTCCTAATAAATATGTTTTACATCTCCCAACACGCAACCACCAAAAATGAAACAAATTTAGCTTTATCTGGAACAACTCGTCATGTTACGATCCATATTGGAGCATTTTGCCGATCCTGATTCTCGGACATCAGCTGTCGGAGAAATCAGCACTTGTTGGACGAGATTATGTCATTGCCACGGTTGTTCTTCTTTGGGGAGTCAGACTGACTTACAACTGGATGCGGAGCTTCAGAGCCTGGTCTCATCAAGGTAAGGCATTGGTATGTCTATGCTTTCGATCTAGGCTCGGTAACCTGTGTTGAAAACCTGAGTCAGGGTCGCAAAATAGTACCAATAATCATTACAATTGTAATACATTTGTATTTTACCCTTAGCGAAGCCGCTTCGTGGCTTCTTTTTTGAAAAAGCCGCGTTGCGGCTTTTCGTTAAAGATCTTTCAAATCCTGACTCAGGTTTTGACATGCTGCCGAGCTCAGCTTTCGATTTTTTGGAGTTATTTCCGCTGAAAAATCGAGGTTTTTTTTCGTCGATTGTTATTTTTGAGCATTTTTATTGGTCAGAGAATCGAAAGATTTGACCATGGAAAATTTACAATCACATATTTTTGGCATTCTTGGCAATGCCAAAAACATGAAATATGGAATGTTTTTAAAGGTCTTTTTGAGTAGACAGTCTGTAACTTCAAGGCTTCTAATTTGGTTAGACAGACCGGTGAGTCTAGCTTCGTACAGCCAGAAGGGAAGTCTTAAAATTCCGGCACCAGCCACAACCTCCCGTTTGGCTTAAAAAAGACCTGAGGAAAGGGAGCTGAACATGCCACGGAATGAATTTTTGAGTTCATGTTGAATATCGTTGGTAGTTTTATTTAGCGATTATCTAAATCGCTCAACCCACAGTACAAGGATGTTCTTGTACCGGGAAAAGCAGGAGTTAGTTATCAGCGACGGTATAAAACGTGGAATAGGAGCAGGACAAGATAACCGTTTATCTTGTTATTTCGTAATTGGCATACAGACATTCGAAGGCTCTGAATTTCGTAAGGCGGCAATTTGGAACGTTTCTCGCTTTTTACAGTATTTTTCTGTAGAAAGTCGTACGGGGACGGGAAGGCTTTTTTCGCAGGCGTTATCTGCTAGTAGCTTTTCCAGCGCAAGCAAAACAAATGGGTACTTAAGGTCGTTATCACGGGATCAGTATTCAGCGTCCTGGGTAGCTAGTACGCTGATAACCGTCGGCTTAGATGCGGCTCGATGCAGCGACAAAGGGGATAAACCAAAAAATCATGTTTCAAAGGAGCTATTGTAAGAAATGTCCTCCTCTCACAATATTCAGCGAATTATATCTCCTCGAATAATAATATCCAGACACTTCAAGGAGAGTCTTGTGCTTTTCGAGGGTAGCTTTCAACGGAAAAAACATGTTGATTTTTTTTTCTCACGAAATTGAGGTTGTAATCTGAATTTAATTCAGGGTCAAATCAGGTGAAGAAACTCGCTATTTTCGATGTAATGTAGTGGTAGATTCGCGGCACCTGAAATGTGCCAACTGCAGATTAGAAAAAAATAAGTTTCACTTTTCTCCGAAGTGAAGGTTCTAGTGGACCAATCAAGGGATGGTAGATAGTCTGCCGATGAGACGCTCTTTTATTATATACGATAAGAAAGCGAGCCCTTGTCGCGCATTAACTGAGTGGTGCTTAATTGAGAAGGAAATATTATGTAACACGTCGTTCGTTGGAAACGATGCTCGATCATGAACGCATTTGTTTTTCTCATTAATTAATCAGCAATGAATTAGTTGCGTTAAGCAGGTGCTGCGGCAGTTTTGTGGAAAAACGGTTTTTCCAAGAACCAAATATTTTTCGACAAAGCAAAGGGCCTTTTTCAATGGATTGAATTTCCATCTCATGTGAGTTTTGATTATTAAGAGACTCTGATTTGCGGATGTAACTCTCGGTATAAATATTTTGACATTTTAATGTAAATAAATAATATATAATAATAAACAATATTAAGACAAATTGAGTGAATGAAGTAGCTGGAAAGTGATTTGAATATGTTTTTTTTGGTTGTTTTCTCATAATATTCATTTTTCTAATGGTACGTATTTGAGCTTTTATTTACAGTTGTTGTACCTGAAATCCGGAACGAATCTAGTTTAATTTTAGCTATAATAATCAGAAAGCAAGATTTGCCTTCTAAGATTGTCGACAAGACAGTCTTGACAATGTCGATGGCAACTGTCGATTTCCGCAAATCGTAATTACGATATGTCGAGTCTTCATTGTCTAGTCGACAATCTTAGAAGGTACCTTGATTATTATAGCTGTAATCAAACTAAATTCGTTCCGGATTTCAGATACGACAATTGCAAATGAAAGCTCAAGTACGTATCATTCTCTGGTATTACTATTATTATTAACATCGACTCAAGATAATTAACTTTTTCCTGCCCGAATCCACGAATTTGCGTGTTTGAATTACAAGAATTCAAAACTCCACATATAAAAAAATTAGTACTCTCAAAATATTAGCGGTTCAAATTCATTACCAACGAAAATATTTAGATTGGCGATACACTTATCTACGCGATTCAAACATTGGGTGGATGTCTCCTGTTTTCGGATTGGTTACGTACTGGGTTGTATTCAGTGGTCTTGCCTTTCATATTTATCCGACCTTGAGCGTATTTGGCGGTCTGCTACCCGGAATCTATGCAATCGAAGACGGTCAGACGGCGCTCAACGTACTTGATATTGTAGGAAACGGATAACTTAATTTGCGGATCAGAAATTCGAAAATCCAGCTTACTCTCTTCTACATGTCATCAGATCATCATTCTAACTCTCAAGTAGGATTGATGCTAGGAGGATTAATGATTATCGACGTAGACAGGGCTGAAAAATGAACTTTCGGCTACTAAAAGCTGAGCTCGGCAAACTGTGCAGAAAACCTGAGTCAGGGTCTGAAAGATCTTTAATGAAAAGCTTGCAAAGCCGCTTTGCGGCTTCATATTTTCATTAAAGATCTCTCAGACCCTGACTCAGGATTTCTACAGAGGTTGCCGATCTCAGAATAAAAGTCCTTTTTTATTTCAATAATTGAAATAAAGAGGTTTTCCAGTGGCCAAAGCTTATTTTTGGCGCATTATTATAAGGCTCAATTCTGAAACTACTCATTTTTGTAGGTCAACTTGAGAGCTAATTATGTTCTCAATAAAACTTGTAACTTGTATTTCTGCGGAGCGAAATTATTGATTTGACAAGGCCCGCGAAACCACGTTTTCGGAGTGCCAGCAAGAGCATGGGTATCTTGATAAATGATAATTGAAAATCGAGGTGATCCGTCAGCGTTATCCGATTTCAGGTGCTTCGATTTCCATTGCCGGTGTGGTGGTGCAGGGCGCCGCGGATAATCAACTTTATGATTTTCGAAAAAGCATCAATTTCAAGGAAGAGTTAATTAAGCTTCTATGACGGCCTCAAGGTCATGTTCCGCCTCATTTTTAAAACAACTGAATCTGGTGATTAACATTTCCTAAAATTTCGGTCGAGCCACGTTTTTTTTTCATCGTACAAATCCTCCTTGATGGATACAGAAACTATGTATCACATCACTCCTTATGCTATAATTGCCAAACAACGAATTGATTGGCTTACAAACGCAACGATTTTTTCATGCGTTTCGCAACTTTGGAAGGTGTAACTTATTTTGATGTTAAATAAGAATACGATTTAGTGACGTCAATGATCTTATCTGAAGCAGCAAAATTATAAAAAAACACACCTTTTCAATTTTTCAGTTTTCAGTATAAAAGTAAATAGCGAACCGGTTGTATATGATCATATTTTGGAAAACTGACGTCAGTTATTCAGGTGCTTGGCTTATTTCCTGCTTCCAAAAGTTGGCAGTTTATTTGAATGGCAATAAATTGACAGCAGTTGTAAGCTCTACTTTTAGGATAACATGTAAGTTGCCTTCCTGCCGCGTTTTTAAATTGCTTCCGTCTATATCGAGAATAGAAGGTAACTACACGTAACTTGGCATCATGGCAGTTACAGTGTACTACCTGGAAAAAAAAGTTTGACCTAGTTCGGTCCTAAAAAGATAAGTTTTCGATTTCGAAAGCTGATTTTCTTCAATGGTGCTATCTAAGTACAATTAACAAGAAATCGCCAGTAAGGTTAATTACAAGTTGTCAAATGTAAAGAATATTGACACTCAAATAAGCCGGCGAGCATATTTTTTATGTGAGCCAAAACAACTTGCATATTATCGAGCTCTAATATTATTGTCAATAATTTTTATTGAACCCCAATTATGTTAGCTGAATTATACTGAAAACATGACTTCCTTGAGGCATTTGATCGTATTATGTTAAAGTTACAGCTTCATTTTTATTTAATCAAATGATCGTCACGTGGTCGGTTTTAGAAAATTGCGGCGCTAGAAAGAACTAACTTCTAACGACTCTTTTTGTAATTATCCAAATTGTGCTCTGCTATTTACTTCCGCCCATTTAACTTGCAACTAACTCGTGTTAGCCCGGCAGTATTTTGAAAACTGGTTTGTGGGGACGAGTGCGCCACCCCAACTACCTCGGAGAAATGCTCTTTTGGATCGGTTTAGCTGTAATTGGCTTTGCTGGCACCAACAATGCGTATCTATTCGCTGGAGCCGCGCAGATGATCATTTTGTCTACGAGTTCAAAATTGAGGCAGTGCAAAAATCGACAGTTATGTCACTAGAATCGATTCCGAGAAGCCTCGTTTTCTTGAAGAAGTTAATTTAGATAGTGAAAGTGGCCCTCTTTTGAACTCGACTTCAGATTACATGCTATTCAGCCCCGGCAATGGATAAAAAGATGCTTGACTCACGCGGAAAATCATATAAAGTTTACGCTGCCAAAACACCGTCCTTCATCCCTCGAATTTTCTAGCCACCTTTGGCCTTTCAATTTTACGATCCTGATGTGCTTCTGATTGATTCTTCAAAAACATGTTCTTGCTTTAGCGAATTTCTCAATTCTAATTCTGCTGTTCTGAAATTCCGATTCCAAGGGGCGGAAATCAGCCCCTCGTTTGCCCGTGCCAAGGTATAAGAAAATATTTAGAAATTGAATTGAAAATGAAGTCGAGTTTTGGCGACACGGCGTCTCTAGTGGAGACGAGCTCCGCCGTCCACAATCCTGACTCGTTATGCCGAAGGTAATCCCATTTGAAAATCAAATTCAAGAAAAGAAAATAGTTTTTTCAAACGCATGCGCGTTTTTTTCCTGAAAATGATGGAAACGCTCGGTTTTAGAAAAAAAAATTATAAAAATTTCCACCAATCAGAAAGTCGAATTTTCAAATTGAGCCAATAAGACTGCTCTATTCCTAATTTTCTATATTTGACAAATTTATGCAAATTAGGAATAGAGGATTCTTATTGGCTCAATTTACAAATTCGGCTTTCTGATTGGTCAAAAATTTTTTATATTTTTTTTTCTAAAAACAAGCGTTGCCATCATTTTGCTTCAGTAAATTACGTTAACGCTTCTTCCTGGAGTTATAACATCTAAGCAGTAGTTACCCCCTTTAATTTATTATTCGCCCAAATAGTAGCTACAAATATCCCGAACAAAGCATCAGTTGTTCTCAGCTTACACCGACGTACTCAGAAAAATGCACCGTTTCAGATATTTTCGTATTTATTTATATTAAGAACCGCAAACGGGCATTTTCATCCCGAAGTAGTATTTGTGAAGAATGTGTATTTGCAACGCAAATAGCGAATTACAACGCTTATTTGGGTGATAGCAAGAAGCGAGTTATTATTTCGTCCTAAATGCTTTCCGTAGTACTTTGTTGGGAATAGCTAAATATGGAGAAATTTAACAAAAAAATACTGGACCTAATATTGAATTTGAAAGCAAAACAAAATAAACGTTTTTTATTTGGTAATCAAAAGGATTACATTGGGTTACTTCCTGGTAGTTTAGAGATCAGTTAGGGCCGGAAACTCAAATTATTCGTTTGATTTTCCTACGGTTCTAAAACGATGACACCCTTATTTTAATTTGCAGATGATAAAATAACGGTCTCATTTCTATAGCTTGAACTTTCTTTACAGAATCCCACCCTTACAGTGGGTTGCGCAGTAGGTTGCCCCTTTGCAATTGCAGCTTTGGTTGCCCCTTTGCCCGCGCTTTTTCTATTGTTCCTTTCTTGACTCGCTCAAAGTGATTGCAGGATTGGTTGCCCCTTCACCCGCACTTTAGGGGGCAACTACCTGCGCAACCCACTGTACTTCAATTAATAGGGGTTGGTAAAAAAGGGTGCCACTCTTAAAATAATACCCGTATTTACACCTGTTTATTGAAATAAGGGTGTCATTACGTTAAGTAAGTAAGCTCAAGCTAACGAAGTGGCACCCTTTTTTATCATCTGTAAGTTAAAATAAGGGTGTCATCGTTTTAGATACATAAAATGGTTTTAGAACATCCGTTTCAGTAAGGATAAATTTCTAATTCATTTTTATAAAAACGAATCAACATTATTTTGGCCGGAAATGTCCTCAACCTTTTTCTATTGCCGTAAACATGCCTCGTTCATTTGTTCAAATTCAATCTCAACGTCATTTTTTTCAAGAATTCAAGAACTGCATTTTAGCTCTCAATACCGTTCCTGCTTATTCCGCAGCGGTTCCGATTTTCTTTCCAATCCGAATCTCAGCTCGCCGAAAAAGCGCTCAACAACTTCTTCAACGCTGGAGATCTTGCAAGACGCCGCCGACTCGATCACGTGCGCGACCGATGCGACAACATGTAATACAGAAGGTAGGAGGGCCCTTTAAAGCTTTGGTGCAGCTTAGGTCCGCCGCTGCTTATTTTGGTAGTCAATTTTATCACCCGCATTCTAATGTGGCTCTACATCGTTTCTTTCTTTACAACTTTTGTCGTAATGGCAAGTTTTTTTTTAAGAAAAATACCTTATGAATTCTTTCATAATTGAAATCAACTGAAAAGCTTGATTTGGGAAAGTCCGTAATGAGAAAAAATAATACCCATGTCGAGAACTAACTAACAATGATAAGAGACTCTCATTACTTGCTCTTTGGCGTCCTGTGTACGGTACTGGCTTATCAGTCCGAAACACGACTTACACTTGAGCCACTCACTTCAACATGATCAATATCGGAGATATTTGAACCCGTAAACATGCCTCTTGCGGTGGAAAGTCGAGTTATCCAGAGCTACTAATTGATTTCTGGAAGTGAGGTCACTTCTCCTTTTCTAACGTATCTACTTTGTAACACTTCCACTTGAATTTAATTCTCCTCGGACGCCCTTAACTTTTTTTGATAATCACTAATCAAGGCTGGGTTTGAAATGTGTAGAAGACCTGAGTCAGGGTCCTTTTGGAGGCAACATAAACAGCTCTTTCGAGACCCTGACTCAGGTTTCTCAGTCTTTTTCAGTCTTTTTTAACCAACGGCGAAGCCGCTCTGCGGCTTCGATTTTTAAAAAGCCGCTGCGCGGCTTTCCATTATAGCTTTCCGAACCTCACTCTCAGAGAGAGGGTAGACCCCAGTATTCAAAAACGTTATCTTCGATTCCATGAAAATCACCGTGCGGGTAGACTCAATTCGAATGTATAAAATTGTCCGTGTTCAGAGCTGATAAGCCCGGAGTTTCGCCCAAAATCGTCGCGATCGCGGTTCGACAAGAATCCTGTGCCGTCGGGCTTAACGCCTATCAAGCAAAATGATAATGACACGGTTCACTTATCCATTTTCGGACTAGCTGAAGTCCAGACTCTCCTTGTTTCTTGAAATAAAAGAAGTTCGCATTAGAAAATCCGGTTCAAGGAGTGTTTGGACTCTCTAAAGTGGAGCTTTTAGTAAGTAACCGTTCTCAAGCTTTTGAATTATGGCTAGTCAAGAAGCTCAAAAAGGAGGAAGATGCGAAACAAGCTAAAAAGAAGGCTCGGTTCTTAAAATTCACGTTTTAAAGAGCACTAAAGTAGCCGTAGCCAATTTGCCATTTTACAATAACTAATAAGTGAACTTAGAAAAGAGTTCGTTGAAAAATTCCGGTTTTTAATTAACATAGTAATGAGAACCCTAGAAAAAGTTAGAAGCTGAGCAGCGAGAGCGAGAAGCTAAAGAGGTTTGTAAATAAAGAAGCTTGGCTTGGCAAGAACCTGTGTAGAAACCCTGAGTAAGGATTTTAAAGGGCTTATTATAAGATTGAACTACCTATTTGGGCGAAGAAGCTTTGCGGCTTCGTTCTTATATAAGCCGCTACGCGGCATTTTATTTAAGTCGTTTCAAATCCTGACTCAGGGTTTTTACTCAGGTTGCCAAGCTCGAATCCGAAAGAAAGGGGATTATTAGACAGTTTTCTTTATGAAAAATTTTTGAATATGAATTACTATGGTCTAAAAATCCGCTTTATTTTGGTCTTTGCCCGGTAGTGGGAGACTTCACCAGTTTCGAGCGTTGCTGAAATCCGCAGCTCGTGTTGTGCCAACCAGGCTTTTTATTTATTTTTAAGAAGATAAAGCGAAATTCGGAGGGCTATCAAAACTGGCTCAAGCAAAAGGAGGAACACGAGAGACGCCTGAGGGTAAGAACTTGTGCGAGGGTTGTGGGGCGCAAGAACTTGAAATTATTGCGAAATAGAATCGAACATCCTCGAGATCATTCTATATTCGCGATTGAGCGCTGGGCTCGGCTAAGAAACCTGTGTGAAAACCTGAGTCAGCTTCTGAAGAGCGGCTTGGCCAGTATTTAGACAAGATTGAAACTGACTCAGGCTTTTACACAGGTTTCCGAGCCCAAAGAGTAATGGCTTGGTTTTGCAAATTTCTAATGTAACTCAGAATGACATGTTTTCTTTTTAGGAAGAAAAAGAACGCAGGGATGAGTTAAGAAGCAAAAGAGCTGAAAAGGAGCGACAGAAGAAAGCTGAAGAAAAGGTCAGAAAAGTGAGGACTTACACTTTCTTTTTGTCTAAACAAAAACGTGGCTGAGAGAACCAAGGGTCTTGATTCTTGAGCTGAAAGACAGTAGATTTCGTAATTGCTTGTGTATATTTTAGGGAATAATATTGATTATAATTTATAATTGGCCAATATGAACACGCCCGTTAGATAACGACTATCAATTAATCATAATAACTATCAATAAGAATATTTCACAAACAAGCAAGACAATTGCTAGTTGAATTGGACGCTAGAATCTTAAATCAAAAAACGACTAAGCCGGAAGCAATTAGATAAAATCTGGGTCAGCTCGGCAAGCTTGTAAAAGACCAACGCCATGATCAGAAGGACGCAATTTTAATTGCAAATTTCGCGCCTGTTCAAAATTTCAAATTTTCGCCGATTCAATATTTCCAATTTTTTTTTCAGCCAACGTTTGAAAAATTCAAAATTTGCATTTTTCTTCTGGCGAATTCTAAAAACAGCTTCTTTAGGAAAAGGCGGAGGAAAAGTTTCAAGAGTGGCGAAAGGCCAAGGACGAAGCGGAGAAAAAAGCCAAACAAGCTGCCAAGGAGAAGCGGATTTTGGAGCAGAAAGAGGCGGGGAAAAAACGAGAGGTAGGGTTCAGATGCAAACCAGCGTGGTCACGGCAACCTGTGTTGAAAACCTGAGTCAGGTTCTGAAAGAGCTAAATGATAAGCCCCTAGCGGCTTTTTTCAGCCGCTTCGCCAGAATTTTTATGGAAGATTTTAGTGCTAATATTTAGCTCTTTGAAAACCTGACTCAGGTTTTCAACACAGGTTGGCGAGGCTAGAATCTTTGCAGAGGGCGAAGAGAGCGTAATTGCTTCTTTGAACCGGAGCTGACGGTGTTTGGGAACAGCTCCAACTCATCGTTTGATTATCAAATTCATTCTCGAGTAGTTAATACGAGAGGCACTAGGGTCAAAGTGGCTTTCCAAAGTCACCAGTGGAAGCGAATCGCGGGAATTGCCACTTGACACGTTTCAAGCTCGCTAGATTTCAAATTGAAAAGCAACAGCGAACTGGATTAACTTATAAGCGTAAAAATCAAAGTCTGAGAATCTGAATCTTTCAGATTCAGGCTATTTTTGGTACTCCTCGAATAATAACGAAATAAAAACAGTCTGTAATAAATCTTGTGCTTCAAGTTTGTTTGTAGGAAAACGAAAAGAAATTCAAGGAATGGCTCAAAAAGGTCAATGAAACTAATCCAAAGGAGAGTGAAGACGTGTTTACAAACAAACCGTGGGTGCCGCCAATTCCGAAGAGCATTCCGACCAAGAGAAAGCAGAACCGACCGCAGAGCGCGAGACCTGCTGGCCGTCCTCGATCAGGTAAACAGAACAGCAACAATAATCCAGCTCATTTCATTTTCAGCGATTCAATCCAAGCCGCTGATTATTACTCGTCAATCTACTTGCTTCGTCAACTGGTCCTGACTCTGTCCAAATCCACCTCCTCTACAATAACACGTTCTTGACTGTAACTCTTTTTGATCTTCGGAATCTCCTCAACCTTTTTTTCGCATTCAAACTTTCTTTTAAAAAATTTTTTTTTCTATTTCAACAATTTTATTTTTTAAAAAAGAATAAACGACATTTTTTACAAAAAAAAAAATGATGCATCTTCGAATAAGAAAGCTCTATTTTCTTATTTACAGATGCTTGTTTTTGATTTTTTCATTAAAAAATGATAAACTTCGGTGATTCCGAGGTCTAAACGCTCAGTTTTGAAGTGAGTGGTTTACAGTTTTTTATTACCGTAGAATCTACGGCGTAGATTTACCAGACGACCTTCATTTCTAACCTTGGCTGGGCTCGGCAGTCTGCGTAGAAAACCTGAGTCAGGGTCCTGAAAGAACTAATTTCATCACAGCGCTAACAGGACCCTGACTCAGGTTTTCTACACAGGTTGCCGAGCCCAGCCGAGGTGTGAAATGAAGGTCGTCTGGTAAATCCACGGTAATAAAAAACTGCAAACCACTCATTTCAAAACTGGGCGTGTAGAATAATCGATTTCACCCCTTCCTCACGAGCTCCGTGCGATTCCGGCAATTATCCCCTGCACAGTGCGTGTCTACCCTCTCCCAAAAGAGTCTGCTACGTGTCCACAAGCGTACATCGAAGCTCAACTCAAATTTTCACTGTTAGGTTTGTCTTGTACAACGCACAAGCGATAACAGCAAAAGAATGATCTTATCGCAGTTCGTATTTTTGCGAAAGAGCTCTGTTTTCTAGCGATAAAAATTTCGCTACGTCGCCGGGTTTTGATAGTTGCGAGATAAAGTAAATGCCGCTGAGTATTCGGAATTCCTGACATTTGTCTCTTTCGATGAGAAAATTTTGCGACGGAGAAGAAATAGCTTCGCGGCTCTCTTTGTCGCCCAGCTTTTCAATTTCTCGCGAATTGTAAGGCGAAGACTTCGAATTCATACAGAAGTACTCTACCTTGCTGCAGTAGCAATTGGACGGAGACTTCAAGGAAAAGAGGCGTGTGCTGATTTTATCCTATTCTTTCAAGCCGCAATTGTGGCACGTCGAAATTAATTGAACCCGCAAAACTTGGTGGCATTTTTAAGAAAAAAAACCGTTTCTTAAATTTTGTTCATTTTTATTAATCTCTTACAGCAAACAGAGAGAGCTGTATGGATTCAAACGGGGTTTTTCTCAATTGATAATTGCCTTCTTTCAATTGGTCTTCTCGAGAAGGCAGATCGCATAAGCCCTTAAAAATTCAACCCATTGTTCAATTTTAGGTCACTGTTACTATACCTGCTTCCGTGAACCCGACCGGTATGAACATTGCCGTTATAAAAATATGCTCCTTGAAGTCGATTGGGATTATTTGGGCACCAAGGAATTCCGATTTCTTCGCTTAAATCGTCCTTTGGCATGTCCGCTGTTAGATATCCACTTAGAATCAACTCCTTCATTGACGTCTTTTTCGATGTAAGTTTCCACTTTTTGCCCTCCAATTGATCTATTTTGTCGGTTTTCCATAGGCCGTATTCGTCCAAAAACGACGAATTTAACTAAAAAAATTGAGTCCTTTCAATAACCAGTCTCTTACCTTGAGCAATTTGCAGTTGATAGTTTTATTAATTTGAATCAGAATTTTTTCATCTTCAAAAACTTGAGTTTCGCAGATAAATTCAAATGTTGAAAATTTTGCCACATCGTCATCAACATGATTGTTCAAGCAATCTCTTGGCAAGCTCTCATTTGCAAATTGCTTACAGTCTCGGCAGACGTAGACAAAGTCTTTTCTTTCTTTTGCAGCTTCAAGTTCGTTTTCGATTTTGCGGCGGATATCCTTGTTCATGTCGATAATCTGGTAATCAGAAGTGTACTCCGCGTAGATCCAGTATTTGTATCTCGATTGGCGGATGAATTCGGGAATGGGCGAGATCATACTTGTCGTTCTTCTCAGAAGAGAGCTGTTTCGATAGGCACAGAAACCCTTTGCCTCTTCATAAGCTTAGTAGAATTTTAGATTAGTTTCCTATTATTAATCTGACTTAATCTTGTACTAGACATCACTGCTGGCCACCTAGTTCCATCAACATAAGCGTTTATCTCCGCGGACGAATTTAGATTTGCATAGAAGTTATCGTACAACTTCTCCTGATTCTCAGTAAAAGAGAAAATCGGTTTAAAACCCGGGTTCTTTGAATTTGGGTTCGTAAAGTTCGAATCTTCCTCGGGCTCGGGCTCGCGCACTTGTTCTTTTGTAGGCCAGAACTTGATGACCAGAATCACGGAACAGCCAATTATGGCAGCACTAAAAATTCAAACTCAAGATCAAGCAAGAATAACTACCCGGCTATGATTGCTAAAAAATCAAAATCATTCTCTTCATTTCCATTTTTCTACTTTTTCAAATGAAAAGAATCGAAAATCCTTACAAGATCATAACTTTTTGTATCTACTCACCCGATAAAAAACATATGTTTCGTATATGACTGAGTGCGTTCTCAATACCAGGTATCAGATAGTGACTATCAGATAGTCTACCTGACATAGCCTCCTTCATGCAGGGGTAATTAATTATGAATAAGTTCTTTTATATATTATATTATATTATTCAATATTATATTATATTATATTATATTATATTAAAAAGTTCTTGAACTTAATTATATATCACAAATTATGATTCATAACGTATTAATTTGTAAAAGTTATTGTTACCAAATGCGTACGTTTTACTGCAACGAATAACTAGATAAGGTTACACTCATAATTAGGTTCCTTTCTTTTTCCACTAGCTAAGGCCTCGTCTTTGCGGTTTTGACTAATTGCCCGAAACGACAAAATTGTGGTCAATACGCGCTTTACGGGAAGCAGTTACGGGAAGTCCAACAAGCTCACGGTTATCGATACAGTAAAGCAAGCGATAAGGCAGTAAGTCGGTGGATTTCTGGAGAACAGGAGCATTTTAAGCCTCTTAGCACGTTTTCCCGCGCTAAGGATTTTTGTCCAAACTTTTAGTCCAGAAATTTCCGAAAGAATGCACGGGAGAGAGTACCCCACTCATAGCTGCCAGTTCAGTCTGTCAAATAGTCAATCCAGATTAGCAAGAGGCAGAATATTTGAAGGAGAAGGAGGCTTTTTCGATCGCATCTGCCGAAAAAATTTGCTCCTGCGGTGGTGCCTCGAGCTTGACTTGGTTCTAAAAACCGACCGCAACGTTTCGATATCACGTGATATCACTTCATGTTGGTTGCTGCAGCTGAATTATCGCGAGTATGCGTGTTGACCAAAAGTTAAGCGGAAAATTCAAGGGCCGTTGCGAAGAAATCAAACTCATTTTTTTCTGAATAATTGATTTCTAAATCAGCGATTCTGATTCCAAAGTGATTGATTTTGGCTCGAATTTCAATATTTACTAAACTAGAATAAGTTATTCTGAATAACTACTGTAAATCGAGAAGCCGCTTGCGGCTTCGAGCAATAGAAGAAAAAGCCGCGCTTCGCGCGGCTCTAGTTCCATTACTCGAAGCAAGCGGCTTCTCGATTTACAGTAGTTATTCAGAATAACTTATTCTAGTTTAGTAAATATTGAAATTCGAGCCAAAATCAGTCACTTTATATATTTTAAGATCTCATCAAAACGTACTTTTTTTACCTTCTCAAATTGGAAAAACTCGTTGTTCACCGGAACAAGAAAGCTAATTGAATTATCGAAAAACAAGTGCAGTGCCAATTGATACCGTTTTTTGCGGGGACACGTCAGCAAAACAGAACTTTGTTGCGCCTCAGAACAAACTCGCGTTTCCATTTTTAATGAGCTTGATAAGTCGATAATGATCCACTTTTTTCTTCTATATATTTTTACCAATTCAATCCAAGCCGCTCATTGCTACACGTCAATCTACTTGATCCATCAAACGATCCTGACTTTGATCTGGCCCACCTGCTACTACATGTACACGTTCTTAACACGGTCTCAGTAACCTGTGTAAAAACCTGAGTTACAGCCTGAAGGGTCACTTGTGAAAAGCCGCAAGTTACCTCTCCGATCTTTTTCAGAATTCTCGAGGCCGCTTCGCGGCTTCTTTAAAAAAAAGCCGCTGCGCGGCTTTTCACTTGAGATCTCTCAGGCTGCTACTCAGGTCTTCTATCCAGGTTGCAAAGCCTAATTCTTAACTGCAGCTTCAAGAACATGCTTTTCTATACGAGCCAATAAGAAGTCGCTATTTTTAATATGCCATGCTCGGTTTTGATTGGTCAATGCAAGAAAAAGAGGTAGGCTTTGATTTTTTTGTAAGTTTTTATTAGATTTTTGTTTCTAAATTACAGGCACTTTTTTAAAAATGGTTCAAAAGCAGTTCAAGGATGGTCCAAAGTATTTAGATCGCATCGCACTTTTGATTTGGTGAAAGTTTTTTAAGATTTTTCTTTTTGACGGGAATAAGAAGAAACTGGCGTTTTTGGGCACACACAAGGCCGAATAGAAAAAATGATTGAAAGCAAGTCTGATTATTCAAACTATGTACAAGCAAGGCAAATCAATACTCAAACCGCTTTTTTTTTTGACAGAGGGGATGAAATGTCGGGTCTCGCTGCTTTTACGCTGGGTTCACGCGATCTCGGTCGACCGGTCCAGACGGGTCCGGGTCGGGGCGCGCGGTTGGGCGAGTGGTTAGGCCAATCAAAGTTACCGGGGCCCGGTCGCGGCAGGCTGGTCCGACCCAGCGCCGACTGGCCGACCGATCACGTGGCAAGGAACAAAAGCAAGGAGCATTTCTTGGAAGATGGATTTCGTGGTAGTAGTGTGATTTGATTTTTTAAATAAAACAAACAAGATAGTGGTCAGAAATTGGTCTGAACACTCTCAGATCTGCCACGATAAAGAGGCCAGTCTTTATCGCGAAAAGGGCGGAGAGTGCTTAGACGTGGGAGACCTTCGGGGCCAGGTGTCCGTGGCGGCCCAGCGGTAGACGAGGTGTTACGGCAGCGCGGTCGCGGATTTCGAACGGCGTCGATGTTAGTCCAGTTGCCAGTGCTTTGCGACGGGGTCCCTGAATGAAGATCGTTAGAAAATTGAAACAGAAGCATTTTTTTTAATAAAAAGTTTTGAAAATTCAAGCTTTTTTTAAATAAAAAGGGAAGGTAAATTTTTTTTTTGATCGAAGAAAATTTTTTTTTTACGAAGATAGTCCCTTAATCAAAAATTGCCCCAGATACGTCACAAATCAAATTTTCTAACTGTCCCGCGTCACAGCCCCCATCATCAGCTTATTGCGATTTTCGTGGCTTTGATCCCTCTTTCGCCCAGGTTAAATCCGCCACTTTACGAAAAGCGAAACGAAAGTCGGCAGAATGACTTTTTTCTAACATTTGATTTTGCAATTGGCGAGGGGAATTATCCAGACGGGCCCTTCTTAATCCGATACGCCACCCTTGAGAGACTAATCCTAACGTGATCATTTTTTTCTAAGTTTTTGAATAAAATTTCTAATGCAGAAATTATATGTCGAAAGCGCTGTAAATAAGCTGGTTTTACAATGTAATGAAAAAAGTTGTAATCTGGGCTCGGCAATCTGTGTTGAAAACCTGAGTCAGGCTCTGGAAGAGCTTAAATGAAAAGCTGCGTAGCGGCTTTTTTAAACACGAAGCCGCGAAGCGGCTTCGCCAGGAGTTTAGACAAAATTAATATGGTTTATTTGCGAAGCCGCTTCGCGGCTTCGTTTTTGAAAAAGCCGCTACGCGGCTTTTCATTTGAGCTCTTCCAGAGTCTGACTCAGGTTGCCGAGCCCAGGCTCAACTGACGCGCGCTAGAATTTCTTTTCATTAGACGATGCCCGCAAGTAGGAAAAGGGGTCAAAAAGAGGGAAAAAAGGATGATCAAATTGTCATTTTACGTTATAATGAGGAACCACGTTCAGTCCGTAATCACGTGGGCGCAATCAACTCTCAACCCTTCCAAGCAATTAGAAAGAGCGCTAGGAGAGCGAACTACTCGTTACAGACTTTTGCGAGGGGATTAATTGTTGAGTCGTAGATTCTAGCGCAGTTCTAAAACGAGCGAGCGCGCCGCGCAATACCAACCACCGTGGAAATCGTGCAAAATTATTCGCGCGGTTTTCTTATGCAAAGCATATAAAAACAGATATAAAAATTTAATCGCCGAACGAGGAAAACCTGGAAAGCACCAGCGCGCCGCTGCTCTTTTTAGAAAGCCGGTCCCAGGGTAAATATTAAGAGGCCCCATTCTTGATACCCAAGAACGCGCCGCTCAAAGCCGGGTGGATTCGCTTTCGACTAAGTTTTCCAGAAATTCGCACGGTTTATTTATCTCGGATATCTTACTGCATTTACGATGGAATGCGCTCATTCCAGACCAAATGAGATCAGAAACCTGCGTACAAAACCTGAGTCAGGCTCTAAAAGAGCATGAATGAAAAGCCGCGTAGCGGCTTTTTTAGAGCCAAAGCCGCGAAGCGGCTTCGCAAGAGCTTCCAATCAATCTATTTTGAAGTCTTTGCGAAGCCGCTTCGCGGCTTAGTTTTTGTAAAAGCCGCTGCGCGGCTTTTCATTAATGCTATTTTAGAGCCTGACTCAGGTTTTGAGCAAAGATTGCTGAGCCAAAAGTTACATGACGAGCTCTTTTTTTTTTGCTTAAAACAATGCGACAAGAAGTGTCGTTTGGAAAGGTCAGCTCGTGCACGTGGGCTGCGCAAAATATAAAAATTAAGAGGCTGCTTTTCATGGTATCGAAAAAATATGAGCATGTTTATAGCATAAATGTGCGGCGAGCTTGGGCTTAACCTGTTATACGAGGGTTCGGGGCAATATTCGGGCTGCATTTAATTTTAGAAATGAAAATTATTTAGCATACTCGCGGGCGATGAGAAGTGTTTAACCAGTTGGGTCTAAATTTATTTGGAAAAAAGAGATGGTTTTTTGAAATACCGCGAGTACCGTATTTTTAAACGACCCGTGATTGGAGCAGAACAAATACGCCAGACGCCTAGTTTTGTATAAGCCAATTTAAGAGAATGCTTAGTGCTGGCATTATGCTTTGACGGGAGCATTGAGTATCTTGAAGGCTGCGGCTCGAAAATACGGAACACAAGTTGAGAAACACTTTCCCATCAGCGACCGTAGGCCTTGACATTTAGAGTATCGAATGGCAAAGAGGGGGAAAGGAGATGTCTGGGAATGTTATAAACGAAAAGAGAGAGAGAGGGAGGATTGATTTAGCACGAGCAGGAAAGTGCTGAAAAGCCAGAGTACTAGTAATTGAGTGAGCAGCTAAATCCGACCATTTTTCTGTCAGCCCGGAAACCAGGGCTTCCGTTGACGGCCCCAAGAATTTTTCCCATGGATCACGAAAAAGATGAAGGAGAAATTCGCGAGAAACAGAGCAGCTTGATGGATTTTCAGTAATTTTGAGGATTAAGTGAGTTAGTTCCGAATCAGTTTAAATTCAGCTCCTCCGCGCCGGATTTTCGAGGAAAAAACTCGCTTCTAACAGGAAGATCCGTTAGAACAACTGGAAGCTTACAGGCAAACTACAGGGCTTGGGTTCCGACTCTCTCTGTTGATTAATTTTCCTTGGGCTTTATGACTTGCTAGTATTGGAATTCCGAGGCGGCGGTCGTGTTGGGCCCTTGGTCCCGAAGCAGCCGTACTCTTTGTCTGACATCCCGTGGCGGGAGGGGGAAATTCTAGCGTCGAGAAAAAAGCCCACAAGTTTTAAATTTTATTCTCCAGTTTTATGCCCTTGTTAAACAACAAAGAGAGGTGATAAGATAAAGAGCTGCAATCTGTGTTCGCCCCTGATTAAAAATTTCGAAATTTTGAATATTCGATTCATACAGTATGAATACTAGTGCTGCTATTTTGCTGGTCAAAAACATGCAGGGAAAAAACGAAGGTTCTCGATAAGCATCGGCGACTTCCTATCTTTGAGGGGCGAAATGAAGGGGTACAAATTAGCAGGGCTCTTGAAAGAATGTACAGAGACAGTAAGGACTTACTGATACCAGTAGGGGCTCGAACGAAAGAATGATGATAAAAGAAGAGGGTTCAAAAAGAGACCATAATTTTGATTTTTTTATGGAAAATATGGCTTTTTATAATTTAAAACTCAACGAATAAAAAATACAATTCTATGAAAAAACCGATAAAGCAAAAGTCGTGATAAAAATACCGAACAAATATTCACATAAAAAAGGTTGAGATGATTTACCTGGGCTAGCCCTAGAAAAATAACAAGTCCAGAAAGGACGAATCCTATAAGCGCAGCTGGAGCAAATTCTTCAATCATTTTCTTATATTAAGTTTTTTTTTGCGTAACTTTCTTCTTTTCTTTCTTCAATAATTTTATTATCTTGGACGTTCTTCTCTTGATTTTTAGTGTTCTCTCTTTTCTTTACTGGGCATAGCTTTGGCAAAAATCTAAGACCAGGTTCAGTCTCTTTGAGGCGCGAATTAGCTGCTTACGGCTTTTTTTCTCGTTTTTTTCGGTAGCACGGTTTCTTGCTGCTCGCCAAGGCCAGCCCGCGCGGTGGCGCTAGCACGACTTTTCTGAGTGTTCAGGCTGAAACCTCAACTGGGGGCTCTCTGTGCAGGACCTCGCGCGCCTTCTTTTTTTCGCGCGAAGCCTATTTTACAGGCTAATTTAATACTGACCTACAGACTAACTAATACTTTTGGCCGGATTTTGGGAGTTTTTTTAAAATAATAATAATAAAAAAAAATCAACTTTGAAAATTCTTGCGCTTCTTGCAACGAAGATTTTGACAATTCAAAAAATATTTTGAGTTGTAAACATAAAAACGTCTCTTTGGATTTTTTCTTGAGCTTGTTGATAGAAACTTTCTTGTTCCAGATTAATAGATCATCCCTTTTCTAGTCGAAACAGTTATCCTTCTCTTTTGGGATTCTTAAATTGAGTGGGGTAGAAAGAAGGTAACAGAATTCGTATTTATATAAGTCCTTGGAGAGTGGTAGTTACTCGCCGCTTGATTAGTGATAAGCCCCCGCTGTGAGGTCGGAATCTGTGGCCGGACATCCTTAACGCTGCCCGAGCAACTTCACGAAGCACAACACTTCTCGTAGGTCCCCAAGGTATCTTTGTGGCTTTTTTATCGAAGATTAAAAATAATAATCTAAATTTCTTAGGAAAGGCTTAAAGTAATCTAACTACCTAAATAATCTAATACAAGTAGATTTTCCCTGAATAAAAACTGGCATTACTGTAGTTACTGTATTGTTTTCGTAAAGTTGAGTTACTGCGGAGGATTAACAGTAGCTAGTCGAGTTTCGATGATGAGGCAGGCTCAGTTCTGGAGTTCCTGCCCGCGGGCTTTGCACCATTAGGTCGGGGTCGATTGCGAAAAAGGGAGCTCTTCCAGTGAAATCCCCCGAGCCAAACCACTGACCAAGAATTTCACTTCACGCAACAGTAGCTGGAAAAGGCACTTCCACTCCTTAACTGACCTTCGTACTGACCCAATAATTGACTTCCATTGTCAATAAAGAAATTTTGAATTAAGGGTATCAATCCGTTAAGAAATTCATCGTGTTTTCATGTATTAAGGACCCCCTATCGCATTATCATCGAAAATCATCAACTTTTCTGATAGAAATTTTTTTCAAAATTAAGGGCGTCACCGCGATATCGCCGTTTGAAAATATGCATAAAACAGGATCAAGTTTTGAGCAAGTTTATTCTTCAAAATGTCACCATAATGAATTATTCAGAACTGCCAAAAATGAACATTTTACATAATTTTAAACACATACTATTCAAAAAAGAGCACTTTGGCAATAATAAATATTATTTTTTTGAACAACTGACAAAGTCGAACAAGGCATTCGAGAACAAACATAATCACGTTGACAAGGTTGTATAATTGAAATAATAATTTAAGGAGGCAAGGAGAGGTTTTCTTTGTTTTTCAGAAAGACTAAGTTGAAGTTTAGCTGGATTTTGGTTTGCTCGGCTCGGCGATTTTCTTCTTGATGTATTCTAAAAAAGAGATTTTTGAAAAATTTTGAACGCTAATAAAAAAATTAATAAATAAGAAAATCGTTTATTTTGCCATGTTCTAGTGCGGTTTTCTCGCCAAGGAAAAGGGCTGTTTCGCCTTTTTATTAAACATGTTCGTCGCCAAACAAAAAGAATGACATGTGGTCTTACAAATGAAAAAAACTTTAAACTAAAGTTTTAGAGAGACCCTTTTTTCTGAGAAAAATGAAGGAAAAGAGTATTTTTGCACCTGTCTCAAAGTTTGATACAGGCGATAATTTTCAGCGGAACACGTTTTCGCCCGAATCGAAAATTATACACTTGGGCGCATCTGTATTTTCCCCTCTTTGCGCAATAGTGGGTTAACTGCTTAGGAAACCGATAAGGTCAATTTTCTCCTTATATATTTGAAAATAGCGGTTGTTTCTCCCTTTTTCTGAGCCTCTTTTCTTGTTTAATTTCCGAAAGTTAAACAGAGACTTCATTACTGTCGTTTCAACGCTCATGAGCAGTCGGCTAATGACGAGGCGCGGGGGCCGAGCCGATTAGCCAGACGGCAGGGGGTTAAAAGTGAAATCATTTTGGTTAGAATGGCAATAAGTTAACGATCAGCTGGATCGTTTTAAATCAAGAGCTTCAACAATTTGCTTGCTTTAAACGTGACTTGTGCTTTCAACTGTGGAAAAGCTGAGTCAGGATTGTGAAAAAAAAGGAATGAAAAGCCGCGTAGCGGCTTTTTTAGAATCAAAGCCGCGAAGCGGCTTCTCTAGAATCACAATTTCGCTCCATTCTATATTCTAGAGAAGCAGCTTAGCGGCTTTGTTTTTAAAAAAAGCCGCTACGCGGCTTTTCATTTCATGTTTTCAGGACCCTGACTCAGCTTTTCTACACAGGTTGCCGAGCCAAAGTCAGAAACTTACCCGCAGACATGAGATAGAACCAGACAGTATTCAAAATATCCAGCACCAGTCCACAAACAACCCAAACAAACAACAGCTCCGCCGAGGCCTTCCAAATCTCGCCCGTGCTGACATGATGCCAGCTGCAGTAGTAAAAGAGCGGAATGCAGAGTGGACGACAGACGGCGAAACTCCAGAATATCAGCTCCTGATTGATTTTGTGAATCTTGGAGTCCTTCAAATTGAGCAGTTCCAGCATGAAATTAATATTCATGAAAGGCGTCGACAGCTCGGACAAGAGGCGGAAGCTGCACAGCCACATGCCTGAATAAAAATTAGTGGATTTTTCTTCTCTTTTTCGAAAATATTAAAACGGATGGAGATCCAGAGTCAGGACCCCTAAAACCTTTAATAAATGCCGCCTAGCGGCTTTACCAGAAATTTTGAATAGATAAGGAGGGAAATTTAAACGAAGCCGCTTGCGGCTTCGAGAGAACAACGAAAAAAGCCGCGCGAAGCGCGGCTACGATTATTGTTTCTCTAAGCCGCAAGCGGCTTCATTTAAATTTTCCTCTCAATATATTTAAAATTTGTGTTAAAGCCGCTACGCGGCTTTTATTAAAGGTTTTTCTTGATCCTGACTCAGGTTTTCTACAGAGGTTGGTGAGCCAAGTCTGGCCCTAAGAATGAAAATCTTGAAGCAGAACTTAACATTGTGGCGTTTTACGATATCTCGCCCTTGAGAAAGAAGAGCTCAGACCTCAAATAACCCAAAACACCAACAATTTAGAACTTGAGTGCTGAGTCTGCTGACTCAGGCGCGTTAGAAATCGTAATCAGCGTTCGTCCCTTTCCGCGAAAATGATTTCGAGCGCTGCTCATCGAAAATCCGCCGTTCTAAACCGCTCTTTGCCGAGGCTCAGAATGCTTATTTAAAGTTCTCCACAAGGCTAAATCCGAGCTGGCGCATCTTTGATTTGATCTCATTCTCTGATCGCATTTCTGAGATTCCGAGTTTCCGAGGCCATTTTCGGATTTTAAACTTCAACGTACCTCCATCCCACTTGGACTGCGTCAGGCCAAAGATCGAGACCAGATGGTGGGTGTAATATACAGTCGACATGCTTCCGTAGTAATTTCGCAAAACGTAGCAGACCACCAAATCGCTCCAAAAGTAGCCGAGAGAGAAGTCTAACCCTTTTGAGACCAATTCGGAGTGGCTGAAATGAAAAAATGAGAATCACCACCTGTGTAGAGAACCTGACTCAGGGTCTGAATTTCAGATCTTTGATGAAAAGCCGCGAAGCTTTGTGGCTCCAATAAAAAAAAAAGCCGCTGCGCGGCTTTTCATCAAAGATCTGAAATTCAGACCCTGAGTCAGGTTTTCTACACAGGTTGCCGTGCTCAGGGCCATAGTCTAGGGGAAAAATAGTTCGAACTTCGAACTCTCTCAAATTTACTTTGGATCTCGTGAGCAAACTACTATTCCAATTTTGAAATTGTAGATTTCAGGAAAAGATGATTTTCTCCTTTTGCTCGCGCATTTTATTAAATTTGCTAAACAACTATTACATGTTTTCAGTGGCGCTGAGACTGAGATAGTTTTTGATTTTAAACGATTTACCTGTAAAGATCTTTGAACGAATAATTCTTATCCGCACACATAGCATAAGCATTTACAACAAAACAAATAGCTTTGCCGGGGTTTAAAATAATTCAACCGGCAAATTTTAGGTTGAAATCAAGGAAGAAATTTTCATTTAAGACTTTCTCAAAGATAGATGGCTAGAAACTCGGCTCGGCAACCTGAGTAGAGAACCTGAGTCAGGGTTTGAAAAAGCCGTGAAGGCTCTCTCAAACCCTGACTCAGGTTTTTACTCAGTTTGTCGAGCCGAAAATTAACCCTTTTCCCGAGATTGCGAATAAAATTTCCTTTATTGGTCCCAACATTATCATTTTTTTGAGTATTTTATTTGATTTTTAACCCCGTTCCGGAATGTAGCGAAGCAGAAACGCGAGCATCCCAATCGAGCCGTTTTTCCGAGGACTGCTTTTTGTACCATTCTCCAATTCGAGGTAGATTTCTGGAGACAATTGGACAAATTACGAATGTGAAAAGCTTCAACCACCGGTTAATACTTTTTCCACCTTAAAATCGCTAACTTACCAGCCAGCAAGGGGTCAGCAAAAAGCCCGGAGTTCCTTTTTCGACCAAATTTTGTATTCTCTCCATCTCTTTTTTTCTAGTAACTCGTGTTTTCACGGTACTGTAGCTCTTCTTTAGAATCTCTTAATTCTTCTTTTTCTTTTCTTCTTTTTCGTTTACGAGGAATCGAAATCACGCCATCATTATCTGAAAAATTCGTCTTGTTAGAATAAACACGACCCAAGCATTCGTAATATTTGCGCTTCAGAAAGAGAGAAAACGCCTTTTACAATCGGCTATTCAAAATGCTGATAATAAATGTTAAAGTAATTGGTACTCATTTCTTTCGGTTCTCAGCAACCTGGGTGGTCATAAAGTTTTTTCCCGAACTTGAAAGATGAAAAAACGATGGTGATTGATTCTAGAGCTGTGAAAATCATCGTCGCTTTCTCTGTTTTTTATGAATCTTCAAAGGTCTACTCTGACTCTATCGCAGGTTATTGATTTCTTAGCGGTCATAAAACGCGCTATAAACGAGGAGATGTTGGAAAAGCGGAGAAAAATAAAGAATCGATATCTCAAAGATATATTCTTTCTTTCCATTTCAGGAAGTTAAACAAAGTGTCGTAAAAATTAGCGAAGCATTAAAAGATTTGCCGAAAATATCAAACTTCTCAAGTCCTTTTTTTCCAATTTTTCCGCTGGAATTTGCTTATTTTACCATTTCCTGCTGATTTTTTCGGGTCGAAAATTAGCTCGCTACTTGCTTTGGTCCCTGGAGATCTTCGGTAGTAACTCTTTCTTTTAAAACGTCTCTGTATTTAGCTTGTAAGAAGCTTTTTCACTTAGAAGTTGAGGAAAAAAAATGCTGCTCAGAGTCTGAGCCACTGAGTCACCTGCTTTGAGCCTCCCTGGGGGCGAAGAAAAAGAAAGAAATTGACAAAAAAGGGAACCGCGCTCGTTTCGACTCTTCAGTAATCGACTCTTCAAAGTGTTAAATCTTTCTAATTACAGTAATGCTTTTATTTGCGGTCTGTGATTATGAAAGAAAGAGAGGGAGAGAGATTAAAACCGCAGGACTCCTGGATCGCTGGGCTCCGCAACCTGTGTAGAAAACCTGAGTCAGGGTCCAGAAAAAGCTACGATGGAAAGCCGCGTAGCGGCTTTTTTTCAAAACGAAGCCGCAACGCGGCTTTGCCAAGATTACTATCTCAATCTATTTTCACTTGAAATTGAAATGGATTGAAAGGGTAATATTGGCGAAGCCGCTCTGCGGCTTCGTTTTGAAAAAAGCCGCTACGGCTTTTCATTATAGACCTTTTAAGACCCTTACTTGGGTTTTCTTTACAGTTTGCCGAGCCCAGCTGGAGTCTTTATTTATTTCAAATGCTCAGGGTTCTCGGAAAGGCAGATCAGTAGATTATCAACAGTAGAATTTAGGTAGTACTCTTGGATTTCTTTCTGTGCTTGTTCTTGCTCTAGAATCTCTAGAAGGTGGAACTGTCCGTTGAAGGTTATTTCTTGGCCGAGGATTTCTAGGCGCTCTTCAGTCTGGAGAATCGCGCTTGTCAAATTGGTCGCTTCTTTGCAAAATCTTTCGATGTCGAGTTCTCTCCTTCTTTTTGCTTTTTCCATGTTTTTTCCGTGAATTGAAATGGTGAATTGGACGCTGTTTGCAGAGAGGTTTCCTTGCAGAAGGGAAAAAAAGGACACTCATAAAATGTTAAACAAATGTTTCTTCGTCAGAAACGCTCTTTTGGACAAAGTTACGAGTTTTCGATTACAATAAGACATTTATTAACAATCAGAGACTTTCTCAGCATATTTGAAAGTTTTTACAGGAACATTCAAGAGTTATGGCAGCTGTAAGTTCGTCGAGTCCGAGTCTTCCGTTGACGAAGATTGAAGCAGTTTTTGTTGCCGCGCAGCCAGATGTTATTTGTGCTCCAGAATAGGTTGGCGTACTGAAGGAAGAATAAGGTTGATTAATACTTTTGAGGCTTATTACAAGTTATCACGAAAAGTATTCGGCGTCTTTTGACAGTAACCGACGCATCTTCCAATGTCGATTTTGTTTCCTGAATGTTTCAGCTTATCAACGATTTTGATCGCTTACCGATGATATTCTTATTCTCCCGGCCAATTCGGTACCCAGAGCGTTGAAAGATCTAAAATAAAAATTGTGATTTACGATAAATTATTTCTTATTTACGTCAATGTCGATGAAATGAGGTTCTCTAGCGCATTTTATCGGCTTGCATTGGTCGTGATTCTTGCCTCCCTGAAAAGCGATCGAGGATGAGTCTTCCTTGATTTCAAACCTTGAACATCTCATAAGTAGATCGTCTGTATCTTGCAGCGTAATCAGATGGCCTTGGTGGATCGGCTCCATCGAATGCAAAACTAACGAGTTTCAGAACTATTTTTCAAAGATGGCTTACTGTACCTGGCGCAATCGCGCTGAAAGCTCATCATAGGATTTTCCATCTGTCGGACGCAGTCTAAGTAGTGCTCGATTCTAGCATGGGCGAATCCAAATAAAACGCACTAGAATTTCTTTTTCTTAGTTTTTTTCATTTTCTTACCGTGAGCTTCATTTTCTAGCGCTCTCTTTCTCGGTCCAGCGTTAGGGATACTTTTTTAAATAAAATTTCAATGCTTCAAAATCAATTTACGATTCCATGATCTTTAGTTCTTGTTGTATGTATGACTACGCCTTTCTAAGATGGGTTATCTCTTCTTTATATACTGTCAGGGCTCTCTGGAAGTTTTATTATCTTGTTTACATTTATAATGAAAGGATAAGTATGATAAGGTTATGACGCTTAATTATTTCAGCAGACTCAGAATAAAAGAGGATTTAAAGCAATTTTCGAGTGTATAGATAACTCTTTTAGCGGGTAGTTTATTGACATGTTTATTTACAAAAAATAACAATAATTTTGAGCAGCAGCTAGACTTTTTGATACCAGTTGATTTTAAATCCATTCCAATTTCCCTCTATTCCCGATCTAGATCTGTTGCCAGTTTTGAAAACAACGGTCGCAAGCGCATTTGGTCCGTATCGAGCGTAAATGGTTACTGGAGGTTGTGAACCAGTTCCGCAGGTTTTGAGCATTGATTTGTGGTGTGGGTCTTGGGGGCTTGCTTCGAAGATCTAAAGGAGTTTGGAAAGGGTGTTGGTTTTTGGATTGAGAACCTGTAAGTATTCGTCGTCAAAGCAAGAAGAACCCTTGTCAGTTCCGTTGGGGAAAATGTTCAACTCCTTGATCTTGACATACATGGCCGTATCGTCGGCTGATTGAATCTGCCACTCGCAGTTTTGGTTGCTATCGTACATTCTCGGCCAGTCGAAGGGGTAAAGATAACCGTTGTAGCCGCTGACTTTTCCGCCGCAGCCGGCGTGATTGCAAGTGTAGTCGGCTTTGAAACCCTCGCCAACGACTTCGTTGATGTCAGTCGTGAAGCTAGAATTATCAATATTTTTATATCATTAAAAGTAGCCCTTACTCAAGTTGAAGATAATTTCCCGAGTAAAAATGCGGCTCAGGCAGCTCCTTGCAGCAATAAGTCTCTCTACTTCCAATCACCAGCTTGTCATTTCTACAGCTATCCGAGCATTCCAAATCGAAGAACGAAAAGAAGACTGCCATTTTGCTCCCTTGCTCTCCTTGGATTCGAATTTGGCAATTGAGGTTTTTCGGATAGTAGCCTCCACCAAAGTGCGACAGAATCACGCCACTTGAGTCTTCCAAAACTCGATTGCAAACTTCGCCTTTTACTCGAGCGGTGAAAGTTGGATTTCGTCCAGAACCATCGTGCTAGAATTATTTTCTCATAAATCAGTATCCATTCGATCTCAAACCTGCGTTGTTATTGTAGCATAACTTCCAAGAGAGGCAAAGATCGGAGGTTTTTGACTTCCGCAATATCTTTTTCTCTGCCCAACTCCGTGTTGAACATTGATGTCGGCGAACTCAACAAAGCTGTTGTCGCAGTTGTGGTTGTTAGCGCACTCATATCTGTTCAAAAATCCCATCAAAAATCCTGGCATTTCCGAGCAATCGTCTGTGATCGTGTCGACAAGGACACATAAATTAGAAGCTTCTTGATAGACGAAACCAATACAGCGGAGGTCGTTTTCGCAAAACATTTCGCACTCAATGACGCCTTTGTCGACCATGTGTGTGTCGTATCCGGAGTCGTCGCAGTTGCAGAGAGTTTCGCGCTTGAAAGACCAGTCGGAACAGGTGCTGTCCTTTTTAAGGTTCGAAAGTGAGATTTTTGATCGTATTCTTTATCAGTTCGACCCAATCCTGTGGATAGGAAACACAAACATGGCCACTGGCACCAGAAGCAGCAACCGCTGCGAGCATGTCAGTAGTGCACCCTTCATTCGTATTGTGTGTATTTCCAGAACAGCAGAAGCCAACCGTCCCACAGAAATCACACGAGCCAGTTCCTCCACAAGGCTCTCGGCAATCCTCGCCCGTGAACACCTCCCAGCTTCCATCGCCTAGAAGCTCGTTATTTTATTTTTTATCAGGCAAGTTTACTTTGAGTAGTGATCTTCAAATTGCGAATCTCGGCATGGGCTGCATCACTCCATGGATTGGACGCATAGACAAGCATATCGACATAATCACGTGGTTGTTCCTGCACAACTCCGGCGTAGTTTCGTCCGTCAACTTTAATGTCCAGGATGTATTTGCCATTTGAGATCTTCGATTGAGTTATTTCGAGGTGAATCCATTTTTGGAGAGGTTGATTGTCCGTGATCGTCACATAGTTGCTCTGCCCGTTGAGTCCCCAGGAGATGTGAAATTGAGAAGAAGTCGGCTAGGGGAATTTTTCGAAAAGAATTTCGAATTATGAGCTTACCTGAAGACTGATAAGAGGCATTCGATCTCCATCAACACTATTTCCTTGGTCGTTATTGAGTGTCACTTGAAGAATGTTCACCCATGTATCCAGGTCATTTCTTGCGTCAAGCTTGACGTCTAGTTCGACTGAGACCGTTTTGTACATTCTCTCCAGCTCTCCAAGCTTCTTTCCCTTGGAGACCTGCATCGGTTCCAATTGGAAGACCTGCGTTGCTCCACTGACGCCATAAGCAACTTGGGTAACAGTGAAAGTACCGGGGAATTCTTGTGTTTTCACCTTCAGCGTCGTCAGTTCTTTTCGATCGATGAATGCGTTTTCGATCGAATCATCTACTTCTATAAAAAGCGCGCCCGTGTCCTTATTCCAAACTCCAATGTAATGGTCTTCGATTCTAAGTTCGATGAAGTCGAGAAGATCGTAAAAATCCTGCACTGTATGCTGAACTGTCGCAAGCTTTTCATACTGAGCGTTGGAAATGGTCGTTTCGTACAAATCAGGTTGAGTGAGTTTCACAGCGAATTTGATGTAGAATCGAGGGTCTTGGTTGTAATCGTCGAAAAGACCAAGGAAAAAGGGAAGTGAGAAAAGGACTGTTTTGTTGATGTCAGCTGTAATATCGATTCTAGTTACTCGGCGAGCTACGAGACTATCCAGAAGAACTTGATAATTTTCCGTTGCGCGCAGGCTGATCGGAAGATTATACTCGTCAGTGGGCGCTAAAAAAGGTTAGTATTCGAGATTCAGATGATTTTCTAACCTGGAAGACTCATGGTCTGAGTCTCAATGGAAATATAGTGATGCTTGTCAGTTTTTAGAGTCCACTGGCAATGAGAATTGTCTCCCATGTAATTCCAGTTTACATTCTTTCAAAATGTCTAGAAGGATTTTCCATTTTTTCTATGTCTAATTTTACTGACATTTTCCTGATACTCATCACTAACAGCAAGCTCTCCGCCACACTGCGAAACATACGCCGTCACTAGAATTTCAAACCCACTAGCGCCCGTGACCTCGTCAGAGACAAAAATCATCACATTTTGTTGATGCGTTCCTTTGACCACCTGGTGTCCGATTTCCCCACAAGCAGGTCCGAACATAACTCGATCTTGGAAAGAGGCTCCGTCGATGATTTCAACATAGTCGTAGCAAACTCCCGTGAAACCTTCGAGCGGCTCGAGGTCAAAGTGTTTGATTTCATATTTTAGTGATATTCCCGGCTCCTCGCTGTAAATATTCCAGACGCATTCGAGATTATCTGGGTAGTCCGCGGCCGGATACAGTGGCGATTGAATCGTAGCAGTGGTTGTGACTCGAATATCACCTCCACACCCGTAAGTAGCACCGATGGTTTGAGCCCATTTCAGTTCAAAACCGGCAGATGGAATTTCAGCATCTGTTTTGTAACGCAAAGTCATTGAATTCGACTTTGACTGCAAAAACCTCGGTGGACTCTTTCCACAGTATCGTCCAATAAGATCGGCTTCTTGGGTACTATCTCCTTCAAAAGCGGCGAGATAACTTCCATGTGTTCCAGAAGAGCAGTTCACATTGACAGGGAGGTCGAAATGAATCCAGCTAGTGACTTTGACTGAATAGCTCGTATCTTCTGTTCGCAAGAGCCAGATACAATCGAGATTCTGATGCTGGCCGACAAACCCGTCCGGATGCCAGTTTGCAATCCTTCCAAATGCGCCTTCATAAGTTCCACCACATTCGTCAACAGTAAATTGCATTTCAAACCCGCTCTTTTCCACCTTATCGTTTGTCACAAAATTGACAATCATCGACCCGCGAGCACTTATGAAGCCACTTGGTCGATCAGACCCGCAAACTTTTCGCACGAGATTCTCTTGTGCCTTTTCATTTTCATAAATCGCGACGAAATCGCTCGAGCAACCAGGAGAATCTTCAACGTCAAATTCTAAGAAACGCGCTTCAATCAGCGAGTTTTTATCACTCATCGTAATGTTCCAGTAACAATCTGTATTCGGGCGGTAGCTTCCGAGACCGAAGCCGACATTTGTGATGTAACCGATGTATTCGTCGACAAAGAGTGTGCCACAAACTTGTTCGTATTTTGCAGCGAAGCCTTTGTATTCCAAGTTGCCATCAGAGATCATGTTCAGAACCAAATGATCGAGATTTGATCTGGCTGGAGGAGGAAGTCTTCTACCGCAGTACTGGCCGATTCTGTCTGTATTGACTTCCTTTCCGTTCCAAACATCGACATAATCAGTCAAACATAAGTCGTTATCCGGCTCTTGCAGCCAGAAATCAGTAAATGTAAGTTCGACATGGGCATTTTTCTCAGCATTGATTGTCCAGACGCAGTTCATATTCGCCGGATAGTTAGTAGCTGGGGTACTGAAATAGCCTGGAGAGCTGATTGTTCCTTCTTGTTCTTGGAGGATTTGATTGCCGCACTCGTTGCCTGAGAAATTCCACTGCATCGCGTAGCCAGATCGTTCGCCTCGATTGTCGGTTTTAAAGATGAACTTGAGCATGTTCTGACTTGAGTGCATTTCTTCTCCGATTGTTGGCTTGTTCGTCGAGCACCAGAAATGTTTTTCACGTGATTGAAAGATTCCTTCGTAGACCTTTAGCCAATCATAGTCTCTGCATTCAGATGGAGTTGTAGCGCCATCTAGATCAAAAGTGTCAAAGTAATAAGTCAGAATTTTTCCCTCAGGAGCAACAAGGTACCAAATGCAGTAATCATCACTGTCATAGTTGTCCGGGTAGTTAGGCGAGGTCATTCTGCCGCCAACTTGCCAGTTGACTCCTACGGCTCCGAAAATTCCACCACAGGAGTGCTCCGTTACAGTCATGTCGAATCCCTTGTAGTTGGTGTTGTGATTGGTAGAGAAGCGGATGTCATTAACAGGTCCAGGAATACCGAATGGTTTTGGATTACTCTTGCCACAAAGAGTGTGCTGAGGGGCTTGAAGCTGTGGCTGATCATAGGGTCCTACGAGATAGAAATCGAGCTTGTCAACGCATCCATCTTCGACCTCGAGATCGTTGAACTCGTAGTAAATCGTTCCAGTAACCCAGGTGTTTTGAACGGTCCAAATGCACTCGCTATTGTCTGTGTAGTTGTTTGGATAGTTTGGAGAGCTGATTTCAGTCGGCTCGTCCAGTACAACTGGTCCGATGCTTCCGCATGTTTTTGGAGCGATTTGTCCGTTATAATCAGCGATAAAGCCTCTGCCATTAGGTGCCGCGTCGTTTCCAATGTCAAAAACGATCTTCATCGTATTTCCCTGAGATTGGACGGGCATCGGAAGGGCAGCTCCACAAAGACGCTCGGTAAGTTCTGGTGAGTCGATGTAAAGACCGCCATAGACCTGGACATAGTGATTCAAGCAGCCATACGTATCATCAGGAGCCTTTAGATCAAAATCAGAGAAGGTCAAAATGATGCTGTTTCGAGGATTGACAGTGATTCGCCACTCACAGCGCTTATTGGATTCATAAGGATCTGGATATTTAGGACTGAGAATGGTTCCAGCGTCTTCAGTGAGTTCTTCTGCGCAATTATTGGGAGTAGCAGTCCAGTTTAAATTCCAAGCGCTGCCAGAATGACCAGCTTGAATGTGATGGAGAACAAGCACTCCTGGTGTTCGACTTTTGATGGTTTTCTCTGGCATGTCTGCTTGATTGCCGCAGAATTTGCCGAGCGATCTTCCGATCTTTGTGTGTTCTTGTTTGAAGTCAGTAAGGACTCCTGCTGTATCGCATGGCTGCATGGAAAGAGCAGGTTCGTATGGATGCGCAGCAATGCATAAATTGATTTCTTCATCGATGAGTCTGAGCTTTCCATCGGAAAGCATCCATTTTTGAGTATCAAGCTGCATAAGCTTGCTGACTTTCAACGGATCCCCAGCTACTGGGCCATCTGCGCGAGAGTCGATGGTAATACCTCGCGAGGGAAGCTGAACATTTCGCAGATAAACATGATCCCACTCCCAGAGCTCGTCGTAGATGCCATCTGGATCTGCTTTTGGAAGGCGCATCACTAAATCTTTTGTTTCTAGGTCCATTGCCATTACTCGTTGAGTGAGAGGATCGACGATCAAAAAGTACCCCTCGTCTGACCATTCCACAATTTCCAAAAAGTCTCCGGAAAGATAAGAGCCTCCTGACTTCTGGCACGGCACATCGAAATCTCCATAGAAATCAATAGAGACTTCATGATGATCTGGCGACTGAATGATATTTTCACAGTTGACGTCCGAAACCCGTATCGGCCTAATGGGCTCTTCAGCGGAAATAGAACCGCTCGTTCCTGTATGATATCCGCCACATGCATTTCTAGTATAGTTTGCCTCCCACCCCCTCACTGCTTTCGATTGGTGATAGACAATCTTCATCACGTTACCGACTGTTTTCGTTGTTGGAGGTTTTGTAGACCCGCAAAAGAGCTTGAAGACATCATCGTGGCTAATCAAAGTGTCGTATATCGCCACATATGCCTCGAAACAGTCATTTTTTCCGTCGGTTTTGAGATCAAAGCGTAAGAAATCAAGCATGATTGTGTGCTCTGGCTCAACAGTAAGAGTCCAAATGCAGTCAGTTTTTGTTTCAGTGATTGATGGAGATTCAATCGTTTGCAGAGCATCTGTGACTTCCAATTCTTCGCCGCAGCCGAGCGTTGGTTGTCGCCAGGAGACCTTGAAGCCTTGGTATTCTCTGTTGTTCGGGCCGGCTTTGAAGAGAAGAGAGATTGTGTTCGTTGTTGATTTAAATGGAGGCATGGCTTCATAAAAACCACAGTATCTATCGTAATGGCTCCACTCTCCTTCTGGGAAGAACGTTGGTCCATCTGGATAGCCATTGTGCAGCTCTAAATAGCCATCATCATCGCCTGTGCAGTTTCGTTTCTGATCGCCGTCGATTCCAAAGGGACTTGCAAAGTCGAGCTTTGCCACCACTCCGGGATCCAGTTTGATGATATACTCGCAAATGTCATCCGATGCGTTGTAAGCCTGAGGATAATTCCAAGACTGAATTGTGCCCGTTGATCCTTTGAAAACGCCACCGCAGATTTGTCGATAATACGCTTTGAATCCAGGATCTGTGTGAGCAGCGTTCGTGTGGAAGTGAACGATTGCATCAGCTCCTGTTGTTTTGACCGTGACGTTCTCAGCGTTGCCGCAAGGTAAGAGTGTTGCTTCGTTAGCAGTTGTTGGACCATCATAAACTTTGATGAAATCTGCTCGGCAATCGTGATCTCTTTCAATTTCGATGATCTCGAAGTTGAATAGAATCGATGCATTGTGGGTCGTTTTGAAATACCAGAAACAGTCCAAATTATTTTGGTACCCGTTCGGAAAGCCAGGAGAAATGAACGGCAGCCATTCCATTCCAGCAATGACAAGTTCATTTCCACATTCTCCCTGATTAATTGGGTCGGGATACGGAAAGACTGGAATTTCCCCTGATCCATCAACATGCGTGTAGTTCAGGAAAAAGCCATGGCCTGAGATTTCCGAGTTTGTAACGAGCCTCAATGTCAAAATATTCCCAGAAGAGATGCCCTTTGCTTTTTCTGGATTTTCTTGAAGATAGTCGCCGCAGCCATCGAAAAACTGAGGACTAGAGCCGAGTTCGCCATTGATCAGCATGAACCTGTCTGTGCAAATGACGTCGAAGAAAGATATCTCGTATCGAATGACACTTGTTGATTTTGCTTGAAGTGTCCAAGTCGCGTCGATTCTCTGAGGATACAGTCTTGGGTAGAGTGGAGAGGTAATTTGCCCGGCCGGGGACAAAAATGGCTTCGAGGCGCCAGAATTCATCACGAGAGTTCCTTCAAAGCTGTGTCCAAAGAGAGATCCATCAGAAACGTATCTGATTTCGTATGTCTCGTAATGGTACTGCACAAGCCAGTTTGATGCGTTTTGCTGCTTGTCACAGTAGATCAACTCCTCAGAAACGCCATCAAAAGTGGCATTGATCCAAAGATAGTTCCTAGAGCAATCGGGGTTGTTGTTCGTATTGAAGATAAGTGTCAGCTCGACTGGATTTCCAGGAGACTGAAAAACGTTCCAAGTACAGTCAGCTTCAATTTGATCAGTCGGAGGGTAGCGAATGTTGCCCGTGATTCCGCTCCAGTCACCTCCGCAGCGATCTTCTTCCGTGGAATAGTCGAAAGTGAACCCACTTCGTTTATTGTCACCAGAATCGTAGGTAGCGTCAAAAAGTACACGAACAATGGAGCCTTTTGAGTGATAAGGTCCAGGTGCACTTATTCCGCAATGCTTGTCGATATCGACATCATCGGGCGCAGCACCTTCGAAGATTTGGACATAATGAGCATTTTTGCATCCCTCTTCTGTGTGATCAAAATAAGTGTCAAAGTGGTCAAAGTGAAGGAGAACTCGTTCGCCGGGAATCGAAGCTTGAATCGTCCAGGTACAATAAGCAGGAGCGACGTAATAACTTGGATAATTTGGCGTCGCGAGAAACTGTTTCGTTCCATTAGCAAAATGATAGCCTCCGCAATTATCATGATAAGCCAGCTGAAAACCTGTCTTTTCGACGCTACTGTCACTCTTGAACTTGACCAGCGCTCGTGGGCCAGTAGACATGACTCCTTCCGGAAGCTCGTCAGGCTCATACGTTCCACAGAATTTCCCAAGACTTTCATCGTAAATGCTGGCTCCATCAAAGAACTCAACATAATCGGGACAGCTGTAAGTTTTCTCAAGATCCATTGCAATCCATGAAAATCGAATAATTTTATCACTGTCGGAACCGGGGCTCAGGTCAATTTGCCAAAGACATTCAGTTTTTGGCGGATACAAGCCAGGGAAACCAGGAGACTGGATCTTTCCGTCGTGCTCGTGAAGCTCTCCGCCGCAGATGCCTGGAACAGAGCGGTAAGTAGCTTTGAATTTGATGCCACTGGTGTATCTCTGCTCGTTTGCCATCAGAACAACGAGCATTTCTCCTGTATGAGAAGTTAATTTGCTATTTCCAGCACGAGACCAAGTTGCCAGCAAGTTTTTCTCGTCCATGACGCTTCCGATGTACAAATTGACATAGGTCGATGAACTACCGAGGTAAGTTCCAGAAGCCATTGAAATCTCGATCATATTTCCAGTCGTCGTATTTTGAGGAACCTGTATTTGCCAAAATTGAGCCATATTTTCAGTGATGCCATTTGAGTTGAAATTGAGACTCTGAAGTGTTCCGGACTCTTCGTTTAGTTTCTCAAAATATCCTTTCGGCTGGTACTGCAGCTCAAAACCAGTTCCAGTCTGAGTAATATCGCTTCGCATCGGAACGAAATCAAAATATACCAGTCCTTTTTCCTCTTGCACTTCGATTGCATTCGCGGTTTGTCCGCAAAAGCGTGCTTTTCTGTCATTTTTGTTGTAATCTGTGTAGATGTCGAGGTAGTCGCAGTTTTGCTCAAGCGGGCAGCTGCTATCGCAACCGCCGAGATTGAAATTGTTGAAAGAAATGTCGATGTTGAAACCGGGGGAGAAATAGACAATCCAGTAGGTGTTTTGAAGTGGATAGTGGCCTGGGTAGTTGTGTGATTGAATCAAACCTTCTAGTGCCAAGCTGATTTCGTTAAATCGAACAGTCGACCAATGCAGCTTGAAGCCTCGTTCATTATTGCTGTTTGACATATCCGAGTGCATTTCAATCGCAACGACGGAAGAGTTCGATCTTACTGGATCATCGCCGCCTTCTGTTCCACACAGTCGGTCGGTAAGAGCAAATGAAGTGGTTGTTGGCCCATCGAAGAATTGGACCCAATCGCGTGTGCAACCATGAGAAGTGCCCGTCTCCAAGAAAAAGTCGTCAAATTCGAAAAGGATCGCCGACCCAGCATTAGTTGTGACGATCCAAAGACAATCCATGTTGTTCTCATATCCACTTGGCCAACCAGGGCTGGAAAGAATTCCTTCTGTTCCAGTTCCAGTGCCGCCGCAAGTGCCCAGTTCTGATTCCCACTTCAGCTTGAACTTGTTTGGCGAGTCTGGATTGGTGTCAAGTCCATCAGAGCTTGAATCTGATACAAAATGGAACAAAAGAGTATTCATGGCGGAGTGAATCGGTTCATCATTTTGATGCGGTGGAGAGTTAGTGCTTCCATACGCGCCGCAGTATTTTCCGATCAGAAGGTTCTCGCTGCTGCCACCATCGTGGATCGACATAGAGTCAATAGAGCAGTCAGAAGATGGTCGAAGATTGAATTCAGGAAAGAAAGCGTCGATTTGATGACCCACGAGGACTTTGATGGTGATGAAACAGTCCAAAGATGGTCGATAAGAGCCAGGATATCCAGGCGAAAGATGAACACCGTCCGGCGTTTGAATTACTCTCGAACAGACAAAATCTGGATGCACTTGTCGGTATGCAAGCTCGAAGCCTTCGTATGCTGTCGAGAAATCAGTATGGAACTTCATCGTCAAGTATTCAGAGCTCGAATGGATCATATCTGGCGGATCTCTGCAAAATTTGCCGAGGAAGGTTGGATCATCGGTTGTGTTGCCGACGACGGGAGCATCCCAGATTGCGAGGTAATCAGTGCAAGTCGAGTAGCCTTCTAATTTCAAATAAATGAACTCCAGTTCTATCAAATTTCCAGAGTCTCCTCGAATAAAATAAACACAGTCGAGATTATGCGGATATGGCTGAGGATATCCAGGGGATCGAATAAAACCACTATCACCAGTGAAGGTTTGTCCGCAGCCTTCATAATCGAACGTCGTTTTGAGCAAGAAACCGTGATCATCTTCAGATGGAATATGATTAAACATCATGAAGATGTTTCTGCCGGAAGAAAAGATCGTTTCTGGAATCTCATTGCCGCATAAATATCCTAACTGAGGGCTCCCTCCATTTGGCCCATCGTGAATTGTAAGAGAGCTTTTACCGGGGCAGTACGAGTCCAAGCTAAGAGCGAAAACTTCAAAATTGAGCTGGATAATTTGGTTTTCTGGCGCTGTAATGTAATAAGAGCACATCTTCGCGAACGGTATCGTATTGGGAAAATACGGCGAGGAAATGTAGGTCTCGGTGAAATACGAACCGCCGCAGGTGGTCTCCCAAGATCCTTTAAAACCTTTACCGTGGTTCGATCGATCCGACTTGAATTCAATCACCATCGTATTTTTATGAGAAACGATCGTTCCCGGCAGTTCTCGGCAAGTTTTGTTCTCGCAAATTGCATCGTTGAAATCGGCCTTATGGTAGCCGCAGAAAACGATTTGTTCTGGATCTCCTTTGTGGTCGAATCCTTTGAAGACCTTGAGCGAGTCCCATTTGCATCCGTAAGAGTAAGAATCCTCCATGTCAATCTCATCGAATGTGAATCCCACATGATCATGCATGCCCACTGTAATGCTCCAGAAACAGTACTCATCGGCTCCGTAACCTGGGTCTGGGTAGTTCACGCTCATGAGAACTCCAGCATCTTCCTCAAGATTTTCCCCGCACTCGTTTTCCGTCGGCATTGGAACAAGTCCCAACTCGAAACCTTTATTGAAAGAGTTCATTCCCGAAGTACTAAAGATCACATAAGCGATTGGCGTTTCCGTACTCAGAGTAGCGTCGCTTGTCGTGTTACAAATCTGACCAAGACGGGTTTCAGTCTGCAGTCCGTCGTAAACCTCGACTTGATCTTCGCACCGACCAGAGTAAAGATCAATATTTGTAAACGTCAGTTGTAGTTTTTCTTGCGGATCTGCTTCGAAGACCCAGACGCACTCGATAAATGGATTATATGGTTGAGGATAGACCGGAAGTGAGAGCTGAGCAGGTCCATTTACGCGAATAACTCCGCCGCATTTTGTCTCTTCCTGCACCCACGACATGGTGAAACCAGTGTATTGATTGTTGTTGGAGCTGTCAGCAGCGAAGACCACTTGTAATCTGTTGGTGTAAGTATTGTTTACTTGGGGAATGATATTGCCGCAGTATTTGATCGCATTTTCCTCCTCATCTCCATCAATGAGTTCAACGTAGGTAAAGCAAGTCGATCCATGCTTCGGTGGCAAATCAAACTTGGAGAAATCCATTGAAATCCCGAATCCGCCATCAACAACGATGCTCCAAATGCATTTAGTGTTCGGTGAATAATAATCAATTCCTGTTGGATAATCAATCACTCCACTAGATTCTTCAATGTCTCCACCGCATTGTCCAGCAGGCAAGTTGCAAATTTTACCCGTCCAGTCATCGGGACAAGTGCATCTGAAATCAGTTCCGCCGTTGATAGTCTCGCACTCTGCATTATGAAAACAAGGGTTGGGTTTGCAAGGATCGCCTCGTTCGTCACAGTGAGTTCCCGCCCAGCCTTGGTAGCAGATACAGACAGGGGAGCCGTTCTGAATGAGACAGACTCCATTGTTGCATTCAAGATTGCAGTCGATTGGGTCTGGCCCAGGTCCATCAGCTTTGCATCCATCCGGGCCAATACCATTTCCAGAGTAGCCATGACCGCATTTACAAGAGAACTCGCCGTTGTTGTCGGTACAAGTAGCAAATGGGGAACAAGGGTTACTATCGCAAGCAGAGTGTTTTCTGCAAAATCGTCCGTCACCTTCATATCCATTCGGACACTCGCCACAACTGGTTCCAGTCGAAGATTTGCGACAAGAAACTTTTGGATTTTGGCTGCAGCCACCATTGTTAATGCTACAGTAATCGACGGATTCACATGCGACGCCATTTCCTGCCATTCCAGTTGGGCAAGCTCCGCAGCTGTAGGATCCAATGTTGTCAATGCAGTCAACTCCTGGGTAGCACAAGTGCGCTCCAGTTGCACACTCGTCGATATTTTCGCAAGTCTTTTTGTTCTCATCGTATTCGAATCCTTTTTGGCAGATGCAGGAGTACTTAGCTGTGCCAGGATGAGTTCTGACTCCGTCCACGCAAAAACCATGTGGGCCACATTCATCTCCTTTCGGACAATCGTCATGTTTTGACTCGCAATGAGTTCCGTAAAATTCCGCTGGGCAGGTGCATGAAAATCTCTCCGGCGGTTTCGAATTAAAACAAGTCCCACCGTTCAAGCAAGTGTAAACGCCATGGTCAGTGCATTCGTTGTAGTCGTCCTGGCAGGTAGATCCGGTCCAGCCGTGAGCGCACTGGCAGCTGAAGCCGGTATTGCCACTGATGCAAGTTGCTCCGTTGTGGCAGTTGTTCGAAGAGCAATGATTGACTTTGAGGCCATCGACATCGCTGTTTAGCTGGTCGATGTCTTCTGCGACTTGGGCGAAATCTTTGTTGTTGATCAGAACCGTCCCTGTCTGTTTTTACAGTTAGATAATAGATTTCGATTTCTGAAAGAAAAAAACTTTGCTAACTTCCCTGATCAGTAACAAATAAAATATCCTTGCCATTGCCAGGTTCAAATCGAAGGTTGCCATTGACAGAATTGACTCTTGGCTGCGAATCAAGCTGCGCTAGAATCGGATTTAAAACGAGAATGAAGAGCCTTTTCAAGCGCTTCATTTATGATAATTATTTCTCTTTTTTGAGAAGAGTGAAATTAGAAGCGAGCGCATCAGTGTTAGTGCTGCACTGCTAAATACAAATAGAAAATGCGTGAACATGCTTTATCATTATTCAATAAAATCACCATTCGAAGGTGATTTTTCCCAGCTCTGCAGTCGTGACGGTCGACAACACGGAGAGCACTTTCAAGGCAAGTTTGTGGTCCCGCTTGTCCTCAAGCTCGATGTAGGCGAAGCTCTGTTGAGTTTTGACGTGAAGAGCGACTTTCAATTCCAAAAAAAGGCCCTTGACTCCGTTGTCGACCAGAATCTTCTTGATCGAATCCGCTTGCACGCCGTTTGGAACGCCACTAATCCAGATGCCGTTCTTGACTCCAGTCGCTGGAGATGCAGCCCCAGCTTCATTCTCAGCGTTTTCGGCCGGCTCTTCTTCTTCATCCAAGTCCTCCGCCGGTGAGCTTTGATCAACATTCATCGGAACAGGAACGTGTCCTAGAAAATCATCAGCTATTACGATCCCTTTTCTTTTTTATTTACCAGGGTCTTCTTCGGTCATTTCCGCGACCACATTTTCATCTTCATTTGCCGCAAGCATCTTTTGTTCTTTGGCTCGGGCTAAACGAAATGAAGCTTTCGATAAAACGATGATGACTCCTACCTTTGCATCCCTTATTTCCACGATGCTGCAGCATCCTATACTTTTCGCGGAATGCATGGCCACAGATATCGCAGGCAAAGGGCTTTTCTCCACTATGGATCATCTGATGTCTTGCCATGTCGCGTCCCGCCCGAAACTTCTTTCCACAGGTGGAGCACTGAAAAAATTGTTTCTGAGATCTCTCAGTCTCGTGTCTACCTCTTCCATGATTTTTCCCATATCTCTACTGTAGAAAAACAAAATTTCAAAAAATAATTTAAGCGGAGATGAATCCGCTTGATCGCCGGTTCCAGCGAGATGTCTCCGAACGAGGAGTCATTTGAATCTAGAAAGAAGAAGATCCAAATTTTATGGTTTTCAGATTAAAAAAAATCAAGAAAAAACTTGACGTTTCTTTCCTCTTCCGAAAAGCTTCGAAATGTACATCCGAATTGATCAAAAGGCTGAACTCGCCTAAAACCAACTGATTCGTTCATTTTCTTCTGTAATGTCATAAAAGCTGAACCCCGGAACCCGCCAAACTCAAATCCTTTTGGCATTTCCTCGCGATCTGGCTTGGAAAATTCACTCTTCACAGCTTCAAAAATATAAGACAATGTCTACCTCTTCAGAGAAAAGCGCCTTCAACTACAGTAAGCAATGAAATAAAGTTCTTTCTATTAAGACTTAGAAATTAAGACATATTCGAGTCGCTGTCAGACAGAATAATAATCCTACTGCAGATCACTTGCATCCTGCAAATCATGTTTCTGATTTTCTACTGCTCTAGAACTTATACCAATAAAAGATAGCCTGCATTTTATGATCAATTATTTCGAAAAGAAAGTCAGAAGAAAAGAGGCTTCCTTCATCAATTTTTGATTTCAAGAATGTCTAATTTTATTTGTCAAAATCGGTGTGTTGTATTGCACTAGAATTGAAAGCAGGCGATAGTTATCCGACGATGATGTTGTTGATCGGAATGTGAATCAGCTTGACGAAGTAGCCGATGAAGCCCATAATCAGGAAGCCAATTGCTAGAAAGATGAATGAAAAAAGGGAAAAAGCGAGTTAGAAATCAAGGAAGAGAATATTGAAATTTGTCTAAATTTCTTACCGGTGGCAAAGGCGATCTTTTGGAATTCTTTCTTGTCGGGCTTGGTCGATCTTCGAACGAATCTGAAATTTTGGGTTAAATATTGAACCTAAAATGGGATACTCTTAATCTTTATCCCTTTGGCAAGGCTTTGAAACCTGTGTAGAAACCCTGAGTCAGGGTGCTGAATGAGCTTTGATTAAAGCCGCGCAGCGGCTATCTTCAAAACGAAGCCTCTCTGCGGATTTAACCAAAGTTCTTTTCAGTTCCTGACTCAGGGTGCCGAGCTCTGTGCACCCCTTTAAAAGTTATATACTGTTACGGTACCTCATCGCGTCTTTCATGTAGACCTTTGCAGGATCGATAACTTGCTCCATCATATCCATCTTTGCGAGTTTTTTTATTTACTCTTTCTAAATAGATAAAATTCTAGCGCTAGTTTAGAAAAATATTTTAGTCAACATAAAAAAAATAAACAATCACGGTATGAAACAGAAAGCAGATTGAAAAAGAGCACTTTTGGGAATTGAAAAATTTGAATAAGAAATTGATTTACAGAGAAGAGAGGGTTGGAATGTTACTGTTCTACGTAGACCTTTCTTTTGGAGAAAGTTTTGATGGCTTCGTCGAGTTCGTAGATTTCGCGCTCGAGGTTTTCTTTACGATGCTTGTAGGCCAGACTGTCGCATTGGCGAACTGGAAGGGTTGCTAGCTGAGCTTCGTAGTCCGCAAGAGCTAGAAAAAGGCGGTTATTGATGAAATGATATTATTGGCCAGGATGAAATTTCAAGGGATCTGATTGGCTGTATCTAGAAAAATAGAGTGGCTATCGCTAGAATTTAATTTAACGCAATTTTATTGGCTAAAAATTGCAATGAGCTATTCTTATTGGTTAGAAATCAACAAACAACGATCTTATTGGCCAAAAGAAAATTGGAGACTTGAAAGTAAAAACAAACCTTTTTGAAGCTTTTCCAGCGTTTCTCGTCGTTGAGCCTCTGGAAGAAGCACGTGACCTGGCGGACACATTGGATCAGGATGAGTTCTAGCGTATTCCTCTTCCTTTACTCGTTGCAGTTCCTTTTTTCTTTCTTGCAAGCTAAAAAGTCGCTAGAAAGTGCGGTTTTCGTCAACCTTACTATTGAGGAACTGTCCCGCGAATCTGAAGATCATAAAATTCTTGAGCTCGTTTTTTCTCTTCATTAATTTTCTCTACATGAGCCACATTCTTCGTCTTTTTAATTTTATTCTCCGCATTCCACGCATTTCTAGCATTTTTCGCGATAAAGTCTCTTCAAAATCGGCTCAAAAACGAAATTCTCTTTTGAAAAATTGTGTTTTTGGTCAAAAAACGAGATTTTCGAGCCATTTTCTGGATTTGGCTGGGGCCGAGCTCGGACGTGGTGCGTTTTGCGTGGGCGGCCGCTGCCACGTATTGTCGATTTGGACGCGCGGCTCCACCGCCGCGTATTTTCCGCTGCGCCAAAGCGCTTTCACGGGCGTCGCGCTGACCTGAAATCGTTTATGAGCTTTTTTCCTCTTTAGAACTTTTCAGATTTCGAAAGGGCGTGAAAAATTTCTAGAATCTCGGGTGAGCATAATTTTAGAAATGGTGGAGAGTGGGGGCCCCCACTTAGGGGGTCGTGGAGCCAATAACAACCGAGCTATCCCCCATGAACCCCCCCTCTCCAACATTAAGCCCACCCTAGTTCTGGAACAAACTCCCTCGTTTCTCACCTTATTTCTCTCATTCGCCCTTGCTTTCTTCTGAATAAGCCGCATCCTCTGAATATTCGCCTGAATATGATTCTTTGGTTTTGGAACTTCTCGCAATCCATTTTCAATGTTCTTCCTTCTCGCATCTTCATAACTCTCCGCCATCATTTTCCCCACATTTCCATGTTGTCCAAGTTCCGCGTTTCCCCCTGCTTCTGGCTTTACTCGTGGCACTATCACTGCTACTGTCTTGTCTGGCGAATGCTCGGTGATCGTTTGCGTGACTGACTCTTGAATGGTAGCTGGCTCTTGGAAGGATTGAGTGACGAAGGCGCGATTTGGAAGATCTTGGGTGAGAACACCTGCCATTCCAGCGCCACTTGCTCGGCGCTTGTTTGCTTCTGCTTCTGGCTTGACTCGGGGAACTGTGGATAATTGAGTGGTCACCAGAAGGTTTTGAAAGCCGGGAATTGGGTTGGCTTCCCTTCGACTCGCTGAAAGCAAGTTGAAAATTTAAATTGAAATCAAGGATGAGAATCTACCTGGAGATGGAGCTGTAGCGGGTCGGCGCTGACTGTAAATCATGGCCGAATGCATCCCCTGGCCCTGATGCCTCCTTGCATTCAACACCGCATCATGTCGCAATCGAGGGCCCTTGATATCGTCTCCTATTCCGATGACTACTGGCCCGCCGGACATGTCCCAATTCTTCAAATGTTCAAGAGTTAATGAGGTGTTATTTACATTTTTATTCGTTTTTTGAATTGATTGGATAAAATTATATTCTGCGAGAATAATAGTTATTTAAAATATTAATAATATTAAATAATACTTATTATTGTCAACTTTGAAAGTTTTGGATCAGAGGAATCAGAGGTAGAGGGCTAGAAAATGAACGCACAAATATACAGAAATTGATGAATAAAGGAAGAATAGAAGAGTGACTTGCAAACTTGCGAATTTTTTTCTAGGTAGAGGCTTGATAGAGTTGGAAGGGACGAAATTTATTAGATAGGGATTGAGTTAGAGGTTTGAACTCGCCGAGTTGATAGAGTTTACTGTTAAGCTGTTTGGAAAAGTTTTACGTGTTTTTCGCGGCTGGAATGAGTAATATTGCAAGAAGACAACTGTGGTGATGAAGATGCCGATGAGGCCACCGACGATGACGTCGCTCCCGTGATGCCTGTAGTCTTGAGTTCTACTGACGCCGACGTAGATTCCAGGGAGGAAGAAACAGAAGAGAAACGCGCTGCCGACCGAGGAGCCTGGGAAAGGAATAGACTCTTCTCCGTATGATAGCTTCAGGGATGAACTCCAGCGCCGCAGCCAGTAGAAAGAGTACAACGCGCTAAGGACCGAAATAGAGATTAAGAAGAGAGAACTCTCGCTTACCAAAAAGTAGAGCCCGCGAAAGCCATCGAGGTATGTCCAGAGGGGAATGATTTTCGCCCTCCCTTCTGAATCAGCTCCAAGTTTTCGTCGTTAGTCAATCCATTCACCACGCAATCTTTCTCGTGGTCGACGAGAGGAGGCACATCTTCAATGTAAATCATGTTTTGACCAGGAATAGAGTTGTTGAGACGTCTGCTTGGAAGAGTGTACCAAGAGTCAAGATCAGTTCTGGTTGAATAACATCTTGACAGGAAGTCGGGCCTTGGTCTTCCGTATTCAGTCTGATAGAGCTTTACAATTTGCTATCCTGAAATTATGGCAATAATTCTGAAAAGCTTTCCTTGATGATGTCTGTAATTAGTTGCACTAGAATGTAGGACATACTCGCTGCCAAAAGCGCAATCATGTATTCAACGAAAACACGAGAAATCCAATTGCTTGTGTTTTTATTATCTTTATTTCTCGCGTACTTTTTTCGCCATCTTCGACTGGCATGATCTGTGCGGCAAAGGTTGAATAGCACGACGAGCGTGACTAAAATGGTTGGCCCTAAAATGACGAAGAGGACCACCCCGGAGAATGGAATCGACGATGAGTCTTTGTGTGGATAGTTGTAGTTGTGCCACTCAGTGACTTAGAAAATGAAGTTCGGGGTTAAATATAGCGTGAGCTTACCTTCAATTTGCCTCTGAAATGGAATGCGTATTTCCGAGAAGTAAAAAATCACCCCTCCAAGAACAACTCTCAAAGCAATTTCCCATATCCAGCTGATGCTCTTCAATTCCACTTTGAAAGCCGACTTTTCGCTGGATTTAAAAACAATTTCCTCCATAAAATAATAAAAAATACTCTTTTTCTTCAGTTCACGTAAAAAATTGGCTATAAAAAGAGCAACATGGAGGAACGTAATTATGTTTGATCCGCTCCTGCTGCGGCATTCTCCTTGACGTACGATTTGGAATTAGAGCTAAAAATACGCTGTCAGAAAAGCGGTCTTTTTGTTTGGATTGATTACCCTCATTTTCAGAAGAAAAGTGAATCGTATTTAAGTTTTTCTGGATCGATGAAGACTCAAGAGTCATTCCATACCTGGGCTCAAGAATCCCAACGTAGCTAGGACTAGCTTAATCTGAAATTTATTATGCTGAGGTTACGCTTTTTCCGTGGGTGATATAAATACAATATTAAGTATTGAGTAGTCTTTTCTATAAAACAAGGAAAAAAGAAGAGAAAGAGAGAGAGATCTGTGAGTTTAACCTATTTACAGGCGTTTTTAAAAACTGAAGAAGAGGGCTCATTTCACTTTTTCAATAATAATTAAATTGCATCTTCTACAAATGCATCTCTCGATAACGAATTTTTCCATCCTGGGCACTGATTGGTCGGTAGAAAATGCGTTATTATGAGATGCATTTGTATCTCGTCTTCTCGTCTTTGAAACAATATTAGTGAGCGTCCATGATTTGAGGACAACGATGATGAAAAATTAGAGTTTAAAAAATATGGACTCAGACTGAAAGCAGCATTTTTATCAGAGTGAGTGGCAGCGTGAATAAAAAAGAATGATAACTGGGGCAGGGAAAACGTGAGTCTGTATCTATTAGGTGGTGATAAACGAGAATGTTCAAAATTCAAATTCAGAGAAAAATGGGCTCATTTGGGATGATTTGCCGCACTTGGGGGCGTCCACTGGCGCCGGAAACGACGATGTCTTGGCGGCAAACTGAGAATTTCTTTAGAAAAGAGGGGAGACGTAAGAAGTCCTACCTGGGCATGTTTTATGCTTCTCTACCCAAGGTTGAAGACAAGCGGTGTGGAAATCGTGCTTACAAGTCGTAAGACGGTAGAGCTTTAAAAAGAGTATTCTCATTAAAAATAAATATAGGAATAGAATAAAAAATCATAGGAGCTATTTTTCTTTTGTCTCCAGGGTCTGAACTATGTGTTCACCTCTTGGCCATTTTCAAAGTCATTCAGGCAGATGTGGCAGCTCTCGTGCATGGTAGATCGTGTCTGTCGAAATTTTCGTCGAGGAAGTCGCTCGACTTGCGACTTTGTGAGCCTAAAAGACGTTTTCGTCCTTGATTTCACCATTCCGCACTTACCCTGCATGATGATTTCCAATGTTGAGCAAGTCAAACTGCACCAAGTCGGACCAGAATTGCAACTGACGCACATTCACTAATCCTCCTGAATCATCTACGAATCGGTCCTCTCGGTTCTCAGGGTTTTGCGGTTGAAGAAAATCTTCAATATCTGCTGCGTTGGCAGCTGGTTGACGCCGTCGTTCAAGTTGCTGGGGAGGTGTGCGATGGGCTTTTTATAAAGGTCCAGACAGTAACTCATTTAACACGCTTATTAGAAAATGCGAAGGATAGACTATTGAACGAGTTATAAATAACAAGTCTTAGACCCTTTCCGTCAAGCCAGGCGTTGTAGCTCGGGAGCGATGTCGGGCCAATTCTCTCTCTGAGGCCACTCATCGCGTCAAGATATGCATGTCCTGGAAGCTGCCTATTATCACGAGCTTGTGTTTCTTCTCGCGCAGCCTGGATTCTTCGTCTTGCAGTCGGTGGCCGATTGGCTCGAGCAAGACTTCTCCAAGGATCATATCGCTGGGATCGTGAGGCGGTGCTGATTCTTGCTGTTGGGCGGAAGGGGTGCTCCCTGCGAATCGCGCTCAATCGTTCCAGAAAGCTTTCTCCACGAGTCTGACCACGATCGCGATCAGACTCATTCATTATTTCCCGAACTCGCTCGACGCTTGGCTGCTGAGGAGTCTCTCTTCCTGGGCGATAGTCAAAGTCCCCGAAATCAGGGAAATTTGCAAATATCCTGTGTCTACGGGCCCCTGGCGGGCGAGGAGGAGTTACTCCTGCAGAATTAACTTGATTGTGATCATTTTGGGAAGGCTGCTCTTGACCTCGTCGAATTCGATTGCTTCGTCTTGGAATCAATGACTGCCGAGGTTGTTGCGCCTCTCCTCCTTGATTTCCTCGATTCTGCGCGGCGTTGTTGCTAAAGCTGAGATAAAGAAAACTTTTAAATATCAAGCAGGCTAAAAAGCAACCTCATTCGCTCAACGCGCACAACAACGTCTCGCACGGCATTCGTTGCTGTCTCCGCTCCACGGACATGTGCCGCCAGATTTTCCCAAGGGTCTGGGACATCAGAGCCGCTATCGCTTGAATCGCTCGAAATGTCAATAGCTAAAAAACGAAATATAAAGAAGGTCTACTTTAAAAGAAGATTACCTGTGGTGATCTCAGACACTTGTCGCTCCAGCCTTCGGAAATCCGTATCTATTGCCTCTTCTTCGTCCGAGGAAATAAAAAGAGTCGGCGTTGCGTTTCGCCGCTCTCGCTCAACAGTGCTTCTGATAATTTGAGCACGGTTGACGTAGTCGTTGATTTGCCGACGCTGTTCTTCAGCAACCAGGTCTGCTGGAAGCCCAATCGCTCCTGATAAGTCGACATTTCCGCTCTCTGCATCTCTGACCAGCTGATCAGCTCGTTCCAGTTGTTGCTGCCATCGCCGCTCTCGTCGTTCGACCACCTCTCTTCGTGCCAGTAGTCGATCAGCACTGGCAATCTGTGCTCGCGCTTCTTCAATCACCATTTCGTGGCGTCTCTCCTCTCTGGCCGCTTCTGTCCCAAGAGGAAGTCGAAGTGGCGCAGCTCTTGGGACTACCCGCTGTCTTCGTTGTTGGCGGAGGCGCTGATGGAAGCTGGCCACGCGGCGCGCGCGTACTCGCCGCCGTGTTTCTAGATCCATGTCGTCGGTGACGATTGGACCCAAGCTGTCGGAAGATGGCGATCGTTGGACTCTTAACAATTTTAATGAAGGATGAAACAAGATGTTCACTGTTCAGTACCTGACTCGTCTTCGAGTTCTTCGTCTTCGACGATTCGACATCAAGTTGTCGAAAAAGGCCCTCGTACTTGGCCTTGATTCACTTTCATTCGGAGTCGGAGACGAAGCTGGCGCTGGACTCTGATCAGTCTCCGATCTGTCCCGCCTTGTGCGTCGCCCGACGACACCCGCAGTTGGAGGACGATTGCGTCGTCGTCGAGTTGGGAGTGCAGAGTTTGCATTATTCTGTTGAGATCGGATCGAACGGGAGCGCGGAGTTCGAGAATTCGCATTTCTCGTGTTCTGATTTTGGTCAGGTCCCCTTTGGCCGCTCTGTCTGGCGCGTTCTTGGAGTCGCTTTTCATCGGGTTATTCATCATCGGCGAAAGTCAAATATGATCAACGGTTATGAAATTTTAATGAGAATTCGTTCATGAATCATGATTCACCCGTTCCTTTATCCGGCTACTCCTTCTAACTGGTGTTTGTTCTCCACCCGCTGGAGGTGTATCTTCAGCCATGATTACTCTAATTCTTCAAATGTTTTCTGAAATGAATGTCGTGAAATTTCAGCCTATCGAGCGAGCTATTTTTTTTTTGTTGAGTAACAATTATTGTGGAATTGTTTTCTGTTACAGGTACGAGTCGTACGACAGGTACAGTCGTAGTAAGCGTCTTACAGACTCTGCATCGACATTTATACAGTAAAATTTTTACACGAGAAAATAGACAAGAAAGAGTACTACAAAAAGATAAAGTTGGTATTTGGGGCATCAGGCGATGATGGGTGACATTTTTTCTACGGTCGAAAGGTTTGATGAAAAAGATTGCGAGATGAACAAAAGTGGCATAAGGAAAAAGTATCATAGAAGCGGATTTCATGTGAACTCGAAAAGAAGGGAGGAAGTTTCTCAATCAGCAGGGCGGTCTCTCAGCATTGCGAGTTTTTCTCTTTTTCCCAGAATAAAATAGCTAGTGCAGCACTTATTGCTTTTATCAGCGAACCCCTTTTCCCGTTTATAGCTCGAGGAAAAGTGTTGCACTGAAACCATTCGAAACAAGGGAAAAGGCTTGACTCTTGAATTCAAGAAGAAACCTCCCACTGATTCAAAAGCATTTGCTACTGTAGTAGACCCTTGAATTCGATGATGAAACACTCCCGTATCAAATTTAAAAATAGAATGAACAAATATGAGTATCAGTATTTAACAGAATTCCTATAATAACTTCGAGAAGAGTCTCTTTTGCGATTGTCCGATTTCGGCGATCTAGAGCGGCGTCTACGCGACGTCGAGCGCTGTCTACGTGACGAGTTCCGCGACTTGCGAGATTTTGATTTGCGACTTCTCTCCTCTTCGCTCTCGCTACTTGAGGCTCTGGTTTTGGACGAGGATGAGGACGAAGAAGAAGAGGAGGAATAGGAGCGGCGGGAGCGCTTCTTCGACTTTGCGGCTTTTTCGCGGCTTCTTCTTCGCGACAACGAGCGCGACTTTTTCTTCGACTTTTTCTCTGATTTTTTCTTTGATTCTTTTTTGTCGAGCTTTTTGAGTTTTTTCTTCAGCCGGTCGCGCTCTTTCTCGAGCTCCAGAACGTCCTTGTCGATGTCGCTTTCTGAAAAGATTCTGATGATGACTCAATGATTCATTAGAGTTAATTCATTGACTCAAAATCGAGTACTTTGATACAAGGTGTCACTTTTTAAACGCTAGCGGAGACATATTTGAATACATGTCCTCCGGTCTGGTCAATATCCAACCTGAAGAAATAGTATCTGTCAAATCATCCGTCGACAAACTGGACGACCTGGAATGTACAGAGCTGCCAGCGCTAGTAGAAGAGCTTGATGACGAGCGCGAGCGCTTCTTCTTGAGCGACATTTATGAAAGAAGCTCGAACTCTTTTCTCTTCGAATTGTCTGAAAGAGAAGCTCAAATCTTCCGATATTTTTTCGAAGCCATGTTTATTTTGAATATTGAGCCGGCAGTCATGTACGGTAGCAAAGAAAAAATTTAGTAAGTTGCAGAAAAATCGGAGAAAGAATGAAAGAAAAAGACGTTTCCGAAAATTGGTGTGTACCAGTGGAAATGATTTCGATAAAGAAAGTGATGTCTTCCGATATCTTTCTATGTGGCTCTGAGAGCCAATCAGAAAGAACTAGGAGCGCCTACGTTTTTTGGACGATTTTTTATTGATACATGTAATACAGGCAAGTTTTTATTTCTTTCAGAAGTTCTTGGTACAAGAAAAACTAGCTCAGAAATACTGTTACTGTAATTGCTTGTAAAGGAGGAGGAAGTTGAGTAGTACACAGTACAGGTTGTGGTTTGTTGTTGAACTTTTTTTTTAGTTGTCGATTCAGGGTGGTTCTTTTGAAGTGGATTTTTGACTATTGTAGAAGATGAGAAAATACATGACATTTGGTGTTTTTTTTTGTTGTTGATAACTTGGGAATCTGTGGCAGGGCATGATAAAAATATTTCTAAAGTCAGCAAGAGACGGCGTCTCCCGCCTCGGTTGGTGTTTCCTGAGTTGTGCTCTTTTGCTCGGGCAGCGAATTGTCTAGGGTCTCAACTAGGCTTTTCTCGATTTCCGAGTTTGGGCTGGCTTGCGCTTCTTCCACTTTGGCCGCAGGAGCGTCAGCTGCTTCTTCTTCCAGTCTGGCTCGCTTTGGTTGCGAGGCTGAAAATTTAATAATTAAAAATTCATTTCAAAACGCGTTTTTTGAACTTACAGTCAGGGTTTTCCGACGATTCGGAGTCTCGTTTGTCGCCGACTTTTAGTACGTCTTCACTTTTCTCTGTTTCATTCTTCGTTAGATCCTCTTTCTCGGCTTTAGCTTCATCCCCCTGTTCCTCCTGCTTGCTCTCTGCACTTTGTGTATCTTTGGCGCCGTCTATCGACATTTCTTCTTCATTCTGCGCGTTGTTCGCCTCTTCCCGTTCCGCCTCGCCGCCTTCGCCTTCTTTCGACGTGCTCGCACTCTCGCCTGGCACCGGTGTTTTGTCTGGATCCGTTTCGCCATCAGAGTCCGAGTCTTGGTAGTCGACCAGCGCTTTGCCGAGCTTGTCGGGTTTATCGTCGTCGTCGATTTCGAACCAGTTTGTTTCGGCGCGCTGAAAGCTCTTTTAGTGAAGTTATTTCAAAAACGCAATCTTTGCAAATCAAATCTTTGCATAATCATGGTAATTTCTCTAGAACGGGAATGTAGAGAGCAGGTTTTGATGTCCGACTTCAAAAGACAACGAGAATGCGGTATTTATTTGAGATATTAAGAGCTCTCGCCAGTACCCTATTTATTGTAACGACCGTTACAAATTGGAAAACTGAAGAGTGGCGAATGGGCTTCAAAGTCCTACTTCATGCTAAAACGTGCCTTATGAATCCCGAAAACTTCCAAAAGAATTGGCCATATGCAGGTTGTGGTATCTTGTATATTCTGAGTAAGTAACTTTAGTTTAAAATTTAAACTATAAATTACTTAATTTTCACTTTTTAGCGCTCATCTCTGAGATTTATCTGATCCACTCTAATATTCTTGTACTTTTGATCCGTGGTAGTTTTCAGGGTAAGTTTTCAGTTTAAATTTACATTCATCAAAACTGGTTTTAGTTTTCCAGACATGTTGCGATATGGAAAAACGTAAGTTCTTATAAGTTATAACTGAAAAAAATGAAAGTTTGAAAGCTTCCTACTTTTGAAGGTAGACTCAATTTTGAAGGGATTTGGAGGAGTTATATGCGGCGAGACCGATTGATTTTCGCGAAATGGTTGCTGCATGATCGGATGAAAAGATTATACAAGCCGAAAGTAGAAAAAAGAAGAAGAAACGATGAGATGGAAATTCTAGCAGATTTGACAGATTTCTTCGCGGAGAAACCTACGATTTGCAACAAGAAACTCGAAAGACAATTGAATGGAATTTGTCGAAAGATAGAGACGATCCACAATCAAATGTTCGCGAAAAATATTAAACTAAGAGTCGATTGGGACCTCAGAGGAGTCGAGGTCAGAGACCATCGAGGAAGACCTCGATGGTAGTTAGTGATTTGCTCAAGTCACTTGTTTAAATCTTAATTTTCTGCATATCTATTCGAATATTTTTAATAAAAATTCATGTTTCAAACTGACCAACTATTTTTTTAACAAGGAATGATCCCTTTTTTTAAACTTACCGAATTATTACTACTTGGCGAGGGATGTGGCCGGAAACGAGCGCTCCAAGATCTCTGATTTTGCTGAAAGTAGAGTAGTTATTCTCACAACATTTAGATGGAAGGCAGAATTACCTGTTCATCGCCGTCTTGTTGGACCTTTGTCTGGATTTTTTCGAAGATGTCTGTGTATTTTATTGTTTTTAGGCGCTCGCCAAAGGTCTCGTGCGTGTGTTCGAGGAGGGTTTTGACGTTTTCGTCGTGGACGTACTTGAATAGTTCGAGTATCGAAGAGTTGAGGAGGTTGTATCTGCTGCCGTTGTTGAATAAAGCGTCCACAACTGGAGTCAGCAAGTCGTTCTAAAGCGGTGAAATCAAGGAAGAGAACAAAGCAGAGTTCGAAATCCCGCGTTTGCCCGGGGGAAGATACGGGCACGGGCAAGAAAGTGAAGATTCCCGAGGGCAAAAGCGGTCACGGGCAAAAAAACGAATTTTCCCGCGGGCCGAGCGGGCACGGTCACAATAAAAAATATTCCCGCGGGCAAATTCGGGCACGGGCAAGATTCCCGCGAGCTTAAACGGGCACGGGCAGATTCAATGCACCTTATGAAAAAGTGTTTAAACTATTTAAATAGCGCGGAAATAGACACCAAATACTTGAGGGTGTATATTGAAAACTAATCTGCATACAGAACTGTTATGACGTGCTTTTTTTCAGGTAAACGAAGTTTTCCAGCCCATTTCCGCCTTATAGACCCCCGAACATTATACCTTTACAAATCAACAGAAAATTTTAAGAACTTTAACGGTTCAAAATTCTAGAAAACTCCACTTCCGGTCGGTTCTAGAGCCGGAAGTTGACGTAATTTAGGTGTTATGGTGAAGTGTGACCTATCAAACTGATGCTCAGACGATTTCCTATCATTTTAGACCAAGAATCAAGACCAACCGCGGTTAAATAAACCGGAAAAAAGTGAAAAAAAAATCATCACTTTATACCTTTTTTACATTATTTTAACGGTAATAATTTTCGGTTTGACCAGGTTTGGGACTGTTTCTTCAGAAATATTGATTTTAGGATGACTCGAAATCTTCTGAGCATCAATTTGATAGGTCACACTCTACCATTTTAACTAAATTTCGTCAACTTCCGGCTCTAGAATCGACCGGAAGTGGAGTTCTCTAGAATTTTAAACCATCAACGTTTTTGAAATTTTCTGCTGATTCTAAAAAAGTATGGTGTTCGGGGGTCTATAAGGCGGAAGTGGGCTGGAAAACTTCGTTAACCTTAAAAAAGCACGTCTATATGCTAGGATCGACAAATGCCCCCGAAATCCGGATCGGGTTTTCATCGGATTTTCTTGAACTCTGATTTTTCAGATCGGGTTTTTGTCGGGTTTTCGTCGGGTTTTTGTCGGGTTTTTTATCGGGTTTTTGTAGGATTTTTTTCGGGTTTTTGTCGGGTATTTTTTGGGTTTTTATCGGGTCTTTGTCGGGTTCTCGTCGGGTTTTCACAACACTGAAGTTAAATCAAATAAATTAAATCAAAATCGGCGAAAATGGACATAATTTTTGGCTAACAGAAGTTTTGGTGCTCTCTTTAAAGAAATTGATGATTAGATACGAAGAGAAACCCGACAAAAATACCCCACAAAAACCCGATAAATGACCCTACAAAAACCCGATTTTCTAGGGTCGCCAAAATTTCAACGTCGGGTTTTTGTAGGGTAGGCAGAATCCAACAAAAACCCGACAAAAACGTCGGTTTTCGATCGGGTGTCGGGTGGGACTTGTCGATCCTAGTCTATATCATATAGACTATATGCAAAAATAAACTCATGGACGATGTACAATGCACATTGTGCATGCAGAATAGTTCTGCAAAATGCAGAATTGTTTCGATCAGAAATCGGAGTGGTCTCCGTTTGCCCAAGTCGCCGTTTGCCCAAATCGCCGAGAAACGGAGATCTTGAAAAAAGTTTATATTAATTGATCATTAGACATTATTTGGCTTTTTTAATGTCAATCCTGGCTTCTTCAACGCCAATCCTGGCTTCACCAACATCAATCATGTCTTCTCCAATATCATCGACACTATATCAATTATGGCTTCTCCATCGCCAATTCTCGCTTCACCGACTTCAAATATGGCTTCTCCAATGTCCATCTCGGGTTCTTCGACGTCAATCCCGATTTCTCCATCGTCGATCCCGACTTCTCCAACGTCGATCCCGGCTTCATCCACCTCCATCTCGGCTTTTTCAACGCCAATTTTATCTTGAAGAAGCCATGATCGACATTCGAGAAGCGATGATTGACAACTGAGAAGCCGGGAGTGACGTTTGAGAAGCTTGGATTGAAGTAAGTGACGCCCGGATCAGCATTGAAGAAGCCGGGATTGACGCTGGAGATGGCAGGATTCAAGTTTGAGCCACCAAGATTGACGTCTGAAAAGCTAGGATCGAAGTTTTTGAAGCCGGGATTGAAATAAGTGAAGCCGGGATTGACTGTGAAGAAGACAATAAAAGTTATATGATCAATCAATATAAATTAATTCACATCGCCGTTTGTCCAAGTCGCCGTTTCCCCAAGTTGGCCAAACTCAAAAATTTCGTCAACTTCCGGCTCTAGAATCGGACCGGAAGTGGAAATTTCGGAAACTAAAACGGTCAAAGTTCTTAAAATTTCCTGCTGATTCCAAATATGTATGGTGTTCCAGGGTTTAAAATCAAGAAGTGGGTGAAATAACTTGCCCAACCTTAAAAAAATCGCGTCTTAGCAGTAGAAAAAAATGTTCCCCCGGGCTGCCCTCGGGAATATTTCGTGCGGGAACGCGGGCAAACCGCCCGTGCCCGTTTACGCCCGCGGGAATCTTCTCATTCATGCCCGTGCCCGTATCTGCCCGCGGGAAAATTTGTTATAGTGCCCGTGCCCGCTTGGCTCGCGGGAAAATTCGTTTTTGTGCCCGTGACCGTTTTTGCCCCCGGGAATCTCAAATATTCTGCCCGTGCCCGCCCGCCCGCCGCCCCCTTGCCCGGGAGCCGCAAAAATTTCGAACTCTGGAACAAAGAGGGCGAGACTTACCCTGACGACGAGTTTGTTGTAAGTGTCGTCTCCTTTTCCGATGATTTTGCGAAGAAGTCTGAGCGCGGAGAGCGAGAGGAATGTGTGACGCGATTGGATAAGCATCATTGCTCGTTTTAGCGTGTCTCGGTGCAACAGGTGATTTTTTATATGATAAGTGTGGTTCTCAACCATCATCATTAGCAATTCCATGATGATGACGCAGCTAAATGTAGAAATCAATTTTTTGAGAAAGTAAAAAGTTTCTCTTACGTTGAGGCTGTGTGATAGTCGTCTCTGATCATCTTGGTCGGCGTCGCAACAGAGCTAATGTAGTGAGTGAGGCGGCCGACGCATTCTTTGTAGAAAAAGCCGAGGAAGTCGGGCTTTTCCGTCGCGTTGCGAATCATGTTTTCCGGATCCAAAATCGCCTTGATTGAGTACATCATATTAAAGGCCATGGCGGACTCGGAGTCGGGATCGTTTAGCGCCACGCACAGCAGGAGTGACATCAGATTGCGAGGGTTGGGGTAGTCCTAGAGCGGTTTTTAGGAGGGGGTAATAGAAAAGCCCGCGTTGGAATTGCTACTTACGTTGTTATATCGAGTTTTGAGAATGTGCTCTCTGATCTGCGACGCACAATTGTGAACCTCGACAATTTGGCAGATGAGATCTGCCCCCAAAGTCCTCACTTTGGCATACTTAGAGTCGAGCAAGACCTCTATCGCAGAGAGAATCCCATTTCTGATCAGCGTGTTTATAAAATCATCCTTTTCTGGCGCCTGCAGATGTTGAGCGTAGATAAAAAATTCTAAGAATTAGGTTGAATCTAATCGGAGGGAGGGATTGAGAAGTCTACCTTTGAGGAATCGACAGAGCTCGACTTGTCGTTTTGGGCTGGTTTTTTCATCTTTCAGATCTTTGACGCAGGAATCGATGAGTGTTGGATCTTTTAGGATCATTTTCAGCAGGTCGACCTGAAAGTGGGGATGGAAGAGGAAGGAGAGGGGAATGAGGTACCTTTTGGAAGAAGATGTAGCTTGCCAGACTGGCAAGGTTGTCTGCTTCGAACATGCTTGGCGCGGGGAGAACTGACTCTTGAACGTACTGAAAGCCGTTATTAGCTGGCTCGTCTCGACAGTATATATAGCTTTATGTTTTTCCGCATTAGTGCATGCGCTGAAATCAATACTGATTTCCTTCTCTTTCTTACTTGCATCCTGTAGAGTTCTGTGATTCTTTCTGCGATGACTTCGTCAACGTTGAGCACGTTTTGAAAAGAGCAAATGTTCTTCAGGTAATCTCGGTGTTTTAATTCGTCTTTTCTCGTCGGGTTGTATTCCATCACCCCCACCACATCCTAATTTTATTATCAGCGCAAATTAAGATAATCTCTATGTAGAAATTATTGCGCAAAATTGCTCTTTTACGAAAGAATATCAGATTCTGAAACAACCCAAAAGAAGCTTGAGTCCAAAGAAGAATTTTCGAATCTTTTTTATTTTCGATCTGATGAGTAAAAATGCGTTGAAAAAACACAAATTCAAGCCTTTCGCATTCCTCTACTTATGTAACAAAGAGTGTACTTACAAAAATGTATTCTGGCTTAAACATGATCTCGTATAGATCTGCTTGATTGAGCAGCCAGATAGATTTGAATATTTCGTACAAGACACGGAGACTGTTTGCGTCTTCCAAATCCTCAACAGAGTGGAAGACCTCCAAGAGCTTTGGAATGTAGTTCTGGCCCTTGATCGCAGCTGCGAGTTTCTCTCGGCGTTGCATTCGACAGTGATTTTGAATGCTGTCTCTAGAGAATCGCAGTTTAGCAAACATTAGTCTTCGTTGATTTCAATTTACCTGATTTGCTCTATATTTCTGACTTCCGGCGAGGGCAGTTCCAAGTCATCTTCTGGCTCCTCATCTGACGATTGCAGCGGATCAGTTTGGTCTGGATCGCGCCCCTGGCATTGGCAGATGCGTTCCCAAATTTCCTCGCATCCCTGTCGCTCTTGGAAGGACAGAGCCAGGTCGTTTTGATCCTCACTCCAGACAATGAGCGTTTCTTGTTGCTAGAATTTGTGAATAGAAGGGATATCGGACCCTTTGGACTCACTTTTGAGTAGTTTGTATCCTGTCTGATTTCGCTGTCGAGCAAGATGCTGTTGTCAACCTCTGAGCGAACAAGTAGCGAGACGACATCATCTGGACCCGTCTGCGCTGTCACGTGACCAGTGCCTCGGTCGTCCCACTGGCGATCGTCGTTCAGCTGGTAGACTTTAACCCGACGACGCGTGCCGCCCGTCGTTTCCCCCGCAGCTTGCATATCACTCTGGCGGAGGCGGCTGAATACGGAATCGATTACTCTCTGATAAAGGGCTATCATAACAGCTTTCTCGCAAGTTTCAAATATTTGATTATTTCATGCCCTAAAGTCTAAGACTTTGCGCGCCCCGACTCTCGTACTGACTCAAAAATAAAACCAACCGAGAGCATTTTTCATCAGCACTCTAAGATAGGGTGGCGACATGGGTTTTACGCTCTCCCCCATTAAAAACGTACCGTAAAAGCATCATGAGGTTTGCTCCTAAGTCAACCATGAAACTAATGATTCTCTTTTAACGAATAAAATGAAAACAGCGTCTGTTAGAAACGGCAGAGAAAAACTCTTATTTTCAAAATCATCTAGAAACTTTTCAACAACTAATTCCAAAATCTCCCCTTGGCTCTTCCCTTTTCAAATTTTTGTTCCTGCGAGAAAAACTGAGGCAAGTAAAAACGCATGTAGAAAAATAAAGGTTTTATGAATAGATAAATAAGTGAAAATGAGGCAGAGAAATGGCACACAAGTAAGCATGGTATGTTTTTTTTGGTTTCGGTTTGGAGGTCAGTTCAACTGGCGACATATTCTTTTTATGGCGTTATTTTGGGGAGACTCTCTATTTTGCTTCGGAGACTGACGGATTCGGAAATGAATGAAGGAAGTTATACAGAAATGAATGAATAGAAAAAACGCAAAGAAATCAGTTTCTAGTTCTTTTTACGCTTTTTCGCCGAATTATTATTCTTATTCTGAGTCTTTAGTTTCTTATCCTTGTCAGATAAATTTGACTTTTCTTTCGGAAGAGGAGCGGGTGAGGGCTTCGGTTTCTTGCTCACTTCGAGCTTGGGAAGCTGCTGCGGGTGGCTTTTGCCATTGAGCGTGAATGGCGGAATCTTCATCATTTTGGACTGCTTCGATTGATGGTTGATTGCGGGGAGCTTCTGCGTCGTCATCTTAAAATTTGAGGAAAATTGAAATCAACAAGGAGTAAAGCTCGTTTACCTTTTTCTGCGCCGGCTTTACCGGGTTCTGGCGCGGCTTGAACCGGGGGAACTTCGGAAAATTCGGTTCTTTTGGGTTATTCGGGTGTGTAGCTAGCGAGCGGTTAACAAGGGTCTTTGGTTTCTTTTTTTGATTCTCGTAGTTGGAAGCGACCGAATGGCTTTCAAAGTCAACACCGGAGTCTTTCGATCCTTCTCGGTTTCCTAAAAGGTATTCTTCTATGATTCTTTCAAGGGATGTTCATGACTCACCGATGTTCTGGGAGCCGCGTTGAACGAGCTGACACCACTCTGAACGAAGCGCCTGCCGGGCAGAAATTCTCTCGTCTGGATCGTATTTGATCAGCTTTTTCAAGAGCGAAATGCCATGACGGGACATGACATTGCTCAGCCCTCGCTCGATTCCGATTCCATCTTTCTAGAGAAAAATAAGAGGAGGAAGACAAGGATAAACTTACGATCGGGAATTCCCAGGGGATCTGGCGATTCCTGCACTTGTAAAACTTGTTCAAAAGTCTTTCAGGAGGGGAGCCAAGAATCGTATGAATTCTATGAATCTGATCCAATTCATTAGCTCCAGGAAACAAGGGTCTGAGAGTGGCAACTTCGTACATGACGCATCCAGCCGCCCAAATATCCATCTTCCAGCCGTAACTAAAGCAACTTGTCAGAACCGGAGTGGATTTCCCACAAAGTACTTACACTCCTTCCGTCAGTAAGCATTCCGGCGGTCTGTACCAGCGGGTCGAGATGTATTCTGTCAGAGGCTGTTTGGAATGGACTGATCGACACGATCCGAAATCGCCGAGTTTCAGATGGTTGTCGGAAACGAGGACGTTTTCTGGCTTGATATCCCTGAAAACAAGGTGTGTTTACGAGGTCAAAAGGTCGATGGGGGGCGAATGACCTCGGTTGATTTACCTGTGAAAAATCCCCGCTCGGTGCATGTGATCCAGCGCAGTTAAAAGCTGAAAAGTGAGGTAGGAAACGACTTTCTCGCTGAGCGGCCTTGAGCGACCCCGAATCATTTCGTACAAATTCTGCTCGCATAGTTCACAAACCAGGCTCAATGTTCCTGCCCTTCGATCGAATATAATCTCTATAAAACGATTGATGGGGGGATGAAATTGAGGCTAGTACCTTTTAACGCAATAATGTGATTATGCGGGTTGAGGCGTCGCAGCGCTTGGACTTCGCGCAGACTGTTAACCTGCTGGACGGAGTGAAACTTTTGTTTCATCCGCTTGATTGCTACATGTTTGTTGGTGTGACAGTGTACCGCCTAAATCAGCCGGTTAATTGGAGCTCTTTTCTTGATTGGCTTTTGGAAAGAATACAGACTTCTTATTGGCTGAAAACTTACTTTTAGGACCTCTGAAAAGGTTCCTTCTCCTGCTTTTCCCAGGACCTTGTACTTGTGTATAATCTGGCCATTCTCGAACGACTCACCCATCCCATCAAGAAAATTTCTGAAAAGCAAACATTCTAGCATTTTTGTTTGGTCCGTACAATACTTTATCATAACTGGAACGTTTTGGAAGTATAAATGGGCAGTTAGTTTGAACTAAAAATTTGTAACTACTGTAACAGGCACTCTTCTCCTTGCATTTTAAATTTTCCTGTTTTCTTGTGTTTCTTCTTTTTTCTAGAGGCAGACGCAGCGGGACTTCTTCTTCATGCCTTTCTTGCCCATCAAAGCCGAGGTGGTTGCCATTTGGAAAACCCCTAAATAAACAATAACACCGATAACCTCTTTGTACAAGGCAAACAGGGCTAAATCGCGGATCAAGACACGAAAAAGGACAAATCTGATAAGGGTGTGATCTTCAAATAATGATAAAAAAGCAGCTAGATTATACATTTTCCCAGAAGATTTGAAGTAAAAAAATCCAAATTTTCGACTTCTTTCCCTTCTGATTCGATGATATTAAACATAATCGCGTTTGATTTGCTAAAAAACCCCATATAGGAAAAATATAGGCAAATATTAGTGGCCATAAATGCCATTTATAAGTAAAAGATTTTTGCCCTCTTGATCAATTTATAATAGAAATATACGTACGGATTTTAGAAGCTGATTGTTAAATAAAGACTTCTGATCTCATTTTATCATTGAACATAAAAATTACTCTCAAAAATTGACAAATTTCAGCGTCTCCGCAAGGGCGTCATAAAGCAGAATATGTCAATATTGTTTCTTTTCACTTACGCTCTACGCCATCGTTTGTCAAAGCGGAACACTCGGCAAATCCAGCCGCGCCGATGTCCTGGCTCAAGCGCTCTCCAGAAATGTACGAGACGCAGCCGGACTCGTTCTTCTGACTGAAAGATCTAGCGTTATTCTTTGCTTTTCTGCCGAAGAGGAAGTGATAAAAGCGGTGATAAAGAAGAGATTGGTGTGTTAAATGAGATGAGCATGCATGTGAGTGACTAGGGCTAGCAACAAAATGAGTTGTTTTTGAGAAACTCGTTCTATTGCTAACCCTGGAAGTGAGTGATTTAGGAATTACCGGAGGTCTTTTTTGAGACCGACAAGAATAATCGGGACATTTGGGCAGAAGTGCTTCACTTCTGGATACCACTTTTCTACACAATGATTAGCAAGACTGAGCGGACTTTACTGGCTTTGATTATCTAGCAAAATCATGTTCTAGTAGCTGGAAATGTCTACTACTGCCAAAAAGAGGAAGAAGAAGCGTACCTCGGATGTTGTCAAAAGAGTCTGGGTTGGACATGTCGTAGCAAATTAGAATGACATCAGTATCTGGGTAGGACAGAGGGCGAAGACGGTCGTAATCTTCCTGGCCAGCTGTATCCCAAAGTCCAAGCTCGACGTGTTTGCCAGAGTGGACATCGATGACGTCGGCGATGTAGTTTTCAAAGACAGTGGGCACGTAGGCTAAAAGAGTCGATTATCTTGATCTCTACTTACCCAAACCCAAGGGACCCTCTAAGTACTCCCGATAAGTACTCCCAGTCCCATTTATTAACTGTATAACTCGACTTACACTTTGGGAACTGATCTTGCGAGAAAACCATGAGAAGACATGTCTTTCCGGAGCATCCGTCTCCGACAATCACTAACTTCTTGCGTACACTCATTCTAGAGACTGATAATACTGTAATTTGCAAAACTACTGTATTTGATTTGTACAACTATATTTGTTTTTGTTTTTATCAAATAAATAATATTCATACTATTCAGTACTGCTCAATCGCTGTTAGAAGAAAAAAGGGTTGAAGAAAAGTTTAAAGTCTACATAATTTTTGTGTACTGCGGTCGACCATAAATACAGTCTCTCTCCCTCGAGCGCACATTGAGCCGAGGGATGAAAACACTGAGAAATGCTAGAATTGGATAAGGACCGAAGATGAGCCGTAAATTAAACGCGCTGCCCTTCGAGTAGCTAAAGTTTTTCTTCCGATGGTCGTAGTCAGTTTGATTGTTGAGAATTAGTCGAAGTTGGTGTTGAAAAAGCGCTTCAAATTGGTGCTAAACTTATCTCTCTTTTCGCAAATTTTTAAAGATCAAGTTGGAAATCAACGATAAATACGAGGGGCTCTAGAAAGAAATCTTTGCTGAACCAATTCCTGAAGCAAATAGAAGCGAAGCAAGCTGAGCCGCCACAGTGACCATCACAAAGCTCCCAGACCAAGTTGAATAGCCAAAGAGAGGCATGAAAATGTAGAAGGGCGGCAAGAAATAACCAAATAACACGCGCCAGGACAATTCTAGCGGCATGTAGTGCTGCTTTTGTTACTCATGTTAATTCTTAATTCATAGAAAACTCGATAAATACCGTTTTATCAGACCTTTTAATGAAAATATCGATCAAAAATCTGTAAAAATCTCGTATTAGTGGGTTTATTAGCGGTAATTTATTGATTTTGAGAGCTTATTTCGTTATTAAATGATTCCTAATTGCATTTGAAAATGACTTATCCAAGGATTTCTTTGAGTTGGAAAAGTATCTCTTTTTTGACTATCTGTTTTCTTGTTTTTTTTTCTTCAAAAAATTGATGTAAAAGCACCTGAGCTTGAAGAAAATGCGCATTGATTGATGGATGGATGTATTTTGTAAATGTATTTTTGTGGATGAGTAACTAGCCTTGGATAAAAGCGGGGCGCATAGAAGTAGCCCATAGCAGCAGGCTAATATGATCCAGAATAAAAAGAAGACGAAGTTGCGCTGATTTCCCAGGCCAATGCAGACCCCGGTGAAGTGACAATGATGATTGCGCTAGTGTTCAAAATAAGAAGAAGGGCGTAATCGATAGCTACCCACCTTGAGAATGCAAGCGTCACAAAGGGGACAGTGGTGGCTGCGTGGCGGCCGATGCGTGTGACAAATGCTGCAGAAGTCCCAACCTCGCGGCGGGTTGTCGAACCAGACGCTAGAATTATTTTTTTAGAGAAATTGATTGTTTCAAATAGCTCTTTTCTCCCATATTTCTAGCCCTTATGTCTGGGGGCCGTATTGTGCCAAAGACATAGACCCAGCTATTGAGCCAATCAAAAACGAATATTTCGATCTACAGCCAATCAAAACCCACGATTTCTAGATCAATAGCGCACCTTATTATCCCAAAAATCGAACTTGATTTTGAACTTACCCGTCATTGAAAAGAGGTTGAAGTCTTCGAACTTGTTTCCAGTGTGAATAAATTTGAAAGAGAAAGATGCAGTGAAGAAAAAAGTGAAGTGTTTGCGAGTTCTTTGAAGCGGTTGGCACGTTGAAGAGGTTAATGACGAGCAGGGAGGCGAGTATCACCCCGCAAATGACCCATTTTGAGCAGAAGAAGAGCCTGAATCTCACTTTGAGCGCTAGAAATAGAGCAAGAGACGCACCTGCGCCCTTCCTCTGGAGTTTGAGCGTTCACAATCCTGCGAGTGCGACGCAAGCAGCCCCGCGACCTGTGTGTCTTTTTCGAGCTTATCGCGACATCAATGACGGTGTCTGCATACATCCATGTGCGATTTTTGGGTTATCGACAAGCGAACTTATGCTAGCAAATACTGATAGCGCGCGACAGGGACAGAACTGGTATTTTATGCAACTGAGAAATAATCAAAAAAACATTCTAAAGTTCATTCTTTTTTGACTTTGGAAAAAGGCGACATTTGAAATGTTGAATATATTCATGTGTGTAAAGCAGTATTGCACGATAAAAACTGAACTGTCAAAAACAAAAAAATCAGATCCAGCCGGAATAAAATAAAATAAGAATAATACAAAAGCCTATGACGACGCCCATGATCAAGGAGTCGCGTCTCTTGCGGATTTGAATTCGCCCTATGAGACTGTTCAGCATCGGGAACTTTTGGCCCAGCTCGAGGAAACGTTTGTTGATGCCCTTGTACAAACTGCGCTGGAAACGGAGCGACTCTTGCGTGTCCATAGCGATCTTGATTGCCTGATCGGCTAAATTGTGGCTGCTGTTTTCAGAGTTTTTAAAATCGACTTCAACAAATCAAATCAACAATTTTAAACCCTTTCCTTTTCAATTTATCATTTTCTTTATTCAAAACTTGTTCGTTCGAAAACGACTTGTTGCGATAGGCTTCGATATCATTTCTGACTGATCCGAGTAAATCAACCCTATTCTTCGATGCTCTTGATTTCTCCTTTGCCCTCTTGAATTGCGAGTAGTAGTCGGATAAGACGTCTCTGTGGCGTGAAACTTTGTGCTGCAGCGCGACTAGAAGGCACTCCTTAGAAATTTTGGAAATCAAGGAAGACTTACATGAAGGCGAGGATGATATTTTTTGCTCTGCTCCGTCGATTATTTCGGTTAGTTCGTCTAGCAGTCGATTTATGTCGTTCTCGAGATGGTCTACGTTCGCGAAACTCTGTGGGTTGAGAAAAGAAGCGAGTTTTATGTCGAGCTGAGCTTCTGTCTTGCGAAACTGTATCTCCCAACTCATTTTCTATTTTTTTTTTCTGAAGACGCAAAAATTATAAAAGAATCAGACACAATTTTCAATCTCAACAGATTTTTATATTCAATCAGAGTTCAAAAGTCAGGAACAGTTCAGTGGAGTACTGTAACATTACTGTAGCAGATCTGGAGATTACGTAGGGAGCAGTTTTTCTTTCTAACATTCGAGCGGGTCGACATTCCGACGATTTAAACAGAACAGGCGGTTGGGAGCTTCTGGATGTCCTGAAAAACGAATGAGGGGCTGTTATGACTGGGCAAGTTACCTTGATGGCCTTGCCAAAGTCGCTCATGTACTCCTCGCCGGGCTTGACGAGCAAGACGCAGGTGGGGCGTTTGGAGCCGATGGCAGCTCCGAGATCGTGCTTCGAAGGAACGAAAACGTATGGAATGTCGTTGTCCTCAAAGATGCAAGGCAAATGGCTAAAAAAGTTGTTCAAACAAACGTTGTCGTATTGCTGCTTTACCAGTAAACATCGATTGGGAAGGTGTCTCCAGCAAGGACGGCGAAACCCTTCTCGCCTTTCTTCACGTACTTGATCACATCCTAAAACCGAATTAACCTGTTGAAACGGGTTAAGAAGTGCTCTACCTTGACGCCTCTTCTAAGGCATGTCTTGTCCTTTGATGCTTTCTTCGAACACTTGAAGATGCGCTTGCAAAGCTTTTTCGAAGCAACAGGCTTGGCGATGTCGTTCATCAAGCCGAGTTGCTCTAGAAACCCCCTGTAATCATTCTTACGATCAAGCCTTTTTTACCTTCGTAGCTGATTCCTTCAGTCTCCTCGACCATAGATTCGTCCATTGTGGCTTCTTCCTCTCGTGGTGGCATTTTTAGTCAACGAATCAAATCTTCGAAAAAAGGGTTGAAAACATGAGATTTCACGATTTACGAGAATTTCGTTATACATTTGAATAGAAATAGTTTTACAGTCGAAGATAGGAATAAATCCAACTGGGCTCTTGTTGAATAAAACGGCCATAAAAGAGAATTATCAAAATAGAACAGAAAAGAGGGTAAACAAGCTTCAAATTTCTATATACAGGAAACGTTGGGATTTGACGAAAAAAAGACGGTTGAAGATAGAAAATTATGAATTAGAAATAGTTTTAGCGAAATCCCAAATTAGGACCTTTTACATGTATTTACAACATGAAAGTGGACGAAAACGGAACTAAACGAAGAGAAAAAAATATCGCCTATTTTAGTTAAAAAGGGATGATAATGACTCATCACGACCCGACCATCCCATGGAGCCGGTCACAACTCGGCCTGGGCATGTTCTGCGCCTGTTTGATCAGATTCTGGTCGCGGTAGATTTGCGCGCGGCGTAATTTTTGCTCGGCTGAAGAGGAAAGGTTCGGGAAGTTGTGGAATTCAATGGCTTACCATTTAGCGTTTCTTGATAACAATTCATCCTCAAATTCTCCACAAAATCATGTCGCACTTGTCGTTCCACATCTTTCCTCGCCTTCGAGTTCGCTGGATACGAAGAAACAAAGTCCGATTTGGTCCAGTAATAAATAGGAGGATCTTCTTTTGGAAGCGCGTGCTTGATCACATAACCCCGGTTTCTGAACACAATCAGAAAGGGAGAACAGAAGGTGGAGACTTACACAGACTTGTGAAGAGAAAACGTCGGGTCGGGCGTCATCAAATTTGAAAATAAGGAAAGAGCGATGAGGACCAAAAGCGGCATAAATTGAAGCCAGACTCCAGCGCTCCCAGTGTACTAAAAATACGTTAGCATAATAAAAACGGCTACAAAGGGCTCTCTGGATAACGAATGCATCCATGCGAAGCCTGATTGGATCAAAGGACACGGAGAATGAATTCGTTATCAGTAGACCTTCGTGAAGAAAGAGAAACCAACTCATGTTTTTAGAATTTTTAACACTCTAGTTATCGAAAGAAAGAACTACCTCTTCTTCCTCCCTTCTTCTAGTTTCCCGCCGCTAGAATTTTTAGGTGGCTCGCTTGAGCTGACTTTTTGACTTACTTCTTGTTCATACTGTCGTTGTTGGTGATGTCTTCGTTGCTGATGATGGTTGAAATTGTGGCGGAAATGGTGCGTTCTGCGCATTCTTTGAGCTGAAAAAGTAGGTTAGAAAAGTGGATGAAAGGGCTTCTTACAGGGAAATCCGCCGCCAAAGAACATGTTAAAGATTTCATCGGGGTTGATGTGATCCTCGTCGAAGTGAAAGTGATGGCCTCCGTGACCACCACCGCCACGTGATTGCGTCGCGCCGTCGGCACCGTATCGATCGAAGGCGGCTCGTTTGTCCCCGTCGGAAAGTGTGTTGTAAGCCGCGCCGATTACTGAAAATAACAAAATCAGATTCTGAACTATTGATCAATAAACATGGGTTCTTTCTTGATTTCTGAAGGGCTAAGAAAAACAGAAGAATGGTCTTTTTTAGCGCTCACCTTTGAAAGCTTCATCTGCTCTTGGCGCCTGATTTTTATCCGGATGCATTTTCAAAGCCAGTTTTCTGTATGCTTTTTTGATGTCGCTATCGCTCGCGGTCTTCTCAACTCCGAGGACTTTGTAGTAATCTTTTCTGGCGGAAAGAATCTTGTTGACTTGAGAGACTTGTTCGGGAGTGTAGTTCTTTTGCACGGGTTCTTGGGTGGCGGATGCGGCCGATTTTCGTTGACGAGTTGTGGAAGGCACGGAAGAGGATGATGGCTCGTTCTGAAAGCAAATTTGGGAAGAGGAAAATGTGGAAAGAATGATACCATGATTTAAAAAGTCTCTATTTTCGTCAAAAAAAGTCAAAAAATAGCGACGATAAAATAAAGCCACGTCGCCTTATGAAAAGCTCAAAATGACGAAATTTTCATTGAATAACCGAAAGATAATCGAATGGTTCTTTCGTTTAGACATTGTTTTTATTGCTGTTGTATTTCGTTTTGTTACTTACAGTCATATTCTTCGCTTTTTCGAGCAAATTCTTTGCTTGATCCGTTTCGTAAAGTCTTATCGATTTCTCTATCATTCTTATCGCTTTGTCCTTATCTCCACTTGCGATGCAGCTCCTCGCTCTTGGAATTTTTATCAATTTTTATTCAGAAATAGAATTTTTTACCTCCGCAAACATTCTTCTGCTGCTTCTTTATTTGAATCCATTTTATGTTTTCTTTATTCTCTTTTACTAATTAATGCCCAATTCTGACTATCAAAATCCAAGTCGACGAAAAAACAATTATCCGATAAAAATTCCTGACGCTGGATTGGCGTCGCGCTCGCCAATCAGCGCCGCGGAAAAATGAAGTATGAGTCACGCTCATTGATCTCGCCGCGCTGACTCACAGACGCAGTAGTAATCGAGCTCAAGAAATTCCGAATTCGCCAAGAAGAATGAAAATTTACTAAAATGAAACAATTGAAGGAAAAATTCACGTACGGCTAGTAATTCTCAGAGAAAATTCGACGAGATTTTGCTTTGAGAAAATGAAAATAAATAAAAATTAATAAAAAGCTGTTTTATTTTGAAATTTTATTCATCAACATCGAAGTTATCAAAAAAAAAAAATATAAAATGAAGCCACTGATATAGCGATATTGGTAGTTACTATCCCCAGTGTTTATCTTCCCTGGAACATTCTGACTGTACTCTCTGTTACGTAACTCTCTAATCTCGTGCCAGAAAACAGTTCTCTGCTCAATCATCCTTTCAAAAAATGACGCGTTTTTCTGAATTCAGAGATTCGCCAAATTTCCCTCTGGATCAAGAAAAAAAAGAAGAAATAAAATCTAGAATCAACGAATAAAAAAAATACAAAAAAATGGCCGACGAAGTGAAGGAAGAAACCAACTCGATCGTTTTTCTCATGGTCAGGTACTCATCAAATCCGCCATTTTTCTACTTTTTCATCCTTTTTTTCAAAGATGGAAGAACAAGACAATCTATTTGGACGCAAAAGAATCCGACACCGTGGAAGTCATCAAGAACCAAATCGACAATTTGCTGGCCGTAGAAAAGTCCAGCCAGCGACTCTTCAAAATGGACAACGGAAAACCGAGCCAGGAAGAACTCATTGATCCCAAATCGCTCGTCAACTGCGGCATCACCGGCACTGCTACTACTGCTTATCGGTTAGTTTTGAAATCAAGGGCCATAAAATGAAGTTTCTTCCCATCTTTCTGTAGTTTTCCGTGCACTCTAAAGGCATTTATAGTAAAAAAAATAACAGTCATGGAATCATACGAAAAGATAGTGACAAATTTCTGAACCCCTTAAGGGATAATATTCTCAACCAAATTCAAGGCTCAAGGAAACCTAAGTCAGGGTTTGACAGATGACCTGGATTGTTCAGAGCGTCTTTCAGACCCTGACTCGGGTTTTTAACACAGGTTTCTCCGCCCAGAATCAGGCCTTATTTGAAGAGTCCCAGTTTTAAACCACTTTTCAGCCCGTTCGAAATTTGCCTCTCCCCCGACTTCGGAAACGGCTTTGAAGAAGCGGAAGTGTGTCCTTACTCCTCGCCGCCTGATCTGCCCGGCGTTTTCATCCCCGACAAGACCGAATCCAAAGAAAACTGATGAGAAAGAACCAACTTCCTTCAATTATTATTATTCGAAATTCGAATCGTTCATTTAGAATTAGGATTTGCGTATATTCTTATTCACCCTCCTTTTTTATATATTTTTCCTCGAAAAAACTCACGATTCCCTGGATTCTTACATGTATTTTTTTTGTTCAACAGTTACAGTTACTTTTTTTCGGACCTTCACAAAACAACAACAATCCTTTTTTTCTTCGGAATCAAGAGTTTTAACCAGCAGCTTTAGAAGATGTCAGCCACACTCGCTCCTTATTTAAAAGCTGTTCGATCGAGTCTTACTGCCTCTATGTGCATTCAAAATTTCGACTCTCAGGTACTATTTTCTTAGAAGAAGAAAAATATAAGGATAACTTAATTATCAGCAAATTGCCCAAAAAATTTGGACAAACCTTGAGGATAGTCCCTAAATTGTCGACTTCGGATGGTCACGTACACACTGATCATACGTGATCATCCAAAATGGACAATTTAGGGGCGTTCATCGAAGATTTATCCGAACTTTTGGAACGATAATCGAAATTTTAGTTCGGCCCCTAAGTTGAAAGTTTAAACCTGAGATAGCAATAGAAGAAAAAAGCGGTCTTATCATCGACCTTCTTACCTAGTTCTTGACATTTTCCGTTCAGCTCGTTGAGCGATACAACAAGCCAGAAGTTGAAATATCAAGCGGCAAAGAAATTGAGCTGACTCCTCTTGTTATCGGTATAAATTTAATAATATTTATAATTTCGTGGCTATACAAGCTCCAACTCACTTCCCCACACCAAATTGAAATCCATTTACAGCGCGAAATGAAAAAGAGAAAGTCCTCATCGAATCTTCTTTCAATTCCATCCGCGTTTCTATCATGATCAAGCAGGCAGATGAGCTAGAAGAAATCCTAGGTAGATTACATGTACATAGAATCAGGGATGATATGATCTTTAGTGAACAAATTCAGCAGAATTTTGATGCAGCGAGCAGAGAAATTCGCGATTATGAGAAGAAAACCCGTCCCTGGTTACACTATTTCCTTCTTGATCACCAATATCCATACTGAAGGTTGCTAGAGTCATCAGAATGTCCCTAAAATATTCTTCAGACATGTACAAAAACAAACTAGTGGACTTCATCATCCAATTCATGGAAGAAGTGGACAAAGAAGTGTCCGATTTGAAGCTCGCCGTCAACGCGAGAGCCCGAATTTGCGCCGCCGAGTTCCTCAAAAACTTCTGAGCAAAAAGAAAGACCAAGAAACTAAAAACATGCAACTTTCCTGAAATCATGATTCGCCAAGAGCTTCAACCTAAATCATCAGTATCCAGAATACAACTTTGAAAAGAAGCAACTTATCACATTTTTTGTGTGCCCAATTATATTTTTTTGTGAATGCGCTCTGTTTTTCAACACTTTCCTATTGTTTTATTTCTTCTTATTTCCTTCTCAATTCCAACTTCAACAATCAAAACTACTCAAAACAGCCGAAAACTAAACATTTTTCAGGGTTTAGGAATCGGCCGGATGAAGTGTCCCTTCGTTAGTAGTGTGTCCACCGGATTGTTCAAAAGAAGCAACATCACTCTCGCTTCCGCACTCAACCACTGTCCCTTTATCAGGTATTCCAGCTATCCTCTTTCCCCTGATCTTAATCCATCTTTAGACAGCAGCGATCACTGAGAATTACCCCCGAAAACACCCTTTCCTCAAAAACCCAATCGGCTAAAAGAGAGACGGGAGAAAAGAACTGTCCCTACATTCACGGACAGACAGTAGAACGGCCCCGATGTCCTGTTACCAATATCGAAACCGCAGATGTGCCCAAATCCGATGTCTTGCAAAATATTTACCAGGAGACACCGGGAAGTATACGAAAGAATCCCGTGCCTGGTAAGACCCTTGATTGATGTTCTGATTGTTTTATCGAATTTAGGGAAGATACCGGAAGTTTGGGCAGAATCGATGCATCTCCAGCTGCAGAAAAAGAAAGATGACGGAACTTATCGCAATTTAATGACTTTAAACAAAAGTAAGTGACTGTAAGAAAAGACGGTATTCAAATAACTGTTTTAAGGCACCCAAAGAGCGCCTTTGCTAGACAAGATCGACTCTAAGGTGGTTTACCCTCTCGTTCGCGAAAGCTACTGCTCCAACGACTACCTCAATATGAGTTCTCATCCAACCGTAATCAAGGCAGCTGTGCAAGCATCTGAGAAGCACGGAACTGGCGCCGGCGGCACTCGTAACATTTCTGGAACATCAGAGTTAACTGTCGCTTTGGAGAGGGAGATTTCTTCGTGGCATCAGTCAGAAGATGCCTTGATTTTTAACGGCTGCTATCCAGCGAATGACGCGACGCTTTCTACCCTCCTGGGCAGACGCTTTCCAGGAGCGCAGTGCTTTTCCGACGCTGGAAATCATGCCTCGATGATTCAGGAAGGATTTACAAGCCCCTCTTGATCCATCTGAGATGGGCTTCTCCCAGTCTTACACTCAGCTGTGTCGTAGTTTGATTCTCCTCCTTGTTTCCCCAAGTTTTGACTTTGTTAATAAAATCCAGTAAAGGGCATGTTACGCGGGAAGCGAGAGCAAGCCGATCCTTCCAACCGCCTCTTTACCTTCCGACACGATTCGCCTGAGCACTTGGAGAAGCTCCTCCGCGAAGAATACCTCAAGGATCCCTATCTTCCCCGAATCGTCGCTTTTGAATCTGTTCACTCGATGGGCGGAAACATCCAGCGCATTTCGGAACTCGCTGATGTTGCTCATCAATATGGAGCGCTAACTTTTTGCGATGAGGTTCACGCTGTTGGCCTGTATGGGCATACTGGTGCTGGTATCGCGGAAGTCGAGCGAGTGAGGAATAAAATTGACATCATTTCCGGAACGCTTGGAAAGGGCGTCGGCGGATTTGGAGGTTACATCACTGGACCTGCTTTGCTTATTGACCAAATTCGGCAACACGCACCAGGTAAAAGTTCAAAAAAGGCTGCACATTTTCAACTCTTTTAGGCTTCATTTTCACGACTGCGATGCCTCCACCTGTCCTTGCTTCAAACATCGCCTCCATTCGCATCCTGAAGGGTCCGGAAGGACGGCAGCTTCGGGAACAACACTGGGAGGCGGTGAACGCACTGCGAGATGAACTGGACGACTTAGGGATCGAGTACAAGAAGCCCTCTCGTGCGAGCCACATCACGGCTGTTGAACTCGGCTCGACCTGGCTAGCTGATCAGGTCATGGAAGAACTGGATAACCGAGGGTTCTACGTTCAAGGTAAAAAATGAATCAATCTTGCATCCTTCCTAACAAAACGTGTCTCAGCTATCAAGAGCCCAACAGTTCCCATGGGCGAGGAGATGCTCCGACTGACCTGCTCCCCTCGCCACCTGCGCAACAAGCAGATCATCCCCCGATTTGCATCCGAGCTTTTCAGCACCATCAATGCCTATCAACAAGTTGCTAACTAACTCCAGCTTCTATCGAAGACATAGCATATGCTTCAGTTGAAATTGATTCTTTCTCTTCTTTATTTCTAGCCTTCAAAAAGCTTACTTAGTCTTTCAAACCTTATTTATTATCCAACCTCGGTGTCCAAAATCCTGGTGATCCACTTTTGAACCGCTACTACTACCGGAACGAGTTGTTGTTGAGTCAAGTCGAGTCCCGCAGCCTGGTGTGGCCAGCGTGTTTTTTCAGTTTTCCTCTCTTTTTATAATAAAATTAATTCAAATCAAGTTCCTATTTATTCCTCTTTTCTTCAATCAAGAAAGTAAAAAAGCATCAATCAAAGCACTAATTCTAATTCCAATAATTCAAAAAATACATTCTCAAAAACGACTTTTTCAGGAAGATATTTTTTCAGACAACGATGACGGTACCAAGTGATGATTCTGGAGGCACGGAGCTGCCGGGCAACCGCGTGCCAATTTATTACTTTGATCCTGTTGTTGGCGCGTTTCATTATGGACCGAGGCATCCGATGAAGCCGCATAGAATTCACATCACCCACTCGTTAGTTCTCAGTTATCGGCTGCAAAATCACATGCATCTGTACAAACCGAAGTTGGCGACGAAATATGACATGTGTACTTTTCACACAGAAGGAACGGTTGATGAGTCTTCCTTGATTTCAAAAAGCCTTTTTTGACAAAAAATCAACCTCCATAAGAATACATCGATTTCCTGAGCAAAGTAACGAATGACAACTGTAGCCAATTTAGCCAAGGTATTCGTCAAAATAAAGATAGAGGGATAAAAAGTATTAAATTAAGAACTGAAGCAATTTTCCGTCGGAAGCCCAAATGGCGATTCTCCTGTTTTCGGAGGCATGTACGAGTTTTGCCAGAGATTTTGCGGCGGAAGTTTGACCGCAGCCCAGCACATGAATCAAGGTCTTTCTGATGTGACAATCAACTGGGCGGGTGGACTTCATCATGCGAAAAAATCAGAAGCGAGTGGTTTTTGCTACGTGAATGATATTTGCGTCGCTATTCTCGAACTTCTCAAGTATCATCCAAGGTATTTTCAATAACCTCATTTTTTTCTTCAATCTCTTGTCAGAGTAATGTATCTCGATATTGATGTTCATCACGGCGATGGAGTTCAAGAAGCGTTTTACCTGACAGATCGAGTGATGACCGTCTCGTTTCACAAATACGGTCGTGATTTCTTCCCGGGGACGGGGGACATGTACGAAATCGGCGAGCAGCAGGGAAAGTACTATTCAGTCAACGTCCCGCTTCGGGTAATTTTTTGTCTTCCTTTTCAACTTCAAAAGATGGCTTTAGGATGGAATCAACGACGAAACCTACCACGATGTGTACAAGCCGATAATGGACGGAATAATCAAGTACTACCGGCCCACAGCTCTGGTTATGCAATGTGGCGCAGATTCGCTCGGGATGGATCGTCTTGGAGTCTTCAACCTGTCCATCGGTGGCCATGGAGAAGCAGTCAATCATATGAAAAGGTTTGGTTCTTTAGGTGAGTATAAAACTCACCTGTTGTTTCAGCTACGGAATTCCCATCATGTACCTTGGAGGCGGAGGCTACACTCTCCGAAATGTAGCGCGCTGCTGGGCCTACGAAACCTCCATCATCGCCGGTCGTCGGGTTGGCAACGATATTCCCTACAACGACTACCACGAATTCTTCATGCCTGATTACAAGCTTCAGCCCACGATCACTTCCAACAAGGTATCTTTGATCAGCAATCTTTCAAATTATCTCAACCTCTTGTAGCCGGATAATTTGAACAAGAAAGAGTACATTGAGTACATAAAAGAATCAACACTGCAAAATCTGAAACGACTACCTTTCGCTCCTTCTGTTCAAATGCACGATGTTCCGCCAGATCTCTACTACTACGATGACTTTGAAGACCGTGAGTAGCCCAGTCCTGTTCCAAACCCGCTTCAAACTACTGATATTTCTAGCTGATGACACGCACATGGACGAAAGCGGAGTAAACATAGGCCCAGGCCAGATGCAGCGAAGACCGCATTATCATGAGCATTACGATGAAAATGCACCCGATGTGGACAATAGTGACGAAATGCGGCGACACAAGACGATGGGGGAATGCTACAACGATCATCTCAAATCGCTCTGATTGAATGAATTAAGAACACTTCATGCTGCCATTCCTACTTGATTTTTACTGCTGCCCTGTGTCGTTCCACTGCCCAAAATAACAATATTCAAAGTAGAAATTTCGAATAAAACGGTGAAAATTCAAATTTTATCGACTTCCGGGAACTCGAATTTATAATGCAGCATTTTGCGAGCCCCATCAGTTGTCTCTATGGCGCAATTGGTTAGCGCGTTCGACTGTTAATCGAGAGGTTGCTGGTTCGATCCCAGCTAGGGACGCTTCTTTTTCATCCTTTTTGCAAAGTTTATTTACAGTAAGCGCAGTTTCACAAGAAGGTGTCTAGCCATTGTAGTAGCCCCCGTTGTACGCGCCATTGTTAGCGGGGTAGTTGGAGTAGGAGGCAACAGTATGAGCATCTGTCGAGTTCCACTCTTGAGTCGTGTCTGGCTCGTTTTGGAACCAGTCGAAGTTGCATTTCGAAGTTCCACAGCATTGCCTGCAAGTAGAATGATTCCATTGCAGCAGAGCAGGCCATGTTGAATCTTCAGGGAAGCACTAGAAAATCAGAGTTGAAGTAGGAAGCGATTTGAACGTGGATTTACCTGAGGATGGTAGCCAAAATTGAACTTGTGCTCTGTCTGACAGCTCTGCATCTGCTTGCATCCCATCTGCACTTTTTCGATGTACCAATCTCTGTATCTATTCATTCTTCGGCTTCTGACAGTAATGTCGCACCCGATCGAGCCTCCATCGCACTGAACCATTCTCCCTCGATTTCGACAGTCATCAAAGGAGTTGGCGGACAAACACTCCCAGCATTCGAACGCTGGCGCACTGTAGGAGTTCTGGTAGTTGCCGTAGTTTTTCTGGTTTTTCTTCTTCTTTTGGTTCTTTTTTCGTCGCTTTCTTCGCTTTTTCTTCGTTGGTTTTCTCACTAAAACGAGATTTTATCGAGAAATCGTCAATTATCGAGCTTATTACTTCCAAGATCGTCGTAGTAAGAGTCATTTTCGTCGTAGTAGTATTCGTAGTAGTACTCGTACTCGTCGGACGCATCACCCAAGTCACCAAAATTGGGCTTTGGTGCGGCGAAAAGACCAGCTTTGAGGTTCGAAAGGTGCGCTGGAATTTGAAGCCCAGCTGGAAAACTGAACTTTTGAGGCTTCACTTGTTGCGCTGTCTCTTCTGTTGTGTAGACCAGAGCTGGCGTTGTCGGCCACTAGAAGGAGGGGATAATGGTTGAGCAAGGAATTATTATTACTGGAGTTGTCTCAGGGACGTATCGTTCTGTAGTCGTCGTTTCTTTGATCTTCCAGTCTTGAGGGTAGAAGTAGTAGTCGTCGTAATTCTGCGCCACGGAAGAAAATTCATCGAAAAATGTTGTCGTCGTTGGAGGAGCAGTCGTCGTTTTTATTTTCTGAAAAAGGTTCGATAGATGTTACCTCGGAAAATGAAAAGAGACCTTGGGCTTTGGAAGCTTATTTTTGTTCCTGTTTTTGTTCTGAAGAAATTTTAAGCTTGGGTTGGAAAAGTTGGTTCTATACCTTTTTCTTCTTCCCTCGTTCAAGTTCTTCTAGTGACAAAACTACTGGATCTGCAGCTTGTTTGAGGTTGATTTTCGGAGCTGGTTGGGCAGACTGGACTTTGTACTTTGGCGTGTAGTCGGATTCGATTAATTTGATGAAGGCTAGCGCGAAGTTTTTGACGAAAAATCTCGATTAACAATTTTCAAAGCGTTTTTTTGTTCGAAAAAATTTCAAAAACTTCTCTTCAAACTTTTCATCCGACCATCTGAAAGCCTGTGTTGATCCCAAACTCAGCGTCGCAGCTGAAAAAAGCTTCATTTTTTTCTGAGTCTGAAGCATTTTGATCCCAACAACGTGTAATATCGAGTAAATGTTTGGAGCACTGGGCCTAAGAGAACGTCTAAACCGATATTTGTTTCTTTCTAAAACTTTTCTTTGTTTTGATCTTCTGCAATTTATACCCGGAAAAAAGGGTTGAGGATCGTTCAAAGAAGGATTGATGGAGCCCGGTTTTGTGGCTATCGATTCAGCACTCGAAAAAGCACTTGATCAAATCCCCCACAATGAGGATCTCAATCAGAACTTACGTAGTAGCCACTAGCTCTCGGAGCTTTTTTTTTCTTGGAAGCGATTTCAAATTATTTTCTTTTTGTTTTTCGCAAAATTAAATTTGCGAGCTCGCGTGATATTTTGTCAATGAAAGAGCTTCAAGTCAGCGATTTTGGATCCTCGGCTCATTAGAGTTGATGGCGAAACAAATATTCTGCCAATAACGTTTGTTACCTAATGACGTTACTTTCTTCAGCTAATCAAACTACCTGATGAAATTATTAAAGGTCACAATCATTTTACTTTAGTAACACCACCAGATCGAAAGTTTCTTGAGTACTCTGGAGGATGTCCTCAGGAAGTGGCGAACGGACGGTAAGATTAATGACGATAGAAAAGACGTCTGGACGCTTTTCCAGTGCTTGCCATATTTTATTCATGAAGCTCCTGAATCATTCAGAATAGTCAAATTTCATGAGCTTCTTCCATATGTCCGGTAATACTACGAGTTCCGGAGTAAATGGCTTTTCCAGTGATTCACATACAGTAGTCGAAAGTTTCGACTCGAAACACAGATACCAAAAGGTAACTAAAAGAACGCCATAAAACCTCTGTAGCCTTTGTCAACTCCCTTTCCATTACGGATAAGTTTCGGATAAAAAAGGAAGTTATCCCAGACAATTTTTGCGTCAAGCATGAAACCTTGTCTCAGACAAGTTGTCTGGCAATCGTCTGGAAGCTTGATTCTCATCCTTTCCTATTGAAATACTCAACTTCCAAGGTAGCTCAGCTAGTGTGAGTTTCCATGACTTGTCAGCCTTTATCCTAAATCAGCGGTACAAATCAGCGTCTATTTGATCCAAATTCTTCGCTTTTCCCCAAAAATCCCTAACCCTAACCCCTTCCCTTGTCCCTCTTATTGCCTCCTCAAATCGAAAAGTTTATTTTCGCTCCAAAAGAGTCGTTTGATTCCGTGGTGTTTCCAGTAATCCAGTTGGCGTTATGTTTCTTCTGTTTAGTTCATTAAAATGACAGAAGATGATGCATTATCTATTTGATGTGATAATATATAAAAATATAAATGCCGAGGTGTTGTTGGGTAATTTTGATATCGCGCGCAGTGGTGCTGGAACTAGACTTGCTGGCGGTGGAGCTGGCCACGACGAGTTTACTAGACTGCGCCGCTACTCGGAAAATGGCGTGGGATCCCTAGCCACCAGTCAGAAGCAAATTCAGAGAGTCATTACGCAATACAGCCATATCTTATCACCCCTTCCATAAATCGGTCTTGACACGGCTGCTCCTTCCTCAGGTTAATCCAACAAAGAAGCTCAGGCCACGGACTTGAGTAATTCTCAACGATAAAGACCAGAAAACAAAACGAAAAAACCGTCTGTGAAAACTATCATCAAAATTCAGGGTTAAACCAATTTATTGAAGTGATTTTGTGGATCAGAGTTTTGATTGGCCGGTAGGCCAAATACAGCAATCTTATTGGTTATCCGAAATTCACTTCAATTAATTGGTTTAGTCCATAATTCTGACCTTGTACTCTTCAGATCTCGAAATTAAGATTAAGGGGATACCCCCTTTAAAAAGGATATGCTCAAATTAAGGTGATAAAGCCGCGATTCTGTGAACTGAGCGGATCAACTGTCAACGATCTCAAGTTCCATTTTCGAACTTCTAAAAAGAAAGAAAGATTTTAAGAAATCTTATCCCTCAAAGAAACCATCTTGCAATCTTCCTACTAGCCCCTTTTTTACAGTAAATTATCGTGAGAGAGAACTCGATCCATTTCTTCATGCTTGGAAAAATTCCTCGCCCTGCAAAACAATCGTCAATCGACGTTTATTTTGATTTTTGAGTTCAGTCCTTTCTTGGCCCACAAAAAGCGCGGGGAAGATTCACGCTCCGGTTAAAAAGTTGCATCTTCGAGAGGTACTCGTGCACCTGGCGCGCTACAAAGAGCGCGAATTTCTTTCTTTTTCTTTTTTTTTCTAAAATCTTCCGCAGATTGAAATCTGCCTTAGAACTCCTCCTATTGAACTCAATAATGAAAGATCGACTATCCTACTGTATCTTTTACTGTACCTTCTTTTTCGTCAATTTGTTGTCGTCAATTTTTTGAAGGATTTGTTAGGCCCCTCTTTTGGCTAATCTCAGGAGAACACGAAAAGTTCCACATTGAAATTGACGCACTTTCCATCGCGAAAATAAATCATAAGCTATAAATTTAGGAGGCGAGTCCGCCAAAATTTACGTCATCGGAGGAGAGAAACTCCTCATTACTTTCCTTTCTACCTTCTTTTGCCGCTAGTAAAGACACTGATATCAGAGTTGCAAATTTGGCTTTATTTTCGCTGAGCTGAGCTGGCCTATTTCGGAGCTCACTGAGCTGAGCTGAGCTGAGCTGGCCATTTTCAGAGGTCATTGAGCTGAGCTGAGCTGAGCTGAGCAGACCTTTTTTAAGGTAGTTGAGCTGAGCTGAGCTAGGTGAGCTGATTTGAGCTATTTTTTACTGTTTTTTAGTAGTCAAATTGTATTAAAATCATTGAGCTGAGCTGAGCTGAGTAATTATTGTCTGAGCTGAGCTGAGCTGAGCAGATAAATTCATTTTCGAAAATCAGTGAGCTGCAGTCGCTCAGCTCACTCAGCTCAGCAAATTTGCAACTCTGACTGATATCGATTTTGAGGACCGTTTTGGAATGTTCTTTTTCAAAAAAAGATCTTTTTAAAGTTCGGTTTGAGGAAGGTGCTTAGTAAGGGCGAGGAGGGCAAAGAAATGATCTTGATTCTTGGCAAGAGGATGGAGCTGAAGTTGGCTTCGTTCCAGTTTTGGCGGCGGTGGTTGTCGGGAAGAGCGTCGCTTTCTAAGAAGGGCGCTGCTTCGCCGAATTTATTTCTACCTGCCTCGATTCTGGACCGCTAGTTGGCTTTTGGAGGTGCCACCAGAGCACCACACCGCCGCTCCTCCACGTAGAATTTTCAGACTTATGTAATGTGCAGTCAATAAGGCTGACGAGCGCTTTAAAGCGAAACACGCGTAATTCTTTTGACTCTCAAAATTACGGAAGACGCCATATTCAAAATTATGGAATGCTAAAAGTGATGGTTTTTTCGTGTTAAAGGATTACAACTGTTACAGTTAGGCTGCCATTCCTTCCGACATTCTTCAACATGACTTCAATTGTCTGTCAGACTGTGTCGGGCTCTAAAGAGCTTGAATAAAAAGCCGCGGAGCGGCTTTTCTTAGAAACGAAGCCGCATAGCGGCTTCGCCAAAAATAAGAAAAAAACTGAAATGGTAATGCTTCGCGGCTTCGTTTTTTAAAAAGCCGCTACGCGGCTTTCGATTCAAGTTCTTTAGAGCGGCTTTGGAGCATTACCATTTCAATCTTTTTTTTGGCGAAGCCGCTATGCGGCTTCGTTTCTAAGAAAAGCCGCTACGCGACTTTTTATTCAAGCTGATGAGAGCCTGACTAAGGCTTTTGAGTTCAGATAGAGAATCTGATATCTAATGGTATTTTGAAAGCGTTAGCATAAAGAGTTAAATTAAGCGATTGTAATCAAAGTTAACTTTTTCGAGTTTCAGATTTCCTGAATAATTTGTTGGAAATCTGATCGATGGTCTTATTTCGAATCTGAAAACGAGTCTGATTTTCCGGAGTTTTGTCGAAGAGCTTGATTGACGATCGCTCGCGTGAATCAGGAATCAGATCGGAATCACTCCGGAAAATGGACCAAACGTAGATCCAGGATCTGTTGAATCGACAAGGTTCGCGACTGACGGTCAGACGTAAGGGGACTGTCTGCCAGACAGAGTCTGAAAGACGGTTTTTTTCTTTCTTTTTGAAAATGGCTTTTCTTCCAAAGAAAAGGGTGGATAATAAAGTTAAGGCAAATTTAAGCGTAATTAAATTGTTTCTACGTGAGTAAGGAGTCTAGAGCTAGTTGCGGTTTGGTTTTAGATCGCCGCGGAAATGTATTGCGCAAGTTTTTTTTCGCGGCGCTTCACGTTGAGAAGCGACTTCACGTTAAAAGGCGCCCTCAGCGAGGCCCATCTCAGAAACGGCCCTCTAATTTCCTGGTACTTGCACCGCGCTAGGGTGCGCCACCTCCACCCGAAGGATTATCCAATTTCAGACTAGCGCGGAGCCAGCGCTCGCCGCCCAAAATCTTAAAATCGCGTTTGAAAAGATTTTAAGAGGGCTAAAATTTGATCAAAAATTTCCTACTGACTTATTCTTAAAAAATATTCTTTGAAGGGAATTATTCGAAGCTGAATTTCAGTCAACTTTCATTAAAAATAGTGTCAAAAGATGGAAATCTATTCGATAAGTCGGAAATATTCTCAAAAAATTAAGGGTTTCAAGTTGAAAACCACAAGACCCATGATTGAAAAAGTCACTCCAACTTGAAAGAGGGTCCTTAAAATCATGAAAGGAGTTGGTTACTCTTCCTTGATTTCAACTTTCACGATTGATTTTTGCATCTAAAACTCAACCAACTTAATCCTTTTCCTTGAATAAAAGTTTGATTCCAAAGCTGCTAAACTCAGAAGGGCTGACACCCTAGAAGGATGAGGTGTGTTCGGTGTAGTGCGTTTCAGAAATTCTAGGCTTTGGCGCCGCGCTTTTGAGCGCCATCGCGTTTTTTTCCGCCGAAGCAACATGAGTAAAAATGGCATCCAGATTTACAATTTCGAACTAAAGCAGAAAAACCAATTCTTAATTCGAAAAAACCTTCAGAGAAACAAATCCCACAAGAGATCAAAAACGCGAAGAAATGGAAGCACAAAATCAGCAGCAGCAGCTTTTACTGCAGCAGTATTTACAGTACCAAAGCCTACAACAGCAGCAGGCGGCTCAACTTCCGCAGCTGCCGGAAGACGCGATGCTTAGGATGAATTTGTTGATGATGGCTCAGCTTCAAGCGCAACAAGAGCTGCTCAACAAGCAAATGATGTTCTCCAGAGTCGACCAGGGCTACTACACTTCCAGTGCCAGTTCGGGCTCGTCCCCAGTGCGCGACTTGGAGAGCCCCCCTCCCGCGCCAAAGAAAAGCCGGAAGCGGCAGAAATCCAAGGATGAATCGAAGAGCGCTAGAAAGCAGCAGAAAAGCTCCAGTCAGGAGAAACAAACCTTCCTTGGCTTGTACGAAGTATACGGCGTCATCGGCGTCGGAGGAGGCGGAATGGTCTACTCCGGCCGAAGAATCACGGACGGCCTGCCCGTCGCCATCAAACGCGTCATGCGCGAGAAGGTTAAACGATGGGAAACCGTCGACGGCCACAAAGTCCCCCAAGAAATCGCCCTCATGCTCCGGTAACAATCTAATTTCAGCCGACATCTAATCCGCCGCCGAATATAATCGGCGATCATTATCTACAATCTTAAATCTAACTCCCAAGAGTTTATTTTTGCCGCTCCGAGTTCTTCTGTTTTCATGGGTCGGTGATTTTTCTGCTGCTCATTGAGCAAGAATCTGGAACTTTTTTTTGCAAGAAAAACTTGCCCGTGGGGCATTTGGCGCCAATTCTGAATTGCCGATTTTTGCGCGAGTTCCAACTTGTTTTCCTTTGATCTTTTAACTCTTGCTTTTTGGCAGAAAGTCAACCTCAAAGTTGATTCTAGTTATCTCTCGTTTTTTGACTTGGCAGTCGTTCTACTAGCCTTTTACTCTAAAATACCGTATCGATTCGAAAAAGAGTTTAACATTTCTTTTCAGAGTTTACGGTCACCCGGGTGTAATCCGCCTCGAAGACTGGTACGAATGCATGGATTCCTTCATCCTCGTGATGGAACGTCCCGAATCCGCCGTCGACCTCTTCGACTACATCCGCGAATCAGGGCGAATGGGCGAAAGCGAGGCTCAGGACGTCTTCAAGCAGGTAAAGCGTCCTTCTCAAAAGAGAGAATCTCCTTGGCTGGAGTGCCCAGCCTTCGAGTCCACTCAGACGCCCGCCAATTTAACTTCAGAAATTCTAGAGCTTCTTTCTAACGCGAAAAGTTTTCTAAAAGCAATCTTTTCAGATCGTCGTCGCAGTCGCTCATATTCATTCCCGCGGCGTCGTCCACCGTGATATCAAGGATGAGAACATCATTCTTGAGCGCGAAACTGGCGAAATCAAGCTCATCGATTTTGGCTGTGGAACGATGCTCAAAGAAAGCGCTTACCGAGACTTCTCCGGGACGCCCGAATTCTACCCGCCGGAGTGGTTCACTTCCAAATACTATCACGCTCGGTACAGTACAAAGAGAGTACTCCTCAGACAGAGTCCACCAGACAGCGTCTTCGCGACAGCCAGACGAGATAGTCTCCCAAGTATCTTTTCGAAAGGCCTTATTAGTAAACTAATGATTCAGAACTGCAGCTGTGTGGTCTCTCGGAATCCTCCTATACGACATGCTCCTTGGCGAGATTCCCTTCAAATCGAAAGAAAAGATCATCGAAAACCAGCTGCATTTCAAGGTAAGAAATCACTGGATGACTCCCCCACACTCATTTTACGAAACCTTACGAAAGCAAATCTAAACCGTTTCTTCAGCACTCGATCTCCGATTCCGCGCTGGACCTAATCCGCTGTTTGCTCCAGTCAGACCCCGAACAACGTCCTCCTCTCGAGCAGATTCTGCTCCACCCCTGGTTCCAATAAGACGCTCCTCATTTTGGATCTCGACTTGGTATCTTCCACCTTCCAACAATCACTGCTGCCACAATCACTGCTCGCACCCTTCACTGTACAATTATCTCGACTGACAAGGTTGAACCGCGCCCTTTTCTGTACACTCTGAATTTCTTCAAAAAAACAGCCTCCGTTCAGATTAGTTACCTACTCAATACATTTTCTGTTCCATCAAAAATCAGTCTTTCGTCAATTCTCTTCAGAAAAACCTGTGTAGAAAACCTGAGTCAGGGTTTGAAAAATCTTTAATGAAAAGCCGCATAGCGGCTTTTTCTTAAACGAAGCCGCAAAGCGGCTTCGCAAAATAAATATTCAAGTCTACTTTTACTCAGGTTTCCTGACTCAGGTTTTGTGCACAGGTCGCCGAGCTCAGACAGACAGAATACTCACTCTAGAATTAAATTTTTATTATGCAAGAATGGCAATAAATGTCTCTTTTCTTCTGAAAACGCAACGAACAACTTGACTCGTCCAAATATTTGGTCGATCGAACAAGCCACAGTTAACAAGACCGAGCGGACTCCGTTGGATAGTCAATTACATTATTATTAGGAATAATAAATGATGTTCTTTCTATTTTGCTTACTGTCAAAGTAAGTCATTTTACAAGATGAAAATCAACACTCAAGAGCCTCTTCTAGTATCATCGACATTCTAGTCGATTGCTTCCCAAAAAGTATGCTTCGGGATAAAGGATGAAAAAACCAATGGAAACTAGCACTTGCGCAACTCAAAGTAGTTGAACTTAATAAGGAAGAAGAATAAGTTTCCAGACAATTTCCAGACAAGGTCTCATAATTGACGCAAAAATCGTCTGGGACAACTTCTACTTGTACTCCGAAACTAATGGAAAGGGACTTAATGAAGGCTGGAGGTTTTATGAAGGCTTTTTCGTAATTTGTATTTGGACTAAAACTTCGCATCGAAAATTGCTATTTAAGGCTTCCGCTTCTCGTTTCTTTCTCAAATTGGTAGCTCAGTTTTTTTCAACTGGGGGCTGCACATCTGCTATGTGAATCATTGGACAAGAAGATTAAGAAATAACTGAACAGATGGGTATCCTTTTTTAGAAAATGATGCTTCTCTTCAGTGGGTAAAAATCCTCTACTTCGGAATTCGATTTATTTCCGTACATAAACATATGGGCGAAAGATTCAGCGGATTCCGTAAAGATGGATCCCAACTTGATAGGAAAAATACATTCATGAACAAAAAAGGGCAACCATTTTGAAGCACTGATTATGGAAAAGGTTACGGTAATTATTAAATCATTCCATTATGGAAAACCCAATTTGACTTTCTGAAGCTTTCAGTAGAAAAACATCGCTTTCGTTTTCAAGCCGTATAATCTTTATTCACATATACTGTAAAATTGAACAGGCTTTGAGTAATTGTGAAGAATTAATCCAGAATTCTTATTGTCAGTTTTGAAGAGATTTGTTTAGACCGGGCAAGTTAGGGAGTAAAAGTTTCCGCGAATATTCAGTTGATCGTTGGCTTCTGGTTCCCAAGAAACTGGCTCGTCGTTCATGTAGAAGTCTGTCAGACAGCCGGAGAGACGCTTGAAGCTGACGCTGCCGTCGAGAACGGTCATGTGATCGCGAAGAGTTTGTTTCTTTGTGGAATCGTTGACCTTGAGAATCACCTGCTCGTCACTGCCTTCGTTCTTGAATTCGACTGAAAAGAGCGGTTATTCGCTGAAAGATGGAAGAGAAAACTCACCTGAAATTTCAATAGGTTGAGATCTGCAGTCTTTGTTTCTTACAGAAACGCGAGCTACACCCTTAGCGATGTAAATGTAAGCGACGACTTCTTCTTTTTCGACTTTGATTTCCATTCGCTCATCTTAATTGATTTCAGCTAGATTTGGGCAATTTAAATTTTGTTTTACCTTTTTCAGTGTTGAAAATTTCTACAAGCTCGAATTTCTCGTCTGTGGGAGTGAGCGTGACTTCGAATTTTTCAAGACGTTCTTTGAGAGAAAAATCAATGGCGGTTCCTCGAGGAGAGAAGAAACCAACATCGCCGGGTCGAGAAAGAATGGCGGGAGAGTTCTGGATTCGCTTTGGATTCATTTCTCGATCGTTCATCTTTACATCGAAGACTGCTCCGCTGAAGCCCTCGACATTGTCCATGGTGGAAGGGCATTTGAGAGGAGTTTCACCGATGAAGAGAGTGCTCAATGATTTCTTGGCAATTCGCAATCGCTTGTTTTCGGAATATCTGTCGAAACTCAAGATGAACTTGGTTTTTCCGCGGCTCATTTCTCTCGCTTCGATTCTGATCTGCACGCGCTTGTTGACTGGCAAGTTCTTCTTGAGATCCACTGTGTCTATCTCTTTCTGCCCGTCGGAGATGTACAAGCTTGGCTGCTGATTGACAACGACCAGGGAAACGTAAGCACTGCAGTCGTCATTTGTCAATTTGGCGATAGTTCCGTCTTTCTCTTCAATTTCAACGTCGAGATCGAGTTCGAACCGGTTGATCTTTTCGCCGTTGCGGAGGTTGAATTTCAAGAAGCTATCTGGTTTCAGCATGAATTTCTCAACTTCTGGGATTCGTTGATCAAAATGCTCGCACTTCTCGTGGTGGACCTTTCTCGAGCGCTGGTGTTCCCGAGAGCTGGCAGAATCGACCGACATCTCGACGACATGAGTGGACATCAAGCTTTGAGGAACATTCGCGTGGCATTCGTTGAAGCGCAATTGCCCCTGGCAGATGTTTCTGGTCCTGTCGTGGCAGAGGAAGCCGTCAAGAGCAGTTGCCAGGAAGACGTTCTTCTCATCCCGGAGATTTTCGATGAAAGGAACTGTCATGCAGCCGAAGAACGGTTGCTGGACGCGCTGGTTTTTCACATTTCGACCGCCGAGAGTCAGCTCGATGCTTTCATTCTCCACTTCTGCCAGTTCAAGTGCTTCGAATTTTTCTTCGTGGCCGTTGATGGAAACGAACAATCCCTCGCCATTTTTGCGTTCGATGGAGACAGCGATGTTCTCTTCCGCGACGACACGAACTGGGACGGAGAAGGTTTCTTCTTCTTTGTTAGTTTTGATGAAGAAGTTGGTTTGATCGCCGTTTGGTGTGATGCCGAACTCAACGAATCGCTGGCCGTTTGGATTGTGAGCGCGGAGAAGGACGGAGTTTCGGAGATTGTAACCAGCTAAACAAGTGATTGATAAAGGTTTTGAGGATTTTTCTCTGAATTACCTTGGATAGTGAAACTGAAGACGGCTCTGAAATTGCTCAAAGTTCCCTTCAAGTTCTTTCGAATAATCGCTTCGTTTCCGTTGAATGAGACTTTCTGGAGATTAGGGGTTTTGCACCCAGGCAAGATTCCTGATTTCATGACAGAAGAACCAGGAGCGAGATCCAAAGGCTTGTGATTGATAGCTGTTTTGCCGAAGCAACCGGTGTATCGCTTGTTGTACATTGGAACGTATTCTGACAGATGGCTCAAATCGCCGTAGATTGGTTGGAAACCACCGAGATGAATTTGGTTGGAGATTCGGAACTCGCAGCCGTGGCAAGTCTTGCTCTTCTTTTTGATGTAGAAATCGTTTTCAACAGAGACGACTTTGTTTACGTTCCATTCTTTTACCGACAATCCAGCGACGCCACCAACCATGCCGATTCGAAGAGTGAGCTCGTTTGACTCTCGTTGGATTCTTGTCACGTGCTCTGGCTTCATTCCGAATGCGGTAGGGATGTAAGGATCGTTCGTCTTTGGTCGCTCAAGTCGGACTGCATTTGGTCCTGCTTTGTAACCAAGATTGTATGAGAAGACAGGCTCGCCATTTTGCAGTTCAAGGGCGAGGAAGTAATCTTTTTGAAGTGGATCGCCGATGAAGAAGATCAGCGCATCAGCTTGGGTAGTCGCTCGAAGCTTCATCTGGAAAACGATAGTTCCGGAGTCCTGGTTGACCATGTATTTTGAGTGCGATTCATCATCGAGATGAGCCCATGAATTCTCACCGGAGAACTGGTAGCAACCGGCTGTTTCCTTGATCGGCGAAGTTTCTAGAATCTGTTCCCAGTTGAGATGCTGCTGTTCTCGGCTGAAATCCTCAGCTGCCTCGTCGAAATTCCAAACAAAGATTTCGCGACCGTTGAGGACGACTTCTGCGAGTTCCATTTTCGTCGAAGTACTCTTGACACCATCAAGTGATTCGGGGAGAGCACCAAGAATCAAGGTAGTTTTATTGGAAACAAAGGTATTTTCTTGCGTTGGGAAGGTTGCGAAAACTTCAGAAGATCTCGATGAATCATCAAGCTTGGAGACATGGAGGACTAACTGATCGACGGATCGTCGAACTCGGATTTTCTGCCAGGTGCTGTCGGGTCGGAAAACTTCAGTGTCTGATTTCAAAATGACTGAATCGGCATCAGCGGTGTTCTTGAAGACGACTCGGGGCTTTCCTTCCAAAATTTCAAGAGTCAAGAAGCTGGAATCGGACTCGAACAGAGTGAAAACATGAGCAGATGGCTTACGAGGCCGAACAAGGATTTCAAGATTGACTTCGTCGACAAGCTCAACGGGGAATTTGACCTCAGAGATGTCGTAGATTGTATATTCATCGTCCTTGATCTGGAGAGGAATCTTGTTGGAGATGTAGTTTACGAGAGTCTTTGACATTTCAATTTGCTCCATGATCTCGTCAATGCTCTTTTGCATTTCTGCAAACATATCATCAGTATCCTTGGCGATCTCGTTGATTTCATTATTAATCTCAGCGAAGTTGTCTTCGTTGACACCGGTGGCGATTTCGACAACCTTGTCGCCGCACGATTTCATGATGTTTTCGGTTTCTTCAAGCATCTGCGTTGCTTCTTCAGTGTATTTCGAAATGTGATCGTACGAAGTTTTGACTTTTTCAAGATTATCGTTGATTTCTTTGCCGGTCTTGAAGATGTCATCGACTGGAACTGTTTTATTTATCTCGTTGAAGATGTCCAAGTTGTCAATTAGAGTTTGATAGGCTTCCATATCAACAGGTTCGTTGTAGATTTCATCTAGTTTCGCAAACTGAGCATCAAGAGGGTCTTTTTCTTTGATGAGGAGATTCAGATGGTTCTGAGTTTCATCAAGTTTCTTGTCAGTTGCGTAGAGAGATTCAAGCACTCCGCTGCAGGTAGATTCAGCTTCTGATTTTTCAGTAATTGATGGAAGTCGCCCATCAATACCATCGAGCAATTCCTGGGCAGACTCAATTTCGGCGAAAGAATTTTTGATAACTTGGTCAATATTTTGAGCACGCAACACTTCAATTTGCTTGTCAAGTCCAGGAGAGACTTTAGTGAAGAAAATCTCATAATCGCGGTGAATTTGCTCAATCTTGGCAGCGTGTTTTCCAGCGTCGGCAACCCAGTCTCGCTCTTCTTCTCCAATCTGCTCGATGACCGCTTTCGATTTTTCCATTCGCTCTTCGATTTGTTCGAGTCCTGAAATGATGGTCGCATCATTGTTGAGTCGGTAGATGGAATTTTCGAATTGAGCCAATGGATCTTCACCAGATAGGGTAGAGTAATCATGGCGAGTTCCATTGTTCATGATGTTTGCGTCATTGAGTATTTTGGACGTTTCATAGTAGCTGGCTTTGTAGTCGTTGGCGTCCGAGTGAATCTGCATGATCGTCTTGTTGTTGATTTCAGTCAAATCCATGACATAAGAAAGATCTTCAGTGATTTGATCGAGAGTTTCTTTGAACTGATCGAGTTTGGCTTTCTTTTCCTCGATTTCTTCAATCAGAAGACCTCCTCGGGAAGAAAGCTTAGTGACATTGTATCGTCGATTAACATCTTCCAATGTCTCTGTCGCTAGAATTTGCTCCTCAACTGTGGCTTCGTTGTTTTCGAGACGCAAAACTTCGTGATAATGGATGTTTGTGATGTTGAAAATAATCTCTTGGGCAGTTGGAACCCAGACATTGTCGAATTCATCGAAGTCAATTTGCTTCTTTCTCGCGATTTCCATAGCTCGGAAGCTCAATTCATCCAAATCTGTCGAAAGAACGGTCGACTCCTCGAATCTATGCTTGGACTCATCAGTCGATAGTTTTGTTCTGACTTCGTATTCATGAACGTCGTGGCAAGTTCCGATCATTGAGTTGTACATCTTTTCGAATTCGCGAACCTGATCGCCCGAGGAGTAGCCCATGAGATTTCGTTCCAACGAGTTCACATGATTTTTGAGTCCCTTGAGCTCCTTGTCCATGATATTTAGTTTCCGATAAGCAAGGCCACCAGCTTTTGTGACTTCCAGATCAGTCAGGCGAATCGACACTTCAGTAGTGTACATATCGAGAGATTTTTCATCGTATCCGAGGAATTCATCCCAGTCTCCTTCTGTTCGAGGACCGAGAAGCCAGTCAATGCAAGATGAGCACGGTTCGCATTTGGTGTTTAGTCCTGATAGACGAGTAACTGCTCGTGGGTTTTCGCATTGATCGCATTGCGCGCCAATTACTCCTGGAGGGCACTCGCATCGGCCGGTCTGAGAGTCACATGGAAGACCAGGTGGACAATTGCACTGCTTGCAGCCGGAAGAAGTCAGATCATAGTGACCTTCTTGGCATTTGTCGCAGTTGAGTCCTTCAACACCAGGCTTGCAAGTGCACTGTCCAGTGAGTTTGTCGCAAACATCAGATGTAGAACCGTTCTTGTCACAAGCGCAAGTTTTGCATCCAGTCATGTGACAGCTATCAAAGTCCCAGAAGCCATCAGCACATTGATCACATGTCTCGCCAACGACGTTTGGTTTGCACTGACAGTCGCCGAAGATGTTGTCACATCCTTGAGAGCCGCAGATGTTGCAGTTGCACTCCTCGCAAGACTTTTCAATCGCGTTTCCAAAATAGAAAGGAGCGCATTTTTCACAGTGTTTTCCTGCAGTGTTGTTGATGCAAGCGAGACAAGTTCCATCTTGATCATCGCACTGAACGTTGCCGGTGGAAAGGTCAGAGTTGCCATTGCAATCGCACTTTTTGCACTCTTGGTTGATCATATTTGGGCGACCGAACCAACCAGCATCGCATTTTTCACAGGCAGCGCCGGTGTATCCTGGCTTGCAGTTGCAAACAACGTCGAAATCATCCTTTTTATCAGGGTTGAAGATGTTTGTAAAGTCCGTGAACTCAGAGTAGTCGGCAATCTTTTCATCCTTGACTTGGTGGAAGCAAGAGATGGAGTGCGAGTTGTGCTCGCTTGGGCAAGGACAGGGTTTGCAATCGGCAGAAGTTCCACCTTTGGCGTATCCAATGAATCCCTCGGCGCAGAACTCGCAGTTTGTGCCCATCGTATTGTCAAGACAGGTTGAGAGCTCAATTGTACTCTCGGCCAGTTTCATTGCCGAATCTTGAATGTAGATTTCGCTGCCGTCTTGTTCAACACCTTCAATGTATTGGCTAGAAACATCGCTGGTAACATTGTTCAAGAGGATGAAAGTTTGCTCGCCAAGGAGAGACGAGGTATCCCAGTATCGAGGGTAGCCGTCTTCGTCGCATTCATCGCAGTGGTTGTTGCATTTGCATTTCTGGCAGCGCTGGTATCGAGAACCTTCAGTATTTGACTTATCCCAGTAGTAGCCTTTATCACACTCCTCGCAACTCGGTCCCACGTGACCTTCTGGGCAAGTACAGACTTCGACGCGGGAGCGGTGAGCGTATCGAGAAGCTTCAGAAGAATCAGAATATGGCATCTCAAGTTGGTCGGTAAAGTCGGTATCTTCGAGGATCAGATTGGAAATTTGAATTTCAGAGACGGCAACGGGATAGGAAGCTTTCATTTTGATGCCGGTCAAGTCACGAAGAACCTTGAGCAGTTCGTTTCGAGAGATAGGTTGGTGAGTGAGGGCCGAGAAGAAACCGTTTTCCATGAGTGGAACTCGGACGGTCATTGAGTTTGAGTCGGATCGATGTTCGTCGGATTTCCAGTAGATGCTGAGTCCATTACCGTCAAGATAGAGATCTGGATCAGTGTTGAGCGACGAGAAAGCGCTGTTTGCAGCCTTGTCGTGCTCTTCTTCGTCCCAGGTGATTGTGTACTCAAGGAATCCACCGTAAGCGCCAAGTCTGTTACCGCCGTATTTCTTCACAGGAGCGACCCAGTAAAGAGGCTTTCGAGCTTGAGAGTCGGATCGAAGAGCTTGGCCACCTGCTTTATTGACTTCCAAGGTGATGGAGTTTTCAAAGGCAAAGAGGGCTTTTTCGTAGTTAGGCGAGATCATTCCTTGAACACGCCAGTCTTCAGCTGTAGACATGTCAGAAACGGAGAGAACAGCAAAGTCGGATGGTCGACAATCAGCATGACCGGTCTCGAGTTGGATTAAACCGGAGCAGTAGCAGGAAATGCAGCCAGCTGGATTCTGAGAATCGAGGAAGAAGGAACCGGCTTTGCAGCGAGAGCAGCTGGTGCCTTCGACGTTTTCTTTGCACTGGCAAGCTCCTGTTTTGACATCGCACTGGTTATTGTCCCCGATGGTACCGCGCTCATCGCACTCGCATTTTTTACAGTTGGGGAATCCGTAGTAACCAGGGAGACATCGATCACAGCTTTTACCAGTGATGAAGGGTAGGCAAGCGCATTGACCGTTGTGGTCGTCGCAGCTTTCAGAAGCGCCGATGGTTCCTTCAGCGTTGCAGTTGCAAAGCTTGCATCCTGTGATATGATGGTATCCGTAAGCATCATCCTGGCAGCTAAGGCAATCTTCAGATGTATTTGCTGGGCAGAGACATTCGCCAGTGCTCTCGTCGCAGACCGTGTTTCCGACACAATTGCATTTTCTGCAATTTGGCCAGTTGTAGTAACCAACCTCGCATCTTGAGCAATCGCGTCCGATGACATTTGGCTTGCATTCGCATTGACCGCCGTAGGCTTCGCACTTTTCGCTGTATCCAACTGTTCCGGCAGTGGCACACTGACACTGCTTTGGATTCGAGTTCGACATGACGAGGGTCAAAGCGTTGTCTTTGCACATTTTTGGAATATCGTCGTCACGTGGGTCGATCAAGAAGCCGCAGTTTTTAATAAACCAGTCGGCGTGGTTGAGTTCGGCGAGATCAAGTTGTTCAATTGACCATTTTGTCTCCGGGATGACGATGAAGTTCTTGATTCTGAGAGGTGAGTTTTCTTCGAAATCGATTGAAAGAGTGATTGCTTGTTCTGTGAAAGGGAAGACCTTATCGCCATTTTGGAGATAAATAATCGCTCGGCAGCCAGATGTCAATTGGCAGTATTCAATTCGGACGGTGCCATGGAAAGACTCAACAGCAGATTCGATGAAAATGGATGTGTTGTAGCTCAGACTCTCTTCGTTGTAGTAGTGGATGACAACGAGACTTGGCTCCTCTGCGTGAAGTTCAGTGGAGACATGAACCTTGGTTCCATTCTCTGGAGGCACGAACCAAAGACTGTCTGACAGACGAATTTCAGTAGCAGCAGCTGGAGTGGATGGATAGACAGATTCATCAGGGTTGATAAACTTAGGGCCGTGGCTAGAAATTCCTAGTTTCTTTGGCTGAACAACTTCGATGGACCAATCTTCAAACGGAATGACATGGATTCTCCTGATAAAGAGCATTTGATCGTCTCGGATTCTTCCTTCGTGGCTGATGGAAAGATAGATCGGACCGGCATCCATATCAATCACTGAAACTTCTCGGTTGAGAGTCACGCCAACTTGTCGGCAAGAGAAGAGATAGTTGCAAGCATAGGCATTGTAATATCCGGGCTCGACGCGCTCGATTCCGTGTTTTCTGTAGGTGACGTCGATTCGCACTTGTTGGATTCGCTCAACTCTGTTGACGTAGTCCATCACGAGGACGTACTTGCCTTTTGTTTGAATGTCGATCTGAGCGTAGAGGTTTTCCGCTTTGGTTCCGTCCAACATGAGCATCTTTTCAAAAGGCTGTGTTCGTCCAGCAACAGTATTGTAGACCATGGGAGGGATGATTTCAAAGTCGCCGGCGAGTGGAAGTCGGAAAGTTGAGTATTCGCGGACAACAGTTCCGATCGGAAGGGGGAAGTGATCATACATCATGCATTTTGACCCCTTGGATTCAGAGAATTTGCATGGCTCGTCAACTTTTTGCTTGAGAATTCGCGGCTCATAGTAATCTGCTGGAAGAAGAGCGATGTAGTCAACCAAGACACCTTCTTTTTTGAACTCGGCTCCTTCAGTGTCGATTTCAAGTCGGAACTTGTACTCGCCTTCAGAAAGAACAGCATCAGTGTTGAAGGAAACGGTAGACGGCTCTGCTGATTGAGGAAGCTTGATCTCGACGATTTGTGGAGCTTTGCCTAAAAAGAACGGTAAGTCAATTGTTTATTGAGAAAGGAAATGGGTTTGCTTGTTCAAAAAACTTCGATTTCCCGGTGAAAAACAAAAACGAACTTGAACATGTTTTTTCCTCTGACTCGATGTTTCGTCTTTTTCTACTGTTCTCAGAAGAAGAGTCGTCAAAAGTTATCGCATCCCTAGAAGAACTAGGAATGAAATCAACCATTATTGGTTTCTCGTCAATAATTTCTTCATTGGCAAAGGAAGCGCATCCAGAGTAGCAATCCTGCTCCTCAGCTCGCAAAAGATGCTTTCGACCATTTATAATTGTCGTTGGACACCCTGATCACGGTTTTTGATTCTGATAAAAATACAATAGACTATGAAATGGTTAAAACCGAAACAGAGTAGCTAGAAGATAAACAAGTAAATTTTCTAGTTCGTTTTCCTCCGTCAATAGAACATTCGCACGCTGTCCATTCTGACCAACCCTGAATCTTTTGTTCTTGAGTGGTTTCGATTTTTTGTGTAGTCGTAGATGTCGAAGAAGATTCTGTTGTTCTTCTTGTCGTGGTAGTTGTTGGAGGTAAATTTGAGCCTGGAGAAGGCCAAATAAGATCAGCACTGAAGGATGAGTCAACTGATTCTGGAAGAGGCCACACAGGGTCTATTGAAGACTCTGTTGTTGTCGTTGTTGTTGTGGTAGTTGTTGGAGGTAAATCAGAGCCCGGACGAGGCCAGATAGGATCAATACTGAGAGACGGGTCAACGGATTCCGGAAGAGGCCAAACAGGGTCTATCGAATTATCAGACGGTACTGTTGTTGTGGCTTTTGTTGAGCTTGCTGCTTCGCTAGTTGCTCGTGGAGGCGGGAAAACAGTGGCGATATTTTCTCCGGTGATAGGTTGGGGCCAAATTGTTGAAGATTCTGTCGCTTCTGGTTGTTCTGTTGTTGTCGTTGTGGATTGTTTTGTAGAAGTCGTTGTTGTAGTCGTAGTGGTAGATGTTGATGTAGTCGTAGATGTTGATTTAGTTGTAGATGTGGTCGAAGTTGTCGAGGTTGAAGTTGTGGTTTCCACCTTCTGATGAGCTGTAGAAATCATCCTCTCAGAAGTCATTCCTTCTTCTGGCATTGAAGTGGAGGACTGATAACCTGGTGGTTTCGGCCAAATGGATTGATGAGCTTGAGTTACGATCGGCTCCCAAGTTTGAGTTGTGATCTCTGCAGCAATAGTTTTTGCCGTCAAAGTTGTAGATCTTGTAGTCGATATTCTTGTTGTGATAGTGATTTGTTGCTTTTGTGTGGTAGTTGTTGAAATTACGGGTTTCGATGTCAGATGAGGATCATAATCAGAAAACTGCTCAAAATATGGATGGCTGTCTGATCTAGGCGGAACATTTGAAGAAAAACTACTTTCCTCAATGATTGGATCATTTTTATGAAAAAATTCTCGAGTCACTCTTTCCTCCTCCTCTTCTTCTTCAATACAGTCAGTCCCGATCTTTGTCATGATCAGCCTCCCTGTTAGCGTAGAATTTTCAGTATTTCGATAATGAAGCATAATTTTGAACAAGCTCTCCCCTTTCAATTCGACCTTTCCACCAAAGCCCACATAATTCTAAAAAACTTACATTTAACGACGAGATCATCAGATTCAACGCACGCCAAATCGGAAATGTTCAATCGCGCGGTGATGAGTTTCGTGGTCGGATTCACGAACCGGATGAGAACTTTGTACAGTGGAATCGCGTTGGGAAGAGGTTTCTCTATTTCCCCGTGGGTTACCACTGCTGGCTGGGTTAAGGAAATTTGTTAGATTTTCTGGTTAGTGAGTTTTTAAGGTACCTGAATGTCTGAGAGCTCAGCATAGCCTCGGAGAGAAAAGTCTGGGAAGAGAGCTTTATCGACTCCGTATCGAACATGTTCTCCAGAATCGAGATATCCATCCTCAGCCTCGAATTTGTACTTGTACAATGTTGGGAAATACCAGCCAGATTCGACATCGTCACATCTTCGACCTTTCACGTGATCTTTGCAAGTACATTGGCCATCGTTGGCTTCGCATTGAGCGAGAGCTCCTCCTTGAGTTCCGCCAACATCGCAAGAGCAAGGAACGCAGCCGAAGTAGTCCTTTTCTTCCAATCCATAGAATCCATCGAGACATTTGGAACATTTTCTGGTGCAGACATGATTTTTGCAGTTGCACTGTCCGTCTGAGGAAGCGCAGTCTTTTATTTCGTTGAGCAAACCAGCCCGGAAACAACCGCATTCTTCGCAGCCGTCTGGATTGCTTCCTTGCAGATTCCAGTGTTTGTTCAAGCACTGCTCGCAGTACATGCCCCCAGTAGCTCTCTTGCAAGTGCAGCTTCCAGTTTCGAAGAAAGAGCAATAGGCCTTGTCAGGGTTGGCGATTCCATCAGGATGGCAAGGGCAGCTTTTGCACTCCGGAAAGTTGAAGAAGCCCAGCGCGCAAGAGTTGCAAGTTCGCCCAGTTGTTTGAGGAAGGCCGAGAGAAGCTGTTTCTTGCGATGTTCGGCACTGGCATTGTCCGGTAACCTTGTCACAATAGGCCGATTCTGCGCCATTGAGATCGCACTCGCAGGCTTTACAAAAGCCACTCTCGTCCATGTAGTAGTTGTCAGCGCACTGGTCGCACCTGACACCCGAGTATTCTTCTTTGCAAACACATTGGCCGGTGTAAATATCGCAGGGCTCGTTCTTAACGCTACCGATCTCTGAGCAGGTGCACTCGCCACAGTCCGGGAAGGTGTGGTACCCGGCGCGGCATTTTTCGCACTTGGCTCCGTCAAATCGCTCGTCGCAGAAACAGGAGAGGGTGGAAAGAGTGGAATTGCAAAACTCTTCAGTTGTTCCGTACTTTGAGCAGAGGCATCGATCGCAAGCGGGGTAGTTGTGATATTGTGTAGCACATTGCTCACAGCTATCACCATCAAAAGCTGGTTTGCAGACGCAGGCGCCAGTTTCCTTGTCGCACGGGGCTGTTTTCACTGCTCCAGGCTGCTGTGCGCACTCGCAGGGAACGCACTCGGGGAAGTTGAAGAAGCCGTCGGCGCATTGGTCGCACATTGGACCAGTGTAGTTTTCCTTGCACTCGCAGATTCCAGTTTCTTCATCTGGTCGGCATTGTCCGGAAGCTTCTTCAGTCGATTTGGTTCCCGCGTAAAAGCATGGGCAAGGATTGCACTCAGGAAAGTCCATGAATCCTTCGGCACAAGAGTTGCACAAATGGCCAGCGTATTTCTCCTTGCACTTGCAGGCGCCCGTGTCGTGATCGCAAGTAGTGTCGGTGTAGTTGCTTGGGCAGTCGCACTCGAGACAGGCGTTCTCGTCTATGATTTCAGCAGCTGGATTTCTGTAAAATCCATTTTCGCACCGTTCGCAGTTGATGCCAGTAGTGTGGTGTTTGCAGTCAACGCAGACTCCGCCACCTTCATAGATGCCATCGATGTTCATGGAGCGGCCTTCGCGCTCGACGTTTTCGTCATAGTAGCACGCATCAGCGTGTTGATGACAGTTGCACGCGACACACTCGTTTTCGTGGTCGCGCTCGGCGTGTTTCCATTTCCGCTGGTTAAAGAGCGGCATGCATTCCTAGTTTCATGGGCTCCAAAAATGTACAATTTCAAACATATTGTACGTAATAAGAGGAAGTTCAGAAGTTCCACTACCGAATTCCTAATTAACTATTTCGTCATGACAAGTTCAGCTATTTTTGGATCCCTTTCCTGGCAGGAAATTCCAGCAGTGTTGTGCTTGCAGTTGCATCGAAGCTTGTAGTCGCCAGAGTTCTTGTCCGCTGAGCACTCGTCCGCGTGACCGTTGCAGTCGCATCTGCCGCCGATGGAGATATCCTTGATCGAGTAAAAATATCGTCGCGTAACTGACTCGTCGTTTTCCATGATTCCCATCAAATGGCCAAGAAGAGTTTTCGCCAGCTCAAATCGAAGTCGAATCTTGCGAGCTTTGGTCCACGCTTGAAGAGTAGGACTGGACCAGAAGTTGACAGCACCAGGTCGACCCTTGATCAGCGAGACGATGATTTCTCCATTCTCGAGCGGCGGAATTTCGGAAAAGTCAGAAGTGCATCGAACCTCGTCATCGATAGAAACCCAATCGTTGGCGCCAGTGTGTTGAATTCCAAAGTTCGGGGGACAGTCGCTGCCGTGGTTGGCGAAGTATTGCCAGGGATGGAAGTTTTCTCCGTCCAGCGATCGTTCCAAAACCCATCGGCCAGCGCGAGGAGAGTTGGCAAACTTGATCACAATGTAGGCAACATGAAAGACCTAAAAACAGTTGAACTTTTTGTATTCCAAAAGAGAGCGAAAAAGACATTTCGCACCCGCAAAAGATGAATTACGCTTCCCTTGATTGATCTCCCACGAGCTAATCATCCCCCTTTTACGACGAGTTTACCCCATAGTCACGTCACCAATAAACCCATAATTAAAAGGACCCATAAATAGGTTGAAAGGGCGCTTAGAGTGCTGAATTTCCATTCTTCCCTTTTCCGCAACAATAACAATCGGCCCCTTATTCGAGGCTTTGTTCGTCAATAGAGCGGGTTTACTCGAGTCCCATTGAAAATTTGCACAGTTGTTATTGTTTTTCATCCCTTTTTAGGTTTTCCTGGGCAAATTTGTCTTACAAAGGATTGCTCAAAAAGCTGGTTTCTGAGACAAAACTGTCAATTTACTTTTGAAAGTTCGAAAATTCCACTCAAAAAGTTGACTCAAATTTATTACCTGTCCAAGATCGATGGTGACATTGACCTTGTTGAAATCCTTGTCCAGGGTATTCGAGCTGAGGGGAGGACTTTGCCACCAGTTCTCAGTTCCATCGATGGCATTCTCGATCGGATGAGCTCGGGCAGGATTGGTATCGTCGCAGAGGTCACAGAATTGACCACCGGTGCCAGTTCCCAAGTAGCGGATGAGGGCCTCGTCGGGATCTTGAAGATAGTCGGAGCCGGCGGAGAGTTTACAAAACACTTCCGGTTTGAGAGTGCCGCATGTCGCAGTTGCTTCGATCTTCTTCCCCGTCGCCAAGTTGAAGTACTTTGGGGCGAGGACGCCGTAGTCTTCAACTTTCGTCTCTTTTGCCTGAAGAAATTTTTAATCGAGGAAAATCTTATCAAAAATCTTACCTGACTAGCAAAAGGGCCAAAAGCTGCTAGAAGCAATAATAAACCCATTTTAGGGGTAATTTCTTTTTTATTTCTCCCAATAGAGGGTAGGATTTTATCAAACTCCTCCCTTCTTTTTTTCTATTTTTCGTTTTCCTCTCTTTTTCGTCGAGGGGGAGTAAAATGATGAGGGAGGACGGGAAGGAGAGTTTTTATAAAAAGGAATCGGCGCTGGCCGGGCACTCCGGGAGCGACACCTCGGACACAGCTGATTCGGGCGCCCCGCCGCATTTCAAAGAAATTTTACGCCCGTCGCAGGGAATGAACTCTCCTCTGACTCCTGCTGCGATTCACACTGCTTTGTACTTCGAAATGGTTCCTTCTCGAGTTTGGCCCAGATATGAAAAACGTATTCCTTTTGTCTATTTTGCAATTATTCCAGCCATGAAAGTCATTATTCTCATCGTGTTACACTTGTACAACATCGATAGAAAAACAGAATTACGAATTTAAAACCTTCCGTTATATTTGAACATAAATACTGGCCAGATTCACGGCCGCGTGCGCATAATAAAGTTTGACCTGCACTTTTCTTTTTGTTACGAAATGCGTATTAGAGTAAGGCTAATCCCTTTTTTCCTAAAGTCGGCATATTTGTTCATGCCAAAATAAGTGAGGGCATGGTAATTATATCTAACGCGAGTTGTTAGCGGACTATTTGCCCAGAGGTTAGATAGGTAGTGACCCTCTTATTTTTATTAATAAGAGGCACAAAGTACAGCAAACAAGGACCTTGTAAGCTCGGCAACCTGTGTAGAAAACCTGAGTCAGGGTGTGAAATATCTTTAATGAAAAGCCGCGCAGAGATATTTCAGACCCTGACTCAGGTTTTCTACACAGGGTGCTGAGTAAAAGGTACGATGAAAGTGATGCTTTATCATTCGTACTCTTAACAAAATCGAATTTCAATCAAGCCTGCTTGTTATCAGATGGAACCTGTTGCGGCAAACATTTCCCTTCTTACCAACCGCTAGCACTTTCCACCCTTGTCAGATCTTTACCATCACACACTTGTGGATATTTATTTCCACCAAGTCACAAGTTAGCAGCCAACTAGCGTTCTAAAATGATGGCTCTCCCGAGTTTTCGATTATTTAGTTGAGCCTCTTGTTGCATCAAGGAATTCATCTTCTTTGTTGTTGCAAAGCTGCGTAATCTTTCGTGCTTCCTGCGGCGCAATTATTTTGCGTATACGCGTAAGAAATTGAGGAGAGCAGGGATGAGCTCTAACTGCTTGGGTAGCCAGAAAGAAGAGGGCAAGGAGATGTCCAGCGCAGAGCGAGATTCTATGATGCTTGGTAAACTGAAATAACTGCATAGCAAATGCATCATTGGAGAGAAGTTCAAGGAGCATGAACATACATTCTAAGAAATGATCATTTCTAGAGGCGCGATCTTGAGATTATCATATTTTATTCATGGCGTTACGTACTGTAATCATAATTTTCAACGAAGTACCTCTTTGACTCAGGGACAAAGTAATATTTGGCCTAAGATGACATTGTCTCTTCGAGATAACAAATTATCGACATTCTCTGATGAGCTACTACTAAACGCAGTTACAAGCATCTCAAGATTAACTTTTTCCAAGGTCAAATTTCGTAACTGTTTGAAATGCTTATTTTGATCGACAAATCCTACGCTAAGCTGAGCAACCTGTGAAGAAAACCTGAGTCAGGCTCTGGTAGCGGCTTTTTCAAAAACGAAGCCGCAAAGCGGCTTCGCATAATTACCATCCCAATATATTTTCGAATTTCGGCGAAGCCGCTTCGCGGCTTCGTTTTTGAAAAAGCCGCTGCGCGTCTTTTCATAAAGGATCTTTCAGAGCCTGACTCAGGTTTTCTATTCCGCTTCCCGAGCGCAGGCTCTTCTGGTAGTCCAAAAAGGTGTGATCACCAGTCGAGATTTTTTACAAAGCAACAACTTCGCAATTAAAAAAAAGAGGGGCCCTTCTTGACCCCAATGAAAGCCGAAGAAATAGAAGAGCCCGCTTGTTTGTCTAGCGGATTGAGTAAATCTACGGCCGGAGAAAAGGTTTTTTTCTTATTTTCGAGCAAATAGTCTTGGCAAATTGTAAATAGCGGCCCGCTTCGGTGGTGCTATTTATGGAGTGGAAAATTTCCACTGGAAATTATTTATGGAGACGGGAAGAGAATTAGATCTATCACAATTATTGTCAGTGAAAATTTTTGACTTGAGGTCAAGCAATTTTCCTTCCTGCATCATGATTCATCTGTTTCTGTTATTCTTGACACGTGTGGTAATACTCGAGTTTATGCAGTATTCAGAACAACGGATCTAGCGCCGAGCTGAACCAGCAGTTACCGGCTTCAGTTGATCCGCCCCCTGTTCGCTTGAAATCGAGGAAACAGCTTAGAGTGCGAATTCTTACACTCCTGAGAATCTCGACTGAGATATCTAATAAATACTGTTCACCTGAGACTATAATTATCTCGCGACATTTTTTGACTAGATGCAAATTACGCGGTTTAGATAAAACCACGGCTTACGAAGGTGATATAACATTCTTGAGTAATTTTATTGGCTTTACTAAGGTTCTTTTAGTTTCAACAAGAGTTGGCGTAAATGGGATCATATTTTGGGGTCGAAAAGTTTGAAATTTAGGTCAACAAATGGTCGATGTACGGCCTTGTTGAAGTTGCAAAATTCATTAATTGATACGAGAGTTTATTTATCACCATGGCCCCACTTTCCTAGCTGAGGAAATTTTGTTACCTGTAGGATTTTCAGTGTAGAATTTTTGCGCAAGTCTTGACAGTTTGACAAGAACTGAAACAAAATGCAAGGCCGGAATACAGACTACTCTTCTCAGATCAAGAACGAGTCGCAACAAAGATGCGTTTTCTATTTTTGCTATATTTTTGCGAAGCAGCTATTAAAAGGCAGCAACGCTTCCAACAAAAAGATACCAGTGCTGTTCATCGTTGGGCTAATCTCTTTGGACTTCAATATTTTGGAGAGAGATATTGCACGTAAGAATAATTTAACAATTATATGATTTATTAAACTAATAAAGCGACGAGGATCTTCACGACCAATGCCTTTCAAGATGTAGAATTGACTACGTTGATTGTATTGCTTCATGTGGTGATTCTTCTAGCTGCCAGAGTCAGTGTCGGATAGATTTTGCAGGTAGTGCAAAATCAAAAATAAAACTGATACGATGAAGGTTGTGATGCGTCTTGTCCATGTGGAGTTGATTGTCCCTCTGGTTGTGATGGGTGCCCACATCCACTATGTGATAAGTGTCGTGATGCTGAGATTTCAAATGAGGAGTATAAAAGCTGTATTGTCTATCAATTAGACAAACAGGTAATTCCAAAAATAAAAATCAAATGGAATTTTTATAAGAATACTTGCATCAAAAACTGCCCACCAGATCTTTACTGCATGGATCGATGCTATGATGCTTATAGGATAAATGTTCGATCATGTCCATGCATTGAGGGACAGGTATTTAAAATACATTTAACCATGATAAATATATATTAATCGAAAAAAGCATACGACATCTTTGACGAGTACCAAAACAACGATTTACACAACGACATCAACAACAACAGTCAGATCAACAACATTTCCCACAACAACAACAATGATGGTAAAATTTAATTCAATGTTTTGTCTGAAACCCACGGAATTGTCAGCCTCAAAGTTTATACCGTTTTCCCTAAAATCTACGGAATTGTCCGCTTAGTCTGTAATTATTACAGTATAATTTTTATCGTCAATTTGAGACTTATCTTTTTAACTTTTGAATTTGATCGCAGCAAAGCTTTTAACGGGATAATTTTTTAATGTAGACAACGATTTCTTATTTGGAATACACGACAAGAAGTGATCCATGTAATCCTAATCCATGCGGGCCATGGGATTCGAATGGTTATCCCATATATGACAAAGGCGAATGCTACTCAAATGGGTCTGAAGACTTTGTTTGTTATTGCAAACACGAAGCTTGGACTGGTAAAAAATGTGAAATAACTCCTTGTACTACGTCCGAACCTTGTCTTAATGGAGGAACATGTAAGCCAGATAAATACGGCTATGATTATGAGAATGATTATCCTAATGGTTATTCATGTTATTGCAATACGGGATTTCATGGTCATAATTGTCAATATTCTGTGTGCGACAATAATCCATGTTTGAATGGTGGAACCTGTACAGAAGGATCTCAATCTAACAACATCAGCTATACATGCTCATGTCTTGAAGGATTCTGGGGAAAGAATTGTGAGCTCACAGCATCTGATTAGATCTCTTTTGGATGTTTTCAACAATTTGATTCATAGTAATAAAACACATATTATTCCTGCAGATAATCATATTCTTGAAAAATGGCTGACAATAGCACGGAGTCAAGAAGGACTATGCATTTCAAATTTAGAAAGTTCGTATCAGCTGCTTGCACTTAATTAGGACCCTCCTTCAAGGTTGTTCTCCGAGACCATCCCTCCAGATTCGTTGAATTTAATTTCGCGAAAGAATACACAGGCCATCATAATAAAAGCACAGATGACGTTGGCGTTGCATTTTTGTTGTGTAAGTTGACGTATTAAACTGACACGGGTCAGGTGCATTGAGCGAGCGATCAAACTAAACTCGAGTGTCGGCGGGGATCATGACGGCCTGAAACTAACACTTTCGAGTATAGAAGGTGAAGGTTCTACTTAGGGTTTGCTTACTTTGTTTACAAGCGAAAAATGCTCTCAGGAGTGATAAAAAGAGAGTAGACATTGTCTCTTTCTTATTTCTCGAAAGAATTTGTGTCCTCCTTGAATTGAACTGTACTGGAATTTCTGTAACAAACAGATAAAAACTCTTATCTCGCCCTCCTAAAGCATCGACTGGGCTCCGCCCAGACAAAAGGTGAAGACGGGGTTGTTCTTGTACTGATGCAATTTTCCGAAAATAAGCAACTCCATTCCCCGGCTTAGGGAAACAATTGAAAGATAATGAGTGCTCTTATCGCGTCGTCAGTATTATCACACAAATATTAACTGAAAAATCGGGTTCACTGCTTTTCACGAATATTGTAAAGTTCTTCGAAGAACAATAGTTCTGCAGAAAAGTCTGGGCTCGGTAAGCTGCGAAGAAAACCTGAGTCAGGCTCTAGAAGATATCAGATGAAAAGCCGCGTAGCGGCTTTTTAAAAAACGAAGCCGCAGAGCGGCTTCGCAAATTCTACGATCAAAATCATTTTAAAAATTCAAGCGAAGCCGCTTTGCGGCTTCGATCTTAAAAAAGCCGCTACGCGGCTTTTCATTTACTATCTTTCAAAGCCTGACTCAGGTTTCCTACGCAGGTTGCCGAACCCAGCGAAAAGACTGGAAATGTAATCGAAGATTCTGGTCGCTCTTTTTTGGTCAATAAAACTCAACAATAAAAGATACGAAAGAGCATAATTCCAATTCATGATGTCTAACCTCTGCGTCGCAAAGTCTGCATTTCTAAAAAATAAAACGATAATTTCTCAACAAGTATCGAAAAGTTTTTAACTTGGAGCACTCTTTCTCTCTTTGGACTTCTTGTTTAATTTGCTCACAAGCACTTAGCCGACCTTCAAAGCTTTCAACAGAGCAACTCTCCAAAATGCTTGTTTTGAAACGAATCAGTGAACTAAAGATGATCTCTCTCTTTTTCGCGGTGACCTTGTGAGAGGGAGAATCAGTGTAATTTCATAAATTACAACGCAGACGTGCGTCCTGCATGAAATCGCGAAAATCGCGAAACGGGACCGCCGCTCTCGACCGTTTCTGCTCTTGTGTAAGCTTGAACACGAAAGATAATTACCAGTTTGCATAAGAGGATGATGAAGTGACCGGTTTTAGAGAAGAGCGCGAAATTGAATATAGCAAAGTTCTTCAACTCTGGGCGAGAATTTCTCGGCATGAGGGCTTCTAGCGCGAAAAAGTGCGACTTCTAAGCGTGCTAGAATTTCTATTACTGTATTGCTTTGTTGCTGAAAGTTGAGTTGTTGTTTTTTAATTTGAAATTTGAAAGTTCAACATGTTTTCCAAAATTGCACCAGGCGACCTTCCGTCGACCTGCTCCTCCACCGCCCGTTACCCAATCACAGTTTACGCTTGCGTGGTGGCCCTTTGTCAGAAGTGAGTGAAACACTCCACGCTGCATCTGCAAACGCATTTAGATGAGACTACCAGCTATGCGACTAACTATTCCTCGTCTTTTTTCGCGTTTTCTAAGCTGCTTCTTATTAGTATGTTTGCAATTTTTTTCATTTTGATCGAACCATGTTCTTGTTTTATTTTCAATTGAGAAGTTTATTTTGAAGAGCAGAAGAAATTTTCAATGGCAAGAATTTTTGTAAAAGAACAATTAATTAGTTGGAAGGGATTTTTCGATATCAAGATAGAAATTGAGACAACCAGCACAAACATAATTGTCGTGCTCGCCAATTTTTTCACAGTCTTTGCAAAGAGGGCAGTCATTTCGACTCGCAAACTTGCTACCCGGAAGAGTATGACCAAGCGGCTTCGGCCTTCTCAGCACTTTTTGGCATCTTGGATCCTCACGGAAGCACTCTTTGCAGATCCAATCATTGAAGCTACCGAATTCGTGCTCGTCGTCTTCGTAATAGATGCACTCGGTGATAGCTTTTCTAAAAAGATATGATCAGAAAGAACTTTGTGATCTACTGGTTCGTACGTTGCTGGCAATTCTGTTACTTCTTTTCTTGGCTGACTACCCCACGTCTTCTTGTTGCTGTTGTCGTTGTTGGTCGAGTGAAAGGTTGAAGTTGGCCAACCTTTGTTGTCTTCTTTCTTTGGCTCCTTCTTTTCCTTCTTTGATTCCTTCTTTCGCGAAGGAGAAGCAGCGCGAGAAGAAGTCTGAGGAGGTGGAGATGGAGCTGGGCGAACGTAATATGACGGGCGTGATGATGGTCCTCCTCGTAAATGATTATGAACAGTAGTTGCAGCGTTGTAAACATGTCGGACTGCGGGTGGAATGCAACGCAAGACTGAGGAAAAATGTTGGATAAAGGAACTGGGCTCGGCAACCTGAGTCAGGCCCTGGAAAAGCTAAAATGAAAAGCCGCGCAGCGGCTTTTTTTAAAACGAAGCCACAAAGGAGTTTAAAGAAAATTTATAGGGTTTGTTTGCGAAGTTGCTTTGCGGCTTCGTTTCTAAAAAAGCCGCTGCGCGGCTTTTCATTTTAGCTCTCCCAGAGCCTGACTCAGGTTTTCTACTCAGGTTGCCGAGCCTAGTAAAGGAACATTTGAATAGAAGTACCTGTATATCCAGTTTTCGTAAGCGTAATAGTCGTGTCCATGATTCCCTCGCACAGGGCAGGCACATACTTGTCGGGTATCTTGTTCAACTGCTTTCTTCTCGCGGCTCTTCGTGCATTAATTTTTGCTTTTCGTGCAGCTTTTTCCGTTCTGGTGCGGGCGCAATTCTTCGCGCTACATTTTGGGCTGGAATTTGCGGAAATTAAAGTCGACAAAGGAGTGTCTTGAACATTGCCACTGCGGGAGGACCTGATGGGTCCTTGATCAGCACGATTACTCGAAACGTACGCCAGCCAATTTGCGTTTCTGGAAGATGACTCAGTAATTTTTCGACGAGAAGCGTCAGCAATCGCTCTGTCGAATCGAAGGTCCCATTCTTCATCCCTTTTCCTTTGCGCTTCTCGTCGTTCTTCCCATCTTTGTCTATTCCTCTTGGCCCTCGTCTGCTCCAGTTTCTAACAAAGTTGAATAAGGGAACCCCCGCGTCCAGTAATTATAATCATGTTACAAAGATGCTGTTCTTTTTTGAGTACTTACGTCAAAAATGCAATATCCGACGCAGAGGATTACCACCAAAAGAGCAAGTAAAGCAAGAAGGGAGAGGAGGAGAATCGTGATTGGATTGAGCCAGAATTTCGGAGGAAATTGAAAGCCTAAATTTTCAAGGAATATTATTCGCTAGTTCGTAAAATAACCTGAAGTTGTCTGATTCTTTAGATCCGTCAGGAGGGGCATCTTCAATTCTCTTTCTTTTTGTTCTGAAAATGAAAAATGAAGCTGATTAGTTCATTTTGTGATGCCCTGAATGAAGCTCTTCCTCTAAGAGCGCTCGTGATAAGGCGCGATTTAGCGGTATTTTTCTGATTTGAAAATCGCTGTCAGGAAATATTACGCATGAAAAACAACGTGATTGAATTCGAAAAGCCTTATCGAACAGAAAGGTGGTGATAGCGATTCAAAGAATAGGATTTGCTTGTGAAATGAGTATGTTGAAGATCAGCTTGAAGATTTTCCGGGGGTTACTGCAGCAGAAACATTGATTTTCGTAAAAAAAGATACGTCCACTGAACATTATCTTGAAGGCTTCCTCGCTGTTCTTCAAGAATGCCGGGTGATATGAATTGAATTACAGAACTTATCAATATCGAGCAAATAACCACCTTGTTTTTCCCTGGTCTGATGGAATATTTTTTCTTCGTGGAGCTTTGAAACCGCTTTTTGAGGTTTATAAGTTGAGATTTCAAAAATCATGATGAATAGTCTTAAAAAAGGATTAAATTAGGTACGGGTAAATATTAATCTGACGCCCTTATAGATCAAAAAGATGCGTCAAAGCTACAGTAAGTCAGTAAACTTAAATTTGAGCTTCAAAAATTATCGTGGAAAAAGCTCAAAAAAGCTCTAGATCAGAAGTTTTGCAGCTTATCTTTCAAAAAAATGTTTTTCTCAAAACTCAGCCCGGATTCCGGAAATATACACAGAGAAAGAGCATTTGAGCGGTTTTAGAAAAATCAAGCTTTGGCGATGGCGAAATTTACTGATGCGTTTTGGTCGGCTCGATTGGAACTGGCTTTTCGGGAGATGCCGTGGAGCAAGATTAGCTTGGAAGAGATTAGAATTGGCGTTCAAGGAAAAGTTCTGAAAAGAAACTTTTGACGATTTTGTTAATTTTTCTGATTGAACTTTTCTGGTGAACTTTTGTCAAAGTGAACCAGGGAGAAATAATAGAAACCGCGCTTGAAAAGGAGGAAAAGGAGTACAAGGTAATTCTGACAGCTGCCCGGCTAGAGGGGCTTACATTACCGACCGGTTTTTATGTCGACTTTAGGGAACACTTCTGATTGAGTCGCTGCAGCTGTTTGCGTGTAAGTAAACCCACGAATTTCTCAATTTCCTAAAACCATGAAATTTCAATTCTAAGGAAGATTAGATTTTCATCTTAGAAACAGCTTAGCTCGGCGACCTGTGTAGAAAACCTGAGTCAGGGTTCTGACTCAGAGATTTCGATTTTTCAATTCCTTTTTGAACTTCCGGCGAAGCCGCTTTGCGGCTTCGATTTTAATAAAGCCGCTACGCGGCTTTTCCTTAAAGATCTTAAAGACCCTGACTCAGGTTTTTTACACAGGCTGACGAGCCCAGATTCCCCTATTTTCAGCCGAAAACGATGTCCGATTTGATTTGAGCGAAGATTTCAAAAACCAAGAATTTCAACTTTGCGTTGATAAATTTGTGGAAAGCATGGTAGCTGCTGATGAATTCGGAAAATACCCAACAGAGGATCAAATTAGCGGGACAATTCGAGTTTATGGCCCCTCTCAGATAAATGAAAAGTTCGAAACGATCATTGGCGAGCTTCGATGGACCATTTCGTTGATGACGGTTCCGGCCGAAAAGCCAAAAGAGCCCGTGAAAAAGGTCGAGAAGCCAAAAGCAAGGAGAGTGACACGAGTGAGAATCAAAGTACGGTCGTTCTGAAATTGCATTAGCTCTAACTCAGCTCTTTTAGCCAGTAACGAACCCTGACGTGCCTGCCGATTGCCGCCAGGTAAGCAGCCATTTTAATCCGATTACAGGAAGAAGAAACTCCTCGCCGATTTCTCCGTCCACGCGCCCGGGGGCACAGCGAGTATTTTTCGAGCGACGTTTGATTCTGTTTCGTTTTTGAAGAGTTTATTTTAGGATCCGCGAATGGCCAACTCGATTGTTTCGCAGGTACAGCTAGAAACGAGTCGAAAAATAATGTATCGAACATTTACTAAACTAAAAAACTCCCAGGCAGGAATGGAAGAGATAGAAGTCCTTGTTCACGGAGCATCGAACTTGTTCAAACCTGGAAAGGAACGACTACCACCGCGAAGGGCTCAAGAATTTCAAGAAAATTCAAGAAATAGGAAATTCAAAAAAGTGTCGGGAAAATGCATTTTAATGAAACGAGGTGTCAAATTCAGGGCTTACAACGATAATATGCCTGTCAGAGATAGTGCTTCCAAGATTGCCAGCCTCTAAAATGAAAATGTTACGTCTGCTTCCCGTGTACGTAAAATTAGCCCGTTCAAGTTCTATGAACAGGTTTAGAATGACTCTTTTCAGGAGATAGTCGATTTCGTGAAGATTAATTTTCAAAATGACTTTTTCGCGAAAAAATTTCACTGAAAAATCGCGGAAACGATCTCTTACCCTGACTCAGGGTCCCTGAGCGCGACAACCTGTGTAGAAAACCTGAGTAGAAAACCTGAGTCAGGGTCTGAAAGATTTTTTGAAAAGCAGGATTGGAATGTTTTTGATTCAAAATCTTTCAAACCCTGACTCAGGTCTTCTACACAGGCTGTTGAGCTCATCCCCCAACCCTTTAACTTTTCAATCACAGTATAATGCCAACTAACTCTTGTTAAACCACAGAGCTACATTAGTAATCCCCCCTGTAAGCTTCCCCCTTTCGATTGAGCACAACATACGTAACACTAGAATACGTAATGGCCACTCTGAAGAGCAAAGTAGTTGCAACTTGCATTCTCAAAAACTGCCACGGACTGACCTTCAAAATTATTCTTGAGTCCAAGAGCAGCGTGCTTTTGTCTCATTCAAGAGCGAGTCCGACTTCGACAATAATGTTCCAGCAAAGTCATCAACCACAGTCGCGAGGAAATCATCAGCGCCAATTTGGGCAGAAGTTGTGCAACTCAAGGCCCGTGTTGTATTTTCATCGCTATTACCGTATTAGAGAGATATCTAATTATCAAAAAACATAATCCAAAAACGCATGCTCCGTCAAATGTATTAATTAATTGAGGGTAAACAAAACACCGATGATCTCTATTTCGAACGGTTCTTTTTAGAGGTCAATCAAAGGCAAGCACTTTTTTTTCCAACGCGTTTTTCAAGTTCAAAGCCAACCAAGAAATCACGGCGATTCTGTCAATCATCGACTACGACAGCAAGGCGGTCCTCTCAAAATTCAAAATTCCTTCCCAGCGACTCCAGCCCTTCCAACAGTACCACTTAGAACTCGTCGACAAGGTGTCCCAACAACTAAAAATGTGCGATTCTAATCCTGTTTTCATTCACATAGGATACGAGCTGTTTTGTATCAATTCGTCGAAAGCAGCATTTGTGCCCTGAGAAATCGCTCGAATTTGTCCTTTGCGAGATGAGCGATGAGATCAACGACAACGAGCTTGACGGCTTCACCGGTAAAGAGCGCTTCAGAACTGGGCTCAGCAACTTGTGTAGAAAACCTGAGTCAGGGTCTGAAAAATCTTTTATGAAAAGCCGCGTTTTATGAATTCCGCGGCTTCATTTTTAAGAAAGCCGCAACGCGACTTTTCATTTAAGATTTTTCAGACCCTGACTAAGATTTACCACACAGGTTGCCGAGCCCGGTTCTGAAATTTTTTAGTAAAGATTTATCTTTTCAGCTATTTTCCGGCCTATTTCTGATATTCTTCATTACCGGGAAAGCTACATGCAGGAAAGAGCTGCTTATAAAATAAGCTCGGCAGCCTGTGTGGAAAACCTGAGTCAGGATCTAAAATAATTTAAATAAAAAGCCGCTTAGCGGCTTTTAAATAATGAAGCCGCGAAGCGGCTTCGCCAAAAGTACCATTTGAATCCATTTTGAAAACTTAGCATCTCTCAAATACTCTCTCAAATACTGACTCAGGTCTTCTACTCAGGAAGTTCGAAGCAAGATTCAAGTAAAATGAGCTCTGTCGCAGCTAATCTTCGAAGGTCAAAATCGCAACGTTATCGACTTCCAGCCAATCGACTTGTTCAGCGAGACGCCGCGGTCGCCCTCCGACTCACCGGTTGGATTTCCTCAAGGAATGTTTTGTTACATCAGATAACCTAAAAAATACCCACGATAACGAAATGGTCGTTCAAGAACTCTCTCGCTCATGTTCCTGCCAATTTTTTAGAAGATTACACATCGCGCAAAAAATATTAGAAGCGTTCTACTCAAGTTTGGTTTTGACAGGCGCAGTTATGTAAATTGATTAATGATATTAAAAATTAATACAACATGCTAGTACCGGTAGTAAGCGGAGTGATCTGGGCTTAGCGCCTCAGCAAGATGATACTAGTGCTGATGATGGTTTTAATAGAGCTTGTAGTTTTCGTCATTTTCTTCATGTTTTCGCGTAAATTTGTTAGAAATAAGCTACTACTGTCACAGCAAGCCTGAGTCAGGGTTCTTGATGAGCTTTTATAGTAGCTGCGCAGCGGCTTTTTTCGAAATCAAAGCCGCAAAATGGCTTCGCCATGACTATCATTTTAATCTATTTTTGCAATTCTGGCCTGAATCAGGAAACCTGACTCAGGTTTTCCACACAAGCTGGAAACCTTACGAAAAAATAGACTAAAATGGTAGTTTTGGCGAAGCCGCGGAGCGCCTTCGATTTTAAAAAAGCCGCTGCTTGGCTTTTCATATAAGATCTTTCAGACCCTGACTCAGGCTTGCTACACAGGTCGTTTTATTCGTAGAATTCTTTTTCTAATTTGAAGATAGCAAGAGGTAGACCTTCAAATGCAGTAACAGATCTTTTTTTCAAAACAAGAAAAAAGCGATTCCAATGAGCTTCCGTGTCGCAAAAGCATCTCTTACTCGGCACTCATGGTGGCACAACGTAATCTTGACGCCAAGACATTGGTTACGACATTGAAGCACTTATTGAGTTACAACTGCACTTGTCGAATATCGAATATGTTTATTCGAATACGCAGATCACCAATTTGCGGGCTAAAAATAGCTCCTCTTAGAAAGAATACATAGAGGTTAACTCAGTAGAATTTGGCTTGAGCAAACTCTGGAACGATTTTAGAAATTAGCATTAGTAGAAGAATAAGTGGCATAGTTATTATCTGAACGTGGTTTTGCATGATGTTCTAAATCGCGCGTGGCATTTTGCCTTTTATTTGCGCAATGAACCTCATAATCATGTACCTTCTTGGCCGAGAGAGTTTTTTCTAAAGACAAGCTAAAACTTTGCTTTTTCTAAGAATCAGCAAGCTTCTATGCTCGGCAACCTGTGTAGAAAACCTGAATCTGAGTTTGAAATATCTCCTTTGAAAAGCCGCAAAGCGGCTTTTTTAAAAACGAAGCCGCAATTTTTTTTATCAATTTTGAAATCTTAGAAAAGCCGCTTCGCAGCTTTGTTTTTGAAAAGCCGCTTCGCGGCTATTGTTCAATTAAGCTCGAAGCCGCAAGCGGCTTCTCGATTCCAACAAGTTTACAAGCACCAGTAACCAATGAAAAGATATTGCGAAGGACTGTTCAATCCAACTTCCGGCTGCGTTGTGGAAATCTACAGAAATAGCCTGTTGGAAGAAACGGACACTGCTCTTTTGCGTTATCGAAAGGCACGGTTTCGGAACACGTGAACGTGAAAGTAGGAGCTGCGCATCTCCCCAATAACAAGAGCGAACCAACAATTACTTATTGTACAGGCAGGTAGACGATTATGCGACAAAAGTGAAGAATTTGATTACTCTGCGTTTATTCCGACGCGTAATTTACAATTACGCAAAAGATCACCATCACCTTGTTGATTTTAGGCTAGCCAGATTGTTTTTTCTAAGGATTCTAGCGCTCTAAAAGGTATTCTTCGTCTCGAAACCGTTTAAAAAGCCATTTGGTTACGCTGAAATTACGATGCAGTCGGTCGAAGAAAATATTTTACAGCGGATGGAAGGAACGGAACTAGATAGCTAAAGACTTCTCCTGGCTCGGCAACCTGTGTAGAAAATCTGACTCAGGGTTCTGAACAGCTCAAATGAAAAGCCGCGTATGAAATAGTGATATTGCAAAGCCGCGACGCGGCTTTTCATTGAAGCTCTTCAAAACCCTGACTCAGGTTTTCCACACAGGTTCCTGAGTGCTACCTGTATTAGCCAGGAGTTTGACGGAACTTCTCTCGGGTCCGTTTTCTTACTAGTTCCCCTGCGAAACAGACGGTGTTTGCTTTACGAACATCCCGTTTCGGCAAATCCATCTCCAAGGGCCCGTGCTGCCGAAATTAAAGGTTGCATTCCGTCTGCTCCAGCGCGAGTCGTCGTTTCAGGAAAACGTGCAAAATTGCCTCTTAGTTGGCCCAATAGCCCGTTGCGGTCGACTCCTTAGTTTTCTAAGCCATAGGATCGAGGGTTCATGCGTAAATACTGAAGTTTCCGTTCCATTCCGGTACGTGGCGAATTTTTTTACCATCCGTCGGGAGCCGCAAATATCGAATTTGGAAGTAATTAAACGAACTTGCCGACCTTTAGCTTTTCAGGAACAAAACCGGTCGGAAACTAAGATAAAAAAAATTTCAAGAGGAGGGGGGTCCCTTAATTATCGTCTTTGATATTGTGATTGTACTGGGAACCCAGATAGATAAATTGCTTCCTTGTTTATCTCAAAACGGTGATATCGTGTTTTTTTGGTAGAAATTCTTGAGTTGGCAAATTTGCTTGGTCGGATGCCTATTTTTTGCCAGAAAATATTTGTGGAGGAGCCACAAAATGGAGCTAAAAATGCATCAGAAATGGAGCTGATCTGGATCAAGTTTATAAAAGGAGATTAAGGGTGTCAACAACGATTTCACCAAAATTTTGACATCTGTTGTTGACACCCTTAAGCCTTAAGGGAACCCCCCTGAACTTTCCCTCCCCCTGTTAGAATGCAACTACCAAGATACCGTTAAGTAAAGAAATACTTGTGAAATATTCAGCAACAAAAAAAACTGGCACTTAGAGTGACTCGCCTCTTGCTTTTCAAGCGTTTAGCCCGCTGTTCAATTCTATAATTTTCAAAACGCAGATTGTTATACAAGTGACTTATAACAACTTGTAAATTCAAAACATGGCAGGCACGTCAGCAATGAGCATTTGAGGATTTCCTTCCTCGCTTTGCTCCTCTTGCTTTCCTGTTGCACTCCGGACTCCGGGCATTTTCGCGGTCGCCCTAAAATCCCCTTGATCTTGCTTTTTCCAAATCAAGGATTGGAGGGTTTCTGATATACAGTCGGACTCAGACTGTCTGAGGCCCAGGTTCTGAGCTCGGCGACCTGTGTTCAAAACCTGAGTCAGGGCCTGAAAGGTCTTGAATGAAAAGCCGCGCAGCGGCTATTTTGAAAACGAAGCCGCAAAGCGCCTTCGACGAAATTACTATCTGTATCTTTGCGGCTTCGTTTTCAAAAAGCCGCTACGCGGCTTTTCATTCGGGCTTTTTCAGGCCCTGACTCAGGTTTTTGACACAGGTTCCCTAGCCAGTGCACCGTATATACAGTACTTTAATGTTCTTACAACAACATCTCTCCTTTTTCTTTCTCCACCCGGATAATATTAATACCCCCTTCTTTATACAGTCACACTTCGTTTTCACAAACTTCGTTAAATTTAAGCACGGTTCAAAAGCTCGAGCCCGCAACAATCGGGCAGCTATTGTCCATTGACGTCGTCTCCCTGCTCAATCGTAAGTTACTTTGCTTGGGCAAACGTTCTATTGATTCGTAAAAACCGGAACTTGCCCCGACCCCGTTACTCAGGTGATGATCACTTCGGCCATGTTTCCTGTGTGTGAAAAACCATGTGTGTGCCTAAGCGAATCTCAGAATAGTATATAGAAACTAGAATACACACGCGCCAAGAGACGCCGAAAACTGTCGCGCTTGGAACTTTTTTGATACAGATTTTTTGATTATAAGAGAAAAAGAGAAATATTCTAGTGTTCTAGCAACATGTTCGGTAGGTTTCCGAATTTCTTACAGAAGCCGACTTCGATAACGAATTTTCCCATCAATCATCTGATTGGTGAAAAAATTTTTTTTTTGATTAACCAATCAGATGTAGGATGAAAAAAATCGTTATTGAATTCGTACAGGAGCGGTCTTCGATAACGAATTTTTCCATCAACCATCTGATTGGTCGAAAATTTTTTTTGATTGACCAATCAGATAGAGGATGGTTTCTTTCAATAACGACTCTTTCCATCCTCCATCAGATTGGTCGATCAAAAATAAAATCTTTCGACCAATCAGATGGAGGATGGAAAAAATCGTTATTGAAAGAAGCCGCTGTAGAGTCCTTTGAATAGCCAAAAATACTTGAAAAGTCAAGTGCAAAGGGAAAGAATAGGAAATATTTTGAAGAGTCTTGATAATCGAGATTGAGATTAACTTTCATTATTTTTTTTTCAGTTCGAATGGGCAACTCCTCCGGGAGGCGAAAAGGACGAAGAGATCAAGTTGAAGGTAAGATATGAGAAACAAAGAGGGCCCTGCGTAAGAATAAGCCGAAGCAACGATCAATTCCTCCCTTGGATTAATTAAAAAGCCGACTCGGCGGCTTCAATTTGAATATTTTTCGCGAACGGATCAGTATTTTGCAACGTGGGTGAACCCGACTTTGTACCTTAGAAAGCGAGAAAATATTTTCTCTAGCGATGATCAGATTCTGAGCTGGTGGTGAATGTTATGTGATGGTGACCAAATTGAATTTGGTCGGGGGTGTTTATTTTTTATTGGAAATCGTGATTTTGTTGCGGCGAGATCAATTTGTTCTGCATCAAGGTTTTTTCTAAAAAAGGGGATGGGAATCATGACTAGACAAAAATCTGTCTACAGGGCTCGGTAACCTGTGTTGAAAGCCTGAGTCAGGGTCCTGAAAAAGCTCTGCATCTGATACTAGGAAATAGAGTGGACCTTTAATTTGCGGCTTCGTTTTAAAAAAAGCCGCGCAGAGCTGTTTTAGGACCCTGACTCAGGTTATTAACACAGGTTTTTGACCCTGGCTGCACTTTTTTTGTGAAATAAACTCGAATTTATAGCCAAAATTGAAAATTATCAATAAAAAAGCACCCAAAAAAATCCTTTAAAAATAAGATGATTTTCAGATGCTCCGTATCCCACCGACAGCGCCGTGTCAGACTTACTAGCGAGAGCGTACGAAGAACAGAGCGGTCAACCCGGACGCGACCTGGTCCGTGATCTATCTCCTTCACCAAGTCAGCTTCGCCGCGCATCGCTCAACGAACATGAGCGACAACAGGAAAGGGACTTCATCATCACATTTTCAAAGCGAGCAGGGAGGCAGGGGGTTTTCTTTTAGAAAATAGAATACCATTCTTTCCTCGCCCCTGTTATTAAATTCGCTGAGAAAGAGATTCCACCGCTTCTTTTTTTTAAAAAGAAAACGTTTTTAGGGTTTTATCAAAAGCGGAATGTGAGGTTCATCAGGTACTTCAGCTCGCCGTGGACAAGATCCTTAAAAGTCGTGAAGAATAAAAGATTTCCGCTATCCAGATCCATGTGAAAGTATTTTAAGTCCCTTCCAAAGAGAGCTCTTATGAGAATGTCCGCAGATCTTCTAGCGGAAAGAAAACACAGCAAAGGTTTACGAAAATTCTTTCCCCAAAAAGGTTGCTTTGCTGGCTGTTGTTTGGACCCTCTAAATGGCGAAATAATAGCCCGTTTACGGGTCAAGAATAAGATTTGATTTAGCAGAGATTTGTGACAATGGCAAGTCGTGTTGTATCAAGTGTATTTAATTTTGAGAAAGATGACAAATGATCTCGCTGTCATGTGTTTTGCAACATTGAAGTATCTGACCTACTACTTGCAAAATTATTTTTAACTTCATTTTCCAAGTATTCGTCAAGTTCTATCACTAGAACTGAGAGGACAGGCGACTAGGAGGTCCACTTGAAAATGACTTTCTTTTTTTAGTGATGCGTTCAGATATTACCTGGGTAGATTCCTAACCCTAACCCTCCCCGGTAGAAACGAAGGGCTATTTTTAACAGAAAAATTAGGATGCTTCCATTCTGACGGATTTTTGCTTCCTCCTTCGTAGATGTAAAATAGGGGGTCCCCTAGTTCATCCTTGACTTTTAACGTTTGATACCCTAGTTCATCCCGCCCACGCAGTCTTTCTTCTCTTCAACAATCTCGAAAAAAGCGCACAAACCAGCTAAAAGACTGCATGGGCGGGATGAACTAGGGTACCACACGTTAAAAGTCAAGGATGAACTAGGGGACCCCCTATTTTTTATTTTTGGCGTTATGAGAGTTTCTAGAACAAATTTGTTTACTTAAAAAAAATAAAAATTTTATTTTTACTGATAAAATAAAAGGGGATTGTAAAAAGAAAAATTTTTAATTCTTAAAATAAACAAATTTGTTCTAGAAACTTTGGTAAAAATTCGTTAAAATGGCTACTTTTTGAAGAATAATAAATCGTGGATTTTCAAGTCATCTTCTACGCAATCAAAAACCGATCGATCGCGCTGAACAACTTCCCCTTATCGTAACGTATTTCTAAACCAAAAAGATAGAGAAACTCTCGAAGATCAAAAATTCGAGCTTGAAGAACAGCTCAACCGCATGCAACGCGATTTGCAGCTCAGGTAACAAAAGCTATCTGACCAAAGGAGCAAAGTTCGTTTTAGACATACGCTGGTTCACGATGGGCTGGAGGGTGCTGCGCCGGATGAAATTGCTTCGCGTTTTAGTAAGTTGCGGGAGGGAATGAGAATTTCACAAAATTAAGAGGGAGGGGCTTCAGCTTAGAGGGTTTTTAAAGGTCAAGGCTTGACAACCTGTTTGGTAAACCTGAGTCAGGGTTCTAAAGAGTTTCAATGAAAAGCCTAGTAGCGGCTTTTTAAAAATCGAAGCCGCGAAGCGGCTTCGCAACATGATTATTTGAATCTATCTTCAAATACCGGCGAAGCCGCTTTGCGGCTTCGATTTAAAAAAAAGCCGCTACGCGGCTTTTCATTTAAGCCTTCGGAACCCTGATTCAGGCTATTTTAGCAACCCTAGGGCCTAGGCTTAGCAAAGATCTTTTAGTCCTCCAGGGGCCAAAAAGCTTAGTGAACAGCTAAAAATTAAAATTCAACAAACAAGTAGATTTGCTATGCACGTCGTCAGCTCTGCTTCACGAAAGACCACAGATGGCATATCTCATCCCCTACGCGTCGTGTTTTTGTTTTCCTTAAAAATTTTTTCATAAAAATTCAAATTTTCTGCCAGTACTTTTCAGACAGCAATTCAACAGTACTTTTCGCCCGGTCAGCAAATCACCTTTTTGAACTTTTTGCGTTGTCGGATGTTTATTTACCCGCGCTTTTGGGTGTCACCAGCTAAAAGCAGCTTTCCTCTAAAACGCGTGGCTACGGTAACACCGCTTTCGCGAATTTCTCGACAAATGAACTGGCTTTTGACTTTCTCGATGGGCTTACACGTTGCTCTAAATACTCCTTGTCAAGCGAATAATTTGCTATTTTCTTCCACCTGCGACGCCTGAAAACGTTTTTTCACACAACTATTCAACTCTTAGTGGTTATGCGCGAAAAGTACAAGACAAGTTTGGCAGCAAACGAGAAGCTAAAAGAAAAACTGCGGGAAGTTTCGGACTCGATAACACGCGGAGAAGGGCAGAAAAACAACCTGCTTAATGAGCTAAAGCGGTAATTATTATTTTGACGATCATATTTACGCGTAATACTCAAATTCGAGAGAAATTAATTTTGAGTTCTGACATGATCTTCTAGACTCAAAAACCTGAGTCAGGGTCTGAAAGAGCTTGAATGGAAAGCCGCGCAGCGGCTTTTTCGAAATCGTAGCCGCGAAGCGGCTTCGCCAGAATAAAAATTAGAAATTAATATTAATTTTGTTTATTAATTATTAAATTAATTATTATTAATTAATTAAAATCTAGAATTATTTTTGTAATACTATATTTATAATATATATAATATATTTTTTATCAATTAAATTTTTTGTAATTAATAATTAATAATAATTTTCTTAATATTAATATTTCTTTCTAACTTTTATTCTGGCGAAGCCGCAAAGGCTTTTTTTTCAAAAAAGCCGCTACGCGGCTTTTCATTCAAGTTCTTTCAGTTTCCCCTGACTCAGGTTTTGAACAAAGGTTGCCGACTCTGCCAGCGGTATTGCCGCTCATAAACACCTTGTTTTAGATAGTATAGTAGCGGTAGTAGTATTGTTATATAATTTTTTGCAGCGGTTTATCTTTCGAACTAATCGTGACGTTGTGTTTGTAACATTTTTCAAAATTGTTAGAAAGTCATTTTCAAAATATCGCTCATTCAAATGCTTTCAATGTTCTCGTGGTGAATTTTTGAAATTCGTGAACACGCAACAGCAATTTTTAAATCAATCTTGCTCAGTAAATGCCTTCAAATCGTTGCTGGAAGCTGAAGGTCAATCTTGGATCAAAACGAAAATGATTCATATTCATTCAAATAGATTTCAATCCACTTTTCTAGTGCTTCGGATCAGTCAGACAAACATCTTGAAGAGCTCAACCGGATGTCAAGAAGGGTAAGTACTACTTACTAAGTAGTTAAGACCTAGGGTAGTAAGGGGAGTGGTACCCCCAGTTGAAGCCCCCAAGTTGAAAATTAGTCCCCCCCCCCGTCTGGGGGTCCTCCTAGAAGTTGCCTACCTTAGGTTCCTAAAAGACGGTTCCCCTCAAGGTACTTACAGTAATGATTACATACAGTTGAACATGATCCGAACCGAACTCGTCTATCTTCCCGAAAAAGTGACTCGCAATAAACACGAGCTGGTAAAAAAAATGTTTTCAAATTCAATCAAATCGGAGAAAAGAATAAAAGTTTCGAAATTTCCTTTTAGCCAAACCCAAAATATCTAAACGCATAATCCCTAGACACCGAAAATTCATCATCGCCTGTTACACCATCCATACATCAACAGTAGTCCTTAGTCGTAGTCGTGTTTTGGATAAATCGGAAGCGATAAAAAGCTGTTCTGAATTTTTGGCACGTTTAAAACGCACGGATTATTATTTCAATGCCTGAATTCTGACTACAGGAGCATGAAGAGTAACAAAGTTTTCTAGCTAAAAGACCAGAAGAAACTGGAAGACCTGTGCAAAGAGCAAGAGAGGATCATTTCAAAGCTAGAAGAATTATTTGCCAAAACGAGGGTCAACGTTGATACCAGTAAGTCCTTTTTTCAACCCATTTTTGATGTCATTTTTGTCTCAAAGACAAATTAAACTTAATGCTAAACTTGGTACCCCGGAAGTATAGTTACCCGTGTTTTGGGTACTTAGCAATGGTGTATGTTTCTAATTATCGACACAGAAAAGAAGGTGCCCCGCTGGCTCTTATCACCGTCGCTCGGCTGGAGACCCAAGTCAACAAAGAAAATAATTAAACTTTCTAATACAGACGTTTTATCTCTGCCTGGGCAGGCTTATCGGACGAATGGGGTGATAAGGACGAGGGTAACCGTGGACAGATGGTTTCAAAATATTAGGAGGACTTTAAGGATCTTCCAATAATTTGAAGGGGAGAAAATGGGCGAAGAAAGATCAGGGAATTAAGGGTCTACCCCCTCGTAATTAAAAAGTCTTCATAAAAAATCCATTTTTTGATAAGAATCTTGATCAATTTCTGTTTCTAGGATGGAAAGACGACGTGGACCGGCTGATGCACGCGACCAAAACCAGGAAATGTTCAAATACCGTTCTAGGGATGTATTACCGTCAATTCGAATTCCAAGGAATTCGACTAAAAATGTCCTTTTCTAGCCGAAATCTTATGTGAAACGCTCTATTATTCCGATAGCTGATGACTTGTTCGAGTTTTACCTTACCGCATCATCAAATTAGATCGAGTTTTTTTGAGAACAAAGTCAAGAGAAAAGTACACTCCTGGGAACTACGCTTTGCCGCAATATTCTGCTGTCCCTGGACTCGCTCCGCCCAATTCAAAAGCTCTTCCTGGCTATCACATGCAAGAGGAAATCGAGGCACGTATTTTCAAGCGCTCCTTGAAATGAGCAGCTTTAGAACAGTTTTCCTGGTAGAAACAAAAATACCGTCGAGTTGAACAAAAAATCATAAACGCTTCTCTGCGGTCGCGGGCACTCAACACGGGGAAATCATTTTCGGGGAATTAGAAGAGTCTCTAAACGCGAAACTGTTGCCGTTCTTTTTTTCGATCCACTTAATTCTTCCCCACTAATTATTTACCAATTGACCCTCTTGAGACGTCAACAGAGGTCAAGAACCTTCGAAATTTCAGGGGCAAGTTTTTGCGTCAATCACGGGTCTGCTTCGTCAACCTGTGTAAAAAACCTGAGTCAGGGTTCTGAAAAGCCTTAATGAAAAGCCGCGTAGCGGCTTTTTTTTTCAAACGAAGCCGCATAGCGGCTTCGCAATATCACCAGTTCATACGCGGCTTTTCATTTAAGCTCTTCAGAACCCTGACTCAGGTTTTCTACACAGGTTGCCGAGCCCAACTAACGGGCCCATCGTAACTTTATTAAGGACCCCCCCGTCAGTTTTTTCCTTCGAAAAATGGAAATTGAAAATGGAAAATTGATTTTTCGAAAAAAGCTGAAGGGGGGGGGGTCCTTAACTAGCAAAACAATAAATAGCTTTGAATTTGAGCTCGTAACAAAAAAGGGTCACTTCCAGACCCGAACCGCTGAGGCCTGAATTTCTAATACCGTAAAAGCCCCCATCGCTATTATTCTACACACAGTGCGCTGCACACTAACTAACTAGCGTTATCTTCACTAATTGTGGGAAGCGTCTCCCTTAAACCGACCGTGGTATTTACTCAACGTGGGTCCGGGATGCATGATGAGGAAATTTTCGGCATCTCTAAATAACCGCTCGTTTTCATGTAGACGGAGAGGATGAGAACGGCGATGCTCGAACGACAGATCAACGAAATGGCGAGGGAACACGCGAGGGAAAAGCAGGATCTTGTCAACAGAATTGAGGAAATCAGGTAAATGAAAAAAAATCTTACCCAGCAACTTTTGCATAAAAAAATGAAGGATCAATCAGCTTGAAATTCCAAAGCATGAAATAAGCTTGCCAGTTGAAGGGTCTGTCAAAAACAAATTCTTGGTACTCACATGAACAATTTCGAAAGTTAGACATTTTTTGCACAACAGGACAATATCTTTGTATAGGCGGACAAGTTATCGAGAGAAACAAAAATTTCAAGTGGCGAATTTGACATTTTAGCAAGGGGCGAACTTGGCCTCAATTTTGACTCAAAATTTCAAAATCAAGTTATTAACCCATTTTGTTCGAAGATAAAATTAAACCAAGGGCATATTTCGGCCAATTTTGGGCCATTTTCGGCCATTTTTCGGCTATTTTCGGCCATTTTTCGATCATTTTTGCCTTTTTTCCAACCTTATCCGAATCCGTTTGTCTACATTTAACTCTGAAACAAGGAACGCCTTAGTTGCTTTTGATAACTTTTCAATTGCCCAACAAAGAACACTTAATTGAAAATATAGCTATGGTACTATCATCTTGGTACTACCAAGAAATTGATCAACGAAAACGTTTGCCTGTCATATGCCAAGACAAACGGGTTTAGTTCAAGTGCTCCCACTTTTTCCCCGCAGGTGATTGTCGTTGACGCTTTTTTGCCCCTTGAAAATTGCTTGGTAGTACCAAGTTACATAAAACCCCCGCTCAGCAATACATCGGCAGCAAACGGTTTAATTTGTGTTTTCGGAAATAAACTGTGTTTCCGGCCACGTGGAAGTTCAGAGGTTGAATTTGTTCTGAATCCAGAACCGGGCAAATTTCGCGTTTATTCTAAACGCCGTTTACAACAAATACGGATTATCATCGTGGCCAGGAGCGGCGACCTTCGGCTACACATGGGTCAGGCGCAAAAGTCCGGTCAGAATGGGTTATTTTATCACAAATTGTATTTTCCTCTTAGCCTTTTAAATCTCTGCTTTTTAGAACCGGCTACGCACCACCTCGAGTTCCTTCAAGATTCCCAGAAATTGGCGGAAACGGACCAGCTGGCGACACACGATCGAAGCCTGGGCTCGGCAACCTGTGTAGAAAACCTGAGTCAGGGTCTGAAAGATCTTTAATGAAAAGCCCTTTCAGATCCTGACTCAGGTTTTTTACACAGGTTGCCGAGCCCAGATCCAAGCCTTTTGATCTGGGAGACCCTTATGGAAGACGATATTGAATGACCCCCCTCCCTTAAATTTCGACTGTGTATTTCAAAACTTTTTCTCTGAAATTATTGCCTTTCTCTGAACTTTTCGAAATAAAAAAAATCTGATGAGACTTCAAGTGTAGTTGACCTTATTTCTAGGATCCCAACTTGTTTTGGTGATAATTTATAATAATTTGTCTAATGCAAAACTAATGATAAGGAGGGCTCATTTCTGTGAAAAAGTGGTAGTAAGTTCCAATGGTAGTGGCTCTAGTTCACGATCACATGATTGGAGAGTGCGATTAGCCTCCGTGTACATCCGGGATCATCCTTGTTGATAATCGCGCGTCGTCCACCCTGAGCTGTCTTGTTTTCGCTGATGAGCGCAGCAGTCTCATAATAGCCAACCCTAACCGTCACAACAAATTGCCAAGGTCACCGAAGCCACTCCACTCTCCCCGTCAGCCCAACTTTCTAAAAGCAAATAATCATCATTGAAAAGAAGAACAAAAAAAGCAATCAGCCAACTTCCGACTTTGCCCTTATTACCGCTTCGAACTTTTTTCAAAAGTTTTTTTCAAAGAAAAAAAATGTTTTTCGAAATCTCAAAATTTCAAATTTCAACTATTTATTTGAAACATTCGGTAATTGTTTCTGGTGTTTACTAGAGCACAGCTTAGCTTATAATTCTTCAAGCGACACGTTTTACGCTGGTCATTGCCTTGGAGTCAAATATTTAGTGACAAAAGAAAAGCATTCTCTAAAAACAATTTATTCTAACTGACCGGTATCTCACAGCTGTCTCAGCTTTTTTTAGAATCGTAGCTCTTAGATTTTGGCTCAAAAACCTGTGTAGAAAACCTGAGTCAGGATCTGAAAGAAATAACAAGCATCATTTAGACCCTGACTCAGGTTTTCGACACAGATTTTTGAGCTAGTTATTTATAAAAAAATACAGTAATTCAATTTTTCTTTACTGTCAAAAAATTTCCTCGAAAAAAATGTATTTTTGTTTGAATAAAACACTTGATCCTTGAATCGCTTCTTTCATCATCTTTATTGCCATAATTATTCAATTATTTATAATTGAAATAATGGCATTTTGATTTTGCTGTCAAAGCGAAAAAGTAGGCGCGTCGCCACGAAAAATCATTCGGGTGCACCAGCGCACAGATCGTGATTACGAAGTACGAGCGCCACCATTTTCCCGCACGAGCGCGCGTTCCGTTATATATAAGAAACTAGACGGGGAGGGAGACGATAAACCCGCTCGATGATGAGTTTTTTTACTAAATTTGTTACGCTCGCTTCACTCGCCGCAGCATCTGTTCCTGCAAAGGTACTAAAGAGAATTGAACCGATGAATTGAAAATTTCAAGAATCAGAATTTCTGAAAACTACGACTAAAGAGAAAATAACAAGCCTAGAAAAAGGTCCTATTTGTTGACTTAGGATAAGAAAAATGAATAAATTTTTCTGATTAGGATTCAATAAGGGTCTTTATTTCATAGTAAAAGGTTAATAAGGGTCTGAATTTGAAGGTTACGATATAAAAAAGAGCGATTTTATTAGATAATTTATTAAATTTTACGCTATAAAATTCATTTTTTATGAAAAAATTGGGAAACACGAGCGTTTTTTTTAATTTTTCATCATGTTTTTCAGGTTTCAGATCTGGAAGAATGCGTAGCTGGTGGCCAGTCAAACACCTGCCACGACCTGAGCGATAAATGGTCGAAAACCAACAGTTGGACCTGCAGAGCTTGCTTCAACATTCGCGTCCACTACAACATGCGTTCGATTTCCAGACAATGGGCGAACAACTTCAATGCTCGAAGAAGCTCAGTCGTCATCGCTCTCACCTCCAGAGTTTCATTTGACAAAGTTGCAGCACCAATCGATGGTCGGGCCGAATCCATCATCGAACTCGGCTACGACGCGGACGGAAACTACCTCTTCAGACTGGAGTTCCAGAATTCCTTCAACCCAGGAAACGACGAAGTCGACTTCAATATAGGTTAGTTAGAGAATCTCTCATTTCTCAAATCAACACTCTCCTTTTTCCGAATTTTCCCACGCCCTCGAAATTGGAAATCCCCGCCCGTGGAGAGGAATATTGAGAGTCTACCGGAAATCGCTTCTCGTAGCAGCATTAGTACAGATTTTCAAAATCAAAAACACAGTCTGTAGGGATGGGAAAATACAGTTGTAAAAGCACTTCAAAACTTACTTTTTTCGTTAAGAATATCAAGAGCGAGAGGGAAGTGCCTCCGTGGCCTACATCTGGTCCTGCGATTGTCGAGATTCTGCTGCTAGAGAAATCGAAGAAACCACCACTATCTCTTCCACAACTTCGCCAACGACCACTACTACGCCGACCACAACTTCGATTACGACTACGACCACAAGTTTGTCGACTAAATCAAAGAACGAAGATGGAATCCCATGCTCCGATATCTACCAGGTCTTCCCAGATAGTGCTGATGTCTCAGGAGAGGTTCAAAAAAGAGAGCATTTTTTAAGGAAGATTATATTTAAAAAAACCTCGACTCAGGAAGCTGGAATTGCGAAAACAACACCGACGAGCTGCGCCGATGGCGGTGCAACTTCGTCTGCGACGACCTCTACAACACTAAGGCCACTACAGTTTGTATTAAAAACCATAAAATGCTCGAAGAGGGCGATGACGTATTTGTCTGGACTGACATTAGACGCGGTAGATTTGACTGCAATTCTTGCTCAGTCCCCGCCGCGTATGAGCAATTTACTATTAACCCGCTCGAGGACGGCAGTGTGCCCGAACTCGTGTGCTCTTTGAACACGGAAAAGAATAGCCACATTAGAACTTGTAAACTTAACTGCCCCGCCGGCATGACATCAAAGCACGAGCTAAAATGCAGAAATAACGGAGGATGGCGAATGTCGCGTGGTGGCGCAAAAAGCCGCGTCAGCAGGACTCTCTTCTGCAAATGAGGAGCCAACTGGACGACGACACACTTAGAAGAACACCGCTTCAATTTCAATTTTGTACACATTCATACTTTCAACCCTGTAAATAAATCTTTCAAATAATCTTTTCAAATAGTCGTTTTTCTTTTTGAGTTCATATGTAAAGATCAAATGCATTAATGACGCCTGAAATGAGTAAATATTACGGTGGAAACTCCAGATTTCCCTAGGAAAGGTTTCCTACGTTTAGTGCTCCTCAAACTTCAATTCTATATAATCTGCTGGTTTTGACCATCTTTTTCAAAAAAGTATGAAAAAACTTGCTCTCTTTTTCGTTTCGACAGTGTTTTCAACGCTGTCAAGCGAAATTTCAAATCATGTGATTGACGAAAAAACTCAAACAAGAGATATTGCGTCGACAGCTTCCTATCCTGAACATATTTATCTCGAATCATCACTTGATATTTGCGAGTTCGAAGTGTTTCCTTTCCCGAAGTTTTATTTAAAAGAAGGAGACATTATTTATATCCAGTCACCAGGATATCCTAAAAACTTTACTCAGATACATTGGTGCGAATTACACTTTTACTCGAATGAAAGTTTGGTTGTTCAATTTCACGATATAGAAATGGCTAACCCCTCTCCAAGTACCCATTCTTGCTATTGGAGTTCCCATTATGTTCTTGTCGGTAACGATTACTTTTGCGGCCATTTCAATTCAATTGTAAGTCATTAAAGAATTTGGACTTGAGGATTACAACTTCATTAAATAAAAGTCATTAAGGAGGGGGGTCGACGAGAATTTTTTTAAGGGTGATCGTAATTTCGCGTGGTCTGCGTATAAATCATATATTTTGGAATCTACAGATTCTCACGAATCTGTTGAGCCTATAATCATTTGATGAAAATAACATTTAGGGGGTGAAATTAGCAAAATTGTAAAAAAAAAATGAACATTTTTGGTACATTTTCGCGAAAATGGCCCTACTTTGACGGGATTTTGGACCGATTTATTCTGGCCTAAAATTTTTCTACTTTTCGCCGGTTAATTTTTTCAACTCTTTTTTATTCGGCAATAAATTCAGATTTCGCCTATCTTATCAGGTTTTCCCACATTTTTGGTCACGAAAATCCCGATTCTCGTCGATCCCCCCGCCTTAAGTTATTGATAATTTCTAATAGCCTCCGAAAATTGTAAAGCCCGCACTGGATGGAAATGAGGCATCATTATTGATACGTTTCTATAATTCTTATCACGAAGGAAAATTTCAGTTGAGCATAAAAAGCGAAACAACCACTGATATTCATTACCGTGGATCCTATAATATTTGCTCAGGTTCGCTGAACAACAGTTTGGAATTGACAAACGACAAAGATTACATTACAATTCATTCCCCAAACTACCCGCAAGTCTACGAGTTTTGGATAAACTGTATAGCTCAAATCAAGTCGAATTTAATGCTTACCTTAATATTTCACGATTTCCAATTTTACAATTTTCCACCCTGCTCGGTATATCTGTCAATAAATGATGTAAAATACTGTGGACATGACATTGTAAGTGTAAAAAATAAGCAAAATTGCGTGAACTATCTAATAAAATAAACGTGTTTAGCCCGAACCAATTATAATAAACTCTTCTCCGAATATGACTCAATTCGACTTGGATTTCAACACAAGGAGCGACTGGTTTTTACCAGGTAGAGGATTCAATCTGACGATAAGAGCTGACGACCCTGATCTCATCTCTGAGATTCCAGATCCAGAAGAAGATAGCACAAAAATCTCGATGTTGTCAATTATGCTATTGATTCTACCCATATTTTTTACTTTTTTCTGATTCAAAAATAAATCTGATTTTGTTTTTAATATTAGGTTCGTATTCGCGAAAATAATAGCGCTTTATTTCCAGCATCGGCACTCATTTTTCCCGACGCAATTGTTCGGCCAGAAGCCGCGGACATTTCTCTCATTCTCGTAGATCAAAAAAACCCCTTGCAAATCGGCTGCGCAAAGTTGAACTTGCTCGCTTCGCAACCACAAATCGTTTCTGGCTTCAAGCCCTTATCACACAAACATAGAACAGTACCAACAAGATTGTGTCCATAATTCTCGAGGAAATGACAAGCGCTTACGATTCAGTTGCTGAAACCACTTTCGCACTAATTTGCTCCTCGAATTTTTCAATAGAACGGACCCATCAACGGGTGGCGGGCGCTGAGGTTATGCCATAACCAGGTTATGCATTTGCATGGATTTTGCATAACCTGGTTATGCATTCTCGATTTAAATTGGAGCAATTTGAGGCTAAATTGGTTCCAAAAGACTTAAAAACGATGTTTTCTCTAAGATCAGGCGCGAAGCGCACTTGAACTATCTGTTACATATCAATTAATATGATTTTTATTAAGAGTGCATAACCTGGTTATGCATTTGCATAACCTGGTTATGCATGCATAACCTCAGCGCCATACACCCCCATCAAGACCTTCTGATTACGCTTTCAGATACAGACGATCTACTCATGAGATTTTTAAGATCGGAATCATGGAAGACTCATCCTAGATCTGTTTTAAAATTCGAAGATCTGATTCGCTTAAAATAATTTTGGACTCCGCTTTTCATGGATAATAAAATATCAAATAAATAATTACCTGAGCTCCTTGAAATAAACGATGATTGAAATGCTATTAAAAAGGAATCCCTGAATCGCTCGAAATCGTAACAATTTAATCGAAATTTATCAGAGGTCTGATCGTGAAAGAGAATGATATTTTATGTCTTTTTACATGTGCTTATTAGTCCTTTCGTTTCGCAATCAGCAGAAGGGTCAGCAGAAACACCAGAAAACGATCAAATCGATAATGTTGTGAATGACAATTTCATTGAGATCGAATACTCAATAATCATCGAAATGAAGTTTTCATTGATACCCGGCTTGATTTCAAATGAACTATTTGAATTGAGCTCGAATATAGACTATGACGAAGGCAATGATGGTATGCGTGATGTCTACAAGAGCTTTGTTGCTGCCAATTCTTCTCTTGCAAGCGAATTTTCCGCCATGTATACAAATCTTACTGGAGAAGACGAAGAGAACTTCAACGGCTTATTGATATTGAGATTCTCTGCCGCTCGCCAAACCGGTAAGAAACGAAAACGTTCAGAAGAAGAAGACTATGATGTCTCTGTTACAATCGCTGCTGGGTTCGAGCTGAATAAGAAATACCTGATTCCCTTCAATGTGAGCAAAAAGTGTAGCGACCCAGTCAAGATTGATTTTAATGGAATTGATAAAGGATCCAGGGACGCAATAGGTTGTGATCTCGCAGAGAATGCAAGTTCTTTGGAAAAAATGGCAAGAACTGCAATCAACGAAGCAATATCTGAGATCGACATTGTGAAGGGGCCACCTTCGCTGGTCATATATTCGGAACCGGGGACATTTCTTATTACAGAACTGAATTACAGAGCTGGTGAAGATGTGAATGGCCGAGCGATCATCTACAATCCTGTTAATACCGGAAAAACGAGAAATGAAAAGCTGAGTGAAAACCAAGGAAAAGGTTGTCTACCTGGTTGACTGGTACAAATTTAAACGGGAGTAACTGAATATCGCCGCCTCGTGCCGCCTCGCGCCGCTTCGCGCCACTCAGTGCTTCTTGGAAGTTGATCGTTAAAACCCTCATAAAAGTCCAAGTCCGAGCAATTTTCTACAGAGACCAAGATCATTCTGAACTTCTGAACGCTTGCAAAGATGCTGCAGAACTGCTTGAGAACAAAAATTCAAGGAAAAAGTCAATCTTGATCCTCAAACTTGAAGTTCTGCAAAATGACTTTTGACAAGTTACGTTTTCCGCAAAGATTTTATTTATTGCAATCTGTTGAACACTGCACTTGTCAAGCCCAAAGATTTATGCTTCGAACAATCCGAGCTGCTGACCGTCACTTTTAGTCTTCGGTCAAAAATCGAAGTCAACGAAGTCATTTTTAAAGACAATCTGAAAGAAAAGCTTTACAAGCTGGAATTATTTAAGATCGTTCCTTATTCTCCCGAAACAGAAAAGTATTTCGCGGTGCAATTGACATCTGTTATTGTTGTCATTATTGGCGGAATCGCCCTTATAGTTGCAAATATCCGGAAAGAAGGAAGGTTTACATTATTTCACTCATTTATGTTCGGCCTTATGAGGGTTTTTGACATTTATCCTGACGTTTACGCTTGGTACGAGTACAATACAGATCCGAAAGTCGCAGTTGCTGTCAATCAAATCGTCTCAACGTTTTTGATCGGTAAAATTAAATTGCTTACCCTCATTTTGTCTTTAATAGTTTCATAAGTTTTCAGCGTTTTGAAGCAAATAAATTTCATTGTTACTATAAGCTTGGTGTTCCTCAAGGATAAATTGGAAAGAAGAAACAGTTCGATAATGAAGAAAGTATTCAGTCTTGTTGTTGAAACGAGCCTTTTGATGCTTATCTTTGGCAATGTTCAAAAGTTTTTGCTTTATTTTTATGTTGGATTCGTAAAATCAGCCTTTTTTAACCATGAAATCTTAACCCGTTGGCGAGCGGTAGTCTTAAAAATGCTTTCCACGCCAATAACTATGCCGTATTTCGAGCCTCCGGGCATGTCGTAGCAGCGAAACTGCCACGCGCACGGCAACGGGCTAAGTTTTAAATTTCTGAATCTTATAAAAAGATGGGACGAAATATGATCCCAGGCAGTCAAATTACCGCTGCTTTCTGGCTCTCCTTGCTTTCAAATATTATTGCTTTCTTGGCAACAATGATCGAGTTTTTTGCTTCAACGTTGTTCCCGAAAATTGGTTTGAAAAAATGGCTAGAGTTCCACAACAAGCAGAAAAAGCTGAAAAAAACCTACAAATTTTGGTCGACGAAAATGGGTTTGCTTTTTCTTGGAATGCAGTTTGTAAATCTGATTTGTTCTGTTCTCGAACTAATACAGGTTCAAATCGTTGACAGCTGTGTGGAAATCATTGATGGCATCAACAAAGAGGAAGAGGTAGAAAAGACTTTGTTTTGCAGAATATTTGCCCCGAACACAACTTGGCATCGAGAGCGATTGCAAGAAAATGGGCTCTGTGTTCAAAATCAATTGACTGAAAAGTGTGATTGCAATGAATGCGACTTCCAAACTGTAGTTTGTCCATTTTGGCCTGCTTGCTCGAGCATAATTGAGTATTTTTCTATAGGACAGTTTTCTTTAATTTATGACTTTTAGAGCAGTTGTTCAAGTAGAGATTTATTGTCTCTGATTATGAAAACAAAGAAAAGCTTTCCACGGAATTTCCTTACTTTGTGGACTCGTCATTTTCTTAGGTCCACGTCAGAAAAATACTAACTTTGAAGATGTTGTAAGAAAAAGGAAGCAGAGAACAAAAAAAGAAGTCTGATTAAACTTGTAATTTGTCTATTTTTAAATACTAATGTACTAGAATGCTTTTGTACAGACTAGTGAAAAACGATCACTGTGAATAAATGTTTAGGTTTGAACCCAGTTAGCTTCTGTGTAAATTCTGATTAATTTGTGTGATTTTCTAATTCCCGTTTCTTCTTCAAATAAGGCTTGCATTCCAATCATTCCAAAAAATCACTTATCTTAGGATGAAGAGATTGTTAGTTTTGCTCGTTTTTCTCATCGAAAATTCTAGTGCTTGCTCTGCATTGAACGAGCAGTTCATTGGAAATATCACTTCAACTGATGGAGAATCGGCAGTTGAAGTAGTTAACCCTCTGAGTTGCGCTCATCTGTCACCGAAGGTTACCTCTTTGATAATGGAGCTTCGAAGAGGTATATTTTTATACAAGAAAATGCTAGTGATAATAAACAACTTCTACGTGTAGCAAAACGGCTGCTTCGAAAACTGAGGAGCAACCACAAAGAGGCTTCCTTAAAATGCGAAACAGAAAACAAAATCACAAAATATGAGCTTGAGAAACAACTTGAAGAATGCCAAGAAGACGATGGAAGACAACCAGAACCTAAGGCAAATATTTTTGCCTTCCTTGAGTATTATTTTCTTTAAGAACTCGACAAGCAATGAGCTTATTCAAAAGTACGTCCGAGAAAGTGAGCAATTCAAAGCAATAGAAGAAGAGCGACGTAACCTTTCGGAAAGTCTTCAGCTTCAAAATTCTAGTGCACGAGCTTGAATCTTCTTGAATAGATGATTGTGATAGTTATTTTCGAGCTTTTTAAAGAAACGATGATTTGCAAGAAGAGCTGCTTTATTGGCAATAAAAATACGAAAATTGCTCTTCAAGAGAAACGAAAGCAAGGCTTGATGCCGACTGGAATCTAAAGAAGAAGAAAGAGCGAACTGGTGTCTATCTAGCCGCCATCGAAAATATTACAGAAATTATTTCCCGTGCTGCTGCGGAAAATGAGGTTTCAATACTTTTTTGAATACGCATCTTCAACCATTTTATTTTAGGAATTGAATGGAAAGTCTGTAATAACTGAAGCAACGCGGAGTGAGTTACCGAGGGACCTTGAAGATTCCTTGAAGATTCGAAACTTGTTAAAGATACCAAAAAACTGCTTCACCAACATCAATATATTTTTAAATAAATAGCCCTTGAGCAATTCAGTTGATTGTTTTGCTCGTGATTGATTTTAAAAGTTTCCACAGCTTCAGAATGATTGTTCAAATAATACTTTCTGTATCTTCTCACGATAACCCCAAGTACAAGACCTTTCTTACCTTGAGCAAGATGAAAGAACTGCTCATCTTGCTCGTTTCTTTCTCAGAGAAATCTTGCTTCGGCCACAATTTGAATCGAAATTTTACTATGTCTTATTCTACGAGCATCAATTTCCAGGTAGAAATCAATCTAGTGATGTAGTGGTATAATTTATACCGTATAAATATCTTTTGCTTCCAAGGAATTGAAAGAGGATAGCAACAGAACCTGTGTCCATTTCCATCAAATCCTCTGGGAAGAAAACTATTCATCTTACGATAGCTCCTGGTACGATGGCGGATTCTACCGAATAATCGAAGCAAAAGAAGCTTGCTCAAAACTTGGCGGAGAACTTGCTTTTTATGAGAACGAAGAAGAGCACGAAAAATTCAGAGAAGCTGCTTCACACTGGCCTTATGCTTTCTGGGTCGGCTTCTTTCGCTCTGGCGATTCCTGGAAAAACGTGAGGGAACGTGAGATCGTACCGGAAAAGACAGTTCTGGATTGGCAATGGGGAAGACCGCGATATAATGGCAGTGAAGGGGAAAATTGCGTTCATACGAATAAATCGGGCAATGGAAAGCTGGAAGACTCAAAATGCTTCTTTCGAGATGGCTATCGAGCTTTGTGCAGATTTGAAACTAATGGAGACTGTTAATAGAAAAATACAAAAAAAATCCCCAGACCTTCGCTCTTTCTTTCGTTCTCCGCAGCTTCTAACTTGCCAATAGTGAGTCGTTCAATCGTCAATATTTGCTTCTTCTGTTAGACTTGCCTTTTGACCTCATTTTGAAATTGACTGCTGAGAGAATTGAGAGAATGGAGATCATTTGCGCCGGTTTTCCGAAAACATCTTCGAAGAGCTGTTCCTCTTGTCTCCGGTTTATTAATACTCAAAAGTAGACCATTACTATGATTCTACTTCAGGACGCTTGGATACAAAGTAGCAGACGTCATTGAAACCCAAGAATTTTTATCTGATGTTTGGGTTGAATATTTGGAAGGGCGATGTCCTATTCGACGAGTTATAGAAGAATACAGGAAGCATGGCTTTCAGGGTTTGTGGTGTTGAGAGAGGCGATTTGGAAGTTATTTTTGTTAAGCGAATCAAGACGTTCCGGGCAATATTTACTGGGAAGAACTTTATCATGCATCGCCAAATGCAAAGGCACGAACTATTCGAACCAATTGAAATTTAATAAGATTAAAAGGTTATCCTGACTGTGAGAGACAACATAGAAGTCTGGAGAAAAAGTCTGACTTCATTTATGGAGCAAGAATCAGAGCGCTACGGAAACCCTGGGTTTTGGCTGTTTCATAGATTCAATGCTTTGGGTTGGACGAGTCCGAGAATGAAAAACATGGTCAAGATAATGGAGGTGCGTATCATGGAATTGATTGAATTTTGAGTCTTGTTTAGTTCATCTTGCGAAATCACTTTTTTCGCAACTGCTTCGTGGCAACATTTCCAGCCGACTGGAAAGTTTTCACGTGGCAGCAGCAAAACAAACTGATCATGCCTTATTGGGAGGCGATGGAGGACAACTACGAAGCCCACATTCGTCGCATCAAAGAAACCGTCCCAAAAGAAAGGCTCCTCATCTGGAATATCAAGGAAGGATGGGAGCCCTTATGCAAGTTTCTTGATAAACCTGTGCCGAACATCCCGATTCCGGTTTGATTTTTGAAGATTTTTTGAGCTAAGCACGCAATTTAAGCATGACAACAAGACAGGAGATATCGAATACATGCAGAAATATTTCCAAGAAAGTGCTGTTGGAAAAGAAATATTTGCATACATGAAGTGGTATTTTGCCAAGTTCTTGGTGAAATCAGCGCTCATCACTGGAGCTCTCATCTACGAGAAGAAGACTGATTTCAGAATCACGAAGTCGATCTTTTCCTTCTTGCGGACAAAATTACAATTATAATCATTCAATAAAAAATCCCTTGAATATATTTTTATTTGATAACAGCTGCGATAGACAATTATTTGTCAATATTTATACCGTGTCCTCAGATGTTGATATTTCACCGGGAAATCTTGATCATCAATTATTTTGACAAAACCATCCTGACCTTTTCCTTGGTGAATATTTTGAGAGTCTTTCGTTGAGAATTTTACTTTTCATTCACAATTTCTGACGAAGAAATAAGAGAAAATGCCGGGTGTTGGTCCGATCGGTGAGCCCATCTTGGCACCACCAATGCCCCCGTTGAACTACATGGACAATGATCGAATTTGGACCAAGGAGCAAGCGCTCAAGGCTGGAGTCGATATGACGAAGGAAATGTTATGACGATTTTTTTTTATAATTTTGCAGATTTTTTTTAAGTTTATAATTTTATACTTGAGAAAAATAAATCAACATTTAACAGGCGAAAATTCACCCTGAACCCTTCGGCCACACCTCTTCCGGAACTCAAACTCGAGGAGCCGGTAATGTGGCCCGATGGCCCGGAAATACTGATGGAGTCGAGGGTCGACCATACCTCCTCATTCCGTACCGATTTACCAACGGAGCTCACACTTCGATCGCCGGTTCGCAGCAGTACATCTCCGATTCATTCGACATGATCACAGCCGATGTTGGTGGATGCATTCGATTTGTTGACGACTCGACTGATCAAGCTCACTCTCACTGGATTGACATTCAGGATAGTGCAACTGGCGGATGCGTTTCATACGTTGGCTACCTAGGTGGCCATCCTTCCTTTCCAAATGGACAGATGCTCAACCTTGCCCCTGGTCAAGGACCTGGAACTGGTGGCACCTGCCTCGCGAGTTATGTCGTCAACCACGAGATGCTCCACGCTCTTGGATTCAATCACGAGCAAGAACGAGCCGATCGAGATCAACATGTGACAATTCATTTTGATCGTATCCAAGAAGACAAGCAGCACAATTTCGAGAAGCTCACTGCTTCCGAATGGTTCGATATGTCAAGTCCTTACGATGGCCAGTCTGTCATGCACTACTCTGCTTACTCCTTCCAAACAGCTGAAGCTGATGCAGCCGACTTGCCAACAATTACCAATTTGGCTGGCGAGCCGGTTCAGTGGCCTCGAGTCCAGCGACTTTCATCGACTGATGTTCTTCAGCTCGCGAAGATGTACGAAGGCTTTTGTGGTCAGCCAGGAGGAGAGTTCATCAAGGTCCGAACTTGCAACAGTGGCGCTCAGTATCTCGAGAGCCGAGCTTGCGACGGAATCGCTGACTGCGCTGATGGTTCTGATGAAGACGCAGCTTTCTGTGATGCGCTTTGTGAACCAGATACCTTCTACGTCACTGAAAATGGCTGCAATGATAGCCAAGACTGGACTGGTACCTATGCTAAGATGGCTGACGGTGCATACCCTAAGTCTCTTACAATCTCGCTCGTCGGAGGTGATGCTTCAACTGGTTTCGATTCGGGAACCTTCATTCGAATGGACCAGGCTGACTGGTGCTTTGATACTCCAAATATTCCAAGTTTCAAAAAAGTCGGCGCGGAGAAGTACATCTGGCCCATGCCAAACGGTATGTGGTACATGGGCAGCGAAAATTGCGCTAGCTTCTTGAACTATTACTACTCGCCAAGTCAAAATGGCGGCGTTGCTAATTTCTGGGACATTGAAGTTCCCGTTTTTAACAGATGGGTCGGCGAATGGGCTACTTCTAACAATCAGCGATTCAAAAAAGGCGCCGAAGGCTGGCAAAATGGAAACTTCATTCTTAGCATCGCCGCTGATGGAGCTTGGTCAATTGCTGATGGTTCGTCATCAATTCCTCTCGGAAGCAATGCTTGTGTTACAGGAGATCATGATGGTGGTATCAAGGTAACTTTTAGCAACGAGAAATTGGGTGTTATTGTTTTCGTAGATTTCTGAGCTGGCATCATCTGGTTCCTCTTGTGCTGGAACAACTACAACAACATCAACTCTTGCTCCAACAACGTCCTTCACTACCACTGACGTTACAACAACATCGACGACGACAACTACGACTCCGTCAATCTCAACAACGACAACTATGAGTTGGGAGCAATGTGAAGCGACTTGCCAGCCAAACTGTGACGCTGAGTTTGGTGTTGGAGAAAAGAACTGCTCGTGCAACCTTTTCGACAATACTTGCATGGTTTGCGAGGCCGGATTCGTCTTCGATTTCATGTCAAATGCATGCATATGTAAATCTTATACAACTATATACAAACCAAATAAATATATCATTCCACAACAAATTCGGCATTTCAAATGCAAATTTCAGCTCATCTTCTATTTTATCCTCCAAGAAAATCAATAGATCCTCCGCTTTCGAATCGAAAAAATAGATGAGCTTGAACTTCCGCCCTAATCTTCAAGCACCTTTTAGCAAATCAAATTTTAAAAGGGTATTACTCTCCTAGTACTTTCGGATGACGTCAAAAAAGCGCTTGAAATATAAATGCCTCCCTACTCAAAGTGGATAAATAATTAATTGATGCTCTATCATTGATGGGCATTCAAAAAAGTTGAGAAAGCAGAAAAACGTTGCTAAGGACAAAAGGGTAAGTGCCACTTGAACATATTCTCACCTTGTTCAAAATGATGAAATCAAGGAAGAAAATCTGATTTCAATGAGATTTGTCGGGTTTTTAACTCGTTGTCATAGTAAATATTCTAGCTTACTCTCAAAAGATGGGTAGGAAAAAGACTGTAGCTTAGCGGTAAACACTGTTCGAATGACTGAACAGGTCGTCAGCATAATTTGCGGAAGGGCATTGTTTGCGATCGGGGAGGTCAGTTGTGGCAACGCAATTAGTTTTGCCCCGGGGCGCGAGTTTTTGGACAGTGAACGTGTCTCCAATTGAGAGTGGAATTGATTGACGCGCCGCCCGCGTTTAATTTTTTTTTCTCTCGCCGCTGGCGTGGGCGCTCGAAGGTGCCCGGATATTCAGATCGTGTTTGAATATTTATTATTCAAAGGCTGCCTCACTCTACTAGCTTTAGAATGCACTCGCCACGGGCCAGTTCAGCAGCAAATTAATACAGTCACACAGCAAAATTCTAGAATTACGCTGATACAAAAACAACAAGGAGTTTGCCAAAGCAGAGAATTTTTTGAAGAAGGAAGTGAAGAAAGAGAAATTTTCTCAAAATGGCCGACATCGACGTTAGAAAGCAGCGCTTGGAACAATCTGAGCAGCAGCTTCAGGTAAGAAATTTATTTAACCCGTTAACAGGGTGGTCGATTTCGCCTACGCTTTTGCTTGTCTGTGATTGAGTGAAATCACGGATCTGGGCACGCGATTGGCTACTCATTTCCACGCGTGGCCGTGAGACGGCCACGCGCCTGTTAACGGGTTAATTAATCGTTTTATCGAATTTATTAATAAAATAATATTTTGAAACATTTTTCTGGCTAATTTTAACAATAAATATCTAACCGCGTTTTTCGGGGTAGATACCCTTAAAATTCACTTTTTTCTTTACCGAAATTTTCAGCAAGAAAGTCCGTAAATCTGATTTAATAAACCTCTCTTGTTAATAGCGTCTTTCAACCTTTTTTTCCTCAAAATTTCATTCAGGACAAAATGAACCGTCGACGGCAAAAAGGCATGGGCGGATTTCACTCAGGTGGTCGACCCCGGTCCGCCGCTGGCCGCCGCCGACCCCAAACAGCTGATCGTTCGATGACACCGGTGAGCATGCCCGGACAAGCCGAAGGGACTTGGTTGCGATAATAAAGTTAATCATATTTTGCGTAATGCTGACATCGTTCGATTTGTTTATTTGACCAGAATTGAGTAAATTTGGCTAGTGATATGTTTGAGGAATGATAGGAAATCCGAATTCAATAGGACTATTTTTGCAACCAATAAAAGTCACGGCGTCGAATGCATTCAACAATCCGGCTTTTGATGAGCCAGAAGTAATCGAGGTCATCTCCAACGGCGCTGATATCAAGCCAACTTCTCGTGGCAGCTCTGCAAAGACGAAAAAGCCCGAGGAGACACCCTTCGACGAACCCCCTGTCGTCGATCGGTTGGTTGTCTCGCCGAGCGAAGAGGTCGAAGAAATTCCAGTAGCAAAGACTCAGCCAGAAAAGCCAAAGAGCGAAAAGAAGAAGAAAAAACGCGTGCCTAAACCTGTTCCAGTTCCAGTTCCCGAGCCAGATGAGCCTGAAATCGATCTTCCGAAAGTGGAGACGCCTCCAGCAGCACAGCCAGTAGCGAGACCGAAGCTTGAAAGAGATGACACGATTCTGTACAAAGGAGATGAATACTACGAAGACCGTCAGAATGCGCTAGAAATTGACGAAGCCACGCAAGACGTTTCGAATTCTGATGAATTTTTGGCACCCGTCCAACCTGAGGAACGGATAAATCTCACCTTGATCAATGTTCTTTGTATTTTATTACAGTGAGTTTTATCCAATAAACAGGGCCCCGTCGCTGACTTCCGCCCCGCATCGAGGATGTCCGTCATGACAACTTCGCCGCCAAGCACAATCGACGACATCGACGACTTCGTCTTTCGCCCCGCACCCCAGGACGAGCAAATAAAGGTGAGAAAACTCGGCGGCCATAAAAACGTGCTGAAAAATCAAACAAAGGGTGTTTCTTTCTCAATTGTCTCCCCTCATTCAATGGGCTCTCTCTTTCAATCTTTAGTTCGGGAATTCTTCAAACTGTAATCCAAACAGTAAAAATGTTCTTTCTAGTGCCGGATAAGTCGAGATCGCAAGGGCATTGACAACCGCGCTTATCCTATCTACTACCTTCATTTGGAACGCGAAGGGCAGAAAAAGGTAAATTTCCATCAAATCCGATTTCCTCAGCTTTCTTCTTAAGATGTTCCTCCTTGCCGGGCGGAAAAGAAAGAAAACGAAGACATCCGCGTACTTGATCTCAACCGATCCAACTGAGCTCACGAAGAAATCTGAAAGCTTTGTGGCAAAAGTCAGGAGTAACATGATGGGAACCCGGTTTGAGATGCCAAAATGGCCCTGAAATTCACATGAATATATTCAGATTCACGAGTTACGACAATGGAAACGCGTATTCCGACCCCGGAGCTCTGATAGACCCATCTGCCCTGCGGCGTGAGCTCGTCTCAATCGCTTACGAGACAAATGTCCTCGGTTTCAAAGGTAATCAAAAGTCTTTATTAAAAAGCAGCCGAAAATGATTCCACATAAAACAGATAAAACCACAGCTTTCATTTTGAAAACAAGGAAGAGTACCAAATAGTAGCAAGCTTTCTCTTTTGCGGAGTCAATTTTTTCGGATAAATCTTCGAACAAAAGCATTTTTTCCTTCACTAAAACCGTTAAAATGCCTTCTTGAGATTTTAATATTCAGAAAGACTAGTAAAAAAAGTCAAAAGTAATACACGAATTTAGGCCCGCGCAAGATGACAGTTGTTATCCCTGGCATGGATTTGGACTGCGAACGACTTGAATGTCAACCGACAAACGGTATGTCAGAGTTAACATATGTAGAAAATAATATGGCGCTTTTTACAGAAAAAGAAACGCTCACTGCGAAGTACGACTCGAAGTTGCGAGACAACGTGACAGTTTTGCAGAACAAGTCGCCTGTTTGGAACGAGGACTCTCAGGTAAAATGCTGACTCACGAATTGATCGGTCTTTTGAAATTCTAGAGCTACGTGTTAAACTTTCATGGTCGCGTGACGCAAGCCTCGGTCAAGAACTTTCAAATTATTCATGAAAAGGAGCCCGATTATATCGTGATGCAATTTGGCCGTGTCGATGAGGTAAAGAAACACTTAGAATTTCTGACTCTAACGGAACAATAGGACGTGTTTACGATGGACTACCGCTACCCCCTTTGTGCAATTCAAGCCTTCTCCATTGCCTTGTCGAGTTTTGACAACAAGCTCGCCTGTGAATAACTGTTAAAATATCTCTTTCTGATTCTTCTTCTCTAATTTTCTACTTTGCAAAGCTAATTTTGTATAACCCAAAGAGCTTATTCTATTTTTGCTACTAAAGAAATAAATTCTTCAAATTTTTATATTCAATATCATTTAATTTTTGCATGTAACAATGTTAGGTATAAGATGATGAAAAATCGTTCTCTTCAACTTTCGGGAAGACGAAACCATTTTCTTTAGGAATCGCTGGAGAAACATTTCTTCGTCCGCCTTGACCAATCTGAGAAAATGGCGTTGACGGGGCATCGGAATAATCACTAAAAGAAAATTCATTTTTAAAAAGGAATTCATTTTTACTCGATGGTGGAACGCCCTCGTTCGTATAAAGAATCGAAGTTGCCGGGTTCATAAGGATTTGAGAAATCTGTTGATGCTCGTGACGAGTCCATCTGAGCTTCGAACTCTTTTTGCTTTTCGACGATGTCTTCTTTCAACTCTCGATAGGTTCTTGCTTGGGGAGATTCTAAAAAATCCTCGTGACCTTGAGTTCAGAAGCTTTTCTACAGTACCATAAGCTGATGAATGTACAGAAGGAAGAACAGACAGCTCTGTATCTTGTGTTACGTTGGACAAGAAATTCGCTCCAGATCGTCTCTTTGATACTCTTTGTTGATTGTTGCCAGAACTTAGTTTTTTCTTCGACTTCTTTTTCGTCGAGTTTGTTGCGTCCAGAACACAGTAATCTTTGAAGTCTGGATCTTGACAGTCGTCATCTTCCGGTTTCGGATCGTTATCGCTGTCGCCGTCGCTGTCAAGCAAAATCATCTGCTTCGTGTTTAATTTGTTGTTCTTAAATAACTTGAAATGCTTAATAATTTTTGGTGCCTTACCTCTTTGATTTTCTTTTTATATTCTTGATTGTTTTTCGCATATTTTTGTTCATCGGCAATATTGATATACGCAATGTAATGGAAAAGTGTCGAGACTCGATGCCAAAGCATGCAGATTGTCTGGGTAAAGATGATGACGAGGTAAATGAAGAGAAAGAAAAGACTGAAAGGCTTGGAATGGATGAGCTAATTTCAAGTCACTTATAATAATTTTCAAGAAGAACGATTAACTGATCCTGAAGTCTGAATATATCAGGGTTCGGTATTTTGAATTCGTCGAAAAATTCGCCAATACACGCAGCGAATATGCTCTTTTCTTAAGCGAATGAGCGATTGTTCGCGAATCGCCTACTCGGGCGAATATTCGCTCGAAATTGAGCGTACAGCCCTGGATTGGCTGAACTCCAGGGCCGCGGGCGAGAAAAGGGTGGCGCCCGCGAGCTATAAGGTTATTTGGGCGGTGAAAATAAAATTATAGGCTGCGCAACGTCAAAGCCCGACCAGGGTTCAAATTCTGGGCAAAAAATTTTGTATTTGAGCGAGCGATGAGCGAGCGAGACTTGAGCGAGGGTTGAGCGAGCGAGTTGCTGAGCGAGTTTTTTCGAAAATCGGCTGAGCGAGCGGAGCGACTGAGCGAGCGAGATTTGAGCGACATCTGAGCGAGATTTGAGCGACTTTTGAGCGACTTTTGAGCGATATTTGAGCGGCGCTCGAGCGAAAAATGGAGCGATATTTAAAACTTTTAAGGCAGATTCAATAAGACAAAAATGATTCTTAATTTTGTATTTTATTCAAATTTAATATTATTTTCTCGGCAGTACTGAAGAATGGCAGTTTTCAGTTTTTGTGCATCCCTGAACTGACGTATAAATAAAATAGTCTCGTTTTTCAATCTGTTGCGGCATGGATCCATCGAGTCGCGAGTTGTTTGAGAAAACTCTCTTTCGAGATCACAGGATGAGCCAGGGCAATTTATGCACTAAAATCACTACAGAACCGAACAATTATATAAGTGGAACCTGAAGAGCAGCTGCTGAAAGGCGGGGGAATCTTGTGCTCATAGCCTTCCAGAAGGCAGTTAATTTTTTATGAATGAAGTGAGGTGAAGTCTCGACGATTCCACCAGTTATTTCTTCCCATTCTTCCGATCCTATCTTGCCTTCATACTGCACATATTCTTCTTCCAGTGGGCTCAATCTGACAGTCAAGGATGCTGCGGACTTGACGATCTTGAAGTCATCGTTCGGATTGAGCTGAGATGAACTTCCACTCCCTTCTGGCGTAGTTTGTTTCTCCTTGTCATCAACTTCCTTGAGCTCCTTATCCATATGCCAGATAAAATCTTAATGATTGATAAGTACAAATTAAACGTCCAAAAATTAACCTTTTCCTTTCTTCATGAACTCGGCACTATTTTTTTCGACCAGTTTGATGTTTCTTGCAAAAATTGGAGCGTCCCCTTTAGCGAGTTCATTTCGGAGACGACGAAAGGAGCACGTGTACTTGCTTGGTGTTAAGTAAAGACAAGCAAGATTCAAATCCGTTGCCCTGGCTGGTTCTTTGCCATCGACAAATGATTCTTCGCTTTCGTAAAAACCGCCGAAAATCATTTTCATCAGTTTTATAAATAGCCCTTGGCGGAGCTTTGCATGAAACTGCTTCTGTCGGATCGATGTAAGCCGCTTATCATTTTCCTTCGTGCAGTAAATCAGCATCTCTTCAAAGATAAGCAACTGGTCGCTTACCTTAACACCTTTAGTATTTACCGTGGAAAATAAACAACCTTTGACTCAGAATGCTCGAGGATGCGCACATATTTCATCAAGTCGGAGGTCAGAAAAGAGAGGCTTTTAATGAAATCCAGATCAGGAAAGGAAACGCGCTGCGGAATAAGGTAGGCGTATGGATGATCTGATTTCGATAGATCTTCAAGCTTAGGTGACCAAGAAACGAGCACCTTCAAATTTTCCTCCTTTTTGTTCCAGCGAATTCCGTTGTCACTCGTTATTAAGGGAAATCCTTGTATTTTTGCTGCTCTCTTCTTAATTTCATCGGCTGTCATTTCGCTGGTATCATGTCGAAGCTTGAAGATCCGTTCTTTTTCGTCTTCAGAGATATCTTCATGCGCGAAATATTGATTGACAGAGGAGAAATCAGTTGGCTCTAATTTGAGCTTCTTTTTCTCCTTGAAAAACAGCCCATTGCGACAATGCGATACAAAGCTCAAAAAGTCTTTGTGCAGATCGGAATCGAGAGAGGCGTAGCTTTCGGCATTTTGAATCATTCCATCGAAAGCACGAATTCCCGAATGTGCACCGCAAATTGCTGCTTTGATAGATATGTACTCAGCAACTCCACGCTGCCCTCCATCGCAAATGACACCTAGCAGTCGTTGATAATCTTTGATTCCGTATTCCGCAAGGGCCTCTTCTACTTCCATCGCACAAGCTACATCTGTTTTATCGGTGATGGGAGCATACTGGAGAAGATAAGTAACTCTTTTATCAGTCGTAGAATCGTAGAAGACAAGTAATGTTCCCAATGCGGAAACCTCAAGGTCTCCACTTGTCGTTCGCCCTGTATACTTCGTGTCGATTTCTAGCGAAATCGCACCTCGCTTCGCCAAGATAGGAAGAACTTTTTGGAGAAAATTAAGCATCTCCAGATGTGAGGTGAACAAAATTGTTCTTATTTTGTTGTAGGACACATCAAGCTGCTTCGAGTCATCAGGATTTCCTCCCCCGGCGACAAAAGCATTTTGAATGATTGCTTCGAATTGTTCACTAAATATTGAATCACAATTTTACAAAAGAAATTTTGAAAACCTTTCAAGAAGACGGAAAGAAACATGCTTATCGGAAACAAGCGACACTGCAGAGTCGCAAAATTTGGCGATCACTTTCTTTGATATCTTTCTTCGAGGTCGAAAATGTACTGCGGCCTGCTCGCGGTCCTCCTGCACTTTCGCCATCTCTCTTTCTTTCTCATTTGAATCATTGGTCAAAGGAGCATGATACCGTTTTGCATGTCGCCCCACTACACATAAAAGTAAATAGAACAAAACTGATTTAATTGTACCGTTTCCTGTTTTGATGCCAGTACTTTCAGATTCCTTGACAGAGAATGGCTCGTTATTGTTACGACATGGCCCAACGCAACGAAGATAATAGGTAAAATTATTCTCGGCGTCCATTTCTTTTTCGTACTCTTGCGGCGTAAAGGGAAATGTTTGAGTGAAACCTGTGAGCCACCTTGAAAAAGTTTCATTCGTGGAAATGTCGAATTTGACATAACGAACGTCAAGTTTTCGTTTTTTAGCCCGACTCATTCTTTTTCAAAAATAGTTGATAAAACGAAAAACTCCTTGAATTTTAGCTCATAAGATATTCTATTATCCTATATGTCAGTTTTCAATAATAAAGGCACTTGTGCACAGGGGCAGTTATTTTAAGGCAGTGCTTTCTTTTTTGCTGCTGGGCCGGTGGCGGGCAGTGCCGAGCGTTTCTTCTTGGACTCGGTTCGCTAGAAATTTTCAGGGTCAGATTTTAATATTTGCAGATTTTTTTCGAAAATGGTTTTTTTAGGAAAACTTACAATGTCTAGTGTGTACTGGCTGCCGACAGCTGGAGTAGCGCGCTTCTCCAGGATCATGTTTTTCCAATAGTCGATGCTTTGTTTTATGTCGGTCTTGAACTTTTTCTCCGTATCCCAGTTGAGTTGATGTTCCAAGCCGAAAGACGAGGCTTTTTTACTAATATACTCATTAGTTTTTCATAAAACGATTAACAACTTACTCGAAGACCTCCTTTGTGACGGGCGTATGCGATCGAAGCAGATTTTTGAAATGCTCGAGTTTTTGGGCATATGGTTTTTTCAAAAGGCGCGGGAAGTAAGTGAGAACCATTTCGCTTACTCCCAGTGGACTGTAAGTTGTCTTCATTTTTTTCCATCCTTCAACTATCTTGCGACAGTTTGAGTCCTTTTTATTCTTTTCTTTCCAAATTTCCAGGTTCTCGAATGAAAGCCCAGACTCAGAACTCTTCTTCTTTGAATATTCATACATGATGAACTTTTCCCACGTGAATTCTCGGGAAGCGGGGTCAAGAGGCCGTACGTCTTTGTAAAAGACTAAAATGGGAATTGATAATCATTTTGTATTTGAAGAATTTTCTTACCGACAGGCATTCCCCGCCCCATATTGATAATTTCATTTTTCTTTCCTCGTTCACGTTCTTTGAATGTAGCTTTTGTGCAGGGAACGATTGTCTCGATGGAGCTGGAACTAGCACTGCTAGAAGGCGCCGCATCGGATAGAGCTGCATCGGATGCTGCCTCATCGGCATCCTCGATTTCGTCATGAAGGGGAAGACCCGAAGGATTTTTGTATGCTCGCATCTTGATAACCGCGAACATATTCTTCAGCTGCAATCGTCGGAACATGAGGAAATACCGAGTCAGAGACTCAGTTTCGATCTTAATAATCGGTTAGCCAGAGTCGCCTATTACTGGACAGTTTATTATAAAAGCCGCTGAGCGGCTTTCTGCCCTTATTGTACTGTCCCTAAAGCCGCAGTACAAGTAGTCTTAAAAGTCTCTTCGCGGCTTTTTACACAGTACTTGAAGCGCTAGAAGCCGCACTGCGGGTTATTCAGAATGATCAATTGACTTACTTGAGTTCCTGGATTTTGGATCATTTTTCGGATTAATTCATCCGCCTTGGCTCGGGATGGAGGATGTTGGAAGTACGGCTTCAGTTGAAGGAGCCAATCGAAGACGATGTCGATTTTAAAGTCGAAAAAACATCCGTCCGCGAATTCTCCTTCTTCGCCGTGCGCTTTTACGATTTTATCGAAAACACTGATAAAATTTTAATGATTTTTTAAATTTTATTTACTAAACTATGGGTTTGACAAGGGGTTGAAATTAGGACTGACCAAAAATATTTTATATTAACTCACTCAACGGATGTAGACGGCGGGGAAAACCCACGACCTAACACGCCATCACGGATATTGTGAGCTAACATAACTAATTTTTAGTCGAGTCGAAAATATAAAATGGGTTCGGGGTAGTGGGTTTAATGTTTAATTGTTTCTGACTCAATAGTTGTAGACGGCGGGACAAGCCCACGACCTAAGTAAGGTCACCTAACACGCCAACCGTATATTGTCGGAAACAAAAAAAAATTAAAATTTTATCAAAAATTAAACCTTCTGGGGATTCTGGAGGTCTTTTTGAGGGCCCCTGGCTCACCCTTGTCACTCATTCTGAAAATAATAAAGTGAATTTCTCTTTTAATAAATATTTGAACAGTTATTCATGTTTGGCAGAAATTTCTCTTGGAAATAAAGTCGAGACTGTGCGTGAGTCTTGATTTTCTCTTCAACTTGCAATAAGCCAATAAGCGTAGAGCTTTAAGAAACCGGCCAATCAAAGAGGGATATTCTAAACTCACGCGATCGGTGGTGAAATTTCTCTTCTCAGGGCATTCGTCGCTGCGCTGACCAATAGGAGCGCAGAGTTTGCGCGTGAGTAATGGGCATTCTTATTTTCGCTCGATCGCTCGAATCTCGCTCGAGCGTCGCTCAAATCTCGCTCAAACGTCGCTCAAACCTCGCTCAGTTGTCGCTCGAATCTCGCTCAAACGTCGCTCAGAAATGGTATGTTTTCAACTTGAGCGAGCGAGCGACTGAGCGACTCTCTAAAAAAAGCAGTTGAGTGAGCGGAGCGTGAGCGATCGCTCGCTCGCTCATCGCTCGCTCACGCTCCGATATCGCTCAGCGCTCAGCCAGAATTGGAACCCTGAGCCCGACCAATCAGAGCGCGCGGCAAAGCGAATATTTGAGAAATTCGCTGAATTTCTGAAAAATTCTCCGAGAAAATTCGTTTTCATTCGTTTTGCATATTCGCTCATTAGAGAATATTCGTAAACGAATAAATAGAAATTCAAATGAAAAACGAATAATTTTGCGAATTCAAAATACCGAACCCTGGAATATATATTGTTCTTCATAACTGCAGCAAGGAAGACAATAGTCACGATCTTTTCGAGCATCATGAAAACCACCAAACTTTGGCAGTGGAATGCAGTCGTCGCAAATAGACTCATTTTCGCAAGGCTGGTTATCTTCATCTTCATCCTCGAATTTCATTCCACAAGTAGGAAACTGCTCGTGATTATTAATTGGAATATCAATATGTCCAAGCAAGTAAGAGTACTTCAAAATGGTGCAAGAGACAATTATCCAAAGAATATTGATGAATATAAAATACATGAACTTCTCATCCTTGAACTTTGTCATTTCCTCAGCCAATTTGTTTTCGTGCTTTTCGACTGTTTTGCTGTTTCTTCCCTTCTTTTTGATCCCAATGAAGCCATCAGTTGGGTCTTGCATTCGTTCCCAAAACTCTTGCTCAGGATTGCTCAATGTGTAAACCTTGCAATCTGAAAATAAACAATTTGCCTCTCTGTCTTTACATAAATTATCAGGTCAAATCTTACTTTTGTGAAACGGAGATCCATCACCAAGGACCCAACTAAGATATTTCGATTGAAATTTCTTATACAGTTTGATTTCCCTATCCCTGACGTCCTCCAGTTTCCAGTTTCTAAACTCTCCCTTCGGTTTCTTTTCTTTGCGATTCTCCTCTTTCACGCGAGGGTTGTTCATGAAGAGACACCAATGCCTTTCATCTTGGGATCTCAATGTTTTGATGGTGAATCCTCCATACAGCCGTTCTTGCGTTATTGGTTCTAGGAAAACTTTATCGCTTGCTTCAGCAGCCGATGACTCATCCCCAACAGCTGTTTGATGCTGACTCTTTCGTCGTTCATTTTTGTTATTTGCGTACTTTATTTTTCCCTCAATCTTTGCTTTCATTATCCCCTGCTTTTCTAAATCTTCTTCTTTTTCAACGGGAAAAGTCTCTCTTTCTCGAGTTGGAACAAACTCATAGTAAGTTTCTGGACGAGCTTTTCTTTTAAGTTTACCGCTATTTTGAATCTTTTTCTTCTTTTCTTTCGTTTTATCTTCATTTTTAGGCTCTTCAGTTTTTGCTTTATCCTTAGTATTCGCCTCATCCTTCTTCAACAGACTCTTATTCTCGCCTTCTTCTTTCGATCTTATATCATACGAGTCCATGCAAATCAAACAAGCACAGTTAGTTCCATCAAGACCTTCTTCCTCCTCTTTTCGAATTTGCTCCGGATTTTTCCCGGTAACCCGTTGCCAAAAGGTCTTTTCAACTTTCTTATCTGTGCTTGCTGCTTGCCTGGTTCCCCAAGAACAGTCATTCAAGTTCGCGATCGAGTAGATTTGCAGAAAGATGAAGCAAGAGGGAATGAAAAGGAAGTAAACCACCCCACAGAGAAGAGCATAAAAATCCCAGTGAAGAATCGCAGCGACTGATTCAGTTCAAAATTTCCATGAAAGCAACTTTTTTCTTTGAGAAACATTTTGAACTTTCCTATGTGTATTCCAGCCATCGCCACAAAAAACATGAAACTTGGGGAGAAAGGGCAAGTCATGCCCTCTATAAAAATTCCTATGAACACAAGCGCCATCAGAAAAGAAAATGCAAGCGAGAACCAGGTGGCGAGCTGAATTTGAAAGTCTCCGTCGTTTGATAAATAACAAGCCATAGTAAAAATTGCGACGGGAAAAATTACGATGAAATAGCAAACCCATCTAGGAATCGAGTTTCCTATAAGTATGATTATGTTTCTTCTTATTAAATAAGCCACTTACCAACTCCAAGAGAAAATGCTTCCGCTACCATCATCATTGTCGTCGAAACGCCTATAAGAGCAAATACCATGACGGTGAATTGGTACAAAATGTAGGGCACAGATATGTACGGGTTAGAGCTTCTAGCTAGTTTCTGTTGAGCAACGAGATTCCAGATGTTTGCTGTCGTTGATGGACCCCATCGCCGCCGCTGTTTGTAAAATGTTGGAAGATCTTCTGGAGCAAAGGTATTACAGTGAGAAGATCCTTCGTACTCTATTCGTCCACCGGAAAAGAGCATCAAAGTACAGAGCCATCTATCTTCACCCTGATCATATTGAAGCTTTTCCATCGGATTCAGCGCGAGAGACTTGTACATCGCCATGACATTCGGTTCACTCAAATAACTCACTCTCATAAGCGAAAAACATCCTGGCGAGCAAAGAACACAACCCAACACATGTTCCGCTGCTTTTTGGAGCCAGTGACCCACCGCGTATTCAAAGTTCTGATAAGCCACCAGCCAACCTGATCCTTTAGGGTGAATCGCGCCACAACAAGCGGCAAGTTTATCGTTTCTCATGCAGCGATCAAGGACTAATTCGAATGCATCAGGTTCAAAATCAACATCGCCGTCAAGAGCCAGCACGAAAGACTTTGATTTCTTTACTCTCATATTATCAGAATCTCGAAGCTCACAGGCATCAATCTTCCAGCCGATCAGGTAGTAGAGATACATCACTTGACTCCATCGTTTTCCACGTTGCACGAGTTCGGCGTCCTTCAGGTGAATGACGAAATCATAGCCGGCGATTTTATAAACCACTCGACCGCCATAAGGAGTTCTGATGATTTTTCCTTCTTCGAGCGCTTTGGGTGTGATGTATTCGTTATCTTCGTACTTTGAAAGAACATCTTTGAATACGGTTTGAAATTGAACTACCCATTCGTTCAGCTGCATCCATTCTTTCGCGTCAATAAAGTCGTCTGTTGGAAGTTTTTTCGGTTTACTTTTCTTTTTATCTTCATTTTTATCACTTTTCTCGACTTCTTCTCGTTCTTGTTTATCCTTTTTGACTTCTTCTTTTTCTTTGTCCGTCGGTTTGTTGACGAAAACATTGTCAAAGAAAATGTGCATTTCGAGTTCATACTGATTTTCTTGAGAAGGATCATTTTTTTTCATCCGCGCGTGGCGGAGAAGTTTGACCACCGATCTCAAAAGAGTCGCCATTTCAAAATCTTCTTCGTGCCACAACGTTGTGCATATAAAGATGTAAGGATTCTTCTGCCCCTTTGACCACATGCCTGACTTGTTCGTTTTTCTTCCGGAAACCCGAGTTGTCTTTTTCGATCCAGAACTGAACTCTTTGTTGAAAGCGTCACTTTCTTGCTCTTCTATGATATCAATGGTTCTTCTGTTGAGAAGCGAAAATGTGGATGTTCCAACGGGGCGAAATGCAGGAAGCATAAACACGTGTCGATCAAGAGGGTAGATGAAATTTCTCGGCGTCCAAATATATTGAGTGAGGCAGAGTAGATGCAAGATCCCCAAGAGCCCGGTGACAAATGACATGATCAAGGAAGTCTCAATCGTTGATGATTCCCGAGTAGTATCAGAAAGTGATCGATTCTGATAACCAGGGACTTGTGGATAAACTTCCGTAAAAAGCAAATGATCATTCTCGTATTCCAGTTCCCCTTGAAAAATTTGCGATTCCATTCGAGTAGCATCTTGAAAAAATACCGCACAAAGCGCGATCAGGGGTCCTAAGGCTCCGGATACAGCTAGACCAGATTTTTGAAGGCCAAGTTTTACTGATACTTTTTGCAGATATGATGTCATTACTGTGCTGATTGCATAAACGATCATCCAGAGCTGGAAGTTGTCCCCAGGGTGCTCATATGAGGGCCGATTATCGTGAGGAAGGAAGACGATGAGGGCGAGAATGATGCATTTCATCGGAGTTGCAAAGAGGTGCGAAATGATGATCGAAAGTTCTGGGTCTTCTTGCTTCTTATTTTCTGATTTCTTAGGGCTTCGATTTGCCCCTGAATCTGGAGATTTCTTTTTGATTCCTCGGCCAACAGAATGGATCGTTGCAATTACAGAATTACTCGGGCAAATTGAAAAGTTGATATAGTTTGGAACGGACATCATATTCACGCAAAGAATTACGAACAAGCTCTTCACGATGTCGTCCGTGTCGAAAAACATCATCACATGTCCAATCGTAAAGAAAATCCATTGGCCGTAAGGGGCGAATTTTTTCAAAACAGAAAGGATTGGTTCACAACATTTTTTCAGAACCCCTTTTTTCTCCTCGATTTGAACTTGTTGATTACCAGCGTTAGCTTCTTCCGCCGCTTGTTTAGCTTCTTCAACTGTTTTATCTTGAAATAAAGAGAACACTAAGGGCACGGCTGTGGGAAACATTAAGACCGCCACGTTCATCGTCCTTAATTCATCGTCAAACAGATAGCTCTAGCGCTTTTCTGACCTTGATATATCCGGTGCAAGATAAAACACATAAAACCCCACTCCAACGGCGTATATCATTTCGGTGACACAAGTTACTAGGATCTGTAGGAATTTGGGGAATGGCGGTCTTTTGAAGATCGCAAAGTAGAGGCAATATAAAAATGTGTAGAATTCTGGGATGAGGAGTACCGCGAACAAGATTTTGAACTCTGAACATAAGTGTCATCAAATCAATTCAATAAATTCATAAAATATACGAGAGATTAAAGTACCTGTAAAATCTTCTGCGTTTCTTGAGCTTCTATATTCCATTTGATAACCGCCAAGTATTCGAGAGCGAGTCTCACTACCGCCAGGTGTTGTATCTTCACTTATGCTCGCTATATGGAACTCATTATTCATCTCAGCAAAAGAAAAGTACTGAAGCGCATTCGATACGACGCACAAAACCCCAATTAGAATATTGAAAGTGTGCCATAAAATGATCCTATTTCGATGCGATTTCGACGACGGAAGAGCGAATTCTGTTATATTTGGTTCTGTTTTTGCAATGTTCCATGGCTCGGTCTTCTCGTCATCTGCCTTTTTTGCCTGCTGCTCAGTTGAATCTTCGGGAGCTTCTACGACTTGTGGATCAGAAAATCCGGCATTTGAAGGATGGGAAATTTTATCAGCAGCGCTTTCTGTTGTCGCACTTGTTGGAGGAGATTCTCCTTCAAACTGTACTTTAGTTTTTCTTGACATTCTCATTTCTCTATCTTTTTCAACACGGCAGTTAGAAAATTACTGGGCATTACTATCTTTTTTTTAGTTTCTTTTCCCTTCTGAAGACCAGCCAGCCGTTTCTGAGCATGAAACTATTTACCTGGGCACTTTATGGACCGATAGGAAACACGCGCACGGTCAGATAAAGGTCACTTCATTGCGACAATTTTGATATTTTCAAGCATTTGAGAATTTTTTTCTTTCCTGATTTACTGTATTTTACTGCTTCTAATCGACATTAGCGGCGATACATGAGTGTCTGTCTTTCCCACATTCTCTTCCTTGATTCCACTTCTTTCAGTCATTTTCGAGTAAATACAGTAACTTAGCAGCCCTCTTACATGTTTCATTAAAAGCATCTTCCTTCGCTGATTAATTCCAGTACAGTAAGAATAACCAAAAGCAGCAGTAATTAGCAGCCTCTAATTTGGAAACTGGCCGTCCTCTAAGTAAAGTCGGCTCGGTGGCGCTCGATCGAACTGGCCGAAATCATCAAAGAGGAAAAACTCATTATCTCACTTGAAGAGAATTTTGTTCAAGAAACATCCCATAAATCTTTTTCAAGATATGATTATCATCTTCCTTGCAGCTTTCTTGAACTTGGCTTTCAGTCAGTACAGTTTCAGGACCGTGGATTTTAGTTCCTTGATCATTTTCTAAAATTGAAATTCTAGTGATAATTTGAAGTGCTCCCCGGAGAAAGTGGACTAAACCAATTTTCGGAAGTGAATTTTTGGATAACCAATAAGATTGCTGTATTTGGCCTACCGGCCAATCAAAACCCTTTCCATAAAAATCTGTTCCAAAAATTGGTTCTACCCGAGAAAGTTGCTAGAATCCATTTGTCAGCTCAGAAAACTACTTGTTCAAGATATCAGAAAACTCGGAAATTGGGACGGTTTTGGAGGGAGATTCGCTTAAAGTCCGACCGGCATGCGCAGAAGTTACGATGAACATATTTTCTCCTGACTTTGATTTCAATAGGAAAGTTTTACAAAATGAATCGAGATTCATTATGAGGTATAATTTGTAATACGTAATAAAAGCGCTGGGCAGTTGGTTTCATTACGCGTGTTCGACCGCGAAGCTCAAAGGAAAGGGTTCTGCTGAGGATGATCCGCTCAATCGAGCCTCCATCTGGATACTCTTCGCCGTAAATCGATATTGAGATGATTCTGCATAATTTAGAAAAAAATAATTACTCGGATAAAATATATTGACCGCGCATTAATATTGACACGTTTCAGATTTTGATCAACAAATTCAGAATATACCCTCTTTCAAGTCGATATCAGTTTCATATTGAAGCCAGTATTGGCGAAGTTGTGACGTTGACGGCGTTTATTACAGGCACTGCTCATCGAAAATAATGACCAAGTTTAAAAACCTGTGTAAAAAATCTGAATAAGGGAACCTAACTTAGGGTGTGAAGAGTCATAAACGAAAAGCCGCGCAGCGGCTTTTTTAATCTCGAAGCCGCGAAGCGGCTTTGCCCAAATTACCATTAAGAATGGTCCATTCTGACCAATTTTTAATTCTAGCGAAGCCGCTTCGACCCTGACTCAAGTTTTCTACACAGGTTGCTGAGCCCAAAATTTGGTAAAATTTTTCGAGCTTGAAAAAGTCGAAATCATGGATGAAAATGACAACTTCCCAGTTTTCCTCAAACCCTACGATTTTATTTCTATTCAATGGGCCCCAAATCAGACTGTTTATAATTTGAGTGCAACAGACGCAGATCAAAATTGGAATGGCCAAATATATTATCGGCTTACTGAAGATACTGATCTATTTGTAATTGAAGGGAGTATTCTGCGGTCAACCTCGATCGACCCGGGCGAAGAAACGCAATTAATAGAAATTGAGGTGCTTTTTGAAAATGAGCTGTTTCTCTGTAGTAAATTGATTTTAGGCTTACGATGGGGGGATTCCTCCGAAATCTTCGACGATGATTCTTCAAATTTCACCGACTTCGGACGATTTTGAGTCCGGTCCAAAGATAGCCAACACTTATTTCTCTGTGGAAACATGTTATCAGCAGCAACAGGTTGTTGGAAAATTGGAGGTCAAAAACCTAAAATCAAAGTCGACGGAACTAGAGTTTAAATTCGTCGAGAAAAACTCAAGATTTGAAATTGACAAAAAATCTGGGTGGATTTGGACGAAAAATTTGCTCAAATACTCTTCTTATGAATCAATCGCAGTGAGAGTTATTGTGAGAATAAAAGAAAACGAGGAGATTCAACTCAGAGAAGAAATTAAAATCAATCTGAGCTACTGTAAGAAAATCGCGCCAGAAATCAAGACAAGCTCTTTATCCGTCCAGATTCATTATCAATCTGAAAGAAGCTTTGTCGTTGGAAAAATTGAATATTCGAAAGAGCCGATTTCAACGCGTTTGGAAATTCTGTGGGTCGAAAACGTTCGCTACTCGACGAACTCGTTTTGGATCGCGAATGGCAATCTGCTCATGGGAAAACGCTTCGATGGCGAAAATCGAAAACTCGAAAGTACTCGAAAAGTTCTGCTGCGCGCGTGTTTATGGGAGTCCCTTACGGTCTGTTCCCTTCGAAACATTACAGTAAGCATCAGTGATCAGCGACTTGGCGCGAGTTTTATTCATCCATCAGTGATTCCCGTTGAAAAGGGAAGGAATAAATTTACATTGAAATCATTCGACGGTGAGGGGCGAAATAGTGGAAAGAAAATCGACTTAGACTCATTCAGCAAAAGATACTCTTTGTCCTCCTTTGGCAGATTCTCCTTTACCGGCGAGTTGAAGAATACCGAAGAAGTGTTTCTCAGTGTGGGATCATCTCCTGCGAAATTGACGCTGATTCCAGTCGGAGAAAAAGTCGCTGGAAATTGTCAAATCGTGCCGGAAATGATTACAATATTCACGGATTCCGAAGACGTCCCATTCGCGGAAATCAACACGAATTTGACGACTTTGTTTCTCGCGAATTTCAGGAACTTCGACTCTGACTCTCCTCAACAACCATTTTTGAAAGTGAAGAATCGACGAATTTTCCCAGAAAGTAGCCTGAAATCCACCCGGGTTGGGCTTTATACAGCGGATGTCTACTGCACTACGGGCAAAATCTATAATTTGGCGAAGATTTCGATCAGAGTTGTTTCGAAGGAATTAAATTTCATCGCGACCGGATTTGATCGACCAATTTATACGATCAAAGGAAAGGATTTCAAAAAAGCACTTTCCTTTTTTTGAATAATCGAGCTTTGGAAATCCTTCTTAAGTGTCAGAAAACGTCAAGCCCGGAACATTTCTTCTTTCTTTGCGACGGGATCGAAGATGTCCAGGAGCGCGATATTCGACGGCGACGGATATTATCGAAATTGATGCAAATTTGGGGCATGTTTCATTGAGACAGAGGCTCGATTTTGAAACGCAGAAGCAATTTAGGCTTTCTTTATTTTACCGCTGTGGGGAATTCTCGGCTTCTTCGGTGCTTGAAATTGAAGTCGTCGACATCAACGATGAGGCACCTGCATTCATCACGGCTGAAAACTTCATATTCATCGTCCAGGAAGACTACAGGGGCGTTATTGGAAGAGTTGAAGCTTTTGATAGAGACTCGGAATTTCAATTCACTGTTCCAGAAAATGATTTCATCATGATCGAGAAGTCAACTGGTATTATATCGACGAACAAGGGAGCAAAGTTTTCTTCGAAAATGGGTCTCTTTGGATTCAAGTGCTATCTCGACGACGGAGGTTCGAAATCAGAGCGGATATTCTTCTTGAAAATAACTCCAACAGCTGCGAATTCTTCGAAATTTTCGACAACGAAGATTTCGAATTTTAAAGATTCTTCCTTGCTCGGCATCCACAGCATTTCTGGACGACGGCATTTCATCAAATCTTCCTCACCAGCTCGGCTTTCCTCTTTTCTCGAGTACACTCCACTTTTCGGCATTCTGAGGAGAAAAGATTCACCAATCTTTCAGACTTCTCTAACAGGAAACATAACACTCGCAGCAATCGATGAGAAAACTGAAACAATCACCGAAAAAGTCCTTTCAATTAGCCTGATCGACGAGCAATCGCCACGACTTATTCCGCCACCTCCACCAAGATTGTCGAAACAAGCACCAAAGAAAGACGAAATTTCTGAGCAACTTTATCGCGAATTTAATGTGAGCGAATCAGTAGAAGTCGGGGAGATGATTGCTAGTCTGAGCTTCACAGAAGGATCTCATTTTGAAAACATTAACTCAGAAGTTTTCTCTATCAATTCTATAGGGGAGATCATCGTTAGAAAAAGACTGGACTGTGAGACAACGAAGACAATACCGGCCGATTTCAGCGAAAGAAATCTGAAGTACCCAAGCTGGTCAAGGACGATCAAAGTCACTTTCAACATTCTCGACGTCAACGACGAAGCGCCTTACATTTCCAACGCTCCTGAATCCATCAGCATCAGCGCTTCCCAAGTCGGCCAAATCATCGCCGTTCTCGATCTCAAAGATGACGACACTCCCGATCCGTTCTTTTTGAGTTCTATTTTCTCGACGCCCTTCGATCTTTCTGACTGCTTTTCGATTAACAACTTTGGCGAACTAACTCTTCTCAAGTATCCAGAAGACATAACTACAGGCGAAATAAGAGTGGTTGCTTCCGATAATGCCAAAGAAACTATCACTCCAATTCGAATAAATGTGGAGAAGAAGCTCTCCAAATTTAGTGGCTTTACTGCAAGAAGCTGTGAGACCCCGGAATACTCTGAAAAAGTGGCCGAAAACGCTAAAATCGGCGATAAAATCTTAAATTTACGAAAGAAATTTAGGATAATTCACGAAAATGACAGCGATCGAGCCTATTTTCGCGTTTCTCGCGGATTGTTATTTTTGAAAAAAGAACTGGACTTTGAGAAGATCGAAACTATTTTCATCCTTCTCGAGATGACCAGAGAAAAGTGCCAAGCAGTCTTGACAATATTGGTAGAAGATATAAATGACGAAGCACCGAGATTTCTAACAAAATTTGTTTTCAACGCGACGAAAGAAATTGGAAAGTTTATCGGCAAAATCAGAGCATATGACGCAGACAAAAATGATATTCTCTCTTATTCGTCGGATAACCAGTTTGTGAAAGTTAACGAAGTCGGCGAAATCGAACTGAAAAAGGTTCCGAAAGAGGACAGCATCGTCATTTCTGTTGCGGCATCTGATGGGTTGCACAAAACGCAGACAGATGTCATCATTTCCTTCAAAGATTCGGCTGAAAAGATGGCAGAACTAATCACGAGTTGGACAGGGCTCAACGAGACCGATCTCTACACATTTACGTCTGCGTCTGATTTATTCACTGATCATGATCATGGATGTCCATTATTCTACATAAAGAGCAATGTCCTCAAGTTCAACGATAATTACGAGCGCACTCCTGGAACATTCAACTTATCAATCATCAACACTGAAACCAGCGAAAATTCGACTTTATCGTTGACGCTTTGTAAAAGAGGAGACCCGATTATCAGCTACAAACTTTCGTTCTCCTCCACACCCGTGAAGCTGTATTCCTTTGGTTCCTGCAGCTCCAGCTCTTGGATTGCCTCGCTTCCTGAGTTTTTGGAATTGAACGGGGAAAATCTCTTTCTTAATATTTCTGATCAAATTCAATTTCAAAAGTCCATTGGCAAAGAAATCTCGGTCGATTTTGCTTGTTTGGTGTCATCGACAATAAGAACGATAAAATTTGAAATCACAGCTGGCTACTTTCCGAAAATGGACTTTGAGAAGGAGCGATACGTCTTTCAAGGAACAACCGGACGCGTCAACCTTCTTCCGACGAAATTTCAAAGCTATTTCTCGACGAAAAGCGATTCCATTGAAATCAACAAAGACGGAAGTATCAACCTCAAAACTTACGGAAATGCATCGAAAATATCCGTCAGAATAGATGCTGTCAGCTTTACTTATCCGACAGTCACGGCAAGTACGATCGTCACTTTCAATAAAATCTCAGAGCCAAGAAAAATTATTGAATGCTTCGATTTTTGCCCCGCTGATGATCGGGTCATCCTCAAAGCAGATTCGAAACTAGAAAGGAATAAAACTGGACAAATTGTGCCGAAGAAAGCTTCGTCTTCTGAAGCACTGATTATTGAGAAGGGATTATATGGCGATGGGAAATCTTCGATCCTTGCAATAGGAATCTCTTCGCAATCAGCAGTAAACTTGAAGCCGTCTGAACAAAAATTGGTTCTGACAAGAGACTCGAAGTTTATCGAGCTTGCAGATGGAACAGTTCGCTTGATAGATCCCTCCATCCAGACCACGATTGAAGCTTTTATTTTCGAAAACAAGGAGCCGATAATAATAGACTCTATTCTGCTCCTTCCTTCTTGTGGATCAACCTGCTCGCAGAGGGAAGAAGAAACCTTTGAGCTCAAATGTAAAACGACTGATTTGGACATTATTTCCTCCGACAACTGCAGCATCAAGAAACCAGAACGGTCAAAGTCTTTGAAATATCCATTGGAGCTTCTTGGTGGCGCTGTTGGAATAAGTTATGATTATAAACGGATCAGAAGAGTGGATTACGAGATTGACATGTATGATGATGTAGAAAGAGTGATATTTAGCTCTTTTTCTTCAGATGGAAAGTTCAGAATTGCCATTTCTTTGGACAAATGCGGCTTCAAAATCTATCAAAACACTGGGGCGCAATTCAAGTCTTCTGGCTGCGAATCTATGAAGCTCAAGAATTTCGCGATCTCTTTTAATGACCGGATATCTATTCAATCTGGCGGGAAAACGGTTCTAAAAGGACCTCCTGAGCAACCCTTCCAGATGATTTTCGGTGGAGGTGTTTATGGACCAATAAATATTGGAGGAAAGCTGATTCAGCCGTTTTTCGGGAAAATAAATAACTTGGAAATATTTCCTGAAAACAGCATTGACTTCGTCGACATTGATGATGTTCTAAGGTCAATTAATTCCGATATTTCCAACACAGAAGAGTGCAAAAATGATCTCTCTTTTGAGCGATTTTTCTGCTCAAAATCATCAGATAAGAATTTTAGCTCTGCTGGATTCTTAGGAAAGGTTGTCATTTATAATTTCATATTGCTTTCGTTTCATAAATACTTTCATAAAACAACCATGCAAGCTTCATTTTCCATCGCTACTTTATTCGCGATAATATTTCTTGCGACATTGAATTTGGTTTCCCGACGGTTCAACTTGTTTTCATTCAAGCCAATGGAGAAGAAATCAAACTCCCTAGCAACACTGCCCCAGCCAATGACCCCGATGGCAAATCAACAAATCACTCAAGAAACGCCGATCATGAACGATGCGAGTTCCAACGCTAATCTTTCTGTCAGCAATCGGCACGAGTACTTGAGCGCCGTTTCTTTCAATTCTCTTCGCCGACCTCCAAATATCATTACCTCGCCGGGAGATATGGAGCGCGAACTTGTTCTTTGACAAAAACTTTCTGTAATAAAATTTTTATTTATTTAAAACAAATTATTTCTTAATCCATTCCGATTAATATATTTACGTAATGATTATTTGCCTTGCACATATTTTATTTTATAGTATAAATAATAGATTCAACACGCACGAGGCTATTTTATTCTCGAATTTATTCACCAGATATATCGACGATAGAATTTCAGGAAAAAAGCTCCTTGAGTATTTTTCTTTTAGCATTTTTCTGGATACTGACCACCAAAGCGTTTCGATCTCAGTCTTTTCTCCCATCCGTTTTCAGTGCAAACAATAACTTGGTTTAAGCCTCTTGAGAAGGAGTCACACTTCGCATTACATACGCGAATATTATACCTCCTAAATTTATTTTTATCTAAATGCCTTGCTCGATCTTTGCAATCCCATGATCCGTTCTCGATTGGGAAGAGTTTTGGAACGTCATCGAGGTGGCATAAATTCTTGACTGAGGCAATTTGCGTTGATTATTGGTCGCTCGCCTCCGACAAAATCATCCTCATCGTTATTGCAATAGCCATTGCAAACCCAGCGTTTTGCTTCAGCATCATCAAAACCAGCATTCGATGGCGGAAAACCAACTCTTTTCTTGCAATTCCAAAACCCATTTTTGATTGGATTCAATTCTTGAAGCTTTAATTTTTTGAAATAAATACTCAGATTGTCTGTTTAACGAACCTCTGTTATGACACTCAAGCAGTCTCCTCCTATAACGACTCTCGACTCTTCATCCGAAGCTGCGGTAGCTAGAAAAAAAGCGGAAAAAAGCTTCATTTTATGACAAGATATAGAAATGAATTTCCAGCAAGCTGACTATTTTTATAAAGAATACAGGTGGCGCTAGAACAATCCCACACAAGTATTCCCACGGAGAGTCTTTTTGTCAGGCTTGACCTGCGAGTTTGGAATGTTTAGGCTAATCAGATTTAACCGTACGCGGGACACGCGCGAAACAATATCGCTGATATGAACTCATAATATACATAATGTATGGAATTTCCATTAGAAATGAGAGCATGAAAAACTGTTTTATTCTAATTTACAGATTTGATTGATTAAAACTCATTCTCAGATTATGATTGTTTGGGTGGACATTTACATAATCGTGATCCTCGACAAGACCACTCGGAATGAAGACGTCATAATTTCTGTCGAAATTAGTCGTCATCGAAGGAATATAGTCTCCGCCGAAGACATCTTCGTTGAGCTCTTCGTCCATAGCTGGATTTTGAAAACCTTCATTGTGAGGAGCGTCAGCGTACTCTCTGTCGGACTGTCTGTCTCGTAAGATGTGCTTGAGATGATCGTTTTTTCGAAAGAGTGATCCAGATATCATCAAGAATCCGCCAATGAAGCTCAAAACGGATGAGACGATGCCTAGGAAAAAAATTTTAATTGACGATTTTGATCGATTTTGATTGAATCTTACCTAGAATAAAACCAGTATCCGCTTCCATGGTGATACTATCCGCTCTTGGCTCTCTGAGTCCAATATAAGGACTTAGGGAATCGTACGTTTCGCGAAACCTCAGCACCATGTAGTAATACCAAGTCATCACCGAAGCAAAAAAGAAAATACCGCTTATTAAACAGCCCAGACCAGCCAAAATGCCGAAAAATCTCTTCGTTGATATCAACAAGTTGAAATCGCTCTCATACGCGTCTGAAGAGTTGAAAACGCCGAACGTAAGAAATGATATTTTTGAATTTCGAAGTCTTGGCTCGAGTCGAAGTGGAAGATGGTTGGAGAAAAGACTGTTCATTCCAATTATGAACGCGAAAAACCAGAAAATCATTGATGAAATTCCAAGCCCTCTTGAAGATTTGATGAAGGGCGGGGTCATCGTAAAGATCCTTTGAAAAGATTCTTACAAGTCTAAATTTCAAGTAGAAACTTACTCAGAATAGGGAATGCAGAGAGCAGAGCTAGAGCTCCCACCAATTCCACGATCTCGCATCGAGCACTTACTCCAGAGCCCGTAAACATGAGTCACCGCAGTGGTGTCTGGATTTTGCTTCGACCAAAAGTCCAAGCAAAGACAAACCAAGAAGAATATTCCGCAGCAGATGTGTAGTAGAAAACCGATGAGTTGAAATCGAACATTCATTTCTCAATCATCTGAATCAGAATAAATCAAGTTTCGTTTAATTTATAAGTCGTTGTTGTCAAAAGAGCTGGGAATATAAGCAGGATTTCTGAAATTTTCATTTGATTGGTAGTTTCTTTCAGTGGCCTTTTCAAGGCTCTTTTGAGTGAGATATGTTCTCGAGCTCCACCAAATTAGCACTCCGTTGACTATCAATAGAATCGCGAAAACAAGAGCTAGAATACATCAACAAAACAATTATCATTCTTTATTTACCAGCATAGATAACAGGTTCTAATTTCTGTTCGTTAAAGTCTGCTCCCCAAACTCCAAACGTTCCAGTTAGAGTTTCCGCTTTCAATTCTTTATGAGTGTTCTCAAAGTCAAAGACGTAGCGGACCATCCAGAAACAAATTGCGACGATCGAAAATGCTCCGCTGACGACAGAAAGCACGCTCGAGAAGATGCAGAATAATCGTTTGTTTCTCATGTTTCGCTGGAGGCAATTTGTGCAGGACATTCCAACAAGCTGGGTGCATAGAGCTAGAAACCAGCAGACGGACGAAAGGAGGAGAAATATTCGTACGGCGATTATGCCCTCTTTTTTACAGTTACAGTTATACGTTTGTGATAATATTTGTTTGTAAAGATGTAAGGTACCCTGGAAAAGTCGCCGAATGTCGCTGAATGTCGCCAAATGTCGCCGAATGTCCAAAAGTTTCTTTTGAAATTTATGCATTGAAAACCAAATTTCTTCTCGAAAATTCTGTTTTCAAAAATAATCGGCGACATTTGGCGACATTCCGCGACATTTCGCGACTTTTCCAGTGTCGCCCGAAGATGTAACCATAGCTGGAATTCCAACTTGAAGTTTATCGTAACTCCTGTAACCTCCATCTTTCCCCTCGATTGTCAGGGACTTTTTCCAAATTCCGTATCGCCAAATTTCATCGCCATCTTCTTCAAAGCTCCAGTTTCCGATTACGAAGACGATTGTGATGAAAAGGCCACAGAAGAGGCAAATTATGAATTCTGAGTATTCAAGACCTGAGTGTTAACTGCAAATTACCTAGAATTTGTATGCTGGCTGTGGAAGGCATAGCAGAAGTTTGTTCTCTATTTGAAAAGATCGCGAAGTTAAAATAATTGAACGAAATCTGGAGACAATGACGAGACAATAAGAAAGGGAAAGGGCTATAAAATCAGCCGCGTAAAATCATTGTAAGCCTACCAGTCAAACAAATGCCTTCTGAATACCGTTTATCCTCCATAAATTAGGACCTCCCTAATGGCCAACAAAATACACTATGCACGTCGATGCATGAATATTAATTAAATTCGCTTCCGATAATTGCCTAAGTGTCCATTAAAGTGCGAATTATATAGATTACACTGTAGTCCATCCATCAGTTTGATTTTCTGCAATTTTAAACAACAGTCCGTTTTTTCGTCAATTAACAGGCCGCGAAAAAAAAGAAGAGGTTGAGGGCTTCTTACGCTTCAGCTGCATTAGCGCCATCTCGTTATTTTTTCCTGTTGTTCTTGGACGGTCACAAGTCAGTCTCTCGCGCCCGTTTTCGTTTATATTCAATCGGAAAAGAGAACAAAGCAAGGAGAAGAAGAAGCAACTTGCCAGGATGGAATATGTTTCCGAACTTAGGTGATTATTTTTTTTTCTGATTAAAATCAAGGAAGATTTTTCAGCGAATCCGAGCTAGCCTGCTCCCGGGAACAGTGGCAACACTATCTGCATTCGATCAACGCTTCGGAACTCATCGGCGAAAATGAAATGTTGTTCCACTTCTGGACAGGGTTCAACAGCTTTTCTTCATTCTCTCGCGACCGTAACGAGTCACTAATGCGTATTGATCCCGCACAAACCTCATGGGTATACATTCACGCCAACTTTTTGTGAACAAAAATGACCGGAATGAATGAGTAGTAGTAGGAATAATTGATTGGAATGAAGTCACTGTAGATCGCTATAAATTCTAATTCTAAAGTATTGAACTCTTGAAAAAGGGTCGAAATTCAGCGAACCGAGCCCACTCTCATGCGACTTTTCGACGCATTCATTACTTCCGCAGTGAAGGAAATCAGAAGCTTGGCGTGCGACAAGTCCATTCTTCTGGAAAGCAGAAAATTGTCAAAGCTGCAGATGAAGAAGCTATATGACGAGATGAATACATTCATTTCTGATGAGCGCGACCGTCTTGGAAGAGAAATGACTTCGCAGCTGATCCGTAAACTTGAAGGTAGAAATAATTTCTGAGCTCACAAATCAACAAATTCTAGAGCAGCAGAATCAGCAAAACACGGAAGTCTTCATTCTTTCGAAGGAAAAAGAAGTTATTGAGCAAGAACTTGACCATCTAAAAGGCCTGACTACGACGCAAAAAGACCAACTCGAAGAATTCTCCGAAACGCTGGAAAGACTGACCATCAAGGAAGAAGAGCTGCATTTGAGAAACAAAGAACTAGAACTGGAAAACATGAGGCTGCAAAATCAACTGAAAAACTCGCAATTTGACCTCCAGCACCACCAATTACTTTGCGAAAAATTAGTTACTGAAGCTTTGAATGAAGAAGACAGACTCAAAGGTTCATCGGACTTCTTGGTCATTTATGATTTTTAATGAATTCAGGGACGATTGACAGTTTGAAGAACAAATTATCACACTCTGCCAGTTTGAGTTTTACAGAAGTTTACAGCCATCCTGCACAGGAATGCGTTTTTTTCCCTAGAATCTATTGGCTGAATATTTTAAAGAACGCATAAACAGTCGATAAAAACTCCCGATCGTCTGTACAAAGTGATCATGCTTGGCGACTCTAACGCTGGCAAAACTTCGATTATAAATCGATACACAAGAGATCAGTTCACGATGACGGAACCAACTATTGACATAAGTTATCGGATGAAAGCTCAGCTTACTGCCAGGGGACTTATATCGCTGCAAATATGGGACACAGCAGGCCAGGTAAATCAAAAGTCCCAAAAGAATTTCTCAATTTTCCTACGAACCAGAATTGCTTCATTTTTGCTGAGTTGAGCTGAGCTGAGCTAGCCTTTTTTAGGGTAGTTGAGCTGAGCTGAGCAGACCCTTATTAGAGCTCACCTGAGCTGGTTGAGCTGAGCTCAGCTTAGCTGTTTTCAACTGTGTTTTAAGTAGAAAATTTGTGTTAAAATCATTGAGCTGAGCTGAGCTAAATGATTACTCTCTGAGCTAAGCTGAGCAGATCATGTTCGAAAATAATTGAGCTGAGCTGAGTTGAGAGAGAATCGTCTGAGCTGAGCTGAGCAGATCAGGTCATTTTCAAAAATCACTGAGCTGAGCTGAGCGGCTGCTCAGCTCACTCACCTCAGCAAATTTGCAACTCTGCCACGAACTAAAGAATAAAAGAGTAAGATCTACACTGTAGATTCTACAGTAGCCGAAACTAAAATTATTCCCAAAGGAACGATTTCGCTCAATCCCTCGGTGCTACTTTAGAAAGGCTGATGGTGTCCTGGTTTGTCCCATTACCTTCCTTCTCTCGACAATAAAAAGACTGGTTTTAGCTTGTTTATGATGTCACCAATACACAAAGCTTGCTGAATGTTCGGCGATGGCTGAATGACCTGGATGATATTACTCAAAAAATGATCGTAGGAAATAAAGTCGATCTCGCCAAAGATCGCCTGGTAACGGCTGATCACGGGCGAAAGATGGCTGATGATCTTGATTGCGAGATGATCGAGGTTTCAGCCAGAACTGGCTTCAATATTCCCCAGGCCTTTGAAAAGCTCTCGAGGCTCATGCAGGAAAATGAAGACGCAGAGGTAAGCGAGTGGATAAATCATAATCTCGGGATCATTTGCCTGTAGCTCGCCATGATTACCAGATCAAATACCAAAATTGCCCTGGCTTTCGACCCGACCTCGGACGAAAAGACCTACTCCTCCTGTTGCTAAATACTCCCGTGCCATGAAAAAAGAGTCGTTACTATGTTTTCGCTGAAAACTATGCTGCGAAAAAAAACGCTCTTCGAACAATAAAAGTGGTTGCATTATACTATCAATGCATTTATAATATCAAGGCCTTTCTTCTCAAAAAACGTGAGAAGCGATTTTTTTCGCGCGAGTTTTTCTTTGATGAGGAAAGACGGGCAGAGAGTCGAGTTTGTTGAGCAAAGTCTTCCGGATTTGCGGTAATAACAATTGCTTTAATAAGAAGCTTATTTTTTCTTTGAATTTATTCAGAATCGAGTACAAGCTCCCCAAAGTCACAGGCGCAGAAATTCGTAAGCATAAAGAAAAGAAGCGAGTGAGCGTGCCGATAGAAGAGACAATTAGGCAGTTAGCAAATCAGTTTTTTCTTCCCGGAAAATGGGAATTTTTGCTAACTGAAGAGAGGAGCAGTGTTTGGAAAAAGCGCTAGAATAGGAACCAACACTGCAAAACCAAAACCACAATTAATTAAATTGTGGAGTTCTTTTAATTCTTTCATAATCCAGCTGGTCCTTTTATGAGTTCACAAACAGCCGGCCTTACTATTGAGAAAAACACTGACTTAGACTTGACACTGCCTTTCGGAATAATCGACGAGATTTGCTCACAAAGCTTGCTTTCAGAAGAATTGTAAACGTTTTTTGACCTTTTAAATATTCTGAAAGTAGTCGTTGTTGACAGAGAACAAGTTTTTGGAGCGTAATTTTGAGCTTCCAAGGTCAGAGATAAAATAACAAAAATTATCGATTTCGAGAAATTTTCAATTAAAAAAATCTCCGAAAAAAAGAGCACCAAAGCCACTTTATCCCGCCGAGAAAAAATTAGAAAAAACGACCTCTTTTCAAAACAAGTCTCGGTTTTGAAAATAAACTGAAAAAATTCCGACACTGAAATTTTCAAGCCGTCAAAATAGGTCCGCTCGATATCAAGGACAATCGGAAAGGCGTCTCAAATCTCAAAAATGCTCGTTTCAGAGGGTAACGCGCTTGACACTCTGAGAGCGGCAGTCATAGCTTCTAACAACTTTCCCGCGAAGACTAACTAAACATAATCTTGAAATCTGCTCCACAAAAAGAGCCTTTCCATAACCACCGTTTATTATTTCTGCAGTGTCTTCTACTAACCAAGCTTCGAAATTGAAGACATAGAAGAGTACCTCAAAACATGAATCGAAGGAGAGCGATTTCAATTTTTATAGGAAGCCGAACATGCGATCGTCTTCCGAATATGCAGAGAAAAATGACAGTTGTCGACATTCAGCGATTTCAGCGATCGCAAAAGGCTCGAGAAAGATGGCGGCGAAATTTGAAAACGCTCAGATTGCTTTGTGGGAATGGTTTTTTTTGTCATTTTTAAACATTTTATGATATAAAATTTTGGCTTTTTTATTTATTCAATTTGTCACTTACTTTTCAAATTTCAAATTTGGAAATTTATATTTTATTTATACAAGTGCGTAAAAGTCTTTTGTTCGCGAAAAATCGACATTCAAAAATTCGAGAAATTCTCAAAAAAGAAACCATCAAAAGAGTCTGCATCGCCTGTAAGAAAGCGCTAGAATCCGTGATTCCCAGCGACTCGTGGCAATCAATAACAACAGGAAAAGAGTGGGAACGCTTCTTATCAAAAAACGATAGAACACCTACGTTAATACAGGAGGCTCGATTGCTTCTGTTGTGTTGACGGAGAGATAAAGTCGGCCAATTTCAGTAATTCAGTTTACGATAGAAAGCTGTCACTTTGCGTTTGCACAAGCTCGATATCGATAAAAACGACTCAAAGTATTTTCCAGCGACTTTTTTTTTCACATAGAGTTCCTAAATCTAAGAGATGAAAAGAAAAGTCAGAAAAAACTCTCTTCAATTCGACACATCGTTTTTCAGATCTCGGACTTTGCGGACAGAGATTTTAAATCGACAGCAGAAACATATTCTTACTTCAAAGCCTGATGGTATTTTCTTGGCTCTGAAACCTGTGCAGAAAACCTGAGTCAGGGTTTGAAAGATCATTAATGGAAAGCTGCGTAGCGGCTTTTAAAAAACGAAGCCAAAAAGCTTCAAAATAGCTTTCCAATTGACCTGACAGACCCTGACTCAGGTTTTTACACAGGCTGCCGAGCCCAGGGTAACTTTACCCATTGCCAATGGGCCATTGGAAACTCTAACGACGATAATTTTAGTGAGGCAAGATGAAGACATCATTGCAGTCGTTAGAGGCCTCCAAGCGCTGGAAGAATTCACCTTCTATTCAAAAACAGTACAGTATGAATTCGCCAAATACGCATTCTTGGAGACATACGGACCAAACAGAGTTATTTTCAAAGAACGGCATCGAGCTGATTTTCTGTACATTGTTATAAAAGGTGATCAAACAGTTGGATCAACATTTATTCATTTTTTCAGGAAAACTGATCTACAGAAATGCAACGGAATCGACTGTCATCGGAAAAGGTGAAAAAATCGGCGAAGACGAAATTATCGGAAACCGACTTCGAGGCGGTACTTTGACGACTCAGTCTGATGAAGTCCAGTTGCTCTCATTGCACAAAGAATATTTCGATGAAATTACCATCGGTAATGCTCTTATAAATGTCAAAATATCTTACTTTTTCGCAGCTGAGAACCAAAGAGGAACGCAGCTAAGAGAGATCATTGCCAGATCATCTGTTCTGAGACTCTGGCCGACGCAAGAATTACTCAACAGACCTCAAGATTGGATCATTCGAAATTACAAAGCCGACAGTTGGATTTCGGAAGACCTCTGGAACGACGACTGGGTTTACATCGTCAAAAGTGGCTTTTGCGTCGTCGCCAAGGGAATGGACGAGATTGAAATGCACCTTCATTCGCACAAGAAGAAACTGAGAAGAAAACGGCGCGAGAAAATGAAGCAAGATCTAATTCACCGGAAGTTCGGCGGTGGAATCGTCCAGAGGTACAAACGCAAATTTTGATAAAAACTCTGATCTTTTGTTTGCTCAGTTCAAATGCTTTCCGGCCACTGCAGTCACGTGGAATGGCTCCGAGGGACTGGAGTTCACAGCGAGCAATGCATGAAATGGACTCAAATATCATCAGGTAAGAGATAGCTTTGACTTCTATAACAAGAGTTGCAAATCTTGTGAGCTGGCTGAGCTGAGGTATCTGAGCTAGCTGAGCTACAGCTCAGCTCAGCTCAGGAATTTTGAAGGTACGGTCAGCTCAGCTCAGCTCACTTTTTTTAAAGAAAGCTAGCTAAGCTCAGCTCAAATGTTTTTCAAAAAGAGCCAGCTCAGCTCAGCTCAGCTCAATTTCGACCTCAGCTCAGAAAAAATTTTCAAAAATTTGCGACTCTGTCTATAACCGCTGTTCAGGGAGCTAAGAGCGGGCAAAAGCAACGACTCAAAATGGTTCGTGGCAAAAGAACTTCACCCTGGCGATGTTGCCGCAGTCGACAGCTTGACAGACACAGAGAATCAAATTAACCCCCGACTCGCCCTCGTGACCTCTCAAGGGACAGAACTCCTTCAGATAAAAAGAAAAACATTTCAAGTGCGTTTACTAACTGTCTCTCTAGTTTAAACAAGCATTATCTTTATAGCGATTCATTTCCGCAGACTTGAACAGCCTCCTGACGATAATGTCGAACTCGTATCCGTCGTTTGACGATCTTCAGCGATCAAGAAATCATCATATTGAGTGGCAAATGTACAAAGCCGCCGTTTTAGCTGGGGCAATGAAGGTTTTTCTTTCAAAAAATACAACTTTCATAACAAAAATTTTAGGCTCCCAGATCACACAGAATCAAGCTCCAGCCACTCAGTTTCTCTGTTGCCTAAATAAACTCATGCATATTTCAAACTTGGTTTTCCTCCATGATTTCAATGAAATTCGGATTGAAATTTATTATCAGCCATAAATCATTAAGCCTTTGTCATCGACTTGCTTTGAAATTTGAGAAAGAATTCTTCCAAGCGAAAGAGTCCATTCGTCGTCCATATTGTCAAAGAGACGAAACACAGTAGACCTTCCTTCGCAGAGCTGAAGAACAATCCAAAGAAAAAACAGATGGAAGCTCATTTCTCTCAGTAAAAATATGGTCTTATTCAAAAGGCCTTGTCTAAAGTAGAAGTCCTCTTTGCAGCTGATTAACTCAGGCCAATTAGCCAGACAATTATCCTCTTATTTCAGACTTTTTAAACTGCAGTTTTCCAAATTGATGATGCATAAATTAATTTTAGACTTCATTTAAGATGAATTATATTTTGACATGCACGAGAATCTCGTGACGAGATGATGCAACTAAAATGATTAAACTAAGATTCGAAAGATTTATTTTTTATAAAGCTTGTTGAAGAAAATTAATATGATGGTTCAATACTATCAACTTATTGACAGAATATACTGACGTTTTTCTAAAGATTGTATGCAAGATAATGTTCTGATTTGAAATCTATAGGCAGGACAAAGGAACTTAGTGCAGCTTTGCTCGTGTAGCTATCATAGTAAAGTCGCTCCACGCTGTTTCTGCCGACAATTAGGTAGACATCGTCAAAAGCAGCAACAGCAGGATTGAAGTAGGCCTAGAGATAAGATAGTTAACAATATTTCTCAATAAGTTTACATGTTGAAAGGAAGATAGCTGGACCCATTTCTGCTCCCAATTGTTCTTGAGTATATAAATTGACTTTCCGCCATTATCGAATCCTCCAAGAGCGATCATGCTTTCATCGTCCAAACCAATGCATTGTTTTCCATGCGAAGGTCTGAAAAATAAAATTATGAAAAATTTCTATCGAGGCTGATACTCATCGTTGTTGAAAAAGTCGCTGACTTTCTCCCAGTTGACAGTTGTCGTCGTATATCTGGATCCGCCCCAATATCGATCATCGTATTCGTCTGCCCATCGCTTTCTCCTCTTTCTCCACCATCCTCCATATCCTCCCTTTCCCCTGGAATATGTCGTTGTCGTCTTTAATTGCTCGACGGAATGTGCCATATTTAGGTCTGCCGATCCAACAGCTATAAACTTCTTGTACGATTGCGACTTAAATCTGTTATTACCTGTTATGTCGCCTTTGAAGAGTCCGACGCAACCGAGTCTATGAGACATTTTCGTCTTCTTTTCATAAATCTTCACTCGATCGCCGTTGAACATTTGGCATTCGTCAAAACTTCCCCAGCCGAAGCAAATATACACTGAATTGATGCTTTCAGAACCCTGGGGTTAATGGTTAAGGACCCCCTCTCCCCCACCCTCGTCAACAATTTTTAATGGGGGGGGTCCTTAAGGTAGTCCATTCCATCGAAAGAAGCAGTTTTGTAAGTTCAACTGATTGAATCACGGCGAGTCAACAAAACTAGTCTACTAAACCTAGTAGTGCTAAGTTTCTTCGCCGAAGCTGGCATCTTTGGTCAGACAGAAAGACGTGTGTTTCGCCGTTTTTGGCATGTAAGGTAATTCTCGCCTGCGTGGACCTTCTAAACTTCCAAGTAATCGAGTCGGCCCGGGGATTATTTTTAGTGATCTCGGTATAAAAGGGTCCTGGGAGCGGCGGTTTAGGTTAGATTTGTTTTACATCAGAGAGATATTCCCTGTGCGAAAACACCACGAAAACGAATGAAGAAATGGTTCGAGATTATTTCGAAAAATAAAAATAAAAAAATTATTCTAAATTTTATAAAAGAGAAATCATGAACCGTAAAAAGCTCCTCTCAACCTTTTTCTTCACATCCGTCCTCGCGAAAGAGCCTCAAGGTCAAGATGACTGCCCCAACTCCGCCTGGCAATTCGTTGCCAGCGCTTCCGGAAACTACTGCAAGCCGATCGGAGTCTCTGTAACTTGCGACAACCGGCTTATGCAAGTCGAGTTCACTCACCAGCACATCTACAAGAATCTCGACCCCGTTCATCTCGACAGTGAAGGATCTGCCGCCATCGCTGGTTTCGACGAATCCTGTTCTACGATCTCAAAAAGCGGTGGAGTCTACACGGCTTCGATCAAGCTTGACAAGTGCAACACTCAAGTCACTCAAGACGGCGGCAAAATCGTCTTCGAGAACTCCTTCAGCGGCAACACCGCCGCCCTCACTGTCCAAGGCATCATCATGACCAAAGTCCTTTCCTTCCCCGTCAGCTGCACCTACGACGACTCAGTCACGCTCGAACTCAACCCTCTTCACTTGCAAGGCAGCGAAATCGACATCACTGGCATCTCGAACAACGGCACCTTCGGCGACTACTTCGACATGGTCGCCTACCACGATCAAGAGTACAACACAGAAATCACGAGCGATAATGCTATCGTTATTGGTGAGACCGTATTTGTTCGAATCTTCGAACTGGAGAATATCCCGACAAATGTTGATTACTACCTCACCGACTGCACAGGCACCGGTTTTATTTTTATTAATCAAAAAGTTAATTTCAAATAAAAACCGACCAAAGCGTATAAAAAATTCGGAAAGCCTAATGCAGGCAAGTTCGAAATCGTCGACCAAATGTGCTACAACGAGCTGGTTTCTGCCACCAACGACCAGCCCATCCGTGGTGGTCAAAGACAGGGCGAAACTGGCATTACTTTTGACTTCACCGCTTTTGCTTTTGAAGGACAACCCGATCAGCTTTCAATGGTAAGTGAAAAGTGTTTTGGAAGTCGAAAAAATAAAAATGAATTAAGCAATGCTCGTTGAAACTTTGCGCTCTTGCTGTTGATGGAAGTACTGTCTTGTCCGACTGCGCTGTTCAAGCCGATCCCTGCCCGGCTGGTTTCTCCGATCAACTCGAACTCAGCAGATCGTTAGACTACCCTGAGCCTTTCCCAATTGAATAAATACTGATAATAAATGCTTGTTCAAAATGAAAAAATGACGCTCCTTCGCAGGTACCTCAAACGCTAGAATATTCTCGCACTTTGAACTTACCCTCGTCTCCTTCTGAGTCAACTTGGATTCCAGACGAGAACTTGTGGCTTTAACGAGTCTCAAATTTCAGCATAGCTCGTTGTTTTTCAACATGAGTTGAAGCGGGTTTGAATTTCAAGCTCTAATACAAACAAGAACAAACGGGCCGGTACGCAATATCGATAAACTACCAAGTAGTAACCAAGCACGCAACTACTAAGTAAGAAGATTATTTGAGAGTATCCTTTGTTTAAGCTTTTTTCCACTTGCTTTTATTTGACTTCCCTCCAATTTCAAAATCTGAAAAAGACATTATTTTGGAAAAAGAAGCCCTCAATTCTACCGCAATCGAATCCACGTGACCGCCAAAAAAGTACGCCTTATTCTTGAAAACAGCGATCCCAGCATCTTTGATCGCTTCTTCGATTTGTTTTCCTGGGTAGGAAAGTCCCTCTTGATTTATTTTTCCAACTGCGTTCAAGTCGTACATTCCCGTTGTTGTCAGGACCTTGATCGAGCGATGTTTCTTAATAAAATAAATGAATAAAAGCTTTTTTATAAACAGTCCCTTGCATTCTTCAAATCGAGGTCTTTGAACTCAGACTCTGATTCTCAGAGAGTGGGCATGAATTCCGACCTTATAAATCTCACATTTTAGTACTTTCTGCAGTATCAAATTTATAAGGTCAGTCTTCCTCGCAGTTCCGCAAGTAAATAGAAGACATGAAAAATTTCAGACCTGAGATAGAGATTTGGCTGTAACGGAGGGTTTTAGAGTACACTCTTAATTGTTATTTATTTTCAGAAAAGTTTTCGATGGCTGTTTTTAAGTTCTCCCTTTCGGGATCAAGATCTTTCTGCAGCCTTGGCTGCGGCAAAAAAATGGGGATACTTCTTTTCTGGTTTTTCTATATCCTCTGCTTACCGATCGTCTTTATCAATTTTATTTTCTGGAAAGAAAGCAAAAATATTTCAACTCTATTTATTAATTTTACAATTTTAACATTTTTAAAAAGGCCGTTTGCAATTTTTTACAAATGCTGCTGCTGCCGAAGATACTCTCAATTTCGGAACGAGCTGATAATGACAACTTTTGGTCTCTTGGGCTACGTCACACTTCTTTTACTGTGGATCTTCTACGGTTATGATTACTGGGCGATTTCCGAGAATGACTGGTATAATTTATTGTTTATCGTCTATTTCTACGCGATCGGGGCTTCACTGTTTATCTTTTTTAAAATTGCTCTTGTTGCTTGCTTAGGTACTATAATCTCCTAATAGACAATGAAAGATATTTATAGGAGATGAGGAAGAAGACGACGAAGATGATCAAGCCGCAAGATTTCTTGCTGGTCTCATCACGCTTCGCATTTTTCAACGACAACAAGAAGAACGGGCTCGCCGACAGTATATCTCTGATATGCTTGAACGAGCCTTTAGCGATTCTTGAGGGAAAAAAGGTAATTCAAGGTAATATTTCGATTTAGTTCTACGATAGTGTATTTTCAGAAAATCCTCTGTCAGCCAAGATTTCTTTGAATAAATTATTCTCGCTCAAAAATACGAAAAAAAAACCTTTTATTTTACCTCGCATGATTTGCCATGAAATCCAGCAGGACATTTGCACTTGAAAGTTTTCTTGTCTTTATCGGTCCCACAAATTCCTCCATGTTTGCAAGGCTTCCCATCACAAGGTTTCTTTTCGCAGAAATTGCCGACAGTGTTGTCAGGGCAGTCGCAAACTTCCTTGTTTTGATAAACATGGCATTTTCCACCGTTTTTACACGGATTGATCGAACAGCGCTCATGCTCACAAAGTGTCCCGTGGAATCGAGTTTTGCATTCGCAAGTGAACTCGTCCTCAGGTCTTGGTTCGTGCTGAAATGAATTTTTGATGAATCTGCTGTTCCAAATACACACTGTACCTCTTTGGTTTTCTTACAGGCGCCATTATTCCGGCACGGATTTGGGTTACAAACGTCGATCTAATTTTAACGGGTTTTGATTTTTATTCGCTCTGAATTCAAACATCGTTTCAAATTAATAAACTCAAAGCCCGTTCCTCGCAGAACTTCCCATGCCGACCTGGAACGCAATCGCAAACGAAGCCAGGTTTCTCCTCGTCCACAAGGCAAACTCCTTTTGATTCGCAAGGATTTGGTTGGCAAAACGACGTTTCGCATGTTTCGCCATAATGGGAATTTGGACAGGCGCACTCGAAGGAGTAAGTTTTGTTGTTGACCGAGCAAAATCCGTTGTTTTTGCACGGTTTTTCTTTTTACCAAGGTCAAATTCAGCTGGGTGGGACGGTTTTTAAAATGATAAAAAGGTTGTTTTTAGCTCTAATTTGTTTGATTGACTTTGGTTTTCCTTACAAAAAAAGGGAAAACCAAAAAAATCGTTGAAGAAAAGAGATTTTTAAGGGGGATATTCATCTAGTCAGGAATGTCAAAAATGTCACGAATGTCGGAATTTACCCGAAAATCGAAGAAATTTCAAAGATTGCGAAAAAGCTTAATCCTAACCCAGTGTTCGTAACACTAACCCTAACCTGAGGTTTTTGACTAAGTCAGTGCCCCTCCCCCTCAACTTTGACCCGTCCCTGCACAAGGCTCCAGTTCACAGAAACTACCGGTGAATTCGTCAGGACAGCTACATTTGGCCACAATTTTGGACATATTTCTATTCGCCAAATCACACAAGCCCCTATTCAGACATGGATCTGGATCGCAAACTAAAAATAATTTCTCTCAAGAAGTCTCTGATTGATTTTTTTACTTGTCGTTCTGAATTGAGTAAACCAAATTGCGAATAAAATCCCTATAACCAAAATTGCAGCGCCGAGGCCTTTCAGACAGTTCTTTTCCTTTGTTTTGAGTTTTCTCATTTTCGAATATTTTATTTTCTGCGCTTGAGGACTCGTCAAGGTAGTTATCTTGCTCGTACGGTGAACTTTAGAGGCGAGTTAGCGAGATTAGACCTTTTTTAGGATTTGGAAACAACGTAACAATAAAATTATTGTTAAGGGGCAGAATTGCAAATCTTGCTTTATTTTTGCTGAGCTGAGCTGACCTCAGTAAAAATTTTTCTGAGCTGAGCTGAGCTGGCCTTTTTCAGAGGTAATTGAGCGGAGCTGAGCTGAGCTGAGCTAGTTGAGCTGAGCTGAGCTAGTTGAACTGAGCTAAGCTATTTTTAAAATCATTGAGCTGAGCTGAGTGAACATAGTCTGAGCTGAGCTGAGCAGATCAGATAATTTTCAAAAATCACTGAGCTGAGCTGAGCGACTGCTCAGCTCACTCAGCTAGCTCAGCTCACTCAGCTAGCTCAGCTCACTCAGCTAGCTCAGCTCACTCAGCTAGCTCAGCTCACTCAACTAGCTCAGCTCACTCAGCTCAGCAAATTTGCAACTCTGGTTAGGGGTCCTAACTTAGCACTGTTTCCAGCATCAACCCTATTTCCTGGTCGATGGACTGGTTGAGAAACCCATATTTTTAAACGCTTTCAATCACGTGTCGATGGAAAAGAATAGTACTAATACTACGTCAGACTGAGGGACCAGCTTTGTTTTCATTAATCGTGACGACTTCTGTCTACCTGAAGATTTTTATAAGTTTGATTTTTCCCTTACGTAAAAAGAGAAAGAGCGAGAGCCGATGGCGCTGCACTGCTAGTAGTATTCAAACGTAGTCGCCCCTTTCATCCGTATAAACCAAATATTCGATAATGGCAAAGCTCGTTCGTGTATTTTCTTTTTTATGCATTTTTCCAAGCCTTTTTCTGCTGAAATTTGCGAGGAATCCCCGCTCCAGAGAATTTCCCAAGCTTGGAACGAAAAAATTTACGAGTTTTTCCGGTCAAATCTGTTGCTTGTAAAAATTCAAAAAATAAAAAAGGTAAAAAATAAAGGTCCTCAAAAGAAGATTCTTCATTAATTAATAAGGAGAAGAGACAGTAAGATGTTCGATAAAATTCATCGAAAAAATCGACGGGAAGACGAAAAAGATTGTTGTGAAAAGTATGTCTGAGTTTGCCCAAGAAACAAAAGCGACGAAAAAGTTCAAGGGCGTGATCGTGACTTCTGCGGATTTGAAAGTTGTAAAAGGTACACCCTTATCATAAAAAATCAATCCAAATCTTCGTAGAAACGATTTCCACGGAGAAGAAAGACTGGAAGAGCTTCAAAAGGTCCTCAAATGTCGAAAGCAAAAGAACTGTCTCAAAACGCCAGAGAAACTTTTCAAACTCAAGAAGCCGAAAAAGTCGAAGAAGAGTCCTCACTTGATAACGTAAGTCGATACTTGTTACGTCGTAACTAAAACAATGAAAAAGTGAATGTAAAAAAAATCCGTCATGTGTTGACATGATAAATATCGTCAGGGAATCAACAAAAGTGAATGTTGGTTTACATCTGGCAGTTATTAAATGACATCATAAAATAGAAAATTGATAGTTTTAGCTTTTCTCACGGACTCAGAGTTGCAAATTTTGTGAGCTAGCTGAGCTACAGCTCCGCCCAGCTCAGCTCAGCTAGCTCAGTTTGAGAAATCGTCAGCTCAGCTCAGCTCAATTTATTGAAAAAAAATCAGCTCAGCTCAGCTCAGTTTTTTTAAAAGAGGCCAGCTCGGCTCAGCTCAGCTCAATTTCGACCTCAGCTCAGCTAGCTCAGCTCAGAAATAGTTTTCAAAAATTTGAAACCCTGCACGGACTCATTGTTCTATCTTATCTCTTTCTATGACTGTTCAAAACCTAATGAGTAGTTTATATATTCATACTATTAATAGATGCATACTCTTAGTATTTCGGATTTTAACAGTCATAAAAAAGGGATAAATTGAATTGAACTTTGCGAGAAAAACTTTCACTATCAATTTTCTTGTTTATGATATAATTGGACTGTAGCGGCAAATTAAAAAATAGATCAATCAAGATTCTGCTAGAAGGATTCTTTCGACACTCATCGGGAGTCGGCAAGGTCTTTGTCTTCCTTGATTTCAAGTATCAAAATGAGGGTCATTGTACCATAGTTTGTGTAGTATTTACTCGCTGATTCAAGCGTTTGACACAATCTTGCGATAATGGCCCTTGAGAAGCGGGCTTTAAAAGATCTTGGAAAAACAACACTTTCTAGCGTGAATCACCCAATTCTCCGGAAGCGACTCATTTTGCTAGGAATTCTGAAAAATTGAATATTTCAGGGAAATTCAAATCTCCACGACAAAGTCGTTCATTCCCGGTTTTCACCAGATCACTTGGGATGTTCAAGAATGGAACGGGACGAAAATTGATGTCGACTCCGACTCTCGCTTCAAGACGAAAAACTGCGACAAGGGCAAAAAGTGGACGCTGAAAATTCTCGAGCCAGAGCATCGAGGAATCTACTACGCCCATGTTGGAGCGACGAATGATTATGAAAGAGTGGCGATTACGAAGCAGAAGAAAGCGGATTACATTCACTCGGATTTTTTGGACGTCTGTAAATCGAGCGAAAAGAACTTTTGCTCAATGGTAAGGCTTGAATATTACCTTGAATCTTTCAATTAATTTTGTTAAGGAAACGTCGCTAGAAATGAACGGTTGCAACGGCGGGTACTGCTGCGTCCATGAAATTTACACCGAGCCAGAATGCGTCTGTAAAAGCGGACTGGTCGGAAAAACTTGCCGAGAACTAGCCAGAAGCACGGAAAATCTACCGACAAACGGGGGTCTTCAGCTGAAAGAATGGATGTCGACGTTGTTCTTGTTGCTTTTTGTCGCTGGATTTGCTTTTGGGTCTGTTCTGCTTTGGAAGAGAAAGAAAAATGACAGGAAAGGATCAGACTTTTTTTCCTCCGTTTTTAATTGATAAAAAATGATCCTCAAACAGACTGCAAATCGAACGAAACCTCGAAAAGCGCCGGAATACAGAGCAGCTTGAAAACTCGATGACTTTTCTCGCTAGTACCTTAGATGCTTCCCAGCAGCATTTACAGATACCCAACTCTGTATCGAAAGTTTCTCTTGTTTCAAATAGAAGTGAGAAATCTTTGCTATCTCCACCTTGTGGACATATTTTTAATCAAAGCCAGTTTCAGTAAAGTTCAAAAAAGAAACTAAATTCTGTTGAAATTCAATTTGTAAAATTTGTGTTCCCTATTTTGCCTACCGTATACCTGTCTGTCTCTTTTGTATCTAAAACTGTATATTGTAATAAAAAATGAGCAAAGTCTTCAAAATCGACTCTCGTTTACCTAAAATTTAATCGATAGATCATTATTACGAATAGTAGTATTTATTCAGTGATTTACTGTTCTGACTTTCAGGGAGTGACAATATTTACAGCAGTTACAGTGTGGCAGATTTACTATCAACGTGTTTAAATCTTCGCGACGGGTATTTGCGTTGAGTTCTTGAAATAGCTCCTCAAAATTTCCATGGATCTTTCGCTTCTGGAGTCGTTGAGTAGAACCGCGCCGTATTGTGACGTTGCAGGCGAGGACGTAACGCTGCTTCCTCGAGGGACGTAATCGTACAGTACCCGTAAATCACGCTGCTTCCAATTTCCATAGATAGTAGATTTAGTCGGCTTATGAATCATAAGTTATGATCCTCCTCTCGGCTCGGCATTACGACGCATTTAACGAAGATAAACACCATCGCCATGATACAAAGGCCTGTAATGACAACATACAGGAACATCATCACAGCTGGGAAGATAAACTCCAGACGCTTTTCTTCGGCGGCAGTCAGAGCGGCCACTTCGAGTCTCATCTTTTTTCGCAGATTAAATTTCCCACAGTGACGTTAATTCTCTTCTATGATTTCAACGCTTGAGGAACAATTGTATAGTGATTCGGTACTAATTGTTGCGCGCTTATAAACCGGTTTTCACCCCTCTCTCTAGCGACTATTGCAAATTGCAATGGCTACTATTGAACACAGTAGGAGCTAATTGAACGAGTCCGATCAACATTAGATATGCAAAATTAGAAAGAGATCTAAGGACAGATGATTTCCGATATTGATCAATCCGAACCTGCAGGTCGCCACAAGTAGGCCATCTGGTCAATTCCTCCCCCATGCTACCTTTATTGCTCTCATAAAATAGTTTATTCGTTTTTATATCCAGAAATCGACTCGACAAACAGTTCAAAAGATGAGTCAAATATCTTGTCAGAAATTAGGAATCCGATTCCTTTCAATTGGGAAGGATCTATTGGCGGTATTTTGGACACTTTTCGGCCTCTCCAGAAGAACTCGGCGGAATCAAAAGGAATTTTCACCGTCGTCCAGTCTTTTTTTGCTTTGAAATTGGCAATATATGATCCCTGACAGCTAATGATAAGAAGAGCGTAACATATTGCCTTTTACCTTTGCGTAACTCATGGTCATGTCGGTTTGAACGGGATAAAAGCGCGCTTGAAAGTTACGATTTTCAGAGCCTCTGACGCTCATTTCGATGCCGTCAAATCCTGCAAACGTTCCTGGTTCGAATTGAGTCTGGCAACTTGCGAAACCACCGAAAAAATGATCCGATAATTTTCCGTAAAACTTTAGCATTTTGTCCATTTTCTCTACATAGCCGACGCTAGAATATTGTTTTATAAAGCCCTCTATCTTTGTTCTTATCTACCTTGATCCAAGCATAACAGTATCATTGACGGCAAACCATGTATTTTCCAAAAAGTTGAAGTTCATTATCTCTATCAGAGGACTATGATACGCTGCTACTCCCCTCAAGTAGCTACCTTGCTTTAGGGCACCGAAACCTGCTTACTCTTCAGCTTTTTCTAGGTCAATTTTCTTGTCAATGGTACTTAATAAGTCGACATAATCTTTTTTGAGATAGTTTTATTCATTCTTGTAGCCAGAAATAGAGTCGACGAAGAGCTCGAAAGAAGAATCAAAAACCTTGTCAGCAATGAGAAATCCCATTCCCTTCAGCTGGGCTGGATCAATTGGAGGCATTCCAGATGGTCGTCGTCCTCTCCAGCTGTATTCAGTCGAGTCAAAGGGAATTCGGACGGTTGTCCATTCTGGGGTGGCTTTGAAATTGGCAGTGTATGATCCCTAGACATGGAAATTTGCTCGTGAATAAAAATAAGTAGGGAACGAACCTGAGCGTATCTTCCGTAAGCGTCACTTTCAACAGGATGAAATCGGGCTTGGAAGGTTCTTTCGGATCCTTTGACGTTTATTTCAATTCCGTCGAATCCAGCAAGCGCTCCTTTTTCAGCGATAATGGAAGAGTTCCATTATTGAAACTTTCAATTTGAAAGTATCATTTTATCGCCCTTTCCTGGTTCAAATCGAGTCCGGCAGCTGGCGAAACCTCCGTTGAAATCGGACGACAACTGCCCATAGAACTTGAGCATATTGTCCAGCTTCTCGACATATCCAGCGCTAGAATCGATTACATAACACCTCCTATCTCTTCTCCTTCTTACCTGACGCCTCCCATGACGTTGTCATTGACAGCGTACCATCTCAGTCCCAAAAAGTCAAAGTTCATCTCAACCGATTTCGCTCTAATGTTCAAAAAACAAAAAGAGATAAATTTTGTTATTCTCATCTCGAAAATGAATTTCAGTTTTTTCAGGGCAGGCAAAAACGGACTCGCGAACAGTTACGTCAACAGCTAGTCATATTTGGGTTCAACCGAGTTCGCTATTCGTTTTTTGGGCAAATTTGGGAAGACAACATTGATCATCCTTTATTCTTCTTTGACAAGCTATAAAAGCAAGCGAGGATACCTACTGAAAATGGGCGGAAGTGTGTGGTCCTGCCTTTGGGCCAGACAAAGGAACCTAGTGAACATTTCTTGAGTTGGACATAAAACTGAACTAAAGAGGTCAAAACGATCCAGGCAGAAAAGATGAATCATCTTCAATCTCACATAAAATCGTCGGAATCATTGTCGGAGTCGTTGTTCGTCGTCGCGGGCGGATCATCTTCAAAGAGTCTATCGTATGACTTTTCGTATCTTTCCTTCTCGCATTGCAGCTTGAAGGCCTTTTCTTTCTCAGCTGCGTCTTTCGCCTTGGCTTTTTGCTCGGCGAGGACTTCAGCGTCCCGGGCGAGTCGTTCCGCCTGCAGATCTGGCTTCATGTCCTCTGAGCGCGTCTTTTCGATCTTTTTCACGATGTCGTTGTTTTTCTTCGCGGTGATGTACTGAAGTTAGCGTCCCGAGATCAACTCCGTCGTCCATTCTAATTAGTGGTTTTTGTAACTCGGTAACGCTAAGTTAGAAGACGGCGACGGGAAGCCGCGAATTCATTAATGCGTACTTTATTGTAGGATCAAGTCCTGAGGTACAGAAATGGCGCAGTAAAGAGAGACCAATTAGTAACCGGTCAAGCATTGCTTGAAGTGTAACGTGGAAAATTGATGGAGCGGGATGTATTTGATGGAACTATGCATGTGAGTGTGCGTTCACCCATAAACGGAAGAGCGAAGAGTGATAGATACTTTTAAAGAAGTGTAAGCGAGTATGCGAAACCCAATATATTAATATTGAAACGAAATTGAATAGGTCTTGAGGTGATTTTAAATCGATTTCATATTTTTTCTTCTATACTCAGCTTCGAAAAAAGAATTTTTAAATCGTTGAACAGCTTATTCGGTTTGGCCAACCAAAGCGTCTAATTGTTCGTCCGTGATGCCGTCTTCTTTGGCAGCCTCTCGGAGCGTGATTCCTTCTTTATCCGCGTTCTTGGCGATGTGGACGGCCTTATCTTGTCCGAAGTGGAGGTGCAAAGCTGAAAAAGGGTTGAAAAATGGGTTACTTGGAAATGTTATCACCTGTTACCAGCATAAGAGACTCATTGAGAAGCGGATCGATCGAGTTATCAACGAAGGCATTGCACGCAGTGCCGATGAGCTTGGCAGATCGGAGAACGTTCGACGCTATGACTGGCTATTGATTGAGTGTTATGAAGGGGTTGATAATAGAATAAAATTTACCGTGGAGACGTTGAGCTCAAAGTTATCGCCAGCGTTGACAAACATATTATTGGCCATGACCTGCGTACAGACCATAGTGATAGCTTCAACCTGAGTTGGGTTAACCTTCTCCTTTTCGGGAAGACCACAATGTGGTCCAGAAGCGAGGAGGCGTATACCATTGGCAATCTTCTGGATGACTCGGGCGACAACGTTGAGAGCGCGGGAAACCTCAAACATGGCCTCATGGTTGGGGAGAGCATCGAACTTGTTGGGAGCGGAGACAAATCGAAGACCGGTGTAGTTGAAAAGCTCCTCACAGCAAGCCTCTGCGAAACCAATTCCAGCGTTGAGACCGGTTCCAACAGCGGTGCCACCGATGGCAAGTTCGTATACTCTCGGAAGAGTGGCTTCAACACGGGCGATTCCGTTATCGAGCTGTTGAACGTATCCAGACAATTCCTTTCCAAGAGTCAATGGAGTACGGTCCATCATATGATTTCCGCCAATTTCGACAATGTGCTCAAAAGGCTTCTGCTTCTCGTAGATGGCATGTCGGAAGTTCAAGAGGGCTGGGAGAAGATCGTTCTTGATTTCAAGAGCGGTGGCGACGTGCATGGCCGTAGGAAAGGTGGAGTTGGAGGTTTGAGACTTGTTGACGTGATCGTTGGGGTGGACGGGGAAATTGGTGCCGACTTCGCTGTCGAGGATGAGATTGGCGCGATTGGAAATCACCTCGTTGGTGTTTATGTTCGCCTGGGTGCCAGAGCCAGCCTGGAAGGTGCAAAGAGGAAAGTGACCCTCGTCGTAAAGCGTCCCATAAATGACCTCCTCGGCGGCCAGTTTGATGGCGTCTGCGAGCTGGGCATCGAGTCCAAATTTCTGGTTAGCTTCGGCGCAGGCCTTCTTGAGATAACCAAAAGCCTAGTGAAGCGGTTACAAATGGAATAATTTAATTATCAATTACCTGAATTATCTGTCGGGGAATCTTATCGCCCTCGCCGCCAATGGGGAAATTTTTCAACGATCGGGCAGTCTGGCAGCCATAGAGCTTGTCGTTTGGCACCTGCATCTCACCCATGGTGTCGGTCTCGGTTCGGAAGCCAGCCGCCTAGAATTTATTTTAAAATGGCCAATTTATCACGATGGCGATGAAACTGAAATTCAGTTTTATATTATATAAATCTTACCGCTTGCTCATATTCTTCCACTGGCTCCTGAACTAGCTCCTCAACTGGCTCGTGAACTGGATCCAGATCTGGTTCCATAAACGGTTCCAGAAATGGTTCCTGATCTTGTCCAACGTCTTGATCTTCTCCATCAGCAGGTCCCTCAGCGGGAATTTGCTCGTCGGCCGGAACTTGAGCTTCCAATTCCTAAACGTTCGTAATTTTAACCATCTAAAAACCTAAGAACCTTTTCCCACAATTGATTATTGACTATATTATTTTTTAATTGACTACATGTTATTAATTTTATAACCGATTTCAAAAGACTCAAATTCGACCTGTTCCGACGTTTTTAAGCAGGAATGCTCGGCTGACAACAACGAGGAGAAGATCAAAAGTGAGGATACGATCGAGATTGATACAAATAATACGAACGAGAACAGCAATGGATCTGCTTCGTTGATGGAGATTTTCGGAAAAGCAGGATTTCCAAATGGCATTCCAGGATTACCAGGTTCGTAAAAAAGTCGATCTAACTTCTCACAGTTCAAGCGCTCAACGGGCAAATACAGAATCCAATTAAAGCCCTCTTCGCTGGACAAAATCAACAATCCCTTTTATGATAAAGTGGCGCTTAAAAACTCCGCAAAGAATGCCGAAAGCAATCGACACTTTTAAGAATCTTGGTGATCTAGTAGAAAATGTATCCCTTTACTTTTCCGACGATGACTTGCGAAAGATGGTTCTCCTCGATCCTGATCTCAGATCTTTATTCAAATCGATTATTTACGTTTGTTTAGACATCCTCCTAGAAAATGCTGAGCATATAAAGGCCACTGCCCGAATCTTCTACATGCACGACTTTACACTAGTAGAATCTAAAGGAACGAGGCTGACGATTCTTTTCCCTTTGTTACAGGGTTTCCAGGCAATTTCCTAAGTCCGCAAAAGCCATCTCAACTCAGAATCCTAGTTGTTTGACGTCAAAGCTTTTTTCGATTGATGCAACTTCGAACCGATACACGGATCTAGATAAACAACTTTTCTTTCTGCTCCACGAGGCGGGCTTCACCACCAAGCAGATCAGATACAACCCGCTTTTACTAACAACTGAGAAGGCCGTGAATCACGGCCCGTGATAACTGAAAGACTTCTCTTTTTGCGAGAAACGAATAGGATAAATTTTGACATCAACGCCGAAGGAAGTCCAGAGCATGTGCCTATTGATGCACTTTGTCAAGTGTTCAAAACTTAGCCTATTAGCGATTCTCTGCGTCCAATATTGACACGGAACGATGGCAGCCCTCAAGAGATCATGAAAAGATCTTTTCTGTAGAAAAAATTGTCGCCAGCGACAATTGAATAAGCTCAGGCAGCGAAGAGCAGCACTGAGAAGCGAATAAAGACGACAAAAGGAAAAGTCGACAAAATGGAGCTGCAAACAAAGCTAGGCAAAATTTAGTCACTTAGAAGATATTTTTTAACCGTAGAATTACAACTTTATCATAATTATCATAAACATAAAGATAATCTCTGTTACTTAGATGGGGAGGTGCATTTGGAAGTCGCCAATGTCAATAAGATCCGGGATCTTAGATCCCCTTTGCCAAGAGCCAACGCTTAGCAAAGCCGGTATCTTACGGTAAATGGGACGAGACGATAGATGGGACTGGAAACACTCCAATGTGCCCTCAGTATGACGGATTCATCGACAAAGTTGATCAGATGGAAGGACAGACTTATTAATCGCCCAATGTTCGACAAATTGGAAGGTTTTTTAAGTCATAACCGACAATAAATATGGCTAAGATTTTATAAAAAAAAATGTGATAAAAACACAGAAAAGGTGGCTAAAACGGAAACCAATGACGAAGTATTACATCTCAGTGTATATACTCCTTCAAACTTTCAATCATCTACAATGGTCTTCAATTGTTGACTTTGAACGTCTTTGATTTAAACTAAAGTCTAGAAGAAACCAGTTATGGTCTTTTTCTACGGTGGTAGTTTTCTTTGCGGAGGAGCATACCTGTAACTATTGAAACACTACTAAAAACTAAAATTTAAACTAGTTACGATGCAGCACCACTTGTTGCGATCGGAGACTGCATCGCTGTGGTCGTCAGGTGAAAATAAGGCACTCACTTCCAATAATTTCGTTAAATTAAGTTACCGACTTAAAATGCTAGGCTTCCTTGGGGGGAACTGCCTGATGACAGAAAACTGCCTTGCTCAATATAAAATCATCGAGAAGCTCTACTGCTTCGTTTGCGATAAAAGCTTCTTGCACGAAAAGCAAGCCGAAACGCATTACAGAAACTCACTGTACACAAGCAGTCCTTTTATTTAATTCGAGAACGAAAAATGCCAGGAAAAAGAATAAGCAAACTACCGGCCAATCTTTCTAGTAGCATATTTTCTGATCGTTCTCTTCGTTGATTTCAATTTTAAGATTACTCGATGGACTTTTTCTCTGGCAATCAATCCGCAGCAGTATCAACTTCTAATTCTTCACCGCAAAACAACCCAATTTCAATGACACCAGTGGTGTCACACCACTGTTTAATCCCTCCTCAGCTTTAACCCTTCCTGTTCCAAAACCTATCAACGAACTCATGTGCTTAGTCTGCAAGGAGAAATTCCCATCAGAAAAAGCCCGTTTTGCCCACCTACCGTATTAGATCCGACCGTCGCTTGTCATACAGAAACTCCATTAACCTTCAAAACAGTCTGCATTCTCTGTATAAAAGACTGCGAAACGGTAAGTCGAAATCTATTCCCATTTCAAATTCATTCATCTAGGAGCAAAAACTATCAGCACACTTGCGATTACACCGAAACGAATGGCACCAGAAAAACTATTTTTATCGAAAACGGTCGCGCAAAAAAACGTCGCTTGTCTGCATATTTAATTAATTAATCATTTCATTAATTAAAAACTAATAAAAACTATTTTTTATTTTATTTACTTACGTTGCGGGCTAAAAATGCGTCTTTGCAGCCAACGCACAATGAGTAGTCATCGGCATGCCAGATCCCGAGCTCCAATTCTCCGCGACACTTCCTGCACTTTCGTCCGCCGTTGTTCTCCCGTGGAGGCCTGTTGGCATCCACGAACCTCAAATATGCCTCGAGTTCGATTCCCTACAAAATGAAAATAAGTTCAATTCTGATTTGTGATAAAAAAAATCGAATTATTTCAATTTTTTAAGCAATTGTGGGATTTATTGCAGATCGATGTTGATGACTAGGTGATCGTGGGGTTGATTTTTCTACCATTACACCTATTGATAACCCACGAATAAAGACCGGCACTAGCAGATCATGCTAATCGAACTGACCAGCAGCGTCAAGACCAGATTGGCTTTGGTGGAGAACAAGCGGCAAGCTAGTGTGGTTGATTAGCCAGTAGCGGGAACTGATGTGAATTTGGATGGTGGGTTCGATCGTCAGCCTGACGTTGAGGATAAGAAGTCGTCGATTTTGGTCAATGATCCTCATCTCAGTAAGCATATCTCGATTGTGAGAGAGATTGACTTCAGAGCTCGACTCAAATTCTTCAAGACGGATTCGGAATTTAATTTCATTCGGTGAAAAATAAATCGTTTGTTCTTGATGTGGTTGAATTGTGCCTTCAAATCCGCTGAGTTGAAATTGAATTTCACAGGGCAGCAAATTTTTCATCTTGATTCCAGGATAAATGATAATATTATTGCCAGGCATTTGAAAGTTCAAGTGATCGTAGGACGAATCTAGTGTTATAATTCTTTGCTTTTTATAAATCTTGCGGATTTCTTCTGTCAGCTCTTGGCCTTGAGGAAGATCGAACGACCTTATTTCAACTTGAAAAGATGTTTTACGGTCGGAAACTCTGTGAGGGTCGCAGTCGATAGAAAACATTCCTCTTGGATAGTCTCTCCAGTTAATTGTTGACTCAGATATTTTGTAAAGATCTCCGACGGGGCGAACTACGAACTGACCATCGTCATGCTGCAGCGGAATGTACAGTTCTTCCTGAGGCTGAACAGCACCAAGAGCCTCTTGGTCCAAGAGGCGTTATTTCATAAATATCATCTATCGCATAATCTGAGCGTTTGTATATTTCCAGGGGCTCAGAATGTTTCGAAGAAATCTTAACAGCTGAACGAATCGTCACCATCTTTCTTGCTGAATCGGTTAGTCGGACTTCAATAAGGATTCGGATTGGCATTTTTCCTCCAGGATGTACTGCGTGTCGGAAGTATAGACCAACTTTGTTCACGGCAATAGGTTGAAGACTTGTGTAGTCGCAAACTTTAATCCAGATGCGATGTGATTGCTGTCGGTACTCTCGAATCTTTTGATGGCCCCTGGCGAATAGGAAATCATCTTGAGTGTTCGTCGGTACCTTCCGCCATGGCTTACCCAAAGACTCTGCACTGGTACAGTACAGTGTTCTTTGGATCGCTTGGTTCTTGCTTCCACTTTTTAATCAGGTCGTAGTTGATCTTCCGCAAATCATCTCCGTAGCCATCAATCGGATGCTCCAGTAGATAGTTCAATGTTTGCTTCGACCATTCTTGCAGAACAATTATTCTAGTCTTTTCCGTTACAAGCTTGAAGGAAGCACCGTCGGGCGTTGCTTTGAAAACGATTTCAATTTGGCAGACATCATCGTCTTCTAAATCAGCCGCAATGACCTTCTGGAATGAAGGATGGATATTGTAAAGTTCTCTGCAGTCCCAAGCATTGTAGGCTTTGCAGACAAGATTCGTGTGCTTGTGATTGTTCGACAAAGCTTCGAAATTCAGAGTAGAATCGACGAACTTCATTTTCACAAGTTTGTCGCCGTTGGCCTCTCCAAGCTCGACTGTGACATTCTTGAGCCCAAGATTGAACTTTAGATTCCGAAAGACTTCCCCAGTCATGACGGTTTTTGTCATCGCTTCTTCAATATTCACTGGAACAGATGTTCGTTCGTATATTAGCTGCATCTCACCGAGATTGTGCTCGAGGAAGTCGCGAACGACCCAGAATTGGCTTCTATTCAATCCGAAGTATGCCTCGCTAAGAGTACCATTGATGTGCATGTTGGGAACTGACCGGTCGACATTCTGTTGAAGATTTCTTTCGATAGCAAGGGATAGTTCTACCCGTTTCTTGAGGAGCGATTGCTGATGTCTGACAAATTTGAATCCGTTGAACTTGAGGTCGCTCTCTCCAGCGTCGCTCAACTCCATTCGATCAGCTATCCAAATGTCCATTTCCTTCAAGCCTACTGTGATGCAATCGAGCAAGACTTTCTTCTCCGGAAATCCATTTTGAGCATATTCTTCGAAGTGTAGCGTTCCTTCTTCGTCACTGAGTTTGAAAGTATTGGAGATGGACAATTTTCCCAGGTCGGCGATGATAACTTTCGGACTGTAACTGGATTCTGGTAAAATTAGGTTGGATTATTAGCAGTGATGTCCAGCATGACTCGTGAACCACAACCAAGATAAGTGACTTCTGCTCCGACCAAGGCAGTGCGATAATGATTGACCAGCTCGAGGAGCTGATGGAAGTGAAGAAAATACGCGGTTAGTTCGACTTGAGGAAACATTAGCTTTCAATTAGAATGATTTGTCAGTCCTCCTTGATCGCAGCATATACTGATCAGGACTTTCAGCATCGATTGCCTCTACTGAACCAAGCGCCAAGTCAACATTGAATTCCGTCGGTTCAAGTTTTTCAAAATTGCACCAAAAATCATAGAAGATAAATCTATGCATCGATCTGCAATAAACCTTTATAAAAACTTACCAAATCTCCCCCTAGACGAATTCGTTCTCCATCGATGGCATTCAGCACGGCTTCTTCTAGCACAACCGGTGTTGTCTTGCCAACTAGACGCAGCACGGCTAGAACCCGGGCTTTTTTAATGTTACATATTTTAAGATAAAACTTAAATTTCTTTAAGCCCATGCCTCTTATCGGTCTTCGAGGATGACCATCTTCTTCCTCGTGATCCGATGGAGGCGGATCCTCGTCATCCGATGGAGGGGGATTCTCGTCATCCGAGGGAGGGGGATTCTCGTGATCCGATGGAGGGGGATTCTCTTGATCCGATGGAAAGGTATCGTCGGAATCGTCGTCGTCGTCGTCGTTGAAATCGTCTTTGCGTCGAATTCGTCGTATTCGTCGCCGTCGAGGTCGAATCGAAGACGCTGAAAGGAAGGAAGAGAACGAAGAAGCTGAAGAAGCTTTCACGAGGGTGTCGAAGTTTTTATTTTCTGCCATTTTCAAGTTCTTGGAAAAATACTTCAAAAGAACGAGAAGAGAGAAGACTCTGAAGATCTTTCTGAAAGAAACTAACAAACAAGAATCAAACAACAACAAGACCTCATCGTCAAACAAAGTGAATTTGAGTTTTGCTATACAGAAGCCCCCAGAAAAGAAGAAAATCGAGATTGAGCCTATAAAAAAGAACAAATTGTTCATATTATCTTATTTCTTATTATAAGAAAGCATCTACTCTACCTAAGAAAAAGAAAGGTAGCATAATTAATATATAGGAAACATTGTTCTCCGAAATCTCTTCCAAAAGTTGACCCTAAGAATAGACACTGCCCCGCCACATAGACCAGACACACCCGATTCCATGGATTTCGAAAGTATAGGTAAATCTACTACAAAGTATGTATCTCCCCATATTCTTTACCAGGTGATTGGGACTTTATGAGAGGAAGTGATGTTCGAAAAATTCCATCATGTTCTACCCCTGACAGTTCTGTTCAAGACTATTCAAATGCATTTTTCTCTGAGGACGAAAATTTTGTTGGAAGGTTTGAAAAAATTTCTTCGTTCGATTTCAATACATCTCTAGCCCGAGTGAAAAGATCACTGATCTTATAATGAAGGAGTTCGACTATTATACCAATTGTATCCGCCCGGAGCCGATAATTCAAACAATTTACCAACAACCTGCTCAAGTATTTCAAATTCCTATTGAAGGTCAGTCCAAAGCTTCTCCGCCATTTTTAAGAGTTTTCAGAAGAAGCTCAAACCCAGACCCTGATCATCAATCAATCCTCAATAATTCCAATTTATGCCGAACCAATTCAAATGATAACAACAGTTCAAAATGCATTTCCAGTGCAAGAAACTGTCGTCGCCAATTCAACGACAGAGAAATTGAAGAGTCAATTGATCGCTAAGATCAACGAGAAGCAGCAGAATAAGACCCGTTGATCGCCAGAATCTCCAGAAGTGAGTAGTCAAAAGGTAAATACCGTAATAGACGTAGTTCAAATTGACCGGAAATTTCCTAGAAAGAAATCAAAAAGGAGACGAGCGTGAGAGCGGTTAAAATTCAGCTAAAGATCGACTGAGCTCTAGCATAACTTATTCAGCTAGCGAGGATGGATTATCCAGAAGATTATTTGTGCGGAACGAAATAATTCTGCTTCTTTTAATTTAGACTTTTATCATTTAGAAAAATAATAAATTTAGTATTTTTTGTTCAATTGTTTTTGAGAGTCTTTACGGTGAGGGAATATTCTTTTATTCTAATTTGCTTACAACGATGGAAACATGAAGGAGTATCCAGTGCATAAAAACTAATAAAATAGAATCGGCCAAACAAATTGGAAAGAGAGAGACGAAATTGAAACAAGGATGAATAAAATATTTGTTTAGAATCCCAACACTCCCTTAAATATTCTGATCTGTCAAAATACCAACCGCTGGCGAGGTCATCAAACCACAATTATTCCAAGTGAACAATTAATTTTTTAAAAGCCTCTCAATTCCGTCCCATTTATATACGAAGACAAAGATTAACCGCGGTCATTATTTCTGTGATTTGGGAAAATTTTGATAATTCAAAAACGATTCGGGAATATTCGTTGCATATTCCCAAAAATGGCTCAAGTCACATTACTCGCGCTTTCACGGGACGGGAAATAGAGCACCTACAGTAGACCCAAAGCGTTCGTGCAAATACAAGAGCTGTTCTTACCAATGCAAGGATGCGTATGGATTGGAATTACACTATCGGGTGCATGAAAACCGACTTCTATCCTGTCCATACTGTCCTTATCGACTTCAGAAAAAATGATTAGCCAGCATCTACTTACACACTTTGACACGAAAAGCATAAAATGCGATTACTGCTCATTACTTTTTCGAACACAAGATGCTATGAATCGCCACTGGCAGAGAAACCACACAAAGGACTTTACTTGCTCTTACTGCTCGACCACTTTCCTTAACTTTACTCGCTTACAGAGACATACAATTTCTTGTGAGGAAAGATTAAAGAGGCTCGAAAGATGACATTTTCGATCTGTTTGTATTAAGCATGATAAAGCTGGACCGTAAAAGACGCAAGCCAAAAAAGGAGGAAGACGATGAAGAGCAAGAAAGAACAGAAGTTGATTTTACGTCAGATGCTTTTGTCGGAAAGCTGGAAGGGTCCGATAACGGAAGAAAGGGTGGATTAGGAAAGGCTATATATTTTTACGTCGAATCTTAGGAATTTTATATAACACGAGGAAGTTTTAATTCCAAATTATCAAAGGTGGAAATCAAGCCAGGGATTAGAGATCCTAAAACGGCCCTAAGCTTTTCCTACAGAGAGCCTGTTTGGACTAGCATATGCGAAGAAGAATCTTACAAGCTAGAAGTTCTCAAAAATGGCAAAATTATCGGTAAAGTCAGTAGTAATTTTAATATAAAATGTAATTTCATTTTTAGGAAAGTATCAGCTCAGCGGGAAAAGCTGTCATGTCCTTGGAAAATGGGAAACGTGCGATCCTATCGAAAATATAGGTCGAAGAAAGCTCTTTCCGATCTGATTTAAACCGCTAAATCGCTTATTTTGAAAATAGCTTAAATTCAGTTTTGACACCCTTCCTACGTAGACTTTAACTATGTTCGAGGGCATCCTGAACTCGATGTCATCCATATCCAAACCGGCATTCGGTATTTTGAACATCCAGCCCTCGTCGGCTTTATGTAGACCTTTCCTGATTTTCGACATGACATCGACGCCATCTTTGCAGGAGATCTCCAATGGCTCTTCTTCTAGTCGGATGCTTATGTCGTCGCCAACACGGTATAAATTAACACATTGCAATTCATCATATCTGCCTAAATACAAATAATTAAAAAATGAAATCATAGATCTTATCTTGGGTACCTGATTCAGTGTCTCTTTTATCGTCCTCAAGATCTTTCAATTTTTGAGCTTCATCGGCAAGAAGCAACCGATCGGTAAGCTGCGCCTCCAAATTTGAAATCTCTTCCTTGATTTCAAGCTCTTCCAACTCGCGATCAGATTTTTCCTTTTCTTCGATGAGCTGATGATCTTCTTTCGAAGCATTGACGAGCTTGATCTCCATCGCAGCCGCGTCTCGGCGAAAGTTCTTGATCTTCTCTTCGCTGATTCCTAAATTTACCTTTTAAAGCATATGTTCGTTAAAATGTCAGATAATGTCACTTTTCCTTCGCCCGATTAAGAATTGGGGAAGTGAAAAAGGCCGAGCCAAATTAACAGAGCGTAGTTCCGGAACATGTCACATTTCATATTTTAATAATCTACTCCTTCACCAAAATTTTGAAAATTCAAAATATTACAGCACTATTTCGCTAGATCTGCGTCTCTCAGATGATCTCAAGATTTTTTTGAAAGAACAAGTTCAAATTCTTATTGAATTTTAGTTTTTCTTTGATTATCTCTTACTTCTATCCATATTCTATTCTATAAAAGGGCTTGAAATAATTCGTCTCCAAAAGGGGGATAAAACGCCTGACGAGTCTGTAATCGATGCTTCAGCCATACATTTTCAGACCTTTTTCTGGTATTCAGACGAGAAGAAAATAGACTGATAGAAGCTACAGAGGTAAAAAATCAAATTTAAAGAGGAAGAGCAGAGAGCTAAAAATCAGTAAATCCAAGTTGATATTCAACTCCCAAACCAGTCAATTCCGTCTCGATTCTTGGGCATTAGGCGACGTCGTATCGATAATATTTTTGATGCGTTAATGACGAGCTAAAACGGCTCATTCTTTGAAAATACGCTGGACGTGGCTGAACAGTGATCTGCTTTGTTTTGCCTGACAGTACGGAAAGTAGAGATTACTTTCTTCGCCCACTCAGAACTGCGTTTCAGAGCAGGAAAAATAAAGCATTAACACTTGCGGGCATATTTATCGAGCGTTTACGTGTCACGCTTTTAAAGTGATTGACGGGGTCAATTCCGGAACAGCTAGAAATAAGAAAGTTCCTGGAATTTTAGAAAGAGGAGAGGGGATGATGGTAATAAAGAAAGAAGAATCTGTGATTGAAGACAAGGAAGAGAGCGGAAAGAAAAAGAAGGAAAATGTCACTTGGTGCAAGTAAGCGAATCTGACTCGAAAATTTTGTTCTCGACAGAAACTTATCAAAGAAAAGTCCCTCGGCATCGACAAAAATTGGTATTTTCCCTGATTATTTTCTAGCAGCGCCTTTACCTTCGACCGAAGTTGTGGCCATTTTTTTCTTTCCTCCGTGTAGATCGGTTCCATCGAGACCTTCGGATTGTCGACGTTGCCCTGAATAATAATTAATACTGTTTTTAAATAGTAAATTACTTTTCGGGCGTTTCGGCGTGATGTCCTTGAACTTTTCGGATGGCTTGGAAACCTTTTCCGGAACCGGATCAGATTCGTTGTCACTAAGCCCATCTGGTTCATTGACGCTTTCTTTAGTTCGTTCACGATGAGCACGTTCTTCTGGTCCACATAGTAATTTTCGCTTGTGTTCGATCCAGTGATATTTGCTGCTGTAGACACGACGACAATTATGGCAGGAATATTCCGGGAGTTCTTAAGAAAGATTTTAATTTTAGATTTTACGAAATTTTTGAATACAAAATCTATTGATACAATAAACCATATAAATTGTATTAATTATTTGTCTGCAAAAAAAAATGATAGCTTACCTCCTTTTCTTTCCAAACGATTGTATAATTGCCGATTATTGCAATCCCTTCCGCCCCGATGTCTCTTGAATTTGAAACTGTTTCGTGGGGTTTCATATCCACACAAGTCACAAATTAATTTTGACATTCTAAAAGTCTCTCAATAATTAATAAAAAATCAATTTCTAAAAAAGGAATTGAAGATTGAAAAAATTAAGATATAAAAATTATGCTTGAGCGCAAGCGGGCGGTTTTTCGAGCCGAACGCTTGCTCCGTGCTAGCGTCACAAAAAACTTACTAAACGCCACGGGAAAATCTTACGCCTGAAAATATGGGTTTGAAAATTAAAACAAGGAAGAACCTGAAAACAAGTTCAAAAAACTTCAGCCCCCTCGGCTGCTCCCTTTTTAGGGAGTGGCTGAGGGGGCTTTTTTGCGTTTGGTCAGTTGATTTTTCGAATCAAAAGTTGACCGAACGCAAAAAAGCCCCCTCAGCCACTCCCTAAAAAGGGAGCAGCCGAGGGGGCTGAAGTTTTTTGAACTTGTTTTCAGATTCTTCCTTGTTTTCAATTTTCAAACTCAATTTTTCGTTGAAAACCCTGCTCTGATGTCCCGAGTTTTCCTGGCTTCAATCCTCAAGAAATGAATTACACACTTTTACGATTGTACATCATGGCATTCTACAGCTTCTTATACGCACCGCTAGTAATGTCGGTTCCGAGATTCGACTTGCTTGGCTTCTCTTTCGGCAGTTTTTATACGTACACTTTTCTGGCCAGCATGATCGTCCGAGACATCGACTGTTTCTCAAGCACAGTTGTCCTTGATTACATCATTCTTCAGTACATAGGCTGGCTGATCCTCTGCTTGACGCAGTCATACGCGAACATGGTCTTCTGGTTCAACTGCTTCGAACGACGAGTAGAACGGAGACTCTCCTGGCTAAGCATTTCCTCGATTCACTCCGAAGTCCGAAAACAACATGGGATCACTGCCTGGTTTCTTGGAAAAGTAGATAATTGGACAGCAAAGGCAAAGGCCACTTTTGTCGGTCGATTTCAAGACAGCTACGATTACAAATACGTCCAGAGCTTGTTCAGAAAGCCTTCTGATGAAGAATACGAGCCGAAAAATTGCTGTTGTAAATACTGGTGCTGCTGTTGTGCGGAAGAAAGTTTACGATGGTCAAAGCTTTTTCCGATTTCATAATCGAATGATTTCTTCAGTCATCTGCGGATATTTTGGATTGGTGATCATGTTCTTTGCGATCAATCAGTCAATCATTCCGTTTTTGACGAATATCAGTCAGAGCTCAGAGAACATGTATGCAGTGGCTAGCTTTATCGAACCACAAAGCATTTTCAACGAAACAGCGATGAAGATGTACGTCGACTGCGCTGATCAGTACATCAAAGCGTTTACATGTAAGTGCAATTAGAGGCATTTGAAGATATCCATATTTTTAAAGATTCGTTCACGGCATCATCTGCTCTCGCCACGGCATTTACCTGGTGGTCAACTTGGAGTTTCTTAAACAATCACAAGAGACAGTTTCTTGCTCTCAGACAAGGAAAACTCAAAATTCCAGAAGATTGTACCCCACAACTGCAGCTGACAGGTCTGTCAAAGATTTTCGCTTATGAGAATTTTGAAATCAAATCTAGGTTCTTTAAAGTTTCAAGCCTATCAAGCTGCCAACTTGACCTGGGGATATGCAGTTCAACTCTTTGCTTTTTGGCTGATAATGTTGCTTGTTGCATGGCTAGTTTGGATTCCTGTGACTTTTCCGATTGTTCCAATAAGAGAATTTTGGGTGTACATTCTCTTCGTGTACATTCAAAGTTTCTTTTGGATCTTTGTTGTTCTCATTTTGCAGTGGATTCTGGCGAAATACATCGTTCTTCAAGACCCGGAAATAGATGCTTCTATTGACAACAGAGTTTATAATATTTCTTCTTATCTTTTCTATTTCAATGTAAGTTTAGATTTATAAAAATTGAATAACATGAATGTAGAACATGTTCATCGGATGGAGTTCGTTGCTGCTACGACTTGGGCACGGAATTCTTTTCGGACTTCTGGCTATTCAACGTATGGATGTTCCATCTCTTCCTTGCCATACAGAAGCGTGGGATGCAGCTTACCGGGCTTATTTGGGCTATTTAGCGATGGATATGCTTCATACAAATGCTGTTTTGAAGTGTTTTCTGACCATCATTCAATCAGGTATTATTCGAACTGATCAATTTCCAGTACTTTCTTTTTTAGAAGCAAAAAAGACGAAAGATCCAGCAAGTAGAAAAGCCAAAATCCGATGGCATTTGGCTTACTCTTTGATTTGCAACGAAGAGTTGAGGTTGACAAGAGCTCATGCGAAACGCTTACTTCTGAAACGACTTCTGCTCGATCAGAAAATTTTGGAAGAAGAAGCAAAAGCCGAGAATTCGAGACTCAACAAGCTTGTTAGAAAAGTAAGAGGGGATTCAAAGGTCATTCCAGTGCCAGAAAAAGTCGTTGATGGAATAAAAGGAAGAAAGAAAAGGGAATCAGATCAATTCAAGTGGAATTCGCAAATTACCAATAAAATTCTTATCTGTATCTTGGTTGACAATCTTCTGACCAAGACTTGGATAAGAGAAATAGTTTCAATCATTGAATGTCGAAAAGCCAGCCCCTTCGGCCATTTCCCCGCGGGGATTTGGCTGGAGGGGCTTTTTTACGTTTGGTCAATTTTGGCCATAGGCTCTCCGAACGTAAAAAAGCCCCTCCAGCCAAATCCCCGCGGGGAAATGGCCGAAGGGGCTGGCTATATCAAATGAAATAAAGTGCAAAAAAAGGGGATGGTGTCTTTTAAAATTTCTAATGAGAACGTATATTTTTGCAAGTCTCATAATTGCAGAGTGGAATCATATGTTTGAGCAGTTCTATTTGCATGACTCCCGACTGTCAAACAAGCGAAGCAGTCGTAGTATTTTCTACCCGGTTTCTGGACTTCAAATCGGCAAATTCCTAGTCAAACATCGAAAAAGAGGATGAAAAATGGGAAGCTACGAGAACACGACAGTTGGCGATCTTCTCGATATGGATACCGAGGAGCTTTTGGAAGCTATAGGGAGAGGTTCAAGCCCTATTTATGATTTTTTGATGGATCTAGTTAGAAAGAGAGAATTAATTCGAGTTGGAAGAGTAGGTGATTATCCCGAAATTGATTATCGAGGTAAAATTGAATGAGCAAAAAAGAATCTTTGAAAGAATATATTTACAACAATTCCAAAGCTATCGAGGAAGTTTATAATTCAACAATGGAATACATCAACAATCTGGAATCGACTGAAATCCTCGACAACCATACTGCCATTGAAATCGATGCATATGAAAAATACTTCCAATGCTCAAACAGCATAGACTCCGAAAACGGACGAATCCCGGGCTATTCTTACGCAGTGTTTCTCAAGTGGATGATGATTCCTTGCGCAGTTATTTACCTTCTCTTCCTTTTTTCTACCGTTCGAGTGCGTCTCTGGCCAAATTTCCTCTGGGGCCGCCCTGGAATGCCTGAAACTCTCGACACGCTGCACTCTGAAAATACTAGAATTCATAGAATCATCAAAATCGCTATTTTCATGGTGATGGCTGACACAACCTGCAGAATGTCCGTCGATCCAAGGACAATATTCGTACCGAGTTTTCCTGGCTTCAATCCTCAAGAAATGAACTACACACTTTTACGATTGTACATCATGGCTTTCTACAGCTTCTTATACGCACCGCTAGTAATGTCAGTGCCGAGATTCGACTTGCTTGGTTTCTCCTTTGGAAGTTTCTATACGTACACTTTTCTGGCCAACATGATCGTCCGAGATATCGACTGCTTCTCAAGCACAGTTGTTCTTGAATACATCATTCTCCAGTACATAGGCTGGCTGATCCTCTGCTTGACGCAGTCATACGCGAACATGGTCTTCTGGTTCAACTGCTTCGAACGACGAGTAGAACGGAGGCTCTCCTGGCTAAGCATTTCCTCGATTCATTCCGAAGTCCGAAAACAACATGGGATCACTGCCTGGTTTCTTGGAAAAGTAGATAATTGGACAGCAAAGGCCAAGGCCACTTTTGTCGGTCGATTTCAAGACAGCTACGATTACAAATACGTCCAGAGCTTGTTCAGAAAGCCTTCTGATGAAGAATACAAGCCGAAAAATTGCTGTTGTAAATACTGGTGCTGCTGTTGTGCGAACTGGTGGCGGAAGAAGGTTTACGACGGACAAAGCTTCTTCAGATTTCATAATCGAGTGATTTCCTCAGTCATCTGCGGCTATTTCGGATTGGTGATCATGTTCTTTGCGATCAATCAGTCAATCATTCCCTTTTTGACAAATATCAGTCAGAGCTCGGAGAACATGTATGCAGTGGCAGTAACTTTGGCTAGTTTTATCGAACCACAAAGCATTTTCAACGAAACAGCGATGAAGATGTACGTCGACTGTGCTGATCAGTACATCAAAGCTTTTACATGTAAGTGCAGATGATAGCATTTGAAGATATTCATATTTTTAAAGATTCGTTCACGGCATCATCTGCTCTCGCCACGGCATTTACCTGGTGGTCGACTTGGAGTTTCTTAAACAATCACAAGCGACAGTTTCTTGCTCTCAGGCAAGGAAAACTAAAAATTCCAGAAGATTGTACCCCACAACTGCAGCTCACAGGTCCGTCAAAAACTAATGCCTATGAGAATTTTAAAATAAAATCTAGGTTCTTTAAAGTTTCAGGCTTATCAAGCCGCCTACTTGACTTGGGGATATGCAGTTCAACTCTTTGCCTTCTGGCTGATTATGTTGCTCGTTGCATGGCTAGTCTGGATTCCTGTCACTTTCCCGATTGTTCCAATTAGAGACTTTTGGATCTACATTCTCTTTGAGTACATTCCAAGTTTCTTTTGGATCTTTGTTGTTCTCATTTTGCAATGGGTTCTGGCCAAATACATCGTTCTTCAAGACCCGGAAGTGGACGCTTCTATTGATAACAGAAGAGTTTATAATATTTCTTCTTATCTTTTCTATTTCAATGTAAGTTTCAATATAAAGGGATCAATAAAAATAAGCATTTGTAGAACATGTTCATCGGATGGAGCTCGTTACTGCTTCGCCTTGGATATGGAATTCTCTTCGGTCTTTTGGCTATTCAACGAATGGATGTTCCATCTCTTCCTAGTCATACAGAAGCATGGGATGCAGCTTACCGGGCTTATTTGGGCTATTTAGCGATGGATATGCTTCATACAAATGCTGTTTTGAAATGTTTTCTGACCATTATTCAATCAGGTATTATTCGAACTGATTAATTTCCTGAACTTTTGTATAGAATCAAAAAAGACGAAAGATCCAGCAAGTCGAAAAGCCAAAATCCGATGGCATTTGGCTTACTCTTTGATTTGCAATGAAGAGTTGAGGTTGACAAGAGCTCATGCAAAACGGTTACTTCTGAAACGACTTTTGCTTGATCAGAAAATTTTGGAAGAGGAAGCAAAAGCCGAGAATTCGAGACTCAACAAGCTTGTTAGGAAAGTAAGAGGGGATTCAAAGGTCATTCCAGTGTCAGAAAAAGTCGTCGATGGAATCAAGGATGAAGTATCTTCCGTTATCTCCAGGTGAGCACCCTCTAATGAATTGATTTTGACAGTCTTTCAACAAACAGGAGCTCTTCAAAATACACGCCACGAGAATTTCTTACGCCTGTTAATATCCCGTCCCAAAGCTCATTAGCACTTCCAAATGATGATTTCACAAACCTCCGAATCCGAGTATCTCAGAGCGAATCGATCCGTCAAGTTTCCACTAAAGAAAGCGAACTATAACTGCTACTTTTGCAATTAATAAAACGGCTATTTACTGTTGATAAATTTCTCTGATCCGTGAATTTAGTCGTTTCTAGAATCAGTCTTATTTATCCTCGGCAGGAATCCGCAGTCATTCATAGTTTCAAAAAAGAGAAAAAAATGGAGCCTCGCAAATTATGCCAGTTGCAGTTGAATCAATTCCGTTCGCAGAAGCAGTACGATGAGCAAATGCTCAAGCACAACGAGTTGGCGGACGAAGCGCTCGTCAGAGAAAAGAAGCTAAACGCGACGGAAAATGAGCTCAAAGAAGCCACGGCGAATCATGACAACTTGATGAAGGATGTTCAGAAGCAATGTAAGTACCACAAACTTAAACTCAAAATTCATCACCTTTTTCAGTTGAAGAAGCAACAAGCGTGATCAAACAGGCCGACGAAGAGCTAGAAATCCAAGAAAGCCTGAAAAAGATCGACCTCCACGAGAAAGAAAATCTCTATCAGAACATCCTCGCCGAAAAGCACTCCAAACTTATTCATTTCAAAAAGAAACTTGATCCACTGAAACTTCTCATCGGCAAGAAAAACGAAGAGCTTTCCCGCCAAGCTGAAAGAAACGACAATCTTTTCAGCGAGTTTGAGCGCGAGCTAAAAGCTAAGAATACCAAACTCGCTCAGGTGAAAATTCACCAACGCTTGACATTTTCAGACAATTTTTTTAAAGGTTCACGAATCGGTCCAAGACGTAATCAAAGATCGCGAGCAAGTCGAAGCGCACATCAATGACAAAATCGAGGAGAAAGAAAATGCTGCTAAATCAATTTCCACCATCAAATCCAACCTTGAAACAGTCCTGGAAGAGCAGTCAAAAGCCCAAGATGAAGAGCTCGTCGGACACCAAGAAACCCTCAAAGGCGAAAAAGAGAAAATATCTGCGATGGAAGCAGATATCAAAAATGTAATAATACCCAAAAGATTTCAGAGCAGCAATTCTTTCAGATTCAATACGCGATGGAAGTAGCCCACAGCGCTGCAGTCGCAGAGGAAGAACGATTGAAGGAGAGCCACGAGAAGGTTCTCGCTGAAAAGGAACTCTTCATTGCTGTCATCGAAGACGAAAATAAAGAAAAAGAAGAGGCGATCGAGGAAAAAGACCACATCATCGAGCAAATCATGGCGAAAATCACAAATCAAGTAGAAGAAAAAGTCCAGGAGGAATTCGGAATCAAAGAACGCCAAGAGTATGAAATCAAAAAAAATATTAAGAAAATAATTATCCTTCAGAAAACTCGAAGAACTAAACGCAGAGAAAGAAGTTATCAACGAGAAAATTAACACCTTGGAAACGGAAATAAAAGAGACGCAGCGAAAGGAACATATTCTCTCTCAACAACGCAACCAAATTAAGGTAATCCACCTTGCCTTTTTTCCTTCACTAAAACCCATCCAAGGAAGACATCAAAGCCGTGAACAACGAAATCTTCGCAATCGAAGGCAAACACCGCCCATTGAAAGCAAAACTGAACGAGATGGAAGAAGTCCTCGAAGTTCACCAAAACGACCCAATCTTCGACGATCTCGCTGCGAAAGTCAAAGAGCTCGCCAAACGCGAAGTAGAAATTCGAAAGATTCGAGAAAAGATCAAGAACTTTCGCCGAGACGCGGCAGCGATGGAGATCAAGCTCGTCAATGCTTCGAAAGAAGATCATCAGCTCATCGAAGAAAAGGAAAAATCTGATCGAAAGTTGGAAGAGCTCAGACAGAAAAAGAAAAATCTACTCTTGGAGAAAAAGAACAAGGAGGACGAACTCGAGGAGAGCAGACTTCATCTTCAAACAACGGTGATGAAAACTGTCAACGTCAGAACTGAGGAGCTAAAAATCAAGGAAGAGATTTCAAATTTGGAGGCGCAGCTTGCTGAATTTATGGGCAGAGGTAAATCTGCGTATAAATCATCTTTTCAAAGATAAATTTAGGAATCAGCGAAGAAAAACTAGCGGAAAAACGGCTTCTTCTCGCCGATGAAGCTCAAAAACTGAGAGAGCTTGAGGAAGAAGTCGACGAATTAGAGTGCGAAAAAGAGTTTCAGAGTTCGGAATTCGATCAACTTGTCAAGGAAGAAGAAGAACTCAAAGGCGAAAAAGTCAGATTAACGGAAAAGCTCGCGTCAATGAAAGAAAATATCGAAAAGAAGGAAAAGCGACGAGCGTCCGTCCTCAAGCTCAAAGGTAATCTTCAACCATGAACGTAATTTACTACAATTGAAATTTCAGGAGAGCAAGAATCAAAGCAAGAAACACTGAAAAAACTCCAAGAAAAGAAGGCAGATCTTGAAAAGAAAATCAAAAAGCAACGCGAAGATCGAGAAAAGTCCCTTGATGATTTGAGCGTCGGCTTCAATAAGCGAAAACAAGAGCTAGAGAAACGCGATTCAGAGCTCTCGCAAAAGGTGAAAGACGAACTCGCTCCTCCAGAAGAAGATAGCGCTGCAACGCCGGAACAGCTTCTTGCTTACATGGAGGCTGATGTCGCTGAAACAGGGCTTTATCTCAAATCTTTGAAAGAAGATATTGCTCACGCCAAAGAGTACATCAAGGAGCACAAGCAGCAGGAAGAGGCGAACATAGAAGAACTCAACGAAACTCTTGTCAGAAGAACCAAAGCAAAGAAAAACTACGACGAGAGGAAAAAGAAGGAGATGGAAAAGAAGAAAGAAAAAGAGATGGAAAAGAAAGAAAAGGGAGAAAAGAAAAAGAAGAAAACAGTTTACGCGAACCCGGATTCTGATGAAAGTTGGAACGCACCTCCTGAACCAGTGAAGAAACAAAAGCCTTCAAAAATTCCACGATTCGTCGAAAGCCCTCCTAAGGCTCAGGAAAGGTGTAACTGCCACTTGTATAAAAGGCCTTTAGTTGAAATTTATCAAATTATCAGCAGTTTTTACCAAATGAAAGCTAATTTCGGAGAAAGTAAAGAAGGCCCCTTCCGTCGCTTCGACCATGATTTCCGTCCCTGAGTCTTTCAAGAAGCCAAGGACCTTCCACGAGAAAATCGACGTCATGGAAGACGAATCCTTCGCTCCTTCCGTAGCTGGTTGCTCCAAACTCATGCAGCCTCCGTCCAGATCCGGCAGCAACTCACATCATAAAAAGCGACCTACGATCATCAAAGCAAAAAGAAAGGAAGACACTTTCAGCGATGATATTTTCGATTTTTAAATTCTCACAGAAACTTTTCTTTTTAATTATTTTTAACTGCCTTTATCGATTCAAATATAATCCACGGATTTTGAATGATTGCTTTTGTTATTATTCGAAAAAAAAGCAGAATGAATGAATATCGAATAAAAATATTATTTTTTGCTGTAATTGAACTGTAAGGCAGCGCTTCATAATTTTCATAAATAACTTTGCATATTCCGCAAACTGAGCTTCAAACTGGAACATGAAGAGTTCACGCGGGTTTTTGGTGGTTACATGTCGTGAGTCGTGAGTTAAACGTAAGGAGGAGGAAGCATCTGTTGACGATGATGGTGAAAATGGGAACTGGACGAAAATACAGTATTCAAATTGTTATGTTCAAGTTTAGCACAGAGAGTGGGAGTTCTTGGAGGGAAGTTGCTGGTGCGTCTTAGTGATGGTCGGGTACGCCGTCTGGCATCGATTTCTGGTGCTGGTACGTGGGCATCTAAAAGACGATCAGAGCTATTGTAAAGATCGATTCCTTACGTTTTGTTGAGGGACCATCGGCTGCCCTTGAGGCTGAACCATCAGCGGTTGTTGGAAGTTGTGCGTGGGCAACTAAAATATGCAAAAATCAAAGCGGATATATATTCGAAAGAAAGTATCAACGCAATTTATTAGTGTCAACATATAGTTGTTAGTAGAAAGCCAGATGACTGTTATAAAGTTGTGTGAAAGTGATTATTATTGGGTATTTTGAAATTGTTTGTTTTGATAAATCTGATTTGCGCATACATTGGAAGCGAACCAGTTATTTTCAGTACCAGTATTGGAAATAATCTCCAAATAACTTAATTTGTTTATTACTTACGATAATAAAGTGGCAAGAAATTGTTAAAAACTGCGTAGTTTTTCGGATGAATTACCTGATAACCGTTTGGTATGTGCATTGCTTGCATTTGACCATGTTGTCCCATTGATGTTGCTGGAGGAGAGACAACTTGGCTCTAGGAAAATTGGTTAGATAAGAAAAGCCAGAGTTCAAGTGTACCGGGTCCATTTGTCTTCTCATGAGATGTGCGTGAGTGATGGGCTGTTGGTGAGATTGAGGAAGAACATGAGTCTGGGCGTGAATTTGAGACAGCTGCGCGGCCGATAGTTGCTGCTGCTGCGGCGGCGCTTGCTGCTGTTGTGGAGCTTGTTGTTGTTGGTGTTGTGGGGTCTGGTTCGGTTGCTGTTGCGGTGGGGGAGCTTGTTGTTGCGCCGCTTGCTGCTGTTGAACAGAGTTCTGCTGTTTGGGATTACATCATCATGAGTAAGATAAGGGCGTATTACCTGAAGCTGTTGTTGAGCTTGCTGCTGTTGCGGTTGCATTTGATCCTGTTGGATCGGCTCCACAGGGTTGATTTGGTTTACCCAGTTCTTTGTTCGATCAGCTGGAGTTTCTATTGGATGATTGTGGACAGAGCCAGACGTAGAAAGATCCTGCTAAGTAAGTTAGAAGCGTGCATGATCAGCTATCAAGATTGATTTGTTCAAACAGACTTACAGGTATACTTCTTGATTGCTGTGGTGGATTTTGCTGGTGTTGTTGTTGAATGAGCGGATTTTGAAGTTGAGGTGGAGGAGCTTGTTGTTGTTGCTGAGCTTGTTGTTGCTGTTGCTGTTGTTGTTGTTGCTGGGAGTTTGGCGCTTGTTGCTGCTGTTGCTGTGGAACTTGCTGTTGTTGTTGAGCTTGTTGGACGATGGCGTTGTTCTGTAACAACGCAGATTGCAGTTGGTACTGATTGAGTTGTTGTAGCTGTTGCTGGCTCAGCTGCGGGACCGGCTGCATTTGTGGCATCGCCATGTTAGTTCCCATAATTTGCGTCGGCATCTGGTTAATCATCTGTGGACTGATAACTTGAAAGTTTCGAGCTAGTTCCTTCGCAATTCTGGTTCCTTCGTGCCCAAAGTGATCAGCAGCAGAGGTGATCTTCGGAAGAGACTGTTGGTAAACCTGCGTCGGGATCACATACGGCAGCGTAGGCATCGTGGTCTGTGGATTAGGCGGTATTTGTGAGAAATACTGGAAACTGGTATTCGGAGCTGTTTGATATTGAGCAATGCTTGGCACTGTGGAGAGATCTGCTTGCTGGGGAATTTGACTCATTGAAGGCGAGGCCCGCGTGAAGTTTTCCGCCTGAGGAATACTCGGCGCTCGTTCTGGCATCGAGCTTTGAACTAGAATTCAATAAGTTCCATGATTGAACTGGAATGTTTACTTTGATTAAGATGCGATTCAGCTTTTCGAGCTTGATCTGCACGGAAAGCTTCTTCTGAAGAATCAGACTGGCGGCGAGCATCTATTGACTTCCGAGGACGCTTTTTCTTCTTTGACTAAAGAATCTTGTTAAATAGAAAATAGCTTCAAAATTTACCTGATCAAGGGCGCATATGAGCCTTTTATCAAAATTTGAAAAGATCTCTTCAAGCTTGTTCTTCAGTTCTGCGTTATTTCTTTCAGCCTGCTCGGCCATATTCTTCTTGAAAAGTTCCATCTGTTCCTCGAGCATTTCATTTTGCCTCTCAGTATACTCGGTATAAGCTTCCGTCATCTCAGACACAAAGTCTTTTATAGATCTCGACGCTCCGAACGCGATTTTCGACGTAATATCTTCCCTGTAATTCTGGCCATCAGTTTCATCATCGGCGTTGGAGGATGTGTTGCTGTGAACTGAATTGATCCCAGGATGAAGAGTACCTAGCCCTAGCGCTTGTGATTGCGAGGTCGTCGATGCCATTTTCTCTTTTGCTTCTTTTTTCGAATTGTTGTTTATGTTTGAAAGCTTCTCTTTGATGTCACTAAATGATATGTTTTCAAGATGATGACCATCAATAGGCGTAGGGGTCGAACCTCAGATTAACACCTCTGTAGGATTCTTCTTTGTGCACAGTTTTAGCACACTCCTCCTCATTATCCGTCTTTTATGAGGGCTTACCACGAGTTGAAAAAAAGTAAAACGGACACCTGAGTCCCAAGAGAGCGGAAAATCGCGTATCGATCAGTAGGTAACACGTCTTAAATACGTACAAGCATGGAATGGCCCGTTCCTGTGTGGCACCGTCGTTCATATTCGTCGCCTTGGCAGACACAGCGGGTACCGACGCAGCTGGAACGGTGCTGATCATTTCGACCTCTTTCTCTTTCACATCAATCTTCTCGACGTTCGATTTGATCTCGAAGCGACCCTTCGTCTGAATGACCGGCTCTGGCTTGCTCAGCCCGGATTCGCTCTCATCGATTTTCTTCGCTAATGGCTCATTTTCTTGCAAAGGTTTTGTGATCTCTTTGGAAATGTTTGCTTTGATGGGATTTTTGAGTTTCAAGGATACCATTTCTTCGCGCAATATATCAATTTGATATAAAGGAATAGGCAAAAGTTGGTGATAAATTTTAACGATTTAATTAAGATGCGGTCTTGGTTAATCAAAAACAAGGTGCGGCTGGGGACGATTTTATCCTCGCAAACTTGGATTTTTCTCTATTTTATTCTTTAGGTCGAAAATGAATATCCATCAATTCTAAAAGGTTGTGGATTAGAACAATTTAGTTCGTTCCCAAAATAGGCTCAATCCTCTTGATAAAATCCTCTTAATCCCTCCCGATTTGGTTTTCTTTATTTTCGCTCTTCTCGTCAATCGACGGCAAATCACTGGCCCTCTCCGCTACTTCTCTCTTTCGCGGTGTAATGTCGATATGCAACGATTTAGGTCTTTGATCACCCGCTAGATGGTTGTTCTCAACTTCGTTCGCTCTTGAAGCTGCGTACGACAGTCCAATACTCTCTTTCGATTTCCACTCGGCGATCTCGTCTTCCGTGCCCATCTTCTCAAGTGAGTCGCGAAGGATGCGGCTAAACTCCTCGAACACGTGCTCGCACTCGTGCTCAACGATGATCCCTTGCGTTTTTAGATTGTCCATTTGCTGGTGAATCAGATTCGCATTATACTTGATCTTGGCCGGAGGAACGTGTCTTTTTCAAAAGTCCGAAAAGTGCAATCAACAAAGAATAACTTCAAGTTTCAAAACTCTTTCCTGACGGAATCGACCTCGACTTCAATTTCCATGTTTCGTTTCTCATCATCGGCGCGATTGCAGCCATTCCACTTGATTGCGGGAACGTCTTTTACGCCCGCCTCATTTGTCAATTTGCCGCTCAAAAGTCGGTTGATGATTTCCAAAAGCAACTTCTCGATGTTCTCACGCTTGTTGTCCGGAACGACTTTGTTGTTGATGATTTCGTTGGCTAACTGGGTGGCTGCTTCGTCCTCTTGGCGCTGTCGCTCGACCTAGATTTTGAATTGGAAATAGAATAGAATGCAGAAAGCCGTACTTTGAAAACGATAGTGGTTACGTCTCCAGAAGTGACCCTGACAGTAACCTCCCAGCCAGTATTTTCGCCTGAGTTTTCCTCTTGTCCCTCAGGAAAGAGTGGCTTCACATCCATAACAGTCACCGCCAGGCGTTTATTCTTCGCCCTCCGCGCCTTTTCGGTTTTCCCATCAACCTGAACGAAAATAAAATAATTTCAGGCGACTTTGCCTTCTCCCACCTTTGCTGGTTTAACAATCTCGGGTTTCTTATCAGCTGTTTTTTGATCATTATCGTCTTGTGTTCCAGAGTCAGCAAGAGTCGCTGCTGGGGACTTCTTCGAGGAATCGTCTTGACTTTGATCGGAAGATTTTGGAGCTGAGGAATTTTCTTGAATTTCTCGCTCTTTTTTCTCCTTCTCTTCCAGGTCTTTTTTCTTTGTCTTTTCCACAGCGTCCATGATGGCTAAAGATCGGTAGTTTTAACGGCGAGAAGAATGATCTTTTACCTTTTGCGACTTGCGGTACAAATTCTGTTTTCAGCGTGGATTCGACTGACATTGACTGGGCCACTTGATAGGCGGTATCTTGACCTATCGTGAAGTTAAAATCGATCGCCTCATCTTCTGGCATCGCCTTTTTCATATTTCCTTCATAAACAACAAGTCTCAGCTTCAACTCGCCGCCATTCCTGCCCACAACGAGGACGTTCAACTCCTTGTCGTCGAAAAACTCGTTGTCCAAGAGCGCCGCAACGGTGGCTCTGTTCGACGGCTCGAATTCAATGCATTGCGAGATGATGTGCTTGATGCGCTCGTCTTCAACTTTCTCAAACGCTTTGGGCGGGGTGCCTTTTACAACCAGTCTGTAGATTTGAGTGGGATTAGCGCACTCTTCATATGGGTACTCGTTCGTCACCATTTCTAGCAAACACATGCCAAATGCGTACACATCTGCGGGTTCAGAGTAGTTCTCATCGTACCTGAATCAGAGTTCAACTAACACCCAGTCTTTCATTCACGCTTACATTTCGGGGGCCATGAATTCAGGAGTACCGATGACTGATTTTGCGACTTCCTGGCGCTTGAATGTTGCCAGTCCCAGATCGCCGATTTTTACGACTCCGCTTGTGCCAGTAACGAAGATATTGTCACACTAACAAAATTAACGCATACTCTAAGCGCACATATAAATTCATTCTCTGATATATTTTCATATATAAAGGTACCTTTAGATCTCGATGGAGGACAACTGGATTTCTCGAGTGTAAATATTTCAGACCCTGGAGAATCTGTCGGCTCCAACTTTTCAAAGGGCGCGATCTGATGACTTTGAACCGTTTCAGATAAGTCTTGAGTGTTCCAGACGTCATAAGTTCTGTAACAAGCACGACAGACCGAAGTCCAGTTGTCTTGTTCGCCATTTCGAATGTGTCGTAAAATTGAACAATGTTGGTGTGTTTGAGCTTCTTGAGAATCTCAGCCTCAGCTCGGAATCGCTCGCGATCTTCCTTGGTGATCTTATGTGGCTGAAGCTCAAGCCAGGCAACGGCAGCGCCACTGTTCGTGTCTTGACCTTTGTAGACTGTTTTGAAGCTGCCCCGGCCGACTTCTTTTTTGAATCGGATGAAGCGTCCATCAGGCGAGCGGTCGACTTCTGACTCCTCTTCTTCGATCGGGAGAGATCGCTCTTTTTCGCCTTCCTCGGCAACTTGAGCCACTGGAAGGGGCTTTTCTTCATCAGCAGCGGCTTGAACGGGCATCGCTACTGAGGCTTCGGCTTCTGTTTCGGATGGTGCTGATACCCTGGAACAAAATTAAAGGAGAACTAGGCAGGTAGAACTTACATGTCTTTGTCTTGTGAAGGTTCTCTCGTGGGAGGCTGCTGTGGAGCCATTTTCTCAGGAGGAAGAGGTCCTTGCGAGATCCCTTTTAGAAAGAGTCAAGATCATGAGGAAATCAACGAGGAATACAACATCTAAAATTGCGCAAGACATAAATGAATGGCGTGCCGAGTCGGAATAGAATGAACTCAATTAAAATTAAAATTGGATTAAACGAAAACGACAACTACTAGGTAGCTTTACCGATGTTGCCCATTTCTTTCATTTGGAAATCGAATCTATGGGATTTGTTCAGATTCGGGTTCGGAAAGTCTTAGACAGGAAAGTAAAAATAATCACAACAATTATAAAGACAACAATGCACAACTCATGCGTACCGTTGGAAAATCAGAGGACATGGGCATCGAAATGACATAGAAAAAAACCTCACATTTCCAATTCACATCAAGCAAAATATTTTTGTAACGAAAGAGTTCTGAAAGAAATTAAATAAGAAAAGGGAGGTGTTAAAATTGTTAAGGCTTCCATTCTTCAGTTTCAGCTGTTGGATCGACATATTGCTCAGATTTATAATTTTCTTGTTTTCCATACTTTTCTTCGAGTACTTTTTCTTGTTCTTTCTGAACAAAATCGATGAGAACACCGTAAAAACGATTTATTAACAAGCCGACTAGAATTTAATGTCTTCGAATGAAGCTGACAAATATTGGCCAAGAAATCTGTTCATAGTATTCATATTACCTCCTCTTTCCACTGTTGATGTTTCAGATCTTTATCGTGAGCTCTTTGAAGCGTGCGCATTCTGACATGCTCATTCATCAAGATTTCATGTTCTTTCGGAGGATCTGCTCGCGCGTGGCTAAACTGAAGTACAAACAAGTTGGAATACAACTCTTTCTCGTAATTTCAAGCGATAGAGGCTCTTACCGTAGCCAATGCTGCCATTCGGTCGGGGTCTTGTTTTGATATTGGCCCTTCATGAAGGCATCGATTTTCTCTGGCGGTGAGTCGTGCGTCAACCCGTGCGAGCTGATGCGCTTCATGCGACGCGCGGCGGGCACCTCAAAGTACACGTTCCCGTAGTGGTCTTGGCCGACGACGTATTTGGCGTCGGGGAGGAACTCTTTCCGAAACATTTTCCGAAAGAACGAAACTTGTCGCGAAACAAACATTGTCTAAAAATGATCGTAAATGAGGGTTGAAAAATGTATTGAAAAATTGAAGATGCTTTTTTGACAGAAATTGGTGATTTGAATAGGTAAACAATCGGACAAAAACAAGACAACATGCAGAAAAAAATGATTACAGCTCAAGTTTTGAGACTCAGGATTCCAGAAAAGGGAAAGAAACAAAAATTTGACGAAAATTGAAGAGTTAGTGTTTAAAAAAGACCAAAAAAAACGGGCGTATTCGGAGAAAAACAAGAACTAGGGACAAATGATCAGGTAAAATGAGGATAGAAAATGACGAGTTGAAGAAAAAAATGGCAGCTGACAGCAGGGATCCCAGATTTTTTCGTTTTGACGCGCGCCCCGTCTGACGCGAGCGCAAAGGATTAGCGGCCGCGCGAAAATGATTTGCGCCTGCGCGCGCCCAGCCGATTTTGAAAAGTCGCCGCGTTATCATAGGGCGATGAATTGAGTGCGGCGCCCCGATTTCACGCTGAAACGGGCGAGCGGCGTGCGAGCGCTCGATGCAGTCAGGGCGCCGAGCTCAAACAAAACTCGTGCGCTAAATTTAGATTGTTCAATTGAAGATATAACTAGGATTAATAAAGTACTGATCTCCCCATATAAAAACGCCCAAAACATGATTTCATACTCATTTCGAAAATGTAAAAATGGCTGAAAACTCGGAAAGGTGTACTCCACTGCACATAAGAACTTTTCAGCTTAATTACTTCCAAACAAATTGAAAATTAAAATTGTTGTTCCTTCCAGAGCTGGAAAAAAGTATACTTCCCCTTCAAAAATCTTCAGGGCGCCCTTCATTCTTGAAGGGCGGTGAAGTACGAAATGGCTCTGAAGTATACTTCACGCGCTGAAGTATACTTCAGCTATCGGTTCTTATCGAAAACTTTAGCCGCCACTTCATCTGCCACAATCAGCGTGATTTAAATCGTGGCGTCTGAGAGCCAATAAGCGCAAAATTTGAAAAAATTCTAGCGGATGGATTCTGATGGCCGACAGAACCAAGTTGAAGTAGAGTGAAGGGCGGAAAGGCGGTTGAAGTAGAGGGAAGGGCGGAAGTACACTTCACGCCCTTCAACGCCCTGAAGTATACTTCATGAAGTATACTTCATTCTGAAGGGCGAGTGAAGTATACTTTTTTACCAACGCTGGTTCCTTCACTAATTTGGAGCATATGTACCATACCAAAGCTACATTCGGATCTTGAATATCTCATCTAGTTTTCAAGAGATAACTTTTTGAATGAGCGCATATTTGGGCGCAGTCCCGGGCGAGCGTCTCAAACTCATCGGACGCGCGTCTCGATCGAGCGAGGCGACAATTTTTCATCGTCTGCTTGCGCCGCGGCGCTCTCAATTCATCGCCCGCTATCGGTGGTCATTCATGGGGACGCGGCATTTTTTTCGCGCGCGCTAGGATTTTTTGCGGCCACTGCGTGAATCAGAAAGTGGGCGCGCGCCAAAACGAAAGAATCTGGGATCCCTGGCTGACAGTAGTGAGAGAGACAGTACAGTGTAGTTGAGTCGAAAAGTGCGTTTGCGAAAAAGAAAGAAGGGGCGATCACTGAACGCATTCACATGTACATTCCATTAATGAGATAGTCCGAGTCCTCCTTTGGCAGTTGCTTGTATTGGCTCTTGGAGCAAAGTCCCTGAATCAAAAGTTCAGAAGTTGAACTCTCGGTTAACTAGGTCTTACCGCTTTATGACGGGCTTGTCGGTATCTGATGTAAACCGCAATCAAAGCCAGCAGAAGCAGCAGCAAGCCGAGACAGAGTGGCAGGATAATCTAAAGAAAACATCGTCAACCCATTGTTTCCTCGAAAAGAAAATGAACCTGGATGCCAGTCTTTTTCTTTTCTTCTTCGATCTTCGTTTGCGCTGATTCTTCGAATGACTCGCCGACGTCTTTGAGCACGTGCAACTCTTGCGCTGAAAAATGAACTCATTAGTTTTCTGCGTTGATTGGTATATTTTACCTTGATCTTGAGGAATAGTGTCGGTAGCTGGGCAGTTCAGCTCGTCGCTTTTGTCTGGACAGTCTTCGGTTCCATCGCACACGTGCCAAGCGGGAATGCAATTAACTATAAATGAGAAATATTATAATCAAACTCGGCAGATAAAAAAACGCTTTCGATAGCGTCTTCTACAGGCTGAGTTCGGCAACCTGTGTAGAAATCCTGAGTAGGTGTCTGAACGACACTTGGATGAAAAGCCGCGTAGCGGCTTTTATAGAGACGAAGCCGCCAAGCGGCTTCGCAAAATTATCATTCCGTCTATTAATAAAATTCTGGCGAAGCCGCTTTGCGGCTTCGTTTTGAAAAAAAGCCGCTACGCGGCTTTTCATTCAAGCTCTTCGGAACCTAACTCAGGTTTTCTACAAAGGTAGTCCAGGCTAAAGCGCCCTGACTCAGATTTTTGAACCCATTCGAAACTGTCGATTCGTACCTTTGTTGTCACATTGCCAAGCCAGTCTTGAGCATCCACCTTCGTCATCAACATCAGCGACGATGTCCTTATGAACGCTCTTTGTGGAACTATTGACGATTTGCTCGGCCGAATGCTGGAGTCCCCAGCGCGCATATGCGTTCAAAATCGCAGGAGTCTTGACCAGAGTGTTGAAGGAAGTGTGCTGCTCGAAGGTGCAGACGAAATCTTCGGCGTCGTTGTTCAAACAGTCGAAGAGAAAGCACTGCCCGAACTTGGTGTAAACAGCGACGTTGCAAGCTACCAAAGGGTTTTCATAGAAGTTCTCTTTTGAAATAAATAAATTACCTTTATTCCCGCAGCATCGCGAGTCGCAATCATCCCTGGAGCTGCTCTCTACGGTCTTCAAAAAGGTGGCTCCTTCTTTGATTGATTCTGCAGCTCGGATGATTAGCTTACAAACGATATTCGCATATATCATCACATCTCAATTGAAATCTATCTATTTTCATTCTTCAAAATATCGCCTTTCCTTGGGCCATTCTTGGAGACACATCGAATCTTCATCCCCACCGCGAGTTTCCAGATCGGCGAACTGACAGAGAACTAACGAGGACAACAACGCCAAGATGCAGCGCATTTTCGATCTAAAAATTGAATATTTGAATTACTGAAAACTGAGCGTAATCATAAAATACAATACAATTATTAGTCCTGGTCTGGTCAACGAGAATATTTGGATATCTAAGGAGTTCATTTTATTCAGAAATTTCATAAAAATTGATCGGTTTAAATATTTTCAGAAGGGACGTAACAGGCGTCAAAGATAAGAGTTCAATTGAAAAGATTAGGAAATATTCAAGGGATGGACTTTATCTCTAAAGTACTGTTTTACGCTTCATTTTAATTTTAAAATTTGGAAAGTGATTAACCCCGGAACGCATGGCCATTTTTGCCAATTTCTGACCATTTTTTAACCCAATATTGCCGCGATTTGGGCATAAAGAGAATAAAAATCCGGGTTTATATATTATAACCGGACTCTAAGCTACAAAAATATAACTTGAGCGTGGTCATATTATATGCGTATATCAAATATAATATGGGTTTTTTGATGAGCAAAATCGTATTACCCAAAAATGGGTCGTTCCGGCGTTAATTCAAAGCAGTCAGTTCTTCTCCAGATGATTGGATCTGAATTCTAATTTCGAAGCTGTTAATTATGCAGTTGTTTCATTTTATTAATAATTAAAATCACAATTTTTAGGTTCAAAGTTTGAACTTCAAACATTCGATTTCAGAAGAAGGGATCTGTACATAGGACTTTCGTTTCATTTTATAGTGAGTGAGCTAATCATTTAAGTCATTATTTAATTCCAATTTTTATCATTCTTCATTCGTCATTTTCTTCGAAAATTCTTATTTTGCCCTTTTCGGTTTATTTTTTCTTATTTTTCTTGATTTTTCTCTCAATTTTCTTCACTTTCCAGCATGCTCTCTAACAAATCATTCTGGTGCTTCGAAAAAAGGGTTTCATATCTTTCTTATTTGCTTGCTGAAATCGTCACTTTCATATTGAGTTCTGCTCGTTTTGGGCGTTTGGGATTGGCCGAAGCGCGCGCCCTACTCGATAAAGAATGAGAAAAAAGCCAATTACTACGACGCCGCTCAATTATCGATCCGAGAAAGTGGATTTTACAAAAACACACGTAAAATACAACAATCATTACATCCAGCTTTACTGAATCGCACAACGCATTATCCAATTTTTTCCCTTTTTAGAGTACTTTTTATCCGTCTCTTTTGAATTTTCGTACGAAAAAATCGGTATTTGCATAAAAATGCGTGTAATTCGCGCTTAAAAGCGACATTTCTGAAGATTTCTTTGTTGAAAACTTGATATTATCTGATATTGACAGTCAAATGGCGATTTTCTTGTTTTTTTTCGTCCTGAAAAAGGTCCAAATTATCAATTTTATCGCTACTTTTGGCATATTTTCCGAAGATTTTCCCAAAAATCTGCCTTAATTAGCGATTAAATTGATTTCTGGACCTTTTTCAGATGAGAAAGATCAAGAAAATTGCCATTTGCACCTGTTAATGGCTCCCTAAATGTCCATTTTGCATGAAAACCGTTTTTTCTAGCAAAATTTTTTTCTCTTCATTCTCGTTTTCCGAATCCCGAAATCCTCGCCCAAAATCACTTCGTAACGAGCTCTCTTAAAAAATCCCCTTCTCGTTACAATTCTAAAATTTTGACGAGGAAAATTTGTCGCTTCGTGTTGTGTTTAGTGTCTCAATCTCTCCAGGAGAACAAAGAAGAAAGACATCAGTGTTTATTTCATCTTTGATAAGTTCACTTCCCACTACTCAGATTATTCAGTTCTCAAAATCAATTTGAAGACAGTTGGGATGAGAAATGATCTTTTATCGACCCTGAATTTGATGTGGAAATTTAGACTGTAGTGATTTTTAGAATGCCAGATCTTCAGCTAGAAAAAGATCTCAATCGAGCGGTGGATCTTCTCAAAGTCCTACAGAGGTATGGATAGAGTGTCTTTTCCATATAAACCCCTTTTCTAGCAATCCTGGGCTCCCCTGCGACAAACTAAAAGCGCTGCAAGAAGTTCTCGAATCCGACTTTCTCAAAGCGATCGCAAATGTTTACCAGTCAATTCACGATACTGTCGATATTCCCCATGAAAATGAGGAAGCTGCTGCCATCGCAACCGCCAAAGGTAGAGTTTCGACGCATTCTAGAGCTCTTTCAACATTTTTGTAGCGACTGTAGCTGCTTTTGCCGCGGCGGAAGGGCACAGCCATCCGAGAGTTATTGAATTGCCGAATACTGGAGAAGGACTTGGATTCAATGTCATGGGAGGGAAGGAGCAGAATTGCCCAGGTACCGATAGAAGAATGACTTTCTACTGTAGCTACTGATGAAAACGTACCCTCTCATCAAGTTTCTGATTGGTGAAAAGGGGCTTCCTTCTCATCATCCAATCAGAGCCTCGATGGCAAGAATCATTATCAAACGAACCGTCAGTAGAGCAAATAGTTCAATTCTTGCATTCAGTTTACGTGAGCCGTATCATACCAGAAGGCGTTGCCGCTCGACATGGAGGCCTGAAACGCGGAGATCAGCTTCTTTGGGTGAATGGAACTCCCGTGGATGGCGAATCACATGACCGCGTCGTCGAGCTGTTAAAAGCAGCGAAAGGGCCCGTGAAACTGGTGGTACTGTACGCACCGCAAGTCCTGGAAAACATGGAAAGGCGCTTTGAAGAGCTCAGACTTTCGAGGAAAAACCAACGATGAAAAAACAGAACAACCATGACCTTCTATTCTTCTCGTCTCTTCTTACTATTTTATTAATAATTATTATATTATTCTATATCGGTATGTTTTTTTTTATATTTTGTTAACCACCAACTCCTGCCATCCATCGGGTCGTTTTTTCCTTTTATTATTTTTTTCCTACTGTTCTTTCGGACTTTCAATTTTCTTCTTTTACCCATTTTCAAGCCAGTACAATTTAACTCCCTCTATTTTACTTCTAACCCCTTTATTTTTCGTTTGTTTTCGTATGTTCAAGAAAGTTTTAACTCAATCGAGTTTGAAATTTATAGAGCACTTGCACTTTTTTCCGCATGTTCAAGACTTTCAATTCGATTATTCAAAGCGTATAATAAAATATGTGAAGCTGTACGGGCGTTGTCGATTGAGATTACTGTAAATAGAACGATTGTTGTTTTCAGATGGTTGTGAAGGATATTGGATATAAGAGGCTCCTGGGAGTTTGTGATGAGGTGGTAGGATTGGTGGCTTTGGGGCTGAGGAAGAATGAATGGACTAGGGGTAGTCAATCATTGGAAGGTTTGGTGGGCATTACCAGGCCCGTTGATCTTTAGTGGATCTACCTCCTTTCAATTATTTTTTGCGTACCCTTGTAAAGGAGCACTGTGGACGAACTTGTCAACTTGATCGGAGAAATGCCAAAGACGAAAAATTACCACATGGTGGAAAACAGCGCGGACCACTTCAACATAATCCGGCGCTGCCAGAAAATTGTGCGTGAGACAAAAGCTGCCAAAAAGCTTTCCGATACGGATCAGAATTCGTTGGCAAACGCGCTGATGGGTTGTGGAAGGCCAGCGGAGACGAAAAAGGTTAATCAGATGGATTTGACTGAAATCAAGGAAGAGGTCTTGGAATCCGTCAGAGGGCTCAGAGATGATATTGAATCGCACATTGGTAAGTTGCATTCTAGACTGGGTTTGAGTTCGGAAAACTGTGTAGAAAACTGAGTCAGGTTTCTGAAACCGCTCTTATAGGCTACGCGGCAAGCTCAGCCTAGAGCTCTTTGAAAACCCTGACTCAGGTTTCTACACAGGTTGCCGAACCAAGGTAGAATTTGAATCCTAGAAATTCCTCGACAGCTTCATTTTCGGGCTGATTTGGTTAGGAGCACTTTTGAACTAATTACGTGCCCCTCTCTCTCTTTTCCCCTCAAAGCAGAAAATTGATCGAACCGTTTTTCATTCAGAGAGAATCGCCGAGCACTCTGCTGATTACCTGAAGCCCCACGACCGAATTCTCATCTGGGGATTCTCAGCGCTCGTCGCAAATTTCATCGAAAAAGCCGTCGCCTCCAAGTCGAGAAAAACGCCCATCACCCTCCTCGTTTCCGGCAGTTCCAACGATGCGATGGATTATCAACGAATTTTGCGAAAACAAGTCGAAAGTAAAATGCTTCAAATTGTCGTAATTGGCGATGGAGCTGCGTTTACTGTCATGCCTATTGTGCAAAAGGTTCACTTTGCGACTCAAGCCTGTGTTTTTTATGTAATTAGGTTCTCATCCCGGCTTCATCGCTTCTGCCCGACGGATCAATGCGAACTCCAGCTGGGATAAGAGCGCTCTGTCTGGCCGCCCGAGTTCATGCTGTTCCAGGCAGGGTCAGACCTTTTCCAAAGAGAATGATGCTTTCAATGCATATTTTCGTCATACACTTTTCAAAAGTTAGATAAGGTATTAAATTTTTTATTAAAGACTCTTGTTTGAAAATATTATTTCTTTCATATTGAATTTGATCAATGAAATCAAATTTCCTTCCACCAAATTGTGGAATTTCGCGCCGCAGAAAAATTCTAGTTGGATTATTCATCAGCGCTCTTTTTTCATCCCCGAGGCGTTCTGACCTGTGCCAGTTTTGGCTCTCTGCCCGCTGCATAAAATATCAGCCGACTATCCCGAAGACGAGTGCGAATTAGTTCAACCAGATCACCCTAGAGAAATTAAACCAGCTTGGGACTTGGTCAAATCTAACGTAAGTCTGAAATCAAAATATCAAAAAACAAGCAGGTGGTAGGCGATGCGTAGATAATTGTACGCTCATTCCTAATTTCTTAAAAATCCTCTCACTCCTAGATAATCGATATTTAGCGGCAAAATTTAATCAAAAAACTTGCATCACCTTCATGAATAATTTAATGAAGAGAAATGTTTGCAAAGGGCAAATCATTTGGCAAATACTCTCATTCAGTTAGTATACCGTGCCATTCAAGCGTCAGTCGTTGATTCTAGTGCGCAGTGAATAGCGATTTACAGTCAGATTATTTTTTGTAAAGAGAAAAAAGAAGGTAGAATTTCAATTATTATCTCTGAAATCAAGGAAGAGAGGATTATACACAAAACACCGAAATTGCGAGCCATCCCCTTATCATATTTTTCCCTAGCTGGTATCAGTCGTTATCACCTCGGAAGGCGGCCTCCCACCGAACGACACCTACCGTCTCCACAATCAGCTCTACCACCCGGGCGACTCATTGCAATAGCATAAAAACTAATTAAGTTATGAATAAAAGACTCCCAGAATTGCCAGTATCAATATTCAATTGTTCCTGAATAGCTGCAGCAGCTCATCCCTTTTCAAAAACCTTTGTTTTTCAAGCCAGCTTATCCTAAGTAAAGATCCCCTTTTTTCCACTTCAGTGATCATCATCCTTGGCAAAATTAGAGAAAATTGATACACGACCTTTCAAAAAATATTTAAATTCTCAAATCTCGATAACTTATCATCGGCGCTAAAAGAACACCGACAAGGGATTGATTAATACTTGCGGAAAAGAGCACCCTTTGAGTGAAATTTATGACCCTTCAGTTTACCGAAAGATTAATGAGTAAATGATGGGGACTTCCCAGTTTTACTACGCTCGCCAAAAATAAACGTCAAAATTTTTTTGCGCGATGCATGTTTGCCCCGGCTACGTGAAAATAGAGAGAGGTCCGGGACAAATGTTTGAGCTCTTTCTTTTTTGCTCGACTGAAATTTGAATACGAGCATGTTTGGCCAAGCGCTCGTATCTCTTTTGTTTCAGACTCTACTCGCGCCCTTTTTTCCTTTCACTTTTTTCTGTTTCTTATTTGTCACCCTTTTTCACCCGGTTTTTCTTTTATAACCAGAGAATCGATTTATTCAGAAGGCCCTATTTGAGTACGAATCGTATGAGACAGTGATTGAGAGAAAATGGCGGTTCAAATGACTCCAGAAGAATTCGATCAGGTAATTAACTTCTTGGAGGAAGATTGAAATTTTCACGGAAAGAAGCAATTTTCCTTATCATTTTTTAGGCCGAATATGAAAAATTAATGGAAGATGTCGACAATCGTAGTGACCTAACTGGCTACAGCGGGCTTCCAAAATCAGTAGCACCGATGGGCTTCCAAGAACGCGTTTCCGTCGCAGAATCGAACTTTTACGACGAATCCGCAACGATAAGCAGCCAGTTTTTGAAGGGCAAGCCGCGAATGCCCTCGGTTTCGGCGGACAAGTACCGAGACCTGAGCATTGAAGCCGTCATCGCCCTGCTTGACGATCACAATCGAGATGTGAAAGCGAACGCGGCTGGTTATTTGCAGCATTTGTCGTTTGACAAGGAGGAAAACAAGAACCTGATAAGGACTTGCGGTGGCATTCCCAAGCTGATTGACATTTTGGAGGAAAGAAATGACGATCCAAGAATAGTCGGTGAGAAAATATGCAACAATTTGAGCCCCTATTCTTGTCTTTTAGAAAATACCACCGGCGCTCTGAGAAACATTTCGTACGGAGTCGATCAAAACAAAATCTCGATCAACGTCGCCGAAGGTGTTGGTGCCCTAAATAAGGCTCTCCGTCGAGCCACCGCCAAACTGGAGGATCAAAAGTCGGCCCAGGTCAATCAGTGGAGTCTTGTTCAGGTCCACGCTGCCGGCGCTTTGTGGAACTTGTCAAGGTGCGAAAAAACACGATGATTTACCAGTAATCATTTGTTTAGCCATAAACTTCTGAAGCCGCCGATGCTCGACCAATCTCTTTCGACAATTGTGACGAGTATCCTTGTTCCCTGGGCGAGGCACATGGCTAATGGATCTACTGGTCCGCCGCCGTCTAAATATACCGACGCGTTCACAGCTGTTTCCGGAATCCTCCGCAATCTCTCATCATACAGGTAAATATTAGCTCGCCCCTGCTTCTTTTATTCTTATTTTCAGCCCTCCGAACGGACCGGACAGCGCTCGAGATCGAATGAGAAGCGTAGAAGGTCTGATGGACAGTATGTGTGACATCATCAGTGGCATTCCGAAGTACAGTAATGACATTCTCGACTCCAAGTACTTTGAAAACGTCATTTGCGCGCTGAGGAACTTGACCTATCGAGCGGCAAAGCAAGTCAACCAGCCTGTTTGCATCAATCCCCAAGTTGTTGTCAAAGCAAGGTTAGCAATCACCGTCTTTGTTTTATTATTACCCTGAAATTACTAGCTGTTTCACGACGAAACGCGTGGAAGCAACTTACAAAAAGCCCGAAATTCCTGAAGACGACATTCAATCACGTGGTACGATGCGCATCTTCCAGCCAAGTTTCGCCGCTAATATCATTCACCTGCTCAAGAAATCGACGAATCTGATCACCACCGAAGCCGCCTTAGGAATCATCCAAAACCTGACATCCGATAATTTCCGATCCTCTTTATACCTCAGAGCTTACATAAGGTACGATTTCCCTTTGTTCTTTCTCAGCTAAGATATCTTCTTTCCAGGGATATAAATGGAATTCCCGTTTTGGTTCAATTTGTCGAATGTACTGATGCTACAGTGTGTCACTCGGCAATCGTCGCGCTTAGGAACTTATCGGAAGATTTGGACAATAAGAAAGTTGTAGGAAAGTACGGCATGCAACATATAGCTTCCAAGGTAACCTTGTTCGCCTTTCTCAAGTGGTGATTCTTTTTTCAAGATTCCTGTCGACCCAACGTATCTGCAGCAAGCAACGAACGCCCACCAACGAAGTTACACTTCCAAATCCGCCGTGGCTGCGCTCTATCTCGTCCGTCTCCTCATCAACCTCAATCAACCAAATGCCGAGCTAATGGTCTCGACAAACGCACTAAAAGCCATTGTTAACATTAATAAAAACGCGCAATTTGGCGATCCGCTCAGAAAGGCAGCTGGTCAGGTCGGTTCATGAAAAAGATTCTCTTCCTTGATTTCAATCCTAAACAACTGTCTCTAGAAGCTCATGTTGTTCCTTCAGGTCCTTGTCGTTGCTTGGGAAGTTTCGAGCATGAGAAAGCAGTACAAAAAGCTGAAACTAACCGAGAAGGACTTCAAACCGACCGTCCAGGCTGGCGAGGCGACCATGAGAAAATCAAAGGCAACGACAAACGGCCTCTCTCCCGAATCAGAAAAACTTATATCTGATACGAATGTATAATTTATCTACTTTATACAGTATTGTACTTGTATAGAATCAAAAAGTATCTACAGACAAACACCGCCAACTCATTCCGCTATTAATTATTTTTTAAATTATTATTGACTTCTTCTTTTTTTGTTATTTTTTTCTTCTCTTCCTTTCTTTTTAAGTTTCTGGCTGAATCAGCTGAACTCCTTGAATTTTCAAGCATTAGCCAAATTGTCGAAATGAGCTTGATTTTGCCAGATTTAACGTACTTTGTTTCAGAACCCAACTTCTTTCCCAACCACTATCATGTGTTTTTCCACGCATTGTGTCTTACTTAATATTTCTATCTCAGCATACCCTCCTTGATATCGTCCTTTATTATTACTGTGGTCAGTTGTACAGTGATGCAGGTTGTGAATAATTAATAAACTGAAGGATTCTGTATCTGGCGATATGAAATATCGCTCGACACTTAATTTATCTAGTAGCAAACTAAATATAACTTCTAAATAATCGGGCCTCCGCAAATACTCAATCCTACATGCATCTGTTCCGTTCCCGGCCCTTAGGGCACCCGCCAACATTCCCTTTGAATTTGAAGAGACAATTAACAGCTATTTCTATTTTTATGATGACTTACTTCTGACTTATTCTCGCTCCAATTAACGAAGTTCCAATTCCGCAATTTTAAAATAAAGAAAAGACTCCTGCTTATCTTCAATTCAACTTGTAATGTTTTCAGATTGAGAAACAAAGAAAAACATGGATCCCGAAATTCAAAAGTCAATGGGCCAGATGCGCATGTTCCGACAGCAGCAGGCCAATTGTGCTGCCAAGATTCAGGCTCTCAAACAGACTCAAAAACGGGTTGAGCTCACTAACAAAGAAATTAGCTCCGTAAGTCGGCTTCTATAGCCTTGATTTGGTTAGGGTCAATTTTGATTCGCTCATTCGACAAACACTGAGCTCTGATTGGCTGAAAATCCTCATAGAACCCCCATTTTTGTGTCCCCATATCTCTACTACTAATTTAGTCATCGCTGAATTTTCAAAAACTCATTTTAGCTCGCTCCAGAAACCGCACTGTACGCCTCTGTAGGCCGATGTTTCATCTTCAAGTCCCGCTCGGACATCGACGAAGGCATGGCCACCCAGCAAAAGAACATCGCCGAGCAGATCGAAAAGACTGAAGAGCAGAAGACCGTCCTCGAAAAGAAGGAGAAAGAAATGAAAGAAACCGTTCAAGAGCTCATGAAGAACAAGCAAGTTGCCAACTAAGATTTAAGATTATTCAGCGCTTCTTCGAATCTATTTTATTTCATTTCGTTTTGCCTTTCTTTCTTAGAAAAAGGATTGTTACTTTCTGTAATCTAAAACTGAAAACGCCTATCCAAAGTAAAGACTTACCGCGGGCAGGCTGCTTCCTTTTCTGACAAAATTCTACTAGCTCCTTCCTAGGCCTTATTTTCTCCTATTTTAGTTTTTATTCCTACTCCTTGGTGTAGCCAAAAAACGCACCTATCGGCGGTGCAGCAATCTTCTGTTTATTCAACTTATTTCTTACTAGTATCTCCTGTTTGAAATACAGTAATAAAAATATATAATTTGAACTTGACCACGAATCAAGCTTGTTTACTGTTTTCAAGCTTTTTATTAGTAAGTCAGCCTATTGCATGTTCGAATAATTTTTGATGAGTTTCGCTGGATGGTTTCATCAAAGAATGAGAGAGCGTAAGAGGTTGAGGGGAGTGGCGTTCTTCTCGGTATTTTTCGAAAAGGTGTTGTATTCTCGTTCGAGTTTGGCGAACTCTAGCTTTTATCTGAACGACGATATGAGGGATGGGAAAGAATTAAAGTATCAACCTTTTCTTTTTCATCATCAGTCAAGGAGAAGTCTTTTGGCATCTTGTATTTTCTCAGTTTCTAGCAATAAATTTAGCAAAGAACCCAATTTGAACTATTAACCTCAAGTTTATCAATATACTTTTGAGAAAGCAGCCTTTTCGCAATCGGATAGTATCTTCCTTCGAGAGCAAACGACGATGCTATCAGAAAAATCAGTATTTTCATCCCGTCAATCGCAATTTTTCTCTGCTTCATGGACGGTTTATAAGGGGATACCGAGACAATGAAATTATAATCTACTGAATATGCATGATTGAGACTCTTTTTATAACATGTCTGACTGCTTGGCTTCATTAATATTCACTTTACTCATCCTCCGAGGAAATACAGGGCCGTCGATTCTAACAATATTCAATATTTTCGTTGTGCTTTTATTTGGCAGTTAAATGATCAGAAGAAGCTTTGGCACAGGTGCTGAATAAATTTCTACGTGAAGAAGCGGGAGGCGAAGTAGCTTTTGCGCTCCGGCTTGGCTGGCTTCTCCAAATTGATGTCGACTTCGGTCGCCTTGTCGCGGAGAATGCGCCGGCAGACCATGAGCTAAAACGGGTTAAATTCTGTTAGGGGGCTTTCAATTTCTACCAGGAATTCATTGTAGTCGATTTCTCCGTCTCCATCGTCGTCAAAAGCTTGAATCATCAGGCCGATCTCCTCCGACTCGATTATTCTAGCAATTAGTACAGTCGTTCTGAATCAAATAGTCTACCTTCCGTGACGACGCATCCAAGCAGCAAACTCATTCGAGGTAATCTTTCCCGAGTTGTCCACATCGTAGCTTTGGAAAACATGTCTCACGCCTTCGAGACCTTCCGTTTTCACCATGAGCATCAGGAATTCCGTGAAGTTCAGCGTCCCGCTATTGTCCACATCCACGGAGTCGATCACTAATGAAAAACTCTCATCCCTCCTTGCCCCTCAAGGTGGGCTCAGAGGTCTGTGTAGAAAACCTGAGTCAGGGTTTTGAGGGCTTGGAGAAAAGCCGCGTAGCGGCTTTTATGAAAACGAAGCCACGAAGCGGCTTCGCCAAAGCTACCATTTCAGTCTCTTTTTTTGACACCCTGACTCAGGTTTTCTACACATGTTGCCCAGTCCAGGCTCCAAGAAGAATTACCGTGAGAGATGAACTTTTCGCAAGCAGTCGGGTCATAAACAAAAAGCCGGGCGAGTTCTCGGACGTCGATGGTCCCATCTAAAGAAGGGTGAGAATAAACAACGAATGAATGAATGAATAACCAACCGTTGTTTTCGTCCATCATTTTGAAAGCATTCTTGAGCTCTTCTTTGGTCAAAGAAGCGCTGATAATCGACCGGTCAAAGTCGTCCATTCTCACTGCAAAGCGCTTCCCAAATCGGGTCAGGGGCGAATCAAACCGCTAATTTATTCATTTTCCAAACGCTTTTATTATTTCAAAAAAGCCTTACCAAGCTTTGACGATTCAGTTTTCCTCTAGTAGCTCTCAAAAATTGTCTCATCCTGCGTGGCTCACTATTTTTGACTATTTTGGGAGTGCGGCGTTTTCGCAAAAATAGGGCAGTTGAGATTTTAGATTTGCAGGTGTGAAAAAATCACCGTTTCCCGTGAAATTTTTTAGGCGGCAAAAAACAGGCCGGACAAAAAGTTTTACCCTACCCGGGACTCGAACCCGGAACCTCTGGATTAGAAGTCCAGCGCGCTATCCATTGCGCCAGCAAGGCATGGTGAGCCTTCAGCAAAAATCCAATATGAATACCGCACCCGTATACTTTCGATGGTTCGCTACGTTTCTAGAATAGACGCTGGAAAAGGCTTGTTTTCTGTGGGAAGGAAATTGATATTTTAGTTGATAAGATGAGCCAGCCTTCGATCCCATCTTCGGAAAAACTAAGGAAAGGGCTTTAGGTTACTGTAACGAACAGTTTTTATCAGTAAAACTGTTTCAATTGATAACAGTTGTCATGTTCTTTTACCGATGATTTTTGCCATTTCCCCCGAAAAACAAGAATGTCTCCATATATGGAGACATTTTTGATCGCAGCCAATCAAAATGCTTGAAAGTCTTAGTGGTGGCGCTTTTCTGGATTTGAGCAAAAATCATCGGTAAATATCTTTGAGCGAAAGAAAATCAAGCCCTTGTCGAGCACTGAAGTTCTCCATTCAAATCTCCCCGGCGAATTGAGTTCAACCTCACTTTCAGAGAGTTTGAAGCCGCAGCCTCTGCAGCAAAGCTCCTCCCTTTCCATCCACGACCGATTGGAAAATATCGACAATGAAATCACCCTCATCGCCAGAAAAGTCAAGGTAAATTTTTACATCACGAACGAGGAAGAATCAAATAGGAAAAAATTCAGACGACGACGAGTGGAAAGTTGAAAGGGATGAAGCAAAAGTTTGAGGCGCGGCAAAGTGTGCTGAAGACGGAAATTGAGTGTACAAAGGTTTGATTCTTGATAGAAGAAGGTGGCTATGAGATTTTTTAGACGATAGCGAAAGAAAACGAGAATAAAGCGACTCATCTTGACACAGAACTCCGTCGACTAAGGACCGAAGGTACTGGCTTCTTCTTTATCATCCCTCCTTTTATGGAGTTTTAAGGCTCGGAGTTGCAAAGAAAACTCGACGAATTGAAAGCTCAAAATAACGAAGCAATAAGACTTGAGCAAGAAATCATTTCCCAGGGAAAACAAAACGACGAAATAATTGGAGAAATGGCAGATCTCAAGCAGGCAATTTTGAGCCTAAGTCGGACAGGTACTTAATTCTTTATTGAATTTCGGAAACCATTTTTTAGTTCGCGAAAAAGCACAAGAACTGAACGAAAGCAACACATTACGCGAATCAATGCTGGACGAAAACGCAACGCTCAAACGAGAACGATTCGAACTCGATGTCAATTTGAAAAGCCGAGAACGCAATTTACTTGAAGCAACGCGCGAAATAGCAGAACTAGAAAGAATGCTGCAAACTTCGAACTCCTCTGTTACAAATTCGTTATCTGCAATGTCGACTGAGCTCTAAACAATTCTGTAAATAAATATTTAATTTATACAAAAGTCGCACTTTCTCGTTAAATCGTATATGCACGGGCGCGGCTTGAACTAAACTCATTTAAAAATCAAGAGAGATGTGGAAAGCAGTCTTTTTTCTCCCTCAAATTTGGGCGCAAACGCAGCCAGATGCTTGGCCTGATTACCAAGGCTCTTACGGCCTCTATGGCGTCTGGTCGCGACCTTCAGATGTTCAATGGTCAGATTTTGTGCAGTTCTATCACAGCTACGATGCAACGAAAACGAATCCAAAAAAGGTCATGTCTCGGAAGATTCACGGCGCGTATGTGACTGCTCTCTGGGACAAGCCAAATGAAAAAGTTCATCTCTTGCATGATGAATTCGACTGCACAACAAGAGCTTGGCAGAACGAGCCGGAGTTTGAACTGAATGGCGAGAAGTACCAATTCATTCCTCCTCTGTCCTTGATTTCCAAAAACCGCGTCGAGGGAATCACAAAAGTCAAGACAAACGAAACAGTCCGAGGAATCCCGGTTTGGAAGTGGAAGGCCGACTTGAAAGATTCGAGCTCGAAATCGACCGGGAGCATCGAAGTTATCACCGCTCAAACATCCAGTGAAAACATTCCTCTACGACCCATGCGACTGAGCTTCCGACTTCCAGGAGTTGACCATCATGAGATTTTCGAAATCTTCAAATTTCGGTCTGACTGAGTCTGACAGCTCTCAATCATTTTTTTCTTTTGACATAAAAAATTTAAGCTGGGAGGAACCACCCGTGGAAGTGTTTCAAATACCCGCTTTGACGCCCTGCAAAACAAGCCACAAGCCTGAGATCCCAGTTTTCAAGAGCAAGAACTTCCACGCGATGGCTGAAATCAAGGAAGAGATTCAATGTTTTTACCAAAATTTAGCTTGATGCGCGAAAAATAATCTTGACAAGGACATTATCTATGGTTCTGAGAAGTACGACTTTCCAATCTACGACTTCGACATCACTTATTCTCAAGATGTTCAGCTTTCAAAATACCGCTTCTCGACAAATGGCTTTGCCGACATGATTTCGTTTTTCGGCAAGACGCAGCTTGAATGCACAAATGACTATGAAGGAGATGTTGTTTACTGCACCGACTTGCTTTATGGAAATTGTTCGTCCTGGAGGTTTCTTTTTTCATCGGAAGAGCACATTTTAACGTCCTTCTTAGCTTATCCGACGACAGTTTTCCAGGAAGCTCGACGACAATTCACGGTGGGTTGGTTTCGATGAAATCGCCAGCTGAATTTTGGGGAACTGATGATCCACAAGCCTACTGGTTCAAAGGAAATTCTACTGTTCGAAATGTAAGGGCTAGAATTTTCGATTGATTGTTTTATCAAAAATTTAGGTTTTAGCGAACTCATGGACTGCTGAGAAAACTGTAGACAAGAAAGAATACACATTTGACTGGTATTTTTCCGATAGCTCGTGGAAGTTTTACACGCATCAAGAAAGGTAGTTAATTTTGGAAGATGGAAACTTTGATTCTTTAGTCGGCGACAGCAGCCGCTTCTTTTGAGAACTCGCTCCGCAGATCCAGTTACACCGGACGGGCACCACCACCACGTCGACTATTCTATCTATTACTACGATGAAGGGCTGAAATCGTTTCCGGCAAATGCATTTGATTCTGCTTCGAAATGCTTCGCGGGAGAAAAGCATTCGTTTTTGCAAATCAACATGACTGATGTTGATGGAACTGGACCAGGTTAGGGTTAGAGAAAAAATCTCTCACTTTTGATTTTTTAGATGTCGTCCGAGACATGTTCAAAATTGAGTTCGAAAAACGACTGCGAGAGACACTAGCCAGGGCTGCCGGAGTTGGGTTTTTGAGAATTAACAGGCTTAAAATCTTCAATTTCGATCAAGCTGACAAATTCCAAATCCAGTTCTATCTTCTTGAGAAATCGAAGCTCTCAAAGTCGAACGAGTTGACGTTGGACGAAGCAAAGTTTAAATTGAGCGGGATCATTGGTTCTGGAGGCGTTGGAATGCACCTGAATATGGCTGAGTACTTGGGATATGACAGCAGATTCCAAGGTGGTTTTAAGACAATTGGCAGGGTTTTAAAGATTTTTAGCAATCAACACGACCCTGATTACAAAAGAGCTGTTCGACGAAAACGTTATCTATCAAGATAAATACGTAACTGACGGCGTAAGCGATGGTAACTTCGCAGTGGCTAGCATTCTGACTATTGTTGGCGGAGTAGCGATAGGTTTGGCTGCTGTATCAAGCGTCTTCCAAATCGCAATCCTTGGAATAGTCGTTCCCAAAATCTGATTTTCCGTGGTCCACATAAATAAAGTTTAAAAATCAACCCTGTTCTCGCCTCAAGCTATTTTTTGACGCAAATTGTTGTAATGTTTCAAGAGAAATGAGAATCGCTTTACTTTTGCCTGGATTGTCCTCGACAGTGACGATGGAGCAAGCTGATGCTCTGGAAAAGTGGCAGAAAATGTATTTTCCGAGGGAGCTAGTCCGGATGAAGATTACGCCATATGGGCAGCTAGGTGTCTTTGCGGAAAAGGACATTCCACGGGGCTCGATTTTGCTGGATATTGAGTACGAGGATCAGATCACAGTAAAGAAAGCGATACGGGAATTGAAGACGAAGGTCAAATTGAAAGTACCGACACTTGATTGCGTCGACACACTAATTTTGTACATTTATTATGAGCTGAAGGAAGAAGAGGACTCGGAACTCCACCCGTTCTTTGATGCAATTACCAAGGATTTTCGCTATATTCTCGCGAATTGGGATGAAAAATACGATGAATTTCTATCGCCTCAAGTATTGAGAATGAAGCATAAAGCTCAAGAACTCATGAAAATCCGATATCAAAGGTAGAAGTGCTGGATAGAATCATAATCATGAAAATTCCAGAGCGCGAAAGGCTGACCATGAGATCCAGTTCAACGAGTTCAATTTTGCCGCGAATCTCGTTATGAGCCGGCAATTGTCCGACGCTCTTCCAGATCCTTCTTCCAGGCCTGTTTGGTTTCTCGAATCTTCAAACTGTCACAAACTGGCTCCGATTTACGATGTCTGGAATCACGAAACGACGCCAAACTCTCACTACTTTAATCCTCCGGGCTCAAGTCTTACGATTTACGCAGCTAGGGATCTCAAAAAGGACGAAGAGCTCTTCGTGACGTACGGTCCTCATACTCATCAAAATCTCATGCTTCTTGCAATTTACGGAATGGCGCTAGAAAGTGCCAAGGGCGAAATCTTGTTCTTTTCGAAGGAAGAAATCGATGCTGCTCTCCCTGAACAACTCGCTTCAATCAACGAAAATGGTCCTCAATCTATGCTTCATGGGAAACCCAGTGATGATTATTTGACAGCTGAATGCGAAATTAACATGGAAAAATTACGATCTTCGGACCCGAATTTTTTCTTTCTAAAAGGTTAGCCCACCAAATAAAGCGGTAGTAATTATTCTTATTCATAAAATTTCAGACCTGCTGAATCAGCGACGCACTGATCTTGAACTCAAACTCACCCGCTTCGGGAAATTCAATGAGCCAGATGAGTACAGAAGATTTTTAGTGACGCGATTGATAGAGAGCGAACTTACAGTCATAGAACGCTGCTTCCAGCAATTCAATCTTTTATCATATTTTAAACCTGAACTCTGAAATTTCAACAAATACAGTATCTTCAGCGACCAGGAGTTGTTTGTTTCACCAACTTCTTTAGAATTTTTTTAAAGAGCGAGCTTTTCAAGTGTTTAACTCTAACAGTCCTCCAACAAGAAAGAGACGTCTTCTGTTCTTGCGAAAGACTACTCGGAATTCGCAAAAAATTATGAAGTTGTCGATGATTTTTGCCCAATTTGGGTTCTTACTAGCTGAAGATCATGAGGATCATGAGGATGCTGAGCATGGAATTACCTCGTGTCAAGCGGTTCTAGAGCAGCAAAACGTCTTGCTTGGCCATTATTCTAGCTACGGTTTTACTTTTTGAGAACGATTAGACTCTTGCTATGTCTCAAATGTCTACAAATGTCTCTGAATGTCTCCCTAAAACCGACATCTAAGAACATTGCTAGAGCAATCCGAACAAGTTAGACAATGTCGGAAGCCGGAAGAAGACTGGGTCGTTGATAAAAACGGGCATTGTGTAAAAGTCTTCTTGGTATCTCTCTTTTTTTTTCTTCTTCTTGATAACTTGAAAGGTCCATAAATCCTGGAATGACGCTCTTGAATGCTGTAAAAAGAAGGGAGGAAAGCTTGTCACGATCGAGTATCCAGCAAAAGCCTTTGAGATCAAGTATCTTCTTCAAAAAGCGAGCAACTGGACCGAAGACCAAATCTGGATCGGCTACAACGACAAGGAAAACGAAGGCGTTTGGATGGGCTGCAACGGTAAACCCGCTCCAGCCGGCTTCTGGCATAAAAATCAACCGGATAACTGCTGTCGCGGGCGCTACGGCATTTGGGAGCAGAACTGCGCGCTCATGGGGTCACGGTAGGGGCAGCGATGATACACACTGATTGATCGATAACATAAATTATGTTTTCCGTGATGATGTTTAATTGAATGATTTTTCAGTGGATATGTTACTTGGGAAGACCAATGCTGCAAATCGGAACGTCACCCATTTGCTTGCCAAGTCGAGGACTGTGCCTTTCCCGGAGAAACGGACGACGATAGTACCACAGGAGCTAAGCTTATTTAAATCCATCGATTTTGAGGAGATGAACTTTCGAATGGTTAAAATTGTACATTTTTAAGCTTGGAAAAGGAACCGCGTCGACGGAAATAACCGAACAAGACCTCATGATTCCAATGTGAAAACTCATCCACCATCCAAACTCATTTTCTTTATTTTCCACTGCATACCAAAAAATCTAAAAAAAATATTTCTTTATTTAACGATCCACACTCGTTGACCTCACAATCATCAAAGTCGTCAACGCATAAACTGACTAGCATGACTAGCAGTTATGTAAGGCGCTAATTGTTGCTCCAAATTATATCATCAAACCAAGTGATCAGAAAAAGTCTCAAACTCACTTTTATTAGCGCCCAATTTTTATGGTCTTTGATTTGTTTCCTCTCTAGCGAAATTTTTCATCAATGAGTTCATCAGTTTCTCAATTCGGAATTTATCATAATGACTGAATTTCAGTTCGATGTTCAAATCGTGATGTTCATGCGTTGTACCATTCATGGGAAGTGGAACAATGAAGACGTCCTGAATCGATTTCTCAATCAGCAGTCGTCTTTTGACCCTTGGAGTCTTTATTGAAATGCTTGGTTTTAATGTTGTTCAGCGTAAAAATGGCGTGACATTTCGATATTCATCGAAAATGCCTTTCATTTCCTCCATTGATGATCACTGAATTGACAGAATTTAGGTCAATCAGTGAACATTAGATCATCAAACAACGTCTAAAGAAGATTTTTATCAAGTCTAAATTTTGGACCGCGAGATTAAGGGGCCTGTTTTATCGGTTTTTAGCTCCAAAAACAACGCTAAAACCCAATGAACCCGTCAATTAGGCCACTGCGCTCTCGTCTGACCCCTCGAAAATATTTTCATTGTTCCCTGTTTTTCAGGAAACGGGTGTTTTCAGGGTAGCTGGGCCAAGTCTTCCCAGACGGCCGGGGCTTTCCGCTGGATGACTCCGTGTTGGTCAGGCGCTCGCTGCGTGCGCATAATGGGTGCGGCTTGTGCCGTTATATAACTACAAAGTAACAGGGCCGAGTCCTCCGGCCATCTACGGACTCTTTCGTCAATGGATTATGCACGGCAGGTTTTTGGGTCATTCTAAAGAGCGATAAACCCCATTTCTAGTGCCATAGTGAAGGGAACTCTTGCTGGATGCGTTTCCAACCCTTTTCTTGCTGACATTCAGTCGGACAAGTCACTCAATTTCGCGCTACAGTCACACCTACTTACTACGTTCGCTGTTACATAAAAATTACGTCATCGGAACATCATCCCCTGTTGGATCCCCATGGCCCCAAATTGACACCCCACAAGGGGGCTCAAGGTGGGGAGAAAAGTTGGAAAGCTCGAAAGGTGAAGAAGTTGTGTTCGGTTGGTTGCCCCGCCCAGATCCTTGGCGATCGTAGTAGCCAAGAGAGGTAGAAGCACACCGTGAGCATGCGTCGATCACGCGGGTGTGGGCGTCACAGCCCTTTTTAAATTTGAGGTCGTCTCGCCTCTCCCGCCCATAACTATCTCTAGACAAAAAACCGGAGAGCAAAAGTTGACTTTCTTTTTACTTGAACTTTGGACTCCTCCTAATGTTAATCGACAACCGTCTGGAAGCAGCTAGAGGTCTTTTATTTCTCCGAGAAGCGTCGCCGAGCAGCATTACTACTTGTAGCAGTGAGAGTATCTGTTCTTCCAGCAGCATGGACCGTTCCGACGCGGAAGACATGGAAGAGAACGGAGAGGAGTATCTCCGCCCGATCAGAACGTCAGTGATTCGTTGTGGCCCGCTCTATCGACCAGCCAGCGTAGGAACGCCAGAAATCTGCGACGACTCGATGAGCTCTTCCACCGACGAGCCACCAGTCGCACAACCTGCCCGGTCAGGCCTCAGGCCTCACCAGTGCACCGAGCCCGGCTGCGGCAAGTCCTACAAAAAGAAGTCCCATCTCACAGCGCATTTGCGCACGCACAGCGGGGAGCGCCCTTATCACTGCACTTGGGAAGATTGCGGCAAGCGGTTCGCCCGCTCCGACGAGCTCAGCCGCCACAGAAAGGTCCACACTGGCGAGAAGCCCTTCCAATGTCCAGTTTGCATGCGGCGGTTTATGCGATCCGATCATCTGACGAAGCACGCGCGGCGACATATTCACTCCTTGCCCAAGTATCTTCCCAGCTGGCACCAAGTGATGGCACAGCTCCAGGACATGGCACGACGGCGGGCTCAAGCCACGGGCAAGGCCACACCCTCTTGAGAAAAAGCGAGGAGCTCGAAACACAATGGAAAAACTCACCTCACGACACTAGCATAGAAGAATGATGAAAAGATAAAGAAGCCAAGTCTGGACTTTCTACATGTATTAGATGCCAAAAAACGCTTTCTTTTGACCAAACCTTTCCTGCCCTATAAACAACTGCTGCCTTATCAAATGCTTACAATTATTTTCTAGCCTGTTCATTTTTCAACCTTTTGTTTGAATTGTTTTTGAATTCAATACGAACTCACTTTCAATAGCGAAATACTTTTTACACTCAAAGAAACTATCGTGTCATTTATGAGTTCTGAGGACAGGAGCGATGATTATCAGCAGGCAAAGCGGGCGTGACAACCTGGTCACTTTAGGTACTAAGCCCTGATGATCGAGTGTCTAATCAGTGCATTTTGACGCAACTTTCCTTCAAACTGGGCTCGGAAACCTGGGTCGAAAACCTGAGGAAGGGTCCTGAAAAAGCCGCGTAGGCCTTTTCACGACCCTGACTCAGGGTTTGAACACAGGCTGCCAAGCCTTACCGTCATAATTACACGATTAAAGCTCAATATATCCATGTCCCTAAGCTATTTAATCTCCGTAAACGTAATTAAATGAGAGTCCCGTAATCATGTGAGTTGTAGGAAAATAGCGCCACCCAACTAATGTGTTTTCAACTTCTTCAACGTACGATTCCATCACGGAGAAAAGTCGTGCCCAGTTCATGCTACTATTTACTCAAGAATCACACGAGTAAAATGCCAAGAAGTGCGCCAAGTAGCAACTCGCAAGACCCTGGACTGATCAACGTCCATCGACCAAATTTCCAGCGGAGGACCTTTTTTCCTTGTTGAAATTTCAACTGAACAAAGGTCATAAAATTTCAAATGGCAAAGCCTGATTTTGGGATAACGATGATCAAACACTTATATAAGATAAACTCGTGGGAACATTGCTGAATCTTATATAAGAAAAGAAAAGATTTTGACGATGTCTGACGGTCAAGGTTTTGGTGGCAATTAGTTCTTTGTTCTCATGATGTTAAAAAGCATTTTTATTGTGGAGCAGGCATTTGGGAATCGAGTCAAACAGGTACAATCCGATATAATATTGACATATCTTTTGTTTCCCGAAAGATTATGGGAGTCTGCCTTGTCACTCCCATTTCCAATGCGGATATATTCTCCGGGAGAATCTCATCCGAGAACGATTGTTAAGATTTCACAAGCTCATGAATTTTCCCAGCGAAAATTCAGAACTTGTGCGTTGTTTCATGAAAATAACCCGACCATTAAAAGTCAGGTTGCCAAAGAGTCCTCTTGATAAAACAGAAGAAATATAGTTAAAAAACTTATTCGTATGTGCTGGAATGTTTGTGATTGTCGACCGATCTAAAATTCCTTGTAGACAGTCGAACTTCTCATCTTATGGCCGCCGATTTCTCGTTCTAGAGATCGGATCTGCATGCACTTGACTCTCACTGGAATAATGTGTGCCCCAGGGCCATCGCACCAAATGACGCACGCCAGTCACTGAGTGAGCACCACCACCATAACCTTGCACCTCTCAATGATTCGATTTCTAGAGAATTTATCCCGACCATGAAAAGACTATTAATTCTACTAGAGATTTTAACGAAGATAGATTGTTATTGCCCAGAAGGATGTAGGAGCTGTGGTCAGACATCAAAAGCCGATGGAACCAAAGATACTGGCTTATTTTACTGCGACAGTGGGGGACTAACAGATGTTCCTTATGGATACAACACGAAGCAAATCAGGGACCTAAGGCTGAACAGCAACAAAATCAAGAAAATCCACCAGCACGACTTCGGCTTGAAGCTAGAATGGCCGCTCTTGGAAGTGATTCATCTGGAAGAGAATCAAATCGAAGAGATCGATCGGAACTCCTTCCAAAATCTCGGAAACATCACCACCCTCTTTCTTTCCAACAACAACCTCACTACTTTCCTCGACGGCATCTGGCTCCAGCTCAAATCGCTCAACCGCCTCCATCTCGACCACAACCAAATCGAAGTCATCCCTAAAGACTTTGGCGAAATGCCGCAGCTAACATGGCTGACGATCACAAACAACAAGATCTTCCACGTCGACTGGTGGCACTTCAACAAAATCAAACTCCAACGATTTCAAATGGCCAAGAATCCGATGCCTTGCAATTGCGATAATTACGAATTCAGAATGTGGTCAGACTTGGCGTTTGAAGACGTCAGGTAAGAAGCAAAAACTTGAGGCAACCTGAGTCAGGCTTTGAAAGAACACTTTTGAAAAGCCGCGTAGCGGCTTTTTCAAAAACAAACCCGCGAAGCGGCTTCCCAAAAAATACCATTACAGTCTATCTCGAAATTTTGGTGAAGCCGCTTCGCGGCTTCGTTTTTGAAAAAGCCGCTTCGCGGCTTTTCATAAGTGTTCTTTCAAAGCCTGACTCAGGTTTTCGACAACGGATTCTTAGCCCAGAAAAGCCATTTATCTAAAAATTTCTATTTAGATTCGTTGACTTGGGCTTCATCTGCCGAGGTGTCGAAGGAGGCCCATCAAATTGCACAGAACCAAGAGTAATCAACGCTGGTCACGTGAGAAACGAAGATGATGTGTACTCCGAGGCCTACAGGACGATCTATACAATTGGCGAAAACGCAACTCTCTTTTGCAATTTCACTGGAGACCCGGTTCCAAAAGTGAGATGGATAAACGACAAAATCGGGCTGGATAAAAATGATACCGATCCAGACGTGACTGTTGACGGCAATTTATTCATTCAGAATCTCACTCTTGGTGAGAAAAAAGCGTCTTTTCCCGAGAATAGCTTAATTTTCAGAGCATACTGGTTCCTACTGGTGCAACTTGGAAACAATCAGCTTTCGAAAAGTTGAGCGAAAAGTCAATTTGAAAGTGATTGAAGGAACTAAGCCGCAAATCACTGGAATCTCGACGCAAATCAACAAAGTAGAAGGCGAATACGCAAAGCTCTCGTGCAACATCACTTCCGAACCTCCGCCAGTTATTTCTTGGTTTTACCCGAACGGCACCAAAGTTGATGCTTCCACGAATATCGACAAGCTAAATGTGATGAATTTGCAGGGAATGTCGATTCTCACAGTAAGGTAGGTTTCTACATTTCAAATTAAGAGCTTATCTGATCCTAGAGACCTGGACATTTTGGACCAGGGAAACTACAAATGCAAGGCACACAACTTCCTCGGCGATATTGAGGCTGAAATCCTCATGGTCGTCGAAGTCTCCGAACCAGAAGGTGACAACTACTTGCTTCTTGTCGGAGGAATTCTTGTCGCTTTCGTCGTAGTGGCAATCTTCATCGTCGCTGGAACTTACGCGAAGAAATACAGGTACGCCCCCTTTATCATAAATTTCCCGATTTTTCCTTGTTTAGGCGGAAGGCCCAACTCAGAAGAGAACGAGAACAAGAACATGTCCGCGCTCAGCCCGTGGACGGTATGCGTATTTAACCAAGCATTGCTGAGATCAATCAGATTCTGTACAAAACTCCTTCAAAAACTTCCCGCTTTCATGTCCACCGAAATTTTTCTAATACAGCTAATCTCAACTTCAACAGAATTTTTCATAAAGTCGAAAACTCTTTGAAAGTTCATTTTCATGAGATTTGACCAAATGCTCATATTGTCACAGTAAAATAGTCGGCCAATCTGACTAAAATGAAACTCAAGAGCTTTTTGATACAGTTAGCCGCAACTTCCAACGCGCTCAATGCAACAGCAACTGATACAGATTTACTTGTACTCAATACGTACCAAGCAGGTTACTGGCCCGCGCTAGTCATCAATACTCTCACTGATCAACTTCATACAGTAAATTTTGAGCATTCTTACCCAGCAGGTTTCTACGACGCTTCATTTTCATTTTCTAGCTCTTTTTTCTAGTGGAAGACAGCTGTGTCGTTCAGTTCCAAGGCTCTTATTTTGTCCTCGGAGGATATTACAGACCTCGAATGATAGCAAAAATAGAAGATTGCGGAATTCGAGAGCAGGCCGAGCAACTACCAGTTCCTCACATAAACGGAATGTATGGATCTTGTACGGTTTACGAGGAAGCTGTTCAGCTTTGCTTCTACGGAGAGCCGCAAAAAGGATGCGCTTCATTTACCCCAGAATCCGGGTCATTCCCTTTGGAAGGCCGAACAAGAGAAAGCCACGATTTTGCCGGAATGATCACTTTCAATGTTCGTTTTTTTTTCCTATAATTCGATCATTATTTTTCGTATAGGATCAAATGTATGTTGTCGGAGGCTGCGGAAATACTTATCAAGATTGCCACAGTAAAGTCGAAATTTACAATTCAAAGAACAAGGCCTGGGTTGAAGGTATAATCAGATAAATGCTTAGATTACTTTGAGCTTGAAACTTTTGAAAGGCGCGAGTCCCCCAGTAGCTGAGTTTTATGGAATGGCCTTGACTGCCGATGAAAACTCCATCTATGCTTTTGGCGGCCGACGCGATCATACTAGCTCGCCAAACGATGTCTTTGAGTATAGATATGGGAAGTGGAAGATCTTGGGAAATATGGTGGAGAATCATCGAAAACTCAACTCTGCTTTTCAAATTGGAGATGTTGTCTATTCTGGCTACTGTGGTTTGGAGAAAAACGTTATCAGTGAAAATGGAGTCGAGTCAAAATGTGAGTCTCAATAGAAGAGGATCAGATTTTATTTTATTCTAGCTCTTTATTCGCCGGAGCGATGCTTAGAACTGTACTACGCGATTATGATGCCAATGCCTGCCGGAAGCTGTAAATAAAGCCACTGTTACTGATTTTTATTCGGAAATACAAAAGAATAAAATCACTCACTCTCACCCACTGAACGTCGCGTTCTGTCGAAATCAGCAAGAAAAATCCGGTTTGCCGAGGATCAAGGGAGAATCCCGGAAAATCGAGGGTCATCCACTTTTAGTATAATATTTCCACGATTATTTTTTCCAAAGCAATTCGGAAGAGTCAAGAGAACATGATGTTGAGCTTGAAGTTTCTGTTTTTAACCAGCGATTTTGCGCAGGGAAACATCAAGACACGGTCTACAGGAGGTAAAACATTCTGTAAGACTCGGGGAGAGACACTAGAGGAGATGTGCTGTCTAGGAACAGAGCTGAAATGCTTTGGATGCAACGACAAGCTACTGAATAAGTTCGGCATTCCTTGCGAAGAGCAACCGACATCGATTGAAAGTCCAAATGATGAGTGGAAAAGAGACTGTTTTTGTGGGGGCACTGGTTATATCGCCGAATGTCGCCATGTAAAAAATCGAGGGATCAAGTACTTGTAATTTTTACAAAATCCCTTCTTCGCCCCTTCCTTCTGGCGACCTTCGACGACATAACCAGTATCGCCCGTTTTTGTGACTCCTCTTGCTTGCTGTTTGACGATTGCTGCAAGGATTTCAAGAAACTTTGTGGACATTTACCACGTGAGTATAAAAAATTATGATATATATTTTATAAATATAGCAGAGCAGAACAAAAATTGCCCTCGTATCTATCACGTCTTGCTGTTAATAAAGCCAATATTACTGTAAAAAAACACATGTTTCAATTTATTCGGTCATAGTTTTCAATCTCATTCGGTTTAAAATCTTTCGCTTTGCGTCGAGCCGGTTGTCAGGAAGTTCATTCGGGAGACTAATAAATCGCCCTCGTTTCGTAGTTTTTGGGATCTGAATCATTCAATTGGAAGAAAACACGAAGAAAAGTACTCTTGATCTGGCGTTTTTCTTGATGATGACAGTTTCAGCAACGCTAGCAGCGACGGAAACAGGGCGGAGTCTTTTCTTGGGCTTTCAAATTAAAAAAAATATGAAGAAAATATTTGCGGCGCACAGTCCTATTGTTGCTTTCAGAAAGCAATTCTCGTTTTCGGAATTTTTTCTTTGGAACATAATTTTCATCGATTTTTGAGGAAGAAATATTCGTGATTGAAGTACTCATGATTTTTGGTTTCGATGAGGAGCGAATTGAGCTGATGGCTTTATCGCTCTCTTGTTGTATTTTTCTTGGGGCGGGAGTGACCAAAGTCTTGAGGTTTTCTACGCAGCTCATGGCAAGCTGTAGTTTTGACTAAACAATTTTGGTAAAAACCAGTGAGAAAAGGGTTACATTCATGGAAGTCCGAGAAATGTACTTTTGATCTCGGTTGTCAAAGTTTTGCTTCACAAGAGCAAGTTCCAAGAGGCATTTCTTCAAAAGCCAGTCGGCCTTTTTCGTGATGCTGATTTTGTCTTTGTTCATAACGCTCATGATCGCGTTATTTTCGTCTTCGATGTTTATTGAAATGGGTGGAAATAAGATGAGATTGTTTGATAATAGAACGGCCCAGCTTCATTTAATCTCGCTCTCAATCTACAAATTGTTGTAGGTACAAATAGTCTGGATAAATTTTCAGGTCAAGTGGTCTGATAGATGGCGTAAGTCGATGATAAAAGTTTACCGCGGGACTAAATTATCATTTTCATTTAAAAAAATCTATGAGAAACTCGTGAGAAGTTAGCAAAAATTGAAACAATTCAATTGTGACACTGACGAACTTCATTAAAAAATGTAACTTTAAGATCTCGATTTTTTGAACGGGTTAACGCGGGAGCGCACAAAATTTTTTTCCCGGTGAGCGCACGGCGCCCCTTTTTCGGGGCAAACCCCATTTAAACATTCTAGCGCAAAACCAGTAAATTGTTAGGTCAAAAAAAGTCTTCTACAAGACATAATAGACACACTGTCGACAAAATTTAGCCCCAGCAAGGTGGGGTAACGAAAATTTTCGATGATGAAAACTTGAAAAAATCGAGGATAAACGGGCTCTGCCCCGAAAAAGGGGCGCCGTGCGCTCGCGCGTTAAGACAATATTGAAGCAAAAAGGTAATATCATATAACTTATTTCTATATATTCTGAAATTTTTGATTCAATAAATTTCCTAAAATTTTTAACTTCTGCGCAAGTTGTCTCGTTTGTCTTTTCTGCTCTTCAAGGGCTGCATTCTTCATCGTTATTTGATTCTCTAGTACTCTTTTTTCATCTTGCACGAGCAATAATTGCTTGTGAATATCTTTCAAGTCCTTTTTTGGTCTTGTGAAAAGCTGTCGTATGCTCTTCATTTTGTCCTCTTATTTTCAGATCTCAATTTATAGATAAAAAAAGCTTATGAAAGAAGTGAAATCCGAAGCATAAACTCGCTGATGGTTTAGCTTCGCTTCTTCAATGCGAGGCTAAAAGTGTCATTAGAAAAGAAAAAGTCTCTGAAAGTGCAAATGTGATCAAACACTTCATCTTCTTTGAAAGCCTTGTCTGAGGCCGCCGCACCTTGAGATGACGAAAGATTCCAGCTGAGTAGGTTTACATTTCTACTTCTTACAAATTTCGCTTCAAAAATGAACCCATGCCTGTTATTGCTTCTTCTACTTGAGCATCTGCGGCGATCGCGCTTCGTAAATCTTCGACTTGGTCTTCTGAGTACTCTCTCGTATTTTCCATTTTCTGCCGCATCTTGTTTTCTAGCAACTCCAAGTTTTGGTACTGGGCTTCGAGCAGATGTGTTTTCAGCATGTTGGTTGTCTTTACTTTCTCCTGTAGTGAGGGATTCATAATGTGAAACTAACTTCGTTTATATTCATTCTGGGCTCGGCAACCTAATTAGAAAACCTGAGTCGGGGTCTGAAAGAGAAAAATGAAAAGCCGCGTAGCGGCTTCTTTAAAAACGAAGCCGCTTCGCGGTTTTGTTACAAAAAAAGCCGCTACGCAGCTTTTCATTTTTGCTCTTTCAGACCCTGACTCAGGTTTTCTAATTAGGTTGCCGAGCCTAGTATTCAACTCTAAGGGTTGGGCCTAATCCTAACCCCTTCCTGTAGCTGATCCATGAATTTGAGCAACTTTTCATTGAGCACAACACTTTCCTTGTCCACAGTTCTGAATTTTTGTTCAATCTCCTTGTTGATTTCAATTTGTTTTCCAATGATCCAGTACCCACGAGTTTCTTTTTTCAGACTAAGAAGATATCAATATTTTTTTATTCAGAAAAAAGCATCTACTTTTCAATATTGTCGATTTGAAAATCTGCAATACTTTCTCTTCTGCGAACGTCAATGTCCGAGGCATCACGTAAGGAGTTCTCAATCTCGTCCAACTCATTTATTCTATCGAGAACGGATAGTCTTGAGTTGCGTTTATCCTTCGCTGTTGAGCTTTTTCTCCTATCTTTGCCCATCTAACGCGTTTGGAACAATTTTCAATTTCAATTAATGAAATGAGAATTTCAGAAAGTCGACAAAAATGGGCTTGAATAATTTATATTGGCTTGAGTAAGTGTTCCGTCTTTACTTGATTAAAAGAGACGTATTATGAAGACTAAATACTCACTGAAAGTCATCAAGATTTCTAATGAATAAAAGGATGAATAAACAATTTTCATAATCCCGTTAAAGATTTTCGTCTTTTTTGTTTTTTTTCATAGTTATTTAAACAATCTCTCCTCTTAAATATTTGCACGAAGAATGGTAAAAAATTAATCGCTGCATTTTCCCTTCTCTCATAAGAGAATAAGGAGAAAAAGCTTGAGGTAGCAACTTTTTCCAGAATTCGGCCATCATGGAGGATCAACTCACGACGGACAACGAAAGCTCAAAGATTGCCTCTCGCCCAGCTTCGGCCATCATGGAGGAACGAGTCACGGACATGATTCCAGAAGAGCCAGTGATGTCGCAGCCAGACTCACCTGACGATTCTTTCCAACCAGATATTTCCCTCAACGCAAGAAGCAGTGCCGAGAGTTCAAGACTCCAGGTAACCAAATCAATTCAAAATTATGTCTACTCGTGTTTAGCCCGAGACGAGTGACGCCATCAACACCAGGCCAGATGACTGGGAACGTCGAGAAAAAGACAACGGAGTTCCTTACTACGTTGATCATGTGAGAAAGAAGACAGTATGGACTCACCCAGACCTCACCGAGTTCATCACTGGTTTGCAAGTTCTCAACGAAATTCGGTTCCCCGCCTATCGGACCGCCATCAAGCTCCGCAAAATCCAGATGAAGCTCACTTCGGACAACTTCAACATTGAAAATATGCAGAAGGCATTCAGAACTGTTTCTCCTGATCCAACTGCAACGATCGAGGTGATAATTTTGGCTGAGATTCTCTATGATCTGTACGAAAATTCTAAGCGGCGCGCTTATCAGGTAAAAATTAGAGACATTTTCAGTTGTTAGTAAATTTTTCAAGGCCGACTTGACTCTCAATTGGCTGCTCTCCGTTTTCAACCCTAAGCGAGAAGGAACCATTCCAGTTCTCTGTGTCAAGGTTGGCCTCGTTGCTTTGTGTGGCGCACAGCTGGAGCAAAAGTACAGATATCTTTTCACCGCTACCAGTGGTGCGAAGAGAACGATGAACAAGGAAGGCCTCAAAGCTCTTGTCTACGTTCTGTCTCAAATTCCATACCATCTTAACGAACACGTCGCCTTCGTTGGAAACGAGCTCAACGTGGATCCGACTGTCGAAAGCTGCTTTCAACACAGGTGAATGATCAATTGAAATGTTCAAGTATCTATTTCGATTATGTTCAGAGCGAACCCCAAGAGTCCAACTCTTCACATGGACGACTTCATGAACTGGTGTTCTCTTCAACCTGAGTCTATAGTTTGGCTTCCTATTCTTCACCGAACGATCGCAGCCGAGAAAGTCACTCATAATGTCAAATGCCAGTGCTGTAGAAATAAAGACTTCACTGGCTTTAGATACAAATCCCTCAAGGTAGAGTCTAAAAGTAGAATCAAGAAGAATATGGATTTCTTTTCAGCGATTCCGACATGATCTTTGTCAAGAATGCTATCTGTATGGCAAGGCTAATGAAAAGAAGCTCGTTCATTCGCCCTTGGTCGAGTATTATAATCCGACAGGAATAAGAGAAAACATCCGGGATTTTGTAAGTTGCAGAAAAATACAATAAATAATACGAAAATTTCAGATGCGAACTGCTCAGAACAAAATTCCTTTCTTGCGCAAGAAAAACATCAAGCTAGACTACCGATATTATCTTCCGATTAATCCTCAACAAAGCCCGTAAATTCAGGCAACTGCGCTTTATCTGACACAGATTCTTCTTTTTAAATAAACTTGTGAACCGGCTTTTGCTGGATGAATCCAACGCTTTCCCCGACTTATCGACTGCTGTACTGCTGTACCTACTCACGTCCGCAAACTTATTTCAGATAACAAGTGGCCTCTTGGGAGCGCACCGCCAAACTCTGACAAGATAGAACAGCTTTATTTCGATGATCATGCAGAATTTACTCTGCCGCCAATCTACGTCACTAAAATCAAACCGAGAAATGAAAAATTTATGGAAAACTTGTTTATTCTAACTAAAGAGACAGTAAAAAAAATAGTGAAAGAGCTAGTAGATTAGCTTGAGGTAGAGTTCTTCTTGATTTCTTGAGCCTTTGCTCGAACCTTTTCGGCGTGCTCGAGCTAAAAATGAGCATTCATGAGCTTTTTGTTTGGATTGATTCTCAAAGAAATGGGAGTGTTCTTACATGTTTCTGCTGTTTTTGGACGACAGATTCTATTTGGGACTTTCGTCGGCCATCGGCTTGGGTCAGTTTCTGAAACAAATCCAGTAAGAAAGTTGTACAGAATTTTAACAAGCTACCTTTTCGTGGCGCATCATGACTTTTGCTGGATCGACAGGAGTTCTAGGGCTGAGAAGAGCTTCTGGTGGCGAGCGGGAGGGCTCATTGAGACGAACTTCGAAAGAACTGGTGCTCATCTTCGTGATTTTTTTTTAAAATCTCGTGTTACAGTAGGTAAGGCGATCTGTGATGAGGAAGGCCACGTCGAGGCCATTTTTAACCTGCTCCAGGTGGTGGCGCCAGTGACCATCAGAATCGGTAATGAGCCCCCAGTGGGATTGTGCGGGTTAATTAACTCTTTAATAATTTCGAACTCGCCAGGCTGCGCTCGCCTTTTTTTCATGCAGTGCCTGTCAGCGCTCAGCCATTACAATGCAGTCATCAATCATTTCCAAACGTAATTAAAAATGCACTTTCAGCAGGTAGAATTTTAATTGCCAGCTAAACGGAAAATATTTGCATAAAGTTCAGATCAATTTAACGGGATTTGTCATTATTGGTGAGGCGCTCGTCATGAGGAGCCTTTATGGTAAGGGCTTAACCCTTCGTAGTTTGGTCTCAAAATTCGGCCACCCCCATTTTAGGTTAGTGTTAGGGGGGCTCCAAGGGAGCGAAGCCCCCTAGGTTAGGCATTTGGGTTAGGAACTGCGTACTTCTATCTAGGGGGGTCCCGGGGGGGGCGAAGCCCCCGGGTTAGGAAAAATAAAAAATTTAATTATACTTGGCCGAATTTCGAGGTCATACTACCCTAACCCTTGTCCAAACCATAACTTATGGACAATCTTATGGATCATAAGTTATGAACCATAACTTATGGTGCATAAAGCCCCCATTCTATTCAATTATCGATGCCAGAAGGTTGACTTGGTATAATGAGTGCCATAAGATTGCTGTAGCGTCGATACAGTATCGATGCAGATACCATATGTGTTCATTAGAGAGAAAAAAACAGGTCCTATGAGTATAAAATCCCGTCGGAGTGATGAATTTTTCATTTGCCATTCCGACGACTGTGTTCAATTAGACGAGCAGCTTTCCAAAAACTCGCTTAGGCGGCAACCTTGGCAAGAAGCCATTCCTAACACCGTGAATTACTGTAAGCAGTGTCCTTTTTTAAACTTAGAATCGACTACAGTGTAGCAGTTATCAATATTTCCTCTAGCAAATGCTCGAAAAAAAAGTTCGGGGCAGTTTTACTACCGTAGTTTAACGATCCCATTCATGCACTTGACGCACTCGCTACTACGTAATTGCCTTTCTTTGCTTTCCCTTTTTCGGACATGCTTGCTCATGTGATTTTCAGGACAAAATAAATACTAGATCGTAATTTTTTTTGAATAAATTTGCTTTACGTCACTCTCTATTTGGGGTTTTTTGAAGGTGTTAGATTTATGTCTTCATAACACGACGTTTTCCTACTTAGATAAATTTGACAATAATATTATGTTTTCTAATGAAAATATTTTCTTATCGACAATAATAATTATTTGTCTTCAGGAGTCAATGAAGACTCTCGTTATCTTTTAACGAAGCAGCCTTTTTAGGCGTTTTTCAATCGCTTCTATTGATTGTGCCACCCTTAAAAAGGCGACTGAATTTCTGAATTCTAGTCAGAATGTTTCAAAAATTAATTAGCTACACTCAGATGCATCTCGAATTTAGCCCTTCTTTCCACAGGTGGCATCAACTTTATTGCCCTAGAAAACTACTCATATGTAAAGTTGGTGTTCCATCCGGAGTAAAGTAGCTCGCCTCTAGGTGTCGTGACTCACGAGGGGGCACCATAAATACACGGAGCAGATGACTCTTATTTCAAATTAACATTTAGCCGTTGATGCTCTTTTGTTTTGAGCACCTCAATTGTAGCTCGCGCAGGGACACGAGTACGAGTCACAAATAGTACGATTTGAAATAATGGAGAAAAAAGAAAAGCCGAATTCAGAGATAAAAGACATCTTCAGAGAAGTTACCAGGCAAATTGTCGAGCAAACGGTAATCATAAATTATCAATTACGTTAATTAACAACTGAACATAAATATAAAACAAGCATTTGAATAATCACTTCAGACACGAACCAGGTTCAATTCAGCTTTATTTGCCGATGAGTCTTCTGATGCAGAACTGTCAGTTTCCTATTCTGACATCGAGGAACAAGAAGATCCAGAAACGACGAGTACTGCTTCTCTGACTGAATCTGCCAGATTAAGTACAGCAAGAAGATCTTATCGATTAGCCAGAGCAGCGAAGAGTCCTGGTCAGACGAGTCCAAGGAAAGCAAACTCAGACCTGAGTCAAACTCATCCTCTGACTCAAAGCACAAACGGAGCTACTACTAGAATCAGTCTCCCGCTTGATACAAAAAATGCAACGAAACGCAAGAAAGGCAAAACCCCGCAAAGCCCGGCGAAGTCGGAGAAGAGCGTCGCCGAAAGATTCAAAGACGCGAAAAAAGCTGTCTCAAAACGACTTGGATTCAATAGTAACAAAAGCCAGTCAAGAGGTAGTAAAAATGCCTCCGCACCAAGGTCGCCTGATGTAAATGGTCAACGATCAGGACCGGAAGAGGATGTTTTTTCGCCGGCGAATGGAGAAAAGGTCGTCGAAGTTCACCAAAGCACTGGAAATGTGAATAAACAAAGATTGAGCGATATTGTTCAAAGGACGATTTCACGGCATCAATCAAGGTAAATAAAAATTATCAATTCGATGAGTCCATTCTCATTTTTTCCCACAAGGCATCCTACAAGAAACCCGACAACAGATCACACTCGCGCTGTGACTAGAAGCCAATCGACAAAAGAAGACGACAAAAGACCAAAACGAACTCGCCAGAAAACATCGGATCGTATCGAGCAGCATTTAGTCGCAGCAGCGCAGAAATTGTCCGACAATGTCCAAGGTGTTTATGGCCGCCAACCGTCGAGTTCTACTTACGAGCTGCCGCTGGAAAAGAAGTTCGACGAGGAGTTTTCCATGACGGATTTTGCGTCTGGCCCTTCTTCCAAGGGAATATCTTCGAGATCGAGTAGACAAAGCTCTCAAACATCGAATTCTTCCGGTAAGTTTCCTTCAAGATCTTCATCATTCATCCCCTCTTTCAGCTGAGGCAACTGGGACAGCTCCGATGCCATTGAATACCCGCACAGTCAGCGCTTCAGAAGACATCGTGCCTCCAACTCCCGCTTCCGTCACAAACTCACGACCACAGTCATCTCTATTTACATTCGACGAAGGTCAACTGAACACGACAATAGAAGAGGAGGCCGAAGAAAGACGACAACAAGCGATCGCTTCAATCACAAATGATTTGATTGCGATTTCGAATACGCCTCAATTCCAAGACGTAAGGAGTTGAAAATGACATTCTTTACCGATCTTTGTAGGCTACTTCCAACTTCCAAACCGACCTTCGAAACCTCTTTGCGCCAAACGCGACGTCTCTCAATCAAGAAAATGCATATCGCCGCCTAATGAGCCCGCTGAAAAGAGTCCTCGAACAAAGCACTAACATCAGTCAAGAAAACCTAGTTGAAACTCTCATCGCTTCCGCTAGAATAATCGCCTACATTCCGAGCCTAGCTCGCTTCATTTGGTCCTACATCACCTCTACTCTCAACTTATCTATACAAGACTTGGATGCATACGCCCAGAATAACAACGATTCAGATTCAGACGAGGGATCCGCTGTATAAACTCAAGTCTGTGCAAAGCCTATCCATTTTTACATTGTGACGCTATTTTCCCTTCTAATAAAGAAACAGCTAATTTCGTTCAAAACTCCTCTGAGTTGCAATTTTAAAATGAAAATTTCTTTTAAAAACTTTGTAAAATTTTTTTCACCACAGCAAAAAATTGTTGAAAATCATGAAAGAGGCCCGAACGAAGAAGTAAAGAGCAATTCGAGAGTTGAACAAAACGAAGCATTTGCCAACGAGCTTTTGGATAAAAACGATCAGCTGTGGAATCTGATTGAACACCTGCTTTTGACCCAGGAAAAAGCAGATGCCTGCATACAAAAACAAAAATCTCTCATCGAAACGTATCGTGGAAATCCAAGCGCTCCAACTCATGTCTCTCTCGACGAAAACTTCGCGTTGTGTGAATCTCTCAATGATGATTTCCAACGATCCAGAAGTCAAGAAACAGTGCTACATGCTGATCTTCCTCAACGACAATGCTTTGCGACAAAATTATTTTCCTACGAATAATAAAAATGCTATATTTATTTATGTACAGGCGATATTTTTTTGCTTTACTGGACAAACGCAGCCAGTAGTCCTTGAAAGCCAGCATTGTAATCTAATGCGACTTCATTGGTTACATAATCGCTTCGGTCGTCGTTGAAAATGTCCGTAGGTGATCGAGGGCCGCCGACGAGAGCTCCATGGAGAGTCCAGTGGTTGGAGTCGGGGGAGTTGATGATGTCGTATCCGCAGGGCTGGGGATAAGGAGGGCATGAGCTCGAGCGATGATGAGGAGTATTCGGGAAGTTTGACCCGTGTCCAATAAGAAGAGAGCCAGGAGAGCCGTTGACAATCGGTGTTCCGCTTGGTCCTTGACCAAGGAGGTAGTTCAGCTGCCCTTCTGCCCAGGTTCTATTGAAAGAAAAATAATCGTAAAAAATATGCGTGTTGCTTACCCATATCCAGAATTGAGACCAATTGACTCTGCGGTCTTCATCAAGAAGGCTGCATTGGCTGCGTGTCTGGCCGATCCCCACTCAGAAATATGAACCATCCCTCCAGGAGTTTTAGGCTTCGAATTGAGTGCTTGAACAAAACCGGAAAATTTCGCTTCAAAAGTTGAAGCCTGATTTGCTTGATTATCTGCTGAAAGAACTTCGTACATGACCAGATTCGCCGCTGCCGATTTGTCATCCCATGAAAATTCACTTCCGGAACCGATGCTAAAAGTCGATGCCAAGGTCAAAGCCTTGTTCAAGTCCGCTTGGAAAGAACTGGGAGTTATGACTCGTGAAGCTTTGGCGATGAAGGCACCGGCGAGAACAATTTCATCGTTGTAGCCTGACCAAGAGTTGTAGAAATCGCGTGCAGCAGGGACTGAATCTGAGTATTTTCCTTGATAAGTTGCTGCAAAATCAAGAAGAGATCTTGCACGGAGGAACAAATTCTCAGCGTATTGAGCATCAGTTTCGTGAAAAACGAGTGCGCCAGCTGCAAACATGGCCGCTGTTTGTGCAGCTAAATCGGATCCAGGAGCTTGCTGCGAGATTTTAGCAGAAGGGCGCTCCATTGTCATTTCTTCAGGACGTCCCCACGATGCGTGATCCACGTAACCATTGCCAACTTGTGCCCAGAGAACGTTATTTTCCATTTCGTGGCATTTTATGAAGTAGTCTAAGCCGTGTTTGACGATTCTCTTAGCGTTTTCGTACTCGCCAGCAGCAATGTAACCAGCTTTGAAAGTGTCCAGTCCCCAAGCGAGAACATGAAGAGTAAATGCCATCGGAAAGTTGAACTTGACGTAATCTCCTGCATCGTAAAATCCACCGGTTAGATCTCTGCCTACATCACAGCCGTCCAAGAGCCCAGAATCGCCTCGCCAGCTGACGCGATGCCAAGAAGGAAGCTCGCCGGACATTTGCGCTTCGTAGAAAAAGATGTTTCTGCTCAGAGGCTCTGAGTCAGAGCGGAGGCATAATCGAGCTGACTTGTGGCCTGTGGAATTGAGGTTTGCGCTGGAGAGGATGGAACGATTCCAGATGACTTTGAGCAGTCAAGAGTTGATGGAGTGGTGGTAGTTGTTGAGCCTGGGGATAAGGTTGTGGTGCTGATAGTGGTAGTGCTGGTGGAAGTTGTTGATGTTGTTGAGGGACCATTGTCGCCCGGAACAACTGGGTCGGGGAGACAAAGCGTGATGGATTCTGGAAGAAAGACGGTCGATGAAATTGTACCGGAGAAATCAGATAGATCAACCTGACCCTCAAGAGTGATGCGAAACTCTGTTCCTGTCGTCCAATTGTGGAGAGTTTTGAAGCTCCAGGCAGTTGATTTTGATGAGAGAGTTCCCTCGGGAAGAGGAGAATTCGCGGTGTTACCCCAAGTCGTCACGCTGTGCGTCAAAAACGGAAAGGTGATTTTGAGATCGTAGAAGACGACTTCAGAGGAGATAGGAATGACCAGAACGAGTTGGAAAACATTTGAGACTACTACGCCGTTTTCCCAGTTTTGCCATGTGCTTGGTTGAATTACCGTGTATTGAGAGGCGGTTAGAGGATAACAGGTAAGCTCTGGTGGGGTAAGAGGGGTTGTAGAAGTCGAAGTCGTTGACGTAGATGTAGATGTTGGCGTTGATGTCGTTGTTGTTCCTGTTCCAGTGTTCGTTGTGGATGTCATTGTTGTTGAAGTAACTGTCGTAGTCGTCGAAGTTGTTGTGGTGGTGGTTGTACTGGTAGTGGTAGTAGTAGTCGTATTATAAACAGACTCGTCGGTGTTGAAGCAAACTCTAGCCTTACAGTATTTTCTCGAAAAAAAAGCAAAAAGTGCACGTCTAAATCCCAAGATCTTCACCCTCCGTTTTTATTTTACGTGAAAATTTGCAAATCACCTCGGGGCGGTCATAATCTCCGCGGAATCCAAACAAATCTCTCTGAGCATTTTTACTTTCAGATTTTCAAGAAAACGGTCCTTAACTTTTTCAGCCCACGGAAAGCCAGTCGACAAGGCGGAAGCTGTGAGGTCAAATGAAATCGCCTTTGAAAAAATCTTATAATTATCAAAAGTATTGAAGACTTACCTTGTTCCAGCACAAGTTTTCTCTCGAATACGCAGAGTAGATTGACGCATTTTCTTCTTCAGACCATCCTTGGTATTCAAACTCGGGATTCAAGAATCGCCCATTGGGAGATTCGACTCTTCCGGCTCCACCGATTCCGAGAAACAGCAACTCTACTCTGTAATTTTCTGAGATCGGCTGTTCCAAGGGTAGTTGGACCAGGCCGGAGTTACAGTCGTCGCATTTTTCAAAGTTACTCACGAAAGCAGATACGCAGTTCTCTTCTGCCGGATCTTTTAACCCCTTTCTTTCGAGCTCAAGAAAGGTTTTTTATCAAAATTCTTATTAAATTTAGAAAGAAAAGCGTCTACGAGAAGCGATAAAAAACCGATCCTGACATTCCATGTTCGCGCCCTGAGTCCATTGACCGGTTGGAATGTTCTCATGTGGGATAAAGAAAGTGTCGATTAATCCGGGCTCAGAGACGTGGGAGGACTGCGAGATTCCCGAAACTTGAACTTTAAAAATCTGCACATTTTTCGTCGTCCCGTTGACAGCTTCCAATCGCCCCGGTTTAGCTTCAAACACGACAAAATGGCGATCGAGCGAAATGTGCGCTACGCGGACATCTTCCGATTGAAAGCTCACGTTTTCCGGAAGCTGGTTGTGAAAGTTGAAAGCGGCGTACCAACCTGTTGCTCCTGTATAAGCAGTTTTTACAAGCCCTTTGAGCAAGATAAGCGAGCGGTCAGCGGCAGGTTCACTGTAGCCAAGCTGTTTCAATACTGACACGCGCTTTTGAACCGGCACTCCTGGAATCACTTTCGGAAATTGGATTTTTATTCGTTTTCAAACCTGATTGATCGATTCCTGCAGGACAGGGGCCTCGGCAGACGAATTCCGTACTATCTTTTTCTAAGTCGACTCTTTGCCATCCTTTGTCTGGGCTCGGCAACCTGTGTGGAATACCTGAGTCAGGGTCTGAAAGATCTTGCGCTAAGCGGCTTCGCAAAATTACCCTTCCAATCCATTTTTAAATTCTGGCGGCTTTTCAGACCCTGACTCAGGTTTTCTACACAGGTTGCCGAGCCCGGTCCTTGAGGAGTACAGCGCACTTTGAATGGCCGATTGTTAGTTCGAGTCGTTTGATACAGTCCGGAATTACAGTGAATCGCGCACGTTGCCTTTTTCCGGTTGAAATTACAATTTTTTTCATGACTTGCATAAGATCAATTGACGATTGCTACGTGCTAAACCGCTTTCGTCATGTATTCTCAACCAAGCCCATAATTCCGATATATCTTTTGAGCAGCTTCCGAGATATCCGTTTTCAGGCAGCGGTATATCCCCGCAGTTTCCAGGTCGCCGCTCGTTTGTTCGCTGTTCTGTTTGGTTTGAGCCCGAGCGCTGGAAAAAGAATTCTGGCAAGTCGTTGGTCAGATAGGGATGGAAACCGGAGTCGGAGTGGAGAAAGGTTCCAGTGTAGATTTTCGGTGGCGTAAAGGCTTAATACAATAAAAATGATATATCGATTCATGGTCGATTATGACTCATAATTTATGAGTGTACTTACCAGCTACAAATATCGAGCCTAGGAAAAACTTGAGCTTGACCAAAGCCATCCTTTTTTATTTCTCTTATTCTCTTCTTTTCAAATGAAAGTTAGGTACAAGCACTCAAGTTATCATTTCCGCGCATGCGTATTTCATACCGCTCAGTGACAGCGCCACCTGAGCAGCATTGAGATTAGCAGAGAACTACTACATGTAGTCGAGTTTGCAAAATTTGATTAATTTAGAATTCCGTACGTATCCAAGTTTTATTCGGGACGCGGTTAAGTCCACCTGCCCTTGAATTTGTGGGAGCTTTGGTTTTGATTTTGGAACACAGTTATAAAAAACACATCGACAAATATAGCTTCATCATCGTTTTTCCGACGTTTCCTGAAGAATAAGACAAGTTGATGATGTTGTATCATCTGACAGCAAATTTGACTAGCCTGGCGCAACGTGGATGTTCAGAGAAAACAAGTTAGATAAGTCACATCTCTGTTTTAGACATCGCTGGCTCTATAAATTCGAGAGTTGAGAGATCAAAGAACAATTCAAAAAATCAGAGATCATGAATCGGCAAGAATCGGCAAAAACCAGCGGAAAGCTCGCGTTTTTAAAGGTAAGCGGAAATAACTCATCAAAAAATTAAAAGGATTATTAGCTCTTTTTGCTTCTTCTACTTTTGGGAATGATGCTGATGGGAAAGATGGATCTCAAAATGGGAAAAATGCGTCGCTCTCTCGATGACGAGATGATGAGCGAATCGTTAGGACAGATGAATACTGTAAATATGGAGAGATCAACCGATGAGGTGATCGAAAAAAAAGAAGACCGTTTTTCCATCCGGCGCCAAATACTGGAGCTCGGCTGCAAAAACCTTCAAAAAATGCAAGAACTCGTCGATGAAGGCGACTTCGATAAACTGCTGAAATTTCATGAAGATATTTATAACAGAAAATACATGAAATCTGATCCGAAAAATGTCTGCAGAGGACCAAGCGCAAGTAAGAAACCAGATGAATCGAGAGCCAAGTTAGAGGATGTGCGCCACAAAGTGAATATTTTCTACGAAGACATAACAAACATGACGATTTGCCTTCCACCAAAAGCTGGTACGACCAATTTTCAAGACGCTCTTGCCCAGCTAAGGGGGCGGCATGGACGTGGAATTCTTCCTAGGCTTCAGAATAGCGATTATCGAGACGCTTCAGATGCCATTTCGAAGACCAAACTTTTTGTCCTCAACACAAGAAATCCCTTCGAACGCGTCCTATCTGCATGGCGAGACAAGTTTTCTTCCAGCGCTTCTGAGTCTCGTCAAGATCTTTACAAAGCGTCCATCAACGTTTTTGAAGAAGAACCTGCTCCTGATGGATATGTAAGTAGCTTTCCAGCTTTTGTAAATCATTTAGCCGCGAATCCATCGGAATTTACTCGAAATCGCCACTGGAGAAGCACTTACTATCACTGTAGCCCCTGCCACTTTCCTTACGAGCTGATAACGCACCTGGAGACAATCGATGAAGATTTTCCTCGAGTTTGGGAAGAACTTGGACATGAGATGCCGAAAATGAAGGAGCAGTACAAGCAATCTCCGATGAAATCAAAAGATGCGTCGTTTTACTACAGAGACATTTCTTCTGATGTCGTCAAAAAATTGTACATCGTAAGACTAGGGAATCTCAACCAAGACAAACTTGAAATTAAGAACTACTACCAAGACTTTGTTCTCTTCGGTTATTCCCCTGACCTCGTCAAACGGGTCATTCGAGCTTCGAACTCGAACAAACCAGCTGATTTGAACAAACAGAAGATGTCAAGAGCACTGATGAATTTTGAAGATCAGGAAAGCATCGAATCGATCACAGATAGAGTCATAAGATTATTGTTTCGATGCTTGAAAAGACATTTCTGAATGAAATTTGCTACTGAATATGCTTCCAAATTTTCTGTAAAATTATGAAATAAACACTGCCATTTTGTGTAGATAGCTTTGTATTTGCAAACGTAGTGATCTTAGCTGACCTCTTGTTAGTTAGAAGGCGATGTTGTTGATGGAAGTAATTTTCAAAATTAACTTTGATTGTTGACGTAGTTTGAGTCAGAAGAGTTCACTTCCTGCTGACTCTACTGATTCTATTCGAAAATAAAAGACCATGGACTTCCGTATAAAATGTATTTCGTGAACTGTGAAAGGTAAAAAAGGAGTGAAAAGGAGTGATAACAACCAGCGAAGGCCCAGTCTCTCAGACATATGGACTGCCGTTGGTTGTGGCAGTGGCTGCTCGCATTTCTACGAAGACAGCGTAAATAAATACCGCAAGGAGCGACAAAACGGTGAAGAAGACATACTGTCGTTGCTTGATCGCTTCGACGGTGTCGTGCATCTTGTTCACGCCGGCTTCGAGCGCGTCGACGACAGGGAGTTTTTCAGTCACGAGGGCTGACAGCTCTTCGTATGCTTTCTTCGCCTCGAGAGCCTAAAAAGAATGGTTAGGCCATGAAAAGAAGGGAATAAACTTACCATGCGCTTGTACTTGTTTTTCTTGGCGACTAAGCTGCTGATGTACTGACGCACATTTCCAGTCGATTGCTGGACAATCGTCGGGCTCTCGATTCCATCCGCGGAGAAGGTTTCCACGCTTGGGACATCTTCTGCCTCGAGACGTCCTCTTCTTTCGCCACTCATCGGAATCGAACTAAATTGAAATAAAACCAAACCTTTCAAATTATTTTTTTACCTAATATCGAGCGATGGATCCCTGCCATTCTTATCCATCAGCACTGGTCTCCGTCCCGTGAATAGCGGCGTAGGAGCTCCAAAAGGAGGACCAGGCCTTGGCGATGACGCAGCAAGAGGTTGACTTCCTCGGTTTTCTCTTTGCCTCAACTCGTGTACCCGGTTCATTTCTTATCTAAAAAGCGCGCCCATTGTTAGTCAGAGAAATACCAAAAGCGCTAGGTCATAGGTGTAGATTGGGGCAATAAAAAATTGGAGAAAAAAAATAAAACACTCCGTTCATAAGCTCTCTAACGTGCCGAATGACAATCGTATCGTCGCCACGACGAAAACTCTCCTGGCGAAAAATTTTCCCGGCGAGCGCATCTGCCAGCTTGAAAATAAAAGTCGTTGGAGTTCATGTTTTTTTATTTTTTAATAAAATAAAAATATCTTTGATAAAATCGGCGGAAAATTCGCTAAATGCTGGAAAAATCATCTAGAAAAGCGACAGATTCAAGCGCTTAGACATTACTACAGTACAATTTACACAAATTACAGTGAATTGCCAAAAGAGGCCTAAATTTAGGGAAGGTTAATTCAGCAATTTAGTGTCTTTATCGAAAGTTCGAGAAGAAGACCAATTCGAAAATCAACATGTCAAAGTCGCACTTAAAAGTAATTGAGCGCAATCAAGTTTGTAAACTGCTCTACTTAGATCTGAAAGACAAGCGCTTTTTTATTCTACTAGTAACATGAGGTTCGATCTATATTTTTTGGATTTTTTTATACTAAGCTTTTTTGGTCAAGCGAAGGCGGATTTCGGCGATGTCGATGTGGAGGTTCTCAAGTCCCTCACGAGTGGGGTCTATATTGAGTGTAAAATTGACAAGGTAGGATCAATTTTTGGAAGAAAAGAAGGAACTTCTATTTAGATGTGCGCCTGGATGACAGAGCCCTACCTCGAAAGCATCGACATAAGAAAAGAAGATGTGCCGATGTTGACATTCATCGACAGCAGCGATCCCGAATGTCAAGCACGTGACCTGGGAGCGCTGGAAGGAATGCCAGAGGATTGGCATTTCTGGCTCTGGTGCTCGAGAGAAGAGACAGAAGAAGAACACGCTAATGAGGAACCAGAATATGATGAATATGGCGAACCGATTCCCGAAGATGGCCTTTCTCATTACACATGCGGGACGAAGACGATTATTCATCAAGGAGAAACAGGCGACGAAATAACGTCTGCATCATGGCCATTGGCCAATTGGCAAATCGAGCCGCATATCCAGCACAGTAACAATATCAGCACGAGCGACCCTTTTCATATGCGACAGATTACACTTCCAATCGAGTGCGAATGGCCGACGACTGCTCCTGGGGATGATCCGATGGGGTTCAATTTTGCGCGCAGTGGAGGACCTTCCTACTTCAAGACTGTTTCCAACATCGACCTGACCGTCGAGATTCAGCTATTCAAGGATGCCCAGTTTACTGATCCGTATGGAGAAAAGCCTCAGTTTGTGCTTCAAGGAGAAAAGGAAATTTTCATTTCCGTCAAGTTTGTACAGCAAGTTCCAAACGATGTCGCCATGCACCTCGTTCATCTTTGGGCCTCACCAGGTAAATTGACTTCAGTCATGACTCAGTAAGTGTCAAGATTTCTAATTTATCAGAAGAATTGAGAAAGTAATTGACTTTTTAAGTGGCGAGCTCGAGTCAAGATGTGTATTTCGCGTGGGTAATGGGTTCCTGCGAGCAGCACAGCAAGGTCAAAATGCTGAGCTCACCCTCGGAGCAGGAAATAAGGGTGTCCCTACCTGTTTTCATGTTTGAAGGTACGCACTTTCTATTTTTCGTATACTATCAATACTTGCAGATTCTGATGAGGTGTTTTTCCATGCTATCGTAAAAGCTTGCCGGGCTAACGAATGCCCAGCCGGCTGTACTGGTACCTCAACTTGGGCCGGTTTCAATGGAGATCGACAAGTGCTCTCTCGGAGTCGGTTGAGAAGAGTAAGAAAAGACAATTTTCTTCTACGATTAAAATAATCTTCAGAGCTCGCCGGGAGACTCCTCGTTGTTGTCAATCGGCCCCATTCTCTTGGTTGAGAAAAAGTCGGGAAATATACTCAATGCTATGTTTTTGGTCTGCTCGAGTTGTACTCTTGTTTATTTATTGTTGATGAACGCGCGAATGTCGTATTTGTGTGCATAGCTCTTTTACATCACCTGTTTTATACCCTAAAAATAAAGATAAATTTTCAGAATAAGAGCATAAAAATAAATCAGCAAGATTAGTAACACCTGACTTTATTTATAAAAAAATTAAAATCGTGGAGATGCGGGGGATTGAACCCCGGGCCTTTCACATGCAAAGCGAACGCTCTACCACTGAGCTACATCCCCGATGGTACTGCGGATTCCACTGTCGATTATAAATACATGCATATTTAAATAATTGATAATTATATGGTATTATTTATATCAATACGTGGTCCATGTTACATAGGCAATTTCACTTTGCTTAATAATGATCTTGCTCGAAAATATACAATGACGCGCTTTTTTAAAGTTGAGGTAGTTATTTCTCCCACTTACTTTGAAGACCTAGAACACTATATATATTTGGAATCAGTCGAAAGAATCTAGTAACGTGACCATAACCGATCCTCAAAAATCATTTTCGGTTACGATTCTAGAGCCGGAAATGTAAAAATCAGCTACGAGCGGTACCTAAAGAAACCCTTGTTAGGTAGAAGTCAGGGCATAACCCAGACCACTCGATATGGGGCTCAAATGAAAGCTCAGCTTCTGAGCTTTCAGAATCTGTGTCATATGACCCCTCAACTAAGCTGGAAAAAGTGGCCAAATTTTCATCTAATAAGCCTATAGATAGTAGAAGTAGGAGGAAGGCGCCAAGCCACGTGCAGAGGAACGAAACGTGCCCACCACCCACCGCACTCATAGATAACATTGATAACAGCATTCAAACGGATTTTTGCGATACGAGTTTATCGCGATATGAGACTCAGGTCCTGAGGAGGCACATTCACGTGAAATAGTATCAACTTATAACTTATAAGTTGATACTATAATAATCAGTCTTATAAGTTATAAGACTGTTTTTTAGGAGTGGAGGACTCTCGCCCAAGTGGACTCCCGCCCAAAAGGACTCTCGCCCAACTTGGGCGGGAGTCCATCTTAGGCGAGAGTCCATGTGGTAATTTTCAACCATGAGAAACAGAAAGTTGGGCGAGAGTCCATCTTGGGCGAGAGTCCACTTGGGCGAGAGTCATCCACTCCAATTGTTAATGACTATTCAATGAAAAAAGAAAGCAATGAGGTGTATATAATATATATGCAATGAACTTGATATAAATTAAAGTTAGGGTTAGGCGGCACTGGTCAAAATGACAGAACAACCTTACCCGAGGGGGATAGGCTAGGGTTAGTTAGGGTTACTGAAGGTAACCCTAAGTAACCCTAGACTAGACCCCGGCATCTTAGGACCTAAGGGGCGAAGCCCCTTGGTAAGGGGCAATTTGATTTGATAATTTCGGCTGAAAAGTGGTGCAGTAAGACTGACCTTCTCTTTCAATCTAATCGAAGATTAGCACTTTTTTTGAGAGTTCCAATTTCGGTTTGTCCAGCAAGATAAGAGAAAGCATAAATTCTTTGATGTGTGGAAATATTGCGCTTCGCTAATAAAACTGGAACTCTCAAAAAAGTGCTATTCCTCGACTAGGTTGAAAGAGAAGGTCAGTCCTACTGCACCACTTTACAGCCGAAATTATCAAGTCTAATTGCCCCTTACCAAGGGGCTTCGCTCCTTAGGTCCTAAGATGCCGGGGTCTAGTCTAGGGTTAGTTAGGGTTACTGAAGCCTATCCCCCTCGGGTAAGGTTGTTCTGTCATTTTTTCCAGTGCCCCCTAACCCTAACTTTAATTTATATAAAGTACATTCCATATTTATTATATACAGCTCATTGCTTTCTTTTATCATTGAATAGTCATTATTCAATTGGAGTGGAGGACTCTCGCCCAAGATCGACTCTCGCCCAACTTTCTGTTTCTCATTGTTGAAAATTTCCACATGGACTCTTGCCCAAAAGGACTCTCGCCCAACTTGGGCGGGAGTCCATCTTGGGCGGGAGTCCACTTGGGCGAGAGTCCTCCACTCGTTTTTTAGCTTTACGGGTGTAGAAAATTTGGCGCAATCTTTGTGAACCCGGTTCACAAAATTTTTAAAAGTATAAAATCAGGGGTCTGTATGCGCTCCGCGCCTGATTTCAAAGAGAAACTCATTTTTTTACGTTATTAACTTTCTCTACAACCGCGCCTTTAGTCAATTTGAGTCACTTTTTTGACCGAAATTGTGAACCAGGTTCACAAAATTGATCACATTCCTCAGAAGGAAACCCCATACAACTATTTATTCTCAGAATGCCTAGACTCTGTTCTGTGTACTCGATCTCATGAACTGGAGAATATCGAGGATCATTTTTCCTGTTTATGATAAGGGGGTAGCTCATAGCGTGTGGTAAATAAAAGGCGTCTGAAAAAATGGGAATAAACCTGAAAAACAGTGTTTATGTTAATGAAATAACTAACATTAACCCCACGAGTCTAAGTCGACATTTTTTATCGAAATCCGGTTTTAATCAGCTGCCCTAATTTGCCAATAACCAGAACGAGCTAAAAAATGTATTGTTTGTTTACACACGCCTTAAGCACCATGTGACCAAAAATAGAGGTGATAAGTACTCAGCCTGGTTCTCAGTAGCCGTTCATTTCCGCTCAGCTCGAGCAAATCAGAACTTGATCACTTCAAAAAAACCAAATTTCCGATTTTTTTAGCATATTTTATTTAGTCTTGGTATAAAGTTTCAGAAGAGTATCTTGATGGGAAGGGCATTTCGACAAAAAATGTCGAATTAGACTCGTGGGGTTACGCCCTCCAGTTGGACTCGTGGGGTTAAGAATGCTCCGAATCTCAAGAGGTTCAGAAGTAAAGAATGTTGGAATTCTTGTACGGGTTCACCAGAAGCACATTTGAATTCGAGAGGATGAAAAAACTTCAATAACGTTTTTGAAAACAGGAGCTAAATGTCGGCGAACGGACTTATCTTTCATTGGCCGAGTCCCCCTTTAATCTCTATAATCACTTATTTGATTTAATGACAAGATTAATGAGAAGCGCCGACCAAGTAAGTGTCCAAAATTAATCCAAGCATATTTTAGCTAATAATGCTACAGAAGGTATTGATCTATCCAGACTTTCATATGCCGCATAATATGTATAAGAAGCTTGCTAAAAAGTAACCAAGTAAGGTTGTTTAGTCATCTACCGAAGAATCTGAAGACTTTACCATAATCTAAAATTTTTCAATTAAATTATCCAACGTTACGTGTAAAACCATTCAAAATAATTTTTTTAAATAAGAATAACATAAAAAGAGCAGTATAGAGCTCATTATCCTCGTGACTTGCTCTTGATGCGACTCTGGCTCTCGCAACATCGGCTCTCGATCGCCATCTGAGCTTTCACCTCATAAATACTACGCGGAATGATTCTTGTTTAAGCATTATCGTGAAAAAAACACGAAAAATGAAACTTTTTACTTTTTTATCTGTTCAATTAGCCGAGGCAGTTGTATTTGACGAGACATGGATGATAAAAGGAAGAACAGGGCGGAGAACTCGACTTCAGAGTAACCAAGCTGATGCTCAAGCCTATTGTGAGAACCAAGGGGGGACGATGGCGTATTTCAAAAATGAAGGGGAGTTCGCGCTTTTTAGCGAAGAAGAAGTCGGATGGAAGCTCGTGCGTCTTGGATACACTCGAGCAAACGAATCTGATCCTTTCATTGCTACCAACGGAGATACGGATGTTTACACCGATTTCCGGTATTTAGAACCAAATGTTCAACCAAGCAACGGGTTTTGTACCTATCTTCGACTGACAAGAAGAAAAAAGTGGACTGAAAAACAAATGAATACGATGACACAAGAGAAGTGCGACAATCAAAAGAGAATGTCATTGTGTAGATTTGAAGAAGGCACTCCAGAAGCGAGGATCCGAAATGGAGATGACTTCTCAAGATACGAGGTTGCGGACATAACTGCCAACTTTGAAGACGCATCTGCTTACTGCCACGAGAGAGGAGGCTACTTGCCCTACAATCTTGAATACGATATCGGAAACTATACTGATCAAGATCAATGGACTGGGCTTCGAAGATTTGGCAACAGCTTTGTCGACACAGTCAATAGAGAATTCGAACCAAGCGACGATGACTGGGATGTGAATGAGCCAAGTTCAATTAAAGGCGGCGGTCAATGTGTTCAAATTGGTAGAAACTCAGATGGTGATCTGAAATTAAAAATGCAAAACTGTCTACAAAAACTACCTTTTCTCTGTCGATACAATTACGATTGTAACAAGAACATTGTATCTAACAGACGAAGGCAACTAACAGTTGGACAACCAATGTTTCTACAGGATCTTCAATGTTCAGGAAGCAACGAGTGGTCTATTGGAGTGTCTTTCAAGTGCAAAAACAGCAAAGCAGACCCTGCTGAAGACTTGGTAACTATTGTAGACAATGATAATCCGTCAACTCCCTTCTTTCGAATTCATCGACCTGCTTATACATACAACTACGAAATTATAATGTAAGTAAAGTTGATATTTAAACCAAATATAATTAAAAATAGCCCGAAAATGTCTGAGAATACAGAAGTTGAAGGAGAATTTTTCAATCCCTACCCGGGCCATGTTCATGTCCGCGACAGAGAGGAGCCTTCGCCAATGTACAAGACTTGGATGTGCTCAAGTAGACCAGAATCAGATGCGAATCTCGAAATAAGGCAAACTTTTTGCCCTGAAACAGGCAAATACACAAAATCGTTGTTCTGGAACAACTTGGAACGAATGCGCTACGTTGACGACGTTCCGAGCCGCATCGCGAATCTTGAGTTCTACATTGGAGGAAACTCTAACCCAGCGACAGAGATAAAGTATTTCAGTGTTGGTCAAATGGACAAGTATGGCGGTCAATGCGATGTTAATCAATATGATTGCGTTAAACCAGACAATACGACAATCCCATATGGATCAGCCGAATGGATGTATGGAAAGAAAGGCAACAACAGACGAAGACGAGGCAAATGTTATTGTATGTCCAGGGGTCAATACAAATGCGTGCGAATGGATGGAAGAGATTTTTGATCAATTTTTGCTTACTTTCTGTCAATTGTCAAAATGCAAATCATCTTTTTTCTCTGAATAAATATACATATTTTTTAAAGCGCCTGAGCTTGCTCATTTATAAGAGATTACTACAGTTGCGAACCAATGCTTAATAATTATTAAATTTATTCCAAATATTTTTCTTGTTTCTAGAACCTTTTACAAGAGATTTGGTCCATCTTTAAGAAACTACTAATAGTAAGATGATCTTACAGACAATTTATTTTTGATAAAAATTCCTTGCCAATTATTTATCATAATAAAAGCATTAAAAATGGTGATGAATGATGTCATTTCAACAATATCTAATTCATCGGACTCTTTCGACATAAATTCCTGTAGGATCCACAAAAAGATTGATCGGAAAAGCGTTTATCTAGACCGAATTTACAAACCAAATTTCCGATTTGAAAAATAGCAAGCAATATTACTGCTAAATCTTTGTGTCATCCACCGAAACAATAAAATCGCAATTAAATAAAAAATAAGAGACTTAGGTCGTAAACCCCTAGCGGGAGTACTTTAGACGAATAACTCTGATTCAATGGAAGAACAAAGTAGGTACTCCTCTATGATTTCAAGCCGTTCATCTCGAAGCAGGATTCCGTTCCTACACCAAATCCGATGAGCGTTGAGCTGTTGAAGACGAAATAGGTTGACGCCTATCCGAATAATAGGACTGCTGGCAATTGACGAGCTTAGATCATAAAAATTCTCATTCCGAATAAGAGTGCCCAACTTCGCCCAAGACCATCTTATTTGCTACGAGAGAGCACTTAGAGATCAAAATAGGAGATGGGCAGCGGCCAGTCCAGAAACATCGATCCAAGTAAGAGATAATCGAGAAGACAGGAAAAGTGCATAAAGAACTATTCTAGCTCAATGTCCGGAGACTTGCAGTGACGCGTATGCATGTACTTCCATAACGAAAAATGCGGCCAGTCAACACACCGATTATGCTTGCAGATTGAGTAAGTAACAATCAGTCAATGCTGATTTTTAAAAAATCTCTTTGAAAGATGAAAACGCAAGAATCGGGCTCATCGCTGGTTTCTCTGCTTTGGCGTTTCTTCTCTTTGTTTTGATCATGATCTGCTGTTGCCTGAAATGGTAAAGTTGACTTTCGACCTTCCAAAACCATCAACCATCTCGTAGCCGACGAAACAAGCGAGTTGTTCCGACGAAGAAGAACTCTCCTGATAGATGTGGCTGCTGTTGTTTTGATCCTGAATTCGCCGAACCTGAGCAACGAGCCCCAACTCCTCCTCCACCAAGAACACCCACCCCACCTCCACGAGTCAAAACTCCACCTCGTAAGTCAACGCACTCAGAATTAACAGGTGGGAAAATGAACATTTACCGTTTCTTTTCTAGCACGCGACGAGTTGACATACGGCGTCGTGCCCGAAAGCGCGGTCCCTGTCGCTTCCGACAGTCCATCTTCCGCCCTTTCTGATGAAGAAGGAATCGGCCGTGTGAACATCTTGAACACGAACGTTGTTAGACCAACTGACTTTGATCCCAAGTCATCTTCTTCTTCCTCCTCCTCTTCCTCCGACTCCGAGTAAATGGTTACGAGGACAAATAAGGAAAAGATTTTCAAAAGCTCATTACTTTTTTTCGGAAGAATTTCTTTTCGAAAATCTTGACAAAGATATTAAGACAAGTCTTGTCTGCCAACAAAACCGTCAATTTCATGACAAAGAGGAATACCAGCTACTCTTATCTTTTTCCAAGCATGTTCAATAATTTTATATTTCGACTGTCTATTCAAATAACTGTTCACTAGAACACTTGCAAATTTCAACTCTAACCCTCAATTCAATTATCTGTAAAACTCAGCATAAAATAAATTTTCTACCTTTTTACGTTATTTCTTAGGACAAAGAAGCTCCTACGCTTCTTTGAATTCAAAGATATCATATTCTTCATAACAAAATTTGAAAGGAAGTCAGGCTAATCAGCAGGATTCTTCAACTGTTCGCAGAGAAACAAGGGAGATGGGGAATTCATGGGGCGACACAAGTACCGACCATAACATTTTATCTTGTTTCTATTTGTTCAAGGGTATTGTCCGTACAACTGCGGACCGCACAATACAGAATCAGTCTGCGTTTGGAATGTTCCAACTGTAGAAAACGGATATCTCGAAGGTTACACCTGTGAGCTAAGTCAGTTTCACTCCATATCTCACTTTATGAGAGACTTTTTTCTAGCGGAGAAGGGGAAGGTTTTCGTCGGCCTGATGTTAGGCCTCGGTCTTGGATTGCCGGCACTAATCGGCCTGCTAGTCGGAGTTGGTTGTCTGATTTGCTGGCGCCACAACTACATCAAATGGTACCTAAATCAAGCACTCTGGATTTCAGAGTCTGGAACAATAATTTTTTCTAGCGTTCGTCAAGAACTTGGTTCAAATGAGTGTGGAGTGCGCTACAATTGTGTATTCACCGAGAAGTGCAAGTCCAAATGTGTCTTAGTGTAGTCACTGTAATCACGAAAAATACTGTCGGTTTACAAACATCTAAGGATTTATTTTCATACAGTTTTTGACGGAACGAAATTGATACATAAATAAAAGCTTTTTTTTAATTATAATTAAACGATGGTCTAGCCACGTTGTTCCTTTTTGATTTCTTTTTCAGCTTTCAGATCTTTTCGTTTTTGCTATAAAAAAATGTTAGAAATCTTAGAGCATCGAATAGTTTTCTTTACCTTATTTTCTGCTTTTCTCTCTCGCTCAGCTTGTGCCTCTTCCTTGTTAGCTTTTTTAGACTCTCGCAAACTTTGAGCTTCTTTTTTGTTTTCCGCTCTCTGTGCTTTCAGAGCTTTGGCTTGTTCTTTTTCCAGCATTTCTGAGGCCTTATTTTCAGCGAGAATTTTCAGAGCTTCTTTGCGAACAGCGCGATCGTAGGATTTTTTCATTCGCTTTTGGAGCACTGTCGAAAGGTTGATGATCTTGTTGTACTCAGGGCAGCCTAGAGAAGGGTTGAATTTGAGGAGTTGGAAAGAAGGATGTTACCTGCGATGTATTCATCAGCGATGGCTTGGTAAGTGTTTGTAATATCATCGATTTTGCGCAAAACCTGCGCTTCCGCCTTCACTTCCTTTTTATTGCCAGATCTGAAGCCGATCGAAGTCATGGATTCCCGACAGTTGCTATTTCTAGCTGCAGATCGGGTCTTGGCGATGAGATCTCGCATTGTGTTGGAAATCTTTCGCGTAATTCTTTCTTTTCGAAGAGCATCGGCTCCAAATTGGTCATTCCAGGCAGTAACTCGGGCTTCGACGTCGAAGAGTTTGACAATCAACGGATCGTCGGGGTCAATTTCGGGCTCTTCTTTTGGCTTGTTCGCCTTCTTTTCCCGCCGCTTTTCCCCTTTGATTTTGATATAATAGCGAAAAACGAACGAAAAACTTACTTTTCGTCTTCTCTTTAGTTTCTTGAGTCTCAACCTCTTTGTTCTTTTTATTTTTTCCAGCTTCGACCAACGCCGCCGCGCAAAAAATCACGAAAAACAATCTCATGCTTCCAGAGACCTAGCTTTTTCGGAAATGACTCTGCCCTGCTCATTTTTTTCTTTGCGATTTGCATGGAACATGTTGGCACCTGACAGCTGAGCGTTCCTCGCATCAGCTTGGCAAGTTTTGCCTTTATCGTCGATAAATTTGTTGAACATGATTTTACACCGCGGATTCTTCAGAATGCCTACTTTGAGGTTCTTTTGATACCTGAATCCTACTGATTCATTGATACCTACTGTTTCCCATCCTGCATCTCATCCCTCTTACTTTATAAAGCAAAACTGTACAGTGAGTGTTGCCCGTCCCTTATTCGCATTGACAAAACTAACAGAAAATAAAGCGACCATCAGCCTAATTTCGGACAGAGTTGCAAATTTTGGTTTATTTTTGCTGAGCTGAGCTGACCTTCGTGAAAAATTCTATGAGCTGAGCTGAGCTGAGCTGGCCTATTTTGAAGCTCAATGAGCTGAGCTGAGCTCAGCTGAGCTGCCCTTCTTCATAGGTCATTGAGCTGAGCTGAGCTGAGCAGACCTTTTTTTAGGTAGTTGAGCTGAGCTGACCCTAATTTGAGCTGAGCTGAGCTGAGTGAGCTGAACTGAGCTGTTTTTACTGTATTTTTAGTAACTAAATTGTGTTAAAATCATTGAGCTGAGCAGAGCTGAGCTGAGTGATACTTGTCTGAGCTGAGCTGAGCTGAGCAGAACTGATCATGTTCAAAAATTATTGAGCTGAGCTGAGCTGAGTGATAATTGTATGAGTTGAGCTGAGCTGAGCAGATCAGATCATTTTAGAAAATTACTGAGCTGAGCTGAACTGAGCGACTGCTCAGCTCACTCAGCCAGCTCAGCTCACTCAGCTCAACAAATTTGCAACTCTGATTTCGGAGAAATTTCCGGTTTTGATTAACATCTTGATTACCATTTTCGGCGAGCTTACATTGATAGAAGTACTAATAAACTCATCCTGATGTCTATCTTAATAACCAAATAACCTATTCCCGGAAATATAAAGAACTCATTCCATTTCCATTTCTTTAGTTTTGAGATTATCTGAATAATCAAATTTCAAAATGCCAAAAAAGAGAGTTGTGAGAAACTTTGGTACTTATTTATTTTCGTCTGGGCTCTTCTTGATCAATTGTAAGTACAAAGAATTGTAGGTACGAACATTTAGTCTGAAATTATCATTATCGCCTATCGATGATAATAAATGAGCGCTAGAATATGGATTTTCTTTAGTTTATAACTTTTGGCTGGAGTGCTCTGGATGAAATTTACCGAGACAATGGCTTTTATTCATCTGGATGTGAAGTTAACGATGATGATAAACTCAGTGATACAAATCGATTTTGTCCAAGTCAAAGCGCAGCGATTGAAAATATTATGGTTCTTGGTGGCGGTCTTTGTGAAGTTTTTATGTTTATTGGAGGAGTTTTAAGAGATCACCTTGGATTTGGACCGACTATACTGATCACCAAATCACTTCTGACAATTTCCTACGTTCTCCTCGCTAATGCTCGACCGGGAGTCTCAGATGTTCTACTGTATGGATGGGTGCTGCAATATGGCATCGCTTCTATTCTACTTATAGTATATTTTCAACTAGGAAGACTTTTCGACAATCCCAGCATTTTTATGTCGCTGCTGATGACCATTAACACTCTGGGCACTTTTGTTCCCGAACTATGGAAGTATTTATACATCGAATTTGGCGTCACTCCACAGAATATGGCTTCGATTTTTGCTTCAATCACAGCAATTTCCATGGTTTTTTCGGTTGTATTTATGCCTTGGTATAATGTGAAGACAAAAACATCATTCATCACTCTTCTAGGTCCGGGTTTCTTTTTATAACTACTTGGGACTTAACTTACTTTGGGAACCCTGCTGCTTTCGCTGAATTTTGAGTTTAAAGTGAAATCCGACATCAGAAATTCTGAAACAAAAGCTTCCCTTGATTGAGTATTCACAAAGAAAGATGTTAAACTCATCAGAAATCGAGGAAGACTCAACCTCTTCTTGGCAAAAATACCGAGTTTTCCTCAATCCCAACTACTTTGCGGGTATGTCCGTCTTCGCCTGTGGCAATTTCATAAATCATACTGTTCTGGCATTAATGACGGAGATCATACGTAAGTTGATTTCTGATGGCTTTTAACCAGGTTCGATTTAAGAGAAGAATGATGAAAAAATCCTCGAAAAGGGCTCAACAGTCTCTCAGGTCAACACCCAATTCAACATCTCCAGAATTGCTTTTGGTTGCCTTCTCAAATTCTCTTTTGGACTCTTGGTTACCTTCACCCAAAAAAAACTCTCCGGCGGCGACAAGAACTTGATTCCCTTTTTCCTTCATTTGGTGGCGTTGACGTTGTGTATTGTTGGGCTTGAAACCGCTCATACACTTGAAGGAATGTGGACTCTTTTTGTTGCCTTTGGTATGCTTCAAGCAACGCCGTATTTCTACTACTATCAAATCATAATGCTTTGCTTTCCATTCGATACTCATGGATTTGGAATAACCTCACAGGCAGAGTTGCAAATTTGGCTATATTTTCGCTGAGCTGAGCTGAGCTGAGTGAGAAATTCTCTGAGCTGAGCTGAGCTGGCCTATTTCGGAGCTCACTGAGCTGAGCTGGCCATTTTCAGAGGTCATTGAGCTGAGCTGAGCAGACCTTTTTTAAGGTAGTTGAGCTGAGCAGACCCTAATTAGAGCTGAGCTGAGCTGAGTGAGCTGATTTGAGCCAATTTTTACTGTTTTTTAGTAGTGAAATTATGTTAAAATCATTGAGCTGAGCTGAGCTGAGCTAAATGATACTTGTCTGAGCTGAGCTGAGCTGAGCAGAACAGATCATATTCGAGAATAATTGAGCTGAGCTGAGCTGAGCTGAGTGATTATTGTCTGAGCTGAGCAGGTAAATTCATTTTCGAAAATCAGTGAGCTGAGCTGAGCTGAGCGACTGCTCAACTCACTCAGCCAGCTCAGCTCACTCAGCTCAGCAAATTTGCAACTCTGCTCACAGGACCTTATCGGAGCCTTTTTCAATTTTCTTGGCTATCCCATAGTATTTGCTTATGAAAAAACAGCAAATTTTGATGCGTTGAAGCAAGGCGTTTGGATCTGTGGATTTATTGGTGCTCTGGTATGTATAATTTATATTTAGTTTACTCTAATAATTATTAGCCACTCATTCTGCACTTGCCATTTGCATTTGAAATTGGGCCAAAATGGTTCCTGAAGTTGGACGAAAGAAGAAAGCAAAAGATGAATGCTGAAGCTAGTAATTTATGTCATGAAATGCAAGAAAGCAATAAAGAAATACTGTAACAGATTAAGGGCAAATTAATTTTATTGAAACATTTTTATGTTTTCAGACGATTTTGTAAAGAGATTGGACGATGATGGCGGCGATAGTTAAAACGAAAAAAGCAAATGCGCCCCCACACATCCACTAAGTTTATGGTCAAAATGATCGTGCTCGTAAAAAGGCCTACTACTTCTACGCTAGTGTGGGTTAATAACGGTACTCGATGATCGACAGGTCATTATTGACCACAATTCATCAGGCGTGTGCACTCGCATTTTTTCCTTCTTTCGGCGTGTTTTTTGCGACGTATTTGCTCCGGTCCTTTTGCGAATTCCTCGGAAAGAAACAGTTGTTCAGGGAAAGAAAATGCTCTGCAACTTACCTCAGTTGTGAGATCTGTCCTTTGGCACCAGAGTGAGTAGGAGCTTGTTCGTCGAACGCAGATATTTACCGTGTGATCCAGTTCCCTGAGAAGCTGTCTGACGAAATCGGCATGCTAGGAAGAAAGTGATACTTTTTTCCCACTCGACATCGAAAAATTTTCTTACCCGAGTACTACAGGGCGTGTTGTCAATAGAAAGAATAATGTCGCCCTCTCGAAGAACCTCTAATCTTGGAATCATCAGACTAAGCCCTCTGTATATTCTATCTGCTGATTCCAAACTCATAACAATAGCTTGTGCAAACTCGTTTATATGCGACACAACAACACTAAATACAAAATAGATTGTTGATTGACCATTTTTCCTACCCGCTTGGGGAATCTTCAACGTCAAATCCGAAAACTTTCACTCCAAGCTTTATCGAAGTTCTCTTTACTGTAAAATGCTGAATATAACAGGACATACTAATTTTGAGGAAAGACGAGTTCGCTATGGTTCTTCAAGGGCTAAAACAAGCGAATCGTAAAAGAAGAGGATTAAATCTTGAAGGATAACATTTTAGTCGACTGAACCTGCAAGAGCAGCTTTTTAGTCTAAGACTTTCGACTTTCTATTAAACTCAAAATTTATTAGAATCCAACAAAAATTGAAACACAAACAAGAATTATTAGGAAGATAGTAAAGACAATGCCGCCAATCCACTGGCCTTCTGGTCAAAATTATTTCAGATATTTTTAATTTTATAAATACAAGTTAACATCTTTGACCACGAATCAAACAAGGAGTCCACACTTCCTTCCAGTTCGGTTTTGCTTTCTTCTTTCCTTCGCTCATGGGCCCTTTTGCGAACTCCTAAAACAAACTCAGTACAAGTAAGATCGGACTAGAAAAGGACCTCTGTTGTAAGATCATCTCTTTGGCACCAGAGAGAGTACGAGCTTGTCCGTCGAACACAAACATGAATTGTTCCATCTGTATTTTTCAGAGTGTTTCTGACAAAGTTGGCATCCTTCAAAGTCTTGGTTAAATTCGCGTCTCGTGTTTTTACCTGCGTACTACAAGGCGTGTTATTTATGGATAGAATTATGTCGCCTTCTTGCAAGACTTCAATAGCATGTGCATTTTCGTTAATATGCGAAACAGCAACGCTAAAACATATAAACGCAACTCTCTCAAACCTCGTACCCATTTGTGGTATTTTCAACATCAAATCCGTATATTTTCACTCCCAATTTGATCGCCTGTTTCTTTACTTCAAAGCTCTGAATATAGCAGGACATGATAATTTACTAAAAAAAAAAAAAATTGAACAAAAATAAACAACGCCGTTTCTGGCAGTTAGACTCCTCTAATCGTAAAAAAAGGGATTATATTTTAAATGTTAATATTATAAGATTATCGCTGTCAGTCGTGGAGCGAAAATGATTTTTGGTATTTCTTCCGGGGTGTTCGAATCCCGACGATGACACTTTTTTTCGCTTCAAAGAAGAAAATTTCGCATTCCAAAAACAGCCGCGCGCTGATTGGCCAGAGCGCGCGCCCTTGCAGATCGATCCACTATTTTTTCAATTTCTCGATTCTAGAGACGCTTTATTTCCGAATTTTCAGAGATTCGTGGGAAGAACGAAAAGAGATGAAATAATGTCCGAAGCCGGCTGCGAAGAACTGGAACACAAATTAGAAACATTCGTCGAAACAGTTCGTCAAATCGGAATCATCGTCCACGATTTTCAACCAAATAGCCAAACAGTTTTGAACAGAAAACTCGAAGAAGTTGTCAAAGGAAAAGGGTTTTATTGCTTTTTTATACAGTTTTTTATTGTTTGATTTCCAGTAAGAAAAGAAAGTCTACTCGTGATTTCGATAATTGACTGGAGGACCTTTTTCGTTCGCTCGTTCCAAAAACGGCTTGCTGAAGATTTCAATAAGCCGATTGACCCGTTCTCCGACAGTTTTAGTACAGTCATCTCCAGAGCAAACATTTTTCTTCATGTTCATAAGGGTTGCGATTACGATTACCAAAATGATCAGAAAAACGACTGTCAGGACGATTTTTTGAACTGTTCCGTGAGCTAAAAAGTGTTAAACAGCGGTAAAAGAAAGTAAAAATACCTTTTCGATTGGCTCTTTTTTGAGCTTCGACGAGATCTTCAGGGTCCCAGCCGGTAAATTGGCAAATGTACTTGTTCTCGATTTCTTGATCGTCTCCTAGCCACTCGTGGTAAGTTATTTCCTTATTATCTTCGTCCTCGGTCTTTCAAAAAAGTCTCCAATCATCCCTTTTTGATAGTTTTTTCAAAAGATTGGACACCTTCCGTAAAAGTCATGAGCATTTCGACCATTTCGCTCATCGAAAATGCTTGTAGTTGATGATTTTGAATCCCTCCAGCTTAAAATATTCCATAAAATTTGGCCCAAATTTTGTCCCCTTACAAATTTGGTACGTCTCAATCCATCTTGAAAGCTGTTGCACAAGTTCTACCTTGTGCATGGGCACATCAGGAAGCCATCCAGCCATATCAGCTGGATTGTCCGGTGTACCAGTTCTTATCACCATTTTTCAGGGATCTCACCAGGGCTGGTAAATTAGCGCACTATTTTCTCTCGAAGAAAAAAAAATTAGCGCACTAATTATTTTTTAGAGACATTTTCGCGTCTTTCGCGCCTTAAGTGCACTAAAATGACACTAATTTTTCCTCTTGGGGAAATTAGTGACTTTTCGAGAGCCGATCAGCACTAAAGACGCGAAAAAAGAGGCTCTTTCTCATCATCCAATAGGATGATAGTCCCGGATCTCTTCCCGGATGATAGTTTCATGGAAGACGATTTTGATCAGGGAAGAATTTCTTCAAACTGAAACTGCTAGATATATAAAAATCAATGCATCGTAAATATGACACAATTTAATTTGAAAAATATTACTTATTTAGTAACAAATAAGTTGAAAAAAATAAAAGTCAACTTGTTATTGAAATTGTTATCAAATATTGTAGTTCGGGGTCTGAAGATCATATTTATGATAAAATATGGGTTGATGTAAACAAGAAAACGGGTCTACGGCCTCTCACCCAAAAATGGGTCGATATGCGTTCCGGGAAAAATCTATTTCATGCGTTCCGGCGTTAAGAGCTCTTCTCAGTATCTTTATTCATAGAATCATATTTATTTCATAATTTAGAAGGGAGGTCTCCTCCTAAATTCACGCTTACTTCCTTGATTTCTTAATTTAAGGGGCTTGACGGCCCTTCAATCTCAGTTCTGTCCCCAACCCCATCGTTTAAAAAATTAAATTTTCTTACAGTGAGTTGCGCAGGTAGTTGCCCACTAAAGTGCGGGTGAAGGGGCAACCAATCCTGCAATCACTTTGAGCGAGTCTAGAAAGGAACAATAGAAAAAGCGCGTATATAATAATATATAATAAATTTTATTTTGTTAATAAAGAATTATATCAACAATTCGCACAAGGCTCCTCCAGCTGCAGACTTTTGAGGACACCGAAATTAGTCGAACAATGACAAGAAGAAGATTGACAAGAAAGGGAAAAAGCAGGAATAACAAGCTGCGGATGGCCCTTCAATAAAAAAAATTAGGGAGAAGACCTCCCTAAGAAAGCTTATCTTAGGCTAAAAGTCTAAGCTTATCATTCAAATCCAGCACAAAAAGAATTGCAAACTAAAGTTGAATTGTATTTTTCCCTATATAATATAGGCTATATTTGTTACTTTATATTTATAAAGAAAATTAACAAATGAATTGACAAAGTCTTTTTTGACTTTATATTCAAATTCTCGCCCTCAATTACCCAATCCACTTTTTTGAAACCAAACTTTTTGAATTTCTAATATTTGCGAAGTTTGAAATTCTCAAACTCACGTATTCTTTAGAATTAAAGAGCCCGCGCTCATTGGCGGGCCAATCAGCAGCCCTTATTTTCGACACTTTTCGAGACACACGCGAAAGAGACGCGAAAGTCACTAAAGTCTCGACAAAATAAATTCGCGCACTAATTTTAGTGCACTAAAAATTTTCGACAGATTTTAGGACGCGAATTTACCAGCCCTGGATCTCACAACTGAACCTCGAACATAATCAGTTTCATAAACAGTAGATATTATCTAGAAACTTTCGAAAACCCCTTCCAACAGGCCTGAAAGACATCGATCAAGCAAAGAACAAGGTCAACAGAAACGTTCCAGTCGAAGTTCTTGACTACATCGACAAGGGACAGAATCCATCTTTGTACACCAAAAAGTGCCTGGACCGAGCGCTTCAGAGCAACGAGCATATCAAGGTAAATCATAATCGAGGACGATCTATCATCACTTCTTCAAGGGAAAACTCGAAGTTCTGGGCGAGTTCCGAACTGAATTAGCGAAGCAATTGAGCCACGTCTACCCGAAAACGCTTGAAGTCTACAAAGAGCATCGAAAAGACCTTTGAAGATGCTGAAAGGCGGCTTCAAAATCCAAGGCAAGAAGGGGGCAAAAATCCAGAAACTGCAAACCAATGCTTTTGAAAAAGTTGAATCAACGAAAAATGACGCTGTCGCGATAAAAGATATTGACGAAAAGGGTTTGAAAATCAAAGAAAAGGAGGAGGATTTGGTCATTCCATGCATCAAGGTTTGAATTCAAGGTAGAATTATACTGGTTCTAAAAATCTTCAGGTAAATCGGTGGAAAGGAGGTGCAGGAAACAAGCGAAAAGCTGGGGTAGATCTTGGAGCAGAAAATGCGAACAAAAAACAATTCAAAGATGAAGTTATGGATGAAGCTGCGAAAGCAGTTCTACAGGATGCAAATCGATTCCTAGAAGGTAGAGTGGGGTTCAGTCGGTTGGGGAACTAACGGTTGATTTAGTTCAAGAAGAAAACAAGGGAGATAATTTGAATATTCCATTGATGGCGATTAACAGAGTGCCAGAAGGTCAGGAAGCAGAGACTGGAACATTGAGGGTTGATGCTAGAGCGGATGTTTCAAATTTAGACGATTATGATGCAGTTCCTATTGGTAAGATTTTGTTCGAAAAGCATTCTGCTAAATATTTCCTTTAGAAAAGTTTGGTCTTGGGATGCTCCGAGGAATGGGCTGGAAAGAACAAGTAGGAATCGGCAAAAACAAGCAAAAAATTGAAGAAATTCGACCAACAGTCAGACCAAAGGGACTTGGTCTTGGAGCAATTCCTGCTGCCATGAAAAAGGCGCAAATAAGGGAAGACAATAAGAGTCAAAATAATCTTGAGGTTTGTTTCTTACCGAAATTCTTTAGCTAAACCATGTTTTTCAGATGAGAAAAGGAGCATTTGTTGAGATCATCGATGGGCCTTACAAAGGAAGATATGGAAAAGTCACTTCTTTAGGGACGGGTTAAACTCTATTCTGGTTGATAGAATCAACAAAGTTTTTCGGGTTTTAAACCTTGAAAAAGATGGAGATCTTGGCCGTGTCACCGTCCAATGGGCCCTTGGAAAGCATGGAGAGCCTTCTGAGGTCCTCGAAGGTTTCACAAAAGTCGTTTCGAAGAAAGAATACGACGACTGTGGGAAAGATATCTCCCTCGCCAACAAGGACAAAATCGAAAAGAAGAGAAAAGCTGACGAAAGAGCGCGAAAAGTCGAAAAGCTCAAGGAAAAAGCTGTCAAGTAAGATTTGAACTTTTTTTCGTTAGATATTTAGTTTTTATTCAGACCAGAAGGAGTTAAATGGTGCCATCATGGATTAATTGTCAAGTTTGTCGGCAACAAAGACTCAAAGCATTACAAGAAAAAGTACGAAGTTCGAAAAAGTGTGGCTAGAGATGAAATTCATGCTAGAAGTCTGCTAACTGACAGGATTTCTGAATTTGATGAACGAGACTTTGGTGAGTTTTCCCCCCTTTATCCATCACCAACCTTTTTTTCCCTAGAAACTGTGATCCCAAAGAAAACCGGTTCCGTAATGATGGTGATTGCTGGATCAATGAAGGGCGAGTTTGGCAAGATCATCGACCGAGACGACAAAAAAGAAACTGTTCATCTCGAGCTTTTCAACCTGCGGCGCGACGTCGAGCGCTTCAAATTTGACAATGTTTGCGAGTTCAATGCTCTTGCTGCCGATTTCGAAGATTAAAAAAAGTTTTCCCTTCTTTCTGCTTTACTATTCTTTATTGACAAGAAAATTTATTGTGACTAGTTTATTAAAATTACCAAATTTAAACTGAAACCTGCCCATTTTCGTCTGCGCCTTTTCCGTGCCTATTTTTAAATGAATACAATTATCGCAACAGAAAATTAAAACAAATCTTCAAATCTCAGAGTTGAATAATGAGTGACTCGGACGCTAGTTCCGATGACGAGCGCCCAACGAACTTGGCCTCGTCTGGGTCTGATTCTGAGCCGGAGCCAACTAGAAAAAGAGCGATCGAGGACTCCGACGATGATGACGAGGACAAGGCTGAGGAAGAAGAAGAAGAGGAGGAAGAGATCGAAGAGGTAAGGCAGCATCTTCCTTATATAGAAACTTTTTGTCGGAAAACAAGAAAAATGTCTGCAAAACTGCTTATTTCTAGCCGAGGCCGAAGAAAAAGCGAAAGAAGCGACGAGACAGAGTGAGGGAATTTTTCGACGACGGCGCAGACGTCGCCTCGTCTGACGAAGATAGCGAGGGAGACGGATATGGCTTCGAAACGGAACAAAAAGAAGCGGAAAATCTTGAGGAAGAGATTTACAAAAACTCCCGTCTCAATCGTAAGTTATCTAATTAAAATAATTTATTTGATGGACATGTGGGTGTACACGTATTCTTTGTCGAGGAGACTGGTGAATTGCTCGATGTTCATGGAGGTGAAATCGCTCGTGTCTTTGTTCCCCTTTCGCGTGTTTCCTTCGTAGATCATTCGTTGAGCGATGCTTTCTGAAATCGATAATATTTTCCGGTTTTTTATGAACTTACTAATGGTTGAAATGCAGACTTTATTGCCCATCATATGCCGGAGCAAGATGACAATGTCGTCGCGTGTTATCTGACCATCGCTGTTTACATCGAACATTTCGTAAATAAGCGCAATTTTCTTTTTGATCAGCTCCTTCTTTTCCTCCGGATTTCGCGATTTTCGGAAGGTCGCTAGAATAAGTTCACTAGAGTAGAAAACAGCCCCGGCGAATACCGATAACTTTGCAAAAGCGCATGAAATCACAGTGCCCAGTATCTGTATGCAGGAACATCTCAATGACTTGTTCGCCAAGGACATTGTGACAAAGTCCATTTATCCCGTGAAAATCCATCGTGTCCAAATATCGCTTGTGGCATCGATCGAGTGAGCCGAACCGTCTGTAAGGCTTGACCATTTTACTTTTAATCTTATTTCATTAAAAAGAGCCTTTCCGGAAGAGGTAATCGACATCTTTGGGTGAGAAACCAGTTTGCTTGATAACTTCTTCTCGGATCCCAGCGTAGTAGGAGTTGTAAAAGTGTCCGTCAGATAACGAAGCTAAACATTCGATAATCAATCAGGCTAATTAATAATCTTGATTTAATTACTTTTTGGGAAATACCGCGAAGATCTTCTCCCAATGCTCAAAAGCCCAGTCAACACTGTGACAATAAGAATAGAGAAGAGCGCTTCGTAAAGCATCGTTATTTTCTCTTTGAAATGAAATTCCGAAGTAAGAATAACTGATAATGATCTAGAACAACGATACGAGGATGTTGACGAAGCTGAGATTTTGGCGCGGCTCGAGGAGCGCTACGCCGCTCCAGCTGGAACCGCTGATCGTCGACAGGAGTACGACAGTTTCGTCGACAATGATATCTCTGAGAACCAGCTTCTTCCTGACGTCCACGACCCCAACTTGTGGATTGTCAAATGCGTTATTGGCACAGAAAGGTAAAATTTATTGAAAAATGTCGTTTAATATCAATGTCTTTCAGGGAGAATGCGCTGAAGTTGATGAAGAAGTTCATCTTCCAACAGAGCAAGGAATCCCCGTTGCAGATCAAGTCCGTTGTCGTTCCTGAATCGGCCAAGGGATTCATCTACATCGAAGCATTCAAGCGGACTCATGTCAAACAAGCTGTGGAAGGCATCAATGCCTTGCGTCCTGGCGTCTATGAGCAGCAAATGGTTCCCAACACAGAAATGAAGGATGTCTTGCGAGTCATCAAGACCCAAGCTGCTCTCAAGGTACGATCAGAGCATCAATATTTTCTTTTAAAAGCTTTGTAGGAAGGCATGTGGGTGAGAATGAAACGAGGAATCTACAAAGACGATTTGGCGCAAGTAGATTATGTTGAGGATTCGCAAAATCAAGTTTGCGTCAAAATGGTGCCTCGTATCGACATGCAAAAGTTCCGAGGCTTCCGAGCGAGTGAGAATAAATCGAGAAGTAGAGCGAACGCGAGGCCACCACAAAAGCTCTTCAATGAGGATAATATTCGGTAGATTGTCCGCTTATTCACCGCTTGAATTTGTTATTCAGAGCTATCGGTGGAGAATTCACTAACGATGGTGACTTCCTCATCTTCGAAGGAGCTCGATACTCGCGAAAAGGTTATCTGTACAAGACGCTCAAGATGGACCTGATTCAAATCGAAGGAGTAAAGCCAACTTTGTCCGAGTTGGAAAAATTCGAAGATGATCCCAACAGAGCCGATGTCGATTTTGAACCTATGTAAATGCATTTAGAAAAGGCCGTGATTTTTAAAACAATTGTAGGAGTAATAAATCAGGCCGTTCGCACAACTTTGCGCCGGGAGATATGGTCATTGTTGCTGAAGGAGAACTGGCATATTTGGAGGGTAAAATCATCTCCATTTCTGGCAACAAAATCACGATGATGCCAAAGCACGAGGATTTAAAAGAAGCGCTAGAGTTTCCAGCGAATGAGCTGCGAAAAAATTTCAAAGTTGGAGATCATGTCAAGGTCATTACGGGAAGATATGAGGACGAAACTGGTCTGGTTGTTAGAGTTGAGGATACTGTCGTTGTTGTCTTCAGGTATTCTGATGAAAAGAGGTTATCGGTTGATAGAGCGGAATTCTAGTGACACGACAATGCACGAGCTGAAAGTGCGCCCAGAAGATCTTCAGGCATGCACAGAGAAATCCTCTGGCGTCGACAAGATGGGAAAATTCAAGCTCGGAGATATGGTGCAAATTGACGCGCAAAATGTTGGAGTCATTGTCCGCCTTGAAAAGGAGGCGTTCCAAATTCTTAACCAAAGAGTAATTCCATTTCTCAATTGTGAAGCAAATTTAATTGCTCCTTTGTAGGGTAAAGTGGAGCGATTCCGATCGGCGACGATTCAGAGACGGAGAGACTCGCACAATGCGGTCGCACTCGATGGCGAGCAAAATCCAGTTAGGCGAAATGATAAGGTCAAGGTGATTGATGGGCCACATAACGGGAAAGAAGGAGAAGTCAAGCATTTGTACAGAGGCTTTTGCTTCATCTACAATCGAAAGCACATTGATTCTGGTCGGTGTCATTTGCGTCTAACGAGGCATTAAATCTATTGTTAGGTGGTATGTTTGTTGCGAGAGCTCGACATCTTTCGCTGGCGGGTTCCAATTCGGGCGCAATCGCCTCTAATCTCGTCCCCATGTCGCCAAGAATTGCTCAATCCCCGCAGCGAAACGACGGGGGAGCAACTCCTGGTCGAGGCACTCCAGGAAAGCGCGGCGGTGCTGCTGCTTCTGCTCAGAGGTCGCAGCGTGACACGAAAATGATCGGTCAGACCATTCGAATCATTAAAGGGCCATACAAGGGTCACATCGGTATTGTCAGAGATGCTACACCTAACGACTGCCAGATTGAATTGCACTCTGACTGCTTCAAGGTAGAGATAAACGATGGAATTCTGATTTACAGATATTCTAGCATATCACAGTCAAAAAGACCAATCTGACTCACGTGGATTCACGCGGCAGAGGACCTGGAGGAAACTCGACTCCTTTCGGAAGAACACCTGCTCATGGCTCGCACACTCCTGCCTATCACAGTGGCGCAAGAACTCCAGCTTATGGATCTACAACACCGCGTGCTGATGGTTCAAGAACTCCTTCTCAATGGGACGGTGGGAGAACACCCCAGTACGATGGCGGAAGAACTCCGCGTGGAGAAGAAAATCCTTGGAATTCCAAAGGTATTTTACGAGGAGTTTTTGCAATTAAAAATGCTCGTAGTTGCGAATACACCGAGAGACGACAGCTTCGGAGACAGTTACGATACTCCACAAACTCCTGGAACACCATTCGAGAGTCGCCAATCCGATTATGCTCCTTCACCACAGTATGCTCCACAGACACCGAGCTACGACCAGAGCTCTACTCCTTACAGCATAAATCCATCCCCATCACCCGGTCCTTACTCGGACACTATCACTCCTTCACCAGCTTATGGATCGTCTGGTCCTACACCTTCTCCAGGGTAAGAGCTTTCTCTCGCTTTTTCTTGGCAATAAGAACATCCTTTAGTTACAAACCAACACCATCACCAGGTGGCTACGACGTCAGCCCGTCACCAAATGCATTCACGCCAATGAATTACTCGCCTTCAATGTCGCCAATGTTCGGCCAAGGCGACGGAAATATCAACAATGTGGATTGGCACTCGGAAGACATTGAAGTAACCATCAAGGACTCTCATGATGATGCAGGTTATCGTGGAAAGACTGGAATCATCAAAACTATCAGTGGACATGTTTCATCCGTTTGGGTTCCAGATCTTGACCAGGTAGGAATTTTTCAAAGAAAACAATGAATAAAACTTTGACCAAGACTGTATCTGTTGGAAACGACAATCTTTCGCCTGTGCAGCCACAAAAGAACCACAAGGTCAAGGTGTTGCACGGCGACGACCAAGGCCACACCGGAGAGCTCATCTCTATCGACGGCAATGACGGTATCGTTCGAATGGATGCCGATCAGCAACTCAAGATTCTCCAGCTCAAGTTCCTCGGCAAAATTGGAACTGCTGGCTCTAGTTAAATTATAGCGAATGTTTCTACTCGTTATGTTCCTTCTACTGTTCACGACCCAAACTTTCGGCGCTGACATCTATATTTAGGCACATTTTAAACATTGCCCAAGCACTTTTGCTAAAAACGTCCATTCGTAAAAAGATCTTATTTAGAAGTCGTTTTGAAGCATGGCTATTTTGACGCCGCTATTTTTCGTCTTTAGAAACTACAAGGTACAGGAAAGACTTATTATCTGATAATTATCATTCGAAAGGAAATCTCTGCCAAAGTAACAGCGGCTCTCTTCTGCAACATCCTCCTCTCCGCACTCTTCATTATTGTCCGCAAAACTCCTGGAATATGCGAATCTCTACCCAGCACGGAGGTTACTATTCCATAAAGAACCATTTATGAATTGCTAGAATACTCCTTGTGACTTTGACTGGCGAGAAATGGAAGCTTTCATGTTCCTCTCCTGTATCATCGTTATTAGAAATCGCAGTGCCTTGAGTTGGTATCAGACCTACTCGACTGCCCTTCAGTTTGCCAAACTCACAAGTGCTTATCTCTTCTGGCGAATGAACATTTACTTCGGCCTCTTCTACATTATCCGTAAGTGACCTTGTTCAGTTTATCGTTATTCCTGATTAGTTTGTATTATCCGACTTTACTTCCTCCCCGACGATCGAATCAAGCTTCCCGACTCTGTCGAATACCTCAACGACCTCCAAGAATGCTCCAAAGGTTACTGGCTGATCTGCCTCTACTCCACCTGGTCTCCTCAGTGCCAGAAGGTCGCTCCTGTCTTCTCTGAGCTCAGCCGCAAATACGCTTGCGAAGGCTTCAAATTCGGCAAAAGTAGTTGAAAATATCCTCTTCCTTGATTCCAAATCCATATTTTAGTTGATATTGGGCGACATGAGGATATCGCCAAGAAATTCAAAATCAGAACTGATTCCATGTCTCAACAGCTTCCTACAGTTGTCTTGATGCAAGACGGCGCTGGATTGCAAAAACGACCTGTCGTCCAGAGCAGCGGAAAGTTGCAAAAGTTCCACTTCACCGAGGAGAATATGATCCAAGCATTCCATCTCAATCAAGTTTACAACGAAGTCTCGAAGGGCAAGAAGCCCGAACAGAAGAAAAATGATTAAAATGATCATGGCCTGATTATTAGGATAAATCGAATTGCTTTATTTATTTTTTAAAAGTACTTTTTCGCGTGTAGCCAATAACTGCTTGTGAGATGAAGGAACACTTCAGTCTCGCATACTTCTGATTATTTCTTCAATGTGTGTGCCAATCTTAGCAAAATAAATGTTTTTACACATGTGACAGAGGTTAAAAATCATCTTTGCAGAATCTAATGAAGATATGACTTCGGATTCGACGAACAACATTTTTGCGTCTTCGATGCGGATCAAATCGGCCCCAGTGTCTGCTAAGCAGCGAACAAAGCCAAAGATGAACGGTGTCTTTGAAATGCCCTCATCTCGTTCTACCTCCCGCTCGACAGCTAGGAATACGAATAGAGGGAAACCAAAGCCTGCTTGGGCACAGCCTGCGGCACCGAAAAAGTCTGATAAGACACCTGTGAAATCAGCGAGGCTCGCTCGTCCGAAGAGTCCTGTTTCAGAGCACGAGCAAACTAGAATAATTTCCAAGGTGGATTCAAAAATAATCTTTTTTAATAAATTATTGAATAAGGCTTCATCAAATGGCACTCGCTCAACTCCAAGTTCATCGCCCACGTCTGTTCGCATGTCCGTATCTAGGAGCTTCCACATCAAACAACCCGCGATGATCGATTCAATCCGGCTTACAGAGGATACCTTAGAGCTACCGCGAGTGAGTAGTGAAAGTAGCTGCATCACTGAGTTCGAAAAGCGAGATCACGCGGCTGGGCGAATTCAACTTTGGTACCGACAGAGAAAATTTAACAAAGGATTGATGGAAGGACTCAGACGATTTCTAGAGCAAGAAAGGTATGCGAAATCGACTGATTATTTACACCTCCTATTTTAGAGCGGAAGCTGCAAGGAGAAAAAATGCTCGGGGAATTTTAAGAACTCCTCGAGAACAGACAGTTAAAAAAGTAAAACCTTCTTCGACAAGTATAAAAATGACGAGAAAGGAAGCTCCTTCAACAGCTCGTGCGCGCTCCCGCCCTCGACCAAAGAATGTGGAGCTGACTCCGAAACCAAAGACGGCAAGAGACTACAGTGAAAATCTTGATGGCACTCTTTCTGATATCAAATTCTCGGCAAGAATTGAATCAAAGAGGCCGCGCTCTCGAGCTTCTTCGAAAAACTCATTATCGCCAACTTCCTCTCCTCAATCAATATCGACTCTCTCCAGGCCTGTTTTCTACTCTCCGCGGGAGCCGGAAGTCAAATTCGCTGCTGAAGTTCCAAAAGCGACAGCATTAAAATCCTCGGTGACAAAATCGCCAATCAGCTCTGCTCGATCCAACTCCGTCGATGACAAACTAAAAGCCCTGATGAGCGCGCTGACCACTTTAGAAACACCATCCAAAGCTCCACAAACGCACATTGAAGTAGGACAGTCAATTACAGACCTGAAACTGGCGAATATGGACCAAGAACTGAGAATGCTCGAGCAAAAATCAAAGGCTGCTGGGCACGATGGCGCTGGGGACAATCCAGCCTGGAAGAAAAAAGCGGAAGAAGCGGAGAAACTGGGAAACTTATTCATCAACGAGACTCAATTCGAAAAAGAGCAGATGGAAAATCAACTGCAAGTGCTTCATTCTGCGATCAAACAGATCAAGGAGCAGTCGGCAGCGAGCCTTGAAAATCAGGAAAAACTTTTCGCCGAAGAACGGGCTAGGCTGCAAGCAAACTCTTCTCAGGTAACTCATAAGCTAGCTACAGTCATATAATCATACACAATTCTAGCAACATCAACGACAGCTCAATTTCATCGACCAACTTATCAAGGACAAAGAGCAACTCGCCGAGCAAGTGACGAAACTTGTCGCCAAAATCGAAAAAGACTCCGCTAAAAGCGAAAAAACGATCAACGAGATGAAAGAAAAACATCAAATAGAACTTGTAACAGTGAAAGATAAGCTCGTCTCGGCGGAAAAGATAAGAAGGGACAAGTGGGTTGAGCAGAAACAAAAAGAAATCAAGGATCTGACAGTGAAAGGGCTAGAGCCTGAAATTGCCAGACTTATTGCGAGACATCAGCAGGAGTTGAGAAATGTTGAAGCTACGCATAAGGTACTTATCAAGCCAGTTATCCACCCCTTATATATATATTTTCCAAGGCGGAACTCTTAGCAGCTGACGAAAGAGCAGCTAGAAGATGGTCGGACCAAACTGAACGAATGCGCCAAGCCCACGAAGAAGAAAAAGTCCAAATATCCGAACGAGAGCGTCAACGAGCCCGAGAAAACCTAGAAAGACAACTTCAAACAATCGAGCAAGAGAACCAGGTAGCAAGAGACCGGTTAGAGTACGAAAAGCGCTCTGAGATCGAGCGTCAAGAGGAGCATCTTGAGTATTTGAAGGAATCGCACAAGGCGCAGATCCGAAACTTGGAGACCCTGCATGCTGATAATATGGCTTCGAATGTGGAGGAGTGGAAGGCGAAGTTGATGAATATGCAAAAGCAAAAAGAAGTTGACATTGAAATTGAACAACAAAAAGTAAGCCGCAAATTATATTTATTGACACATATCAAAATAAAAAAATGCTGGCAAGATGAAGCAGGTTTACTTGCGCTTCTGAAGAAAATCCTAAATACTCGTAAAGGCCTCATAAAAATTAACCAGTAAAATAAAGATATTTACTATTATTGAAAGCGGCTTGGATATTGTTTGTTTTTGGGCTTCCTAGAAGAATTGGAATCATCAATGTCGAAACGAAAATTTATTTTCGGTAAAATTTCAGTAAAAATATCTTAAAATCAGCAAAATGATGATGACTGAATTCTGACTAATGATTGAAAAAAGTATTCCAAAAAGCCACAAAAATCGTTTCCGACCTTATCGACTCCAATTCTTCCAGAAAGCCTGACGAGATACAGTTGCCTGCGAACGGTTGGAACTTTGTCCAGACGAACCACTGGACGTCGACTTCTCTGTTCTACGCTCCTGACTCGCAGAGTTCTGTGCATTCTGACTATTTTGTAATAGTCCCCTCGCATCCTGCAGCAGCTGCTTGACTATAAAATACAAAAAAAGCATCAGTCAGATTTTACATAGTTACCTTCATCTCGTTCAAGTCCTTGAAAATTGACCTTGGTCGAGGTCCCATCGGGCCTTGTCTTGCTGATGACAATCTTTTTTCCTTGCTCCATGGTAGTTTAATCTCTTTAATGCTTTATGAATTATAAGCGCTAATTTTTAGTTATTAAAATTTATAATGTGAAGGTTATTTTTGTCTCCAACCGTTTATATACCCGGGGCGCGCGAGCGTGACTCGAAAGTACAGAACCAATAAGGCGTACTCAATATATTTGCGCGCCATATTTAATTATAAAAAATACCAAATACTTATTTATTTCAGGCAGAACAAAGAATAAACCAGTACAGAGCAGAGCTAGAAAAGGAATTCGATGAAAAATCAAAACAGCTAGAATCAAAATTACGAGCCAAAGTCAAAGCTGAACGAGACGCTGAAATCGAACGCGTTGTCGACCGAGTTGAACGCGAAATGGAAGAAAATCGGTAATTCCCGACCCTTAGAAACCTGGTTGATAATCATCTTTTCTAGCGAGAACTCAGAAAGAGCTGCAGAAAATAAAATCCTTCGCGTGCAAGAAAAGATGCAAAAAGAAGTCGACCGCGCCGAGGCAGCAGAAAACGAAGCTCTGAAGAAATATGCCGAAGCTCGATCAAATGTCAACGATCTCAGCGAACAACTCATGGCGGAGAGACACAGACTCAATATTACAGCTACTGAGTTGGAGCAGAAACAAGATAGAGTTACAAAACTACTTTCTGAAAGGTACTGATGTTTTATCCAACTCGTTTTCAAACAAAGATCTAGGCATCGAGTAGAAGACGTCATCAGAGAAGAATTCGCAGAACGACTAGTTTTGATGGAAAAAGAGCTGAAAAGACTGAAACACGAGGCTTCAGAAACTTCAGCGCGGCACAAGCTTCAGCTTCAAGAAAAAGACAAGTAAGAGTCCTTGTTGATTGCTTCTTTAAAACTGTCAAAGTCTCCGAGAAGAAGAAATCAGCCATCTAACTGACCGAATTCAAAACGCGATCAAACAACGAGACGAGGAAAACCAGCGCCTTACCAAAGTCGCCGAGCAAGCGCAACGCCGAGCAAACTACATGGAAGAAATGCTAGAAAAGCAAAATGCTCTACTGCGACAAAAGACCGCGAAAAAGTGACTTTTCAGGTCCAATTCTTATTTAACCATTCTGCATGATATTTCTTCCATTCCATTCTTTCCCATTTGTCTATATTTTTTGTTAATAACGACTTTAAAAGTTCCTAAATGATGATTTTACGTTTTTTACTTTACTTTATTTTTATACTGTGATGAAAAATCTATTTTGTCTATTTGTTTATTTAAAAACTTCAATAAAACAGACTCTTCAGAGAAAAAGAAAATGAGACTCACTTGTTTAAAAAGATATATGCCCGCAAAAAGATACATAAAAGGCGAACAACTTGAAAAGTAAGAGCAACGTTAACAATGATTTTTTCAATTCTTCGAGCAAAGGTCGATTTGGGAGCATACGCACGGAGAAATTCACGGGAAGGATCACAGTTTTGCAGGAATCAGACCTGTTCCGACTCCGAGACTCGCTCCGCATCTGGACCCATTTGGGGCGGTGGAAAATGTCCCGCGAGAAATAGAAGATATGTCGGATTATTTCAACTGGCGAAAGGAAATGGGCTCATTCTTTAATCGACCAGGATTGCTGTAGTTTTAGCCATACCAGCGCTCGCTTTCTCGCAGCAAAAAGCAGTTATGACTAGAACAACTGAAAATCAAATGAAAAAATATCAGACGAGCCCGGTCAAAGGACAGTATGAAAGGTCTGGAAGATAATCCTGTTCGTGACTTCCAGACAGATATGAAATACTTTGCTCGACGTTATGTTATTTCCATACACAGAAAGACATGCAAGGGACCAACTCAGCACGAGCGTGGCGGGAAAAGAGGTAACTTTGTCTAGGATTTTTATGAGTAAAGAAACTCCTAATTTAGACATTTTCGATATTATTCTCCATGATCGCAGAGTGGGTCACCCTGCAGATGAAATCTTCTCCGGGCGAAAATGGGATGTAGAGCTTCTTGGCCAGCTCGACATGCAGCCTAACTTTTGGAATGAAAAAGTCGTGAATCTCGATGTTAATAAAATTCTCTATTACATCGGTCTTGGTGTTACTCTTCAGCAAGATGTTGCTGAACTTCTTGGAACTCTAGGAGTGCTCCCCGTTCATCCTGCTGCCAGGATACGACTTTCAAAGCTTCATGAAACGAGGAAGAATATGGTTGAAGATAGTGGAGCTGTCGGTGAATACGGAGGATACTTGAAATATTGGTAAAACAGCCTTTTTAACTCCTTTTTCTACTTCGATTTTCAGCACAACTGAGAATCAAGCAGCAAGAGAGCATTTAACACTAGAAGAGTACGAAGAAAAAATCTTAGAAGAGCGAAAACAAATGATCGAAAGAAGAGTTTTGAAGCGTGAAAAGGGCGCTGACTCTAGTGCCGATTCTCACTCTTCAGTAGATAATGATTATGACGATGATGATGAAGATGTTTTCTGAATTCAATAATAAAAAGCTCACTGTCAACAAATAAGAAAGAGTCTTGTTTAGACGATGATCTGTCGGCATCTTAATCGTTTCGGTCTCAGGCAATCTTCTCAACTCCCGAAAATTGCTCAAAACACGGAGCTTGATAAGACCGCAATGCTGGAAAATAAGAGCTGGCAAACTTTCTACACGGCGGATCGAGACTTTGTAAATATCGCCAAACGTTCTTTATCTGCCCGTTATTATGGCTCAAAAGGATTGAAGCTCATCATCTCCTATTTTGCTGCTAAAAGTTGTCTATTCATGGCTACGGAACTTCCTCTTTTCATGATTCAAATGCGAGAAATCGAGTCTTTCTTCCTCATGAGCGCAGCTTTCGGGCTGTTTCACCTTTATTTATACACTGGGAGGAACCCAATTACGAAAATGCAAATAAACGAAAGGTAAACTTTTGCAAAGTCATTTTAGCATCACTTGACTTTCAATAAGACTAGATAAACTTCGCGTGGAGCGACTCATATCAGCAGAAACTTCTGAAGTGAAAGAAATTTCGAGGAAATCCGTTGTTCCAGTTGAATTCGATCAAATCCAGGCGATGCAGCCGCTGATTATCAGAGAGGGTTCATCAGAAGAGCTTCTTGGTCATTTTCCCGTGACGAAGGAAGTATCTGTCGGAAATACAGTCGCCTTTGAGCTTGTCTTTGGACCGAGTTGCTACAATACGTTCCAATTTTTCCAGCGTGGAGAACGAATCGGCCTCGAAAGCCTCTTCGAAAAACGAAATAAGTTATTGATGAACAAGTTCAAAAAAGAGCAAGCGATGCTGAAAATCAAAGGCGGCTCTAGTGGATACATAACGAAAATAGATAGAATGAACAAAATGGAAGATATTCAACGAAGTTTACGCTATAGAAGGCGTTCGCTTGGCCAGCAGCTTTTGAAAATATCTCAACCTGTTGAATTAAAGTGGTAGAGATCGAAATCCTTTCAATCTTCGTTTTAAGAATGAGTCGGTTGCTCCTTCTGAAAGACCTTGCTTCAGTAAAGAGCATCTCCTCAATTTTATCAAAAATTCCAGCTCGGGAACAAATCACCGGCCCTTTGCTTATCAAACCGAACTACTCATCAGACAATTTCACTGAAAGCAAAGTCGATTCAAATGTCTTCAAGATTCTTTCTCAAATTTACTCCGCTTCTGAATCAATCATTCCACTAGAAGATACCCGCGTTCTTCTCCCTTCTTCAAAGTCTACTTCTACCCAGACGGATGAAATTTTTACTGATTGCAAGTCGCTAGCTGATGAATACAACGCTATCTTTCTCAATGCTGATCTTGCTGAAAACAACGATGAAGAACTGTTCGTCAATAAAGGAGAACATCCACGCTACAACTCGACTTGCCTTGGTGGCACTTTCGATCGACTTCATGTTGCCCACAAGATTCTTATCTCCGAAGCTCTTCTTCTCGCAAGGCAAAGAATCGTCATTGGTATTGCTTCAGGTCCGTTGTTGGAGAAAAAGCTGCTGAAGGAACTCATCGAGCCAATTGATAAACGCGTCGACGCGGTGAAACTCTTCATTGACTCTGTTCAAAGTCATCTCGAAACAGTCGAAGTTGTCGGAATCACTGATCCTGTTGGACCAGCGGGAACTGATGCTGATCTTGAGTGTATTGTTGTGTCCGAAGAAGTCATCGGCGCGATCCCATCAATAAACAGCGGAAGGAACAAACTGGGGCTCAAGGATCTATCTTTTCATGTTCACAATGACGGGAAGATGCTTGAATCTGGACATAAAGACAGTGTTGACCAGATAACAGGAGACGTTTCTTCCTCTGCCGGCCGTGCAAAGCTTCTTGGAACTCTACGATTTCCTCCAAATATCCCATACTCTTCAGATGCGCCTTACATTATCGGCTTGACTGGTCCTATCGCTTCTGGAAAAACATCTGTAGCGAAGGTAACCTCATTGTCCTAATGTAAACTAATCACACAGTCAGAGGTTAGAAAAGCTTGGGGCTTTTCGATTAGATGCTGACAAACTCGGGCACTTGGCGTACGTCCCAGAGACTTCTGAGCATCGAGAAGGACCCGCTTACAAGCCCGTACTTGATCATTTTGGCCGCGATATATTATGCGATGACAGCACTTTCATCGACCGCAAGAAGCTCGGTGCCAAGGTCTTTGGCAATCCCGAGGAGCGAAAGAAGTTGGAACAGCTCGTCTGGCCAGCGATACAAGAACTCGCCGTGGAGAGTATCCAAAAAGCTTTTGCTTCTGGATCGAAAGTAATTGTCTTAGAAGGTACTTTTAAAGCTCTCTTCCTTGATTTCAAATATGTGACATATGATATATATGATATAATGATATGTGATGATATATGATATTATATGATATAATATGTCTTCAGCTGCCGTCCTATTAGAAGCAGGTTGGGATTCATTTGTAAACGAGGTCTGGTCGACATATGTCCCGGTGGAAGAGTCTGTGGCAAGATGTGTTGAGCGCGATGGGAAGAGCGAAGAAGCTGCGAGGAAAATCATTTCCGCACAAGTGTGGGGATCGTTATCGTAGTATGATACTTTATTAGGGCAAATAATTATAAATTTTTGCATGATAGTATCATGATAGTCTCTTAGACCTAGAAAGAGTGACAGTACTAGTTTGAATGAACCCTACGAAAGTCAATCTAAACGAGCGCGTAACCAAGTCAAATGTTGTCATATCCACTGTTTGGGAACCAACTGTAACTCAGCGTTATTGCGAGAAAGCGTGGGATTTACTGCTAAAGCGTCTGCAATAAACACTTCAAATTTCTGTTCATTTCTTTTTTCTTTTACTTCTGATTGATCAAAGTTCATTTACGGTATGTGACATAAAGGCATTTGATTCTGCTGCAAATTAAGGGCGGGGTACAACAGAACAAACTGGGAGAAAAACACAAGCGTCACAAGAGTGCTAAGAAGGGGAGTATCAACATGTTAGCAGCTTTTTGATTTATTGAATATTTTCAACAGTTGATTCAAGAATGTACATTTGCAGTTGTTACTTCGTTTTTTATCTCTACAAAAGTCGTAGTATAAAAGGTCGTTGTTTGTTTTCGTGGTCGATCCGGGCATTTTTATTCAAGGGATTTAAGCTCCTCAGAAACTTGAGATAGAAGGGAATCAGTTGAATTAGGCTCCGATTTTCTAAGACAAAGGTCTTTATGTGTATATTTTATGAGCTATTTACCCGTGAATTTGTTCAAGAAGAGCTCTAGAACCGCCGAAATTCTTTTCTCGATAGCCGGATGAAGTTAATTTAGATAATCCATCCACGATGGGTAGCTCCTCCTGATTCTTTCCCCCATCGACAGCTGGAAAGTTAAATGTCAATCGGATTTGATATCATATTTTCATACTGCTCTGAATGTAGTCGAGTACATTTGATTGGACGGGTCTGCACTGATGATCGACCTCGTAGCCGGTAGTATTCTGCACGAAGTTATCGTACTTTCCAGATCGTTTGAAAGTGTTTGGGATGGCAGTATCCATTCGTTGGATGCTCTCATGCTTTCTCCACTTGATGGCACGGTTTTGCTCCTCTTCCTCGCCGGTCATTATCTTTCGGCATGTTTTTACCCCACCGACAAGATACTAAAAACGAAATAGAATCTTCTTGTAATCGGAAATACCTGTAAAAAGGGGTCCTTAGATCCTTGGTTCTTATTTCGGGCCATCATCTTTTTTTCGAATTCAAAATTGAAGTGCGTCAGAAATTTCTGATCTGAGTAGCTTATCTCAATTCTAGCGTCTGCTCCTCGCACTTATAGTTCTCGAGTGCCGCCCTCTGTTAACAATTTCTACCCACAGGCCGTGGGCCACAGGGGTCGATCCGTGCAAATTTGCAAACCTTTTTCAATGCCAAGTTTTTCACAGAACTTATCACACGCTTCGTTTTTAAGATTCACGTCGAGTTATGTCGTTGCTTAGATTTATTCGATACGCGGGGCAAGTGACTGCTGTTGATGACATCAAAAGGACAGCTCAGAAGCATTTCAAAGTAACAACAAGGTTCAAATCCCCTTTATAAACAATTCTAGCAATGGGGAAAGCATAAAGTAGTCTTCATCAAATCAAAAGAACCAATCAGTAAACAAGAAGTCGTCGATCTCTGCTCTGACATTCCATTTACTGACATTCACTGGTAAGAAGCAATGGATTGAATTGGATTACATTCTCAGACTTCAGCCCAGTCGAGAAAAAGAAGAATGCTCAGAACGACTTCATCTATTCGAAGATAGAGTTGCCAACTTTCAATTTGGCGGCAGAAGTCATTTCCAGAGCTAGAACTGGCATCGAAAAAGAAGATAATAATTATGAGTCTGTTGGCTTTTCAAAAGAGTGGAGCATCGATGAATTCCGCAAGAAGGACAAAAATAGAACAACAAACATTCCCCGACCGCCTAACAAGAAAACAACAACACTAATCGTCCGTTTCCAGCAAAAAATCTCGCCCGCTGATATTGTCAATCTCTTCTGCGATGATTTTAATTACCAGCCGGAAATAAAAGTAGTTCACAAACGAACAGAAAATACTTCAAGCGAAGAGCATCAACATGCGTGCATCAGATTCGAAACTCAAGAAGAAGCGATGAAAGTACTCGGGCATCTGCGGAAGAATAAACTTCATGTGTCAGCTCTGTGGGGGAAGAAAAATACAGTCGCTGGCTTGGCTCCGAGCTTTCAAAAGAACTTCTTGTATAACTTGAAAGACCCTACTCTAACGATAAAGGGGAAGGAAAGCCCTAAACTGTCTATTCAGCCAAAAGAAGTGAGAAAACTAAAAGATGGAAGCACTCATTTTACATTCAAAAGCGTCGCGGAAGCCAGAAAGGCGTTTGACGAAATGTTTGCAGATCGAAATCGTGAATATAAAATTCTACCGTCGATGAAAAATCATATTCTGGAAATTGAAACAGAAGGTAGTCCGAAAAAGACGGTCAAAAATATCTCGCCGAGGCCGAAAGATACAGTGTTCTTCAAACGAGATAAGCTCAACTTGATCTATGCAGAGTTCCACTCTCCTAAAGACGCGTCAGATGCCTTGCTGCAACTTCAGAGCTCAGAGAAGATAGCCTCAGCCAAATTTGCGGATCGTTCGACCCTCATTCGGAATGATAGCACAGCTGAAAGATTAACAGGAGTTCTTCATGTTCCTCAAAGCTCAAGTGAAGTTTGCTATGTTCGGAAAACCTCATCTGGCGAAGAAGAAAAAGATATCGTCGTCATGCAAAATGATCTGAAAAACGCCTTTCACGGAGCGGAAGTTGAAGTTCAAATTATCGGAAAAGCGCGTGGCCGTAAACGAGGCCGAGTGATCTCGACCTCTTTTGACAATAAAAAAATTGTTGCTCAGTTGAAGCCAAACAAATCCAATTTGGAAAGGTTAATTCTTGAACCGTATGTAAAAAGAGTTGGCGAATGGTTTCCTGATATCATCGTTTCATCTGAAATTTTACCAGAGTACTTCGAGTTCGAAAAGGAAGACAATCATGAGGACACCGTCTTTTTCGTCAATGCAGATTACGATAATGAATCAGGCCATTTGGTTGCGTCAAAAATTGTTCCTAGAAAGATCAGAGAAGGTACTGTAGAGGAGTCGTTCTCTGAAAGCTTTTTATTCGCCGTGACTGATGATAACAAGAGGTACATCTTTCATCGCGGCGCTCTGGTCAACGATCGCGTCAAATTCCTCTCCGATGACCGAAGAGCCCAAATACTCGAAGTCCTCGAAAGAGAGCCAATAACTTGTGTCGGCATCTACGATAAAGCGGAGAACGAGCTTCGTCCGATGAACTCGCAGTTGAACAGAGTCAAAATTCCAAAGAAAGAAACTCTCATCGACAAAAATGTATACAAAGTGAATCTGACATGGGAAGCAGGCTTCCGGAAAGAACCGACGGTCGAGATTCTTGAAAACATTGGTGAATCGGACTCGGTTGATAGTCTTGTTCTCGGGCTCTTGTCTGAGTGGGGATTCGATTATTCTGATATAGACAGCCAAGGCGATATCTTCTCCGATCTTAATCATGAATTGGATCTTGTCAAAGAGAACCGAGAAGATTTTTCCAAAGAGCTTGTCTTTTCGATAGATCCAGAAACTGCTAAAGATCTTGACGATGCTCTCCATTTGAAACAAATCGACGAGGATACTTACGAAGTCGGTGTGCACATTGCCGACGTTTCCTTTTACATCGACAAAAGCTCGAAAATCGATGAGATTGCCGCTGACAGAACAACTTCTATTTATTTACCAGAAGCTGTCATACCAATGCTCCCGAAGGTACTTTTCGAGGATCTTGCCTCTCTCACGCCGGGTGAGCCAAAAAGGACCTTTACCGCTATTTTCACTATGAACAGAAATGGGGAACTGGTAAAACCGACTCGATTCTCCAAGGGATTAATAAACAATCGCCGAAAATTTAGCTACGAAGAGGCTCAAAAGCTCCTTGATAGTACCGAAAACTCCGAATGTAGCTACTACCAAAATCTTTCAAACCTGAGTGATCTCGCAAAGAATCTTCGAGAAAAGAGGATGAAAAATGGAGCGACGAATATTGGGACGAAATCGCCAAAGTTCATTTTTGATGAGACTTCGCGAATGCCAACTTCAATTTACAATGAAACCAGTTTCAGTACCAACAAATTAGTGGAAGAATTCATGGTTCTTGCAAATAGTGAATGCGCAAAATTTCTCATGGAGCGGGTCGATCATCCTGTTATTCGCTTCCATGATTCCTTGCGCGAGGAAAAATGCATGGAACTTTCCCGACTCCTGTCTGCTTCAATGCCGGAAGTGGCAGCTAAAATTGACGCGACAATGGACGGATATAGTATTCGAAAGTTGATGGAGTCTGCTGAGAATCTCGATAGTATAACAAGAGAAGCATTGGAGCTTATGTTCATCAGATGCTTTACAGAGGCGCGATATGGGATCTTCAATAAAGAAGAACCTAATGCACAGCATTTCGGCCTAGCTCTCGAAGAGTATACGCACTTTACCTCGCCTATTCGCCGCTTTCCTGATGTTCTTGTTCACAGACAGCTCAACGATGCAATCTCAGAATCCAAAACTGCCTCATACGACCTGGCAGAGCTGGAAAAACACTTGCGTCGATCGAATTTAAAAAAGTACCGCAACCGGAAACTGCAGGCAGATCTGGATCGTCTATTCACTTGGATGCTTTACAAAAATCAAGATTATAAGGGGCCGGTATTAGTAACTGGACCTATCGTGAATATCTCTGAAGACTCTGTTGAAGTCTATTGGAGCGAAACTGGCCTTGTTTTAGAATGTCTATTTGAGGTAGAGCGATTCGAGTTAGGTTAGTTAAGGTTTAATGTTCTTTTCAGACCGTTGAAAAAGAGCTGTTCGAGCCACCGGAAATGTCTGAGGACCAGGGTTCAATAATGGTCACGTGGAAAGAAACTAGAGATGATCAGGAAGATGCACTGGAGACGATGCCTTACCACTGTTTAAAATCCGTTTCCTGTGAACTTATAATCGGGGAAACGCCTGATTCTCTTCGGGGAAAGCTAGTCTCTCCTCTTGTTTAGAATATAATTCTGTAAATACTCATTTATTGGAGTTTATTCAGAATGGCAAAGGATTTGGATTTGGAAGAAATTCTTAATTTTGCCATCGAGTGCGCAAAAACTGTCGGTCCAATCATCAAGGATGGCTATTACAGAAAAAAGAATATCGAGGAGAAACTTGGGCCGGCAGATCTCGTGACTGAATATGACAAGAAAGTTGAGGAAACGATCGTTGGAATGATAAAAAACAAGTATCCGACTCATGAGATTATCGGAGAAGAGTCTGCCTCTGAGAATATTGTTTTGACGAAGGTAGATTAAAACCATTTTCTATAATTTCTATCTTCTTCTGTTAGGCCCCAACTTGGGTGATTGATCCTATCGATGGCACGACTAATTTCATCTCGCAATTTCCTTACTGCGCTACTCTTATCGGCTTCATGGTTGATCGACTACCAGTTGTTGGTGTTGCTTACAATCCGATCTTAGGTACACTTACTTTTATATCGTTTTAATTAAATACAACAAAAAGATGAACTCTTTGCTGCTCGAAAAGGAAACGGAGCAACTAAAAATGGCGAAAAGATAACTGTCAACGATACAAAAGAAGTCCGCAATTCTTTAATCATCACAGAGTTCGGTAGCAGCAGAGATGACAAAAGAATGGACATCGTTCTCGAAAACATGAAATCAACAATCATGACTCCCTCTAGGTATTCTTTCGAAGTTCGCTGCGGATGTTTACGATCTTTCAGAGGGATCAGAGCGCTGGGAGCATGTGGACCAAACGTTTGTTGTGTTGCTAGTGGCCAAGCTGATCTGCTGTTTGAAACAGGGATGCATATTTGGGATATTTGCGCTGTTAGGTTAGTCTTCCTTGATTTTATTCTCGATCTCACATGTTTGTAGTATAATTCTTGAAGAAGCAGGTGGCTGCGTTATGAACATGGACGGATCTACACCTCTCAACTACCTGAATAGAAAGTACATCGCTTCGTGTACTCCAGAGCTGGCGCGAGAAGTCGCTTCGAAATTAAAACCGATCGAAGTCCCTGCCGATGGCGTTGAAAGCCAAGACTAGAATAAAATATTATCACTCTCTTTTTTTCTCCGATAAAGCTTCCATCTTGTTGTTTTATGTCAAACCAAACCTTTGCTGTTCTGACTTGATCAAAGCGAAGACTTCGAGCCTTGAGCAGTACAGCATATCAACCCTCTTTATTGTCCTTTTTGAAAAGTTTTTTTCTTCAAACTTCGAATGTACCCTAGAATAAAAGTAATTGTTTCTGCGAGATTTCTAACCCGTTGATACTCTAAGAATGATTTTTGAAGGCTCTCAGGTGGAAATTGTTAATCCGACCATAAATGGCCAACTTCCCTATTTGACGAAAGATCTCGGTCATGCGGACGGGATCGAGGGAGTCGGATCAGACGACTTTGTGGAGTCTGCCAGACAGGCAAAGAAATCATCAATTAAGAATCTTCAGCAGCTAATGTTCACGAACGAAGGAAAAAATAGTAATCATTCTTATCTGATGCCACACGAGCAGCTCCGTTTTTCCACCCGTCTGGAAGAAGACGAGGTACGCGCTGGAGGAGTAACGATGAAAGCCGCTCCTCTTTGGGCGCCGTCAGGCAAGTGCGCGACAACGCCGGAAGAATATGTTCTGCTGGCGGAATTTGGAAATTGTTCTGTTACCGAGCTTCTGTCTGACTACGATATCGACTTCCGTGTCAAGTTGTCTAAGAAAAGGTGGGAAAAGGCTCAGCTGCGGACGGAAAACTGGCTCAAAATTCAACTTCCAATGATGGCAAAAAAGAATATTGTCGTGCCAGTCATTTACTTGCCTGATGATAGGCAGTTCGAAATACATGTTCAAAACTTGAAAGAACTCCTCAAAAACTATGAAGGAACAGTTTGCGGCTTATCCATTCGTGGATTAAACGTCAACGAAGATATCGATTTTGATAATTTGGAAAAAAGATTGAAAATGCTCCCCGATGGAGCAAGAATTTGTCTGGATCTCGCAAAGCCGAAGGAAATTGTCCTCGGTAAAGGATGATTTCTGATCTTTTTCTCAAAAGAGTTTATAGGTCGACTAGCGGGAGTGAACATCTTTGGCGGACAATTTGCGAGCACGCAAGCTTCGAATCATAAAGCGATGATCTTGCCCACTACCGCACAGCCTTCAAGAGTGCCTCAGATGATTTCTCTTGCAGAAAATGATCATGCAGGTTTGCGAAAAGAAATAATAGCTCAGAGTCAAATTATTCTCAGGTGACAAGAGTCAACTCTCACCCGACTCGCCGGTAGACCTCAGCCGAGCATATATCCATCACCTGACGAATGTGAAAGAAATCCTCGCGCATATTCTACTGATGAAACACAACCTAGACCAAATGAATAAATTTATCGAACTAATTCGCTCTTGCTCGAGCGAGGAAAGCTTGAGGAATCTTTTAGAACTGTTCTAGAATTATCAAAATCGTAATTATGTCGTATTAGTGTTGATTTTGTTCAGACATGGAAACCGAAAACGAAGTGAAGACCGATCCCGAGCCGCAGCAAGAAAATGGCGCGGAGAAAATGGAAGCATCCAATGGCAATGGAAATGCTGAGAATGGAGATGCTCCCTCTCAAGAACTAAAGCCCGGTACTCATCCATCTATCTATATAAAAGTATTGAATTGATATGCGTTTTTATCAATTTCTTCTTGATAATTTTAACATCTTTTTCCTTCAAGACATCAACGAATTGATGAAGAAAATTGAGGAAGAAAAGAATAAGGACCGATCGAAAGACAGGTACTCTCAGAATGAATTTGAGTACGATACTATCGTAAGTTTTGTAGGAGTCGAAGCAGAGATAGAAAGAAACGGAGCAGATCCCGTGATCGAAAACGAAGATCGCGAAGCCGAGACCGCGACCGAAAAAAGCGACGATCACGCTCGAGAGACCGAAAGAAGCGATCCCGATCACGTGATCGAGACCGAAAGCGGGACAGACGAGAGCGCTCCAGAGATCGAGATCGAAAGCGATCCAGGGATAGGGAGCCAAGAAAGCTTACCTTTGACCGACCTTATCAGTAAGTACCTTTTCGTTCGTCAAAAGTTAACTTTCTTCAGGTACTGGGACAAGGCACCAGCTGGTTTTGAACATTTGACTCCGACACAGTACAAGGCTATGCAGGCAGCTGGACAGCTTCCTACTCCTCAGTTGGGTCTTACTCCGACTGCTACTATTGCTGCTCAATATCCAATGGCCGGTGGTTACTTCACTCGACAAGGTAACAAGAAAGGGAATATTACGGGCTCTTACTGCTTATCTAGCCCGGCGACTGTACATTGGTGGAGTTCCGTTCGGTGCAACTGAAGAAGCAATGATGGAGTTCTTCAACCAGCAAATGCACATGGCCGGTCTTGCCACTGGTCCAGGCAATCCTGTACTCGCTGTTCAGATCAACCTGGACAAGAACTTCGCGTTCTTGGAAATCAGGTCCGTTGACGAGGCATCTGCTGCGCTCGCTTTTGATGGCATCAACTTCATGGGCCAGTCGCTCAAAATCCGTCGACCAAGTGACTACAAAGCTCTGCCCAATATGGTAAGCAACAAAAACAAAGCTTTGTTTTGGTGTTTCAACTCTTTTTAGGCCGGAGGAGACTTTGCTGGCCAAGTTGAGGACTCTCCTAACAAAATTTTCGTCGGTGGACTTCCCAACTACCTTCAGGATGAGCAGGTATTCATCAAAGTTATAAAGTATCCGAAGTATCGTGTCAAAAATTTCTTGCTTCGAGAAATTGGCCGCTTTTCAGGACATTTTAGGGACTCTTTTAGATTTCAGCGATTGCTTCAAGTTAGATCAAAATGCTCTATAAATATATTTTTAAGGACGACCGACCGAAAGGCGTCTCAATCGTGCCCACCGTCCACTCACTTCTGCCCTTTTCGGGCATTTTTAGGTTCGGGAGATTCTCACCAGTTTCGGACAGCTCAAAGCATTCAATCTCGTCAAAGATACCGCCACCAATTTGTCGAAAGGGTAAGCAAATAAATAGACCTTCCACTTGTTTTATGAGCGTTATGCAATAACTGTATTACGTGATCACGAAACTTATTTACACTCTTTTTCAGATACGCATTTTGCGAATATGCTGATCCGCAGATTACAGATACTGCTATTGCCGGCTTGAATGGCATGCAGTTGGGCGACAAGAAGCTCATTGTTCAGGTAAATAGAGAATGATAGATGGATAAGCTCTGGTTCTTTTGATTGATCGATTTTACGATGACCCTTTTTGACTTTTGTGATTTCAGAGAGCCTCCGTAGGAAAAACTGAGACCGCAGCGCCGAAAAATCTTGATCATCGTGTTACACTTCAAGTTCCCGGCTTGCACAATGTTCAAAGCCAGGCGACTGCGACAGAGATCCTTTGCTTGATGAATATGGTTACGGAAGAAGAATTGCTTGACGATGAAGAATACGAAGGTAATAGAGAGAATTTGGGAATTCAGATATTGTCATTGTTCAGATATCACCGAGGATGTCAAGGAAGAATGTGGCAAGTTTGGCCCTGTTAAGTCAATCGAGATTCCGCGACCGCGGGCGGGACAGGATGCGTCTGGCGTCGGAAAAGTTTACGTAGAATTCGTCAATTTGGAGGGCTGTAATGCAGCAATGAATGCTCTGTCTGGTCGAAAATTCGCCAACCGCGTTGTTCTCACGTCATTTTACGATCCTGATCTTTACCACAGACGAGTGTTCAAGTAAAGAAAGAAGCATCGAATAATCCGTCCTGACGCAGTCAGTTTTTGCTTCATTTTTCCTTTCTTTCGGCCCCTTACTCTCTTATTGATCCTCTCCTCTTTCTCCTCTTGTTTTTTGTTGTGGAACTTATTATTATCGCTGGTTTTTGACTCAACCAATTCTAGGAAAATTTAAAGTGAAACGATCTACTGCCCTAGCAACAAAAAAGAATTAACTCAGATTAGTCTAATCATCAGAAATCCCCCTCATATTCTCGCTTTTAGTATGAAAGTACTGATAACAGGTGGTGGCGGGTTTATAGGAAGCCATGCTGTGGTGGAAACGCTCGAAGCCGGACATGAAGTAGTTGTCCTCGACGGTAAGCTCCCCTCTTTCCACGTCAGTAACTAAACTTCTGTCTAGACTGCTCCAACATTTCCAGACCAAAAAATGGAAAGAGCTTTCCACCATCACTTGAAAAAGTCAAAGAAATCGTCGGGTCCAGCGTCGCTGCTAATCTCAGGTGAGAACTTCAATGCACCATTCCTGTTATTAGGACCTCGTTTTGTCAGACATTTTACGTATCAACTCTCAAGACTCATTTTACGTATTCAAATGAAAATTTATTAAGATTCATTGAAGGCTGTGTGACCAACAAAGAAACCGTCACCCAAGCTCTCGATGGCTGCGAAGCGGTAATGCATTTCGCCGGCCTCAAAGCTGTTGGGGAGTCGAATGTCATTCCCCTTGATTACTACCGCGTCAATGTTGCTGGAACGATCAATTTGCTGCAGGTGAGTTACTTGCGCTTCTTTATTTCTTTCTCTTTTGTTAGTGCATGGCTGCATGTGGAGTGAAAAGGATAATTTTCAGTAGTTCAGCAACTGTGTACAAACCAGCCAAATCAGTAGAGGACCTGCCGTGGGTCGAGGGTACTGTTTTAACCCTTTACCTATCCGTTAACCTGTTTTAGACGCTCCTCGTGGACACTGCTCGTGTCCATATGCAAGAACAAAAATGTTCGTCGAAGAGATTCTCCAAGACGCGACAAAAGCCGACCCTACTCTTTGCGCCGTCAGTTTGCGATATTTTAATCCCGTCGGAGCTCATCCTTCCGGTTTGATCGGAGAAGATCCTCTTGGTATTCCCAATAATCTCATGCCCTACGTCGCCCAGGTCGCTGTGGGAAGAAGGCCGCACTTGAATGTCTTTGGCAACGATTATGATACTGTTGATGGAACAGGTAGCAACACTTCTCAAGCACTTTTAACGATTTCTAGGCGTGCGGGACTACATCCATGTTGTTGACTTGGCAAAGGGGCATCTCGCTGCGTTCAAGGTCTTCGGGAAATCAGGCTTCCATGCTTACAACCTTGGCACTGGAACTGGCACCTCCGTGCTTCAAATAGTCGATGCCTTCAGAAAAGCGTCTGGTCAAGAAATCAAGACAGAATTCGCACCAAGGCGTGATGGCGACGTCGCGTGGATGTGGTGCTCTCCAGGTTTGACTTGAAAAGGACTGGGAAAAGTTTAATGTTTTTTCAGCAAAAGCTAAAGAAGAACTGGGATGGGAGGCGACGCAGGATGTTAATAAAATGTGCGCAGATTTGTGGCGATTCCAACGACTTAACCCTCAAGGATACACTGACAACAACAACGACTAATTGATAACCCAAGGTTTGAAAAGGTTAAAGCAATCAATCAGTGACGCGGTTTCTTGTAAACTGAAGCTGATGTACCAAAAATTACTCCCATCATCATATTAAATGTTGTTCCTAGACCCCAAGAAGATTAAATTGCAATCGCTCTCTATTTTGTACAAATACCTCACCTTATTCTTCACAACCAGCGAAAAAGAAAAAAAAATGCTCATGATCGAACACTAGATTTGTGCCTTATTCAGAAAAAAATCTTGATTCAACCATCTTTGATTCCAGTCGGTTTTTCAACCCTTTTCTTCTCCCAATCTGCTTTAGAGATTATATTTTGTTAATTTTCTTAAATTGCCAAACATTCTTGAAGTACAAAAGACTGTAAGGTGCTACTTATCCGATATTTATGCCCATGAAAATTATTTTAATTTTTATTTAATTTGCGGCTTCATTTTCTCAATGAAGTGATCCACGAGCTCCGAAAAGTACAACACTCAACAACTACTATTATATAGTTCAACTATTTATTTGATTAATTTATTTAGAAAGTAGAAAGCTTTTAGCTCATTCTTGGCAACATGAATGCAACCTGTATTTTGTAGATAACTAGAAATTGATCATTTCGATTTCGATACCTCACTAATGCTTTTTGATTACAATTAATTGATTTGTTACATTCCCGGCGATACAATACTACTGAATAAATTTCATAATTCTCAAATTGACCAACTTCTCAATTCGTCATTTCTGATAATTCAACTCTTGGTTCAGTTTCTCTGTTCTAGCGGATCGATTAAATAAATAGATAATTTTATTCTAATTAAATCAATTTAAATCTGAACGAATCTCTCAGACTGGGCTCGAAAACCTGTGGAGAAAACCTGAGTCAGGGTCGTTTGAAAGAGCAACTTTTTATCAGAGTTCTTTCAAATGATCCTGACTCAGGTTTTCTACACAGGTTCTCGAGTCCAGTTCTCAGAAACGCAGTTTACAAATTTGTTATTAATTATGTTATTGTGTCGAGATACTGTCTTAAAGCATTTTAGCATCATCAGAAAGGCAGTAGCAAAATAGCATTCATTTAGAATGTCTCAAACTCGCCCCAAGTCAGGCCTCAAAAAGACCAAGTCGAAGCCTGCGTTGGATGTAAGTCACTTGTCAGTAATCCCGGATTATTTACGTTTTCAACCCAACAGAACCAGAACAGGCAGGAAAAAAGGAGTTCCAGCAAGGGCATTCAAGCGCAGAAAATAGGTAGCAGGATAAATAGAAAAAGCGAACTCTGATTGAAATCAATTTCAAAGTCTCAGTTTGATAAGCATCTAGCGATAAACAATTTGCTTGAAGGAGGGTGAAATTCAAGGCCGAATTCACGGAGATTTGGAAAATTTCGCCGAAAAGGGGAAAAATCGCACCGCAGCTGGCGATTGTGGCAACAATATCCCACCGAGAATAGTGTTTCGGTGGGAGAGGACGAAAAAACAAGGAAATTTCGCGGAAAAATGATCTGCTTGTTTATCCAAAAGTTACTGTATAAATTATACTAATACAGTAGATCTTTTTCTGAAAATGACTTTTCTCAAAGCTTTTTCAGAACCGTAAATTTCTGAAAAAGCTTTGAGAAAAGCCACTTCCAGGAAAAGATCTACTGTATTAGTTTCCCGTAAAAACGTAAAAAGCTAATTGAAAATTTCGAAAAAAACGCCTGTCCCCTCAAATGGCGGATCAATCTTCGGACTAAATTTTACAAATTTTGTTAAATCAATTCGGTGGAGCTTCAGCGCTCAGCTCCAATATGTTTTTGTTTTGGAAATATTCTTGTCAAAGTTGGCCGACAAATTGAATCTTTAGCTTTAACGTAAATTGTATTATGTTTGAGAAGTAATACTCTGTTCAACGAAATCAGCCATTTTTGATCTAAATAATCGCCTTGAAAACTGTTTTCGAAAACAAATCCGAATTGAAGAGCGTTTACTAAAGGTTAATATTATAAGACCACCCCTCAAACTTCAGCAAAAAGTCCTCAGTCAAGTCCTTTAATGAGAATCTCCTTGAAAAAAAATCTCAATAACGACGAAAAATTTTTGGCCCCAGCTGGTGGGTTCCGCATTCGCCATCCGGTTCGCAATTTTGGCACTAGAATTATTATCTGCCCTTACACCGCCAAGAATTTTGTACAATTTTGCGAAACAGATGATGAATTCGAGCCGTTCTTTTCTTTTAGTCGCTCAGATTTGGAATTTCCATTTCGCAAAAAATGCCAATTCTGGCGCTTTTTTTAAATAGATTTTTTATCCGTTTTTGATTAATTTAAAATTTGTCCTCAAGTCTATTTCTTTGAGACTTGAGCAAATTACTACTGTAGTATCGATTCCGCGGCGAGTTAATAAAACTCGCCGTTTTGATGAGGCCAAATTGAAAAATCTGCTTTGCAGCGTGTTCTTCATTATTTTTTACAATCGCTCAAATATTTCGACAAAATTAGTTATTTAGATACACTCTCCTCTTTAAATTACATCTTGTGCTACATTTATTCTCAAATAGAAAGGCGTAACAGTAATAACAGTCTTACGTTAGATATATTTTATTGCGCACATAATTTATTTCATGTAAGATATCTATTTTTTATATTTTTTTATAACACTGTTATATTGGTACTTAGAAATATTCAGGCTGAAAATTCTCGCTTGAATGATAAAATTTATGATCAGGAAAGCGTCACGATTGTTATTTTTTTATTTGAATCGAAAAAAAATCGAGGAATAAGGATTGGTAATGAGATTATGACAATTTGTTGATATCTTTACTATAGCTTTTAGTATTCAAATGAGAATTTTTTATTATATAACCAGTTTAATTAAAGACTAATTGTATGATAACTTAGTTAAAGAAATATTTAATTAACTTCATTAAATTAAAAACATGCTAACTAATTAATAGTATTACTATTTGACTATTATAGTAGAATAATTTAAAATTTACAAGTTTGATTGATGAATTTATCATGTTAAAACACCTAATTAGCGGTTCAATATCAGCCAGAGAGCCATTCACTTTTACCATTGGCCCTCCCTTTGAAAAAATCTTGAGTGATTTTGGCGCCGCAGAGCTTGGTCCATTGGCGGCGCCCTAACAATCGGATACTAACTGCGCCCTGCCGATTCTGGCACTGATGTCTTCTTAACGCTAATTTCGAAGATACATCTTGTTAAAAGCTCGTTCGCTGAGCATAACATTCACAGCGCCGCTGGTGCTTTTCTTTCGCTTCGGATACTTTTTTCGGCAGCGTAATTTTTTAAGCCAGAGACATATTTTTTTTGTCGTCGGTCAGACGCCAAGAAATTCAAATTCGAGATACGAAACGAAATGTACGACGGATACAGGCGACGGGCTCACTCGAAAGTTGAAAGCTCTTCGGAAAAAAGCTTTTTTTTTTCTTCAGAAATTCTGCTTTTTTCGGGATCAATCAAAAATCACCGCTAGAAATCAAAACAGAGAAAAGAGAGATGTGGAGCCCAATCCTTAGCCTACAAGATGCTTTGATGAGACATGCTCATGCCAAACAAGGGCTGCCAAATGGAGGCCGGGTGCCCTTTTTACCCGGCATTCCAGGGCTCTCTTCTTCCTGGGAAGGATTCAACCCACTCGCCCAAGGCGCTTCCAACGCTCACAGGCCCTTCCATGTCCAGCATTTTCTAAAACAAGCTGCAGCGGCGCAACAACAGCTGCAAAGAAAGGTAAATTATCATTGATAAGTTTTCTCCATAACTTTTCAAGAATAATAGCCTCAAATTTTAATCCTAGTTGGCGGAAACAAGTTCGCACCTCAAAAGCCCTCCCCGCTCCTCCACCTCCTCCTTTCCCGAAATTCCATCTCTTCCCGCACCTTTCCGAGCTGGACTAAGTGCAGACCTGGACACTCCTAATGGGAAGAAGCGCCGTGGAAATTACGCGAGTTACACTCCTCAACAGAGAATCGAGATCGGCGCCTTTTCCATTGGTAAGTTTCCTTGACTCGAAAGCAGAAGGTCACCTTGGTGAATTTTTAGAGTATGGGACTGGAAAAGCTTCGAAGCAATTTGCTCTGCCAGAAAGTACAGCTCGCGGTTTCAGGGATAAATTGATGAAGATCCTACAGGTACGAGTTTTCAGAATGAGCATCTATTGAGCGCATCTTTCAGGATGGAAGCGAAGGAATTCCGCTCGAACCGGAGAGGATCTCCCGCCTGCGGGTTCTCATCGAAACGAACACCTCTCTCTCCGGCGGCTCCGGAACTATTCCCAGCCCGACTCTGCCGTCCACCACCAGTCCAAGCAAGATTCCCGCATTGCCAGCACCGCATCAGCTTTTCCGCCCGCATCTTGAATTTCTTGAAAACACGAGCAAACTCAACGATTCCAACGCATCCATCAAGATCGAGGACGTTTCCTCTGATGCTGATTCCGGCCATTCCAGCGCTAACTCGAGCAACTCAGAGGCTAAAAAATCACCCTCCCAGACTAACGCCGTAAGTTTTCTTTTGCGCAAATTCTCCTTTTTTGGTTGGTCATTTCGGAAGTTCGCTAATCCACTTTTCAGACGGCTGACATGAGATCTCTCCTCGACAAGCTCCAAAGCTACAATCGATTGCGAACAGAGTCTTTGGAAAGAAACTACTCCTCCATCCTTCAACCAAAGTAAGTTGCATCATAGAAAATCCAAAGCTTGAAATTTTCGGCCCCTTGAACCCAATTTTGCAGGTGGACATTTTGAGCGTCCGCATTCTGTTCACGTTCAATTTTGTTTTTATCGAATTCGGTAATCGGTATTTTGAAATGGCGCAGTCAGGCGTAACATGGATCCTTATCCATTCCCTGAGACTAGTAACAACTAGGAATAAAAATGGTGTAAATAGTTTGTGTAATAAAGCAATTATTTCAACTATTTCTTCATTTCCTAATTCAGCGCCTCAATTGTTGGGCAAAAACGATCCTGCGGAGATGAAGCTCTCGACTCTGATCATGCTGCTAAACGACTTCGTCTACCCAGCCAGACTTTAGCCCACTCAAGTCCGGATCAGAAGAAGGTATTTATACGAAAAACAGTTTTTTTTTCAAAGCAGGTCCTTTTTTTGCAGAGCAGGTTGTTATTGCCTTTCCTTGTTGATTTTTTTGCGTTCTGTTGGGTTGAAATCATCATATCCGGCGTATTTTTTCTGGTGGTGATTTTTGTTGCTTAGAGCACGTGTTCTGATCTGAGCCAGCTTCGATTGTCCAAAGAGGAGCTTCGAAAACGCAAGGATCTCATGAAATCAAAGCATATTAACTCGGCCAAGTCGGAAATCCGCAGCATGGACCCAATGCACATGCCTTCCAAAGAGGAAGTTGAAATGGAGTTGCAACGGCTTCAGGTACAATTATGACAAATTGAATAGAAGTTGCTGAATATTCACAAATTTGGAAAGACATGGCTTCAATTCACAAGAGGTCGTGGGAAAACAAGCGCTTCTATTTTTGTGATGAAAATAAGCTCGCAGAAATTTTAATTGAATTCACCAGCGCGCACTTTATTTTGCGCGTAAATTTCATAAAATAAAGAAATTCGTCTGAATTTGATCTTTCAGGCGATCAGAAGAGCGCTTTACCAAGACAACACGGCTCCCAATCCTTCCGGTTGTGGAACTTCAGAGCTCGATGCTTCCGTTCAAATCGATTCGCACTTTGGCATGTCTGCTCGAACTGCGGCAAAAATGGTCGTCACTCATGCACCCAGCGATATCAGCTCGATTCAAGGGGATCTGACGGATCTTACGGAACGCGATTGTCAAACACCTACTTCTGATATTTCTGTCGAATCGGAAGAAAAGCCTGTCAATCAAGTTGAACAAAATCAGGTGATTTTGAGGCCTAGAAATCTGAGCTTGACAACCGGTGCGCAAATCCTGGCTCAGGACCCAAAATATCTTCAATGAAAAGCCGCGCTTCGCCAAAAATTTCCATCCTACGTGGCTTTTCATTGAAGCTATCTTGGGTCCTGAGTCAGGATTTGGGCACAGGTTGTCAAACCTAGCTGTAAATCATAAGATAAAGTAACCAACCTTTTCAGGACGAAAAAAGCGCCCCTGCGTCAGTAGCTGTCGAGATCGGAGACTCGGAAGCTTCAAAGCTGCTGGGACAAATCGAGGAATCGCTGGACAAAGTGACAGGTGCCGTGACCCAGCGGCCAGCTTCCTTCACTGCACGCTTGTTAGCCACGCAGACGCAACTTGTCAAATTTGTCGCCGATGTAAGTAAACTCCAAATGGACTTTTCTTTTTATTTTAATAATCAATCTGGCTATCAAAGTGAATACGCAAATGGGGGGTATTTTTGAATATTTAATTAGTACACAAGTAACGTTATTTTTCTTTTAGTGCGAGGTGAAGATACTCGACGAGTCTAAGGAGCGAATGAAATTAGCGATGGAAGTCGACCAAATGAAGAAATCGCAAATTAAACAGGCGCAATTAATCGATGTTCTTACTAAGGAGCTCATGGCTACTTCCAACAAAGTTGAAGCTTTGGAAAATAGCGCAAAGTAAGTCTATCTATTCCTTCCTTTATTTGGGTTCTACTGAATCAAAGTAACTATTAAAGGTTTATCATCGCTAATTTTATGGGCTAGGCTCGACAACCTGTGTAGAAAGCCTGAGTCAGGTTCCTGAAAAAGCTTAAATAAAAAGCCGCATATTATATATATTAGTATGTGGTTTTTTACTGTAGCTCTTTCAGGACCCTGACTCAGGTTTTCTACGCAGGTTGTCGAGCCAAGCCCATAAAATCAGCGATGGTAAACCCTTAATTGTTACTTTGACGGGTTCACCCACTGCGGAGTAGAATGTTAATAAAAGTCATCTTATATATTTAATTCATATCAAATTTCCCCTTCGGTCCCCTATCATACCAGATAAGAAAATTGAGTCCTTTCGAATTCATGATTCTAATTTCTTTCCTAAAGTTGTATTTTCTATCAAAACACGCTTTGCGAAGCGTGAAATTGTTATCTTCACTTTCTTTTTAGAGTGCGTACTATTTCTATATTTCGCTATACATATGTATAATGGTCAAATCGGCTAGTGTAGTGTTTTGTACTGGCACGGCCTTATCAAGCTGTACCAAATCAGCCGTGAATATAATTTCGCTCCCATTCCATTTTTATGTAGCGCAAAATAATTTTGTTCTAACTGTCATCTTTCAGGAACACTCCAAACGATCCAGTTGGAAATACCGTCGGCGACCTCGTGAGCCTACTGAAAAAGCCCGAAAACATGCAAAAAATGACCGAGCAGAAACCTCTCCCGAAAATGACGACTTTGGACGTTGACGATTGCGACATTGCTGCCCTTGTCGACGCCATTGGCGATCAAATGTCAAAGCAGAAATGAAACACACATTTTCAAACTGACTAGCCACCACGAAACTTCATTCTTTATCAATTTTTCCATATTTTGTCTATTTTTTAAACTCAAAAACCGTCTACGCGAAGCTTGTACTAAACGCTAAACCTTGCTAATACAGTAATACTGCAATACCCGAATCTACTGTTGGAGAAAGTCACTACTGTCGCGAAAGTTAATTTTCTTTACTTATTTCTTTATATATTTTTCCCCATTCCATTACGTTCAAAAATCAACTTGTAAATTCATTTTCATCGTGCAGAAAAAAAAACGATTCAAAAAGTTTAAATTTTAAACTATTTCCTGTAATGTAACTTTGAAAATTTGGACATTTGTCCACAGAAAAGTATCTTCACTTTTTTTACTTTTACATATTCTTCCCTTATTATACTATTTTGCTCTTTTTTTTAAATAAAAAGCGAAAAAAATTGATCCACAGATTGATTATTGAAACGGAAAAGAATAATTATATAATTGAGAATTTCGCTTAATTGACCCTCTTTGAATAGGTCTGTAATTAGTGAATGAGCACTTGGTTGAATTTATTGGAGATGCGGAAATCAAGGAAGAGGACCGCCGATATTGAAGTTTTTATTGAAGAAAAAACGGAATTTATTGAGGATTTCCTAATTGTTATTTTTTCTTGAGGGTTCTCAGAGAGATTAAGATTCGGTTAGCGAAAATTCTAGAGGATAATAAGAGTCCCTAATCAAATATAAAAATAATTATTATCATATCTAAAATCATATTTCGAATTTTCTTTTTGGAGAACTCTTTTAAAAAAGTATGTTTCTAGAATCATTTCTATTTAGCAAATTCTAGGGCAGATCGAACCAAGACACTAAATTTTTTCGCCGCGCAAAGAATGGCGGAGCTGTGGCCAATCACAACGCACCACTCGAGTTTCTTTTTTTCGAGCGCTATTTAGCCATTTTAACGTTACTACCGATTCCCTACTTACTGTAATTACTGCAGCTCGATCGTTTCATTTTTATTAGAGATTTTCTTTATTCTACCAAAAAGAAACTAGAGAAAAATGACGAAAAAAAGAACTTTCTTCAAGAAAAATTGCAAAGAATGAAGAAAATCAAGAAACTAATTTTTGTTTCAATAGAATGTTTGTCACTCGAAGGGTGCTTGGTAAAGTTGCCTTGGCTAACGGCCCTCTCGCCGCCCCAAAGAACCTTGGTGGTGATCTCACCCAGCAGATCGTAAGTTACGAAGATTATGATGAATTTTAATTATCAAAATTGTAAAATCAAAGTTATTATCGATATTTGTCTGATTGATTCATAAATTCTAAGCATAATTAATCAAGAGCATATTTGTAAAACGCTATCAAAATCCTACTAATCCTTCTCTCTTAGGCCCGATCTGTCGTTTTCGGCATGGCCTTCGCCACTCCCTTCTACCTGTGGCACTTCTACACCTTCCGAGTCGCCGGTGGTAACGCCTTGATCGACCGAATCACCGTAAGAATCGCCATCCCATCTTCTTTTCTACCATCATTTTCAGAACACCGACCAGAAGGCCCAGTGGGCTCGAATTCGAGAGCGAGGTATCCTCCATCTTGGTGACGAACACAAGTTCCACGAGGAAAGGGTTAAAATCAAACGAGAATTCAACAAATAGCCGCGCGGCTTTCTCAAATTTGACTTATTTTCGCCTGAGAAAGCCGCTTGCCTTCCCCATTCTATCCTTACTCCTGTCTCCTCATTTTAACCCGTGAAAAGCCTGCTTCGTGGCAGTCCGGCTACGAGAAGTTCGCCGAGCAAAAGGCCGAAGAGCGCGAAATCATCGAGAACCACATCAGCACCTACGGCATCAAGCTCGGCCCCCACGGTTACGAGACGCCCTTCGATCTCCTCACCGCCTAAGTTCACTTTGCATTTTCCCTCAGAAGAAACTCTATTCTTGTCCAACCGTAAATTATTTATTCGCATCGCCTAAAAGATGCTCTACGATTAGAAATTTTAACAATAAAGTTCAATCTTTCCGTAAAAATCCAATCTCAAAAGGTGCTTTTCTTTGAAGTCATCTTTATTCATTCTCTGTTTGTTTATTGGGCATTTATTTGCAGAATTTTATAGATAAAGAACTCCAGTCGTTTGCTGTGCTCAGCAACATGCGTAGAAATCCTGAGTCAGGGTCCTGAAAAGGATATAAGCTGCTTCTCTAGAATTAAACGAAGCCGTGTCGCTGGATGCTCTCTCAGGACCCTGACTCAGGGTTTCTACGCAGGTTGCTGAGCCCAAATCATTTGTGAATTGCTTTTATTCGGCATTATGTTACAGTAAGATACTTTTATAAATTTTGCGATACTGAAAAATTCATTGCATCTATTGTTTTTCATTTTATTTGTCATGATTCATATAATTATATTTTATGAATTGCTCTTTATTTTTTCGAGCTTTGCGACAGAGCAGTTACAAGATCTTTTTTTTGCTTTTCATTATATTGCCTTATGATATTTATTTTCACCAAATCTTCATTTTATAAATCTTCATTTTTTTCTCAGTTGTCGACTCGAATTTGGAGTCAGTTGATCATTTTACCCGTAGTTCCGTTTTGTTTTTCGATTGGCTCCCGAAAGGGCCGAAACAAGCCTTCAAGGCTTGCTTGAAGGGTTGAAAATGTGCTGATCTAAACTTTTGGAAGTACCCAAGAGTCCGATTATGAAAAAATTAATTTGTGCCTTTTATAGAGTTTTGTGAGAATATGGGAAAACAAGTGACGAACCCGGTGAAGAAAGAGTTCAAAAAGAAGCCAAATTTCAAAAAGAACAAATTCAGGTTTGCTATATTCTCGAATTTGCAACTTCAACTCGATATTTAGCAAGAAAAGGGAAGAAGAAAGACCATCGAAATTCTCAAAAACTGCTGCGGAGAAACGAAAAGAAATCGGAGAAAAAGCGAAGGAAAGGAAGCGAGCGGCGAAGGCAAAGAAAGAATCAGAAAAACAACAGAAGGTGAGCATAAAACCCTTCTACAGATGGTAGTTTGAGCCCCCATACGGGCCAACCAATTGGTTATCTTTCAAAGAAACAGTCATTTTCGGGTGCAAGACCGATAATCTCGCTACACACTACAGTTTCTTTTTTTATCAAATCATCAGCGATTTACCAATATCGTCGCTTATCTTGTATCTTTTCTTTGAAAAAGGAAAATTGCTCAAAACTCCTTATCGCTGGTAGTATAATAATGATGCTACTGAGCGGCAAAGGGCACGCTTTTTAATTAACGAATCTTATAATGATAAGTTTATTTATCGGATCATTCAGCTTGACGAGCGCGAAGAACGAAACCGAATCATGAAGATGCGAACGAAGAAAGGCCAGCCAGTGCTATCCGCTAGAATCGGCCTCATGTTCAAAGACATGCAGAAGAACCCAGACTTGTATAAGACCGAATCAAATATTTGAAAGAAAGAGACTGTCCTCCTCAGGAGGACTCCTCCTGCTCCTGTAAATTCTGTACGCTCAAACAAACATGATTGAAAATTGAACTTGAATTGTATTCGGAAGTTTCTTTTTGAATTTTTTGAAGGAAAGAATCAGTGAAAAAGAAATAATTACAGAAATCAGTTTTCTTGAAGAGTTTCTTGGGAGGAATTTTCGGAAACTTGTTGGTACTCGTGATTGTCGGAAGCGGTCACTTTTGCAGAAGAACTGGTCATAAGAGGGGCGGAAAAGAGGAGCCCAACGACGGAGATTATGAAGAGGGTAGTGGAGAGGTTGAGTGTGAAGATGATCAGGTTCCGACTCGTGATCATCTGGGAAATGTCGGAGGATTTGAAAGCAATATTGAGTTACCTGTTTTTCGAAGAATTTCTTTGGCACCACTGATTGCTCGAACCAAACTGTGGGAAAGATGATTTGATCATCGCTTTGGTTCAGCTTGAGTTTCTTGCTCAATACTTTTCGGTCAAAACCGACATTTAGCTGCATTCTTCGCTTGACATTCGGCATGAATCCGGTCTTTCTATGGCTTGAAAATGCTCTCTTAGGTAAATACAGTCAGGTTTTCAAGCCGTGCCAGAGGGTCAACTTCGAGAAAATAGAACTCGTGGAGCGTCTCCTTCGGCTGAACTCCTTGAAAATCAGCGACTAAACTAGGATCGCCAGCAAGAAAATGCGGCTGCGAGGCGAAAATGGGCGCGCTGACTCCTTGAACGACTTCAGTGCATTTCTCCATATTGATGATTCCGTGTTTTGAGCACTTGCCATCGACGCAGTAGCCTTGATTCTCTGGAACATCGTAGACTGACTTCCAAGTATCTGGATCGGATTTGAAGATCCATGTTCGAGAAGTCGCGTGCTCCACGAATTTAAGCTTGAATGATCGACAAGTAGCGTCAAAGAATACGTTTAGTTCTTGACCTTTTTCAACGGAAGGAGGCACAGCGAATCCGTCAGTTCCTTTTTCAGGCTGAAAACTGTTTTCCTGAATAAATTATGCAGCATAATTTCTGCTCAAATGAGCTTTTATCTCGGCGCCTTTCCTATGATGGAATTCGCAGGCGCGCTTTCCCAAATGTCCAGCTTCTCCATCCCTTTCCATGATTTTATGTAGGTCCAGTTTTTCATCCCTCTTTCGCCTGTTTCGACATCAAATGGGAAGGAATAAGAGTTGTTCATGTCTAAAATGCATTTTACTCTCCCCAAAACTAGCCTTACTTGCCCATGAACCAGCCAAAACCAGGCTTTGGGCACAAAGATGGAACTAGACTGTGAAGTTTCTCCAGAATTGGATCTTCGTATCCCCAAATGATTTCCCCAGCCGTCCTCTTCATAAACACATCGTATTTATTTCCCTTCATCAGGGAAATTATAAGGCCGCGAACGAACTTAGGCAGAATGTCCAATTGCTTCATAATGATTACATAAGGCACGTTGAGAGTCACAATTGTTGAGTTTTCGGGGACAGGGGAGGTTTCGTCGAGAATAAATGCTAACGAGTTTTGGTAGATGACGCTCTGGTCGCTTGTGAAACTGACATTTGTTCTGGCGACGACGTTTTGGTAGCGGATCGGCCCGATTTCTTCCAAAATCGGCTTGCTTCCGTTACTCTGCAAAGAAAAAAAATATGGAACGTAATTTGGAGATATGTAATTTACCAAAACTTCTTTTGAATTTGTCACATTCCAGACATAAATATCAAAAGTCGAATGCATCGGTGGATCCGCCCAAAAGTCCAGGATCTCATTATTTTCGGGCGTGATCGTCATTTTTACCCGCAGAACATCGTCGATCATACGATCCCATGTCTTGTTCAAGTAAGTTGCTGCGCTTTTAGAGAGTTGTTCATTGAAAAATTAGTCATTTATGGCTTGAACTCGTCGTTGAGTTCAGTTTTCTAGGGCCAAAGTAAATTTTACGCGATAAACTTATTATATAATTAAGGAACTTTCCCTTTCCTGAGAATCAAAAAGCAGACTAAATAATATTTATTAAACATCGTTTATTTTAATATTTGTAAAGTTAATTTAGGCACTAACCAGAAAACACGCACACAGAGACAAAGGCCTTCTTACACCGCATTTTTTTTCGTATTTTTGAATTTCTCAAATCATTTTTATCGGATCAGAGAGGAATAACGGCTTTTTACTCAGAGTGAAATAAAAAATACTGCCTGTTTGATTGGCCAGATCGGGCCTAAGGATGTTTGCTTCAGTTTGAACTTCAAAATTTGCTCTCCCAGCTTTACAGTGTTTATTTCTGTTCAAAAATTTTACTGAAGAAACTAATTTATGAAGCTGTTTAATTTTGAGATTTGTTTATTGATTGATGTTGAAATTGGCTTGTCGAAGAATGAGTTCGATAACTGAGCGGTTGGGAGCTCTGAGAAGCGAAATCGCCGCACACTGCGAACAACACTCAATCGAACGGATTCCAACCCTCATCGCTGTTTCCAAAACGAAGCCGAACGAGGACCTGATCGAGGCGTACGAAGCAGGGCAGCGTGATTTTGGAGAAAACTATCCAAACGAACTCAAAGTAAAAGCAGCTGAACTTTCAAAGGAAACGCTTGAAATCACAATTTTTCGTTTCTTTTTTTACCACTTTCAAGCTATCTCAAGTTGTGTCCTGAAATCCGATTTCATTTTATCGGAAGCATTCAGAAGAAAAACATTAATTCGATAATTAAAGCTCCAAATTTAGTCGGAATCCAGACATTGGCCTCAATGCAAGTGAATTCCCTCGTTTCTTTCAATGACAAAGTTCCAAAATAGGGAAATAATTGAAAATGTCGATAAACGACTGACATCATCTGTCAATGTCATGCTTCAGTGCAATACAAGCGGCGAAGAAAACAAAGGAGGGTTTCTGGAAGAAGAAGATCTCTTCCGCGCCGCAGAATTTGTCAAAAACGAGTCCAAGTTTATGAAACTAGAAGGGCTAATGACAATTGGCTCGGTTGAAAATTCGAAGAAAGCGGCAGAAGAAAATGTTCCGAATGCAGATTTTACCAAGCTTCGAGAACTCCAACAAAAAGGTAAATTCATCCTGCTATTCTTTCATTTCAAATATCCCTAGTCGCTGAAAGGTTGAAAATTTCCCCTGATGACCTGTCGTTGAGCATGGGAATGAGCACCGACTATTTAGCTGCAATTGAGCAAGGCGCATCAGTTATTCGCGTCGGCTCGAAAATATTTGGTGCAAGAAATGTGACAAAATAGAATAAACTTCTCTTCAATTCTTTGTTCTCTCCGAGAAGTGTTCTTTTTCCTTGAGTTCACTTTTTTTGTTGATTTACTTTTTTATTGTAAAGTTTGGCATTTTATATACAGAAAATTTTAAATGATAGTTGTGTAAATTACTTTGATGTACAATGAAAATCTCAATGAAAGCAAAAACACTGGCGAGTAACGAAGTAAACTAAGGTAGCAATATGCAAGTCAGTAAGGCTAATTTGTATGAAGAAAGTCGACGGCATTAGATCCATTTTGAAGGAGTTTTAGACAGCTATTGATTTTGGAAAGGGCATGCAGCCGGATATCTCGATTGCTTCCGGCCAGTCTCCGTACTTATTCGCCGACTAGAAGAGCATTTTATTGATAGTAGAATAGGGAGGGAATGCTTACCTTGTCATTTTTCAAATGATTCTCTTTGGCGGTAAAGCCAGGGACTCCCTTAGCTCCAAGAAAGACCCACGCGTCTCTGAAAGCAATGCTCGAAGCCACACTGGATCCGAACGAGCTCAAGATCGTTCTCGCTTCAGAATCGAGTCTGAAAGCGGCATCGTCGTACGAAGCGATGATGATGACTTCTCCGTTGACCATTTGATTGAGGAATGCTTTTAAATCGGTCGAGTCCTTGGCGTACAAATCGAACGTCGCGTAACGATGATTTTTTGTTTCCAAGTTGATGACGACTACGTTCATCCCTCTATCCACATTGTTCAGCTGGAAAAGTTGTCATAAGAGAATAAAACGGTCATTTGTACCTTTGATCTCATGATATCTGTGCCTTCCCAGCACACTCTGGGTCCAATGACACTAGCAGCGCCGGAGATAACTCGAAAAGTATACTCTGAATTCGCATCGCAAGTTTCTTTCAACCCGCAAGCATGCTCGTCGAAGCTGAGGTTCGAGTTGTCCATGAGTTGCATTTCGCGATCCCACTCTTCCTCGACTTTTTGAATCGCCTCGTGGTCGATTAAACTCTATTTTTCGTTAATAAATTGATCTAATAAAAAGATCTACCTTTTGCTTCTGCAAATATTTATTGCTAGCGTCAGCCTCTTCCATCGCCACTAAATCCGCTTTTTTCAGCGTCTCCATCGCGGACAAATAGTTTTTCATCGAAAGAACAAGCATGATCAAAATCCCAATTATGAGCCCGACTCGTATCAGGCTATTCTTATTCCTTGCCATTCTATACAGCAAACAAAATAAATAAACGAGCAACTCTTCATTTTTAAAAATATATTAAGGCAGGATGGTATTTCAGTGAAATTAGACGATGATAGAGTTTTTTAAACTTATCAGTGATGTGAAAATATGTACAGTGAGGTAATTTGTGGCTTTATTGCTTCTTGAACTCTTGTCGCTCGGCGAGAGGAATCTGCTTCGGTCGTTTCATGTTCTCTAGGCGAACTTCTTCCCGTTCGGAGATCATTTGGAAGTCCCGCATGCCTGAAAGTTAACTTTGTCCACGCGTGAAGTCAACTGTAGCTACTCACTTTCTCGCTTGTCGCGGAGCCCGTAAATGCCCTGCTGGATGAAGATCATGTCTCTGGTGTCGTCCTTGAGACTTCCAGCGTCGGTCGGGAAATCGTCCTTTTTGTGTGTTGGAAACATGAATCGCTCTGCGTCCATCAGCCTTTTTTGCAAGCTGAAAATTATTAGAATAACGATCAACTGGATAAATGCTTACATTTTGAGCTGCATGGATTTTCTATCTCGTGCCCAGCGGTGCTCACGAACAAGATTGTACTGCTTGGTCTCTTTCCAATGACGTTGGTTGGATCTGAAGTACTCCTCCGCTCGCTTGAGCTCGTCATCAGCTGCTTTTACCCGATTCCGAAGGTAATTCAACTGCTCTTGCTTGTGCCTAACGGGAGATATGATCTTGTACTGCCGATATTGACTTACTTGAGGTATGCAGGGTTGAACAACTCATTGCGAACTGCGAATTTGTCCACCACTTGACGGTTGTAACTTCCGGGCAACACAGCGACATCGTCGAATTCGTTGTTGGCCTTACTTCTCGTCAGCATCTGCTCTGTTTTAGGCAACTTGCAGATGGATGTGTACGAGTCAATATCGTCGAGAGCAGCAAGCATTTCTTCCCGAGTCTTCTTGTAGTTCTTTTTCTCGACAAGCTCTCCAGTTTCGCCGATCACTCTCATCGATACTTTTGAGTTGTCGAAGTCGGAATCCTTGCATGGCTTCGCATGTTCTTTTGCGAAGTGCCCCTCTCGTCTCCTGTTCGCCATGCACTGTGATTTTCTTTTAGTTTTCAAACGGTTATTTTAAGTTACCTGTTGACGCGCGATATGGTATCGTTCCAGCGTAGACTCGTCTTGGAGATGCCTTAGGATCATGTTCTTGACTCGTTGCGTCATCTCCTTGTTGTCTTCGGGATTTTTGAGATAAAAATCCATCTCAAAATGCGCGAGCCAATGTCGAGCTGTCTCCATTGATTTCCTGGTGCCTCCGTATTGACTGACGACAGAGCCTTTGGGATACTTCTTGAATTCAACGTCGTATAGGATCGTGTCGGGGCCAATGACGACTTTGTAAACGTTGTTGACCTCCCACTGGCCGAGTTTTGGATTCCGATCTGTGCGGATGTCAGTAACACCGACAAGCTTGCTGTTTCCGAACTCTAGTGGGTAGATGTGTTCGAAGCTGCACCAGTACTGAAAATGGTTATTAGAATATTGAGAACAATTTGAAATACCTTTCTCTTCTTTTTCGCTATCTTGTCGTTCAGCGAAAGAAGGAGCTGCTTCTCTAGCCAAACTTTTCCCTCATCAGAAGTGTACTCAACAAGACGTTGTCCAGTGCAACCGCTCTTGTAGCTGATGGTCAACCAGAACTCGTGGAAGTTTTTATCTTCGTCTTCTTTGGGTTCTGCATTCCCTTCAGCTTCTTCCTCTTCTCTTTTCCGTCGCTCTGCGGCCCGCTCGAGAGCTTCCTGTTCAACTCGTCTGGCTTCTTCTGCCGCGGCCGCTTCTCTCTCCTCGTTTTGCCTCTTGATTTCTTCCTCCTCTTGCTTTCGCTCTTCTTCCTCCTTTTTTCGCTTTTCGATCTTTTGCCTAAAATAATATTTACATAAAAAACCTACAGAGCAATCATTACCGTCTCTTTTCTTCCTCTCTTTCCTTGAAAGCTGCATTTTTTCTCGCTCGCTCGTCATCCTTTCTCCTTTTCTTCTCATTTTCCTCGCGCTCGGCAAGTTCTCGTTTCAGCCTCTTTTTCGCCTTTTTAAGCTTCATATGCTTCTTGAGCTCCTTCTCCGTCATATCCTCTGTCGACTTGGTCGGCCGGTATTTCAGCAGCTCTTTTTCAGTGAGACCGCAGGTGAGTTGCTCTTTTGGTTTTTCCGGACTCTCGTTCGGGCTCAAGCAGAGTCCGGATGGACCAGGCTCGTCGTTGGGACTCAATGACAGAGCAGGTGACGCAGGCTGTTCGTTCAAAGCGATGGGGAGCCCAGAAGTACCTGGTGTCTCTATATCTGGGGACATGAGAGCTGGCTCGGAGCTTTCTTTTCTCTCTGGAGAACGCTCGCTCCAGTTTTCCACAGTTACGGATTGATTTAAACTCGTAACTGGGTCTTCCTCAGGAAGTGGGGCGCTGGAGGCGCTCTCTGAAATCATTATTTAGGAAAATTATTTATGAAACGTGTGATCCTCCGCGGAGAAATCATGCGTGAAAAAATTCTAACTGTTGTTGTGAAATTACCTGAAACTGGGTCGGCGGCCTCTTGATCAACAGTCGCCTGTTCTGCAGCTGGCTCCTGATCCGGCTCTTCAGCTTCGATGTCGGCCCTCGTGAAGAAAGGGGTGATTTTCCTCTTCTTTTTCAGTGGAGGTTTACCGTTGTCCTTCTCGGGCGGCGAGCTGGTCTTGCGCTCTCGCTCTTGTTTAGACTTTTTCAGCTTTTCCTCGAGGATCTCTAACGAGGTTTTGTTCTTCTTCGGCTTTGGTTGGGAGTTTTCATCGTCGCTCGAGTCAATTTCAACAGGTGTAGATATCTTTTTGCGCGATCGTTGTTTTGAAGCTTTTTTCTTAGGTGGCGAGTCGTCCAGGGTCAGGTCAATCGCTTCAACCGACTTCTTCGCGGGAGTTTTAGGAGGCGCGGCGTTGTTTTCGTCCACTCCAAGCAAATCGGTTAATGGAACGTCGTCATCGGTTTGCGAGAGATTTTCTTCTTGAGAAGCCTCACTTGCAGTGGGCTCATCTAAGAAATCCTCGAAGTGGGTCACTGGTGATTTTGGTTTCTCTTGGACAACTATAGCAGCCATCTCTTCTTCGTTTCTGATCTCTATTTCTTAAATACAATTGTTAATTAGTAGTCAATTAATATTCTTTTATAATCAAGATAATGGAGATTATTTATATGGTGATTGCTACCAATTTATATGAAAAAGTTACCTTTAGGTTTGCTCTTTAATTTGTTCGGGTTGGCAAGGCGAAGACTTTTCTTGGAAGGCTCGCTATTTGAAGATGACTTTTTCAAAGTTGGACGATTCTTTTTCTTCACTTGTTCAGGCTCAGGATCCGCGACGGTTTCGACTGCAATTCGCTCGCGCATTGAATCTGGAAGAGCACAGTGGACGAGGGGAATAATCAGCTTTTTTCGGAAAGGATCACCAGTTATCGTCCCGTCGTTTTTCTTCTCGGTGACTGGAGATGCCTTCCGCTTCTTCTTTTTGGGCAGTTCGGGAGAAGAAAGCACGCGCTTATTAGAAACTTCTTGAGTTGTCGTGATCGGCACTTGTTTCTCAACAGGAAGGATGTTTTGATTTATTTGATCGCCGGTCAAGATGACTTCTTCTGAGTTTTCTTTGTTTGTCGGATCGGCCGCTGGACTCGTGGAGATGGTTGAAGAAGCAGGTTCAGTTGAAGATGATGCAGCTGCTTCTCCAGTTGGTAATTTGTTCTTCTTTTTCTTCTTTGGTGCAATGACCGTTCCATCCGCAGCGATTTTCTTAGGCCCTCCCTTATTCTTTTTCTTCTTTGGTTTCGCCACTGCATCCTCCATTTCGGCTTGGACGTTTTCTTCTTGTTGTGTGAGCATAGCAGGTTGTTTGTCGACGCCGTCGACGGAGTCGGAAATGGTCGAAGCTTCGAGTCTCTTTTTTCGACTGATGGAAGTTGTGATTATAGGCGACGGCGGCCGATCTGAGTCACTACTGTCACTTGCATCCAATATTTTCCCGTTTTTGTTGTCTTGATTTCTTTTATCTGAACGAGCTTGTGATGAGAGTGGGTTTTTGTTTTCGCGTAACGGATTAGGTTTTGCGCAGGGAGGAATAGATTTTGCAGTAACAGAGGATGCCCTCTGAGGAGGCTCGTCCTCGTCGCTAGACAAGAGGCTGACGATCTCGCTTTTCTGAGCGCTCGAACGACGAGAGCTTCTTTTCTTTGGTGAGGATTCCGTGCTGCTTGCTTTTTCGAGCGGAGGTAGACTTTCGTCGTCGGAAGGATTCGCTGTTGATGTCGACGGTTGCTGAAGAGGGGTCACAACGGCGACTGGGCGAGAAGCGCGTGGCTGGGCAGGTTGTTGAGCTTGAGTTCGCATCGCTGGTGGCTGGTACGGAGGTCTGGGTTGAATATTCTGAGGAAATCGAGCTCTTGCATTGGCATACATTGACATGAAGAGAGCATGGTCAAATCCAGGAGGGTAGAAGTTTGGATGAATGCCCTGAAAATGCGCTGCTGGAGGTCGTTGATAGTGGAAAGAAGGAGGAATTGATGGATGGCGTTGCGGTTGAAAGTTCGGCAAATGAGCGTACGCAGCAGGCGGATATGGATGTGTAGCGAATCTTGGAATGTTTCCTACGCCAAGACAGGGTAAAGCCGGCTGAGGGTCTAAGTTGGAGGCTTCGGGAGTAATGATTTCTTCGATTTCTTCCTCGTCAGTTGACGCATTGTCGGTTGCTTGCTGGTTTTCGTTCACCATCAACTGTTGAGAAGATTCAATATTTTTCGTTTTAGAAATCGCAATCGCTGATGATTCTAGAATGTGTTCCTCTTTGTTCGATCCCGGAAGATTCTCTGTAACGGCGTTTTTCTCTTGAAAAGTTTCAATTTCCTCTTCGACAGTTTGTTCTTCACGAGTCGCGATGGTGTTTTCGCTGTTTCCGGCAGCAGCTGCAATTTCTTCAACGGGCTCGCGCTCACAAGTATTTTCAACGTCCGAAACAACAATCTGCTTCTCTACATCTCGATTTCCCAAAGACGCTTTCGCTAATCTCGCGAGAATTGGTTCTCGGAAAATTGCCACGGCTGTAATCGAGGTCGAAGGGGTCACTTCAGCGACCGTTTTATCGCTCTGATCTTCTGGGGAAATGGCGCTTTTCTCAACAGAAATCGCGGCGGTTGAGGATGTGATCGCGCCAATTTTTGCCTCTTCATCAGATTTTTGTGATATTTCAGCATTCTCATCGTCATCCCAAAACGATAAGGCATTCTCCAGGACATCGCTCTCCTCGGCAATTTTTTCTTCGACTACATTTTCACAAGACTCGTGTTCAATTAGTTCGTCTTTTGAACCTTCCTCCTCCTTGTCAAACTGCGTATCAGTTTCTGCATTCGGGAAGAAAGAATCGATAGGAGCAACCGTTGCTTCAGCATTTTTTTGCGAAATGCCCTTGACAGCGCTCTTTTCAACGATTTCTTCTTCGACTACATTTCCGAAGGATTCTTGTTCGATTTGCTCGTCTTTGTCGGACTGTGAATCCGCCTCTCGATTCGGCAAGGAAGTGTAAATTGAAGCAACCGTAGACGTCATCGCAGCATCTTCGGTATTTTCATCAAGAATGCCGGTCTCGTCAACGATTTCTTCTTGTATGACGTTTTCATATGGTTCGTCTTCCATCTGCCCATCATTGGATTTTTCGTCGTTTTCAGATTCTCGATCAATCGTCGGTCTGGGCAAGGATGACTCCATCGAGGTCAACGTAGACATCGTGGGAGCTTCGGTATTTTCTTCTTCATTCTGTTCATTTTCCCCTTTCTTCTCAGACTCCGCTCTGCCTGGCGCTTCTTCAGTCTGCAGATCTGGAACGACTTGCTCATCTTGAGAAGTAGGAGCATCTTCCTGAATGGGTGGAGAATCGGACTGTTCGGCTGGAAGTTGCTCTTCGTACTCCATTTCAGGCACATTCTCCAAGCTTTTCGTTTCATCTTCAGAACTCTGCTTGACCGACGGAGCGATTTGGACGACAACTGATTTGGGAAGGATCGGCTTTAGATCGGCAGTCTTTGGGATGAGGGACCTTTGAGCAACCATCGTAGGGAATCCATCATCTTCTTCGTCCGAGGAGACAATCAAAACTTTCCTGCGTCTTTTCGGCGTATTCTTTTTTGAAGAAGCAATCTGGCTCATCGATGGTGAGTCGGTAGCTCTTACTCCGCTCTCTTGCAGAGACGCAACTCTGCGACTGAGCATCTTCATCGAATCTGGAGTTATCACCCAGAGATTTTCATCTGACTCTTTCTTCGATGGATAGCAGGCGAAATGGACGACGGTATGGCCGAAACGAGCATCGCGTTTTTCAAAGGCAGGTTGTTCTTTGCTTCGAAAGATTTTTAACTTTGATTCTTAAAAAAAAGAAGATAAAGAATAAAGAAAATCCGTTCCTGACGAGTTTATTTTGGCGCTTGAAAAAGTTGAGAAGCGAATAAAAACTGGCGGAGTTCTGGGGGTATTCCTTAAAGTCGATGGTTCGAGGGATGATGGAATCTTTCGGCTGGAAGAGGACACCGAGCTTGGCGAAAAGCGTGAAGGAGTTTCCACTGGATCGACAGGTCTTCGAACCTATTGCGATTCCGTCGTCATCTTTTTTCAATGCTCAGAAGTGATATTTTCTACGGATAAATCTACGACTCATCAAGTGCTAGTATTAGTACGAAAGTCTTTTTGAACATTTCCTTCAGTATTTTCTTTGTCCTCTTGACTCGCCAAATTCTCCTTCTTTCTAATGAGCCAGAAGATGTTCAATATCTTGCTCACGACGATTTCTGGAGCCATCTCTTATTCTGTCAAACATTCATCGATTTTCTTACTCAAAAAGAAATTGCATGCAGGTTCATGTAATTATGAAAAAAGGGGGAGTCCGAAAAGGCAGTGAACTCTCGCGCGCTTTCCAAGGCTCCGCCAATCGGCGCGCCTGAAGATTTTTTTAAAGAATTTGTGACTCACGAATCCGAGCACGAACCATCTTGACTTGAATTCAGCAGGACTTGCAGTGTAAATTTCTGAGAATCGAGAAAACGGAAGAAAGAGAGGAAGGTTCAAAAGGTAAGTTGAGAAATCCAGATTTTTATTGTAAAAATATCATTTTTCACTAGAAAGTATTTAAAAATGGCAATTGAAACGCACAAAAATTTCCCCTGTGAAAACTGCGACTCTGTGAAATACAAGAAACGAGATGGCCTGTGGATTTGTACAGGAAAGTGCGAAAAAATCGATCATTTATGAAGTTTTGCAGTATTGACGCACTGAAAAGTATGCAAGGCGGAAAATACAGACATCGTCGTGGAAGAATTCGACGAAGATCCAAATGTCAGCAGTTATCGAATGAAGGCTACTGTCTCTCGGGCCGAAGCTAAGTCAGAGGATCTTAGCTTTATTCGAAACCGGGATCAGGGCAATCGTCCGTGGCTGACAATCGAAGCTTTGCAGCAAATTCTCCGAGGAAAAGCCCTCTCAATTTGCCGAGATCTGCAGCTAGATGAATCTGCCTCTTCAAAGATCCTTCTACTTTTGCGCGAAATGTGGTTCACCTATCTCCGCGGCCGATTGTTGTGCTTTGGTTCCGACTCCAACCCGGTCAACTTTCGCGACCGCGATTTGCACATGTACCGAGCGATCAAGAACGATGGCTTCAATGGATTCGAAAAGACGAGCTACGATCCGATGCAGTATAAAAAGACGCCGAAAGACGTCGAGCTTGGAATTTACTCTGCCGGGAACACCACTCACTTCGAATTCACTTCTTCCGATTCTGAGCCAGAAGCTCAAGTCGCTCTCAATCGAGTGAAAAAACTCAAGCGCAAGAGAAAGACCCCTTCGGCAAATTATCAGCGAGTTTCCCTGCCAGATGTTCAAGCAATCATCTTTCTTGGCTTCCGAGTTCTTGGGTACCCGATTTCGTTCAAGTCCATTTTCAAACATTGCTTCATCGACGAGGTGAGAAAATTCTTGCCTTCTCACATGACTCCAACAAGGAAGGATACAGAGACCTCAAGGTCATTAAGGGATCCCCCCCTGGTGGTAGGTTTCCGTTGAGCAAATCAATTCTCTGTACTAGAGAATAGCGGATAGCACCTGAGCTTTCTGTAGAGCTATTATACGCCCAATTTCATAAGCCCAAATCGGCTGAATTTCCAGTTGAAAATGGCCAAAACGGGGGGGGGATCCCTTAAGTTTCGACAGAGCATGAAATCGGACACCGCAGCATCCGTTTATCCACATTGCTTTTCTTAGAATTCAAGAAGATTGACCCCCTCTGTATCTAAAAAAAGCGTCGATTTGTTTCTGAAAAAGATGTCGTTGAACCAAGGAATGAGCGAAGAAAGCTTGGTTTCAAGAAACAAGCTTCATCGAGTCACACTGGCTTTTGTCCATCATCACTTGATAAATCCCCTGTCGCAATTGCTCGATCAGCTGGACAGCAACAATGCTCGAGGATCTCTTCTTATCCGGGAATTGAAGAGCAAACTCTGCGAACTGCAACTTCCAGAATCTTTCTGCGCTCTGGTCAATCAAAGCTTTCCTTATTTTCTTCAGAAAATTGATGCTATCCAAAAGGATAAAATTGAGGTTGGTTCCCCCCTTCATCTTTTTCTAACGTGAAAGTTAGGTCTTTTTGCCTTTCATCGACATCTGGGCACTTGCGATCATCTACATCTGCATGGTATCCAGCGTCGCAGACAAGGAAGTCCCCTGGCAAGCCTGGTGCCACGGATGGGTAGCGAAAAAGAACAAAGAAAACAACGAGGAGTTTCTCAAGAATCTGATCGACACGGAAATGAGTGAGGCCCGAATCAATTTCCGCGCGAAAAGCAGAATTGATGACAAGAAGAACTTCCAAATTGTCCAAACCATGCCTACCATCGAAAAAGTTGAAAAGGATGAAAACCCACAGATGCCGGAAATCGAAGTCTGCTTCCAGTCGAAATTGAAGTTGCCGAAAGTCGAGTTGGACGAAGATACGAAATATTTAATCCACGCTTCTTTGCCTTCAAAAGTGCAACTCCAAGGATTCAAAAAATTTGACAAGCGACATGTTTCGAAAGAGTCCTACAGCTACTACCGACATTTCATCAGACACTTGAGGAACGAATCCAATCATTTGAGACTTGTGCACTTTGAAGACAAGAAGTTTATCGGCAATTTTCTTAGAACAATCAAGAAGAAGGTAGTTAACAATTTTAGTGATTTTTGATAACTTTTTGATCAGCAAAAGCGAAGATACGTAACATACGAACACGAACTACCTCGACCTTGGTATCTTGATACATTTGCTGAGCTTGCCTGTGTTTCTCAACAACAATTCGTTGCTACTGTACTTATTTTACTTGATCAATAAAAATACTGACTAAATCCAACAGTATTTGAATCAATTGTCGAATGATGAGCAACTGACAGCATTCTCTCGAAAACCTACTGTATTTCTTGAATCAGGAGTCGAAGCCGGATTGATTTCGAGATTTGCGCATTCATTTGATCGAGATTGGCTGCTATCGCCCCTTTTCTCATTTTGATTTTCCCTTTTTTCTCTTTGCTGTCATCGATTGCGTGAAATTGGCTCCATTTGGGTTTCTTTTTTTTCCATACAATAAATACATGGAACAGATACCACCAGAGTTTATCCACTCCTATGGGAGTGTCGGGCGATGCCAACCATATGGAATTAACTGCAAAAGTATTACCAAAGAGATGGCTGTATTTACGAGTGGACAAATAATGTGTACTTTTTGGAAGGGTTTAAAGATCAATTCAGAGCGTAGTGATATTATAATTTGAACCTTGAAAAGTCTCGACTTTTGTTGTACAGTTGTCAAGAATGCGGAAGAGCTAAGGGCATCCGTCAAGCTCATCCCATCTGATGCAGAGCTGAAGTGTCCAGCTGCGAATTGTGAAGCCAAAAATCTCTCTTTTAGAGAGTTCAAGATCGGAAAATGTTGTGATAAAGCGATGGCAAAACAAAATAAAAAGGCTCTAGGCAAAAGGTTTTTTAAGAAATTCATAACGACTGTTGTCTCGGATGCATTTTTTTGTAGAAAACGTCAATAAAACCTAAAAGACAATCAGGAATACGTCTCGTTGGTTCACCAAAATTTAAAAGCTGCGCAACTCGTCGTTGAGAAAGGTGAAGGAAGGCTCAAAAATGCAGAAATCGCCGCGAAACAAGCAGAAGACTATGTTGAATTGGAAAAAAAGAATCTCGAATGGGCAAAGAAGGACATTGAGAGAATGAAAGGGTGCTTGAAAGACGCATACCTTATGGCATACACCAAATCTTTACGAGAATTGAGTATTTCAGGTTCTTTTAAATGCGTTGAGAATTAATAATCTCTTATTTCATAGAAGACGAAGGACCTGCTTGCAACGTCTGCTTGGAAGGCTACAACAAAGAGGAGCGACACGAATGTACCCTTCATTGCGGCCATCGATCCTGCCACAAGTGCTTGACCGGTCTTCCCGAGAAGATCTGCCCAATCTGTCGCAAAGAGTTCACCAACGAGCAGATCATCAAGCTCTTCTGAAGCCGAGTTCTTTTCTGCCTCTTTTTCTCCGAGTTAGAAATCGTCGAGAATAAAATTTTATTGAAACAGATTCTTTTTTTAGCACTTTTTAGCCCCTTTTTGAAGGCAGGAATGACGCAACTTGCATGGAAAATTCTGTAATGCGGCCGCTTGTAAGGCTAAATTTGCACTGCATTATTCGCTGTGGCTAGACACACATCAAGCCTTTGATTTTAATGACCCGCCTGTCTTGGTTTTCTAATAAACCTAATTCCTGCATTGGGTTTACTAAAACGGCGCGTCTTTCCGCTAATTTCACGCTGCGGCTCTTGTCAAACAGCTAGTGCTCGGAATACCTGGCTCAGACGAAACCTGGCAGAGCACGAAACGGTGAAATTTTGAAACTTTTAATTTCTTCAGAGAAAGAGGGAATGAGTCGAGGTCAGTCCCACAGGACGATGGGCTCTTGGCTCAAAAGAAAACTCAGTCAGAGAGAGAATCATGACATAGTTAGAGGTTCAGAAAGAAATTAAAGAGATCTTTATGAAGAAATATGGTAAGAAAAATGGTCTGAACCTATCATAAGATTTTAATGGAGCGATGCAAGATGCTACTGATGCTCTTGACTGCCTCCTAGCGGTAAGAAAGTAGGCTAAGCTCTTTTTTAGGAACCTTTTTAGGATTCTACTCCAAAGGCGGGATTCCAAAGATAAGAGAAAGACAATTAAAAATAGTGATAGAAAATCCCAAAAAAAGATGCCTCGTCGAAACTCATACACTCGAGATTCATCGTCAGATAGCGAAGAGTTTATTAGACTACCAAGATTCAAGGTTTGGCGAAAAAATCAAGGGCAGTTTTTTATTAATTCAAATTCAAATCTAGTCAGCAGTATCCGGGATCTGGAACGCACTAGGCGAGAAAGCCGCTCATTTGTTCGAGCCAAGGCATAATTACACGACTCCAGTGGAGACAAAGACGACTCATAAAGCTAAACAGGTGTGAATCCTACTATTTTCATCTAATTCGAGAGGCTTAAATTTCTTTCCCAAGAAGACGGTTTTAACCTGTTTTTCAAGTTTGTTGGAACTCCCCTCGGCTGCGCAAAGTACAAAATGGGTCCCGCAAGAACCATGTCCATCGAATCCATCGACAAAGTCGCCCCTGGAAACTGCATGCCAAGCTGGCAAGTAACCGACCAATCTCAGTACGTAGTAAAGGCTTGATGCTCTTTACCTCTTCTTTTCTACACCTCATCTTTCGTATTCAACCATTCCCTTCTTCTTTGATTGTAAGAATAAACTCCTGTACAAAAAAAATGTTCAAACTGTTTGAAGAAAAAATCGATAGTATTGAAAGATTATAGCGAAAAAAGGTAGTAGATAAAGGGGAAAAATCGAACTCGCGTGTGCGCTAGTTTTTTTTATTATTTGTCGAGTGTTGGAGCACAAAAAAGTCAAGTGTTGCAAAGTATCCAAACTTGCCAGGGAAAAAAGAGGAGAGACTTTTTCTGAACGAGAAACGCGCTACTAGAATGGTAAGTACCGAGATAATCCCGACTGTAGTGTAAAAATATTAAGGTCGGCTACGTCATTTTTGGCCTGACACTGGTTGTGATTTCTGTCATGATCATAATTATGGTCTTGCGTCCTACTCAAGTACAATTTTGACACCTTTTGTTCCCGAAATTGGTCGGCTCTTCTCCATCATCATCTTTTCTGTACATATCTTTTTCCGTAAATAAAAATCGTGAATGATGTTTTTCTTGCTTCTTTTTATACCTTTTTTGGACGCTCAGAATCTTATAAATTTCAATTGCGGATTGTCAGAGAGCTCTTATGTTTTCACCTTTGATGAGGCTGTTAGAGCAGCAAACTATCCGGATCTTCCTTCTTTTATCGACAAATACTTCGTTGCGGGTTTTACTCCGGCGAATATGCAGAGCCATATTCCCGACCAGTGCAGGTTTCAAAACGATGGGACTGCTTTCAAGGTCAAATTTGAGGGAGATCGTTGTGGTCAAGTGAATATCTTTGAAGATTCTTCAGGATCGGCCAAAGAAAACTAAGAGGATCATTCCCTAGGCTGAGCTGGGCAACCTGAGTAGAAAACCTGAATCAGGGTTGTATAAGAGTAAAATGAAAAGCCGCGTAGCGGCTTTTTTTTAAACGAAGCCGCAAAGCGGCTTCGCTAGTTATAATAATTTATTGAGTTGGTAACTTTGGCGAAGCCGCTTTGCGGCTTCGATTAAAAAAATGCCGCTACGCGGCTTTTCATTTTACTTTTTTACAACCCTGACTCAGGTTGCCGAGCCCATCCCCTGGGGTCCTGATTTCAGGGGCCTTCCAAAGCTCAAACCGTCATGTCCTTCCATATCTACTACTACACCCTCTTCGACGAGTCAAAAATCGAGGCCAATGGAGACATTGTTCTAGTCAGGAGTTCAGTAATCCTCTCAACCACATCTATGACCGTTCATTAACCGGATTCGGCCGGGGTGACGTAGTAGCGCTAGAAAAAGAAATTCCACATTGAACTTTGTGCAGACGAGTATGACAACATCATCGTTATGGACGCGATCCCAATTTCTTGCACACTGAGGTAATAGGCGCGGCATTGGCGGCCTGTTTACCCGCTCAAGAAAACACAAAGCGCGAAATCGAACGAATTGCAATTAAAATTCTTCTTCTTTTTTAGTCAAATCGAGGTTCAGTCAGCAACAATCAAGGTCGAAAAGTCGCAACATGTCTTTTCTGCTACGGCAGCTCCCGAACTTATTCAGGAAAACTTCAACAACTCGATATAGGAATTTTTTCTCAGATAGCTGTCAATCCTCAGGTGATGAAATTTGATAAAAGACAAGTTTGGATCCAAGACTAGAAACGAATGTGAATGCTTTGACTATTGGAGAAGAGCTGACCTTGAGCGCTGAAACCGACTCGTTGACTCTTTTCAAGTATTCTTTCTTCTATGATCCTTTGCTATCCTTCTTCAGCTTCGCATTGAAACGATGTGTTGCGCAAAATGACGATGGCTCACAAGAAATTGAAATTCTTAACGATTTTTGCCCGGCGAGTACTTATGAAACCATCCTTTCTTTGACGAAAAATGACAGGGTGAGACCTTGATCTTCGACCCTTCTTCAATTTCTAAGACCCTGAGCTTTCCTGCCTTTCGATTTTCATCTTCAGAAGATATCCGATTTTCATGCACAGCAGTTTTGAAGCAGTCCGCTCCACCTTGCACAGCTTCAAGTATTTCAGAATTTTAACAAGTTGTAAGTTCTTTTCAGCCACAGCGAGAAAAAGAAGAGATTCAGAGATTAAGAAAATAACGAGCAAACATGGAAATGGATTGAAAAAACGACCGTAATTTACTGCAATCAATTATCGCTAATAAATAATTCTTAAAAAAAAAATTATTAAATTATTGATAATTTTGATTAGTTAAAATAAATTTTAATTTTTTGACTTGATAAAGTTCAGAAACTGAGGATTTAGGTGCGGACTTATTTTCTCGGAAACGCTAGAATCGCTTTATTTTATAAAAATCTTGAATTCCAAGCTTCGATGAAAAAAAGAGCGCGTAGGTTAGCGCGGCGTCGATTGGCCGCTCGCGCTCGGCGAAACGAGAAAAACGCGAGAAAATTGAAAGAGAAAAGGAAAAATCACTGGCGATTCTAGAAACGGCCGAAAGCATTTGTTTTGCAGAGAAGAATCGGTTATTGTTCTGTTCCTCTTCGTCCACGGAAGAAGTTTTGTTAATTTTTCGCGTTTTTAGATATGTCGGAAGGCGCCAATTATTACAACAAGTCCGAGTATGGCTCTGACTTCCCAGCTCTTCGACGGTAAGCCTAGAAATTACTTGATAAAAAGAATTTTTTGAGAAAGAAAATTTTATTTACTTAAACTAAAAGACTTTTTGAATCACTTTCGAGCCGAAAATTTTGGGTAAAAACTGTCGATTTCGAGGCTAAAGGGCTTTTAAGAAAAGCCGCGCGCGGCTTTGTTGATAATTGAATCTTTTTAGTCGAAGAACGGTAAATTTTCATCTGTGAAATTTGAGAAAAAGGAAGAAATTTATGTCAAATTTTTTTTTCGATAAGCAAGATTTTTCTTTTACCCGAAATTTCTTTTTATGAAATAACTATTATCAAAAAATCGTTCAGCCACGTCAACATCATGGGTCGATACGCTGTGTCCCAGGACCCCCGATTCTTGAACACCAACAGATGGAGATCGTGCTGGGTCCACTACGCCGACTTCTACCGATGCACCCACGTCCGAGAGCAGCTCGGCAAGGACACCGAAGTCTGCGGCTATTTCCGAAATAACTTCCTCCAGATCTGTCCTGAAGGCATGATCAAGAAGTTCGACGAGCAGCGAGCCGCCAAGATCTTCCCTTCTCCCGTCTACAGGAACAGTTTCACTCTTTCTTATCTAAAAACTTCTTCTTTTGTCGATTGAATTTGATGATTCTCGACTTAAAATTCGTGAAAAAATATGAGCCACTCTTTGTGCGGCTTCTTTAATTGGAAATATCTAAGTCGAAACCTGTGTAGAAAACCTGAGTCAGGGTTTGAATGAGTTCGATTTTGCTCAACGTACGATTGATTAAAGCTCTTTCGAATCCTGACTCAGGTTTTCTACACAGGTTGCGACATCGATTTCCCAATTAAAGAAGCCGCACAGAGCGCGGCTAGAATTTTCTTCTTGAAACGGCGTCTCAATTTGACTGACAGTCGACTTTTGTCCCCCCTATTTCAAGCCTTAGAAATTCATTCCGTACAATTGTGAAACTGCCATAAAGCCGAGACATCGAAGACTCTTACGAGTGGGAGCCCAAGCACGAAGCCTGGAAGGTCCAAGCCGAGGCCGCCAAGGAGCGAGAGACCAAGTACCGAGAGTTCTTCCAGTCCCAGAAGTAAATCTCCAATTCGTCGCTCGAAGAAATCTCAAAGCAAACATCATGTTTTGACAATTTTTAAAACCTTTCAATTCGTCTAAAATGTTCAACTAAAAAAGATTTCCATCAACCTCTATTTATTACAAGGCTCGCGCCTTGAGTCCCTGGAACAGAATAAATTCTAGATACAGAATAATCCATCAACTTCAGTGCTGGGCTCAGGAACCTGTTTTGACCTGTAGTCTGCCTGAGTCAGGGCCTGAAAGATCTGAAAAAGCGAAATTTCCAATAGTTTTTTAACTTCTGGCGAAGCCGCATTGCGGCTTCGTTTTTGAAAAAGCCGCTGTGCGGCTCTTCATTCTGGACCTTTCAGACCCTTACTCAGGCTTTCTACACAGGATGCCGAGCCCAGCTATAGTTAGGACACTTTTCCTTGTTGATTGCAGCGCAGAAGCCGAGCCGTTCTGAGTAAATTGCCCAATTCAGAATCAGGATAGAAACAGGGCATAAATCCTCAATTAGAGCACAATTACTCCGACCCCGAGGCTGCGGCCTGGAAGTAATTTCAACTTTTCACCTCCTCTTGATTGATTGATTTCAGTCTGCTTTAAAAACAGATCTCGCAAAAACAGAATCCGGTAGTCAGACATTTTCCAACGGAGAAAATCACAAACAGGCAAGGAAAAGAGATAAGCAGGATTTGAATTTGAGAGCAGGCGATGGGATTATTTACGGTTATTGACATTTTCTGACTATAAATCGATTTTATATTGGTGTTCAGTAGCCCACAAATTGCAATTATAAAGTAATTTTTCATTTCTATCTGACAAATTATCACTAGAATGACGATTTTTATCAGAAAAGCTGCTAAAAATCGAGAAGCCGCTTGCGGCTTCGAGTGAAAAGGACAAAAAGCCGCTCTATGCGCGGCTTTAGCTTCTTCTAACTCAAAGCCGCAAGCGGCTTCTCGATTTTTAGCAGCTTTTTTGATAAAAAAATCGTAATTCTAGTGATAATTAGTCAGAAAAAAGGCGAACTGAGGTATTTGTCGATGAATTTTTAAGACTTTTTCGTGCTTTGGCATTGCTAATTTCGCGTTGGAGTACAGTTCAATTAGCGTGAATATTTAACAGCTGTCGGCTTGTACGTCTGGCCATTGAGCAGAGATAGAATGTGGCGGATTCTATTGTGACGAAGTCGAAAATAATTAAATTTTGATGGGGCCTCTCGCGGGCGTGCGCGCTTTCCATCACTCGAACTGCACACTAATGCAATCACGCTCCAAGTCAAAGCACCAGAGTTTCTATCGATCCTCCTCCTCTTTCCATTCTGAGTTGTCCTTTTTCAATTTTAAAAGCCATTCCCAAAATGAGGAGCAACGCGAAGAGAAAGATTGCGGCTAGAATCAACGGTAACCCAATTTTATTATTTGCCTTTAAAATTAGCAATAATTAAATAATATTTTTTATTAAAGTCGAATAAGAAAAGTCTTCGAAAAGAATCTTGAAGTTGATTTTTTCAGGAAGTCTTCGGCACAGAGAACTGAAATGCACCCGCGAAGACGTCAAAGGACTCGTCATATTTTTGTCAATAATCGCTGCCGCCATCGTCATTGCTGAATTGATGAGCATTTCGTCTGGCGGCTCGTCGAGCACTCGTCCCAAGAGTTGAAGATCTGTAAGGTCAAAGTCGTTACTCCAAAACACAGCCACGAATTCAGGCGAGGAATAAGAACTTGTCCCTTACCTGTTCATTTTTTATATTTTTTCTCTTTGATTACCATTTCTCTTCTGCATCATCTTTTAAAAGATCTCGTGTCATTCGAATTCACGCAAACGCTATGCAAAAGTATGGATATCATTTCCAAAAAATAAAAAAAATCATTTTTTCACATTGAAAATTTTAGCAAGTGATAAGCACGAAAGTTCCCAGAGGAGAAGTCCCTTCTCCTGAGGGCAGCTGCCGGGTCGGGTCGGTGAATTTTATGCAGTTGAATGACACATTTGATGACAGCGAAGTGAAAGCGAATTTTTTAGCGCGCTGGCTCACTGGGAAACGAAATTTTACTTCTAGCGCCAGGAATTTTTTCAAAGAACAAACAAGAAAATGAAAGCTTATTTTTTTGAGTAGTGCATTTTATTTTGGCAAAGGCAAAAGTGAAAGTTTTTGAAAAGAAGGGCGCTTTTTCAGCTTGGCAAGGCAAGATTTCATCATTTGATCAACGTCTGAATTTAAATTGCTTCCAGGCAGTGGCTCATTTTCCATGATTTCGGCAGCTTTTGGCAGATCTTCGAGAATAGGCAAATCTTGCCAGGGCAGTTTTCCAGCGTGGCAAATCTCGTGAATGACGATTCCAAAGCTCCAAACATCAGTTTTCCACGTGATTGTCTGTTTTCGAAGGACTTCTGGGGGCATCCATCGGTAGTTGACCTTCAGCAATAATTATAAGAGTGGAAGAAGGAGACTTACTTTTGATGGAAGATCTTTTTTGCCCCTTTTCGCAAAGGAAGCATTACCAAAGTCTCCTATTTTTATTCGCCCTTCATCAGTTACTAAGCAATTTCTAGCGGCCAAGTCCAGATGCCAAATATTATTTTCGTGCACAAACTTCATCCCTTTCAGAATGTCGTTGATTGCGTCAATTTTGAAGATCTCTGAATACTCCTGACCAGCAGCTGATAGAAATCTACTCAGATCTCCTTTTGTGAAGAGATGCATGATTAAATACGGGGTCGCGTGTTTTTCTGAAGCAACAGAACCGATCAGATGAACGATGTTTTCATGGTTTCTTTATAAGAGATCACTGAAAAGAAGCTTTGAAAAATTGATGTTGGTATGACTTGATCTGGTCCTTAATTTGGCCATTATATGATGCTCCTTCTCGAAGATTTTTTGGTTGGAAATCATCTTGAAACAAGCTGGTTGCTTGTTGTATGTTCCCGAGTATATCCTGCCATAATGGCCGAAGGAAATTTGTTTGTCGATTTGAAACGTTCCGGACAGCAGCGGTTCTTGCTCGTAAGAATTGGATCTTCTTCTAGCGACCAAGGAGGCTATTTTTCTCCGCAGGAACCAAACTAAAACTGAACAGAAAGAAGCGATGATTGAAAGTACCTGTGTAAGCTAAACAAACAATAAAAAGAACAATCAAAATTGGAATCCATTTTCGCGTCTCTTGCATAATTCATCCCTTCGTTCTCTCAAGATCCCATTCAAAGAAAGAGAAAGTAGCGTAGTCCCTCGTGGCTCAGACGAAAACGTGAGCTTCTCCCTTGCTTTAAAAACTCAAGGGTAAGTAGCGCTTGTAGGTAAAACTCGCTGAAAACAATAAATCTTCTCGAAAAAAAAGACTCCTGCAATAAACACGGCTGAAGGCCTGACAAAGGCCGCAAAAAATCTTTACGGCCCGTTGGTCAAATTTTATCGTGCTCGAGGGCAGGAACTGAAGTTTTATTATCGAATCATTGTTCCGTTTGGAAAGACAGTAACATTCATTTCAGCAGTTGAATTTCCATCAGCATTCACCGTTTCGAAAATTTTGAACCACTAAAACATTTCCACAATGATTCTTTCTTTATATTTCTTTTCTTTGAGGAAATGTTCCTGTTTTTCGTCAATATATTTTTTGTACCCAACGCCAATCATAATGAACATAATCAGGAAAATTGAAGAATACACGATGCACACAGTAGCTTTTATTTTCCAGTCGAGGCAAAACTTTTGTCGATAATACGCTTCCTTCATATTTTTCTCTTTCGAAAAGCTAGGGAAATAAACTCCGCAGGAAGTAGATTGATTCATTTTTTGTTAATTTCTTTCCTCTAGCTTTGCTTCGTTCGTAGAAGCTTAATATTGACTTATACAAGTATTCCATCATGGATCTGGTATCTTTGAATAAATACGGAGATGCAACTCAGACTGACTTGAGAAATATTAAATCTAGGTCAACCGGAAAGAGCTCAATAAATTTCGTCTAAGTCATGAATGACTCGGTATTGGAGACAACAAGGAGAAAGAGCAAAAGTTATTTTAAGCAAAGCATGTTTATGTAGCAAAAACCGCAAGCAGTGTCGTCTTCTTTGAGCGCAAGAATAACTGAGAAAAAGTTTCATGAAAGGTGCTTTTGTTACGTCAAGCACGCATTGTATTCATATAGCGAGCCCGCATAGGATCGCGGATCATTCAGCCGGAACAAATTGAGAGAAGATCAAGTCAGAGTAGCACTTCTTTACCGTAAATGTTTCTTCCCCTTCTCGTGGGGGTTTTCTCCCAAGGTAAGATTTTTGAAAAACTACAAAAAGCCAACCGTTCAGTAGCGAGAGGCGATGGCCCTATGTTCGACTCTTACGATCATATGTTTGATGTTCCTGTTCTTCAAAAGAGAATGCCATTTGTTGGAATGCATCTTCCCCCACCACCTCCTCCCCTTAATTTAGAAAGAGAAAGTCGTCCTCGATTCATACCCCATCCTCCACCTCCTCCTCCTCCACCTGCTTTCCACCTGTTTTCCGATAAAATTCGAAGCCCTTCCAAAAAGCCAGCAATTCCACCTGTCGGTCCGCCTCCTCCTCCTCCCCCGCCGCCACCTTCATGCTTTATCGGCATGGAGGACGAGTCATCCTCAGAAAAACCGATTCGTCCAGTGATCCTACCGCCGATCATTCCACCTCCTCCTCCCCCACCACCACTACCCCCTGGAGCCACAATTGAAGATATGTGCCGAGAAGCAAACTGCTCTTCCTCCGAGATTTTCATCGCTGCCGAATATCCACTTGGCGAATATTGCGCTCCTCTTTGCTCGTACGATCCCTGTAGCGACCAAGGCGAGCTTTGCCTTCATTCCTTCGAGATCGATCAATGCGGTGTGCTCCTCGACGAAATGGACGATAATTATTCAAGAGTTTGCTTGCCCGTTCCGATCGTTGATCCAGGCTCTTACACTCAAGAGCTGAGCGCCAGTATAAACAACTTTACTATTCAGCTGAGTTTTGTTTTGTCTCCTCCAGAAATAACTCCGTCGCTCGAAGAAATGCAGAAGATATTCGAAGAAAAACTAGACGACGCGATGACTGGCTTGCCCTTAGCACAGATGATGATGAAACTGGAAATAAAGATGGACGCATATTTATCGTTGAACAATACTGTTCGCGCTCGGAGGAAGCGGGCAGTTGAAGATGAATTGATACAGATGAGCGCTCTTCTTACTCTAAATTTGACTGGTTCTGAATATGTCGATTCAAATGCAACGATTAAAACGGAAGAACTTGAGACAACACTGGATGCTGTAATGAAAACATTGAGACAAAATCTTCCCTTTGAAATTGTCAACATGGAAGTCTTCATTCCAGAGCTTGATTCTGATCTTGACATCGTTACTGAGGAGCCGGGAGTACTTGAGACAACTACGACGACTTCTACAACGACTACATCTACAACCACGCCAACGACGACAGACATTACTACTGGTGATACAAGTAATTCAACCACACCCATTTCAACCACAACCATTTCAACAGACACGAGTTCAATAACAACGACGTCTTCAACAACAACAACAGCACCAACAACAACTACATCAAAATCCACTACAACAAGTTCAAGTGCTGAAACTACTTCAGAACAAACAACTTCCACCGAAATTTCGAATACAACATCTTCAAGAACCACATCAACATCTACGACCACCGAAATACCAATTTCTTCTATTGAAACAACAACACCAGTTATCATTTCGACAACTACGAATTCAACATCGGGTGAGACAGGAAGTACTTCAAGTACTTTGAGTCCGGCAACCGCGAAACCTGATACTGTATCAACAACCGCAGAATTAGTAAAAACAACAACAAAAACGACGACGCCAACAACATCATCCTCGACAACAAAATCATCCTCGACTAGTACATCCATTTCTACAACTACCGCTTCGAAAACACTGACAGCATCTACTTCAACATCTTCCGAGTCGCCACCAGGTATAATATCAACCACGCCAGCTACACAATCATCAATCACAACTGAATCAATTACAACATCATCCGAATCATCTTTTGAATCAACAACAATTGATCCAAATATCTCAAATAATAGCACTAGTTCATTAATTCTGACATCAAGCAAGTTTGTTGATTATGAAACCACATCTCAAACGCTGTCGACAATGGCCTCTGGCTTGATGGAGAACATAACAATGCCGGCGATAACAAAGAGCCCCGACTCAGAAGACACAATTGAAACAACAGTCGCACCTGGACCGTCAACGCCATCTCCAGAATCGACGTCAACTCTGAACTCTGTTACTCCAGATCAAGAAACAACTTCTACTGCTGTCCTTTCATCAACAACAGCCGCCTCAACGATAACTACGATTATTTCTGAAGGCTCGAATATCGAGAGTAATTCCACAACCACAGAAGTCATGTCAACTTCAACAGATGATGCGCAAAGCTCATCTCCAATTGCAACAACACTCTCAACGGAAGCAAGTACTAGGCCAGATTTAACAACACCAACTGCAGTGACAACTTTTTCTTCATCTTCTACTCAAGAAAACATTCTATCGTCAACGACAACTACTGTCGCAGACAGCACATCGACAAAAATAAAATCTACGACAACTGCGGAAACGACAACAACAACAATAATCTCATCTACAACAACTTCTACAACTACAAGTTCAACAAGATCGCCATCTTCCTCATCAACAACCACTTCAACAACGAACTCAATGACAACATCAACTACAGCAAGCCCTGAAACTGAAACATCATCTGCAACAACAACTTCGTCAACTTCTGTATCGTTATTAGTTGAAACTAATACAACATCATCTCCAGAAAACAGAACAACAAAAAGCACTGAAACGACAACGATTTTGACTGTGCAACCAGAACAGAACTTGACTACTCTATCTCAATCTCAAGACTTAACAACCACAACTACCACCACCACAACAACAACAACAACAACCACAACAAAAACAAATTCAGATCCACCAAGTAGCACTAGCCAATCATCAAATACAACAAAATCACCATCAACGAGCCCTAACTCAACAACGAACTCAACCACTATTTTAGGAGAAAGCATTGTAACAGTTGGCATAAATGTCACCATTGGAATAAGTATCCAATACGAGGAAGCGTACGAAGACATAACTAGTGAGGAATCAGTAGAATTATGGGCAGTTCTTGAGATTTCCATAATGGCTGGACTGAAGACGGACATTCCAGGATTAACAGATTTGATTCTCCTTGCTTTTGTGCAAGTTCAACAGGAACAGGGGCTAAATGACCTCAATTTATTTTTATATTTCTCGTTGACTGTATAATTTATCCTTGAAAGAATCGAAATGGTCCGTTCTCCAACGGAATCGTGAAAAGACAAAGTGCATCTGGCAATGACGTTCTTGGTGTATTATTCGAAATGCAAATCGAACAGGATCCTTCTGAGGCGAATAATCAACTGTTTGAAAATCCAGCTGCAAAGCTCCAAGAAATCCTTGATGAGGGTGGAACGCAACGAATATCTGAAGAATTGAAGAAACAAAATGTCACATATACGATTGATGAAAATGTGGCTGTTGAAGCTGTGTTGTCAAGGATGTCTTCGAGCGACCCAAGGAAAGGGTTCAAAGATAAGATATTTTTTGTTTTTTTCAAATATATTTTTACCTCAAAAACAGTTCAATATACAGTCTTCAATGCAAGGGCAGAATGACGATGGAATGTGGAACCAGCGAAGTTTATGTTGTCACTGAAGATATAAAAGCATTTATAAGTGAAGAAAGCGAAGTAAATGTTTCTTCGAAGATTTTCGATTACGAATGTACTGATGTTTGTGATGTAAGGGCATTTTTCAACGACTTTCAGATTAAAATTATCCTTAGCTGACCGAATGCGAGGCAAGATGCACTTCACAGCGAAAAACCATCGAAGAAATTTGCAACTTGAATCTTGTCAAATCATATTACGAAGGAGATCAAACCGGTAAAATTTATAAATTGGCATCAAGCTCACCATTGTATTTAGATTTGAATACAGCTAAAGTCTTCTACGATTACGGTTGCAAAGGTCCCTTTGAACCGTGGAAGATTGTTCTCATTGTTGTCTTCCTTCTTCTTGGAATTGTTCTTCTTACAATGACGATCTATTGGTACAAATCAAGAAAATTCTGCTTCTCACGAAATATTCGAGTTTCCCGACCTCTTTCTCGGTTTTCCCAGGCTTCAAATGCTATGACTCCTCCTTCGTCCGCGACATCTTCACCAGGGGTAATTCATCCTCCAAAAAAAAGTTTATCATAAACATTCAGAGCTACAAACGAAGAATCGACGATTTCAGCAGCTAACTGATACTCAGTCAGAATTCTGTTCAATAAATCTCCTTCTCTGCAATAAAAAAAATTCAATCTCACCTCTCACGGAAGTATTATTCAGCTGCGGTTATACGCACACCTCTACGATTATTGGTATTTGATGTCTATGAAAAAAAATCTCCACCGGTGAAAAATCGCGGTTTTTAAACGATAACCTAATTATCCCTCTAATCAATTAACTGACAGCGGGCGCGTATTTAAGTAAATCGAGTTCGTGATTTTCATCATCAAATATAAAAAAAAAACTTGAAAAAATAATGAAATTATTTGTTTTGTCTCTCGCTGCTCTTGCTTCTGCTCAGCGACCAAAGCGGAATAAGAACAAGAACAACAACTATCCGAAAACGACGACGCCTGCTTACGAGACGACGACGTACTACGCTACAACTGAAGCTCAGGAAGGAGCGTACAACGACAACGGCCAGTTCGGAACTGGAGGCGCTTATGGAGACCCTCATTTCATGGTCGCCGCGCCAAAGACGGAGCCAATTTGCTTCGACTACAACCCTCCAGCTGATTCGGAAATGACGCTCATCATGGACCCGGAGTCGAATCTCTTCATTTCTGCCCGCGTGGACTCTCGAAGACAAGGCAAGACGCGATTCATGACCAGATTGACGATCATGTCTCCTCTTGGCGCTACCATGAGCATCGATGAAAACGGAGTCCATGTTGAAGGTAATACAACCCCCTCTTACCCCCCTTTTAACCCACTTTTAGGTCTTCCAGGATGGGCAGAAGCGCTGAAAGAGCCAACCGAATCTGGCATCATCGAGTACGGAGACATCAAATACACCGAGCAGTGGTCGGAAGACGGCGCTCGCGACAAGATCACTCTTGAGATCAACAACGGCCCTCATTTTCTCATCAAAGAGAAAGCTTTCCGAGAAACAATTTCCTTCGGAATCCAATCTTCTCAGGGTCTCTCTGAAAAGACGCGAGGTGTTCTAGGGCAGTTCGTTCACAACAACGCTTACACAATCAAGCAGCACTCCGAAACCGAAGCTACTGTTAATATTGACGGATTCGAGGTAATAGGTCCTTGATCCATCTTTGGTCTTATCAAAATTTCTAGGTCTCCGCTAAATGGGAAGAATTCCACCGAAACTCGGAGTGCTGGACCATCGAAGAAGACCAACTTCTCGATTTCTTCAGTCAATTCTGAAAAATCTTTTCTACGAAAAAAAAATGGTGTAAAATTTTCATCTGAGAATGAGTTACGATCTCTGTAATGACGATGAAAACCGTGTGCATATTTATTTATATAAAAGATTACAAAAAGCAATACGCAAAATATTCTCTTCCTTGATTTCAGAGATATTTTTTGACGGGTAGACTTTGTTTTGGAAAAAAAAGTAATATCATTTTCCGATAATACTTGATCTTGAAACTGTTTTTCATTACTGTAAATGCGGTTTTGCCGCTCCAGAGTGATAGTAAGATCCAGGTGCATATTTTTATATAAACTTGAATTTTTATCATCAAGCTTTTTTTGAAGAAAAATGACTCGAGAAAGAACAAGTTAATTCTTGGCTAATGATGAGCTACTCGAAAAAAGTACTTCACGTGAAAACGTTGAAAACGAGGAAATACTTGAGGAAGCCAATTAAACCCAAAAAGTATTTTCTAAGTTGGGCTTCCGCGCGAGTCAAGGACTTTTCTTTTTGCTGAAAAGACAAAGTTTTTTTATGAATGTAGAAATAACTTATTAAATAATTTAAGGAGATGTGCGGTTGTGCAAAGATATACACTGTATATTATACAGAGATATTATTTGGAAATTTATTTTGAATTGGTCATATAAATGGTGGAGAGTCGGGTTATCGAGGCAAATCTGAGCTGTCGATGGGAACAGTTGTTGTTACTGGTGGAATTCTCGGGAAACCCGAGAAAAATTAGGTGAGGTGAGGGGAGGTGAAAATTTTTCACCTAATTTCACCTAAAGGTGAATTTGGGTGAAAGTCGATTTTTGAAGATTTTAGGTGAGGTGAGGTGAAGTGAAAGATTTTAGGTGATTGATAGGTTAAGCTAAGCTTCGCAGTATTATCGATGAATAATTGTATAATATGACGACCAAAGGTATTTGATGGCTGACAAGTGATTTTATACTCAATTCACCGGCAAATATGGCTCTTTCTATCATTTTAAAAGAATTTTTCGTGAAGATTAAGTTTCGTAAAATTATTTCACCCAGGGTGAAAAAAGGTGAAAATTGATTTTCAAAAATTTTGGGTGAGGTGAGGTGAGGTGAAAACTTTTCACCTAATTTCACCTCAAGGTGAAGTTGGGTGAAAGTCAATTTTCGAAAATTTTAGGTGAGGTGAGGTGAGGTGAAAAATTTTCACCTTCACCCACCTTCACCTAGGTGAATCTTGGGTGAGGTGAATTTAGAACTCTGCTCGGGTTTACTGGCTGTTCGTTCACCTCCCGAACGCCTATGCTACCGAATATAAGACCTATTCCAATCAAGAAAATTATGAACAATAAAACAGCAATAATTTTGCACGCAGTGGGCGTCGATTCCCATTTCTCGAGGCATGATCTTTTCGATTTTCTATCTTTCAAATCCGCCGTTGTTTGATTATTCTCAAGGTTAATGGGTGTATTCTCATTTTCAGATCTCATTGAAATTTTATTTTTTGGTTTTTTCTTCCTTGAGACTAATTGTGCCGATTCAAAGTGCAGCGGATAATTGTTTTTACGATGAAAACTAATTAAAGGTTTTAATTCATTTTCGCCGATTCATCATAAAAGCTTTCCGGTTCGTTGGATGTCGTTAATCTGAGGGAGGAAGCCTACTTAATCAAAAAGTATTTTTCAAGTTGGTCTTTCTCGGCTGAAAAGCTTGTCAAGTTTTATGAATTTAAAATATATGGACGCTTAGTTTGGGCCAAATTTATTCACATGAAAAATCATTTCGCGGATTTGTTGATAATCATCTAAAAATTAAGGCGCTACCAGCATCTAATCTTTACCTAGAAATAAACACAAGAAAACAGTTTTCTGCAAATTACTGCAAATAGAAAAAATGCTAACAATGCGTGTCCGGGCGCGTCACTTTCCGAAATGGCTGGCTGTGAGTACCGGTCAGGCTGACTGCCCGCTACTTGAGAAACGTTACAACTGATAAGGAAATGCGCACTTGCCCCGCTTTCCACTTATTGTCATTTTTTTCGGTTTCTGGGTCATTTTCGTCTGTTAAAAAATGGATTGTAAAGTGGTTCAGTTTCTGATTTCAAGAAAGTTTTTGAAATTTTGGCCTCTTGACCAACTAAAATTTCGACAAATTTTGCGTGGGCGGCTACTCGGCTTCTGATTTGGAAGCCGAGTTCAGGCTTCTGATTGGTTGAAAATTTCGACGCAAAATTTTTCGGGATTTTTTATCGCTTCCTGACACCTCCCCTATATTTTAGCCCAAATATTAAATATTTAATTTAGTCAACTTAAATTCATGTTGAAAATCAGGTTGATGGTACCGCCCAACTAAATTTGACTGAATAAAACTGGAACAGGAAGGTAAGTAATCGTGGGAAGAGCTTGAAAAACGGATAAGCGCCTGTCTTTCTTCTGAATATTGATATGCCTATTTTCAGTTTTTCGTTGACCAATATTTTCCAAAAGAAATTTTCATGACAAGTTCAAAAATCCAGAAAAAAGAACGTGAGAAAGCAGCTACTAGAAGATAGAATAAATTGTGTTGAATTGATAGCTGCAGCTTGAGATGGTTAGCTTGGATAAATATTTTCGCGCCTTTTGCAAACGTGCTCAAACGATCTTCATTTCATAATCCTCAACTTCGCAGGAGATCCAAAAAAGGGGGAAAGAAGGAGATTTATTTTGTGCAACAACAGAGCGCGTCAGATGCGCCGGGACGACGGACGCGGCAAAACAGAGCGATCATGTTTTACCAGAAAGCCTTGTCAAACCGGAATCCTCAGCTCGGATTGAAATAACAGCTTTCCAAAGCTTTTTCTTTCATCGTTGAAATTCTCGACTCGAGAAGCAGCTTGCGGCTCTAAGCAAATAACTGAAATAGCCGCGCTTCGCGCGGCTTCTTCTTTATTGTTGCTCGAAGCCGCAAGCAGCTTCTCGAGTCGAAAATCTCGACGATGAAAGAAAAAGCCTTTTGAAGCATCTTGAATTGCGGCGACGGTATTAGTTGAGTCTGAGGAGGCTGGGAAACTGGCGATAATGAGAACTTCATTAGAAGTGGTTAGGGGCGCTTTTTTGTTCGTTAGTCGGCAGCTGTAAAATTGCAGAGTATCAATATGAACGAGCAGCGTGCTTCACGATACTTTTATGTTTTGTAATGGCACTAATTTTCAGTAGCGGGCTTCTTTTTCTTCAGTGGAAGTAAACAATCTGAGAAAATAAAGATTTTCTTCGGAAAAGACAGCGATTTTCAGACCGTTCTTTTTTGAATAAAAAGATTGAGCTGATAAATGCTCGGAAACCTGAGTCAGGAATCCTGACTCAGGATTAGGGTTAGGTTTAGGTTTTTTTAATGAAAAGCCGCAGAGCGGCTTTTTTCGTAAACGAAGCCGCAAAGCGGCTTCGCAAAATGACCATTCAGATCATTTTCTTTTTATTTCAGAACCTGACTCAGGTTTTCTACACAGTTTTCTTAGCCCGGGATCAGTTACGACTGCACATAAAAGAAATAGCTCAAGTGAAAGTATGAATTGTAGTTGACCGAGGAAAGGAGGCTCTGATGATCCACCAAGTTCGATGAAAAGGTCAACTTTCACAGAGGTGTCGCTTCGGAGCCGTTTGCGCTCGAACGTGGCGAGGGCGGCGCTGCGGAGCTTGGCGCGAGCGGGGCGAGAATCATGAGCGCTCGCGAATGGAAAATCGCCCGCGGCGATCTTTTGCTCCCTTCGACACGGCGCTGACAATAACCCAAGAGCAAGAATCTATTTTTGGTGCCGAATCTATTAAACTCGTTTTCTTCCTTTTTTTCTTGAAACACTAGAGATAAAAACGAAACTACGACGGCTGAAAAACGAAGATTTAGAAAAGAATAGAAGCTTTCACCATGGACAAGATTAGCAATTATGCTACTTGGCTTTTGTCACGGAATTTTCAATAATTTTTTATGATTTTTGTCAAGAGAAAAAATTTGAGAAAGAAGATTTTTCGAGAAAATTTGGGCGAAGTTTTCATCAGAAAGATTATTAAAAAGGGACAAAAAATAAATATTTCTGTTATTTTTTATTATTTCGAAAAACTATTTTTGATTTAATTTTTGGTTAAAAAATCATTAGAAAAAGTCTTCCTAATCGATCAATCCTCCAAAGCGTTACGATTTTTCTTCAAAAATTGCCTTCCTTCTATCGTTTTTTTCGTTACGCTACTTCCGCTCGCCAACGATGATGAATTTCCACTATCGATATGCGTCCGTCTTATTTTACCATGATGAGTTGCTGACGAAAATCTCTTCCCCTTCTTAAATTTTTCTTCGTTTTTTGAAAAATAAAAGTTCAAAATAAGGAATTATCGAAAATTAAATTAAATTACAAAGACAATTATGAAGTCTGATTAGCCTAAAAGCCCCATGGAGACATCTGATTGGTAAAAAATTTGACCAAAATTTTGGTCAAAATTTTCGTATTTTTGTAAAATTTTTACGTTTTTTCCAAGATTAAAAATTTCTTTTTTAGTTGAAAACGGTAGTAGAATAATTTTCCTAAAGAATATTTTGGAATTTCAAAATGAATCTGATTCGGGAAGAAGATCCAGCTGGCTGAGCTAAAGAGATCGAGTGGCGGGAGCGACATAAGAAGCTCAGTTTTGGATTAAAAGTTTCTCTTGTTGCACCATTTGAACAAGGAGAAACGTGGAGACCTATTTTCTCGCCAACTTATTTTTGATTTCAAAAGAGGCGGAGATAAACTTCTGGCATAAATTAACGGGCTACGTCACAAATCACCGCACGTTCAACAGATAAGCCAAGTTGCTCTTCTTGTCAGAATCAATGTTGCCTATTCATCGATTTCAATTTCAAGCTAGAATGTCTACTTTCTAATCATTTTTTTCTTTCTGAAAAATCGTTGAAAAAAATCCTTACAGCAATTTCTCTCGATAACAAATCTTTCCATCAAGAATCATCAAGACCTCTGATTGGCTCTTCTTTCTTTTCGACCAATCAGGTGGCAGATAGCTCGATGGAAAGCTTCGTTATTGTCGGAAACTCTTGTAGATTTTCTCTTCTTATATTTCTGTCTTTCCACATCAGAAGGAGCTCAGGAGTACAATCGGAAACGAGCTTCTGATAAGGGCGTCATAAGCGTTTTCTTTATCGCGATTCCACTAGCTTAATTAGAAAGCCTCTCCAAGTCATCAGTTTCGCTTTTTTATCAAACTATCCGGTTGTTACGAGCTGGTAACCACTCTAATCGCCAAAAACTGCGACACGTACTGGTATCACTCAGCGGGTGATTAAATCCGGCCCAACATGACCCGCTTTTCCGCATCATTTTTTGGAGGAGAGGAAAATATTCTAGAGAGAATTCAAGCGGCAAGCGAGGTTGAGAAAAAAGCGTAAAGCTTTGGTTACTCGATTATTCAGCTCATCCGGCTAGTAGCAGAAATATTCACCACCCGGTTACTCGATTTTCCGGCTCTCTGCGAATCCCGAATCAGTTTTTTCATATAGAAAAGTCAGAAAATGCGAGGAAGCCATTGCTCAAGGAAGAGTTTGATGATCCATAAATATTGAGCAGTCATCTCTATTTCATAATCCCGCGTGAGACCTTCTTAGTGCCGTATTTATCCGGCTCAAGGGGGAATTATCCACCGCCAAATCCAGTTTCTTACGGTAGCCGTAAAAAAAACAATCGACACTGAAAGTCTCTCTCTCTCGACCTAATTTGAGTTCATCTGCCAACTGCAACGTTCTAAAGAGCTCGCCTTTCAAGAGCTGCTTCAAGAAAAAGTTAAGCTCAAAAACAAACTTTCGTCTATTCTTTCAGATGCACAGTTTTATAACTTGTCTGTTGCCGCGTAGAGCAATTCTAGTGTTACATCCTTTTTCTTTTGATGCTGAAAATCAGTTTCAAAATAGGAGCCTTTTAAAATGACCGAAAATCATTTTGAGATCTTTAGTTCAAAATATCCAAAAAACCTGTGTAAAGACCTAAGTCAGGGTATAAAAGATCTTCAAAGAAAAGCCGCGAAGCGGCTTCGCCAAAATTGACTTTTTTAAAGTCAATCTCGAAACTTTGGCGAAGCCGCTTCGCGGCTTCGTTTTTAAAAAAGCCGCTACGCGGCTTTTCTTCGAAGCTCTTTTAAACTCTGACTCAGGCTTTTTACACAGGTTGAATCTGAGTGCCCGGAAGTCAACCATCACTTTACAACTCAGTTTATGTCAAAACACACAAAATTCGTAATCAATCAATGTTTTTTCGTTTTTGATATTTTCGATTTCGCGGTTTTCGAGCATCAGTTTGATGTTGTTGAGAGCAGTTCAAATTTTGTAACTTTCTTTTTGAAGTCAGATTTTTTGACTGGTGTATTCTCCGAAGAGAGCTTGTTCCACACGATACTCATGTGGGTTATTTTTTGAGAGTGATTGATTGTCTACTTCTGCTGGGGTTTTTGGTTACCAAGGTTTTAATCGTTCCGGGAGGTGTTGTTAAAAATCCATTTTTTCTGGGTTATGAAAAAATGTTACGAAGGAGATTTAGACTGAGCTCGGCAACAAGCAACCTGTGTAGAAAACCTGAGTCAGGTCCTGAGACAGGATTTGAAAGGGTTGAACTGAAAAGCAGCGTAGCGGCTTTTAAAAACGAAGCCGCGAAGCGGCTTCGCCAAAATAACGATCTCAATGCTTTAGATTTCAACGACAAATCCTTACTCAGGTTTTTTACACAGGGTTTTTGATAAACATTCATTGGGCTTTTTTCATCCATTTTCAACTGAAAAATACTGAGCTTTTTCATGAACTAAGGTTTTTTCCTTTCTTTTTAAACGTTTGTTAATATATTTAGAGACCAACTCACTAAATTCCTTTTTAAAAATATTGGCCAGCGCCGCCGCGGAATTTTTAGAGCGATAAGTACTTCTCTGATGCTGTTTTCCCAAAAACGCGACCCCTGACTCCGTCTAACTTTTGCAAAGCGCTGGGAACGCTAAAACTTTTGCGATATGCTTCACTAGTGAGTCTGCTTCCTTTAGGGGTTTCGGGAGACACGTAGATTAGACGATTTTATTTGCTGTTTTTGCATTTTGCCAGTAACACTACTAATTGAGTCGCAGATGGGGAGAGAAAGTGTTTTCAGTGCAAACGATAAGACTTTTCTTTCCTGATTTGAGCAGCATCAAAATCCTGCTTTGATGTGGAAACTCTGAGTCAGGGTCATAAAAGAACTTTGATAAAAGCCGCAAGCGGCTTCTTTTATAAACTAAGCCGCGAAGCGGCTTCGCAAAAGTACTTAATTTAATCCAGTTTAAACTCTTGCGAAGCCGCTTTGCGGCTTAGTTAAAAGCCGCTACGCGGCTTTTCATTTTAGTGCTTCCAAAACCTGACTCAGGTTTTCTACACAGGATTGCGAGCCCAGCTCAGCGATTTTTGAGTGAACTTGAGTTGCTTCTGAAACTAACCACGTGGTCAAGTTTTGAACAGCATATTTCGGCGACTATCGACCATTGTTCAAAAAGAATCAACCTCAAAGGAGCTTTCGGTACTTGCGTAAAATCCCAACTGGATTCTCTTCTCTTTTCCAGCGGAAAAGGAATGTCGATAGAAGTGGCCCAAGTGGGGTCGAGTTTCTTTCAATTTTTTTATTCAAAAATTCAACTCAGCTCCGCGTGGCTCCTCCCACGTGACCTCCAATTGAAAATTGACAATGTTAGAAAATACATCTAAACAAGGAGCTCGATCGCGAGCTTAACTCAATTCTGGTGCGCATGAAATCGAAAATTATAAAATTACAACTTGCATTCGGCGCGGTTGTTTCTTGCGTTTCTTGGGCCACATTTCGAATTTGGGCAACTGCTCGTTAGCAGTGAAATCTTACTCAGACCTTTCTTTTTTCAATCTCCCTCTTTTTCGCCAGAAAATTTGATTTTTCGAATTTAGAAAATCGAAAAATCTAAATCGAAAGTCGAAAAATAAAGTCGTGGAAAGCACGTGGGCATTTTAGCTAAACGGTATCCGGTTGGCGACAATAACAGTCAGTGGCGATTTTAGGCCGCGCTTAATCCTGGAACGGGTTGAGTTTCGCCCCTTCGGAAATTGAGAATCGCTTGATCCCCTCCTCCCAGTTTTGCTGTAGCTTGTCTCGATTTTAAACAAAGGGGAATAGAAGGTGACAGCCTTAACACGCGGACCGGGTTACCTGGGAACAGTAAAAGAAAACTACCGTCCACCTGGACTCTTTTTCTCGAGTCGTTTTCTAAAAATCTAGTCTTACTCAATCGACTTTCTTCAATTGAAAATTCCATCGATAGCTACTCATAGGCCATTTGGCGATTCTTGGAACGCTGTTCAAAAGTAGCCTTATCTCGACAGATCAGCCGATCAGGCAGCTTCATAGGAGAGAGGTATGCTTATTTCCCGGGTGTATCTAATCATGATGCTTTATTTTAAGTACCAAAGCAGCTTTTTAGCAGCTTCTAAGCAGCTCTATCAACTGATGGACATGTACTTATCTGACTCTTTTAGACGCTGGAAATGGAACACAAGGGACCTGAGATAAGGATGGTCCACAAAGAAGTCGCCCAAGCTGTCAACTCCTCCCTCGACCTGCGTCTTGAAAAAGACTCAAACCAGTGCCCGCTCGGCTACTACAGGTAACAACTGTGTTTCCACTGCGATCTCAGCAATCGTCAGCAATTTGGCAACTTCCTCTGGCAGTCTGCAGGGCCGCGTGTGTCGCTATACCCGCAATCCTCTTTTGTCGAAACCGTTTTCGGAATTCACTTTTGGTGGAGTCCCAGCTCAAATCCTGTAAATAGCAACAAATTCGGGCGGGGGCCACAATTTAGAGCATTTTCAAATTTAGGAAGCAGAAATTTTGAATTTAGATCTAGGCGTTACCTTTCGCGAATCCGCTTATTCAGTAACTTGAATCTTCTGCTCGGCAACCTGAGTCAGAGTCTGTAAGATCTTTGATGAAAAGCCGCGTAGCGGCTTTTTAAAAACGAAGCCGCGAAGCGGCTTCGCCAGTATTTAAAGATAGATTGGTATGATTATGCTGCGAAGCCGCTTCGCGGCTTCGTTTTAAAAGCCGCTACGCGGCTTTTCATTAGAGATCTTTCAGACCCTGACTCAGGCTTTCTACAAAGGTTGCCAAGCTTAGATTGAATCAATAAAGCCAAATCCTACCTAGAAAATGACGGTTAATGCATAAGAGAAAAAGGCCGCTGTTGTAAGAAGGCTAAATCAAAAATTCGTCTAATCCAAATCAGTGCGACCAGTTTGTGACCTTTGTCAGATTAACCGGTTGAGAGGGTGAGCGAGGAAATTCCGAGGAACTTACGTTAACCATCTGCCAGCAGGGCGTCTCTTTTATTCCTTTCCCTGTGCTTAGAGCATTAGCTGACCGCTAAGGGTCTATCACGTGGTCGCCAGAGTGGATTCTTGAGAGGCCGATCAGCTGCTGGAGATAAGAAGTCGTTTAAGGGTCTTTAACATTTTTATGGGCAGCGAAGTACTGAGTCTAAATTGTTCGTTCCGATAGCAAATTTGATTTTTCAAATTTTGAAATTGTTGAGCCCCGGTGACACATAAAGCGGATTGTATTGAACCACTACTAATGCAAAGGGCTTTTTTGCGCCGCCGCCCGTCTTGGTCCTCGGGCTTGGCCTTCTAAATAATCCACCCTTGTCGGGGAAACATCAAATCGTGTTGAAGTCGCAAACCAGCCGATCAGTGGCTTTTTCGCTTTGTTAACAGACCGATTTGATTATTGGCCATTCCGGGCGAGCGGGGTGGGAAATAGAGAACGTGCGTTTAACGACGTTTATCGCCCAGCACTTTGTTTCTGCAAGGACTTTACTGTGCGATTACTTGACTCGTGACATTTGTGAGTTGGCGAAGTTATGATCATAGATCATTTAAAGTTTAGATCTTCATCGAGGATTGAGTAATTCAGACCTCTTTTTCGCCCGTTTTCTCGGTTTTTTTTTTTCTCCAGAAAAAGTTGGAGCAACTTGAAGTTCGAGTGAAAAAACACCGTAAATCAGCTATTTGGTGGAGGCACTCCGACTACTACACTCCTGGTGAAATGGATAATCCGCTTTTTCGATCGTGGAAAATGAGCTGGAAAAGTCGGCTCGCGGCCCCTCTTCACCTCGAGGCTTTGGAGGTTAAATTTCTCCATCTCCTTTTTCAACAAATGGGCACGCATTTTTTAATAATTGCCACTCGTTTTCGCGATTCACAGAGAGGGAGGAGGGGTATTAGAAACATGTGTCTTTCTTTCTCTGTCGCGCTGAAAATTAATGAGTTTTGAAAGACGCCTTTTTACTTGCGATTTTTTTTCGTTCAAAAAGACAATCCACGTGCGCCTGGATCGCGGTCGCGGGGCATTAGCAGCGATTCAAAATCATCGCGTGGTTGATTCCGTATCTGTTCGTAGCTCAAGTCCGAGGCGGCAATTTTAAGTTCATCCTTCATCCGCGCCACGATGCAAGCAGGAGACATAGAGAGCGTCCTGTTTGTTTGGATATCCGGACGTACTTTGGTAGCTCAGCCTTTTTCATCTTTTCCGGATTCCGCCTGAAAACGCGAAACGAAGGCTCCATTCAGCTCTGTTGTTTGACAGGAGTTGGAGGCTTAGACTGCCTAATCCTGAAAAAATCGAAAAAGAAAAAGCCACTAGAGTCGAGGACACATGTCTCTGTGGTGACAGAGAAGAACCCAAAAACACCCCAGAACGTGGAAAAAAGCGGATTGAGGGGGAAAGGTTCCTCGGCTCTTGTACTTCCAACAAGTACGCTACGTCGGAAATCTCATTTTAGGCAATAGAATTTGCAGCAAAAAAGCCGCAACTTTGTAAGTTGGCAATTTTGTCTCCAAATTTCTCGAAATGTCTTAAAATGTTTCGAAATGTCTCGATATGTCTCAGAATGTGCATTTCAAAATTCGAGTTCTTGAGCTTGAGATTTGGAAAGAATGGTCAGTTTCTTTTCTGTTGATCGGTAAACAAACGCGGTTCTCTTCAGGCCTGATTGGCAATTTGAGTCGGAAACAGTCAATTACCGGTTGACTATGCTCCTTACACGTGGATATATACCTCAAAATACTTGCATAACATTTCCAGAGGATGGATTGATACATCGCAACATCGGAAGTAGACATTGTAATGCAAGATTCGTTCTTTTATTCAGCGGAAGCAGCTTCATGTCTCCAGCTTCTCGATTTTTAAAATCGATCATGATTCGAGTTGATTTGCAGTGACGTGTATGCAAGAGAAGTGGTACCTGAGCTGGAATGTTGAGTCACGTTTTCGACGTTTTCTTTCATCTTTTTTTGGAGAAGGGGTCGCCACCAGAGCTATACAAAAATGCGCGTTGCTATTTTAATGGCCAGTGGATAGCTAAATTCTCGTGAATCGGAGTACACAGAACCTGGGACCGGCAAAACGATCGTCGATCAGGCATTCTTGAGCTCCGTAATTTCCGGAATTGAAATGTCGAAAATGTTTTTCGAGCCTCGAGGCTGATTTTTATCCGAAAAAATGATGATTCGAGCAAATCATAAATCCTAAATCCATAAATCCATAAATCCTAAATCATAAATTTTGGATTAGAAAAGATGAGCCAATTTGCGCGCATGTCCGTATCCGGGAAAATCCACTCTCTTCTGGGCGGCATTAGCAACCATGCCTACCTGTTCTGCGGTCATCTCTAAGTAAAAAGCTCAGCCCGTCGAGATAGCTGGAAGCAGCACAAGAATTTGCGCCAAACATTTTCACAGGGCGAATTTAAACTTCTGAGCTGACCAAAGTTGGTTGCAAGTAAATAGGTTTTTCGATGTTTGTTCGACGAAAAATAATCGTGTTTGTTTCGTCTTCGCTAAATCCCTTTTTTGCCGAGATTCCAGAGCTTACAGAACTCGAAAGCCTGTGCTGAAACCCTTGTCAGAGTCTGACCGATCTCAAATGAAAAGCCGCGCAGCGGCTTTTTTAAAAACGAAGCCGCGAAGCTTCGTTTCAAGTGCCAATTCAATCAATTTAAAACTCTGGCCAGTCAGAATCTAACTTACCTCGCAAAACCTGGAAGCTTTCAATGGAACAGCGAAAAAATCGCGCTACAATCTTTTAATCTCATAAAAATGCACGCGAGCTAGCATTAACATATAACTTTAAATTGCAAGTCACGAAGAGTTGCTTATCACCGACTTATCCCCGAGCAGAGAAAAAAAGGGTGACACGTTTAGCACGACATGAATTTCTGGTACTTGATTTATTCGCCAGCATGACAAAATTGCCATTTAAAAAAAGAGTCGCCCGAAAAAGTTGACTTAGCAAGATTTGAAGATACAGTAGGAGCACTAGAATTCCTTTTTTCGTCTAAATTTTTGGAATAAATGGAACGCGGCGAAAGAGAGGTGACGAGATAAATATTTGAAATCAATTCTATCCCGGCGCCAAGTGACCACGTATTATGTTCAACCCCTTGGCCGACTCGATTATTGTCAAGCTGCGTTTTGTTTACAGTTGAGTAATAAGGTTCGGCTTCTTCCTAATTCGAATTTGTTGTTTTTGCTTTCTAGCAAATGAAAATTACATTAATTTTATTCTTGCAATGTCAAGCAAGCTCAAAACAACGCCACTTTATCTTCGTAAAAACCTGACTCAGGATCCAAAAGATCTTCAATAAAAACTCAGGTTTTCCACACAGGTTCCACACAGAAAGATGTTCAAATTTACGAGTTCTTCGTAACATACAGTCTTAGATGATCTCGGTATTTTTATCCACACATCGCTAAAAACTCGCAAAATTAAATAAACCGAAAAGCGGATGTTTTAAAGGTGGGGTGTAACGAGCCAACGAGGAGCTCGAAAAACGCGTTGAGCTAATTGATGATGAGCAAGATTCGCCCGGATTTTGAAAATGAGAGCGGCTACGTACGACCAAATAGCTAGGCTTACCGGACTAAATTTCGACTCATTTTTCTAGCTTGATTCACTGGTCATGTGACACAAATAAAGAAAGCCTAGAACCAGGGCTTTCATTTGAGCACCATATCGAGGGGTCTGGGTCATATCCGCAAGGCAATTTATGGGACCTGAAGTTCCAAAATGGGCACTAGAATTCTTTAGAAGAATTTTTCGATGCCGGGCCGGCCTTCTCGGAAGTCGAGAGTCAGTTATTTAGAAAGCTCAGGCTCTGAGCTTTCAGTAGAGCCCAAGAAATCTTAGTGCATGGCGGTTTGTGGCCTTCAGCGAGCGCTTGACGTCTTGTTTTTGCTGTGAAATTTCACTGAAATGGATGACTTTCTCCCAAAAAATGGCCAAAATAGGAAGTAAATTGACAATTAAACTGATCGCTGATGGCCAAAAATTGCCATGCACTAAGATTTCTTGGGCTCTACTGAAAGCTCAGAGCCTGAGCTTTCTAAATAACTGACTCTCGACTTCCGAGAAGGCCGGCCCGGCATCGAAAAATTCTTCTAAAGAATTCTAGTGCACATTTCGGAACTTCAGGTCCCATAAATTGCCTTGCGGGTATGACCCAGACCCCTCGATATGGTGCTCAAATGAAAGCCCTGGTTCTAGGCTTTCTTTATTTGTGTCACATGACCACTGAATCAAGCTAGAAAAATGAGTCGAAATTCAGTCCGGTAAGCCTACAAATAGCCCCACTGGCAATTAAAAACTTGAAGAGGAGAATTGTCTTTTGAATGAATTGGTACTTTAAATGCCTAAATCTAAAATTCTAGCGAAAGAATCAAAAAACTGACTTGAAAAGGGCAAAAAGGTTAAATCAGCGCGCGCCACCCCTCGCTGGCCAAGGTCGCGCAAATCACTTTTATTTATGCGGCGCTGGAATTTAGAAATTGAATTTTTTCATCACTACCGCAGTGATTTATTTTCAAATTCCAAGGTTCCATTTTCGCGACTCTTTTTCTTCTTGCAACAAGTGGCAAAAATGTGAAATGAGTGTATTTTCGATTCGAGTAAAAATACCTGGCTTTTTCGGTAAATTCAATTAAGGGTGTCAACATCGAAAATAGTTTTCCGTTTTTCTTTTAATTGATCGAAGATCCATTTAATCCAAGACGCGCCTAGTAGGATCAAAATAGTAGGATGCAAATGCCAAATTTTCCGGGTGACGGTTATGTGCTCATTATTGGCGCTGATTTTCCGCGATTCTGTTCACCGAAAAACCTCAGCTGTCATCTCTCGATGTGAAACTCGTCGCCGTTCCAGCACTGGTTCCTAATTTCGCGAAATCTACCGAGCCAAGCCGCGAAAAGATCATGCGCAAAATTGATAAAAAAAGCAGGCAAAACGACTTATTTTTTAGAGTCTTTTTAGATTTGCAAATTAATGGCCTTCTACTTATTTGTTTGAAACGTTTGTTGGAACTCAGGCTGCTATCTAACGAGTGACTTTGTTTGTGGCCTTTGTGACCCGCATCTGTGTTACGTTTTGTAATCTGGTTTCTCGATTTAGAAACTGTCACTCTCGCCGCCTGGCTACTTTGCATAAGTCGCGCTTTCTCTACACGCTGCTCTATAGAAAAATTCTCTATTCCGTCTTAGTCCGAGATTAAGAAAAATCAACAAATTTTCTCCGGTCAGGGATTTTCATGAGTTTTCACGATTTTCATGAGTTTTCACGATTTTCATGAGTTTTCATGAGTTTTTCTTTGAGAAATGAAGGGTTGCTTGAGTTCGAAGTTTATCAACTTCAATCGCTTGTTAAAAAGACGGACACGGCGTTATGTCTTAAACTGTCTAAAACAAACTTTCCGCAATTACAAGTTCCTTTTACAAGTCCTGCACGTTTTCTTCTCCTTCTTGGTCGTTATTTGTGTTGAGACGGATAAAGTGGGAATAGTCGGGGCTGCACCCTTAAAATCCGGCTTGGCGCGCCTCGGCTCAGCTGCGCGGCGAAATTCAGCTGAATCGTTGATTCGGCCGGCGAAGAATCAAATACAAATCTGGCGCTTTAGAGGGACGCCTGGCTAAGCCCGGACACGTTGTAACTTGACCCTAATATTATCAAGCCAGGACAAACACGTTATCTCATTCTACGCCGGCTTTCCGATGATATAACACTCTCCCCTTTCATCCCCTTCTCGCTAGAAACAGAACAGTCTAACTAAAGTTTACAAAAACAAGCCTTTTGCGATCTGTCTTCGTCCTTGCGCAAATGCGCGCGTTTTCTTGCGCCAAAAAGCTTGAAGGGTTGAAAAATTTGTGAAAATTAATGAAGACAAATTGAAGCCGCCCGGCCAGATCAGAGGCGCACTTCTAAAAACTGCTTGAGGTGCTTGATCGTCATATCCGACGCGACAATCGCCACGGTTCCGCTAAATTCAAACTCAAGCCACGAGACCGTTTTTTAATACCGCCGTGAAAGTAATTTCGAGCCACGTTTTACACTTCCGATTTTCGACCGAGAAAAAGTATGATTGATGCCGAAAACTCAACAATTCATTATCGTACATTCTACACTACACCTGTGTAGAAAACCTGAGTCAGGATCGAAAAATGCTTTGATGAAAGCCGCGTAGCGGCTTTTAAATACGAAGCCGCTTCGCCAAAGTCTGAAAATAGATTCAAATGGTACTTTGGCAAGCCGCTTCGCGGCTTCGTATTTTAAAAAGCCGCTACGCGGCTTTTCATCAAAGCATTTTCCGATCCTGACTCAGGTTTTCTACAAATTTGACAGCTTTTTCTTGGAGAAAAAGCATGAGAACGATAGAAACTCTTGAATTTTGAATCTTCGAATATCTTGAACTTCTAGCACTTGGAATCTATCTATGACTGCGCTACAAATCGAATCAGCAGAAAGTTGCGCATTCGGTTAGCAGCAGAGTGATTCAATGATGCGCAGATGGATGCATGCAGCGATGTAGGGCAGCGCAACTCTTTGCTAACTTGATTTGCGTGAATCACCTCGCCCGTGTTTTTATATACGAATGTTTCTCTCATTTTTATCTTCTTTTTTAGACTTCCTGAAATGGAAAGCTGTGATCAGTGGCTGGCCTGCGACGACATAGAAGAAAGGATCGTCGTGACGCATACCAATCTTGGAAATGGACTTGGAAAAAGCTTCTCCAAAGCTACACTTGACGGCGTGCCAGGTAAAGAAATTGACTCAACATCAAGTTTTTGCAATTGTTACAAGCAAAAATGCGAAAAATGCTCTGAGCAATGGATTAGTTCTATGAATGAGCACAATGTAGCGCATGCCAAGGCGCAATTAGTGGTCAGAAGACGCCGCTTTTGGGCGCATACCGGAGATTCCGCATTTTTGAAATCCAGAAAATATTTTTATGGCTTTACAAATAAATATTTTCAGGGAGCCATAAAATTGTTTCGAAGTATAGTTTTATATAATTTGAAAGAATAACTACATTGAAGAACATTAATAAGGAATGCCATTGTTGTACTTATAAATAGAATATTTAAATCTCCATCATAAAAATCCTCCACTTAGTCGCCTTCATCCGAACCCGCGAAGACAAGCTAACATCTGAAAAGATCGTCAATCGCGTTCGTCTTGGATTCGAAAATTTGAAAATGCTGCAGCCCCATCCGCGCATTACCCAACTCATCGGATACTGCCTCGCTGGAAACACGACCGTCATGATCACTGAGCTCGGACAGTACGGCGATCTCCGCCAGTTCTTGCTCAGCTCAGAATACAAAGAGTTTACGCTCTTGCAGCGTTTCGACACTGCTCTACAGGTAATTTACGGGATCAAAATTGCTCTGAAACACTATTTTCCTCTTTTATTCATAATTTTTGACGTCAAAAAGCTCAAAAATCCGCTCTAGAATAAATTAGGAGTTGCTCTTTTTCCCTCTTTTTCGATGATCTCACACCTCCCTACTAAAAATTCACGTGGAGTAATCGGTATGGCTCGGTGGCGGGTTTGAATTTGAATTTTCACGCGGTATATGGAGGCAAAAACTTGCTGGAACAAAGGGGACGTGGCGGCACCGCAACCACCTGCGCCGCATTTGATTTTTTACGGGAAAGCGCTGATAGCTTCTCCGTTATCAACCGCCGCCCTGCCCCAACGTACTTGGTCTCGTTTTTTAAACACTTCTTTTTCTTACAGTACATTTTCAGGTTGTCGAAGCGCTCGAATACGTCCACGAATCTCCCGGTGGAAGCCGCATCAACTGCGACATGAACACCGTCGGCCAGGCCCTGGCCCAGTTCATCGTCCTCAGCGACTTCCGAGTCGTCCTCAACGACGTCGACGACCTGCCAGCCGGTGACTCGAAGACAAACCAAAAATCGCAATGCGTTGTTGGTCGATCGAACATTAATGCCACAGCGGGTAAGTCGTTATATAAGAAAACGCGCGGTCTAACCGCACGATCGACTCGTAGAAATGTTGTAAATATGTTATTGTATCACAATTCTTACGTTACGTCTAAATAATTTCAAATCCAAAATTTGAATTCTGTAAAAATTTTTCAAAAATTTTTTTCAATTTTTAATATAAATTTTTAAAAGAATTTAAAAAATTTTTTTAATATAAATTTTTAATATAAATTTTTAAAGAATTTTTTAAAAATTTTTAATATAATTTTTTAAAAATTTTTGAAAAAAGACCTTTTTTAATTTCGATTATGAATAATTGCTTCTTTTCAAGATCACTCCTTCGAAGCTCCTGAGCGACGCTGGCCGTGGCCCGGCAAGTTGCCGAAGCAGATCGATCCCGCCGAGTTGCGCGCTGTACTCAAAGGGAAAGTGGAAGACTACACCGGAAACATCGAACTAAAGAAAGGCTCTCAGAAGTGAAACACTAGCGCACGTGCTTAGCTCGGGTGAACAGCGTGAGCCAGCTCTAATTTTAGAATCTCTTGAATGTCACTCGCCGTAGCCATAACATGTTAACAGTCTTTAGGCTTTTTCTCTTTCTTTTTCCGGGAGACGGAAATGAGAAAAAGAAAAGTCCAAAAACAAGCTGATTTTTTCAAATAGCCTAATAAACCTGAGTGGAAATCCTGAGCCAGGGTTCGAAATAACTTTGACGAAAAGCCGCGTAGCGGCTTTTATGAAGAAAGCCGCAAAGCGGCTTCGCCAGAAGTTTTCAATTTGATAAAAGGAATTTCTGAGGAAGGCGCTCCGCGGCTTGATTTAAAAACCGCTTTTCTCTAGGGCTTTTGAATACCCTGACTAAGGTTTCCAGAAATTTGTATTTGAAAATTTTTTGTAACTTTATTCATCTGATAACCAAAAATAGTCACCCCCTGTCGACGAAAAATCCGACGTGTGGAAGATCCCATTTTTGGTGGAGAAAGTGCTCACTTCTGGCATCAACGTCGAGAGCCGCCTTGGAAAAAGAGTCCTCTCACTCGTTGCCCGCCTGAAGCCCCTGCTTGAAGACTGCTTAGAAGAGGTAAACTAAGCTTGTGTAACTCGCGGACTGACTGGTCATATTCAATCGGCGCGCTAATTAATCTCCTAAATGACCACTTAACCCCGGGATTGACCGAGAAGAGCGTTTAACTCGCAAGTCACGTTGAAGAAAAGAATCGACCACTTATCAAATACGGGATCATTTTTACTAAATAAAACAAATTTTGAAATTTTAGAGAACCTGACTGAGGATTAAAAAAGGTTCAATATAAAAGCCGCGCAGCGGCTTCGCTAGAATTTTTGAATACACTCAAATAATCACTTGGCGAAGCCGCTTCGCGGCTTTTATTGTGAAAGCCGCTGCGCGGCTTTTATATTGAACCTTTTTTAATCCTCAGTCAGGTTTTCTACACAGGTTTTCGAGAACATTTTTATAAAAGATCAAATAATTGGCGAGCAAGTTTTTTCTCAGCACCTTTTTTAGTGACTCGAATTCGTTAAATTAGCGATCACGTTAAATGTGTACCTAATAAGCCGTCTGAAAATTAGAACATGGCTCGGCTCGTTTTTCTGACTCGCGAAATTCTGATTAGCAATAATCTCGCATGCAAATAATTCTAAAAGAGGAAAAGGAAAAGGCACCGCATCGGGTACGTGGTGCTGCGGCTTTACGGTGGTGTCACGGTGTTCGTTTGCCCGGACGGAAATGTATTTGCGGAGAGGAGCACTCAGCCGACTGCCAAAAGCGTGTCCTAATTCGCTAGTTTTCTAAAGTATTTTCGGCCAGACAAGACAATATGAGCAAATTGAGATTTAGGTCAAAAGAAAGTACGAACTTTTACACATTTTTCTTTCACACTTTTTAACGTGGCGACACCCTTATTTTCTCTGACAAACGAAAAGAAGCCTTCTCTCCTTTTTTTGACTATTTTATTTGCTGATTTTCTTCATCTTTTTCTTCAGAAGCCGGAAAATAGACCAACGGCGAAGACAGTCGTCAGCAGATTGCAAAGGATGACAAGGCGCATCGAGGAACTTGGCTGGTAATGGAAAGAATCAACTTCAACTTCAACAAAAGTTCCTCGTGCCAAATGCCTGTTCTTCATGCAGTGAAAAGGATTCGGGTCGATATTGAATGAATCAGAATTCGGCCAAAATTTTGGGGGACGTCTTTTGTCTCAGGAACCGACAAAAATTTCGACAAGTTTTGCGTGGTAATTTTCAACCAATCAGAAGGCTGGATTCGGCTAATCGGCCAATCAGCAGCCGAATAGCCGCCCACGCAAAATTTGTTGAATTTTTTGTCGGTTTCTGACGCCATCCCAAATTTTGGTCCGAAATTCACCTTCATTTGACCACTTTTCGACCCCACTGAAAGCCCAAGTACCCAAAAAAGAAAGTCAAAAACACACAAAAAGACAGACCCCCACTTTGAAAACCCCGAACCCTTGAAATTTCGATCGCTCACGCGCCCCACAACAGAGTTTGAAATGCTCGTAATTTTTGTAAATAGAAATTTGCGGATTCCAAATCCAGGTCTTTTGCCTTTTAAATATTTGCCAAAAGCTCTTGCTCGTGAATGGGTCCATTTTATCTTCAATCGGCCTTTTAACGTATCTTTGAGTATAATTTCAGACTTGCCATTCACGACCCGAAAGAGGGTTGAACCCTTTTGAGAAAAATTTTGTAACACTGTAACTATCTCTCGAAAAAGGCCGAATCCGTTTCACCCTTTTCACCTCCACAAGCTTCAAGTACCCCAGTTTTCTACTCTGCGGGTAGGACTCATTTTTAACGGCTCCCTCCCTTAAGGGAGCCTTGTAAATACCTTCATACCTTCTTTTGATTGGTGCATAATCACAAAAAGCGAAAACCCTTAACTTGTAAATTTTTTCTTTTAAAAATATTTAGAGCAAGAGGCTTGAAAAAGCCCAAGCTAAAAACAAACTTTCTTATCTTTTTTCCTTCATTTCCAAAAATTCAAAACAAAATTTGCCAAAACGAAAGTTCCAAATGAAGTGCCAAACACTGACGTCTGGAGGCAATCTGTTCTGTATTGCTACAGTATGTAAGTAAAAACTCGTGAACGATAGGATCCACGAGAGGAAAAAACCAACGAATACGAACAAGTATTTATATACGAAGAATCAAAGCTTGCTTCTTTTGCAAAAAGAAAGTTGCTTTTTATAAGACTGTTCATCGAATAAACTTATTCAATTTCTTGCCTATATTCAAAAAACAAAAAACTGTCTCTTTTATTAATTATTTGCATATTCAGGGAAATTCGCAATAAGTCGCATAATTCGATTTTTTTCTGAAATCTGATTGGCTATCTGGTCGAAATCGGGCATCTAATTGGTCCAAAATTGACCAAAATTTTGTCGATTTTTTGTAGACTCGCCACTTATTCATCTTACTTTTGAAAGCTTTTGGTTTTTTGACCGACTGATGAAGACGAAATTGTAGCCTTGAGAAATTCTGAGGTGATAACAAATCGACCGCCAAGTAATTCATAATTTTCAACCGAGTCAAGTTTCTCACATGAGCCAAAGCTGCATCCGTAGAAAACAAAATATGATAGATTATGGTAGGTTAGCCAAAACCTTCGTGAATAAAGTCCTAGCTCTCACCAGCTGTCCTATTTTGAATATTCAAAAAAGGAAGCGAAAAATTATTCAACGTGAAAATTCCCCGGCTTTATTGCTCATTTCCTGTCCTAATTCCTCGGCAAGAGTCTTCCTGAGTGCTGACTTTTGCACGAGCAAAATCAAATTTACTGACCTTGTCAGGCTTGCAGCCTCAGCCCTCGGTGATTTTGTGATTGGGGTCACGCCCCGTGAATTAACTTTCTAAATTGATTGACTGATGTGAAGAGAGATAGAGTTACCTCCTCAAAATACAGTCCTGAATACAGTTGTTTTAGTGTCTCAAAACAAACACAAAGGATTTAACGTAGCCGAGGATTCGCTAAATGAGACGCGCTGCGATGCACAGAAGGTACAATCACCCGATTCTAGAGCCAGTTATTTAAGGCTTTTCGAATTCTAAGTTGAGCGAGAGAGTTCACTTGAAATACCTTTTGCACGTTTAAGATGGTAGATGTCAAGAATCGCGATTTGGCTGCAGGTTTTCTCCAAAAATTTTACATAGTGACACCCTTATTTTTGGACTCCATAGGAAAAAGATAGTTGTCTGAAATAAAGTTTGAGCAAAAAATAAGGGGTTACTATGTTAAAAATTGGAAGAAAAGAGACTGCAAGGAAATCCGATTCTTGACATCTACCCCTTAAATACCAGTTGTTTTCAGGGCGTCGAAAAAACGAAGCGAAAAATCCAGATCTTTTGAATACAAACAGATCTTCTTGTGATTTCCTATCCCTAAAAAGAGACCGTCTTTAATCTTCTTTAATCGAAATCAAAATAATCAAAACGACGATTGTTTACTTTACAATCTGCTACTTTCCCAATCTTTCCCAGCAATCTGGGTTTATCAAATTATCTTGTTTTTGGCGACGTAATTAGGCACTCGTCTTTTAGATCGAATTATGGCAACAGGCCGAGGCCCGGAACAAGCATTGTGGAGCAAAGCAAACATGGATTAAGCCAGTAGTAAGCTGCTGCATATCGGGCGAGATTTATTTTCATATCGGTTGCGTTTCAAACTGTCCAGTCTCGCACGTCTCCAACTAGGATTCGACACATGCTAGAAAAATAAATAAAATAATGCGTTCAATCCGATCATAAATCGTCCCATTTATCTTCTTGTCTTAGTGGTTAGATATTATTGGTCCGGCTTATTGTGTCGAGAAAAGTTTTGTTAGCACTTGCGTTCTCGTTTAAAAAAAACAAAAAATACGAAAGATTTTAATAGATAGAACAGTTGTTTTTTATTTGTCAGTGAACTTCTTTTATAAAAAAGGGGGAAAAGGTTTGCGACATCTCTTTATTTTCTCAATCAATTTCTAATATCAACTAACTAAGTTAGAAATAGTTTCATTTTTCCGTATGCTTCCAAACACCAAGTCTTATTTTAAAGTCAAATATCAGCTGACTACTGAACAACTGATTTTACTTAGCGTACTAAATGGCCACCTGATAAAAAGTGATTAAAACGCAACAGCACTAGAAGTGTCAGTAAAATCACGCCGAGAAAATAAGATCCCGAACCTGAGCTAGGCTCGGCAACCTGTGTAGAAATCCTGAGTCAGGGATCAGACCGCAGGGAACGAGTTCGCAAAGGAACTATTTTCGCGAAGCTACTTTTTGAGGAAAACTCAAACTCACATTGGAATTGGAAATATACGATTATTCTTTGAATTCTCGTGATTCCGTTCGTTGGAAATTGAAATGCACAGTTGAATCGGGATCGTGTCCTTTTCGTGAATGAAGCGGGGAAAGCTAATCGCCGATCGAAGAGAAGGAGCGAAGTCAAACACGAT